GGATCCTGCGTGGCTGGTGAGAGTGCGCGGGATTGGCTGCGCCGCAGTATGCAACGTACTCCGTACTTGTACGTTTCTTGTGAGCGGGGATTTTGTTTTCATTGGTTGTTTGGCTGCGGTTGATTGGGGGTGCTTCGTACTATGTCGAATGGGTTTTAGGTGTTGGCTTGGGAGCTGTTGTGGCGTGGCAGGGTTGTTGATTACGGAGTACGGAGTATGAGGTAGGGGCTTATTGCTATTTTCCTAGGTTACTCTCCGAAGATACCTGGGCATACTATATGAAGTACGGAGTATTCTGCAGGCAAACTGATATCTATGGACGGTTGATTGGATTGGCTCGGGGTGTATACTATTTCAGGCGGTGGTTGCAGGCACATTGGCCACATTGGCCACATTGGCGATGGTTGGTTTTGGATTAAGTTCGGCAGAGTCTGGGGTGATCGACGGGTGCGTTTTTCGTTTAGCAATTGAAATGATAGATTGGTGGGCTGATCTGGGCTGAGGGCTTGAAGAACGTGATCTTTTTACTAGGCTTAACATGGACATGCCGAGCTCTCCCTACGTATCATATGATGATATTCGGTTTTCCTGAACATTTTAGATTATGCTGCCCAGGTGCTCGAGTTCCATCTTAGGTTACTTTGGGTCGACGTCATGCTATGACATGCCATAGGGCCGATGATCCTTGCATAAGCGTGGTATTCGTGCTGGCCTGCAGAATGGTGTGGGTGTGATGTCAAGTGCATCGTGATTGGAAATGGGGGTTGGATGTTTGAAGGTCCCTGTGCTCGGATAAGTAGGGGTTGACGTTGACTACAAGTAGCAAGTGCTTGCTCAGCCACGGACTGGGCATATGTACAAGTTACTACATTGGAACCCTGGACCTCTAGAGATACGTACCTAGGTAATGTCGGAGCATAACTGATTGTATGGATACCCGCTCTGTGCCCAGGAAGTTACTTCACGGCCTCCAACCCCCAGGCTTCTATATGCGGGAAATATACAATGCATAAGACCTTGGCGTCATACCTTTATTGTAGGCAGAAGTAGCAGCGAACTTCAGGTTCGTGAAGAATGCCCAGGCGGAGGGGATATAGTTCAACAATGTATACAACATGGAGTGATGCCATCAAGGATGCTCTTCAACCTTGGAAGGCTGTGAGAAAATACATGCAAGTCACCTTTCATCTCAGCCCACTTCGGGTCATGGAGATGACCACCTACTAACTACAAACTTGATCAAGAGGTACCATAACCTTGGAATGCAACAGCTCTATTACAGAAATTATATGTACGCCGTACGAACAACCGCAAGAAACTCTGAAGAGAAAACGGGGGGAAGAACAAGGAAAAATGCTATCTTATGCCACAACTACCAACAAAACTCGCTTCCGAAGAGCAAGAAAGAACAACAAAAAAAAACAAATATAGACATGGGCAATAGATCAAAGAACAATCAAAGGGCAGAGCAGATGGTTGATGGAAAAGGGGAAACGGGGGAGGTGGGGGGATATATGCAACATGCTCTTGATCTGCAAACGCAGAAGACACTTTTACCCGACAGAGAATGCGAGGTCTGGGGGAACACGCAGGAGAAGGAGCATGTTCGAGAATGCAAGGAGGCTGGACCCCCCCACCAAGACCCAGCTAGTCTGCTTGCAAGCGGAAAATGAATTTCTCGTGCGCGGGTTGAAAACCACTGGAAGTTGATGCAGCATGGAAAGCTAGTTCCACGGGGTCAATGGTGGAGGATCAACCGGCATCTGCCCGTTTGAAGAGGATGATATTAAACGGTGCACGCCGGATATAGTGACGAGACGAGGGAAGCAAAATCGAAAACACAAGGAAGATTCGCCGATTCCGAGCCGTAGCACCATGAAAGAGTGATGAGACGTAACATCAATGAGAGAAGGGTTGTTCCTATCCCCAGTCAAGTTTATAGGCTGGAGAGTCGAATGGGACAAAAAAAGAAAAGTAGGGCCGGGTGATGTAAGGCCGAGAAGCGCGGATCTTGCTCGGCGAAGCGGCGCTGACCACTTGGAGAACAAGAAACGAGCGGATGAAAGTAAACGAGAAGAAAATGAAAGAAATCCCATGCCGACCTCCAAGGGCCAGTTTCTGACATGAAGGAGAGGATGCAGAGATAAAAGCGTGACAACAAGTCTAGACGTGCCTTTGCTTTATTGGACTGAAAAAGTTCAACCTGGATCCTAAGATGAGCTGGCCGCTCGAGAGATGGTGTTGCCGAATCACCTACCGCAGCACAGAGCCTTCATGACCTTCTGAACAAGGGTGGGCTGCGTCTCGCTGTTGTTCTGGGCACCCAGAGGCTGCTGCTGGTTGTTCAGAGCCTGGTTTCCTGGGCTGCCAATGCGGTTGGGAAGGTGAGCGTTCGAGTTTTGGAACTGCGCCTGGGTTGACGCAGCCGGAGTCGATCCTTCCAGTCCCCCGCTCTGGCGTTTGGGCGGTATTCCGCCGCCGCTTGGGCGCTCGCGCGTCCTCGGAGCTCCGGCCTTGGCTGGAGAAGGAGGCGGGGGCTGCGCGGCGTTTAAACGGTCGGCTGTGACTCCTGGGCGCTGACTGTTGCGGAGCTCTCTGGCGTGCATGTCACGTCCAGATGAGCTTTGGTGTTGATCGCGGAGGTGTGCTTGGGATGAGTAGGACTTGTAGTCCCAGCCACGGCCGTTGTTGAGCTTCATCCAATCGTATTCGCCATCCTCGACCTCGCCAGCGTTCTTGAGGGCTTGCGTCAAGATATCGCGGAGGTAGTCGTAGTCAGGAGTATCCTCGAAACCGAGATTTCGCACATAACTCAAGTATTTGTTGAATTCTTCTGGCGGAGTGATTAGCACGCAGCCTTTGGGACTGTCCCACGTGAGTAAAACATACCTGGGTAACCCTCGCACAAGTCCTTGATTGCCGTCGTCTGCTTCTTCTCACCAATCTTCTCATACTTCTGCTTGTTGGTAGCAGCCTTCAGGCCCTGCCAAGGAAGACCACCTCGCAGGAAGTACATGAATACATGACCAAGAGCTTCCAGGTCATCACGTCGGGATTGCTCTCGACCGAGATGTGTGTTGATACTCATGTAACGGGCAGTGCCGGACAACGATTTACGCTCACGGTATGGGATGTGTTGCTTGGTCTTGGGGTCGCGGTATTGCTTGGCCATACCGAAATCAACCACATGAATGACGTTGGCAGCCTTGGTTGACGGCCGCCCGATAAGGAAGTTGTCTGGCTTGATATCTCGGTAGATGAGGTTCTTTTCGTGGATCGTTTGAACGCGCGAAAGCTGTAGCAGAGAATTGAATTAGCACGTAGCGAGGAGAGATCAGGAGAGAGAAAACGTACCATTTGCTTAGCTACCATCACAACGGTCTTGGTGGAGAATCGGCGGTTGCAATGATCGAAGAGGTCTTCGAGCGAAGGGCCCAGGAGGTCAATCACAAGGATGTTGTGCAGACCTTCCTGTCCAAAGTAGTAGACATTGGGAATACCGGCTGACGGGGTTAGCAGGGGATTCGGTGGAATCCTTGACGAGAAACTTACGACATCCGACCAGAATCTTGTATGTCCGGTACTCATCGCGGAGTTGGGGTGCATCGCTTTTCCGCGGTTCCTGTCTGAGGATCAGCCTGGGGAATTGGCGGAGCCAAGTGTGAGATCGACGTACGAATTTGATGGCGACTTGTTGGTTGTTAAGGAGGTTGGTGCCCTCGAAAATGACACCAAATGATCCCTCGCCAATTTTCTTGCCCACACGGTAGTGGACACCCACCACGTTTGACGAAGAGGAAGCCATGGGTGCGGAATGGAGAGTTGGAGACCCGGGAAAGGGAACCTTGAATCACGGGGCAATGGCTTCAGGGACGGAAACACGTGATTGGTAGACTGGGCGCAGTCAGATATACGAGGTCGGAGATGGAAAAAGCGACTGGAAGCAGGCTGATCACGTACACCACAGGGATCTCTGCTATTTTTCCGACCGAAGTCGCCGAGATATGCTCGATGAGTCTGAGCGACCCAATAACCGATATACCGATGGTATTACTTAGGGGTGTAGGAGAGCGGACAACAGTTCTGCGAGAGGAACCAAAGCGACCAGACGAACGGTTGAAGCTAGGGCAGCGCTGCGAACGAGATTGGCTGGGTTGGAGAAGAATTGAGGCCTTCGGGGGTCCTTCGACGGTCGGCGGTCACGAGCAATTGAGGGCCGGAGAGGGCAGTGGAGAGACGAGAGGAGCCGGGGAAAAAGGGCAGATAGACACAAAGCAAGCAGGGCACTCGACCTACTGCGAGTACGAGCCCTGAGCAGTGGTTCAAAGATAAGACCAAGGGGGGATGAAGCAGAGAGGAAGAGAGAAGCCCAAATGAAAGAGGTATGTATGTATTGAGCGCGTATTGGCTAGAGTTATTTTACGGTACGCGTATGGTAAATTAGGGGCCGTTGGGTGAAATCTTCTTTTTGCCTTTGCCTTAACGTCGCCTTAGCGCCCCGACTTGGAACCTGTCTATCTTGCATTGTGCTCTCCAAGTCTACAGCCTGGATTCTCAGTGCCCAAGCACTCCGTATTCCGTACTACGTACTCCGTATTTCTCTGTGTATCGTAGCTCAGGCCTCGGCACTAGCTGAACCTGCATCAAGAGGCCAGGCACCAAAACCGCCAGCCCGAGACATGTAGGTACAATCGCGATTGATTTGAAGTATGCAGGACGAAAACATCTCCTTCAGACCTTACAATTAAACTAGAACAATGGACAAGATGGACAAGATGGGCCGTGTGTTATTCAGTTTTTCTCAGGGGAGTTTGGCACGGAGTTTGGCAGGGAGTTCTGGACTTTCTCAACGCCTGGAATGCGCTTAACTAATCAGGTAAAATTACCGTCTTGGCAGGGACGGCTCGTCGATCCCTTACGCTCCATATGCTACATATGATGCATGCACTCTTTGCTTCTTTTGTATTCCAGTCTATTGTCACATATAAGGGATTTATACTTTAATCTGCAGCTTCACCGGGCTCGTCTTGGCCATCCATATCTTCGTCTTCGTCTTCCTCTTCGTCTTCATCATGTGCTTCCCCGTCTCCATCTTCGTCGTCTGAGTCGTCCTCACTACTGGACCCACTGCCCTCGCTATCATCACTGCCAGGATCGTAGTCCTCTTCCTCTTCATCCTCTTGATCTTCAAGCTCTCGCTGAGCCTTTTGAAGCTCACTCTCATCTGCATCTGCACCTGCAGCCTCGGCACTCGCTTGCTCTTCTCCGGTAGGCTTGTTGACATTGTAGACCTTAGCCCGGCGTGCATCCGCAAGACTGGCATCTTGAAGACCGTGTCGTTTGATGTAAGTGTCGATTCCAGAGAAATCGGCTTGGTCAATCATGGAGAATTCAAACTCCTGATTATCTTCCTCGGAGCCACCAGATGGGCGAGCCATGACATTGAGATTGAATGTCCGCTGCAAAACGGATGTGTATGAGACAGAGTCAATAGTGTCAAACGAGAAAAACAGAAGGGGTTTCTTGAAGGCAAACAGAATACCGGTAGAAAGAAGGAAGAGGTAACCTGCAGATGATTCGTTAGTACAAGTGCACTAGAGTCGTATTTTCACCAAACGGTAAAATATTGACGAACCTTCTTTGCTGCCGCGGAATGCCTTCACATGGTATGCTTTCTCGCCTTTTCGGTGCGCCTCGGGCATGGCACTAACGAACTGTCTGTCGTCGGGCCGCACAACATTGGCACGAGGCATGTTCTCATTCAAAACCTTGCAGAGTAACGCATCGGCTGTCTCACCAGGCGCTTGGCTGATCTGCTGCCCGTCTCCTGAGAATGCAGCCTTGGCTGGTCCATCGGCTATCGTAAAAACCATAGCTTCAGATGTGGAAGTTCCCTCTGGTGGAGGGGTAATGCCATCCGCATACTCAGGAATGATGCAGAAATTGAATTGTTTCTGCGTTTTCTCCGGCACAGGGAGACAGAGCGCATGTTCTTTCCCGCAGATATAGATTAGTAGATGTTTTGGGTGCTCAGTGAACAATTCCAGACTCACTGATTTTGTCCATCGAAACGCCAAATTCGATCTCTTTTGTTGCCTGGTTCCTCGCCCGGAGATACTTGTGCCCAGCAGTGATCTCGAGGGTAAGCTTCTTCCTCTGGGGAGTGGCGAACGAAACATCTTTGACGTAAAATTGTACCGGTGCGTTGGCGTCTTTCAGATCGACTGACGCCTGCGCAGTCTCTCCTGACTCTCCATTTTGTAGCTTGCGCTTTTTAGCTGCAGGCTCATCAACCGGGGGCCGCGAAGGAAGGGTCGTCTTGGCAGTCCTGGCCAGCAGGGTGGAGGTGTATCTTGCAATGTCTTCGAATAGTGGTGCATGTTGGGGTGTTGTGCCTATTGAAAGGGTAGGAATTGGCGACGGTCAGCAGGAGGTCGACGTGGTTATCGAGGGACGGGGACGCGAGTGCGCTCAGCTACGCACCGATCGCATCGTACACCCTCTGTTTCAGAGAGGGCTCTGTCGCAAAAGCCTCTTCAATGGTGGCAATGGGCGCACCAGAAGAGTTTATTGAGGCGAATGCCATGTTGTTTGCGACTGCGTTGGGTTAAATCCGCAGTGCAGGGTGTTGTAGGTTGGTCGGAGATTTGAACGACAAATATCAACGATGCGCAGGGCGGCCCGAATTATCCGCATAAGGAGCCCTAACTTTCAAGACAAGAATGACATATGTTACTTGGAGACCCGAAGAACTTTGATTGGCATAGCCAAATAATAGATATGTAAATAAATGCAAAGCTCCTTACTAGAATACAGTGGTGTGTACACAATGCTACAATGAAAACCAAATCCTCGTCATCGCCTCTTTAGGAAGCCTCCTCGGCCTTGGCCTTTTTGGCCTTGCCAGACTTGCCCTTGGCCCGTTTTTGATGGGCCGCAAACTTGATCTTCTGTTGCTTGAGGAGTGGTCCTCTCATATCCTTATGCAGATACTGGTCAATGAAACTCTTAGTTTCCTTGGACAATTGCGCATTTCCATCGGCGTCCAATCGTGCATTCCTTTTCTCGAGTGCCTTGGCAGCCCGCAACTTGATGACTTCAGTCTTCGGTGTAGACAGGGACACAGTCTCTCTGTACTGCTTTTGGTAGTCCTCGGTCATCTTCTCCTTCAAGTATTCGGGGTCGTGACGGGTACGGAATTTGGAGTATTTGTTGCGCAGCTCGTCAATCACGGTCGATGGCATGGGGGGTTCGGCAAGCGAGGCAACAAATGTGCTAGCCTCAACCTCCATTCGTGATGTGTCCATGTCACCGTCGGCGATGGTGGGCTCCTCCTCCACGGGCCAGGGGATTTCGATGTCCAAACCGGAGACGTAACGGGTGTATCTGGGGTTCTTGCTTTCGGGGGATCGCTCATGGTAGGGGCCAGCGGCATAGGCGTGCTTGACCATAACTTGCTGCATCTCACCAGTCTCGGTATCTTCCAGCTTGATGATGTGGCGGATATCGTCGAAGGAGACTGGGAACGACTGGGGTTGTGTGTCGATATTGCTGTTGGCCATTCGGTCTTTGGCCCACTCAGGAATAATGACATCGCGCTGGCAGAGACGTGTCAGTGAGTGACTTTCCTTCTGGGAAATCGTCGAGACGGAAAGGTGATCCGGGTACATACCATGTTGACGTCCTTGATGAGAACTGTCTCACTGTCTCGGTTGACTTGGGTAATCACGTTGATCTTGCCCTGGTCTTGTCCACGGATGACGCAGACTCGATCACCGGCGGCGAAAAGGACATGTCTCCGTTGCTCGTGTTTGGGGAGACGTGGAGGGTGCAGAATGCTACCTTCCAGGCCACCATATGTAGTGCGGTCAAGTCCGGCATCTCGCATGGGTGCAAGTGGACCCTTCTCCCAATCCTCCCAGCGATTCTTCCGTGCCTCCTTGAACTGAGAGGACAATGCGGCGCCAAAGTCCTTCCGCGCCCGCTTGGTCTGGACGCGATCCAACAATTCCTGTCGTTCTTGAGCCTTGATGGATCTTTTGAAGGCCTGCTTCCGGGCGGAAGTCGTCCGTTGGATAACTCTCTGCATCTTGGTGTTGGGGTTCAGCAATGGCCGAACGTTGTCTCTGCCGCAAACACCCCGATCCGCGGATCGAAAATTGAGGGTGTAGTGCACGTGACTCACGGACCAATCTGCTTATGTAATATTTCAATGAGCATCAACACTTGAGGCCCGGCCTTGATGGTAACTACAAGTAACCCTTGCCAGAAACATTGCACTCTAATTTGGCAAGGAAGTGCCGAGATTGGTGATGACGGGTAGCTTGCTCGTACTTGACTCATGGACCAAGTCTTGGTTGATCTTTTCCCATACTTCAAGGCCATTTGCAAGCTGTATCCAGCAAATCTGCGAGATAGGGAATGTTGGCTGTTTTGGATTCATAGATCATGGTCCTGTTGCTGATTGCTCAATTCCATATTCCGGTCGGTCGCTGTCTACATAATTGAACACTTGATACTCTGTCATTTGGTCGACGTGACGGCGTATTATGGCACCAAACTCAAAATGGCAAAACTAACTCGACCAGACATTGAATTCAATTTTTGAGGTTGCAATTAAACCAAGCGCACAAGCTACTTTCAGAAGGAGTGGTAGTATCATTATCAGCCATTGTATACTCCTTATATGCTCGCAAGTGGATCCATGAATGTACTGAGCTGCCATATCCAAGTGGTCTTGGTTCTAGTCCCATTGAGAGCGGATATAGATCGTGAACCCAAATCTCTATGAATGCATGGTGCCTGACCGCATCCCGATCTCGGAATCCCCGAGTCTCACCTCCTTGTGGTACAATACTCCGTGGCCCGCGTAAAGCCCAGGCGAGAGGAACACTGTATGCAGACAATCTAGAACTTCCACCGACCAGCTGAGATGTGGAAGAGGTGAGAGGCAGTGCATGACATTGGGGAGATCTGGCTGGTGTAATGTCTCGTATTGCATGTTGAAATGCCTGCCTATCTGCGGCCTATCGAGTGGGTGTTCGCAAAATAAGGCGTTCCAACACCGAAGGCTTGCGCCATTCGAGGATGGGACCCCCGGGCACCATCTCGAGAAAAAGTTAGCATGTCCTACGGAGTAAGTCTAGTTGCTTGGCCTTCTTAGTAAATTTGTCTCACAACAATAAAGACATGAGTTAATTTCGACGTGAAACCTGGGGGTGCCGTATGGGCAACTTGCCCCGAGGCTGAACAAGAAGGCCACTGTGCCGACGTGGATGTATCAAACTAATCTCAGCCGATCAAGTTTACCCGAAAAGTGACATTCGGTACGGAGGAAATAGTAAACTGTTTTTGTGATGCGATATTTGCATCAATTGTGATGTCGATGATTTCATGTCTGTTACAATGACTGACCATTGCCAGTTGTGAAAATTGTCACGTTAATTCATGGGCGTGGACAAATCGGGTACTCCGAACCCGTGGACGGGGCCTTGGAGTTGCTTAGCAGTGGGAGCGAGTAGCCTCCGTCTCAGTACAAAGTACGGAGTACTTGGAGAACTTTCAAGACACAAGTGGGCACTCGGTACTTGGAAATATTCTCACTAGTACGGAGTACTGCCACGGGAAGATGAGATGAGTTGTGGCCGAATTATCGAAACGCTAGCATCCACCAAGTTCTCCTATTCTTATTCTTATCCGGGAATCGCTTTAACGGCTCCATATTAGGTCTTGGCTCGGCCTGCTATTTTTAGTCAGCCTCGTAGTGAGATTGAAATATCCACTCCACTTCGCAAAAACACCAAGAATGCTGTGAAGTCATGGAGCTTTGGAAGCTAGCAAAGGGGGTAAGCTTCACTAATTTGACGTGATTGGTTTAAGCGAATTCCAGTACTAAAAATTACATCGTATTATTGTCGCCTGGAAACCCCCTAGATACTGTACAACACACAACATATCAACATGCGATTCTCAGCCTAGTGCATGCCGAGAACCCCCCGGGGGAACAGATCAGCGTCTGAATAAACGAAGCAGGAATTATCGGACCGATCATCACTGGCTGCTTAGACCAAGCATTTTAAAAGGTTATCAGTACCGTGCGCTGCCCACCGGATCTCGATAGCATGGTACGGAGTACTCCGTACGGAGCACGAAGTACGGGGTAGTTATTCGTTAGTGGATATCATATGCATTTGGGTTGGTTGTGGCTCAATTGTATAAAATCAAAGATTATTTCCATTGGTTCGGCGAGACTTAAAGAATCGATTGAGCGGAGCTGACATGGTCCAAATGTACTTCGTGCAACTATGTAGTTATGCAATCTACAAGTTCGGAGTAGAGTACATACTTCATGCTCACAGCCTTCCAAGGTGATGACATCGGTAACGGCCATCCACGGTCCACAGATGTCAACAGACATCATGTCCGAGATTTGGGACCTACCAAACCAGGGGTAACACTGTGAACTCATAACTCAATTCACATCTTGATCTCGTCATACTTCACGAAGCACGGGGATATGATATCACAGCCACGGGGTGGCTGTGCAGGGAAAAGAGAGAAGTGGGCCTCGTCCACTTCGACCATTTTTTTTATCAGCCACACGTCCTTACACAGGGCTGTGTATACCAGGTCAATACTCCGTGTTCCGAAGGTAATATCCATGGATGGCTTTGGAGGGAACAGCCACATTAGAAAAAAGGGTAGCCTGAAACTCAGGGGGTAAAAGGTGTTTATCGTACTACAGCAAGTCCAAAGTATTAAAGTACCGGATACCTCGATACGAATACCCAGATACCCGTCGTAGCCAGCGTACGTACCCCGAGTTTGTAAGTACTGGGTACTTGGGTAGAGTTGGGTACAGGCTCACCAGCAGGGGGAAAAACCACAATACCACAACAAATACCGTAAGATACTGCCACCGCTCTGCCATTCTGGCCTGGTCTGCTATCTTTCTCTCCTCCACCTCCAACTCATCATTCCATCGTCTTTTTTCCATCGTTTCTCATCGAAACGTCTTGATTTCACTACCTTATTTCCCTCATCACTAGCTTAAGCTAGTTTATCACATTAAAGGTACGCCGTTGCGACCCTGATACCCCATCCCCCCGGGAGACTTGTCCCTTATTATTTGATCATCTCGTGTCTCTCGTCACCCCCTCACGTTACTTTACACATTCTTCGTCCTGAAGACCTCTCGCTTTCGCACTACGCTCTGCTCGCCTACTTCACTCTATCTTCATACTGACTTCATTCACAAGATGGCCGAGATCCGTCGCAAGCTCGTCATCGTCGGCGATGGTGCCTGCGGTAAGACCTGTCTGCTCATGTAAGTGTCTCAAGCGCTGCCTTCCTGCCCAGGGCGCTTTCCCAACATCTCTATATACACGCTGGAGTACAGCGCTGACTGAAGTCACAGTGTTTTCTCCAAGGGCACCTTCCCCGAGGTAAGCTCCTATTCGTCTTCGATCGCCCGATCTTCCGACAAAATATCCCTTTTCGCAGATCAGCATCATTGAAAGATAAACCAATAATCTGACTCTGTTCATGACAGGTCTACGTCCCCACCGTTTTCGAGAACTACGTCGCCGATGTCGAGGTTGATAACAAGCACGTTGAGCTTGCTCTTTGGGATACTGCTGGTCAGGAAGATTACGACCGTCTCCGTCCTTTGTCATACCCCGATTCACATGTCATCCTGATCTGTTTCGCCGTGGACTCCCCCGATTCTCTCGACAACGTCCAGGAGAAGGTGCGTCTCCTTCATATTCATCGCGAATGCAGCGAGCCGCTCTCGCCGAATGGAAATCACTGACATCTATGCAAATAGTGGATCTCCGAGGTCCTGCACTTCTGCCAGGGTCTTCCTATCATCCTCGTCGGTTGCAAGAAGGATTTGCGCGAGGACCCCAAGACTAAGGACGAGCTGGCCAAGACCTCCCAGCGCCCCGTCTCAATGGAGCAGGTAGGTTTTCCCCCCGCCCCCTTGGTACAACATATACTGACCCAGCGCAGGGTGAGGAAATCCGCAAGAAGATCGGCGCCTACAAGTACCTGGAGTGCTCGGCCCGCACCAACGAAGGTGTCCGTGAAGTCTTCGAAGCCGCAACCCGGGCTGCCCTTCTCAAGGCTGTCAAGGGTAAGGGTGGTAAGAAGAAGGGCTGCTTGATTCTGTAAACTAAGCCAATCTTTTGGAGGTGGCTCGGCTCGGTCATGCTCAGCCTCCACGGAAAGCAATTGGCGATTTTATTCTCTAAGGAGGAGGGCTTCTTGGCCTGCATACGAGATTGTGGATAATATCGAATCCGGGAACCCGAGTCGTGGAGCTTTCCACAATTCAGTTGGTCGACCTTGTGTTTTTCTTTTTGCCTTTATTTTGCAGAATTTGTCTAGGGAGGCGTTGTCTTCATAACCCTGTGGGCTTTTCTTTTTCTACTTCCGTGAATTTCAAATCGCCTCGAGGGGCAAGTATAAATTGAAAACCGAAAACAGGAGATTCAGGTCAACGTCGCCCCTGCGCGAATTTCCCCTTGTGTCATAGATCGTTTCTGCGGTTATCTCCCCATACGCGAAGAGCTCGTTTCGGCTTCTGTTGTTTTTCTCTCTTTTACCACATCTGTTTCTGCTACAGCTAATGCATGATTATTTATTCTCATTTGACCGGTACCTATCCATCTTAATCTTGGAGTTCTTCCAAAATGTGTAAATGTAATCTTGAAATGATATAGATACAAGAGTTCTGCGGATATATACTTCCAGAGTTGTACCTAGGTATGTTCATAGGCCACCAAGCCATCCATCCATTCATGCACGGAGGTACAAACACTATCGATTCAGACTTAACAAGCCCTCAATATATCTTCTCGCATCCATTCCAAGCCCCTCAACCAGCTTCGAAGGCGCTGTATCCGCACGATATGTCAGGCCGGCAGAAGCACCGCCAAGGTCCCGGAAGAAGCGCGCACTACTACTAACACGTCCATGGCCTGTTGGGGAGACATAATCACTCGCTTTGCGGACGATGAAGGCCTCTTGTGGAGCCAGTGGGGCCTGTGGTGGCGCGAAGGGATCGTCGGCTATAGACGACAGCGCTGCCGAGGAAGATGCTGTTGATAGAGACTTTTGTGGAATGCGTACCCAGACGACCCACCACCCGCGATTAGTTTTACTCGTGCGCTCGAGTTCTTGTGGCCGGGCACGTGTATCTGTGTGGGTGGATAGGAGGCGATGGTGGATAGTCAGGCTCTCGACTCGGGACCAGGGGGAGGATGAAGAGGGGAGATTGGGTTGGGGTTGAAGTGAGATGCTCAGGCTCGGGATGTTGGGGATTGATGAGCGGATAGTGAGATTTGATGGATCATAGACCAGGTCATAGATTGAGTGAGTTCTGGCTGAAAAGCGTTTGCTGGGGTCTGAGCTTTCTGACATGGAGACTCGAGATGCAGCCATTGTCGGGGAAGTAGATGACAGGAGGGGTTTTTGGAGAGGGCCAAGTTGATGATGCATACTTGAGTAGAGGGACGGAGACGACAAGCAGGATGTCTCGGGATCAAATAGGAATGTGAACATGAATGGTTGGTGCTTTTGTTGAATGTTAGCTTTGCAAATATTGATATTCGCTGTCAAACAATAGCTTACCACGTATATCACGGCCTGAAGCTCCTTTGGAGCTGCATCTGCTCCACCAAGATGGAGGTATAGAGTTCTGCGTACTATGCGAGTCTTGGGTTTACCATTCTCCGATTCAGGCTCTGGGCTTCCTTCTTCCAAATCATCCAACGTTTGGAGATCATCACGGGGTCCCAGAACGAACCGACCCAGATATTTGGGATTCGGGTCGCTTCTATGATTGCTGTCCACCGGCGGAGATTGGGCAGTGTTGCTAGGTCGATCTTGAGTCGGCGTTGAGTGAGAGTCGTCTCCCGCTGGGTCAGAGCTATTGGGAGGTGAGATAGCTGGTGATCTGGGAGAAAAGCTCCACGAAGAGCCATATCCAAGAGTAAGGTACTTCATAACCGTTTCTGTGGGAAAGCTCATGCTGTCGTTTTGTTGCTCGTGTCGGAGCGGCGAGGCCTCGTTCCGGACTCCCGTGTGATCAGCCCCGGGGGCCTCTTGAACTGGTTCTGGTGTCGCCATTATAAGTGGACGAGGTATGCCAGGTGTAAAGCTACGGTCAGGCGAAAGTTGCTGAGAAGCATTTTCAGAACTCTGCCGTCCGCGTGGTTTCCGCACTTTGCGACGACGTAGCGAGCCTGGGTCTCTCCCAACGCCATAAGCAGCATCGCCAAACCGATAAATCGATTCCATCCAGTGTGAAACATGGGCCAAAGAATGTCGAGAAAGAGCGCCAATGCCGGTGAAAACCACACCATCAGACGGTCTGGGGTGGTTATCTGATCCGAGCCATGGGCTTTGATCAGAGTCTGTGGAGTGGGAAGGCTCCTCAAAGGGTGGAGAAGGATCGCCAAACCTGGAGACAATCAAATCCACCAAGCCTTCTGTCCTTGTCACAAAGTCCTCGAGTACTTCTCTTTCCCCGCTGCCCCACTCTTCCTCTCCAACGCCGATCCCCAACTCCCCTCCCGCAGAGAGTTTGATGCCATTGTAGATCTCAACAATTGGGTTACCGGTCAACAGAAGCTCCCAATTCCAGGTGAATTTATCCCAAAATCGATCAAGAAATAGGCATAACTTGGTTCTGCCAACTTGGTTCAAGAGTTCGTCCAATGTAAAATTATGATGTAAGAGAAATGTCGAATGCGCGCGACGCAACTGCTGAATCAGTAGAGGCGGTGGTGTCATCTCACGCGATGAGTATTGAAACACCGGGGTGTGTTCTTCGGATACGCTTTTCTGCGCGTTATCGGCGGGGAGTCGTGTCAGATCGATAGACTGGTTTCATGAGTCCCATGATTCGAGCGATTAGGATGTCAACCACCTACAGCAACAATCCACCAGTTCTTCTCCAGCTCAAGTAGTATGACCCGTGATTTGTCTGTTTCAACATATTCGAGGGATTTCCCGTCCGAAAAATTACTACACGTCAAGTCTAAATTAGCTGATTTTCTTGGCAAGTTTGGGGTTTGGCATACCTAGCAAAGTTCACCAAACCTTGCGCCAGGCCGATCTGGCGCAGTCTTTCATTTTCCAAATCCTTCGACTCTTCACTGCTTTCTGTGCTCCCAGTACTTTCTCGTTGATGTGTCGCTTGCGAAGTATAGTACACGATCTGATCCGCTATCGTCTCGTCGGTAGGTCCGAGGGTCGGGTTATAGATGGCAAGGTACGAAACCTGGGCCGGGATCACTGAATCGTGGTCGCCTCCAGTCATTGTACCCTTGGGTGTCTGTATCTCACACCGGAAAGCCAGTCCAGGTGAAAGGAATACAGGTAGAAAGCTGAAAGCGAAGTGGGATCTGGGGTGGATGTTGACATCACGTGGCTTATCGATAAGGACCAGTGACGGAGCTCCAACTTTCCGGCGATTGCTTTGTTGCTGAAGACCATGTGGATCATCTCAGGCCCAGCAAGCCTCTGTAAGAGACCAGTGGCTCTCCGGGCGTTTGGGCTGAGATCTTACTCCACCAAAACCTTTGATCCACTTCGCATTCTCTTCTGTGGCTCCGACGAGTTCAGTATTGCTTCTCTGAATGCTCTCCATGCATACCACTTAAAGCATCCCGAACGAGTATCCTCAATAGATGTCGTTTGCCGGCCAGGGAAACGAGTGGGAAGGGGTTTGAAGGAGATTCGAGAAGGTATCTAGGCTCGAACCTGTTACGCAAGACACTTCTTATTGAAACCTCGTTCTAGTACCGATTAAAGCGGCCGCCTCGGCTCTCTCACTTCCTATACACGAGATCGACACATTTACCGGCTGGAAGGTAATATGCATAGCCTATCGGTTGATATTTCAAACTGACTGTGTTAGCCCCCAACCTCTCCCAGCGGCCCTATAAACCTGATTATCGCGGTATCGTTTGGCCGTTTTGTCCCGCCGCGCATACTCAACGGAGCGAAGTACGGTGGACTTAATGTGCATCCCTCATTATTACCCGAGTATGTGCTTCTCAATCTCGCCACCGATGATCAAATTATTGACCAAGTAGTTTCCGTGGCCCTGCGCCCCTTCACCACACTCTCCTCGCCGGTGAGACCAAAACCGGCGTGACGGTTCAAACATTGCACCATGAAAATTTTGACCACGGAGTCATTCTATCACAAACGCCTGCACCTGGATTTGACGTGCCCAACCCAGACTCTTGTACCTTTCAAGAGCTACAGAACCTTGTTGCACCGAAAGGTGCACACATGCTTGTGGAAAGCATCGAGAACGGATCTTATGTGCCCCCGCTGAAAAATGCAGGATGGCGCTCCACTGATGACACGCGCAAACTGATCCACGCGTCCAAAATCACGCCAGAAGATAGACACATCAAATGGGCAGAATGGACCTCGGCGGAGATCAGCAGGCGCAGCCGCGTGATTGGGCCTCTTTGGAGCAAAGCTTTTTGTGGAAGCAAGGCTGCCAATGCGTCTACGGCATTGCAGCAAAAGCGAGTAATTCTTACTGACACTGAGGAGATCGACCCTCCTTTTGAGTGCCAGTCGCTCCGCAAATTCCCAGGTCTTCCGTTCACAAATGCTTCGCCCTCGGATGAACCGGGCACTGGTGAGCTCTACGTGTTTACTGTCGACGGAAAGGTACATCGAATCAATCGCATGAAAGTCGAAGGATATAAAGACTCAGCTGCCCTGCCAGCTGCTCGAAAGGCTCGCATGCTAGGTGATCGGGCACCTCAGTATGAAAACGGGGAGCTAGTACCCTTCCACAACATGTTTGTATAATTAAGAAGAATTGCGTGTATTCTATGTCTTATTTACCGAAATGATACCTATCAAGCATCTATTTAGAGAACCCGGAATCTAGATGCGTTAGCCTTCGATCAACGATGTTGGAGGCATCACATACCAATCTGGATAGCTTGTCCTGTCATCGAAGCATTTTTGGCAAGTGTGATGAACATATCCGCGCAGTCTTCCACTTCGGGCTAGGATTTATTAGCGCATTCACGTGTGCTAACTATAGGAGGAAATCACTTACCACGCGCTTGAGTGCAGTTGCACTCGTCCAAGCATCGATCTTCTCGGGGGCGAAGCGTTGACCCTAACACAATGTCAGCATTTATCAACATTCCCAAGAAAGGAAGAGCGTACCCATTCAGTGAGCAAAAGACCAGGCAAGATCGCATTGACGCGGACCTTGGCGCCTTGAGTCTGAGCAAGACATTTCATGAGATGAATCACTGTATCGTGTGTAAGCTGTTGATCATTGGACTTCCAAGGATCGAGAAGAAAAACCTACAAGCTGCTTTCGTCACAGCATAGGGCAAGCTGCTACCAGTTGGCGAGACACCCTAGAAAGCCCAATCAGCACTCGAACCCCAGGCCATTGCAAAAAAGGTGCGTGGAATTCGAAACAGGCTGTCTAAGTAACTTACCGCAATTGAAGCCGTGATGAGGAACACACCACCATCTGGATTCGCATTGAATGTGGGAAGAGCCGCTTTGAACAGGTGGAAACTGCTCTTGACGTTGATAGACCAGCACTAGTTCGACAATCAGCAAAGCTCTCTTCTCAAAGTATATGCAGTTATTACCTTGTCCCAATCATCGTCGTCCATGGCATCGAGATCCCCAAAGTTCGTCATCTTGGTCCATCCCTTATCGATGTATTAGTAGGTTTGCCGCTGAACCTTGGAGAATACCTTACGGCGTTCGAAATGATGATGTCCAAGCCGCCCAGCTGCTCAATAGCGGCATGCACGGCGTTGATACAGTCTTGCTTCTTTCCTGCATCCTGTCATATTTATATCGTCAGTAAAACAATCAAACCTCCTGCGCTTCAGTCCACTTACACCTTGGATGACAACTGTTTTCACGTTGTATTTGCTTGCAATGTCCGAAGCGACCTTCTCTGCGACTTCCTTGTTGTTCATGTAATTAATTGCAATATTGCTTCCCTCCGAGGCAAACTTCTCGGCTGAGAGTGCACCCAGGCCTCTATCATTTTACATCAGTGCGGTACTCAAAGCGAGGTTAGAAGTAGACCTACCGAGAACCCCCGTGATCAACACATTGCGACCCGACAAAGAGTATGGCATATTGAATTGAAGTAGAGAACAGTCTTGGAGAGTTCTGTGTATAAAAGGCCGAGGTCTTGTAGAAAGATCGTCCAGAAGTATTGCCGAGCTCACCGATGGTCTGTACCGATGCGGGGCAATGCGGACTTCATTGCGAATCGATCCGGACTATTCTGATGATTGAAAGCTGTGATTGATGGTCTAATAGGTACTGTAGAATGTCATTTCTATTACCATTTGGTTTGGTGTCTTGAACATCGTTCACCTGGGCAAATCGAGTTGTGAATGGTTACTCTTGCTCGCCTAAGCACCTGGGCAGGTCCCCCACGATGGTTTGTATATATCGGGAGTCCACCTCCCGACTACACGAGCAGTACTTGAGAACAGGTCAGGTATGACGCAAAGACCTTGAGATCGAACAACTCAGATATATCATCTCTATATCACCAAAGTCAATGGTATACAGTATAAACGGTCACTAAAAAATTGATATACATATTGGGTGTCCAGATACACCCAGAAGGACCAAACGAGAACAAATAAAAAGCGCTGTACAGAACGTATAACATCGAGCTCATACCATAGCAGGCAGATCATAATTTAGTTCTTCGGCTTCCTCTCCCATCCAGTCTTCAGTTCACCGGATGGTTTGAAGCGCGGGAACGGATGAGCCTCTGTGTTGAAGACGTGATCTTCCAGGGGAATGAAATCGCGGTCCGAGAACAACAAGTAGAAATACTTTAGCGTCTCGGCCATCCAATAACTTTCCATGTTGTCACGCTTATAGGGAGGCACCACGTCCGCATTTCCTAGTGATGTAAAGCCCTTGATGCGGAAGACTGGTTCTTTGGCTGTAGATGTTGGCAGACGAGAGGCGCTCTTCTTCTCCACGACAGCTGTGTGACGGACAAAGGACTTGAAGATCTCCCAGCCCCATTGGCGGTAGATCTCGTCGCCGGTGATCCGGTACATGTAGAGAAGGGACTCGATTGTCTCGGGTCGTTGGAGGTTGTGGCGGTCGTTTCGACGAATGTCAATGTCTGAGCGCCAGGGTTCTGAGCCATCGCGCTGGGCTTCGAGAGGCTTGGAGATACCGTGCAAAATCTCGGGCTTGGATTTGGTCGAGGTGGGGTATTTTTCGGCCATTGTTGCGGGTGGATCGTCTAGAATGAAGTGTGAGATTTCAGCTGCTAGACCGGTGGCGGTGGCCTCATGCATCGCCCAGCAAGTCTTCATCAACTCGCGGGCAATAAGAATTTCTTCTTCGTTCCGTTGAGACCAGTCTGCAGACTTTCGTGCCTTGGATAAAGGCTGACCACCGGTTGCTCCGAGGGCGATTGTGCCCGGCAGGAAACAGACAAGATGATCCATCCTGGGTGAGAGTTCTCCGGCTAGACCCTGTGGACGCTCGCCCAAGATCATGAGCTGGGAGTTCTTGGTGAAAGAGATCAGATGCTTGCGGATGCCTTGCAGGGCCTCCTCCCACATCTCTTTGTAGATGGGTTCCGTTTGCGAGGTCTGCAAGTATTGCTTGATGAGGTATTCTATGATAGGTCAGCTCAAAGCACTTGAACAAAAAGGGGTAGAACAAAAATTGTCAATGACGCACCGTAGTAAGAGTCTGCCTTGTTACCCAGGCTAATGCTGTCTCCCTTGAGAAGACCAGTGTCTGGGTGGATTGCGCTTTGCACAAGGCCATCCTGAGGCTGTTGATAATCCACCACTTTCATGGCCTTCTCCACTACTGTCCAGTATTCAGCCTCGCCGGTCAGCTTGGCCAAGTACTTGTATTCAAGCTGCACCGAGCCTGCCTCGGAAATGGTTGTAGCTCCCTCGTCGAAATGAACCACCACACCCTCAGATGTGTTGAGATTGACATTCGACCACGGAATCCCACTGGGTGAATCAAACGCTCCAAGCAGTCGCTCAGCCAGGTCCGTGGCCTTTTCGATGTACAGATCTTCGCCAGCGGCGCCAAAATCGTCGTCGTTGAGCGGTGCCAGGTTAGGATATTGAGTCGACAGATGATGGGCAGACAACAAGCCACCAAGCATGCGAATACTGGTCTCAAACATATTGACCTCGCGATCCTGGTCATACTGTAAAGATGTCGAAATCCATTGTCGCGCACGGTGGACCTTCGACGTGAGATTCATGATCATCAATGTGTCCAATGAATCCACGATCATCCAGCCCAGTCCCCCGCTCGTTGACTCCTGGTTGACATTTGATACAGGGCGATACTGATCATATCCTGTGAAAACGTCAGCAATGCTAACTCCCCGTAGTTCTTGTGCAACCTACCCCATGCGTTTTGCTCGTAACCCTCCCAACTGACGATGAAGGCGTCCCGCACTTTCTCTCGTCTCTCAGTCCAGTCCGACGACTCTGACACTTTCCCGTCCTCCAAGGTCTGGGCCCATTTCCAAAGTTCCACCCCCTTGTCATTGGACTGTAGCCCTGACCACGCAGAAAGATAGAAGTTATAGTACATCAAGAACACCAAGCTGCACCCCACCAGAATATAGAAGAATGGTCTCCATCTCCTCCGTGGACCTGTGCGCCGCGGCTGGAAGAATGGCTTGTCTTTATATAAGGGCAAAGTGCGGTCTTTCTCGAAGTAGCCGTTCACTTTGTTCGATAAGGGGATCGGTTGGTTCGATAGTCCGTAGCCGCGTAGCCCGTTTCGTGAGTTTGAGTAGAAGCTGTCTTGCTGCGCAGGCGCAAAGGGACTGCGTGATGGCTGGTACGCCATTGTTTTCAAGTCTGCTCCGTGGGATTGGTGGATTTGCGATTATCGAGTGCGACACATGGAGGCGTGCGTGGTGAAATCGGTCTGAGATTTGATCGCGGAAGAGGTTCGACTCTGAATGAGGCTCGAGAGCAGTGTTTGCTGGGCTTAAGGGTCAGTCGCATTGATTCTTCGTGAGAGGGCCCCTCGTGGTCGGAGACTTACCGAAGCGCAATGCGACTCTTCTTCGCCAGTTGTCACAATTCAATCCAAGGCGTCGTGGGTATCTAGGACAAAATCCAAGAGAAATGCCGTGTTGGTTGTTAGGTGGTCTGTAAACAAATTATCGGAGATGCGATGCGGAGGCGGAGGTTGTCCCGCGTGTCCTCAGCCAAACTTAACTTGGCCAATACGGATCGGAATTCCAGACGCTGCTCACAATTCAACAATGCCGTGTGAGCAGAGGCAGGCTCAATGAAATTAGAGAAACGGAGAGTGGTCGAGTCCGAAAATCCAAGTATTCTTGTACGCGTGGCCCCGGTGTTTTACAATACAAAACTCGCAACGTGATTCAAGACTGCTCGTTAGGTTGATTGCATATCATTTGCGCTTAGGTGAAAGATCTAAACCCTGCACTAGGATAGTCCTGCATAGATACAATTACAGCTTCTGGTACTCAAGCTTGCCCTCCAACTTCTTAGCCTCTGCCACCTTCCGTACCGCCTTGTTGAAGTCATCCTGGTTGATGGCGTCACGGTAGTCCTTGATCGCAAATAAACCGCTGCGAAGAGTTAGTCGAATAATCGGGGTAGAACAGGGCTGGGGTGCACTTACGCTTCAGTAACCACGTTTCGAAGATCAGCACCGTTCAGACCATCACTCATCTTGACCACACTCTCAAAGTCGATATCACCATCCTTCTGGACAGTGCTCGTGTGAATCTTCAGAATTTCCAGACGGCCCACCTCATTGGGAAGAGGAATCTCAATCTTGCGGTCCAGACGACCAGCACGCAGCAGCGCAGGGTCCAATGTGTCGGGTCGGTTGGTAGCCATGATGATCTTCGTCTTTCCTAGGTAGTCGAAACCATCCAACTGGTTCAGCAACTCCATGAGCGTTCGCTGAATCTCTCGATCTGCCGATGTACCCTCCGAGAATCGTCGTCCACCGATAGCGTCAATTTCATCCATGAAGATGATACAGGGCTCGTGTTCCTTGGCGTATCCGAACATTTCACGGATCAGTCGGGCGGATTCACCGATATATTTATCCACAATGGCGGAGGATACAACTGTGAATCAGGAGTGTAAGTAGACTGCGTGAATCGAAATAGTATGGAGAACACATACCCTTCAAGAAGTTGGTCTCTATCGAGCTGGCAACTGCTCGTGCAAGCAGCGTCTTACCAGTACCCGGAGGACCGTAGAGCAGGACACCCTTCGGGGGCTTGATACCAACTCTGAAGAAGAGTTCTGGGTTCTTCAGGGGCAACTCAATGACCTCACGAAGCTCTCTGATCTGGTCATTGAGACCACCGATACCCGCGAAGTTGACTGACCCGGGGTCCTCCAAAGACATGTTGTACACCATGGGATCGACTTCGCGAGGCAGCATCCGCATGATAGTAAGTGTTGTCATATCCAAAGCCACACGTGTGCCTTGCTTCATCTTGGCCTTATCCACCTTTGAACGGCAACCGACGACATATCGAGGACCTGAGGATGCCTTGACGATGACTGCGAGATTGTTAGGATCTGGGTGCAAATTTCCATGCGCCTGATATGACATCTGGATACTTACATCGCTCTTCATCAAGCTGCTTCAACACTTCACCGATGATCTGACCAACACTTTGTAGTGCCTTGATGTTATCCTCGGAGACATCGAACTCTCTTTGAAGATCCTTGATTCCCAGACGGAGGTTCTTCAACTTGGCTTCCCACTCTCGTAGCTCGAGCAAGCTCTTTTTATAGTCCTCAAGCGCCTGGCCGCGCTCTGGGTCGCTCATGATGAAAGACGGACGAATGAGATTCGCCGAGTATTGGAGGGAAAGTGGGAAATCTCAGTGGTTAACCGTAGTTCGGAGGCGTATGGGAGGTGTTGTGGGAGATCGTGGATGCAGAATGGATGGATATCGTGATTGAAAGGGCGACAGCACCTTGCCTGGGGAGCTACCAGCGCAACGTCGATGAGCTTCCAAACAGCTGAATCACGTGCCAAGAGATTATGTCATATTCTTTGTCAGCTGACACCTGAGGCTAAAATATACACCCCAGGCAGTAGGGCAGCAAGGCAGCAAGGCATCAAGCGGAAGAGACTTGTTGCCTTAGGAATTAGGACTCCGATGGTCCTCGTCCCCGGGCCGAAGTTGGAATGACCGAGTGCTACGTAAGATGAACAATGAATTGGATGATCTTCAATTGGCCAACTATCTCAGTCCACGGGTACTACGCAATCCTATGGGCTCACAGGCCAGCAGTAAAGTTAAGCCAGGAAAATGACAGATAGAAGGATATTGGGCCATTGGAGGGGGTCATGCAATGTACACGTATAACGTACAAGTACCATGCACGTACAGCGTCAACATGAAAGCGGGAACCTTGGAAGACGCATCACATCTCTCCCGAGGGACGGAAGATCTCGTAAACTACGAGGGCCGCATACGGTCGGACCAGCCAGCAAGAGCTGGAGTAGGGAGGTGGAGCCCCACTGTAGTGTTGGAAAGAATCGGAGCAGAGCAATGAGCTTTCCCGGGGTTATCACAAGTATTTAAATCCAGTGTATATCCCGTCTTGATTTGTTCTTTCTTTTTGAAAGTCGTTTATTGCTTTACCCCAAAAGTAAGTGTGATGAATATAGCATCATATCCTCCCCATACCCCGCCATACTGCCCCTCCATACACATACTATACATCCTACATACATCCTACATACCTCTGGAAAGGCATAGAACCTCTCTGAGCCAGACCGGTGATCGGAGTAGGAACTTGTCAATTGCCCCATCAACGACTGGTTGAGCTCAAGCAAATCACGTCTGTTTTCCTCTCCCGGCGAATCTTTTTGGGTCATCGGTGAACTTCTTCCCCGCCGTTAGTCACCTGCGTGTCTACCATTTATCTGCCCGGCTTCTCCTATTTTTCTTCTTCTTCCAACTGACTGAATCACCAGCCTATTCAATCATGCCTATCTCCAAGATCCACGCTCGCTCCGTCTACGACTCCCGCGGTAACCCCACCGTTGAGGTTGACGTCGTCACCGAGACCGGCCTCCACCGCGCCATTGTCCCCTCCGGTGCCTCCACTGGTACGTTGTCCCGAATCCTGACCTTCTCGATATCATGAGAAATCCATTGGCTAATATTGACTCCAGGCCAGCACGAGGCTGTCGAGCTCCGCGATGGTGACAAGACCAAGTGGGGTGGTAAGGGTACGTGAAACCAACTCCCAGCTAGCTCCAAGCTCGAGAACCTATACTCATTCATCTTCCACAGGTGTCCTCAACGCCGTCAAGAACGTCAACGAGGTCATTGCTCCCGCCATCATCAAGGAGAACATCGACGTCAAGGAGCAGGCCAAGGTTGACGAGTTCCTGAACAAGCTTGACGGAACCGCCAACAAGGGCAAGCTCGGTGCCAACGCCATCCTCGGTGTCTCCCTTGCCATTGCCAAGGCCGGTGCCGCTGAGAAGGGTGTTCCCCTCTACGCTCACATCTCCGACCTTGCCGGCACCAAGAAGCCCTACGTCCTCCCCGTCCCCTTCCAGAACGTCCTGAACGGTGGATCCCACGCCGGTGGCCGTCTGGCCTTCCAGGAGTTCATGATCGTTCCCGAGTAAGTCTGGACAATACCTTTTTACGTCTGTGACGATGGTCTAACGAACAACAGCACTGCTCCTTCCTTCTCCGAGGCTCTCCGCCAGGGTGCTGAGGTCTACCAGAAGCTCAAGTCTCTCGCCAAGAAGAAGTACGGCCAGTCCGCTGGTAACGTCGGTGACGAGGGTGGTGTCGCTCCCGATATTCAGACCGCCGAGGAGGCCCTTGACCTCATCACCGAGGCCATCGAGCAGGCTGGCTACACAGGCCAGATCAAGATCGCCATGGACGTTGCCTCCAGCGAGTTCTACAAGGTCGAGGAGAAGAAGTACGACCTCGACTTCAAGAACCCCGAGTCCGACCCCACCAAGTGGCTCACCTACGAGCAGCTTGCCGACCTCTACAAGTCCCTTGCTGCCAAGTACCCCATCGTCTCCATCGAGGACCCCTTCGCTGAGGACGACTGGGAGGCCTGGTCTTACTTCTACAAGACCTCCGACTTCCAGATTGTCGGTGATGACTTGACTGTCACCAACCCCCTCCGCATCAAGAAGGCCATCGAGCTCAAGTCTTGCAACTCCCTTCTGCTGAAGGTCAACCAGATCGGTTCCCTGACCGAGTCTATCCAGGCCGCCAAGGACTCCTACGCCGACAACTGGGGTGTCATGGTCTCCCACCGCTCCGGTGAGACCGAGGACGTCACCATTGCTGACATCGCTGTCGGTCTCCGTGCCGGTCAGATCAAGACCGGTGCCCCTGCCCGTTCCGAGCGTCTTGCCAAGCTCAACCAGATCCTCCGTATCGAGGAGGAGCTCGGTGCCAACGCCATCTACGCTGGCGAGAAGTTCCGCACTGCTGTTAACCTTTAAATGCAACCAGCAGTATAGCTCGAGCCACAGGGTTCGCCCAAAACTGATGGTTTGATGACCCATGAAGCCATCGCCCATGACGATTATGAATTTAATAGGATCTTTTTCAATGAAACAAATTTCCACAGGAATAATCAAGTAGAAGTGAATCAAGTATAAGGTCGAAGTCCTTGAAACCTGGTAGAGTAGACAAAGATCACGCTCATCGGGCATTGTGTTGCCCGAGATCACGTGCCCCATCCCACTTGGAGACAATAGAGTCCCACATAAAATTTGCCCTCGCCCCTCATCGTGCTGGGTTCGATTGTGTTAGCCTTTGGTCTTGCGTATAGCGCTTCGCTTTTTCCTCATTTCTACTTCTAGACCTTCAATACTACAAAATACTCAAAATGCCGCCTTCCAAGTGGGGTATGTTCGGATCCTTTGTGCATACGCTCTAAACGCGTAGCCAGTAAATTTCATGTGCTAACATTTCTATTCCATACAGACGATGAGGAGGAGGATGTTCCTCCCCCCTGTCAGCGCACCCCGCCGCCGCTTCGACGACGAAGAAGAAGAGGAAGATGTAAGAGCCCTCCAACCTTCTATCTGAGCCACCACTCATTACTCCCAACCCACAGGTCCTGGAATCGTGGGATGCCGCCGAGGACTCCGAAGTCGAGCGCGAGAAGGCCAAGAAGGCCGCCGATGCCGAAGCCGCTGCTAAGGCCAAGGCCCTTGCCAACAAGAAGACCAAGGCCCAGCGTATAGAAGAAAACCGCGAGAAGCACCGTCTCGAGAAGGAGGACTTCGGCGAGTCCGACAGCGAAGACGAGGCCGATCGCCGCGCCCGCCTGCGCAAGACCGAGCAGGAAGCCGACCTTGCTCACGCCGAGGATCTCTTCGGCAGTGTCGATGTCAAGCGCAACAAGGGTGCCCCCAAGGCCGTTGTCGTCACCGATTCCAAGGACCCCACAAACTCCGTCGACCTCTCCGCCATGCCCCTCTTCAAGCCCACCACCAAGGACCAGTTCAACCGCCTCACCGAGATTCTGGTGCCGTTGCTGACCCCTCACACCAAGAAGGCCCAATACTCTCTCTGGGCCCAGGACTTCACCCGCAAGCTTGTGAAGGAGCTGCCCAGTGCCGAGATCAAGAAGATCGCCAGTGCCCTCACCACTGCTAGCAACGAGAAGATGCGCGAGGAGCGTGCTTCTGACAAGGGCAACAAGAAGTCCAAGGCGGCTAAGACTAAGATCTCCTTGAACGCTAGCCGTGACGCCCAGCCTGATACCAGCCAGTACGATGATGATGGTCTCGGTGATGATGACTTTATGTGAATGTGACTCCAGAACGACTTCGGATGACTTTCCATGACCTGTTACGTTACCCTCCCCTGCTTTTTGGTTTGAATATACGCATACAGGAAGGTCTTCATCTTTTCTTTTTCTCATACATCGGGCTTTGTGGGCTCAAATGTTGCTCTTTTCCCTTTAGCTTTCCCATGTATATCCCATCCCATCCAACCCTGCCCTTGAGCTGAACTCAAATCTCCCCATAGACAAACAATCCAATCCAATTACACATCTTCACACATTACTATTAGATTATAATTTGCCAACGCTTCTGCCGACACTGCAAGATCATCATCCAACGAAACCTGAACTCCTGACAACAGACCTGGTCCCTCGACTTTTGTTGAGTATTGCAAGCTGCCTGCCCTCCTGCTCGATCTCCTTCGCCGTCTTTGTAATATTCAGGTACCCTTCATCATCCAGTGCAAACAGTGCCTCCTGAACCCATACACGGCAGCAAAGACTCTCCCGGCATCGAACAGAATAAATCGTGAGTGGAACGAGTCTGAGTCTAGCAGCCAACGCAGCGTGCATCACAGGCCCGATGATCCCAACCTGCAGCGCAATAACAACCCTCTCACACGTTGACATGTTGACCACCTCGGTCTTGTATTCCCAAGCTACCGGGCCAGAGTCATTGGTTATATGGAACAGCCGACCTGTAATCGTCGTTGAGGCGAGAAATAATTGCCATTCAAAAAGACAGGCGCTGTCCGGATCTAGGAGGAGGACGTAAAGACTGTTTGGTTCGAAGAGCAGTGCCATTTGTGCCTGGGATGTCTTGATTTCCCCCAAAGGTTGATTATATTGATTGCACAGGTGTGTGACTTTCGTTGTTGACTTTCAATAGATAGGCAGAGCCCCTGGGATACAGATGCCCGGGTGCTTTCGACGGGTCCGAAGATTTCATCCTAAATTTATATTCCATTCAAAGCTTACAAGGCCCCGAATTCCCATATTCCCCCGGGGCCCCAGGGTCCATATATCGAACATCGTGTTCGGAGCAAGGCCCCAGAACCCGATGGCGTGGACTTGGTATATTGCAGGGATCGCATTGGCAAGTCGACATGCTCGCTAAACAATCATCGAATTCGAGCCACTCGATCTCTGCCAAAATTCACGCTAGGCTTCAGACATAGCAGGGTAATGTAGCTCTGCATACACTCGTATACAGTTCATCTAAAGAAACCTCATAATTCAGGATTTGCTCCCTTGATCATGTGCTATAGCGTTGGCATCAAGGGGCCAAAAATAGAGTTCCATGGGCAAGGATTCCAACCGCACGGCTCGAATCTGCCGTGTGCCAGGAGTCAAAATATGAGACTGTCAAGACTCAAGTATCAATAGTTGCAATGATCTCGTGTCTGCACACTTCAGCCCCGTCTTCCGTGGACCCAAAGATTGTCTCTGATGCAAAGACTCCTTCTTCAATCAGACATATCGGAATCGGAATCGGAACCAGGGGTTGCCAAGAGCAAACAAAAAGACCCCTATCAGGCCCGTGGTTCAAGTGAATGGATCCTCGAACCCTCGGTCCCATGCATCAGTCTCAAAACCAAAGACCCAGCAGCTTGACGCGCGGCAGTGGTGCTGTATGGTTACCAGAGCAGGCGAAGTGTACATGGTGGCTGTGACTATTCCCCGTTGTCTCATATCGCCGCTTCCGAAATCTAAGTGAGGCAAGCGCTGAACGAGTCGGAATCCGATGGGAAGATCGATACATCCTATTTCGAACGAGGAAGACTTTGTCCCGTGGACCCTGGCAGATCCCGGACAATATTCATTTGACACGTTGTATGGGATTGCAGGATTTGCATGTTTGTTCACCTCGTGTCGGGGGTACAGTAGTGCAGTCCTTAATGGTGATAAAGATGCATGCCATCGAGACTGCCTCCACAGGTCCACGGGGTTAATTATGGGTCCCCGATCAATGGGGAGGACTCATGTCTGGCTCATGTTTGACTCACAGGGCCAAGTCGCTATTCGTCAGTCTGGGGCGATTTTGGTCTTCGCTTTGATGTTGCATGTCTCCTGCATGCAATGCGATGCCAGCTTCAGCTGTCAGTTCTTTGCTTGTTCGTAGGCTCTCTGTGGCGCTTGCGATTGGCTTGTTGGGTGAACATGACTCAGTGAGTTCTCTGGAAGGGGGAGGGGAATGCGGAGTATTTGGGCATCATTTGTTGGATGGACAGTTGATGTGTTATTCGGGTCTGCTGTTCGACGAATCAATCACGGTGGTTTGCAGAGAATTCTCCGTGTGAGCTTTGGGAGATTGGTTGAGCAGCATGGGTAATTTGTCATCCTATAGCTCGGAGAAATACTCGATAACAGTTACTTGGGAGGCAGAGTAGGATACTGTTAAAATGGGAATCATTGGCTACGCAGTAACCCAATACAGGGAGCACCTCGAATGGAAAATAAACACATTGAAACCGTGCTGCAGTGGGAATAGAGACGATAAAAGAGAGAGAACTTTCCACTCAGCCCTTTTTCTGCTCGCGTCAACCGAATATCAAACTCCGCCGGCCGACCCACACGGTCCCGAAGACGTGCAAGATATCTGCCGGACAAACCCAGCGCTGCGGTGAAAACAAAGAAGCGAGTTGCATGACCACGTCCATAAATGCGAACGCCCACCCTTACCAATCAGCTGACGGCTCGTCGTTACCCTTTTAAGAGTCAGCTTCGACGGGCTTGGCCTCCTCGGGCTTCTCCTCGGCGGGAGCAGCGGCGGCCTCGGCAGCAGGGGCCTGGGCTTCCTCCTCAGGCTTGTCCTCCTTGGCACCCTCGCCCTCGGTGCCCTCGGATGAGGTCCAGAGAGTAAGGTTGTCGCGCAGGAGCTGCATGATCAGAGTGCTGTCGCGGTAGCTCTCCTCGGAGAGAGAGTCAAGCTCGGCAATAGCATCATCGAAGGCCTGCTTGGCGAGGTGGCACGCACGGTCGGGGGAGTTGAGGATCTCGTAGTAGAAGACGGAGAAGTTCAGGGCGAGACCCAGGCGGATGGGGTGGGTGGGGGTAAGTTCGGTCTGGGCGACATCTGTGGCGCTCTGTCATACTGTTAATGACTGACTTTATTGTTGTAGCACAAGGGCAATATTACCTTGTAGGCCTCGTGGGCAGCAGTGGCGGCACCCTTGCGCTTGGGGCCAGAAGCGAACTCGGCAAGGTAACGGTGGTAGTCACCCTTCCTAATGTGGGCGTCAGTACTGTTACCAAGCCTCCAAGGTCCCTATTTCCAGGTATTGATATTGAACGCACATCTTGTAGTAGAAGACCTTGGACTCTCCAGTCTCGGCCTTGGGGATGAGAGCGTCGTCGAGGACGTCGAGGACATCCTGGCAGACCTTCTCCAGTTCGGTCTCGATCTTCTGGCGGTAATCGCGGATAATACCAACGTGCTCATCGGTACCCTTGGACTCCTCCTTCTGCTCGATGGAGGAGATGATGCGCCAGGAGGCACGACGGGTGCCAACGACGTTCTTGTAGGCAACGGACAGAAGGTTACGCTCGTCGACAGTGAGCTCGCCACCAATCTAAACTTGTGTCAATCATGGCCTTATGCAAAGAGGGAACCCGGTTATCGGGTAATGACGGTGTCATACGTTGGCGACTTCCTATTCGGCGATTAGCATGGATCCTTTAGCGGCCCAACTGGCACAAGATTGCGACTAACCTTCATGAAAGTGACCATCTCTGTCCAACGAGAAATGACACGTCAGCGAACGCGCCCCGACCATATTATCGCGGAGTGACTTACCATCGTAGCGCTCGGCCTGCTCGCAAAGCCGAGCGAGGAACGTCTTGCTGGTGAGGGGTTAGCGATATTCGAGTGGAGGGGAGTCCAGAATGGAGGCGATAGTCATACTTCTCACGCTACAATGTGAATACAATGGTTAGTCCAGATCTTATCGAATTTCCAGATGGGCAACCTCAGATGGGGGAATGTGGGATTGCGATGGGCGGTGACCACGCAGAGAGAGGGGGAAAGCGACGTACCTCAGAACCCATGGTGAATTTGAATCGGAATGGGTGGTATTAGCTGGGTTGAAGATGGAGATAGAAAAGGGTGCAGGAAAAGAAGATGGAAGACCAAGTGGGGGGAAGAGAGAGATGGTCCAGAGGTGAAGGGACGATTTGGGGGGATTTGGATCATAACAATAATACGTTGCTGTCATGTACCCAATACCTGGCTGCCCCCTACTGTGGTCCCGCTCTGTGTAAGTACTGTGGTACTTCACTGCGGCCCAGTATTACCCTTACGGCTGATCCCCCTACGTGGTAATTTATTTGGCGGGGTAAGGTAAATTAAACAGAAACTATTACCATCGACTGTTAGATTCTCCATACTAGCTGTGTGGTCTTTGCTGGATATCAAAGCAAACACCTGACGTGTGTATTGAAGCCCAAAGACTCTGTTGGAACTAGGCTGTGTACAACTTGAGGTACACGTACCAGAACCTTCGGCCGGTACGGTGACCGAGCTGAAACACTCGTGTCGGTATATCCAGTCTTGAGTAAACATGAAATCAGTTTAGATGTACTGACCCGTGGACATGTCTTCCTATACATTCCTGCGCAGGGAACAAACACTGGTGATATGGACGTGAGCGTTTGGAACCTTCCAGACAACGGGTACCTGTACGGAGCACAGATGATGTAGCTGATCAGCCGCATCAAGTCAGGTGCCCTGTTTCGTAGAGATTAAGACCACTGGGTACTCCGTACAAAGCGTGGCTCTCAACCTTGGAGTTTTCCATATATCGGGTCCATTCTTGTCCAGGTGGACTATTGCAATAAACTTCCAATAAATCTCCAATATGTGAAGCAGAAGCCTGCCATGAGTTATAGTGCACAAACAGACCTTGGAAATTCCCAAATAGCACAGATGCCAGCCGGTGAACATCAGTGTTGTTTTCCTGATTCCAAACGAACCAAGCAAGGCCGGGAGTCCCGAAAGGGAACAAAAGAAGACATTTAGGCAAACATTAGTCATACAAAAAGAAATTGAGAAGGAATGAACGAGAAAATCAACCAGATGACATGTGTTGCAATGCAATTATCCTCAGAGCGGGGATATACTACACATAAGCAAAACAGGTAGTCATGGCCTCTTGGTCATGCATCCTTATGAGTACATAGATCTCAGATAGAGCCCCGAAGAATCAGATCGAACCTTGGGCTTTATGGGAAAAATGATCTTCGCCAAGTTACCCTAAATCAGAGCCCGCATCGTCACCGTAAGTTGGAACATTTGGACAACACAATAATCCGATTGATCACTTATGCACATATGGACAATGATTGGTTGCATTGCAATTGATATGCATCGTACTCAAAGCCTCAAGCCAAGACTTTGGTCGTCAACCTTGGCTACGGAGTAATCATGATACAAACACCACGCCGTAGAAGACCCGGAGCAAGGAGGTTTAAGTGCCGATCGGATGCAAAATGCAAAATGCCCTGTGCCATGTGGTTGAGTGGTAGATTCTCCGATGATGTTACAAGTACACAATCTGGTACTATTGCACCTGCCAGGTCAACCGTGGGCCGGTGAGATCATAACCATGCAATGGGCACGAGTCTTAGCGTCAGCCCTACAGGCAGGGCGATATTAGCGTGCTTATGGAGACTCTACTGTACTTCCCACGGTGACTCGAGGATATCCAATTCTTACCCCCAAGGCCATCGAAAGACTTGTGGACGGGTAATGCGACGCACGTCAAACCGAACACCTGCTTGACTGGCCGTACTAGGGGTTGTAACCCGAGGGATAGACACTGTGTTGAAAGTGAACCGGGTGGATTTAGAAGATCGCTCATTTCGGGCTACGGTGTCTGAGCCAGTCGCCAAGACATAAAGATACCCACCAGAGAGCTCTGATAGGTAAAAAAGATGCAGCCTAGCGAGGCCCCATAAGTCATCTCAACCTTGGAAGTCTCGGCAGATTGAGGATTGGCCATGAGGATACAGCCCTATAGTAGAAACTCCGTCAGGTACAGTCGAAGCTATGTCAGAGAAAAGAAAGGATCAAATCCAGTCTCCAAAGGAACAGGAAAAGCAAGTCAAAAGCTTCCAGTAGAGGGCAAAGAGAATACTTTTAAAAAGCAAAAGCAAAGGGCATGCAGCGCAAAGAAGCGGAGAATCGGCAGCCGCTTCAGCCCTGTGGCCCCCCAGGTGCCCCCGTCCCTGCTTACTCAGAATCTTTGGAATCATTGAGAACACGTTGTGCCCGCTTTGGAGCGAACTTCCCCAGTCTTCGGTCTCCCATCTTGGTTTCCTTTTTCCTTTTTCCTTTTCCTTTTTTATATTACCCCTCTAGGTTTTATCTTTCGACAAATATCTTCACTCTGGGTTATACCGGAGGTGACTTATGTATTCAATCTAAACCCGCATTTCCCGATTTGTTTACTATCTTTGCGGCACCTGCAATTGAGCACTTCTGCCGTTAAGGGCCTCTTTGGATCATGGAGAACGCCTATCTCCGCTCCCCAGCGGAGGCTCTGGGTCATTTCAACGTCTCTGAGCACTCTGGTCTGTCTCAGAGCGCGGTTCTGAAGTCCAGACAACAGCATGGCCCCAACGGTGAGTGCGCCGCAGAATGGTGACGGAACCAGCGCTAACATATGCGGTCTAGCCCTTGCTGAGGAAGCCCCGACTCCCATGTGGGAGCTCATTTTGGAACAGTTCAAGGACCAATTGGTTCTGATCCTACTTGGTTCGGCCGCTCTGTCGTTTGTCCTCGCACTCTTCGAAGAGGGTGACGATTGGACTGCATTTGTGGACCCCGTTGTTGTAAGTTTGACCACTGTCTACGATTTGCGCACTGTGCTGACCACTGCGCGCTCTTCTCACAGATTCTTACCATCCTCATTCTCAACGCCGTGGTCGGAGTGACCCAGGAAAGCAGTGCGGAGAAGGCTATCTCGGCCCTCCAGGAATATTCGGCCAACGAGGCCAAGGTCGTTCGCGATGGAAAGGCTTCCAAGGTCAAGGCTGAGGATTTGGTCCCCGGAGATGTGATCCAGATTGCGGTGGGTGACCGTGTCCCTGCCGACTGCCGACTGCTCGCCATCCAAAGCAACAGCTTCCGCGTCGACCAGGCTATCCTGACCGGTGAGAGTGAGAGCGTTGGAAAGGAGACCGCGGCCATCAAGGATGACAGGGCCGTCAAGCAGGACCAGGTCAACATGCTCTTCTCCGGAACCACTGTTGTAAACGGCCATGCCACCGCTCTTGTTGTGCTGACCGGTAGCTCGACTGCTATTGGTGACATCCACGAGAGTATCACTGCCCAGATCTCCGAGCCCACCCCCCTGAAGAAGAAGATCAACGATTTCGGTGACATGCTCGCCAAGGTTATCACCGTCATCTGTGTCCTGGTGTGGGTTATCAACTACCAGAACTTCAACGACCCCTCGTTTGGTGGCTGGACTAAGGGTGCTATCTACTACCTGAAGATTGCCGTCTCCCTGGGAGTCGCTGCTATTCCCGAAGGTCTGGCTGTCGTCATCACCACCTGCTTGGCCCTCGGTACCCGCAAGATGGCCCAGAAGAACGCCGTTGTTCGGTCTCTCCCCTCCGTCGAAACTCTTGGTAGCTGCAGTGTGATCTGCTCTGACAAGACTGGAACTTTGACCACCAACCAGATGAGTGTGGAGAAGATTGTCTACCTGTCCAACTCCGGCAACGGTTTCGAGGAAATCGATGTCGAAGGCACCACGTTCACCCCCCAGGGCAAGCTCTCCCAAAATGGAAAGGTCCTTGAGAACTTGGCTGTTTCCTCTTCTACCATTGGACAGCTCGCCGAGGTCACTGCCCTTTGCAACGCTGCTACTCTTTCCCACGACCCCAAGACCGGAGCTTTCTCCAGCATCGGTGAGCCCACCGAGGGCGCTCTGCGTGCTTTGGTTGAGAAGATTGGAACCAACGACACTGCGTTCAACCAGAAACTGGCTCGCCTCCCTGCCTCCGAAAGATTGCACGCCGCTAGCGCTCATTACGAGTCCCGCCTCCCCCTGAAGGCTACCTATGAATTCTCCCGTGACCGCAAGAGTATGTCCGTCCTTGTCGGCGAGGGCAAGGAACAGAAGCTGCTTGTTAAGGGTGCCCCCGAAAGTATCTTCGATCGTTGCTCTCACGTCATTCAAGGCTCCGATGGATCTCGCGTTCCTGTCACCAAGAACCACCTCAAACAACTCTCCGAGGAGGTTCTCGAATTCGGTAACCGTGGTCTCCGCGTTATGGCCATCGCAAGTGTCAACGACGTCTCTGGTAACCCCCTTCTCAAGAACGCGTCCACCACCGAGGACTACGCCAAGCTTGAGCAGAACATGACTCTCATTGGTCTGGTTGGAATGTTGGACCCCCCTCGTGTCGAGGTTGCCGCTTCCATTCAGAAGTGCCACGCTGCCGGAATCCGTGTGATTGTCATCACTGGTGACAACCCCGCCACCGCTGAATCTATCTGTCGCTCCATTGGTGTTTTCGGCCCCAACGAGGATCTTACTGGCAAGAGCTACACTGGTCGCGAATTCGACAACCTTAGTGAAGGCGAGAAGCTGAAGGCCGTCCAGACTGCTTCCCTGTTCTCCCGTACTGAGCCTAGTCACAAGTCCAAGCTGGTTGATCTCCTTCAATCCCTGAACCACGTCGTTGCCATGACCGGTGACGGTGTCAACGATGCCCCCGCCCTCAAGAAGTCCGACATTGGTGTTGCTATGGGTACTGGAACTGATGTGGCCAAGATGGCCGCTGACATGGTTCTGGCTGACGACAACTTTGCTACCATCACCGTTGCTATTGAGGAAGGCCGTTCCATCTACAGCAACACTCAACAGTTCATTCGCTACCTGATCTCTTCCAACATTGGTGAGGTCGTGTCTATCTTCCTGACTGCTGCTCTTGGCATGCCCGAGGCGCTGGTTCCCGTGCAGCTCCTGTGGGTCAACCTTGTCACTGACGGTTTGCCCGCCACTGCTCTCTCCTTCAACCCTCCCGACCATGATGTTATGAAGCGCCCTCCTCGCCTTCGTGACGAGGCTCTCGTCGGTGGCTGGTTGCTGTTCCGTTACATGGTCATTGGTGTTTACGTCGGCGGTGCTACCGTCTTCGGTTACGTCTGGTGGTTCGTCTACAACTCCGCTGGTCCCCACATCTCTTTCTCGCAACTGGTAAGTTCCTGTATTTTACTTTATCCATGAGTCCGACTAACCGTTATTTTAGGCCAACTTCCACAAGTGCTCCTCTCAGTTCCCCGAGATTGGATGTGAGATGTTCAGCAATGATATGGCCAAGTCCGCCTCCACCGTCTCTCTCTCCATTCTCGTAGTGATTGAGATGCTGAACGCGATGAACGCCCTGTCCTCCAGCGAGTCCCTCCTGACTTTCTTCCTGGGCAACAATCCCATGCTCATCTACGCGATCACCCTCTCCATGGCCCTCCACTTCGCCATCCTCTACATTCCCTTCCTGCAGAGCTTGTTCTCCATCCTGCCTTTGGACTGGAACGAGTGGCAGGCCGTGCTGGTGATCAGTGCACCTGTAATGTAAGTCTTTAATCTTCACCTCCTTATGCAACCCATACTAATCTCCCCAGTCTGATCGACGAGGTGCTCAAGTTCGCTGAGCGCCGTCTCTACAACACTAAGGCTGTTAACCCGGCCCTGAACGGCTCTGCCGGCAAACCCAAGCGGGCTTAGAGAGAAGCAAAAGCTTAAATATGTCCCTGTCATTGGGGAGATGTCAATAGATAGACTGTCTGAGGTCATGATGTGAGTGGCCTACAAGACATGCCATCATGTAGATGAATGAAGTTCTATGCGATTGGTTCAGTCACGCTGAGAACATGCTTTTCTTTTTCATTTCTTATCTTTTTCCCGCAAAGCATCCCCGCCTCTCGGAGACTTGCCCATCTGGTTCAGTGTTCTGATGTAGTTTCCAACCTTGGTATACCCCCTCGCTCGTCTTGAAATGGAAAGTCTGGTCGACTGATGGTCTGGTGATCTCCAGGGCTTCAATGATTCCCAGCCACAGGAAGCTACCTGTAGACAGACCGAGGTCCATGGTTGACAACATTCTCGGCTGCTGCGGCATGCTAGAAGGGCCGAGTCGCCCTATACATAGTGAGGCATACAAGATCACATATCGAAGATCATGCATAGGCAGATACCAACTTCACATTAGCCTTGCTAGAGAATTTCGATCCCTGATAGACGCCAAGATGAAACAAACATTCCCAGACCATAAAGATACCCGAAAAGAGGCCGGAATGAGATCCCGTCTGAAATTCGCAAATAGGCTGAAATAGCCATGCAACCCTGACGCCACTAGAGCCCGTCTCGAAAAGTCGAAACAAACAAAGTTCGGAGCAACTCCGCCAGCCGTCTCATTGGATCTCATTGGACCTACGTAAATCTTAATGTATCTGATTCGATCTGATTGGACCTCCCTTTGCCTTCCCCAGGGATCACCCGCTGGCTTTCCCCGGACTGGGGCAAAGTGTGGAGTTGCGGAGAGCAGTGCGATGTCACCTTGTTTTGGCTCTTATAGTCTATAAACCTGCCCTTCTCCTCTTTTCCCTGCCAAGCTGCAAAACATGGGTCTCAAGCAGTTTTTCAAAAGCCGGTCTGGCTTGAGAGTCGATAATCGTAAGACGACCTCTGCCGCTACCCTGACTCTGCGACAGAGTCTATGGCCCTTGACGTTGGTGACTATCTTGTTCTTCTTGTGGGTATGTGCTCGGCTGGTCAGAGCTTGCAGATCCCGTTCATTCCCAGCTAATTTCATCAGGGCTTTGCCTATGGACTTTTGGATACTCTGAATAAACACTTTCAGAATACATTGCACATCGACCGAGCCCGCTCATCCGGTCTCCAAGCTGCGTATTTCGGGTAACTTTTCTTCTTGCTGATACTCATTCCTGAGGAATGTCATTCTGACGCGAATAGCGCATACCCACTCGCCTCCCTAGGCTACGCAAATTGGATCCTGCGCCACTATGGCTACAAAACCGTCTTCATCTTCGGTCTTGTGCTCTATGGCATTGGAGCTCTGTGCATGTGGCCCGCAGGTTTGAATCGCTCTTTTGGTGGCTTCTGCGGCGCGACCTTCGTCATCGGCTCCGGACTAGGTTCCCTTGAGACAGCAGCGAATCCTTATCTAACAGGTATGATTCGATGATACCTGGCCCCAGGACTTGCGTCCCAGCTGACGAAACCCAGTCTGTGGACCGCCTCGATATTCCGAAATCCGAATCAACTTCGCGCAAGCATTCAATGCCATCGGGACTGTTGTCGGGCCTGTGCTTGGATCATATGCTTTCTTCACCGAGACAGCGGACGATGTCTCGGCTCTGCAAAGTGTGCAGTGGGTATATCTCGCCATCGGCATCTTCGTCTTCTGTCTCGCGGGCGTATTCTTCATTTCGAATATCCCCGAGGTAACAGATGAAGATATGGCGTTCCAGGTTGCGCAGACCCACGTTAACGAGCAGGATAAGCCATTTTGGAAACAATATAAGCTGTTCCATGCGACGCTGGCGCAGTTCACGTACACCGGTGCCCAAGGTACTTTCTTGTCCTATTCCTGCTCGAGTCAATGGAATATGAAGCTAATCGATGCAGTGGCTATTGCCGGTTACTTTATCAACTACGCCACAGAGACATGGCCTGGTACAAGCAGTGCCACGGGTGCAAAGTACCTGGCTGGAGCACAGGGTGCTTTTGCCGTGGGACGGTTCCTAGGCGCGGGAGTCATGAAGTATGTCAAGGCTCGCTGGGTATTCCTAGTATATCTGTCCTGTACGGTGGCGTTCCTTGCTGCGTCAGTGACGCAGACGAAGCAGAGCGGCATTGCGATGTTATTCCTGGTGTTGTTCTTTGAATCGGTTTGTTTCCCTACGATCATGGCGCTGGGTATCCGTGGCCTGGGACGTCATTATAAGCGTGGCTCGGGCTTTATTGTTGGTGGTGTCTGTGGTGGTGCTGTTGTGCCGCCGATTCTGGGCCATGTTGCTGACATGCGGAACAATACTGGCTTTGCGTTTATTGTGCCTACGATGGTATGTATTTTTGCCTGACTTTTTTGGTGGATGTGACTAATATGTTTATAGTTCATGGTCGTTGCTTGGACTTATGCTGTCGCTGTGAACTTTGTTCCGGCTTACACCATTACAATGGATAAAGTTGGTGAAAGTACAGTGGGCATTGATGCTGGCTCGAAGGACGAAGAGGCTATGGGTGAAGCCGATGAGAGTAAGAAGGTATCGAGCGCTCATATTGAGTGAAGACATGAACTTTGAACTTTGCTTTTGTTAGGGCAATGGTGTTATTTTTGATGTGCTTGTTTGGATCATACGGGATCCTTAGTAATAATGATAAGATGAACGTCGCTTTCTATCATACAGTTCCAAGGTTGAAGGTTGAAGGTTGACTCCTCCCCAAACGTATGGTATGCCCATCCAGTACCCCGTAAATGTGACAGCAAGTAAGCCCTAAAAAGCCACCTCGGCCAAGTGTATGTGTCAAAATGCTCCGTCATCCCCTAACCTCTGAATTCCAGGCCCCCAATTTGAATTAAAATAGACCACCGTAGATGGAACTTCGCAGTTGTAGACGATGTAAAAAGGCCGGACTTGGAAATGTATTGTATCGAACAATCGTAGTTAGTGGAATGATATAAAACAGATCTGCATTGAGCTGGGTATCTCAAATATGAACTATTATTTGTGCAATTTCATTATGCAAGTATTGTGCCGCGAATGTAATAACTGAACAGTGATATAGGGGATGTGTGCGTAGGGCAAAAGGCATATATATGCGCGAATCATGAAAAGGAAAGATTGACAGGATAGATGGCAAAAGGCTCCACGGAGCAATGGCTTATGAGCACAGAGAATATGAAGAAATGAAGAAAGGAGGAAAATAGGAGGGAAAAGAAAATAGAACGCAAGGCAAACGCTGTGTAGTGGGGTATAAGAGTTCTATCGTCTAATGTGGGGGATCGTGGAGACAAAGCAAATCTAATGCGAAAGCGAAGCTGGGGGTATCAACCAGACTTATCTGGAGAGCGCAAAGAAGACGAGCGGGGAGGTCGAAGGGGACTGGTTTCGAGGTTGGGGACGGGAGCGAAGGGTGTTTTGCCGGGGAGTCCAACTCGACTGAGACCTTGGGGGTCTCGTCTTTGTCGTCTGAAATTACCATGTCGCCGGGTGTGCCCGGGGTACCGGGTTCGTCGAACTCGTCGACTTCATCGAGTTCCTCCTCGATGCCATCGTCGTCTTCCTCTTCCTCAATGATCTGGCTCTTGCGTGCAGCAGGTCGTCCGCTGGACACATCGGAATCACTGGGGTTCACCGATTGGCCTGGGATTGGGGAGTTGACCATGCCACCCGACACCATTAGATTACTTGTGTGTAGCATGGGTCCCTTGAAGGCGGATTTTTTGCGACGCGCAAAGACCAGGCTCGAGGAAGGCGAGTAAAGCAATGGTGCTGGTGCTGCTTCGTTAAATGACGAAGGCATCTGACCGGCGCGATCGACTATCTCGCGAGGGGTTCCGCCTGGCCCTCTGACCAAGCGTATATTGCTGGGGAACCGGGCAGAAGAGCCCGGGGTGGTTGGCAGGACCTTGATAGAGGAGTGAGGCGACCTGGAGACTCGCGCAGTGGGGGTTGAGATAGTATCTACACTGTTGGAAGAGATCGAGGATGCTTTGGAATGAGCGCGAGTGTGGTGAATGCTGCGAATCGAGGAGACTGATGACGAGGTGGATTTGCGACCTCGTAGTCCGGCTGACGAGCGCCGGTAAGACCCGCGTGGAGTGATGGGCGACGGCGAAAGTGAATTCCGATGACTCGTGTGGCTGGTGTTCAGTGCCCGCGGTTGCCGAGGGTAGGAATGGCGGTTCTGGCGGTATGAAGCGCTGCTTGGCGCAAGGCTACTTGCGGTCGAGAATCGATTGGTCTGAGTCGGTGTCTGAACATCCTCCCCAGCCATATCGCTAGCTGGTGACGCAGAAGTTGAAGACTTCTTTCCGTTATCCTGGCTCTTTGCCGGGCTCAACTTCTCCGACAGGAACTTGCGCGAGCCCGTAGACTTGGCATGGGGAGAACGTGCTCTCTTCGCTGACTCGACAAACCAGTGCTTGAGCGACGCTAACTGGCTGAGGATCGGATAATTGTGGCGACGACTCGTGCGACGTCGGAAGATACTATTGTGCTGTGTCAACTCTGGCTGTGACGCACTCACGTGCAGCATGCTAGGGCGTGATCGCCGCCTGTCTTTTGGCGGAGGAATTGGACGCCGTCGCGACGAGCCGTGGGATCGTATAGAGTCCTTGTCGAGCGGCAACGGGGGTGTAGTCGACTCGACTGGGAACACTGGCAGGGGCTCGGGAAGCGCAGGAAGTTCCGGGACTGCCAATTGCGAAGGTAAGCTTCTTCTGTCCCGTCTCCCACGGTTCTGTAGTTCTGAGCTCTGACCTTCCTCCTCCACCTCCATCAAGGCGGACGACCGCTTTTCCAAACGACTGCTCGCCGCACTCAACCGGCGGAGATTTTTCGCCTCAACTTCACGTTCTCGGCGCTTGCGTTCCCTCTTTTGTTCCTTTCGCTGCTCCTTCTCAATTAACAGGGCCCACCAGCCAGCTAGCGGGTCGCATCGTTGAGCCAACACATTCTCAATCACCTCGTCGATATTCACTCCGGCACTCTTCATCCGCTGAAGTGTAGTCTTTTCCAACGGCGTAGTGAATGGCGAGGGTCGTGGGATTTTCAAAATTGCCAGTTGTTCAGGAGCATGTTCCGAGAGGAAAGGGTGCGCCAGAATTTCATCCAAACTTGGTCGAATCAACGGCCGCTTAGACAGTAGCAGATTGATCAATGCCTTGGCGTCCTCCGTAAATTTGTCATTGAACGTCGGCTCCTCCAACAAGATGCGCCGTTTGGTGACCTGGTCATCGTCATCGTCGTATGGTAGCTCACCGGCCAACAGCGCATAGAGAATGATGCCCAGACTCCACACATCCACTTTTTCACCGGCATATTTCTCCCCTTTAAGCATTTCCGGTGCGCTATAGCATATCGTCCCACAAAAGGTCTGAAGGTAACTAGCCTTCCCTTCATATTCGCGCGTGAAGCCAAAGTCGCAGAGCTTGACGTTCTCCTGCTTGTCCAGCAGGATGTTCTCCAACTTCAAGTCGCGATGCACACACGACTTACTGTGGACATATGCGACTGCTCCCACCAATTGTGTAAATATTCGTTTCACTTTCTCAACCGGTAGCGGGCCGTGGCGGAGGAGGTAATTGTAGAGTTCGTCGCCTAAAAAAACACAGAAAAACATAACGTTAGTGGAATTCGTCACCCTCGCATCGGCTGCACACCTACCAGGACAATACTCCAGTGCCAGCCAGACCAAACTCTCGGTCACGACCACTTCGTACAGGCGCGCGATATGGGGGTGAAGGAATTGACGATGGTGGTGAATTTCGCGCACGAGATTTGTATCCTCCTTGCTAGACGATTTGAGCACGACCTGTTGAGTATCAGCGCTGTCGGACCCATTGTGATTGCGCACCTTACCTTGGAGCCATTAGTGAGTTTGTGCGACGCGAGGTAGACCTTGCCAAAGGAGCCTTTTCCAATGAGTCTCCCAAGCGTGTAGTTGCCTACGCTCCGGAGATCCTTGGAGGAAAATTCTCTGCGGAGGACATGTCAGTGCCAGGGCATGGCTGGGTCTGGACAGGGACGTACTCGAGAAGTTCATTGTAGGAGCTCGCAAGCTGCCGGGGTTGAGTTAGCCCACTATTTATCTCCAGGTTTCGAGCTTCCGGGCTATTCCTCACCTTCTCCTTTTGCTTCTGGCTTTGAACCCCCGCTCTCGTTCGGGGCGGCATGTGTGATCGGTCACCAGGATTCGCGGAGACCTCTGCGCGTCAAGGGTAGGGGTGGGCGTGGGTTGGAATGGGTGCCATTCAACGAGTAATGCGAAGGGGCGGAATTGACGGAGTGTATGTAGTAGGAGAATAGGGTAGGCAGGGGAAGCAGTGATGAAGGAAGAAATGAAGTCGCATACAAAGTTTCCAAGTTTCCCAGACGTCAACGGGAACGTGGACCGTGTGGAGAAACGGCTCTCCTTTTCTTCTATTTTTACTTCCAATTTTGACTATTTGGAGTACTTCGTACTTCAATGTATCTTTTAGTGTACTACACGGCTAGACTACTGTTAGGTTAAGTCCTTTTCATTTATATTGCCCGAGCCCCTGGATACTTGCCACTTTTTTTTTCCTCCTCTCTCTCTTCTCGCTGATCTTTGTATGAATCAAGGAAGATCGTCGTATCCTCACCTCATGCCACTCTTCAAGTCTTTGCTTTGCTGTGCTTTGGATTCTGCCTGTCTCGAAGATCCCTTACTTTGCGGACATGTACAGTACATGTACCGCGCCCGACTAATTTAATCGACTGCACCTATTGGCTGATGTTCAAGAGCAACGGCCAATGAGAGGAATGGCTGAAACCACCGTCATCATATGTGCATGTTATATATTGTACTTCACTGCCAAGGCAGCGACTTAAGATGTTGCACTGTTCGTTCAGTAGTACCCATCGTGGGATCGACAGCGTTCAGCCCCGGCTCGCCCTGGAAAGCCAAGGACACCATCCCGAAGTATGAATGGAGGAGATCTATATAGGTTAGCGACACATCAAAACTGCGTCAATTTAGCATGTTGCATCGTACCTGGAGGGTCTCCCGGTCCTTTCCCAAATCCACCCACGAGGTGTTGCGTCTTCTCCAGTAGGTATCGTCGATTGCGAGTCTCATCGACCACGCCGTACTGGTTCAGCATCTCAAGGGATGTTAGTAGCACACCGAAAAAAACGACAGGGTATCACTTACGACCAGCGTCGCCCCGTTCCAGAACGAATAGCAAGTGTCTGCATATTTATTGCACCGGCCATTAAACCCAGCACATGTTATTTCGTCCGCCTCGAGACGCGCGATATTGGGCAGTCCGTGAACTCTTTCAGCCATATTGCCGTCAAAGTTCTGGGGCTGTTCATCCTCTTCATCCTCAGGTTCTTCAATCTCAGCTGTCTGTCTTGAAGCGAGCCATGTAGTCAGCGCCTCGAATTGCCGCGAGCCGGCTGACAGAAGTGGCACGGTAACTGAGTCTGGCGAGGACCGCCGAAGGAAGTCCAAAGCACCAATAGCGCAATAAGTATGTCCACCTATCGGCCGTTAGAAGGTTCAGTAAGGGGGAGGAAGGCACATACTATGCGATTCACAGAATGGAGACTCTGCCATACCGCCATCATAAGTCTGCTCATGTTAGTAGCCAAGATCAACATTTCAATAACAAGACATCCCACCCACCTGACAAGCCTCAATAAAAGAAACCAACCCCTCAACATCGATATCAGGAACGCCTTCAAGCTCGCTACCGTTACCACGCAGGATATACCGGATACCCGCCGCACAGCAGCAGTATCTCAGATCCCCAGCACCGCCCAAGCTCCCATCGGGTCCAACAAGCTCTCCGAAGCTCCCATCTTCTCGCTGAACAGTGGGGAGCCACTCCAGACATTCCTTCCGTCTGACACGCGACAAGTCATCACCAAGTATCAGCAGATTGACCAGCGCGAAGAACGTCGCAGGGACATTCGCAGGGTCCCAAGCTTCGTTATCCTTGTTCCGCCTGCCAGGCCCGAAGTCGGTTCCTGGGAAACCGCGGAAGCCGCCCGTCGGAACTTGACAGTGATATAGCCAGTTGATGTATCCTGCGCGCTCTTCCCGTGTAGTTTTGATATTGAGGACCCCCAGAACGTCGAGACCGGAGAGCGTCAGGTAGGCCAGGAGCATTCGATTGGAGTCATTGGAGGTGTATGCGGAAGGGAGGAAGGTCTTTAGGCAGCGGAGGTAGTATTTGACATGACGCTCTATCGTGAACGATGCCTCGGTGGCCATTGTAGAGGCCCAAAGCTCTGTAGAATAGCGATGTTCTGGATGCGACTGAATTGTGGTGGGGGGAACCTTGAAGCTCTTCCCCACATGAGAGACAACGTAACACTCGGACCAACCTTTTTTTAATATTTCCGACCTTTCCACTTGGCCAACTTGTCACCCTGTCAACAATTCCACTTCATATACTATTACAAGATGGTTCTCGTCTCATCGAAGACCCTTATTCAGGCGCACGCCGTGCTCGTCCTCGTGATCGCCGGCTACCTAATCAAGAACCCGGAGATGATCGTCGACTCCGACATGGTGTTCATGATGGGCGAAGCATTGAAGATCGTACGCGCTCGAATCCCATTTCCCATCTTCAAGTTTGATTTCTAACGCGATACAGGACTTCCCATCCCTATCGACACCCCAGAAATCCCCCTTCACGTTCTGCGCCGTCTTGCTCTTCGTTGAATCTCTTATCGACCTCGTCCTGCTATCCAACATCCCCTTCCATGAAGCTTTGGACGAAGCCCTACCCTACATCCGACCCCTGCGAAACGGTAACCTCCCCGCTGAGGACCTCCAGGTTCTCCAGAACCTACCGGAATACATCACCAAGTCTCTGACCGTGTACTGGAGTGTTTGGATTGGTGTCGCGGGATGCAAGTTCGCTGTTTACGCCGGTCTTGCTTTCTTCATTTACCAGGGGCGCGCCGACGGAGTCTCGACCTACACCAGTGCTGCGGCGCTTGGTGGATTGGATCTGTTGAAGAACCGAGTGGTCTTCACCTTTGCCTTCCTTGAGATGATGTTCTGGTTCTGGGTAAGTGCTATCCTTGGATGTTAACTTTGTGCCACGCTAACTGGGTGAATAGGCTTTCTCGACTCTCCGACAGGAGCGCCAGGAGCGCTTGACTAAGCTCTTGGAGGACACTCGTGACATGTGAGCGCTTGATCGATATTCATATTCACGCTTGTATAACTATATGACACTCATTCTTCGAAATTATGCGATTTCTCGTGCCTTCTTGTGTTTTGTAGCTGGCCAATGGTGGAAATGCGAATAGAATACAGGTATATCATACTTTGAAAGTTCTTCGATGTCATCACATTCGTCACATTGAATGTCGATAGCTCAATTCTGTCACTAACGATAATCAATGACTCTTGTCACCCCGTCTCATTGTGCAGAGGGTTGCCGTAACAGCGGCAGCCATCTAGATGAGCATAGCAAAGGCAGCAGCAGCTCCGGCAGCAGCTACAAGCGAAGAGTCCTTGTGGGTGATACCCGCAGCACCGGTACTAGACGACGCCGCAGCAGACGACGACGCCGAGGCCGAGGACGAAGCGCTATCAGTGGTTGCGCTATCAGCAGTCGAGGTAGCAGTGGAAGTCGAATCCGTCTTGGTGGCAGCCGAGGCGTCAGTGCCAGTCTTGGTTCCAGTCTCGGTAGAGCTGGAAGAGGTCGAGGTCGAGCTTGAGCTTGCGCCGGTGGAGCAGACGACGGCAGTGGGCAGATCAGTCACACCACCGCGGGCACAGAGAGACTTGGCGACTTTGAGGGTTGCTATCGGAAGGTCAGCTGGTGAATGTGGATATGGAATTGCGCATAACGTACTCTCCTGGTCTTCCTTGGAACACTTGTCGGCCACACAGCACGAGACATCGCTCAAGAAGGACTTGGCTTCGCAGATGCACTTGAAATCAATGCCACACTCTTTGGGGATGGCACCGGTGGCACAGTCTTTCTACTTGGGGTTAGTATGACAGACATGTTTTGTGAGGGTTCTCACGTACGGAGCAGTCAGGTAGATCGCCCAGGCCTTGGGCGAAGGCAGTAGCCAGCAGAGCTGACAGGGTAAAGACGACGTTGAACTTCATGATGGGAAAGATGAAGATGGAGAAGGTCAAGAGTTGAGAGTCAAGAGTCAAGAGTCAAGTCAGATCCCCCGCTTTTGAAAGGAGAAAGAGAGAGAGAGAGAGATCGTCCACCTTCCCAGAAGGTTAGACTGGCTGAACCCAATTGACAGGTCTTACGCAGCGCGTACACTGTACATTCTCTTACTCTTACTCCGTACATCTTCTAGCATTAGAGCGTGGCGTTAATTGTCTCACTGCAGTGTGACCAATTTCCTGCTTCCTGCAGTGTACAGGACCCAGCTGCACACCCACTTCTCCAATGCACACAGCTGTACAGCTGCACCTCGTCAGGGCCCAATCTCCACTGTGGAGAGTGAACCCTGACCTCTTCAGCCTCATTGGCTCCCCTTGGACAATCCATTTGAACGTGACGCCTCGGCCCAAAACGCCGATCCCCCAGACCGTCGCTTTTCCCCTCATTCCCGGTTTTGATGGGGGTTGATGGGGTTTGCTGTGATGGTGTGGAATACTAGATCGGGGCCAAATAGACCTGTCCAATGATTTGGATACACCAGAAAGCGTCTTCTAAGCGCACACCAATAGCAATGAATTTTTCCATTCGGCCCTTAAGTAGATTATAACCCGAGTACGTGAAAGCTCGCATAGTGCTTATTTCCCCCTATTGGTCTTGGGATCTATCTTTTTTCTTTCCCTTCTTACCTTAGGGTGCATTGCAGTAGCTGGTTTCCTTGCTTCTTGCCTTAGCTTATGGGTTCCTAGCACTCGTAAGCTTAGCTCTCACCACTTCACCTTCGCCAAGACCTGTGATCATGGGATTGGGAGTTCTGGGAGACAAGCATTTGGTGCATGTCCCAGGTAAGACACACAGAGAGACAGAGCCCCTCCAAGCCAGACATCCCCATCTCACACCACTCAGGCACCTGCGACATCTACGAGACAAACGAACAATCCCCCATCGGCCTCAAATGCGACACTTCAGGCTCAACGCCAATCATCCTCGTACCGCAACCCAGCAATGATCCCAACGATCCATTAGTATGCTTCGACAATAATAGAGACTCCAGCGCAAAGCTAAAGATAATCTAGAACTGGCCATTATGGCGCCGCGACCTCATCCTCGCCATCCTCTCCTTCGTCACAGTCCTCTGCACAACCCTCAGCTCCATCCTCGCCGCGAACACCGTGACCATCGCCGACTATGAAGAGATCACGTTTACCGCCGCGGCGTTACTGACCGGCTATCATCTTTGCGGCGTGGGAGTCGCGGGAATATTGATCGTGCCAACTGCCCGGGTCTGGGGCAAGCGGCATCTGTTTCTCCTCGGCCACGTGCTCATGATTGTGAGCTGTGTGTGGGCCGGCGCGAGCGGGAAAAACAAGAATAGTCTACTATGGGCGCGTGTCTTCCAAGGTGTTGCGCTAGCGCCGTTCGAGGCGTTGGTTAATGCCTGTGTGGGAGACCTTTATTTCGTTCATGTGAGTGGGAATACCGTTGTCGGGGGAATGGGAGACGAGGGACGAGGGATGAGGGCTGACGGGGACAGGAACGAGGCAAACGAATGGCAGTTTCGAACGTTGCGCTGTTCGGCGCTGCGTTCCTGACGCCCGTGGTGGTGGGCAAGATCACGAAGACCATGGGGTGGCAGTGGTCGTTTTACTTTGTTGCTATCTTTCTTGGAGCTTCACTGCCGCTGATGTTCTTCTTTGTGCCTGAGACTGCGTTCCGACGACCGGAGAATCTAAACACGGATTTCAAGCGCAGTGGTGGACAGGGGGAATCAAGCGAGTCTCATGTATCGTTCGGTGGAGCTTCGAGCGATGAGACGAAAGGATTGAGCCCTGGCTCGAACGCGGCGGCTGAGACAGCGGTGCCGGTTCCAGAGAAGGATTCGTTTGTGAAATCGCTCCGACTGTTTAATGGGCGGAAAACCGACGAGAGCTTCTTCAAACTGCTCCTACGTCCATTCCCGCTGTTCTTACATCCGGGCATACTTTGGGTAAGTGGGTCCAAATGGCTGGCGAGATCGAGGCACTGACGGGAGTCGACCAGGCATGCCTCACTCAAGGCGTAGTGATCGGCTGGGCAGTCTTCTTCGGCGTGGTCCTGGCAATTGTGTTTCTCGGGCCACCACTGTGGTTCGAGGAAGACAAGACCGGGTATCTCTACACGGGGGCCTTCATCGGCTCCATTGTGGGTCTGGTTCTGTCCGGGTTGCTTTCCGACTCTATGAACAAAGTGATGATTCGGTTCAACCACGGCAAGTATGAACCCGAGTTCCGGATTTTGCTGGTGATCTTCCAGCTCATCTTCTGTGGGATTGGGCTCTATGGATTCGGGTGGACTGCCAACGATGTGATGCGATATGGCTGGTTGCTGCCCGATGTCTTCTTTGCATTCTTGATTGTCGGCATGGTGATGGGCGCGGTTGCCGCGTCGCTCTACATCGTTGATGCCCATCGTAAGTATTGAACAAATCAATTGGGACGAACAGTGCTGACTTGACTAGGTGAAATGGCCATCGAGGCATTCACCTGCATGCTCGTTTTCAAAAACATGTTTAGCTTTGTCCTGACGTTCTATGCGTACGAATGGTTCTCCCATGGAGGCATCAAGCATACCATGGTTGTCCTTGGTAGTATTCAGGTGGGGATCTGCCTGTTGAGCATCCCCATGTGTAAGAGTCTACCCGCATTGATCGTGTCCTGAGCTCATCCCTGTCACAGATCTTTTCGGGAAATGGAACCGGTCGTTCTTCGCGCGTCATGACATCCTCGAGTTGCTGCATCTCCGCTAATGTGCCTTGCCGGGAGAGGATGGGTTTGCACGTCTAATTTTTTCTTTTCTTTTCCCCTTCATCGTTATTACAAGTTGACCAGATGTCGTTACGGATGTCTTTTTAGATAGCCGGTCGGGCTGAGGTCTTGTCGTCCATCATGCTGGATACCGGGTAGCAGCGACGAGAGACAGTTCCTTTTTTTTTTTTAAATTCTAGAGACAGACTTATGGGGTTTTGCGTAGATCCATGTCCTCACAGAACGTGGAGGATCACCATGCCGATCAGGGTTCGTGCAAGATATAGTACCTCACTAGTACAATAGTACAATTAGTACAGAGTACTCCATACTGACCAAGAAAAGTGGGAGAGAAAAAAAAGTCCCCACGTCACAATCCGCGAAATTGGCTGGAAGCGGCCAATCTCCCCCCCCTCTCGATCCACTTAGAGCTCACTAGTGCCCAGCCCTGGGGAAGGCTCTTCACCCTGATTCATCGATCGAGAAATTCAGTGTATGATGCAATGGCGTTCACTACGCCGATCTTCCGTTGCAGCCGACGTCACGGGGGTGAAAGAAGCTTCCGGACCTCCATCCCATCTTTCGCTTAATAGTATGGTTCCCTCTTTCTGAGTGAGTTGGACGTCTCATATCTCGCCAATTCCGACTAAATGGCGACCGCGCAGATGCCTGCGGGCAGGTCCCGCCTAGCAGATGATGGTGAGTGAAAATCCCTGATCGTCGTATGAAGATCACTAACTCTAGTTGTATGCAGCCGCGACTGCTGCTCTCTACGTAACTCACCCCGAACGCAGGGCGTCTACTCGTGCTTCGAATCCCCGTGAGTTGTTCCCTCCAATTTCATCCCTGGCGGAGATGACGCTAACGCTCTCCTAGCCCGAACCCCTAATCTCAGCCACGCCTCGGCCGCCTCCGCCCTCGCGCACGCTAATCGCAAACCGGTCGAAGTATGGCAACCCCCGACCAGACTGCCCGCCGCCGAAAAGGCAGCTCTTTGCGTCAAGGACTTCACACCACCTCAAAAACCTCAGCCGACTTCTCAGTATAGCGCAGAAGGACTGGGCGCGGCCCTACTCGCTGCTCGCCAACATCAAGCCGCGGCCCAAGCTCCACCCCCCACTCACAAACGTGGCTCCTCCGTCGATCGGTACAACCACATCGCAGTCGGCGGTGATCCTAAAGCAAAGGCGCTTCAGGCCGCGACGGGCGCTTACACCACATCCCGCAAGAGAGCCGACTCGGTACCCAGCGACCAAGGGGTTTCGTCCGATACGCCCTATGCCCTGTCCGCTGCAGGTGCCTTGCGACATGTTCGTATCGAGGAAGATGCGCCCTTGAGCCATCTCGATAGCGGGATGGAAGCAAGCCGGATCCACCATATCGCCAACACCAATGCGAAGCTGTACACCTCAGCCCCGCCCGTTCAGGCCGAGGTCGACGAGCAGAACTACAAGAACTCACTACGTGCCGCTGCCATCTCGATGGCAAAGGATATGTACCAAGTTTCCGACACCAAAGAGCCCGGGGAATCGAATCCGGCCCTCGTCGCCGCCCAGAAAGGCCAAAGCCAGCTAGGATATCGCAAGACCGTATCCGCAGTAGATGGATCTGCCGTGCGACACGCAATAGCCCTGCAAGAAGCCGCGCAGAAACGCGCTTCCGAAAAACTGGCTCGCATGCACGATGAGAACGCCGAGTACCAGCAGTATTACGGCACAGCGCCTCAACCGCAACGATCTCGTCTGAGTCGCCGTAAGCGGACTTCTAGTGATGCCGACGCGTCGCAGATCGACGCCGAGCAGTCCCGCCAGATCCGAAGCCAGATGACCAGTCTGCGCACAAAGTTGGATCGTGTCGACGTGCGCAGAACCAAGGACCGTGAGTTGCTTATGCAGGCTGCTCGCCGGAACGTCGATCAGACGCTCCAGGATATGGAGGCGCGGGTGTATGCGAATACCGGTCGAGCACCTCCTTCTGTGCAGAAGGGGTGGGACGAGGTTGCGCAGGAGCGTGTACGTCGGGAGGCCGAGGCTTTCGATGCTGCTACCCAGCAGGGAGATCGAGTCAAGATTGGAAGTCAGCAGTATATGGATTATGCTGATGTCGAGGCTGTTGCTCGCTCACGTCTGCAGCCTGCGCTTGATGAAATCACGGAGAATGCTGAACTGCAGCGGGCTCATGACGTTGAGGCTCGTTTGGATGCTGAGGAGAGACAAAGACATGCTGCTGTGGAACGTCAGCGTGAGGCTGAGATGAGAGAGTTGGAGAAGCAAGACAAAGGTACGTTCGTCTCATATTGCAATGGGATTTTGGCTAACAACAACAGGCACCACGAAGAGCAAAGGCGAGGGCAAGGTCACTATCCCTAAATTCTTCTTGTGGCGCAAAAAGGGCAAGCGCGCTCGTGTCGAGTCCGAAGCCGACGAGGCCCAGGCCGTCTCACCCGTCACCCAGGAGATTGTCGAAGAACCCGCGCCTGCGGCTGCCACAGATGTATCAAAGGATGTCATTCCAGAGGAAGCCTCCAGCAACGCCTCGGAAGCCGGTCCTGCCCCCATCGCAGCGGCCCAGGCCGCAGCAATGGAAAGCCAAGAGAAACCCCGAGAGCCTGTACAACAGCCCACCCCAGAGCCAACTCCAGAGCCAAAGCAGGACGTCGTCCGTGTTCCCACGCAAGAGCCAGAGCCAGAGCCCACCGAACCCTCCGAAACCGACGACATCCCACCAGCAGTTCCCCGCCGCCGTTCCGCGCCGCTGACTGCACACGCCGAACGCGATACACCAATCCACTGCTTCACCCCGCCCGTCAACAGCCCGCGCGCCGACTCAAAGCTGAAATCCTGGTTCCGGGACCGTCTGGTCCGCCGCTCATCCGGCCCTGTCCCCGTCTACCCCCACCAACCAGGCCCGGAATTCACAGACAGTGAACCCGCTTTCACAGGCGGCGCCGCCCCTCACGGGACCCGAAGAGCCGCGCGGTGCAGCACTAAGCTCACACCCATTAAACGGAATGGAGATCCCAACGCACAACCGCTCGTCCAGCTACTACAGCAACGAGTTCGACGTGACGAAGACGCGGAGCGGCGAGTCTGGAGCTTCTTCTCCGAAGACGAGGAAGATGGATCGTCTGCGCAAGACCTTTCTGAGACGGGTTTCGCGGAGCGATGATGAGGCCATGCCGAATGCGGCGGATGCTGATGAGCCGAGGAGGGATTCTGAGGTCCCGAGTGTTAAGACTGATGTTCAGAGCTTGAGGAACAGTGCCCTTGAGCAGGGTTTGCCTGCGCCGCCTACTATTGCGGAGACTATGAGTACGAAGAGGGAATCGAGGTTCTCGGAGGATCTTTGAGATTAATTTAGGTGTTGCTATATGTATTCATGTGTATTCTATGTCTATGATTTTTTGGTGGATTTTTTGGTGATTTGGCGCTTTTGGTTGGGATATGGAGAGGCTTTCTTCGCTGTGACTTTGGGTCTTTCGTCCATATTCGATTAATTGATCTTAACTGCTTCTTCTTTTGTATTACATTCCAGAGGTATGGACGCTTGTCTGAATTAGTCTTGATTGATCGGTTCTTGAGTATTCACACCGCTACTGCCAGGTCCCCGGGATACTTACTGCGGGTGACATATGAGGCACCATGGCCTTAAGACATGTAAAGTCTACTGTGAAGACTGAACTAGCCAGTGTCAACGATCACACTGAGAATGGCTGTGTTTTATAGAGAGACATAGGTAGCGTGAGATTGCAACTGGGACACTTCCTTTAATTCAACCTTTGATCTTTTCCACGAGTTCCCACCGTCGGTACCAATGAAGTATCATTCTGGCCCTGTACTTCAATCTGAGAATAAAATAGTTAAAGCACAGCCTTTACCCTAGATTTGGGCACACGGTATGCCGACCCATCAATTTGCTTGGCACCATCTGCACAAGATAGCCATGCCACACGATCTTTCGTATACTGCTCAAGTCTCGGCTTCAGCGCTGTCTCATGCAGGTTGAAATCATCTACCGTCCCAATGCGAAGGATACTGTGACCCGGGAATGCCTCGCCGACCCGATACATCAGGGAGCCACATGTTGAGCAGAAATAGTTGGTCATCGCTTTACCAGAGGCGATAGTCCGCGACTGCGAGAATGTTTTCAGGTTCTCACAACCTCTGGAGTGCTTCAAGTGAGAGTCTTTCACAATAAAATTGGATGCAAACATTGATGCTGTGATTTTGCGACAGTCTGTGCAGTGGCAGACGAAGGTGTCAACCAGACCGGGTCCTTTGGTTGGCTGGGATAAGCACTGTTAGTACTTTGAGACCAAGAAGATCATGGAAAAATGACCCACAAAGACTAACTGTACTGCGCCGCAGTAACATGTAGCTGTTGCTTCATTCTCTGTGGACCAACCATCATCAGCACCTCCAGCAAGTGGGATGTAGGGCTTCATATTTCCAGCCAGTATGAGAGTCGGAAGATGTGAAAGCGAAGTTAGCAGAATATGACCAACATGTAACTCCTTCCCATAACAAAACTACTTATGATACTGAAAAGAGCGTATTCCTCGGCTCTTTCGGCTGCATCAAAGCGGGGAAAGAACCGTCTGACAGTTGAACGAATCCATGGATGATATCGCTGACGATAAGATCAAAATGCATTCATGGCCTGGGGATCATTGATCATCCATGGTTTGGATCAAGTAGACGTTTCTCTGGAACTTCCCAAAATCATTCCAACTTGGAAGCAAGTACCGCATTGAAGAGTTCTCGTACGTGAAAATCAAAAATCAAAAATCACCTGGGCATCACTCACTCCCTCGAGACGGGACGGATGAGTTCAGATGAGCCCCAAACCTTAGGTGGCATCCGCCCGGGTTAAGTAAAGAGTCAAGTGGACAGGTGCCAAGAGGCCCCGAGGCCACCGGCGCCAAACCCCGGGGCCCCGGGGGCGGAGCCAGGATTAGTCATATCCTCGCCAAATGGATACCTTCCACGAAGTTGAGGCAAGCGCTGGAAAAAAGGGGGAGCTTGGACAGATCCTTATGTATGACATACTTCATACTCCACGCCTACTGCAGTGCTTTGCTCGCATTCACATGACCATCCTCTTCTCTTTACTCCCGAACCCTCCCGTGGACAATTCCTGGAAGTGAGATCAATTGAGCTTTGCATCAGCACTCATCCAGCTGCAAAGGCGATTGAACCATGTCACTTCGAAAGCCTCACAGAAAGTCACGCAATGGCTGTCTCGAGTGCAAGAGGCGCAGAGTGAAAGTTTCTCACCACCCTTGTCCCGTGTTTCATTGGCCTTGAGCTCACCAATCCCTCCCCGTAGTGCAATGAGCAACAACCTTGCCACAATTGTGTCAAGTACCAAAGCGATTGCACCTATCGCACGGAGATAGTGTCACAGAGCTCGACTACGCCAAAAAAAGCGTTGAGTGATGCAGATCGCATCGCCTCTAATTCGGTCATTGGTGCCATGGAATCGCTTTCTGGGGTATCACCATCTGCCTTGGCTAGAACATCCGATTTTGAGGCTCGGGACCTTGAGCTGATGCATCACTACAGTACATTGATTGCCAAGACTTTTTCATTTCGGAACGAAATTCAAGACGTCTGGGCTATTTCAATTCCAAAGCAAGCCTACTCGTGCAGCTATCTCATGCACGGATTGCTTGCAATTTCAGCTCTACATTTGAGCTCGTCGGCCCATGACTCAAGACACAGCTATACAGACCTGACTACATATCACATGCATAAATTCCTTACTAGCTTCAGGGAACAGCTTGCAAATATATCAATAGAGAACTGTGTGCCTTTGTTTGGTGCCTCATCTCTTATGGTCATTTACGTTTGTGCGCAATCTGCTATGATATCACAACCAGTTGGAAAGAGCCCGTCGCAAATCGACATGCTCATGAAACTCTTCAATATGTCTCGAGGGGTAGAGACCATCCTTGCACCGTATCGTGGAGAGGTTCACCAGAGCTCCTTGAGCCCTTTACTTCACAAGGACTACCATCTCGTTTCGGATATATCAAGGTAAGACCGACGTTGAAAATGTTCTTTTCCATCACCAAGAAAAGGGTTCACATGGACTAACCTTGGAAAGATATCATGATACCAATTCCTTGGAAGAACCACGATTGCTCGACCTGAGGGGTCTCGTCATGAGCCAAAACCTCGACCCCCAAGAATTGAACGAGTACCTCGACGCCCTAGCAAAGCTGCAAACAGCTTTCTCTTTCGTGGGTGTCGCTAGCATGCCATTGGAGCCAGGTGCGGCGTTTGTGTGGCCAATCACCCTGCAGCGAGCTTTTATCTGTCATCTAACGCAACGCTCGCCTCTTTCGTTAGTCATTCTAGCACATTATTGTGTGATTTTGTATCGTCTCAGTGGGGATTGGTTTTTGAATGGCTGGCACAAAGCAATTCTTGATGAAATCAGAGACCTTGTACCTTTGGAACTGCAGGCATGGATTCGTTGGCCAAGGGATGTTTGTGGCTTGAGCGATTGACCCTCCCCGGAGGTCTCTTTCTGCACCCACGCCGTCTTTTTCAGCGTGCTCGCACAATAAAACCAATTTGGGTTCCAACTTTGCACTTGGATAGAATGGAATAGTCGAAAACGCATGAGTTCGATGGAATTCTCCTCGGCCATGTATCCTCAAATGTTGATGAGAACCACCACAGATAGCAAATTTTGGAAGAGGAGGCTCTAGAAAAGTAGCTGGTTAGCTGAGACTCAAAGATTGGATTGAGAGGAAGCACTGAAAGTGAAAGGGGAAAGTGAAGATGAAAAAAGATAAGGTATCTGTTCCGACATCCGTACGAATCCGATGATTCCCAACGCTGTGGCCACAGATAGACACAGACATGCCCAGGTGACCTAGGTGAAAGCTCTGGAATTCCAGGTGGATCCAATGGATAAAAATGCAGCTGAATCATTATATTTAATAGGAGTGCTATCCGGGGTCGAATTTCTCGTCGTGTTCGTACCTAGTCGTTCGAGAACTTAGGCACACGGGCTAGTTTCCAGACTTTCTCGTTTCGACTATAGCAAATCGCCTAAGTCTGGTATCACTCAAGAACCCTGAGCATTGCTTGGCCGTGCAAAAATCTCAGACCCACCTCACATTCGATAATGTTGTGGTGGGCGCTGTAGTCCAGTGCAATCTTGCTTACACTGAAGTCGAACCGTCTTTTCTTATTCCTGTCTTTTTTCCGTTGTCTTTCCCTCTCTGAATAAATCTCACTATCTCAACCCTTCTACTTCACTTATTAGGCCACAATATACTAGAGCTACGTGCTACATTATGAGCAGTTTCTGAGATTTTTGATCCATAGATGCACCGGCAAGATATGATTGGCTTTCGTATAGACGTACACTAAGCCTAAATAGGAGGACTGACCCATGGCACAAGCTCCACACCCGCGCTTCATCCGACCCACTATCTCTATTAATACTGGGGGCCTCAGGATTGAACGAAGCCAGCATGTTTTCAGCAGTTAGCTATTAAAGCCATGCTCGCCCGAGTCTGTTGAAAGGCTCTACCTCTCTCTTTGCTTTCTCACTTGCCTCTTTGCAATCTTCTTCAATAGTAATTGGCGTCTTAACCGCGCGGTCCAACTCCATACTTCACAATGGGCAGTTCCGAAGGACATATTGATTTTCAGCTTTACCGTTATACACCCTCTCTTCCCGCCGCTGTTATCTTCATTGTCCTGTTCGTACTCACGACGGCCTGCCATGTCTATCAAATTATCAAATGCCGCGCCTGGTATTTCACTGCCTTTGTCCTGGGAGGAGTCTGTGAGTTCTCAACCTTGTATAGGACAAGATTCTAGACTAGTCAAGCTGACCGCAATCTTCGAAATGTTATAGTCCAGATAATCGGATATATTGCACGAGCAAAAGCGCACTCTAATACCAAAAGTGTACCGATCTACTCTATCCAAACAATCCTCATCTTGCTCGCACCCCCTCTATATGCTGCATCAATTTATATGGTCCTCGGAAGATTGGTGGTGCACCTTCGGGCCGAGAGTTTCTGTATAGTTCCGCTGAAATGGATGACTGGTATCTTCGTGACGGGTGATGTGATTGCATTCATAATGCAAGCAGCTGGTACGTCGAAATGACTCTTACCCGATATGCATTTCCTCTCTATCTTCTCCCGTACTAATAAATTTTCAAATAGGAGGCGGAATCATGGCAAGCGGTACAATCAGTGCAATGCAGACCGGAGAGCACATAACGATAGGCGGTCTTTGTGTGCAACTGGTATTCTTCACATTCTTCCTTGTCACATCGATTATCTTCCACCAACGGATACGCTCAAGGGCAGCCCCGCAGTCCACAGAAGTCAAGCAGATCTTTTTTCTGCGCATCAATCACAACTGGGAGTCTGTGCTTTGGGGGCTGTACATTGCTAGCATCTTGATCTTGGTACGATCCGTTTTCCGTCTGATCGAATACGCTCAAGGCAACGATGGCTATCTGATTAGCCACGAGGCTTTCATGTATGTTTTTGACGCAACGCTGATGTTCTTTGCCATGGTTGCGATGAATGTCTTTCACCCGTCTATTGTGTTGCTGTCTGCCCATAAGGATACCCGTCATTCACTCGAGGCTCTTCGGTCTGCCCAGGTGTGAGCTGAAGTAGGAGCAACGGAACAAGGAACGGCTCAATGATGTTTTGGAATATTCATTGCCTCGGTGATCGAGATACGCCGCGGAGCCTTTGGAAATCTTTTGTCGTGGAAAGTATCAGGACCTTCAATATGATAATTTCTTAGAACAAGTGCGGGAGGAAAAGGGCTGAGTGCTAAAGAGACCTGCAGCGATTATTTTAGTACCACATTGTAGTACAACTTTAATATGTGTTGTCTTCGTGGATTACTTATCTGCAACCTTGAAATGCCCCTTGATACCCTCTCAGCTTAACTGGAATGAAGCCGTTTGCATGTTTGGTGAAGGGCGTTGATGTGGGATTCATCGAGAAAATCACAGATCACGCCGAGGAGCTCATTCGCTAGACTCAGTAGCTGCATGTTTGATGAAGAGAAAAGCACGGTGGTTTTGTTGTTGTTGTTCCAAGATTGTTTTTCTTCTCTCTCAAGACGGTCGGGGGTGGCCCCCTAGGCCCTAAGAGGGGATTGCGGGATAACACTTGAGAATGATCACTTGTTCTCTTGTCTACTCAAAAGTGGCAATAAAGAGAAAGATTACCACGGAACAGCCTTGAAGCTTGGAAGACTTAAGCTTCCGAAGTTTCAAGGTTAAAAGCAAAGCTGACCGAAAAAGGCGGGGTCCATTAGTTGTGCCAAGTGTGAATGTATACATGCCCCCTATCCAGGACAATCTGACCACCCGGAAGTTGTCGCTGGGTTATGTAGGCATTGGCTTTGCTCAATAATGTCTGAAATTGCTACTAGCCCTGCGCGAATAGGACGGAATTCTGACGGCGGTCACAGATGATATATATACTGGCCGTGGATAGCGCAAAGAAATGACAAGCGTCAGTGCCGCGCTCACGCGCGGCCAAAAAGACGATAGTACTTGCTAATAAGTGGACAGGATTAGTTACGTATTGGATTGAGCTCATATTTTGACTGGTAACGAAAGAGAGATATCATCAACTTTGAGACCAATTTTTAAGTGTCTCTTTAGTTAACTTTTCAATCGTCCTTTTAACTGTCCATTGCACTGTTCTTTCAACTAGTCGTCGAGTAAAGGAAGTCTTGGCTAAGCCGTGAACAGGGAATTAGAGATCAATGATTTCAAGACCCACAAGCCATGGAGGCAAGACAAGACTTTTCTTGCAGTAACTTTAGGCATCCAGAAGCAAAGAGAAAAAAGTGAGACCCAGACTGTCGTTTAAAAAAGAAAGGTCCTCGAGCACGCTGGAGGGGACCTCGGGCAGGGTCAAATTGTGACGGCTGTTCAAAGTAAAGCGGGATCGCCTAGGCATAGTGCGCCATTGCTAGAAAGACATTATGAATTCCCCCGCCTCTAAATTGCCTAATGTGACATCGTTTAATTTCCAGGTTATAAGAACATCCACCAATCCGAGCTCCGGACGGGGTAAAGCTACCACGAAAGACCGAGGCATACCGTTTATATAGATCGTGTGATAATGAACCTGCAAATTGTCGCCCATAATGCGGTTATTTACGCTTTTCTCAGCCCTTCTAGGGCTGATCTCCCTCGTCTCAGCCACAGACAATGGCAAAACCACCGATGTGACCTGGGATAAGTACAGTCTCTCGGTCAAAGGCGAGCGAGTATTCGTCTTCTCCGGCGAATTCCACTACCAGCGCCTTCCCGTTCCAGAACTATGGCTGGACGTGTTTCAAAAGCTTCGATCAAATGGCTTCAATGCCGTTTCCAGTAAGTTCCTACCTATCGATAATATGAACAACTGACTCATGTGCACAGTTTACTTCTTCTGGAGCTACCATTCCGCCTCGAAAGATACCTTTGATTTTGAAACTGGCGCTCACGACATTCAGCGCGTCTTTGACTACGCTAAACAAGCAGGTTTGTATATCATCGCTCGCGCAGGCCCTTATAACAACGCTGAGACCTCCGCTGGCGGATACGCTCTGTGGGCATCGAACGGTCAAATGGGCAGCACGCGCACAAGCGCCAGTTCGTACTATGATCTCTGGTACCCCTGGATCCAAAGGGTTGGCAAGATCATCGCGGCGAACCAGATCACCAATGGAGGCCCTGTCATCCTGAACCAGCATGAGAACGAGTTGCAGGAGTTGACGCATAGTGCGGACAACACGGTAGTCAAATACATGGAGCAGATCAAGGCTGCGTTCGACGAAGCGGGTATCGTTGTGCCGAGCACTCACAATGAAAAGGGCATGCGCTCCATGAGCTGGTCAACAGATTACCAGGACGTTGGCGGTGCTGTCAATATCTACGGTCTGGATTCGTACCCTGGTGGTTTGTCCTGCACGAATCCGAACACGGGCTTTAATCTGGTTCGCACCTACTACCAATGGTTCCAAAACTACTCGAGCTCTCAGCCGGAATATCTACCGGAGTTCGAGGGGGGCTGGTTCTCTGCCTGGGGTGGAACGTTCTACGATCAGTGCTCGACGGAGCTTTCGCCTGAGTTTGCAGATGTCTACTATAAGAACAACATTGGCTCTAAGGTTACCTTGCACAATATCTACATGGTTATGGGGGCTACATCGTGGGGACACAGTGCTGCTCCTGTCGTCTATACTTCTTACGATTACTCCGCTCCTATGCGGGAGACGCGGGAGATTCGAGACAAGCTGAAGCAGACCAAGCTGATAGGTCTGTTCACTCGTGTTTCGTCTGGTCTTTTGAAGACTGAGATGGAAGGAAATGGAACGGGTTATACCAGTGATGCTTCGATCTATACATGGGCTTTGCGCAATCCTGATACGCAAGCGGGATTCTACGTTCTCGCGCATGCGACCAGTTCATCCCGGGCTGTCACCAGTTTCTCGCTGAATGCGAATACCTCGGCTGGTACGTTCTGCAGATCATCGTAGATCAATGATTAAACTGACAATTTTGAAGGAGCAATCACCATTCCAGATATTGAACTCGCGGGCCGCCAGAGCAAGATCATCGTGACAGACTACCAGATTGGCAAACAGTCAAGCCTTCTATATTCATCCGCAGAGGTTCTGACTTACGCCATCCTCGACGTGGACGTCATTGTGTTGTACTTGAACATTGGACAGAAAGGCGTGTTCGTTTTCAAGGATGCGCCGACGAAGCTCACATTCCAGACATACGGCAACTCCAATGTGAGCTCTGCTTCATCGAATCACGGCACACAGTACACGTATACCCAAGGACAAGGCACGACCGTGCTCAAGTTCTCTAATGGGGTGTTGGTTTACCTTCTCGATAAAGAGACAGCGTGGAACTTCTTCGCAGTTCCCACGACCTCTGACCCGCTTGTAGACCCCAGCAAGCAGGTCATCGCACTTGGGCCGTACCTGGTGCGGACAGCAGCTATCAGTGGAAACACGGTCAGTCTCGTCGGTGACAATGCAAACAAAACTTCTCTCGAGTAAGTGGTGATACCCCCGACTATACGCCTTCGCTTATATTTTAGGGTCTACACGGGCAACTCCAAGGTGACCAAGATAAAGTGGAATGGCAAGGAGATATCGACGAAGAAAACCGCTTACGGCAGCTTGATCGGATCAGCCCCGGGTGCCCAAGACGCCAAAATCTCGCTCCCAGCCCTAAAGTCGTGGAAGGCCCAGGACACTCTCCCCGAGATCCAGCCATCCTACGATGACTCCCGCTGGGTGGTCTGCAACAAGACCACCACCGTCAACGCCGTAAAGCCTCTGACCCTCCCAGTCCTGTACTCTGGAGACTACGGCTACCACGCCGGAACAAAGGTCTACCGCGGGCGATTCAACGGCAGTGCAACGGGCGCCAACCTCACCGTCCAGAACGGCGTCGCCGCCGGCTGGGCAGCCTGGCTGAATGGCGTCTACGTGGGCGGAGCCGTCGGCGACCCAGCCCTAGCCACCACCACAGCCTTGCTCTCCTTCAACAGCACCCTGAAAGGCGAGAATGTACTGACAGTCGTCATGGACTACACCGGGCACGATCAAGACAACGTCAAGCCCAACGGCGCGCAGAACCCGCGCGGGATCCTTGGCGCTCAACTGGTGGGCGGCAACTTCACCACCTGGCGCATCCAAGGCAACGCCGGGGGTGAATCTAACATCGACCCGGTGCGCGGCCCGATGAACGAAGGCGGCCTATACGGCGAGCGCCTGGGTTGGCATCTGCCCGGCTACAAGGCTTCGAAAACCGCCACCTCTGACAGCCCACTTGATGGCGTGACGGGGGCGGGGGGACGATTCTACACGACGACATTCAAGCTCAATCTTGACTCTGACCTTGACGTTCCGATTGGACTGCAGCTGGATGCATTGGAATCGCCGGCTGTGGTGCAGATTTTCATGAACGGGTACCAGTTCGGACACTACTTGCCGCACATTGGACCACAGAGCAAGTTCCCGTTCCCGCCTGGGGTGATCAATAATCGGGGGAGAATACGCTTGCGATTAGCGTGTGGGCTCTGACGGCGGCCGGTGCCCAATTAAGTCGAGTGGAGTTGGTTGCTTATGGTGCGTATCGGACTGGATTTGATTTCAATCGCGATTGGTCATATTTGCAGCCACGATGGGAGGACCGGGGGGACTTTGTTTAGTCCACGTGCGTAGTGTTGCATGACTGAGAGACTCAGGGGGATCCCAGTTGTCCAATGAAAGACAAAGGGCGAGAGAGTGAGAGTAGAGAGAGAATGAGTGAGAGAGAAGAAAGAGAAGAGAACAAAGATCTCCAAGTGGTCGAAGCTTCTGGTCAAAGTGTCTTTTACCCCAGTGTCAACTCAATTCTAGATCAGACATTCTAGACCTCTTTTTTAATTAATTCTACTTTACTGTATTGCACTTAGCAGACTTTCCCATATACTTCCAAAACAAGTTTCACGCAAACAAAAGTTCATTGTCTAGGCGACTATCGGTGCCCAACCTGTTCCACCGCCATTTCTGTACTTCTCCACCTTTTATCAACTCCATTTCTTCAGATTCACATCTCAAATTCCCCTTGCTTTTCTTTACCATTAATATTAATCCTAATTTAAACCATGTCGCGCCACAACAGCGTCGACCTGGACTCTCCCGACCGGCCCTTTGACAACATCATCAACTTCCGCGACGTCGGCCGCTCAATTAATCAATTCTGTCGCAAAGAGTGAGTTGACGCGTCAAATGCAAGAAATCCCCTTCAATCTAACGTGTTCACAGAATTCTTAAGGAAGGCGTGTTCTTTCGCAGCGCGAGGGTAATTCCAACTTTTCCCTCGGAATGCGTCATAGGCTGACCAAGTTTCATAGCTCGACGATGCATCAGAACGAGATAAAAAGCGACTAGCCGATGAATTGCATATCCACACCGTTATTGATTTACGGTCACAGTATGTCGCCTATTGTAAAAAGCAAACAAACAAAAAGAAAGCCTAACACCATCTAGAACAGAACACCAAATGGGCACGCGAAAACGACGCGCTGAAATAGCCAAGTCAGAATCCGAACAGGAAATCTCCGAATCAGATCTCACAACTGCCCCAGTCCCCACGAATCCCGACGAGCACCTCCTCCAAATTCCAGGATCGGAGCGTGCATTAATCAGTCTGACGGGGAAGGGCTTTGAGCGAGCCCTATTATCCAAACTTGACTGGTACACTTATCTGTATGTCCATGTTTACATATATTCCTTTGAACCGAAGTCTAACAAACGAACCAGAAAAGCAATCAGCCTCGTAACAACAGGCTACCGCAGCGATGCAGTGCGACTAATCTGTCAAACAGCAATGGTCCCGCGCGGACTAACAGGGCTAGCGCAAGACACGCTGGAATCCAGCAAGGCAGAAGTACGCGCCGTGTTTGAAATCCTAGCGAAAGAGGACTCATACCCCACGCTCGTGCACTGCACGCAAGGCAAAGACCGCACGGGCCTGGTCGTGCTTATGATGTTACTTCTCGTCGGGGACGCGGTGCCCACGGCGGCCATCGTGGATGATTACAGTCGCTCGGAACTCGAGCTCGTGCCGGAGTTTGAAGAGCGCATGAAGGAGATCCGTGCCATTGGCCTCGGTGAGGATTATACGAGGTGTCCGGCTGGGTTTGTTACGGATACTACGGAGTATCTGGAGAAGTTTGGGGGTGTTACGGGGTATTTGGAGAAGATTGGGGTAGGGGCTGAGATGCAGGAGAGGGTTCGGAGGAAGTTTTTGGCGTGATGGGCTTTTGTTTTGAGGCGCTGTATTTTCTGTAAATAGTATCTTTTCATGGGCTGGATTGCTAGATTGCATGAGATGGCGAATGGGTTGCTTTTCTCTATGGACAAACAACAAACGACAGATGACAGACGACAGATTGAATGTGAAATTGAAATTAATTCGGATGATCTAGTATATGCGCACCCCAAGTGTAGTCACGGGTATCAAAGACGAAAGGAAATGAAACCACCAACAAGCTGGTAAAAAGAAGACAAAAACAAAAACAAACGCAAGGTATAGAATGACATCGTCAACGGCATATATGTTAATACAGAAAGAAATGAGCAGGAAAAATCCTTATACCCGCTGGCCACGGTAGAAGCCAGTGTTCGGTCCAGCAGAGTCATGAGTCAGAGGCTCCTCGATGGAAACACCCTCCTCAGGGCTGGTGTGACCCATAGCGAACTTCTCACCCTGGGGCACATGGTGACGAGTCCGAACAGAAGGCAAGAGATCGACGACGAAAGAAAGCACATAGCCCGTGAAGACGAAAGCGATCGTCCACTCCAAAATGGCACCTGTGTTCTGGCGACTGCCGCTGCCATTCATGCAGACTCCGAATCCAATAGCCAGACCAATTTCGATAATAATGAAAGCCAGCTTGATATAGAAGCTAGCAAGCAGGACGCGATGCTCGCGACGGTAGAAGATTCCAATTCGGAGGTACTCGGCGCAAATCAGGATTGCGCTAACGATGTATCCAGCACTGCGAACGTGTTAGCCATGTCCTTCTCCATTACCGAGGATTGTTGAACTCACAGGAAAAGAGCCAGGAAACCATCGTGCAGCTTGGGGTGGTGTTTCGTATCGAAAATCGAAAGCAGGATCAATCCTGCGGCACCGGCGATCGCGAAGAAGATCGAGAGGCAGGCGCATGCCTTGTCGAATTTGCCCTTGTTGGATGCGAGCTGTTTCGAGTGTCGCAGCCACCGCTCGGAGAGGAAGGCCAGGTCTAGGAATACTACTGTCACGACGCTGCCACCGATGAAGAGCGGCTGTAGACGCTCGGCGCCGACGTTGGAAATATACCTGTGACTGTTAGATGGCGTGCAAGGGCTAGGGTTGCGTGGAGTACTTACGCGATAGTCTGGACGGGGTCCATGCCTCCATAGTGTGGTCTGCCATCGTAGACCCAACTAACCAGCATGGCAATCAGCATTGCTGGGGCGCGTTAGCGGTGATCTGAATCGGGATATTGGGGATGTGACTTACCAACCCACATGCATGCTGATATCAGAGGGAACATCCAAAACGAAATGATCCACATTTTGGCGGGTCGAGATAATAGTATAAGGTGAATGTGTACTTGTGAGAGGCTTAATGGAAGTGATCTGGGACACGTTAGTCGCAGTCCCCAGGGATTGAGTCAAGGGACTCACATTAGGGACGATGTCTCGAGTGTAGCATTCCAGAGGCAAAGACAGTGGCGGTATGGCAAATTCCAACAAGAGGGCCTAAGTGGTCAGCACCCGTCCAGGAGGTACAGTAGTGAGTGAAAATCGTGAAGAATAGAAGATGTTGAGTCCTGATATCAAAGACTTTTAATAAAATACTCGACGTCATAGTCGTGCCAAGGCAGCGAAGAAAACTCCACAGCCTACGTCCTCGATAGGCGCTCTATGTTACCCCTTTTAGTATAGTTTGGTACTAGGATTTATAATTATACTAATTATACCAATTATACCAATTAATCAGATTTTGAAGGAAGATCTTCGGTGGCTGGGCTTACTTACGCAGCCTCCAAGCCATGGAGCCGCTCCGTTTTACCTTAATCGGCTTCGGGATCGGAACCATGGCGCCCCGCGATCCGCGAACGTTTGTGAACGACTTCAAACTTTGGAAATGCTCATGTCATTCTTTGCTAATTCCATACAGTAAGTCTAGACAAGTATTGATATTCACTATGACCCGGTCTATCAAAAACGCCGTCGCATTACGGAGATCCGCATTGGTGGAATCAAAGCACGTAAAACAGTAAAAAAGCAAGAAGCCAGAGACCAGAGACCAGACCGAAAAAGAATTTTTGTGTATAGGAGAGACTTCAACGACTCGTTCGTTTGCGAGTCCCACGACTTCCCCCAGAGACTGTACGCTTCTGCGTGGGTGCCTGACGCTCCGCCACCTTGGCCACCTTGGCCACCTTCACGATCTGCACGTCGTCATCACTGCTTGAAGCCTCGCTGGAGTCATCTGACTCTGCCGCAGCTGGAGCCGGTGCTTCCTGTAACTGCACGGAGCTTTGGGAAGTGCGTCTGCGAGTGGGTGACTGATAGGCCTGATAAGGAGAGCCAGGGAATGACATTCGATTCTGAGGGCCGACGCGAAGATCAGTGGGGAGCTGCGGCTGATAAGGCGCATTTTCCCCGAACGGGCTCAACTGCATGGGATTGTAGTATGGCGGAGCCCACGAAGGGTCATCCGGCAGCGGCCGTTGGTATGCGGCCGGCGGCTGCATGGACTGTGGCCGGCCATTCGACATGAAGCGTTCGGGGGAGTATGGCGGGTAGGTAGGGCGGAGCGGAGAGCCAGATTGCTGTGGCCGAAGAGATTGTGTGGTCGGGGTGCGTGGACGAACAGACGAGGAGCTGGAAGGCCGACTAGCTGCACCCGTTCCACGGGCCCAACCGTGTGCATCCGGCGCAAAGGATGGGTAGGCGGCTGGTTGTTCTGGCACTGCGCTGCGCCGCGAGGAGGGTCGGGAGGCCGCTTGCTTGGGACGCCGAGAAGCCCCCTCGCCCTGCTGGCGCTTCCGTTCGAGGGCATCCAGCTCACGCTTCGACAGTCGAACATTCTTCTGTCCGAGCATTTGCGCGCGACGGATCCGTTCCAGCGCGTGATCCACCAATTGATCTTCCTTGTCCCGCATGGCCAGTTGGACCGCAAAGGCCACGGTGCCGTCTTCGTGATCGTATAGATCGAAGTCTGCCCCATCCACCGAGTCGTTGTCGTCCGTCAAATCCTCATACTCCGCACGCCGGCGCGCCACCCGTCCATAGTCCTGCCGTCTTCCGCTCCGCACCAACTCCCGCCCGTACGCATCCCCGTCGCTGTCCACCTCCTCCACACGAGTCTCATCCCACGCGCGTCCCCTATTGTCTCTCCCCAGTCGTGCCCCCGGTGGTCTTCCCCATGAGGGCATATCAAAAGGAGCTCGCGGTCGACCACCTAGACCGCCTCCTCGGAAAAAGCATTCTCGATCGGCTTATCCAGCAACGCAGCGTGGCCGAAGACGGTCACACCGGTAGCACCGATCAGCCACAGACCTGTGGCGAAGGGTGAGGCCCAGATACCAACGGGGATGCCGATGACGAGCAGTCCGGTGTAGAGCTGGGAGGTTGTGAAGCGGGCGAAGCCCAGGTCCAGGTCGCGGCCTTGGAGCATGCCGATTCCGTAGAGACCACCGCCGATGAAGATCATGTCGAAGAGCAGGGTGAGGTTGGTCAGCAGGCAGTAGATGCTGAGCATAACAAAGACGACGGCATAGTTGCTGGAGAAGTAGGACAGATTGTAGTTGACACGGCTTTGAGCTTCAGCAAAGTTGGCGGGCTTGGACACGCGCTTGACGTCGAGGAATTCGGAGACGGGACGCAGGTTGGCGAATCGCGAGCTCAGAGAGGTGCTGCGGAGGCTGTTGAAGCGGTCACCGAAGCGCGAAGTGATCGCATCGATGGGGATGGAGATGGCCATTCTGTCAAGAAGAGGATGAAAAGAAGAAGGGGTTGAGGATTGAGTAATAAAAGTGAGTGAAGAGAGATGGGACAGGTCAGAAACGAAAGATGTGAAGATCGGGACTTTTTTGCCAGGACGTTTCAGGCCCCTTTCGGATTTCAGGCAGGCGCGGAGAGTCAAGGTGGCCTGAAGGACTTGACAATTGACTCGTACTTTTGCCTCTTTTTTTGTTTTCGAGCTTCGAGTTTCAACTTTTTAGGTAGACACAATTGTTTTTGTTTTTTTCTTGGGCTAATAATAGCAATTCCCCTGATCCGGCCCTGGAGTTCGGAGGTTCAAGGCAACACTGTCTCCATAGCTGCTCCGGATACAGAAGAGCTGCCCATAAACTCTCAGAATTACTCGGAATAGCCTCTAGTTATATATACATTTTACGCTCAGATCCAAACATGCAGAACCCCCTCACAGGAAGCAAACCCCCAGAAACAAGACAGCAAATGCAGCCAACACCCCGTCATCGATTGGGCCACGTTGGACTTAAAGGTGGAGCGGAAAGTGCCCGACCGCTTTTTCCTCGTCCTCCACTGATCTGACCTGCTTATTCGCGTTCCAAGCTGGTTCTAGCCACAACACACTCATTCTGGGCTCCGCGGCATTGACCGCTCCATCATCATGAAGCCTTTCGCTCTTTTCCTTTCCCTCTTCGTCTTCTTCGGCCTGGTCGCCGCTTGGTCCAAAGAAGGTTAATTTACACCGTGACCTCTTACCTCCTATACCAAACACTGACCCTTTCCAGACTATGAGATCTTCGGCCTTCAGAATGATGTCGCTACCTACGAGGGCGCGAACGTGACCTTCTACGGTACGAATCAATTCCCCCTCCCCTAGAGATATCTGACCTAACCACCTGCAGACTTCCTCGAGATCCGCCCCAATGCCAATCAAGAACAGATCACCAAAGCCTACCGCAAGAAGTCTCGCACCATTCACCCCGACAAGGTCAAGCGCGCCTTCATCGCCAATTACTCCAAGGACAAGAGCAAGGCCAAGTCCAACCAGGGCGTCAACGTGAACAAGGGTCCCTCCCAGCGTGAAATCGATGCCGCCACCAAGAACGCCCACGCCCGCTCCACCCGCCTCAACCTCGTTGCCAATGTCCTGCGTGGGCCCGGCCGCGAGCGCTACGACCGTTTCCTCAAGAACGGCTTCCCCCTGTGGAAGGGCACCGGATACTACTACTCGCGCTTCCGTCCCGGTCTGGGCTCCGTGCTGGCCGGTCTGTTCCTGGTCTTCGGCGGTGGCGCACACTACGCCGCGTTGATTCTCGGCTGGAAGCGCCAGCGCGAATTCGTCGATCGCTACATCCGACAGGCTCGTCGCGCTGCCTGGGGTGATGATATCGGTGTTCGCGGTATCCCTGGACTCGATGCTGCCGCTGAGGCTCCTGCGCCTGCGCCTGAGGAGGGTGCCGGTGCAGTTGCTGTTAACCGTCGCCAGAAGCGCATGATGGACAAGGAGAACAAGAAGGATAAGAAGGGTGGTCGGGCTGGTGCTCGTGCCTCTGGTACTTCGACTCCTACTGAGCAGCCTGCCAGCACTGAGCGTGCTAGCACTGGTGAGCGGAAGCGCGTTGTTGCCGAGAACGGCAAGACGCTGATCGTTGACTCTGTTGGAAATGTGTTCCTGGAGGAGCAGAACGAGGATGGCGAGCGCCAGGAGTTCCTTTTGGATATTGATCAGATTGAGCGCCCCGGTATTGGTCAGACCATGGTCTTCCAGCTTCCTCTCTGGGCCTTCAACCGTACCGTCGGTCGGGTGTTGGGAACATCCCCCGCTGAAGTCGACGTGGATTCTGATGAGGTGGAGGAACCTGTTGAGGAAGCTGAGACTACTGCTACCTCCAACGCTCGTTCTCGCAAGCGCGGCAAGCGCTCCCAGCGATCATGAGCGTGGGTTTCATTGCCTGTTGATGCCGATATCCCTACCCCCAAAAGTGTTGGCTTTGCTATAGAACTACCAAATCAGCAACACCCAGCTAGATTAAAATGTACACATACTTTCAATTGAAACAAGGTCTTGATGTCACTAGGCAATATCGTAGACTGTGGCCGCTATCAAGTGGGATTGCTGTTTGCAACCTTGGAAGTGGTTTGTCTTCTCTACGTGGCACGGATGGATTTGTCGCCAGGTCAATAGTTCGTTGGCGGGTCCTCAGGGGCCGCATAGTGGTGCAGGTATTACCTGCGGTGTACAGCTGTCCGGACTTGGGCACCCATACGTGATTAGCCTACTAAATAAAAAGGGACCTCCACTCCAGTGGTCCGACACGTTGGGTCAAATATTTTCATTTCGAGGTCGTTCATAATGAACAGCTTTTTCAGACGCAACGTGAAAGCAAGATAACAGGAAAGACGAGATCTATCGAGTCCCAGATAGCCTCCCAGTACACAGCACAACACCGGATCGAGAACGCAGAGAAAGGAAAACATCGGAGTATCGAAAAGAAAAGGCATAACAAATGGCGCGGTCGGTATATCGTGATGATCATTAAGTGTCGCAGAGCAAAGAGCAGACAAAAGCCGGGGAGGCTTCATGTCTAAGCAAACATCTTGGCGATGCTCATGAGGCTGTTGATGTTCTCAGAGATGCCACGGCCACCGGCCTCAGCATATCCAGCAGGCTTCGGCACACTACCACCCAAAGCGGAGATCACAGCATGCGGCAGCCGAATGCCAATCAAGCCCAGCAGCTTCGGCAGAACACCGCTGGTCAACAGAGGCACAATGACCATCATGAACACCTTCATCGGGTTGCGGCGCATGTACCGATAAATGTCACGGAACAGCTTCTTGATGTCGCGGATCATACGCTGCACGAAGCCCTCACGGGGTCGGGCGCGTCGAGAAGACGAGGAGAACGAGGAGAAGACAGAAGGGCTTGCTCGGCCGCCTGTTCGACTCCCGCCCAGTCCACCGCCGAGTCCGGTGAAGAAGGTTGGCGCCGAGTGTCGCGAGTGGTGAGTGGAAAACCCGGACTTGTGTTCGGACTTGTGGTGTGTTGGCGACCGCCGGCGTGTATAGCCTGCTGAGGAAACGGACGATTTACCGTCGAACCAACCCATTGTTGCTGATGGTGCGCTTGAAGAGTTGGTGAGAAGCGAGGGGAGCTGGATTGTTGATACGGGATTGGAATTTCTAATTGGCTTTTGTGTCCTTTTGTGTGCTCTGCCCCTGGGACTTTTTTTTTTTTTTCACCCTGCTGTGTGGCAATTCAAAATTCAAAGATGGAAAGAGTCAGGACGCAGGTCAGCCACTAGCAGCTGCAGCAATGCGGATTGTGTGAGGTCTAGGCCGAGACGTGCACCTGCTCCACCGATTTCATGCAGGAAATTAGTCGTTGACAGGTGGCCACTGAACAATTGGTCTGTATGGAGTACGCAGGAGGAGGTTGCTTGTTAACAGATGTTTCAAGCACGACCAGAGGACTGAAAACCCCCCTGGCGGGGAGGGTGGCTGGGCTGAACCTAATCCCGAACACTTCTCAGACATGTCGAGGCTAGTCTCCTTTGGTATCGCAGTGTAGAACAATATGGAGTATGGACTTCAAACATGTTGAAGTGTGATGCCCAAGTAGTAAGTACGAGTACTTTTGCATCGTCATCAATGTAATTAGTTCCATAGTTAAATTGAAAGTCACTTGAACCATGGTACATTGTAAATAATCTGCCTGAGGCGCGAACGACGTCACTGCCTGTGATTCCAACTCCATGATTGATCTTCTACTCTGTTCACTTTCCTTTTAAACCTCAATCAAGATGTCAAGTAAGTTGAGACCCAACAAGTTTCGCTCGGCGTACTAACCTCTTTACAGGCCCCGACTACTGTAAGTCACCGGTTTAGCACTAAAACCACCTCTACTAACACTGATCAGACAAGATCTTGGGCATCACCCAAGATGCGACCCAACAACAGATCCGCACTGCCTACAAGAGGTACGAAAAAGTCACACCATATCAACATCTAGACCACTCTAACATCCACAGGGAATCACTAAAGTCCCACCCGGATCGAGTCCCCGCCGACTCCCCGGAGCGACCAGCCCGCACCAGGAAATTCCAAGACATCAACGACGCCTACTACACCTTATCTGACTCCACACGTCGTCGCGACTATGACTCCACTCGAGCCTTCGAGGCCGAGACCGAGACTGAAGCGGAGGAGGAGGTCCCGCACGGTGGATTTTCCTGGTCTAACTTTGGCTTCGGTGGTAGTCGCGACGATCGCGACAGCGACCAGTTCGGATCGGTGTTTGAGGAGATGCTGCGGGAGGAAGGTCTCGCCGAGGAGAATGATGGAGAGGGCGGCAGGAGAACACGCCCGACTGGGAGATTCTGGGCTCTCGTTGGTGGTGTCAGTGGGGGCGCGATGGGTTTCATCGTTGGCAACTTCCCTGGTGCCGTTGCCGGTGCTGTCGCGGGCAACCGTCTTGGTGCTGTCAGAGATGCAAAGGGGAAGAGTGTCTACGAGGTTTTCTTGGACCTCCCGACGCCCGACCGGACGAGGCTACTGAGTGAGCTGGCGGCGAAGGTCTTCCAGTCTACTATGGGTCACTGAGCTGGTTCGGTTTGGGCGTTGGGTGTGAGAATTGATTGTTGGGTGTGTCTAATCTAGCTAATATGTAGGCCATTTGATGCACATACAGAAAGGCAAAGGAAATACATACATTGTTTCATATACATCTACTTCCGATATATTAACCCCTCTATCTCTTATCGATAACAGCTACTCCAGCGAGTGAGCCCAAGCACTCCAGGGCTACAACATGCCCAGGTGGTCAATGGACACTTGAAAAGGACACGAGGACGACCCTAATTTTTGAGTCAATCATAAAGCCAAATCGTGAATGAGACAGTCCAGGTGGCCTTCTGCTTCTGGACGCCCGCGCTAACGATCCCGCCATTGCTCACCGCTTGCGGCCAAAAAGGCCCCTCTGTCTATTTACCCCCCGAGGTGTTGGTGAATTTCGCATTGACCAATCTCTTGCTCAACACTCTATCCAACATGACTGAAGCTGCCAGCGTTTACCCATCCTTGGTGGATCGTCCCATCAAGAACACTGTTGTCCTGTTCGATGTTGACGAGACCCTCACACCCGCTAGACGAGTACGTTTCAATAATCACTTTGCGCAATCGGTTGCTAACAATTGCTTCTCTAGCATGCCTCCACTGAGATGCTTGAGCTTCTCTCTCGCCTCCGCCACAAGACCGCCATTGGATTCGTTCGTCTCCCAATCAATCAGTTGAAACGGTCTCTAACGTGACTCAGGTCGGCGGCTCGAACCTCGTGAAGCAACAAGAACAGCTCGGCTCCCCTAACGTTGATGTCACCTCCCTCTTTGATTTCTGCTTCTCTGAGAACGGTCTCACTGCATTCCGTCTCGGCAAAACCCTCGCCAGCAACAACTTCATCCAATGGCTTGGTGAAGACAAGTACCAGGCGCTGGTCGACTTTGTCCTCAAGTACATTGCGAACACCAAGCTGCCCCGCAAGCGCGGTACTTTCGTCGAGTTCCGCAATGGAATGGTTAACATCAGCCCTGTTGGCCGTGCTGCTAGCATCGAGGAGCGTGACGAGTTCGAAGCGTATGTTCCTATATCCTGGCTGCCTTTGGGACCTTGAAAGTGTATGAAATGCTGACTGGTCTGCATAGTTTTGATAAGATCCACAATGTCAGAAAGAACCTCGTGGAATTGTTGAAGAAGGAATTCCCCGACTATGGTCTCACGTGAGTTAGCATTCATCTTTTCTCTACAACGGTTCATACTGACCAAAGGCATTAGTTACTCCATCGGTGGCCAGATCTCCTTTGACGTCTTCCCCACCGGTTGGGACAAGACTTACTGCCTGCAGCACATTGAAGCCGAGAAGGGTATCACCGGCATCGAATACACGACTATTCACTTCTTCGGTGATAAGACTTTTGTCGGAGGCAACGATTATGAAATCTACGAAGATTCCCGAACCATCGGACACTCCGTCGATGGCCCCGAGGATACCATCAAGCAGCTGAAGGAGCTGTTCGACCTATAGATTCAAGGTTATATCATGGAATTGTGATAGCGTTCTCCTGCGGTTGATATGTGGCCAAATTTGCAAGATTGGTTTCAAATAGAACAAATCCTGCATTCTGCAATCCATACTCCGTACTCCTTAAGTCCGTACTCCGTACTGGATGGGGCCGACGGGAAACTGTCGATCGTCAGGGCTTCCCGATTTTTTTAGTCATCCTCCGATTGGGCCCCGGGGCCCCGGCCGCCTGTGACCTTTCGTTCCTTTCGAGAACATCTTTAAATCCATACCACCAAAACTCGGCTTGTCATCCGCATGGCATCACAAAAGCACGTCGCGGAGGTTCCGCGCACCATCCTTCCTCGCTTGACCTGGAATAGCTCCTCCTCCCGGCCTTCGATCACCGTATCCCACTATCCCGCGCTCGGTCGAAAGCGCCCACTCTCCCAAGGCTGGACTCCTTTAAAACGAACAATCCACTCATCGAACTCGTCCTTCCAACATTCACACATCGCTTCCACCTCCTCTCGAACCTTCATCTCCAGCGCTCTCGTTTCCCGACAGCCCTCTCCTACCAAGCCGAACACCCAGAACACAAACCCCATCCGACACAATGGAGTATATGTCGCAACCTTCAATCCAGCTCGTCGCGCGTTCCATGCGACCCCTGCTCGCCCTAGAGACCACCACTTTGATACCTTAAAGTTCGTCAAGCGCCTCCAAACCGAGGGTTTCAGCGAGGAACAATCCGTGGCCATGATGCGGGTCCTGAATGATATCATCCAAGAATCGATCCAAAACCTGACTCGAACAATGGTCCTCCGAGAAGGTACGGCCCTATGACGGCACTACACTAATTGTCTGTCACTAACACCCGTTCCAGATTCGGAACGATCAACATACACACAAAAGGTCGATTTCGCCAAACTCCGCTCCGAACTCCTCAACTCAGACTCCACCGAGGCGCATGCCACCCGCTCACAACATGAGAAGATCACAGCGGATCTTGCGAAGCTCAACTCGCGACTCCGCGATGAGATCGGCCGCACGCAGGCTTCCGTCCGGCTAGATCTGAACCTGGAGAAGGGTCGGATTCGTGAAGAAGCCAACAGTCAGGAGATGCGGATCAAGGAGACTGAAACGCGCATTGAACAGGAGGTCGCTGGGTTAAGAGAGCGAGTGGAGGCTGTCAAGTTCTCGACTTTGCAATGGCTTATGGGTGTTTGCACCGGTACCGCTGCTCTTATTCTTGGTGCCTGGCGTCTGTTTATGTAGTGGCATTGGGTCCGCACTTGCATTGGATATGGAGTGATTTGTTTTGGTTACATCAGACGCTGTCTGACAATTTTCTTTTCTTTTGTACACATACTCTCTGCTCGTCTAGCTTTGCTGAATATCTAGACTCCAAGGAATTTTTCTCACCTTTGATTTATAAGATCCTCCAGGCTTGTGGTTTCCCCTTTTCATGCTCCCTTCCATTTACAGTTGTGGCTTGGCTTAGTTCTTTCCTCAACAGTGCTACTAGCCATGACCTCCGCTGGAAGTTCCCTGCGCAGAATATCTATTCTCGACTGGCGATACTTCTGACTCCTCAAGGGCTTTCCATGCCCAAAATGAAATGCCGCAGTTTTAAATATTCGTGGGACCGCCGAACCACCGAGCGCTTGTTCTGGGCATGCATATTTGCGCTCCTATTCGCGAGCATAGTCGTGTTCACCATCTCCTCCTACTTTGTGGCGTCTAGTCTGACCAGGGTTTCTGATTCTTCGCCATCCGTCCCGACTTCAGAATTGCAGGACGTGTTCCAGATCTACCATTCTGTTTCTCTTAAAGCTGGTGGAAACACAGGCTGCGATGATGTGCTGCTCGTGGATCATGTATTCGGGGCAAGTTACGGAGCCCCGTTTGTCGGCAAGAATTTCGAAAATCCATTGATAGGGTATTGAGCTGACTTTCATATCAGGAAATTATGAGCCCCCGAATTGCATGTTTGACACCGTCCGGATCAATCTCACTGTCACTTCCCGGGGAAGACAATTCGATCGATTGGCCTCGTTGTATCTCGGGGACATCGAGGTGTTCCGGACTTCAACAGCAGAGCCGACGGAGGATGGGATTGTATGGACTTATATGAAAGAGATGTCACAGTACAACTCGCTATGGAAGAGCCCTCAAACACTCATATTCGATTTGGACAATCTCATTACTGACTTATACACCGGATCGTTCAATGTCATACTGACGGCACGGTTTTCATACGAAGACAACGTCAGAACAGCAGACCTCATACTTCCGATCTCGGCCCAGAGGTCAGCTTTCCACAATGCGAGTGCTTTCCAAATCCCTTCAGACAACACCACGGTCATTCATACGATCCCAGAAAGGGCATATCGTGCAGTCGTTTCGATATTTGCGTGTGGACAATCGCAAGAAGAGTTCTGGTGGGAAAATGTCTTCTCCCAGGACACTCGAGCCTTTGAGAAGACCGTGATAGAGGTGTACGGATACACGCCATTTCGTGAGATCCAACTCTATATAGATGGGACTCTTGCAGGAGTTGTTTGGCCGTTTCCGATGATTTTCACCGGTGGGATAGCTGCGGTATTCTGGAGTCCCCTTGTTGGCATCGACGCTTTCGATTTCCGTCAGCCCGAGATTGACATTTCCCCATTCCTGCCTATGATACAAGACGGCGAGCAGCATTCGTTTGAGATTCGAGTCACCGGACTAGATGTCTCAGCGGACGGAAATGTCGCATTCTCAAACATGGTGAACTCTTACTGGACTATCACAGGGAACATATTCCTTTACTTTGATGATCGGTCTTCAGGTGCGGATAAGATTGTTTCCGAGAGCAAGCCACCTGATGTGGATGCCCCGATGCCAGCTTTCGCCGTGACTCGAAACCTGACCCGAAATCAAACCGGTGAAACCGACTCGCTATCATATTCGATGACCGTTGAGAGATCTTTCAGGGCAACCTCATCCTTGCATTCGTGGTCTCAGAAATATTATTTCTCTCATCAGGGTCTACTCAGCTATCAAGGACGTGTCCAGATCAACACACAACTCACTGCTGGCAATCACACTGTCACCAATTTTGGTAACACACTTGTTTCAGATAGTGTGATATTCAGGTACCCTTTGCATGTCAATGCATCACTTGGTTCGTCGGATAATGGATCTTTGGCCGAGTATCATATGCAGAGAGGCCTTGATATTGAACGCACAGGAGGACCCGATTTTTCCACATTTACCATGGGCACAGGGCCATCTTATCTGCACACGAGCCAGGCTGGTACTGCATGGAAGAATGCTGTTACCAGACAGGGTATGACCTCCTGGGGTGATACGCATCATGTGTTTGAGAGTGAGATGGGTGGCCAAAGGTTCCAACGAAATGTCTTCGCTTCAAACGGGAGTATCGTGAAAGACACAAACCCTCAAAGTAGACACTCCAGTTGACCAAAATTCGCTACCCGGAACATTCTTCTCTGTCCTCGTAGGTGGGACCCAGGGGCGCCCTCCATTCATAGGATTGGCCAATATGGACGTTGGCCCAACACGAATTTTCTTTCAGCGTGGCATCGGAAACATTGGCAATCTCCAATATATCCTCTAGCGGCTGCCGAGAACGACGGATTGCCCGTCCACACTGGTCGAACCACATCACGAGAACAATTCCTGCGTCGGAGCCTCCGGGAACAGGGGTTGTTGCATCGACGATATGGACGCGTCCTGCAACTAGTCGCATGTGGTAGTCTGAATAAAATTCTGACCACGGGTTTTTATCCTCCTTGTCGTAGCCACTTTGTTCCGCAGCCTGAGGGCCAAGGCTTGCGGCCTCGATTCCATCTCGTAGGGCCTCTCTGACATACTCTTTGTATTCTTCAGCAGGGCAAGTACAGTCGAGCAGCTGTGGCAGACGAAGGAAAATCTTCTCCCAGCCGGACTGAAGTTATTCAGCTTTATCCAACATAAGAGCTTCCTTTCTTATATGTATTGTATCCTTTATCATGCATGACTGCCCATGTGGCATTTGATGGTGTTGGTAGTATTTATAGCGGTCCAGACATGAGTGAGCACCCTACTCAAGCATATTTGATCTTTTGGCGTAGCGTTCGCATGCCCGGGTGCATGCTCCGAACAGTATCCCTAGCTAGTACTAAGACTTCCCTCTTTGTCGGAAGCTTTTTAATCGCAGGGAGCTCTGCCTTTCGCTGTACAACCAAGCCTGGTGCCTAAGAGGGGTGCCTTTTTGTGTATATTGAGGGGCGTGGTAAAATCCACTGGGCGTTTTTGAAGGTCCCGAGGGTCCTGACTCCGTATGAAGTTGATGCCCAGCCCTGGAGGGTAGCCCAGGTGCATGCAAAACAGCGGTATGACGTTGATTGGCGGAACCGAATACTTCCTGCAGCTTCGGATTTATAATTAGCCGTATCTTATCGTCACGAGTCGATAAGCGCGATAAGATTGGGTACTCCGCGCATCATAATCGCGCCTTCATTGCTCTCCAACTCCATGTGGCAACGCTGCATTGAACAGCATGACGGTCCTCGTGGGAGAGGCAATTCTGCCAGGTACGGATGCATTACTAGTCGCTGACCCTCCGTGATGATCATACTGACACCCCTCGACAGACAATGCTCTAAAGTCTATACTTCCGGTATTTCAGCAATGCGAAACCGCCAGTGACGATGCCCCTCCTACCAAACGGCGCAAGGTTGTTAAAGCTGGACAATGGAGTCTCTCTCAAGAAAATGGTGTCACGGATACAGGGATTCCTCTGGGTTATATTCCATTGGCACGATTGACTTTGCGCATTGTAAGTTGGATGACGAGAGCTCATATCCAGGGACGTAGTACTGACCAATGACACCGGCGGACAGAAAATCCCAGACACTCTTTTACACCACTACCACTCGCTCAAAAAGGACTCTCGGTTTCCTGTTCTTGTCACAGCCAATTCAGGCCTTCAACAGATGGGTGGCAAGTCGTCTTGCATGCAACTCGAACTGTTCGACTATGAGAAGAAGCAGCTCCTCTCCTATTCATGTCACGATGCCGCGTTATTTGATCTCATTCGACAAATTGAGCTTGCAAGCAAGTTGACACCAGCAGAGCGTGCTTCGAAGCGTGATCCAATTGCCTGCTATCAAGCGCATTTACATGCGTTTCCTGAGAGTGAATATTTGAACCTGGAGGTAGTCACTCTCTGGGCAGATTCCCCGGAATCTCCAGATGTCAAGTCCATGCAAGACTCGGTTTTAGAAGCTTTCACAGAGTATGTGCTTCAAGAGGGCTCTCGCTTGTCGAGCATCCCCGCGCAGAGTAATCGCCGGGAAGCAATGATGGGAGTGTATCGTGAATGGTCTCCTCGCGAGTTTTATGACAGCGTTCACGTTCCTCAAACTCCAGATACAACAGCAGCAGGCCTCAAATGTCCCGGTGTCGATTGCGAGCTTTTCCCGTTCCAAAAGCGCGCAGTTCGATGGTTGTTACAGCGAGAAGGGAAGGATATTCAACAAGATGGGCAATTAATTCCCATGAAATCAGAAGCGGATGGCCTGCCGGCGTCATTTCATTGTCGGGAAGATGCCGATGGCAAGACTTATTACTTCAGTCAACTTTTCATGACTTTAATCAGAGACACGTCAGCGTGGTTTGATGCTGCTCATCATTTGAGAGGCGGGATCCTTGCAGAGGAAATGGGCCTGGGAAAGACCGTTGAAGTCATTGCCTTGATATGTTTGAATCGTCGAGCTGCGACACCCAAGGTCGATCCTGAGGGCCCCAAGGCTTCCGGGGCAACTTTAATCATTACACCACCAGCAATCCTTGAACAATGGAAACAAGAGCTGAATCGACATGCTCCTTCTTTGAGCGTGCATCATTACACCGGCATCAAACGCAATGTTCCTACCAGGCGTGGCCAAGAAGCAGCCGACGACGACATGTTGATGAATGAACTTGCCGAATTTGATGTCGTCCTTACAACTTACAACGTCATTTCTAAGGAAATTCACTACGCCGGCGCCGCCCCAGAACGGAATTTGCGTCACGAAAAGCGATTTGAACAGAGAAAAACACCACTGGTTCGCATCTCCTGGTGGCGCGTCTGTCTGGACGAGGCTCAAATGGTTGAAAGTGGGGTCAGCAACGCGGCGCAAGTAGCTCGTTTGATTCCCCGGGAGAACGCTTGGGCAGTTACTGGCACTCCACTGCGCAAGAATATCGACGACCTGTTTGGCCTCTTGCTCTTTCTTCAGTACAGGCCATATTGCTTCTCGAACCCCCTCTGGAAGAGGTTGCATTCGCGCTTTGGGTCAGTCTTGGTTGAAATTATCGGCACGATTGCTCTGCGACACAGTAAGGATCTGGTGCGTGACGAGCTGCGCCTACCACCTCAAAAGCGAGTTGTTATAACTACTCCATTCACTGCGGTCGAAGAGCAACAATACGGTCAACTGTTCGATGAAATGGCCTTGGATTGTGGCCTGGATAATATGGGAGCCCCGCTTCGGGGTGACTGGGACCCGTCTGATCCTAAGACCGTCGAAAAGATGCGGCACTGGTTGACAAGACTCCGCCAAATCTGCCTCCACCCTGAAAGTGGTGGGGGCAAACGCCGAGTTGTTGGTGGAGGCGCTCTGCGGACTGTGGAGGAAGTGCTTGATACTATGATTGAAACCAATGACGCAAACATCCGGGCCGAGGAGCGGACAATTCTTCTCTCTCAACTTAGGCGCGGTCAGCTCCTGGAGAATGCAAAGAGACGCCAAGAAGCTCTCGCTCTTTGGCAGAAAGCATTGGACCGTTCTACTGAACTGGTCAAAATCAGCCGAGAGCAATTGCGTTTGTCTAAAGAGAGAGCTGGCAATGAAGCCGACAGTTTGGTTGAAGACGAGGAAGCGGACAAGAACAGCCTCCTTGGTCAATGCCGGCTCAAGCTTCGAGCGGCACTTGAGGTCCAGCACATTGCAGTGTTCTTTACTGCTAATGCATTTTACCAAATCAAAAGTGACACGAATCTGACCACCCCAGACTCGGATGAGTTCAAAGAACTTCAAAAGCGCGAGGAAGACGCCTATGAGGCTGCCAAGGCTATCAGAAAAGAGATTTTGACGGATGTCTCTCAAAAGGTGGAGCGTCACATGAAAACAGTTAAAGAGAAGGCCAGCAAGAATACCCTTGTGAAGCTACCGAAAATGGATCCGCAGATCTACAGCGGAGGAATTGAGGCTTACAACGTGATCAGCAACTTTGAAGACCTGTGCGATGCGCTTAACAAGCATGCGGAGCAGTACAAGGAATGGCGTGAAATCATGATCCGGCTTGTCACCCAACCATTGATTGATCAAGAAGAGGAAGCAGAGCTCGAGGGAGACGAATACGAGCGGTCAACGAAACATCAAGATGAGATGTATGTCTATATGGAAGCCCTGCGCTCGATTTATGCCGACAGACACGACGCGCTCACTGGCGATAAAAACATCCTCATCTCCCACGAAGTCAAAGCGGGTATCGCCCAAGCTAAAAAGGGAGAAGGACCATCACCTCCGCTGTTTCTTGACATCATGGATATTCGCAACGCGATTCAGCCAGACCCTGAGCTCGGGTCATTCCGTAAGATTATCAGTGAGCTCAGGAGCATTTTGACCACCCTCGAATGGCAGGCGAGCACTGGAAATTCGCGCGCTCGGGCGGAGCATGAGATTGTCGAGATGGTTCTGAAGAACGCAGGCCAGATGATTTCCGATCAACTTAAAGCGTCAAATGGTATGGAGAGAGAGGTCGAGATGTTCCGTGACGCGATGAACAATCGACTTGAATACTATCGCCAGTTGCAGCAGATTTCAGACACCGTTGCGCCATACGACGAGGAGAGCGCGGGTATGCCGCTCAATGATACGCTTTTTGCCGATAAAGTAGCAAATGAGGGACTCATCGAGGGGAGGCTATCTACCTTGAAGTCCAAAGCAAGATATCTACTTCACCTGAAGGAGGATTCCAGTGCCGATGACAGCGCCAGGATATGCATCATCTGTCAGTCTTCATTCGAAGATGGTGAGTATTTTTTTTCCCGACTGTATTGCGTTCTCACTGATACGTCCAGGGGTATTGACTGTATGCGGCCATAAATTTTGCACCGATTGCCTCCGGCTTTGGTGGAATGCGCACCACAATTGTCCAATGTGCAAAAAAGGCTGGTCCTCAAGGATTTTCATCCGATCACATACAAACCGCAGAACCTTTCGGCGCAAGAAGAAGACTCGCATGCCAAGCCGAATGCGACAGGCCATTCTCAAAATGCTATTTACAGCGATATTAGCTCTGGGCTTATGAGCGAGATCAAAAACGTGGAGCTGAAGGATTCGTTTGGAACCAAGATCGACACACTGGCCCGACATATAATTTGGCTGCGGGCGCACGACCCGGGAGCCAAGTCTATTGTCTTCTCTCAGTATAGGAGTTTCGTCGAAGTGTTGCAGACGGCGTTCGCTCGCTTTGACATTGGTAGCACTACGGTGGACCACAAGAATGGCATTGAGATGTTCAAGACGGATCCAAGGGTATGTATGCACTCTCGCCATATAATTGTGACTTACTAACCTATACAGATTGAATGCTTCTTGCTTCATGGCAAAGCGCAATCATCCGGGCTGACTTTGATCAATGCAACTCATGTCTTCCTGTGCGAGCCGCTCATCAACACAGCGATAGAGCTGCAAGCGATTGCTCGAGTGCACCGTATCGGTCAGCACCGGCCAACTACCGTATGGATGTACCTTGTTTCCGGGACAGTGGAAGAGTCTATCTACGAGCTCTCGGTCACGCGCCGACTGGCCCATATCATCGAAAAAGAGAAGCGTGAAAATGCCCCGCGAGCTCACACTGGTGCTGTTGTCCAGGACTTGACGGAGACGGCCATCGACTCTGCCAACTCCATGGAAATCCAAGACTCCCGCCTTGGGAGCTTGATGCAGAGCGACGGAGAGCTAGTGAAGAAGGATGACCTCTGGCAATGCCTATTCGGCAACATCAAACAGGGAGATGGCAATGATCGCTCAACCGATGTTGAGAGAGAAGTTGGCCGGTTTTTGAGAGGAGAGGCCGCCCAGCAGAGAACAAGCGGGCATTAGCTTTAATTAATTTAGAATAGTCTCAATGTACGATGTTAGTACGCCCAGGCGGTCCTTTAAATGATGACTAAGTGATGACTAATGAGTCCAATCTGCCCGCAGTATGCTCGACCGACTTGATGACGTGAGTTGTCGTTGCCTGTAAGTTTTGTTTAGTTTCACTTGATTTGGTTTTAATTTTGATTCACCTTGACTCTCTGTTTGATGCTCTGCTAGAGTAAACTCGATTTCCAGCAACCCTCTCTCACCATGGCGGACTCACAGAGCCCCGAGGCTCGTGAGTTGACCCTGATAGGCAAGGTGGAATTCAGGATTGCCATGGCAGATACAGATGAGAAGCTGCAGACACTATTGGGAACATACCTGGCGCCGTTGCTGTTGAAACTGAGCTCCGACAGCGTGGATGTGCGCAACAAAATCATCTCGGTCTGCCAGCATGTCAACACCCGAGTCAAGAACCCCTCCATTCAACTACCCGTGGCAGCTCTGCTGAAGCAATTTAAAGAGCAGAAATCCCAACTTGTCAGACATTTTGATCTCATTTATGCTCAGCAAGGAATCGATCGTCTCGGGTCGGAGGCCAGAGTTGATATCCTTCTCCCTTTACTCCAGGGTATCTCCCAAATTGGAACCTCGCCCACTCAGGGTGCTATCGTTTTCAACCTGGTCCTGCGCTTGCTGCCTCTGTTGAAAATTCCATCAAAGGGGAGTGAAGAAGATCGAGCTCTGAAGGATCGCCTGGGTATGTCGGATGAGGATTCTCAGTTCTTGTCTTTTTGGCTGGCAAAGTTGTTGCTCCTCACCCCTGGACCGAAAGAGACCACAACGTGTCCTGGCCTATCGCCTGAGGAGTACACATTCTTAAACAAGGGTCTTCCCGCAAATGAAACGTGGAATCCTTCCGCGGATGGCGGTTTGAACCTGACAGAGACAAAAGTTACCGCCCTACGATTTATCGGCAGTGGTGCTTTCAAAGATCCTCAGCGCTTTTTGCCATCGTTAATTGCTTCGGCCGATGCCAATTCGCGCCTCGCTGATCTGGGTGATGAGACCTTGAAGCGATTTACAGCGGACATTGAGAACCCGGATGTCGTGCAAGAGCTCTACGATATGTACTTTGGAACGCCTGGGGCCCCTCCCGCACGACCGCCGCTCCAGGTAAAGCTTTTGGTCTTCCTTGGCAAATCCGTTAAAGCTACTTCAGACCCACAGAGGATCATGAGACTCGTTGAAGAGGGTCTTTTATCTGATTCCGCAAGATCCGCTCAGGGATTGCAGGCATCGAAGCTACGAACTCAAATTTTTACCTTTACTACATGGGTTGTCCGCATGGGCGCACCTTCCGATCTCAAGCAGATCGCACCCAAGCTGATTGAAGGATTGAAGGACTTTATCCAGTCTCAGCAATGGCCCAGCCCGGCTGCCAGCGGGCAGAAGTTGCCAGCAACAGACCTCAGCCTGCGAGGACTCGCTTATGAAAGCATAGGCATCATGGTTCCTAAAGTCGACTTTTCTCTGCAGTCCGAAGAAAACTTTGAGTTCAACCTCGTACGCTGGCTGTTTGCTTCTCTGAGCGCGGATGACTCGAGCTCTGAAATCTTCGTCAGCATTGACCAGGCACTTGGAAGTATTCTCAATTCATCGCTCGACAGCCACGACAAGACGTTCCAGGACCAGTTGCGGCCATTCCTTGTCCGCCAGATGAGCATGCAGCCTGGAGACGTCGACCCAGATACTGGCTACCGCGCCGTTCGTGGTGTTCAATATGCGGCCGTGCGATTTGCCAATCGTTTCCTTCCATTCTCTGATGTAGTTGCTAGGTGGATCGACCTGATGGCTATTGCAAGAGGCCCGGAAAGGCAGCAGGAGATTGTTGAAGAAGGAAAGAAGGGTCTCCATCCATACTGGTACAGACTCCTCAACCCAGCCAAAGACGGAAAGTGGTCTGCATCAGCGGAAGCTCCAAAGCAGGATGAATCCTGGTTCAACTTTCCGAAGTTTGACGAGACAACCCGGTTTCTGCTGGGTTCGGGTGGTCAAGAAGAGCACCTGAATGTTCAGGCCATGTCTGCGTCACAATTATTGTCTGGGCCTTACAAGGGCTCCTTTGTCCCTACCATATCATTCCTCCGCAATACACTACTCTGGGAAGCGTTTTCTGCCGTCGGGATCACCGTGGCCCTAGAACAGGATTGGGACTATAAGCTAGAAGTGCTTCTCTCTACCAGCCCCGAAGCCCGCTCGGCTGTGAGACAGTACATCCGACAGCATGCCAAGGACTCTGTGGGGGCCCTGTTGTCCGGTACTCTTGAAGGTCTTGTGACCGGTGGACGTGAAGGCCTGCGCCAGTGCGGTGCTCATTTCGTGGAGATTTGCTCACTGGCACCGGATGACGTTGTTGGGCAGTTGATTTCACGTGCCGCGTCCTTGATGGAGCCTATCTGCAGCAATGATCAGGATAACCAGGGGATCACTGCGCGCGCCTTTGGTATTTTGGTATCCCATCCAGATTTCCCAGAGGAACAATTACAAAGTTTCACTGCTCAATTGACCAGTGTTATTCAAACGTGGAACACTGCCGTTGGCTCAGAGGTGCTGCGAGTTCGTGGCGCAATCTTGGCGCTTTCATACCTGCTGAGTAGACTTGCATACCGAGGGCTACTCGGAAGAAACCCGGAGGCGCAGGTCAAGCAATTTGTTGAGAATGTGTTTGATATCCTTGACGCGTCTCGAGACACGCTCCTTCAGAGAACCGCACAAGAGGCGATCGGACAGCTGAGTTTGTCCGGAGTACTCTCAGTCGATATTCTCCCCGAAGATGGCTGGAAGAAGATCCAAGAGAAACTCTCACGCGACGCCAAGACCGAGAACCAAATCCCTATCAGCTCTTTGGGTCTGCTGACCCTTACATTCTCCCGGTCTGACGGTACCTTGCTCGGTATTTTCCTCGACTCCCTCTACAGTCTTCATGAGATCCGCAGCCCCGAGGTTCAATTCACCATCGGCGACGCCCTGAGCAATGTCGCAACTGGATGGGATTCTCGCGCGCTTATTCAAGATTTCGACGTCGATGCTGACTTCCCTCACTCCGACGTCCCACGCACCGTGTTCACGAAAATCTGCGACAAGATCATTGCTGACTGCATTGCGCCCAAGCCATCTCTCCGAAAGGCGTCTGCCATCTGGCTCCTGTCGCTTGTCAAGAACTGTGGCCACATGCAGGAGATGCAGGAACGACTGCGCAAGTGCCAAGCTACCTTCAGCAGCCTCCTTGGAAATCGGGACGAGGTGGTGCAGGAGACCGGTGCGCACGGACTCAGCCTTGTATATGAGATCGGCGACCAATCCCTGAAGGACGATCTGGTCCGAGACCTGGTCGATTCATTTACTGCAACGGGCCCCAATCTCGGGGGTGGCAAAGTTGAGGCTGACACCCAGCTATTTGAACCCGGAGCCCTGCCCACTGGCGAGGGAAATTCTGTGAACACCTACAAGGATATCATGAACCTGGCTGCCGAGGCTGGTGACCCGACTCTGGTGTACAGATTCATGTCGCTGGCCTCGAACAATGCCATCTGGACGAACAGGGCGGCATTTGGCCGATTTGGGATCAGCAGCATCTTTTCCGACTCTAGCGTCGATGGATACCTGGCTAAGAATCCGAAGATCTATCCCAAGTTGTTCCGCTACAGATTTGACCCCAATCCTAATGTGCAACGGTCTATGAACACCATTTGGCAGGCTTTGGTCAAGGACCCTACTGTGGTTATCGACACACATTTTGATGAGATTATGCAAGATTTGTTGAGGAGCATTCTTGCCGGTCGCGAATGGCGTGTGCGACAGGCCAGTTGCGCTGCAGTCGCTGACCTCATTCAAGGCCGCCGCCCGGAGAAGTTTGCCCACTACCTCGATGAAGTCTATAGCAAAGCGTTCAAACTACTGGATGATATCAAGGAGTCTGTTCGAACTGCCGCTTTGAAGCTCTGCCAGACTATCACCAACTCTGTCATCCGCACACTGGAGACGAGTGGCACGGAGAAGCGCGCAGAAACTCTGCTCAAAAGTGCGATTCCATTCCTTTTGAGCGACAAGGGACTAGATGCTAGCGCGGAGGAGGTTCAAACCTATGCCATTGGTGCTCTCATCTCGATGATCAAGAAGAGTCCCGCCAGCCTGCTGCGCCCGCACGTTCCCAACATGCTGGAGAAATTCCTGAGTGCACTCAGCTCGCTGGAACCCCAGGCTGTCAACTACGTCCATCTAAATGCCGACAAGTACGGTTTGACTGGCCAAGAGATTGACAAAATGCGCCTCTCCAGCATTCGGACGTCTCCAATGATGGAGGTGATTGAGCGATACCTGATTGATAGTCTTGATGAAAGCAACATGGATGAGCTGGCGCAGAGACTGGAAGACGTCCTCCGGTCAGCCGTCGGCCTGCCCTCCAAAGTGGGCTGCAGTCGCGTTTTAGTGTTGCTTAGCATGAAGACCCTGATGTTCCGGCCCTACGCAGACCGGTTCATCCAGATCTTGACCAAGTACGTTGTCGACCGAAACGAGACGGTCAGCGCATCCTACTGCTCCTCTATGGGCTACCTCCTGCGGCTCGCTTCGGACGACCGTACCCTGAAGACCATTGAGTTCGCGAAAAATCTCTACCTCACAGCTGAGGACGCAACGCCCCGAGTCATCTCCGGAGAAATTCTCTACTCAGCCTCGAAACTGTCCAATGACCGCTTCATGGCATTCGCAGCCAGCGCACTACCCTTCATCTTCGTGTGCAAACACGATGGCGACGAGCATGTGAAAGATCAATTCGAGAAAACTTGGCAGGACAACGTCGGTGGCTCGCGCGCCGTGTCGCTCTACATCCGTGAGATTGTCGGCCTTGTTTCGGATAATTTGGACTCTCCCCGGTGGGCCATCAAGCATACGGCCGCACGGGCGATAGCGCAGGCGGTGCTGTCACTTGACACGGAGATCGATCTCCCGACCACTCAATTGGTTTGGCCGGTGCTGGAGCGCGCGCTGGCGGGAAAGACCTGGGAGGGTAAAGAGGTCGTGCTGAAGGCACTAGTGAAATTCAGCAGCCAGGCGAAGAAGTGGCAGACTAAGGAACAAACCAGTCTAAAGGTGAGACTTTTTTGCCACTTTCCCCGCGATGATGATTGCATGATTCTACACGGGAATAAGGGGTCCGGAAAGCTAATGTATGTCAGACGATTACGGTTCGCGAAGCGAAGCGAGCTAACGTTTTGTACCGCCCGCACGGATTACGGGCTATGGGCGAGATCGCACAAGTACGTAAGGACTTGAATTTCATGCCTGATGTTTTGGATTTCATTCCATCCGTGGTGGAAGAAATGTGTGAGGAGGATCAAATGGAGGTAGAGTCTAAACATGGCTCGGCCCAGGACGATACCCTTGCGGCGTGTATACAATGCCTCCTGCAATGTTTCAACCCGGATACAGGAAAAGGTCAGTCCAATGAGAATTTGGTAAATCTGGTTTTTTTTTATTTTCGAATATTTTCCACCCCTATACGGAGTAGGAAAAGACCAGTGCCAAAACCACCCCTCCCCTAGCGTCAAATCCTTGCTAACGCTAACCATAGCGCTGGGAGAGTACGTGGAACAGATGACCGGTCTCCTGGACCAGGTCCTCCAACACGGTGGACGACAGGTCGTCAGCACGGGCTACGAAGAGCTCCGGGCGTTTTTCAGTCGAGTGGATCAGTGGATCTCGGATGCCTCCGGTGAGCGACAGATAGTCCCCTTGAACTCTCTGTCAAAACTTCTCATCCGGGAGCTGGATGGATCTGTCGAGGCCATCCGCAAGGGTCGTGCAGAAGCTATTCTGGCATACCTGAAACTGGGGTCAGCGCCCGACGCACTTGTCACCAGTCTGCGGGAATGGAGAGGCAGCGAGCGGTCCGGAACGGTGCAAAAGCTCCTGGACGAAGCCCTAACCCACGTGGCTACCTGAGTCAGGGCTGGTGATCATTGGTTGAACCACACCTTCGACGAGGAGAACCATTGGATTGCAGCGATCGAGGGAAATCGAACCAATCACACGGGTGGGGGCTAAACCCAAAACAGTAGTAACCCGCGATAAATCCAAATTTATCATTTTCTCCATTTATGTTTATTTGAGTTAAATTCGAGATAATTGGATCTCAGGCACGGATTCTGCAGAGATGTCCAGAAGGCGACGATAATGAACCATATCATGATTCAAATACCCTTTAGTGCTGCGCCACTCGCTTAATCCTCGGCCAAGTCCGTTGGGAATGCGGAGGAGTCGAAAATCGTGCCCCTTCACACTGCGTGGATCCAGACCGGGGGCCCGGGCCGATCGAGACTGCCCTTAGTTTTGGTGGGTGCATATTGACTTTCTCTTTTTCTCTTTTGCTCCTTTCCCCCCGTTTTTTTTCTTTCTCCCTAATACTTTAGGTGTCCACCCTATCTTACTCACACGAAGTACTCCTCAGAAGTAAATAAATAAGAAAACTAAATAAAAAAAAACATTCGGCTCCGATAAAAGTCCCTTGTATCGTTTTCTACGTGGCTTCAGCCAGCCCCCCCTCTGTCCCTCTGTCCCCTTACCTTTATATCTTTTCTCTCTACGCTCTAGTCTCTCCCTAGTTCCCTCTAGTGCCCGGGGACAACCCAATTCGGGCACGAAAAAAGTAATAATAGTATCTTTCCACATGGTTGGCATCTGCGTGCCATCACGAAATTCTCACTCTCACTCATTTCTCTGTCCGCTTTCTCTCGTTTAGACCTAGCTTCTCTAGATTTCCACCCCCTTCCTAATCGAACCGGACATCTACTTCGGTATCTGACCTGTTTCTCGCGTCCGAGATTCAGATCACCCGCCACCCGTCAAGCCTGAAAACAGGGCTGCGCCATTCTACGAACCATGCATTTTTTTCTCTTCCCTGAATACCCCCACCCTACATATATGATCACATCATTCCTCTAATTAGCTTTACATTCTTTGACTTTCTCACCTTATTTTCCCTTTTTTTCTCTGTAAGTTACAAGGTTCTGCTCTGCGATATAAATATATCCCTGTACTCACCCTCCCCCAGCCTTATGACGGTCAGTGTAGTGATGCAGAACCGCCGGAGCAAAGTCTCGGGGAAACCGCCACTGCGTTTGCCCATCATCGCGCCCAAGGAAGACCTCTTTGCAGAGCTTGCCAAGTCCGACAAACTCATCGCGCCACCACGCATTCGTCTGCCACCCCGGTCTCGGACAGGTTGCTGGTAAGTACCTTCCCTGTATACGATCAACACAAGAACACAAGCTTACTATTGTTTAGGACATGTCGAGTGAGTTCTTTGTCTTCCCCCTGGTTCAGCTGAAGTCTTAATTAACACTCCTTGCAGAGTCGAAAGGGTGAGAGATGCTTCCGTTTTGGCCCCCAAGTTTCCCAAGTTCCCGGCTAACATTCTCAGTCAAATGTGATGAAGGACACCCGCAATGCAATGTATGGCATTCTTCACCCTCTTCATTCTACCCCAGTTTTGTCATTTACTCACATTTTGACAGCAATGCACCCGTTTGGGCCACACTTGCGATTATCGCCCTCGGTTGGCGTTCCGTGATGACACCCCCCGCATTATGGGTCGTATGACCGACGTTAAGACAAACGGCCACGTCGTTTGGGATCGTAAGCACCTTTCACCGGGCTGATGTAGTATATTTACTAACCAGAGTAGTCACCTCGCCCAGTTCTGCAGGTCTTGAAGAGAGAACAGATTATTTCTCCCTTGGAGACTCTCTGCCACCCTTTTCCACCCTCACTTCCGACGAGGACCGGGAAAGGAAAGCGGAGGCTTTTAGCCCAGGCACGTACCATGTCGTTATGACACCAGACAGCTTCTCCTCCTTGCCTGAATATGCAGACGAGGAGAGATTTAGATCAAAGTCTGCCAGTGAGTGTAGGAGCTCCGCGGCCACCAGTCCGACATCGGTCGCACGCAGTGAATGCAGTGTGAGAGAAGACCCGAATGTGGTTATCCTGAAGACTTTTGAAGATACCACTCGACGTTCACCGTCGAATGGCAAGATTTCTAAATTCTCGCCTACCTCGGAGATCTCGGATCCGTTTTGCAATCTGTCGCTATCACCGATATTCCCTGCTCTTCCCTCACCGGGAGTCAAGGTCGAGGAAATTCCATTCTTAGACCCGCGCCTCGATCAACAATCTCAAGACTCGACTCTTTTCTCACATTTCCGACACGTTGTATGGAGGCAATTGTTCCCTCATGATCATAATCTTGATGATGGATCTGATAATCATTTCATGACCCTCAATGTGGACTTTCTAGAGCAGGAAGCCACACGATTTCCTCCTGTGAGTATCAAACTATATTTTTACTGCATTGATACTAATTTCTTAGCTTTCCGACGCTATGATGGCTGTCTCGGCCCTCAGTCTCTCACACAGCGGCACAGGTCACAATGTTGATGCGTTACAATACTATCAACAAGCCTTCCCATCACTCCAAAACAGCCTACGAAACAACGATGACCTTGTTTCCGATGGCCTGTTCCTCACCCACTTCCTCCTCCTTATCTATGAGGTGAGTCTAGAATCTGATATCACATTTCCCCATACTTACCTCTGCAGATCGCTGCCGCCGAGCCGCATGGCTCAAATCTCTGGTCCCACCACATCTCCCGTCTCCTTCACATCACCTACCTCCGCCGAGCCAAGTACGGCCATGAGCCTCACCCCTTCATCATCTGGTGGGTATCCCACATCGACCTGTATGCCTTGTTCAGTGGGGCTGGTACCGGCGAGTTTGTCCGCGCCATCATCGACCACCAAATGCTTCCCGGGTCAGAGTCGCTACTCTACCCCAATTCCCCTGAAGGATATAGCGTCATCCATCCCGGAGAGCACGAGAGTCTACCCATAATCATGCGTTTATATCATGATACGTTCCGACTAGCCGCGCAAGTTGGCTTTTTGGCTACTCGGATTCGACACGATAAGCAGAACCTGCCTTATGCCGAGTTCAATCCGCGATCACAAGAGATCAACGATCTTCGCCAGGCACTTAGTAGACTTTGGGAGTCTCCTGATGTCGCATTCCTTCACCAGCACCAGGACAGTCTCCCACAAAGGTCTAGGGAGTTAATGCAGCAGGTCAGTTACCTTTCTCCATTTCGTTACAATTAACTAACCCCCTCCAGTCAGCAACATTATATCACACCTGCCAGCTCTTCTCGTATAGCAGCATGTGGCCCCGTCAACGCGTGGAGTCCGAATACTCCTCCGACGGGGAAATAGACCACCACGCAAACGAGATCTTAAGATTAGCCGAGAGGACTACGCATACCCGCCGAGCAGATCGTCACTTCTTGGTCTTTCCATTATTCCTAGCTGGCGCCACGGCTTCGGCTAGCGGTATTAAGATGATGGCGATGGAATTAATGACTAGCATGGAGGATGAGGAGGATGGCATGGGTCGCAATGCAGCGACTGTTCGTGCTATTCTCCAGGTTGTCTATGAGAGACAGCTGGAGCGGTTGATGAGGGTTGGACACACTTTTGATGTGGATTGGTCTGATTTGATGACACAGGAAGGCCTTCAGATGGTCAATTTCGGATTTTAATGGGGATGTTACGTTAGATGTTAGTATGATTGGAACGAGTGTATGTATAGACGATTCTTTATTCCTGCATTTTCATTTTGCTAGCGTGTGCTATCTTAAGCATGTCATCAACCACCACACCTCTTGTGTAATATGAATACTTTCTTTGGATAGAATCTGGCTAGCTGGCATAGGGTAAGGGATCTAATAGAAAAAAGGTCGCACTTATCGACAAACTCATACTTACATTACTACAATTTGTGATATGTTCGTTACCCTTTTCGTCTTGTCAACCCGAACAAGTTTTGATTGGTTAATCCTGGGTAGTAGACCAGCGAGGCTCCAGAGGATGGGTCTTGTTGGCTAGTAATATACATCCATGGATTTGCTAGCTATGATAGAGTAGGATGATCCAATGCAAAGTTAATATAGCCCTTTTTCTCGGGCAAGCCCTGGAAACACATGTGGACAAAGCAAAAAGTGACATGTACTGCGCTACGAGTAAAATGTATAGAGTTGTCACGCGGGGCAAGGAAATTGATATTGGGCTAAGCTATGAACAAATGTAGTAGATATAGCCACAGATTGGTATGCTAGTGATTTTTTTTTCGTCAGGAAAAATGGCCCGCGTAACGGGTTAAGCAATGGGGAATCAGAATCAGGGTATGCCGAACGCAGTCAAATGAAGCCGCGTAGAGTTAATAAAGCAATGTGAATCAGGAAAGCAACCTTAATAGACAGCGGCTCGAGAGACACCATGTGTGATGAGAGGAGGAAGAAAGGTTGAAGGAATAGGGCGCTATACGTTGATTTGGTGATAGAAGCAGGTGGATCTCAAGCTACCATCTAGCGTCTGAGATCCTGAAGCAGCGCTTGAAACAGGGTAGCTTCCAACGAAGCGTTATCTTCCGGGTACTTTATATCCTTTTCAAGAGACCTGAGATTGCGATGGAAGGAAATGGCGTTTATAACCGCGTTTCGGTGACGATCATTGTCGCCCACAGCGTTCACAAGGTCTGTCATCCAAGGCTCCGGCGCGAGCATCCCGTACACCGATTGGCGTTCATCATCACTAAGCGATTGGCGCATGAAGCTATGGGCCACCTCGGATGATTGAATTGCAGCTTTCGTGGTGCACAGGGAACGTAATGCCTGGATCAATTCAGATGATTGAACGCCACTTTCGGTCATTGTATCGACAACAAGTGAATGGAACGGGGTCAGACGCACATCCTGTTGATCATTATTGCGGATGTCGATCGATGTACGATTCTTGAGTGGAAGCAACACGGCGTCATTGGATTCAGCGTCGGAGAATTTGCGCTTCTTGCCCTCGTCTTTCGACTTGTTTTGCGGAGACAACACAGCGTCATCAGATTCGATGTTATCAGGTTCAGCGGCGTCGAATTCATCAATGTCAGATTCATTGTAGATTTCATCCCATTCGATAACGCGATAGCCGCTACAGCGTTCAAGTTCATGCCATGTGGAAAGCCGGGATTCCATAACATTTATCTTGAGCCTGGGGTGGAAACCTGGGATTTTTTTCATGGGGATATACCCCCAAGGCCTCTCGACGTGAAGCACCGTGGTGGCTGTTGCGGGCTCGGTACCACGTAGAGGGACGCCATGGACCTGATGCCCGTACTCCCATGTTGAAGGGGGATGCGTTTCACTTGGGGTCAAAGGAATATTATGCGGCTTTGATGGTTCATAATTGGAGAGGGTACAGTCAAGTCCGCCAGCGCCAGACGAGGACTGTACGTCAACCGGTGCCAGTACAAGTCCTGCGCGTAGCCATCCATTATTAAACGGTGACTGTTCTTTAGGATACTTTCGTTGTAGGAGCCACCCCATATCATTCCTTCCACCAGTAAAGATATAAGTGTCTTTCCAGGCGATAAAGAAACGAACGTTGTTCTGGACTGCAACAACCGTCGGGGGTTTGGGAACACGCGTGCGGCGAATGTCTCCGCGCCTATCAAAGTCAAAGGGCAGTTGGCTTGCCCGTTCTTTTGGCGAAAGCATCAACAGTGCGAATACACAACCGGCGTCCGTGAGTCTTGTCCGTGAAGCGTTCCATGTGATCTTGCCGTCGACCCATCTTTCAGGCGTGAGAAGTCCGGCTCTTTCGGGGGCATCGCGCAGTGTCCACTGCCTCATTGAATATATCTTGGTAGGCCGGGTAACTCTGGTGGCTGCAAGGACCGTAGGTGGGAGGGGCTGGTTGGCATCCCACGCAGCAGGATTGTCGCATTGATCCCTGGATTCTTGCTTGATAGCAGCCATGCACGTTTTGTTCCCCTGCTCCAGGTTCGAGAGGAATGTGTCGGGCCAATGGGACCAGTCGGACACGTCGGACATGGCAGTCTCGTCGATATCAGGTAAATCTGCTGCCATGATGCGGTGGGTGATAGATAACAAAGTTATGGTGAAAGTAGAGATGTGAAGTAGTATAAGTTGGCGATAAGAGGTTCAAAGCAAAGTAGACCGAGGATGAGAGATGTAAAGCAGTGGAAGAGCGATGACGAGGGAGAGATGCAAAGCAGAGTAAGACGAAGAGGTAGGAATCAAGGTAAGACGGAGATGGTGGAGAGATGCAAAGTAGAACAAGATGACGATAGCAGACCTCGGGAGAGATATAGAGAGCAAGATGATGAGATATGAAGCAAGACAAGATTATGGGAGATGAGAGATGTAAGTAGAGGAAGATGAAAACAATGAAGTAAAGGAAAGCAAAGGTAGCGAAGGAGAGTGGAATGCAGTAAGACGAAAATAGTGGAATGGAACGAAGTAAAGTAAAATGACAACCAATGATTGCTTATTTCTCATAGACTGTAGTACTCAGAGTGATCATTGTACATTGGAATTACTTATAGCATAATTCACTTGGAGCCTCCTGTTCTTCTTAAGCTAGTAGATTGGCATATCACCAGCCTGTTGGGCCCAGTTCTTGATGGCCTAATGGATTCGAACCTGGTAACCCGGCTGGTCATGGCGCAGGGTGTGAATGTGTCTGTGTTCTTGGTCTGCAGTGAAAGTGAAAGAACAGCCCAGTCGGGTGTTAGATGCAAGTGGGTGGAGATTTGTTGTGGTTGACACCCCGCCGGTGGTTTAGAGAGGGCTAGTGTTAGACTTTCTTAATCTAATCTGATCTGATCTGATCTACCTGCTTCCCACATATATTTTCACACAACAATTTATCTAGTTCTCCATGACTTCGCATCATTAATTCCATTCTAGACTTGATGCCTTTTTCACTCGTAGGTAGTTTCTTCACTGAAATATCGCCATACCGCATTGTATTCAAGATCAGCTATCATGTTGCGCTGGACGCAGAAAACAGCATGGACGATCTTATACTCAAGATATGCCGGAAATTATCAAGTGTGAATTATATCATCTAGTGTATTGTACCACATTCTGCAGGAAATGCGCTCTCCAATCGGTACCGAAGCAAGAATAATATTGAAATGTAGCGGAAAAAGAAAAGAATAAACTGCGTCGAAGTGCCATCAGTCAAAACTCAACTAATAGCAATGGGGTGCCGCAGAACAAAAACAAGAAAGCTCAATTCAGAAAGGGCAAAACGGCGTGGGATGTTGAAAGACACTGTCAACAAGGGTGATGCAGCTGGAAATCAGTGGCCAGATCACGGTGGCAGTCGAACTCCAGTGTGTCGTCTTCTATCGTGTTAGCGGCCTCCGGGATGTAAGACTTGCTGTCATGGTAGTGCAGAGCATGGAGAACTACGTCACGCCTCTCTGTGTACATCCTCACTTGTTTGTTGTCTAATCTTGCTTCATTCATGTGGGTGCGCTCAACTCGAGGGGCAGCAGGAGGGCAGGTAACCACGCTGCTCAGGTAAGATTGTTAGGTCAAGTGTCGCTACGCCGTGCACCCGCTGCCCATGGTGCCATGTTGAAGCGCACTTGCTTCCACTGGAGCAATTTTTGCGCTGGGTTGACTAAACGGGAAATTCTATGAGCCCAGGACGACTTCAAGGCCGTCAGCGTTGGATGAAGACTGGACACCTGTCGGTGCCAGTTTGCGAACCTTCGAAGAGAATGGTACCCTATTTTGTCCAACTAGGCATTAGATTCCATGGCCAATGTGAACCTGAGAAGTACGACTTTGAAATAAATAATACTCGATATATCAGTAAGAGCTGAAAACTTGTTGGCATTACACGTAGCAACATACCTAGGTTTAACTTTGCAGCTAGTGATTCTAGGTACTATATGTTTTGCCGTCTGATCCAATCGACTCTAGCTCACACGAAGTTGCAACAATGGCAGATTTGGATCCTCGAAAAACGGCTCGATTACTCCGGCAGATCGAAGGGCCAAATATCTCGCAGGTCTCTTTCATCCCTAATAGGCTCATCGTCATCCGGATCATCATTTGTCAGTACGGCTTCCAACATCCCATTGTACATTGCTTTGTTTCCTGCTTTTGCCGCTTCCCAGTCGTCTGGTGGAACCCATCCGTCAGATGCAGTGTCAAGCAAGCCTGACAAATCACGCTTCAGATTCTGGGCTGCCTCAAAACATCTGTGCTCCTTTCGGTGCAGAGACATCTCTTCTGGTGTTGGTAAGACAAATGGACACGAACCGGGCAATCCGAGTGTCTCCCAGTCCTGGGAAATTTCTATGAGCTCATGCCGGAAAGCAACGGCGCCATCTTTCCACGTTCTGTAGCAGTACTGAAAGGGTCGACATATACCTTGATCCATCGACCTAGGGAGTGCGAGTTTTGGAGTGAGAAACCGGGTGCATACTTCGTAGGCTTTTGCGCATAGCTCGCTGTCATCTGCCGCTTCAGCACTTGTGGAAGCTGAGCAGGTTGCGAAGTCCGGAACCTCATCTGCATACCAGAACGCCGGTTCTATGCTGGATGACTGATAATCTATAAAACCAGTTATGACCGAAGAATCATCATCCGAAACAAATATGTTCCTTTTGTGTAGATCAGGATGAAACAAGGCCGGCATAGCTGCATCACGGACCCGATTATCCGCGGACATTGCATTTAACACTGCACGACCACTTTCCAGAAGAGCGAGATGTTCCTGAACCGAGCCTTGATAGATTGGCCGATTGGGGAGCTCAGAGTCCCGAGGTGGGATCCTTGAAATACCTGCATCGACAAGGCCATCGGAGTACGCACCTATCGTTGACCCTGTATTCCCAAGACTTAGTTAGCCCTGAATTCCAGGGATGAAGGTTAAAGCGAGCTCACATGGACCTTGATTGGGAGCTGTATGTTGGTAGTACCTGAGGTCGCCACAAGCCCAATACCTTGTTCCGCAGTGGGGTCCGATGCAGAAGTCATCGTCTAGCGGTAGCCTAGGGGAAGAGCCCAATGTCGTGGTGTTAAAATATAAGCTTCCATAGGCCGAAAAGTTGAGATCAACCATCTCTCTGAGATTTTTGTAAATGGCGTCTATACATGCGACTTTCTGATCACCCGACATGTAGGGCCATTTCTGCTGTAGCGGAATGCCAGCCGCATGTTCCATGATGATATATTCGCTTCCGACAATATTCACCGCGTCATCGCTCCAGTCAAGGATTTCAGGGATCGGGATACTGGTGTTTTTTTGTACTGCGTGCCACAAATGATTAGCGCAAGAGCTGGCCCCTCGCAAATGGGCGTTTCACGCACAGTATTGAATCGTCGCCACTTCAGAAGCCGTGTTGAATTTTGCAGGGCCAGCTGATATGAAGGGTAGCCGCGCCACGACGCGTGAACTGTCATCCATGGTGAAAATAAACACCCTGTTGAAACCACCTTCTTTCTTCTCGCAGCTTTTAATGTGTTTCTTTTCGTGGTAAAGGCCCACTACCTTCCGACAGAGCTCGTCAAAGTTAAGGTCAATTTGGCGTAGCTGGCGTTGATGCTTGTCGTCCCGAAGCCATCGACCGCTTGTATATGAGGTCAACCCCTGTAGTTATATTATTATCAATATAAATCAATTGACAAAACTAAGCATACCATGCTTTGTTGCCTGGTCCATTGAAAACCCCGAGATTGGCTGTGCGCGATTGCGCGTGGAGTAGGATGATTGAGAGGGGACATCGCGAATTAAGGAAGGCCGAACATAATGAGTCCAGTGAGAGTGAAATTTGAAGAAAGGCACTTGCGATATCTGGAATGCTCTTATACGGCGCATTGTGCCAAAAGCTGGGAGCGTGGAAAGGGATGTGACTTCTTGGTTCTTGACGGGATGAGGCGGCTGCCTTCGGCGGCGGCGGCTGCTGCAAATTTAGACGTCGCATTTTTTGACATCCTGCACCAGTTGAACAAATTCTGTCAAGGTCTTGAACATTTTTGCTATTTCATTGAGCCAAAGCCAGTTCGTAGCTTATGCTTATAAAAAATTGGTAGTTTGTAGCTCAAAAAGCATAGATTAATCAGGAAATTGATGACTACCAAGACCAAAATTACCCAAATAATGGGCTCGTGGGGGGCCCATGTGGGGGCCCATATGGGCCCCAAAAGCCCACTGGGTTTGGGCTGGGCTCTGGGTTCTAACGGGGACCCATTTATGGATTTTGCGGAGGTCTAGCTGTTGGTGACATCTATAGAATCGAGTCGACAATTTTTTTTTTTTCTTTCTAGGTACAATGAGTCATCAAAGCACTTCTGATTGTCGCCACGCATATCGGACAGATTGAGGGTGACGTTGACCTATAAAGCAAACCCCAGGAGATCCTCTTAAAGAATTCTTGGATGATAACTTTGAAAGACCTATTCTAACTCTTACTCTATACATGAGAGTAAGTATTCCAAGCCAGCTAGCCCAATCCTTGCAATGTATACTTGGACAATGTCATCCAAAGTTATAGTTCCAAAGTTAAAGTTAGACTGAGTCTAAAAGACTGAGCGGTCATGCCCTCACCTCCTTCCAAGGTTCCTGTTTGGGAAGCAGGGCTTCTTCATCTCTTTGCTTGCTTGCTCATATTCCTTCTCCTATTCTTTTTCTCTCTTCTCTCACGCACGCGCATAGCTCTGTTCCCCTCACCATCTACGTTGCTCTTGTGCTTCTTGCTTTTTTTGTAGACTTAATTCCCGCCTTACCTGCTAAGAAGAAAGAATAGGACTCTATCCAGGTACTAATTAGGAAGTCCTCTATTCAACTATAACGAAGTATCCTGGTCTGGGGTCAGCAAGTATAGTCCCCGTAAACAAAGCATCCAAGGTGAACCTTGGAAGGCCTTTCTATTCCTGAGACAGTGGCAATGGCTTTATTCTCAACGAAAAAGACATATAATTTATATAGACCCTTCCAAGGTTCCTCCCAAAATCTGGTAATAACGTCAAATATATCCACGCCAGGCTTCGATTACATCCCGAGGTGCTGCTCGATTTCCATGGTTGAAAGCGGCCCGTGATGCCTGCAAATGGTAAAAGATAAACATCTAGAATATCGTACTTTTCATGTCAATATATTCCTATTCAATGTGGAAATGGTTATCCGTCGATTGCCCAAGTGTGAGACGAGGTTGAGGCCCCAAGGCAGCAATTGTGATTCTCATCACCTGCGGGGTCGGCGTCTCGCCCTTGGCGGCTACAGATTAGTTCTCCTATTTTCTGAATAATTTCCCCCTTCATCTCTTTTCTTTTTGTCATTCCTGCGGACTGTTTCAGAATAGTCATCAGGCTTTTTCATTGCCCCTCTGGCTGATCGCCGCGCTTATCTCCGTCGCGACGCAGCTGTGGCTGAATTCTGTCCTCTGCACGGAGTAGCTGTTCAGCCTCTATAATCGGCAACATGGGCAGTAACCGTGCCCTCCACCCGGAGGAGCTTTTTATCAATGATTCTGCCCAGGAATCTCCCGTCATTGGGCCTCTTCGCATCAGCAAACAGGGCTCCTCGTCCCCAGCTTCGGCTTCGGGTTCAAGCCCCCCGCCGAATGCCCCGCTGCCTTACCCCGACGACCGTCAACGTCCTCAAATGCGCACGTCGAGCTCCAGTGATCGGTATCCAGATGGTCGCTATGATTCACCAACAGTTGGATCTGGCTCCATAAGTCCGAATGAATACCCTTCAGCCTTGCGCCCGCGGGACGGTCGCGAGCCCCGCATCGCAACCTTGGCTGAGCGCAGAGGTACCGCCCCTAAACCGTTGCCTGAATCGCCAGGACACGATGCGCCAGATCGCGAGGCTCTGGCCGCGAGGATATATCCTCGCCCTCCAGCTGGTCCTGCCCCTGCCCCGCCATCGGACGTAAACACGAACCAATATGACAGCCAGCAACAATACTACCCGCCTCCCCAACGACAAAGTTCCGTGTCTGCGGCCCGTCCCCCATCCAGTCTTCAGGCCCCACAGAACCCGCTCAACCGCTTCAGCTCAACCGCCTCGACATCAACAACCCGTGCCCAGCGTGGTTCGCCTCCGCCGCCGGAGACCCCCGTTGCTGGACCGGGCCAACAGCCCACTTCTGATATCGAGGCCCGGTATGCCGCAGCCGGTATTGCAGGAACTGGCACTTTGCAGGGCATGCAACCGCACAACGTTGCCGCCCAGAGACGAGCGCAACAATACTCGGGCCAACAGCCGACTTTCCAGCAGCCCGCTCAACCCCCTCAACCGCGTCCGTGGACTCCGACCGAGCAGCCAGGGTCTCAACCTCATGGCCCTCCCACAGTCTATCAGGGCGCAGATGTCGTGAGTGAGAATGGCCAAGGCCCTGCTCATCCGGGCCAGTATCACAGTCCACCACCTCAGGTCCCAGGGGGGGTATAGTAGCCCACCACCACAGGCTCATCCAGGTCAATACAGCAGCCCGCCTCCACAGTCTCACCCTGGGCAATACAGTAGCCCCCCCGCCGCAAGCTCATCCAGGTCAATACGGCACACCGCAGCCACAGACCCATCCCGCCCAATACAGTAGCCCTCCACCACAAGCTCACTCAAGTCAATACAGTGGGTCTCCGTCTCAACAACGCCCTGGATCTGTGCCGCAACAACAGGAACAACCAGGGAGAGCACCCTCAAACCCTCTGGAACAAGACATGGATCGGATGCGTCTGAGCTCATCGCCTCCCCCTGCCTATTCAAGCGTCTCTGGCCCCTCAACTTCAAGTAGCTACCCCGTTGAGAAGGCAAGCGGTGCAGCTGGAGCCGCAGCCGCAGCCGGAGCCGGAATGATACACCCCGCTCTAGCAAACCAGTCTCACCCTGCCACAGCAAATGCGGCATCTCCACCGGCGGTGTCCGCTCAAGACCATCCCGCCTTTGCAAATGATCCAAGGCAGCAACCGCAGCAAGCGAATCAGTCGCCGCAACCCTCTGTTGCCAGTGACTTGTCGGGTTTCCATCACCAGACAGTGCAGGTCGCTTCTCCTGGTCCTTCCGGGGCAACCCCGGCGTCTCCACCGCCTCTCCCCGAAGGATGGATTGCCCACATGGACCCGAGCACGGGGCAGTACTATTATATTCATCTCCCTACACAGTCCACCCAGTGGGAGTTCCCCAAAGGCCCTACACCGCTCAACCTGAACGACACACCCTTGTCTCCCGTTGCCAGTGTGTACAGCTCTAATCCACTGGCTTCTCCGGGTCTTTCAGCCTTCGGCAAACAACCTCTTGCCTCGCCTGGTATGCCATTAACTCCTGGATTTGAAAGCCTGCAATCGCCCATGGTGACTGGTTTCTCCGGTCCTCCGCCCAGCAGTGGCATGGATCTGTACAAGACCACCCCCACCAACGGGGTGTACTTTGGTCCCTACCTGCGCTACACCAACATGGATATCGAGCGTGGAGTCTGGTTAGGATCGATTCTACTCGTGACGGACGCTGCTCAGCCACCAACAATCCACATGCATCAAAGCATGGATCTGTCTCCAAACCCGCGCCAGTTGAAGGCGCAAAACATCGCCGCTCACCAGCGCTGGACGTTCTACAGGTACGATATTGATATACAGATGGATGATGCGGGCCCTGCAAAATGGACATACGCCATCACCTCCCACCTTGGCTGCACCCGCTATGAGTTCTTGGTCGCTGGTCGACACGAGACAAATTGGCGGTTCATCTCCACCTCCGGAAATGACTTCTCGCTCAGTGTAAACGCCAATGAACGTGCTCGTCTGGGCGGTGCAGGCTACATGTGGAAAGACATCATGCAGAAGCACAATGAAATTGGTGGATTCCACGCCCAACTATGTCTCGGCGGTCAGATCTATGCAGATCGCATGTGGAAAGAGATTCCATCTCTCAAGCAGTGGCTGACTCTCAGTGGAAAGGAATCCAGAAAGAACGCGCCTTGGACTGCGGCTAACCAGCAGGATGTGTCCCATGCGTACTTCCACTACTACACCAGCCATTTCGATCAGCCCTACATCCGGGAATCATTCGCGCAGATCCCCTACATCTGCCAGATTGACGATCACGATATGTAAGTCACCGCTCCAAAAATGTGTGAATGTACTAACTTTTCAGCTTCGATGGCTTCGGCTCCTACCCCGAGCACATGCAGTTCTCCAACATGTTTAAAAACATTGGTCGCATCGGAATCGAAATGTACCTACTTTTCCAGCATCACACAACCCTCGATCTCCTCCGCAATGTCAACAATGACATGGACCTCTTCACCATCACCGGCACAGGCTGGCACTTTGTCAAATACCTCGGTCCCGGAGTTGTGGTCGTCGGTCCCGACTGCCGCTCGGAACGAAACCCTCATCAGGTCATGGCTGGTCCCACGTACCAGGGTCTCTTCCCGAAGATCGCAATGCTTCCACCGAGTGTGCAACATTGTCTTTGGATGGTCGCCGTGCCACTGATCTATCCCCGATTGGAAACGGCAGAGCACATCGCCCAGACCGTTGCCACTGGAAAACGTGCCGTCACCGGTGCTTACAACGTCCTGGGCAAGGTCACGAGCTCCGTGGCTGGCGTAGTTGGCGCCAAGGACTTTGTAGGCTCTGGCTTTGACTCCGTGAAGCGGGCAGTGGGCAAGTCAGGTCTTATGGGTGGAATCCTGAGTCCATTCGGCGAGTTCAACTCTATGGATGAGCTGCGGGATCAATGGACGCACGAATCCAAGGTTCGTCCATCTTTTCGTCATTCGAACCAATACTAACCTAACTAGGACCTCGAGCGCACATACTTGATCCGTACCCTCCAAGGTATAGCTCACCAAAAGTCCCTGCGTATGACCTTCCTCTCTGGAGCTGTCAATGTCTGCGGCGCGGGTCTCGTCCACGACCCTTCAAACCCCTCGGACCACAAGACGATGTACCAACTCATCGCCTCGCCCGTCGTTAACACACCTCCCCCCTCGTACATCATCAAGCTCCTGCACAGTCACAACAAGCCACTGTACATCCCAGCCAATGGCCATCGGTCATCTGGTCAGCCCAGCGACACCAAGGAAGACATGATGGAGATCTTCCAGACAGACGTCAACGGCCAGGCTCGCGAGCACCGCAAGCTCATGGGCCGTCGAAACTACGTTGCTATTGTTGCCTATGACCCGGACACTGTGAGCTCACCTTATGGCCAAGCGCCGCAGAGCTCCAAGAGTAAGCTCAGTCTGGCGGCGGACTTTATGGTGCAGGGCGAGGGATCGCTCGGCAATGTGGTCAAGTTCGGTCCGGTCATTGTGCCGAGTTTGGACCAGGGGAGGTGATTGATGGAGTTGATGATGCTCTTGTATTTCTTTTCTTACATATCTTGATTGAATTGCCATTTGGCATGTTCGAATGTTTGTTCGAAGTGTGCTCTAGCTCCCGTGATAACCATTTTTACTGTTCTACTAGCGTTAGAATGTTTATTTTACTCTCTGTGTTCCAGTCCAGACCGAATCGACGTGCTTGCAAAGATATAGATAATGGTTTCAGGTTATATGGGTATCATGGAACTCCTCAAGCCAGAGAATGACAACGAAACAAGAGCCCTTGGAATATAGTCTATCCAGTTGGATCACCTCCGGGAACACACAGTCCAATCCGCCAGAAGTAGTCTCGGTGGGCATAAAATAACTCCCAGAGCCGGTATCTTGCCGGGATAAGAGACCAACCCCAGCGGCGAGAGGACAATCTATCTTTCCCAGGTACCTCGCAGTCAGCATAATCCTGGTCTGCATCTTTACCAATGACAATCTGTCTTTCGCCAGAGACAGGCTCGCCATGTTGACAACCTGCGAGGGAAGCCGAAGAGTCCGCATCTTTGAAAATATTGAATGCAGGACCATCGGAGCCGGACAGACACCTCGGATCGTAATCACCCACACAGACATGCACATCTTCCATCCTGGGCGGAAGCTCCGACCTGGAGATAAAGATCTCACCTGCATGTGCGCGATACCCCCATTCCTGAAGCGGGAGGAGAGGCACCGGGTCATCGATATGAGTCACGCGTCTAAGCCGCCGACCCTTCATAGGAGGAATGCCAACTGCATCTCCGAACCCGAATTGGTCATCGAAGAATCGGACAAAGTCTTCGTTCCCGACCATCGGTTCTCCAAAAGTGGTGACCAGCGGATCCCAACCTTTGATACGCATCTCAAGACCCGCTAGCGCGGCTACCGCACCGCCGAGAGAATGTCCAACGAGTGTGACCTCGTAGTCAGGGTACTTTTGCAATGCCTGCGCCACGTGCGGTAGAACCGTTTCGCGGGTGTTGAGCCAGGAGTTCATGAAGCCGGCATGGACGGTGCAGTTGGCGCATTTTGGGCCTGGGGCTCCGGGCTCTCCTTCGTAGGGAATGTAGGCTTGGGGATAGGCGGAGAGGTCGATTATTGTGTTGGTTATGGAGTAGGTGCCGCGGAATGCGAGAATGATTCGCTTGGACGAGTGCGACAGGGCGATATAGCCGCATGAGTCGGAGAGGAGGATTCCTGTGTTCCATGTCTGGTATGGTTAGTTGTGGAGATGGATGTGGAGAGGGTGGACACGAACGGTGATGAGCTCAAAATCGGGGAAATCGTCGCATCGACTGAGACATTGGAATGGCTCTTGTACTCCTGTGGTGCCTACACAGTACGAAATGTCCACTAGACGGGATTGTTCTTCGAGTGAGTCGAAAACATCCCGCGAGACATGGTTCTCATCTCCATTTCCGGCGATAGCCCTGACGAGGTGTAGGTATAGTATGAAGGTAAAAACGATATTAATCATGGCTGTGCATTTTCAGCTGAATGGGTCGGCGGGTCATATTTGAAGAGAGGAGAAACCAGTCAAAGTTCAAAAAGGTTGGGAAGTCTTGTGATGCAAACAGTGAAATCCGGGGTTACGCTATTATGTCATCGACTTTCTGATTGGACGTCGTAGATCATGTACAGATTGGGTATCGTGCATGACACCTGGACAATATCTATTCAATAATTTGTTCAGAATACTCCATACAGTATGCATGCTTGCTACCTCACGCGGACCAGACCACCACACGACCGTCAACACCGCTCGCTATGATATCGTTAGTCTCGTGAAAAACCATGGAAGCGGAAGATACGTACTGCTGAAGGAGCTGACAGCCCCGTTGGACCCTTCGTGAACACGGATGGTGTTCACGGTGTTCTGGTGGGTAGACTTGAGTTTGGTGTCTGCCGAGGCCTGACCCTTGAGATCCATCTGTCGGAACATGTTCAGGGCAGACTCCTCACGGGCACCGCCGGCATCTCCGGCCTTCTTCTCCAAGGAACCGGCAAGTTGCCATCCGTTCTCGTCACCTTGGAAGCGGAAAGGCTCGCAGTCCTAGATTGAGGTCAGTATGGTTCAGCATCATGTATGTGCAGATACTCACGTGTCCAGCTGCAATAATCTCAGTCTCGCCGTTCCAGATGAGACTGTTCAGAGGCAGCAGGCGGGTGGAGATGTTCAACATGGCACGAGGTGGCTGCTCGGGAGCACTGGGGTAGACGACAGTCACGCTGCTGTCGTGTCCGGTGAAGGCAAGAGCATTGCCGCTCGGGGAGAATGCAACACCCTGGATCCAGCCAGCGGTGTCATTAAGGTATTCACCGCAGATAGTGTTGAAGGGCAGGCGCTCACCCCAAGCGCTGGGCTCGGGGCGGGTGTCGATACCCTTGATGAAGCTGGAGAAGACGCGAGCGTGGGAGTCGGTGGATCCGGCAGCCAGCAAGACGGAGTTTGGGTGCCATGCGAGAGTTGTGATGGTGCTGCGGATAGGCTTCTTGAGGTGCTTCGAGATCCACCAGTCGTTCTCCTCTTCGAAGTAACAAATAGCGATCACTCGGGCGCCGGAGCCGACGGCGAATTTCTGCTCCGAGGGCGACCAGCGCACAAAGGTTGCAGCACGATTGATTCGGAGGAGGACGAGGGTGGGCTTCCAGCCAGAGGGGGTCTGTTCCCAGACGTAGGCGTTGCGGTCTGTACAGCCCCGTTAGTAACAGAGAGACAAATTAAAGTTAAAGACCAACCCTGAGAGCAAGTAACAATGCGACCACTGTTAGGAGCAATGTCCACACTAGTAACAGTCTTCTCGTGACCCTTGAGCTCATCGCTCAGCGCAAACTTGTTGCCTGATTGTTGATACAGCTCCACATTGTTCTCCCGAGCGACAGCGAGTGTCTGCTTGTCAGTGGAGAACGAGTGGTCTGCAATTGGTGCATGGAACAGATGGTGAACTTGGGGAGAGGCCATGGTTGTAGATAGATAACGACAGGAGGATCTCTCTACCGTCGGGTGCTTGTGTATGATGCGGGACGGGGAGGGGATCAGGTCCACCTCTGGGCATGACGCCGAGTCATGAGTAAGCAAAGAGTCACATGACCAGAAGCTCCATTTTCGACCTGAGGTTTTGACCCTCTATCGACGGAGAGCGCGATTGAGCTTCAATTCCCCACACTCGATCTGTTTCCGTGGATTTTCCGAGTCTGCAGACTCTGTACCATTTCTCTCACCTCCTCAACATAATGGCCTCCAAGGCACTCCCCTCCCGCGGTGGCCCCGACAGCAAGGCCATCGCTACCGGTCCTCCCAACCAGACGTGAGTGTAAACCATTTCAGAGATCACATCCTGTCGCGTGTCGGCGCTAATTGACCTTAGTCTCTTCTGCACCAATCTACCCGACAAGCGGATCTGTAAGAATGATCTACGAACCTCGCTCTACACGCTTTTCTCCACCTACGGCACCGTGCTCGATGTCGTGGCCATGAAGACCAGCAAAATGAGGGGCCAGGCCCACATCGTGTTCAGGGATGTCCAGGCCAGCACACAAGCCCTGCGGGCCCTGCAAGGATTTGAGTTCTTTGGGAAACAAATGGTATGGATCGAGCGCCCTCCGGCGTGTATGTCAACCACTAATGCCGGCGTCTACAGAAAATTGTGTATGCCAAGGGCCAATCAAGTGTGATTGCTAAGCTCCGTGGCACTTACATCGCGCCCAAAGATACCGCAGCGGCACCCGTCTCCTCGGATCTACAAAAGTCCATCTTCAGTGGTCCTCCCGGCACACTCCCGGCACGACCGCCCACCGAGGGCGGAGAGGGACAAGGAGTCAAGCGAGCGCGCGAGGATGAAAGCGACGACGAAGAGGCCCCCATGGACGAGGACAGTGACGTGCCAATGGAAGCATCGTCCGATGAGGATTAAATCAACAACCAATCTTCTCGGAGAGGAAAGTCTTCCGAGTCTTCGCTTCGCAAATTTTCCCATTTTCCATATGCAGGACGGGCTGGTACCGAACTAAACAAAATACTCGCGTGGCACGTGCAGGTTCACGCAGTGGCCAACAAGGCCGAGCCAGATGAGGAGATATGACCCAGGAGTGACGTTCTCTGCGTCTGCGAGGTGCGCCATAGCATCGGCGGTGTTGCACGGGTGGACGAAAAAGGCCGGGGCACCAGAATCTGGATGGTACTACGAAGAAAAAGAAAAAGACGTGAGCTCTTTGTCACGAGGCTTGGAGAATGCACCTTACACCCATACTAATCCCACCCATGACACCCACACTCTTCAATTCTTGCTTGTACTGTTCCGGCACCACATACTGGTAGACCTCGTCTAGTCCGAGTGGGCCGTGGTTGTGTGACCTGAGCCCGAAGTACAACACGGGGACCTGATATGTGGAGGACAACAGTATGTCATAGTCTACCTGTAAGCTGGGCTGGGTGCGAACGAGAGCTTCCTGCGGTGAAGAGTCAGATCAAGTGGACACATCTCTTGGGGCTGAAAGTTTGCAGACCGGATCATCTTCTTGTGATCTAGGATCTGGGGTTTCCGGGCCGGAGATGTACTTGGTTACTCTGAAACCAATTCCGGGCTATAGTTCAATTGAAGTCATAGTCTCCCGTTAGTGATGGACCCTTGTAAAAGTCGATAACCACAGCAACCCGAATGTGGAAAGAAGGACGGGTGAAAAACAAAATATTAAGAACGGTGACAGCAAAAAATCATATCAATTAAGGAAGCATATAAGATTTAATGGTTCATGCATGGAGACAAGGGATACCTTTGTGAGGAGTCGAATAGACCAGCCATCTTGGGCCGAAGTGCATCGATCGGCTATAGCTTGGCATGCACCCTCAAACTCCGATGGGGTCAAGAAGGGAAACGCAGAGCATGCCATGCGGCTGGGGCTAGCTGTCAACGGAGAGGCTGAGCTCTACAGACCCGATTCCGAACAGAAAGACCTCTGTACACGCGTCGAATGTCAAATGACAGTGGCGATAGGACGATTGCGGATGTCCGGATATGGAGGGAGGAGCGGATAGGGAGAGTTGAACAATGGGGTTGTTGGGATGTACGTTGCGGATGGCACCTTGTCCCATGAGGTGCTCGAATATCAAAAGTGGTCACAGGAGTACCCAGTACTTAGTCTGTAGGTGGTATGATGTGCCAAAGGGCAAGTAGTGGGTACTTTTCTCCACCCTTCAGCTCATGTCCCGCTTGCGGGAAGTACGCGGGTGGTACCTCGCGATGCGCCCGTGCGGAGCCAATAACTTCGTGTACCAGTCAGGTACCTGGAGCTTCCTTGTTTTCCGCATGCAGGTTTTTTGTTTTATTTTCTCTCTTCTTCGTGTTCAAATGCAAGCATCTTCTGGCCCTTTGTGTCTAACGTTTAGTTGCATGTCCTTCGTGTTAGCCTCCTTATGTATCGTACGTTTCCCTCCATCCTTCTCCCCCCACTCTAATTGTTCCTTTTTCTTTCTATTTGCTTGTTTGCTTTTTTCGTTGTCTATAATCTTAATGCCGATCTGACTTATGCTCTCCCTCTATGGTTGTTGAAACCATTTACCTTGACGTAACCTCATTTCCTTCCAGCGATCCAGTCCAACCAATTCCTGCATCACCCCCAAATCTGAAACAGGAGCCCCCCAGCATCTCCGGTTAACCTGCTGAGAAACACTGATCCGCCAATCGCAAACTCAGTTCCAAACGGAGCGGGGACACGAGCTTGCTCGGATTGTGCCCTCTGTGGACAAGGGCGTGGCTTGACGTCAACAAGTCTGGGGCGCGATCTAATCTGCAAAACTCCATCTGGCTGGGAGATAACTGGCCCAGGTCAACCCCCCAGTCGTGCGGGGGACAGTGCTCGCCAGGCTGTCACCAAGCCCTTATTCAAATTGTATATCATTCTGGCCATCGTCCATGCTGCGCATGCCTTCAAACTGGTCGGAGCAAATCTGAATCCACCCGCCTTGCATCTGGCGTCTCTGAAGTCATGGGCAACTCTCAATCGAGCCTTGCCAAAGAAGACTCCCGCCGTGCCAACCGCCTCTCCAAGCCTCTCACTAAAAGATCGAGTGCTCCTCCACCTCCACCCGAGCCAGACAACTCTTCTTCCCTTGGTTCGGGTTTAATAGGTTGGCAGAACCCATGGGTTGGTCATAACATCAGCTCCCCCGTCGAGAAACGGGGCAGTTATCCCAAGAAAGCAGATATTCCCCCCACTTTATTTGAGACAGAGTCGCCCGAAGAGAGCCCCACTGCGGAGCGTTCTTTTGACTACAATCCGGTCATTGAGAGACGACGTTCGGCCCGCCCAAGGTTAATGACCGTAGGGTCTAGGAGAACGTCGTACCAGTCGGATACCTGCTCCCAAACCTCGCCTGTTTCTGAACAGCCACCGAGCCGGGCCAGTTCGACACGAACTGCCTTGCAGAGGCACAACAGTGCGGTGTATGAAAACGATGGCACATCTTCCAATACCCACTTTTTGGTTGGAAACCAAAGATTCTCATTGACGCGCCGTCGGTCCCTTTTGACGCGCCCTGGAGTGGCCACAAGAAGAACGACAGGTGCCGTTCGACGTGTTCCGTCGCCAATCGGAGAGCCTGAGTGTCAGAGTGACGATCCTGCCGAATCTGCCGAGTCTGCCGCGTTGCAGTGGCCGCTGCCTGTATCCCCGCGTTCGCCCTCGCCGGTGAGACCGCCGAGACCAACGAGCCCAACAGACACCCGGTATACTCAGCTTGGAGCACTCAAGCTGGGATCTCTACGGGTGGTGAACGGCTCGGCTTCTCCCTGTCCAAGCGATCGCACTACCTTGAGCAGTACTGCCCCGGTCTCAGGACTTGGGCTTGAGAACTTGGAAGTCACAATGCCTAGCAGAGGCACCACTCTCGATATCCCATTATTCCCTGATCTGAAAAAGTCAGACGATCTCCCAGGTAGTCCCTTCTCGTTTGAGAAATCTCCCACCATCACAGTTGCACCTAAGTCAAAGGCGATCTTCCCTACAGACGTGGACGACGAAGGAGTCGTCCTTTTTGATGATACGAGATTTCAGTTGGACAAGAGTACTGCAAGTGTTGGTGTTGCCCGCAGTACATCTCGGTCACTCAACAAGTCCGACAGCGGTTACAGCTCGGCTACCTCGGTCCACTCTATGCAACGAAGCCGAACAAAAAGCTCCACTGGCTCTCAAACATCGGTATCATGCGGAGCGGACAGCGTGAAGAACGTTTGGGTCTCCAGTGGCACTGATTCAGACCAACCTGCCACGATGGCGCAGCGTCATCTCAGCGTGCAGTCGAAACCCGAAAACTACTCTCGACTACATCTCACCGCTACGCGCTGGTATGACGCGAGTGATTCAGCACCTCTCGCTCCCTCCCGATCCCGTCGCTCGACATTGTGTGCGCCGCGATACACGGAATACTCACCGCGCGAATTCACAGTCGAAATCCGACCCAGTGGGGTTGTGTCTCCTTACCTCTCGCAGCCACAGCAACCGCACCACCAGCAAGGTTTTACTCGGGGTCCATTCTATGGCGATCGATTCTCGGTGACTTCACTCGATGGCACATCCTCTGCGGGCTCTTCTGCTACGTGGGACTCACATAGTTCTCAGCAAACGATGACGGACTCAAGTGAGCGACTTCGCAAATCGGCCTCCGAATACTGCATGCATGATGGCTTCAACCAAAAACACACCCGAAGCAAAAGCCGAACGGGCCGTGTCTGGACGAAGAAGCCCGGTGTTGAAGCTCCACCGCTGCCTACGATCTTGTCACCGGGCTACTTGCAGGATGACCTCGATCATGGGCTCAACCTTCACCTTGTGGAGTCGGAGCCTATGCGAGGCCGACCTCGGAGCCGAAGCCACGACTATCGCCGTCGAAGGCTGACCAAACCCCGCCCCCAGGCGGACACCTGCGTTTGATGAATTTATTGTTCTCTTTCCTGAATATTCATGTTTTGCCCTTTGAACATTTGTTTTCTTCGGAATCTAAAAAAGTTGCGCTTGGCGAGGTTTCGGTTTCGGGTTTCGGTGTGGAGTCTTAATAGGTATACCCTTTTGGAATTGAATGTGAATCATGTTGGGCGTTATTCATTCTTTTTACTCAAATACGGGCGTTATGTCGCAATCTCAAAAAGACTTTTCAAGCTTGTGCTCATGTGCATCTCCAATGTAGAACCCAAGTACCCCGTAGTTCGAAGGTGCATACATCCCCATGTTGCCACCGCAGATGGCTTCTTCGCTTACCTTTACTGCTTCCGATCTTGTCACTGCGTGGTGAGATGGTTGGCCAACCTTGGGAGGAATCTGAGATTCAAGTTGTTCCTACAGGTACATTATCGATTTGACGCAAGGGGGTCGTCGTTTAACATTGCATGAACATGTCGGTGTGGGTGGCTGCCAGCTCGCCTCGGTATATGACAAGTGTCCTTATGCAGGTGCATATTACCTGTCTAAGTCCACCGAGCTCCATCAAATGTCATGTCAATGTGGAGCCATTTTATATTAATTACATGGCATCTCAGCTCATCAGATACGGGATCTAACAGCGAAAATAAACGCCACCAGATCTGAGTGCAACTACCATGTGCATTAGAAAGAGCTATCCATGCAGACGCCTGCCAGATGTATGTTCAAAGTATACTGATGTCCTTGGCTGGTACCCAATATCTCAGTCGCAACTTTGATTCAGCTTTGCGAGCCTTGTGGCCCGAGACGCCGAAAATACACTTTGTTCGGCCTTGGAAGTCTTTTCGGGCTACGGTAAAAATGGGCGCATTCAGAGTATACTTTCCTCGTGCACCTGATTATGAGCCATATACATGATTAGCTTTCAAATCGCCAGCTGGGCATACTTGGCCTGCTTTCCACTGCAGAGAAAAAAGAGTAGACAAACATATTCAAATTGGGGGCCGATCACGAGAAGAATTGGAGGGGCCTTTCGAGGGACGAGATCGAGTCGAGAGAAAGTGGCATACGTCTATCCTTCAACCACGGCGTTTCCAGTGTGCTCTTTGTCTTCGTCGCTTTTTGGCAGGGACACATCTGCACTCGTTCCGTCCGAATGAGCTGCTCCACCCTGTCAGTGATCGTCCTCGACCGGGACGTCAATCGCTGCAACTCTTGCCAATGTAGTAGTGCCATATTTGTGGCAGCCTCCTCTCCAAGTGTTTCTTTGGGACCAGAGTTTGCATGCAGTTCTATATGGACTCCTTGGTGATGAAGGATCTGTGACAGCTGGCAGACCTGGTGTACCAGTGTTCCAATATCACCATTGGCATTGTAGTGCAGTTTCCCATCCAGGAGCTCGAGGGTGCTAGGGTCGCTTGTAAACAGAAGCAGTTCCTTCTTCATGTTGTGTCCGTGAGACCCCGTCCGCCTCGGCTGGGCGCTGAAGATCTTGGGCTCGGCGAACAACAATCGACGGTAAATCGTATCTTCCTCGGCCTTTTGGAATTCCTCCACAGCCCATCTCATGGCACAGGCAATGCCAAACATCCCCAAAGCAGATGTTGAGTGGGTATTGCGTGGGAAGAAATTTCCCCCGCCTTCGTATTCCTGAAGGCCAGGTGTGGTCTGCCAGACAAATCCCACTGCCCCCAAATAAAAGCGAGTTGAAAAACTGGTAAAAATCACCAGCCGCTTGCTCACTTGGCTTGGGTATGGAGCAGTATGGATTAGTGAAGCCAAATCTGTCGCCTGTATGTACCGTGCACTGGCTATGAATCCATGGAAGGAGTCTTGAGCCTGGTGAGATGTTACCATGTTCTTGGGCTTCTGAGACGGGCTTTTTGGCTGCTCGGATTCCTTTGACCTCTCAGATTGAGCTCGCTTCTTGGGCTCAATTGGCTTGTCAGTCTCATTTGGCTTCTTAGATGTATTTGACCCCTTGGACTGGGCTCGCTTGTCGGGCTCAGTTAGCTTGTCGGATTGAGATCGCTTTTTAGATTCGGCTGGCTTCTCGGACTGGTCTCGCTTCTCGGTCTCGGTGGGCTTCTCTGGCCTTGGAGTATGCTTAGACCTGGTTAGCTTGTTGACCTTTTTGATTGCTTGGGCTTCCTTGCTGGCTTGGTAGATTTGATCATTGTGGAATCCAGGCCCTCCGGACTCTCGCTCCTCTTTCGCTTTGGTGGATGTCTCGGGAAAGTAACTCTCGGTTCTGATGCTTCCCGTTCCATCTTGTTTGCACCTCTTGAGAATCCTTGATAAGCAGAACAAAAGATTTTGGGCGTGTGAAGACACGCTGCGGTAGTTGTCATTCAAATCGAAAGAGGTAGAAAGGAGGGAAAGAAAGAAGAAGAACCTTGTAATGTTGTAATGGATATCATTGGAGACTTGCTTTGGGGGAAAGGGGGAGAGATCAAGCTGCTACGTTTGCTCGGATTCCGTAGTCATCGGTGGAATCAATTACACCGATCCTTCTAACTATGGATACGGCTGGAACACTGTGTCATGGGAGCGAGACCAGTATACTTTGACATCCTACAAGGCTCCAACCCCATATCTATCTAAGCACATGTGAGTATAGAGAATAGTTTCGGGTGGATATAAGACTCACGCTGATTCATCTACCACAGTGCAGGATTACATTGTTTTGATAACGGGTGGGTGTTCATTGCGGCTCGAGTCGCATGTATAGATTCTTGTTCCAGCCGAGCACAATAAATCGATGCTTGAGCTCAGTTGGCATCTTGGCCCAGGTGGTATTCTTGGACTTGGTTGGTTTCTTGAACTGGTTGGAGCTCTTGAGTTTCCTTGCTGGCTTAATAGGCTTCAGTATTTTGAATCCTGGTCCTCTCGGAATGTCAATTCTCGTTCTTTTCGGCGGAGGGAGCAGGAGGGTAAATCTCGGTGTGTGTGTGTGTGTGCTTTTCGTGGCTTGTTTCCTTCAAGATCGTTAATGTATGGCGTAGCCAAAGCGAAAACTCATGGTAGCTGGGGCCTCCCAAGGTATGTGTTGTGCGGTGCGATTAAACAGAGAAAGAAGAAAATGAGGAAGCAAATTCTGTGGTGGGCCTGCTTCCGGGCCAGAAAGATTTTCTCAATCACACTTTGGCGACAGTCGTTGCGCATTTTCATCGCCACAAGGACTTTCGGACCTCGGTCTTGGCAAGGCCTTCCGGGAAACTTGTCTTTGACTCCTCGCAAGCGGCAAATCAAGCGCTGTTTATATAGTTATTCCATGAAGCTCTCTCGATCCCAAAGTCGAAAGTCGGAAGAAGTGGATTGAAGCGCTTCGCGTGCTCTTTGAGCTGACTATTTGTGATCAAATGATACTCGCAGCTCTGTCTCTAAAACCTTGCGAGTTATCAAGGTACTAGTATGGTACGCCGAAAGAACCACCATCAATAGTCGGAGTACAGGTATTCTCGTACGATCGGCCTGAATCTTATCCTTACCTTGGACATCGGGGAATAGACCTCGGGACCTCGGGACCTCACCTGGGCCTGGGCACCTGGGCACTTTGTGGGGGTGGGTACTTGAGGCTCTGCGGGAAAGCCGGTCCAATCACAGCCATAACATGACAACATGACGATCCGCGGACGTCAAACATTCCGAGATTAAAAGAAGCATGGGTTGTATTTTTTTATTTTATTTTTTTTTGCTAGACGAGAACATGGATTTTAACAGTGCTTGAGCCCTATCAGAAATTAATGAAAGCGAGCTGGCTCAAGATCTCGGAGGCAAAGGACCAACGCATCGCAAACGTGATTCAGTGAGATGCGTGAAGGAAGGAAGCCATGGGTATGTGTGCGAATCAAGTATCCAATAATCCACTTTATTGAATTTCTGATCAAGAAGACCTCTGGAGAAAAAAGAGAGTTGAACATGAACCTTGAGGTAACAAGTCAACCCGGAAAAAAAGAAAAAAAGTGTTAGACAGGCAGGCGAGGTAGGGCTAAGAACCTTGGGAGTAGAGAAGGATCAATATGATGAGGTTCCCTATGGAGGCTCATGTAGAATTTATGTAAGAAAGGAAGAGAGAGCTGGGAAGTAGAAGGGATGGAGCGAGCAGGAGAGCTGTGGCCCCCAACCTGACATTGCTCCGACAAAAAGAGAGGAAAAAAAGAACCCAAAACCTCCCCAGGGGACCTGTCGCCGGAATCGAACCAGGGGTCTCCTAGTAGGCAGACCAGCGATGTCAACTGAGGCCCGACGCCTACCGAAGTAGCGCAAGACCCCACTCGACCAGGCAGGCTTGGGTTAATAGTCTTGCCATCCGAGGTGGTTTTATAGTTGCTTTTGAGCTCGAATTATAGGGCAAAAAGAAAAAGGGCCCAAGCCTACCGAAATAGCACAAGACCTAACTCGACCAGGTAGATTAGGGCTGATTACTTTGCGACGCTGTATTCTCATATGGACGTCTCGCTAGCTCTTGATGCATAACTCACTAAGAACCTTTGCCCAGGATTTTTGCTTCTCTACCTTTTGTGGCTTACACAAACCCTAAAACACTGATGTGCATGCACATTAAGATTTCCTCTCAATAATTGCGACCATCATTGGAGTCTTGATCTGATAAAGAGCACGCTCATATCTATCCATGGACCTCACCATTGTCTAAGGGTGGTGGTAACCCAATCTACTCCACTGCGCCGAGAGAACGAACGTAATCATACAACATCATTCAGCTAGGAATTCCTGACATAGCCTTACACACATGGGCGCCACTCATCTTTTATCACTGACAGGACTGTAGCCACACACTGAAGGATGCATGAAAAACAAACACCGGGAGCGGTCAACTTCGGCGCCAGAGTCTTGAGTGATGAGACACTTATTTGAGAGTCTTGGGCATCAGAGGGCTGTTAATCGGCCAATGCCACGTCGTCTCCTCCTCCAGCATCATCCTATAGAACTTGGCCTATCTATCCGCTACCTCGTTCCCAGGGATTCCTCGGTATCCGGGGCTAAGGTGGAGCTCCAAGTGTACCCCCGAGCGTGCAGTATCTGCGAGAGCCTGTAAATTTTGCTCACGAGGTCTATCAAAACGCCTGCAATTTCCGTGACTCGAGCCTCTTTGTCTTCGCTCTCTTCGGGCTCCTCTCCTCGGAGGATCTGCAGCACCTGGGCGTTGTCTGTGAAAACATAAAGCTCCTTGTCCAAATGATGATGCTGAGAATCGGTGTATCGGGAAAACAAGTGAAAAAAGTTGTAGTCAACAGCACCGCGGTGCACATCCGATTCTGGCTTGGAAAATTCATCCAAGGCCGTTTCTAAAGCAAATGCTACACCAAGCATTTCGACTCGGGTTATCTCGTCGGAGTTAAAAGGAAACCATATCCCTCGCGTTTCGAAATTCGGGTGGCTACCTTTTGATCGCCAGACAACAGAGGCTGCTCCACATAGGGTGCGGATCGAGCCATCCGTAAACATGGCAAGACGCTTGGTAACTTTTGGCGGGATAGGGAGCTCGTCAATTTTCATTGCGACATTGTACGCATTCACACCGCGGTTTTTTGATATAGCTCCCATGAAGCTCGTACCTATCTCGTCTTTGATCCCTTTTACTTTGATCTTTTGGCGCTTGCAGTGGCTCGTCGACTGTGCGCTTCCCCGCTGTATTTCTTCAAACCGGTCTGTCGGTTCCTGAGGTGGTTGTTTGCGCTTCTTTGTACTGCTTCCTGATGAAGTCGGAGGCAGAGGCAAATGAGGTGGTTCGAGGAGGCTTTTTAGCTGAAAAACCGCGGTTCCTGATGGAGTTACCCGTGGACATGGACTTTGATGAGCTTGACCCCCTGCGGATCCTCCGTGGCTGGCTGCCTCCTTGACCTCAAGTTGCAACTGTTTGTGAAGATCCCGTCTAGATTCTGTAGACTGACATTTCTTTGGTGGCAAGTGTACTTGGGCTTCGATGGTGCCAGGGATCCTCTTATTAAAAGGCAAGGCACCTCCTATTGGTACCAATATTGAATGCGGGAGTCTCGCTAAGTCGGCTTCAGTGCCAACGCCCCGAAAGATTATCTCTTGAAACTTCTGTAGGCATTGCAGGGTATTCGTTCCAGTTGACGGCAACACGTATGGGACAAGTGATTGAGCGAGGAGCGACTGGTAGATTTTCTCAAAGTGGTGTAGTTTGTCTGAGGTTTCAAGGAGAGAATCAAACGCTGAACATTTGGCCGTCTCTTGTGGTGCCGGGTCTTGTGCCGGGTCTCGTGGTGCCGTAACTTGTGGTTCGGGAGCTTGTAAAGCTGACTGTTGCAACGCTTGGGCGGCTCTTCTTCCCATCCGCCGTCTGGTAGCCTGGCTCCTTCTGTTTCGTCGGGGCATCGTGCGAGCGAGCGTTGCTGAAACTCAATGCTGCAAAGTTCTGTATATTTGAAGTCATCAGAGATAAAATCTGTGAAAGAGGAGCAAGATCAAAGCCCACCTCTGGAGGCGTATGCGGAAAAAAACGGAGGTTGAACTAGATGGGCGCGTGGGGTTTTGCAAGAATGCAGACAAAATATGCGCTTGGACAAGATAAAATGATGAGACGGGTCTTTTCGTTCTTTGTGGGAAAGAAGAAGAAAGGATTGAATGTTGTGAAGGACAGCGAGTGAGTGCGGCGTCCGGGGTGGAGGGAAAGAAGTGGAAAGTTGGAGGACAAGATTGACCAAGTCTCGCCTTTGCAAAGATGGGCTTGCACTTATCATACTGTGTTTCCCATATGATAACCTCGGGGCTAGTAAGCCTGTGCTTGTCCCCTCATTGAATGTATCAGTGAGCCTGACCTTCCCTCGATTTTGCCGGCAACATATTTACCCTAACATTTCAGTTGGCCGTGGAAAAAGCAAGGTCATATTATGGGGCAACATGTATACCCACAAGGCTCATTTACTACTGAAAGTAATTCCGGGCCGTGCGGAAAATGTTCATATATTTTGTTACATCTCAGAGATGAATTAGCCCCACACGTGTATGACTTCAAGATGGAGGGACTCAGGGACATGTCTTCAGAGTCACCCTCAGATAGTTTTTCTAGTAAATGTTCAATTCACTTGGTGCAATGCTCAAGCTTTCATGTCTTTTATGAGAGAGGAAATGATTCCAACTCATCCAGCTAACTTTATGAGTAGTGCTAATCGGAATCCATCACTCCATTGTTTGCTAGCCATTAGTGGATCGGTATGTCACGTGCTAGGTACGAACCCTTGGTTGTGCGGATCATCAACGGGCCCACAACTTTATTTTAGGTACATACAAACCGGGGGCATGACGGAAACAGACCCTGTCGCCAGCTACTGGAATGGTCTACGGTTATTGTTAAGTGCCGTAGCTGTTTTTTTGCCTGTCTAGTCGAGCTGGGTCCTACGCTGTCCGTAGACCTCACGTTGGACACCTCGCAGTTGCTGGTGTTTGGGGATCATCCCCTGAGCTGCATGGGCTCCTTTTCGCTGTACAATTCGAGCTAAAAGGCAGCTATAAGATAGCCCCGGGGGGGCAATGCTATCAATCCAAGCCTGCCTGGTCGAGTGGGGTCTTGCGCTACTTCGGTAGGCGTCGGGCCTCTGTTGACATCGCTGGTCTGCCTACTAGGAGACCCCTGGTTCGATTCCGGCGACAGGTCCCCTGGGGAGGTTTGGGTTCTTTTTTTTCCCTCCTGCTTTTCAGACTGGCAATTGAAGGTCTACCTCGACTATCATCCCGTGGCATCAATTCCTTCCTCGTCGGGGCCCTCCCTAAACCTTGGAAAGCTCTCAGGTTGTACGTACATGACAACAATGCTTGGCTTCAGGCCAAGTGATGACTCCGATCACCTCAGACCTTAGATGGTCTCTTCTCCAATGCAGATCTCCGAGTACGAAGCGCCTTTGTCTCCTCCCGCAGTGCAAGCCCAGCCATGATTTCCTCGCTTCCACCTCCAACCACATGGACTCGAGCATCACGACTAATCTGTTCAATCCTAGCACCCTTTCCAGCCTTGTTATATCCAGCTCCTCCGAGGATCTGCTGCGCTTCGCGAACGCTCTTCTCGAGAGCCCTGGTTGACATAACCTTCAGCAAAGCTGTCATGCCACCAATGTTAACATCGTCCGTTCTACGATCTTTCGTACTCTCGAGAATATTGACGAGCTGCTCCATGAACGCATACGCAGGTTCAATCATGAGCCCAAATTTGAAGATCTTAGATTGAATGGCCTGTTTCTCAATCAGAGGCGATCCAAATGTCTCCCGCTGGATAGCATAATTGAATGCATCCTCGGCACAAACGCGAGCGAGTCGCAGCGATGCGCAGGCGAGAGCAAGTCGCTCAGGGTTGAAGTCTGCTGGTTCATCAGCAATCCGTTCGAGCCCTGCTTTTGCGTTAAATTACATACTCGACATGATGAGGGGGAAACCCTTGTTCTCCTGTCCAAGAAGATTTGCGACGGGCACGCGTACATCGTCAAACTCGATGAAGGTTGATCCTACACTGGATCAGTCATCTTTTTCAAATTCGAAGGGCAAGGGAAGCACCCACCACTCGCATTGACACCTGAGTTGTGCATACGCCTGCGACTCACCCCACGAATACCCAACGGGATAACGAGCAAGCTAATTCCAGATCTACCAGGACCGCCCGTCCGAACGGCAGTTGTGCAATAATCTGCCCAAACACCGTTCGTGATCCACTTCTTCGCACCGTTGACGATATAGTGATCTCCCTCCCGCTGAGCAGTCGTTCTAATATTAGCAACATCAGATCCCGCTGTGACAACAGTCAGCACGATGGTTTGATAACACGGGGTCTTCCAAACTACCTACCATCAGGCTCAGTGATTCCCAAACAGAACCTCACATCTCCCCTCGCAACATTGGGAAGCCATTTCCTCCTTTGCTCGGCTGTCCCGAACCGTGCGACCGGAGGACACCCAATCGCATTCCCGCCGCCAAGCCCCCATATCACGCCAACATAACCCACTCGCGTCAGCTCGTCAGAGACGATGAGCGAGCACCAGGTATCCCACTTCTCGCGTGGGACATTTCCAGGCAAAGAAAGACCGGCTGAATCCTCTTCGCTCGTGAGCGGGTGCACGATACTATACCCTAGTTGACAATGGCGTTTTCGGACAGCTTCAGGGACTTGGCCTGCTTCTTCCCATTCATGCGCGTATGGTGCGATGTATGTGTCTACGTACTCGCGTACTGTGGCGCGAAGGTTGTGGTGCAGGTCTGTGTAATAGGGGTTGCGGATATCGAGCTGGGGAAGAAGGGGCTCGCTGTATGGTGCTGTTGGCGGGCGAAGATTGCCGGCCATTTTGATGACTGTCTTGAAGTTCTTGGCGGTTGAAATAGGGTGATTCAAGTGAGGTTCTGCTAGTCGTGCGTGTAGTGTGGTTGGACCCAGTCTTTTAACATATTTGAGCGGGGAAGCTCGGTCGCCTGTGAAAAACATGGGGAAAGCTATCAAACCGAGGTCCGAGTGCAGATCTTCACTTTTATGAGAGAGGAGTTATGCATTTGTATTATTTGGGGTATATGGTAATTTGGGATGTGTGTTTATGTTCCAAGGTTTCCTTCACGATGCTTCAAATCTACGAACTGCCTTCTTGAGCGCCCGCAGATGTTCCTTGACGTCCTGGCAGCTCCAACGATCTTGCGATCGTGGTTCCAGCATACCCTTGATACATTTCATCAGAGATTCCGCGACTGTGACGCCATCATCCAGAGTCATCGAACCATGGTCGATCTTGGCAGCAAAGTCGGCTGGGAAGGTGGTGTGCTCGGAGGAGTCTTGGCTTGACCCACGAGTCAAGTCTCGCAAGACGAATTGCCTTTCCATCTTGGTGTTCAAGCGGTATATTGTCTCGAACAAAATAACACCGAGCGCATAAACATCCAACTTCTCATCAATCTTGTAAACATCAACACAGTCCACCGGCGATTCTGGGTCGCTTGGAATTGAGGATACAGAGGCTGGAGGGCGATAGAATTCAGTCCCAACCACCCGCTGGATATTCGGACTTTCTCTGTAAGGTGTGACAGTTCCTGAAGTTGCTTCATTGACGTTGGAGATGTCCGCCACGAGACCAAAGTCACCGATCCGGGGAGAGCAGAATTGGATTGGAGAAGCCTCGCTTGAGCTGCAGGCGACACAGATGTCTGGTGTGGTACTTTCCGGGGCCGACAAAAATATGTTGGCTGGTTTCAGGTCCCGGTGCACAATACCTTTGGCGTGAACATACTCAACACCAGAGATAACCTCTAACAAAAGCTTCAATGAGGGTATTAGGTGGAAGCAATGGCGCCTGGCAATCGAGTCCTCGTCGTTTTTGGAAAGACCCTGAGGATTGAGGTAAGATCCAAGTGATATGGGATGGAGTGACATTTGAATGTGGAGAATGACGGCTGGTGGTTGATGGCCAGGTCTGCAACGTGTTTGGATTTGAAGTTTTGATTGATCCTGACTCAGGCCGTCGGTGAAAATGTCGTCAGTTTCTCCAAACGTCGATGTCTGGCCATATGAAGTGTTGTCAAAATTGCGGGGGATAGACTCGATGTCTTCGTCCTCGTCCTCCCACCCTCTTCGTGAGCTCTTCTTTGATTGGCGAGACGAGCTGGTAGCGTGACTATCCCAACGTCGAATGCTCTCAGAGAAACTATGGTCCTCGGTTAGAGAACTGGGCTGAGATTCTGCATTCGAGGTTTCAGAATGTTCAAACACGATCCCCAAGCTTGGCTCATTTGGTGATTCTGGCAGGGGTAAATCTTCCCGTGACGACTCGAAGGTTTCGTGAGCTGGGTGATATTCGGCTGGCTGCGGGTATGCATGATGCGCTTGCTCGGCCCATGCTCCGAAATACCGAACGATGTTCGCGTGATCAAGGCGAGCAAGGGTTCGAATCTCCTTCATGATGACCTCCAGTTGATTCTGACCCCCGAATTGCAGCTGCTCAAGCCGTCTTTGACTGAGTGGGATTTTCTTGACGGCATAGTCTTGGCCATCGAAAAGGTTTGTGACGTGGTACACTTCGCCAAAAGATCCACGTCCCAGAATCTTGAGCTCATCGAAATCGCTGGAATATCTCGATTCGGTGCTCGTCGGCGTGGTTGTGGGGTGAATAAGCGGGACACCAACAGGTGAACTGCCAAAGAAAGGAATTGAAGGATGAGAGAGGTTTCTTGGAATGTCAGGAATGGGAGGCAAGAATTCGACCTTTCGGCCAGGATGCAATTTGTTGTCAAATGCATAGTTCGGTTCGGTTCTGCGCCGGACCAAAGCCGGAGCCTCGGAGTTTACAAAGTCGGGCCGTTTGATTGATGACTTTGCGGTCAGAGCAAACTCTTCTTCCCCCGGTCCAATTGTAGGAGACCGGACATTGGGGTCATGGATGTTCATTTCTTCAAGGGCAGATAATCCAAGCAAATCAAGATTATCACGGTAGGTCTGTCTGCTTGGACCCATGTCCTCTCTGTCAATGCCATCGGCCAGGATGCCATGTGATGACAGGAATTGAGACTTGAATTTGTATAGCTTCTTACCAAGGTATTGAGCCTCTGGACTTTGTCGGCTAAACTTTTTGCTTGAGCCACGTTGGGCATTGAGAATATCTGCGGCTCGACTTTGACAGTAAAATTCCAAAAGGGCAGCTGTCATCACATTCGCGTGCTGGTCGACGTTCAGGTCAACCATCTCTTGGGGTAACCTGTGGCCATCGTCGAAGGATACTGAAGAATCTGGGTCTGTGGATTCTGACTCCCTCGGGGGTTGGCTGCTCTTGCCTTTGTGTGGGCTGTGGGACTGGCTTTGAGCCAAGTAGCGTGGAGTAGAAGAGCCTGAGTGTTGAATCTGCTTCCCTTCAGAGTCCGATTGAGACTCAGAATCAGAGCTCGAGGACAGGTCGGCTGCCGAGCGGAACATGGACATCTTGATGTGAGTGGATACCGCCAAAGGCAGTAGATGCAAGGATAGGTAGAGCTAATGGCTTTCCAATGCCATTGGTGACAGGTAGATGATGTTTGATGCTGGCCGGGAGAGAGTACTCTTTTCCCAAGTCGGTGTCAACATAAAAGTGCTTTGCTGTGGAAAGTTCGAGATCGAGTGGTGCCCCGCAGTTAAAATGGCTGGCTATATTCAAGGCTGCTGCAGATGAACCCAACGTAGAGAATGTGACCACAATAAATAATTGCCAGTTGTCCTTTCCAGCTGACGACGTGGGGTTTCAAATGCACAAAGACGTAAACATTTCACAGATCGCCCAGAGGGGTGGTTTGACTCATGTTTCCATCGGGTTCCAAAATGTTTTTGGCAGGGTGTGGGTCGCGCAGCTCTTGGCAGGCGAAGCTTGGTGAGTGAGGATCGTACTCGGACCCTTTGCAAGTCTCCCTTGGATGTCGTTGCGTAGTACTTCGTATAGCAAAGGAAGGTTGGACATGAAGGTCAGTGCCAAGCCCAAGGAGGCGAGTCATCCGTTTCTGCCGGCGGAACGTAGGAATCTGGGAAGTTGTCGCGTTGAAGCTGCTATAACCTCGTCTACTCTACAGTATACATGAGTCTTCCATATGCTCTAACTGTTCAGTTACATGTCATCCTCAGACACACAGTTGGTATTCAGTCGAACAATGCACCTGGGCATTTTGAACAATAAACAAGAACAATAAACAAGGCAGTGACTTGACGGAGTCAGACTCAAACGCCCTTTGTCCAGATGTAGTTTTATACAGACAGATTCCTTGTCTCACATCGTGCCTGGACCTGTGAGTCTCCAGCTGTGTCAGTCTGCTGCGTCGCCTCGTCAAATCAGCGCGTTTCGAATGGTCAATTTAGCTTATCTTATCACACGTGACATTGCACGCGTCAACGTCACGGTCACCGCGCGCGCGACTCTAGTTGCCCGCTCAACACATTCTGGCCAAATTTACGATTTTCCCCTCTCTCGTCCCATACACCTACCCCTCGTGACTGGATCGATCACTGTCTCCCGGTCACTCAGTCTATGGTATTTCGAGATGCCTGAAGCAATCTTACCTCCCCATAAGCGGGTGCTAGGTGACGCGGTCAACAATACAACTGGGATTATGAGGTCCCCAAGTGTGCTTAAGAAACGCAAGCTTGAGAATGAGCCCTCTGTATCATTTGCGGATTCATCCCAGACCGCACGGCGGAAGATTGGGTCAACACAGCCCCAAAAAAGTCAATTTGAAGAGGAGGTGCTGGAAAAGCTAACCCAGGACATCGGCGACCTGAAAGAGAATAACTCGGAGAAGGACCAACAATGGGAGCGTCCTCCGGTGGAGAACTTTGATGAGTCCAAGGAGAACATCTGTTTCCAACAGATTGACGCTGAAGAATCAGTGCTGATGGGAAAACCGGCCATTCGGCTATTCGGTGTCACTGAAGTAAGTGCCCTTCTTTCTGCAGCGCTCTCCCCAGACTAACAACCGGCACAGGCTGGACAATCAGTGTGTCTCCACGTTACCGGCTTCGAGCACTACCTTTACATCGCCGCCCCTGTCAGTTTCACAAAAGCCGATTGCGAGCCTTACAAACATTTCCTCGAGCAAAAGCTGGGCCAGAGCTTCACTGCCATCTCCTCGGTGCAGCTCACCATGCGTGAAAATATCTACGGATTCCAGGGAAACCAGAAGAGTTATTACATCAAGATCACCGTCACAGAGCCGAAGCTGGCTGCCCGATTAAGAAGTGCGCTGGAGAGCGGCAGCGGAAGCATGAACTACAAGGGCATGTGGAGCGGTGCAGATGGCATTCTTACCTTCGACAATATCCAATACTTGCTACGATTCATGATTGATACCGGGCTGGCTGGCATGGCTTGGGTGGAGGCAATTGCTGGAAAATACCGCCTTCTTGGGCCCCGTGAACAACTATCAAACTGCCAGCTCGAAGCTGCCGTTGATTATCGTGATATGATCGCCCATCAACCGAACGGAGAATGGGCGAAAATGGCACCCCTTCGCGTTCTATCCTTTGATATTGAGTGTGCCGGCCGAAAGGGTATTTTCCCGGAGCCCAACATGGACCCGGTCATTCAAATCGCCAACGTTGTCACTCGATACGGAGAGTCGAAGCCATTCATCAGAAATGTTTTTGTTCTTGACACCTGCAGTCTCATTGTCAACACCCAAGTTTTGGAGTTCCAAAAGGAGGAGAAGATGCTCGATGCCTGGCGTGATTTCGTGGAAAAGGTTGACCCAGATGTGATCATCGGATACAACATTGCCAACTTCGATTTCCCCTATCTACTTGATCGCGCAAAGCATCTGAAATGCACAGGGTTCCCGTACTGGACCAGACTCAAGGGGTGCAAGACTGAAGCCAAGGATGCGAATTTCTCAAGCAAACAGATGGGTAACCGCGATACCAAGGCTACAAACACCAATGGTCGGATTCAGCTTGACCTTCTTCAATTGGTCCAGCGAGATCACCAACTGCGAAGTTACACTCTCAACTCTGTGTCGTACGAGTTCCTGAAGGAGCAAAAAGAAGATGTGCACCACACGATGATTACAGAACTTTTCAACGGCACTCCTGATTCCCGACGTCGACTGGCCGTGTACTGTTTGAAAGATGCATATCTACCACAGCGACTGATGGACAAGTTGATGTGTCTCGTCAACTACACTGAGATGGCTAGGGTCACGGGTGTGCCTTTCAACTTCCTTCTCTCCCGTGGACAGCAAGTTAAGTTCATCAGTCAACTGTTCCGAAAGGCCTTGGAACAGCAACTTGTCATTCCCAACTCCAAGCCACAAGACGAGCAGGACTATGAAGGTGCCACCGTCATTGAGCCCGAGCGAGGATACTATGGTGTACCAGTCGCGACTCTCGATTTCGCCTCACTGTATCCTTCGATTATTCAAGCACACAATCTGTGCTACACCACTTTGCTAAACAAGACCAGTGTTGAGAAACTCAACCTTAAAAAGGATGAAGATTACATTGTCACGCCAAACGGAGACATGTTCTGCACAACCAAAGTTCGCAAGGGCCTGTTGTCTCAGATTCTTGAGGAACTGCTTGGAGCAAGAAAGCGTGCGAAGAAAGAGCTTGCCACCGAGACTGATGATTTCAAAAAGGCCGTCTTGAACGGTCGTCAACTTGCGTTGAAGGTCAGCGCCAACAGTGTGTACGGTCTGACTGGTGCCACGGTTGGAAAGTTGCCATGTCTTCCCATCGCCAGTTCTACAACTAGTTACGGTCGCCAAATGATTGAAAGAACGAAACAGGAGGTTGAAGCACGCTACACCATCGCCAATGGCTATTCCCACGACGCGCAGGTCATCTATGGTGATACTGATTCCGTCATGGTGAAATTCGGTGTGACTGAATTGGCTGAGGCGATGAAACTCGGCCAGGAAGCGGCAGACTATGTCTCTTCGAAGTTCATCAACCCTATCAAGCTCGAGTTCGAAAAAGTTTACTTCCCCTATCTTCTCATCAACAAGAAGCGATACGCAGGACTTTACTGGACAAATCCCGATAAGCACGACAAGATGGACACCAAGGGTATTGAGACAGTCAGACGTGATAATTGTTTGATGGTTCAAAACGTTATTGAAACCGTGTTGAACAAAATTTTGATCGACCGTGATCTGGATGGTGCACAAGAGTAAGCAATATTCATGGAAGTCCATCTTCGATCTCAAAGCTAACACGCAGCAAAGTTACGTCAAAGCCACAATTTCCGACCTTCTACAGAACAAGATCGATATGTCCAAACTAGTCATCACAAAAGCACTCTCGAAGCGCAAAGAAGACTACGCAGGCAAGCAGGCCCACGTCGAGCTTGCTGAGCGGATGCACAAACGTGACGCGGGTTCTGCGCCAACACTCGGTGACCGTGTCGCCTACGTCATGATTAAGGGAGCCAGTGACTCCAAAGGCTACGAACGAGCCGAAGACCCCATCTTCGTCCTGGAGAACAACATTCCCATTGATACCAAGTATTATCTTGACAATCAACTGGCAAACCCCCTAGGCCGTATCTTCGAGCCCATTCTGGGAGAGAAGAAGGCTGGCCAGCTGCTCACTGGAGAGCACACACGTTCTATCTCCAAGGCGGCCTCCAGCTTGGGTGGACTGATGAAGTTTGCCAAGAAGACTCAGACCTGTATGGGTTGTAAAAAGCCTCTCGCAAGCAACGAGGAAAGTGAAGGCGCGGTCTGCTCCAACTGTCGTCCTCGTCTGGGTGAACTGTACACCAAGACCCTGACGAAGACCTCTGATTTGGAAGTTCGATTTGGCCGTCTGTGGACTCAATGTCAACGATGCCAAGGCAGTTTGCATTGTGAAGTTATTTGCTCGTCTCGCGACTGTCCTATCTTCTACATGCGCATGAAAGCAAAGAAAGATGTTGAAGATGCACAGAAGGACTTGTCTCGATTTGACCTTGATGCTGGGGCTTGGTAATCTCGAACTCCCCACTGTGCATGACTCCATGACTCATTGCACACTGTCATGATATCCTGTTCTTTTTCATTTTGGTCAGCTGGGTTTTTGGTGATACGAACGAATCCTGGTAGGGCTTGAGCATTAATAAGGCGTCGGAGTTTTGGTTACGTTGAGATCCTTAGTTTTGTACAATGTGAGATAATGACATGCACCCAATGTGGCTATACGCTTTTCATTTATACCATACCTTTACGTACTTGTCCACTGTCAGTGCCTTCATCTCGTCGGCCGTGTAGTTGTCAAGGAAAAATTGGTATGCCAGGTGGAACATACGGAGTAGAGCCTCCTAAAGATGCACACTACGGAATAAAGGCGAGACCTAATGCTGATGGGACCCACATCCTACTGCATGAGGCCTAGCGCGCGTCATCGACGAAACTCTTGGCGCGGAGTAGCTCCTTTGCAGATCCCTTCGATTTCTCTGAACTCCTCGAATTCTTCCCGAGGCCGCCATGAATCCCCACAATGTCCATACAAACCAGACAACCGACCCAATTCCCTGGTCCGAGGTAGGTTTTCCAATGCGATCCCGGAAACTCCTGCGCATGGAACTTGAACTCCATTGCACCGAGGGTGTTTGTTTTGTTAATTGAACCGTGACTGACCTTGAGACCCTTCCGCTCCACGATCAGATCTTCGCCCGCCATGAAGCCGTCCTTCACTCTCACATGGAAATGCTCAGCATGGTCAAAGGACAGATCGCGCCTGGGCTAGATGCGTTCCAGACTGTGTCGTCCATGGTGAACAAGACCGTGCAGGCGATGAACCAATTGAAAGTCGCCAGGAAGCAGATGGTGAGCGCTCTTCCAGATCTTTATGTGCAAGCTTCATCTGCTAATGTCCAATCGCACAGATGAACAGTATGTGCAGACGTTTTTCCTGGAAGTTGTCGAGCTTTGATCCCGCAACCGCCGCATACCTACCACCCCAACCGAACAAAGAACGACCCCTAACGTGACGAGTGTAGAATCAACCAGCACATCATCAGCCTCGAGCTCCTCCAACCCTTCACATACCGACGCCGAGGCGAATACGCGGAAAAAGCGGCGCCGTGTCTCGCGAGAGAAAGAGCCCTCCCGCCCTGAGGTTGATGCAGGTGGTGAAGTTCAATACCCAAGTCGGTTTCGGGACCCTTCCGCTCAGCCGCCGCTCGAACAGGACGAATACATGACGTCGACGTCATTGGGTACAGAGGACATATCTGCAGAAGTCCAGCGACGGCTGAAGATCAGGGAGGAGCAGAGGCGGAAACGAGATACCCCTAAGCAGGACAAGCGCAAGAGGGAGAGCTTAGTGTCGAATGAGAGTGCATCGCCTGGTCCAGCCGCGAGGCCGCGAAAAAAGCGAGCCAGAGTGGACAGCGAGAGCAAGAGAAGTGGAGAGGTCGGGGATGGGGATACGTCAAGGAAGAGGGTACGCAGGGCACCTTGAGGGTAGAATCTCTGTAGTGGATTGGATGATCATACACCTGGGCACTTAAAACTGGTTTGTCAAGTGGCTTTTGGTTCTGTGCATACTGTTGGACAGTGTGGATATGCTTGCCTCGCCAGAGAAGCAGTTCCATCGGTTCAATGTCTTTTTCTTTTGGAAGGCACGCTTGCAAATTTGTAAACTATCGGCTATTTCATTGTAGGGGCACCTTCCTAGGCTGGAAGCCTGTTCCCTTCGGGAGCTTTGATACCTTCACGCTTGGAGCCCCTCGAGGTCTCAAACATACCAAACCAGGAATAAAATACTTCAAATTTGCTCGCAATACGGGGAACTTGTTCCCTATAGGCTTGACGGGATTCCACCGCGCCGAGTGCGAAGAGCCGGGGGTCATGTTCGCGGGCGACACCTAATCTTTGAGAGAACTCCAAGTCTCCCCTCATTTGGCTCGTGAGATGCATTCTATATGCTAATTGTGGTGCAAAATTGACACCCTCCTCTTGTTAGTAGCCTACAAGCTTGTACTTGTGGTTCATTCAATCTAGGCTGCTGCTTCCTTCTGACCTTCCATATACTCCAAGGGCAAGTATGCTTGATGCTATTCTCGAGTTCGATCATTATGACGATACCCTCCGACTCCCAACATGGATCCTCACTTCAGATGGCCAAGAGCTCTATGCGGGCAAAACAATATCCAGCGCCAATCGACGCAGACATCCTGAATGTCTCGAGGAGTTTCAGATATCAAGTGTCTATGAGCTAGGCATCATGGTGAAACCCTAAAAAGAGGTAATGAGTGAGCGGCTGTTGAGGCGTAGCAGTCAGAAAAGGGCTGATTTTACCTGCCTGCGCTACGTCGAAAGGGCTCTTTCGCGCAACTGAAAATGATGCTCATGATCATGGCTCGCCACAAGCTCAAACTAGATGTTAAATATAGCGCTGTATACCCACTGCCCAGGCGCTGCGAGTCTTTCTGGCGCTTTGCAGCACCTTTTCGCATGTCTAGGGCCGGGTTTTACAGGTAGAAAAGAGTATAAATGCAGCTAGTAATTCGCTGACTCGAAAGGCTGCTTTTCCAGTCGTTTCTAGGGCTATTTTACCTCCTTGCGGTGACTATTTCCAACTTAACACATCTGCGATGTCCATCTCTTTGCTCCATTCCCCAGTATGTAATCACTTATTCAGCAACTTTGCATACTTTGTCTTGCGGGCCGCAACCCAAAATGGCAATTTGATAACTTTGGTGGCCCACGGAAGCAGTTCAGGTACCATCGTATCGCTAAAAATACTGCGAGGTCGAACCAGATTCTGTACAATAAAGGGTATGACCTCCATGGATAGGCTTTTCCTTTAACCTGACTACAAAGCCAATCATTATTCTTTGTCTGAAAATACTTAGGATGTCCTTTGTGGGCGAGCTTAATAGTCCGATCACAAGGCCATTGTTGGCTCTTCTTTACCATGTCTTCATCCCCCGACGACTTTTCAAGTGAGAGTTATAAGAGGCCAGTCCCCATCAGTTTCCTGGAATATACTATTAGTGCAAACTCTCAATTGCTTCGTCCGACAGCGAGAACAGTAATCCCCAACGAGGGTTAGCGCCGTCCTGGAGATTAAACATAAAGGCTTTCCTCTCAGCCCATCTTCTGAATCTTTTTTCTTTCTTCTTCATCTCTCCTGGGATCCTGAGCATCACACATTACTCAGCATCATCACTCTCATCACTCATCGCTCATCGAGCGTTACTCATCATTCGACACACATCACTCCATCCTCACTTCCTCCTGACGTCATCGGTATACTTCCCGAAAGGGATTCGTATACTTCCCGAAAGGGAACGGCACACATCCAAGTCTCACAAGCTTCTACGAAGCTATATCCTCCTCTACTCGCCACGCCATTTGCCGATACTGCCTGCCATTCTCGGCCACTATCGAGCCTGGTCATCCATTCATTATCGACCTCCCACCTCCACTTTCCACTTCCATCCAATCGTCCAGTTCTGTCGCAACACGCTCTGTTCAGATACGTTGGCTTTGATCGTTGGTCTTTCGTAGGCGCACCACGTCTCGAGGCATCACCGCACTGGCTTTTACAAAAATATCCGTCCCAAACTACTCCACTTATTTTCCACGGGATAAAGGATCAGCCAACCCAAGCGGTTTGATTACGCCAGAAAAGAACAAACACCTACAAAGTCTAAATCCAGCTTTCGGAAGTCAAAACGGAATGAACACCCTTGCTAGAAATTTATCCGGAACATACGGCAGTCCAAACTCACACTTTGGTATACGGAAAACCGCAACGATGAACCTACACACATCGTTTGCCGGGATGAGCTCTTTTGAAAATGGAGACTTTCAAGCACATGGCACAGGCAATGATAATGGCAACGGCAATTATCGAGACAATCGCCGTGACAATCACCGTGACGATCAATCTCACTATCACTCTCACAATTCCTCTCAAAATCAAAACTATGGGCACAGCCCCAACTATCGAGGCCCCCAGGGCAAATGGAACTCTGGCAATGGTCATGGCAATGGCAACTTCAATCAAAGCCTAAACCCAAACTACAAGGGCAAGAACTTCAATCCCAACTATCGCGGGAAGAACTTCAATTCAAACAATCAAGGCCCTCGGGGAGGATCAGTCAAAGACGTGCGCAGCAGCCCAGAGCCTCATCTTGATGGTCAAGGACCGTTCTCTGGTGCTCAATGCAATCGTCGCAATCGCAATCGCAATCGCAATAACAATTATACTCTGCCGCCAAAGTTCATCAAATCCCTGGAGGAGGATATCCTCATGTCTGAGGCACCTCCAGTGGAGTCAATGGACTACTATTCCACTGATGTTGAAATGACCGATGCTCCTGCGCTCTCAAATGATTCAGTAAGTGGTTGGCCAATGGCCAATGTGTTTATACATCATAGAATGTTTTGCTAACGTCTCTCCAGAGAATTGAGGTGTTCAATGCTGGTGCAGAAGCTGTGCAGCAAATTGTGGGTATTCCCATCGCAGCCGCTTGCCCTGGATCCTTCTTCCTCAGGGTCGGCGGCTAGCGGTCAAATGATCCCAGTCTAATAAATCAATAGGCAAAGAAAGTGATCATGAAGATGGCAGCTGATCTGAACCTCACCTGTGTTCCCAAATGAGCTCTGGCCTCTATTGCCAACTCAACATTCGGTTCATCCATAAGATCCTGTCTCAATTTGTCATTGGAGAAGAAACATCAGCATTGTCAATGGCCCAACAGACTCGCCCCAGCCTTCTCTTCTGGGTTCTTCAATCGAGTTCTGCGCCCTCACTTCAGGTGACCACACCTAGGGCAGGCCACGCATGTATTCATCCAAGACATTCTGATCATTCAAGCGCTGCGGAGGAGACTTTGGCAGTTTGAAGAAGACGAATCGTTGATGGAAATGAGCTTCACGAAGCTCGGGGGACAAGGGCCTGTTGTTCGGCTTTTTGAATGGGGGATTCAAAGCAACCACACATCCACAAGCGGTCATGATCATGGTTTTTGCCCACCAAACATCAAGGGGGTTTTCCCATGATTCCCGGCGGGATACATCAAAGTCCCTTGCACGGCCCGAATGGGGGGACTGTCAATCACAAGATCAACAATTGTTTTGTTCTGGCATTTTGCATACATCATGTTATAGAATTTGGAGGATTTGCATGCGTTTTGGAAATTATCATGTACCAGACAATGTCTGTTTGGATGTCTCGAGAGACACTCATATATATCTCGAGAATATTGTCATCAATAAACATGATACAACTGGGTATCAACTCCGTAAAATTAAGTTCCAATTTGGGCGTACAGATCTCTCGGAAGTGCACCCTACCTATTTTGACTGCATGCTATTTCTGACCAAGAAATAATAAAGTAGATTTCTAGACTTTGGAATAGAGATTATGTCAGATTGCGAATCATGAAATTGTGAGACTTCCTGAATAAGAATTTCACATGCATGATATACTACCTCAAGCCCTGTGGAATCTCATCTCAATAAAAACTTGGAGCGAGCCGGAGATTTCATGGTACCTTACCAAACTGATCAAGTATGACAAGTATTTTCGGCCTTTTCAAACCCTTCAAAGGGGTGCCTTTAAACTTGATTTTGTTATGCCTCCTTGCACCTCGCCATGCGCAATGTTTTTGTTGATTTCTCTCCACTGCTACTAGACACCGGTTGCACTGAGAATGGCCTTGGTCATCGTACCGTGAGTGGCTGGTACGACTCGCTCAACATATACCTAGTGAAGTGGGAAGAGCGCACTGGCGGTCTGACATCGCAGACAAGACGACGGGGGTGCTCAGTGCTCGGCGGGAAGGGTGAGGCATGCAAAGCCCTAGAACACTGCCCGATTAGGAAGTAGATGCTGTTTGGCCAAAGAGGTGTAGGATGCTTCGATTGCTATGCTATGAAAACGGGGCTAGAAATAGCCCCGGGATGCCTGAGGCACAGCTGAGAGGTGCGGTGTCGTTTCCCCACTACACTAGGTACAATTGTCACACGATTGAAGATTTGGGTCCAAATGCGTGCATATTGTAAAAATTTTCATGTCCCAGAGCCTGCTCCAAGATTGCAGCTTAAATGAAGGACCGATTTTAGATCCTGGGAGGCCATGACCCATATCAACGTGATCGCAAATATGTCATGCCCGAGTGTAGCGAGTATACGATCCCTGGCTGTCTTTGCTTCATTCGTTACTCTGAAATGTGAATGCTACCCAGAAGAGACGTGGAGTTACGAAGAGAAGGGAAAAACAAAAGCCAACGAACCTTGGCCAAAAGTCTGTTTTATGTCTACTGGAGGCAATGCCTATGTTGCACTTGTAAACACCTCGAGCTGAGATTTTGCTGAAAGTGACATGATCTATAAATGTGAGGAATTTCACCGCAGCATGTTTGGTCTCAAGTTCTGTATATATACACGTTAGTGAATAGCCGTATGATAACGGAGCTGATCTACGACAGAGAAGCAGAAGTTGCTGATACAGTAGATTCAGATCTCTAGAAACGGAAACAGACGAGGGAAAGAAGAGCAGAGGAAGAGAGAGGAAGAGAGAGGAAGAGAGGAAGAGAGAGAGAGAGAGACGTCAGGGCTGTCAATCATATCACCTGGCCACCCATGCCCACACCGTACGAGGAGATTCTGTCTGGGAGCTATAGCTAAAGTCGTTTTCCACCTTGTTTCCCTTGGTTAATGGCTCTGGTCCACGTGGGAGCATGATAAAGAGCACTGGGAATGATCCCGAACACATTTCCAGAAGTTATTCCACGAAGAAAGCGACAATTTACAAAGTGGACAGCTTGGGGGGCTTGGCATATTTTCTTTAACATCGGGGCAGATCGCTTCGGTCGGCTTGTGCAGCATATAGAAATGCTCACGCATTCTGTCCCTTCTGTAGAATGTCCTTCTTCCTTCACCGCCATTGGTGCAAGATGATACGGGACAAACATAGAGGGATTCTGCATAGTGTAGCATGTGAATATGACGTTTTAGTGGTCCAAAAGTGGGATAGATTCGAGGCGCCACCAATTGATCAATGGGGCAAAATGGACACTTGAAAAAGTGAGGTTTCTTCGAGCTTTCCAGACGCCCCCAGTTTTCCTCTTGTGAGTGCTTGCATTCTGGGGACGGATGGATGAAATCCTGGGGACTGAATAAACCTTGGCAGTCTTTACAGGAGTAGCCATTGGAACCAAATGAAGTCACCCGAGCGCCATGACCCAGCAGAACTTGAACCACTTCAAGATATCCATTATCCATTGCCTGAGAGAGAGGAGTCTGTCCTCGAACATCCATAGCATTGGGATTGGCCGATTTTGCTAGAAGAAGCTGGGCTATTCCTACCCAGCCATTTGAGGCTGCGTAGAAAAGCGGAGTCTGGCCATCACTATCTCTGCAGTCGGGTGCTGCGTTGTTATCCAAAAGAACGCGAGTTGATTCTTCGTGGCCTTGATCTACTGATAGTAGGAGAGGTGTTTGCCCATCCGGATCATGGTAGTTTGGATCAACTTTGTATCCGAAAAGAAGAACCAACACATTGGCCTGACCCTTGTATGCTGCCAATGACATAGTTGCTCGGCCATTTATGTCGTTTGCGTGTGGGTCATACCCTCTGTTGAGAAAAAACTCGACAGTCCCAGGATGCCCAGCGTACGCAGCCCATCCGAGTGGACTGCGATCTGATGGGACCAGTGGAGAAGACATACCATCAATATCGACTAAAAACCTTACCACGTCTTCTAATCCAAAAAAGGCAGCAAGATGTAATCCTGTAAACCCTACAGGGGTTCGCCTGCAGTAGTCGCCTTGGTTTGAAAGGCTTTTGATTGAGAATATTGCTTGGACAGAGGCGTTGACTTTGCAAGAAGATTTCAAAAATGGTATGAGCATAGGTTGGCTCGAGTTTTGTGTCAAAGCATGATGTGCCCAATTCTTCGAGGCGTAAGAATACAGGGGATAGTCTATGAGCCTGGCTTCGAAGTCTGTGTCGACAAGACAAATCCCGGATTGGAAGGCGTCGAATGTAAGGTAGGTTAAGCATGTTGCTGCCATGTTCCCATGTGCGTCTGGAAACCAGTGACCTGACGTACGCTCGAAATATTCTTGGGCGGTGTAATGAACCAATCTTAAAACGTCATCGGGCTGTTTCTCACCTGATACAACAACAAGTCCAACGCAAAGGAATAAAATAAAGTCCAGGTCAGGTACATTGTCATTGTCAAGTTCCGAGTCACCCCAAACCACCGCAAGAGCATGGAGAAACTCGGCTATTGTGAGAGGACGTCTTGCACATGTTATCCATGACAGAATGTTCCGCGCCATTTCTTTTTGTTCCAATGGCAGGCTATTTATGCGCTGCATAGCACTTTCATAAGCTTTGTCATAGTTTGTAGAGCCTTTAGTCAGTTCATTCAAAGATGATCGAACATCTCTTGCTGTAATCTTGCTTTTTAACGAGCTAAAAGAAAGGTGTGCCAGTAGAAACCTACCGTAAAGTAAGCTTTATCCTGACAAAAAAGGTATCCAAGAATGCGACACTTACATTCCATCTGCAGCGTTAGTAATGACGTCTATGACCTCCTGTTGAAGCTGTTTGTTGCGTGACACAAATGAAGGAAGTTGATCGAGATTTGCTGTAAGGTACTTTGCAATATCGGATTTCTCTGCGCGGATTTCTTGGGTCATGGTATCATCTTGGAATTTGGACATGATCTCGGGGATGAACCTCGAAGTAGCGAAAAGGCTCATATTGGAATGCAGTGCGTAGGAAATAATTGCATCCAATGTGCGTATAGCATCGGAGAGGTTGCATTCATCTAGTGCATCAAAGACAAGAAACCACCGCTTGAATGAACGGCAAACAACACTAAAAGCTTTAGACAGCTCGGCAAATGTAGGACGAGTGCCTTTCGGTTCGTGTTTGTCGTACATCGCTTGCACAACACTCGGCATTGGAGATGCATCAAGGACAAGTTGCCTTATGATAGAAGAAAGAAAACTCTCTGGTTTCTGGCTTCCATCGCTTGTATGTTGGAAGTCACAATAAATGTACGCAATGCCAATCTCGGGATTGCTACTGTACCGGGACTCGATCTCATCGATCACTGCGGACGAAAGAATCGTTTTGCCGGCCCCGGGAATACCGGGACAGAACATAGTCTTCCCCGGCTCGTCAATCCAAGAAAGGAAATTTTGAGACTGAAGAAGCCATTGCCCTGTTCCTGGCTGTAGTAGGCGGAGATATTCCGATTGTCGTGCTGCATGTGTAGTAGGCGATAACCAGTCGAGACACACTCTTTGTGTCTCATCAGTTTTATGTTCGAGCAGCATAGAGATTGTGTCTCGTGTGATACGTCCATTGAAGGCGTTTAAGATGCTGATATTGCTAGACAGCCGATTCCGTAGATCATGGACATCTTCGGGCTCCCATCTCAAACGCTTCCATGTTCTTTTTATCGGACGAGCCGCATCAATCTCACAATATCGAGATAACAGAGTATCAATCTCGTTGAACAAAGTGCGGCAACTACTTGCAATATCCTGTAACTCCTGTTTTTGCTTGGCATTGAGATGTGTGTTGTGTTGATCAACTTCGAGATCTCGAATAACGATTTCCAGATTCCTGAGCCTAGAAAGGGTTTAGCATCCTGAATTTTCTCCTCGTGGTTTCAGGTGCAGAGGTCCTGGGTACAAGTGGACATACTCATCGGAAATTGCCTTGAATTGAGGAGGTGCCCCGATAAAGTCCTTCCGCAGCTGATTAGTTTTTTCAATGACTGTGATAAAGTCCCCAATGCTGAAGCCGAAACTCATGGTCCAAGTAGTAAGTAGATATATGAGTAGAGTTGTCGGAGAGAAGTGAAGTTGAAGTGTGAAGTTCGACGGGGTAATTCGAGAATAGGTGTGAGCTGAACGAATACCCCGCGGGCTGGAGCCTGTATGTGACGCGTGCTCAAGCACAGCCTCCATTCAACCAACACATATCTGCTGGCTTCTTCACATTGTAAAATTAGCCTTCTGGTATTATGTTTATTGGTATTATGTTTATTGCGCCGTCTCTTGAAGAGGCTCAAGCTACAGCTGACAAACGGCTCACTGAGATTTGGCTTCCAGGGGGGCATTGCCGCAAGGCCCTGCGCTTGGCTGGACGCTCGACGCGAATTCTCGTCTTATAAGAGGCATCAAACCTTGAAGCCTTTTCTAAAACACTAATAATAGTTAGGTCGAATACGAGACTTTGGGACTTGGCAGTCAATTATATCGTGATCGGGTATAATTCGAAATATAAAGAAGGATATGAGTAATGATGTTAATTATTAAAAATATTTTGAAAAATAAAAAATAAAAAACCTTGGAAGTATTTGTATTTATTTTAAAAAATATCTTTAAATTTTCAAAAATTTTATTCTAAATGTCAGGATCGCTGCCCAGGGGCCAGGTGGACTTGGGTGCTTTGGCAGGGCAGGCTTTGGCGAGGTTACGTGATTTGTCACGTGCACAGGGAGGATGGCCCATTACATAGATCCTGACAGCTTTCTCTCTCTCTCCTTTCCTTCCTCAGTTCTATTATCGTCGTTTCCTGGACCATGATAGAGATCTCTTTCTTTTGTGCTTTACCGCCTGACACATTATCTACTGCTATACAACACATGAAAACAACTACGTATTGTTATCCTAAGTAATATCACACTGGCTACCCACCCTCTCCCCAAAGCCCTATAGCTTGCTTATATCATGACTCAAAATGGAGTTACTTATGGAGGCCAAGGCTACTATAAGATATCGTTCAATACTATGTTGACAATAACCTATGTCGATGCAACGCTATCGACTCAGAAGAATATTTATGGGATCACGGTTATGTAAGGATGGTCACCGTGTGATCGATTATCCTACAGTTGTCAAATTGAAATACATTGAGCCTCACCACACAGAACGAGGATATGAAACATATGAGAGAATTTTTTGAATGTGTTTGGCTAAGGTAGATAGTGAAAAGTCGAGGACATACTCCATCTACACAAACGGCAATGTAATAGCAAAAGAGGTATGAGGCATGGGAGTAGATAATACTGAGCAAGCGCCACACTATCCTCTGCTGGGTGATAAAGCCTGTCATACTTCTCCCAAATTTCCACCGAGACCTCGTTCAGTATTTGTTTCTCCGGCGGGGCAAGTGTAACGCGAGCACATTGCGAGAGGAACGAGCGGTGGTGGGATTTAGCAGCACTCCTCGCAGCATTCGAAGCAGAGGAGACCGGCACACCTAGAATACGTGAATTGAATTCAAGCCCAAGGTCTCGAGGGAACGTACATGCCACAGCAGACATCACCTGCACCACCGCCGCGGAGCTTCATCGTGTGCTCTTCGGACTTCAGATGACCGTTAGCAATATTCAGAAGCTCTCAATTCGAAGATCACATACAGAGTTCTCAGCGATGACTTGGTCGACGGAGGGGGGCTTTGGGCCAGTGGGTTGCTGGGTTTGCATGGTTGCATCAGTGGCATCCCAAGCTGCCTCGCTGGCGCATGCAGGCTTGGAGAACGAAAAGGCATCACCTTTGGCTGGCATTTTGGCTTGGCTTGAGAGAGAGAGTGAGGTTTGAGGAGAGATGATGAGAGAAGAGGTGTAGGCTAAAGCGAAGGAGGGATGAAATGGCTCGGTGAGAAAGGGAAGGTACGCTTATTACGAGGTCAAATGTGTGACATTGACTACGCCAATAACAACGCCCTTGCCAAAATCTGAGCTACAGGAAAGACTTAGGAACATCACGCTAATAGAAAGTAGCGGCAGCATACCCTGTGTTGTATTTAGTAGGCACAAACAATCCAGAAAGAGAGAGAGAGAGAAAGCAAAAAAAAAAGATAGCAAATTCAGCTGGACATCGGGACTAGGATTCGAACCCAGTACTTCGGGAAGGAAGGAAACTGACCCAACAGATGGAGAGGATTGGGCCCTTTGGGATTAAGCTGGTGCTAAATCAGGACATGCGACACCTCACCCAGCTGGTATTTGTTATGTCTGGGAGCCCTTATTTGGTCTTTTAGTGGACACTTCTCACTCCTTTTATACTGTTCAATACCCCAGTTTCTTGCGTAATTCGTTTGCCCGAAGCCTTACGCAGCTACCTGCATTCTTGACCCTGTTTGGGTATACATCAGAAGACAGTACAGGGGTGTCATTTTAAACATGCTTATTCGACCGTCTTGCTCCACTTGGTGCTGAGTCCCCACATTGCCAATCATCCATGGATGCAAGTGGGTTGTGAGCAGAACAAACTGCGTAACTGTCATATAACGTGCCGAAATGCCAGTACTCCACTCGGGCTCAGCTTTGGCCAAGCAACACTCAAGCGTCTTCAAGCGTCTTTTTGCGCTATTTTTAGATCTGACTCGAAAATGGATGAGCTGGGTGTACCCGTACTTTTGTAAAAACAACGGGAAAAATGAAAATAAAAAGATCAACCTGAAGATACAAACGCTTGGACCCCCACAAAAGCTGGGGTAATCTAATCACATGACCTGCACATCTGGCACGAACGACCGCCCGTGAAATTTCCATCTCAACGTCAACATCAGCCTCAAAGCCCTAGCTATCAAAAATGTCAACTCCACCCTCAGACATCCAAGCAGGCCGAGAAGCCGACTACAAGCGCTTCAAGAACTATGCCGCATACACATTCCTCATCGGCGCACCGATCCTAATCGCCCTCCCACCACGCAAACTCGACCCTCTAACCGTGCTGGTCCTCTGCTCATTCGGCGCATCCGCAAACCACATCGTGGGCGACCGCACAGGAAGAAGCATCATTGATCGAATCGACGCCAAGATCTCGCGCATCCACAACCCCATTTCATCACTACCAAGTGAGCGCGCCCAGGAGATCCAAGAGCGTCTCCGTGCCTCGCGCGATGCGCAGATCCGGCAGGCTGAGAATGAGAAGCTTTCTGCGCGGATTCAGGAGCTCTCTGAGAAGGGAGATGCTTCTGTGAGCGCGGAGATTGAGAAGCTTAAGGCGCGCCAGCTTGCTGAAAAGGGCGTTGTGCAGCGGGTTTGGATGGGTGGGGAGTCTGAGGGGTGGAAGGAGCGGAGGTTGAGGGAGGAGCAGGAGGCTCTTGCTGAGGGTAAGGGGTATGGAGACTTGATTCAGGAGCATATCTGGGATGTGTGGACTTGGGGTGGTAAGGATGGGAAAGGGGGTGAGGGTGTTAAAGATGAGGTGAAGGATGATGAGTCTGTGAAGAAGGACTAAGGCATTGGCTCCTGTTTATGTTGCTTAATCCACTTCACAGCGTCTCCCCCTCTCTTTTCCATGTATATTATCTGGTTTTTTGACCCGGCTTAGCATTGGGATCGGGCGTTTGGTTGCATTTTCAATCTTAATCTTATGAACTTTGCCCATGGTTAACTGTTTATTAGAGCTTGCGTAAAGATGTCGGCGAGCCAATGTTTTGCGTAATCGACAGCCGGACAACCGCAAAAGCCTAGCCAAAGATCGCCAAGACACCAAGTCTGGTATTCGACTAGGCACAATGCGCGACAATAGAACGACGGGTCGGGGCAAAGGTTGAGTCCCTAGAAGATGATTGATGCTGCTGAACTATCAAGGTACTGTCTGCATATTCCCAATCGGCCTTCCTCCGAAAGCTATGATCTGTAATTCATCTCAAATTTCAATTCTCACTCATCGCCTGCCAGTCCCGGTGCCATGCTTCTGCTCTCCTGCCACTTTGCCGTGCCGGCCTCTATTTTTGCGATAACCGCCTCACGAAGCATTTTCACCTTCATTTCATCACACAAGGACTCAGTTGGGCCCTCAGGAACATGGTAAAGCGCGTCCTCCGGGACATCGTCGTTGATGAAGCTTTTGTCCGGCGCATTCTCCTCAGCAGAGCCTTCTTGGTGGGTCGAACCTGGCTCAACCTCCGGGGTGTCACCGCAAGAAGATCCAACAGAGCCAGGGTGCGAAGGCTGGCTGCTTGCCATGATGTCCTCAAAGTCATCTATCGCCAAGCGATCAGGGCCCTTGAGCTCGGCAAACCCGCGAGTAATAGCACCGAGCTCGTCTTCCACCTGGGCTGGGCTTACGCGGACGGCACATTTCGAGAATGGAGCTTCAACGTGGGCGACTAGGGCGGCGTGGGTCTTGAACCTTTTGCCACATCGGGGACATCTACAGAACGGGTCGTCGGTATGAAGGTCTTCCAGAAGGAACAAGTGTCAAAAAGGATACTCACTCGAGGATGGCGTCATCTTTTTCTGTAAGGTGTTGCGTGAAGGTGGACAAGTGCGAGAAAGTCGCATTGCAGCTGCAAATGTACTGACCATGCTCTTCATCCCAGAAGTCTTCAGGATCAATGGTTGTGTTGGTTCCGTGGGCGCGAGGCAGGTATTGAGCAAGCTCAGCACGGAAGAATCGCTTCAAATCCTCGGCGGAAGAGCTTCTTTGCACCAGGTGTGTGGACTGAGAGCTTTTTTCGAATTGCAGTGGCATTGGAACACCCTCAGTCAGAAGTGGACCAGTTGGGTTAAGAGGGACACCGCCAGTGGATTGGGTCGATGTGCTGTTTGACCTCGCACGAGAAGGCCCAGCGACGCCTAAGTCAGCTTTTTCCGTGGTAGAAGGTTTGACACCTTGAGCCGGGGCAAGTGAGGTGTTGTCTTTGCCCATGTTCAAGGGAACACCGCCGTCTGATTCATCCTCACTGACATCTTCGGCAAGGATTTCGGCAAGGGAAGCCACACCCGACTGCATGAACCCCTCTCCAGCAATGAGACCGTCTTCCCGGGCAACCCTAGCAGGCAAGTCGAGGATAGGGCACTCGTTCTCTTCGATGTGCTTTATCACGGCGGCGGCGGACTTGTACTTGATACCACAGCCAATGCAGCAAACTTCTCTGCCGTGGGGGTGCGACTATATTCAGCGAGTGATTATTAGTATTGTTGCCGATGTCTTCAGAGCTCTCCAGATTTTCACGTTAAGAAAATAGAAGGGACATACCATCTTCACGTGGTGCCGAAGACCACCTGGGCTTCGCAATTCGAGCTCACATTCAAGGCAGGCAAAGTGACGCTGGCTCATAATCTTGTGCAGGTGAAGCAAAGCATGATTCATAAAATCCATGTCACATTTGGCGCAGTAGTGGTGGTTATCAGCACTAGACTTGTGGCTGCGCATCGCATCGATGGATTCAAAGTATTGACCGCATGGCTGGTAGGTACAGCGTATCTTCTCGTTGGTCGACATCGCGAAAAGCAAGAAAACAAAAGGTTGGAGGAGGTTGCGCGACGCGACAACCTTGGAATCCAGGCTATTCTAGTGATTGAAGGGGGACGAAGAAGTGATGGACAGGTCAAGGACACTCAACCGTGTTGATTCTTGGAAACCGAAAGAAAGTTGAAAGAGAAAGGAAAGATGCCAGCGAAGAAAGCGTTTTGTAGACAAACATGGTGGGTTGCTCCTTCCTCTTTGCCTTCGCCTCTCAAGGCAAGAGCCACCCTTTCCCTTGGCTTTTACTGGAAATCTGCATTGAGGACTATTTGCTTTAATCTTTCTACTATCAAATGGCTCAACAAATTCATGACGCCAGATTTGCAGCAACACACTAATCCTGATAGACAGAAGACTCTAAGTGATATAAAGCCACATCACCCGACATGGCAGTGGCCCAAATCTGTAGACTCTTGGGTAATATTATTTTGTTCAAAATAAGATGAATCTGAAGTGTACTCCTATGGCTTAGCGTACCGAATGACTTTTGCCGCCTTGGTGTGGCACTCGGGTTTCATGTTTGTGAGGTATACAGATAGCTTCATTAGCACGGTTCAAAACATCCTAAGGCTGTACGGAGTATGTAGCCTGCGAAACTCTCGACTTGGTGACCAGTGGTCTCTTCATTGACATAAACCAGCTACTAAGAATTTACTACCTTCTTTTCTCACACAAAAAAAAAACAGTTTGCGCCTTGCAGGTCAGTCAGTATCTAATAGATTACTACTTGTTGGAGATCCCCGAGGTCGAACCCCCAAAATTGGTTCCAACCACGCTATGTGTAGAAATATTTCGATATGACACTTTCGCATAAAGTGAAGAATGCTTGAAGAAGGCAATTGCCATATGTACTTGTTGGAGTATTTTTCCGATGCTGGGATATCCTAGAAACGGGAGAACGGCAACCTGTTGCGTGTCAGATCTCAGCACACCTGGGCAAAAATCAAGGCTCATATCAACTTACCACTTTCCACGAAGAGTAATAACGGCCCAGTTGTTACCGTCCTCATCAGTCTCCTTCTCAACCTTCGTCGAGAAAGATATGGCACTCATGATACCATCACCAAACTTCTCATTCAAGACCGCCTTATACGCGTAGCCGTAGTTCTGCACGATCTCATACAGCCGGTAGATAAGGGGTTCCTTTGGCGGCATCTCGACGGACCGGCCGCGGTCGGGGAAATCCACTTAGCTGGTCCTCCAGAGGCTGCTGGGGAATTCCGAGCAGCGTGGCCAGTTTTTCAATATCTTCCTGGGTTGCCTTGGCTTGACCATAAAAGATGGCGGCGGCGGCTACTTCATTGCGACCGAGATGCTCGCCGATTTTCTCAAAGCTGAGCTTTCTTGCGGCCTTGGCGCGGAAGAGGGTTGCGGATGCTGCGGGGAGGTATGGGTGCTGGGCGGTCTTGGGCGCTGTTAGCGGGGCTGCGGGGCTCAGGTGGGGGGGGATTTGGAGAGCTCTTACGTCGAGGGTTGCGAGAGACATGATGACTTAGTAGACACTGCGGCCCGTATTCAATTCTAAGGTTGGTTTCTGTAAGGTTTGGAGGTCGAGCCGAGGGGTTCCAAGTGTTGACAAGTGTTGTCAAGCACTGCGGGGAAGGAAAGAGGAGGTGTCCCACTTAAATAGAGTAGCTGTGCTTTGTCAGATCGACATGCATAAACGGAAATCTTCAGCCCATGTATCCATGCGAGCGCCCATAAGAATAAACCTCGAACTCCCGCTCAAATTCATTGTAGCCTCCCTTGTGTTGCTTCCAGAGTTGGGGAGCGGCTACCACGCTACCAAGTCCATTGCCAAGGCAGCTGTGTCACACCAGATCCTCTCTTTCGCAAGATCAAAGGCAGCATAAATCTAAAGAAAACGTTTGGGATATTTGCAGAAGTGGAGGCTGAAATGTAAGCATGAATTTAAACATGCTTGGGTCCCGGGGTGATTTGGTACTAAATTCATATCCATGAACAATACGTGTGCACGGACCACCACCTTATTTATCAACCAAGGTAACGCCAGGAACCAACCCGAACTTCGAGCTAAAGGCAACTATAAGATAGCCCCAGGGGGCAATGCTAGCAATCCAAGCCTGCCTGGTCGAGTCGGGTCTTGCGCTACTTCGGTAGGCGCCGGGCCTGAGTTGACATCGTTGGTCTGCCTACTAGGAGACCCCTGGTTCGATTCCGGCGACAGGTCCCCTGGGGAGGTTCGGGTTCTTTTTTTTTTCCTTTTGCTCTACACATGGAATCACAAGAGAACAAGAGTAAGCGGATCATTTACAAGACCATTGGCAGCCGAGATCCGTGACAGTGGGTGGCTATCTGGGCCCCCAATTTTCCATCTATTCGGACAGGCGGTTGCGTCGTCTGAGAAAACCTCGAAGCTATCATCACAGAGTAGTGCCATCATCATGCTCTTCATATCAAGAATCATCAGCGCGTCTTACGACACGGGGTAACTTGCCCAAGATTCCAAACACCCCGGTGATCGCCCAAAGTGATCCATCGCACTAAACCTTTCTAGGCAACCACTGCGACCGATAGGCCAATCAGATTAGATTCCCCCGTCGGCCCTGTTTATGATGCCATTCAGAGGCTGTTTCACACGTGGGGTTTTTTCAACTCGGCTCAAATACGATTTTCTGCGACATCTTCATTCAGGGCACATGCTAGCCTCGGTCTTAACCCTATGATATCAAATAATCAGCACAATGATAAAGATGTACGCAACCCTCAGGGTTGACAACCTGCAAAATCTTACCCACCAAACAACACTGTCATCATGGCCACCCGCAATCCAATGGATAACATGAAGTCCACATGGCGTACATGGGACCGTGATCAATGGAAGCTGCCCCACAAAATTTTTGAGCACGCCAACGTATATCACGTCGAACTGGATAGAGAAGTTCCAGTCCATTCCAAGCAAGACAAAGTGCCCTACGTCTCGGATTGGTCCTTGAACCTTTGGGTCATTGTCAATGCCGGAATTCCTCTGGTCATACACCAAGTCTTCACGTCTGTGACAGGATACAATCTCCACCCGGTCATCGCCTTTTTCTACTATTACTATGCTTCACGTTGGTTCACAACGCGAGAACTTCGAAGCCTCCGCGAACTCGGCCACACTCACGGCTTCCTCGATGGCGATAAACATGAGCGAGATGGTGTGCCCGATGTTGGCGTTTCCAAGGCTCTCAAATCCGTGCTGCTGGCTGGCTTAGTTCGCCCTGTCATGACAGTATGGCTGACCTACAACGCGAACGAAGCTCCTGCATCATTGAACTGGGTTTGGCTTCCACTCGAAGTCAGTCTTTATGGTATCATTCTTGACTTTTGGTTCTACTGGTATCATCGACTTATGCACGACGTCAACGGTCTCTGGAAGTTCCACCGTACCCACCACCTGACGAAGCATCCGAACCCACTGCTCACAATTTATGCGGACTCGGAACAAGAGTTTTTCGATATTGCTGGCATTCCGATAATGACATGGCTTACTATGAGACTCATGGGAATGCCTATGGGGTTTTACGAATGGCACGTTTCTCAGCTATATGTCATGTTCGCGGAACTGGCGGGACATAGTGGCCTCCGTCTACATGCCTCGCCACCAAATCCATTGACGTGGCTGATAAAGATATTTGACGCCGAGCTGGTCATTGAGGACCATGATTTGCATCATCGTCAGGGATGGAAGAAGAGTCACAATTATGGGAAACAGACCCGAGTCTGGGACCGGGTTTTCGGGACATGTTGCCCTCGCATAGAGAGCACCGAGGCAAACGTTGACTACAATAATCCAGTCAGCATGCCACTTTTGTAGATAAAGGTCATTTACGTTTCCAAAATTATCTTCGAGCCATCATCGGAATTATTATAGCGGTAGTCTCTTGGAGACCTTTGTGGTGGCCCACGAAAATGAAAGCTCAATTTAATATGATCCCTGTCCAGTGGTTTTTCCTGATAGAATCACGGCTCTCTTGTTGTGTCGCTTCCCGTGCAGATTAGTACGAAAATAGTCGATATCAGTCTATGATCTTCCAATGCCTGGCTGGTTTACTGATCTAACCGGTATTCGGATGATCTAACTAGTAACTATTTGAATGTTTTATTGTCGATCAGGTCAGCTAATCAAGCCATAGATCATCCTGGGCTTTGTCCACAGCACAACCTTGGGATAGGAAGTGTAGATCATTGTGCCACGTGATATGAGCCGCATGTGGATCCATTGAACCACGGGTCCACCCGCATTCCATCAAAGGCCTTGTTGATCTTTCACGCCTCCAAACAAAGGAGACAATGACTAGAGTGCATGTTCAAAGACGTGGGGAGAATGAAAGCACCTTTGACAGAAGTTTTTCAAACCAAAGTCGGATTTGTACTATAAATCAGGTCGAATATCGAGTGTAATGTATCTTCACACCATCCACAAAATACTGTTTCAATATTAAAATTCGATCGCTAACATGGCTCTTACATTCCAAGGAATATTTCGCCCGAAAAAGGGTCCTCACCCTGAGCCTGTCCTCATCGAAGCCCCAGAAAAGGTTTTCTGGATCTCCATAGGTCTTCGCACAACAGATCGGTTCACTTGTGATCAGGACTTGTACGAGACCATTGCAAAAGCTCTCAAGAACCGGGAAATCCATATTCAGCTAGGTGGGGTCCCTGAACAGCTCCAGCAGCGTTTCCGTGTTTCATTCCCTGTGCACGGTCTGAAAATTCGCCCTAATCCGCAGAAGCCTGCAAAGTTCGATCTGAAGGATAGTGAGATTGAAAAGGCAATCAAACAGGTTGTCAACTATGTGAACGGCCAACGCAAGTCCATTTATGCTAACAGCGTAGTCATCGATCGTCAGGAATTGTTCGGAATTAGTCCTGAAATGGAACAGATAGATGCGCAAGCATTCGGGTCAAACTCCGAGCGTCCTCCTCAGGGCTCTGGTAAGTGGGGGCTCTAGATATGTGCGTTATTTACTTTCCAGTCTGTCAGTATAAACTTTGCTCAGATTGGTCCCGAATGTTTGGAGTTATGGCGTGTTACAGGTAGAGAGAATACAGACAGAATAGTCCCATAAACAATTGTTTATGGATCTAGCCAATCAAATGTATTCCTTGTGATCAAAACCTTTGTTTAAAAAAATACATTTTCTCCTATTTCCGACTTACTTTGGTTTGCGGCTTTTCTATCATCTGCGTGTACTCGTAACCGAACCCGGAGTTCCGGGTATGTTTAAGCCATTGCTTAGTAGATGCCAGCGCATCAAGAGGCCCACAGACTCCTCCGTAGAATTATTAAAGACCTGGCTCTGGCTTCCACCCCAAGCACTTGCCTCTTTCGATATTTTTGACCGTACAACCAACGGCTTCTCCCCTGGATCTACCATGAGCGTGTTTCCTGAAGTGGTCGGAAATGAATTCCGAATGAGAAATCCACCCGCTGCATCCAGAGATATTGTGGCTGCTGACGCGCCTGCCCTTTCCGAGTTGTATGAAGACCCTGCTAGTAAGAGTGGCGAGAACTTGTTGTTTTACACTCGCTCAACTCCATCCTTCGCCGGAGTTCGCGAATTTTGGAACCAACATAACGATAATGTTGAGCTGCTAGCTGTCTTGCGTCCGCGCAGTGAGTCTGCTGTCCAAGCGGCGGTGCGGTTTCTGACGCAGCGCAATATTCCCTTGAGCGTTCGGAGTGGCGGCCGTGGCGCGTATCATCAAGGCCGAGCAGACGCGGGAGGTGTCGTGATTGACATGCGGGCTATGGATGGAGTATCATATAATGCTCCAATCAGCTCCGATATTCCCTATGCCGTCGCGACAGTAGGCGGAGGCATCACCGTTGGTCCTCTGGGAAGAAGCCTGCATTCCAGTAATTTGATCACACCCACTGGCTGGTCCTCCGAAATAGGATTCGCAGGCTGGTTGTCCGGTGGTGGGTATGGGTTTTTGAGTACAAGATGGGGACTCGGAGTCGATAATCTTGTGGGAGCAAGGCTGGTAACATCGAGCGGGGAAATAATCGACACAGAAGATGAGCCAAACACGGATTTGTTATGGGCGTTGCGTGGTGCCGGAAATGGAACTCTTGGGGTTCTGACCGAGCTGCGAGTCAAGGCATTTTTGGCACCCCGATTCCTTTGCGGTGTCGTTGCATTCCCTCTCTCCACTGCGACAGATGTTATACACAATTTTCGTGAGATCTTGAAAGCCGAAAACTTGCCAGATGCTGTTGCCGGGGAGTCCATCGTGATGTATCCACCCGGGCTGCAGCCTTTGTTTGCCTTTTTGTTTGTGTGGGCGATTGATCAGCTCGGTCCCCCTGAGCAAGCGCAAAAATGGTTAGAGCTTATACGATCCTGTGGAAGTGTGGTGATGGGTACAGTCACAGAAAGTAAGAAAAATCCTTTCGCAAAGTACCAATACTGACTTGGCAGTGCCCCTCCATGAGTTCCATGAGTGGATCGCGACAACGGCTCCAGCGGGCAACTGCTACCACATGCGGACTCGCAATACACGCAGCGCCTATCTCAACGAGGCAACAGCTGAGATCCTCGTCCGAAATCCACCACCCAATCACCTCTCGGTTGTGGTCATACACAACGCGCGTGGAAAGGCGGTCGATTTCCATCCTGACGCAAGCTTCCCCGTCCGTGAAGAGCACACTACCTACTGTATTGTAGGTGCCGCGCCGGCTGAAGCCGACGAAAAGGAAATGCAGCAGGCAGTTGACTGGGCTGATCGAGTGTGGAAGGAACTCGAGGAGACGGGGTTGGTAATGGATCAGGTATACGGCAATTTCGAAAACCCAGCTCATCTGGATGTCGGCGAGTGTTACGGAGCTGAGTCTGCAAGTCGACTAAGGGGTATCAAGAAGCACTTTGATCCCGGCAATGTCTTTTACAAGGGCTATCCGAGTATCGGATGATGCCGTGTGCATTCGGCACTGTTATTGGAAAATTCCTGGCAGCATCAACTGTACTCACATTCAAAACCTTTATATCACCAGCTAGACTCTGAATTGAATCCATGAGCTGGACAATGACTCAATGAGCTTGTATCTTTTCGTTTGCCTCCGATTCTCTCTAGTCCCTCTTCGGCTAGATCCACATGTGGGGCGACGGGATCTTCACAACATCGAGCATCCAAGATTTGAAGCTTTCTCAACATTCGGCAATTGGGATAGCATGAGATTAATTCTTTCGCTGGTCATCGGCATCGTTGCAATGCTATTTGCATTTCGCCCTTTGGCGATCGAGCCCGTTATTCACGCCGTACGCTCTCGGGTATCAGGGCTGCCCCAAAGGCTCCCCCTTACATTACTCAATATCAAGATGCGTGCCTTTTCCGATCATCCAATCGGTGAACTTCCCGAATTAGTTCCCGACTTCTCGCAATGCAACAAGGCCGATCTCGATGCGTACCGCCGAATCTTCATTGATAGCGACCCGCACAATCTTGAGTATACGTTCAAGCTGCTCATGAATATTGTGAAGCGGCCTTGTCTTGGTCATCTCGTGGAGCGAATTGAGTATATACACATACCTACCAATTATGAGGATTGGCCCAATCCACCATACCAGCGCGACTTGGCCACAGATGATTTGGATCTGCTGAGACGAGCAGTGAGAAATGCAGGTTTCAAGGACCGCAAAGAGCATCGCATCATGAGCATGCTCATGCAAAATAATTTGGAACAAGACTTTCGCCAAACTCCCACTAGCTGCTTTGGTTTCTCGTATGATGTTCCTCCTTCGTTGTCCATGTTTCCTCTTGAGAAGTCATGTTTTCAGGTAACTGACACCCGATTGTAGAGACTTTGGCATAGCCCGCACGTTTGTCACCCAAGCGATAGCTGCTATGATCGTTTCTCTGTCACCAAATCTTGAAAGCATGGCTATGACACAGATTTTTGACCACCACCTCAGTCTTGAAGAAGGCAAAGCGGATGCCATAGACTATCCTCTTGTGCAAGTCTTTCAATTTGCAAATTCTCGGTCAAAGGGAACAACACACTTCCTCCAGAAGCTGCGAGATGTGTATCTCATCAATTTCTCAGAAGATAACGACGACCGGTTTTACGTAAGATTCGACCTGATGGCCGCTCTTGGGCTCTTCAACAAACTCCCATCAATCGAGTCATTCGGTATAGATGTGTTCGAACCCGACGACAACAGCGGGTTCCAGCAGTGTGAGTTCAAAAGCTCAAACATCAGCATCATCAGAATCAACCATTCTCTCCTCAGCTCTGATTATCTGCTGTGCGTTATGGCCGCGAGCAAGGTAATCACTGAGATCCAATTCACCGCAGGAGGAAGGACAACCCTCGATGGGGGCTACTTGTTCAACCCGAAAGCTTTTCTCAAGGGGCTAGCCGAACACAAGAAGACGCTCAAGGTCCTCGACATCAACACGGACGAATATCTCTCCCACTTCCCCGGTCAACCAGCCCCATACTCCACCATAAATTGGGATCGAGAGGGGGCCCGGGGGACTTTGAGGTCGACATGTGGGAGGAAGATGAGCTTGATGAGAACAACTCTGAGCTTATCATGCATAATTACTTCACATCGATATGGGACCGCCACGTATCTTTGAAAGATTTAGTGGCACTGGAACATTTGAGCATCGGGATTGGATTTTTGATCTATCTCGCCCAGGGTGTGGAAGTGGACGATGCGACAAGAGCAAGTGTGATGCTCGTGGACTGTCTACCAGACAGCCTGGAGTATCTTTCTATCCAAGGATACCAACCGGGCGAGAATCGATTGTGGGATACTCAGATAAAAGCATTAATGGCCCGGTTCGAGTCAGGTTCCTTACGACTGAAGGAGATCAATGGGGTCAATGAATGTATTCCGATTGGGAATCATATTGAGAACCCGGATGAAGATTCGCATTTGCTATGGTCACTGGAAAAGCGTGGATTTCCTGAATCATGGGGATTATAAGACTTGAACTGTACATTATTCTATTCTGACACGAGATCGTCATTTGGTTGTAGTAAGAAAATCAAGATCACCAATTACCAGCGCTGTACGGCGCGGGTAACTTCCAAGACTGCCCCCCACTTCACGGGAAAAATACGAATCAGCGCCCCTCATTCGACATCACCTCTTCAACCTTTCCTTTTCTGAACTTACTACAACAAACTACAAAATGGGCGTCGAGAGAAAGATTGTTACCCGTGGTACTGGCTCTGGCTCACCTGCTGCCGGTGACAAGGTCTCCATCCACTACACTGGCTGGCTGTACGATGCCAAGAAGTCCAACAAGGGCTTCCAGGGAAAGCAGTAAGTTCTCCATTCCTTGCCACGGCTTCTAGCCCACCATTGCAAGTAGCACAATCTCTAATCACTCACCTATACAGGTTTGACAGCTCCCGGTCGCCCGGCCGTGGTGTCTTCAATGTCGAGATTGGTACCGGTCAGGTTATCAAGGGTAATTTATGCCGCCCCCGTGTCATTTCCGTGTATTCGGAATGAAATCAAATTCTCTATCATAGGAATAGGTTTCAAACCGTATTTGACGTTCGATTTCTTACCATTTTCTAGGTTGGGATGAGGGTGTCATGCAGATGACCCTGGGCGAGAAGGCCATGCTGACCATTTCTCCGTGAGTAACGATTCGATTCAGCTAAGTTAGGGTTTTAAGTTGCTAACATATCCTTGCAGTGACTATGGTTACGGCGACAAGTATGTGTATCAAGAGAGTTCCCCGGCATCTCTCCAGACGCTGTGGTTTTCGACTGAGTCTCTTCTAACATCTTTCTTTTGCACAGGGCCAATGGCAAGATTCCCGCGGGATCTACCCTCATATTGTGAGTTCTAATCAATATGGAATGTATTTCTTGGAAGCTGACTCTCGCAGTGAGGTTGAGCTCCTTAAGATCAACAACAAAAGCGCCTAGATAGCTTCATGGCTGAATGATATCACCAATTCGTTATCTTTCATCTGCGTAAACAGCAAAGCTTTCGTACTGTAGCTGCTCAATATTCCAGGTATCTGTACAAATCACTGGACATCGCATAAGAGCCTGCCCAGGTGGTCCCAATCAAGCTACCGCGACTACATTTGTCATGACAATCCTCCGCCTAAATGCTTGCTTCCCAGGGTTGATCGCAATGACACTTTCCGCAATACAGCGGCATGACCTTTGAACACCCATTTTCCTTGAGAAATACTGTGGATCTCCACTATAGGATGACCAAAAAGAATTCAAAAAAAATAGTTTCGCTGGGAATCGAACCCAGAACCTTTCCGGAACACTCATTTGCATGAAAATGTTAACGGAAAATCATAACCGCTAGACCACGAAACTGGTATAGAGACTACAACGACGTTAGCGAAATTAAGAGCGAAAAGTCAGGAACAACATCAAGCCCAACCCTCCCAAAGTTGAACCGACGCAAAGAAAACACCAATAGATTCAGTCTTCGATTTGTGCAGTCGGCCAAAAATGGAAATTAGACTAGCATTGAAGTAACCAATCAGATTTCAGAAATCGTCTATCCGGTAAGCCTAACCTTGGAGGGGGTGAAAGAACACACCATCAGCAAGTCCGTCTGACACCGAGGTCCTGACTCTTATTGGAACGCTAACTTGAGAAATGGGATTTCGGTGGTATGACCGTTTTTGGCTGGTTGTTTGAGTCAAACAAATTGTGCGAAATGCATCACCATTGAGATCTAGCATCCATTCATGGGTTGCCCACTTCTTTGGTGCGCTTCCAAAGTTATTTCCGAACAATGAGCAATGGCACTTATGTCAATCAACCTTTTTCGAAGGTTCGTATGTGCCTATTCCAACTTTGTTGCGACTATCGCTTTGTTCTAAAATCGGACAAAGAGTATATTTTAGGCAATGTGTTTAAAGCCTTAGAAGATATATAATCTGGATGGTTAGCAGCCCTGGAGCGACCACAATCTGAGAAAGCAAACCAAATTATCATGGAGATGACACTGACAGAAAAGCCCATCATGGAAGAGCCCATCGAGATCACCATGGAGCAAATCCCAGCCACCGTGGGAAAAATCGTTGCTGGAAAAGTCGTAGTGGAAAAGTCCACCACAGATGTTTTCATGAGTATTGACTCCGAAGACGCTAACGAGATTGCACGCGGGCGCCGATCCCACGAACATCGCAGTTACCCGCTTCCCGAGAGCATCGAACGCATTTGGCTCTATAGCAAATCTCCCGTCAATGCGATCGAATATGTGATCTGCATCTCACACGAGGACTCAGAGCCTATTGCCCCGGATGAGAACCACCGATACAGCTACAAGATCAACCAAGTGTGGATGCTGAGGCATCCCGTTGGAATCCGGCATGCTGTCGCCATAGGTGCTCTGGCCCGTGCACCTGGGAAGTACTGCTGGGTACCAATGAGTTTCTTGAAGAAGCGACCTTACGATAAACAGTACCATCTGAGACAGAAATGAGTTACATCCAGGGGTTCGAAGAGCAGTTGTTCTGAGTCAGGAGTACTCCGGACACAAATAGACATCTATTGCATGTGGCGCTGATGGAAGCGAGAAGAGGAAGGGCTGAGAGGTCGTTAGTTTGCGCAATATTTGAATGTGATATACTTCTTACGGAGTACTTGTAATGCTATTTCCTCTCGTAGAAAAAGATCAGCTCGAGGATGCAGCGGCGTCTCCACTGTGGAGTCTCCCGAGGCTAGTTCTCGGCTTTCCTCACGCTCCTATTGGTCTGATTATTGATCACTGTATGAATTGCCCCGACTCACTGTTAATTATCCTTTTGATCGCACGATCACGGTGTGAATTCTTCCCATTATTTAGACATTCCAAAGGATTGGCGTGCTAGGCCTCCCTTTGTGGGGCAATGGCCAATGGTGGCAGGATTTCCAATGCGCAGCATAAATCAAACTCATTTCTCTTTCCCACTCTTAAATCCTCCGATGATGTTCTCCTCTCTACCACAGCTCCAATGAACTCTAAATCTTTCAAAGTCATAATCGCCGGGGGCAGCATTGCCGGGCTCTCTCTGGCTTTGATGCTAGAGCGGAATGGCATCGATTTCGTCGTGTTGGAGGGCTACAAGAGCATTGCCCCTCAAGTCGGAGCTAGTATTGGTGTCTTGGCCAATGGTCTTCGAATTCTTGATCAGCTAGACTGCTGTCAGCCTGTTCTTGATGCAGCTGAATACCCCGTCGACAAGGTCTCCTTCCGTGATGGCCAAGGGAAACATATCTGGTCCATGGAAGGCTACGAGAAGGACATGACGGAACGGTTGGTAGCCCTTGTCTCTTTGCATCAACCTGGAGGCTCAGAATTTGCTAACCAATCTATCAGACATGGATACTCCCCTGTTTTCCTTGACCGTCGCATGTTGATCGAAATTCTCTACGACAAGATCCAGGATAAATCCAAAGTCATCACCTCACAACGCGCCCAACGGATCGAGCACAGTGATTCCAGCGTCACGGTCCATACCGCTTCAGGAGAAAGCTTCACTGGAGATATCGTGATTGGAGCAGATGGTATACACTCAACAGTACGCCAGGAGATGTGGAAGGAGGCCCAAAGAGTCGATCCTCAATGGATTGATCCCTCGGAAGCAAATGGTTAGACACGAAGCGCATAACAGCAGACATTTGACTGACTCCAGTACTAGCACTTCCTGCGACGTACGCCTGCATTTTTGGCATTTCGGAAGGCGACAAGGGTCCTGAGAAGGGCACACTGACCTCAGTGGTGAACGAGCATTTCTCATACCTCATCCCCAGTGGACCGGGAAATCGTACATATTGGTTCCTCGTCGTTAACATGGGGAAGACATTCTACGGCGCGGACATTCCGCGGTTCTCAAAAGAAGAGGAAGAGGCTCTAGCGAGGGAGCATTGGGACGATCAGCTCACACCTGGGCTTCGGTTTTCGGATCTCTACACCAGCAAGATTGCCTCGGTCTACACCGCATTGCCAGAATACGTGTACAAAAAGTGGTACTTCCAGAGAACTATGACTATTGGCGATGCTAGTCACAAGGTACGAGCTTGGAATAATTCATGAATTTGCAAAGAGACTGACATGGGGCTGTTTTGCTTTGCAGTTCGAACCTTTGACTGGACAGGGCGGAAACAACGCCATCGAAACATCCGCTTGTTTGACAAATCACCTTGTGGCAGCCCTTCGAAACTGCAAGACAGGCACACTTTCGAAAGCAGAGATCTCAACTGTCTTCAAAAAAGTGCAAGAACAGCGCGAAGGCAGAGTTTCTAAACTGGTGAAGGCTTCTCATGCACGACAGCGCTTAGAATGCATGGAAACACCATTTCTCAAATTCCTTGTGTACTATGTGATCCCATACGCCCCGAGGTACATCCCAATCAATCGAGCGATTGATGGTTATTCCGCCGCCTTGTCTTTGGATATGCTTCCAATGCCGCGCACCCCACGGGATGTTGCATACTTTGATGAGCGCTTCAGGGTACCTACGTCGAGGGGCATCGCGGGCGTCATCATATACGCTGCATTCTTCTTCCTGGCTTGGATGGGAAACCGACAATTATGGACAGCTGGAAAAGTCAACGGAACCTGGAATCTGGTCCGCGAGGCAGTTGTGTCACGCTCAATCTCAATGCCAGGCGATACCGATGTACCTCTGCGTCAGGTATACACAGGGCTTCAACCAATTGATCGCATTATGCAATCACTTGTGACTGTGTTCCTGCCAACTGTTGCCAACACCTCGAGACCCGAGCAGCTTCTGCAATGTCTCTACTTTCTCGCTTCCATACTTCCGATCCTAGCCATATTGACCATTGAAGGCTATCGACCTAGAAACAGATGGACGCTTGTTGCAAGTCCAGCTCTGTGGGGTGTGTTGTACCAGCTCCGAGGGATTGGATTGATAGCGCCTATCTATTTTGCGATAAGTCTTTTCCATTCGTCATCAATTGCATACTTCACCCCGAGCAGCCGGAGGGTCCCTGTCTCCATCGCTCATGCATTGCTTCCTGCTCTGGTGATTGGATTTGTGATACCTACGATGATGATGTTTTTCCCACTGCACAATACTTTGAACACGCGGCAGATTTTCATTGCACTTTGGCAGCCAGCTCCACTTTATGTGGCTGTTCTGACAGAGGTTATTTCCCGTGGCCTAAAACGGGTCGGATGTTCTAAGCCAGTCAAATCTGCCAGTCATGTTGACAAAAGTGTCAACGAAGACCTCCCACATCTGCGAACGGTTTATGCAGCTGTTGGTGGCATATCTGCTTGCTTCCACATTGCTCTTGTTTTGAGTTGGGTTGTCTCTGGATCCAGATTCATCACGAGCGCCTTGATTCCCTGGGACTCATTTGGGCATGTATCAAATCTGGCAGACGGCGTGTTCGTTTTCTTCCAAAATGACTTCTTACTCGTTGCCACGGCAACAATGCTGTGGTGCTCGACAAGCATTTGGGATATGTACCGTATGGGAATTTCCAATGTGTCATGGCGCGTTGGATTGGTTGGTCTCGTTCTAGGCTGCGTGGTGGCTGGACCAGGTGCAACTGCGGCGGCTGTGTGGTACTGGAGGGAAGATGTTTTGAGTCGCACCTCTTTCGCTCAACATCCCTTGGTCTCTACTTAGGCCACCAGGTATCATGATTCATATGGGACACGATTCGCGTTGATCCACCAAGTTAAAGATTCAGTTTGAATAGAATTTCAATATTCAGTGAAATGATCACAGCATAGCATAATATCATATATATCGTAACAGGATTAGGGTATCATCATCTTCAAGAATCAAGAAGAAAAGAAAAGAAAACCGAGGTCTTCCTATATCCTCAAGCCTACCCTGGATCCCCGACGTGGATCCATCTCACGCACTGAGAGATGATATGGTCGATATCCGATCGGCGGAAGCCAGCCACGCAGCCCAAGTCCATTGGAGATAGGCTCAATTCTGTTGAGGTTAGTGGTGGTCGTGGTCCTGCGACGTAGAACATAGCGCATCGGAAGTGAAAACATACTCTTGATCAACTGATACTCATCGACGACACTGATCATCGTGCTAGTCAATGCCCCTTGTATGGTGACTGAGTTGGGAGGGTTCCATTCTGGTCCGTTAAGAAGATGCATCGATGATGGTGATGGCGGAAAGTCGCCCACGACGATCCCTTGGCTAGACAAATATCTCTCGACGTCATGCACGTCAAGCCATTGCTCATCAGAAGCAATGTGAATCACTCCATTTGTTTTTTCGAATGAGGATAGATCTTGAAATACACTGTTCAATGGTGAAAACAAATGAGTTCCAGCTCCGCCCAAGCTGATGAACGGAATTCGGCTGTCGACAATCGGGTTGCACGGTTGTGTACTGACAACGCGTGTGAAATAATCTCGAATTTCTGATCGTGTCATACTTTGTAAGAGTAAACCAAAGTGTTTTGCAACAAATTCATCCGTATACAATGTATTGGAAAGAAGACGAAGGCCACTCTCTGCACTTGCTCGGTACAGCCGTTGGGTAAAATGGGTGGTAGCGTATTGAATGACATTGGTCTCGAAAACAGGCGATGGTGAGAATGGAATGAGGCCTGGTTCAACTAGATCATTATGAGCGGTATAAGATGGTAACATCGCCGTGGAAGATGCCCTAAATAAGCGCCAAAATTGAGAGCGATCATTTCTCGTCCTGATTGATAACGTTTGGGTGGTCTGCGTTTGGGGTTGTTCATGTGCGACCTGCGACTCTTCACTCCTCTGATTGTTCGATGATCTTTGGAAATAAATATCGGCAGACTTGAACTGTGATGCTATGTCGTCACACAGCATCTGAACCGCCTGAAAGAGCCGAGACTGGGACCACTGGGACTCGTTCTGAAGTACTTGGCCATCGAATGACTGTACCGTCTGACTCAAGTGATTGAATGCATCTTCTAGTTGCTTTACACGGGCTTTCAAGGAAGAAAGCTGAGACTGCTGACGGGACCGGTATGATTGCTGCGCTTCGCGGACTTGAGCGCGTCGCCTCTGTGCGGTGTCAAACGTAGGACTAAGTCGCTGCCAGCATTTGAGCTTACAGATATCACGTCTTCAGATGCTTCAGATGGCTTTCTGGGCCGTCCCTTCGAGGGCCGTGCTCGAGTCTTGGGCATGATTCTATGTTCGGGAAAGTTGTGATCTGATGCCTGCGTGTTCCCGGGCCGGCGCCAAGACGGCCGAATTGTCTACGGAGTACCTTGAGAAACTTCAGGTGAGTCCCATTCTCTTTTTTTTTAAGAAAAAGGAAATGTTGTGAATAAGAACAAATTCTGAGTATTTTCTCAACAAACCTAAGCTCGGCTGTAGCAGCGTCTCCATAGTTTTACCCCATCCCCATTTTACCGAGTGGTACAGGATTCCAATCTAGCCTTACCATGCATAAATCTTGTACACATAAAGCGTCGGACCTCTCAGACATGTCAAATTGCACAGCCACCAACTGAATTACCTAGCTGGGGTAGTCTCCAGCGTAAATAGACGGCGCATCGTCAGCTTACGGAGTACTCTGTATGGAGTATACACCGCCACGTTTCCATCGTGGCTGGGCAGCGGGGCGCGGTTTGAGATGACACCCCGCCCTGCAGGCATCCTAGTTTCTGGTCATTTTTGAATCTTCGTTTTTCTTCTTCTTTTGCTCTGTACATTCATAACCTCATTTTGATCACCAACATGCCACAAGACGATCTGGCATATGGTGGCTACTACCAAGGTGCCGAGCGTGGGTCCGGAGACGGGTCCCGCGGCTTAGGCGATACCTTCAAGAAGCTCCGCGATACGTACAAGAGTCACTCTTCCCAGTCAGGCCAGGCCAACCAGACATACAACCCTTCTGGCTATCAAGGGGTGAGCATAGATTAATTCAAAAGGCTCTTCTTCATCCGCTTACAGGTCTCTCTACCTATAGCAAAACTACCCGACGCAAACCGAGCCCCCGCAGTACAGCCAGAATCAACAGACAAGCTCAACCGGGCAGCATGGAAACCCCAACCCCAACTATCAAGGCAAACCACAGAAGGAGGATAAGCTAGCTGGATTCTTGGGCAAGCTTCAAGGCACCGTGACCGAGTTTGGTTCCGAGTTTGCCACGAAGATTGGTACAACCATCGACCCGAAGGCATATGCCGAGTATGGCCACGTAAAGCCTAATGCGGAGACTCGGTTCGGCAGCTTTGCTCCTCCCCGTGAACATAATGATGTCAAGTGGTATGTGGACGGATGCAGTTATTTCTGGGCTGTGTCGCGGGCGTTGGAAAGCGCCCGAGAGTCCATTTGGATTTTGGATTGTGAGAGACTCCACCGAGTTTGAGGAAATGCCATATTGACGTGTTTTATAGGGTGGCTATCTCCCGAACTTTATCTGAGAAGACCCCCTGCGAAGAATGAACAATACCGATTGGATCGCATGCTGCAAGCTGCAGCCCAGCGGGGCGTGCGGGTCAATATCATTGTTTACAAGGAGGTTACGCAGGCGCTCACTCGTACGTTTACAATATCGAGGGAAATGGAAAGATTCACCACTGATAATCTACAGTGTCATCATCGCACACCAAGCATGCCTTGGAGGATTTGCATCCCAATATCGCGGTCTTCCGCCACCCCGACCACCTGCCTGACCGTCAAGAGCTTGCGGCTTCATTTGCGTCTTCTTTCCAGAACTTGTCCTTGGACTCAGCCAGCTTGAGCAAAATGTCAAAGGACACGCTGAAGGGACTGTACGGCATGAACGAGGATGTGATCCTCTACTGGGCCCACCACGAGAAGCTCTGCTTGATCGACGGTCAGACTGCGTTCATGGGTGGCTTGGATATGTGTTTCGGTCGCTGGGATACGAACCAGCACCCAATCTCGGATCTGCACCCGGAGGACGTGAACCAGACAGTGTTCCCAGGCCAGGACTACAACAATTCTCGCGTGCTGGACTTCGAGGATGTTGTTCACTGGGAGAAGAACCAATTGGATAGGAAGAGCATGTCTCGTATGGGATGGTCCGATATCTCCGTCAGCCTGCACGGTGCTGTGGTTGAAGATCTTCGTCGTCATTTCGTTGAGCGATGGAACTTCATTTATGATGCCAAATACAAGGTCCGCAACGAGTCGCGATACGTGAGATTGGCACTTTACGGACGTCCTAGCTCTTCGACCCAAAAGCCGCAGGGTCAGCAGCCTGGCCAGCAGTCTGGATCTCAGCAGCCCAACTTGTATCCATCGGGCCAGTCTAGTCCAAGCCAACCGCCCACTCCATCTTGGCAATCGAAGCCCAATGCCACGCCGACATCTCCCTATCAGCCGTCGCAGAGTCAGACTTCGACTCCTCAGACCCAGAATTCGCAGCCACACTCTCAGCAACCGCAGACGTCAACTGGACCCTACCAGCCAAGCCAAAGTGGAAATACTCCTACATACCCGCCGCCCCCTGGTCAGACCTCTTCGAACCAGTACCAGCAACATGCTGCGTCTCCCGCGCACCAGTCGGAGAACACATCAGCTTATCCTCCACCACCAAGCTATCAATCTTCTGCCCAATCCGGCCACTCACCTAGCCAGGGAACCAGCCAATATACCTACACTGGGAACTCATTCCCCCCTCCTCCGCCTGGAGCTCCTCCTGCGCAAAGCACCCCTGACATTGAATACCAGCCCTACCCTCCTGACCATAAATATGATAGCACTGGTACCACAGAGTACCAGCCATACCAGGGTCAGCAGCAAACTCCTACACAGGGACAAACTGCCAATACCTCTTACCAATCGTATCAGGGTCAGCAACACAGTCAGGCACAAGAGAACACCCCCCACACCTCTTACCAGCCGTACCAGGGTCAGCACCAAGAGCAGAAGCCTCATTATTCCCCGGTGCAGCATCAAGCTTCTGGCAGCCCGACTCCCCACCAACAGAGCCAGAACCAGGCACCTTACTACCCGCCTCCACCTGGCCAAGAGGCATCTCACTCCAACACCCGTGGAATCGATGACTACCAGCATGGAGGTCACCAACAATACCAGGGTGATCGCGACAGAGGCTCTCTGATGCCCCGTCGTTTCAACAAAGAGGAGCTGTCCAACTATGGAAATTCCCTTCGTGGCCAGCTTGCCGGTCAGATTCACCAGTATCAGGATCGGCTAACTGCATATGGCCGTCCTTCATCTTCGCAAGGACGGGGAAATATGTCGTGTCAGATTGTTCGCAGCTGTGCGAAATGGAGCAATGGCACCCAGGTCGAGCACTCAATCGCCGATGCCTATTGCGCCATTATTCGCAACAGTGAGCACTTTATCTACATCGAGAACCAGTTCTTTATCACTGCCACCGGTGACTCTCAGCATCCTGTCAAAAACAAGATCGGTGCCGCTATCGTCGAGCGAATTCTGCGAGCTGCGCGTGCAGGCCAGAAGTTCAAGATCGTTGTGGTCATCCCATCTGTCCCCTGCTTTGCTGGAGACCTGCGCGATGATGAAACTCTTGGAACACGCGCTATCATGGAGTTCCAGTATAACTCCATCAATCGCGGAGGCCACAGCATTATGGAGCTGATTGCTAAGGAGGGCTTTAACCCGATGGAATACATCCGCTTCTACAACCTTCGCAATTATGACCGCATCAACAATGGAAGCTTGGTGAATGCTGCTGAACAGCAGAGTGGTGTCAACTACGAAGATGCTCGCAGGCAGTACGATCAGCACACTGCGGGACCTGGTGGCTACACACCGGCTCCAAGCAATACTCGAAGTGCCTTTGATACCAGCGCGCCCTTCCAACAGTACCAACAGGGCGCTCACCAGGCTCAAAGTAGCCATGGCTCTTCCAGCCGCTGGAACAGTGTCAGCGAGTGTTATATGCTCGGTGGAGAGGATATCCGTAAGGTTCCGTGGGATGGTCATCCGGATGCTGAGATTGATGCTTTCGTGAGCGAGGAGCTTTACGTCCACTCAAAGGTGCGTTAGCCCATAGAACAAATTGCAAACCTGGAGAATGAAACTGACCTGATGATAGGTGATGATCGCCGATGACCGTGTGGTTGTTTGTGGATCAGCCAACCTGAACGATCGCTCCCAGCTGGGTGACCACGACTCCGAGATCGCAGTCATCATCGAGGACTTCACACCTGTGCAGTCTACGATGAACGGCAAGCCATGGGTTGCTAGTCGATTTGCCGCATCTCTTCGTCGTCAACTTTTCCGCAAGCACCTCGGTCTGTTACCCCCACAGGACTATCAACGACCAGATGCCAACTTTGAGCCCGTGGGGGTTCCAAATGATTTCGACTTTGAGTGTCCCGAGAGCAAGGTCGTTGCTGACCCACTCTCTGACACCGCTCAGAGTCTTTGGAACTCACGGGCCCACACCAACAGCGAGGTCTTCCGGAAGGTATTCCACGCAGTCCCCGATGACACGGTCCGCAACTGGTCGGAGTACAAAGAGTTCTACGAATACTACTTCCACAAGGCGGAGGAGCACAAGGACGGATTCTCGCGTCCCGCGCGATTCCAGTGGGGCCACGTAGTCCGCGATGACTTCGCCCCTGGCGCAGAGGGTGCGAAGCAGGTCAAAGAATTGCTAAGCCAGGTCAAGGGTACTCTGGTCGAGATGCCTCTGATGTTCCTGATTGAGGAGGATATCGCGAAGGAAGGATTGACTCTGAATGACTTGACGGAGCCACTCTATACCTGAAGGGGTAAATGAAGAGCTCCGTTATCTGATTTCTCAATTTGTCCGCGGCATGTTTCTGAATTTTAGCCAAATTGCTTAAGCGAAGCCTTTGTTTTCACCCTTGCGCAAATTGTAGAACTGTCACTTTGGCCAGAGTGTGTAGTATCCGCCAAGCCCGGGACATATTGTTCTTGAAGAACAATACTAAGCGCACCATATGTTGATTGGCCCGGCTCTTCTTTGTGTCGGAGTAACTTAGCGGAGAAATAAGCCCTAGGTGCCCTTTGTTTTCTCTTAATATTGTTCTCACATTCAGATACCCCCCGTATACCCGTATACCCAAGCTCTGTGGCGTTTCTTTGGCATCAATGCCGAGCAGCCACAGACTCGAACTCTATACGAATGTCAAATTTACTCCACGGAGTATATGATCATTTGGGCATGGATTTCGGATTCGAACGACAAAGAACATCAGCTATCTACATTCATCGCTGACACAACAATATCAAGCGCCTCTCAATGAATCTCCGCCGCAATGCCTGCCCACCCTGCGGGATTGAGTCTACGCCCCTGCCAATGCCGAATGCATTCAGGCCTCTCGGAAGTAGTAGGGACATTGATCTCACGCTCCCAATGGATATCGCTTCACATTGATCACCTCTAGAATGGCCTCATCCAGGATATAAATATAACCTCCTTCTCTCATCAGCAGTCTTCTTTTCCACCACCAACTCACATTCCAATCATTCCAAAAACACCTTCCAATCCCTCCAATCTTTCGCTTTTTAAGCTCCAAAGCATCTTCGAAATGTCTCGTGCTCAGGTCCAGAAGGGTTCGTTCCTCTTCTTCCTCCTTGCTTATTTGCTTTGACTGACATCTCTTCATAGCTCCCGGTGGCGGCTGTGTCGTCATGAAGGCCCCCCGGCGGTGGTTGCGTTGTCATGAAGGCCCCTGGTGGCGGCTGCATCGTCATGAAGGCTCCTGGCGGTGGTTGTGTTGTCATGAAGGCTCCTGGTGGCGGCTGCGTCGTCATGAAGGGTTAGTTCGACTCCCCTCTAGTCTTGACAATATACTAACAATCCTCCAGCTGCTGAGTTCTAAATTACTCATTGAGCACACTCCTCTTGATCATTCCATCGAACAACATGGCTTGATCTTTCTCGCTGATCGCTATGGACAATGATCTCTTCAGCTTCAACCTTCGCTTCAGTTTCTTGAGAATGCTTTCAATTCAACAAAAATATGGCCCTCTTCAACATGACCTTTTCATTTGCTTTATTGTGAAGACTCACACGTGAGTCCTGTCCAGGTCATTCCTTCTTCAGCTTCGACAATCCTTCCCTCTCGACACTCATCAGTTTCTGTCGACTGTGGAATCTCATTGCTCCTTGCTGAACTCTTTGTGGACGATCCGGGTGACACTTCTATGGACAAGCTTTGCTTTCTCATTCTGCTTGCTACATTGAGGGCCCTCAAATATAATCCAAACTTGGTTGATTGTTTTTCTCTTTTTCTTTTCTGCAGTTGGGGGTTCCTTGGGATTTGTGCTGGTAGGTGGTTTCGATCTTGAGGAGAATTCTTTCCAGTTATGGTCATGGTAGCACACAGAAACAAAGCATTATATCAAATGATTTATTGTTATATCTCATTGAAATATTTCAGAGCCTGTAGAAGGAGGGGCAAAGAAGTAGATACGGATTTCGGGAAGCAAAGATCCAAGCTACAACATTAGGCGATCTAGAAGCCGTCTGAGGTTACGAAGTACAGATTTAGATTGGCTCGCCAGAGGTAATTTTGGGCTTTTATCACCCAGTCAGCTTCTATGACTCCGACTCCCTTTAATTTGCTCGGCATGAATTTGACTGGTATCATATCTGTCTTCCCTCCTGCTTCCATGGCTCTGCTCGACGCACCATGACAAAAGCACCAGGCCGGAGAAACAGATAGGCAAAATTACTACCGTAAGGCTTATCTTTTTAAAATAAGTTTGCAAGCTTGAAAGAGACACATAATAAATGGCATTCAAAACTTTATTCATAGATACACGCACGAGACTGTTTCAAATCTGTACAAAGAAGCAGTTCCTCAATCTAGTTCCAAACACCCACCCGCTCACGAATCTCAGATACCTGAGCCTCATCGGCCTTGGAGTGTTCTCCGAGGTCTGCATCGTCGGATCCAAAGGCATCACCTATAGTCTCCTCGATTTGGTCCAAAGTAAGCCCAATCAGGCCCACAGACCTGGCGTTTCCAACCTGGCACATTTCCTCACCCACTGCAGCCTCAATGACTCCTTCACCACCTTTGGCAGTGAGATCGCCCTCAAAGCTGTGGAAGGTCTGTCGGAGGGGGTTGAGGACATGAGCGCGGAAAAACTTCACTGTTTTCTCCAGCTGAAGCTGACTCCGAAGGGAAGTTGAGGACAGGAGAAGGTAGTATAGGTTCAATGCAGAGTGCAGCGGGGGACCTTGGGTCTGGGTAAGGCGGGTCCAGTTTACGACGAGGTCGGATGAGCTCGCTGCCTTCACTGGACTGAATAGAGTCGGGAACAAGGCCCAGAAATAATGTGGGTCTTGGAATAAAGTACTTGAGCTGGCAAGAAGCTCCTCTTTCAGCCAGGCAATGGCGCTGTCACGGGCAGAAGCCAGATGTTCATCCTCCAAAATAGTGTAGATGAGCTTGAACCGGGTCTCAGGTGAGGGATGGCTCCGGAACACAGTAGCGGGAATCTGGCGAACAATGCCATGGCTTTGACGTGCTGTGCATGCTGTCAGAGTGACAACAAAATCCTTGAACTCGGATTCACTGGATGGTGGGTTGATCGGCTGTTGCAGGGCGTAGACGGTCACGGCTAGTAGTGAGTCGAGCAATGCATGTGGCTGACCGAAAGCGATTTCATCAAAGTTGGTTGTTTCGCCGACAAAGTGTTTGAAAATCACCGACAACTCAGGGAAAACCGAGACAGGAGGCAATGGTTGACCAGAGGCGAATAGAGTTGCACCAGCAGTGCGGGCAGCCAGGAGGAGGAGAGAGCCGTGTCGCTCAAGTGGAATTTGATTAGGGTCTGTAGGTGGCTCATCGAAATCAAGCTGTGCAACTTGATCCGTTGGTGAGCTAGAAATGATTTCAAGAAGTTCTTTGCTGTCAAGTCCAACATCTCTTGATAGAGCCTATAGAGAGTCAGTTGATACTGCCATCGGTGCTTTTTGTGCAGTGAGCTTATTGATGTTCATATACGTACCACAAGTTTTCCCATAATCAAATCGCGGTCCTTCAATTCCTTTGTCGACGCATACGCCTCGGTTTGAGACTGAGAGCCCGGTAGCCGCAGCTCAGGATGTAGGTGCTCCTGCATCCGGATAGTCCATGACAACCCCGGATCCAGAGGGCTAGAGAAGCTCAAAAGATATGACTTCAGCAATTCGAGCAAACTGAATTGTATAAATTTGCGGACCAGTAGAGTTTCGTTATCGGCAGAAGGAGATGGCGATGATACCTCCGCTTCAGGGTCCGGTGCGGAGGCCGCAGCCACTCTGAGAACACTCGACTCACTAGCCACTCTTGGAGGAGGCGCAGGTCTTTTGGAGGGAGAAACTTCCCGGAGAAACTCGAGGAAAGCCAACGTGGTCTCGTTTGTTGGCATTGAGGTATAGGCTTCTAGTGCCGCCTGCAAGGAAGTTGCCATGAATCGACTGGGGGCCTTGGTCTGAATTCGTTTATGCAGCACTGATAGCATGCCGAGGAGACAGTTGAACTGTAAGATGTGCAGAGGCAGTCCTTCGCCCTCCGCTTCTTCGTCGTCATCCTCATCGTCCGGTTGGAGCTGCATCAAAGACTCGGAAACACGCAGGATTACCTCTCGCGGGTTTCCTAGACGAGCTACATCCTGAAGGCAATCTGTTGATGCGGGAAGCATTGGCAGCAGAAGCTTGACCAGATCCCACCCGATGTTTGTGGTGAGCTTTTCATCTTGCAACAAATTGTGCAAGAGGGGAAGTCGGGCTGGGGTCAGCTGGTATTCCAGCAGCGTCAGATACGTCAGGTAGTCCGTCGCCGGCGGCAATGTTGCTATCAGAGGGTCCTCCATGATGGTTGTTGACAGGAAGGTCGCAAGCGGGGAAGATGAAACCAAGCGATGACATCAGCGGCAGAATTCCGACACGGGCCGTTTGCCTTTCCGAACTATATCGGCCCAACGCTTGCTTTCAACGGTCTCCTCCAAGCTTGTAACTAGTCTCTTGAATTCAAGGCTTGTCTGATAACCTTGATTACTAGTACACACTTTATCCCAACTTGTACATATGTAACTTAGAGAGTTACCAGGTTGGACTACGTTCGGACCACGTTGTGACGTCAACAATTTAAACTCATCGAATGAAGTACACAGTAGCCCTGGACTACACGTACAGACAGTTTTCATTTAGGCATTCGCCACCCAAGTAACCTCGGAAACTCTCTGACTGCATCCAGGAACAGATATCTTTTGTTTCCCCAAGGTCTTACTGTATGTTCCTGGGATATGGAAAAATGGGTCAAAGGTACTATCATAAAATGAGATCAATTGACAATAAGAGTGCTTTGAAGTAATATGATTGAGGCTTGTTTCCACTACGACAACACGTCTCAACGCTAGATTTTGCTGTTGGTCAGGTACTGTTATGTAGTTAATAGGGCTGAACGTACGGAGTATTTTCCTTTATGCATGAGTTGATCACCCCTGTTAATGTGTGCGTGCTCGCCGCCGATCCTTATCCCAATGACGCCTGGGATGATACCCTGAATACAAATTCTCTGGCATTTGGTGGTATTTTTGATTGACTTTGCTTTTCAAGTAACCGAAGACAAAAACCATGCCCTGAATCTTATCACACCTTTCTCTGCCCTTGTTCTATGCGACTAAGCAGACATTTTCAAGATCGCCCTGATCTTGACGAGGCAAACATCCTAAATTAGATATGAAAAAAGATAAACTTGGCACCATACCACACAGGGACCCCATGAGATACTGGGGCATACTACTGTGCGTGTGGCTAGTGATGTTTCAAGATCTTCGACTGTACAACGCCCTCAATGCTTGGCATGGGGAGATCGCGTGTTGGTCCGACATGCTCGTGTTTACCGTGGCGGAATGGGGCTAGGAGACCCCGAGGGAAGGATGGGTTCGTAGTACCGTGCATTCTGTACTCCGTACTCCGTACGAGATACGTTATGTACATAGCCAAGGAGGCAAAGATTGCTTTGAAGGTGTTTGATTACGTCGCCGAGGGCGCAGGCGGAGTGGAACAAGACCGCGCGGCTGGGTTTCTGTCGATCGGCCCAAAAATAACCTTTGAATATGACTGCCTACTCTTTCTTCTTTCTTTCAACCTTCACTCTCTTTTTGTCACTGGCCTTTTAATCTCTTGTAATCTCTTGAGCCTCGCAGATCGTTCTTGACAATTGCATGGTTTTCCTTATCTGATTTCCCATCTCGATTCTGGAAACGCCCTACCAATAGCCGCCCACCATGGCTGCCAACGACTACTACCACACAAACATCCCACAACCTCCTAGCTACGATCAAGCAGTGCCAGGAAAGCCAGACCAGACCGACCACACCGCCAACACACTACCTGGTATCGGCTACGCAAGCCACAACCACGATGATCCCTCAGCCCCTTATCACAACCGCGAAAGTCAACAATCCTTCCTATCGGACAACGGACAATATCAAACAGCGGGCCGGGCGGGCGAAGGGGACCACTACTCGGAGAATATCCCGCTGAAGGCCAACACACAATATGGAAACAACCCGGATTGGATGCGCCAACAAACTCAGTACCCTCCGTCACCAGGTGGTCTTGAAGATAGTCGCCAACGCGACAGCCGAAAGAAGAAGGGATTTTTCAGCAAGAAGATTGCCTGGGTTACATACCTCTTGACGTTAGCCCAGATCATTGTGTTTATTGTCGAACTGGTCAAGAATGGTGAGCTCGAAATGCCCTGGTCTCTGTTAATTTTGCGGGTCAACTAACAAAAGCCTTTCCAGCCCAGTTAACAGGTTCGGTCATTGAGACCAAGCCCAATTTCAACCCGATGATCGGTCCCTCGCCATATGTCCAAATTTATATGGGAGCGCGATACGACCCGTGCATGAAGAACGTTGAGGGAATCCAGAACGCCAATACAACTATTGGATGGCCTTGCCCAAACACGACCTCCACGACGACTGGTCAGGATTGCTCATTGTCGGATCTGTGTGCTTTTGGTGGTGTTCCCAACCCCGTGGCCAATGGGTCAACCGATGATCAACCCGCTCCCAACCAGTGGTACCGATTCATCATCCCTATCTTCCTACACGGTGGATTCATCCACATTGGTTTCAACCTGCTGGTTCAGATGACTATGGGCGCAGACATGGAGCGCATGATTGGTATCTGGCGTTACACCTTGACATACTTCGCCAGCGGTATCTTTGGGTTCGTTTTAGGTGGAAATTATGCTTCCCAACTTGATCCCAGTGACGGCTGTTCTGGTGCCCTGTTCGGTATTCTCGCGCTCTACCTGCTGGATCTGCTTTACGATTGGCCCCAGCGTGAGTCTCCCTGGGTGGAGCTGATTATCATGATCCTGGGTGTGGCCGTTTCATTTGTTCTCGGCCTCCTCCCGGGATTGGATAATTTCTCTCATATTGGTGGTTTTATTATGGGTCTGGCTATCGGCTTGACTATCATGCGATCTCCCAACGCCCTCCGCGAACGGATCGGCCTGGCTCGCCAGCCCTATGTTGCCATGAGCGGTGGCGCTGGCCAACAAGATGCACCCAACCGAAAGACTGTTTCTTTCCTGGACTTCTTTAAGGGCAAGCAAGGACTCACCTCTAGCTCCTCTGAAAACCAAGGTGACAGCAAAGGCCCACTCTACTTCTTCAAGGGACGTAAGCCTCTTTGGTGGTTGTGGTGGGTTGTTCGTGCCGGTGCTCTGGTTGCCGTGCTGGTCGGTTTCATCATGTTGATTGTTGACTTTTACAAATACCCCAGCTCAAACTGCTCCTGGTGTTACCGACTGAGTTGCTTGCCCGTCAATGGATGGTGTAAGCAGACCGGTTTAACGTACACTAGCAAGAGCACTTGATCTGCTGTACCTGGAACTCTGTTGCATATTTAAAACAAAGCTTCAATGATTCTATTAGCATTAGCCTAGTGTATACCCAAATGGCATATATCCATCATATCGGAATTTTGGCACACCCAGAAACGAATAGCTCTACCCTAAAGAATAATACCTAACTCTACGTGGTAGCGGTGCCTGAATCCGGAAATAGAAAAATGTCGGTGCAGCCTTACGAAGTGTGGCTGGGGGCCGTGGCGGAGCACGGTTACGTGACCATACGGAGTACGTACGTTCAATAGTTGTCTCATGCACCCCATTCTTCAAACCTTTGCTTATGCCGTGATGTGTTTAACACATATGCGCAATCTTCTCATTGAGCCATAATTCTTTCGCCATGGCCACCTTGGCTTCGTCAGTCCCGACCTCGCCCTCGTGGCCCAAACGACGGCCCAAAGCCTGGGCTCTCCGCTGCGAGCGCTACTGCTGTGCGGCGGCAAGCTGCTTCCCGCTTGTCTTTGTCTATGGCATCACTACGTGGGCAGTTTATGTGGCCATTAGCATTGGTGTCAAGCCTTCAAGAAGTGACTGGATTGGTATGCACAGGGATCCCCAGAGTCCGAACGAACGGGCAAGTACGAAGGCATGAGTGTGCTGACAGAGATTTGACTACCAGGCATCCCTAGTACCATCGTCGCATTTTTACTTTACTCCCTTTTGAACTTCTCCTACTCCGTTGCGGTTTTCACGGATCCGGGATCACCGCTATCCACCCGCCGCGGCGCCGACCGCCATGAATACAGCGCTCTCCCGCCATCCGAGCATCCGGAATTCGTTTCTTACACCGTGAGCTCGACTGGTGAATCGCGATACTGCAAGAAATGCCAGTGCCCAAAGCCTGATCGCGCTCACCATTGCTCGACCTGTAAACGATGCGTTCTCAAAATGGATCATCACTGTCCCTGGCTGGCGACCTGTGTTGGACTGCATAATTACAAGGCATTTTTGCTGTTTTTGATCTACACTTCTATCTTCTGCTGGGTTGTGTTTGGTATTGCAGCAGTTTGGGTCTGGACTGAGATTCTCAACGACACTCAGTACATGGATACTATCCTCCCTGTGAATGTGGTCCTTTTGGCTATTTTGGGTGGTATAATTGGTCTAGTCCTGAGTGGTTTCACCGCATGGCATATCAGTTTGGCTGTGCGGGGAACCACGACTATTGAATGTCTGGAGCGAACTCGATATGTCTCGCCTTTGCGCAAGGCTCTCGACAGACAGCGGAACGAGCAGGCGCCCAGAGATAACTATTGGGGCGAGCCAGAGGATACGATCACCAGTCGACTGCAAGGAGTGGGCAATCAAATTATCGACGCCCACGCCAATGCGATTCCGGGCGTAACTCGCCCCGAGGAAGGCGAGGAGCGACTTTCTCCCTTGCCACGCCCATCAGAACCACCAGACGGCACGGCTAACCACCTTTCGCCTGCCCAACAAGCTCTGACTCGTTCATATGCGGAAATCGAGCGACAGCGCGAGTATGATCGGTACCACGAGTATCAAAATGACGACGACAACGAAAAGACACCGAGTGCATTTGACCACGGATGGCGAAAAAACTTACTCCACCTTTTTGGACATCGTCCGCTCCTCTGGGCCATTCCGATTTGCAACACCACTGGTGATGGCTGGCGCTGGGAGCCAAGTCCAAAGTTCCTCGAAGCGCGTGAACAACTACGTTTGCGCCGGGAGCAAGAATCCTCTGAAGAGCAGCAGTACTACCGGGAGCTGTATCAGCGTAATGTGGATAATAGCCATGCATGGCGAGAAGGTGCTGCTCAGCCGACGCGAATGCCCAACCGAGCTCGCACGCCTGAGCGGCCACCAACTTCTGTCTCAATGCAGACACTCGCTCCCAGGTCCCCCAGGCCGAGACCTGGTGATAGCGATTATGGTGATGATGTCGAGGGAAATGGACTATTGGATCCTGCTCGTCCACGGGCCTCGCGCCACGACTCTGACGAATGGAGGGATTGGGAATAAGTGTAGCATAGTTAGCATCTTGCGGCGTTTTGGCAAACGTGTATACTTTGGAATGCATCCGTTTCTGATATGAATTCGTTCTAAGTAAACAATCGAGGACATCATTGGAATTTGGCAATTTCCATAACCGCAGTACTAAGCGCCAACTGTCCAGATCTTATCTTATCGCCTCCACCATGGCCTCTTCGACCTCGACATCATCACACCTCTCAAACAAACAATGGCGTCTCCTTCAACCCGTCGTCTGCTGAAAGAAAGCACTGACCTGCATAAGAACCCAAGCCCTTACTTCTCTGCCGCACCAACCAGCGACTCAAACCTGCATGACTGGCACTTCACACTAGCAGGACCTCCGTCATCCCCTTACTCCAAAGGCCTCTACCACGGTCGCATAACCTTCCCGGCAACCTACCCACTGCGCCCGCCATCATTCCGCTTCTTAACACCCTCAGGCCGCTTTGAGGTCAATCGCGAGATCTGCCTAAGCATATCCGGCCACCACGAAGAAACATGGCAACCGGCCTGGGGAGTGCGCACAGCACTACTAGCCATTCGCTCCGAGATCTTCGGCTCCGAGAGTCAGGGACAGGTCGGTGGCATGGAGGGAAGTGAAGAGATTCGTAAAGAATATGCGAAGCTTTCGCTCGATTGGACCTGTCGCGAATGCGGGACCAGCAATCTGGAGGGCATGAAAGAGGTTTGGGAGTCTTGTCGGGACCGTGAGATTGATGTTGATGTCGAGGCTGCTGGCGGCGTTGCTGATTCTCAAACCGAGGCTACTGAGAGCCAAGGACAGGCTCCTGTTCCTGCGAATGGGGATCAAGAGAATGCCCAGCAAGGTCCTCCGAGTCACGGAAACCTTACAGATGAGGCTCCTGTTCAGGCCACTTCTCAACCCCCTTCAGCTCCAGCTCCAGCCTCCGAGCCTGTGCCTGTAGCTGCGGCATCATCTGCGCCGGCGCAGGTGTCAGGTGTTGTCTCTACGCAACCAATGTCTAGCCATTCACCCTCTACCAGAATAGCCGAGACCCCATCTGAAAGCGTTTGGCTGGACCGGGCTATCATTGGCGTTGTCATTGCTCTTGTTGTAGTCATACTGCGACGGGTGTCCAATGTCGATGACATGTGAGACCCCGGTCACATCGAACATGCTGATTCTCTTTTGCCGTTTTTGTCGAAGGAGTTTGGGATATAGGAGTTTATCGATTCATGATACCTCTACGAAGTAAATGTTTACCAACGAGACAATTTTAAATCGAACAATTGTTTTTGCTTATTATTGTTTTCTGTTCATGCAATAGCTGAAATAGCTGCAATAGCTGAAACCCTAGAATACTCATACATTCACTGCACTTGAACAGGTTCAATTCGTTGAAGATTGATAAATCAAGTGGGAATCATCCACCATGACTCCTGTAGCTTCCATCCGCAGCTTTCTGGCTCTCCTTCGGTACTGGGCTTGACAACACCCACCTGGCTCAACCACTGCAAAACAATTGCGACTTCCCATGATGCCATAATCGGTTTGATCATGCCGGCAAGAACCTTTGCGTTGATTCCAGGACGCATCACCAGACATCCGAGGATAGGACCCATGGCCATGTTCCAAAGATGCGGCTCCAATTCTCCATTCATATCGTACCAGAGCGGGGTCTTCGGTGGATGCCCTGGACCCAATGATGAAGGTGGTGGTGGAAGGACAGCAGCCTCTGCCTTGGCTTGGACAGGGTTTCCGGTGAAATATTTCTCAGTGGGGGTGATCTTGACAGGGAAACGAAGAACTCTCTTGTCCATTTGCCGAGTGAGATATCCTCCATCAACTGTGAGGCCAAACTTGTTGCGAGGGGCGTCGTGAGGCCGCAGCTGAATGTGACCGGCAGCGTGAAGGTTAATCAGAGAAAGAATATCACCATCCTCCGCACTGTAGCTGACTTCTGAGGAGCCAGTATTTCGGAGCTCGTGGTCCAGGACATCGCACTTGAATTTGGAGGCCTGCCGGAGCTGCGTACTGTCGATGCCGCGTTTGCGACTCAATGTTTGCATAAAGGTCTCTGAGACATCAAAGTTGCGGCCCGGTGTAATGCGGCCTTTGTTCATTGCTCCAATCACACGTTCGTTAATCAGCATCTGGGTTGCCTGTGAGATGAGCTTCTCCCCGAAGAGCTGCAGTACATCATTGGCCTCATTGGGTCGATAGGTCTTTTCTGGTGTGATGATATTTGCGCGAACCCAAGTCTTTGCATTGTCGAGCTGCTCCAATTCTTGCTTCCGATGGCTCGGTTTAGGTGTGGGGTCCTCCAAGGATATGGCGAACGGATTCTGAGCCATCAGGCTACGCTTTTTGTTGATAGTAACACCGTGCACAGCCTGGAAGAGCTCATCTCCTGCCGTCAGAGGTTCCACACGCAGTTCAAAGAGGCTGTCAAATTGTTCCCGTGTAGCAGGAAGATCCGGCACACGTTCTGTAGGAGACACCTCAAGGTGAGTGCTAGCCCATTCAACGACGGCGGGCCAGTCGTAGGACTCAAGGTCATAGTAATCCAGGCGAGGAACCTCGTCCTTGGCGTAGGCTTCGAGGAATTTTTCCTGGAAATCTCGCTGCATTTTTGCCATTTGCAAACGATTTTTGTTGAGAACTTGACGCGCTCGGCTGTCGATGAGAGTTGAATCTTGGTCTGGGAAAGCCTTGGCCACCAGTTGCCAGTCAATCACTCTTGACTCAGCGCCACCTGCAAGTACTCGAACGGCAATGATAGCGATCATGATATTGCGAACGAGTTCGTCGGAAAGTGGGCGCACAAATCTTGTCCGGCGGAAGCGCTGGCGAGGCGTGGACTGAACGTTCTTCTCAGGCGAGCCAGTAGCAGCAGAAGGCCCATCAAGCTTGTCCAGCCGACGATCCACGTTGGGGAGTGCTCTCCGCTGTCTGGACTTCTTTGTCTTCTTTGGAGTCGCTACCACTTCGGGAATGGGCTCGGGCTCGGGCTCGGGTTCAGACATGGATACAAGTTGCTCCTCATGCGGTACCTCACCATGTTTGGTGGTGTGTTTCATGAAAGTCCTCGAGCGGGGGTGCAGTTCGGCCGCAAAGATAATGTCACCGTCGATTGGCGCGGTTTCGAACACGTCTTCCACTGTTTGGTCAATGAACGGCTGGTCATGAAGGTCTCTCTCGAAGACATTCTCATGCTCAAGTTCCCATCTGAGAATTTTGTCGGCCCTCGAGCTGAACTCTCCGTGTGGAAGTCTGGTCGTCTTGGGACCAACTTCACCATCGTGTGCCAGTCTATTGAGTTCATCAACATATACACCGAGGTTAACGATTGGCTGCACATATCGCGACTTCTTCCTGGGCGCGCATGATCCTGTAGAAAAGGTACCAGTGGCCAAATGGAAATGCTGTGGTGGTCTCATCAACATAGCGTACGGTCCAATGGAAGAAATTGGTTTCGTCATCCGGTTGGCACGAACCACGGGGTTTCGAAGCTTGCGAGGCTCGCGCTTTTTGGCGCTAACATATGGTCGCATGATCGAAGTTTGCCCCACTGCATGGGTGTCTAGAGCCGGAGGACGGGCCAGCGTCATGAGTCGCAGGACTCCAGGTACACTAAGCTCCTGTTTCTCCGCGGCAGCGATGCGGGCAGCAAGTCGTTCTTCAATCCGTTGTTTGATCTGAAGACCTTTCAGGAACCTATTCTTAATTGAATCGGTCTTCCTTTTCTCTTCGTTGCGAATAGAAGCAGGTTTTTGCTGTAGATTGACATGAACTCCTTGTTCCACAGGGAACATAAACTTCTGGCGTCGTGGCGGGTCACCGTGTGGTCGACCGCTGCTTCGTGTCAATAAGCGGTCGATTTCGACTTTGTCGCAGAATCCAGGCCGCGGCTCATGAGAATCCATGGCAAGGTATTTCTTCTGCATCTCCTTCACCACTGGGTCATCTGGAGAGATATCGGGCTTGTACAGCAGCGTTTTTGTGACCATGGCTCCCTTGCTGTCCCGTCCACTGAAGGTCAATTGTCGAAGGTGCCCGGCATCAATGAGCTGTTTACAAGCATTCTTGACAGTCTTCATGTCTGGCTTTTCTTTGTTTCCCTTCTTCATCCATAGGGTGACGAAAGGGTACCAGATCACTGCACCGCCTGGGTAAGCGCCCCCTGCTTGATCCATGATTTCCATAAGGACTTTCCTCCGAAGAAGACTAATGGATCCACCTCGCTCAATCAGAGGCTTCGGAGCCCCTAGTAACTGTTTCTCTTCTTCAGTAAGATCCCTACCACGAAGGCCTCGAGGTATACGTCGAGAGAGTGTTGGTCGCGGAGGTTTGATGCGAGCAGAAGCTGTCGGGGCTTGTTTGTTGTGCGAGCTCACTAGATGCGATGGTGACTCAATTCGACGTCGCTTAGATGGTGTTTGATCGTTCTCATCTTGAAGTGAATGAACGCTGAGGCTCTTGTCGCGATGATGCGGGGTGGTCGCATCCTGAGAAGCTTCCTGATTTGCTGCGGGCACTATCTCAGACACTGCCGCCGTGCTTGCATTCAAAGGCTCAATGTTACCTTCCTCTCGTGGCACGTCGAGGCATGGCCTCTTAGAGGACCTTTCAAGTTTCACCCCAACCGAGTGGGGCACCGAGGAAGTGGCCGGAGCTGCAGAGCTTTCCTCGGGGTATGGTCTCTTTGCTGGACCCGGAGTCTTGGGGTCCCGCGCGGTTCGAGACGCCATAAATTCTGCAATAGTCATGGTATCATCATTGTTGATTTCTTCGTTGTCTGAATCGTCTTTGTCTTTGACAAACCAAGGGAGTGAAGACAACTTTGATGACTTGAAGACTGCGATTCTACTCTTCCTGGGGCGGCCACGTGCTTTGCCCACAGGTCTTCTTCGGCCTTCTGGGGTGACATAGACCCCAGGGCCGGGCTTGTCCATAAGAAGAGCGTTGTACTCGGTCCAGTTCTCATCCATACCAAGTGCTTCGAGCTTCTCCTTTCTGGATAATCCTTGTAGATCCAGGTGCTTTCTCTTGACTTTCTTGCGTGGTGGTGGAGATTCTTCATTTTCGTCCTCGGCCTGCGACTCAGCTATGATTGGTTCATGTGGGCGTTTTTCAGGCTCATTTCCCCTTGATTTTGCTGCCTCGGCATCCTTCTTGCGCTGTGCCAACATTGCGAGAGTAGGTCTTCCTTTGGGTCGACCCGTAGGTGGACCTACAGCCTTTCGGGGAATCTGCATCTGCTTCGCGCCAGCTGGAAGCTTGTCCCGACGTCTTCGAACCGCTGTGATATTAAGTTAGCTTTTTGCTTTCTGTCACCCTGGGGGGAAAGGTGGTGGCATCATACCATATTGGCCATCTGGAAGTCGAATCACAAAAGGATCGCTCGAAGAAAGCTTGTAATCAGCGGGTTTGGCAGCGGCTATCCCGTCACGTAAAGTCGCATTGGGGTTCTTCAGCAAAGATTTGGGGGTAGCATTGATCGGGAAACCATATTCGTCGAGTTCAGGGACAGCGCCCCAGGGAGGTAGATTGATTTTGAGTGTCTTTGCCTTCTTTTCGGGGAACTCAACTGCCTCCCACGATGCATTGCCGCTTTCAACGATCTTTGCGAAGTTTTTCGCTGAGTAGTGGACGTAAAACATGACAGTTCTCTCCATTGCCATGTCTCGAACGACCGCGTAATGGCGCAAATGGAGTGGCTGAGCCACTTGCCACAAATCAACCAACCGATGAACCAAATTTTCGGCAGGTCGCTTGAAGTAAAGGCCGAAACAAACGCGCATAAGTTTCTTGGTTTAAAAAATCAGCTGGGATCATTTAGCGGCGATATTGAAGGGGTCTTACCATGTTTGTGATGCCGGTAGTGCCTGTCGCGTTAATTACGTCAAACAGCTGGTTGTTGAGGTTTCGATCCGGCGTCCAAGATGGCACGATCCGCTTGGTAGGCCCGGTTTGTCCTTTGCTCATGTCAAAATTGCCCTCATCGGGACCTGACGAGCCATTGAGCGGAGCTTCAAAGCCCCCTTCTTCTTGTTGCCTGTCGATGGGGATCGCTGATCCCGCCTTTTCCACTCCGTGTTTACTCAAGACCTCGAAATCAAATTCGTGGAACAGCTGAAGGTCTGTTGCAGTGGGATCTCGCTCAAGTTTGATGCAAGGATGCAGTTTCTCGTACTGCGATTCCGCCCTGATACGCTTCACTACTCCAATGCGTTCCCATTTTCGGACTGCACGAGATAGAACTTTCCAGCGCCATTTGTCCTTGAACCCCAGCTTTCTTTTGAGGTCTTCGCGAGCGATGATCTGATGCTCTCGGAGAATGTCAAAAAGCTTGTTGTTGAAGCTATCGAAATCAATCATGTTCGCGGATTGCGCTTCGTCTCCTGCTGGTTGACCTCCATCTTTCGGTTGGTCGGCCGTTGTCTGGGCCGTTGAATGGCGGAATCTTTGGAGAGTGCAGAGACTTGTGCGAGCAGTTTTTGTTTGGATGGGACGCTTGTCAATGTATCCCTTTCGATGCAATGCATCCGTGCGCTTAGGAACAGATCGCTTGTCTTGGCCACTGAGTTTCACCAGATCTGGCTGCGCGATACCCTTCGACTTGCACGAGGCAATAATGGACAGCAAGGCAAACTCTAGGGGCACCACTTTAGAATCATCTGGCGCGTGGCCAGCGACAGCACGCCAGGTTCGTTCTTTTGAGACGAAAATGCGAAGTGAGGATGGGGCAGATTTGGAGTCCGTGTCGTGGTTGCTGCTATCCTTTCCGTCATTGGTCGCCTTGGATGAGATCTTCTCTGCTTCATCGAGTGTCAAGTGGTTCCATTGATTATTCTCGCCCACTGACACCTCCGGATTTCTCACGAGCCAGGCCCAGACCTTAGTTTTGAAACGACGATCAATGACTTGGGATGGAGATTCGCGATCCTGCTGTTGAGTGCGATAGAATTCATCAATATTTTGCAAGATATCTGAGAGTTGCGCTCCTGCGAATGTGTCAGTCAAATATCTATACAATGGCAGACTATTGTTTGGGGAATATATTCTGGTGAATGCCGAGCAATGCTGAAAATTGACACGAAGTCCACATGGCAATAGACACGGCTCCAGTGGATCTTGGAAGGAACCGCCAGTAGAAAGATCAACGTTCGATGTGATGGAGTACTTGCAGGGATACTGATGCCAAGAAATATGACATGCGTCTCCCGGGTGAAGGAAGTGGGTCTAGAGGAAAAAGAGTATACACACCTTGATCGCCGCAGAGCGCGACTTCATTCAGCACGAAATCAATGAGATGCTGTAAGCCTGACATGGCTACATATTTTTTGGATAATGAAAGATGGTGATGGAAGTAAGAGGATAAGTGGTGGGAGAAGGAAGGAGGAAAAAAAAGAGGGAGGGAAAAATTTCTAAAGTGGAGCGACTCGAACTCGCGGTCCTGGAGAAGAATCGGTGTTTTCTCACGTGACCCTATGTTTGCTTTGTTTGCTTGAATGCCTGCTCAAACTCATTGTCTTCAATCTATTTCATCTATTTACCTCCACCACATTGTTTGGCTTTGTACCTTCATTGTCAAAATCACTCTTTATCCAATCAACATCTCTTCTATTGAGAAATACAGTTGCTCCTTTCTCGAAATCGGCATTTATTTATGTCTATGTGCACGAGAGACTACACCCACCTATCACGTACAGCATCAATCAAACCAATGACATGATGACATGACCATGAGAGAGGTGGCGCCCGCTACTGTATCAGGCATAACCCAGGCGACTCTACTGTATCCATGGATTCAATTTTCAATTTCACTTATAGGAGTACAGGGCAGTCGCCTTCGCTAACCTCGAGGGAATTGGCACTTTGGCATGGATGGATGCAGATGAATCGTCATAGACGCACATCACCATCATAATGGACAGAGCTACAAAGGGGTGAGCGTGCATAATCTATGACCGAGTATAAAAAATTTTGTGTATAGCATACTACACAGGGCAATATAAACAAACTTCAAGGGCTAGAAATCGTATGGTCGGGATCGGCGTCCGGGAGCGATATGAGCTCGGAAGTCCCACTCTAGATTCTTGGCTTGCTGATAATTACTGATCTTGATTACTTTAACTTGTTTTCTGCAGCCTCTGTGCATGGGGGTAACACCCCATACGCGTTCTTCTGTCCTTGTGTCCTTGTGTCCTTGTGTTTGTGCTTTATCCCATTATGTGTTACTCGTTGGGAAACGATCAAGTAGTTGAGCATATTTGATATTGCTATTTGCGCAATGAACCATAGATTTGAAATCAAGTATTTTAATCGTCAAAGGAAAAGGTTATGGCGAAAGAAAACGAGACAAAGGGTGGAAGGCTGTGTAGATATAGAAGATGCCGTCGATACCGGTTGTTTGTGATGACATCACAGGCGACCTTACGTCAGGTACCTACGATCACCGCCAAGTTTGTATGCCAACGGAAGTACCCGTTTATCGCCGTCGTTTCCGGCCAAATTTTCTAGGACGTCTCTTCGTGTCCCTAGTTAGCTTTCTCACTCTTCGGATCCAGTCTCGGACTTGTTTTCAATGCGCACCATGTCCTAATATCTTCCTACCATACGAATCACAACATCCTTCCGACTGCTGGAAACTTTCGATCCCAATCGGTGATCCGCCACTATCGCCATGGACGAGGGAACCGCCCCTGGGCCTTCTGAGCCCCCTCCGCTCCCATATACCCTGCATACAAGAAAGAAATCTATCGCGATCTTCTGGATCATCTTCGTGGTCGACACTTTGGCTCAGCCCCTGGTCCTGTACTGGTGTCTCTGGTACCTGACCGATTTATCACACAACTTGGGTACGCTTGGCGGATGAGCTTAAACATCAGACCATATCGCTGACATTTCGCGCAGTCTTCTCAATTGTCACCGCATCACTTGGAGGTGTATCGGTTTTTGAATATTTCTATCGCCTCTACAATCTATTCCGAAAACACTCACGCGCCCGACCCCTGAACGCCCGGTCATCATGGGTATGTCTAGATACTGAACTTGGGCACGGGCAATTGCTGATCGCTTTCGATAGCTGGACTTCTTTCAGATCAACTTCACCATCGTGTGGTTGATCCTCGCCGTTATTCTTGTCGTGTAGGTTTGACCTTGTACCATACAGACAAGATCAGAGAGCTAACAAAACCATAGTGGATCGGTTCCTGAAGAACCTTATGGTGAGACTATTTTGACTATTTGAATCCCTTCATCGCATACTGACAAAATGTTAGTACGCCTTGTGGCTATGGTCCTTCCAGCCGTCATGTTCTACTTCGGCATCGTCTACCTCTCTCTCGACGTCTTCCGCATGCTGGGCTACAAAGCCCCCTTCCGAATCTCATCAACTCCCAAGGGTTCAGTTATGCCGACTGCGCTCTACGCTTTAATCGAAGATGTCGTCGCCGTGGACGGCGGCGGTGGCCAGATTTACCGCTACGCTCTTCGCACTCGATACCTATCCAGCCCCTACTTCCGACGCATGCTGTTCGAAATGAACTGCTTCTGGAGCGGAGGATCTATTATCTTTGCCGCTGCCATTACCGCCGTTGTCTTTACGGTGCAAGAAAACGTTGCATTTACGGTAAGCACGATTGAACCTCACACGCTCTTGCCTCGCTAACATTACTCTCAGCTGGGCTGGTCCCTTCCATTTGCATGGGCTATTGTTTGGACTTTGATTACCATCCCTTGGGTTCAAAGTGATCTCCGCCGCGAGAAGAAAGCTTGGGCTGAGAACCGTGGGCAAGGCGGTATTCCCTGGGTTGATGATATCGACGCCCCTACTGCACGTACCCGTTTCGCATCCGTCCAGGCCAACGTTTGGCCTTGGACTCGCGGCAAACCGAGCATGAGCGGTCCTTCGACGCCATCTGATGGCGCCGGCATTGAAAAGGTTGTCGATGGGCCTATCGATGGGCCCATCGATGGTCCTTCAAACGAATCCCACGAGATGGTTCACAACCCATCTGATAGCACTCCTAATGGCGTCCCTCACTTGAATGAGGGAGCTCATCACGGAGCTATTCAAGACACACCTGATGTCAAAGAATCGGACAAGTCACCCGTATAACAAGTATGATTGATGAAGTTGTTGGTTATTTATGAAGTTTGACTTGGTCTGGTAGCACATTTGCTTGGAGGATTTGAGTTGATATTTGGCATGGATTCTTTGTTATATTTTTGTTAAGCGAGCTATTATCATGTCTTATATAGATACCCTCTGTTTATTTCCTAGACACTGCTGAAAATGAAGGATCTGGCTAATTGGCCATAAGTATAATGCTGCTCTTCTCTTCGGTGCCCAGGTGTCATGATTGCCTTCCAAGATTTCTTTCCATCTGGGCAATATGACAATCGGCCGACGCAATCCATGTGGACATCCGAGTAGCCTTGGAATGCCAAGGTGCTTCTCACCTGTCTGCCAGGCAATCTAAAGCGATGAACAAGATCAGTGTAGGTGGTGAATAGTAACTATCATTTGAGATATTCAACCAGTCCCGAGGTCCGGTTCAGGACAATACAAGATGCATAGATGGTCGAGCAGGCACTGGAATGAGAGAGGTCGGTGTAGAGCAACGAAGTATGTAGTATGTATTCGAAGTAGCCATTGCCGCATCTTTTGAAGCGGATGGCGAGATATAGCTAAAAGATGGTAATAAAATGGAGTATAAGAAAGTAACGAAAGCAAAATATCCCCGATCGCCTCTATGCAAGTGTCCTCAGACAGACCCGGGTAGTAAAACACATAACATCTTCCCGCCATGGGCAGAGCAAAAGTAAGAGATCAACACAGAAAAACGCCTATGTACGGCCCGCTGCAAGTAGAGGGTATCTAGAGACAAGAGCGGCCTGATGGAAACAAGGGTGGTGGTGTACAAAGGATCACAGGATTTTTAGTAAGACAATGGAGGAGATTAGGCAAAGTGGGTGTAGTGAGGAAGAGAAAGATGGGTGGTGATTGCGGTTGAAGGAATCATTTGCGGAATGTGAGCTTTCGGCCGATGCTGCGGATTGTTTTGATGTGGCTGGTGGGATGGTTAGTCGACAGCCGGGCTGGAGTTAAGTAAGGAACTATACCTCTCGTCATGATCACCCCTGCCGGATTCATTCGTGGTTCTAATATTACCAGACGTCACTGGCCTCTCGGGTGGAGGTGGATTGACGAATCGACGCGATGCCTGGAATTTGTGTTAGTCTTCTGGTTCTCACAATAACAGTTGGAAGTAGGAGTACAAACCTCCCAACGAGAATCCACGTCTACTTCATTGGCGGACCGAGAGTCATGTATAGTGGGATCTGAGATCAACGAGGTTGATCGAGCCAAGGGCGAAGTATTGGACTGCATAGACTTGCGAGAGCGGGACTCGGAATAATCGCTGTTGGAATCGTAGCTGGCCAGGCTCTGGGGTTGACTTTTGCTTGGGTTTAGCGTGCTCGACGCACTGGGCAGAAGTTGAGATGAGGACGCAAGCTCGCGATAACGCTTTTGTTGTTGCTTGGAAGGTCGGTGATGGGAGAACTTGTTGCCAAGAATGGCAGGGGCATGCGAAATCAGGGCCTTGATCACATCCTTCTTGAGACGCAGAGCAAGATCCAGATTGGACCATGTCTTGTTACCGTACTCGAGGACTGGAAGACGGAACACAAAGTCGTGCAGATCCTCGAGATTGTGTTCTCCTTTGCCTTTGTAGCTCATACAAAGGACCACATCGTTCACCTTGACATGGGCCAAGGTCATGTAGTTGGAGGCGCGGGAGATCATTTGAGACAAGTCGTCTGTAGGCTCCTTGGATTTGCCGCCCTTATTAGACCCCTTGCCCATGCCAAACTTCTTGCGACTTTCCTCGCCCGCACTATGGCTGGAGAGTGATCGTTCCGTGGGCTGCTTCGTCAACATGCGGATACTGTCGGCGGACTTCTTCTTGCTGAGGCCCCCTGTCGTAGCGGGTCGGCCTGTTTGCCGTGCGGTCTCCGATACACCAAGTCTGTTGTTGTCCTGGTGGATAGGCGTCATTGCGAGGCCCTTCAGGTGTGACGAGCGACTACTGGACTTGTTGGCATCGTCTACAAGCGAGAGTGTAGGCTGAAGTCGCAATTCGATGGATCCCGGACCCTTGGATATAGCCAAGCTGTCCATGGAAGAGCTGTCGCCATCAATGCTTGTCGAGCGTGTCAAAGGCCTGCTGCTGGAATCATAATCCTCGTCTTCGTCATCTGATTCGTCGAGGGGTTTCATGTTCTTTATCATGAAAGGCGAGAAGCCACCAGCCTCGAACGCGTTAGATCCCACATTCGGGAAAATGTACTCAAAGACTCTCTGGCCAAGCTCGCGTTCGAGCTGAATCTTGAGTGGGAACAAGGAGATTTCGAAATTGTCGAGCACAGGAATTCCAGCGACAGCCTCTAGCATGTGCCATTTGATGCGCAGCATGAAGTCATCAAGAGTGCGTGCCCCATCGAGGTATGGCGCAATAATCTGGGGGTAGATGGCATCTGGAAGCAAGTTCAGTCCGAAAAGTCGCTCCACTGATACCAAGTTGTGGTTGGAACCGTCAGTGTTGTCGGTTCTTTCATATGAAGCATTGCGTAATTGGAACTCAATCAAAGGCTCATTGGCATCCTTCATCAAATGCCACACGACCTCGCTGGCCGAGATGCTCCAGCGAAGCACACCATTGACACCATCAGCCCTTGACGAGCTAGGCTCCATTCTTCTTTGGGAAGTGGTGATGGCCTTCATCATGAAGAACAATTCGTCTTCACATTGAGACAGGTCGCGCTCGAGGGCCAGCCGGTCTTCCCAGCCTTGTTTGTCGAGGTACTTCGCATTGATCTGGAAGTACTCCTTGATCTCTTCCAGTTGGCGGATTCGGGCTTGAAGCTTGAACACCATCTCAGGGGCGCCACGCAAATCACTGAAGTCGGAAGTGAGCATAATCCTCTCCAAGCGCTCATTGCGAACCTTCTCGAGAGGTTCACTGTAGAGCATCAAATCAAGCACAATGATGTACATAGAATAGTACTCCGCAGAGTCGCAGATTGCGCGGAAATGGGGGAAGTCGACACTGATCGAGTCCATACGGTCCTCTTGGTCTTCGGGGTGTGGCCCTTGGCCCTTGGCCACTTCCTCGTTGTATTTGAGACGGAGGTTGTTGTACTTGTCGTAACGAAGACTGGCAGAAGTTTTCTGGATAATGCGAGAGAAGCCGAAAGGATTGAGTTCGAAATCGAACATGGCTTCCAAGGTCAACCACGGAGGCCAAGCTGATCCTGGCGCATTGCCGTATTTGTTGCCAGCATAGAATTGCAAGTTGGCCATCAGATTCTTCTGTGTCGCGACGAAGAATTGAGCACCGTCCATCTCAAGAGAGAAGCGGCGTTGCACCAGGCCACTCACATCATCTGCGACACGGGCCTTATCCATGATAGAAACCACCTTGAGTTCCATACCTTTGGCAGCAACAAGCAACACCGACTTCCGATTCTTTTCGCTGAGAAGTTGAATCTGGGGAGCAATGAGGCGCAGGTGGTAGCTGTTCTGGGGTGTGAATTCTGGCGCAATGTTCTCGCTCGAGTCGTCCGAAGAAGAAGTAGGCGATTGAGTATTCGAGTCGGGTGGGTCATTCTCTTCAACATTGACATAGCGTTTGGCATCATTCAGCAGTTGCTCGATGCGATCCTCAACATCCTCACCGTCTTCATTGTTGGAAGTGTGAGTTTGTGTCTTGGACATCTTAGGATGCTTGCGTTGATTCTTGTCTTGTTCTTCGACGATATCAAGAATGAACTTGACAGCTCGGCGAGACATGTAGTATACAAATCCACGCCGCTGGCTGACTTGGTGGCTGTATCGCAAGATGATGTTTCGGAGCGAGTTGTTCCACTTGAGTTGTACATTGTGAATCATGAAACGATTGTTGAAATCACTCTCAAACTCATCGTTGGCGGAGGAATAAATGCCGCCAAGACCCGAGGATCGGCCATCGGTCGTGGAGTCGGCATCCCGACCGGTTCGGCCGGTTCGGATAGATGCAGTACTGGGTGCCGCATTGTTTCCAAGTGAGTTGCCGTATCCCGTCCGCTCATCCCGATTGATGTGTCTCTCGAGGCGTTGGAGGGTCGAGGTCAAGAACTTTTGTCGTCTCGTCAGTGACTCGGACTGTCGAAGGAAAACCTCATGTTCGGCTTTTAGCTGAGCTTCGGGGTCGATCTCTCGCGTGAGCTTGAGTTCTTGCTCTCCGAGCGTGCGGTTGTAATTGCGAATCTGAGCCTCAACTGTTGCAAGACGATCCTTGACCAGTTCAATCTGAACACGGCGGGGATCGTTCGTCTCAGACATGACACATTCGTGAGTCGGCTCGTCGCCAAAGCTGCTGTACCCTGTTTCGTCGGGACCCACATCACAATGGTCTGTGTTGCGGAAATAGGTAAAGCGCGGCGTGAAGGCAAGGGGCAAGATCTGGGTACGGGGATTGGACTCTTGTGGAAGGATCCAGTCCGGCTCCACAAAGTCATCCATATCAACCCAGTCCAGGTTGTGATCGGGGATTGTGAATCGAGACAAGTCAACAGACGCCGCAGGTCGCTGGAAGGAGGAAATGATGTCGTCTTTGGTTTGCTCCACATCCTCCGGGTTTGTGCCTTCAATGCTTGCAGAGACGGCGCGGAAGTCGGCAGACTGCATATCGATTTGAGCTTGATTGATGCGCATTGCACTCGTTCTGGTTTGTTTTGAGCGACCTCGTGCCTGTGTCTTGATCTGTTCACGGCGCTGGTGAATGTCAAGCTTCAAGCAATCCAGGCGAACCTTGATACCTGTAGCCGTAACGGAATCTTCCGAGTAATCTTCGCGATCTTTGTGCTTGTAGATGTGGGCGATAAATAGCGGAGCCAGCAGAATTTTGTATTTGACAGTGGCCAGGTGACGATTGAACTTTTTGCTGGTCTTGGTGATACCTGGCCAAAGGGGTCCTTGTCGAACGGGAAGCGACATCACACCTGAGAATAGAGACCACCAGTTGAAGAAGTGTGTAAAGAAGCGGGGTGTGAGGTGAACGGTGTTATAACTCGAAGATGGCTGGACGCTATCAGCAGACCAATTTCTGCTATGCGGCGCAATAATCGAAACAGATAGGTGGATGTGGTCACTTCGGAATCCTCGATAAGCATCGTAGTTGGCCAGCCCAGCTTGGTCAATGTATTTGGGATTCTTAAGGACAACCTCATGGTGGGGCTTGAAAGAGAAGGAGCGGGCGTCATTGTCGATATCTCGCTCGAAAACCAGTCCTGCTGCCCATTTGACGTCGCCAGACAGCTTCATGACGACCTTCTTGAAATGAGCAGCATTCTTTTGTTCACTGGAGGTCGAACTGTTCTCCTGTTCCTCGGTGGTAGCCTCGTTTGCCCATCTTGCTTCGGCGCTGTAGTCGGGAATGGCAAGCACGTACTCCCCACTAGTAACGCTCATGAATTCCATGGGATTGTCACTGGTGTGGATTTCCCATTTGACGTCCCTGCGCCAGCACATGACAAAGCCGCTGCCGAATCCAGTTACCACATATGGATCACGAGAGCCCTTCAGACGCAAATGAACATCTCCATCTTCCTTCCAAAGAACTTGGATTCGAGAGTGGAAACTGAGTCGAATCTTGTCCCAGAAACCGACTCGTTCAGATGGGTCGATCTCAGGTTTGGTGAAACCTTCGATGATCTTCATCATGTCTTGAATGACGGGCTGGTAGGAAACGCCCCACGAAATGCTGGTTGGCAAGCTAGTGTTGATCTCAATGACTGGATCGGAATACGTCTTGACAGGCGTAACGGATCGCCAGACAGGAATCTTGAACGGTTCACGAACAACACCATCAGGGCCCGCAGAGGCAGGAACAAGCTCCACTTCAACCTGTCTAGCAGATTCATGATCGCGCCATTCTTCAGCAATGACAAAGTTTGTGCGCAGTGACCAACTGGGAAGCCTTGGTGATTGACCTGGGCGCAGAGCCGGGATATGCAACAAATCCAGAGGGTAATCTCTGAGGTTTACTCGTGCTTCGCCCATTTCGAGATTGAAACTCATTGGAACAAGCAGCCCGTACTGCATGGTTGTTGGCATTCCCTTGCCAATCCGATTCAGATATTCGGGAAGTTCATCGATCGCAAATGAGGGTTTGTCGATGGTGAGGTTGACATCACTGATCAGAGCCGACATCAAGCCGGGTCTGTTCGGGATGGAGAGGATAGTCTCGGTCTCCTTTACGTCCCCAGGGGGCTCATCTGCACCACAGAAAAGGTTTCTGACTTCTTTGATGGATGTACCCTGGAACTTGAGCGCCGCATCGATCTTTTCCTTCCAGACCTGTCCATTGTACTGCTGAAGACGGTTCCAAGCAGCATCTGCTGAGATCTTCTGCTCTGATGAAAGACATGTCGCACCTTCAGTATCGTAACGGTACTTGCGACCTCTCCCGCGCTCTTTGGTGCCCGTCTTTGGTCGTTCATCTGCACTTCTGCTTCGCCTTGTATCTTGGCTAGTGCGCTCACTGCGTAATGTTCGATTGCTAGACTTGGCTCGGAGTCGGGACGTAGCACGTCGCTGGTCAGTTTGATTGACTTTGTTGGATTTCAATTCGAAGGCATCTTCCCGGGCCAGCCGTTGAGCCTGCTCAATCATTCCAACGCGGTAGATGCAACCCAGCTTCCATTCAAATCCATCGTCCTCGAGTTCAAAGAGCAGGGCTTTACTGCGAATGGATATCTTTGGTACCTTCTTCACGCCTTCTGGTTCTCGTTTCGAGCCGAATTCCCTGCATTTATGCTTGAAACGATGACTGAGTTGTTTGAAAGCCTTCGAAGTGTTGATCAAGTTGTCGAAGATGCGATGCATCACCATGTGATGAGGGACACCAATCCGGATGAAGTCTGTGCATAAATCGATGGATCTTTCATCAACCAAGGAATTCCCTTGTTTCCTCTTCATGGCTCGGAAATCCAATCGGACATTATTCATAATTCCAATTCGAGCCCAAACTCCCTTGAGTTTGGGCGCTTCAGCGTGCATGCGAACAAGACTAGCTTTCACATAGGGGGTGGAAAGACGTTGAGAAGCACCGGCAAGTCCATAGACTTGAATCATTATTTGAGGATCGTGTGGTAAGTTCGCCTTGAGCTGAATTACAGTGACCTTCAAGTCGCAGGTGACTAGCTCCTTCTTTGGCGACCATTTGTAGGCCGGAGGAGGTGGCATAGACACGCTTGCAGGTTTTCTAGATTTGTCGTGAGGGGATCCCGGGAACTTTTCCGGTAATGGTGTAAGCACATCCTGCACGACTGAGATGGCGACTCCAAGGCAGTAGAACCGATACAATGAGTACTGCAGGTAGATACCCTTGAAAACAGATGTGACGTGCAGAACCGGGCCCATGCGGTCACTGTTTGTGCTCAGCGCAATCTCAAATCGAGGCAAGGAGAAGAATGGCTCAGGCTCCAGGTAATCTTCCGACTCGATGACAAAGCCATCAAAGCCACGAGCATGAAGGGCCAAACGCCGTCCATCCGTAGCACCCCGCTGGTTGTGCGTAGCCTTGGGCGGGGAGGTTGGGGGGAATCGAAAGGGTGATTCGTCGCCAATTGTAGAATGACTCGGTGTACGTCGTCTGGCAATACTGCCAACATTCTGTTCCGTTTTCTGTGCCTTGTATTCTGCAGTCCATGATTGAAGTTGGAAAGAAACACCACGCGAAATGTCAGACACGGTGGTATCCACGCCAGCGACTTCGACGCTAGTCCCTGTGGCTTCGAATGAAAATTGAATCAACCACCGAGGGACTCGCCTCAGAATGCTTGGCTTCCGCTCATTTGCTGGCATGGGTGTCCGCTTAGACGATTGCATCTGCATGATGAACTGTTGCAAAACTTCGCGGATTCCACGGTTGACCTCCCCATCGATCATGTGAATTGAACACTCGTTCAAGCTTCCTGAAGCTATGACACAGACCTCCGGGGTGGCATTCAAATGAGCCTTGAGCTCCATGCTTTCGCTTGTGAGCAAATTATGTTTGTTGCCTGCAGGGGTTTGGTAATAAAATTTGTGGGAGGCAACTCGGTAAACGGAAGATAGGGAGTAGTGGGCGCCACCTTCAGAGGAATGAGAGGACTCAATATCGAGGGAGATAGAGGATATGGAGGAAATAAGGAGGTTGTATTCGTCGGGAGGGCCTGACTCCTTCTCAATTGGAAGGACAAACCGGATCACAGGCTCGTGAACGGACAGTTTGATACTGGCCTTTGGAAGCAACCGTGAGATCAGTTGATGGTTATCTCGCTTCTTGCTGCGCGGCGAAGAGGCCCTGGCGTGTGCCATTGCCATGAGCCTGGAAACGTGTTGCGGTAGGAGGTCAACGGAAGGCGATGTGACGACCAGGTTGGCGAAGAGGACGTTGGTGTTTCGCTCTTCGGCATTTTCGTCATCAAATGCGCTCACTGTCTTGGAAGGCAGTGTGGTTTTGATGGTCGTCGTGGCCATAGGGACATACAAGATATTGTCCGTCTCGCCCGATTCATCGTCCAGGCTGACCGAAAGGGAGATGGCAGCAAGTAGAGCCTGGTGAGCAACATCGTTCCGCTGGAAATACATACGATGTTCCGGGCTCTTCTGGTCCATGCGATGTAGATCAATGCCGAGCTCGTGAGAAACCACATTGAGGTACACAGGGGTTTGTCCTGCTGATAGAGACTGAATGCTCTGTGAGACGCGGAAGAAACTAAGAGCGATCTGTATCTCTTGAATCCCCCGAAGCAATGAACTAGCAAACTCTTTGGAATCTGCCACCGTCTGGACAAGGACATCGTCTCTGCTCCCGGGCTTGTCGAGCTCCTCCACGAAATCGGTAAATGATATTGTGTCGTCCGCTTCGGTACTCGGTTGTTCCTTGTCAGTCTGCATGGGCTTCATGTGTGATAACATGAGACGGATATCGTCGTATGGAATGTGCATGCGTCCGATCTTGAGGGCTATCGAAGCATCTCTAAGTCCGTCCAGCTCCTTATGGAGAAGTCCATGGAGATTCACACCAACGTTGTCCAGGATTTCGATTGGCTCTCGGCCGTCGACGTTGAGGAGAACATTCTGAACGTTCATTATCCACTCCGCTGGTCGTTGGTCCTGCGACATGTCCTTCTTGCGACGAAACAGCTTGCCTCGTTCCACCATTTTGCTTCGCGTGTCGACAGAAAGGGATAGCGATCCGACATGGATCTGTCCGGCATTGACAAAGTGGACGGCTGTATTGACCGCAGTCACATCCACCAGCGCTAACCAATTGATCTGACGGTGGAGCCTCTTGAGCTGTTCCTTAATCCGGGTCAAGGTCTTCCATGTTTTGCTTCGTCCGGGCTCGGGCGCGGGCGGTTCTTCGGAGGGGCTAGAAGGATCCGGCGAGTCCAATATTCCTGGCGACGCTTCGCGTTTTCCCTTCCCCAGCGTGGTCGAGTCCACGGTAACCTTCAACTCCGTCAATCGAATGCTGATCCATGTTGGTTGGGCGAACGACGGGGGGGTGTAACGAGAAGCCGAGTCCGCGAATTTCGATATGGAGCCCTTCCTTCGGGGTGTATGCGATTCGGCGCAGCGAGAAGTAGCCGATCCGTTGAATGGAGATACCCGTCGCGATCCGGACGATAGCGAATATGAAAAAGGACGAGAGGTACAGCAGGAGGAATCCCACAAGGATCGAAGTGGGATTGAAAAGCGTCATCGCGCTGCGCGACCAGCAGGGGACTGATCTCAGACAGGCGATCTAAACTCGCACATTGGTGTCGGCGACGGTGGATTGTTTCCCCTCGATCTCTACTGTCTGCCTGGGGGTGGGAGTCACAAAAATTTCCTCCAGGACAGCAACGACTGACGTGAATCAAAGTCTCAGTAGGACGGGCATTGTAGTGGGTTCAAAACAAAATGAGTGTAGGCGACTCATAAGATCGGAGTAGGGGAGAATGACAGGTGGGCTACGAAGTTCGGACAGGTCGGAGGGCCTAGAAAGGCGGAGCCGGCATTTCGTCTTAAAACCGGCTTCTATGGGCTCTGACCATCTACTTCTGCATTGTAGCAGAGTATATCGTTCTTTGTTCCCTAAATATTTAATACAATCCCTGTCACTTGCATACTGATTTTAATCCCGTCTTCCAATTTGTTTTGCGGCTCTGGTTTCTGCTGTGGTTGATCGACACGCGACCCAAGATTTGTTTCAGGGGAGATCATTCCTTGGCTTTCTCTGATATCATAAATTCGCGATGGTTTTTGTACACACTATTTTACATATTCTTCTATCTTCGTATCCTTCCTGTGCTTGAATATGACACAATGATGCTTCCAATGTCGCCCGTGCCCTGCAAGGATATGACACAAGCCTCAAATGTCGGTGGACAATGTGACGCAACATGCAGGAGTCACTGGGCTTGGAAAATTAGGTATGATAAGATGGTTATTTCGAATCTGAGGAAGCTGGAGAAGCTGGTGAAGTCGGCAAAGCTGAAGATACCGGTCGAGTCTTCTCTAATTCCTCAATCTTGTCATCGATCAAGGCAATCTCAGCCTCGATGCTGAGGAGTTTCTCGCCCAGCATACCCCTGTACTCCTGATCAGAGAGGGTTCGCAACGGGATCCACTTGGAGTCAGCCATCCGTTGCATGAAAGGTTTCCTCGTGGAGTGGGCATTCTCCATTTGCCAGGCATCGACATTGTTGAAAATGCTTTGGCCGCAGTAGCCCACCAGCGAGAAGATAATGGCTCCCGGAACCAGCCGGCCTCCTGCACGCAGTTAGTATTCATGTCTCGATGTATGTCCACAATTCGGGATACGATACCCATTAGCTTGGTCACACCTCCCCCTGCAATACCACCGCATAGAGCGCTCGCATACTTGCGTTGTTGCGGTGAGGCTTGATCTTTATAGTGGTGCTTGATAATGTTGCTTCGTAAGACTGTATTCGGATCGAGGTCAGGAACCAGCAATCCATGTTGGCAGGTTTACATACACCAGAAGGATGATCCGCCTATAGACCAATGGATGCCACATGACAGGGAATGAATCATAGGATTGGGAGACCGTATCACTCCTGCAGCTCCTCCGTAGATAAGGCCCACAGCTCCTGTATCTCCATTTAGCATCTCGTTCCTTGTTACTGTTCGCTCTGCAGTGGGAAAAGATACTAACCACTAAGGGCTCCCACTTTGGCGGCAGACAAAAGGGAATTCGGCTGGACATCCACATCTTTGTTGGTCGAGTCCCCCATTTTGTATGCAAAGCTATTGATGCATAGATATCTCCGTTTTTTTGAGACACCCAGAAATTATGGAGGAGTATACCGTGGAATGAAGCCGCATCCAAATCAGAAACAACCAGGTCACCTGATGTCATTATGTAATACGCGCAGTCATCAATGTTTCCAACCTTGGAAGGTTGTTTGAACTGCAAATGATTCTAATGTACAAGGTCTTTTATTTAAAATGTTTCGCGTGTTGGATGTAGCTATCGATTTGATTTGGGAATTCAAAATGAAGTTATATCGATGTAGTGGACATAGATCTGGTACCTAGGTAGACGAAAGACCCGAAACATATCTACATTAGTGCTACTTGCACATGTTATCCACCCCCACACATAGTGTATACGATCGTTTACATGCCAACATTGTCAACCCCGAGGACCTTCGTTTCTGATTTTCTTTCAGCATGGGCTTCAAACCCATTCTTTTTATGAGGTCTCATTCCCATCTGAACACGGAATCTTTCCAAGGTTGATGATAGGCCCACGAAGCAAATCCCAGCCTTTGGAACTCAAGCCCACTGGAACAATGACTGTGGAAGGACCCTAAACCCCGAAAGCCACCTGAGCACCTCAAATATCTCCGGGGCCGAGGAGGCTATAGTAAACTTCTTGTTAGGACATAGATTGTCTCATTGCTGTAAGTGTCCACGGGGTGTATCTGGCGGCCATAGGTAAACCTTCCAAGGTTGATATCAACTTCCCTAGGGCCATCTGGACAAGGTGCTACCTTTGAAAAAGACCATCAGTCGTGCCCCATATGAGGCAACTTAGCTTCCATGGCCCTGTTCACGTGTATCCCTTTGAGCCTCCAAAGGATCTCATATCTAGCCTATCTGTAATTCGTACACGCGGCTCTAAGCGAATGAGACGTGGTTCAGGGCATAAACTTCAAACTAGGCCTGTCACATCCTTTCTCTGTAAGCATTTCTGCAGTAGGCCTTACCCACTACTTTTTTGACCGAGCGTCAACCCTATTAGGTTAAACAGTCCTGTATTTGTATGTCATCTTCTACTAAAGAGATATTTTTAGCCGAATGGCGGGGGTGTAATGTTTAGGGTGACAACCCACTAGGGCAAGTATTTAACCCTTTCTCGTAGACATTGCACCCCTAACAAGCAACCAAATAGGATTGAAATGGCGACCAAGCTCAGTGTACAAACAGGATGGACCTGAAGAAGAGAGGCTGTATAGACCGATCTCGCGGCTCTGATTGGGCTAGCGTCATCACTAAAAATTTAGTAACCCGTCCACTTCCATGCCGCAGCCGACTTCCCCTCTACCAACTTTTCCACTGTGGGTTTGCAGATATTGAACCCAACTACAACACTTCAAAATTTTACTGACCCTTGGACCTCTCACCAGGTTTCATTAATCTCCTTTTCTTTCCACAAAACCCTCTCTCGTGAGAAGCGCGCACAAATCCGTTGGCGCGTTCTCTTCCAACTACACCGCAATCATGGGTTCGTTCCAGACCTTTTTTCGATGGCTGGCATGGTCGACTTGTCCCGGGCGATCGCTGACTGAAATTTGTTGTATAGCTCCCAAAAACAAGGCTCAGAAGATGTCTATGAGCACCTTCTTGGCCGATGAAAGTGAGCGACCGGAAAATTTGGATGATAGAGGTGGTTACTGACAAATTTAGGCCTTGGCTCTTGGGCTGATGAGATGGAGGATATGCCTCTGCCTTGTATGTGACGTTCTCTCGCTATCAAAATTACGGAAATCGTGCTAACCTAATCTGTAGCCAGTATGCAGCACCCACGACGTTGATCGTAACGATAATACGTGAAACATTTGCTGACCACATCAATAGCCCAGCCCTTGTCTTCCACTTTCCAGCGTCGCCCTATGGGCGGCGAGACCAGCTACGGCGCTGGCCCTACCGGTGGTTTTGGTATGATAGTTTTCGTTCCTGACGCACAGGGCAACATCTGACGTACTATATTTAGAGCGCGAGCGTGGTGGATATGCCGTCCGAGAGCCCCTCGATCTTCCTACCCAGCCTCCCTACACCTGCCACGTCGGTAACCTTTCTTTCGAAGCCACCGAGGCCGATATCTCCGAGCTTTTCGCCGGATGTGGTGTCACAAACGTCCGTGTTGTGGAGGACAAGTTAACAAAGGCCCCCAAGGGTTTCGGATATGTTGAGTTTGAGACCGTCGATGGCCTCCAGAAGGCCCTGGATCTGTCCGGCTCTTCCCTTCAGGGACGGTCGATCCGCACCAGTGTCGCAGAGCCTCGTGAGTACCGGCCGAGCAGTGGGGGTTTTTTTATTCCAATTGGAAAAGCCCCAAGGAATCCTGAATGTTAACTAACATCACTACAGCCAAGGAGTCTCGCATGGAAGGAAAGGATCTGGACTGGTCTCGCCGTGGCCCTCTCCCCGAACTTCCCCAGAGCCGTGTGCCCGACCGTTCCACATTCGGACGTGGTATGGACCCCGCCATCGATGCGGGCGCTGATCGTGGTCCCCGCCGCAGCAACTTCGAGTCCGACGGAAAGCCACGTGACTTCAACAACTGGGAGCGCAAGGGTCCCCTTTCGCCCTCCGCCGGTGGTCCTCCCCGCGAGGGTGGTCGCCCTAGCAGCAACGACGGACCTGGCTCCAGCTTCCGCCGCAACGAGGCCGCATGGGGCGAGGGCCGATCCCAGGATGAGGGCTCCCGCCCTCCCCGCCCCGAGCACGTCCGCCCGGAGCCCACACCTACCGCCGCCGACATGGACAACCAGTGGCGCGCCCGCATGCGCCCCGATGACGCCCCCAAGGAGCAGCCCACCTCCCCCGCTTCTCCTTCGGCCACTCCCGCTGCCCCCGCTGCTCCCGCTAGCCGCCCCAAGTTGAACCTTACCAAGCGCACCGTTTCTGAGAACCCCACCACACCCACCTCAGGTGGTGACTCCAAGGCCAGCCCCTTCGGCGCCGCTCGCCCTATTGACACCGCCACTCGTGAGCGTCAAGTTGAGGAGCGCCGTCAACTTGCCATCCGCCAAAAGCAGGAGGCCGCCGACAAGGCCAAGGCCGAGAAGGCCGAGAAGCACGCCGAAAAGCAGAAGCAGCTCAAGGACGCTGCCCCTCCAGTGGACCACAACGGAAAGGACGTCCTCGAGACCCCCAAGGGTGGTGGTAACTTCGAGATCCTCCAGCGCGCTGGTGAGGATGGTGAAGTGATCGCCGAGAAGGAGACTGAGGAGACGGCGGCCGCGCCCGCTGAGGCACAGAAGGAGACCACCAACGGCACCTGGAGAACCCCGGCTCCCGAGGCCGGTGCCACTGGCGGTGACGACGAAGGCTGGAGCACGGTCAGCGTGGGCAAGCGCAACAACCGCCGTGGACAGACTGGTCGTGGATTCGCATAAACCTATCGATACCCCAACGCAACAGCTTCCGCCCGATCTGATGGGATCTTCAGTACGTGGAATGACCTAAAATTGGACGAGTGTCGACGGTGCTGGGCGAACCCACCTGATGAGACCGTCCCTCATAATTGTCATTCCTCTCTGCCATCTCCGGCGCGGACGCACGGTTGCTATTTCTGATTGAGCTTTATTCTCCCCCTTTCCACATCTCACCTTTTCGTCCGTTGGCTTCACGATCTCTTTTCCTTGTTTTTGTGGGCTAGATTTCCCGATACACATCTAGTCCTCGCTTCGATGATCTGGCAGTAAAAGTTTCATTTTATGTCTTGTTTCGCTATCTAGCTATTATTCCCATGCGTGACTCGTGTGATCTGCCCATGACCATTACAGCCGATGCGAAACGAATACTACATGCTTCATTCTTGTTGACCATTTTCTCTTGTTCTTCTTTTTTTTTCCTGTTTCGATTGACCACGGGTGGTCCTGTTTCTTTCTCGTCCCTGTCTGCTGTGTCGGACTGGGAATGGAGGTTTCTTCTCCTTTTCTGGTCCGTTCTCGGCCACGTGAACAAGATGCACGACTTTTGCGAGAGACGAGATATATGAGCACCCTCATGAGCAACACGTTGGCGATCAATCTTGTGCTTTTTCTCTCTGCTCGATCTCCTCTCTACCCGACTGCTTTGATTCCTTTCTCTGGGTTAAGCGGTATGAGTTTTCTTGACCATGCAGACTCCATTTCTGTTTGCCTACCCTTGAGTTGAAGAGCTACTTAGCATAGAATGAAATGCAGTCTACATTGACGGTGGATAAAAAAATTTATACGGCGCAGTACGTACCTCTCCGACCCTGGTTGCATCGAATTGTAGTCGATCTGTTTCAGATAGACGGTTACAATAGATTTAAGTGTTATACTCCGTATGGAGTGCGAGGCATGGAATAGTACGGGATAACCACAGCGCACTTTGAATATTGAATAAGAATTAGCGAGTATAAGACCACGTTTCGCTTAAAATAGCCCAAGCAATAGTTCTGTCTAGATCTGAGACACAAAGGAATAGTTCGCGGCGAACAGCGAAGCAAGGGGTGTATTTATAGACCCACTCAACTTATAGCGCAACGTCCGACATACGGGGTGCAGCGTGACAGGAGATGTGTATCACGTCCAGATCGGCCTGGATATTCATGATGGAGAGGTGTATAGACAAGCAAGTCAGCAAGAATGTACTCAGTATACTGGCATACTTTATAGTAGATGTGAAGAATGAGATCATCCAGGAACCACTGTTATGCGATTGGCCAAGAAATAGAGTGGCCGGTATGGAATTAATTGAAACCCCTTCAAAGGATACAGCCCTGGAGGTTTCAAGACTTGACTTCACTCTTATAACCCCGTTCAGGGTGACTTCTCTTTTTTGATCCTTTGATCCTATTTCCTCCGTACATATAGGTACCCTTGTACTCCCGACGTTCATCACACTCGAAACTCTGTCAAATCCCGGGGTAAGCCCCCAGTCATGTCGGCTACAGCTACGGCTACTTCCACGTTCACGACCACCACACTTGTTGGATCCCCGGATATGAAGGGCGTCACTTTATCAGAGAAACAATGTCCCATGTGCTGGGGTGAAGGCTTGCAAAGCGAGTCGGGCGCCCATGATAGAATCCAGGAGTTGGAGGGGCAGGTGCATGCGTTGACAGCGCGCGCTTCCGTTACAGGTGAGTGACACAGAAGTCCACGATGCGCTTCTCTCCTTTGCTTCTCGCTCTGTACCTGCATCTTTCTCTTTCCCCAACACACCCCTCCAAAGAGTTTTACCCCAGCCAAGAAACCACCAAACTGACAACGACCGCAACCCCACAGCCGTCAAACTCAACGAATACGAAGAGGAAGTACGACGTCTACGCTCCTCCCAATCTCAAGTAACCTACGATACACCAAGATCCTCACTGGGCGGACCACCGCCCTCCTCACAAGATCAGTCCCAGGCCCCCATCGAGCGCCCGACCTCCTCAGAATCCCAACCCCAACCCCAAACCTATCACAGTCGCCTCACGACACTCGCATCTCTCATCCCATACCGGCGCAGCAGCACAACTCCCGCCAGCGCCCCCTCAACATCCAGCGGACCCCCTCCACTCCCAGCAACGCCAACAAACCCACTTCTACGAATGCACTCCTCACCAGCGAGCAGCGACAATGCCGAGCTCCAAGATGCATTGGAGCGCGAACAGGGCCTGCGCAAGGCAGCTGAGACACAGCTGTCACAGGCCAGTTCGGAGCTGGAGGAGTTGACCGTGCAGCTCTTCAGCCAGGCGAACGAGATGGTTGCGCAAGAGCGGAAGGCGCGCGCGAAGCTCGAGGAGAGGGTCGCTGTGCTTGAGAGGAGGGATGTTGAGAAACGGGGGAGGCTCGAGAGGTTGGAGAAGGCTATAGCGCGTATAGAGCGCCTCAAAGCATTGGTTAATCAATAATGCGTGCTGGGGGAGCTTTCCAATCTGGCTTGCGGAATCTGTGACGCTTGTCGGGCTGGGTCTTTGCTCTTTTCTTGTTTCATGACTGACACGACTGGACTTGTTTGACGATGGAAATGACGGCGTCTTTTGTTTTGGGATCGCGTGGGATACCTCACCAGTTTAATGTTTTCTGGGCGCATTTGACCTTGGGCGTTCCGTGCACTATGTTATCCTTCGCATATTTAATTTGATGAATTGGTCAGTTGTCAGTGCTGGGTCGACGTAGTTTCGTCTTGCGTTTCGTAAGATCAGGATGCGAGCACATCACTTCTATTGACCAGATGAGCCACGGAGTGGAGAGCTGTAGGAAATCAGATCCGGTATGGATTCTAGCGAATGACGTGCGTTGAGGTTGGACCTTCCCGCCATATTGGCCCACCCCCCACTTCTTATAAGTCTGGAGTAGAGGAACTTCCCATGGTTGTACTTGACATTCTCTTTTCTCTCCTTTCTATAGTCTCAATCCCTTTTCATACAAAATGGCTATCGGCGTAGCACTCATTGGAAGCGGTACGTTCTTGATTGATTTTCAAGGTCGATGTGAGACCAAGACTAACTGCAACTATAGGCCTTTTCGCAAAGGAGCAGCACCTGGTATGAAACCACTGGAACAATCTTGGAACCCAACTACCTATACTAAAACTTTTTGGCATCTAGCCAGCTGTTCAAGCTGCAGCAAACTTCGAGCTCAAGGCCATCTATTCTCGATCATTGAAGTCAGCCCAGGATCTTGCCAGCGCCACATCCGGAGTTGATCTCTACTCCGAAGACTCCGGCTCCGGCAAGTCTTATGCTGATATCCTGGCTCGCTCAGACATTGGTGCTGTGATTATTGCGTACGTACTGGTTTTTCATCTGGACATGTTAGCGGGGAGCTCGAAACTCAACTAACTTGAATGACAGCCTCCCCATCCTGGTTCAGCCCGAGTTCATCAAGAAGGCTCTCACCGCAGGCAAACACGTTCTATCCGAAAAGCCCATTGCCAAGGATGTCGCCACTGCACAGGAGCTCTTGAAGTGGTACAAGAGCAGCATTGACTCGAGCAAGATCTTCTGGGTCGTTGGCGAGAACTTCCGCTACTTGACAAAGTTTATCTTTGCGGCAGAGCAGGTCTCGAAGCTAGGAAAAGTAAAGAACTTCCGTGTGAATGTTCACAGCCTGATGAACGCCGAGAACAAATATTTCGGTATGTACCAAAGGAGCCGCGGTCAAACGAGAGGATAAGTTACTGACTATATTTCCAATAGCAACTGCCTGGCGCAAGACACCCGAGTACCAGGGTGGCTTCCTCTTGGACGGCGGCGTGCATATGACAGCCGGCCTGCGACTTATTCTGGGATCAGAGCGTCTCAGCATTCTGTCCGCCCAGTCGCAGCTGCAGCAGGAGTTCCTGCCACCGGTTGATACCGTCGATGCTGTTCTCAAGACCGAGTCGGGTGCCACCGGTGTTCTTTCCCTGTCGTGGGGATCATCTTTCAGTGACCAGATCTTCGAGTTTTCTTGCGAGAAGGGTGTCGTTACATTGAATGCTGATGACGTGACGGTCAACGGCACCAAGCATCACATTGAGTTCGATGGCAGGGGTGTTGCGCCAGAGGTCGCTGAATTCGCAGACTCGATTGTCAAGGGAACTGCCTCTAGTAGACAGTCGCCTGAAGAGGCGCTGGCGGATCTTGAGATTTTGGAGCAGATGCTGCGGAGTGGCGAAAAGGATGGCGAGAAGGTTCAACTGCACTTGCAATAAGATGTAAATATGCCCATATGGGAATCTTCATGAACAGGCTCTAAATATGACCTAAAAGTAACTGGAATATGTGCGCAAGGTGTTACTTGCTTCGTAAAGAAAACAAGAGGACCGCATAAAACTCGTGTCATGCCCTAGGTTCGAGTGCAAATTGGCAATCATAGCTAGAAGACGGGTAATTGGTATATTGAGGCTGACTTGACTTGACAATTGTGAGGCTTTGTTGTAGTACGAGGTGTCATAGAGAATTGGAAGTATGGTTGTATAGATGAGGACAGGCCATGATTGGCTGTATTTAGAAAGGGAGCTAACCACATTGGGGCAATTGGTAGGGCCAGAGAATTCGCCAACCCTACGCGGGTGCTGACATAATGCTTCGCTTAGATCGCCCAAAGCGCACTAGTGTGGGTCTCCCACTCTGCGGCGGGAGAACCTGATGAAAGAAGTTTTCGAGATTGAACTCCGACTCGACAACTCTCGAACGCCCGGCGAGACCCAGCAACACCGACAAGGTGAGTTTTGATGCGCACCCTCTACATCTGGAGTGTTAACTAATGTTGTTTTTAGATGGTCGCCGCTAAGCAGCACATTCCTATCGTTAAGAAGCGTATGTTCCCGATTCCCACTCCCTTTCCGCACCCAGGATCCCATCGCCTTTCGACCGTCGACGAAGTGAAAAAGAAATCAAGAAACAACACAAGACATTGCTAGTTGAAGGATTACTGTTGGGGCAAATCGACAATTGCGAAGGGCGATGGAATTTACGGCCACGGAAACCGAGGCGACACAGATTCAAGGATTGGAGGACTGACTTCGACTGCTATAGGTACCAACCGCTTCAAGCGTCACCAGTCTGACCGCTTTATGCGCGTTGGTGAGTCGTGGCGCAAGCCCAAGGGTATCGATAATGCCGTCCGTCGCCGCTTCAAGGGACAGATGGCCATGCCCTCCATCGGTTACGGTTCCAACAAGAAGACCCGCCACATGATGCCCTCCGGCCACAAGGCTTTCCTCGTCCACAACACCAAGGACGTCGAGCTCCTCCTCATGCACAACCGCACCTTCGCTGCTGAGTACGTTTCCACCCACGGCATTTCACATTCGAGAGATGCCCAATGCGATCGATCTACGTTCCGTTCAGTCCACTAACCAGTCCACTATAGGATCGGTCACGCCGTCTCTTCCCGCAAGCGTGTCGAGATCGTCGAGAAGGCCAAGGCTCTCGGTGTCAAGGTTACCAACCCCAAGGGCCGTGTCACCACCGAGGCATAAATGGAATAAACCCAAAAAGTTTGTTTCTTTCTTTTTTGTCTGGTGCACGAGGTCGGGGTTTTTGTATGGTGATACCATCTCTCTGGCGATTACGAAATATAAGGATTGTCCCGAGGTCCATGGCATGTCCGGCTCGGGCTTGGTCATAGTGCCGGGCGCTTCACAGCGAGAGAACTGTTCTCTGAAATGACAACAAAAATTGCAAAAATCCCTTTTTTTCAGGTTCACATACGACGATGGAGTTTAAGCGCGGATTTTGATCTGAACTGAATTCCGTACATAAACATCTCGTACTGTAGACATTGAACCGTAACCCTAAACTGGCTCTCTCTTGGCTGCCCAGGCGCCTACGAATTACGGAGCACGAGTATCAAAATGAAACCTCAGCGGCGAAGCATACGAATCACTATGCACACGTTTCAGAATCAGACCCACTAGTGTAGACCAGTATACTGTAGCGATGCAGGTTCTCTGGTCGCACGGCTTGGAGACGATCCAAGAGCACAATACTCCGAACACGACCCGATTTGTCCCAGGTGTCTCAGTCCCGATGACAGGGACCCTAACGCATCATTACTCGGTCGAGGATAGTGGTGCCACACTAGCTGGTTTCCTGGTGGATGTCAGCCTCTCAGGGACTCGCATCAGCCCCCACGTCTATGACTTTAAGACTTGGGACCCCTCCTGAAGATCGTACTTGTTTACCAGTCTCTCCAGCTGGATATGGAGACACATATATGATTTCACTTTTTCCTCCAATCCTCCTCATTACATATCCCCAAAGATTTCCTTATATACCCGGGCTCATACTCAAATGCCTCTCCCAGCCCGTTATGGCCGCTGGGGGCCTATCTTGGCTTTGGTGATCTTGACACTGCTGATCATCCATTTCCTGAAAGCCGACTTCGGGAGCAAAACCACGCAGGACGTGATTGAGCCCGCCCCAGGACTGACGATCGAGAACAATCAAACCGACCCGAGAACTGGCCATGTCCCATCATCGTGTCCGTCGCTCCCGGGAATAGATGACGTCCTCGTAGTGATCAAAACCGGCATCACCGAAGCGCAAGACAAGGTTCCCGTGCACCTCCGCACCACCCTCCGCTGCATCCCGCACAAGATCATAGTCTCCGATTTCGAAGAAGACATCGCCAACGTGCGCACCTACGACGTCTTCCGCAATGTCTCCGAAACCCTCAGGCAAAACAAAGACTTCTCGCTGTACAATCGCGCCCGTGAAGGCGGTCGCGCAGCACTGACCGACCAAGACCACACGAAAGTCGCCAACGGCCCAATGGGAATGATGGACAATCCAGGCTGGAAGCTTGACAAGTGGAAATTCCTACCGATGATCCACACAGCGCGCCACGCCCAGCCAGACGCCAAATGGTTCGTCTTCCTCGAAGCGGACACATACCCGATCTGGCCGAATCTCCTCGGCTGGCTGAGCCACTTCAATTCCGAAGATCGCCTCTATCTCGGGAACCAGATGCAGATCGGGTCGAATTTGTTTGCGCATGGCGGGTCCGGGTTCGTGTTGTCGCACGCGGCTATTCACACCGTCGCCGATTTCCATACTCGCCATGTTGATGAGTGGGATAAGATTACCGATAGGGAATGGGCAGGCGATTGTGTGCTCGGTATGGCGCTGGCGCTGGCGGGTATCCAGCTCACCTGGTCCTGGCCTCATGTCACGACGCAATCGGTCTGGGAGCAAGATATGCTCCACGAGGCCTTTCAAAAGCAGCCTTGGTGCTATGCGCCATTCACGTTCCACCACATGACGCCTGCGGATGTTGATAGGTTCTATCAATTCGAGCAGCAATGGTTTGCAGAGGTGAGTTGATTGAAGAGCGTCATGTCTGGCTGTTTGCTAACATCCTTGTGTAGACGAACTCGTCTGTGTTGACGTATAGTGACGTCTTCCGAAATCTCATTCGTCCTACGCTCGCGGACCATTTGGATAACTGGGATAACTTCGCCAGCGCTGGTGATGATAAGGAAGATTACAAGGGTCCCAAGACACCTGCTACCCTTGCTGCTTGCGCGGATTACTGTGCCGCGGACCCGGAGTGTGTTCAGTACCGTCTCACTGCGGACTCGCGCTGTACGACCTCGCAAGCGGTCCTACGCGGTAAGCCCCAGCCGGGTACACAGTCGGGGACGATGCTGTGGCGAGTTGATGCTGCCGTTCAGCGGATGGAGCAGTGTGAGAAGGTGACATGGGTGACCGCGTGAATTTTGGTGAATTTTGGAAAGTTTTCATTGGCGTTTAGCGTGTAAATCTCGGGCTCCGGTAGCATTGCGGGTTTGAAATATTCGGCGTACATAACATTGAAGGGCAGATGTATATTCTATAGCAGTGGGAGCAATAGATCTGGTCCGGCTGGTTGAGTGGACCTGAATGTCTGCTGGCAGCCTTCACGGCCTATTTCGGTTTCCAGGCTTTTAAGGTGTTTCTCAATTTGCCCATTGCGAGGGGTTTTCAGGGGTTGAGATGACTCCTGTCGAGTAAAGCCAGGAGGACATTGAGGTGAAGAAGCTAGGGCTGTGGGGTTCATTACGTAGTGCGAACACCGCGGGCCAGTCCTCCCTCAGACCCTGCCCTTTTGTATCCTCCACCGATCAGAATGCCTACCTACGTCGTGAGTAGCCTCCATCTTCGAATATAAATGCACATGACTTACTTTAGTCTCGACTGAAAGGTCCAGTGCCATGAGCACTGTACCCCCGAGCAAGTCGAGGAGTATGCACCACATCCGCCGTCAGACTATCGCAAACTAAAATTTCAATTAGGACCATGGATGATGTCCAAGCAGAGGGAGGCATAATAACGCGTGACTTTATAGCGATTAAAGCCTTTTGGTAAGGCAGGTCCTATGGTTCTCTCATGTCCTCACTAATATTTGTGTTCTTCAAAGGTTCGAGTCCAAGCAGGATCTTTCGCTGTTTTTGGAGTCACATCAGTATACAAAACTGATTGAGGAAGCTTCTAGTGATTAGGTGGAATTGGCGATTTAATGTAAATGCATCCATCGATGATTGTCTACGTACAGAATACACCAAGGCTGGTTCCTTGAAGATTGGTCTTCATGTAGAAAGAAGAGGTTCGCGCTCAGCGTGTCATGGTAATTTTGAACATCAAATCTATTCTAGAGGATAAGAAATCAAGTCGCTATGCCCCTGAAGTCTTCTAACCAGAAAACTCTCCGTGATCAAGTCATAAGGTGGTATCATGCAGACAATAACAGAGACGGACACCCAAGTAAAATGATATAGACCAAAAGGTATTTGCAAGAAAAGGAATTCCAGATATCATATTTAGTTCGGAGCCGCAGCAGCGGCAGCCTCATTTGAAGCACCGTTCGCCATCTTAGCAGCATCCGAAATATTGACAAGACCAACACCCTCCAGCAACACAGAACCAGTCTGTGCATCTGCAGCATGATCCTCGTCACCCAAGCCAGGAGGAATAGTCCCGTTTCCAATGACGTGTTCTTCGCCTTCGGCAGCAGGAACCCAGTCTGGTACTTCACGGGGTCCTTCCAAGCCCGGTGGAGGCAAACCCCAATGAGGCATGGGACTACGGTAAGCCCAGTCACCATCACGATCGGCGTACGCGACAGCATGCAAGAAGATACCGAGCTCATGGACACCCGGGTCGGAGTAGAGTTCGGTGCCACAGACGTCGCAGAATATCCCGGACAGCTTTTCGCCCTTGCGCTTCTCGTAGCTTTCGGCTGCGGCCATCTGTTCCCGGTGCATGATCTCATTGACAAGGACTGGGTCCGTGCCTGCGGGCACATTTGGTGCCGCAGTCAGGTGTGTACGGTAAGAAACTGTATCGGGGATCTCGGTCTTGCCCATAAGTGATAGCCGCGCGACAATCTCTTCGTCGCGGTCCGCGCTCGCTTCGGCTTTGCCGAGCTCTGGCCCGAAGACACGGCGATTGGAGTAGATTGGGTCGTTGCTGATGGGGTGGCCCAGGAATTGAAGGTGAACACGGATTTGGTGTGTACGACCAGTCAACGGGAAGCAGTGCACAATACTATATCCCTCGTCTTCATTGTGGAGTGTCAGAGGCGGGGTGGCAGGGCGACCATCATGTCCATCGGTATTGGGCTCGTATTTTTCCGGTGGGTAGTAAGCCAGACGGCGGAATTTCGTAGTTGCCTCTTTTCCAGTGGCGCGCACACGGTTCAAGCCCAACTTCGGGCTAACCTGCATGATGGGCTGGTCGCAGACAATCACACCGTCCGGGAACTTGCCCTTGACACGCGCCACATACTCCTTCTGCACGGTGCGCGACTTTAGCGCCGTAGCCATTTTCTCTGCTCCCTTGGCGTGTTTTCCAATAAACATGATTCCGGAGGTCAATCGGTCGAGTCGGTTACACGGGCGAGGGAGCCATTCAGAACCGCGCTCGGAGCGCAGAATTTCAATGACCGAGTTGAAGTGGTAACGGCCTGCAGCGTGTACAGGTACACCAGCGGGCTTATCAATGACGATGAGGTCATCATCCTCGAAGATGATTCCCACCGGTAGGCTTGTAACAGGCGGTTCGTGGCGGTGGAGGGTATGAGAGATGACTTGGCCGTTCTTGATCACTGTGTCGGGGTAGGCCCGCACGCCGTTGACCTGCACGAGGCCGTTTTCAAGGGCGCTTCTCTAGTTGGGAATTAGCCTGACATTTGCGCATCATCAGCCCAGCAAACTTACATAGTATTCAGGTTTGCGATCTCGAAACTCGGAAGTGAAGATTTCAACCAATTGGCGGCCCCTCCATCGCTCCTTGCAGTTGGTGTTATATGTGTAGTGATAGGGCTTAACGCGACGGAAGCCATCTTCCAGGTAGTATGGGGCGGGCCACGGATCGCAGGGGGTTACAAGAACCTCCGCGGTCTTTTCCTCTGGCTTGGTGGGGGGGACTTGATCGACGTTCATGAGGGCCATGGTGGGCTTTGGGGGAAGTTTCAGCTTTCCTCGCCGGAGCAAGTATGCTGTAATTCGGGGCGAAGGAGCCAGGGAGACGACAGGAGCGATAAATATATAGTAAAGACAGAGTTGTGTCACGGCGAAGTTGAGCCCTGGAGAAAATTAAATAAAAGTAAAATAAAATAAAATAAGGATCTTATCGAAATGCTGACTACAATCAAGTGACCAATCGGGTTCCTTGCGACACCCGTGGGCATCTACTCCGGTTGCTCAGGTCCAGAACTTCCCATACTTGGTCTTATCCTATAAGGTGTACTCCATTAGGGATCTGGTTCCTGACAGCCAATGTCGAATGTTGACTCCAGCGACAAACATGACATCAGCAAGCGACTCCTAACCGTCTCCTCGCGCCCGACCTCACATGCAGTCCTGTGGTCTTCTCCCTTCTGTTTATGGAATCTTATCAAACAACCGTGACAGTGTTTGCCCAGCGAGGCTTGAAATATCCAATGATGACACCGACATCTAACAAAACTTCGATCATATCCACCCTTCTTGCTTCCACCACATCACGATTGATAGCGAGGGGGGTTTCCCCATCACTGAACTCTCAAATGAGTCTACCATGCGTTATGCTATGCGGAGGAGATATTGCTTTGTGATCAACGGTATTGAGGTTTGCTGCGCAAGTCACCAGACTTGAAACGCCATTTCTTCGACTGAAAGTTTGAGTCATGAGATAAAGTGTGTGGAATGATAGAACTTTCTCTCTTTTCCCACACACTGCTGCCGACCACATCTTTTTTTTTTTTTTTCTTCCACACACTACACTCTTTTAAGAACGCGTTTAACACCATACGGAGGTGACTGTACCCAAGGTCTTGTCTTCTCATGTGAGTTAACTAGCTGACAAACGGTCTCCTCTTACTAGTGAACAAATCCTGGCTATCCAAAAGGGCATGGAAATTCTCCCTCCCAGCCCATCGGTTCGCCGAATTGCCACGGATATACGGAGTACGCAATGGCCTTCAACATGTCCGACTAACAGGGGATCTTACCGCGCGCTGCTCATTCTGTCCCAAGCACTGCCCAGTGTGTCATGGCATTACCCAATCCACCCAGGTATTGGGCTTCCTCGGCATGAATCACCACAGCGTGCAGAGCAGCTGTACTCAGCTGCAATCTAAGTCTCTTGTCCAAGAGCGAACTTCCAACCTTGAAGCAGCCTAGGCGCAGCTTGTGGGAACAGTGAACGTGACTGAATGCACCTCACACGAGTCCGAGAGAAGGCCGACTGTTGACATCAACAATGTTAATATTGACCACTTCTGTCTTTGTCGTGGAAGGCAGGATAGGGATAGAGGTCAGGGTACACTGCCTACACTTGCTCTATGGAATTGAAAACGAGGATTTTATTCCAAGGTTAGGAAAAGAGAAGAAAGGGCCTTTTCCGAGGACGCGATTATTGCCACTGTGTTATTTACATGCTTCCTTACTAGAATAGCATGGATGCAATCAAGATTGTGGGTGGATCTCTGATTCCATGGTTCATATCTTGCTCCGTATAGAAAATACATATGCACTGTAGTTTGCGGAAGATCAAGATTCAGAAACTATGCAGATGTCTGAGTGGGCCATCTCTGTATTGTAAACATTTAGTGACATCATATTCCGGACACTAGAATGATGATGAATTGATCGGACATAGATCGGAAAAGGTACCAGTTGAGCTAGCAACAAATAAGCTTGAGATCCATCCACGGATTCATCATCCGTCCAAAAATCCATGGATGAATCTGATGAGAAAACAACGAACCGCCACTGATTGGGGAATGTAGTACGTCACCCTTCGTCACCCTATATCACTGGACATGTCGCCTCGTGCTCCGTACTTTCTATCAACCTGAGAAATACTATTCAATTCAATTGACCTCTACACAAGAAACGATCGTGTACCACTTCAGATAATTGATCACCATCATAACCCGAGGACTCTTTTACACCAGACTACCTTCATCAATATGTAGGCACTCGACCCATATGAGATACGACAGCAGCTGACACCAAGTTAGGGGTCGCCTCCCTGCGGTCATGAGCATATTTGGAGTCGTGGGTGGAACCTATTTGACATTCACGCTGCTATCCCCAAACAAGGATGGCTCAGTCGTTTCAGACGAAGATCGTCAGAATACTAGGGGAGGTTCCAACGGCACTCCATTCGGCACAAAGACTGCAAGACCACCAAGAACCACTGCTGGAACAGACTTTGCGGGCAAGGGATGATTTCGGCGGCGCCGGAATGATGTGTATGAACAATTCAGCCTGATTTTCATGCGATCGTCTTAGCAGAAAGCAGCCTCTCAATATCTATACCAACTTGGACCATACCATTCCGTATTCTCTCTCAAAACCCACAAGATGTCCAGGTCATTCGAAATCACCCCCTTCCATCTGGAGAGGCGTAAGAAGTAATGTAAGCCTCTGTGTGCTCGGATCTAGTAAGTCCCAGAAGCCTCATGATAATTGGTCACTCCACCACTACCGCCCAAAGCCCGAGCTCAATAAACATCCGCTCAAGGTAATATGGCGCAAGCAAACAGCCAGAGTATGAAGAGTGACAGACAGGGTAGGCTGACCCTTGCGAATATTTGTGTCCGCCGAATGCAAGCTTTTCTAACAAGCACGGGTTTGCTTGGCATTTCACTGTAACTTTGGGACTGTGTTTCGAGAAAAACGACTTTCTGGCCTTTCAAAATTCGAACTCGGGGAGCAACACAACCAGGACCTGGAGACCTGTTCCAAAGATCACCATGACGTACCGCTCTTGACCGTCAACAATATTGCAGGCAGTTGAGAGCGGTGTGACAGGGAACCTAATCTTATCGCCGAGATGCCGAGGTCCATCAGCCGAAGCGCGGAGAGCACTCTTCTCCTTACGTTCCCCTCTAGCGATCAAAACATTACATACCAACACCAATATGGCTACTCCAGAGACACTGGCCAAAAAGCAGCGCAGGCGCAGTGATTATGGCTTCCACCAAGTACACCAAACCAGATGGTAAGTGGAACCCAAGTGCACGCAGCCAAATTACTGACAACCGTTCCAGGTTCGACAATGACATGTACGCCCACCTGAACAATGCCGTTTACACACACCTCTTTGATACAATTGCAAACACATACCTCATCAAAGTATGCGGCATGGACCCCTTCAGTGTGAACAACCCAACACCCTCTTCTCCATCGGACCCCCAACCCGCCAATGTCGCCTCGCCCTCAAACATACAAGCAGGTGCAGATCAAATTGGTTTGATTGTGTCCACCCATGCCGACTTTTTTGCCTCTGTACGATTCCCCGATTTATTGGAAGTTGGGTTACGCGTCAACAAACTGAGCAAGTCGAGCGTGACGTGGGAGGTGGGTATCTTCCGAGAGGGCCAAGAGGATGTCAAGATGGTTGGCACCTATACACATGTCTTTGTGTTGAGAGAGACTATGCGCGTTGGGAAGACTGGAATGGAGGAGAGGGTTCGGGATGGCTTGCAGAAGTTGCTTGTCAAGGAGAAGGCCAAGTTGTAAGATGGAAATGGTGACTGCTGTTGATGAGAAAACTATCAAGTTTGAGATAAATAGTAGATGATTTCAAGTACGTAGATATCCATGACTTGATTATTCTATCTGTGACTGTATTGTGCTATTTTCAGCCTTTGGGGCGATATGTTACTCCCAGTGGACATTGCAAGCCATGAGTGATGGGATACAACACACAAAGCTACACTGGCGTATCGTGTTCTTGTTGTTAAATCGAGGATCGCGAAAGAAAGTTATCTTGAGCTTCAAGGGCTATGTATGCCAGGTGACTGAAACCAAGCAGTCAACCTTGGAAGTATCCCAGAATCTATGATCCAGATATTCAAAACGAGCACAAAAAAAAAAGGTAACAAATTCAGCTGGACATCGGGACTAGGACTCGAACCCAGTACTTCGGGAAGGAAACTGACCCAACAGATGGAGAGGATTGGGCCCTTTGGGGATTAAGCTGGCGCGAAATCAGGACATGCGACACCTCACCCAGCTGGTATTTGTTATGCCTGGGAGCCCTTATTTGGTCTTTTGACTGACACTTGATCCACCAAAACCTCGGTATATTGGGCTCTGGCAATCCCATCAATCTTTCCAAGGTCCAAGGTTGATACACATCGAGCCCATCAGGCCTCTGTGATTGGCCAAGTCGGTTAAGTACCCCCACTTCCCCGGATCTCCTCGCGTGGGGAAACCCGTCCCGCAATTTCACCTCAACATGGACCCAGCATCTACCCTACCTACTATAGAACTTCAAGCTCCAATGACTCAAGCGACAAAGAAGAAGCGAATCCGAAACTGGACGGCCGAGGACCGAGCCCTCCACCGTGAGTTCGAAAAGTCGCGCCGCGAAGCCTTCAGTGAAAGCCTCATGGTCGGTGTCTTAGAACCCTTCGCTAGCGTGGCTCAACCTATTAACAACTCTTAGGAATTGACAAAAATTATTCCGGCGCTTCAAGTGGAGCCACGCCCTTCGAAACATGTTATACTGGACGCGAGCATTGCCTACCACCAGGCTCAACATGCAAAGTGTGTTCGCATAAGCCAAGCCTTCGAGTCTATGGTAGCAGAGCGCGATGATCTATTGCAAGAGATAAATGTGCTCCGAGCTCTTTGTCATCCGGGTACATATGCGCCGCGTCAGGCTAGACCAATAGACTCCGCTGTGCTAGGCATGTTAGCGGAGGATAAGCTTTCAACTGCTGATCCGACAAATGAGCACGAGTCTATCCAAAGCCCCACGGAGGCTCCCAGTCAAGCTATTGGGACATCCTTGCCAGGCTCTCAGCAGACTGCAAGTCTATTGGCTGTGCCACAAGGAACGCTTCTGGATACTACACAACCGAACCCGGCCAGGTTAGCAAATGCACATAATCCCATCACTTTGCCCGAGTGGAGCTGGAAAGAGCCGAGAAATATTCTGCAGCAAACCGCTTTCTCCCCAAGTGCCATAAATGAAGCCGCGCTTTCATGGAACCGCCCCCCAACTGCCACACCACCACGAGATGTCGGGCATGAGTTTGATGTTGACCATCTATATCCTATTGATGTTTCAGCCCAATTTTGGACACAGCATTCAAGCAGCTTACAAGTGACGCCTCCTGGCGACAATGTGGCATTCGCGAACCTGGATGTCTCTGCTCTGTTACATCCATACCCTTCTGTGATGAGTATTTTCCCACCAGAGGAAGAAAATCTTGACACTTATGGAAGCCCAAATCTGGAAATTTCATTCAATCCAAACACTGAACAACTGTCTATACCAATGGGAAACATGGTCGGAGACGGCACCAACAATCCACCTTCGACAATGTGCCCAACAAATTGAGATGTCTACCGAGCCCAAGACCTAGACAAGCTTCATCGCCTCCTCGATCTTAGCCTGGCTCCTCTTCTCCGCCGCGACAAACAGCGAAAGGGCTTCACGCAACCGCTGCTTAGTGACACCATCTGCCTCATTCGCCTTGTCCAGCTCAGCCCCTTCGTTCGCGAGATAGTCGATGTCTGTCCTTGCTAGCTGACCATCCCAGCCTTCGTTCGCGAGAGCGTCAAGCTTAGCAATTTTGGCAAGGCGGGTGGGTGTCGGCAAGGCGTTCAAGTAGGGATGGTCTGGTTTGGGCACACCTTCGCCAGGCTGCTTAGATCCATCGTATGGGAGGTTCGCGAGCTCGGTGAGCACCATGTGAGAGATGGTGGCCGAGTGACATCCTATCTCGCCAGCAGCCATTGCCTCCTGTGGGGAGATGAAGCTGGAATACCACCGTCAGCTGTTTTCCTACACTCTGCGGGATATGAGTTAGTCGACCGTTAAACCTACCTTGCATTCTTGAGGTAAGGCTGCTCCTTGCCAGTCTCTTTGTACAGACGCTTGTATGTCTCGAGAATTTGCACGAGGCGTGAAGACATCGGGTGCAAAGTTGCCGGGTCATCGGACTGAGGCCAAAGCTCTCTCTCGTCGTGAGCCCGAACCTCTGCAGTGATGTTAGTCTCCTGCTACCCGCACTCGAAGCTCAGGAGTCAGGACTCACCATTGTAGTATGGGCTGACGTATAAGCATCCTCCCTGGCTAGCAGCAATTGCCTGGTGTACACTGAACAGCGTCGTGCCCAATGTCCGAATACCCTCCTCGAGCAAGATTGGGCAGGTACTGAGCGCTGGGCCCGTGCTGGGAATCTTGATGCAGAATCGATCCTTGGAAACGCCCACGCTTTCAAACTCACGTGCATAGTGACGAGCGTGCTCTAGGGTCTTCTCGTGATTGTAAGCGTTTGATGGGAGAGTCTGGAGCAAGACTCGGCCTTGAATGTTGTCGATATTGGCCTTGGACATCAGGACCGCCTGAGATGATGTTCTGTTAGCTTCGGCTATTGTTCCTGTTCTAATTGCCATCATACCATGCGTGTGTAAATTGCAAGCCAGCCCTTATCCTTGTACTCCTTGACGACGCTCTTGAAGAGCTCTTCGTTGACGGGATTGCACATTTGCTCGTGGACCCATCCTTGGTTGCTTGTCATGTCATGGGGGACAATGGGCATACTCAGAGTGTATGCCGGGTCCATCCAGTCGACATCAATGTTTACTAGATCGAATTAGTCTTCTGGGCTTTGACCGGGGAAACGTTTCTTACGCTGCTCAGAGAGCTTGTCGAGCCATGTCTGTGTGCCGGCACTGCCCATTTCGAGGTTTTGAATTTTGTCTTGGTCTGTTTTTAGTTGTGCAGAGGTAGACAGTGAAATAACTCAGAAATGATATTTAATCGTCGTATACCATCGAGCTGAGAGTACTGTGGTTATATAGCCATGCCGCCAAACCAGCGTCATCGCAGAACTCCTCGACCGAACCCCACAGACCGACGCGGACATCTCTCGAAATGAATGTACATCACACTGGACACACGCAGGGCAGACAGTTCCGACGTTTCTCCGACAAAAAGCACAGCCGTTGATACGCCGAAAAGAGATCCAGGCGCATCACAGGGTGGTGCACACGCAGGGCATTGTACGAAACGACAGGAGGGGAACCTCTCGGCATGCAGAATAAGATTTCCACATCGCTGGTTTGACAGCACACTGGAATGGTCGCACACAGGGCGTCGGGGTAAAAGCCGATGGCACACGCAGGGCATTCGACCGGACGCGAGGGGGCGATGCCAAGGGGATCGGGATTGGCCCGATCGACAGCGCTAGTGTACCCCGGATTCTTTGTGAGATTCCCCCACGCTGGTATATATAGCCTGCATGAGCTAGGGGCAAAAAAGTACGACTATCTACTCTGTACTCTATCATCACTGGAAACATGGCAAAACGCAGCCTGGACAAGCTGACTGAGGTGTTTGTGGAGGATGCTGAGCTGCAGGCTCCTCACCTGGGCGACTATAGCCAGAATGTCAATGCGCGGTGCGTCATACATCCTTTGTTATTGTCATTGATTTCCTGCTAATCGTGACTTAGGATCTACAATCCGCTCTCGGGAATCTCAAAGTCCGATCTTGATGACCGGGTGCTTCGATTCTGTCAAGAGTATGGATTTGAGGATCATGTCGATACCTTTCAGAAAGGCGCTCTGGTAGCACAGCGACCAAAGGAGTTCGAGGAGCTCTCTGAGATAACCGAAGATGATAAGTATCATCTCCGACGAGAATATACACGTTCGTCAATCCATCCACAGAGCTTGAAGCCCCCGGTATTTCTATGCTAACCATGCAACATAGACAAATGGCATCTTCCTAAGGCCTTGTACTTCAGTATTGGCCTGTGTTCTCTCGGATCTGCGATTCAGTTAGTCGATCAACCATTGCAATGAGTTCCGCTGACTTTGAATTTAGGGGATGGGATAACACAGGAGCAAATGGTGCCAATCTATCGTTTCCCAAGGAGTTCGGAATTGAACATAATACATGGCTCGTCGGCGTGATCAATGCAGGGTGAGAAATTACGCATCTTGGATGGCTATACCGTCTCTAACATGGATTTCATGGACTAGACCGACGCTCTTTGGGCTTCTGAGGTTAGTCTCTACTAACCCCCACAAGTGTTTCCTCTAACAAGTCACAGTGCGTGGGCCGCAGATCCCTTGAATAACATGCTTGGAAGAAGAGGCGTTATCTTCTTGACCGGATTGTTGTAAGTCACATTTCGAAGCCAGTGTGACCCTGCTGTGGCTGTTTTCTGATGCACCCTGTAGCTGTGTATTCCCAGTTCTAGCGCAGGCATTCACCCACAACTGGTGGAGCCTACTGATTTGCCGCCTCTTCATGGGCCTTGGTATGCGCATGGCTGCAGGACAAAAGTCCCAAGGGGCGCCAAAAGTACAAAAGCTGACAGGGGTCTAGGGATGGGCGTCAAAATCTCAACAATCCCAGTTTTCAGCGCTGAGATCAGCCCTGCATCTATTCGTGGCGGTTTGGTTACTAGTTTCCAATTATGGGTGGCTTTTGGAATCTTCATGTGAGTTGTTCCAATCACTCCCCCAAATGACGACTCTAATAATTTTCATCTAGTGGATTTTGTTCCAATCTCATCTTCTATCGGGTTGGGGACCTCGCCTGGCGCTTTCAACTGGGCGCAGCGTTTGCTCCGGCTGTCCCTGTCCTGTTCTTGGTCTGGTTCTGCCCTGGTAACAGAGTCTTCGACCCCAGCTGCTTTATAAGGCTAACCAAATAATGCAGAATCACCAAGATGGCTCATGAAGAAGCGGCGCTACCAAGATGCATTCAGGTCATTCTGTCGATTGCGCAACACGGAGCTTATCGCTGCAAGAGAACTGGTAAGAAAACATAGCTTACAAGATTGTTCCGAGCTGACTATGTAACTAGTACTATGCACATTGTCAAGTCATGACGGAGCGAGATGCATTTGCAGGAACCTCACTGGCCTCAAGAGTGTGGGAGCTCTTCACTGTCCCCCGCCTCCGCCGGGCCATGATTTCAAGTTCCTTGATCGTCATTGCCCAGCAATTCTCCGGCATTAATGCGATGGCTTTCTATTCCAGCACTATCTTTGCTGAAGCCGGCTACTCACCACGAGACTGCCTCCTTGCCTCCCTCGGGTTCGGATTGACCATGTTCATATTTGCAATTCCGGCCGTCTACACTATGGATACCTTCGGTCGTCGCAACCTGCTGCTATTTACGTTCCCTAATATGGCATGGTGTCTGCTAGCAGCGGGATGTTGCTTCTTGCTTCCGGTTGATTCTAATGCTCGAGTGCCTTTGATCGCGTTCTTTATTTACCTTTTCGGTGCTTTCTATGGTCCCGGTAAGGTCTATCGCAGCCCTTGAAACTCCTAATGATACACTAACAGCTTTAGGAATTGGGCCTATCCCCTCTATCTATTTCAGTGAGGCTTTCCCATTGTCTCATCGTGAATTGGGCGCAGCGTTCACCATCTGTGTGAACAACATTGTCGGAAGTGTACTCAGTCTCTCGTTCCCGTCGATTCTGGCAACGATGACAGCGACCGGCGGTATGTGTCCAACAAAAGTGCTTTTGAAAGAGCGCATAGCTAACATCAGGCCTCAGCATTCGGATTTTACGCTGCGCTCAATATGCTCGCTTTTGTGCTTATATTTTTCATTATACCAGAGACCATGTGGGTTTTCTTCACGAGAGATTAGCTTTATTCAAAACTAACATTCGGTAGGCAACGAACTCTCGAGGAGCTGGACTATACCTTTGGAGTGCCTATCCACAAGCATGCTCAGTACCAGGTAGGAACGTGGCTGCCGTGGTTTGTGAAGCGATACTTTTTATTCCAGCGGTCTGCGAAATTGGAGCCCCTGTACAAGCTGGAGGGTCTGTGAAACTGACAGAAGGTATTTGTTTGATACGTTTGAAGCCACCATTCGCCTCCGGGTATGACTGTTTAATGAAGTAAATGCGGCGAAAATTGGATTTGCCGAACCGTTCGGGCGATAATAGTCATTTTACAGCGTGTTGATTAGGTCGAATATAAAATTCCTACAAAAATCATTGCAGTTTCTCAATGCAAATTGTTTTCGTTTTACCATGGCTGTCGAGTTCACCCACATCCCCCTCAACGTTGAAGGCGTCAACCTCAACCTATCAACAATCCACAACTTTAATTCAAGCCCACCAGTACTCTTCCTCCACGGTTTCGGCTCCAGCAAAGAAGACCTAGCTGACCTCACCATCCAAACATCACTGAAACACCACAGCTTTCTCGCCTACGATGCCCCAGGTTGCGGTCACTCAGCAAGCGATGACCTGTCTGTCATAGATATTCCGTTCCTTGTGGCAACCGCCGAAGCCGTCCTCGCTCACTTCAAAATTGAAAAATTCCACCTGATGGGCCACTCCATGGGCGGCCTCACAGCCGTCATCCTAGCAAGCCGTCATCCAAACCGCGTCCTCAGCTTCGTGGACATCAAAGGCAATCTCGCACCCGAAGACTGCTTCCTCAGTCGACAAACCTTTATGTTCCCAGCTGATGACGAGGAAGCATTTATGGATGCGTTTATTGAGCGCACGCGGGCGTCGGGCTCTTTCGCTAATGCCATGTATGCCAGTACGCTGCGGGCGCGAGTTAGGGCCGGAGCTGTTCGACCGATTTTCACGTCCATGGTTCAGTATACTGATCATGGTGATTTGATGGATAAATTCCTCGCGTTGCCGTGTCCGCGTATGTTCATGTTCGGCGAAGAAATGCGCGGACTGTCGTATTTGCCGTTGTTGAAGAAGGAAGGGGTTGAGCTGGCTGATATTGTGGACTGTGGTCATTTTCCCATGTACTCCAACCCCGTGGAGATGTATCGTCGTATTACAATCTTTCTGAATCGTTGTGGGTAGCAGTTAGTACAGACTAAACAGAGGTTTGATAGGAGGGTTTTGGAATGTGCATCTACATTGACACTTAAATCGGGACACTTGTACCTTTTCATATCCTTGAGGGTATCTGTAATTTGAATATTATCCCTTCAACGCGACTGATGATTATGCCGGGGCTCCCATCGCTGCACGACTCGCTGGAATTTGACCGCATCCCAAAGTACCATTTATTCACGGAGCTGAGGGTTTTCGCGACGTAATAAGTCCTGTCACAGCATCTGACTCTCGGGTATCTATCATTGTAGGATTATCTTATTCTCGAATGATTTTTCCGTTCCAGGTATGTTTGCCATTTACCTTTTTCTGTACTGATTTCCCATTACAAGTAAAGTCTTACGTGTGCAATTTCCCTTCATCAAGTAACTCTGCCATTGTAGCAGCGAGTCCGGCTGCGTGAAAGCACCCCTCGCCTGGGAATCCTTCGGCGAGCTGCGTGGGTGTATAGCGCCCAAGGGTCGAGAACTGTGTTGGATACTTGCCTGACTATGCCTGTCACACCCATCCGCACCTTATGTGACTGCAATGTGATAGATACAGCAGCCTTAAGGAGACTCAACAGTTCAAAAGAAGGTAAATACCGGTCAAGAAGATGAAGCTAAAGAGCTGTGGATCAGGAGCAAGATAGAGAACTAAGGGGGAGAGAGAGATAAAGAGAAAAAAAAGCAAAAAACGTAGTGGTAGGCGTCACGTGTGTGTTTCGTACGAGGGACCTTTTCTCGCCCACGTGGTACAGTCAGGACGCCCTGAAAGACACTTGTGAGAGCCCCAAAGAAACCAGAGGACGCTCGTTACCACTACCCCATACTGTGATGGTAACAGTCTATACCCCAGTTTGGGTTTTGATCGTCATTTTTTGAGCATATTCTCACGTTCGTAGGCAAACTTGTGCAGCAGTCCACATCTCCATCGTTCTTGCTCCGTACTCCGTATACGGAGTACACCTGGGTAAGTACATACAGTAGACACAGACCCACTTCGGCTTATCCGAGCCAATCACCTTCTTCTAGCTAAAGAGCCTCATTTCCCAGGTCTCCACCGGGAATCCCCACCTGGGCACCTGGCACCTGGGCACCTGAGCACCTGGCCCCGGGGGCATTTGTCCATGCTTCTGGGCACATCAACACCTTCTTGTACCGACACTTGGCAATTTCTGTTTTCTCGTGCGATGACGCATTTCTTCACGTGAGCTTCATCTATCTCTATCTCCTGCTCAGTTGATTCCAGACACGCATTTGGCAATAGTGAAGCTATTCAAACCAGCCAGAATACTTGACTCTTCTGGATCTAGGCACTGGGGTCCTACTTGTGCTTCAATCTTCCAATTGTATAAACTTTTTTTGACTATAATGAGGTTAACCAGACTTACCTTAAAGACCCAATTACAATAATCTCGGCGTCAGAAACAGACTAGATGTCAAGTATCTCGTGTCTTCAGGGATTTCGAAAGAGTGTTCATTTTGTGTCGGCTCCAGATGGAAGCTGACATGTATACGGAGTATGGTAGAGCTGTTGAACCCTCACGCTATATCACTCCACACCGATCCACCGGGTGGGACTCAAGTTCTTCATATTCGTTATAGTAGGACCAGTGATTCAATTAGGGAGACAGGAGAGTCATTCTATTCACAATTCCAAATGCAAAGTCCCGGACGCCGTCTATGCCAGTTTAAAACTATTGAGCTGTGCACTGCGCCGGTTCGTCATCTTCTTCATCCTCCCACCCGTCGCCTCCGTCACCATCCTGGGCACCGAAGTCGTCGATCGATCCCTTAGGGTCATATGTGACTTCGTCCACAGGGCTGGCCACGATAGGAGCAGCGGGCTTAGGAAGGATCTCCTGAAGCTGTTGCACCTGAGCCGGGGTGGGCTTCCAGTTGCTGTCGGGGAACTTGACGTCGACGACCAGGTACAGGTCACCACGAGCATCAGTACGCTTCATCGGCATTCCTTCTCCGGGGACCTTAAGGACCTGTCCGGGGGAGAGAATGGCTCCGGGGGTGATGGGGTGGTTGAGCTCAATGCCACGACCGTCGAGGTGCTTGAGCACGACGCGGGAGAATCCGGTCAGGGATTCGGCCAGAGTGATTTCAATGGTTGCTTGGAGATCAGAGCCGGCACGAGCGAAAGCGGGGTGCTCTTCCTCAACAATCTTGAAGACAATATCACCGGGCTCTTGGTCAGGAACTTGGTCTGCTTCGCCTTCAAGAATAATCTTATCTCCTTGCCTGATTGAATCGTTAGCACACATCCCAAGTCACACACAGAAAGCTGGGTCTCACCTAGCGCCTCGAGGGATATAAATTTCGAGCAGCTTCTTCTCCTCCGTGGTTCGGTTGCCCTTGCACTTCTTGCACTTATCCTTAGGCGAGAAGTATGAGCCCTGTCCGTTACATGTAGTACAAACAACGGACTGTTGGGTCAGGAACTGTCCCATACGCTGCAAGACCTCCTTGTGGCCCTGGCCATCGCAAGTCGAGCACTTCTTGGCGGTAGCCTTCTCCTTACCACCCTTACCCTTGCAGTGTCCGCAGAGAACGTTCTTGACACTGGAGAACTTCACAGTCTTGCCTTTGTACAGATCCTCCAGGTTGACTTCGTAGTCTTGTTCTTCGTCGGGGCTACGGCGAGGCTTGGGCGGACGGCCACCACCGGGCATTCCTCCCATACCGGGCATACCTCCCATGCCTCCCATGCCACCACCGAACATTTGTGCGAGCAAGTCATCGAGATCGGGTGCGCCGGCCATTCCAGGCTCGCCAGAGCCATTGAAAGCGCCCATGCCATGTGTGTCGTAGAGGTGTCGCTTGTCATCGTCGTAGAGGATATCGTAGGCTTCTTGGACATCTTTGAATCGGATGGAGGCTTCTTCGCGCTCTTCCTCGGGGACTTTGTCGGGGTGGTTGATCAAGACAGCCTATACGAAACCGTGGTTAATAAACAGCGTGGCGTGTAGAATCGAAATTCTTACTTTGCGATAAGCCTTGCGAATGTCATCTTTGCTTGCGCTCTGATGGACTTCCAGGATCTCTGCAAAAGTGACCGTCTAGTCAGTATTCTGATCCTCACTTCGCACAGGAAAAACCAAGCAGAAAGATCTCCCGCGCAAATGATTGCATACCATAGAGATCAATTTCAGGTCCAGCCACTTTGGTCTTTGTTAGCAGAGCCACAACACAGAGAAGATCCCATAGCTTACTAGTGAATATATTTGGTAGAGCGCAGTGATGTGCTGAAGCACTCAATAGGGGAGATGAGTATAAATCAACAACAGAAGAGATAGGGTGGTAAACGTGAAGTGACGACGGAGCGGTGTTGCGATAGAAATTTTGTTCGGGAAGCTCCGCACCGCAACTCCGCAAAATCCCCCCAGATCGGCCACTTCAACCCAAAACCGCGCAATGAGGCCTCAACCTGGGCTACTTGCTCGTCGCTCCTGGACCTGCATACAATGCAGAGCTTGCTCCTCCACCTCCGCCGGAGCTCAAGCCCGCAACTCGAAAAATAAGCTGCCGGACGTGCCTGCGCGCACGCGTTTCGCGCCCTCGCCCACCGGATATCTGCACCTGGGCTCCCTACGAACAGCGCTCTTCAACTACCTGCTGGCGAAGCGGACCGGAGGTCAATTCCTACTGCGCATCGAAGACACCGACCAGGTTCGTGGTGGTTTACTCGCGAACACACGGGCTATGGCTGATTAGGGCAGAAACGGACGATTCCTGGGGCAGAACAGAGACTTTACGATGATTTACAATGGGCTGGACTGAACTGGGACGAAGGTTGGCTATGTTGGCTCTCGGATTGGAGCGTATACTGACTTGCTTGGATGGCAGGTCCTGTTGTCGGTGGTCCTTACGGTCCTTATAGACAGGTGAGGGAATACACTGATCATGACAACTTTTTACTGATCATATCTGTGCAGTCTGAACGAACGGCTTTATATCGCTCCCATGCCAACGACCTCATCTCAAATGGCCATGCTTATAGATGCTTTTGCTCTGCCGAACGGTTGGATTCAATGGCCCAGCACCGTAGCCAGGCTGGATTGGCCCCTGGCTACGACCGGAAATGCGCAGATCTGTCTGCGGAGGAATCAGAAGATCGAGCAGCCAACGGAGAGGCACATATCGTTCGGTTGAAGGTGGAAGGGTACCCTATGTTCAACGATCTGGTCTATGGCAAGACCGGCCAAAACAAAACGAACAACAAAAAGTTGGACTTCATCGACCGTGTGTATGATGACCCAGTTATGATCAAATCGGACGGCCATCCGACTTATCACTTGGCAAACGTCGTAGACGATCATTGTATGAAGATTACTCATGTCATTCGAGGAACAGTAAGCTCTCCAATCCGGACAAGACCATGAACAGTCTGCTCACATATGACCAGGAATGGATGCCATCTACACCAATGCACATGGCCCTGTACAACGCCTTCAAGTGGACACCTCCACAGTTTGGCCACGTCCCCTTGCTCGTTGATCAGAGCGGACAAAAGCTAAGTAAGCGAAATGCGGATATCGATCTCTCTTCCTTCAAGGACAAGCAAGGAATTTTTGCCTCCACGCTGGTCAATTTCGCTTCACTCTTGGGTTGGTCACACTCTCAGAAATCTGACGTGATGAACTTGCAAGAACTGGAACAACTCGTATGTTCTTCTCCTCAAAGTATCCTTGATCCATTCACTAAGATTACTGCAGTTCAATTTGAAGATTACTCGAGGTAACACTGTCGTCGCCTTCGAGAAACTTTGGTTCCTCCAAAAAGCCCACGCCCAGCGCTTCGCCGCAAGTGGCGGGCCTGAATTCAATGAGATGGTCAACAGAGTGAGCTCTGTTGTGGAACAAAGTCACCCCCTTGACAAGCTGTAAGTCATTTGTCGATTATGGATCAGCACAAACTATAGACTTTGGTTTCTAACACCACGCAGAAACACCATCCTTAAAGGCCGCACCCTTTCCGAATATATCGCTCCTCTCATCCGTGCAGATGCCAAGTCCTACACAGGTGCCTTGGAGTTTGCCGAGCGCAACTCTACCTTCTTCACTCCAAAGCTCGATCGAGCCCCCCTACGCGCCCGCCACGCCCGCATCCCCTTCGGCTCCCGAGGTCCCAATGCAAGCTCTTCACACCGCAGCAGCAGCCCTCACACTTGTCCCACCTTCGCACTGGTCCATTGAAACCCATCGCTTCAACATCAATTCTTATGATGGATCTGGCGCCGTGGTGCTTCCTGAAACCGAGTCAGACTCCCCGGCACCCCCGGCAACTGACAAAATGTTTAAGAAAGAACTGTACCACTATCTCCGCTGGGCGCTCTCAGCTTCCGCGCCGGGTCCAGGTATCCCAGAAACAATGGCGATTCTTGGCAGAGATGAAACGCTGCGCCGCGTGCAAGATGCAAAGGCTTCTACGCAGACCTATGGTCCCTCTGACGGGAGGAGAATTCCCAAGGGAACACTACCTGAAGATCAGAGCTGGATGGGGACTCTTGCGACCAAGCGGTAGGAGAGGACACTAAACAGACTACATGTATTTTACCTACTTTAGATTTTTGGGATTATCGATCTCAATTTTGTTACAATATATCAACATTTCGCAGCCTTGATCTTAACTGCAATGCTCACAATTCTCTGCCCACCTAGAAGCGATACCTACACGCCTATCCAAGTCCTTCACTAGAAAAACAGTGAAGTACTATTTATTTGGAAGTTGCTCAGGCCAAATACACCAGGGCCAAAGTTGCACCTGGTGTTTAGCTACTCGTTGGCTTGACAGTCCAACCAACATATATACTTTACAAGGAAAATATTGAATGATGAGAATACAATTAAACAACACTATCAAAACACTGCTTCGCTGACAAATACATAAAAGATGAATGGTGTAAAAACCAAAAGACAAAGCCGACTCCTGAAACTGGAGAGCGAACAGGGAATAAGACGAACCATAAGCACCGAGCCAAGAAAAATCATAAGTGACAGAGAAACGAAGTATGATAACACCATGCCGAACAAGCAAGAAAGAAGAAGGAATATTACACCCAGTGCAGATTGAACGGAAGCGTTGTCAGTCGGGGGCAACGGGATGGCAGCGTTCCTCGGGAACTGCAGCCTGACAAGGCCAGGTGCAGCATTGGGCTGAATGAGATAGACAAATGAAGCAAAGCATGGACAAGAGTGACATTGAAGTCTCGTAATTTTGGACAGGAAGAGAGGTTGAGGGTGGCCACTCGGGAATTAGAGCTTGCGGGGAAGCAGCAAGACAGCCGGGAAGGAATCTAAGGGAGCTCAGGCGTGAAGGAGATGCGAGTTATCGTGAGCCGTGGAGAAACCAGTCGTGGGATCATCAAAAGCCGAACGGTTGCGAGACCACCGTCGGAAATCCGAGGTGCCAGGGATGGCGAATGCAAGAAGGTATGGAAAGTGACAAGAAGATGGGGAGATTGTTAAAATGTTTAGTAAGTTTCGTAGTCGTCAGCCCATTCGGTGTCACTGCCAGCAACGCGCAGGACCTGCCCGGGATGCGGACCCTCTGGACTAACGCTTCGAATGCCCTTGGCTTTCTTGCCGATCAAATCTGAGCCGTCCTCGGGTGCAAATCGCTTGCTTCCAGATGCGGTGCGAAGCTTGGAGAAGTAGATATCACTAGGATCAGCTTCAGATTCAGAGCCATCCTCAAAAGTTTCCCAATTCTCGGAACCGGAGGTAGCAGTGTTGACTGTGGAAGAATTGGAGACTTGTCGGGCAGCGGGCGGAGGAGCTGCGTGCTGGAGGTAAGGATTGGGTCGTGGGAAGTTTTGGGCAGCGTTGTTCAAAGACAAAGAAGAGTGTGAGGAATGGGAGGAATGGGAGAACCCGGTGGATCTCTGGGAGTTCGAGAAGCCTGATGTGCTCATGAAAGATCGTTGACGATCATCGTAAACATCTTCCGGGCTAACAGGTCGTACATAGGCGCTTGACATAGCACTATTGCAACGAGGAGGCTCCATGAGATGGCTGAAGCGGTCTTCTCTAGACTCCACAGTCAAAGCACGCATGCGGGGAGGTGGACCGCGAGGAGGCGGCATCTTGCCATTGAGGGTGCTCGATGAGTAGGCGCCTGGCTTTGCGCGGCGCTCAGGCGAGTTGTTTCCCTGTGGCATGTTTCCCAGGGGAACACGAGCTGGAAGCTTCGAAGGAGAGGTTGCTCCCGCACGCGAGGTAGCCCCAGAACGAGATGCACCGTATCCAATAGTGTTGTGCTTGATTGGGCCACTGCTTGTCGGGGTCTTAGTGGCTGAGCGAGGGGGAGGCGGCCCTCTCATTGAGCTTCCAGGGCGGGAAGGCGGTTGGTGCCTCAACGTATTAGCCTTGACTGCGGATGGTGGTGCAGAAGGAGTCTTCGAGCGGGGTGGGGGCATGGATCGAACAGGTGTCAAGGCGTCGAGGTAGCGCTCTCCATGTACGAGGAATGGTCGGCCGAATTCCTCTTCCCAGTATTCGAGCTCTTTGCGTAGGTCGGTTTCGAGTTTCGGTAGTTCCTTGGCGATTCTCTTGCGAAGCTTCTCTTCCCTTAGAAGCTTTCCAGGGTCTCGCTTCTCTCCCTTGTTACCACGGCCCATCAATCGGGAGGCATCCTGGCTTGAGGTTGCGAGCGCCTCACGGTCCGTTAGAAGGGTTCGGTGTCGGTCAATCATCTCCAATGTGGGAGCACGCTGCTCCTTGAGAGTCTCAAGTCGGACAATCTCGGCTTCATGGGCTTCAAGTAAAGCGTCGCTGCACACGTCAGAGAACGCGGGAGTGAAGTCCAACATCTCCTCCTCAGAGAAGAACAAACCATCCCAAAGCTCTTGAAGTCGGCAGCGAGCATCTTCGACGAACAAATGGAGGTTCTGGCGCTTCAATTCATTCAGACGAGTCAATTCTTCCTCGAGGTCGTTAATAATGCGCAGACCGCAGCCACGGTTTGCGGCCAGGAATGCTTTGCGATCAGCTTCCTCCACGCCGAATCGGTCCCAAAGAGAAATAACAGTCGTGCGGAGCTCGGTAATCTTGCGCTCGCGTGTCTTCTTTTCTTCGAGTAACTTGTTGCGTTTGCTCATGAGGTTCGCAACGTCAGTTTCGTGCAGACCGAGCTGCTCAGGCGATTCGCGATAGCACTTGACGATAGTCGAATCGGTTTGGGCCTGGGGTGTACCAAGCTCGGCCCAGAGCTTGATCATTTCTTCGCATGCAGATTGTACTTGTGCAATGCGACGGTGGTATTCTTCGTAGACGTGGGTAAACTCGGCATCTAATGCTGTGACATACATCGGTGAGAGGTCAAAGCTTGGTGGGATCGCAGAGCCCGGCTCGGTTGGAGGAAGCTCGAGCTTAACAAATGATGGTTCGAGATGGGAAGAGTAAGACTCAAGCGCGTCCACGAGTTCTGTCGCATATTAGCAAAGCGCACAATTGTAAACACATCGGTTGAAACTCACTCCTAACTTGCTCGAAGCGCTCACGGTGAAGCTTACTCATAGCGTCGTTCTTCTCGCGCAGGAATGCGATGCAGCGGTTGAGAGGATAAGTGACGCGAAGGTCGTCGCGGTTGAGCTCGTATTGCCCATTAGCCCTCTCATCGCTTAGAGAGGACTCCATTTGTTGAATTGCTGTAATAAGACGCTCGGCTTCTTGTGTCATGTCTTCCCTTTCTCTGTTTACTGCGTTAGTCGATTCCCAACCAGGTTGTTCGCATGTGCTACTTACTCGTCAACTACCTTGAGGTGGTTGTTCAAGGTCTCTGACAGTGCGCTGAAGAGCTTTAAATAATCGTTAGCGAAACGGTAATGGCATTGAAATGTTGGATAAGACTGACCTCTGCCTCGCGCGAGTCGCGCTCACGCGCGGGAACTCCAATTTCATCGTAGATGCCGTGGAGTTGTTCGACGATGTTGTTGACCTGAGTGGTCAGGTAGCTAGTGTCAACCGCCATAGTAAGTGCCGTTCAATGGCGCAGAAGTCCGAAATTGATAGAACGGAACGGGATCCAATTTTAATGACAGTCCAGCGGAGCTGCGACAAAGCCAAAGTCGGGATCAAAACAAGAGATCCCACACAAGGTTCTCAGCACACCAAGTGCGACGAATTTAAACGAAAGTGCAAGGTTGCGCAAGCTGGAGAGACATAGGAGAATTAAGACCGGGGTTGTTGAGGGGGAGTAGGGGCTGAAATCGGAGACGATAACATCAGGTTTAACAAGTGGGTGTTTGGGTCGATCGTCTCCCTGGCAACCCCCGAGTCGCCCACACCGCCCGTGTTCTGCCAATCAATGATTGACCCCACGCTTCAATTACCTTCTGCCTTCATGCACTGACTCTATCATTTCTCCGGTCCTTGCAGCGTCATCATTATCGCCAAGCCCTTGCTTCTCACAAGTCTCACTAATACCACAAGCCTTCAGCTGTTGGCTCCTCATTCTACACAATGCAGGCTGCACAGCGGTCCTGGGGTACGTATTTGCAAGGCTTCATGACAGTGGATCGCAAGCTGATCAGCCCCCCGCAGAGCTCGAAAATGCGATAACCGTCTTCGATCCCACCAAGGATGCTCTTTACAAATACGATGCAGATATCGAAAGAGCGCTCAACAATGAACGGCCCTGGATTTCCGACCCGTACTATTTTAAGCACGTCCGCATCTCCGCAGCAGCATTATTGAAGATGGTGATGCACGCTCGCTCTGGTGGCTCATTGGAGATTATGGGTTTGATGCAAGGCTACATTCTTCCCAATACTTTCGTGGTCACCGATGCATTCCGATTGCCTGTCGAGGGTACCGAAACCCGAGTGAACGCACAGGACGAGGCCAATGAATACATGGTGTCATATCTACAATCCTGTCGAGACTCAGGGCGAATGGAAAACGCCGTTGGATGGTATCACAGCCATCCTGGATATGGGTGCTGGCTTTCCGGCATCGATGTCGCGACTCAACAGACACAACAGATGACCGGGCCCTTCGTCGCCGTTGTGATTGACCCTGACCGTACGATCTCTGCCGGTCGTGTCGAAATTGGCGCCTTCCGCACATTCCCTTCCAACTTTACACCGCCAAAGGAGGCCAACGAGGACGATGAACATCAGACCATCCCGCTTGGGAAGGCGGAGGACTTCGGTGCCCACGCCAATCAGTACTACTCTCTCGAAGTCAGCCATTACAAAAGTACCCTGGATTCTCAATTGCTGTCCTTACTCTGGAACAAATACTGGGTTGCAACTCTTAGCCAGAGCCCACTTTTCGCCTCCCGTGATTTCGGTGACAAGCAGATTGTGGATCTCAGCCAGAAGGTGCGCAAGGCCGCACGAACCATGGAAACTCGTCACAAGGCTATAGTCGCTCCCTCAGGCCAAAGGGATCATCAATTGGAAAAGGTCGTCCGTGGTGGGCAGCAGATTGTCTCGGAAGAGGTGAAGGGTCTCTTGGCATCTGAGACTAAAATGAAGTTATTCCATGGCATTGGAGCCGAGCCCTCTGCGAAAGAATAATTTGGCATTCAAGGCGCGGTGTCATGAACACGAATGCGTGGACATGGCTGTCACTTTCTTTCTCGGTCTTGCACTGGTGTCTCGGGCGCTCAGCGGGTTTTACTCCATCTTGTGTTTGCCATTTTTGGTTGAATCTGTCCAATCGGCAGGTCTTGCTATTTTGAATGACCTTTTCGATGCATAATGATCATAGAATATCCAAACATGCAGTTGCTGCAAATGAATGAATTTACGAACTCAATAGTGTATCCACTTCATTGTTACTCCGTATCTCTTAGCAGGTTCAGTCGAAAGCCACTTGGGCAAGTCTACCTAGCATCGGGATTTACGAATTGAGAATCAGGCAATTGAAATTCAAATCAAGATGAACGTCTATTGGATGAAATGTCTCAGGCAAGCTTCAGATGGGGAATATTCCAGGACCAGATACAATGAAATGGAAAGCACCAGGCAACTCCACCAGGGGGAATCCACCTGACAAAAACAAAGTCTCAAGTCGTTCGTGAAGTATCATTATTCAGAAGACGGCGTAAACAGGAAACGGCCAGGGTGAAGGTATATCACCTGCCTCTGGCCCGAACACAAGGGGATATGATGTGGTAGAAAGAAAAAAGAAAAGGCAAAATGTACACCGAAGGTATGGCCACGATAAGTCACAGTCAGTACAAAGAAGAGGTAGGGGTATGTAGCCCGAAAGCAGGTAGTCTCGGGTGTGAGATGAGATAGAATGAAAAGGAGAAGGGAAAAAAAGGGGTTGGACAAGGAATCCCGCTGAGCCAACCAGCTCTAGAGTCGGGGAAAGGGTATGTTGAGAAAAGTTGAGGAGATGTCGTTCGTTGGGTGTAATGATTGGAGGGTCATTGCTGTACAATGTATTGAAGACATGAACAGTGGGGGCCGTAGGACTTATCGGGGGTCCTTTGACAAATGTGATGGATCGATCTGCAGATACCCTTCGGACAAGGGTGGAGAAACCATAAGATTATGGTCACGAGGTCGGATAAAGTCCTTAAAAAGGAGTCGCTTGGGTCCATTGAGGATCCCGGCCGTGATCGTGGCGCTGTCGGCGCGTCATGTTGCGTCGAACCTGTTTTGTGGCGCACCCGCAGATGCAACTTGACAGGGATCTTGGTCTCGGGTTTACAAGAAACCGGACTCGGATAACAATCTACGAAAATCACAAACAAAAACGGTTAGTCTCAACAGCCGAACAGTTTTGAGAGCATTGTCTTGTTTGCCCAGGAGAGAGAAGGGAATAAGAGGTCAAATTTGGGTATCCAGGCCAATGCCAAACGCCACTTTAAAAAAAAAGGGGGAAAACACGGATTATCGCAAAATAGCGACGGTGGATGCAAACAACAGGGAACCCTTGTCTCTGGTTGAGGCTTCGGCATACCTTGCAATTTTCTCGTCCTCGCGCTCCCTAGGCTCGATCTCTAGGCTTCGTTCGTACATGTCGTGTACGTCGCCAGCACCTTGCAGGTTGCTGAGAATATAGTCCTGAAGTTCACCCACTGGTTGTAGGAGATAGGGCACGTTCTGATATTGCTGGATATCACGAATCACTTCGGCAGTCTTTGCCCGCTTGTTAAAGTTGATCAGTTCTGATGGTGTAAGCGATGGAATTCCATCTTCAATGAAGGTCAAATCCGTGAGATAGACACCTGAAATGTGTGAGCCATGAAGTTAACAGGGATGAGACATGGGTTAGTCTTTATTAGTTAGGCATACCGAAAAAGGGAATACAGGGCGGGTTGGCGAGATGCAGGGTCTCTCGGTATTCGCCAAAGTTTTTCGTACTAGCCATAAGCCGACGCATTTGTTCCAGAATTGCGGACGTCCGCCCGCTCACCTGGCCCCATGTCCGACCGAGACGATGGATCGGGGCAGTTCCGAGAGCCGAAATAATTGATGTGAGTGTTGAGTAGTTGTTCAAAGTGCGACATTTCTGTAAGACCGAGTTAGTATGCTGTCTGTACGACGTAAAATTGAAAAACCACTTACATCAGCCACATTCACAAAGTGTTTGATGACCACCACACGTTTCTTGACGTCGCCTTGGGCGAGAATCATCTCGGCCACCCAGTTGGTAAGCTGATTAGAGTGGAGAATCAAGGCCTTGACATTAGAGGCTGGTTCGGGCTCATCAGGCCCGACCTTCTTCTGCCATGTTTTGTTCAAACACTCAGTCGGTCGGATCTTAGAGTAAAGGCGCGACTCGATGATAGTCAACTGTCGAGCAAACTCGGTTGGGTCAATGTCAAGGAACTTGAGTTTCTTCATGTTCTTGGGGATAATTGGCTGGGGTGCGGCTGTGCTTTGAGTTGGAACAAGTCGCTTTGAGGTTGTGTCCTGTCCTCGGAGTCGCTGCTCAATCACAGCCAGCAATGTAGGTGTTCCGGGGGTCTTTGTGGTAGCGATGGAGTCACGAGTGAAGGTGTGGACTCTTCGCAGAAGATCCATATTCACTTCATCGTTGGGCTCCATCCAAAAGTGATCGAACCAGCTCTTGAGGATGTTGACCACACGGAATCTGATAGGCTTCTGTTTGCGATCGATCCACATTTGCATGTCATCTTGGCTCAGGCCGAAGGGCGGTTGAACATTAAATCGCTGGACGAGCATCTCAAATAGCTCGGAGGCTGTAGTGAAAGAACGATATGTAAGGAGGAATGTGTTGTTGAAAGAAGCATCAAGCTTATCGTGGCGAGTAAGATGTTCCACCAATCCGGCGAGCGTCCCGCACTTTAGAATTGGTGAATCAGTCTTGTTATCGTAGAACACCTCGCCTTCATGGGCCATCTTCAAGAACCAAGGAGTCTCTTCTGGTTCGCGGACGGGCTCCCGAAGTGGCTCTCTGGTGATAGCTGTCGGTGGTGCTTGGCCGAAGAACCGCTGTGCCTTGTCCATATTTCTGCGGACCTTCTCGGGTGCCTCCTTTTCTGGAGCGTAGGAAGATGGAATCCCAATCGACTCAGTGGCAATGTTCGCTTGGGAGTCACCCCGAGTGTGAGTGTTCTTGAATTTATCATCGTCCACTTCTTGGCGGCTTTCGCTGCGTGAAGATGGAGCAGGTTCGGCGGGAATTTGCTCAAGAAGAAGAGACAATGAGAAGCCGATCTGAGATACGCAGTTCTCCAGTTGCCTAGCAATACCGCGCACAGCGGTTATGCGATCGTCGAGCGAATCCCCGCGACGCTCAGCCCATTCATCGGCCAGAGGTGCAGAAATCGCCTGGCAATCCAGGGTGAAGTCTCCAATCGCATCATAGACTCGTTGCTTTTGCAAGCTGAAGTCTACTAATTGGGGGTTCTGGAAGCTGGTTCCCAGAGGAGCCAAGTTCATCGACTCGACCGACGAAATCCATGGGCGGAACTGTTCAATCACCTTGATTGCAGCAGCTGATATTTCATTGGCGATGTCTTCGTGTTCTTCGGTGGTAACGATCTTCTTGTTGATAATCAATCGCTCCTCTAGTCGGCGGATGCTGCCAACGAATGATCTTCGGAGGATATCAATCGAATCGAGGAAAGCTGTATCGAGGGGCACCGAGGGCTCGGCTCGTGGATCTCCTACATCTGGAACCAAAAATGATGTTGGACCCGATGTATTCAATGAGACACCGTTGTTTTGCCAACTGCCGCCAGATGAGCTGCCACCAATGAATCCCGGGACAATACGGTGGATAAAATCTCCACGCTGCTGCTGGGCAACATCCACATATCCATACACACCCTGCATAACACCATCTGCCTCCTGTAAGCATTTGTTGACTGAGTCGGCTCCGGGCCAATCAGCGGCAGCAATGTGAGACGAAAGGACCAGCTTCGAGAACTTGGACATCATGTCTCTGAAGTAGGGATACAAAGCCTTGTTGGTGGAGATGATTGAGGGATTGCCGGAGTGATTGTCTGTTGTATCAGATCCAGCAGCTAGTAGCATTCGTAGATGATCGGAGATATCCTCGGCCTTTTTCACGTATTCTGCACGGTCACCATTCACAAGGGTCTGGCTGTAGGCCTCTACAGCACCGCGCATGTTATCAACGAGCAAAGACCAAGTGATCGGAGGTGCGAAGCCATCGTCGACAAAATGCTGGGGGAAATTTGAAGAAATCGAAGGTCGGGAGAAGCTATCGGCCACAGAAGTGCTGGTGCTGTTGCTGTTTCCTCCCAAACTGTACGTTATTTGAAGTGGCTTGACAGACGCTTGCGAGCCTTTGCGGTCGTTCACTGTTGGAGCATACAGCGAGTCCATGGATGTGGCTGGAGAAACTCCATCCATCAAGGACTGGCGTCGGCGGGACATCGAGTCGTGTGAAGCCAGCATTAATGATTCCCCTTCTGCCTCGGATGCAGATCCATCGTACTCGTCTTCGTCTCGCTCGAATCCACGCGCCATCAGCTCCGGTGGTGGTCGAGTCTGGTCGGGAACAAAAAAGTTGTTACGATCTCGGGGGCCGCCGTCGTTTGTCGCTGTAGGGTTCTCGAAAGGTAGCTCCATGGTAGAATAGCCTGTGAGAGTATTGAAATAGAAAAGACGACCGTCTGGTGTCGCCTGGGGAATCCAGAATGCGGCCTCTTCCTGTTCCTTGGCGGCCGGAACCCCCTCAATAGGGAGAATTGGCTGAGAATCGCGCGAGTTGCCTTCGGAGTCCGCCTCGTCGTCTTCGTGTCCATCGCCATAATCGTCTTCCAGGCCGGAGTCCGCACTGAGATCGGTGTCGTGGGGGTGCACGAACTGGTCGCCAAAATCATCCGCTTCTGTGAGTACTGTGCAATAGTTACTCGGGAACCAACCGCGAACGTTATCGATAACCCCATCCCACCATCCCGTCTCGAGCTGGTTGAGGACCTGAATGATGTCGCCGCGACGGAAGCTCAGACTGGTATGATCGTCGGCGTCGTAGTCATACATGGCCCGGACGAAGAGCGCGGGGGGCTCGGGACTGATCGCATAGCCGGTGGCCATTTTGACGGGGGAGAGGTTGGACTGGGGGTCCTGCAAGTGGCTGTCTACCTGGCCGCAGTAGCGGGACAGGGCTGTGGGGGTGGTCGCCCGTTCGTCGGTGTATTCAAATGCGGTCGCAACGGTCCGGGACTTGGCCAGCGCAGTAGGGTCGACAGCTAAATCTGCCGCGCGAGCCTCGAACATGGAGTGTGACAGAGAACGCCACGATCCAGAGTGCTTCTGGGGAGAAGAGGGGAGAGGTTTGAGATGAGCTCAATTATCGCTCATGGCTATCAAAAGAGTGGAAAAATAAAAAACCCAAGAATTAGAAAGAATATGAAGCCATGAGAGTCTGAAGGGCAGGTGGGATTAGGGGAAAAGGCGGGACGTGTCATGCCAGTATTGATACACGTTGGAGCCCCGATCAGTCGATATTTCCGGTTGGTTGCCTTTTCGTAACGGAGTAATTTTACAACTCCCTTACAGAACGTCGATAACAATGCATTTTCTCGTATCCACCGTCTTACAGGTACCGCGCACAATGACATCCTCTGGTTATTCTGTCATTCTGGTACTCTCTTGTACGGAGTACGGAGTAGTATGTTGTACGTCTTACCTTACGAAGGTTCAGTAGCTCACGGTATAATTTCATATAATTTGTCCTTCTTCTGTATCTCCCTAGTGTCTTCTTGGTTTTTCGCCTTTTCCTTTTTTCGCTTTTTATTATTTTTCATGTTTTTTGACAGCCTTGGATCCCCCACTATGTGTGGATAATCATGCTTCCTTTTCGGTACTTGGGACGGTCAGAGCTTGGGGGAAGGGGATGAACTACAGAGTACTCCGTACTACGAGATGCTGACCTTGAAAATACTCATGTCCGTGTCGTTTGATACTCTGCATTTTCGTGACAGGTACTGATAATAATTTTTCAAAATAAATCCACAGGGCTGGGAGGCTCAGACCCTCCTAGTGGCCTGTTTTTGGCCGCGGCAATTAGGGGGGGCACATGGCAGAGATACCCTAGGGAGTTAGTCTCTATGGAGCATCGACTGCATTTATCAACGGCAAACGGCAAACGGCCTGGGATTCCAAGGCAAGCTAGCTCACTGAAGCCGCCTCTCATACGGAGTCCTTTGAGGTTAATCCAGTTTATCCCCTTCATCCTCCCCGTAAGTACGAGAGTATCTTCAAAACAGCAAGGGGCCCCGAGCTTCTGGACTTCTTAGTTGAGTCGCTCAAGTCGCAAGTGTCTCAGTGCACCAGGGCAGAATGGAGTGATGAGCAAGACTAGTGGTCCGTTCTCGGGACGATATCCAACCAACCCAGACACCCGGCCCCAAAGCAGTGTGACCTTTCTTTGCTCGTTTTTTCTACATTGTCGGGTAATATACATGATCCTTGAACACTTTTCGGGGCAGATATCTATTTTCTGACTACCTAGCGCCAGAATTGTTCTAGAAGGCGGTTTTTAATCTAAAAAATATCACGATACTCTAAAGTGGATTCCTCGGTCCCACTTTCGGGGCTCTGGTTGAATCGTGCGGGCGCTCGTCCCCAGTGGCTGTAGAGGCAATTACGTCCGCGCAGCATGGCTAATGCAGGCATGGGTAGATCCAGGGCCATTGTTGGACATATGAGATTCTCTGCATAGCATATAAGACACGGTTCTGTTCTGAATAGTGGCGTATTGCATCAACTCGATGGACTGCCATGCCACGGGCCACCTGGGCACCGGTTATATATCTCTAACACTCCACCTGTAATCAAACCAACCCTGGGGGAACGCGGTTGAAGATACATGAGATATTATCGAGTACTCCGTATGCGATGTAGAAAGTCTATCTGACCCCCGAATCCAACGGGGGAATTTAATTGGGTAACGCATGGCGTGACCTATTTCGAAACCAACTAGTACTTGTATCCAGCCAGAAGCTTTGCTTGCTTCACTCACTTCATCCATCAGAACCATGGTACGTAACATGTCGGGTCTTCATCCATGGATATCTTGCTTATCAGCACACATGGCAGGCACCTGGCCAATTTTGAGATTAGTTCCAAGGTTCTGACCTCGCATACACTGTTTAATCTTGATACATACGAGTGGAATCCATAGTCTGTTGATCGACTGCCCACATCATCACTCGGTACTTCGTATGTAGGTACTTTACCTAAATATGAGTCTAGGACCTCAGATCGATTGTCTAGGCGCTTGTTTACGGGGGGACTGCCTTATGGGGATGATGGCTGGAACGGACGCGGGTTGTTACTTTGATATTTCGATAATGGACGCGCAATGAGTCCACAGAAACCATTGGCTTGTGCGTTCTTCAACGGAGTTTGCCACGTGAAACGATCGAAGACCCTGTTTCGTGGATATCGTGTTCATCGGAAGAGCCAGGTTGGGAACCTCACAGTCATGCAAAACCGCGTAGTGAGGTTTAAGATAGGACATATACTGTGGCTCCGTCATGGTTAAAGAAGCCCATGCAATGTGGATCATGGAGCTATGTATGCAAATGCTAAGTTCAGAGTCGCAATTACTCATTTGACAGGCCACGAGATCGATCATTGGGTAACAATAAAAATATCGACCGTGTTAATACGTTTTCGTAGGGTGTAGATCAAACGTCTGAATTTTGAGTTCCTGGAGTCCAAACACACTAACGTTTATCGAACTGTGTATTGCATTCCAAGAATTGTTGACTGTGCGCTTTGAATCAGACACTGATGGAGTTAGCTCGGAGGACGCGGAGTACACAGTCAAAATGACTTTCCGATTGACCTTCACAATTTGCCCAATATCGAGACCTCTGGATCACCTGGGCACGACTTACATGTAAAATCAAGTTTTGTACCAAACACTAATAAGCACTACTCCGTACATGATCTCAAGGTTTGTACACAGTACAAATGTGCCTCACAATATCTTTCCCTTTCTGGAGATAGTAAGATGGTGCGCGGCCAGGTTCGCATTCTCCGCAAATATGTATACGGAGTACCAGAGCTCCTGTCGTTACGCGCCGCAACTGAGTTTTAAAAACCACGGAGCTCACATTGGTGACAGAGTATATCTAAACTGGATACATGGTGCCTCCAAGGTTCCAAGGTTGGTGATGATTGCTCCGGCGGCGTCAAATAAGTGCGAAATAACATATCTTTAACCGCCAACCATGAAGTATCAGCGAAAGGATATTCGTTGCAACGTCACCCACCGCCCACCAGCTACTTAAACACAATTCCTAGGTATTGAGTTAGGCATTCATCTGTGACAACCATTTCCCCCAGTGTTTCTATACACCTAGTTATACTCCGTACATCCTACGGAGTACATCCATAATTCCTTAACAAAATCAATATATCACCCAATAACCACCGAGACCGAAAGCGAGAAATCCAATAGCTGCAAGTGACTGAGCACACTGCAAACAACCAACTTGGCAACAAATAGAACAGCCTAAAGCTAAAAGATGCTTTTGCCACCAAGCCCCTCGTTCCTTGTTCCTTGCAGGTCGGACATTAGGAGTCGCAGGAACACAGCCAAACGACATCATCACCACAGCTCACCCAACCGGACGGATTTCCACATGCCGAGACCCAGTCCTGCCGCTCGGGTGCAGCACATATCCAATAAACATTCGAATCCGGCCTCTAGTTTACCCAGTATCTTGGGTCTCCGATGCTGCTGATCACCTCGTTACCCCTTTTTTTTTTCAAATCCTCCATCGCGGCTCGGTCTCATTGCAACTCAGGGACTGCCTCGCGAACAATTCTCACTCTTGGTACGGAGTACACGTACTCCGTGCGGATATCCGGCTTTCGCAAGGTTCTTCCAATGGTCCCCTGCTCAAACGTGCTGTCCCCCACTTATCAAATCATTCAATGAAGCCATCCTCCGTACTCCGTAGTTCAGCAGACTATGGAAGTTTGTTCTCGAACTTCCTTTGTTCTCGACAACGGTCGCGTCAGACCATAAACCTTACTTCGCGCGCCGGGCAATCAAATGACGAATTTCGAAACACCAATGGTCCCCCCCCCGCCCTGCTCCGTCACTTTCCCATTTGCTTTCTTCCCCCCCTTAGTCCAGTGTCCACCTTTTTCTCGAAAATTCCGCTGATGGAGCTCCGCGCGGGGGAAAAGGTCCATCTCCGTTTGACAAGTAAGAATCTATCAACTACTCCGTACCAAGACAATTGTGTAAGAAATAAATTACTATATTATTGCCAATGTGATGACTCTGTGCTCACGTATGGTGTATCCCCTGCATCGGACCAATTGTCCAATCAGACAAGCCAACTCGCGAACGAGACAAGGGCTGATTCACGCATGCGCAGCTCATATATATATATTTTTTTTAACCTACCGAGTCCTCCGTAAGCATGCAGTGTCGATTCGGACATCTCGCAGAGACATTTAGATTAGGACTTGACGATTCGATATCAGAACGTGAAGCGAACCAAGATCTGAGCTGCAGTGAACCATGGACCGGGAGGTCTTCCCCGGATGTCCCCTTCCGTCGCGATCCAGGGGCGATCGCATCCCACATATCAATGTTTCCACTTTGAGACAAGATCTCGACGGACAAGGCTTTTCACCTGTCTACTTCATGCTTGGCTGGAAATAACACTTGCAGATATCGCGGATAAGTGCGGAAGGACAAGGTTTACAAGCATTCATATGTAGAGTCATTGAGCGAGATTAACTGCGAATTTGATTGCATCGCGGAATCCGTTTTCCAGTTTATCCACATGCGATAAGTAATTGTACTGGATTACAGCTACACTAAAAGCTTCGACTCACCCGTGTCTCTGGATATGGGCACAGGACGTGGCCGTCCGAGTCCAGACTCGTGTTCGCCGGGACGGGAACGAACACACAATTCAGAAATGGACCTTCTGTACCCAAGTAGGCAGGCGGGTTTACTATTGTGTAATACTCGAACCCACTGGCGGCCCGCTTTTCGTAAACAACTTTACAGAGCACGCGTTGGGTGGAGAGGACGCCCCATTGAAAGTGTCTTGCTCCAATGCGCTGGGAAGTTGGGGGGTCCTTTTTTCGAAGACCCATTCTTTAGCGAAAGTGTATCGGGGATAGCGCGCACAATGGAGATGGTTTCAGGTGTGATGAAAATCAATTTCGAGTTTATGCGATCATTATACATTGGACTCTCTCCGTGGACCGTCTTGACCGTCATGTTCGGGAGTCAAGGTCGAGACCGGCGGGGAGAGCACTAAGATAGTGCTAGGACATTTAGATGCATATTGCAGAAGCGGTGAGGATCATAGATATTGACACGAATAAGGCTTCACCGACATCTTTAGCTTCAGACGGGTTAGAGTTGGGCTTAGAACGCCGTGAGAAATTCCAGACCGTCCTGGCGTCAGCGGAGACGCCGGGTCTCCCTTGGCTATGGATTTGTCGGGACGATGGGCTCCAACAAAGCCCGGCTGTCGGTGTCCACTAGCTCAGGGGCCGGCGCCGGGGAAGCACACTCTTGAAATTCTTGCAACGGCAGCAGGCTTGCTGGAGTGGATCAGGGCGTTGTGGGCAAATACAAGTACGGAGTACGGAGTACGGAGGACACTATACAAAGGCCTGATTCGTAACTAGTCCGATTGGATCGCCAGTGTAGATCCATTATTGGGCGGGTTTTTGATGGAGATGGAGATGGTTCTTTCGTCCTTTTGACCGCTTGGAGGGGCATGGAATGAGAGACATAGTCCGGATTTGCGGCCCAAGGGATTGAGAATGGTGGATCGGCCGATTCATTTGTCGAGGCAAGGGAATCGCACTCACAGGGTTCTCGGCGGTCAAGTCACCGCTCTATGCGATATCACCGTCATCTTTTTTTTCTTGTTCCTGGGTCGAGAACGTTAGCTGGCTCGGTCCGCTGCATCGGGAAGTGGATCGAGCCCAAAGGTCCCAAGGTCAGCAACTGGTTGGATTGTCCAACAGAACCTCAGTGTAGGTTCAAAGGGCATCCCTCCGACGCAGCCACTCAGTTTCACCGCTGCGCGTTAAGATTTGGTCGATTTCGCCCAGCTTCAGATTCGATGAAGTTTCGCTCGGGCTTCGATGATCAGCCGGGAGCTCGGGAGGAAAATTAGGGAATCGGCATCCGCGAATCAAGGGGGTGCTCAGACAGAGGCTAAGAGTTGATTTTGCAGGTTATGCGAGCTCGAATAAAGGTGAAGAGCCGTGTTCCAAAGCGCGTTCCCCAAGTAACCGCGTTGCTCCAATGATGTAAGACGGTGGCCCCACCCCACTACCCGGGAATTCGCGATGCTCAAATTGGGAGTGATAGGTAACGGCCAGCTTTTTGCGGTGTAAAACACTTTTCAGAAGTGGACCCTGAGTCGCAAAGAAGAGAGTGTTTGTAGTGCAGACGGTCGGGCTTTTAGTATGCATGGTTGTTCCTCTTACTCCATTCAAACCACGGAGTACTCCGTACGAAGAGGACTCGGCTCGTAATCAGATGATGAGATGATTGACCGGTGGACCACCCAAAGCTCCGATTCGCGTTCTGCCTTTGCATGCAGATCTTTCTCCATGCAGTCCGGCAGGTGATGCCTCGATCTGTACAGTACAAAGACAGGGTATATCGAATCTACTTGAGTACGATACATGAGGTTATCGTACATGGCATGATGGTAGCCATACAACGTAATCTCCAGCGTGGCACAAACTGGTGAACAGCCACAAGGTGATGATCATAGGCCCAGGGAGACTGTGATTTCGGCCAGGTGAGACGCAATCTGGACCAGTCAATTTAGTGAGGCGACCAAAGTACGGGATGATCTTTTTCAGACAACAAAGCCATCAGGTTCCAAGGTTGACAGATGAATTACAAGTAGCCACGCTAGACAGATCTCGACTTAAAGTGATACAACGGAAGTGCAAGTGCTTTCCATTCTTGGCAGCAACTCACATTGTCATAACCAGAGAAAATCCACCCTGTCTCATTCTGATTGTATGATATGTACTCCGTACTCCGTAAGTGTATACGGACTAGGTGACAGCTGCGATAGTCGATCGGAGGGGTTTGGAGGGGTAAGCCGACCAGTGAACCATGGTTGAGACCTATCAATGAAATCTATGCAATCATAACCAACTACTCCCGAGGTCCGTATCAATTCTCAATATGACACCTAACTCGCGATAAGTCTTGGGCTCCGGAATGATGGAGTTCACTTTGGATACTCCGTAGTTAAAGAGTACATAGTACGGAGTACTTATCCTAGCTTGCATTGGGCAATGTACTCGTACCTGACTATCTGGGTATAAGCTCGGGATTACCTCCCCCCCTGTAGGGGGAGTTCACATACGTAGGTATTTGAAAGTCTTTGAGACAATAAAGGGGAATAACCTCACATGCCGTAAACAAAGAACTTTCCCCCAGCGAGGGGTTCAATCGAACACCCTCGCAGGTTGCTTGTACTGTACTCCGTACTTACTCCGTCCAGTGGACACCGATCGACGATGTGCACCTCCAGTGTAGATTATTAGTCGAAATGATCAAATAATGGCCCAAGGGGGAAAGCTGAAAGTAAACCATGTGGGCTGAGATCGGGCCAAATCTATAGGGCTTTGGGAATAATTACGACGTGTCGATTCTGTATGGTAAAGAAAGGGAAAGGGGGGGCATCTTCATAGGTAAATGTGGGTGTGGGTGTAGGAACGAACAGTGCGTGGCCGTAAATCGAGGGTGGCTGGGTCTCCCCCCTCTGGTCTTGTCCTGTGCTTTTTTTTCTTTTTTTCGTGATTTTATTTTACCAAGTCCCGCTTTCTGTAACGCTGGTCTACACTGCGCGCCTCACGCGTAGTAAGCGATGAGCTTAGGCCCACGTCCTTTTTCTCCCCCTCCCTTCCCATTGCCCCCCTCCCCCCAAAACCCGATTTCGAAATTCCAAAATTCCTTCTTATTTCTCCTCCTCTTTCCCCTCTCCTTCCCCTCTTCCTTCCTCCCACCTTTAATCCGCGACTTCGTTTTTATTCCCCTTTCACAGCGTTTGTTTTTAATTTGTGGCTGGACAACCACTTTTATCCCGATACCCTTTGCTATCCCCGAGGAATGATCAGACTCCCCACCGAACTCTTGTCGTCGACACGCCTACAGAACCGGTGCGAAATCACCCAAGGGACGATACCACCGATCTCGTTCTTTCTCTAAATCAAACCGCACATATGGCTCCTTCCGCACCCGGGACAGCCAGCAACTCGCCGGCAAAGAAGGCATCTGCCCCCGAGAAGAAATACAAGTGCCAATTCTGTAATCGCGCATTCAGCAGAAGCGAACATCGCAGTCGTCATGAACGCTCCCGTAAGCCCCTCATTCCACCTGGGCACACCTCCCGCGCTCTTTCCCCTCGCGTTTCCTCGCGTTTCGTCTCTTGTGTGACTAATTTGGAAATCACAGACACAAAAGAGAGACCCTTCAAGTGCTTAAAATGTCGCAGTACCTTTGTCCGTCGTGACCTTCTTCTGCGCCATGATCGAACCGTGCACGCCAAAGATGGCGGTATTCCTCTCGTCGCAGAGGGCCGCAGACGTGGTGGAGGGGTTCAGAAAAACTCGTCTGCCCCAGCTAAGCCGTCGGTCACCATTGACCCGACGACCCTGGAGCAGATTGAGGCAAGTAGCGACGGTATGGTCGACATTGAAACTGCAGCCATGTTGATGACAGATTTCCAACATAAGGCTGCAGCTGCGGCGACCGGTCAGGTCTCCGAACGTTCCGAATCGCTCTCCCCAGGACGCGGTTCCTTTGAGCCCTACCTCTCCGGGAACGCCACCTTGCCCCAGATGCCATGGGACACCCTAGCCTCCGAACCCGGCTCGATGCCCACCCTCGTTGACCGTCATGGCCCCGTCGGAGACATTCTCATGTCCAACTCGCTCCCCATGTCGGGACACTCCACTCCCAATGCCCTCTCGCCGTACCCCTCGATGACTGGCCCAGTCAGCCCTGTTAACTACCGTCGTTCACCCGGCCCCAGCCAGGCACTGACCCTTCCCAAGGCGCCCCAAATCGCCAATGAGATGGAACGGAGCTACGTGGTGGACCGTGTGCAGGCATCGGACAGCCTTGGTGCGCTTCCCGATACTTTCCAGCTTCCCCCACTATTGCGTTGAACCGGTACTTGTCTACTTACTTCAACCTGTACCATCCTCACTTGCCCTTCCTCCACCAGGAATCGTTCTCACCCTCGAAAATCTCGGCACCTTTGTTGCTCGCAGTATTGTCGATTGGTGCGCTCTACACCTTTGAGCGCGAGCACGCTTTCATGCTCCACGTCGGCTCCAAGGTTCTGGTCAACCAATTCCTGCAACAGAAGGACAACTTCGACTCTCGCCGATGCCCCCTCTGGTTGATGCAAGCTACCTTGTTGAACATGGTGTTTGAGAGCTGGAGCGGTGACCCGAAGGGTCTCGAATGGACCTGCTCAATTAAGAGCCTGTTGGCCAATATGGTCGCTGGTAACCGATACCAGATGAAGGTGCGAGTTCAGGCTCGCCAAGGTGTACAGCCCTCCCGTGAAGAGTGGATCGAGGACGAGTCCTGCCGCCGTACATACTTCGCCGTGTACATTTTCTTCGGAATGCTGACACTCACCTTCAACCACACTCCGGCCATGAGCTTCGACGAGTTCGACGATTTGGAACTCCCCTCTTCCGAGTCCCTCTGGAACTTGGATGCAGCCGACGATGAGACCTGGCGCCGCAGCATGGGCTCCAGCGCCCTTACCGTCCGCGAGGCCCACGACTTCTTGTTCCAAGGCGAACAGACCCGTTACAGCGCTTTCGCTACTCGTGTTCTGATCAATGCCTTGTTCTTGCAAGTCTGGAACCACAAGCGCAGCTTTGAGGCACTCCAAGATGTCGTCACCGAGTACAAGTTGCGCCTGGCCCTCGAGACCTGGGAGACTTCCCTCGAGCTTTGCGAGCCCGAGACAATTGTCGTCCCTCTCAGCACTCCCCAGAAGGGTCACCCGTTGATCTTCAACTCCATGGCAGTCTACCGCAACACCCGCGCCCGTCTGGAAGTTGATCTGAAATCCATCCAGGAGGCTATGCGGTACCACTCCTCCTACGAGGTCGCCGCTGCCATGACTGTTGCCCGCGAGAAGGTCAAGCGCTCCCAGGAGATGAACAAGGTGATCCAGCAATGCTTTGAGTGCATTGAGATCGCCGCCATTCAGGGTATCAACTGGGTCGCGAAGACTTCCGCCACCAACTGGAGTGTTGAGCACCCGCTCTGCGGCCTTGACTTGATGGTCATTCTCAGCCTGTGGCTCTACCGCCTGGAACATGACGATGAACCTGCCACTGAGGCCGAGCTGGCCCTTTACAACAAGGTCCGCAATCTGTTTGACGACGATGCCATCGACGCATTTGGCAAACTCAGCTCCACCGTCGCCCGTGTATGGGGTAACATCCTAGACGGCGTGGTTGTCTGGGGGTATGTTCTTCCACCCTCTTTCTTTCTACTGAATTGATCACTAACCATCTTTACAGAATCACCAAGTTGATGGGCGAATCTTTCAAACTCCACTCTCAGGCTCTTGTTGGATACGAGGACTCTCTTCGTGTCGGCAAGGATCAGCCTATTCATGCTGTGCCCACCAAGTCGCTTGCTAGCGTCGGCACAGCATACTAAATCTCCTTGAGTCATTTTCCTTGAGTTGATCTGCTTTTTTTCTTATTTCCTGCACTTTGATGTTGTTTTTCGGGTTCTTACTCTCATTTCTGGACGGTTTCATTGGGACACTCGGGAATCCGGGCTGGACCTACCAGTGGGCACGGCGGGGTGTTTGTTTTTCTCTGCAATCCTCTTCGCCTTTTGATGCCCCTCTCGGTGGTTTCCGGTCCTATGGGCTTCTTTTCTTGTTCTTCTGCTTGCATCTTCCCTGCTTTTCTTGCACCAGGGAGTCCAGTGTGGTGTTTCTGCTTTCCGTCTTCGACACCTGGCTGGTCCTGTGTGTTCTTTCGCACTCCGTGGAGTTTGACTTTATGGTTTCATTTTAACACCTAATTGTGCCCCCTCCCGTCCATCTGCTTTTTTTGTTCTCGATACCTTTTGACTTTCCTGCGTTCGTGATGCGTTGCTGATTTTTCATTTCCTTTGTCTGATTCTGCTTCTTGGGCTGGTTTTTTTCTAGCCCGTTGTATTTGATTTTCATTGCCTGCATGCCTTTTTTCTCCCCGTCCCGTTGCTGTTTTGATGTCCTTTCATGCCTAGCATTGCTTTTTTTCGCTTGCAGTTTTCTCTTGCACATGTTTTGATGCCTCTTTCTTTATGTACTATACGTAATCAATGAATAATCTGGCGGGGATTTCACCTCAACTTTTGATCCAAATGTAAATCGATAGGTGTAGCCAAGCTCTAAGTCTTCCACATCACCTGGCCACTTTCTCTTCTCTTCTTATCGTAATTATCATGACTTCACCATTGCCCCTGACTGTAATGTCCAGCCGACGGTTATCCTTAGTGGCGACGTCAGTCGCGGCCATCTAGGCCACCACTGATTCAGCGCCACCACTACAGAGTCTGCCAGTGCCCCCCTTGATGGACGCCCAATATACCCAGAAGCCACCACCAGAAACTAAAGCCAATTCAGACTCAAAGTAGACGAGACCACAAATACAAAGATAAATTGACTTTATTGTATCTATGACCGAAAATGAGAAATAGCCACCACTAGCAACCTATTTGCCCATAGCGACAAACAGTCGATCACCAATATCTCCAATTCCAGGCACAATCATACCCTTCTCATTGACACCCTTATCCACACCACCAACATACACCTCCACATTCTCCCAAACCCCAGCAGCACGCTGAATACCCTCCTCGGAACCAAGCACACTCAGCATAATCACCTTCTGAACACCCCAATCACGCAGAAGCTGGATAGCCGCTTCGGCCGTCGCACCAGTCGCAATAATAGGATCCAGCAGTACAGCCAGGGTAGCAGCTGCGGTGTTGGTGGTTGGATCTAGAGATGCGGGGGAAGCAGGAGATAACTCCGACCGGTGGAAGGGGAGGTTGTTATAGTATTCTACTGGTTGGAGGGAGACTTTCTCGCGGAAGAGACCCAGGTGGTAGACTGGTACCGGGGTGGGGAGGAGGTCGTTCAGGGCTGGGTACGGTGTACGGTGTAAGCGGGGTTAGGCTTTTGGGGTTGCAGTGCATGGGCTCGGCGGGAATAAGTTGGACAGGGACAGGGCTGGGCTGGGGGGTACAAAAAGGGCAGAAAAGGGTGTAGAGGGGGAGGGTTAGATGTTGGAATGTCTTTGTTACTCACCATCTACCATTCCTAGACCGGATCTGAGGATTGGTACTAAGGCTAGGTCTGCTGGGTCGATGCCTTGCGTTTCATACTCGATTCCGAGAGGGGTGGTGTCCTGTGAATGTCAGTATGGTAGGTGAAGGTGCTAGCAGGACTTACGGTTCCAGTCTTGACTAGCCTGAGGCCTGAGAAGGCTTCGACGCCTAGAATGTTGGCAATGTCATGGACTAAACCTCTTGTCTCGCGGGGAGTGGTTGAGGATGAGCGGATGAGAGAGAGCTTGGCTTGGAGACAAGGGTGAGAGGAGATGTGGACATTGGATGGGAGAGGCATGATGGGCTATATTGAGAGAGAGACACACACAGAGAGAGAGAGAGAGAGAGAGAGAGAGGAAGCAGAAGCAGAAGCAGAAGCAGGAGCAAGCAGTGCAGAGGGTAGCTTCTTATCTTCCCCTCGTTTGTATAGAGCCTTATCGGTCTCCACATGACCCACTCGGTCTCCGGGTCTTGGCATTCTTTTTCCCTCCTCCTCCTCCCTTTCACAATGGATGTCGGCAGCAAAGCCACCGACTACCCTCTAACAGAGACTGCGGCACCTCAACCAGTCCAACAACCCCCAGTGCAGCGTCAATCATGGGAACGTGATCCAGCGCCCAAGCCTGCATCTGCACCCCTCTCGAAACACGCAACACACCTCTACACCGTCTCCTACCTAATCTTCTTCTCCTTCCTCGGCACTCTCGCCCGCCTAGGTCTCCAAGCCCTAACATTCTACTCCGGCGCACCCGTCGTAACAGGCGTGCTATGGGCAAACGTCAGCGGAAGCCTAGTAATGGGCTTCCTGAGCGAAGACAAGAACCTCTTCCGCGAAGAGTGGGGCGAGCCCAAGGCTGCAGATACGGATGCGATCACAGCCGCTCAAAATCATAAAGCAGTCAAGAAAACTATCCCACTATACATTGGTCTGACGACGGGCTTCTGCGGCTGCTGTACTTCATTCTCGTCTTTTATTCGTGATGTCTTTCTCGCTCTCGCTAATGCCCTCCCGGATCCCTCGCTGCCGTCCGGGACAGCTATCGCATCCCGGAACGGCGGGTATAGCTTCATGGCGCTTGTCGGCGTCATCTTGCTCACTGTGTCGCTCAGTCTGTCGGCGCTGATCTTCGGTGCCCACCTAGCTCTTGCTCTGGCGCGTTACACCCCCACCGTGCCGTTTGCGTTCACGAGGCGGGTTTGCGATCGTCTCGTTGTCGTGCTGGCTTGGGGGTGTTGGCTTGGTGCTGTGTTTCTTGCGATTTGGCCGCCAGATCGACATGAGGGCTCGGAGGTCTGGCGTGGGAGAGCGGTGTTCGCGGTGGTCTTTGCGCCGCTTGGATGTCTGCTTCGATTTTATCTTTCGATTTATCTTAATAGTCGGATTCCAGCATTCCCACTGGGTACTTTCACTGCCAATATCTTTGGCACGGTCATTGAAGGGGTTTGCTATGATCTGCAGCATGTCAGTGGCCTTGGGGCGGTGGTTCCTGCTGCGTTGACGGGTTGTCAGGTTTTGCAGGGCGTTATGGATGGCTTTTGTGGCAGTGCGACTACTATCAGTACATGGGTTGCTGAGTTGAATGGGCTATCGCGCCGCCGCCATGCGTATGTGTATGGTGTTACGAGTGTCGTTGTTGCGCTGGGATTTCTCATCGTCATCATGGGCTCGTTGCTGTGGACGAGTGGATTTGACGAGCCCGTGTGTGGGTAAAAGACTGGATAGGTTGTACGATATGATGCAAATAGACTGTACTTATACTTTTGAGGTGCTACTATTGATAATTAGATGGCTTTAAAGGTCAAAATATGACATAATAGAAGCATATCCCAATCGCAATTCCATTCCTCGTATCGGCTTAGAAACACTGGAAGATGCCAAAGTGGAACAGAACACATCATTCAACTTCTAACTCGAACCCTCTCCAATCTTAACAAGACCACCTTGTCCTCCAGCTCTTCTCGCCGGACTCTCAGTCCGATAACCCCCCACACGAAAAGGGCGCTGATCTCGATCATGCGGAGGTGACAATGCAAGCCCAATGATAGACTCAACCCCTCCACCCCCAGTAGGACTCACAATAGCCCCAGACGAAGGCACCATTTCCGCAGCAGGTCCAGAGTCCAGCAACCCTTTTGGATGCTTTGAGCCCAAGGGACTCAATGCATGCGAGGTCAGTGGCCCCATCCGAGATCCAATAGCCTTCCCACTCCTCAGCAACTCCATACCGTGAACAGGTAACTCGACCCGGTCCTGGGGTATAGTATAGAAATCAAGGACTTTTCCATAAACATCACTTTTGGTGGGACTGGGGCTTCTAGTCCCGGCCGTTATGGAGGTTGTTGTTCCTAGTTTTTGACCGAATGGTGATCGACTATTACGGAATGCTTTGCGCCGGGCGAGGTCTTGGGCGTGGATGCGTCTTTGAGATACTTTTTTTCCTTGTTAGTTGTTGGGCTTTGATATAACAGTCTTGCCGGCATCAGGGAAGAAAAGGTACGGGGATTCCTCCAGGGCTCATCCAGTCTTTAGGTGCTGGGCTACATTGAAGCGAAAGGACGACGACTCACCACGCCAGATAACCACATAGGCTGCCATGACCGCTAGACATAGACTGAAGAAACCGAACATTAAACCGAGCTCGTGGCCGAGCGAGGGCATTGGTACATAGGGCGGGAACTCGTCGGCCATGGTGTTGGTATAAATTTTGGTTTCAATTGGAAAGCCGATGATCCTCACTTCGTGGGATTGCTTTTTTTCCTCTTCTGTTAGATTGAGAAATCGCTTTGAGAGAGCGAGGACCAGTTTGAACCAAGGGAGAACCTTGGAATCGAAGGTTGACTGTCTGTGACTTGAACGAGGTCGTCCTGTATAATAAAGCAAAGATTGTCTTTCTTTTTCCTCCAAGAACAGAGAATAAGAGACTGGTATCTCTGTTGTCCTCTGACTGCAAACATAATGGGCGCAGAGCAGATTGGTCAAGCGTCAAGGGAACAAAGAAAGCTGATCCCAAGCCCCAATATTCCGCCAACGAGGCGCAGGCTAGTTTAAGCCAAGAGAAACACCAAAAAGCGCAAGTAAGTAAAAATGTATGGTCAATTCGTATTGGCTATATCTATAAACAATGATTAAGTATGTTGAATGTACTCCGTATCGCCACGGAGCACACGTAAAAGCATTTGCATCAAAACGAACAAGGTATCATGTACAACATGCGCATAACATGTAATTCTTTACCCCCGACAATACCATGAGCATATGTAAGAAAAATAACAAGGGTAGGCAAGTCGGGTAATGCAATGAAAGGAGAAAAAAAAAAGGGGGGCTCAAAAAATAAATCCAATCCCACGCCGAACAGAAGGTCATGGATGCAAAATAAACAGAGAAAAAAAGTTTCAAAAAGTCGCTGCAAAAGACCGTAAGAAGATGAAGGATGAAGTCACAAGGTTTCGAGTGACTCCAGAAGTCGAATAGGGAGTTCGGGCCATGCCCGGCGTTTCACATGTAGCGTAAGAAGCGGTAGGTAGGTAGGAGGGTCGAAAAATATGTAGAAAAGCGAAGAGAGAAAAGGTATGCGAGGACTATCCCAGCATCACAGCCGCCAGGGCAGTGAAAGTCAAGCCGATACCCATGCCAATCCACGGAGTCTGGCCCAGCGAGCCCTCACTGCGCGCCTGGAGAACATGCCTGGCAGCCAGCAAGGGCATATCATCAGAAATCGGGGCACGATCCAGAATTGGAACGAAGTGCTCGCGGGGCACAAGCTCCGGTATTGACACGGCGGGGGAGTTGTGCGCGAAATCGGAGGAGATGCCAGATGCGTGTGACTCGGCGAAAACAGCGGCTGGGGCCAAGAGGGCCAGGAAGGTGGTTGTCCTCATGGTGTGCAAGTATAGGGATTATTTGTATGTGCGTATATATAGATTGTGCAATGGACTGGTATGCGCGGAGCTTGTGTTGTTGCCTGCGCAGACAAGCAACGCCAAGCTGGTTGGTGCGGGTCGTGGGGTTGGGGGTCTTAGGAGTTGGCGAGGCAACAGTGCTGGAGATAGATGATCGGGGTCTGTAGTGTGGGAATCTGACTAGGCGAGTCGACTTATAATTGCTATGGGTTTGTCTCTCCCAGCATGCCACTTTTTGAGTGGGTTGTCGCAGATCAGGCAACCGAGGAAAAGGGGCGAAACGGTTCAGAGCCTCAGGGACCGGATTATCACGACTCGACCAACGCAGCGGGAATTGAGAGTAGAGCAGAGAAGTAAAAAAACCAGAAAGAAAAAGAGAGAAAAGCTAGGGGAAAAGGGAGATTAAAAAGGTGAAGCAAGTCAGGGCGAGGGCTTGATTGGCCGAGCCACCCTTTCGTCTCAGGGACCATCCCGTCTTGAGGACGGCTGGTTCGCCCTTGACTCTGCGTCTTCTGATTGGTCCCCCGAAATAACGGTTTTGACGTTAAACTTTGACAAATCGTGCGCTATCATTTTCACTCTTTGCATATTGCTACTTACAACTTACATAGTGTATACTCCGTGGTTCGCTATAGTTCTATATAGTCCCTTAGAGTCGCCTATACACTGCTATACATTCAATTCTCCCTTGTAACATCAGTGTCCAAAGCGTTGACATCTCGGACAAACCAAATCAAAGAACTGTCCTCCAATCTTCCAATGTCCGGTCGGAAATTGCGGCCGAGGTTGCTTGCAATGACCACAAGCCAATGGCCGACCAGCTTCAATATCAGCTTGAATGCGCGCCCGGGCGATTCTCAGATTATGCCGGCGGGACAGAGCATTCGGGTCCGGAAGTGAGCCCGAAACGTCAAAATAATTAAGACACGAGGTGCAAATATCTCGATCCACAGTGGCAAGATGTCTGATAGTCACAGTATTTTCATCGGCCTTGCAGTGTTCGCAGGATTTGAGCTGGTCGCCTGTCGGAGAGGAACCCTCCTGCGAGGATTGAGCCTGCGATGCAGAAGCTTCTAGCGCAGCTTGGATATTGCTTTGTCGAACCTTCTCACGAGACTTCCAGAATGCTATCGTCTTCGCGTCGGGTAGGGAGTTGGTTACCTTCAAGCTGGAGCTGCAACCACGACAGTAGTACCCGGAAGACGGCTTCTGGGGATCGACCAGTCGGCGCTTGCCACCTGGGGCGGTGGTCATACCGCAGTGAACACAAGGGCTTTTCATCGCACGCGCTGGTGGGGCAGCGGTAGCGCTTCGTTTCAAGCGGCGTTTCCTGAGCGCTTCGATTTGCGCAGTGCTTGGCAGGGCGTCGGTTTTGATAAGACTCCTACTACACGGCTGACAGTAGTAACCACTGGAGGGATTTTGTGGCTCAACGAGCCTCCGTTTGTTGTTGGAATATGTCAAATCGCCGCAGTGTTGACAGTTATGCGGATCACGACTCTGCTTCGGCTCTGTGGACTTGGACCTGGAAGCCCGGGTCTCTTCTTTCGAGCTTCCTGCGCTCTCTTGGGTTGTGTCCTTCGTGCGGCCAGCGTTACTCTTCGCCCGATTTTCTCTGCGAGTCCTGAAAGCTGCGATTTCAAGCTCAGAAGGTAGAGAGCCATGCTGGTGTACATGTCGAACACATGATCGACAGTGAAAACCCGCAGATGGGTTCTCAGGGTCGATGAACTTTCGACTGCTTTTCGGAGCTGTAATTTCGCCGCAGTGTCGACAGGGGCTTCTTTTCTTGGTTTCACCACTCTCCCATATTAACCGTCGACGTCGGATCAACACAAGCTGTTCCTCATTCGGTAGGGCGCCGTGAACATTTAAGACCTGGCGACATGGTTTGCAGTGCCAGCCGAGGGAATGGTCTGTCGGGTCGACGGGCTTGCGGATCTTGGGAATCGTCTTTCCACCACAATGCGCACAGTATATGTCTTCGTTTTCCGTGGACTCATGGTGGCATTTGTGAGCTCGTGGTTTGTTGCTGTGGCTATGTGTTGTATGCGCGGATCGGGGTAGATCGACAAACGAACGCCTTTGCGACAATGCCGGTGGTTCATGAAGGTGCAAGGTTCTCCCGGCCCATTGAAGCTTGAATTGGGTGTCGCGTGAGCATGAGGGGTATCGTAGGGGTTTGAGGATGGTATGTCTGCGAAATAATTGCGCGTATAGATTGGATTGACATCCGAGAGGACGTAGCGACATCTCGACGATTCGTGTCCCGCTGGAGACACTCGGATTGGCCTATGAAGGCATCGTAGATGAGTGTGCGTGGTGTTTTGAGCTTAATACACACTGAGTTTCAATTGAAGCATCCGCGACGAACGGGCTTATGTTCCTGAAGTTGAACTGGAGCTACAAACTCGACGCGAAGAAAGTTGAGTTGCAGAGCCCGGATCCCTGATGTCTTGGCACTTGCCTGAGGCCATCAAGCCCAGCCCTACCTTCTGCCAAATTTGACCTCTAGTTCTAGTTCTACAACGTATGCGAGTACCTAGGTATGAGACTAGAATATTCTATGTTTGGTTTATTCCCGTTATCGTAAAATATGTAGCTATGTACATACTGCCATTAAAGCATTGCATCCCAGTTTGGCGTGAGCGTAAACTTGCCAGACAATTGACCCATCGAATATGCCTTGTTGTTTGACGCATCTAGATTCTCATCTTCATTCTCCTGAACGACGACAGCCTCTTGAACAAAGCCGACAGGTGCTCCTCGGTCCAGCTCCATGCTGATGCCACCCCAGTCCAAAGTTACACGGCCTGATTTGTGCACATTCAGTTTGCCGACACGGCCATTGGGCAGGTCCCATGGCTTTCCGGCTGTGATTATATCTGTTTGTTGATTTTCTGTGGGTTGGGAGGTCTCCACAATCTCCACGTCGTCGCCTGCTTCCCGCTTGACTTCGGGCTCAGTCTTAAGGGCCGGTTCTTCCTGTGTGGTTGGCTGTCGGTTCTCTGTTGTGGAGCCCGCGATCCTGAGGTTTGGAGTCATGGGTGGGAATTGCATGAGGAACAGTTGACCGAGAAGAGGATTGTCGTCCTCATCCTCCTCGCTGGTATTTTTCTCCTCTTGTCCTTCGGCCGCGGCTGTCTCTCCTTCCGCAGCGCCATCGGTGGTGGGTTCAGTAGTATCTTTTTCCGCAGTAGTCTTGGGCTTGGGAATGAGAAGGTCCTTGATGATGACCAAGTCGTCCTGGTGACGATCATATTCGTCGATCTCTTCTTTCGTGTGCAGGAGACTGCGTGGGTCCACCGGCTCAGGTGTGGTTGGTGATGACTGGGGAGACGTTGTACCTCTCTTTGTAGGGCTCATAGTCACAGAGCGCACGCGAACGTTGTGTTCCGGCAAGAAGCCATCGTCGTCTGCCTGGGGAATACCACCAGCCATAGCTGTGTCGTCATCTCGGGGCTCTGCCTTGACTTTCGTCGGAGTCTTGGTAACATCCTTCTCGATCCTCTGCTTCTCCTTCTCTGCCTTTTTGCGAAGTTCGGCAGTGCGAGCAGAACTCGACTCCATATTGACACTGATGACTCGCTCCTCGTGTTCATGTCTGTCGAGACGGACTGGACGAAGCGCACGATCGGTGTGTGAACGGCTAGGTTGCTTGCCCTTGGGGTCCTTAGGTGTGTCCCATTCCTCATCGCTGTCAAGGTTGATGTGGTCAATGCTGATGCGCAGTGCATTATCCTCGTCGTCAGAGGAGTCGTATGCGCGCCCACGGTGTCCTCCAGTAATACCAGATCTGGCGCGCCCTGAGCCGATACCAAAACCACCGCCGCCTCCACCTCCACCACCACCACCACCACCTCCACCGAAGCCGCCACGACCGCGCTTCCCTCCTCTTCCTCCAAAGGCACCACCCATGCTCATGGCCATAGGACCACCACGACCACGGAAACCACCGCGACGAGGCCCACCCCGTCCGCGCTGAATGGCAGCCGCCTCCTTCAAACGTTCATTGTGGCGCTCCTTCTCAATCCTCTCGATATCATCTCGCTCTTGCTTGCTACGACGCCCAACAGCTTTAGGTCTGTGCTTCATAACCGGCTTGACTGGCTCGCCGCCAAGTGCAGATGGTGGTCGACTGGCCGGTCCAATGCCACCAGATGTTGCGCGCTTATTTGTGGTTTTGAGGCGTTGCACTGGGGCTCGATTCGCGGATGCGGGTGCGTCTGTTCCCACGGGAGCATTTTGTTCTGTGCCTCCGGCAGCGGAGGCGTTGGCGCTCGAGTCAGCGCGAGCTCCTCGTGTAGAGGCCGCCCCGCGAGCGGCTTTGGGGGGCATCTTTGTCGTTCTTCAGATCAAAAGGGTGCGACTTGGTGGCCGTTGGAGAAAAGTTTCGTGTGGAAGGGCGGGTGCAAGTGGGGGTTTTTGATGTGGACTCGAGGTTTTCGGTCTCGGCCTAGTATTTGTATCTGTGGGTTTCTTTCCACAGCAAGTGAAACGAGTGCCAATTGTTCGGTGAGATCTACCAGCGATCGGAGTTCGACAAAGTCGAGCTCTTCAAAAAAAGTTGCGGGGCCATCCACACCGCCTTTATCACGTGATCGATATCAGTCGTACCATGAAGACGGAGTTTGAACAATGCCCACGAGTTAGAACTATTAAATGATGGAAACATCAAATGGTTTGAAGTTTCTTATTGATAAATTCAGAATCCTTGGACAACTCTCGGTTGTGCAGGACTGACATCGCGTGCATGAAGGATCGCCCATCTACAAGTTATGCCCCACCTAGAATATATAGAATGCTTCTCAAGTTTTCCCTACAAAACTGGGCACCAACTACTCGAACACGTACCCATGTCAAATTGACATGATCAAATATAAATAACCCAGTAGCATTGATTCCGAATGAGCGAGTGGATGTAACAAGAAGCATACAGCCCGCAGAAAATACTAAGACGCCTACCTAAGGGACACACGAGCAACAGATCAACCGCTTGGCAGTGCATGATGGAAGTCAGGAGCATGGCTTGTAACCAGTAAAGGGAGTGTAGAGCTCGAGGGAAGGATAGTAGTATTGTAGTGTTAAGGAGTGTGTCTGGCGCTGGCCAGATGGGTAAAAGGAGAGAGGTAGGGCGTATGAGGATGGCCCAAGGTGAGGATGGCAAAGATGAATGAGAGATCCCACGGTGACAGAAAAGGTGAAGATATGAAGCGAAGAAAACGCTGAGAGATCGCAAACGATTATGCATATCGAAGGGTTAGCCACTAGCGCTTCCGCTTCTTATTCTTGTCTGCTGTAGATGAAGAAATAGGAGGGGTCGCAGGCATTGATGGGAAGTCTTCGTCGCCTTCATCCATCTCTTCACCATCCTTTTTGACTGGGACTCCCATATGGCGGCCGTAACGACCTTTGCGACCATTGCCCTCGTCTTCACTGACACATCCTTCAATGCCAATGCCAGCGTCCTTGCAGCGCCCACATGGACGCTGACGGTCACAACCCTTCTTGCTCTTGCGGCATCTCTGGCAGCGAGGCTTGGTAGATAAATCTTCCTCATCGGCACCGAGCTGATGCTGGAAGTTGACCGAGCCCCCAGAGACCTTGCGGGACGAGGCCGGGCTGAGGGGTTGGATGGGCACGGATGTCTTCTCCGATGACTTGCGAGACACAGGCGCGGAAGCCTTGCTCTTGTTCAGCTTCACGGAGGCCGGCTTCTGGTTGCGGACCTTGAACGACATGGGGCGGCTCTTGGGCTTCTTTGCCTTCGGCGCAAACTCCTTATACAAGATGTCCTCATCAGCTTCACTCTTGATGCCGTCATCGGCACCGTCTGAGCTGTGATCGCTGCTGTCAGCGCTGGGAAGGATGTCATCAAGGCCCTTAAGATGGCGCTTGATGGTGCCCGGTGGAAGCATCGGGCTCGAGTCCAACCTTTGGCGACGAGCTGGCAGATCATCTTCATCCTCGCTGAAGTCATCCCCATCACTGGTAGCACCAGTCGATGAGTTGGCATCGGCAGCGCCGCTGAAGGCATCATCCAACGTCGAGGCCGAAGTGCGACCATGAGAGAAGTTGGATGCGTCGCCTAAACGTATCAATTGCATGGCCACATCCTCGTCAGAGATACAGCTTGAAATGGTGGGATCGGGGGTGGGCAGTACGCCTGGAGCGCTGGCTCGGCTGGCAGAGTTACCATAGCCCCCCCGAGGAATCGCGCATACGATGCCCGTGATCTGGGACCATGGGGGCTGCGTACATCGAATTGCGCCCTGACTGGGCGCCGTATTCACTATGACCATAGCTTTGTGGGGAAGGGAGCGCATGTTGGTAGCTATAAGGGCGTTGGGGAGGGCGGGCGAAAGGCGACCCAGCGCCTTCCTGTCCAATTGATCGACGTTGAGGAGAAATTGAGGAGGTGGAGGTAGTGAGGGGCACTTGAGGAGGAACGAATAGCGGAAGTTCCTAAAAGAAAGAGAAAGGGAAAGGTTAGAAGCCTGTAAATAGCTTTAAGATCTGGAAAGATTACTCACAGAGCTGTCGAACTTGGGCCGTTTCCGACGACCATCTTGTAGTATGTTCTCCATGCTGATGTCTGAACTAGCGAAGATCTCATTGCGAGCACGACGAGCGTAAGCGCTCTCAGTATCACTGTAGTCTTCATCATCATGGAAAACCCCGTGGGTACTGGAAGCTCGGCTTTTGTGACCTGCGCGAGAGGGAGGCTTGTGCTGAGAAGCACTGCGCAAGCTCCGGTTCGACGGAGAGGTGCTGCGCTTCCTCGCCATGCGCGATGCTGGTCGCGATGGCTGATCCAGCCCAGGCGCCATGCCGTCAATCATCTGGAAAGGCTCTGCCAGACTGGGCCGCTTGCGAGGTTCGGCAGAGAAGCCATTATAGAAGTGATCCCCATACGATTGAATGGGAATGACTCGTACATACACAGTCTTGTTATTTTTGAGGTTCTCATACCTTGCGATCAGGGTGGTTCCATGTTCATCCTCGAAGCTGACCCCACTTGGAGTGCCATCGTAGATGCCATAGAAATTTTTGACCGTGGTGACGATGGAATCTGTGGTGTCGTGGGGATATATCTGCACGCGCATCGGTATACGGGCTCGGACTTTGGAGTTCTCATCAAGAAGCAACTCGAAGGCGATGTTCTTGGGCGCTGGGCCTTTAAGCGACGATTCTCTAATCACAGCAGAGTCTGCCAGACCTGGCTGTTCCACCAGGCCTGAGAGCCCCTCATGCTGAATCGCTTGCATATCGAAGTGATTCAGAATGCGATGAAAAACACCACTGCTATACCAGAGACTGCATCAACCCACTGCTTGTGTGCGGTAGAGGGCGGGAAGGTGATCCATGGCTAGACACAGAAGGGCAAGTGTAGAGGGAAAGAATCCATCAAACCTACCACAATTATTGAATTCGAAGAGTCCGGTTGGTGGATGAACCACCCCCGAGTCTTGATGTATAAAAACTGTTGAAACAGAGGCTTCGATGGAGGAGGGGAATCTGCAGTCGCAAGAGTCGGTAGCGGCTCAGAAGGGCGAACGTCGGCTAGCTGGGGGACAATAAACCGCAGCAGTCAGCACAATGGGGTTCTGAGGATTCTAGGATACAGCAATGATGGGGGTTTATAGGAGATGATGATGGATGGATGTGTCGCTAACCGAGTCCGGCCGACCTTGGGGGGCAAGCAAGCGAGAGGACCCGGAAGAGAATGGAGAGGGAGTTGAACACACCAAATTCAGCCCAGACAGAAGCCTCTAGTATCGCAATTATAGGGAATGTCGCCGAAAGGGTAGAAGGGTCGAAGGATGGAATCGGATCGAGGGTCGAGAGGGGATTGTCGGTCTCTACGTAGCGCTGAGGCTATGTCAGCGGTGACCTCGAGCGAGAAAGGTGGGACCAGGGGAATGAAAAGCAGAAGGAATCTGAAGCAGAGATACATACCCGACAGAGCCAGCAACGTAGATATTGTTTGGTGCAAGAGTGTTGGAAGGAAGAAGGTTGAGGTGGGTGCGTACGATGGTTTCACCTAAAGCGAGAAAACGGCCTGTCTGGGTCGGTGACATGGCGATTTGCGCTTCCGGCGCCCATCGCAGCAGCCATCACATTCCAAAGCTTTTCTATGGACCTTTTGAACCTGCTTCAACTGGTATTTATTTTGTTCTTACAATTTAAAAGTGCGAAGCAATGCCTATGTTGGAGCCTTTCGCAATGCGCAAAAAGCTGTCGCAAGCCGGATGCCATTGCGCCGAGTGACGAAACACTTTATTTAATATGCCTTGAGCGCTGCAAGATTCAAGAAGAAGACTACTTATACAATGGAATTCCTACACTGAAGAAGGTATAGTGATGGACTTTGCGAACTGCGAAATGCGAAATGTCCAAGTGCATTTCACACAAAGCGGGTACCTTGGGTACCTCAACTGCGAGTAGGCCAGATGAATCGAGTTGCTTAAAAGGCCCCAAAAGATGAACAAATAGTGCCCAATCGTTTCGATGGCTTGCAGCTAGTCTCCAGCTAGAACACGTCGTTAGTTCCCATCCGCTTTTTCCTCTTGGTGGACTTGCGCCGGAAGACGGCCATTGCCCAAGCACTTTTTGGCCAAGATCACGCCCTTGTCGCATTGCGCATTTACCATGGAATCAAAATACCGGATGCCGCGACACTTGGGATGCAGGTTTGATGCATCAGAAAAGGGCACGGTGGGTTCCTCGAGTGGTCTATTGATCCACATGTTGATAGACGACCACCGACTCAGGATATGCCGGGATTCCCAGCTCTCCCCAAAAATGATCCAGTCCATCGCATGACCTTTTTACTTTTCTACTTGGTAAAGTGTCTCAAGATGATCTGCAGTTTGGCTTTACCCCTCCTCGGGACCGAAGAGGCCAAAAGCGAATCCCGCCTCGGGTTGAAAGAGCATTCCTGACTGGATGCTGGATACTGAACTCTGGACCCTGGGAAATTTGATTTCCTACATACATTGGGAAGGGAAAAAACAAACCGTCTCCATTTGAAAGAATCGGCGAAAAGGGGGGGCATATTTTACGTGGCGTTGTTCCCAATTGAACAAGCCTAGAATGATCTTCGCACTAAGAACGTGCGCTAGAATATCCCGATGATTTACCCTGACAGTGGAAGACTCCCCTTTCCCGAAGGCGATTAGCCGTCGAAGTGTACGAGGGGAAAGCGAATGATTGTCGCAGTTGTCGCAAGGAAGCGAGTGGGTTTCGGACCTCACAGACTGCCAAACAGGAACCGCTTGATTCCGGTGTCCCACCTCTTGCGACGGCGGTGTGGCTCTCACGTGGTCTCGTGTAGATAGCGCGTTGATTCTAGATCTTCCGGGAAAAGGGCGATTCCCACCGCAACAACTGGCATTTGAGCAATTTTACAATCGGGAATGATGCATCCAGTACTAAGTAGCTCTTGGATAAAATTTGGTCTCATACGAATATCTATGGAGTGAACGCGAAGGTAAAATGCAATTTTGTGGATGTTGAAGGAGACGCGCCGATAAGATCAATGACGTAGTTTTGTCAACAAACAGTGCAAACTGGGCCGATAAGGCCGAACATCATCTCTTATCGCGCCACCTACATTCCATCGGCGCAGCCTGGTAGGCCTAAATTAGATATGGGAATGCAGCTCATGACGATCTGAGGAACTTGTTGACATTTGGACGGTTCCTACACCCGGAAAAAATACCCCCGAGAGCTCGCGAGTTCAGGTTCGAAGCCCGATAGACAAATCCACTGGCAGTGACTGGCAGTGACAGACTGACAGGTGGATCAGTCGCGCCTTGCACATACTCCGGAGCAGGGGACTGAACTAATACCCTCCATTAAAAGCGCTTGTACGGAGTAGAGTTTTAGTAATAGCATTTCAGATCGCAAAGGCGTTCACTGACTGGCCCATGCAGTTACAGGCTTGCGGAACTATATCAGTGAAGAATCAAGACGGAGGGAAGTGTGCTGCTTGTTGCATATAGTCGTGCTAGGATCGACTAATACATACAGTTGCCCCTCACACCCAGCCGCCGACATACGAGGGGAGAAGGGGAAACAAAATGTTTCACTAGGGCTATAGTTAATTTGTCGAGGCAGCAAGGGTAGTACAAAGGAAGCAGTTCTGCACATCATGTTTTAATGCGCCTCCGTAGTACATTCCACTTCGGGGCTAGCGTGCCTGGAGCCAGGCACATCAGGAACAAGGGACGAATTCCTCTTTTCCTTTTCTCATCATCACTTTCGCCAAACGACAATCGCCTTCTTCAGTGCAAGAAGCCTGCAGCGGGAGGTCTTCAGAGCATCAAATTTGTAGAAGGAAGGTGCCCGCGAGCTTGTATCAAAGCGGATACCGACACTGTTTATTTTGCTTGGTTCAGCCAATCATACGGGAGCAACCTCGTCTCCATCTCAACTCAGCAAAAAGTAAACAACACCCTTCTACAACAACGCTCTTTCGACCACGCTCAGCTCCGAATCCTCAATCATGGACGCCAAGGTATGTTATTTCCATATATTCTCAGAAGCTCGTGATGAGGCAACTCTCTACGCGTCAATCGCGTTGCAACGCGGGCTTTGTCAAGACCCTAGTGTGCCGTAGCGCAATGAACATTGAACTGACTTATATTCAAGCCGCAGCGATTTCGCGCCGTTGGGGACGAGAATTTGCCCCCGGTGTCTCTGCAGAATCACAAAGGTCTCCATCAACGCAATAAGTCTAGCCCCGCTCTAGGCATGATGGCGCAGAACAATGTTCCTCGACGTGCCTTCGGTGAAGTCAAGAATCCAAAGGAGATGAACCGCATGTCGCGCGATGACTCTGCTGTTGGTGGCAAACCGGTCATTGTGACTGAAAGCAAGACTGGGTTGGCTCAGCCCGCCCATCGCCCACTGTCATCGTCAAACGCCAGAACCATCGTCGACAAAGTCGCCAACGCCAAACCCATGAACCCCGCCGGAAAAGCCCAGAAGGCTACGAAGCGAAGCAACGCTGTCTTCAAAGAGCAACTGCAAACTGTCCCCGAGACAGACTCATCCAAGGAAACACAAATGAATATCGAGGGAAAGACTGGCCTCAAGGAGGCGGAGAAGGGATCCAAGCCGACAACGATCGCCGTGATTCCTCCCAAAGAAGCTGCAGCCGCTACTCACTTGGAGTCCGATGCAACCATCTCTGAGCCTGAAGAAGTCAAGGAGCAGCCACGCGTGAAGGAGCCTGTGCTAGCGGTATCAGAGCCCGAGGAGTGGGATGAGGACGAAACCGAGTATCCAGTTGCTCCTACCGATGCGACTACCACTACCGACCTCTTCCCGCGCATGAGCTCTATCACGCAAGGTCAAATGTTTCAGGCCAAGAGAATTGTTGAGAGTGATCAGACCGAAGAAGATCGCGAGGAGGATCTTCTGGACACGACCATGGTCGCCGAATACAACGACGAGATCTTCCTCCACCTCAGACAGAAGGAGGTAAGCTATCCCTTCAGCCTGCCTTCGTGCACATTAAACTGACTTGCCATGCAGATTGAGATGCTCCCAATCACCGACTACATGGATAACCAGGCGGAGATTCAATGGTCCATGCGCTCGGTCTTGATGGACTGGCTTGTGCAAGTTCACCAGCGCTTCAACTTGCTCCCCGAGACTTTGTTCCTCACTGTCAACTACATTGACCGTTTCCTATCTCACAAAATCGTCTCCCTTGGCAAGCTGCAGCTCGTCGGTGCGACTGCCATCTTTATTGCTGCCAAGTTTGAGGAGATCACTGCCCCATCTGTACAGGAAATTGTATACATGGTTGATGGAGGTTACACTGTTGATGAAATCTTGAAAGCTGAACGCTTCATGCTCACCATCCTCGACTTTGACCTAGGATGGCCTGGCCCAATGAGCTTCTTGCGCCGTATCAGCAAGGCTGATGAGTACGACCTGGAGACTCGCACTGTTGCCAAGTACTTCCTCGAGCTGGCGATCATGGACGAACGCTTTGTTAGCAGTCCTCCCAGCTTCGTCGCAGCAGGCGCCCACTGCCTTGCGCGTTTGCTTCTGAACAAGGGCAACTGGGTATGCTGACCCCCTACCACTTCAATTGGCCATTGCTGACCTTTCTTTACTATAGACCCCAGCCCACGCTTTCTACAGCGGGTACCTATATGCCCAGCTGGTTCCAGTGGTCAAGACCATGATTGACTGCTGCGAGAATCCTCGCCGCCACCATGCAGCCATTTTCGAGAAGTACTCTGATCGCCGCTTCAAGCGCGCGTCTATCTTTGTCGAAAATGAGTTGGCATCCGACTTTGCTCTGCCCAAGGTCGCTGATCTCAGTGACCCAGATCGCTTGGACGGATATGCCAACTATTAATGCTTTGTTTTCCAGCCGACTTCCTGCTACCTTGCAAATACAATCGCAAGCTAGTCATGTTTGGTGACACCCACCGTCACCGATTGTCATTGAATTCTTATCTTTGTTTTTATTCCACCAAGAGGTGTTATCTTCGGGGCGAAATGGCGAATCGGGTCGTTTTTCTTTGCTCTTTTGCATGGTGTTCAATGTGCGGCCTCAGTCCCTTTCGCACTTCCACTTGCTTCACTTCTTTTCTTCCCGTTTTCTGCTTTCTTCCCAGTTCATCTGGGCTGACGACAAGATGACTTAACGCCTCACTTTCCCGAACATGCGAATAGATGATCGGAAGGCGTCGACGATGGTCTGCTTATCTTTCGGCGTCACTGCACACCTTTCTTTTTGTCGTTTCTACGGAACATATCTGCTTTTTTCTTTTTCGTTGCGCAATTCCCCGTCCACGCCTGCCCTCGTCTTACCCTGCGTGTGACCGCATTTGCCCTAATCCCTGTCTTACTACATACTTTGCCTTGCAGATTGAGTCAATTTTTTCTTCACATACTGGTTCCCATGGCCTTTCTTGCGTTCGTTCCTTGAGTGATTATTGCTATCCCGCATTGTTACTTGAGAGTTCGTGCATCTCGAAATAGCCTTAGGGAGGAGGGTGTTTATGCCAGATAGCAAATGGATGCAAATTACTTTGTATCCTCGGAAGGCTTTCCTGCCGTACATTTTCGGTGTCTGTAGTTGTGCTTGTCCCTCATTGAGGGTTTTGAGGTCATAGGAGAGGAGTTGTGGCTGTTTCATGTCGTCCTGTGAATCCTCTGCCAATCGTGTGTTGTCTCGCGAGTATGTCATGTTAGAATTATCTGCAGCACTCAATTTGACAACTTGATCGTTCATCCAAGTCTAATACATTAATCAAAATCCCAACTCTCTGGCAGATCCTATCAAGGCAAGTCGCAAAATCATCAATATTTGCCATCAATAACCCCCTTATACCTTGCTGGCACCAACCTTACACCCGTGAATCTATATGGATGTCCTAATTCACTTCTCGAGTGTGGTTTATGATATCTCTCTTCACTACCTATATCTCTGACTGAATGAAGCTCACCCTTGGGGACTAGCACGGCTTCCAGACTTGTCATGATATCTGGCGAAGGAGACATACATACCCAAAAAGCCATAGTACCTGTATCAACTGGCAGGGTGGCGCACTCGTCTCTACCACGACTGCCGTCCTGTCCAGCTTGTCTACCACCAGTCTTCTTGGCCGGTATCTACCCTGTTGGGAAATGGAAATTTCCCCTATAAACAGCGAGTGCCATGAGACATATCCCAGGTTCGAACCCAGCAGCTGGCCCCATCAGCCGGTCCTGTTGACTTCCTTCCCATCGTTTTTTTAGATGTTTTCTTCTTTGGCCGTGGACTGGAACGAAAGCTTGTCCCAGCACTGTAAAGGGAGCTTTAGGATAACATGTTTTGTACTCTGTTTGTCATAAATCATTTCCACTGGTCTATTTACCAATCTGAGCATGGTCTAAAAGTCTAGAGTTTCCAAAATCATTGATCAAGTCCATTGAACTCGATCAATTTCTTCACAGCTTCGATGACTCGATCCCCAATACTGTTACCATCGGAAACTAGCGAAGGATTATCAAATCGTTCTGCAAGGGCTTCGTCCAGCATCGTGCGAAGACGCGAAACCAAGACACCGATCCGGGCCCAGCCACGCAGACGGAGCCAGCCGTCTACGACCAGACCACGACCCACGGTGTCGAGCTCGATAGAACCGCAGAACAGAAGGAGAGAGTATGCATTGAAGGCTGGAGAGAAGTTAGGGATTAATCACGAGATAAGATTGTTAAACACGGGGGTGGTAAATAACTCACGGGTCAGATCGCGAATGAACACCTTGCTGGTAGCCATTTTTGTGAAGTAGCTGAGGTACGCGGCGGCACTGGGATAACCAGCGGCAGAGAAAAGGATGGAGCTTGGGTGAATGAAGACTCGGCCATTCTCCTGGTTGAAGTATTTGATAGTGCGCGCATCCGGATCAACCTCAACGGTACCAGTAACGGAGCTGGCAAACTTCTTATCAGGGAACGAGATCTGCGCGACCTGCGGTTGGAAGGCCCCGGCAATAAGAGCACGGATCAAGTTTCGGTTTCCAGCATTGCGGTTCCAAACAGGTGAGGAGTCTGAGTAGTTGACTGCTAAGACGCCTGCATCTTTGAGAGAGGTAATGAACTGAGCGCGATTGGAAGAGATGTCTCGCAGCGTCTGGTGAGAAAGGAAATTGGCACCGCACCACGATTGGGTTCCCCAATAACCACCCTTTGCCTGGGCTCGCTCGGACCAGGCCTGATAGGCAGAGAGATCGGTGAGGAGATCGCCGTCACCAGGCCGAGAGAAGGATGCTTTGGCGGCGTTGGCTTCCTCGCGCTTCTCGCGGGGTGAGATGAACGGACTCTTGAGTGTCAAGATGGCTGCGATGGTAAGACAGGGCTCAATGCAGCCGAAGATAGAACCGTAGATCATGAGCTTGGCACAGCGCAGATCGGCGGGGATCATCGAGAGGTATCGGCCCAGTGCTGTGAGCCTGTCGTGGTCGAGGGCTCCTACGCGATGCAGGAAGTTTAATGCGCCTTCCACGGCTATACTCTCTGGTGGTGTGATTGTGTTTGCTAAGAAGTTGGCAACATCGTCGATGCCCTTCATAGATTTAACGGACAGACAAAGCTGCTCCAAAGGTACACGGCGAATCTCCGGGTCTGGCCGCTGGGCCATGTTGGATTCGGCTTTGCGCGTGTATAGCTTGTAGCAGATACCAGCGCGAACACGACCTGCACGACCACGGCGCTGTTTGCAAGCCGCTTGAGATGCCCATACTTCTTGGAGACGGACCATATTGTCCTTGGGGTCGTAGCTTGTTTCCTTGACTCGACCGGTGTCAATGACGGCAACGACATCCTCGATCGTAATGGAGGTCTCTGCGACGTTAGTGGCAGCAATGACCTTTCGCATCCCCCTTGGTGGGCTTTGGAATACCCGGCGCTGCTCAGCGGGCAGGAGGGAGGCATGTAATGGCAGAGGGTGGGTATTGGGGATTCTTCTGACAGCCGCCAGACATTTGTCAATCTCCAGTGTACCAGGCAAAAATATGAGAATTCCACCAGGCTCGTCACCCATTTGGGCATCGATGTATTCCACAGTCGCTGCGATCAAATCATAATTGATACCCATACCCAAACTCCGGAGGGCTTTGCCAAGTGTTTCGTCGCCCCGAGAGGGTTCTTCGTCATAATCGTATTCCTCTGCGAGTTCCGGCGCAAATCCTGTATCTCTCATGACGTCGTCCAGGTAATAGTCTTGGACAGGGAATGTTCGACCAGGGATGTTCACCAGCCCAACTGATTTCTGACCACCAAAGTAATTCATAAAGATGCCAGCATCGAGTGTGGCACTCATAAGAATAACCTTAAGGTCTTTACGATAACGCAGAACATCTCTCAAAAGTGCCAGAAGGAAGTCTGTATCCAGACTGCGCTCGTGAACCTCATCAACTACCACATGGGAGACATCAGCGAGAGAGCTCGCAACGTTGCCATCGGCGTCACCACCAGATTGGATACGGCGCAGCAAGACACCAGTAGTCACAAAGGTGATCTTGGTAGAGCCAGGCCTGGCCTTGGACTCGCCTCGAATCACATATCCCACTTCATCTCCAACGGTGGAACAACGCTCATCACTGACTCGGTCGGCAAGACCCAATGCTGAAATTCGGCGCGGCTGCGTACAAATGATGTTGGCAGCGCCTCCCAGCCCCCGCTGAATCATATCATCCAGCACAAATTGCACGGACTGAGTACTTTTACCACTACCGGTTTCACCGGAGATAATAGTGACCTGGTGCGAGTTGATAGCATGAACGATGTCATACTGGATGTTCCAAGCAGGAAGTGCTTTTCGCTTTCGAGTCATTTCGATCTGTGGGGCTGTGTTCTGTTTGTTCTCCCAAGCATCTCGCATGGTCAGGCTTCGTTCTGAGTCGACAGACCAATCAATTCCCTTGCGGTTCTTGCGCGATGAACGCACAGGAATTTCGCGAGTCTCGACTTCTGATGATGCTGTGACAGCAGAGATCTCTCGAAGCCTGCCTGGGTTCTCCATGATATCAGGTAGGTTAACCTCCAGCCAATCCATGATATTGAAAATCATGGATTCACCTGAGAAGTTCTCCTCGGCATATTTCACTGCCCGGCGGATCGCACTCAGGCGAATATAAGCAGGAACGCCCGTTGCCTGGATGGAGATGACAGGAGGCGTGCTTGGATAGTGAGCGGAAGGTTTTTGGAATCGGAACGTTGTATCTGTAGGGAGTTCCGCTGCCTCGCTGTTAATCTCACAAACTTTGGGTGAGATGCGGCGATAACGTTCACCAAAGATGGCCTCCAATGTGATGGCCTCTTCCGCCCAAGCCTCGTCGTCTTCATCGACTGACGGGAGGGTGAAATCGGATCCGTGAGCCAAGGTCCCTTGCAACTGTTCAGCAGCAGCTAGCTCATCACCATCCTTGCCATCCAATACTTGAGAGCACATATCAGATGGGTAGCCAACAGAGGCGAGTCTTTTAATTTTGGCCTCACGAGCAAGATCAGTAGAGCCAAGACTGACTCCAGCCGAGTATCCCTCCGGTAGACTCCACCGGGGAAGATCATCATCGGGGACATAGATAAGAAGCCATTCAAGTACCTCTTCACGGTCTTTGCATTCTGCTGTAGCCTCTTCAACATGGCTGCGACGGAACCCTAAACCAGTGTACTCGTCTGCAATGGTCTTCTTTTCATGATCTGGAATCTTTACTCCGTAAGGATTCCACACCGTATGTTGTCGCAACAAGCCTTCGATATCTCTCCGAATGCGAGTGCCCATATCCACCTTGGGTGCTTGCGACCAAATGCGCTTCGACCTGGCATCCCCATTTCCCAGTCCTAACTCCGCATTGGAAGCCTTCTCTTTAGCCTGAGCTTTATCCCGATCTGCGCGCTTCTTTGCCAGATCGGCCGCTGCGCTTTCACGTTCTTGCTTGGCTAGGAATGGGTCTGCTTCGTACATCCAGCCCTTGCCCTCCCGGGTATCATTTGCTTTGATTTCCCCAAAGTCTTCCTTCCAGAGCTTTTTATAGGTAGGAGGCATCATCATATGAATGTTGCGCATGTTGCATACACGGAACAGAGCGAAAGCTGCGCCGAAATGGCGCGCTTCGAGAGCCGTCGGTTGCCCAGCGAGGTGTTTATGGGAGGGAGGGAGCTTCATCGGTGGAATGACAATGAGTTCTTTGGTCTTTGGATCTATCTTCTTCATCGTCACAACGGATACGAATCCGTCCGATGTTTTGATCTGCAATCGTCGCAAATGATCAGCATCTGAATGGGCAAGTGGAATGCGACAAAGGCAGCAGCGGAATTGATTACCATGCTATACTCGGGCTTTTCCCATTTTTGCTTCTGGCAATGCTCTGCCAACATATTGACTGGCAGCTTTCCTGTCCATGATGCGCCGCCAATGACCTCCTTCACAGATGGTTTCTTGGGCTCTTCCGTTGCTGGTTTCGCTTCTCCTGCTTTTTCAGCAACAGCTTTAGCCTGCTTTGTGCCCGGCTTGGGACCGCCTTTCCCATCGCCTTTCTTCTTAGGAGGCATCTTCGGATCAATCGTCGCAAGTGTCCAACAAAAAAGTTGTCGAATAACTTTTGGAGCTGGCAAAAGAGCGACCCGCACTAAACCTTTTCGGGAATGCGGGGACCCATTTGAGAAAGACGGTAGTTGTAGACTTCACGTTGCATACAAATCTAGCGTGAGACTTGGCTCTATTGTTCAAGGGCCATGTCGTAGCTTACATTCCTCGAGTGACTTTACGTCCCAATATCTTTGATTACAAACCCAGTTCGAGATGGACCAGCCCAATCCAGATGAAGGCTCCACGGAGCAAGCTGGGAAGGTGAAGAGAAATGCCTGTAATACTGCACGAGTCTGGATCTCAAGGTCTATCTCACTAATACTTCATCGAAATAGTCAACGAACTCATGGGACCCAAGACCAAGCAACAGAAGCCCACATCCAAAGCTCCATCGGATCGTAACGCGGCCAAGGGCAAAGCTACATTTGGCGCTCGAGATGGATTGGGCGCGTATATCAGCAAACCCGAAACATATCCCCCGAATGTCGTGGTCTACCATGATGAAGATTTTGTGGCGATCCATGACATGTTCCCCAAGTCATCACTACATCTCCTCCTTCTCCCTCGCGACCAGAACAAAACGCGCCTTCACCCGTTCGACGCCTTCGAAGATGCCGAATTTCTAGCCAATGTCAGAGCTGAGACGCAGAAGCTTCGTACTTTGGCAGCTGGCGAGCTGCGGCGAAAGTATGGAAAGGACTCTGGGCAGGAACAAGCGAGACAAGCAGCTTTGAGCACCGACCCGCCCCCGGATGAGCTACCACAAGGCCGTGATTGGGAAAAAGAAATTGTTGTCGGGGTTCACGCAGTGCCATCTATGAATCATCTGCATGTCCACGTCCTATCGGTGGATAGATACAGCGAGCGCCTGAAACACCGGAAACATTATAACAGCTTCTCCACTCCGTTCTTCGTGCCAATTGACGACTTCCCATTAGCGCCCGATGATGAGAGACGGCGACCAACCGAGGCGGGGTATCTTAAGCGGGACTTCGCCTGCTGGTGTTGTGGTAAGGTGTTCGGCAATCGATTCACCGAATTGAAACAGCACCTAGAGCAAGAGTTCAAAGATTGGAAGAAACTGTGAGCTACAAAAATGCAGATTCAGCGAGGCGCGATATGCCAAAAAGAGCTTGGAATGCAATGGATGAAACTCGTACGTCCGACGAGGCCTCCATAGAAGCTCATTCGAACCAAAAAAAATCTTCTATCTGATAACTATACAGGCCATGACATTGACTAAAATTCAATACATTCTCAGTATTGACCAATGTCATTGCACAAGACAAGATATGTGGACATGTAGCCATTAGACACCAATCGGCCATTTCTAGTCCCCTCCGTCGCGTGCTTTACGCACGGGCCTTAGAGCGGCCCTTGACCTTCCGGGCCTCGGGGCGGGAAATGTGGTGCGAGGGGATCCAATCGGCGTTGTAGGTGGAAGAGGAAGTAGCGGCGCCGGTAGAGGTCTCCTCGGTGACCTGGGTCTCAACGCGCTTCGAGGCCTGAGTGCGCTTCTCACCGGTCTTTCCGGTGGGCTTGCGCTTCTGGGGGAAGTAGGGAGCGATCCAGACAGAGTAGAAGAAGTAGCCGGTACCGACGACACAAGCCAGAAGGAAGAAGTAAAGGAAGATACTGATCAGATGTGTTAGTCGACCACTTTCGCACAAGACGGGTTTCATGAAGGGCTCTTACATCTGGGGATCGAAGATGCTGGTATCAGCCTCAACGACACTGACAGTTCCGTTGTGGGCAGTGACAGTGAAGAATCGACCTTCGCTGTCAGAGAGGATAGCAGACAAGGTCAATTGGAGGTCCTGGGGGTGCATCTCAGTGGCGAAGCTGTAGCTAATGGTCTCCTTCGCTCCAGCGGGGATCTCGACACCGTAACGGGTAGCGGTCAGGTTGCGAGCAATCTGAGCCTGGTCTTCAGGGTTGCGAAGAGCACCGCCGACAAAGTTGACGGTCACAGGGTTCGGCTCATCGTTGGAGACGGCGATCAGCGCCTGAGTCGGGTGACCATTGACAAGCTTAATGCCAAAGATCTCGGATGCTGGGAAGGTAGCCTGGGCAGACACAGCAAGGACAGGGGCCTCCGCTTCAACAGGTTCAGCCTCCTAAATGTTCAATCGAGAGTCAGTCAATTGGGTCATGCGACATTGGACCCTGAGGGGTAGAGAGGAAACATACGGCAGCAAAGCCGGTGCCGACGAAGGCTTGAAGAGAGAGCAGAGCCAAAGAGAGGAAACCGAAACGAGTCATCTTGAACGTAACCAAAAGCGAAACGGAGAGAGGAGTGGGAGAGGATGAGATGGAAAGGGAACATTTGGCTCCACGTATGCAAAACCGGGGATCGGGATTACCTCAGCAGAGATAGCATGGATCCGCGCGCGGTTCTTAGATTGATTTTTTTTTTTTATTGAAGCAAGAAACACGCGTGCTATAATCTCATTTATATCAATTAATTTAATGGCCAGTGCTCAGTGATCATTGTCAGATTTACGCGCCGAGGAGATCGTGACCTTCTGCAAGCACCTGCCACCTGCGAAATCAGATCTCACTGATCGCTTTCATCAGACCGGAAACTTGCTTTCCTCCCTTACTTACTTTCTTCCTTATCTCTCGTCGCATTCTCTTCTTTACACTTTCAGATCCCTCAGATTACTATTCATCTGCAGAATGACGACTCAAGGATACCTTGAGCGATATCGCCAATTGAGCGCTCTGGAGCAACAGAAGAATGAGTTCATTGAGGTAGGCGTGATCTCTCCCCTTCGTCCCGACTCCATACTCACGAGCTTCACAGGAACTTCTCCAGCGCGTTACCGCTTTAGAGAACTCCTTCCAACAAGAGAAACTCGATCATGAACGCGAGACCCGTTTTAACCGAGATATTCAGCTCCACGAAATGGAGCTGATGGACCAGATATCGTCAGTCAAGAATATGATGGTGAGCTGCTCAATTTATCGACAGCTAGACTTTGGCTAACATCGCGCTTTTTCCACACAGGGCCGAGAGCCGTTTGTTGTTCTTCTGTTAGATGGCGAGGGAATTATGTTCAAGGACGAGTTTTTGCAGCTGGGAGAACAGGGCGGACGCAACGCAGCCAAACAGCTCTGGAAATCGCTCCAGGGCTATGTCGTAACGAACCTACCCACGATCACCGAGCCTAAGATAATGACCAAGATCTATCTTAACGTGAAAGGATTGATGGAAACTTACAATCGAGGTGGAATGACATTGGAAATATCCACGATCAGTGAATTTATTCGCGGTTTCAACGAGAGCGCATCTTTCTTCGAGATCGTGGATGTTGGAACAGGCAAAAGCAAGGCACACGATAAAATCAAGGGTACGTGGTACAGCTCTCGTGTTGACCGCATTCGTTGCTGATTCGTTCTCACTCTGCAGAGGCCTTCAAACTCTACCTATACAATTGTCACTGCCACCAACTCTTCCTAGGCTGCCCCTCAAATGAGGAATATGCCGGGTCCCTCAGAGAACTGATCTCCGGTGCGAACTATAAGGGAAGGGTCTCGCTGGTTGAAGGACTTCCGCTCGAGAAGGAGTTTGATGATTTCAGGCAACAGGACTACCGAATCACCCAGTTCCCAGATGTCTTCCGATCTACCAAGATTGTGCCAAGTGCACCGAGCTGGACTGCTCCATGGAAGAGTGCAATTCCATCACGGACTCTGCTCACTCCTTCGCCAACTCAACAGTACCAGACACCAGCACCATTGTCGCGAACTTCCACCAGCACCAGTGTGTCAAATCTGGGCGTTCCGTTGACCACAATCACCAATAAACCCGACCCTTCTGATTTCCAGGTTGTTCGCCCGAAGGTCCCAGGCACAAGTCCTCCTAAGAGTGTGGAGCGAAACAAGTACGGCCAGCGTGTCGATCGGCTGGACTTCAAAAGTATTCCTCGTGATGACCTTAATAAGTTGAAGAAGCTCAAGCTCTGCAATTATCATTTCCTGCTTGGCGAATGTCCAAACGAGGAAAGCTGCTATCATGACCATGATCGCAAATTGTCCCGCCAAGACCTTCATATTTTGTCCGCTATTGCCCGCATGACACCCTGTCGCTTCGGTCTGGAATGTGACGATGTCGAGTGCATCTATGGCCACCGCTGCCCTCAGAGCGAGCCTGGGAAAAAGACTTGCTTCCGAGGCGACAGCTGCCGATTCGAACCCGTTGCACACGGAATTGATACAAACATCGTCAAAGTGACCAGGATCTAAGGTTATCTTACACTATGCGCAAGTTCACCTGGGGTGAACAGGACTTTTCATCATTGCAGAAAGGCCACAAAATTATTTTCTATCGGGTTTGGCGTGCCATGCTGGTTTTCACGGGACAAGGGTTTATCGGGATCACCCATGGCATCAACAAGGATGTTGATTGGGTTAGCTTTGCTTTGCGGACATTGAGAATTCAATATCACTTCAGAATACGGGCGATAAAGACGGGTTTGGGCGCAAAAGTCCCCTCAATGTGTTAATGTGGTTTTTGCTTCTAAATTGTATTTTTATTAAGGATCAATCGAGACATTATGATTTTATTCGGGGTATCTGAACAGAAAAAAATATTGTACACTGTAGATTTCATGATTCATGCTTCATGGATAGTGGTGCCAAAGAGGGCAAAACGTCTCTCCCATCCAAAGCAACCAGTTTGAACGCAAGCCTCGTCATCAATGTCCATCGCATTGGAATCTTTACTGTGAGTACACGGCACCCCGTACTCCTTGATGCAACATTCGAATGGTACCGAACTCACTGGTCCCCAAGTTTGGCTGCCAGAAGCCATGGCCTTCATTTTTTGCTCTTCAAGGTTACCCCAGAGGAGAAACAGCTTTTCTCGCATTCGAGACAATCTTCGCGGATGGCTGCGGAGGCTAGATGATCATGCTCTGTCAGTGTATGTTCATCCAATCGGTCCAGATAGTGAGTTACTTACTCTGCTGCTTCCTCGTTGAAGAGACAATCACCATCCTGGCCCACCACATAAAGCTTTACAGGCTCCCGGTGCTGTTGATTAGGTTGTTTGGGCCCAATCCCTTCGACGAGTAGGCAGAAACGCCATTGCCACTCAATAGAAGGCTCAGTTGCAGAGTCCTGGCTGGTGTACAAAGGGGCACAAACTGTTTGGACCGCGAAGTCTTCCAGGTTAGGAGGGAAGAAATCGATAACCCGAGCTGTAGATCTGTAATGGATGTTTTGGAACGGAAGCTGATAGACAACACCACCGGGTCCATGATTTGTGTGGCTTTCGGCCAAGATGATTTTCTCAAGAGGGCTGATGGCCGTGGTGTACGTTCTTGTTTTGACTGGATATTCATTAGTCCAATTCCTAGTATAAAGGCAGAGATGGGTTACTCACCGTTTGCATTCTTCTTGGTTCGGGTTGATGTTGGTAGTGTAAGTTGGCCTTCTTCTTTTTGGACTTCTTTTTTTGCGCCTGTGCTTTTTTGGCTTGCTTGCTCGTCTTTTTGGCATCTTTCTTGGCGTCCTTCTTTGGCTCGCCGTGAATCTTCCAGTACTCAGCCCGTCGGTTCATCAACCCTTGGACGTGCTCGTCATTGTGGTTGTTGCAAATGCGGACATGGATCTTGTCTGGGAACTTCCTGTCCTCATGAACAGCAACTTCCAGATAACGTGCTTCTTTGGGTCGGACATATGTCAGCAGAACAATATCTCCTGTTTTGAGGGATTCCCGAGCAAATTTAGCATGCGGCTCCCACAATACAGCTTCAATAACATGCTTGCCCCAAGGACCTGGCCAGTCATTGTTGTATTTCCTCTTCATGTAATTGTATTCATCACCATCAACACCTTCGTCATCTTCTCCCGGTTTTTTGTACTCGGCAAGGTTCTCATTTTCAGTAAAGTCCGTCATGTAAAGCAGACATTTTTCGCTGTCATATGTTTTCATCTTCACAACTTGCCCAAGCAATTGGCAAAAGCTGTTAGCCACCAGATCCTTGACAAGACAGTATGGAAGACCACCCCAGCCCTTGGGGGCTGCCGGGGTTGTAGGGGCGCCACGAGAGGCCTGGACCTGAATGATTTGGCCGGCATCTGATTCATAGCGAGATGCAGATTGCTGCACCACGTTTTTGCTGCCAGCAGATCCGCGGCGGTCCAAGAGTGATTGCGCCTGATTCTCTTCCCACAAACTCGGCTTGAAAGGGACTGGGCCACTAATGACGAACGGGCTGGAGCCTGGGCCTGGCTCTGGTCGAAATATGATCCATGGAGCATTTTCAAATGAGGTTACACTTCCCATCAATTCTCCCCTCACATCTTTTGTCTGAAACTTGAGTGAGCGTGGGTTCATCTTGAACCTAGACACACTTACCCGCATGTTTCGTATCAATACCACATCGTCAAGTCGAACATCGGGAAGACAAGTCTCATTGTCATGGAAGATTCTCACTTTGAGGCTCCCCGGGTCTCGCCATGATTTATCGAAGTCATCGTCTCTGATGGTGAATGTGATAGAAAGTGACGTGCCCCCTGACTTGCGTATTCCCATCGTGTCAATGACCACGCCACATAGAACCTTCCATTTTCCCACCTTGGAACAAGCAGTGGAAATGGGGGTAAGAATGTCAGCCATGGCTGTGGGAGGTAGTTGGGGTTGAGGCGTTCTGCAAGCTCCCGATGCTTAAATGTCACAACGGAAGCGCTTCTTTAGGCATGGGACCTTCTGTCAAGGTGCATGCATGGTATGGTGAGCGCAGCAAACAGAAATAGAAAGGAATAGAGATCTCAACCCCAAAAGATACAGACAATGGAGCTAGTCGCGACCGCGATGTGAATACAATGAGGTGTCACGTGATAGCTTTTCCCCTCCCACACAACTCTTCTCCCCCCACATCACATCCCTCTCTCTCTTTCTTCATCTTCCTTCTCTACTTCCATCTCAGCGCGCCCATCTTACATCCCTCTTTACATAACTGATCCCCGCGGCGCGCTTCGTTTTCTCTCTACAATCACAATGGCGGAACGCTACATCCCCGAACACCGCCGGACACAGTTCAAGGCTAAGAACCAGTTCAAGCCCGATGAGCTCCGCCGTCGTCGTGAAGAACAGCAGGTTGAGATTCGCAAGCAGAAGCGTGAAGATAACTTGGCCAAGCGACGTGGCATCCAGACCCGGGATGGTGGTATCGGTGTCGGTGGCATGAATGCCGCCACCGAGAGTGATGATGAAGCTAGTGCTATCGAAAGCGAGGTAGGTCTCAGAGATTTTCTTTCATTGTTGATTCCCGGTTCATTCTCGATGTTGTCTATCATGATTTGAAAACTACCTGGGTGTGGCTCCGTTGCCACCCCTTGTAATCATATCGTGATTTCTTTGTTTTTTTTATGATGCGATACAAGGAATTTTTTTTTCACCGCCCGGTTGCTATGGCCCACGCCCCTCCAACCCGGCACATCGAAGCCTGCCCCCACTGCAATATAAAAAAAAAAAATACGTGAGGATTACCAAGCTAACTCAATGGATGTTATAGCTCAATGTCGAGCTCCCCCAGATGGTGAAGGGAGTTTTCTCCGATCAGGTCGAGGAGCAGATCCAAGCTACTACTAAGTTCCGCAAATTGCTTTCCAAGGAGCGCAACCCCCCCATCGAGCGTGTCATCGAGACCGGTGTTGTTGCCCGTTTCGTCGAGTTCCTTCGCTCGCCTCACACTCTGGTCCAGTTCGAGTCCGCCTGGGCTTTGACCAACATTGCCTCCGGTTCCGCCCAGCAGACCCAGGTCGTCATTGAAGCCGGTGCCGTCCCCATCTTCGTCGAGTTGCTCGCCAGCCCCGAGCCCGATGTTCGTGAACAGGCTGTTTGGGCCCTTGGTAACATTGCCGGTGACAGCCCTCACTGCCGTGACTTCGTTCTCGGCGCCGGTGCTCTGCGCCCCCTTCTGAACCTCATCAACGATGGCCGCAAGCTGAGCATGCTTCGCAACGCTACCTGGACTCTTAGCAACTTCTGCCGTGGAAAGACTCCCCAGCCCGACTGGAACACTATTGCCCCTGCTCTGCCCGTCCTTTCCAAGCTGATCTACATGCTGGACGACGAGGTCCTGATTGACGCTTGTTGGGCTATCTCCTACCTGTCTGATGGCGCCAATGACAAGATTCAGGCCGTCATCGAAGCCGGTATTCCCCGCCGTCTCGTGGAGCTTCTCATGCACGCATCCACCTCGGTCCAGACCCCCGCACTCCGCTCCGTGGGTAACATCGTCACCGGTGATGATGTCCAGACCCAGGTCATCATCAACTGTGGCTCTCTCCCCGCTCTGCTCTCTCTCCTGAGCTCAACCAAGGATGGTATCCGTAAGGAGGCTTGCTGGACCATTTCCAACGTTACCGCTGGTAACTCGAGCCAGATCCAGGCTGTTGTTGACGCTGGTATCATTGCTCCCCTCATCAACCTCCTCGCCAACGGTGACTTCAAGACCCGCAAGGAGGCTTGCTGGGCTATCTCCAACGCCACCTCCGGTGGTCTCCAGAAGCCCGATCAGATCCGCTACCTTGTCTCGCAAGGATGCATCAAGCCTCTGTGCGATCTCTTGGCTTGCCCCGACAACAAGATCATCCAGGTCGCTCTCGATGGTCTTGAGAACATCCTCAAGGTCGGTGATATGGACAAGGAGGCTGGACAGCCTGGTGAAGCCCGTGTCAACCGTTACGCTCTGTTCATTGAGGAAGCCGGTGGCATGGAGAAGATCCACGATTGCCAGAACAACGCCAACGAGGAGATCTACATGAAGGCCTACAACATCATCGAGAAGTACTTCTCTGATGAGGACGAGGCCGGTGGTGACATCGAAGAATTGGCTCCCCAGCAGACCCAGACCGGATTCTCTCTCGGAACTGGCCAGCAACAGCCCGGTGGTTTCAACTTTGGCAGCGCTGGTGATTCCATGGACATGTAAAGTCGTTCAACTTTTGTTATCCATGCGCATTTCACCTCCCTGTACCCTTTTGTTCCACCACCTCATCAAGTTGCGCCCAGCATCTTCTCACCGGTGCAATGCGCCACCGGTCGCAGAACGGCATGGTCCATTCCGGATCCGTGGCGTCTCCCTCGCTCAGCCGAACTATTCAAGGTCTGGCGTTTGAGTCTCCGCACGCTTCTATGCTGGCTTGATTTCCTCCGACCCTTTTTGCCACGATCCTCATTTTCCCATCTTCTTACTCTTTTTTTTTTTACTTTTTGATTTCACGATAAACAAGATTCACCATCATGTATCCCCTCCCCACCCCTTTAGCATCCTCATACACAGGCGTACTTGTTAGCAGGATCGGTTTTCTCTCTCAGTTATGTTAATGTCCCTCAACCCCCTGGTGTTCTTTGGCGGGGGTATTGGTCTCCTGCGCGGGAACTCCTCCCTCGCTCGCTGGCAACAGGGGCGTGTGTGGGCGATAGCACCTTGCTAGTACATCGCCCACAACTTGGTCAACATCATGCCCCTGAAAATTGTTGTCGATTGCGCTTTTCTCGTGGTGCACTGTGCAGTTAGCCAGGAAAAAATGCCAAGCTTTACTCAATCACGCTGTAAATACGCTATTCATCTATGTAGCTGTAGTTGATCTGTTGATCCTGAAGCCACAGAAAGGCCTGCAATAGCTCTGGCATGGTAGGATGAAGCTTCACATGGGAATTCTAGGTCAAGGTTGGATCATTTCCCTATCAGGAAAAGAGCCCTACTGCTGTCTGTGTCTGTGAATACCCACTCCTGCGTCAGGCGTAGGAGAGTGAGACTGCGGAGACACATCACTGGTTCGTTGCCCAGCGAGAAACCCTGCGATACATTTCAAAGTAAGATCTCTTCTCGACTCATGACGAATACAGTTGGTATAACCCTGGAAAGAAGCTAAAATAAACCACCATCATCAAGGATCGAGACCACAGCGATCTACTCAAGCTCCGCAATCTCGCAAGGACCAAGTGGGCTCCTGCATGAACCTAGCCCCAGGATTTCCAGGCTTACGCTTACTAAGGGACTTATCAAAAGCTAGCTTCCAGCTTAACATTAACAATACGGAGTACCAGAATCATGACTACAGGTAGGTATCATGCAAAAATGCAGCAATGACAAGACAGGAATGAATGGTCTCAGTTCAAGCAGCAAAGGAATAATATGAAAGTTGTGACTTATAAGATACAGATCGAAAACCAGACCATATCCACAAGACAAATAAGAGATATAGTCAATTCAAGCCATAAGCCATAGCATAGGAGATAGAAAGTATTGAGACAGGGAAGAAGAGAGAAAGAAGAAAAGAAAGAACAGAAGAGAGAAAAACAGCCATAAGACAAGCACAAGATTATTTCCAGGCACACGTTAACGTCAAGACCATTAGATCAATCGCCCATTACCTCATCCTCATCCGGTTCAGGCGCAGGGGAATCAAGATCCTCATCATGCCCATTTTGCTCATCAATATCCTCCTCGACAAGACCACGCGCACGCAAATCTTCCTCGTCGTCCTCTTCCACAGGCACATCCTCATCCTCATCATCAATCTGCTCGGCAGACTTGGGCGCCTTAGCAGGAGAACCAGCAGCCTTGGCGGACTGTTTCCCCTTGCTGCGTGGTGCACTGCGCGGCTTGCGCTCTTCGAGATGTGAGAGGACGTCGCGGTAGTTGTGTCCGAGAGCGGTCTTGTTGCGTAGCAGACGCTTCTTCAAAGAGCCACGCTTTGAGCCGGAAGCGTCGACGATGCGCGCGATGATGGCGAGGACCAGCTTGCCTGTCAATTCGCAAAGGTGCTGCTCGGCAACGATACTGCTGCGGAGACGCTCGTTGGCTACCTCTTCATCTTCGGAGTCGCTGGCCTCATCTTCGTCTTCGGGCTCATCTTCCGAGGCGGGGTCGTCGTCGTCTGCGGGCTCGAGGTTGACTCTTATCTTCTTGGCTGCTGTGCGTTCGGCGATGCTGTGGATTTTGGTGATCAGGGTCTGGGGTTCGGGTCCGATCTCGTGGATTAAGCTTTGAGTTTGGAAGAGGATGTCTTCGTCGTTGCCGTTGCCTTGGCCGATATTGCGAAGAGTACTAAACAGTGTTTGCAGATCGAGGTATGTGGTGCATGCTAAGAATCGGAGATCGTCAAGAGCAGGACGCGATTTCATGATATCGACGAGTGTCGAAGCGAAAGCCTCGCGGCTCTTAGTAAGTGCCTCGAAGTAGGAGGTGTTGTAAGTGGCTTTCCCGTTGTTCAGCACCGTGGACAGTGCCTGCACCTTCCACATGAAATAGAAAAGCAATGTCCTGATACTGCTTGATACCAGCTCAGTCTCTGCTTTGGCAACGTCTTCATTGTCGTCCTCGCTGCGTAGTCCTCGCTCAGCAAGACGAATAAGAGAATTGAACGGAGCTTCGGGTTGGTCCTTCTTCGACTTGGAGCGCGCGTTGGGAATGGTCTCGAGGATGGCTGCGCAATCCGTGATTCCGGCGAGGTTGGAGATCCGAGAAACAGTGTTGGTCAGATCAGTGAGAGTGGGATCAGAGATAGAGGCGCCTTCTTGAACATCCTTCTTTCGGGACAACGCACTAAGCGTCTCGACCATATCATCCCAAAGTTCCTGGACCTTGCTGTCAAGGGCCTCCCGCATCTCCTCCGAGCTCTTGGCATGCAAGAATGCTACACTGGCTTCAGCCAGAACGTCTTGATCCGAATGTGTCAAGAATTGCTTGTTGATATCATTGAGCAATGATGAATAAGCTGTGGCATCCTTCTGGAGATCCTGGATTGAGTCTAGATCCACGAGGTGTTCCAGCCGCAAGACGGCAGAAGCCGCCTCGGGCGTGGAGCCGAATTTGTTGAGAAGACGGGGAATAATCTGAGCAAGGTTGTGAGAGATCTCCTCCTGGAGCTCGGGAATCTTAGCAGTCAAAGCTTTGACTTTGCGCCCGCGTTTGTCAATGTCAGACTTGGAGACATCAAGCACACGAAGCTTTACTACCGCACAAAGCAATTCAAGAAGAATCGACTCTTGTCCCTCCTGAATCTTGTAGAGGTTTTTCACAACTCCGGCGGTGTCGTCTTCAGACGGTTCATCTGTGATTTGAGAGTGATCATAGAGCAAATACCCGGCCAGTGATGGCCACTGAGCAAGCTCTTCCATGTGAGGGTAAACAGCCTCCGTCGCAAGCGCGAAGCGAGACTCGATCGGTACTCCCAGTAGCGTGTTACGGGACATGGGCTCTGGTTGTTGTTCAGACTGTTCTGCGTCATAAGCTTGGAACAGGTCAGTGAGGCATTTGAATTTGATCCATGCGTGCTTGGGCGATTCATAGTCGTCTTCATCATCATCTGCTAAAAGGTCACCGATCTCTTCGCCCACTTCCTCCGTAATTGACTCATATGCATCTTGCACATTGGCCACGAAGAATCGACCAGCGGCTTTGCGAATTTGAGGGTCCATATCGAACACTAATCGACCGACAGCATCGATATCTTGTGGCTCAAGTAGACCACCTTCGCGGAGGTGATTGAGAAGCTCAACCGCAGTAACACGAACAGAGACATCAGCATCTTGAACAGCGATCTCAACAATTCGTTGGCGGAAGCGCTCAGTGAAGGAGTGCAAACCCGCAATGTTGTCTCGGTTTTCATAGAGAGACAAAAGCTCTGTCAGTGCGACCAGTCTGGTCTGTGGAACGACATCCGCAAGTGTCCACCCCAAGTATCGCAGATACTGGCCTTCAAAGAAAATATCTCGGTAGGTGCGAATCCACCCACCAAGGGCTGTCAGGCACTCGACACGGATTTGGCTGTCAATGTCTCGGTATCGATGGACAAAGACGGTGTCGAACCCATCTTGCAGGAACTCGTCCAGTTTCTCCACCTTCTCTTCTCCCTCAGATATGGCGGTTTTGATTGCCTCCACGCGACCCTTGTTCACAGTCTTCTTTTTCTTCTCGCTCTCAAGTTGCTTCCTGGATGTGGACACACCTGTTGTGACCTCACGTGCGATTTCACACAGAGCGTTCATGATTGCGAGGGATATCATAGTCGCAGTGTGGCGGAATGGTCGGCATTTTGATGTTGACAATGAGGTGATCCAGATTTGGACGTTTTCGAACAGGTTTTCATCGGTGTATAGGACCGAAGAAGCATGGAAAGTTTGGATCAATGCCACAGTAAATTCCTCGAGAAGGACTGAAAAGGCCCTGAATTTCTTCGCTTTCGAGATCAGAGGGTATTCGGTAATTCCTTCTGCTTGGTATAGTGTTTGGAGATCTTGGATACGGGTTGGGGCGTTGTCGACGTCTTCCACCTCGGCGGTATCAATCTCAAGGTCGGTTCCGGTGCATCGTAAAATGAAGTTGATCAGATCACGCATGGAATCTCCATTATTGCGCTGATATTGGGAAAGCCATTGAGCGGCCACTGTGTCGGCATTGTTGCTTTTTCCAAAAACCTCCGCTATGTTCATTATTAGCACTGAGGACGACCGCACACCCACACACAAGGTAAAAACCACTCACCGAATAAACCGCGTTCACCCGCTGCAAGGCTAGGACGAACCTTGGGCTTGCGAGGACGAGCAGCGGGAAGCCGGCCGTTAGTCGCTGGCCGGAAGGCGAGCTGTTTTCCCAGTCCATTCGTAACCTTGGGTTTCTTTGATGCGTGTGATCCCTTGGATTTGGGCTTAGAGTTAGAGGCTTTCTTAGTTCCATTGCGACGTGCGGCGCGTCGCTTTTCTTTCAATTCCTCCTCATCTGTGTCATCCTCGCCAGCATCTTCGCTGTCTGACTCCGACGCGTCGTCCTCGCCATCCTCGCCGGCCTCATCTCGCTTGCGCTTTCCACCGGCTTGTTCCTCGGCAGAGAATGTGGTTTGAGAGAAGACCTCGGGTCGGCGCGTTTGTCGGCCAGATTTACGTCGGTCTTCAGCCGGGGTCGACTGGTCGCCAGGGCTCGACAAAGGTGGATTGTCGATATCCATGTTGTTGAATCAATTCGAAATACGGAGGGGCGATGTGAAGCAGTACCCCGTTGACCAGATCAACAACCCTCAATGAAGTATGTAGAGCCTGTAGAGTCAGGCCGACGCGCTCGTGCAACGCGCGGTACGACCAAGGCGACGGGGGTAGTGGATGGAAAATGAAATGCGTGTAATTGAGGAGGTATTTCACTCGCGACACGCGCTTCTCGAGACGAGTGAAGATGAGATCAAAGAAAAGATAGCGCTTGGGCAGAAACGTATCGCAGCGTGGGGGAGACGCGACAAACGTGCCTTGTGGCCTGAGGCGTTGTATTATGTAATCAGTCAGAAAGTCCCCGTTTTTCGTGAATCGCTGCCTCTGCCTGCACAGGCAGCATTTTCAATAAGAATAAGATATTGGACTTCATCAGAAAGGTATCTATGCCCCAAACTTAAGTCTAAGTCATATATGGCCATGATCGCAGTCAAGTTTATTGCAAACCCGAGTATATTCCTTCACAGGTATGACGGAACAAAGAAAGCTCTACGGAGTACGGAGGTAGTCTCTCGTGTTCGAAGTTTATACACATGGGAGGAAATGATTTAACTAAAAATAGCCAGTATGCTCTGAAGGAGGGCTTCAGCAGCCGAGTTCCAGGTTTATCTGATCTCACATCAAAAGTATGTCGATCTAGCCAAGGCCTGCCTTGAGGAAGATCGTAAACATAACAGATGCAACGTTTCAACCACACTGCAGACTAATGTGGCTGAGCATGCCATCTGAATTCCTGGATGTTATTCATGCATGGTATTCACAATCTTGGAACAGAGAAGCCTGGGACTGATCTTCATTGCAGCCTGATCAGATGAGCTGGTTTTGCCTAACAATGTCACTATACCGACATTTTGCGATGGGTCGAACATCAAGGCTATTTCATGTAGATTCGCATATCATACATAGACAATCTATGCTCTATGTGAGCATGAGGCGTCGTGATCCGCTCTTTTGCGTCTAATTGATCGAGATTCAAGATTGAACTTCAACTGAGTAAGGGGATTTCATGTTTACCTGCACATTCAGTCATTTCCATGTACATTATCGGTTGTACAAGTATGCCGGAACACGCCATTTGGCAAGATCTCCATGGGCTTTCAGCTTACATATTAACTAGGCTGGACTACTGCATGGACGGTACTAGGTCCGATCACTGCCAGGCCGGAAGGTCCTTGTGTAAAGTAACACATGCGCTTCCAGGATACTGTCATACTTCAATATACTCAACACGTAAAAACCGCCAAGTATGTGGCCAGAACCAATTTGGGTTACTTCAATTAAGTTCGGAGCTACAGGGGTTTGCGAATCATAAGAATCCGGAGACTATTCTTTCGATTCTTCCAAAGGCTTCGGGGGTCAACTTATCCCTTGCTTAATTGTATCAATTCACATATGTTTCACATCAACCTGCACTAACTACACGTAGTTAATATGCACGATGCGTCACTGATGCCTCAAAGTTCAGGCGTAAAAGATCTTCAAATTGCGCCTTCAACCCCGAGCGTTGATGAGACACTCCAATTGGTCGGGGGCAGCCGAGGGAAACTTGGGGGTATTCACATTTCCATGTTTCTGCAGTGTATTGGGCATCGGAGTGCTGGACTCTATAAAAAGGAACTGATCTAACATTCTCATTTATAATCCAAGTCGAGACCCAATCTAATTTCCAGTCCCATGACCTTTGCCCCTTAAAAAAAAAACAAAATTGGGGCAATTGAAGGGCTTGTTCCTAGTAGATCGGCTAATATTCGATAGATGCAGATCAAATGACATCGGAAGTGCAGATTCCAAGACTCGCCAAGAACTGGCCCGCCGACCTAACGCAGAATGCGGAGATACTCTTTGTCATAGAAACCTCCTCTGTCCATTCTCATCGTTGCCTCGTCGGAGCGACGGAGAGAAGACTGTGGCAGGTCAGTTGAGAATACCCGCTTGACGTGGAGTGGGGATCGTGACTAAGATGCCTTCATATATCATCTTCGCCCCTCCAAATTCTGGGGTAGACTCAGGTTTTTACTATACGCCACTATTGAAAGACTTTTAGTCCCGTCTCTTTTGACTATTGTTGTATACATTGTTGCTGCTCATCTTTCTCAACTTTGAATCCTCTACCTGGTATATCTCCACCGTTGACGTTTTCCATCTCGCTCTTCTTCACATTTCGTCACCATGCGACAACCAGCAATGCCCATTCCCTCGCCCTTCCAGTCTTCCATAGCGAAGCCAGGGCAGGGTAAAGTCGTCCTCTCTCTCCTACCACCAAACAACCCTACCCTCACCACCCTCACCTATAAATACCCATTGAAGCTGGTCCCGCGCGCCGGCGGCTTCGTCCCGACTCCAGAACCCTCCGCCCTCTCCGACTCATGTCCCTCACACCCAGTCCACCTCTACCTGCTCACATATGGCGGCGGCTTATTACCCGGTGACCACATCGAGGTCTCCATTACCCTCGAGCCAAAGACCAGAATGGTGGTCACAACGCCACAAGGAAGCACAAAGATCTTCAAAACAGATCCAAATAACAACGGCTCCAATCCCAACGTCATCAAAGGTCATCGCAAGCAAATGCCCGCCAACCAACACCTCTCCGATATGAGTCAACAATCCCTCGACGTCCGCATCGGCCGTCAATCAGCCCTCTGCTACCTCCCCGATCCCTCCGTCCCCTTCCAAAACAGCCGCTACGCCCAAGTTCAAACCTTCACCCTCGACGCCGCCGCAAAAGGCGACCAACGAGGCAGTCTCTGCGTTCTGGACTGGGTAACGCAAGGCCGCACCTCCCGCGGCGAAAACTGGAACTTCCGCTTCTGGCGCGGCCGCAACGAAGTCTGGGCCCAGGACGAAAAAACCGGCAAAAGCCGCCTTCTCCTCCGTGACTCCGTCATTCTAGATGATGAAACAGAGGACTCTGACGACTCCGACCTCTCAGACTCCGAAGACGAAGTTGAAACTACAAATCGCAATGTCCACAATGGTCTCGAGAACCGTGTGGATATGCCCCCACAGGCACCGGCCGGTTTGACACCGCTGAATATAATTGCGGAGCGCACGCGCCCGCACGGAGTCGTCGGAACGTTGATTCTCACCGGTCCTGTCTTTGAGGCTCTGGGCGCTTACTTCATGCACCAGTTCCAGTCACAGCCGAGAATCGGTGGTCGCAATTGGTCTGATAAGGGCTCGACGTCTATGCCGGAGCCCTCGATTAGCCACAAGGGTGATGTGACGTGGACGGCGGCGCGAGTGCGGGCTGGATTCGTGCTTGTTAAGTTTGGGGCTAAGGACTTTGAGACGGCTAAGCATTGGCTTGGCGGGATTATTCGTGAAGAAGGAAGTGTGACTCGCGAGTTTGGGGAGGAGGCTCTTTTCTGCCTGTGATGTACTTTTTCTGCTGATGTTGAAGATGTCTCCGCTGGTCGAGGATCTGTCGACACTTTACGGCCTTTGAGATCTTGATCTGATTCTTGGGGATCTCAATTGAGAACTTCTCCCTTTTGCTATGCATGTGATTTTAATCTGATTATGTTTGGAAGCATTACGGCGTCAGTGTCATTTGTTGGCCTGAAGGGCCATGGGCTTTGAACCCATTCAAGGAGTAGCATCCTTCTCCTGCACTCTATGCAGGTACCAAAAATATGACCGCGGCGAAATGACACCGAGCAATCTTTTCATTTCTATCTTATTTTTCCAATTTTCCTAATATCATAGGCTTATCTCATATTGCTGTCGGCATTTATGTTTGACTGGAATGTATATCAGACTTAAAGCAGGTAGTCTATCGAAATCAAGCGGAGGTATCGTAAATCAGAAAGGACTATAAATGCTCCAAACGCCAAACCATCACACCGCAAGCAAAGAATCGCCGGAACGCTAGCCACGTAAAATATAACTATCAAGGCCACCAATCAAAGACTTTCGTATTCCAGTCCCCTTTCGTGGCACCCACCAAATCATCGACATTCAAGATATCGACACCCTCCTGCGCCAGCACACGCCAGATGTGATTCCGCAAACTGCGTGGCCAGCTCGGCAATGCCCAATAGCGAACCTTCAATCCCTGCCGATGCGCAACCCGCACGTGCCGACGAATCAGCTCCATCTGGTGCTGCGTGAAATGAAAGGGCCAGGGGAATCCGATTGCCTTCTGGAATGACACCGAAGCATAGAAGCTATTGGTGGAATTGAAAGTATTGGCCGTGATGACCGCAGGCATACCAGAATGACCCTGACCCTGACCCTGAGCCAGGTTCGCGGACTCTGTGCCCATGTCATCAGTGTACAATCCCGACTCTTGCTGAAGGCTTGTTGATTGATCAGAATCTTCGTCGACGAGCTTTTCCAGCGGTGCATCGAAGAATATATCTCGATAAGTACTGTTCGCAGCAACCAGATTGAAAGGCGTGTTTCCCGTCCCGATCACAGTTACGGGGCCCTGGATGAGCTCTTCGCCATTGAAGTATGTCAGATAACCGCGATCCCGAAGTGGGGCCAGATGCTTCGAGACAGCATGCCAGGTCGCCGGGCCGGCGGTTTTGAAATCAATCAGAAACAAGAGTGATTGGTCGGGGTCTGTATCGAAAACGCCGTGCGCGGGGCTGCCTTGCCCGGGGTGGAACTCCGTGATCGGGTTCTGGCGCTCGAGAATCGCAACGATCGGATCAACATACATTGATCGCAGAGTGCGGCGCGCAGTTAGTGACGAGGTGGTATGGCCGACGTAGAGCTCATCATCGAATAGCCAGACGTCTGCTTCGACGCCCACGCATCCCGCCTGCAGTGCGGAGTACAGCGGGACGCGACGCCAGTAGTCGTTGTGCGAGTGGCAAGCGACGGGAATGATGTCGCGCGAGATATCAGTGGGCCAGTGCTTGGAGCCCTCCGAGGCGCTTTCTGCGCTCGGCAGCCAATTATGGGCGGCGCGGTCGTATTCGTCCGGAAAGAAGGATAGGACGATACCGCAGGCGATTGAGATGAATTGGATGATGCCGCTGTGGTCAAGCAGTGTTAGTGTCGGTGGTGGGGGAGTGCTCGTAGACACGGCTAGGCTAGCTTGTGGACTGGGAACTCACAGCATGATTAGGAGTCCTATGCAGAGTCGTCGCAGAGCGCTTAGCCACCGCGAGCTGCAGGACCTCTTTCGCTGGGAAGGGTCTGATAGTAACGGCAAGGCGTCATCGGTTGAGGTTGAAGACCAAGGAGCCAAGGCTGTCAACACTTGACGCCAGGAGTGGGCCGGACGCCCCACTCGAACAGACTCGACTGGGACATTTATTTTATTTGGGTCGGTGTCTACCGAGTCTCTGTAGGGGTGGAAATGAGGATCGGTGTCGGAAGTGGATGCGGAGTTCTGCGGGGAAGCTTGGAGGGAGCTCATCTTGAATCGGCCCGTATACCTCAGTTCTCAGAGAAGATGGGGGAAGTGATCGGATTTAAAGAAAATAAGCCATGCGGAAGCGGTGGAAGTGACCATGGGAAGAAGTTGAACGGATACACCGGTTCCTGTATAGTACACCTTGGTTCACCTCTTATATGAGGGATTATCTTCACCTGGGCATGCAGCTTTATGCTGATTGCTCAGCCCTAAGGGTTCCTCGCCCACCCCGGTCAATACAACAGAATGATTCGCTGATCTGTTAAGGTGCCCAAAATGCCAAGAGATCGACATCAATATAAGCACATGCTACTATCGAGGCCTGCGAGAGGATGATGGAACCGAAGATATTTCCTAGAAAATCGCTATCTATATACAAGTACAAACACAAATGCATTGCTCCCAAACACCCACGGGTTGAGAACACAATTTTTGACTTTTCCATGTCTTACTCCTGGAGAGTTTTGACGTAGGTCACAGCGCGAGCCTTGACCTCCTCCACCATCTTCTCGTCGCTAGTCTCGGCGGCGAGCTTCTCCTCGAAGTCGAGCCACTTCTTGAACAGGAAGCGGGCCTGCTTGGGCTTAAGCTTCCTGCTAGCGTCAATGGAGACGGCACCCTTCTTGCCGCTCTGCAGGCCAAGGACCCGCTCGAACAGACGGCGCACTTGTTCCGCATCGCCGACCTTGATTTCAAGGTCGAGGAGCACGTTCCACAAGTCAATACGCTTGGGGAAAGAGGACAGCAGACCCTCGAACACGGTGCGACCGCGCTCAACGTCACCGTTCTCGGAACGGAACTCCAGCTGAGCGAACTTGGAGGTCGTCTCGACGTGGGTGTGTGCGGGAAGGGACTGCAAAGCACGGGGAAGCAGAGCACGAGCACGGTCGGGGGAGGCCATGGTGTCGAAGAGGAAGCTGGCGTAGTTGTAGAAGAACTTGGGGGACTGGGAAGAAACCTTCTTCTTGAGAGCCTCGTAGAAGAGGTCACTTGCTTTCTGTGAGATTGTTAGTACTTGTTCATTGGAATATCGAGCAAGAAGTACACATACCTGGTTCTTTCCAGATTGGATGTAAATGCTGATCATGCGCTCGTAAATTTCCTGGGGCTCGTTGTACTGGCAGGCACGCTTGAAGACCTCTTCGAGACTGTCATCATCGCCATAGGTGTTCTCCATGTTGAGAAGAGCGACCCAGATGTTAAGCTTCTCGTTGGCCTGACCCATAGTGATGGTGCGCAGAGCACGCTCAGCGACGGAACGCGCCTTTTCGATCTCACCCAGCTCCAGCTGGAAGGCCATGTACTGCAGCCACAGCAGGGAGGAGTCGGGTTCACCCAGAAGAAGACGCTCGAAGTCAGCAACTGACTGAGGACCGTTGGCATCCAGATCACCTGTGCGGTCAACCTGGATCTCGGGCTTGCGGTTCTTCTTCTTCTTGGTCTTAGAGTCTTCGGCATCGCTGTCTGAGCCGGCAGTGGCACCCTCGTTCTGTGCGTTGCCGCTCCAGTCGAAGCCGCTGGCACCAAGGCCACCGGTCTTGCTGGGCTTCTGCATCACGACATCTCCATCCTCATCCTCGGAGTCTTCCTCCTCGCTGTCATCCTCCACATCGACGCCTCCCATGGACTCGTCATCATCATCCTCGTCGTCCTCACTGTCGTCGCCAGCGAGTTCAACACCACCAATGCCATCGACGCTCATGTCATCTTCCTCAGCACTATCATCTTCCTCCTCGTCTTGGAAGTGAGAAGCCTTGAGGGAGAAGGAGATCTTCTTGGCCGCTTGGTCAATGTTGATGATCTTGGCCTTGACAGCATCACCCGCATCGTATAGGGTGCGGGCATCTTCAATGCGCTTATCAGCCATCTCACTACGGTGGCAGAGACCGCTGATGTTTGATGATCCGTCAACAACAATGAAAGCACCGAACTCCTCGACCTTGCGGACCTTTCCGGTGACAATCTGTCCGACCTTGAAATCCTTGAGGGTGAGGAGAGCCTTGAAGTTGGGGTCAAGGACGGACTCCTTCAAGCTCATCTGAAGCTTGCCCTGTTCGGCATCAACAAAAGTGACCTTGCCCTTGACAAGCTGATCGACCTGGAATGCCTCCTTCCATTCCTTGAGGTAGGAATCGGAAAGATCAGAGACGCGCACGTAAGCAGTGATGTCGTGGCTGATTGCGACAAACAGACCGGCATCAGTGACACGACGAACAAATCCACGAACGACATCGTTGGGCTTGACTTCCTTGAGTGAAGTAATCTCGCGGTCCTGGACAGGCAGTGCGGAGCTGAGAACCTTGGAGGGGCGCAGAGACAGCGAAATCTTCTTGTTGGACTTGTCAACAGCAATGACGCAGGCCCGGAGAACCTCGTTCTTGCTGTGCACAGTAGGATTTGCCTTGGAGTAGTCGTCGGCAAGGTCAACCAGGTTGACTGCACCAACAAGAGCCTCGCCAAGCTGCATGATAACCTGCTTCTCAGTGACTTTGGTCACACGGCCGGGAAGGATCATGCCAACGGAAATATCACCGAAAGCAAGCTTGTCATAGCCTTGCTTGGCAGAAAGGTCGAGGTGACCCTTGTCAGCGTTGACAGCGGTCACTTGAACCTTCAGAGCAGAACCGATGGGGAAGTTCTTTTCCACATCAGTAAGCAGGGAGAGATCATCGGATGCATCCATGAAACGGAGACGTCCGCGAACATTGGGAGAGAGGTTAACCCAAAGGCAGTCATCGGCGATGTTGTTGACAAAGCCCATCCAAGAAGATCCAACCTTGACCTGTTCAAGGTTCAGAGGTGCAGGGTTGGCGGCCTTCACATAGCTGGGCTTCAGGGAAAGCTCGAACACGGGGTACTTTCCAGCACGGTGACTGACAGGAAGGAACTTGTGGTTGCGGGCATCGTGGACACCAAGGATTCTGGCCGAGAGAACCTGCTTGGCCTTGAAGAATCGTAGGGGCTGTTTGCGGTCCTTGATCTCCTTGAAGTCATCGAAGATCTCGGAAACATCAATGCGACCCTGAACGTTGTCTGCAAGCTGAACGTTGAGCTGGGTAGCCTTGGTAGAGACAACCTTGCACTCAACAATTCTGCCGAAGGAGAAGTCGGACATGCTCTGGATGTTGCTGTCGACGGGGTTCGAAACAGTCTCGTCGGTTTGCTTGGCTGCCTTCTTGGGAGCGGGCTTGGCGGCCTCGACGGGCTTCATGCTGACCACAAAGCGCTTGAAGTCCAAGTCCACGGACTGCACATTGACAACAATAGTCTGTGACTTAGACATGCCATAGTGGGGCTGTTCGAGGTTTTCGTCCTTGATCAGACGCTTGGGAAGCAGACCGGTCAAGCCGCCGAGGAACTCGACGAAAATGCCATCGGGGGTGATGTTACGGACGAAACCGGTGATAAGGGAGCCTTCCTTCACCTGCTCAAACTCTCCAGGCATGTTCTTCTGCACCGCAGCCTTCTTCAGGGTAGCTCTGCTGGAAACCTTGATGAGACGGTGAGCACGCTGGATATCGAGAACCAAGAGGTCGTTCAACTTCTGTCCGACACGGATCTTGGACATCATAGAGTTTTGCTTAGTGGAGGAACCATCAACGATGTGCTGAGAGTCAAGACGAGCCACGAGACCGGACTCCTCAAGCTTGAGAAGCACGTCGTCATTAGACTTTTCGAACACAGTTCCAGCGACAAGATGACCAGGGTGAAGGTTTTCGAAAGCCTCGCGGTACTTCTCAGTGAAAGTCGAGGGATCCTTGCAAGAAACAGCAAGTCTTCCGAGGGCTGCATCAACGCTCAGAGCATGGACATTGACGACCTGACCCAGTCTGAAGTGCTGAGCTGGGTCCTGAATGTAAGCTTCACTCATTTCGGAAACAGGCAGGAAACCCCGAACATCGCCGTAGAACTGGACAACGGCACCGTGGTTCTGAAGGTTCACGATTGTACCAGGGGATTGGGAAGAAGGTGTGATGTCGGCATAGTCCTTCCAGATAGCGGACTCGTTGTTGAGCAAACTCTTCTTCAGCGTAAGACGGATCTGGCGCTTTTCCAGGTTCACAGAAAGGATTCTGAGTGTGAGCTTCTGGCCTTCGCGGAACTTCTTCTCGGGGAATTGAAGTTGCGTGTCGGCAAAGTGCATAGACGGGACAAGACCGGTGATACCATCGGCCAGGTTGACAATTAATCCATCGACACCGGTGGGGCCGATGAGAAGCTTCTCTACCTTTCCTTTGACGATAGCACCGACGTTCACATCCTCGACGCGGAGGAAAGGCTGTTCAATGACACTCTTCTCGAATGAGAGAATGTAAAGGTTGTCCATTGAGTTGTACCCAATGACTCTTGCCTCGTGCACAGCCTCCAATTTGAAGGGTCCGGCGTTCTCTTCAATAGTATCGACCTTTCCGTCTGACAGTCTCGACATGTGGACGAAACCCATGTGCTTAGTCTCTCCAATGCGAGCATACACACCCAAACCATGGTCAACCTTCACAACGGTAACCTCGGGAAGAATAGCAGAGACGGCAGGCGCATCGTCTACGGAACCAGGGCCTCGGGAATCGGTAGACAGCTTGAGCACGTGGTCGAGCAAGGAAAAGCTGACCTTGAAGGGCTCAGCAGCGGGGAAAGTCGAGATGATACGACCCTTGATCTTCGCGCCGATTTTGTATTTCCTTTCCAGATCAACTTTGCCGTTGATACTGGACTGCACCAGATCGACGGTTGCGTCGAGCATTCCCATAATCTTTCCAATCATACCATTGGCTGTGACTTCTGTAAGGAGAATTTCTGCGGCAGTACCGGGCAAGAAAGTGTTGATTGTAGGCGCTGAGCTGAGGAAGTTCGACTTCTTGATCGAGGCAGAGGTCTGGTAGTTAGAAGACAGCTTAATCACGTTGCCACTGTCGTTTTGGCCAGTGACCATACAGAGGAAGACGGATCCTTCCTTGATCTTCGAGTATGGGACGCGAGGATCGATCTCCTTAGAAGACATGAATCCCTTCATATCTGCGCCCTCAATTCCGAGGTCCATGACCACACCGTGATCTTCCACACTGACAACGGACGCCTGAACGGCAGAGTTCGCGAGAAGATCGGACTTTGAGAAACCGGTGTTTGTCTGTCTGGGGTCGATGGAAAGTTCAATGCGCTTCTTGCTCTTGGCCTTGGGGTCGTCGGGGTTGCTACCAGTGGACACAACGAATGCTCGTAGATATTGACCCAAATAGAAGTGCTCCTTGAGGTCGAAGGATTCGTCGTCCGAGCTGTCTTCATCATCATCTCCATCCTCGTCGTTCAACATCTTCTCGATCTTGTCTTCGAGTCCCTTTGAAACGGATGTGAGGGGGACGTATCCGACAAGGTTGTTAGGCAGCGAAAGAGCGATATCGTGGGCGTTAATGCTTGAAATTTGACCGAGGATCATAGCACCGGGGACAATGCGCTGCAATTGTTAGATTGGGCACAGATTGCTAGCTTTGCGATTACGTACCTTGAAGCTGAGACCTTCGATGCGAACATCTGATTTCTCCTCAGATCCCTTTTCTGCGCCCTTCTTGGCCTTGGTCTTCTTCTTGCGAGACTTCTTGGCAGGAGCAGCGGTCTGCTCGTCTTCCATCTCAACATCGTTGTCGCTTTCATCGTCGAAATCGTTGGAAGGCTTCTGTTGAGAAGGCTTTTGGGTTCCCTTCTGTTCGAACAGAACATCTCGGTTGGCCTGAATCTGGATCTGCTTGCGTTCCAATGGGGTCAGAACACTCGCGCCACCACGAGGGAACGAGGGTTCGTCGTCACGCAGCACTGAAAGCTCTGAAGCTTTGGCAGCGGTGGATGTGGCATCGTTTGACTTCTTGTATTCCTTCTTGCCCTCCTCGGCTCCAACCTTGGCACGTTTTTGCTTATTTTCATCGGGGGCACTGCCCTTGCGCTTGATTGGCGCCATGTTTGTAAAGGCAAAACCGAATCGTGCTCAGTTGCAGATTGCGGTTCGATTCCTCAAGAAAAAAGATAAAAAAAATTCCGCGGAAGCGGCAGAACGTTGTGGGCGGTGAATGCCGATTGAGCCTGAGTAAGCGGTCCATGCGCCGGTGGAACTGTGGACCCGTGGACGATGTAAAGCGCTAAAGCGTTCAAGGAAAAGAAAATAAAAGAGGCATTCAAGTGTCTAGAGATCTCTCGTTTTGGATTGCCAAAAGTTATTCATGATATCACCTTGATTTATGAATCCGGGCTCTTGAAGTCTACGGATTTCGGGTACACGACTTACATACCCCTCCGGTCGACCTCTCTCTGCATCTACGCTTTTTACACCTGAAAACATTCCAAACATTCAAGAAATGGAGTCTTTGAGGCCTCTAGTCCATTGGTCTTACTAAGCTATACGGCTCTCGCGGGCTGATAGGCCCATCTGTCGACCTGTGAACTACTTTGCAATCCATGGACGGTACTCCGTACTGGTCACTTTCAAGGTTATTTTCAAGGATTCTCGTCACACGAGCGAAGAGTTAGTTCAACTCGAGTATTAAACTCGAACCGTCAACTCTATCCTCACAGAATGTCTAGTTGCATCCAAGGCCTAATGGGTTAGCCGAGAAGAGGCGATATTTGAAGGAAACAAAGTCCATCACTCGTGCAACAAGGCATCAGATGGCAGTTCGTGAAACGGAGAATGAGAGGATATGCCTAGTCATGGATCTAAAACCATAGACACCATGTGCTAATAAATTGCAAATCTTCGATCGGTAATGCCCTTGCTGTATGCTTACCTCACACGAAGTAGGCTTATGTTTTATGGTGCCTGTCGACAGTTGAGCTAGATTGGGGGCCAAATCGTCCGTCTATCTCACCGGAGCTAAGCAGTCGATTGTTGTACCATCATCCAGCTCGTAACCAAAATGTCTTTCAGTGATAATCCCCAGCTTCACCATATGGAGTACAACCAAGGCCAGCCCACCATTGTACTGATTCATGGTGCCTTTTGTTCCGGCCTTTTCTGGGACCTGGTTATCCCGCATCTCAATTCGTATCACCTCTTGGTTCCAGATCTTCCAGGCCATGGAAAGTCCCAAACTATTGCCCCGTATTCACTCGAACTTTCAGCTACTCTCATCGCCAACCTGATTCGTGTCCACGCCAACGGCCCAGCTCACATTATCGGCCACAGTCTAGGGGCACATGTTGCTATTCGTCTAGCTTCGCAAGAGCCCGAGCTAGTCAGATCTGTCTTTGTCTCTGGCTTCGAAGTCTTTCCTAAGACAGCGCTTACGCCATATATACCTTACGCAGCGTGGATTATGCCGCGTGTGGAAAATTGTCTCCCCCGTCCTCTGATACGCTGGGCTATGGACGGTGCTGATATGCCTCGCACGGATACTTCAAAATGTACACTCGATCTATGTCGGCAGATTGTCTCGGCGGAAACACCATATGAGTGGCCAGTATCATGGCCCGCGCGGACGCTAATTGTTGCGGCTGGGAAGGGAGGGCTCATACCAAGCAGCGATCACCCACATGATGCCGTGAAGCTGATGACTATTGGAAGAGAGCTGAACGACGAGACTGTTGCATATACACATATGGATATGCGCCATCCATGGAATCGCCAGGCCCCAAAGCTTTTTGCAGAAACCGCTGAGGCATGGTTTGAGCAAAGAGGGTTGCCCGAAGGATTTGTGAAGCTATGAATTGCCTGGATGTTCCCTACCAGGGTGAAATAAGAACTCAACTGAGGTCCCACGTGGTGCGCATACAAGTTCATTCTTCTTTAGCCGACGACAGTCCAAGGAGACTCGGGGTTCGCAGGGCACAGGATGGCCTAGTGCGTAAGTCAAAGGGACGGTCGTGAATAAGTCGTGAGAAGATGCTGCAATTCCTGGAATTATAGATATCATTTTATGTGTCTTAGAATACTGACACCAATACACATATCTGTCGAAATATGATGCACTCGATGTACAAGCGAATTGGAACGGAATGAGATCAAATGAGCCTCGGTCCTAGAACAGGATGCCTCGAGTCCATTGCCTATTGACTTCCCATATCTACTGCAAGAACGCTAGGAACAGTTCCATCATATTACCCGGGAGGTATATGAGAGAAAAATCATGAGATGAAAGACAAAGAGCACTCGTACCGAACGTGGAAAGTGTGAGATCATATGGCGATAAGACTTCGGAGATAAGCGGATTAATCATCACTTTTGACCCCAGGACAATGTGGAGGTTCTTTCTCCTCCTGAGCATCTGTTCTGTGTAGTCTGGGTGTGATCGCAAATCCTCGAACTCATCAGCATTGGATTGATACGAGTCAGTTTTGGCCCCAGTCACAAGTTCTCCCGCTTATCTCGGCCCCCCTCCTTAACCTACACACAAGCTTCGACAGCCCGCATCGCATCGGTGTACAAACGGGTCGGAGATTTTCTAGTGATCTGGTTTCAACACTCTGATCACATTTGACTTGTGTTGATAAATCGCCTAGCATCAAGCTCGATACTGGTGCCTAGCCACACGCTTTAATCCCCAACTCGCGCGAAATTCCACCTTCCCACTTCATTCTGATCTTTGGGAGGAAAACCCACTCAGAACTCGTCCGAGCCTTGCGCAAATCAAAACACTGCATCGGACGGAGGAAATTTGCAAATTTTGGATAAATACCTGTGGCACAACTGAGTGCGCATCAACCTCGACGGAAAAGTTGCGCGGTCTGCTGCCGCCTATCTCAGTCCCACATATCAATCAAACGGTCAACACGTCTGTGTGGCTGACACACAGCTCGCGCAAAAGACCATCAAATTTCGAATCTCAAACCTCATCATTCATCACACGCGATCATGCCGTTCCCTACCAAACCAACTCCCACACCCCCCTCCACGAACTCGTCAAGTGCTGGTCACTCCCCAGATTACAGAGTCGTTCGGAAACGCAACCGGGTGCCGCTGTCCTGCGGGCCATGCAGGCATCGAAAGTATGTTCCCGAGATCAGGTCAGAATAAATAATTTCTAACTGCTTTAGGCTGAAATGCAATCGATCCAATCCATGTGAAAATTGTGTCAAACGAGGTGACGCTGCATCGTGTAACTATGCACAGACGACCTCGCGAAAGAGGAATCAGCCTCAGCAATCGTTGTCAAACTCGCCCGATGATATGCAAAATCGTATTGACCGATTAGAAGGATTGGTACTTTCCTTGATGACGAATGGATCTCAGTCAGCTGGGCCCTCAGCTGCCATGGCTGCCATCTCTGGAGAAAGCAGTGGTGGGTCGACGCGCTTCTCCCATGAGCTCGATATCGACGAGGATGAGATGGAGGGCGCCGAGGAGAGTGATACCGATCAAGTTACCAAGTCGTTTGGTATCATGAAAGTGGACAATAATAAGTCCTACTACATTAGCGATGCCCACTGGGCTTCTGTTTTGAATGATGTATGTCCGACGACTGGATTAGTCTGATCCCCTGCTAATCTGAACAGATCTCCGAGGTCAAGAATTTCTTCACGACGCACAAGAAACAAATGGACGAACAGATGGAGAAGGTCAAAGCGGCTCAGCCTGCTAGTGATGCTCCAAATTCGACTTTGTTGTTTGGTGTCATGAAACCCATGAGTCGTTCCGAGATCATGGCTGGGTTACCCAGCAAATATACAACTGACCTTCTTGTAGCTCGCTACTTCAATTCTTACGACCCTGTGACTCGTGGGTATCCCTCAATTCCACTGGATATGTGATCTTTATTCTAACCCCCCTTTAGACATTCTTCATGGGCCAACCTTCCAGGCACAGGTCAGTTCAGATTTTAAAATACTTGCTGTGCTCTACTGACCCGTATAGTACAATAAACATTGGGAGGATCCCACCAAAACGGAGCTCGTTTGGATTGCCATGCTTTTCGGATTGATGAGGCTAGCGATGCTGTCCTATCACCAGGAAGGTGACGAGCTTCCTGAATTCCGTGGCAAGTCTATGGACATGGCTGGAGGTTTCCGTAATTCGGTCGCAGAGTGCTTAACTTTGGCTGACTACACAAAACCACATCCTTTCTTGATCGAAGCGCTCATATTCCACCTATATGGTGATCTTTCCCAGACTCGAGAGGCAGATGTCTCTGTTTGGGTCATGACTGGTGTCATTGTTCGTCTCGCGATGCGATCAGGCTACCACCGTGACTCTAAAATGTTCCCCAACATCACGCCTTTCCAGGGTGAGATGCGAAGGCGGGTTTGGACTTTGGTTCGCCATGCCGATCTACTGTTCTCATTCCAAGTCGGGCTGCCGAGCATGGTCCGCTATTCGGATAGTGACACTGAGCTTCCACGCAATTTGTACGACGACGACTTCGATGAAGACTGCAAAGAACTTCCGCCGGCCCGTCAGTTGTCTGAGCCTACCCCCATCGCATATCTAATCGCGAAGGCGCGGTTGACATATGCATTCGGCCGTGTGGTTGAGCAAAGCTCCGCTGTTTCGACCGCTCCATACGAAAAAGTAATGGAAATTGACGCCGAATTGCGCCAAGCTAGGGATCTGATCCCAGATCACTTGAAGATCAGGCCCATGGAGGAGTGCCAGGTAGATACCATCAATCTCATCATGTCGAGATATTCCGTAAGTTTTTTCGAGCCTACGCTATTGTATGGTGCTAACAGATGCAGGTTATGGCAGTATATGACAAAGCACAATGTGTGCTACATCGTCCATATCTAGTGCGCGCTCGCGAAAACCCTCGTTTCACATTTTCGCGAAGAACTTGCATTGACTCCGCGCTGGAGCTCCTCCGAGTGCAAGCGCTCCTGCATGCCGAAACGCGCAATGGCCGTCTGCGCAGTCGTTCAAGCAGGATCACATCCCTCAGTTCTACCGACTACCTACTCGCAGCGACAGTAGTTTGCCTCGATCTGTCCCACAGTCTTCAGATGCAGAATACCGGTCGTCCATCTGGAGATGTCTACACGTGGGGCCGAGAACGCCGCGAGGAGATGATGACCGCCATCCGTTTAACCAAAGAGATCTGGGATGAGACACGAGATGTCAGCATGGAAGCTTGGAAGGCATCCAGCGTTTTGGGTGTCATGCTGAGCAAGCTTCTTTTGCCAACACAAGGAATTGAGAATACCCCTGGTGCGGCTTTCGAACCCGCAGACGAGAAGCAAAATGCCGCTATGACACTCGGGTTGTTGAGCAGTGGTATGAGCCCGATGAATCCTGGCACGACCCCCTTCGCGGATCCAATGTTCAAGATGAGTGATTCGCCGATGGGGGCTGGACCTGGTGCATCTGAAATGCCGGGAGCGCTCTCCCCCTTTACCAGCATGTTTGGTCAGATGCCAGACATGCAAGTCAATCTTGACTGGGTAAGTCTTCAACTTCTGTGGTGTCCTCGTGGTCTAGGCTAACTTTACAGGATGCATGGGATACTTACATTCAAAACCCAACACTCGACACATCCAATCCATTCTGGCAAGCGAATCAGCAGTCCACGGGAATTGCTCAACCTTCGTTGTCCAGTCCTCTTGCTACATCGCATGTGCCACCAGTGCCAGCATCAAATCCTGCTGCAAACGGTGCCTCTCGACTACCCACAATGTTCTCACCGTCATCCATCAGCCCCGAAAGTGGAGTACCAGGGACAGAAAGATTATGGCGGGATCCTAATGCGCCCAATAATTAATGGTCTGTTGTGAATAATCTCCATGCCAGATTGTTTATAGTGTCAAGGCGGCTTTGTTTCTTCTGTCTTTTCCCCTCCGATTTCCCTTTTTTACATTTTTTGATACCTGAATGATCGTTCTTTGTTATGCCAAGCCGAAATTGTTTGTCAATTTTGTTTTCCAGCAAGTTTGAAATGTCCGAATGGGAGCAGTTATGGAGAAAGGTCTATCTACAAGATTACAATGGGGCGAAAAATTGGTTATATGTATCATACCATATTGTCACGACAAAATTCCACTCTTGCAATACTGTCTATATTTTAAGCCCAAAGTAAATGTGTTACATTGACAGATGAGTTGATGCTCATGGATCAGAGACCACCTGGGCATAGCCCGGGAGAGCTGGAGACCTCCAGGACTTCAAGCAAAAGGAGATAAGGCGATACCTATCTCTGTCACGTGATTGGAAATTGTCCTATCGGCGCGGGAAAAGGTCATTGGCCTCATCAGAACCCGTCTACATCAACCTTATCCTTTTCAAGAAGATCAAGTTCGAGGACTTGTGATATAATCCAACAGAATGTGAGTGTCTGATTGTACTATTGGGAATTCCTGTGATTGAGGCTTTCCTACATGATATCAGCAGACACGAAACATGGGCAAATGCTAATCCCGACTTCTCTTCCAGGCATTGTTTCCGCCGGGCCGCTTCTCGGCTCCAGTTGTCAAATGCATCTTCGTCGTCCATCAGAGCCTCCACTTTGATCTCGCCATCAAGGTGCAGCGCCCCGTCCACATCGGTTGTTGCCGCTACCCGTTTTGCCTACCCGTCAGCCGTCCAAACACGATGGAACTCAACCGATGGGCCTGAAGACGGATCTAAGAACGGTCCCAAATTTACATTCAATGAGACTGTCACCCCCGATAGATTCTCTCGGGACCAAAGGCCCCGCGAACGCCGCAATCGCGACTTCCTCAGCGACGGTCCTGTGCCAAAGGCGACGCTGTACATTGGAAACCTGTTCTTTGATGTCACAGCCGAGGATGTACGGAAGAATTTTGAGCAGTATGGTATTGTGGAAAGTGCCATGATCGTGCACGATGCTCGAGGACTGAGCAAAGGGTAAGTTTGTATCAACCTCCGGCGAGTGCCAGGACTGGGCCCTAACGCATGATAGATTCGGTTACGTCACATACACAACTGTTGAAGAAGCCACCAATGCTATCACCCAGCAGAATGGCGGCATCTTCGAAGGACGCGAGATCGTTGTGAATTACGCCAATACCGTGTACAGAGCTACCCGCACTGAGCAGCACCCCAGCAAAACCCTTTACGTTGGCAACCTCCCCTACGAGCTGACAGATGTGGACCTGCAAGAAATTTTCGAAGATATTCAGGGTGTGACGGATGTTCGCATTCCCGTTGACCGTCGAACTGGTCTCCCACGTGGATTCGGGCACGTGGACTTCGCTGACTTGCAGTCTGCATCCGCTGCGAAGGAGATGCTCAGTCGCAAGGCTCCTTATGGCCGGAAGCTCATCGCCAATTTCGCAAAGCGAAGGGTTCTGACCCCAGAAAACCACGCTCGTCACGAAGAGAAGAAACTTGAGAAGAAGGGCCGAGCATTGGAACGCAAGGCCGATGAGCAAGGTCAGCCAACAGAAGACCAGCCAGCAGTGGCCCGTGATATGGATGAGCCCGCGGCCAAGGAGTAAACATGTATAATCCTAAATATCAGTAAAGAACTGTGTACAATAGTTAATGCCAATTTGAGCTTGTATTTATAATACACCACGTGACTGTCGGGGAACCCCAACCTCGGCTGACGGAAAGATCAATGTAATCTGACCCCACGTCAGAGGCACCCCGGGGAAACACCATACCTTTCCATACTATCTCCGAACCCCCTCTTTCTCAATCCCCAGAACCCGCAAACAGATTCACACCATGTCCTTCCTTGGTGGCGCGGAATGCTCCACGGCGGGAAACCCCCTCACTCAATTTACGAAGCACGTTCAAGATGACAAGTCACTACAGCGCGACCGGTTGGTGGGCCATGGACCGGGCATGCAAGAAGGCATGCGGTCCCGAAACATGATGCCCGGACAGGACCAGGTGAGCTAGAGAGTCAGAAAAGAAACCGACCGACTCTGACGGGAAACTAGATGATGGACGATTTCATGCAACAACCAGGCCAGCAATTGAACGGACCCTCACCGCAGCCGTTCGCTATGGAGCACATGCGCCGCGAGCTGGATAACTTTCAGACGGCACCTGCCCGCACAGGATCACCCGGATGGGCGGCGGAGTTCGACACAGGCGAGCAGGCGCGCATGGAGGCTGCGTTCCCCGGGCAAATGAACAACGGATCCGGCTTCAACCCCGCAGAGTTTGCTCGGTTCCAGCAGCAGAACCGTATGGGTATGCCGCAGACCTCTAGCCCACAGACAGCCGCCTCGCCTATGATGTCGGGCTACCAGCGGCCCATGGCCATGGGTGGCGGGTACATGGGAGGAATGGGAGGAATGGGAATGATGAGGCCCATGATGGGCGGACAAATGGGGATGCAGCAGCCGATGGACGCACAGGCACAGGATAAGGGCAAGGAGCGAATGGTCGAGCTTGACGATGAGAATTGGGAGGCACAGTTTGCGCAGATGGATAGTGCGACTGTCGACGATGCCCAGACGGACGATGCGGCCAACGCGGCTATGGAGGCGGAGTTGAATGATTTGGACAGGTCAGTGCCCACCGATGCCTTTGAGTCTGTTTGGCAACGGGTCCAGGCTGAGACCGCGAGCAGGAAAATTGCCGAAGAGGACAACTTCGAAGTTACCGATAGCGTGCATGTAGGAGATCTGGGTGACTGGGAGGGCTTTGATAGCCTGAACTCCCGGTTCCGTGATCCCCAACTTGGCGACTACATGTTTGAGGAGGATAATGTCTACTCGGCCGTCGGAAATCCATTCGAAGAGGGAATGAAGATCATGCGCGAGGGTGGCAACCTCTCCCTTGCTGCGCTGGCCTTTGAAGCTGCCGTGCAAAAAGACCCCCAGCATGTGCACGCTTGGACAATGCTGGGTTCTGCGCAGGCGCAGAACGAAAAGGAACTTCCGGCCATCCGAGCTTTGGAACAGGCTCTCAAGGTCGAGCCAGGGAATCTAGATGCTTTGATGGGTCTGGCTGTCTCATACACAAATGAGGGCTACGATTCCACTGCCTACCGCACACTCGAGCGCTGGCTGTCAAACAAGTACCCCACCATCATTGACCCCAAGGAGGTCTCCGGTGACGCGGACCTCGGATTCACAGACAGACAGCTCTTGCACGATCGCGTAACAGAGCTTTTCATCCAAGCAGCCCAGCTCTCGCCCTCAGGCGCGCAGATGGACCCAGACGTGCAGGTCGGTCTAGGTGTCCTATTCTACTGTGCCGAGGAATACGAGAAGGCCGTCGACTGCTTCTCCGCAGCTCTGGCCTCCACCGAGTCTGGCAGCACAAACCAGCAAGAACAACTCCATCTTCTCTGGAACCGTCTCGGTGCCACATTAGCCAACTCTGGACGCTCAGAAGAGGCAATTGAAGCTTACGAGCAAGCTCTCAACATCAACCCTAACTTTGTGCGCGCTCGTTACAACCTCGGTGTCTCATGTATCAACATTGGCTGTTACCCCGAAGCCGCACAGCATCTCCTCGGTGCCCTATCTATGCACAGGGTTGTGGAGCAAGAGGGTCGCGAGCGTGCTCGTGAGATTATCAATGATGGAGTCCACCCCGATGGTCTGGACGATGAGCGTCTCGAGCGTATGCTGCACATCAGTCAAAACCAGAGCACTAACTTGTATGATACGCTGCGTCGTGTTTTCAGCCAAATGGGTCGGAGGGACTTGGCCGACCAGGTGGTTGCCGGTATGGATGTGAACATCTTCCGCAAGGAGTTTGAATTCTAGGTTTGTTATATTGAATTTGGTACATATTTTGGGCTTCGATTTCATGGCCGGCAAGGCCGGCCTGTTTGTATCTAGTTATGATCTGTGGCTGCTTAGAACTTCTACAGCTAAGAGGAAAAGTTCCTCATACATATTTCTTCTGTGAATGAAATTGTTTATGATGCATACTTTACTCCAAATCTCTACTGAGGCAAATAGAACAATGAACCAGCACTGCTGGAATATATGGGCCAATACCTTCGGCAACCCAACCTTAAATTGCTATCATTTCATGGACAGGACCTCTGGTTCATCAGCTCATCAACAACTTTGCCAACCGCCACGGCCTTTTCTTCTCCAAACCTCCCTCCTACAATTTGCACACAAACGGGCATCCCATGAACAAGGTCAACATCATCTAAAATATAATTAGCCCACAACCCAGAGCAGACGCCCGGAAAAGAAAAAGAAGAACTCACATTGCAGATAGTTGAAAGCATCCGACTCGTTCCTAATGGAATGATTTTCCCACTCGCCCCCATTTGCACCTACAGAATCAAGATCTCTGTTCGCATTTGTGACAGGGACGGTGACTGCTGCATAGTTGAGCAGATTCCACATAGCTGTGTAGCCCAACCATTGCTTGCTCTTGACCCATGTCTTGGGTTTGTAGCCCACCCACGGCAAGACTGGCATTATAAGGGCATCGATTCCTGAATGAGTCCATTGCTTCAAGTAAGCTGCTTGAATGGTGTTTTCCGTATGCTCATACTATTTCTCGAGAGTTAGACCATAAATACGCACAAAAAAAAAAAAGATGTCTGTCAAATATTAGATTCCAAAGAACTTCACGAAGCATACCTGTTCTCGCTCGTCGACTGAAAGAAGATCTTTTGGCGTGCCAACAATCATCCCCTCGATCAATGGTTCGTCGATGAGGTCGCATAGGGCGCGACAGTGTTGGCCGCCGTCTGCCAGAATTCCTTTCGTCCACAGGTTGGTGGTGGCCAAGTGAAGGGATGTATCCCATTCAATAACTTTCGAAGCTCAGTCACCTGGTCAAAACATAGAAAGGCAATTTGAGAAAACTTACCTTCATGGCCCGCAGCCCTCAAAGCCTCTACAGTCTCACGCATCGCTCTTGCAACAGGTGGCTGCGGCTTGACAACACCGTCATCAAAGATAACCCCCAGCTTCAGCTTTCGATCAGCTGGAGGAGTTGCGAGATCCTTTCTCCATGGGATAGGAATGGCGGTTGCGTCAACTTTCCACGGTTCGGACGCGAGAAGGCTCTCCATGAAATACTCCGTGCTAGCGAGAGACGAGGCCATGGGTCCTGCAACAGGGGGTATCAAGTAATGTTGATGTAAGCTGGGTATATGTCAATACTAGAGCATGCATCTTGATAATGATGCTGTCCATATTTATGACTTACAATGAGCAGTCCCACGGTACTCGTCCTGTCGTCGGAAATATGGAGTAAAGGCCCTGCAAAGCTGAAGGAACTCGGATAGAACCGCCAATGTCGGTGCCAATTCCCAGGATACTGCCCCCAGCACCCACAAGAGCACCCTCGCCGCCAGAGCTTCCGCCAGAAATCAAAGTGTGATTGAAGGCGTTGACAGATTGACCAAAGACATGATTGTACGAGTCGGCCATCTGGAGCAAATTAGAAAACTGAAATCAATCTTGAGATGGGGATATCCCACCATTAGTGACTGAGGAATGTTTGTCTTAACATATAGCACTGCTCCCATAGATTCGAGCAGCTGCACAATCGAGCTGTTGGATGTAGCTGGCTTGTTGGTTAAACCAACCCAACCTATTTGAATCAGCATTATAAAAGGAAGAAGTAGACAATGTACATAACGTACCCACGGTGGTGTCCAGCCCCTCAACATCGAACCGATCCTTCACTGAGATTGGAATTCCGTGCAAAGGGCCAACAACCTCACCCGTCTTCCGTAAGTGCTCATCGAGCTCTTTTGCACGGCTCAGAGCTTTGTCAAAGAATATTTCCGTGAGACATTTGGTCAACTGCTGTGCAATCGCAGCACGCTTGCAGTAAGCTGTTGTCAGTTTCTCGCTTGTCACACGCTGAGTTTTGACGAGCTCGGCGAGCTCGCGGATGTCTGTTATCTCGGTCCATGCTAGCTCATCTGGAGAAAGTATTCCGCTTCCACGGATTACCTCCACACTTGAAAGAGGTGGGTTCTCTAAAACCGCCGATGGAAGGTGCCAAGATGAAGGAATGAGAGCTAATTGCCTGGTGCGTTTCTTTACGACACGGTCGTTCCAGTGAGCTTTGGTGCGCTCTTGCGGCTGGGTAGCGAGGACTGGGTCGATTGTCATGGTGGTTCAAGTTGGTCTTAGACGTAGGAGTTGTGTTGAAAGTAATCTGGAGGAGCCCTTGGAGTACGTCTTTGTCCGACGTTATTTCCTACCCCCTCATCTCGGCAATACCGCGAGGGGTCGAGTGTCCATATATGAGCAGGGCTTCCAATCAGAGTCCAATCTTTAATCAGATTATCATCTTGACCCCATCTTTTGATGGGCTAGAGCTGTCAAACTTATCTTGGCCTCCCGTGTTGTTCGTGTAATGGTTGGTTGTTGGAAGAGTCACAAAACCGTGGAGATGAGGTAGTTAGCCAGCTCCTGTATACCCGGACGCAGGAGGGTAGCCCTTCTTACTTGGCCTTTTGGTGATGATCATGATACAAGTATACGGCTATCAATCAAGCAGATAACCAATGTCCAGGTAAAGAGTGTATGGAAGTATAGAATTTAATTGCAAAAATTTACTACCAACAAGTCTCAGCATAGATACTCGTGCTTGGAATCAAGCACTAAACAGTCAATATGTGGATAGGCCACTAAAACACAGAACGCCTTGCTAGTCGAAAAAAACGCGATGAAAGTGACGCGCGACGCTGGGAAAACAAAAAGCCAAAGCTGAAGGACAGACGGAAGGCCACATTCTGACGATGCTAATACAGGTCGTAAATCGTGCTTTATGCTCAGATGTAACGGTGAAATGCAGATATAAACAATATCCAGATGCATCTCCAGGGTGAAAAGAGGAAGCGAACTGGAGCGGATTAAGTAGTAGTGTTGGGAGTGATGGTAGATGTTGAGCTACCAGACACTACCCGGATTCCTGGTGCAGTCGATTGATTCTCATCGATGCTCGGGAACTGATTCTGAGTCGGCGTGATGGGAGAAACAGCCATTGGACTCGGTAAATTGACATGGATCGAAGGCAAGCGATTGATTGCCGGCAGCTGCTGGCCGGAACGCTCGGTAGTTGGACTCTGATATGCGGGCGCATCGCCCCAGTCCAGGTGGTCATATTCTGGAGGTGGTGGGATGTTGAGAGTCCCCAAATCCTCCTCGTCATTCTGTGAAACTGGTCGGCTCGAGCCACGGGTCGAACTCGGCGCTAATGGATCCAGCTCCGTGGCGGTGGATTCACTGATTGATGAAGCAACAGATTGAACTCGGGAGTTGAAACTGGAGGGATCGAATGACGGCGCAGTTGAGCTAGAGTCATGAGCCAGGAGCGGTCGGCTATCAGAGTCCTGGTTCTCAGAATTTTGCGAGTCGGCACGCAGTCGTGAGCCGTCATGGCGGACGCGCCCGAGTTCAGCATAGCTAACACTCGAAATTCGCCTGTCTCGCTCTCGGGCTTGGTGTTCGGTCAATGCTGTCGCTAGGTCGGCTGTACTGTTAGTTCCAGCGCGGCGACGTTGCGCCCGATCGCGAGTCTCGGCGTTTAATTGTTCGAGGCGGGCATAGTCGCCGCGGTCTCGGGCTTCCCGGCGTTCCCGCCGGCGGGCCTCACGGTCGGCCAGCTCTTGTCGACGCTGCAGGCGAAGCTGGTATAACGAGTCCATGTGGTCCTCCCGTCGGATTTCTTGCTCTTCGGCGGTCTCGGGGTATTCGACAACCATGTCCATTCCGCCTCGCTCCCCCTCTCGGGCGATAATTTGTTCGGTCGGTTTCGGACTCGACGAATAGGGCGGGAGGGTCATGATTGAACGTATAGAAGTCTCCCGACGAGGAGCCTCACTTGTTTGCATTTCTGGGGCCGCTCCGCGATACGAGGTGTCGATTGGGTTTCGTCGACTGGGGACTTGCCCGTAGGCAGCAGTTCCGGGACGCCATTTCTTCCACTTTGTCTTGAGGAAGTTGCCGGGTAGATATTTGGGTTCTTCGTAGCGCTGTCGAAGGAATCGAGCGAGGAAGAAACTGCCCACCAAGACGGTTACTGCGAAGATGATGGACACCGCAGACTATCCGAGTCAGCACAACATCAACGGGTTAGGGGTAGGGTTGACGTACAATAACAAATATTATATTCTTCCTCTTAGTATCGGCCCTTTTCTGAGGAATGTACATGATGGGCCGTCGCGATCATCGGAATGGAAAGGAAGAAAAAGAATGAGAGAAAGGGTTCAGCCACATGAAATCCGAGACAGCCCAGAATAGATGGCGCGGCAGGTGGAGGCTGTGAGCGTCACTTCTCCTCTCCTTCAATCAAATTTCTTTCAGTGCGCCTCGACGTGCCGATCGCGACTCTGATTAGCCCACTGCTAATCCGTTACTACATCACTGGAGCCTTTGGATTGTTTCCCCAGGGATCGTGGCCTCTGCACGGGAGATCCGCACGGTGGATACGTTTTCCCACTGCTCATTTTACCTTCATCTACTCCGTACGCGAGCACGAGTCTCCTTCGCAGCAAGGGCTCGGATGCTACGGTGACAGGAGAACAGCTGGCCCCTTGCGACTCGCGACTTCTGGAAGAAAAGAAAGCTATTTGAACTACGCTGATCGCCGATGTGACAGATCAAGTCGAACAAAGGTGTGCCCGACCGCGCTAATTGCTTGTACAAAACAGATCAGGCGAGAGATTGGAGTCAATCCTTTATCGCCTTACGGAGTACGGAGTACTATCATCTCTGAATGCTATACTCCGTAGATGCCCCTTCTTCCACCATTGCGCTAACGAATATGCATAAAATTTCCTTGCCTCCGGAAATTGAGTCTCATATTGGACGATCATATCCACCAGCCTATCTCGGTGAAACTCCGATTCACCGATTGCTCCTTGATTCGCAGGCAGCTCGTACAGTTCTGTACTCAAGTCCGCGAGCTCGAGGCAGAGAGGAGGCCAGTACTCCCAACGCGCAGTTGCAGCATGCCGCAGCTCTCAATGCCCACAATCTACACTGTCTCGGTTGATGGCAGTTGTACCATACAGCTCCAAGAGCTCCTTGGCATCTCCCAAACCTACTGCCGGTCTGAAAGAGACTTCCCCAAATGTGCAATGCCGCGGGAAGCACGGTCGGTAATATGCCCATTGCTGTTGTTAATGTCAGACGTTTTGACCGCTACTATACCCGCCACAGGTTTCATAATGCACGGACGCCGATTCCACGTCGGGTGGCATCTAAACTGGTTCGACTGAGTGCGGTCACAGCCGTTGCTCGTCGCGCAGCCATACTGCACAAGCACTTTGGGTGATCCCATTCAAAATTCCCATTAAGGCCCATTTCAATGCTTCTTGGTCCCAGTAATAGAAAGACCAGAGACCTAGGCAGCAGAGACTTCTGGGGCTGACGCTACTCCGTAGCTCCGTCTGACACGAAAACGAGAAGACTTTGTCCTATTCGCTCGTTGGTTCGAGACACTAGATAAGGGTCCACCGTGACAGCGAAGCTTCTTTACGCATTATATGGAATATACGAATGGATTCTGATTGATTGCTTTCTTCAAGGTCCATCCATGGCACACTTGCAAATAGAACTATCCATCAACAGGAGCGTATCCTAAACAGCCAGTTTACCCATTCTGGCACTAAAATGTGCACGCCCTCGCCGCCTTTCGGCATTGACAGCTGATATGCATATCCATCGAGGATAAAGTAATGTCAAAACATGGGCAGGAGCCATACGCCGTCAGCAATGTCTCACATTGACCTGCCCGGGCTTTGTGGTGGCCTGAAGTTAGGAATCCACAGTCGAAATATCCGTGTGAGCTATGATGAATCTGTTCTACTGTTGAAAACCCTTAGATGCTCCGATCTAGGGTTAAGTGCAATAGAATACAAAAAGTGAAGGTGAACTTAGAATGCTGGGTAGCTCGAGCTTTAGGTAGAGCATACGATCAAGAACAACAGACTTGCCGGAATTTCAGAGCGAGGCTCAGTGCGGGCTTCAACCCCATGGTAGTCACAGAAAATTTCCAGACATCTTCCAAATTCAAAATTGTACCTCCTACCAAGATACTTCCCTCTATTTTCGGAACAAGTTTGATTTGTCGACAATTTCAAGCAGCGCAAACAACCACCCATTGTCTTCTCACTCCAACGCCAGAACCACTATCGCAGTGTAAGTCGAAGCAACATAAGTATGGATCTGCTCGACACGCAAACCCGCACTTTTGGCAAGCGAATGCCACTGGGCCCGAGTTCGCTCTTTACCGCCGAAGGCCATCATCGCAAGATCAGCCAAAGTCGACTGCCAATTCGCGCCGGTGTCAGGGAGCACGGTATCATCGATCAGGATTCTGGAGTTGACGTTCATAACAGCAACGATGTTCCGAAGGATAGCCGCGGCCTCATTATCGGGCCAGTCATGCATGATTCTGCGAAGGTAGTAGAATTTGGCGCCTGAAACGTGCAAACCAGTCAGCCATTCGATCTCGTTAACTGATATTCTGAGGTACTCACCAGTAACAGTTTGAGGTTGGAAGAAATCGTAAGCTTGTACCTCGACACCCTCTATGGGTGCAAGCTGTTTCACTGCCTCGGGTAGGTCTTGAAGGACCATTCGCCCGAGAAGGGTTGGGTACTTCTTTCCAAGCTCACGGCACTGATGACCATGACCGCCACCGACATCAACAAAGAACGGCTTCTCGGATGCTTGTGGAACACCAGACTGAATCTTCTGGGCTTCTCTGTCGAGAAGTTCAAAGCCTTCGGTCCATTCTGACCCTTGAAGAGATGTCATGACCTTTTGCAGGTTCTCAAAATGCTTCGGATGCTGGACAAGCCACTCGAATGAAGTGAGCTTTGTGTTGTGAGCCTTCTGGAAGGGCGTGTTTGTATTGCTCGTGACATCCTGGTACTTGTTCTCTGCGAAGAAATCGGGCATTGCTTGTACCACAGGTCCATGGGTGTCAAAGCTACATCCCAGGTTTTTAGATTAGAATGCTGGACGTTTCAGGAGAAAGGATCGGTACCTACCCGTGGTATATCATGGCCTCGCCTTTGGGGTCAGCCAGCACATAGGTGAGCTTAGTCGCAGTATATTCATTGACTCCAGTCTCTTTGATGATGCTTGTGGCAGCAAGGTAGCGGAGAACTCTCTCTGAGGTTCGATCGAGTTAGCATTTTAAAAGTGACAGCAACCATGAATGTCTCACCAAGAAGCTGGGGAGAGGCCGTAGTTAACTCTGCGATTCTATCAACCTTCAATGGGGTCTTGTTGCTTGCGAGTAGGCTGAATAATCCCATGTCCGCGCCGACGCGAAGCATTGCATTGATCAAGCCCTAGAACTGTTAGTATTGGACAATTTCAAGGTTTGATGATACCCACCGAGCCAGCAATCTCCATGAGACTATCTTTTGGACTTTGCAGCTCAGCTTGCACTTGGCGCAGGGTTTTGATGATATTCAGTCGGCCTTCTTCGTCGGCGGCCTCGGCCAAGGCACGGACTTGAGCGACGATTGGATCCATTGTGCTGAGAATGCGGTTTTTGGAAAGTTGAGAAAGAAGTTGTCTGTTTGATCTGTCTTGAATATAATGAATTAGATTCAGATGAATCAACCACTACTTATATACCTTTTCCCATTCGGGGCCGCCTCTTCGGAGAGTACATCGGCCTAGTATAGTTCACGGAGACCGCGGAACTTCCGCGGATTCTGCGATCTCTGATTGGTCGGCTTCATCCGGCCCCCAACTCCATCTCATCAGCTCTGGAACTTTCATCTATTCTCTTAGAAACATATTGAGGATTTTGATTAAAGATGAGTCGGATAGAGAAATCTACTGCCAAATCGTCGCGCTCACGTCCGGTATCATGCCACTTTTGTCGCTCGAGGAAGCTGAAATGTAGTCGGCAATTCCCGTGCTCGAACTGTACAAGCCGGGGTACAATCTGTCAATTATATCCCACGCCATCATCGCCGGGTCTTCAAAGTGACCCTGAAGAGCTTTCATTCACCTCAAATTCAGATGTGCTGGCCCGCTTACGCAGGTTGGAAGATATCGTCATCGGCCATGGGAAAGCACCCACTCTTTCGGAACAAGCTACAGCCCAGTCACCGTCTGTGCCTTCTCCTCCTACTCGGCAGTTTGAGCATCCATATATGATGCATAAAGGACAATCATCTGCAGCTGCTGTCAACTGGCTTGAAGGCGAGATCACGTCTCCAGGCTCAACTGTAGGCGAATACCCACCGCGACGATACCATTGAGCATGTCACTAACTTGATAATAGAGTTCTCTGTTGAAGTTCGAACTAGAGTTTCGAGTCTGTGATGCTCAGAATGCTCTGAACAACTCCCAGAGCTCTCGGGCTGATTCTCCCAGAAAGAAGTGTATTTGGCTGCCACGACACAAAGAAGCCCAAATCGTTGCAGAAAAGTATATATCAGAACTAACCCATCTACACCATGTGGTGCATGTTCCATCTCTGCGGTCTATGATAGATAATCTCTACCAAGGACTTGAAGAAAGCAAGCCTATCAAAGTCGGGCACGTTTCGTTACTCATGGCAGTTCTCGCTACAACCACTACGTTTTGGACTGAGCGTGATATGCACCATGGTATTTTCACATCGGTCACAGAAGCAAATTCACAGTCCACCCGGTGGATGAAGCTTGCCACAGAGGTTCTCGAATACTCACGCTACAAGCATTCCGAATCTGTGGAGGATGTCCAGGCAATGGTCATTTTGATATTCGTTACGACTAATCTTGTTGGCATTGCTTCGCAGGCTCGACACATGGTCTCTACCGCCATCGCTGTTGCCAGAGAACTGGCAATGCATCGAGTCGACCATCCAAACAACTCTGGTTTTGATATGCCGCCACCATCTTCTGCGAGGGCGGAGATATATAGGAGGGTATGGTGGTATCTCGTGGCAACGGACTGGTAAGTTCGCTCTATCTTGGCCTGTGTACGGAGTACCCTTGTCGCTCACCGAGACACAGGCAAATGTCCCAGTTATCTGGGCCTCAAAGAGGGACATATTCTATTATGCCATCCCAAATGATGACCAACAAACCTGCCAATGTAAATGATGAGGATGTCGTGGATGGCATGGCCGCAATCGGGCGACCAGCTGACCAGCCCACTTCGATGTCCTATTGTCTACAGCGAATCCGTCTGGGCGAGTTTTGTCGCGAGATCACAGACAGTGCCCCTTTTGGAATCTCTGATCCTGGAACACCGGCCTACGAGATAACAAAGCAAATCGATCGCAAGATCTGTGAATTCGCCAACAGTCTACCCTCGTTCTTCTCGTTATCCCACGACTCGCAACACTTACCCAAGTGTGATGATTGGGTATCAACAGGAATTATCACACAACGATACATCCTCAACTTTCTACTAAATACGCAGAGATGCAGACTCCATCTGCCCTATCTGTCGCATGCTTCCAAAGACTCGGCGTACGAATATTCACAGAAAGCGTGCTTGGAGGCAGCTCGGATGGTCATCAGAACCGAGCAACAACTCTCCCAAGAGATGATACCCTTCGTCATAGCGCGCCTGAAGTTTTCCGGTATGCTACATTGTGTATGTGTCGCCATCATTGTCCTTCTCATAGAATACTGTGGACGTAACAGCCACCAGCAAGAGAAAGAAGGAAGTCGAGCGGAGATCTTCGAAGCATTCAAAATTCTAGAAGACGCCAAGCAGCAATCCCCCTTTGCAGGCCGGCTTCTTGAGTCTTTCAAAACCGTCCTTCGGAAACATAGTGCGTCGGCTTCAACCGCTGGCGAACAATTGGCGCAGTCCGGTCATGTCAACACCGAGTCATCGGTACCGCAGCGCACCCTCAATCCTACGTGTACCGCACTGACTACTTCGTACGCCGGTGGGAACTTTATGGATCCAACTCTGCCTGCTTTGGATGACCTCTGGCAGGTTTTTGACGAGAACGTGGACTCACCTTCGGTGGACTGGGCCAGCTTCTTTGCCGAATTGGACTCACCTCTTCTGTCAATGAATTAGCGTAGTGAATTACTGTACAGTATCATTTACTTCCACTGTCTTCGTACAAGTGTACGTTGACTTGGAACACCTGATATGACATTGTATGACGCAGTACTCCGTATTGGAGTTATGTAAATAAAATATGTCATGTTCCGAGGTCCGACCTCGTAGCCATTACATCGAGGCCCACTTCCAAGTTGGACTAACCAGTCGCGTCGATAGCGCGATCTGCGTGGTCATGTCCAGCGAACTTAACGCAACGTCCAGGGACGATCTTTTCAACGGCCAAGAAATCTATTCTAATCACTAGGCAGTATCCAATGTCCCTGTGGGGTTGGTGTGGAATGCATGAGCACAGTCGCTTGTTTAAATGTGCTGTCTGTACAGCTTAGGCCCCGCAAGCAAATTTCCGAAACTTCCGATTGATGTCATTGTAACTGATGTGTGGCCTCATGTTGCCTGGTTCCTGAACACATGGCGACTTGTGCCTGCGCCGAAATTACCGCGCAACCTCTGTAGAATTCTTTGCCGTACCCTGCAAATTTTTATTGATCTGCGAAACAAGAACGAGAACGCAAAAATCATTAGTTCGATACACTTTGAAAGCAAAGTCTGGAATCAAAACCTCAAATTGATCATCGGTCTAAGAAATGGGTTTACATAATGTCGGACACGCGTCGTGGGGCGTAAATGGTTACGCACATTAAAGCACCTGTAGGCAATTGGTCTCTGTACAACACACAAAGGATCCAAGATCGCTGCCTACAATTCACAAGGTATGAGCAGCTTACTATAGAAACCTGGCTTTGTTGATTGCATCGTGGAGTTGGCCCCCCAAGGGCTTGTCAAGTTGTGTAACTGATCCGTGGTCCAGCAATGAACGAAAATAGTTTTCTCCACTTCACGGTCCAATGCCTTTCTTCTTCGTATTTTGTGTATCTTGCTTTTCTCTTGATGTCATACACTTGACCGTGTCCAATTGCATGTAGTGGTGTACAGGGCTTAGCTCCACCGTTGCTCTGTCACACAGTCCACCACAGCAACTATCACAATCTAAGGCTGATTTCATCGGAGACGTCTCGGTCACTGATGATCCCCGTGGTCTAGCCCTTTGCAAGGTACAGAATTTTTTAATTATGTGTCTTTTGGCTTGTTATTGAGGTTGCCCTTGACACACGTACAAGTTACGTAGAATGATAACCTTGGAACCCAAATATACCCCGGAGCGGACAATATTTACCATTTACCATTAGCTACTTTGGTTAAAAGCTGGAGGCAGAGAGTTAGGTACCTTGCTTCGTATAGTCCCAGCCATCTGGTAACATTGGGATTCAATCAAAGTTGCGAGGTCCCGTGGTCGTCCATGGAAGAAGTATATTCGCACCCGTTTCATCTGAACAAGCAAACGCCCTCAGCCTCTCGGAGGTCAAAAGCAAGTAATGATCCATGGAAATAATGTATCGCCACTCATAATTGAACTTTTGATTCCGTGGATACCAGCAGGCCCCCAGGACTTGGAAAGGGTCCACCACACAGCTCACACTTGGCCAGTGATCGTTGTCGATGATCAGATCGGGGCTGTAGGTGGAGCAGCACCCATATATTCCAACTCCATAGTTCAAAGGGATTGGATCTCTGTTTGAGATGACGTCGACTATTTCGTTGCGCATGTTATTCCGGCTGGTTCGGACCTGTACAGCTCGAGATTGGCCGGGGTCTCACGGATCGCATGGCTGACAGGTTCTATTTATTGTTTATGCTTTTTGGGTAATTTGATTTTGCTTCGGGGAGTTTTGCCGGTGCCTGCCCCATCATCATTCCCCTTCGTAGTTGCCGTGAGCCCTAATGGGAACCCCCACCTCATTTTATAAAAGATCTCCCTCTTCTTCTACACTACCTCTCTCTCTCTCTCTCTCTCGTACTCTCTCATAGGTTCGAAAATCATTCTATCTGAAAGCTCTTTTTTGTCAAATCCCACTGTGTTCATTCGCTACACACTTCTCACTTTCGCTGATCAGCAGTCACGATGAAGACATTCATCACGCTCGCTGCTCTCGCTGTCGGCTCCAACGCCCTTGTTGGCCGCAGTGATAGCTGCTGCTTCCACCTCACCTCCTCTGGCGGTGCCTCTGGTGAACTCGGCCAATTGGACGATGGCCAGAACCGCATCGGTGACAACAGCCTGTCTCCCGCTCAGTACTGCATCGACGCTAAGGGTGCCATCACTGATGCCAAGGGCCGTGGCTGCATTCTCACTCGTAAGTTATACAATGACATTCAATTCTCATACGTAATGGCAAGTCTAACTGGACAACAGCCCCCACTACCCAGCTCCAGTGTGACGAAGGTGCTTCTCCTACTCCTGGTTTCTCCATCAACGCTCAAGGCCAGCTTGAGTTCAATGGCAGCACCGACTTCGTTGCCTGTGCCACTGGACAGAACGGTGGTCTCAACGTCTACACCACTCCCAACAAGGCCGATGTCACTGGCTGTGTGAACGTGGAGTTGAGTACCGACTCCTGCTCCAACAACGGCGCGGGTTCTGGTTCCGGTGGCTCGTCATCTTCCGGTCCTTCCCCTTCTGGTCCCCAGTCTACTCCCGTTGGCTCTGGCGGCTCTGGTGAAGGCTCTGGCTCCACTCCCACTCCCTCCGGTGGAGGTAGCACTCCCTCCGGTGGAGGTAGTGGTAGCCCTCAACCCTCTAGCCCTGGCTCCGGTTCCGGCTCTGGATCTGGAACTTCCGTCCCTGCTCCCTCCGGAGGTGGCGGTGGTGGCTCGCAGCCATCCAGCCCTGCATCTGGCTCTGGTGAAGGCTCCGGCTCTTCTCCTTCCGAGTCCCCTCTCCCTGGATCTCCCGTCGTTGTCGTGAACACTGTCACTGTTACTGACTGCGGCTGCGCTGCTACTTCCCCGGTGGTAGCGGTGGCTCCGGCGAGCAGCCCGCTCCTTCCGCTAGCATGCCTGCCCCATCTGGCGGCGGTGGATCTCCTCCTTCCCAGTCTGGCGGTGGCGGCGGCTCTCAACCCTCTGGATCGGCTTCTGTTCCCGCTCCCTCCGGTGGGGGTAGTGGCTCTCAGCCCAGTGGCTCTGGTAGCGCATCTGTCCCTGCCAGCTCCGCATCCTCCACACCTTCATCCACTACGGACTCTTGCCCTACCACTCTCACCACTGGCAGCTATGAGACTCCTCACCTGATCATCCCCGTTGACTCTGAGTCGCCCGACTCCGCGGCTGGTACTTCCTTCAACGGCACCGTGAGCTCCTCCATCTCGAGTGCTTTCAACTTTGATATCCCCTCCTCCGATGCTGGCAAGACTTGCAGCCTCGTCTTCCTCTTCCCCGAGCTTCACGACCTCGAGACTTCCTCCTTCAGCTTCAGCGGTGATGGCAAGATCGACTTTGCCCAGCTCTCTTCCGCTGTCGACGAGTCTACCACCTTCAGCAGCCTGCCTTCCGTGTCCAAGGACTTCGGTGACATCACTGTCTCGCCTGGAAACTCCTATGTTGTTTCCACTTTCGCTTGTCCCGCCGGTCAGACCGTCGCATACGAGTTGAAGGCCTCCAGCGGTACCGATCTCAACTTCTTCCAGGACTGGAACCCCTCTCCGTATGTCTCTTCTACCCTTTCTTCTCGGTCATTAACTAACCACATTCATAGTCTCGGTCTCTTCATCACCACTTGCTAAATCAGCAAGCGTGAAGGTTGACCACTTATCACCCCTAACGACATGACATATGCAAGGGTCTCGTCACGCCTTTATCCCATGAGATGCCCCACGTTGCAACGTATTTCTTTTTGATCATATGTTTCTGAATCATTTGATATTTTCTTTTCTTTCCAGGCGTCCATAGGGAAATAATGTTAAGGCTGGCTAACGGATATGGATTGATACATTCCTAATATCTGGATGATGTTGTAATTGAGGCGCATTCACAGTGTGTCAACATTCCTTTTGACTCGTGTATTACTACATTGAATTCACTCCTTTATTTTCTCGTCAAGAAGCAACCTTGAAAATTTTTACCTCGGGATTCTCTTAGACAAGTAGGTACCTAGGTAGAGGAAAATGACAAAGGAGAAATGGCATCGAATACACACATGTCTCCCGCCTGCCAAGAAGCTTTCTTTGAATGAAGTAGGTTTGGGTTTTTTCAATCCGATCGATTTTGACCTCTACCTCAATAATCATTGGAATGCCTGTACATACATCGGCTTTATGGCTGCGTATTCAATTCATAAGACTACCGTCAAACATGAGTCCCCTCAACTTCAATGCCCTCATCCGTCCTCCACATTGAGCCGGCTCTAATTTCCTGAACATTTCTTGAGGCAATAGTCACTGCTCTGATTAGCGTTAACATTAGCTCGGAATCCGCATTTGGTAAAGCGAGGAATAAACTTACTCCTCCATCAATCTTGCAAAGAGTGTAACAGTTGTTTGTCGGCTATACATCCCGATATGTTAGATCGCTTTCATCTCAAGGTAGAAGCATAACCTACCACTCTCTTGTCAACTTCAACTGGAGAGGCGAGGGCTACTCCGACGAAGAGAGCCATTGTCATGTGAATCAAACGCATATTGTAGGTGGTTGAAGGTTGAAGGACTGGAGGGTTGATCTGAAGACTTTTGGAATGATCGAGGAATCTTTGAATTGTTGCGATGACCAGATTGAAGAGAAACAACCAGCAATTTATACCCCAAACTCTCTGCTATACTCAGCTATACATTGCACATGGTCAATTGTTCTCCTTGCATTCTGAACGAATCGTGTTCTGCGGATGTTTCCGCCCCCACGTCTTGTGCAGTTTCATGGGGCACAGAAATGGTCCTGCAGACTTGATCCCGCGAATACGCTTCTTGGTTTCGGTATGCCAAGATTTGATCTACGAGGATATGGTTGCTTTTGGGTGATCATGGAGTACCTGAGTAAGTTATTTGGTTTTCAGCTTGGGGGCCTTACAGTGCCAATTAGCTTGGGTGGTACTCAAGAGGCTATGTAGGTGTTTGCGGGGCAAAGGTTTTAGGTCGATGATGGGGAGGAGGATGAGATTTTTCGTTTTTTCATTGGCGCTATTGTTAGTCGGCGCATGATGCAACCCTTAAGGAATGTTCTTGCTTATGGAACATAAGGCAACTTCACGTCGATGTCTAGAGTATCATTGTCCAAGGAAAGCCTTTTACATTTGGTTTGTAATATTCTGCTCACTTCAGGGCTGTCAAATCTCATATGACGTTGTAAATGCCTGCGACTTCTGTGTTTGCAAGAAGCAGGAGATCGACCTGGGAGATAGGGACAACAATGAATCCGATCTCTGAATCTGAATCTACCTCTTCAAAATCTGGCCTTTCGTTTCTCGCTGACATTTGACAAGGCCCCGTTTGTGAGATCTTTCTTTTCTACCACTTTACTCCATGTGATGAGTACTAGGATCTGATGCGCCTGCCAATTCTAAACGGGTTATCTATAGAGTACATCCCATATCGAAGCAGTCATCCGCTTACTCCGTACGTCGGTAATGCTGACCAGAGATGATATTGTTGTAAGCTTAGGGAGGAAAGTTCTCGTTCCTGAAATGTTATTATCATACAGCCTCCATATAAGACTCTGCTGTTGCGAGTAGACACCAGAATGGATGTGTTCGGGAGGGGCTTTCCCCTCTGGCCAGTCAGCATGCTCGCTTAACACGCCCCACCACCGGCTCTTTCATTCGTCTTCTCTCTCAGGGTCTTTCTTTTTTTTTTGGCACTTTTCTCCATAATCTCCCCACTTTGATCTTCGCTTCATTTCACTCCAGAATCTGGGCACGTGACTCAGTTCATACAGGACTTGACGCCTGTGTAGACGGAGTCTCTCACTCTGTACGGAGTACGGAGCACACCTCTGGAAGTAGACTGATACCAATCCCTTGTGAATCAAGACTGTATCGGTGTTGAGTCTGGTCCAAAGGCTCGGGTTCGAGTTCTGAGCTTGGCGTCTATTTTGTATATTTCAATATTAGATGCTATGATCCTAAATGAACCAGGTTGAACAAAATATCCAGTACTTTCTGCCGTGAGCCTTGAAAATAATAACCAGGTCTGAGGACTCCAAATTGGATAGAACGCGCGAGTCTCGTGCAACGCAAATTAGGCAGAAACATGAGAAGGACGCGGAGATGTGGATCTGCACTGGGTTCTGGGCCTAAATGGGGTTCTCTCTGGGTACTGGGTACTTGGCCCCAAAGAGGTAATCGTTTGGCACGTTAGGTACTGGGTACTTGGGATTGGCCAGAACTATAGACTCAGCCACGTTGACAGCTCAAAGCGAAACGCACAAAGTAATCAGACTCCATAATAAGAAGGATAATAATAAGAAAATAAGAGGAATCCAAAGTGAGATGCGAAAAAGGTTCAGGAGGCGCCAAGTAGCATTGACGCCAGGCTTGCCAAGCAATGCCTTTGGAGGCAATCGCGATTTCTTTTTCCTTATAATCTGTTAATTCTTCTTCCTCTTTCTGAAGGGGAATAAAAGGTCAACATGGCAATCCCCACAAAGTTGCCTTTCTCCAAGCGGCGGCTCCGACCACGCGTGATCATTTCGTATGTTGTGATCCTTTCCCCGCGTCTTCTCCAACTAACTCGTCCACAGCTACATCTTCGACTATGTGATTCTCATGTATGACACTTCCCCATCGCAGCGACATCCCTCGTAACTAACGGTACCAGTGCCTGCGTGATCGGATTCTGGATCGTCGATTCCATCGAACCCTACCATCAACACTTCTCCCTCCAGAACATCTCCATCCAGTACCCCTACGCCGTGCACGAGCGCATCCCCATCGCCTACGCCCTCTGCATCTCCGGCGCTTTCCCCCTGGCCCTGATTATAATCTACACCCTCTTCATCGATGGCTTGTTCTCGCACAATAAGCCCCAGGATCCGAATTCCGGCAAGCGGAAGCTCAGAGGCCCTCACCGATGGAAGGACAGACTTTGGGAAATGAACTGTGGTGTCTTGGGTCTCCTCTTGGCGCAAGGCATCACCTTTGTGATCACGCAGGCGCTAAAGACCGCATGTGGCAAGCCTCGACCTGATTTGATTGATCGCTGCCAACCGCTGGCAGGCAGCAAGGATCTCTTCCCCGGACTGTCGAACTCGACAATTTGCACGGGCGACCCGGCAATTATCAAAGATGGATTCCGATCATGGCCATCAGGTATGTGTGGGCTAGGAACGACACTCTAGAAGTCCGTCTTGCTAATCTTTGTTCTTTTAGGTCACAGTAGTTGTGCGTATCCCTCGCGATTAGCATCCATGGTGCTCCCCGCTTCCAACCTTGGGATCAAATACTAACGAGATCGAATTACAGCGTCCTTTGCTGGTCTAGTCTACACGTCCCTCTGGCTCGGTGGAAAGCTACACGTCATGGATAACCGCGGCGAGGCGTGGAAACCCCTCCTCGTCATGGTCCCACTGCTCGCCGCGACCCTCGTTGCAGTGTCGCGCATCATGGACGCCCGTCACCACCCCTTCGATGTGATCACCGGATCGATGCTGGGAACCGTCTGCGGCTACGTTTCCTACCGCCAGTATTTCCCACCGATCACCGAAGCCTGGCGCAAAGGCCGCGCCTATCCAATCCGCACCTGGGGCACTGAGCCCGCGGGCCCCGACGCCGTCCGGCTTGTTAAGGAGGACAGCAGGACCGCGCTTCGCAATCCGGAGGAAGAGCGCATGGATCCTGACATCCCCAGGTCGGAACGCAGCAGACCCGAGGATTCGACGTACCTCAATTCCTCGAATCCTTTCGCCTCGAACATGTACAATCGCCGACCGCATGATCACGACCCTGATAGCGGTGCTTGGTCTTCGAGTGAAGATGATGTTGCTAACAATGGGTATGAGATGCGTCATGGGTATTCTATGTCGCAGAACCCTGCCGGTCACCATCTCCCCCAGTACGACCCCAGTAATGCGTATGTGTCTCAGACGCAGCCGCTTACCACCGAGACGATGGCGGGTCCGGGACGGCCGTTGACGGACGCTCCTGGTCGAGCCGTTTAGAGATGATTGATGTGATGACTTTTGATTATGATGACCATCTGGGGAGTAGTCTTTGCCGACAGGATTCGCTTGGCTACCTATGATTTGCTGGGGCATTATTGCGATGGCTGGGGAAGAGTCTGTATGATTATGGCATTGGAATATTCGAACTTTGATTGCATTTAGTGCCGAAATTACAAATCTGACAAATTTGAAGCGAACATCTCTTTACTCCGTACTCCGTACTCCGTACATTGTCTTTAGTCATGCTCCAGAAAAGTATTGTTGAAAATGTATGTTGCCCTACACGCAGTAGCGCACGCCCAACTCGAGGCGCAAGGTGAAGCATCAAAGGCTCCACTCTCGTTGTCTTGACAACAATGGAGTAAAGACCCTTGATCGTCTCTGTACTCCTCATGAAGGAGCTATATGCAAAACATAGATTAGAAAAACAAGTGTGCTGCAAGTCAAATAAATTGATCAATGAAACAAAACTCGTCAGGGCCACTCTGAGACGTTTGTTCCCAGCCCCCTCCATCATCCCGCGCCGTGAGTCGCCCAGCCTCCCTCAGCCTAAGATGACCGATGCATCTCTTCTTTTTTTTTGTTTTAATTCCCCTCTCTTTTCAATGTGATTTTAAACTCTTTTATTTCTCCCTTTGTCTCTGCATCTCTGACATCGTGCATCCTGCAGCAACTGAGCCTCGTGTGGTAGCCCCACGTCTCTTGTCGCACAGGATAGTTTGTCAATAGACCACATTCCAAAGATCTGACACCCGAAACTCTCTATCCATCATGATCGCCAGCGTCTTCTTCATCTTCAATCGCCTGGTCGAGATCGTCTTCCTGATCCCGATCATTGGCATGCTGGTATGTCCACGTCCCATCCTATACATCCCACCCCAAGTCTCCAAGTCTCACTTCTAACAACTCAACCAGGCCTACTTCGTCAATGGCTACATCAAAGCAAACATGCTGACCCCCTCCTACATCCTGGTCCTCTTCATCGTCAGCACAATCGCCATCTTCTGGGCCCTCGATACCCTAATCCGCCTCTCAACAACAAAGCGCTCCGCAATCTTCGTCGCCTTCATCGACCTCTGCTTCTTCGGCGCTTTCGTCGCAGGAGTCTACCAGCTCCGCTTCATCGCAAACGCAGACTGCGCAAGCTGGCGCGGCGGCTCCGTCTGGATCTCACTGGGCCCATTCGGCTCTTACGGCCGACAAACCGGTGACCCGCTCTCGCTGGATGTTAATAAAACATGCGCTATGCTGAAGGCTTCGTTCGCAATCGGTATCATGGAGTGTGTCTTTTTCTTCTGGACGGCGTTTATTGCTATGTGGTTGCATCGCACCCATCATGAGGTCGTTGTTAAGGAGACTACGGTTCGACGACGCAGTCATTCGAGTCGTCGTCATGGGTCTGGTTCGCATCACTCGCGTCATCGCAGCTCCAGTCGTAGCAGACCTGCGCATTATGTTGTTTGAGGGGGATGAGTTATGGGGGTTCGGATTTGTTTGTCTTTTTTGGTTTTGGTTTTGTTTTTTTTTAATGGCATTTGGCCTTTGCATCTCATGAATTTTACGATGGATGCTTTAATGAGATATGGACGGGAGATTCTTGGAAATTGCCTATTGGCATATGAATTGGTGTTTAGTATGAGTATAGCTAGAAGATCATCATGTCATGGATATTTAGGGTTCATTCTCCACTCGCTTTATGTCCGAGAAGCCAAATTGTAAGCTCGAATTGCGAATCTCGGCTATCGTAGTCCTCATTCAACCGGAATCCTCTTTCAAATCCCCCGCTCTAAAGTTTCCAATAGTTACACGCTCTCGGTACTCTCAGAGCCCTATTCAAACTCTCCCTCTACTGCGGAGTAGCTTATCACCGATTCTCAGTCGTAGCACTATGACTGTGACAAAACATCCACGAGACCCTCCCCCATTGGACGAACTCGCAACTATCATCCAGCAAGCACTACTATCCAACTTCAAAACCGCAAGCGTAGCAGTCGTCAAATGCCCTGATCTAAAACAAGCCCCTTTCAACCTCGCTGCGTCCGGATTATCCGGAAATCCCCGAATCGCAGACATAGGCGGACAACAAAACCTCTTCCCTCAACCAATCCTCGATGCAAAATATTCCCTTCTCTCTTTAGCACAAGACATGGAAATGTCACCCGGTGCAGGCTTCGTCCTCGGCGCAGGAGCCGCTCCACATCAAGACCTCGGCCGGAACGCCGAACTAGCACCAAATCTAGCCTGGCGGAAAGCTGGGAATAGTTCTAGCTTTGATGATCCCAGTTCATTGGTTATTGAAAATGGCTCGCGAATCATCAAAGTTGATGAATCTCGCGAGCCTGTATGCGAGCATGCCTCGACTACGAATTGTGCTTTGATGATCAATCTTTATGGATCGGATGGAGATACTGGTCTGGTACTTAAGATTAATGCGAAGGCGCGCATGGGGGAGAAGAACTTTACTGATACTATACGCTACGGTCTACGAGAAGCGTATGGTGATGCCAGACCGGTTAGTCTGGGAGGTGTGTTTCTTCTTAAATCTGGGAAGGCCAAATTTCATATCATGCCGGACTTTCCTCCGGAAGATCAATTGCCGTTTCGAGATAGGGCACAGTTGGAGAGGGAATGGTTGTCGTATCATGTGTTTGATGCTCCTGTTGTTTGTTTATCTGTGATGCACAGTGCTGATCCCGAGGGTTTGGGGTTGAGGATGGAGCATACACATTGCTTTGAGGTAGATGGGGATCGCAAGGGAGGTCATTATCATTATGATATTCCCGATGGGGATGAGGAAGTTGAGTATGAAGCTTATTTCAATGTTGCGTCTGTGGTTTATAGAATCGATCGACCAGGGACTTGAAATTCCTTTGGGTATTTCTCGTCGAAATATGCTATACTTATACCTGTCTGTTTTCCTTTCTTGCCAGTTGAACCTGGGACACAACACTATAGCCTCGTGGCATACTAGGCTTCACGTAGCTCAGATGGGTAGCTTCAGGCGTCAATCGCGCAGAACCATCGATCTGATAGGATTTCCGCAGGCGAAGGTCTCTTTGCGGGATCATATTGCAATATCCATCGAATAAGCGTTTTCACTTTGTTAGCTTCCTCCTCACCGAGATCCGGGCCTGCCTGATCAAACCAATCTTCCATGGTCGTCTGTTCTAACATGAGCGGTTCCTTCCCGGGATCAACTCCCCCAAGCTGACAATTGAAGAGCTTCCTTTCGGGCGTGAAGTATAGCGACGAGGTTTTCCAATTCTTGAATAACTCTTCAGGAAGTGGACCAAGCAGAGCAATGAGTGCGAGAATATGATCGTCGTCTTCCCAATCAGACCACGGTACACAAAATAGTGGCTGTCCGGTAATAAGCTCAAAGACGAGGCAGCCAAAGCTCCATGTGTCAAGAGTATTGTTGACAGCTCCTTTAAGAATCAATTCGGGTGCTCGAAGACCGACTGGAGTAACGATCTTTGTTGGTGGGTCGGTAAAGTAATAAGCTATTCAGAGCATTGAAGTATAAGTATGGAGATCGTCAATAGAGAGGAGCGAAGAGACTGACCACCGCCCATATCGGATAATTTGACCTTAAACGCTTCACGCTTCGGTATTGGAAGTGAAAGGCGCCAGTGGCTGCGCAACGCAAAGATATTGAGGGGCCCATTTATCGGGTTTACCGTCCAGCCTCTGTACCGAGGGCGAGATTGATCTGGCCTCCACATCTTTTTCTTGTAGGAGCAAGTGCTCAGGTGTCGAGTCAAGATCATCGAGGGAGAAGAGTATGTTTCCCGGCTGGAAGTCTCCGTGGGCAATACCATTCTCATACAGGAATGCAAGGCCTCGTAAAGATTGCTTAAGAATCCTCTTTGCCATTTGAGGTGGATAGCGGACTTTCATGTCTTGCATGCGAGGTTTAAACTGCGGCAGCTCCTCGACCATTGAGTTGACACTCGGGCCCATAGGCTCGAACACCAGGCACTTGTGGAGACCATTAGGCCCGTGGTGTTCGAATTCGTCTAGTAGTTGCGTGGTATACTGGGGCCCTTCTACTGGCGCGACTTGATTGATATGTCGCAAAATTCGTAGCTCGGTTGTCGATTCTGAGACATCTGACACAAGTATCTTCAGTGCGACATATCGGTTGTTACTTGAAGGAGATGAGTAATGATCATATATAGCGTTGCCGGTAGGAATGTCGAAGCTGGGCTTACTTCAGGTCATGGGCGAGCCAAACCGTGGAGTAGGAGCCGTCGCCAAGCTTCCGGATGACCTTGTACTGGTGGTTGAAGACGTCGCCGAGGATGACTGGATGATAACCGCCCGGTCGATAATCCTCCACCCATTCACAGGGTAAGCTGATAGGCTCGAATCTCCGTTCGTCACCCATCAAGGCCCTTGATGGCGGAGTGGGAGGAGACAAGATACTCATGACCGTGATGGGGATGAATTGCTCAAGAGTTGCTGAGGGGAATTGTGAGAGACAGAGGATTATGATTGAAGAGAAACTGGATGGACTTATCAAAAAGGGTAGGACAAAACTTCCGGGGTACACTTACTCCGTATGGTCCCTCGAGATGAACAACTCTTGGGGGTTGTGATGGGAACATGCATCACGGCGCGTACTATTTTTGTTCTTCGTGATGCGGTGTGACTAAAAAGAGCCTCAACTCCCATAGCACCACAGACGCCACTTCAAAGACGGCGACACTCCATATCCCCTGATATCTAGTTCCCTGGCTGACATGAGAAGTTTAAGACTAGAAAGTGGGAGACCGCCCGTGAATGGATGGGCGTTAGATTTCAATTCCATTTCGAAGTTAGCGCTGGAAATGCCCACGCGGCACCAGCAGCATATCGGTGACCGCGCCTTCAACCCTGGAAGATTATAGGTAGCACGACGATGCAAATCTTAGTGCAGCTTATAGGATACTGTCAGGTAGGTGAAAAAATAATTTGAAAATAAATTGATCAATTTAACATAGTCACAATCTTTATATTGAGTTATTGCTTGAACTCGGAAACAATGAGACGAGATGAGAACAACACTGACAAAACCACACATACTCCGGGCGAGACCATCAAACCAGCTGATTGTCCAATTAATTAATACTGAGTCCAAGGGACAACCACATCTCCCACCATGACTGTGCGGCGGCCAGATTTCTCGGTATCAAACCCATCTCCTTCTTCCGACGAGAGCGTAGCATACCGACCAAATGAGACCTTCCCATCAATATTTCTTGTTTTGGCAAGAGTCGAGAACGGCTCATCGCGTCGGGCTCCCGTAAATTGATCTATGCAGACCATTTGACACCTCTGACAGGCATCAAGAGCATCGAACCGTAATTGATCCGGTCCTATTCGAAGTGATGACCAGGTGTCCTCGGCATATGGCTGCTCCACATCACCACGGCGAGCGAGACGTTCAGCGACGACGATGTTTCCACGGAACACATCTGCCGCGACAGTCTTATTGCTACCTGATTTGGCATTGCTTTTGATGATTTCGTTCAACCGGTTGACGGATGACCGCGACACAACGAGAATTGGCGAATCATTGGAAAGCGCAATTGGTATCGATTCAATCTCCCGCGCTGGAGGTGAGAAGTCCCCAGGGAATGAGCCTGGCATGAGAAGACTACGGAAACGACTCTTCCATGAATTGGTCATGCGCGGCCGGCGTGAATAGCGGATGGCGGTTTGAGTGGGGAATCTTGCGAGTGTACAAGGCACGCCGAGGAAATCTGAAAAGAAGGTTGAGACCACGGGAGATGTGTACGCGTGCAGGGCTACTGGCTCCCCGCATACTGTTGTTGATCTTTTGGTCGAGCTTGGGCAAAATGAAGTGGACACAAGGCTTGTGTCCTCCCAGCCAAGTGAAATCTCCAGACTGACTTGATCGGTTGCCGCTATTGCGCCACATGTTATGCGCAGGACGCCTTTTTCAATGTCAATCGATGGTCGTATCAGACACATCCGCGGGTATCTATTTGCGTAAGTATCAAGTCTCAATGATTGCGGCCGGGAGAGACATACCGCTTCTGATTCAAGGCTGCACTCGTTCCCTGATGAATCAGACACCATTCTCTGTCCCAGGCGAGTCCCTCGCTTTTGACTTCCCATCGCTTGCCTTGGGGAATTTTGAAAGCCCCACAGCTCTTTATGGGAAAGACCGCTAAGCTTTCCACATAGAAATGCGGCCCAACAACCCCATCGTTTGCTCCGATGGGATCTAGACAAACAATTGAGGGGGTCTTTTCGACGTAGAATTCCTCGACGAAGCTAAACAAGGATTCAATATCTCTCATGTTTGTCATCGCACCCAGGCTGACACGTAGAATTCCCGTTGGTCGCCCTCCCAAAACATCATGGCTATCGCCGCAGCGCAAACCGGTTGAGTAATGATTGCGAAGTTCAGGACCAGTCCATCCCAGATAAGAAGAGGTCCCGCCTGGATTGCAGACTGATCCAGTGCGAATTTGAAGATTCTGGACAGTGGCTAGCTTCTCAACCTCTGTCTTTGGAATCCATTCACCGCGACTATTGCAAAGATTGAACGCGATGATGGGACCTTGAGTTTGTTGATTGCCATATGCCGAAGAAGGTGATTGATATATCTGACAGACTTTTTTCTCATTGAAATGTACCAATGAGGAGAGTCTGTCATATACTTCCTTGGCAAGGAAATTTGTATGGGCCGAGATGTTAGACATTGAACCATACAATCGCTCATGGGTGTCCAAGGCTGCATCCAAGGCGATGATGCTATGAAAGGGAAGAGTGCCATCTTCTACCGATTCATGAATGGAGGTTTCTTTCTTTGCATGCCACTGCGCCCCAGCAGCGACGACCATGTCGACAGTGCCCCCACCAAAGAACTTGCGTCCTTGAAGGACCCTGGCGGCACTTTTCCGAACTATCAAAGCCCCTAGATCGGGAAAGCCAAATATTTTGTAGAAGCTGAGAACCGTGAAGTCTGGCGCAGAGGCAGAGGGTCCAAGATCAAGTGGAGCAGTTGATACAAGAGAGGCAGCATCAAGTAATGTATATACATTGCTACTACCACTTGTGTTGGCTGCATTTCGAACTTGCTCACACCAACGCCGCGGCAAGCGCCTGCCGTTCATGTTTGATTGTGCAGGATATGCGATCAGTCGCGGCGCTTTGGACTGGTTGCCGGCAAGCTCTGAGATTCCAATTTCCATTTCCTCATCGGTTTGGAAACATGAATATCCCATCCCAGCCAGCTCTCGCACTCCAACAATACTGGTATGGGCGTCGGAGTGATACCCATACCAGAAGCCTCGGTGATCAGAATCTCTCATGGACTCTGCCACCAATTTGATTCCAGCAGTTGCGTTTGCTACAAACACAAGGTCGAATTCATTGGGGTCGGCGTTGAAGAATCTCAGCATGCGGAGTCGGACATCATCGGTGCGCGTTGTAGAGAGCTGCGACGACAATGACATCGAGTGCGGGTTCCCAAATAGATTGGAGACCATGTCTCTTGAGAAACTTTCAATTGTAGATTTGGCATAGGGTGTTGTCCCTGCATGATCAAGATAGGTCGTATCTGTTAGACGGAACAAGTTTGATCAGTACCAATCCAAGAAAATTCAGGTCCGGGATGCTTTGGTTCCAAAGATGAGAGCCGGCTAGGTGCGTCAATCTCCATACCATTGAGAAGAGGATACTCTTGCTCTCGGATTGCGTCCACATTGGTAGAGTACCCTTGGCAGTACTCCATAGGAGAACCCTCTTGGTTACCAAACTTCGACATGATTGGCGAGACACAAAGAATGGCAAAGTGACGATTCCCGAACTTCCGAACTTCCGAACCCGACGTAGTAATCGACGGGCGAGCTGGCAAAAGGCGAAGTCAACCTTCACTAATTCTACTTGAGACTCGAAGGAGGCGATCCTCGACAGCGGTATACGAAGATGCACCTTGTCCGGGTGGTTGGGGTCAGAGGAGGTTAGAAAGGATGAAGAAGAGCGAGAGTAAATATCAATGAATATGTGAACATCCAACAGATCCAAAAGGAGATCAGAGAGGAAGAAGGAACAAGACCAGAACCTGACCCTAATCAAGTAGACAAGTACGAAGTCTGAAAGTGCAGTCAGATGAATGTTGCAAGAGATGTAGGAAACATCCAGAAACCGGCTGCATCTTTGCAACGGTGCAATATAAAACGGTTTCGGGGGAGGGTACATACAGATAAGGTGAGTATATGCTAAAATCGGTGAGCTCCGACGGCGACAAATCAACCGGCCTGGGTATTATTTCCAGCCAACTTCAATGGGATAGGCTGTTGATGTCCGAGGAAAAAGCATACACATCCGAGGGAGTGGTCCATGGCTTTTATATGTATATTTGCATATTCGAAGATGTCAAAGGGATGATATGAGACTGCTTGCCACAGGCCTGGAGATCCCCGCACGTGCCTGTGGGAGGTTGTGGCAATACCGTGGCAACATCGGCTGAGTAGCCGCGACTCAGCCGCTAAACAATAGAAACACCGCCCGGTTTGGACCGGGTCCATCTACAACACGCACATAGCGAACTTATCCCCAGTGGATCTGCAGGTCCCTTCCCCCTCCCCACTGCCCGGTCCAACTAGGGCATGTCCATGCATAATAGCAATGTCTCTTATACCCCCCCAATAGGCTGGATCGGGGAGATCCCTTCGAATCAGCCGACTGAGCTCCATCTACTATTGATTTCACCAGCGCATCCCTACCTAATATCACATTGAAAGATGCCTTATGTGATTTCAACTCGTCAGCAGCTATTTGTTTGCGAATGTTCCTCCCATCACTCTGTATCACACGTTCTAGTAGAGCCCCCCGACGGACAATGCATTTGCTATCTGCATGTGCTTCTAGGATCATGCTGGGGCTAAAGCATCGCCCTCTTTCTCATCACATTGTCAGCTTACCCAATGAGACAGAATTCTATTGATACCAGCAATCAAAAAGATTGCACGGATCCATATAGGGAGTAGCCCCTAGCCCCAAGCAATTCTTGTGACTTAGCATGGGTAGTACATAACGAAGAGCATATCCAGCGCCATTTGTTGATAATGTGGCCGCAGGCTCAGCGCAGATGATGCGAGTGGGTCAAGTCCTATGTAGCAATGTAGACCAAAAAGCCCCCACAGATTCTCAACCTCATGATCACACTTGAGGCCGAAAACGATGTCATGGTGGTTAGGTAGGATTGGAAATACTTGCATCGTTCATTACCACGGGCACCTGAATGGTGGAATAGGAGAATGTTATGCGTCATTGCCTAAACACACGAACGAATCTCTACAAGAATGAATAGATTCACAGCATGGACTGGCTGTTGGCGCTTGCTGCCTACACCGCTAGCTGCCAGGGCCAGTAACTCAGGCCCCAGCGTTGGCGGCGCCTGTACGTGCTTCGGCCGGAACTCTGAGCTCGGAGGAACAAGGGCCAAATAGATATCATATGTATCTATTGGCTAGCACTGGGGTATGTGACCGCATATTGTATTGTACATGATGTGATGTGCTGGTAGTATACTTCGAAAGAAAAAAAGAATGAACTCCATCCCAAGCTCCTGTTGTGGCTCGTACAAGTATTGATGTCGACACGGGATGCAATTCGGGCAAGAGCCAGCACGGTAATGGTAACCAAGAAAGAGCAAACCGGCCGAAAGAAAGAATAGAGAAATGCTTCAACGTATTCTGTTGAAACATTACAATTATCGTCGCTTGGGCCATTGCTTCCATCCACGTCCGTGACCTCTCTGTTTGAAGGGTCAGCATTGTTGGAGAGAATATCGGATGTAAACCTACCTGCTTCCATTGGCGGACCATTTCCGGCATGCCCTCCATGGCCTTGCGGCGATCTTCGAGGCGAGACTCCATCGTACGTTCCCACTTGTGACCCTTGACCTTCTGACCAATACCGGTTCCCTTAATCTGCAAGCCACGTTCCTGGCGACGCTTCTCCTTGAACTCAGGCGATTTGCGACTGGGAGGAAGAAGCTTCTCTACATTATATTTGATAGCCAGCTTCATCAGATCGGCTTGTTGTCGGAGTCCGTATCTCGGTCCCTCCCATTTGCCAAATCGCTTGTGTGGGAGGAATGGGTTGCGAAGAGTATCGCTTGTCACAAGGAGCGAATGCGCGCTGGTCCACTCATTTGGCTTCAATCCTTGAGTGCCCTTGGCATCGCGGTCAGGGGTGTATGGTGATGGGAGCGGCGTTTGCGGAACAGCTGCATCCTTTGGGCGAGGTGCTGGACGACGAATGGCAGCAGAGTGCAATTGAGGAGGATAACGGGCGAAGAAGGAGACAAGACGCTGAGGAAGGCTTGCAGCCGGTGAAGGAGTCGCCATGGTGGATGTGACTGACGAGTTTGTCCTGCTCGGATGACAATTGCAGGTGTTCTGGTCAAAAAGTTGATACCGCCCAGAAACACGCTAGGCCATATCTGGCAGCGTGGTTCAATATTTCTGGCCTTACGGTTCAGGCAGAAATTATTCTCCCAGCTCGGCCAGCCAGAGGCGGAAATAGGATTTTCCAGTCCGTGTGTCCCACGCCCTCGTCGCCTGATTTGTCGGGCAAAAGTCAGTTACCACAAGTGCCGATTTAGGCCTGGATCGGAACTACAATACTCCGCTGCCCACGGCTTTCCCGCCTCAGGCATCGAGCGTCCTATCTTCAACTTGGTTTTCAGTGTCGTCCCAGCCTCCACGCCTTCGCTTCGACTTCCCCATTCTTATCAGCACTCTGTGCTATTCATAATCCAACGAGATATTCGCATTCCATCACATCACTCGTCTCCCAGTGCATTCAATCTCCCGCGACCATGGCTGACTACCAATACGGAGGCTCTGAGGAGGAGAACGCCGAGCTACAGAAGCTTGAAAACGAGTTGGTACGTTTCGCGCGTGCGCGCATCAGGGTGTAGCAGTGCGCTGACTCACGCGATAATCTCATTAGCTCGATGATCCCGACAACTTCGAAACATGGGAGAAGCTTGTTCGCGCCGGAGAAGCTCTCGAGGGTGGAATTAATCGCAACTCCAACCCTCAGGCCATAACCACTGCCCGTGCGAACTACGACCGCTTCTTAGCCAAATTCCCTCTCCTTTTCGGATACTGGAAGAAGTATGCCGATCTTGAGTTCTCAATCACTGGCACAGAAGCCGCGGAAATGGTATGAGCACACCATGTTGGTTGCATAGCAACGTTCTTCTAATGAGCTGTGCTAATTTGATATTGTCAGGTATACGAGCGTGGAATTGCCAGCATCCCGCCTTCAGTCGACCTTTGGGCCAACTACTGCGGCTTCAAAGCGGAGACTTCCCACAATTCTGATATCATTCGAGAGTAAGTGCCACAGACCAGGCCTCCCACCCTTTCCCTATAACCATTGCCGACGCAGCTCGCAAAAGCTCTCGTGGTGTCGATCACACATGACTTCTGGGTCTTCCATACCCTACAGTGCATCGTTGATGAGTGAGACCGCTGCTTTTCCCCATGATTCGAGTAGATTCTACTTCTCACCCCAAGCTCACTCAGGGTCGTCTGTTTTCTTCTGACAACATTGCCTTCGTTGCGTTCAAAACCAAGGACTGATTTCGTTCGATGGCCTTTTACGAAGCACGGGGTGCCTATTGCTTAACCTCATCGACCTTGGCTTTTACACTTGGATAGAGTTTACCACCTACACTTTTCCTCTGCTATTTCACCCCTCTCCCACCCAAATCCTCACTACGTGCGCACAAAGCTAACGCCTTTATTGATCAGACTTTTCGAGCGTGGTGCTGCTTGCGTTGGTCTTGATTTCCTCTCGCACCCATTCTGGGACAAGTACATTGAATTCGAAGAGCGAATTGAGGCTCAAGACAAGATTTTCGCCATTCTTGCTCGTGTGATTCATATTCCCATGCATCAGTACGCTCGCTACTTTGAGCGTTACCGCCAACTTGCTCAGTCCCGTCCTCTCACTGACCTCGCGCCTGTGGAGACTCTGACTGCATTCCGCGCTGAGATCGAGGCTGCTCTGTCCCAGCCGGCTCCCGGTGCCAAGGCTGAGGCTGAAATCGAGCGAGACCTACGATTGCGATTGGATAGTTACCACCTTGAAATCTTCACAAACACTCAAACGGAAACCACCAAACGCTGGACCTTCGAGTCGGAGATCAAGCGCCCCTATTTCCATGTGACGGAGCTTGATGAAGGTCAGTTGACCAACTGGAAAAACTACCTTGACTTTGAGGAGGCCGAAGGTTCGTACGCTCGCATTCAGTTCTTGTATGAACGCGCCCTGGTGACTTGCGCTCATTACGATGAGTTCTGGCTTCGCTACGCTCGCTGGATGGCTTCTCAACAGGACAAGGAAGAAGACCTGCGGATCATCTACCAGCGTGCTGCCTATCTTTACGTCCCAATCGCCAACCCCACCATCCGACTTCACTACGCCTACTTCGAAGAAACAGCCGGGCGTGTCGATGTGGCGAAGGATATCCACCATGCTATTCTAGTCAACTTGCCCAGCCATGTGGAAACAATCGTTTCTCTCGCCAATGTGTGCCGTCGTCACGGCGGTCTGGAAGCGGCTATTGAAGTTTACAAGACACAGTTGAACTCCGCAGAATGCGAGATGTCCACAAAGGCTGCCCTCGTCGCTGAATGGGCCCGCCTTTTGTGGAAGATCAAGGGTAGCCCCGACGAAGCCCGAATGGTGTTCTTTAACAACCAGCAGTACTACATTGATAGCCTGGCGTTCTGGAGAAGCTATCTGGTTTTCGAAATCGAACAACCAACCAGTGCGGCCACCGAGTCTGTCCAGTATGACCGCATCAAGCAGGTTATTTCCGACGTTCGGTCCAAGAGCACCCTCCAAGTCAATGCTGTCAAGGAGCTGGTCCAAATTTACATGAATTACCTCCTCGAACGAGGCACCACCGACACAGCCAAGGAGTACATGACCCTTGATCGAGAGGTCCATGGTCCCGCATCTGTTGCTTTTGCTCGTACCGGTGGCTCTGCGGCGGCACTCCCCATCCCTGCAAACATTCAACCTGCTCCGGTTCCCATTCCCCAGCCCAGCCAGGAAGATCCCGCTTCACAAGCTTATGCGTACTTCCAACAGGCTCCTGTGAACGGCCTACCCGCTTAAATTGCAGCCCTGGCCTCCACCCGCAGCTAATGACTGCAAACGTCGACTTTTTCCTTTGCGCTGATTATCTTTTTTTTTTTTTTTTTTGGATGAGTCTTTATGACTTTGATTTTGATTTTCCCCCAACTTACCCTTCTATCGCGATTCACCGGGATAGGTCAGTTTATCCCCCTTCTCTGTAGTATCACCCCCTTTTCTTGTCAGGCTCTTTTTTTCAATTCTGTCTAGCGATTCTGATGACCCTTTCCCCAACCCCCACAGGGAAGATTTCGTCTCAACCATTTATGGGCTGTTGTCTGGCATCTGTTTGGTGCTTGGTGGTCTGTCTGTGTTCACGTCGAAATCGGATCCCGAGCGTCCGGCTGTATTTTACCAGCTTATTCCCAAATGAAAATTAATATACCTAGTAGCCATGTCAACGTTCCAAGGTTGTAACATAGTCGCACACATTAGCCAAACCTTCCAAGGTTTTGGATTTAAGCGATCATTATTTCCAATGTTGTTACTCTAGTCCGTAGAGCGAATGCCTTTAGTTCCGTCAATGACACTCATTTTGATGTACATGAAAATCGCAATAATAGTCCCATTGATCTTCGAGCAAGCCTTGGAAGGGACTGATATTCTCCGTGCCCCGAGGCCAAAAGGCGTCTAGATTGATCTAAGATAAGGATGTGCACGTGACTGCGTTTCTGGCTCTCACCACCTTCCGTAGAAATTCAATATCACATCTTCTCCGTTATCAACCCGCGTTTCTGTCACAGAGCTTCATAGCTTTCTCCTTCACAATGACTATGGACGGGGTAGTTTCCACAGGGTCTGATCCGTCTCCCCCATTTCCTCCGCCCGCACCAATGGAGCGCCCTCCAAGCCCACCGCCACCTCCTCCTGAAGACTCGGCCGCTCCGCCGCCGCCGCCAGACAACATAGCTCCCCCACCTCCACCAGAAGATGTACCTCCGCCACCGCCGGTTGAGACTAAACCGAAGAAGCAAGGATGGGGTGCAAAGAAGCCTGCTGCTAAGCCGTTAAGTGTGGAAGAGCTGATACGCAAGAAGAAGGCAGCAGATGCAGCAGCATCAAAGGTAAGTTCGCATTTGTCTTAATGGGCATCAATATCTCAGCTGAACATCAGTAGAGTAATTACTAACTTGCGACCTTTTTCATAGCCCAAATTCCTATCTAGAGCCCAGCGAGAGAAATTGGCGCTAGAGAAGCGAGCCCAAGAGGTTGAAGCTGAACGACAGGCTAAAGCACGTGCCAACGGCGCCGGCCATGACGAATTCACATCCAATACACCTACATCGAATTCCCAAGGTCCTCGGGAACCTCGAGGCGATTCGAGTCGCAATGTTCCTACTGGGCCGCGAGCGATGCGCGATGAGCCTCCAGCTGGACCACCTGCCACGCGCAAGGGAGACCGACAATCCAATCGGAACCAGGACATGCCACCACCCAAAGCCAAGGGCGAAAAACGATTGACTGAAGAAGAGGGGGCAGCAAAACTAGCTACTCTGACTAAGACCCGATACATGGGAGCCGATGTGACATCAAATTTCTCCGCGCAAAAGAAGCGCAAGCGCACAACCGACCGCAAATTCAACTTTGAGTGGAACACCGAGGAGGACACAAGTGGCGATTATAACCCGCTTTATCAAAACCGACAGGAGGCCAATTTCTTTGGAAGAGGACGTTTGGCTGGGTTCGGCGATGATGTCGCGAATGAGTTGGCTCGCAAGTATGCGGATGCGTTGGTCAGTCGCGACCAAGAATCTGGCAGCAGACGTGCCCAGGAAATGATGGAAATGGAACGCCGGCGACGAGAGGAGAGCACGCGCAATCAGCTGGATAAGCATTGGAGCGAAAAGCGCTTGGATCTCATGCGCGAGCGAGACTGGCGTATCTTCAAGGAGGACTTCAACATCGCCACCAAGGGTGGCAGTGTACCAAACCCTATGCGTTCATGGGAAGAAAGTCTACTACCGAAGCGCCTGTTGGAGCTGGTTGATCGTGTTGGCTACAAGGACCCCACGGCTATTCAGCGTGCAGCCATTCCTATTGCTATGCAGGCACGAGATCTCATCGGTGTCGCCGTCACTGGTTCCGGTAAAACGGCAGCATTCCTCCTTCCCCTCTTGTGCTACATTTCTGAACTACCGCGGCTTGACGAGAATGAGTGGCGCAAGAACGATGGACCCTATGCAATTGTTCTAGCACCCACTCGTGAACTGGCGCAACAAATCGAGATCGAAGCAAAGAAATTTACTCAGCCTCTTGGGTTCAACGTTGTCAGTATTGTCGGTGGTCACTCCATCGAGGAGCAAGCCTACAGCCTACGTGATGGTGCCGAGATCATCATTGCAACCCCTGGTCGTCTGGTCGACTGTATCGAGCGTCGCATGCTGGTCCTCAGTCAGTGTTGCTACGTGATTATGGATGAAGCCGATCGCATGATCGATCTTGGTTTCGAAGAGCCCGTCAACAAAATCCTCGACGCCCTCCCTGTTACAAACGAGAAGCCCGACACAGAAGCAGCGGAAGATTCGCGCGCCATGAGCCAACACCGTTACCGCCAGACAATGATGTACACAGCCACCATGCCCGCAGCGGTCGAACGCATTGCGCGCAAATACCTCCGCCGACCAGCCATCATCACCATCGGTGGTGTCGGTGAAGCCGTCGACACAGTTGAACAACGTGTTGAAATGATCGGTGGTGAAGACAAGCGCAAGAAGCGCCTTGGCGAGATCTTGTCCTCTGGCGACTTCCGTCCTCCCATTATTGTCTTCGTCAACATCAAGCGAAACTGTGATGCCATCGCTCGTGAAATCAAACAGATGGGCTTCTCCTCTGTCACTCTCCACGGTTCCAAAACACAGGATCAGCGTGAGGCCGCTTTGGCCTCCGTCCGCAACGGCTCAACAGACGTCCTTGTGGCCACTGATCTCGCTGGAAGAGGTATCGATGTTCCGGACGTCTCACTCGTTGTCAACTTCAACATGGCCACGTCCATTGAGAGCTACACTCACCGTATCGGTCGTACTGGTCGTGCCGGTAAGAGTGGTGTTGCTATTACCTTCCTGGGTAGCGAAGACAGTGATGTTATGTATGATCTCAAGCAGATGCTCATCAAGTCGCCCATCTCAAGGGTCCCCGAGGAACTGCGCAAGCACGAAGCGGCGCAGTCAAGACCCAATCGTGGTGCTGGAGGAAAGAAGATCGAGGATAGCTCAGGATTTGGAGGTAAAGGTGGATGGGCATAAAATGACCTTTCCATTCCTTTTAATTCATGTATTCTTCTATCTATACCATCTCGATTATCTGCCTGGTTTTCATGTTGAGCGACACCGGTCGCCATGTACGTTGTTAAACCTAAAATATCACGCTCTTACGAATTTTGGAAGCCCTATGTCGCCAGGTTCCCGATGAACCGCCTTGTATACTCGTAGCCATCTGGGCATGTCCCCCAAGCTTGGGCCTCGCTTGGATAGGCAGGACCAATTTAGCTTACTGGTTTGAAGTAAATACTCATGGATGTTGGTTTACGATATAAATAGTCAAGATTGATCAGTTGAGAAGAGAGTAGGAGTCGGTTTCTATTTCTTTCTGTCGGCCCTTCCCAGGAGAGCACACCCTGTGCGCTTCACTTTTGTTATATACCTGGGAGGATACCTAGCTGGTAAGCAATTGAAGAGTTTCAGGTTTTGATGAACCATAACGTCTTCGCGCTCGCGAATTATTTGTCAATCATGCATGGTTAAAATCCCAATCAGAGCTTGCTCTGAAGGTAGCTGTTGCTGCTGAGCCATTCCTCGACATCCTGGCGGTCACGCTTGAGCCAGTTAACCTTAGCGCGGATGGCATCGAGACTCTGCTCAACGGCACGGTCGAAGCCCTGCGAATATAAGTTAGCAAGAACAAAACATATATTATTTAGAGAAAAAGATTGAATCACGAACCTTGGTGTCCTTGGAAGCGAAGAATTGCTCCACGTCCTTCAACTGCGCCTCGGTGCAGAAGCTGGCGGTGGTCAGCTGAACAACGGTGCCCAGCATACCGAGACCGGGAGGCAGACGCTTGTAAAGGTCATCCCAGTTGGACTTGAGCCAGTTCCAGCGGCCTTCGATACCGGCAGGGTGGCTGCGAAGACCACCGAGAGGCATGTAGATATCCTGGCTCTTGACCTCGTCGTTGATGGCAAGGCCAAGAGTGCGCTGGATGAGTGTTGGGTCCTCGGAGGCACCCAGGCAGCGCAGAGCAGTGGTCTTCTCGTCGGAAGTAGGGGCGTTACGGAACCGGTCCAGAACAACCTCGTATTCCTTGACACCGCCGTGCTTCAGAGCAATGGTGAAGACACTGCCGCGAATGTTGGGATGAATAGCGGAGACATCACCAGCGGCGAAGCGGGCGAACATGTCCTGGGCAGCCTTCACCACAACTGGGTCTTCGGCCATACCTGCAGAGCCGAACATGAGGGCCTTGAATTGCTGCAGAATGTGGTCGTCGTTCTCGGGGAATTCCCAGCCAATCTCGTGTGCCTTGGTGGCAACCAGCGAGCGCTGGAAGGCCTTGAGAGCATCCCTGGTCTCGGTGTTCTCGAAGAGCCAAGCAGCACGCAGGGTACCGATACGGGTGAGAATCTCGTTCCAAACCACGAACTCGGACTCGGTGTCGAGACCTTGGAGCAAGGACAGCAGACCGGAGGTGCGCTGGTAACCGGATGCCGCCAGGGCACCAGAATCGGCGATCATACCGGCGCGGTCCTCGACACTCAGGCGGCCGTCACGGGCAGCCTGGCCAAGCTTCTTGAGACGCTCGGGGCTGTATGAGGTACGGAAGATGGCAGAGTGGTCGGCGTTAAGCTTGTAGAAGTCCAGATCAGGAACAGGGAAGTTGTTCTCGCGCTCAGTGAGCATAGTGGTTTCATCGACGCCCTTCTCGCTGCGCAGACCGAGCATGACGGGGAAGAGGGTCTGATCTTCCTCGGGGCGGACATCACCGGTGCGCAGGAAACGGTTCTGCTTCACGTGGATCGAGGAGTTATCCTTGTTCTCGGTGACACTGAGGACGGGAAAACCGACGTTCTTGGTCCAGATATCCATGACCGACTTCACGGGCTTGCCGCTAGCATCGCCCAAAGCAGCCCACAGATCACCGGTCTCGGTGTTTCCGTAGGCGTGCTTCTTGATGTAGTTGCGGACACCCTGGAGGAACACATCCTCGCCGAGATACTTGGAGATCATGCGCAGGACAGATGAACCCTTGGAGTAGGAAATAGCATCGAAGATTTGGTTGATCTCATCAGCACGCTTGACAGGCACCTCGATAGGGTGACTGCTGCGCAGAGAGTCGAGTGAAAGAGCACCCTGCAGGTTGTCAATGACGTAGGTTTGCCAGACCTTCCACTCGGGGTAGAAGACGTTGCAAGAGTACCACGACATCCAGGTTGCGAAACCCTCGTTGAGCCAAAGACCATCCCAGAAGTCCATGGTGACGAGGTTTCCGAACCACTGGTGAGCCAATTCGTGCTGGACGGTCTCAGCAATACGCTCCTTTCGAGACGCACCACTGTTCTTCTCGTCCAACAGCACATCGACGATACGGTAAGTAATCAGACCCCAGTTCTCCATGGCTCCGGCGCTGAAATCGGGAACGGCAACCATGTCCATCTTGGGCAGAGGGAAGTCGTTGTCAAAGGCCTTCTCGTAGAAAGCCAGAGTCTTAGCAGCGAGCTCCAAAGAGAAACGACCGTGCTCGATATCCTGATCCGGGGTAGCGTATACACGAATGGGAACGCGGAAGTTCTTTGTCTCAATGTAGTTAAGGTGACCAACGATAAAGGCAACGAGATAAGTGGACATGAGCGGCGAAGTAGTGAATTTCACAGCCTTCTTGGCGCCACCCTGAACCTCGGTCTCGGTCTCAACATCCATGTTGCTCAGGCAGGTCATGCTCTTATCTGCGACCAAAGTCACGGTGAACTTGGCCTTGAGAGCAGGCTCGTCGAAACAAGGGAAGGCCCGACGGGCATCCGTCGGCTCCATCTGGGAGGAAGCGATATACTTGGTCTCTCCATCCTTCTTGTATGATGATCGGTAGAATCCGGCCATGTTATCGTTGAGAATACCAGTGAAAGTAAGCTTCAACTGGGCCTTCGAACCCGCCGAGATAGCCTGTCCGAACTTAATAGTTGCCGTCTGGGCATCCTTGTTGAGAGAGATTTCAGGCTTTGAGTCTACCACCGACCCATTAGCTGAAACCACTGCGCTGTGAATGTCGATTTCGTTGGAATTGAGAGAAACGAAATCGGTGTCTTCGGTCACATCGAGACTAGATAGCACGGATTAGTGACTTGTACGTGACGCCTAGCTGCGACAATAGACATACTCAATGTTGACCGTTCCCTCGTAAGTGAACTTCTCAAAGTTAGGCTCGAGAGTCAAGTCATAATGTTGCGGTTTGACATTTGTAGGTAGAACCTCGCGGCCCTGAACATTGGTGGATCCGGAGACCTCGCCGCGGCGTGAGCTGCACATTCTGCGGTATGAACAGTATCTTTTGGAGGTTTGTGAGAGCGGAGAAGGAGTGCGACGAGAGATCGATCTGGGGACCGAAGCTTGAGGAGAGCGGGAAACAAAGAGGGGGAGGGGCGCTCTGGCGGAAAGAAGCGGTGGCTTTGCTTGTTGCAGCAGCACGCGCGAAGAGAAGCGGCGCATCAGCACTGAGCCCCTAACACTGGGGGAGAAGAGATGGGGGAAGAAGAAGGAAAAGGAGAATTAGTATTAAAAGTAATAGATATACACAGAATAATTGAAACACGATCTCGAGAGCAATGGCCAGCTGAAGGGAGAAAAACATATCAATCCGGCAGATCGAAGGCGGTGAGAACATCGGCTTCATGGGCTTTTCTTTCTTTTTTTCCCGTCTTCTTCTTTTTTTTCTTCACTACGCAAGTTCACCCAGTGGATGCTACACCTTTACCATAGCAGACAGCTGATTGGAATAGCTTTTGCTATTACATTGCAAGACCATATACCAGCAAGTTTGAGGGGCTCATGACAGATTCTTTGATTCTCGTGGATGGGCATCCATAGAAGACTGGAACATACACCGTGACTACATGCATGTCTCCTGTACATTGCGATGGCACTTTCGAGGAGGCCGAGGAAATTCCAAGGTTGTCCACATGTAGATCAGATCACAGACGAAAAGCTCTATGCCGCTTTGTGCCAAATAGTATACAGCACTCAATTGAAGCCACCACGGCCTTTAACACCTTTTACCTAAGTGAATCTAAAGGAAAACAAACCTGTACACCATTGCCCCGAGAACAATTATTCCAAAATGCAAAGGTTGTAGATTTTAGAAGATCTAAAAATCCATGTGTAGGCTTGCGGGGAGAGGTGCCAAGACATAGAAACAGCCGCCAGCACATTGATAACACCTCGAGACCGTCCTCTCCGACCTACCAACCAACCCCCAATACCCACCACTCTCCAGCTCTCTTTATCCACGATACCGCGCTCTGAACCCGGGCGCTCGAAGACCACATCTACACCTCCCTAGTCCGAGCTCTCCACGCCATCAAAATGCCCTACCTACCAACCTCCCAGGCCTTCCTGGAACAGTCCGCGGAATTATTACAAGCGTACCCAGCCGTAAGCACCTCTGCGCCGGCGAAGCAAGCACTCTCTAATAACTGCAGACTCGCATAGTAACAAAATACAACTTCCCCACAACGAGGCCCGGCAACGTCAAGCGGATCCAAAAATCGCAAGCCAAAAAGTCCGAGAGCACACCAAGTGCACCAATCGCAACTCTCACGCTGAAGACATTTAACCCCGCCACGGGGATCTGCTTGCAATACCGCACAAACAAGGCACAGGAGGTCAGCCGGTTGATTACGAGTCTTGGGAAATTGGCTGCTGGAGCTGATGTAGCGGGGTTGGGTCTATCGGCGCCCGCTCCGGTTGATGTTGAGATGGTGGATGCTCCAGCTGTGGAAGAGCCGAAGCAGCAGCAGCAGCAGCAGCAGCAGCAGACCCAGGGTGGGAAGGGGAAGAAGAAGGGCGGGAAGGGCAAGCGATAAGCTAAGCTGATGATTAAAAACTGAAATGCATTGGGGTAATTGTTCAATATTGCCATTGTCACGTAGATGGGCGAGCGGCTCCAAGATGTCCAGTTGAGTTTTAGGAATCTGAACCCAGCGGAGGACAGACATGGTAGGCAATAGCCCACAGATTCATGGATACAATAGGCAATGCGTAACAGGTGGAGAACCGGTGGTATGTATATACTCAGTGGGTCTGAAAATGGATAGCTAATTGTACAAATGCCAAATCCGAAGTCTAAAACGACGCCAGTGGCTAGAAATCAAGACAAAATACAAGTAAAACAGCGAGCTGCAACAGACTCCCTTCATTTCTTCTTCCTCTCCCGTCTTTGCTTCCTCGAGCTGACAATCAAGCGGCGCTGGGCTAACATGACTGCGTATCGCTGGATTTTGTCACGCCTAGGATAGAAATTAGTATCATGAATCAGAGGTTGTCAAGAAAAGCAATGAACTTACATCAGTATGAAAGTCGTGACACAGACGAAGGGTATCGCGATTTTCCAGAAATAGCTGTTGGAATTAGGAATTGGTCAGATAAATGGAATCGAGTCCGACTTACCTATCACTGTGTTCGATTCCGGAGAAATCTGTGAAGTTCATTCCAAAATATCCCTAGAATACCAGTTAGCATACTAATCCGAAGTGGTTCTAGAACTGGGCCATACCGTCAAAAATGTCATGGGAAGATAGAGGCAAGTAACAAGAGTAAGCTGTTTCATACTCTCGTTTTGGTAGGCACCAATGGTGTTGAAGATGAGGTCAATCATGTTATCAGCATTGCGCCGCATCTGATCGTATCCTTCAACAATAGTAATACAATGATCAAGAGCATCGCCTAGATATGTGTGGCACATAGAGCTGATCGTAACACTTGAGCCCCCCGAGACTTTTCAAGTTCGGTGTGACCACACCCACATAGGGGCGAGGTTCGACGGGCTCAGCAGGTGTAGCAGCCGGACTGAGAGGATTGCGCAATACACCGAAACCCGGCGTGCCGACGGGTTCGGAGCGGTGATCGCGAAGCGCGTTCATCACTGCCACAATGGGCTGGATGGCGTTTCGCAGCACAGCAATTTCGGATGTCAGGATATATAGAGACTTCGACTGGTCAATGTCTGGGTCGGTAAGGACCTCCAGCTCGAGGTCTCCGATGGCGTCTTGGTAGGCCATTGTGACTGGGATTGCAAGATCAATTACGGCATCGAGAATAGCCTGCAGCAGCATGCTTGCATCGCACGATTGCCGAAGAATAGTCTCGGGCGACATGAGACGCCTCACTATAGGGGCCTCAATGTCATCCGCACTTGTTTCGAAAAAGGACGTGACCGTGTTATCGGCATGCAAAAAGATTGAGACCTGCTCCAAGGTGACGCATAGACCTTTACCGGCGAGTGCAGCATGGCGTTCCATAAACTCGATTCGATCTTCGTTCGGCCCGCCACGATATCGCTGCAGACTCCTGGCAGTCGTCTCCGCGGCAGTCCCAACATTTCCGAAGTGAGAATTGTGCTTTGAACTTCGCCGGCCAAGACCAGGTCGGACGCTGGATCCAAACGTCGTTTTCTCTTTGTCTGCGGGGGTGGGCTAGATTTGAAAGTAAAGATATCCTTCAATGCTGCCAAGATGACACTCCGTTTCGTGGGCCTCTTTAAGGAAATGGAGCTCTTCTCGCTGGCGACGGAGCTCTTCCTGTCTTTCGATCTCCACCGGCTGACTGGCCTCTCTTCCTCATCTTCGGAGTCAGAAGAGTCTTCTTCATAGACCTTCATCAACTTCTGTAGTGTCAGCACAACGAACGCGTGATCCGAGTACCAATCGGCTTTGGTCCGGTTGGTAGTATGAACCACATCTTCGATCGCAAGACGATGCAATCTCTTGTGGTTTCCAAGAATTTTGATGACATCCCAACTCAATCCGTTCACATTGATCCACCGACATTGCACCCAGGGCTCCCTCTCCCTCTCCAAGAACTGCTCGAGTGTGTCATTGTCCAGCTCGTATTGCCGCATCTCATTCTGGGAGAAGTCCACGATGGTTATTTGGCACTGTCGGTGTAGGTCGGCGGGGATATTCGACGCCCATTCTGATGTGTAAGGCGGGAGAGGCTTGCTCGGGTCAATACCAGGTTCGGTTCCTGGCTGCCAATTGGGATCTTGTGCGAATCCTTCGGGGTGGTATGATCGTGCGGTGTTACGTCTAGCCCGCCGCTTCGTTGTATCGGTGGAGTCCACTCGTGTTGCCGAGGAGGTGAAAGCGGGAAACGCAGTCGGCTCCGTATCTCCCCCTCTTGGGGAGACTTGAGAAGTAGGCGACTGGCGACCAGCCTCAACGTCAACGTCGGATCGGGTTGCGTTGGGCTGCGCGTAGTCGAGCGAGTGGACGCTCATTTTGAGGGTTTCAGATGGGGGATCATCCAATCGCCTCAGTAGAATCTGTTCGGCTCCAGGATTGAATCACGGGTTTCCCCCTCATAAAGAACTGAAGTGCAGGGTTTTTGTAAAGCAATCTTTGGCAGCGCCATCAAGACAGTTTATTCGTTGGTTGAATGGGTCTCATTGAGACAGGCCGGCGGCGGGAAACATGATAGGTCTGCGGGGTTATGACGTCGAAGAGGCGCTGGCAATCAGACAATGAAACCTGTCAGCATACAGGGGTTGAAGACTTGAGAGTCACAAAGGAAGAAAGTCGGGAAAGAAAGAGATTCCCTCTGCCAAGGGGGGCAGGGTATGCCGCACGGAGCATGTGGACCCTTTGATCTTATTTTACGGGGACTCGGAGGTCTTGGCTTTTATGCTTAGGTTGCATGCTTAAAAACTTGCAGCGTACCTACATGATCCCGAGGTCCAATAGATCTTGATGTTTAGTCTGAATTGATTCATATAGTACATAATAGGTACATAAGCCTTCCGTTCACATCACCATGCATAGAAAAACGCCATCCCAATGCTAACCTCCGACACCGACACATTCAGATATGTTAAACAAAATAGGAAGTAGGCCAATAATTACAGCTGAAAAGATAACACAAGGAAAATAAGTTAAGAAAGTTGGGCTCTAGGCTCGAGCAGTTGGTCGCGGCTTCCATGAAGGACGGTGGAAGCCCATTTGGGGCGACTTGCTCCCATAAGAAGTGGTGCCGGTCCTGGGGGAACTGCGGAAGTCAGGGGAGAGACCTGAATCCATCTCCATCATGACCGCTCTTTGGGGCTTCGCCGAGGACCATTGAGTGGACTTGGCGCCTGATTTGGCGGGAGAGGAGCGAGAGGAGGGAGCTTTGGGGTCAGTGGCTGCTCGGGTCTTCTCCTTGATGATTTCACGGAGCTCCTTGTCATCTTTCGTGATTTGAGCTTTGATGAAATCAACGTCGTTGGAAGCCTGCAGGCCGGACATTACTGACTCCCTTGGCGTGTAGTTGTATTTTTCGGGGTTCGGGGGTGACTTGGGGCTGATGGAGGGATCCAAGTATGCTTCTTGGTTCTTCTCCAAAAGCTGTGAGATATCAAGGGTTTCGCCATGCGGGATTTTATGAGGATGAGAGGGGGTAATGCAGTCCATGTCGACTTCCTTGCGAAGCACATGGTCGATATCGACAGCTGAGAAGTACGCGCAAGATTGCGGAAGATCATCGATACCAACTTGCTGGGAGAAGATAGCACGAGTCCAAACGTTGGCGATCTGCAAGGCCATCGCGGCGCGGTATCTATCTTCATCTTTGACAAGATAACGGATTTCGTCATGGACGGTGATTGCCAGCCGGGCCTTGAGTTCAAATCGCCGGATGAGGTAGTCCATGCCAACAATCAGAAGGTGGAGGTAGTCAACTCCAGACGATTGAATAGCCCAATTGATGCGAGAAGTCATAAAGCTGCCTTTGTTGATGAAACGCCTCATGAGTGCTTCTGTGATTCCAGCGCCCAAAGCAGGCGTTCTCGGTCGCTCTTGATCCGCAAATTCTTCCAGTTTGTTGAATACAAATGATTCAGTGCCACCACGCCAGAAAGGCGTTTCACTTAACAAGCGACGGGAGGTACGCGTTCCCTTGGTTTCCTTGTATAGGTTCTGGGCAGTCTCCTGGGTTTGTCTTTCAGTCAAGGACGGGTTGAATTGGCGAAGCAAGGTAGCGGCGAACTTCACACCAGCGCCGTAGATTCGACCGTAGTTGAATACCTTGGCATCATTCCGCGAGATACCCAAAATCGAAGCACTGCGTGAGTGGAGGTCAGTTCCCTCCGCCTTGGAACCTTCCAGACACATAAATCCAATCGCGTTGCCGCCATGGATTTGGAAGGTAGCATCTCCAACAAGACTTGCAATCCACAATTCCTGGGAGTCGACATCGGCGCCAACAAAAGAATAGCCGGGTGGTGCCTTGATCATGGCTTTCAGCTCCGAACCAACGCGGTTCGCCTTGGCATTGCTTGCCGTGAGCCAAGTGTTTTCTACTGCACGTCGGGTGATTGTTCCCATGGGAATGACTTGGGGCAAGATGAACCCGATGCGGTTTTCTTTCGCCTCTTCCTTGTGCTTGGTTTGGTTCACCTGATCTTCATAGACCACGATCTGGCTCTTAATGCGATCTCGGGCGCTGATCCAGTAGGAGCATGAGGCGTTCATCTCAAGCGCCTCCTTGGCAAGCTCGTACTGAGAGGACAATATCCCACGCTCGAAATACTGCATGTATCCTTTGCCCAGGGGGTTGGTGCACCTAGCTTGCGGGCCGTCCTTATGAGGGATTTTGAAGTACGTGGCCTGTCTGTCCTCCCGCAACTGGAGTATCTTTTCTTCCGCCATATCACACTTCACGACGGGCTGATTGTCGTACTGCTTGACCTGTTCGCGAGGTACGCGAAAAGTCCATCCGTGCTTGTCCGACCACACGAGTGGAAAGCCATCCCACGACAACTTAAGTAAAACGGGAGCGATGCGAGTCCGCACCGTCAAGTTGATATCTGCATTGCTGGTCGGGAAAAGATCCTTATACCATTTGGGCATTCCGGGTTTTTTCTGCCGGGCAGCTGGGCGTGGGGGGTCGTTCTTCTTTTTCCCTTTCACCATTTTGATCTCTTGACCAGACCAGTCCAGCTGGCACAGCCAAGGGTCCTTCATGTGAGCTTCCGGGTGATCTTTACATTTCAATGCCTCCTCGCATAGCTCATGTAGTTTCCGTTGAACACCCTCAAGTCGCGTGTGATATGTCTCCTCTGCGCTAGCAAGGTACTCTTCCCAGGTCTGGTTGACTGGCAAAATGACAGACGACAAGTGTCGTAAGGCGCCGAAACTAACGGGGTGCGGGCAGGTTTCAAGGTAGTTGGGGAAGACTTTGCGGTATACGCGGTGTGTTATGGCAACATCAGCGGCGCAATAGTCAAGAAGCTCCTCCAGTCGACCATTAATGGCATCGCGGTCGAGCTCACCGAAGAGATCTCTTTGCGCCTTATCAATGGTAACATCGCAATGAAACTTGGCGACATCCCGCAAGGAATTGACCGAACTTCGACCGACCCAAAGCTCCTCCTCTTCCTCTCTCAGCATGTTATTTTCGAGCAGTGCCGCCAGTTCAACAGACTCGTGTTCACTTGCGATTTTATCCTTCAAGTCCTGGTTCTTCTTGTGTCGCATCCATGTGGGTCGCTGCTGCGAGCACATTCCATTGACCGCCACATGAAGAGACATTGTGTCGAGGAAGAAATTCTGAGACTGCTTCATGTCGTATTCCTCGAGGATACGGGCTCGGTCATAACCAATGTTGTGCCCGACCACAATCCGAGGCTGGGAGGGATCTCCCAGCGGAATCAATTGAACTTCGTTCTCCGTTTCGCCAAGCAACCATGGCGACAACCACGCATACCATGCAGTTGGACTCACTGCACAGGCCATGACTGCAAATGAGTTTTGCTTGTACATTACTTCGGTGTCAAATGTAAGCATCGATTCATTTGGGGCATCAACAGGCTCTGACGTTCCATCTTTATTGTATTTTGTCCATCCGCTGCGTTTTACCCATTTGCGTGGCTTGGGCGGACAACTGAGAGCTGCGTAAGATTTGGCGTAGGTGAGGTAGGGCTCAGAGCAGTCCATTCCAAGTTTGTAGAAATGTTCGTCCAATGTTGTGCCCTTGAGGGCCGGAAGATCGAATGCGATGGGGCTTGCGCCGGTTTGCGATTTGCCCAAAAGCTCATGGCGGGCAAGGTGGTCTTTCGAGAGTGCAACAAGTTCGGGATTTGGGACACGGCCTGTGCTCGGAAAGACTTGGGTGTGGACGTAATCGCTTAATTGTTGGACCCCGATATCATTGAACCGGGATGAGGCAGGAACTGCGCTGTGTCAATGATTGCGACTCACTCGAGGGGTTGGATTGACCTGGCGCAAAGACGGGCACTCACCGGAAAGTGATTTTCTTTGTGGCGAGGCATTGGAACTGGTGGAAGCAAGCCTTACAGGCCCATTGTATGGAGTTTTCCATGTCCGCGATCGAACCAAGAGTAACGAGTCATTTCGGGAGAAAGATCTCAAGACACCCCTGGGACACGTAGTGCAGGAGGGCTTCCAAGATAACATCATAAAAGGGTTTATTAGACAGTATTAGGTCATGGTACCACAGTAGGGCACAGCCGTGGGGCTGTAACAGTCGAGTCAAAATGAATCGCGAATTTGTATTGTGATGAGAGTAATTTCGATATCATTGCCTATCGCGGCATAATCTGGGCGTCATGCGGCACGGAATATCGTCATGCCGGGCTGGACCGCCTGTCTTCATGGGGTCCGTGTGCACGTGACCGTATGATCGTACATACAATCGTCTTCATTTGTTGCAAGGTACTTGCCCTAGTGACTATTCGTCTAAATCACTTCCTCCCTGGTGTGTTTATGTAAAATTTTCTAAGACATCCAAAAAGAACATGAAAATATACATTCCGTACACGGTACTCCGTACAGTGTTAGCTCTTGCATGCATGTTTGAAATACGCACATAAGCCTCATCACGTGCAACCTTCTCCCCACTTTCCATCACCGCTAGGGCTCTTCCGCAATTTGATTGGATCATCTTGGTCTTCGTTTCTTCCACCGCTTATCACCACGTGGAGATAGGTTATCGCCATGTCGTGGCCACCTGAAGCGCGGAGATTGACTCTCCCTCCGACCGATCCTGACTCTTTGAGGCTTTTTGGGGAGAATTTCAAAGCCCTTTTGACAATCCGAGAGGAGCGCAGGGCTCATCAAGAGGACATAGCTTCGACTGAGGTCCTGTGGACAAGAAGAACATACCTCGATGCAGTGTACGCTTGCATGCTCAATCGGCTCTCCCAGTGCAACATTCTCCCCGCAGTACTAACAGTGATTCCACCTCCACAGTGCTGATAACCAAAGTCTCGACGCCAACCCAGAAGAAGCTGCCATGGACCGTGCACGTGAAGTGGTCGATCTGACCTCCAGCACTACTCGTCAAAACCCAATCGCCTTGTCCTCTTCTCCGCCTTTCCCAAGCCATGCATCCTCCTCCCAGTTCGCGCAAGAATCGGAACGGGCTCGCAAGCGCCAACGCCAGCATGACAATCACCGGTACCCGCCTTCGTCTCCCGATATCTTTCTCGGGGCCGAAGCTATCGAGACGATCGACATGACTGAAGACCCAGACGCGAACGAGCTTGCGAAAGCAGTGGCAAGGCAGCGGGAGGATGCGATCAAAGCCCAGCAGGCTACTGAGCCATCTGACCGGCCCCTCAACCCGTTGATGGCCTACAAGTGCCCTATTTGCATGGACACACCGGTGGATGCAACAACTACGTCGTGTGGTATGTATACTGATTTCCAATATCTGAAATGTCTGATATCGTACTCATTCTCCTTTCGCAGGGCACCTGTTTTGTCACAAATGCATCGTGGATTGTTTGACTTTTACCCCAGAAACGCGCGGCGACTCTAGCAAGCAGTCGAAGGGCACCTGTCCTGTGTGCCGGAAGCCGCTATCGCACAAGGAATCAAGCAAGAAGCAGAGCCTCATTCCTATTCAGTACAAAATCCACACCAAGACCCGAAGTGAACTCGAGGCTATTCGAAAGAAGAAACAGGAAGAGGAGGAGAAAGAGGGCGAGCAAGAGGGCGAGCAAGAGGACGAGGAATAAGCTATCAGTCGGCATCCTTTTGATCAAGTTCCTCTTGTCTATGTGGTTCTTGCAGCATTGCGAATGGCGTTTTCCAGGCAGTTTGCCCGTTTGGGCTTCATGGTATCAATGAATAACGTTTCTCCTTTTTGTGTTGAAGTACAGACATTGGTGGTGATTCTTTTTATGGGACGCATTTGAACGATCCCTCTTTGCGCCTTGAAATCGACCCCAGCTTTGTGTGCTCTTTAAGAAGCTCATGCACCAATGACAGATTTAATGAAAATTGATCCACGATCTAATACGCAGTCCTTTGTGCCTAGTTGATGCCCACCTCGTAACAAATAATAAATGATATCGCTGGAACTGTATCTACATTTTGTACACCCTATGCTTCACCGATCCCTCCTCGCAGGGTCGAGGGTATTTCGTCTATTCAACCCATTACCAATGCCACCCCGGATCATCGCATCCCCTTTCTTCCCAAGAACAACCTCAATAGCCTGCACCAGAGCATTGGGATCATATTGCATGCCCACAACAACCTCTTTATCGCCCTCCATAGCCGTGATCTTCCGTCCGTAGAGACGGAGCGTCTCAATGCCCATATGCGTGAGCCGCTCCCGGTCCACATGCGGTGTCCCAGGGCCTTCCAGATGTAGTATATGAGTCACATAGGCAGTATATGGGAGAGATCTCTGGTTCCGTGTACCGTCTGGCAGCACCGGGTCCTGACCTTGGTGTCGGGGGATATCGACCGGGACTCGGCCGCGGCTCTCCTCACCAGCACTGACGATCGCTTCGACAAAGTCCGAAGCTGCAAATGGTGCCGATGGAGGCCCTGTTTCTCGGTCCAATGACCCGTTCAGGATGAGAATCTTGTGTCGGGCTGGACTTGAGGCGATCCCTTTACCCACGCCGCGCAGGACTATTGCGGGGATAATGGAAGTATAGAGAGATCCAATGCTGTATATTATAGCCTGGGACTCATTGATGGCTTCCAGTACCCGTGGGTTTGCCGGAGGTCGAATTTCTTGACCGTAGGGATTGATGTACCAGATTCGTGTTATGCGGGAACTCAAGTCTTCATTTTCGGTTTTGCTGAACTTTATGTTCTTGTTGCGAAGAGTGGCCAGCGAGCCGGGGAGGTGATCCTCTTCGTATATCATCGGGTCTGAGGCTTCCGAATCTGTGTATTCAATGTCGTCTCCGTCGGCGAGAAGCAGACTCGGACGTCTAGAGCCCGGGGTGTGCTGAAGAGCTGTGGCTTCGCTGGGATGAGAGATGCTGTTCTGGCCCACGATGACTGTCCCATCTGCCAACGAGGCGGAAATGTGATGCGAGAAGTTGGAATTGATTGCCGGGATCACGCGCACAAGATCTGACGGGACACCGCAGATACTTCCAAGTAGATAGATGGCACTTTCGAAACTGCCACTGAAAAGACGTGCTGCGGTTAGGAAAAGATTTCCTACGCTCGCAGACGTAAAATCAAAGGTTGAAGATGGCGGTCGCGCACGCTTCAGAATCTCCAGGTTTAATACATTGAAAAATGAACGAATGAGCTCTTTTTTGGCAGGGGTGATGGCCGTCCAGAGACTCGACGTGCCATCCACGATCGACTGCCATTCATGGACTGCAACACTGGCCTCAGCCGGTAGTCGATGATTAAATAGTGCCTTGACAGCCGATCGCTCAGGATTCGTCGGCGAGTCGGGAATCAGGCGCACTAATCTACCTGCAGGAAGTCAGTAAGCGCACTCGATGCAGACGGGTTGGCCTACTTCGAACATCGCCGATCCCAGGGCCTCCAAAAATCCTGATCAATTCAGATGAAGACCCTCCATTATCACTGATGGGGATGATGTAGCTGAGTGGGCAGTTCTTGCTCTCGCGCACCGCGCTGAAGACATCCACCAAATTGTTCGCTGCACTTCCACCCGAGAAGACTACGATGCCTCTATTCGTCGCCATGCTTCAAGCAAACTTTGTTGTATTCCTATGCCAGGCCTGAATTGTGTTTGCACTGGGTTTCGTGGTGTGAGACATCTGGCATGTTTGGACAGGGCCCGAACACACCGCGCAACAATGACACATTGCCCGAAACGACCGATATCGTTTATTTTCCCGACCAAAAAAAAAAAAAACCAAAAAACAAAAAACACAATATGCGAGAATGACATCCAAAAGAAATTTGACAAGCTTGTTCAAGTCACTTTGGGCTAGAGGGGTATCACCATTCGAAGTCTTTTGAGACTGGTGATCTCTCCTCAAACTCCACTACAGCAGATATCGCAACGACATCATCAAATCTTAGCCAACGCAATTCGCTCCCCAGTTCCAGTCGACTCCGTGAGTCCACCATCAACAACCAAGTTCTGACCAACAACATAGCGCGACGCACAACTAGCCAGGAACGTGACCGCATTAGCAACATCAAAAGCATCCCCCATGATCCCCATAGGCACATTATGATCCATGATTTTCCTATATGTCTCACGCTCTTCCGGCAACTCACTAGCCCCCAATTTCTCCAGAAGCGGCGTAAAGACCATCCCAGGGGAAACCGAATTAACACGCACCCCCTTGCTAGCATACATGACGCCCGTGATTTTCGAGAAGTGAATGACCGCCGCTTTCGCCGAGGCGTATGCAATCTGCGGTTTTCCCAGATACTTCATACCTGCAATACTAGCGTTGTTGACTATAGAGCCTGAGCCTTGCTTCTCCATGATTGGTAGGATAGCATTGCAGGTAAGAAAGGTTGTCTTCAGGTTCAGTTGGAATTGGGCATCCCATGCTTCTTCCGACATTGTTGCTGGGTCTCCGGTTTTGGTGAGACCGACGTTGTTGATGAGGATGTCAATCCGGTGATGTGTTTCGACTAGTTGGTTCACGGCTCTTTTGATATCGCTGGAGAGTGTTGCGTTGAGCTGGATCGCTTCGCAGAATCCTCCCTCGGCTTGGATACGACTTGCCGTGCGTTGTGCTGCTTCGAGGCTCACGTCACTGGCGATGACTTTGGCTCCGGAGGAGCCTAGGGCTTTGGCGATGGCGGCTCCATTGCCCCAGGCTCTGGAAGTAGGGTCGCCTGATTGTCCGGCTCCGATCACTAGAGCGATTTTGTCCTTGAGATCGGAGTAGAGGGCTACGTTGGTTCTATCTCAAGCAAAAAAGTGTCAGCAAGGTCTAAAAGATGCTTATCTGATCTTACTGGGACATGTTGGGGACTTGGTTCTTAAGAAAATGCTGGCAACTTTGAAAAATACAGCGGATTGAACATCACTTCCAAGGCGACAGACTACGGTGATCTTATGCTGTCTACTGCGGGGGTTTGTTCAGGCCTTTGGACTTGCAGGGCCCCATAATGGCGACACCATAGAATGAACACTCGATCATACTTCCCAATTGGCTCTAGTTTCCGGGGAGAAAGCCGATATCCATTCGGGGCTACGTGAGTTCCTCGTGCGAGAACGCAAAAATGGCACGTGTACGGAGTACGCCGTGGTTATGTCTCGATTGGATACTTTCAGTGTTCACTCAAAAGGGGGTATCCACTGGACCTGCGACGAACTATGACCCAAGTCGACAAGTAGCGTCATGGCTTTAGCTCGCTTTTTTGACGGTTCGGGAAACGTGTTCTGTGGAGCCAAATAGCGCCATTCATATTTTAGATGAGTGCTTGTTTCACATCCAGCTCTAGCAGAAACACAGTGCGTCATCAAAGTAGATGTATATCTGAAACACGTTTGATTTCCCCAGATGAGTTATAGAGCTCGAATATATCAATTTCATGTAACCGTTTATTAAAAAACTTATCATCTTTAACCCCTCCAGTGTCGTCTATTTCCCCTAAATTTACATGCATGTTCTGTCCTGTCCAGACAAGAAAGACATGGTCCTTATCAAATTTAACATAAGCGTCGGGTATTCCCCGAGCTTGGAGTCGTGAAAAGGCCCATCAAGGAGGAGTCCTCCTTGTGGGCCAAATTCCCGTCCTTTCGTTCAGTCCACGCGCGCTCTGGACTTAGTTGGTGACCTGGGCGGGAGCGGCGGGGGAGCTACCGCTGTACAGGATGAACAGAACGATAACGCAAGGCACACCGATGGCGATGGCCTTGGTGCGGGCAGGGTTGGAGCGGTTGTACTCGCCGACCTGCAGGCGCACGTCGGAGATCATGCCGTTGCACTTCTCAGCACCGAGCTTGTAGTACACCAGACCAGCCAGGGCGATGGAGTAACCGAAGAACTGCTGGCCAGTGACGGGGTCGAGGAAAATGATCATGGAGGCAGCGACAAGGAGAATATCCTTGAGGACACCGGCCATGGTCAAGACGACGGCGGAGGTCTTGCCGATCAGCAGAACGACGGAGGCGTTGAGAAGGAAGGCAACGAGCGCGTTGGCAACGAGAGTACCGATTCCGAGACCGTAGATGTCACCCATGGTGATGCGGGGAAGATCGGTGAAGAGGGTGACAATGCCGTTGGTGACAGCGCAGGCGGGGGCGTAGTAGTAGAGAGAGACCAGAGGGTCCATCTTGAACTCGGCGGAGCTGAGCAGACGCTGAACCATGACGAGACGGAGGGCCTCGAAGATAATACCGGCAATCTGGATGATGAAACCAAGTCCATCGAATTGGATCTCACCGAAGGAGGCAATCACAACACCGAGAACGATGACCATGACGTTGCCAAGAGCCTTCATGTTGGTGGGAGCGATTCCGAAAGCCCAGGTGGCCAGAAGAGTGACAACAGCGTTGGTGGCCTATAAAAGATATGGCGTTAGTATTCCATTCCCAAGGCTTCTGGCCTTCGCCAGATTGCGCAATTCTGAGCGTACCTTGAGCATCTGAATGAAGGAAACACTCAGGTAGAGGTATGCCAGGTTACCACAGATCAGACTCAAACTGAACATGATACCAATGGGCATAATGGCACGACTGTATTGCGCGAAAACGGTCAGTTATTGTGTTGCGCCAATTCATACTCAGAAATCCTCACGAGTAGGTGGTCGGGTTCATGGGAACCTTGTGACGCGAATCAAGGATCGTGGTGAAGCGAGCGAGAATCTGGGTCATCGCAGTCGCGAACACCATGTGCCAGGTGGTCAGGAACAGAGCTGTTTTGCCATGTTAGTAGTCGTTCACACGCGAATTTGTCAAGAAAGACATACGGAAGTCTAGAATCAATCATGGTTAGCAATGCGAACGGAAAGTAGGAAGGAAGGGGGTTTTGCATACTGAAGTTGGCCTTGCGAGGGTCCAGAACCCACTTGTTGAACAAGATAACACTGGAACTCAGGGCAATCCAGAGACTGTAAAGGCATTAGAACACTCATTATCCTTGACAAACTCCATGTAACCTCCACGAGGCCAGAGATACGCACGCAATGTAGAAGGCCGGGTGAAGACCATCATCCTTGGGGGGAGCAGGAGCAGCACCACCCTCGAGCTTACGCTCATCCTCCGATGAGCGACCGTTTGCCATTGTAAAGATATAGAGAGTGAGCAGTTAAAAAGAGTGACTGTGGTGAGAAAGAATGGAGAGAAGAAGATAAGGGGAAAATGAAATGATTTATGAAGTGATCGGCAGTTAACACCCTAACGCCTCCCAACTGGAGACCGCCCGCGCGCACTTCCAATCACAACCTCGTTCCAACGGGTGTGTCGCGCCCCCCACTGGAGATTACACGTACACCACCCTAACTAGCCCTGGCTAAACTCGCGTTTCAGGGTGCTGGGGAAAATTTGTCTGGCATTTTTCCATCCCTGTCGATCGTGTGGCACAGCCTCCATTACTATGGGCCAGTAGACTTACCCTGTTTGCTCTTTACGCTTTGTGTGTTCGCTTGAAGATTAGCATTTGCCAAGAAAAAAACAGGGATCTCGATTGTGACTTATTTCCACTTTTTAGTTCTTATTTGGGCTTTAGTGAGACTTCATCTTGTATATGGTCACGTGTTTCTATATCCATTCTTCTCGGTTGACTCTCCCCTTCCATCCCTACGGAGTACCATCCATTCACCATGGCTTCCACAGACTCCAAAATCAACCATGCCACCTCCCTCAGATATTGGAACAGTGTCCCAGCCACCCCGGGTAGTATGCTCGGCGACTTTCCATCGGTGTCGCGCATCGATCTGCAAGGGTCCAAAAATTTCCTTGCCAAAGTCCGCCGCCTAGCCCCAGGAGTGCTTTCGGAAGGCAAATTCAAACAAGGTCTTGACGGCGGTGCTGGCGTCGGACGCGTAACAGAAGGGTTCCTCAGCCATGTCTGCGAAGCAGTAGACGCGGTTGAGCCCATTGCCAAATTCACACAGGTCATGCAAGACAGCCAATTGAAGAGAGAGGGCGTCATTGGCACCATCTACACGCGGGGGCTGGAGTCCTGGGTTCCAGACAAAAAATACGATCTCATCTGGGTCCAGTGGTGTGTGGGTCATCTTACCGATTCTCAACTCGTGGACTTTACTGTGCGCTGTCGCAAAGCATTGACCCCGGATGGACTCATGGTCGTCAAGGAGAATTTGTCTACTCACTTCTCTGGACAAGATATGTATGACGCGCAGGACAGCAGCGTGACAAGGACGGATGCGAAATTCAGACAGATTTTCAACGACGCCGGGATGGAGGTCATCAAGGCGGAGCTGCAGAAGGGTTTCCCTAAAAGTCTCAACCTCATGCCAGTGCAATTTTATGCGTTGCGTCCCAAAGTTCTGAATTGATTTGCCGGTGGTTGGAGATACCCTGAGGCTGGAAATCAAATGGCTTCTCCATTGAATTGAAACTGCACGGGAACACAAATTGTGCCATTTCATGTCTGACGAGTTGCATTCACACTCTATCTTATGTAAAAATATGTCTCAAAACTTCAGCGATTTCAATATCATGAAAAGTGATAAAAATCTGTATCTCCTGCTTCAAACCGCGAAATTTTCAACCGTCCACCCACGACAACATCCCGACTCGCCACACCAGGCGGAGCCCATACAACCTCCGCGACACTCGACCTGGGTCTAGAAACCCCACACCCAGTCTCATCCCTATCACGCACCAGCAACAGATCCGGCACCCAGCCATCCCGCACACAAAGACCCTCTCGAGCCGCCAACCCAATAGCCGCTCGAGCCCGCGTCGAAACACACTCATACAACAACTCAGCATCCGCTTGGCTACCAGCTTGGTAAATCCCTACACCCAGACAAGCGAGCGATAGCGGATCCGCCGAACCCCACGGCGTGAACAAATTGCCAACATTATTCACACCCATCACTGCATCGAGCTTATACTCGTAAATCAAATGCAAGATCTGGAGAGTACCTCGATGACGATCTTGGGGACTTTCGTTCGGCGCCGACGCCATGTAGATATCGCTGGTGGGTAGACCCACGAACGCGACAGGCAATTGGTTGTCGTGGATTTCAGCAGCGAGACGCGCCCATTCACTTTCTGGCAGGAGCGTCAGGCGTGAGCAATGGCCGAGCATGACGCGTTTGGACGAGCGTGAAGTCCAGTCTCGATCTTTGAGGATTTGGAGAACGTGCCAGACTAGTGGTTCTTTGCTAGGATCGAGGTTGTAGTCTAAATGGAAGTCGACGTGCTTGTTCAATCGCAAAGCGCAGTCGATTGCCCATTCGATATTCTTTTTGCGCGGATCCAGTGTCGGACTCGACGTAGGGTGTTGTGCCTATCACGTCGATTTGGTCATATTTCGACAGGGCAGTCTGCAAAAGGTCCATGTTTTCTTCTCCGTGATCGCTGGAGAATATGGGGTCTTGGGCAAAGCAGGCGATTTGGATATGGCACGATTGCGCCCATTTCTCTTTCAGCTCAATGGCGGCTTCTAGGCAGGTGAGCTTGACGGTGTGGTCTACTTCCACGAACGCTCGCATTGCGGTCACTCCTGATGCGACGGACTCCGCAAGTAACCACTCGCCTCTTTTCAGGATATCGGCATGGTTGAATCGTTGTTTGGCCCTTGTGGTGGATGATAGTGCCTCTTGGAAAGTGCCCGTCGAGGGCAGTAGATCGGCATACTCGGGCGCGCTGTGAATGAACGCTTTGTCGAGATGGATGTGTGGATGCGTCAAGGCTGGCAGGACCAGAGGGGCATCGGCCACCTCCGATGCATGCGGGGTCACGCCGGTGACTGTTGATGTATCGCTCAAGGTATCAATTTGGATATCCCATAGAGACGATGCACCGGGCAGTCGAACGCCCCTGAGGGAACTTATTTGGCCTGATAGTTGGGGAGGCATTCCAAGGTTGGGACTTGTGTGGGATGGTTACGGGTTTACCGCGACTCGACCTTGGAACTTCCAAACTTTGGAAACCGGACACCTGGGCACCCCACGGGCTGTGGGGGAAAGAATGAATACTGATAACGCTTGAAGTGGATATTTAATTCGCATGAAAAAAATCTTGCAAAGGGCAACTCTTGTACATGACCCGTGGAACCTTGAAGTGAATACGCGCTCGAAAAAAAAGAGATATATCTAGGCATTGTACATCTTGCATCAAAAGGTGTGGACCGACATTCGAAGCTTTTGACGAATTGTCTTCATCATTCCCAAGATCGTGTCCGCCGTTTCGAAATGCCGCGCCCAAGGCTCGATTGTCTGAATTGCATCTTTCACAAGTATATCGAAATCATGCACTAGTGCTTCTAGAGACGGTGTAGTTTTGGCGATTGAAAGGGTGAAGACTGCTGCCAAAAGTCTGGATATGTGTCAGCATAGCCGAATGTATTTCTCGATGGTGAGAACTCACGCTTGCATCCTGGGCCAATTTGAATGGGTCCTCTTCTGAAGAAGGTATGAGGTCGCCAAGATGAACTCGCGACAGCTGTGAACACACTTTTGGCAATTTTCAAATATGTACACCGGCAATGTCGTGCTGCTCTGGGCTGCCAGGAATAGACTCGGGCGGCAGATGATGTGTTCTGTTGCATAATATCGGGCCCGGATGTAACTGTCATATAAATCCGTAGGATTTATCTCGGCATCCAAGTTTGGCTTGGTGGCTGTTGGCAGACACTCGAACCAAGCCGCTAGCTGACGGTCGAATTCTCGGCATATCTTCTCAAGAGAGCCATATGAGTGTTTTTGAGGACTTGTAGTTACGTCGCTGGCATGCTGAGCTTCGATGGAATGAGAGTTTTCCTGGACACGATTGAGGATCGTCCGGATGGAGCACATTGCGAGGAAGACTTGACGGCTTTTGCTTTTGCTTCCATTGACAGAGAGCGAGAATGAAGGGAAACCAAGTTGCTCGACGACAACCTCGATACCGCTGCGATTAAGATGATGGAATTCCGCTAGGTCATCACTAGGGAAGCATTAGCTTGGTCAACGTGTCGAGCACATGTCACCCACCATTCCAGGATATAACAGCCCCAAGCAGTTCGAATGAGAATCTCTCGTTGCTCCGGCGTACTCGTGGCTTGCGTTCTGTAGCTTGTCAATATTCCTAAACGACTTCCGAGTCTTACAGCAACACTCACTGTGTAAGCATGAACCGAACACTGTCCGAGGCTCGTTTGATCAACTGCCAGGCCTGAAGTGGCCGTCCGATATAGCGTAGATACAAAGAGCCGTAGAAATAGGCAACTGGTAATATGTGGTCTACTGAGAAATCCGACTGGAGGCCCTGGCTTAGATTGGCCCATGCGGATGCAAAATACTCAATCCCGCTGCGCCCTCTTTCTGCCTCGATGTCAAAGATACTTGAAGGGTTCAATGAGACCTTCCCCAATGCAAGAATTATGAGACAAAGCGATGTTCGGACATTTGCTTTGGGAGACGCCGGAAATGTATCGTATAGCGCATGGACCGAGCTCTCTTCGACAATAGGAAAGAATGGGTGAACATGTTCGAGGAATTGGAGGACTAATGGATGAATGACCTGGGGCTGCAGGCTATATCGTTCGATCTGCTCGAACGTTTGCGGTACGCCTACCACCTTGAAATCGTCAAAAGGTCGTTTGACTTCCAGCCGAAAGAAGAAATCATGAGGGTATTCCCCGATGAGGTTTTTGATACGGTCGAGCGCGAAGAAGCTCCCCGTGGGCGTATGGTGGCCCAAGGGAATCTCAAATGGAACTTGATATGCACGGCTCTGTTGGGGGAAACCGACCGGAGGGTTGTAGGCGGGAGGATCGTAGTGGAGCTGAGGCGAACAGGAGGGATTCGAGTACTGCGAGGCGGGACTTGAGGCTATCTGGTCGGTGAGCTTCGCGATGGCTTCCCTTTGCTGCTCCAGAAGCGTTTCCAAATTGTTCAAGCGGAGTAGTATTTCTGCAGGGATATCCTGCACCCTGGTATTGACGTCACTATCCATGGCCTCGCAGTTCAGCTGAGAGTCGAAGTCCCCTCTCTACCTTTCGCTTTCTTGATAGACGCACTGGGCACCTGCGTCTGTGCAAAGACCACATGTAGGCTTCTGGCCGTCACATTTGCGCTTCCTAATTATTTTGCTCAGCCACAAAGCCATTAGATCACCAGGAGCATCTTACCGATGGCGACAGAAATTACAGGCAATTGAGGCACGCTTCCGAGGATAATCAATTGCACGAGAGTCGAATGCTTTCATATTGGGGGGCGGCAGACAAGAAAGAAAGAGGGTGCGGGGTTCGTCAGCAAACGCCTGCAGGAAAAAAAAAAGACTAGTCTTAATAATCCAATCTGCTAATACGATTTGACGCCCGCCAGTTGAAGCATGCGATCGTTGTACTCGGGTAACTCCAACGGCACGGTCCGACTGCGGGGATCAACACTCCCATCCGCCAGACGCACCAGTTGCTCCCGCAACACTACGTTCTCATGCGGCCAGTGCGTCGTCGCCCGATAACTCTCCAGCGCCTCCCGCTTCAGCCGAAGTGTTTCTTCACTCGCTAATCGAGCTGGTGCATACGATGCATAAATCACCGTTCGAATAGTATCACTGTCCGCCGTCGGTTCCCCGCCCCAATGTACCGTGCGCGAATCCCACACAACTAAATCCCCGGGCTCCGCCTGTACCTTCAGGGGCTCCATTCCACGCTCTGCAAACCATTGGATTTCCTCTTCGCTGAAAAGTCGAATGTCCTTCCGTTCCCAGGTCGATGGATCGGTTCCGTCGAAGAATTCTTCAGTCACTGTATTTGATCGTGGGAAAACCATCAGAGCCCCATCGTTGGGACCCGCGTGGCTGAGATTGATAATTCCTTGGATACAGTGGAGTCCTCGGCGCAGCGGGGACTGGTCTACATGGGGCCATGGCTTTTGGTTTGGCCTGTCCTTTCGGTTCGGAAGGGTCACGTTGAGGGCGTCGAATGAGACGAGTAGTTCATCCGTACCCCAGATCTGAGAGAATGCCTCCAGTACCTTGGGCTCCGTGCGGGCTTCCCACATGAACTTCTCGTGGGTGACCGAGTACCCGTTGAAAGTGTTCACCTTGCTTTGCACGGGCAAGTTCTCATTGATCCACGTAGTAGGATCATTGAGGTCGAAGGCCGGATTGAAGGAGGAAAGCCAGTCGAGAGCTTTTCGCTGATAGTACTGAGCTTTGTCGGAGTCGATGACATTCTTGATCACCGCGTAGCCTTGGGATTGGAGATCGTCTCTCCAATCGCCGTAGGGGCCAGCAAGCCTGAGACATTAGCAATCTTCTGGTGAGATGGTTGAAATTGCCTACTCAAAAGAGGAATGGTTGAGAGCCATGATGTGAATAAAGTGTAGATTTGAGAGTGGGAACGCGACGCGAGATAAGTAGTTTTGGTCCTAATCATCAAACAATATGATGTGATCTGGTAGATCTCACCTGGACCAACAGCGCACACGGCTAAATGGGTGAGCGGGGTCCTTCTATCTACCTTCCCATCGGCCCGATCATCCCCTATGGAGATTGTAAGACTGCAAAGTACCTGATATTCATACTCGGAACATTCCGTTCCTCTGGCTAATCGAAGGGAATACCATTTCTTGAATAGGCCCCACCTTAGAGTTGACGTAGTCATTTTTAACATGTAGACAACGTTTTATACCGCAATATACATCTATTGATCGGAAACTCAGTGCTCACAGAGACTGAACTCACCATCTTCGAACAGCTGCTTGCTTTGCAATCCCGCAACACTCCGCTCCTCCATTAGCTCGAGCCTGTAAGCCATTGCCTCTTCCGTGGTCATGATGGAGGGCACATCCTGAACAGAGACCGACTGCCCCTCAAGCTGCTCAGATCCCCCGAGCTTCCCCGCTTCCAAGGCCCAATCCTCTCGTTGCGGAGGAACATTCGCAGAGGAAATGATCCGTCTATGAGGATCCACCAGAAACAGAGCGAGGATCTTGCGATGTCCAGGCTTTGACCGGTCGGCCAACGAGAATGGAGAAACCCTGTGTTGAACCACATTGGGGAAGGTCAACAGTCTCCCTTCTCGACAACTCACTCCACCAAGATCCTGGAATGTCTTTGTTTTCCCGGTGTCTTCATTCTTGGCGAGTCCATAAACATCTTGCAGAAATTGGTGACAGTCTTGCTCGTAGTTCACAAGGTCCGGCAAGTCCGCTCCTCGTTGTCGAAATGACAAGGTGCTTTCTGTGATGTTTTGGCTGTCATAGTAATAAATCGCCGTGGCACAAATACGTTCATTCTGAATCAAAGTTAGAAGTGCTAGACATGCGCGCAACAGACTTACCAGTTGACCCTCGATGTGCCAGGTACCCCCTTCATAATCGGGATTTTCCGGCGATAATTCAATATTAGCCAGTTTCACGATCACTTGCAAACCACTTTCAGCCAGCAATTCTCGTAGATTCACCACTTCGTGTTCGTCTAGATCAATGGCCTCGAACTCGCCAGGCTCGGGTTGAATGACTGGGCGGGATTGGAGCCACGCCCAGTCTTCTTCGAGGAAAGCGTCCTCGTCGAAATCATCATCACAGTTCTCTGGACGGGTGGGTGGGGGTAACGAGTGTTCGCCATATTCAGCTTTGGTGTATGGAATCCTTTCGCCGCCATAATGCTTCCGTGTTAGACTTTCATCCCAGAGAGGGATTGCTGCAGTGATGACCCTTTCGACGACATCGTAGAATCCGCGGTGTTTGATAGGATGGGCATTGTTGATGTAAGATTTGATATTGCACAATTTGTTTTGTGCAGTGTTGCCGATATCTCCTTTCTTTTCGCATGCACCAGAGTGGATTTGGTCAGATATAATCCCTGTGGCATGATCGTCGGCAAGCTTCACATCGCAAGGAAGCCATTGAAATTTTCGACTGAATGCGTCGCGATTTCTTTTCATGGATCTCCAAGGATGTTTGCTATAGTAGGTATCGTGTTTGGTTGGAATCGGCGTCAAAGTTCCCTGTCCTATACTGCTCAAGCAGTCTTGAAGACCAATAGTCCGGTCTGGAAGAACGTGTGTTCGACCAAAGACGACCGGAAATAGCGAGGGATGGATCAAGTTGACAACCCTTTGATTGGACCCAGGATGATAATCCTTTTGGTCCTCTGATGCATTCTCGAATAGAGCGGCTTCTCGTTTCAGATCATCTCGTAGGCTCATTGATATAGCCGTATCTGACTTGACAACTCCAATATCAAAAACTTTTGTAAGACCTTTCTGCTGATACACGCCGACTTTCCATTGAAGCTCTTTGAAAGTCCAGTCCATCATCTTCGACGAAACATCTTGTCCACTTCTGGTTATTTCTTCCCGCCATCTGGATGTGATGTTTTCATTGAAGACCTGAGTCATGTCAGTACAGCCAGGCAATTCGAAAGCGGGCATTACCTTCTGATCCCAATTAGACTTGTCGGTGATTAAATTCATAATGCGCATCATTAAAACCTCGCGATGAGTGACGAGATTACTAAAGGGGTTTGATTAGCCCGGCTTTTCTCTCGTGACATTTCTTTCTCCCACTTGAACCCGTCATCATCCATTTGATCTTCGTCCAAAACATTTGGTAAAAATTCGTGTGGCTAGAATAAGGAAGTTAGCGATTATCTGGGGTAAGACAGCTGATTCTTACTCCAGTTCTGTTATTGAGTGGCTGGTTAAAGCCTGGCATCTGGAGGGCGGGATCTGCAAGTGAAGATTTTGCGGGTGTACTGAGCCTCCTATGCCACCCATAGAGTCGCAGCACTCGTAATTTGGTCATTTTCGAATTGGATATAGCAAGATGGCAGGAACTGACTTGATGGAGGCTGAACAGGAGACATGATTATGAGCTAGTCCCAAACCAGTAAGTCCGAGTTTCGAGCCTCGTTTCAGGAAGCTTGACTGATTGCTTGTGGTTGTCTAGGTAATTTTTCTGTCGCATGATATAGCCAGCACTGTGATTCTATCATTTTAGCTAATGGACAGCATCATGTCTTGGTGATTCTATTTGCGTAATGTACACGACAGGAGCCAACTCATGCGAGACATCTCGTGATGTAATATTATACATCCTTTGTCTGCAATATACGTACAGGATCTGATCGAAGAATCCAGCAAGCATACCTCAAGCAGGCTATGATTGAAGGCTTGGCCCGTCCAAGGTCAGCCGAGGCTTGTGAGCCTAGTACCAAAGAGCCTTGTTCCAAAACAAGCTTTTAGCGTTGGCAAGATCATCCTCCATGGTATACATTGTCGAATTGAAGACAATCTCGGTGGCATTAGAGCCGTACTTGGGCCAGTGGATTTTGTCGCTCGCCCACTTAGAGTTGGGATTACCAGTCAAAATAAAGGAGAGAAGATACTTTTGCATCTTGCGCTATTGGTAAAAAGATGTCAGTATAAGCATATTGAGACCCCAAGAGATTACATACAGCAATGGCAGGGTCAGCCGAGATACTGCCGGCGATTGTGACACCGGAGCCAGCAGCAGGCTGGGCTTGAGCACTCGAACTTGGCAAAAGGGAGTAGGTCTTGTACCCTATTTGAAACGCAATGTCAGTGTCTTATATCGAGGTGATGACTTTATGGTGCTTACAGTAGTAGCTCTGGTCAGTTCCATGGGTAGCTTGATTCAGAGCAACCATGGCGTTCCAGGTATTGTTGTTCAATGCCCGAGTAAGAGCGTAGTCATGAGAGGTCAGGTCGAACGACTGTCTGATATCGGCAAAGCGGTACCCGGGGCTAGTATAGTCGGATTCGGGGTACAGTTCCAAGATCTCATCAATGGCATCTTCTGTGATGGCCGGGAAGAAATTGCGCAGCTCGCTTCTCATATCGGCGGTGGTGTTGACACCGGATGTTGGAGAGCCATTATTCTCATGCTGCTCGTGTGTAATGACGAGAGGTCCGGTGAAGTTGAAACGTCCTTGGTAAAGCTGAGACTCATAAGTGTCGGCCATGAAGTCACCATCGACCCGAGGCTGGAACTGATATCCGTATTGATCATGGACATCACTGGCGATGTCTGTTAGGTTTGCGAACGGGACCTTGCGCATGCATGAGAGATCGCCGCCACTGCAGCCAGCTGCACGAGAGACATTCTGCCAAAACATTTCACCTTGGTGGTGGCCGGCACCGGGCACGAAGCCCGGAGAGGCAAGGTATGCCTTGTTGTATAGTTGCTCATTGTGGCCTCCGTAGCGGGTCATCATAAAAAGGTGCATGCTAGCACCGGCGGAGAATCCGACAGCGGTGATATCGTCGGGGTTACCACCGAACTTGCCGATGTACTTCTTCACCCATCTGTAGGCATGTTCCACATCGTAGAGGGCGACGTTGTCGGTCGCACCCTGATGAACAGCAGTCACTGAATTGGCGACACCGGTTATTCCGAGCCGGTAGTTGAAAGCAACAAAGATGAATCCCTTGGAAAGATCGAATAGACCCTCGGGGGTGCTCTTAGACTTGGAACCGCTGGTGAATCCACCACCGTAGGTCCATACCACTACAGGGAGGTTCTTGCCCTTTGCATTGGCAGGGGCCCAGACATCCATATAGAGACAATCTTCAGATGAGCCACAATCCACATCCTGACTCGCATAGGTTGTTCCATTGTTGATGATGGATTCGACCGAAGGCCACTCTGGTTTGGAGAAGCGAAGATTTCCAGTAGGCACCGCGGCAAACCGAATGTTTTGATATTTGTAGTATCCAAGTGTCTCGTTACCTGCGACTGCTAGAATTGTGCTGTAATCAAGAGACACCTTGGGCATGCTCGATGCATTCGAGGTGCGAGCAGACGGTACTGCCGCGACAAGCGAAGCCGCCAGGGGCAGCAAAAAAGGGGAGAAATGCATGTCCGGCACAATCCGAGGTGCTATCAATCTGGATTCAACAGGTCAATGGTTGACAGAAAGCTGGCAATTACCTTTGAAGACTTTCCAAAACTTCACCGCCAAGTGGGGATTTCGTTAATACTTAAAGCACCCAATCCTCCCTGAAAGCGACCATTACGCGGCAACACTACACGGCATTGAGGGTAAAAAGGCAAGGTGGAAACAAGCTGGGGGACGGTCTCCACAAAAGAAGTGTTACCGGGGAAGATCGTCATTTGCCAAGTCTGCATCGAAACGGCCGATTCGGATAACCCGAGCGTGAGAGACGCCGTGATCCGAGCCCGAAGTATCATTAGGAATTCCAGATCTCTTTCAAGAGATAGGTATCTCGTGGGCCTTGATGAAATATCTTCAAAGCCTATCTGATGAAAAACATGATTTTCTTTACGCCTGAGACCCCATATAGCATGTTGGGAGGCTGTAGAGGCTCCGGGTTAGGGCTCGCTGGCCACCTTTTCTGGCCGTTTCTAATACTCGGTGTTTCGCTATAGATTTACCCCGGAAACATTATATTTTCCATTTGGCCCCCAGTGATAGATCATTGTAGAATGTGCATTCTAAGATGATGCAGATTATGACTACATTTTTGCACACGTCGCATGGCCTCAGAAAACTCCCTCCAGACATGCAGGAAGTTTCTGTAAAAGGAAATTTATTCGATCCTGAAAACTCCAGCCAGAATCTCCAAGAAAGATTTACCTTGTATAGTGTTTGTTCCTCTTTTCTCTATGTGTGGACTGGTGATTGGCACATCTCAGTGAACAATGAAAAGAATCCATCAGATACTCTCAACACTTAGGGTAAGACTGGCATTTGACAACAAAGTGACAAGATACCACGAAAGTCACTGCTTTGAACGTAAAAGAGACTCAGAGGCACATAATGAATGTTTTATTGCTCCCAAGAATGGATAAAAGTCAACTGCAGCGAGTTGGGTCGTTGTTGTCTTGCAATGTACACTCCTTTGGTTGGAAAGAACCCCCAAAAAATGTCATTTTATACCGGACCTAGAAGCCAGGCTTCAAATTAAGGTAAGACAAAAAGCCAGCCTATCAATACCGTCGTATTAAAGCTTTACGATTTGGAGGATTAGCAGCAAAAAAACCATCACAGAAGTGTGGTGGCCTCGCCGCCTCGTACTTGATGTTTACGTTTGCTTCACCTCTCTCTTCCCAACTTGTCTTCCAGACACCCCAGTCCATTTAAATCCTCCACCACAGACCTCAGACTGCCGCGTCTCATCAACTCAGCCATGGCGGCCTTGACTGTTTCAACCTTGAGTGTCCGGCGTGTGACCCCGGCTCAACGAGCCCTCGCATTGCCCGAGGTTTTGAGCAACATCTTCTCGCAGAATGCTTTGGACACCCAGCCCTTGATCCACAGCAAGTCCCAAACCCGTGACCTGCTCAATTTTGCCCTCGTCAACAAGACCTGGTATAACGAGGCCATCCGCGTGTTGTGGGACCACCCCACCGGCCAGATCGATCAAGTCATGGCAAGCATTCCTGCTGATCGCCGTCAGTATTACGCCAACTTCATCCATTGGATCTTCCTACTCTGTCGCCCCGGAGAGGACAAACGATTTAAAAGCGGAGGCTCACTCCACGGACTGCGCTTTCCGCGATTGGATCGGCTCTCCGTCAGCCTTTACACGAACAGGCTCTACGTGATTCCGTTTGCTCATCCGCAGCGCTGGGTCAAGGAGATGTACTTCAAGAAGCGTGCGCCCAAGTATGACGACGAAACTGACTTTGACGGCGTCTTGGAAATTGTCGAGGTGAGTTGAGTTTCCAGGTCTCGGATTGGAACTGTCTACTAACTGCAATCAGACATTCTTCCCTTCTATTGGCGAGCTTTACCTTCGATATGAAGGACCGGACTCCCACCTTTCGGGGCTGATTACAATTCCAAAATCGGGCCGTGTCGTGCCTGCTAGGAACACCCATTGGTATATCGACCGTGCTCCCGTCGAAGAGGAGGAGGACGGTTCATACGGATATCAAGGGCCTGGTGTGGTAAGCTCTTCGGACACTTGGGGCGAGACCAATTGGACAGAGAGCTACTTGACCATTACGACGCAGGGACCTTTCAACTGGCCCTCAAACGACGTGGTTGGAACCAATGGGATCTAGGCAAGCCCTTTGATTGTGTCAGTTGCCAAACGTGGCTTTGGTCTGAACTGAATTTGAGCAGACATGATGTGTTCGAACAGAAGGGTTAGGGTGGCAAGTCAATACAATAGTGGAATACAATATTGACCTCAACCCAATATCTGAGCAGAGTATACGAGGCCAATCTGGTGCACACAATATGCTCTTGAGAGGTCCTATCAGCAGCCTCTGCCACAGCCCCGGAGCCTCATCGGCGAAGTGCCTCAAAATCCAATGGATGTAGCTCTTCGATACCCACCGTATCTCCTGTCTTCTAATGTAGCCAGTATCTTTTTTCGAACTTCTAAGGTCATTACCAAGTTGCGATGAGCCGGGCGGATTCAGGGTAAAACCATCATATGGGCATCGAGTTGAGCTGAGTATTATTGCACTAGTCTGTTTATCATGGTATCTATTTTATAATGATCTAATATACAGTGAAGCCATCGGCTAGATCCAAGCCGTAATATACATCATACAAGCCTTGTCTGTATGCACTCAGTCGAGAGACTTTCTTGTGAATGCAGAATACGCTTTCCAAGGAAGTCTCCAATCAGATCGAAGCAATGCAGGACTGAAGACATCAAAGTCTTGTTTCTGGAGGCGATCCAACCACAAGCGTGTGCCAACGGCTGGCATGAACACACCAAACGCCCGGTTGATTTCCTCGAGGGGCGACTCGCTGCTCTTCGCAACATCATATTCATGTCCCTCTTCACCCTCGTGTTCAAAGTCATGGCCGACGTCCTCACCGGCACGGATGTTGCTCAGCATCTGCTCCACCGTGATGAGATGGTCACTTGCCCGGGTAGCAACAGTGAACACCGCATCACGAAGCCCCTCAGCGTCAGCTCCGTACCGAAGGACGTCCTCTTCCTTGACTCCCGTCTCCGCCATGATGTCCAAAGGCAGCATCACAGCGCCCTGCTTCGCACCACCGCCCATTGGGGAACTCGCCCCACCGGGAGGCGCCTGGGCGGCCGGGGCAGGGAATGCCACGAACGGCAACCCGCGCAACACGGCCGCAATTCCCACCGCCTTTCCGATGTGCGACGCAACATGGTCCGCAGTCACGGAGGCCATTGGCAAGGCCGACAAAGTGAGGTACATGAGGGTGGAGTATGTGTTCTCGGCGTAGGACTCTAGCGCCGCAATGTTGGGATATGGGTCATTTGTTAACGTCTGTTCCCGCGAATTGATCAACCGGGTCAGCCATCCTTTGCTGATTCGCGCGCGACCCTGCGTGCGCTCGTGGAGCTCGGAGATGGCCGATGAAAGCAAGATGGCGACGGGTTCTTTGGGCGGTGCGCCTGCTAGAATTTTCGCTACTGAGTCGCGCCAAAATTGAAGGCGCATCAGGCCAATCGTGGGAGAGGACGTTGTGTCGGGGATCATGGACAGAGAGACGTTTAATGCGCGCAGCGCAATGTAGAAGGATTGAGCATGTCGTGGGATGAAAGTGCTGAGTGTGTAAGAAGGACGGTCATATTTTCTGCAGAAATTTCGGGTCAGCATTCGAGGTAAATTCGTCTGAAGAGTGTCTCTCAACCCCGTTGTGATGGATGGTAGCGTACGAGAGAAGAGCGACGCAATATTTATGAGCGCCTTGGATTTCCTCCGGAGTGATAGGACTGGCGAGAGCGTGTGACCGGCTGAAACTTCGTGCTTGAAATGTGGAAAACCGACAAGCTCTAGTCCGACAAGGCCGAGCTGCTTGGAGGAAAGACATTGTGAAAGGTGAAGTTGCGACTCCGGGGAAAATATTCGACGTAATCGGGCTAATTGGATTGGCTCTCAGCGAATATTTGTCAGCGCACTCGTTTGCGCTGCTAGAAAGATGTCAAACGGAATGATCATAGTAATTTAAGAGAGAATTATCATCTCTTAAATAAAAACACAAATCTACATCAAATTAGAGTGCTCAAAAGACCAGGAAAGTGAACTATGCGACTTGAAGATTTACAGTGTCACTGACCACCTGACTTCGCGTTTCTCGGCGCGTCTCCCGTGTACTCCGTAATCTCCCCCGAGCTCGTGATTCAACGATGAGCGACGAGGAGAGACCACCAAAAAAGGCAGCGTTTCTTCACAGATCCGTCATCGCCTTCACATTCTCGAGACGCTTCTTTGCCTAGGCCGCCGGCGGAACCGCGCGATGACCAAGACGTACTTGAGATTCGATCTGTTGATCGCATCCCGGAAAGCTCACCCGGCTTGGATCTTGAACATGAACCACGACAGCACCTGACAGGAGAAACAAGCTCCGCGGCCTCGCAACCGAATCCCGTGCTAGATGCAACCCAACCAGCCCGACCCGAAGTGAAAGCGGACACAACAGTAGGAGGATTCGACGTGGAACTCTTCACTAGCATCGTGGGAGAGCAGCTGCCGGTTGACTCGATCAAGGCAATTCAGTCGGCGGCTTCAAACAATATCGAGCAAGCTGTTAACGTATACTTTGATGGTTCGTGGAAGAAGCCTGCGCGGACCTATCGCGGACTCACCACCACCACTGGTCGACCAAGCACCCCGCGAGTAATTCCAGCGCCTCAAAGACCAACAGAGACTCAGTCAGTTCTCCAAAAACACCCGGATACTAGATACGTGGGCGCGTTCGGCGTCGGAGGATGGTCGACCAGGAGTGGACCTGCCATTCTCAAGCATGGGGACCCTATCAAAATTGAACGCGCACGCTCGCAGCCTACTATGAAGCGGGGCCGAGGGGGCAAATCATTCGTCAATCAAAAAAGCGATGTTTTGACCCGATTTACAAATAGCTCGGGCCAGGAAATCGGACGGCTGCCCCATGAGACTGCCGAATGGGTCTCTACGCTGATAGACCAGAAAATCTGCCGATTCGAAGGAGTTTGTGTATTTGTACCTGACAGGGTACGTGTGAATGACACTATATACTTGCAACTTCGAGTCTTCCTACGAAAAGAAGCATTCCAGCATGGTGCCTTTGCCGCCTTGAACAAGGATGATAACAGATCTACTGGGCTTTTTGAGGAAAAGGAAAACACAGAGGAGAAAAACCTCCGACTACGTCAAGTCTCTCTTGTAAAATTGTTCCACGAAATCAACCTCCAGCCCACATCTACGAACCCAACCACCGAGAAGCACAAGCGGGATGGTATCTTGCGTGCTGCTGAAATCGCAGAGCAATACGATGGCGCGAAGAAGGCGGCGAATGCAAAGTCGGCCAAAGATCCAGATAATTCATCTGATGAAAACGACACCGAAGAGCTGGAAGAGGACCAGCTTGATACCCTGTACCAAAAGGCCCAATCATTTGATTTCAATATGCCTGGAGCCGATCCAGCCCCTAGCTTCAAACTTGACCTCCGGAAATACCAACAACAAGCCCTCCACTGGATGTTGTCTAAAGAAAAAGATGCCAAGAAAGATCGAGATCGATCAATGCACCCCTTGTGGGAGGAGTACACATGGCCCACAAAAGATGTTGATGAACAGGATTTGCCCAAAGCTCAGGGCATCGACCATTTCTATGTCAACCCCTACTCTGGAGACCTCAGCATCGATTTCCCTGCTCAGGAGCAACGCTGCCAGGGCGGTATCCTAGCCGATGAGATGGGTCTAGGTAAAACCATCGAGATGCTCAGTTTGGTGCATTCACATGCAACAGAGCCTGATCCACAGGTCTCAAATGGCGTCACTTCAGTCAATGATCTTGCTAGGATGCCAAACTCCGCTGGAGTAGTCCCCGCGCCATACACTACGCTAGTTGTCGCACCTACATCCCTGATCTCTCAGTGGGAAAGCGAAGCTCTCAAGGCGGGTACTCTAAGAGTTCTAGTATATTATGGGTCAGACAAGGCCATTAATCTGAGAGACCAATGCTGTGAATCAAAATATGCAACAGCCCCTCAGGTAATCGTCACCAGCTATGGTGTTGTGTTGTCGGAATTCCGCCAGCACATACTCCAGTCTGCTCTCGGTCCTACCACGAACGGTGGTCTTTTCTCGGTGGAATTCTTCCGAATCATTTTGGATGAAGCTCACGTAATAAAAAACCGACGTTCCAAGTCAGCCAAGGCTTGCTGTGAGCTAAAGGCAGCGCACCGATGGGCATTGACCGGAACACCTATTGTCAACCGTCTCGAGGATCTGTTCAGCCTGGTTCGTTTCCTAAGGGTCGAGCCCTGGAGCAATTTCTCTTTCTGGAAAACATTCATCACTGTGCCATTCGAATCCAAGGAATATGTGCGTGCGTTAAATGTTGTACAGAGTGTGCTTGAACCTTTGGTGCTTCGACGTACTAAATCAATGAAAACCCCCGAAGGCGAGCCATTGGTCCCACTACCGAAAAAGACAGTCATCATCGAAGAGGTGGAGTTGCCGAAGGCAGAACGAGAAATCTACGACTGCATTTTCACACGAGCGAAACGGACCTACAATGACAACGTCGAGGCTGGCACACTTTTGCAGTCTTATAGCACTATTTTCGCTCAAATTCTGCGACTTCGTCAAACATGCTGCCATCCGGTAATGACGCGCAATAAGGCTGTAGTCGCGGACGAGGAGAATGCGGCGGCAACAGCAGATGCAAGCAATGAGTTCAAGGATGATATGGATCTTCAAGAATTGATCAGTCAGTTCACAACTGAGAACGCAAATGCCGATTCTCAAGATCGCCCGGGAACGATGGTCAAGTTCACAGCTCATGCCCTTCGCCAAATCCAAACAGAATCCAGCGGCGAGTGCCCTATCTGCTGTGAAGAACCCATGGTTGATCCCGCAGTCACGGCATGCTGGCATAGTGCCTGCAAGAAGTGTCTCGAAGACTTCCTACAGCACCAAATGAACAAGGGCACTGAGGCACGGTGTTTCAACTGTCGTGCACCGGTTGAGGCAAAGAACACCTTCGAGGTTGTCCGACATCCCTCCTCTCACACACTGCCCCTCGACGAAGACATCGAGACCGGTACCCCACCAACAAACTCACAGCCCGCACCTAAAATCTCACTCCGTCGTATATACCCCCTCTCCCCTTCAGCGCACACATCCGCCAAGATTCATGCCCTGATTTCCCATCTGGGTCGCATTCCCCCAAACACCAAATCCGTCGTTTTCTCCCAATTCACCTCCTTCCTCGATCTCATCGGCCCTCAGCTTTCCAGAGTCGGAATCAATCACCTCCGCCTCGATGGCTCAATGCCGCAAAAGGCTCGCGCGGCAGTCTTGGCAGAGTTTACAAAAACAGAGAGCTACGCCGACGACATCATCGACGAGGATGCTCCAATTAAAGGAACTACCAACATTGATCCCGAGTCCTCAACGCCTGCTCCAACAGTTCTCCTTATCTCACTCCGCGCTGGCGGCGTAGGCCTAAACCTCACAACCGCAAGCAATGTCTTTGTCATGGACCCATGGTGGAGTTTCGCCATCGAAGCGCAGGCCATTGACCGCGTCCACCGAATGGGACAGACTCGCGATGTCAATGTTACGCGGTTCGTGGTCAAGGATTCCATCGAGGGCCGCATGCTGCGTGTGCAAGAGCGCAAGATGAACATTGCCGGTTCGCTGGGGTTGAAGATCGGTGGCGACGATGGTGATGATGATAAGGGCAAGGAGAAACTTGCCGAGTTGAAAATGTTGTTCGAGTAGACATTGATATACGGGTGTGACCATGTATGGATTATTTGAGCGCCTTTTATCATAATGAATTCTGCACGTAAACATCCATGGATCAATGCAAAATCATTTCATGCTGTTATAAAGTGGATCATAGATTCTGAAGATATTTTCTCGAAGTACTTGTATGTCAAATGAAGAAAGCGTTATTGGATATTAGTACACTAGAAGATGAAATGAAAGCTGGAAAGCATGGTATAACTAGACATCCATCGACGACACCTCCACCCACGCACCCGAGTCAGACCTCGGGAGTCACTCACGACACTGGCATCTGAGCAAGATATCTATTTGCTCGAATGATGAAGGTGCTTCTTGACACTCTCTTTGACCTTAGCAAGCTTGCTGCTCTTCCCGCTCTCCTGGGAGTGCTCAGACTTGTTGCTGCTAGTAGGCGAGTCATTGTTCTTGGGAGCGCTCTCCTTGGAATCGCTCGGACCTATCTGAGTCAGTACTACACAAATATACGCTCGTTAGGGGTATGGCTTACTCTTATCACTCTTCTCGGTATCGTCTTTCACGGGTGCCTTTCCCTTAGCCTCCTTTTCAAACTCCTCAGCCGGCTTCGGTGGGGGACCCTGAGGCCCCTCGAGAGCTTCTATGCTTGCTTCGGGGTGGGCTGGGCGCTGGACACCACTGCTCCCACCCGAGCTCTGTGAAGAATCACGCTGCTCCTTGTCTGATGTTTCCTTTTCCTTGTTGGACTCGGTGGATCCACCAGAGATCGGCTGTGCGGTGCTGCTAGCAGCGGGAGCGGTGGAGCTGGCGTCTTCAGGGTCGATAGTGGCAGTTTTCGTGGCAATGGGGTCTGATGTAACGGCGGCTTCTTCAAATGTCTGTGTCTTTGCCTTGCTGCCTACTAGGTTTGGCTCCTGTGGAGCAGTGTTGCCGTCTGTTTCGGGGGCACCGGGTTGTTCTATTTGATATTTGAGTCAGAGCTGCTTTTTTGGACCCTGGATATATCCTTGGTGCACTTACCATCACGGTTGCCAGCGTCATATGGATCGGTAGTGTCTCCTCTACCCTGTACACCGGAGAGAGGTTCCTCGCCATGCTGTTGTGTGATTTGTGTGGCATTGGGCTCGCCATTTTGGCCCCAAATAGCCGTCGAAGCGGCGGTGACGTATTTGTTGACGGTCTCCATGGTATTTGTCAGATATTGTACTGGGAGGGTATAAAGTTTTTATATAGGATGTGAAGAGATTGATGTGTTTGTGGTTTGGATATGGAGAGGAGTAGAAGCCCTAAGAGATGCGGACAAACTCAAGCTTTAAGGACCCAAATTGGTAGGTACGTCAGAGTTGGGCAGTGGCTTGCGCATATAGTGCGTCCACAGATAGCTGATTTGCGAATGAGAATCGTTTAATCAATTGAATTGCACGAAGTGATCGTCGGAGCTCATCGTCATACCTTGACGTCATTGAGTCATGTGACCACATAGTACATGGTGGTAATGCCCAGAGAGGCCAGGGACAGGCACCTTGTGAAACACAATAGTTGCCTTCTACGTAAGATGCTATAAACAGAATTTGATTGGTCTTCAATTGGAATAAAACATCGGGTAACGTTGCTAAAGAAGGGATACAAAGATAAAATCTTCTAACGCTGGGGAAGAATATCAAACAAAGAAACTCCACATGAAAGTTGAAAGGGAATAAACTGCAGATTAATCATGACGTTTCGTAGATTTGGGAGTAGTGGCTCCTTCTTGAGAATTAGGGTTCAAAGGTTTGGACGGGTCATAACCAATGCTTTTGACGATTCCGAGTCCTTTAGTCTTGCCTTCCCGGAATAGCACACGGTCACCAGGGGCCAAGAACTCAGGACGTTGTATGAACCTGAACGCAACGAGCGCTCGGTCTCCTGTACGGATGAAAGGTCGGTCAATGTCAATCACTGAGCACGTTTGACTGACAGCCCCGACGTGGAGCATGGCCTGGTATTTGGGCTTGATGGTGGTTGCGTGGGAAAGGATGAGAACTGAGTTCTGTTAGCATGAGGCTACCTTTGACGGGGAAGGGGGACTCATAGCTTACCCTCAGCGACGAACTCGCGATAGACCTTGGGAGGCTCCTCCAACTTCTTGAGGACAACCATCCCCTTGCGCACTTCCTTGCGACGGACTCGCTTCAGTGCGAATGATCCGGACTGGCCAGCGAAGCAAGCATTCACCTGGATACGCTTGCGCTCAATGGACTTGATAACAGTGGTGGTGAACTGACCGAGAGAGTCTGGCCCCACTACCACAGAGTCACCGGCATGAATGACACCGGATTTTACGACACCCGAGACAACAGTTCCCACATGAGGAACAGAGAATGTGTCGTTGATGAGGAATTCGAAGGCCCCCTCGGCATCGTAATGACCGCGATGGGGCAAGATGTTCAGGAAAGTTCGGACCAGGTCGAGATTCTGTCCTGTGACGTTGGAAACCTGGAAAATGGGACATATCCGCTGGCTCACAAACTGCGTTGCTGTGTTGATGGTCTCTTCCATATCCTTAACAAAGATAGGTATTTTGTGCGCACCAGGCGACTTGAGAATTTTGGCCAGCTGAGACAAGGTCTCCTGCAGGATATGAGGCGGGCAGATGTCAATTTTCGTGACGATGACCATGACAGGCACGTTGAGCGCCAAAGCAATGCCAAGGTGTTCTTTGCTCATTCCGATCAACCCGTTATTCGCGGCGACCATCAGCAGACAGTAGTTGGGGCTGCTGCTCAGCATACCGAAAACAGTGGTGCGAAGATACCGCTCGTGGCCCGCCAGGTCAGAGAACGAGATGACTTTAGCAGATCGCTTGCCAATGTCCTCCCACGATAATTTGCGGCCCGTCGTGCTGCCAACAATCTCGCCACGGCTGTCGAAGCCCATGATTTCCAAGCCGACAGAGCTAGTCCGTCCGCTCTCAATCTCATGCTTATGACGAAACAGATTGACTCGTGCCCGACCACGGCCATCATCGAGACCCCCTTTGACCAGAACTCCCAGCATAGTACTTTTTCCAGCATCCACGTTACCCACCACTGCAATCCGAAGCTCCGCCATTTCCTCGATATTGTCAGCGTGGTGGCGCACAAGGACTTTACCCCAAGCACCCGAGACGCGGTCAGTATTGACAGAGGACTCTTCCGGGCCGCCGACGTTGTATGTTAATAATACTCGACAATGGGCGGGGATTGTCTCAGCTGCCTCACGCAGGCGCTGGAGCGCGGTGTTCCATTGAGCAAGGTCGAAGCCCATGGACTCACCACCGTCCTCCAATCCAAGATCAAAGATGGTTTCTCCATGCCCTTCGTCTATCCTTGTCTGCAAGGTGCCAGCGAGCATCTGAAGGCTGTCCTCGATGGCTTCACCGGTGCCAAGCAGCAGTTCCTTCAGCTTGGCTGTACGGGGGTTGTCGGACAGTCCGAGCTGGTCGAGAATGTCCAGCTCAGCATGGTCTTCCAAGTCGCGCGAGACACTGGCGGTGGAATAACCGCTGTCGCTGGGTGCCACTTGGCCGGAGCGGTGGGCCTGCTGTTTCTCCGCATACTCCGCGAACTCGCTGAGCGCCTGGTGAGAGAGATAGGTAAGACAGGAAATTGTCAGTGGTAATTGAGATAACCTACTACTTCTCCTCGTCTTCGCTCCTCTATGCTCTGTTTTGCTGTAGGCATGGCGTGGGGGTTGATCAGGCCAAACGCGCGGGTTGGCACTGGCCGCCTTTTTGGGTGGTGACGTTATTGGGTAGTGGATCGGATCGACGTTAATGTTAGGCTCGGGGCTGTATTCGAGTGATCATAGTTTTCCTATTGTCAGACAAAAGGATTGATAATTTGAAGTAAAATAGGAAGCAAGGATCTAAGTGGTTCTAGAGGAATTCGGGCGAGCTTTATCGATAAGTTTGTGCCAGTCGAGTCACCGGTTGAGTCATCGTACTGAGCCGCAATCCATTAGGCCCGCGCTTAGAGCTCGATCTCGCATATTGTGGATATCATATCAGTCTAGCAAGAAGAGTAAAGAATCACAAGGAACGTGATGACTCAGTTGCATAGCCTACAACGTCACAGGGTTGATATCCCGGGCATCACACCGTCGTAAACGGCATTCCGTGGTCTCGTTATCTATGTTGACTGCATTTTGTGGTATCTCATGTCCTCCAAGCCTATGTCGCAGTCGCCGGGGCAAATTCTATCCATCGAGGGGGGAAACGGTTCATGCTCATGCCTGAGGGGAGATCAAGACGACGGAGTCTCCTGGAGGGGTAATGAGCAAACGATACAGTATAACAGATAGAGAATTGTCCTCCACTTACCTCGCACGAATAGCATTTCTTCTTGTTTCTTGATTGTCTGTACTGAATCAGCGCGCCGTTCGTCATGCCCGCATGCGAGAGTTTCCTACCCTCACAACCTCCTCCTCGTTCTCATCTTCTTCCACCACGTAAATTGTCTCCTCCACGTCACCGAGGACCAGGTTGCAATGGCTGTCGTATGCCTACACGCAGTTCACGGTCAATAGCTGTTTGGGTGGTTCCAGGTCGAGGTATCTCACATGAAGACGGCCCTTGAGTTCACGGTCACCGCGCAGCTTCACGAACACGGTCTCATCGAGAGAAAGACGGACGAGGTCGAGGGGCTCGGATCCGGAGGGACCGGTATCTTCAATGTCGGCCATGGCGGGATAGGAAGGTTGAATTGGGTTAAGTGCAGGTCCACACACACGCAGAATCAACGAGCTTTGGCGGATGCCCGATATGGTTTAGCGTGGGACCTTGCCAAGGAGCATGATGAGTCAGCTTTCCCCGGGTTTTTCAGTATCCACACGGGATCTAATTATGACACGAGGTGGATATCTTCCTATAGATGGGAATATGATATGCTCCTTCTGTACATGACTGGGCGTAGCTGGCACCATGTAGAAATTCTCCACGATTTGACAAGCTCAAAAAATGTCAAAAGTCTCTCTCTCAAACGTTCTGCAGGTGTCGCACTAAGTCTGAAGCACAATATGCACAAAGTACCACCTCCCTAAGGTCCGGGGTCGAAGCGCACCTTCCCCTCATTTAGGCCCCTGATGTTGTCCTTTTAAATATTGTTGTCTTTGTTTATCTTCAGCGAATTCGCTTTTGTTTTTGGTTTTTTGCTTCTTAGTCCTACCCCATGCGGAGGGTTCTTTCAACCAGCGAGAGGCTTGCTTCTCACTGGGCCACCTCGTCTCGGCCTGGAATCAGAAACCCAGAATACCTCGAGCGCAGTCCGATCGGTTATTTGCGACGACTTTCATATGTTGCACCTTGTCCACAAATAATCCTTTCCACAATTCCTCCGTCTCCAAGGCCTTGCGTCTACAAACGTGAGGCTCGCAAACTTCGCACCAGTCAGCGCTGGAGCAGCGAGCTAGCCGTGCCACGTCCAGCATCATTTGAAGAAGAATCCCGTATTGCCTTGCCCGAATGGAATTCTTCAGCAGAGGAGGAAGCATACAAACAAAGCTTTTTTCAGGCAGTTGAAAATGGACAACCGAATCAAGTGATGGATGCCATGGTTGACCCGCGCTCGGTGGGGCTGGTGGGATCTTTGACCCAAACCGCATTCGTCGAAATTCTTCACCTACTCGCCCCGTCCCATTTCATTGAGCCCTACCGTGATCTACATCATACTCTGCACGGATGGGGAGTTTTGATGCAGGGGCTACAGCCGATTGAGGCGGTATTCGACGAGTTCACAAAGGATCTACTCACGATCATGAAATATAGAGTTGCGGCCGGGTATCCACCTCAACTAGCGGAATACACCCATCTCCTGGACTGTGCGCGGGCAATGGGAAATGAGCCCTTGGCAGACGAGCTCTGGCAAGAAATGAAGGCGAACAATATTGCCCCAGACACTGTGTGCTACAACCACTACATGGGTGCAAAGGTCTGGGATCATTGCTATGTGGGGAAGGAATCATACAATCTCCGAATCCTTCCTTACAGCTACAAGAAGCGACGCATGGAAAACCCCAATCCCGGCTGGCGTGGCTTTGGCACTGCAGCAAACAGTGTGAGGCGAATGGTGCTAGAATTGTTTAGTGAAATGAGCGAGAGTGGTCTCAGTGGGGACGAGCAGACATTTATCAACATCCTGCTCGCATCGGCTCGGGTCGGTGACATGACAGCGACCAAGAACATTCTCATTACCGTGTGGAACGTTGATGTGGATGCACTTATAGCTACCGAGGATGAGGCTTCTTTACCTCCTGTCACGCCGTATGATACCTGGTCAGGATTGTACCCAACAGAGCGACTTCTCTTTGCGGTAGCCCATGCCTTTGGCACGGGTAATGACTTTCCAGCTGCTATGCGGACTGTTGACTTCATCGCTTCCTCATACAACATTCCGATTACAGGCAAGGTTTGGGCTGAGCTTTTTGAAAGAGCGTACACACTTTCAAAGGAACACAATCGAAGACAGGCGCATGATGGACGACAGGGCAAAGTACCCCGAGAGATAATCCATAAGATGTTTGGCACGATGACAGCGGAGCCCCACAACGTTTCCCCGACGCTCCAAATGTATCGATTCACAACTCAAACTCACATCAGAGACGGCAACTTGGAGATTTGCAAGGAAGACATGCGCAAGGCATATGATATCCTCAGCGAGACACGGGCAAGAAGAAGACAAGCACGCGACACCGTCATGCGCTGCTTGCAGCCTGTTCTTAGAAGCATGAAAGCACCTTTGAAAGGCGAAAAGATACCGCCGAACGGCCGAGCGAAGTACCAACGGGATAATTGTCTCGAGCCAGACAAGACCCTCTTCCGGTGCCCCCTTCTCACTGAGGCTATCCACCATTACGATCTCCTTCGACTGGAAGTTTTCCAGCAAATATATCTGATGCAACGCATTGCCTTTGCCGTCATCAAAAGGAAGACCTGGATAGACACGCCCGACAACGTCTGGGAGCAACAAGAACGGCCAAAGCTACAAGAAGAATGGAAAGATTTCCTTCCCGAGATAAACGCCTACGAGAGCACGAGATCCTACAGAGAGCACGAGAGTGGGACGTTCGAGTTCTTGGGGAGAACAAACTCTCACAGTCGGTACATGAGTCGACATGGCCGCATCCATGCACGGCGACTTTCAGACCAGACCGAGCTGTTCCACCCGGTGGAGGAGAAGGTGCTTGACGATAAGGTTTTCTGGGAGCTTTTACTGTACGACTACCCCAAACTGGATCCGTCCGCCTCGCCACTCAATCGTATCTACAGCTTCCAGCTTGAGAATACCAAAGAGCTCAAACAGAAGCTCAATAAGTTAGCGACGTGGGTTGAGTACCCCGAAGAGCATGAGCTGTCTGAGAAGAATAATCCCGCGGGCGGGTTCTATGGTCGAATCCATGCTCTTGGATTTGGTGCTGACCCGAGGCGGTCCATCTACTGGAGGAATGGTAGCTCTTGGGGTTGACAGAGCTCTTCTGTATCATATGAAATGACTTCAACGTTACGTGATCACGCAATTGATATCCCATTTGATGTTTCAGGGAAGCGAATGCCTGATTAGGGCATTCATATCATCCATTCGAATAAGCTTATATCCATTATTTGATCATCATAGGATGGATGCCTTGGGTTGCAAGAGAGTACTAGATATACAAGAAAGACGCAAACACGCAACCGAATGTAAACCATAGATACAGAAACTGCCCATGATCACTCGATGCAAGATCTGGCCCAAACCGATGCAAAGGAAAAGTATTCAAATCTTCTCCCGCTTAAGGTCATTAACAGTCATATATCTGCCAATAGTGATCCAGCCCCATCGGAACCAAACCATCTGACTCTCATGACAGTTCACCATAGCAGACTGCGCCGTAAGCCACTCATTAATAGAACTCACGAACAAAAGCCGCGCCGGCCCATCCCCAGAAGAAGCACCGTCCTTCTTCTTCGACCCCCAAGCGCAGAAACAAGATTACTCCACACGCCAAAGAACATCGTCAACGGCGCATCAAGAACACCAATATACTTCCGGAAAATAGAAGTCGTCGTCAGCGAATAAAGCGTAACAGGACACGAGAACCCCGTCTTCCCCTTCATCAACGTGCGCAAGAAGTGCACAGCACCGAAATACAGCGATCGGTGATTGGGATGGTTACTAATACCATGCTTATCGAAAGTAAGGATAACATCAATAGTAGCAGCCGGCGCCTCATTTTTCGCCTTCGGCGGCGCGAACGCCGATGTCAAAAGTCCCGCGACATCCTCTTCTCTCCAGTACTTGTCCATTCCATCTGGGAAACGGGCTAGATCGTTGACGATGAAAACGTCAGACTCGCTACGCAGACCGAGGCGCAGGGCTGATTTTTGGAGTTCTTGCTTGCGCACTTCGCCGAGACCGTCTGCGTCGCCGGTGCTTAGGCAAAGGATTTTGAGGTGGTTTCCTAGTGCGGGATTCGTGAGGGCTAGCACTGTGGGAGCGAAGAACATTGCTTCGTCGTCTGGGTGGGCGATTAGGAGGCAGATGCGCTTGTTTGCGAGGCGGGGGAAGGAGCGCGTGAAGGGGGATGAGGAGGTTGAGCTTAGGGTCCAGAATAGGAAGACGGCGGTTATGGCGACCACTAGGGCCGTCCAGTTGAAGGTGGCTGTCATGGTGGTGTTTTGGTGGGTTTGATGGATTGGAGAGCGGAGGTTCGGGTTTGAGTGGGTGTGGTGTGTCTGGAGAGGTGGAGTCGGTCGAGAGTCACTCAATTGGTGGTGAGTTGGGGTATATCCCGTGGAATTGTCTGATTGAATTGAAGTATTGGTAGATCGATTTCAAGATGCTGGCATAGTGGGTAGGTTGTGTGTGAACCCCACTATCTGGTGCAGGTTTCGCGGATGGAGCTCAATCAGGGTGTAGAATTGGAAGATTGGCTCTTGACCATAGGTTAGAGCGCCGGACAAGAGCACTGTTGAGCTTCAGTCTGCAATAGGGGAAGCTTCAGTGGTCCCGCGACGATCCCCCGGGGTAGTCACGTGCCAGGGGATTTCCAACAGAGTCATTTTTGTCGAGTATACGGAGTACAATGATCTAGTTTTGGGTTCATTTGTAAGCAAGTCTTCAAGCTATTTTGATCAATTTGCATTAAACCCTGCGGAAAAGTATAGGCACATCGTCAAAATAGTAGTACTAGTAAGCGACAATCTGGTTGAGCCCCATGTCTTCTACGGGTAAATCACAGACTAGTAACGAAGTAGGCAAAGTGAAGATCACAAATACGAAGTACCATTGGTCTCAATTCTAGTATTTCATCTGCCCTATGATGCAAAGTGTCTGTATGTATGCAATACGGACCGGGTCCACAGCTGGAAGCCAAGATCAGATAAGAATTCGAGTCCAACGTTCAAAGTCTTAGGATCAAAGTTTGCCGAGACTGTACCTACTATTTGTATCAGTCAGATTGCAGTTGTTTACTTCGTGTATACACATTTGCGCCATATACTTGCAGCGACACGGCCTAGGCCGAAGGATCGACTGTGATTCCTTGATTCACGCAGATCTAGTTTCAGCGTACTCCGTAAACATGTAAGAAATTGAACGTTTAGACGGCCAACCGGCAACGGACCGGGTAATTGTGCCAAGAGAGAAGACCAGAGGCAAAAGAGAATGACGGGCCGTGCCCAGGGCCAGCGAGAAAGATCACGTTGTGACGGGCCGAGTATAAAGTTCCGACAGAAAATTTCTGCCCGCTTAAGCGGAGACTCGTTTCCCGCGGACTCTTTTAGTGTCAATTTTACGAAATGGCGCAATTCGAGGGTATAATGTTAGGTAAATATGAGAAATATGAGAAATATGAGAAACATTGAGAAGAGTCAAGTAAAAGCATGTAGCATGTAGCATGTGTGCTCATGTATGAAATGATGGAATGATGAGATGGCGTTTTTGATATGGCATAATTTGCGGAGATTATTTCCCCATAGATGAGGACGAAGAACAGAATTAAGGCATCAACAGCCAAAAAAAGAAATGAAAAAACCGACTTGAAAAAAATAATCGGAAAAAAAGGCGGATCACATCCGGTTGAAACAGATCGGAGGGGTAAACCGAGATCGCCCCGAAACAGGAAGTTCGCCTGAGACGGCATCCCTTTCGATCAACGATTGGCTAGTCCATCCGACGACCTACCGGTGCACCAGGGCCAGTGATTTGCGATCGTGATCACCGAAGCTATTCAAGAGACCACGGGCCTGAGCCCCGTTGTAGTCAATCGGGAGAGAAGGTGCATAATTGTTTGCTTCTAAAGTGGTTATAGTAGAAGGCATGGACATACTCAATTTGTATAATATCCTACAAGCACGCAGCTCTTTACCCTGATCAGGGCAATATGTAGAAGCAAAATACTACGGAGTACTCCGTAGAAGTAAATATACACATGCAAGTTGCGCAAATCGATCTACTCACGAAACACGACTAAATCTCCGGGCTGACGTGCGGCAATGCAAAAGCACACCCGAATGGCATCACCTGGCATCACCGCGTCTCCATACCCGTTCCAGGTCCAAGACACGCCCATGGCGTGATTCCCTCACCGCAGCTTCGACCTTGGGAAACAAGGCCAAGATACAAGGTACTCAAATGAGTCACGCACGAGCCAATTCTTCATCAACGTGTCGAAGCTGCAGCTGGAGAGCGTACCTGGGCCCCTGCGCACACGGTCACCGTCTATAGGCGCTCCGAGGATGTCGTCGTTGCTCTTAGGTAATTTTATGGGGGCCGCCCAGGATATTGATTCGCCAACCAACCATCCAAAGCACGGAGCATATCTTGACAGCGGAAAGGCTAGAACTTGAGTGTTGATCATACGAGTATCTTTGATGATCTCCTTCTGCTTTTCTGATGTCCTTGAGCAATGTAGACCATAGTTGCATTCTGCCCCACAGATGCAAGGCTTGCAGTGCGGGGTATAATTATAGAGAGGCAATATACTTAGGCGAACGCCGCTCACCTTCGTAGCTTAGGCGGTGTATATTCAAGGATGAGAAGGAATGGAAGAAATTTTCGTGGTGGAGCTCCGCGAAGGGTCTTTCCATCGCGTTTGGTTGTCCTCTTGCGGAATGGCGTTTAGGATTTTATGGCGCTAGTCGCAGATCGTCTGGTAAGGGTGTCGTACGGTATTGTATTGCCATTACGGAGGCTTTTTTTTTCCTTTCATCATACGCCATCGGGCCACGTGAGAGCTAATGTATACGTACTTTCTTTCTCTGATGCTCTAATTGCTTCCTATGTGTCTATTTGTAGCTGAAACAGAAACAGGAGAGACAAATGAATAATTTGGATCTCATTTTCCATGTCTGCAGATACTCCGGACTCCGTCTCCTCAAAGCACCTTAGTCCAAGACAGAGACACCTGATCGGATGGATCTCCGTGTTTCTTCTACAAGGATAGTGCTCCGTATAGCATGGTGCAAAGCCGGGGTAGCATCGTGACATCGTGCATCGTGGCACGATAGCCCTCTCAGGAAGGTATCTCCATAAGCTCAGTCCTTGCTGTCCAAGCCCTGAGCGGCAGATCCCGCTATCGGCCGTGTAGATGAGCATACCCCGCGGCAAAGAGCCCCTCGTCCCCCGGGGCCCAAGGCCGAACCACATGCCAAAGCCCCCCAAGCTTACTCCGTAGAGGATCAGAGAGAGGAGAGAGAGAGAGCCCGGGATCGCAAACCTCTCCGACCGATTTAGCCGATCCGGCACAAAGGCCGTGAGTCATACGCACGGTCGTTCTATGGTTCTCCTCTGGCAAGCCCTGGAGCTAATATGGCATCATGTGCTTGGGTCAACTCGCTGGATAGGGTCTAGTCCCCTAGCTTGTCATCATCGATGGTTCCTTTTGGAAATCCCAAAAATGATGCCCACACGGCTTATGTGGGGTAAGCCCAAAAAGACATCAGGCGATCACAAAGCATCCCCGGGCGAGATCCTTCTACCTGAGGGTTTGGGGCGTCCCTGGTCTCGGCACCAGACCCGGCGACCCGAGACCTAATATGGCATGAGCGGATTTGAGGTGTGAGGCATTGCGTGTTGCGGGTTGCGGATTGACGTACAAGTGTAGATCGGAGTAACAATTGACTAGGCCAAAGTAGCTGAAAGAATCCAAGGCCTACAAGGTACAGAGTAGAAAAAGGACCTTGGAGCCGAATGCGGTGTAAAATACGCGTTATTCTACGGTAACGGTATTGTCAGGGTGAACCATGACGCTGTGCAACGCCCCACCAGCTATTTTTTTCTTTTTTTCCTTTTGCAATTCTCATTGACTGCACCGGTACCTGGATTTGTAGGGAACTTGGTTTCCAGAAACAATTAAGTGGTCAATTTTAATTTAAAAAATTCTAATTCAGAAAAAATCTATTTTTTTTTTTCTTTACTTAGTTTTCCACGGTTGCGTGCACATGATTGCGCCAGCCCATTCAAAAGCAGCGGGTACGCCCTACATTTTTGCCATTGAATTTGATTCTTATACGATGAGGTATTCTGCTTCTAAACTTCAACTGGATTATCGTGACCTTGAACTTCAAATATCTGATCACCGCATTACTTCCTGATCAACGTCATCGACTACGGTCACATCATTCATCGTTGTCGCCAATCGAGCAACCGCCACTATGCCGGGCCGATTGATCCCCAACTTGCTTCGGAACGCAAGTTCTCTACACTCTTCTGTCACCTCGACTCCTAATCACTCCAACTCCTCATCGACCGTTTCCGTGAACGAGATCCCCGGCGCAAAGAAGCCGGCACACAACCACCATGACCGCGCACGATCCCCCGAGCGTCGCCTTTCATTCTCTATGGACCACCTGATTCACCCCCACCGAGACCACAGCAAAGACAAGCGCCGCAGCCTCGGCCGCGCTGGACGATCCAAGGAGCGTTCAGGCCATGACTTGCCTCCCGCTGCTGCGCAGCTCGAGGTTAAGGTTGAGTCACCCCCACTGGTCTGCTACGGCCCTCCCGCCAGCTCGACCGGCGCACTATTCTCTGGCCGTCTGCGTGTGAATGTTTCTGAAGTTATTGGCGGAGTGACTCTGAGTCAATTCGATGCCCGCCTCATCACCAAAACGAGCACCAAGAAGCCCGTCTCAAATCACTGCGCTAACTGCGCCACTCGCACCGAGGAACTGACTCAGTGGAACTTTATCTCTGAGGACCTTCACTTGGACAGTGGAGAGCATGAGTTCCCCTTCAGTTACCTCTTCCCCGGCCATCTCCCAGCTTCTTGCAATGGCGCCCTCGGCCAAATTGAATACTTCCTGGTGGCGCATGCCAAGAGCATTACCGGCGAGGAATACTCTCTTAAGCTGCCCATCAACATTCGTCGCTCTCTTCTGCCGGGCAACGACAAGTCTTCTATCCGCATTTTCCCTCCCACCAATCTCACCGGCCGCATCGTTCTTCCTTCCGTTGTTCACCCTATCGGCAAGTTCCCCGTGGACATGACCTTGAGCGGAGTCGTCGACAAGGGCGAAGAGACCCAGACCCGCTGGCGCCTACGCAAGATGATGTGGCGTATTGAGGAACACCAGAAGATTGTCTCGACTGCCTGCCAAAAGCACTCTCACAAGATCGGTGGTGAGGGCAAGGGTGTTCTGCACCAGGAAACTCGCATCATCGGCCACAACGAAGAAAAGACCGGCTGGAAGACCGACTTCGACACTGCCGGCGGAGAGATCAGCATGAACTTCGAGGCCAACATCAACCCAGCTGCCAACGCCGTCTGCGATATGGAGGCCCCCAACGGCCTGGAGGTCAAGCACAACCTGGTCATTGAACTCATCGTGGCCGAGGAGTTCTGCCCCAACCGCAACACTCGTTTGATCACTCCTACCGGTGCCGCGCGTGTCCTTCGCATGCAGTTCCACCTCCACGTCACCGAGCGTGGCGGTCTTGGCATCAGTTGGGACGAGGAGATGCCTCCTGTCTACGAGGATGTTCCTGCCAGCCCTCCCAGCTACACTAAGCCCGACGCTGCCCACAGCTACTTCGAGGACTACCACGGCTCCCCGCTGCCACTTCCCGACTACGAGGATCTAGAGCGCATGGAATCCCTACGATTGGACAGCGACTCTACCCACTCATCCAATCGATCAACTCACAGCTCTTCTCGTGGCCTGCGCTTTACTTCCGACGACCTCGTCACGGGAGAATCGCCCGCTCCTTCTCCTCTCCCGTCGCGCACCCCCTCTCGCGCTCCCTCAGTCGATTCATCCCGTCATTAAAGCGCCTGCACTTCAACATGTGTTAATCAGTTTACTCTCTGATTACCGTTTTCTCTATCATGACTTTACGATTCACGACCACCCAAAAGAAAAAAACTCCCCACCAAAATTACCCACGATAATGGTTTTCTCTCTTCTCTGGACTCTCTATCTCTTTCCTACTTTGCTTTTCGGTCCCATCTCAACGAAGGGCCTAATGATATCAACGACGGAGGACAAATCAGCCCCGTGACAAACGCAGGTTGCAGCGCATTTTCCGGACGGGTCTTGTTTCGGCCCAGTTTGCATGATACCCATTCACTACCATGTGGATCTTACTTTCACCTATTTTCCTTTCTGATTCTATCTTATTTTATGTTACTCTTACCAAGTATCCAATGGAGAAATGGTCATATACACTTCGGTTACCAGTAATAGAAACAGTGATATGTTTTCAACTCGTGTTAGTGTCAGCCAAGCAAGTATACCCAAGGACAACACAACATTGGAACGAGACTTGACACTTTCCCCAGTCGGATAAACAATAATCCCGGTCTAGACTCACGCGGCCCTTCTTACCGAGGCACTAAGAGAACCTGCGGGAAACAAATTAAAGTCCGGTGTCATAGTGAACTTCCCCCCTCCAAAAACAGGTTTATGGCCGTTTTTTTTTTTGCGAAAAAAAAAAAAGAAAAATAACCGTTTTTAGAGCTGTTCTCTTTTTTTGCTTCCCACAGATATCATATCGATCAAAGGGAAACCTATGTGACAGAGACCTGCAAATCAGCTGGCCCACCAACTATGGGTCAGCCAGACGAGCAAGAAAGAGTTCGAGAATTATCAAGGTTCGCGGTCCCCGCCTCGATCCCGATCTCGATCGCCATTAACATAACCAAATGTAGGTACTACTGCACCTTCGATCAGCACGGTCTGCCCGAAGATTCAATAGACTCCGTCCGTCTGTCTTCAGACACTACTCTCACCGCGCTCACCCAGCTCGGCGTATACCGCTTCGCATGTAACCGGTCTTTCGTCTCGATCATCGACGGCGGCAACCAACATGTGATCTCGGAGGCTACCGCGTCCGTCTCTCTGCGGAATACAGATCACCATCGACCAGACGATGGCATTTTTCTAGGTGTCCGCACCCTCGATTTGGAATGGGGTGTGTGTCCACATGCGATTCGCTTGTTCACTGGACAGGATGAGTCGCATATCCAGGATACGGAGAACGTGACTGCCAACCGAACGAGAAATATCATTCGCGATTTTACCAAGGAAGACTTTTATAAAGATCGTTCTTATGTTCTTGGCTGGCCGTTCTTTCGATTCTACGCTGAGGTCCCGCTGTACAGTCCTTCCGGGTTTGTGTTAGGTTCCTACTGCGTGGTAGACGATAAACCGCGCATGGATTTCGGTGATGAGGATGTTGCGGCGCTTCGGGAGATCGCCGATGCGATCACGAATCATCTTGAAAATTCACGGATCGTGCAGTATCACCGCCGTTCCGAGAATCTGGTCAAGGGCTTAACGAACTTTGTGAAAAGTGGTTCGAAGTTTGATCCGACTGGACTTTCAACACAGAATCAATTGGAGTCTTCTACGAAGAAGATCAATTCCGAGACTCTTGAGCCGTCGGTTAATTTGGGTGATGTGGGTGAAAGTATTGCTTCATTATCGGCGCAGGGCAATGGTGCCTTTTCACCTCTTGATCAGAGGTCATCACCCAGTCTCAATGCACGTGAGGCATCTGTTTTCTCTGGGACGGGTCGTTCAAGATCGAAATCAACGCTTCCTTCGTCTCTTTCGAGAACTGCCTCCGATCGATCGGATCCCGTGGCCTCTATGGATGTTCCTTCGGAGCTGACGGTACCGGAAGATGTGCCGATCACTGAGCGTATTGCTGCGATATTTTCTCGTGCCAGTACGTTACTCGAGGAATCATTGGATCTGGACGGCGTGGTATTTCTTGATGCTCATCGGAACGATCCGCAATTGTGAGTGATGCACTAAAAACTCATGATGGATGATTTCTAACAGCTACAGTGAACCATCTGGTCAAAGTGAAGGCTGGGAGGCTGTTCCGCAGTTTGTTGATCCAGGATTTCCTCTAACGCCGCGAGCCACACTACCTAAAGACGCGCAGAAGTACTGTGGTTTCTTAGGCCAATCTTCGAATGGGTGGACATCAAACAGGAATACTGGGCAGTGTCGCCGGGTGATGGTGACCGAAGATCTGCTGCATTCGTTGATCACCTATTTCCCAGAAGGTCATGTTTTCGATACCGATCGTCAATATGGATCCACCCTTGGGGGAGACGATACCCTTACCTTGGCCTCCGAATCTGAACCTTCTCAAATGATCGCCCATCGTCTGTCCCAGCAACTTCCTGATGCCAGATATGTTCTCTTTTATCCCCTCTGGGATTGGAGCAAATCACGTTGGCTTGCGGGTACATTAGTTTGGACAAATGGCTGCCACCGTCCATTGGGGACAGAGGAATTGCACTACTTCAAAGCATTCGGAGACTCAATAATTTCCGAAGTGTCTCGTCTGCATTGGACAGCAAGCGAGAACTCCAAATTTGATTTCGTCACATCGATCAGCCATGAGCTTCGCTCTCCTCTCCATGGAATACTTGCCAGTGCAGAACTACTGCATGATGTCCCTCTTCAGCCCACACAACACGACATTGTCAAAATGATCTCAACTTCTGGAATCACATTGCTGGATACCATAGACCACTTGTACGTATTTTCGATATGTTCCGCGCAATTTTCTAACAACAATTCAGGCTCGATTACTGCAAAATCAACAACCTTGGTACAGCACAAGACCTTGACAAGAAAAAATCCCAAAGCGGAGCAATGAGTCTGGTCTCCGAGTTCAATCTCGACCATTTGGTCGAGGAAGTTGCCATGATTCTTCACACAGGCCGGAATCCAGCCGCGCCTACTTCACTTACAACACACAGACCTGCACCGGTGCCTACTCAGCAGACTCAAGACAACACTGGCGATTTATCGGTTGTCATAAACATTGAACAGCCCAACTCCTGGAAAATCAGATCGGTAGCTGGCGCCTGGAGACGAATCGTCATGAATCTTCTGGGCAACTCTTTGAAATGGACCCAACATGGCCTCATCGAGTTATCATTGTCAGAGGTTACCGACCAGACAGCGGATTCTGCGCTTACACACCTCCGCGTCACCGACACAGGCCGAGGAATCGCACCAGAGTTTCTCAAAAATTCGGCTTTTACTCCATTTTCTCAAGAGGATGCTTTGTCGGAGGGTGTTGGGCTGGGTCTGAGCATCGTACACAAGCTCGTCGCTTTCCTCGGTGGCCATATCAACATGAGAAGTGAAGTTGGTGTGGGCACCCAGGTCGATGTATACATTCCCTCTCCGTCCCGTCGAAGTTGTTCTAGCGCTGCTGCCCTATCTGTCGATGACCCGACTGCGACACACCCCGACGGGCTGAAAGCATGCCTTATCGGTCTCAATTCCTATCCCGATTTGGCGGAAACACCTACAGGTATCATGAGCCCTGATGCTAAACGAAACCTTTCGATCCAGAACACTCTTGCTAGCATCTTGATGGGCCAGATGGGCTGGCGTATTTCTCTGTTTGAATCCATTGAGCAAGCTTCAGGTGACGTCGCCGTCATTGAAGAGTCCAGGTTCAAGGATATCTGGAATGGCAAATCACTTGCCAGCGACCCCGGCAGTCGGTTCAAGTTCTTCATAGTTTTGGGTAGCGCAAGATCGTCATTGGGCGACACCCTACCCCCTAACGTCATTTTCGTGCAGCAACCGTATGTCCCCGGATCATACTTATCTTTTGTTGAGACCACAAGTGCTAACTTGATGCAGATTTGGTCCCAAGAAAGTGTGCCAAGCCGCTGAAAAGGTCAAGGAGCTTTTTGCGTCGCAGCCTGAGTCCGAATACTTTGGCGAGACACAGGTGGAGACTCCACCAGTCTGTTCTCAAGAGCCTGCGCCGCAGACGGAAATCATAGCGATTCCCGAGACGCCGGTAGAATTGGTTCCTCAAACTCCGGTTGAGATGGTCTGCCCAAATTCATCGGAGAATGTGGATGCTGAATCAAAAGATCAATTGCATGTCCTTATCGTGGATGACAACGACATCAATGTGAAGGTGAGTGACCACTTCCAAGACTTTGACGTGCCAACTGTTTAGCCACCTTCACTGCCGTTGACACATGGTCTCTCCTGATCTAACTCGTAATGATACTTAGATCCTTGCCACGTTCATGCGCAAACTCGGCTACAGCTATGAAACAGCATCCAATGGACTGATTGCATTGCAAAAGGTTGAATCTTCCACTCGGAGATACGACTTCATTCTGATGGGTCAGTCGACAATTTCTTCCTTTGTTGCTCTCTAACCAACCATCCCTTGCATAAACGACTAACGATTAGGTTGCTTAATGTTTTTAGATCTATCAATGCCAGTCATGGATGGCCTCATGTCAACAAGCAAAATCCGCCAGCATGAGAAGGACAACGGCTTGAAGCCTTCCTGTATCATGGCTATAACAGGTGTCGCATCGGATACCATGCGCGAAGCAGCGAGAACTGCCGGGGTTAACGACTATCTCGTCAAGCCGCTCTCGCTCCGTAAGCTGAAGACGCTTATCGGTATTCTATTCTAACCCATCTTCACACCACACACATAATCTCCCTTCCGATGCATGGAAGGCTGTTTGAAATATGCATTCATCGCAAGCGAATTCAGCGTTATATCATTGTACACATTTTTATAGAGCAGGAATAAGATTAGCTCTAGCGAATATCATATCTAAGTAACATTACAGCTTCACCTCATCGATGTCATAGACCAAATGTTTTTGTCCATATCCCCTTTTGTCCAATCCCAGGGCAGACGAGACATTCATCAACATGCCGAAGCCAAGCTCCTTCATCCACAGCCCCCATGGACCAGTCTTCTTTCTCGCAGCACCGTTCTTGACAGCTTGCATGTAGATCTCATCCACCCTTGGGCGTCGGATCTCGTCAAACTTGGTGAAAACTTGCGATAGAGGCCTACTCGAATCCTCGAGAAGCCGGGAAAGCAAGAACACATCTTCCAGAGCCATGGAGGTGCCCTGTCCAGCGTGCGGTGACATAGCATGCGCCGCATCTCCAAGCAGTAGACATCGACCCTTATACCAACGCCCGCCAAGCGGGAGTCGATAGACAGGATAGAAGTTGATGGAAGAAGTGTTGCAAACGAGATCTCTGACGACTGAGCCCCATTCACCACTCGCCTTCGCAAGCACTTTGAGCAAGTACTCTCTGAACCCTTCAACCTCAGCCTTGCGAGTCTCCTCCCACCCATCTCTCCCATCCTTCCCAGACTCAGGAAGCTGCACCTCGCGTGAAAATCCCCACATCACCTCATCCTTGTTGGCCGTACAGGGATTGACCATGAACATCCCCTCCTCAGTCATCATACCATGCAAACCAGTCATCAGATCCGTCGACTGTGCCGGCAACTTCGACGAAGGAACAATTGAAAAAGACCCAGCGATCCCGGAATAAACACCCACAAACCCAGGATCAACAACAGACTTCCTCACAAACGAGTGAATCCCATCACACCCAAGAACAAGATCAGCCTCCTCATCTCCACTCTCAGTGCTGACAACCCCACCTTCAATCCCAGTAACCCTAACTCCAAACCTGATCTCAATCCCCTCCCTCCGCACAGCCTCCAACAAAACATCAACGAGATCAACACGTTTGATCCTCAAATATCCATACCCAGTCTCACTCCGCGCCCACCCAACAAAATCCTGAGCCCCGACAACATCCCCAGCCGCCGAATGCATCGTCAGCATCCCACCTCCGTATCCCCGAGCACAGAGCTCGTCATACACGCCCAAGCGGTCAAGTAGCCGTAACCCATTAGGCATAATCCCCACCGCGCCACCGAGAGTGGTAGGCTGGTCTCGTAGCTCGTAGATCACACAGGAGATATTATTATGCTTGTGCAAGCGAAGCGCCGCTGCAAGCCCGGCTGGACCACCGCCAATGATAATTGCCTGTGTGTGCGCGTTAGCTCGGACCGTGTTTGCTTTTTTTTTGGTTCTTCATGCGCTGGGCGCTGCTGTTTGTCATGTGTGGAGGACCAGGTGGGGACATGTGCAGGGATGAGAGGTGCTGAGGTGCTGGTTTGGACTGTGCTTACTTTGCGGACTTCGGACATTGCGGTTCTGTATTGAGGTATTTTGCTTATGTATTGTGTCTTGGATGGAAATGGAAAATGTGCTTTGGGCGACATTTGATTATTTGGTTGTCGACTTTGTTATAGTTGGACGAGTCCGCGGACAGTTACCGCATTGGGTAAGTGTGACCGCGGACGAGATGCGGAGGATCTGTGGGCTTCTTTGGAAGTCGACTGTGAGGGTTTTTTTTTAAAGAATCTGGATCTTGGTTTTAACGGTTTATTGTCATGGATTGTATATTGTATATGCACATTTGCATGGTAGATATTTACTGAAGAAATTGTTATTTGGAATTACTTAGAGTTTTTGCCTTCGGGTTGCCTGATCTTCAGTCACTCGGTCATAGCGTAACGGCAAAGGGCTTATATGTGTCTATATGCCCCCCCCCTGAAGAACTTTTCATACTTGATAGAATGGTAATGGAAAAAAATTGCATTAAGGTAGGTACTGATCATTTGTCGAGCAGTCCTGATCATATCCAACTTTCGCTAGCAATTGGCTAACTATAAAACACGCTAATACGGTAAGCTCGTGAAATCATAACGTCAAGAATCGAAAATCGGACCAAAGGCCGGGGTCCCTCGCGCCTCGAGATCATAAACAATTCGCGCCGTCAGCTTAGGGTTACTGATCACGCACACCGCTTCCGCTTCAAATTCCTTCACCTGCTGCAGGATGAGGGGAAGCATATCGACCCGTCCAACCTGATCAGTGTCTAGCACAATAGGATCAGGATCCATTCTGCGCACCAAGTTCATCACACCCTCACCGTATGTCTTGAGCGGGGCACGCGTCTGCCAGAGTACACGCAGAGCGGGCCGGTTGTCATCGCCGAGGAATGACAAGCATGGACCTATTCCGGATCCGGTGGTGACGACAATCACCCTGCGGAAGACACGCATGGCATAAGCAAAGCCGTAAAGAAGCACACCTCGCTTCCACAGGTGCGTGGGTGGGTTCTGGATTGTCTCGGCGGTCCAGTCGCCGGCTTTGGAGACCAGACAGGAAAAGCTTGGGGAACCGTTGGGACCTGCTGGGGCCGCGTCTGGGAATGTGGCGAAGCTGTGCCAATCACGCAGTGGATGCTTGGATAGCTGAATGCCCTTTCCGAAAGTGGTGATGGCGTGGTCGAAGTGCAGGCGAGTGGCGTGGGTGGAGAGGGGCTCGGCCCGCACCGCTACCTTGCGTAGGAGCAACCAGGGCTGAATGATGGCGATGATGGTAATGATCAGGAACCAGAAAGATGGAAGCGAGATGAGGAACTTGGCTAGTGGTTTGCCCTGGGACTGGCTGGCCTCGTGTGAAACGATCAGCAGCAGCGCGAAGAACAGGGCCACGACAAGCCACCCCGAAAAACGGTGGGTGAGTTCGAAATAGTCATGTCGCTTCATACGCACTGCGGGGTGCGCTACCACGATTATGGCTAGGAGTATGGCGAGGATGATGTACGAGAGTATCACCGGCGCCATTGTGCTGACGATGGCGGGGCCAGGTGATGGGCTCCAATATTCACGAGACAAGACGCCCACGAATCCAACGTACCAGACGAGTGAGGCGACCCCACACCCACTGTGTACACCACCGTAGTGGTATACCTTGGCAGCAGTGCGACGGAGAAGAAGCGGTGCTGACCTCGGCATGGAGAGGACCACGAAGAAGATGGCGTTGACGACCAGTGGCTGGCGGGCCAGGCCGCAGACCAGCAGGTTGGTAGCTGAGGCATTGATCAAAGACAAGGCAGTCTGGTTATCTTTTTTGACCATGACGGCGATGAAAAATCCCAAATTGGCCAGGAAGACAAGTGTGAAAAGACGTCGGTATAGAGTGAGCACTGCATAACGAACAGACGCGAAGATTTTGGGCTGGCGACGAGGCTCAGTGGTTTGAGCTTCCAAGTCCAGCTCGGTCTTTGTTGTGGGAGGAAAATCAAGCTCGAGAGCTTCCATCACTTTTGAATGGCACTTCTCGATGGCGACATCACCATCGTGGAGGGTGGTGTCACTGCATGCTGGCGAGCCCGGATCAACAACAGCCTTTGCGGCGACTGTGGTGGGTTCTGAAACTGAAGACATGATTGACTAAGATGAAAGTAAGTCCGGATTCTGGGAGGGCCTATGATGCTTATAATACCTCAGATGACCAAAAGAAAGACCGGTGTCAGGAAGAGAGGGTGGGGGAAAAGAGGGAGAAAGATAGACAACAGAGAGCCCTTGTTCCCAACCCAACCACAAATGACCTCCTCAGCTCCGCACATCTGAGGGCACATTCGAGGTCAGCTCCGATATCAGAAAGCCCAGCTCACATCTTCCACTCCATTTTACTGTTTCCCTTTCGGGCTTCACCGTTCACGGTGCTCGTCTCGTCTTCCAATTGCCTAATCGAGCAGGTCGTTTCTTTTTGCTCTTTTTCTTTTTTATTCCTTCCACTTTTTTCCACCCAGTTAGGGTTTGAATCCCTGTCAAGGAATGCATTGCATATGAGATTAACTCCACCTTTGGCGGCTTGCCTTTCCGATCCCCCTTGTGATCCTGTGCCTCGCTAACCGTGTTGCATTGGCATATACTTGCACTACTGCACGATTACAATATTGTCTCATTCTCCCGTCTATCCAGCTGGGTCAGAACTTGAGCTAGTGAAAGTCGCCATGCCAATGAGCACTCAGAAACGCCTCCAAAGCCCTCGACAGCCCTTACGTTTGGCTCGACATGAGCATCGGGGAACAGTTCTTTCAATCCCCGGACTATCGATGGATCCTGTCAAAACCTTGTTCTCCGCGGGCTGGATGAATGGAACTGACATCCCTTTGACGGGATAGACCGGAATAGGCTCCAAGGAATGTGCTCAATGATGCAATCCACTCCAGCCTTGTCTCCAACTCGATTCAACAGATGTTACTCGCTCTCGCACCACCGGGGCTGTTCACTAGTCTCGCTCTTGGGCTGCAAGCGTGGAGATCAAGCAACGAGCACATGATAACACGGGTGGATAAGACTGCGATGCCGGGACCGATCTACACCCGACGGATGGGATAAGATGACGAGTGGCTTGCAGTTCATCCAATGCAAGGCTGCTGCAAAGACAATGCCAATGTGGATTAATGCAATCCTGCCATGAGGTAGCTGCACCAACCCGAATGACATAGTTGTTGGGATTTATTTGCTTTTTTACTCTTTTTGTTTTACTGGGAAAGTGTACTTTTTTTTTATTTTTTACTTTTTTATTTTTATTTTTTTTTGACGCGCCGTCGATCTTTGCGTGCAGCTGAGTTGTGACCGCATCGGAATACCCCTCCCTCTGGTATGAGATGAATTCAGCCGCTGATTGATCCGATGTGCAGGCTCCACCCAATGCCCCGGCGTTTGTGTATGCACGGGTGCGGTGCAGAACCTGGCAGAAGAGTGGAGCAGCAAATCGTTAGTCGATCTGGTTCTCAGAGAGGGGAACAGGCGCGTTCGGGGAGGGATCGAGGATCTTGCTCCACTGATTAGCGATTGCGGGCATTGGGCACGCATTGACAATTGGGCCCGTACTGGACAAGCGAAGGAGGGGACGGGAAGTGTGAGTCTATGACTCGAACATGGCGTTCCAATTGGCAGATAGCGATCCCACGTCAAGTTTTTCCATGGAATACATGACAGTATGACAAAAATGACAAAAATGACAAGAGGATCTTCAAGGGATGGACTCGTGGGTCTGTGAAGAACATGACAGGGTCATGTGGGCAAAGCGATATATTACGGAGTAGACATTAGGTTAGCCACACCGCGTAGATCCGATTGACATGAGCACGTCCTGGATCTACATGGTTCGTGTTGAGTTTGTGCTGTTTGCGCGAGGCTGACACATTTTACTTAAGCAAGGGTGATCCGAGCGTGTGGCTCAGTCAAGGGGGCTGAAATGCTTTGAACTTACGGTGGCTGAAGTGGGGCCAAAGATGAAACTATTGAATTTGGAATCATCAACTCTCTCCACTCACACTAAGACTCTTAGTGTAGAACCGGTGGAGCTTACGATTTACGATCCAGCTAGTGGGAATTCAGCTGGCATGCGATCATATGTTCATGAGATCCTGTTTTCCATTGCAACTTTTACCGAGCGCAGAATCTCCCGTACCTTTGTCGTGGCGTAAACGCACGTCCTTCCAAAAAAAAAAGGAAATCGAAGGACAGATAGCACACTAGCGCAGCCTTACCTAAGCATAGGGTATTCCAAATCAGTCCTTTGGAAATCAAATCAGAAACGCCCAAAGGAGTATGGGATTGGGAGATGTATATAACCCCCCGGGGGATCGCTTTTCTTCCCACAATTCTCCCCCCACAACTTGGAATCGTGGAAAGCAAGATGTCCCGACCAAACGAGATGATCAACAGTGACTTGCTGAGCTTTACTTTTGAGGGCCCGAAGCCCTACACTTCCAACCAACCTTTGTTCATTGATGCTGAAGATACCTCGCGATCTTTCACGGCGGCCCAATTCCGTCAATTGGTGCAGACGCTGATTGCCGGGTTCAAAGCCTATGGCATCCAACGTGGGGACTGCGTGTTGTTGCATCTAGGAAACAGCGTAAGTCCACAGATATCTCCCCTATGTATCATCGGAAGAGAGGCAGAAGCCTCAATCTTGGAAGAGACAAGCCGGACATAACAAAGGAGCCACCTGGGGCCTGGCCAGGGAATAAACAGAAGAACAAGGGAAACATGCTGACCTGGTCCCGATCAAAATAGATCGTCTACCCTGCACTGTTCTTCGCTATCATTGGCGCAGGTGGAGTCTACATGGGCTCTAATCCTCGCAGTCAGCCAAAGGAACTTGATCACATTCTCAGCCTCGCCGAGCCAAAGCTGATCCTTACCTCCCGCGATGCACTTCCTACCGTCGTCGAAACATCCGCAGCCCGGGGCATCCACCCGGCGCGGGTATGTGTCGTCGATGAGCGAGCCATTGACTACTGTGCCCAGTTGTTCCTATGGCACGAGCGTGGATACTCCACAACTGTCCAACAATACGCAATAAACCATACCCAGCCCTTCAACTTTGCCAATCTCCTCCGTTTTGGTCAGAGTGACTGGATGAGGTTCAACAATGCCGTCGCACAAACCACACCTGCAGCCATGTTCTCGACAAGTGGTACAGGTGGCCTGCCCAAGGCAGCCATTCTCACCCACCACGCCCTGGTCTCACAGCATCGTTCAATCTACTATGACGTTCCATATCCGGTTAGTCGACTGATGTCGCTTCCCATGTTTCATCTGTTCGGTGCACTGTGGACGCATATCTTCCCAGTCCGCTACGGCCACCCACTCTTTGTGCTGCCCCGTTTCGAGGCCAATCAGTTCATGGCAACAGTACACAAGTATCAAATCTCCGAAACCTACATGGTCCCCACAATCATTCACGCTCTCAACCAATCATCGCAACCGGTGTCTGAGTTGATGTCCTCGTTGCGATATGTTGGTATTGCCGGTGCTGCAATTGACGGTGCCTCTTTGCAAACTTTCCGTAATCGCCTTCACCCCTTGGCATATGCATGCCAGATCTGGGGCATGACGGAAGTGGGAGTAGCGCTACAGACTCGCTACGGCCAGCCGGGAGACCCGGCCAGTATCGGCACCCTGCTTGCTGGGTACGAGGCGCAATTGAGAGACCAAGATGGAATTGTCCAAGGCGACGAGTTGGCTGGTGAGCTGTATGTACGTGGTCCCGGTCTTTTGACTGCGTACAAGGGTCGGAGCGATGCCTTGGAGCCTCACGGGTGGTACCGCACAGGAGATGTGGCCTACGTCAAACAGGGCCAGTACTACATTGTTGGACGGACCAAGGAACTGATCAAAGTTCGAGGGTAAGAAGCACAAAACCACTATATGATTGATCGTTTCACTAATCTTCTTTTTTTTTCTCTCGCAGATGGCAAGTCGCCCCAGCAGAAATCGAAGCCGTTCTGCTTCAATACCCTGGGATCACCGATGCGGCTGTGATTGGTGTCAACAAAGAAGGGCTAGGCGAGGTGCCCCGCGCATTCGTGGTTCGTTCCCGCGATCCTTCTGTGGGTCGCCTCACAGCTGAACAGGTGTACAACCATGTACGCCAGCAACTCGCTAGCTACAAGTCGCTTGAGGGTGGTGTCATCTTTGTCGAAGAGATCCCCCGTACCGCGAGTGGCAAGATTCAGCGGTTCAGACTGACTCAGATGAACACCTATCGCGAAATGGTCGCATCTCTTCTTTCGCGATGTGATACGGATGGTGCTTCTGATAGTCCAATTCCTAGGGCCGGATTCGGACGTGTGGGCCTGGTACAGGATGGACGTGCCAGGGTCTAGTCTGAACATAATTGCAACATGGAACACCGGGGCGCATTCTGGAGTTGTGGGTCTATGGCTTGTTGGCGTTTTCATCCTAATTCTGCTTTTCATCTGATTTTGTTTCTTTCTGTGATTTGCTTTTTTCTCTCCTTTTTTTTCGCCTCCCTCCTGTTCTACGCCTTTCGTTCAACCAAGAGTGTTGTACATGATCTGACGACCTTTACCACCAGCATTTAAAGCGGGATTTCAACATTTTGAATACATTCACAATACATATCTGTCTTCATTGTCTTGTACAAGTAGTTCATACAAGTAGTGTAGTTCATGTAAGAGTACCCAACTACCAATTCAGCGGTACCGGAACCCAGCAGAATCCCCAAATAGCTCGTGTCCACAATACTCCGTTCTTTCCGGTGCGATCTCGGTTCTCGGGTCTTATGCATGTGATGTATACAACTTGCAAAGAAAAAATAATAATAACAAAAGATTTAGAGATCCCAAAAAAGCAATCATACCCAGATCCATAGGGCGAGAATCGAGATCCCCGATCTTGTGCCATTAGTACGTGCAACGTATGTGGCGGAATTAGTTCCCAACGAGTCCTTGGTGTTCGGTGTTCACGATGTGGGCCCTGCAAGGGGTTTCCCCAAATGATCGACGGAGCTAAAATCGAAAAGCCGTGGTGAGATTAGGTTGCAGTCGGATTATAGTTCCTTGTGTCTTGGGATCATCCGTTTGGTTCCCAACTTCGTCCACGGCATGGATCCATTGCACGCTGCGGTTCGGAAGAGATCCGCGGACCAGACTTGCTAATTTTGCTGTAGGATAGTCATAGTCTCTTCAATGTGTCGGCTGCTTTGCTATGTTTTTATCTGGGCCTGAGGAAATTTCATTTTGCCGAGTAGAGACGGTGAGATGGTTCAGATAGCTCCTTTCTAGGGATGTCACACAAGTGTCGGTGTGGCTTTTCTATGATATTTATGTTTCTTTTGCCACTGTTCGGATGGGTCTTTGGGTTCTAGACTTTGTCATGGGATATTTATTGATGGGGGGTTCAATGCAGTTCACTAATGCTGTCTTAGGTCTGCAGGAGGTTTAACTTGGACACCTGAGACTGTGCGGTATCGAGTGGACTCTCCGAGATAATCATGCAATGTGACTTCAGAAAGAACAACTATCACTGTAACAGTACTATTGAAGGGCTTGTGGAGTCAGCCGCTCAGAGTATTGTTGAGCCCTCTGAAAATCGGCATGGGATCGTCATTCCCTTCTTCTTATCCCAAAGATGACATACGAAGGAAAATTTGGGGTTTTGGAACAGAGCCATGTTCTCATATCATTTAATCCATGCATAGTAGATCCCGAAGTCATACAAAAATCTCTATGTACATAACTATCTCATGGGTTGACAGATACCTAAGGTCGGATGCTCAGTGGTCAGTTATTATTTCAACAGATGTGAAAATCTTTGACAAAGACTCATCCTCAATTACTTCCGTCAAAAGACTTAGCATGCAGGAGTAAAACAGATGTCATGTTGGGCCAAACTCTACTAAATCTCCAGAGCTCATGAGCTTCACTCTCACTTGATATTGATGAGGGTGCCTACATGGTCGATACCGAGTTCCATGGTCTCTTTCAAAGAGAAATAGCAGGTCTAGGCCCTGAAGCTGCACAAAGAGTCCTTTATAAGAACCTTGGAAAGACTTATGGCAACATATTTGTGCATCAGAATAGAAGTCGTTGTTCTACTATACCCACGGTCGTCTATAACCACGATTTGATTGATACAGATCCTCCATATATGAATGCTATGATATTGAGTTTGAAAATAATCCCAAAACGTATATCGATGCGACGTTGTGGGGGCGAAATGGAATCAGTTCAACTCTGTTTCTTCGGGCAGTCCAGGAGGCCGAGCATGGTGAGACCAGCCCGTTCGTTAAAAATATACAGCGATATCCTTCTAGGATCGTGTGACACGCTCCCTGCTGCGAACATGTGGTGCAGGAAAATTGTGTCTCTGAGTTGGCTTCCAAGGTTGGCTTGTGCAGCAAGGGTTGTGGTAGAAACTTTTAGTGCGGCCAGGTCGGATCATGGAAAACATCCCGAATCCACACGTAGTGCGCGAACTGCAGTGTGCCACCCCCAACTGTGATATGCAGTTCATGTTACGTAGCACAAGGAGCTTCATCTGCAACAGATCCATGGATGGATTGCATTGATGTCCAAACGTTCAGAGTGGGTTTGGGGCTAGACGTCGATCAGTGCATATGGACAATATACTTTCACTAACAAATTAGCGTATCAGCCTACATTATATTGTGCTTCTTGCTTATAGCGGTGTAAGGGTATATGATATCGACGACTCGACTAAATTGATGCATTGGGTGGTCTTCAGACACGCTGCCATGGGGGTCACATGTGGTTTTGTTCAAATCAGGTAAATGTGGTAGATCTTCCAGCAAGGAGGTTTCTTGATGAAGAACGTCAGTAGCCAAATCTGACATCATGTTGAGAGTCATGATGAGATACCAGCCATCCTAGTTTTGATTTGACCAGATTTAGCTGAAAATAAATCATCACAAGCCTCAGTGCCGCGCTCACGCGCGGCCAAAAAGACAATGATAGTTGGTTATCAACAGGAGTAGTCAAATGGTTATTGACTTAATCTCATATGTTAATTGGTAATGAGAGAGAGCTATTATCAACTTCGGGACCTCTTTTTAACTGTCTTTTGGACTGTCTTTTGGACTGTCTTTTTGGCTGTCCTTCCAAGGTTCCAATGCCGAGTCATCATTATTGGTCCAGTAAAGGAAGTCTTGGTTAAGCCATGAACAGAGAATTAGGGATCTGGGATAAAACACATGTGGAAGAGCCCATGGAAACCTTGGAATGTATGGTTCAGCCGAACAACAAAACAATCAAATTCGATTCCAAGATTACTCTATCTACTCCCAAGTTGCTATGGTAGCACACACATCTGTCTAAACTCCTCAAGCAACCCTTCTTCCTGTGTGTTTCCTCTAATTGCATGTAGTTCGAAATTCCAAACGATCCCTTGGGTATCAGAGACAAGGGTGTATATCGGGAAAGAGGACCGTCTTTGACCCTCCTCTGCTTCAAGCCGGTTAGTCGAGAGATCGAGTCGGATGAAACTCTCATTCTGGTTCGGTAGGGCTATCATGCTAATCATCCAGTCAATTCTGTACACCTCCCACTCACGGAGCAAAGGGAACAGAAATGTGTGTGCGCTTGATAAGGGATCTCCTGGTTCGTCGGCAAGGGCAGGGATAATGACTATCAAGCGCAATCTGCCCTCTATTAGAATTGTTTGAAGGATGTGTTGTTTGAGCTCACGTGCCAGAGAAGTTGGAAATCGGGTTTGATATGTGGTGGTGGGAATAAGCATGGCGATGTGCTAAAGGTGATAAAATTCCGAAGTCAAGGGGATTTATACATGATATTTATAGTAGAGGAATCTTCATCTCAAACAAAGACTCCAATCTGTCTGAAGTACTTCCAAGCTGTGTTTTACCCATGTTGTGTGGCGGAGGCACAGGTAGAACATGTCTTGGGGCAAGTTTGCCATGAGCCAAAGCTGGAACAATCATTGCTAGACCGGGAGTTCAGAAAATCATGCCTTCGTGCATGAACTGTCTCACTATCGTAGCATGATCCTGTCTCTCGCTGTTTCGGGCTTCAGAAAATGCCATAGTCCATCCACCAAACACCCCAGATCAAAGGTCCCAGAGCCCCGAGCGCAGCTGCTCCAAAGGATAATTCCAATATACACCAAATCCAAATGGTGCCGACAGCTGGGGCCTTCTTCATGACCGCATAGTATGGCTCGCCATTGGTAATAGCGATCAGATGCGCACCAAGTACTGCAGCAACAGGAAGGAAAACATAGGTTCGCAGTGCAGGGGGAAAGACCAATTTTCTGAGGAACGCGATATTCCGCTTGTCTGCTGTTAATGGGAACAACGAAGGTTCTGATGGCTCATTCTTTGAGCGAGGTTTGCCAAAGGGGATGATATGGCCATGCGCGAGGTGGACAAACAATGTCAAGAGGGGGAAAGCAGTCAGGAGAGAATTTTTGAAGAGTTCGGGTAGGTCGGTGGTTTCAGCGTATTGGTGCGCTGCTAGGAAGCTCAGAGTGAGGTGGAGAGTGGTGAGGGGGATAGAAAGGAGGATTGTATCAAGGAACGGCGGGAGTGGTTGATCAACCACAACTTCTGAATCAGATTGATGACCGGTCGCTTTTGGTACTGGGGCTGCCTTGCTTGGTGGGCTCTTGGAAGTATTTGAGAGGTGTTCGTCGATGTCCCCGTGGGTGTCGACCAATTCTCCGGACGCATCGACCGTGACGAATCGAGTCCCCCTGACTGAGCAGGAATCCCTAGTCCCTCTGCCGATGCTGGGATCTTCCCTCCTTTTTTGTTCTGCCCATGCTGCCGCTCCGCAATGATGTCATATAATGTTTTCTCGACGGTTTGTTTGTTTTGGGATGGATCGTTGCGAGGTGGATGGGCCATGGGGACGTCTGCGTCATCATATGTGGAAGCTGCTGCTGCACGTCGTTGTTTTCGATTCCTTGGGGTCTCCATTTTGCCGAGCTGGGGCTGTGGTGTGGTGGTTGGGTTCGTGAAGAGTTGACAAACACTGACGTGGAGAAAATGAGGTTGGCTCGGCGATAAACGGAGTTAACACCGCCAAGAGTTGACCAGTTCGCTCAACTAGCTGGAAAGTTTGTGGAAGTTTACAGGGGAAACCTTGCAAAAGCTTGACTTCACTCATTGAAATGTCTATTTGGCTGTAAATCTCGAGCTCTAAACTTCTTGGACGTCCTCAAGTTCTCTTCCCAGACCGTTGATCAAGTCTAGCTATACCACTTACCCAGCCTGGTACAACGCCGGACCCGCAACCACATGCGGGTTGATCAAGCTTAGATTGAAAGGACTGAGAGCCGGATCACTGTCCGTGATAGCAATGAAGATGGTTCCATTAATTGCAGGATCACCCTGATACGTCTCCAAGTCAGGTTGGATAGTATGCCCTCGGCCACCGGTGCTGTTGGTTATGGCGGTGCCATTGGTACTGTTGTCGATGGTCAAAGTGGTGTATGTCACATTGAGCTGAGACACCCAAATGACATACCTGGCACTACCAGCTTCGGTTTGAGTCGTAGTGATGTAGCTGTTGTTGGGTCCAACCTGCCTTCCCGGGGCATCCCACTGCAACAGCACTCGGCGGCCCGGGAAAGTAAGTGGCAGTGGCCGAATCTTACTAACAGTGACTCCGCAGTTGGATGTTGAGTTGGTAGAATTGCTGCCTTTGGGTGTTCTGGGAATGCTAACGCCTGGACCAACAGTGTCATTTGCCCCGGATGACTGGTTGAAAATGAACCCTGCAGTCTGGTTGAGCCCAGAAAGCTGGCTGGGAGCAGGGGTTTGGGTCGGCTCTGAGCTCTCACTGGAGTCAGACGCCTGGCTGGAACTTGTTGTGGTGCTCGAATCAGAAGACTGACTGGAACTTGTTGCAGTGCTAGAGCCAGAAGACTGATTCTGCCCCGAAGGAGAGTTCGCCGTGATACCCGTGTTCCAAGGATTGGGTTGGTCAACAACCAAAAGCGTCGGGAAGTTCTGCCAAATCAACCTGGTCTGATTCTCAGGACAGGTACTGATAAAGGGAGCTAGCAATGTCCAGGCCCAGGACTGCGGTATACCAAGCTGAAACCATTCCACCATCGGAAACAGACCCTCAAACTGACGGAATATCAGCTGTTGGCGAGCTTCGGTGGTGATGGACTGCGTGAGTAGAGTGGCCGCCTCGCGTGAATCCAAGTGAGCCAGGAATCCATACACACCCGCTTCACCAAACCGTGTCAGTTTCTGACAGAAGTCAATGAATTCTTTCACGTTGGTGTACGGGTAGATGTAGGTGCACTGCTGCGGGGCATGTTCTCCCAGGATGTTGCTCAGCATGGTAACATGGCCTAGCTCTTGTTGCGCCATGAATTGGATCAGTTCGCGATCTGCAGAGGAAAGACCAGCTGCTTGGAATTCAGATTCGTTGAACCGTCTGAGTCCATCCTGGAAAAGATCGTATTCAAGCCATTCTTGGTATAGAGCAAGGGCCTACAGACGGTTCATCAGCTCTTCTGTCAAATTGGAAAGTTCCTTCTTCAACTTGGATACGTACCAAGGATTCGAAATCGAAGTCGCTCTTTGTATTATAAACGGGCGTGCTTCCATTCGTTCCAACGCCGCCTGCTGGGTCAAAGGGAGCAGGCTCTGCATGATGAAGCTTTCCATCAGCTGGATAGCTTGTGGCTCCAGCGGCAACGCCCTCACTGGGAATCCCTGTCCCAATTGAAGTTGCAGTCAAAGCACCGGTGGTGGTTGCTGTTCCAGTGAACGGCGTATGTGGCTCGGAAGTTGAGTGGTTTCGAAGTGGAGGAGCAGAAATAGATGAGCTCTCTATTGGAGTCGTCGTCAAAGCTGTTTCATGGTGTTCATCTCCACCCTTGTGGCCTCCGCCTTTGTGTTTCTTTGGGTCCGGGTCCGGGTCCGCAATTGCGACTGGCAGTAAGCCAAGAATGAATATGTTTTTCCAGATCATGATCGTATGCCCCGAGCTACTTTGAAGACAATGTATTTAGTGGCTTTTGGTTTAGGTGAGCTGGGATACTTGTATTGTTCAGAGACCCTCGGATGGTTGCGGATGGCTAATAGAGCGCATTTGGGATCCTGCTGGCGTTTCGTCAGTATTCGAACAGCTTATTTTGAACACCGTCATCATCTTGGTAGTTATAAGGGATGTACATAGCAACAATGTTCTCCTGCAGATCAAAAATACTGGTTCAGGGCCACATCGCAGATCCAGAGTAGCTCCAGACGGGATGAATTCCGAGCGGCCACAGAACCACATGGTGACATTAAGGTTAGTGTCACTGTCGATCCCATTGGGCTTTTTCATAATTAATGGTAAACATTCAGCGCAATTGGCCGGTCAGGTAAGGTTCACGTACTGAGGATTGTTGTATAGTATTGGGCCCGGGATGTGTCGGTAAGGACTTCCGTGGAACTTGTGTGTTAGGCATTTCGGCTGTTTGTGTGTTTTGGAATGACAGCTAATCTCGGTCGTGTATGCCGGGACTTTCATGAGTTAAGCTAATGCTGAAGTGAACCCAACAACGGTAAAGCCACTGGAAGATTTCATTTGGAGTCAAAAACAGCTGAGTTGGCAATCTATGGCGCAAATATTAAGTTATAAACCGAGCACAAAAGTATTTCCAGAACAAAAAAAAGGTCATAGCCAAAGCAAAAAGTCATCAAGATCACATTAAGACCCGATACAGGTCGATCCGAACCCCATAAAATTCACTGTGCCCGCCAACCGCCTTCTCCCGAGAATGAACCATAACTCGCTGAATGGGGAACGTTTGCTGTAATTCTCACGCCATTGGCCCAGACGATTTCCATGGTCGATCCTCTGACAGTCGCTCGGAAAGGCTCACGCGTGCGAAGAGAGTTCCGGATGCTGTCGACCTCCTTCCAGGGGATGTTCACGACAGCGGGGGCCTTTTGAAGGGGTGCAGTCTTCCCACGGTTCTCAAAGACCCAGGGCTCGCCGTTGATCATAAAGACGCCGGCCAGCGACGAGTCGCTCTGAGTAGTGATTGAGCCGAGCCATTGCACCATGACTGAATTGTTAGTAACCTTATAGCTCTATGTTGCCGAAGGTGGTTTTTGCGGTGCTTACTGAAGAGGCTTCTGGTACTTCTCTGGAAAGAAAGAAGATATTTGTGGAGAACGAGGTTCTTTGAGGATTTTATTTGTTCGACGTCACGAGAGAAAGAAACTGGTTCAAACTGCAAGATGCACGTTCTGGCTATATCATCTGCAAAGTTTCTGGAATATCCAATCAGGGGAGATTTAAGCCTTTCTCGGCATCGGGTCTCATTCAGCTGTGTTCACACCGCTTCTTTAGCGTACGCGTAGCGCCTGCTAGTGTCTCCAGTGTCCCCAGCTTCCATTCCACCACAGCTCATGATGTATATGGGCAATATGGGATGGTTTCGCCAGTGAAACCACATCCGGCTTGTCCTCTCGCTGGTGCTGCGTGCTGATCAGTACCTGGCATTTCGAGGTAACTGAACGCAAGGCATAAGTCGACAAGTGATCGGCGCGACCGTGAGGCCAGAGCGAGTTCCACCTCGACGAACCATGATGCATCTCCCGCTCTAGACCCGATCTGGCTAGTGGCCTCGGACTTAATCGGAGCAGATCGATTCTGCATTCGAAAGTGGACCGTCAACAAACACCAGAAGGAGGTCTGTGAAAATTCAAAGTCACTAGTTTGGTATAGTATTCTCCGAATACGATGCTCAAAATTGTCTGTGTACTCCCTACTCCGTACTCGAAGTATACTTAAGTCCCCGGTACGGTGTCCTATTATGTGAGCACTCATGGTACGAATACGAGTGATACCGGTACATGTCTCTCCACTCGATTTGGCCTCCAGGGCTGTAGTACAGCATGTGGTGCAATCAATATCTGCAAGTGCCTGGACTCATCACGAAAAATCATTGAGCGTACATACATCCAGCCCTGAAGGAGCTGGTGAAATCGGTGCAGTTCCAGCAAATGCCGCGTTGGGCATGTATGCCGGCCCCACAGCGGTCCGCTCTATGCCCCCAAGCAACATTGCGCTCTTTTGGACAACAGAATGGTATCAATTCGTTTGGAATTCAAGCCCTTCGTGGCACTACAACTTCTCATGAAGATGGTCTACTCCACACAATGTCTATATGTAGAATAGAATATAAGTCCAATATTTTGACCAAAATTCGGATGGCTCCTTACATCCGATGGAAGCTCTTGCGTGTACTCCGTGGTTGCCACCAGGTACGCTGCATGCCAGTAGCAATCCTTCCTCTTTCTGTATAATCTTGGCTGTCCCTTACGGAGTACGCATTGCCCTATGTAGAAAGTAGTCCACACGGCGTCTCCCAGCCAGCCACAGAATTCAGGTGGCTGGGCTAGGCCTCTTTATAGTTGTACTGGCCAATAGATGGGGGTTTGAGATGGGGGTGTGAAGTCGAAAGTCACGTCCTTCGTGGTAAAATGCACAACACTTTGTTTGCTAAGGGTCAAGGTCCAAGTGGAACCTTTGAGGTAGCGAGCGAATGGATAATTAGATCCAAGACCGAGTTGATCTCGGGACTAAGGTGAAGATCGTGTGTTGTATTCAAACGGCTATCATCCACAAATTCAATATAAGATTATAGTACTCCGTTATAGAATTCCAGAATATCATGAGTGGGGTGAAGATCAATGGACAATGACCCCCAAGCTTGATTGAATTACCGAGGTGTGGAGACAAGCCATGACGAGATCGCGGGGAAACTTGAACTTCAACCTCAACCTCAACTTCAGTTACTCCGTATCTCACCCCATCAAGAAACCAATTTTCACCATGGCGCACCTCCAAGCATCCAATCTCTTCTCCGTCCAAGACCGAGTGGTCGTAATCACCGGAGGTGGTAGCGGTAAGCAGCGCCCACGCACGTTCCACGCCCAAAGCTAACGGCACAGGTCTTGGCCGCATCATGGCCAAAGCACTCGACGCCAACAACGCAGACAAGATCTTCGTTCTCGGCCGGCGCGAAGACGCACTCCAGGAAACCGTCTCGCAGGCACTACACAAATCCATCATCCCGATCCAATGTGACGTCACCTCGAAAGAGTCCCTGGAGGCAGCGTACAAGGCCGTCGCGGCACAGACAAAACATGTGGACCTCCTCATCGTAAACAGTGGAATCATGGGACCGCTGATGAAACCACCGCAGCGAAATGCGGACGGGTCTCTCGCATCGCTTTCCAATGTCAGGGATGAACTTTTCAATATCCCAATGGAGGAGTTCAATAAAGTCCTGGACGTCAATGTCACAGGTGCATACTATACATTCCTAGCATTCTTACCTTTGCTCGACGCTGCGAATCAGAGACGGCCCGCACCGCAGCCGAATGTTCTCTCCACGCCCACTGCCCAGGTGATCATCACAAGCTCGATTGCTGGATATAATCGCAAAGTGCCCTTTAGCTTCGCCTATAACACTTCCAAAGCCGCGGCGACCCAACTGGTCAAATTGCTGTCTACGAATTTCGCGGACTACAATATCCGCGTGAATGGTATTGCGCCCGGTCTTTACTACTCGGAAATGTCGGAGTCGCTGTTCAATGGCGCTGGGCTGGAGGGCCAAGCTATCTCCGAGGGCTCATTCCCGCGTGATATGATCCCCGCAACTCGGGGAGGTAGCGAGGAAGATATTGCTGGCTTGATTGTCTGGCTCGCCAGCAATTCGGGTGGCTATATCAATGGTAATATCGTGATTACTGACGGCGGTCGCGTTTCTGTCACACCTGCTGTCTACTAAGCAGTCTTGCTTTCCGGGTCTGAGTTGTCAAATGTAGGTTAGGTCATTTACTACGCTGTGTACATAGAACATGATAGATAAATGGTTTGTTCTGCACTTGTAAGTATCCTTCATAGCTTGACAAAACATACTCAGAATAGATCAACCTTAAAGTGACCAAAGGAAAAAGAAACCGTAGCCATAAACGGGTATCGATGCACTTCGCCACCTTCATCTCCACGGCGTTTGATATGATTAATAGGTGGCTGTCAAGCGCTGAACTAGGTATTCACCCGCCGTGATATCGGAATACTTCTTGTCCACCTGGGCAGCCTCACCGTATGTCCCAGGCAGAGCTTCGATCAACTTGTCGTCATCCGGATTACAGAAGTAGGCAATGCTGTAGCGCGCAGGGTAGGTCTGGTGACCATCACCAGGACTCTCACCCACAGGCCTAGGTGGTTGGATCACCCGATGACGAGTGCTTTTGATAGTATCATTAGACCACCGAGCAAGAAGATCCCCAGCATTCACAACAATGGTATCAGCGATCGGCGTAGCATCCACGAAAGTCCCCTTCGGACTACGCACTTGCAAGCCCCCATGTCTATCCTGGAAGAGCAGCGTGATCGAGCCATAATCACTATGCTCGCCAGCTCGCACTTGATTAGGATTATTTTGGAAAACTTCTTGGCTGACGGGCGGATAGTGAAGTAGTCGCAGATTATTGTCACCCATGCCGATGAAGTCATCGAAGAAGTGTTCTGGGAGATTCATCCCCAGTGCAATGGCTTGCATGATATGCTTGTGGAGGGTCTTCCCCATTTCGAAGAATGCCTGCATGGTTTCTTTGAAGTCTTTTCCATCGTCATCAAACAGGTCTGGCCAGTGGTTGGGCTGATCTTTGACTTCGCGACCAATCTCCATGGTTTCTTTGATATCGGGTACGGAGGCGCGCAGGGTATCGCTATTCGTTTCGTCGACGGTGGTTAATTTCTCCCGTCCGATGGCGACGTAACCACGGTTCGACTGTGGGGTCGTCCAACCCAGCGCATCTTTTTGATTCTGGGGTCGCGCGAAGAATCGAGCTGATGATGCAAACACTCGGGATACGACGGACGGGGGGGATTCCGTGTGATTTCAGATAGAGGAAGCCGGATGTCTTGAATGCCTCGGTGATGGAGAGTGCGACGGCATGTTTGTCTGATGGTGTCCCCGTGAAGAATGGACCAAAGTCAATCAGCTAACTCAGACTATCAGCAGGGAATAATTGTAGGCATCAGGAAGCGCCGCTTACTGGGATCTTCAGCTCGTCTTGGTCGACTGCAGTTGATGCAGGGTGGATCTCTTGTACTGGATCAGAGGACATGGCGAGGGTGATAGGGTGGAGAGAATGAGGGATCCAGGCTTGAAATCATTGGAGTTAGAGATAGCAAGAGATGATAAATACACATGGGCAGTTAAGAAGAGGGGAAGGCGAGAAGTCACCTGCATGCTGCATACATGGACATGATAAGGGCGATAAGCCTCTGACGGTGCTTAATTTTGTCGCCAATCACTTTGACTTGCTTATGCTCTGGTCTATTACTATGGATGCTTTCCGATCGAAAACATCCATATAGGATGTCTTGGATACAAACTGTCTATGTCGAATATGGACCTACCTTCCAATGAGTTGGGCCTTTCTATATAGAACTGAGCTTGTCTGCATGAGGTAAGTCTCAACTCTTAGCTGCAGCGCCTATTGCGTTCTCATGACGGATTAGGGTATTTATTGGAAATTCCAGGTTTTAGCAATTACTGGTGTCTTCAGGCTCTGGATAGCTCCAAAGCTTGGGACTAGTGACGCAAGAAGCATTTCCATGACTCTCCAAGACTTCCCGGAGAATAATCCATCTCTCACAGCTTATGGGTCACTTGGCAAATAAAATCATCTACTGTAAATGACACCGACCTTGGAAGATTGGCATCCGCGAGCTGTATAAAATAACAAACATCATTTAGTTTAGAGGCACTGGGACCTTTAGCCAATCATGACGCTGTGGTGGGGTGTCAACGGCCTGCTAAGCCCGTTTCCCCGGAAGCTCAGGTTCCAATCCTGCAGATGTCAACACGATCCTTTCTTTCTCTTCTCTGACATTTTCCACACCTTATGAAGCAGCTCACAATGAGATTGGGTTTTGTATGAAGATTGAAAAGTATTGAATCTGTAAATCGTGGTCGCGCGAGACCACGCTTCGTGGCTTCAATTCCAACTAGACACGGGTGGACTTTATGAACAACATCATCTGAGCTGCCCCAAGGGGGCTGGCATAAAACGTCGTAAATTATGCTTCGTTATACATAATCGACACAATATGAACACGCCGCTCGGTGAAGTAGAATTCCAGAAAGACCTCGGTCATATTTCGGCTCCACTCGAATTAATAAGCGTCTGTTGAGCGTCAGCTCCAAATCGCCGCGGGCACTTGTTCTTGGTTTCACCATCTACCTGAATATCCTGCTTTCTAAGTTCCTATCTTTGCTCTCCAAAAACCGCCAATATGCCATTCACCGCCATTGTCATGTACCCCAATGAGGCCGACATCGAATTCAACGAGGATTACTACATGAAGACCCACATGCCCCTCGTCGAAACTACATGGAAGAAGTACGGCTTGAACAGCTGGCATGTCACCAAGTTCCCCAACGCGCTTGACGGCTCGCGCTCCGAGTACTTGATCATGGCTTCTCTCGAGTGGGAGAGCCAGGAGGCTTTGCAGACAGCTCTCAAGGACCCCGCAAGTGCCAATGTCTTTGCGGATATCCCCAACTTCACCAACAAGAAGCCCGTCACCCTTGCTGGCTCCAAGCTGTGAATAAGAGTTACTGGTTGAAGCCGTATGTTTTCCTCCGATGGAAATTTAAGGTGTCTACATCACTGACGATGGTGTGTAGCGAGAACAACCCATTTCACTCTATTCGACACATAACACGAGTCAACATGACATCTGTCAGAAGAAAGATGCTCGAGAGTTTCCTGATATGATCCCTCGTCAGATTGCGAAGTGGATTTTGAAGCGGCTGTCTAGATGGTAGTTTGAATGAGACGAAATGCTATTCAGTTCCCCACCTAGAAAGCTCTGTAGTCCCCAAAGAGATTGTCATGTACGGGGTTCCCTGCGACCCGGAAGAGGCATGCAGGGAGCATGCAGGAGGCGGGGTTACTATCTTTTAACCAGATATCATCCGCGGCGTTTTTAAAAGCACTGAGGCACATCTCCCCGCACATCTCTTATCTCTCCCCCTCACATCTATCTCATCCAACACATCCATCCCTCTCCGCTGTTTCTGTCTGAGATCTACAAACAACCAGTTACGAAAAAGTATTCATCTACGCCCATCATGCCTCGCCCTCTCGTCGTGGACATCCATACCCATGTCTATCCCCCAGCATACATGGCGATGCTCCGCGCTCGCAAAACAGTCCCCTACATCCACGATCCACCTACTGGGGAACCACGCCTGATCATCCTCTCATCAGACGACGACCCTGCAATCCCAATTGACCAGCGCGGCCGCCCAGTCGACTCATCCTACTCAGACACCAACGTCAAGCTAACGTTCATGAAACAGCATGGTATCAACAGCAGCGTAATTTCCCTCGCGAACCCATGGCTAGATTTCCTCGAGCCAGCCGAAGCCCAGACATGGGCTCAGCGGATCAATGATGATCTAGAAGAGACCTGCGCGCAGGTCAATGCCAGTTCTGATGCGACCTTGCCGTTGAAGGAAAGGTCGACTCTGTTTGCCTTTGCGGCTTTACCACTAAGCGCGCCCGATCCCGAGATCATTGTCAATGAGATCAAAAGACTGAAAACTCTACCTCATATTCGTGGTGTGATCATGGGGACTTCGGGGCTGGGAACTGGTCTTGATGATGAGCGACTTGGGCCTATTTGGGCTGCTCTGGAGGAAACGCAGATGCTTTTGTTCTTGCATCCTCATTATGGTCTTCCCAGTGAGGCGTTCGGTGGTTCGGAGGCGATGAATCGCTACGGTCATGTCCTTCCTTTGGCTTTGGGATTCCCGCTTGAAACTACCATCGCTGTCACTCGGATGCTGTTATCTCGTGTCTTTGATGAGTTCCCGCGGTTGCAGATATTGTTGGCGCATTCGGGTGGCACTTTGCCATTCTTGGCTGGGCGTATTGAAAGTTGTATCATGCATGAGCGGAAGTTTGCTGAAAATGGTGGTGATGTTCCCGGGCCGCAGAGGAGTATTTGGGAAGTTCTGAAGACGAACATCTTCCTTGATGCGGTGGTTTATGGAGTCGCTGGCTTGAAAGCGGCAGTAACAGTTGGTGGAGGCTCTGATCGTCTGATGTTTGGTGAGTGCATTTGTTTCGGTGATATTGTTTGTCTTCGGTTGACTGACCCTTTACCTTAGGCACGGATCATCCGTTCTTCCCTCCTCTGGATGAAAGAGAAAAGGAGTGGCTTAGTGTCACAACTAACTATAACGCAATTGAGGAGAACTTTGGCGGGGATAAGGAGGCTGTGACTGCTGTTTTGGGTGGAAATGCTGCTCGTATTCTGAATCTCGAGTAAACATTCATGGGTATCCTATTTCATATCAATACATTGGCTTGCATCTGCGACTCAATCAATAGAAAGTGCACCGAGGTCCGTCAAGCGAAGTGGGTGTGAGTGTGTAAATGTAACAAACCAGAGTAGACACTTGGGTATACACTGAACCGATCATTTGGAAACAAACACAGTCTTCAGCATATCCCAGCCAACCAAACGCCACAGCTCCTGCGTCAGCCAGTCTGTAAATTTCTCCTGCTCCGTTGGCAACCCATCAAGTGGAGGTGGTGTTTTCGGGCGTCGCAAGACCTCCTGAAACATGTGTTCATCAGACCCAAAAACGGCTCGTAGAAGCGTTTTTTGCAACCGATCCTTAGCGTTTGTAACGAATTGGCTAAAAGCCAAAGCTTTCGTGGATGGGTGGGGCTCAACATCAAATATTCTGCCGAGAAGCCGGACGAGATATCTGGTTTCAATCTGCGCTTGACTCGGCGTGAGACCTTCGTCTGTCATTTTCTCTAGACCTTCGGGGAATGACATGCCCGGACATACACCCATGGGAAGTCTGATATCATGAAAGACATGAAGAGCCAGCATATTTCCAATGCGACGAAGGAGAAGGAAGAGGAATCCTTCCATCACTTCTTGGTCCGCCAAGCGTGCCAGATCCAGGGAAAGTGCCATTGTGCAGAGCAAGTCTCCTAGGTGAGATGCTAGTGCTTCCATATCGACTGTATCTTGGTCTTTGTTGCTTTGGTTGGAAAGCCAGGTGCAACGCAAGGTAAGTGCTGTCATGATGGACTCGAACAAGCCAACCAAGTAGTAGGTGACCTGAGCCTGGTGTTGTTTTCCGTTCTCGTTTGCAGCAAGTTTTTTCAATGACTTGTGCACGAGATGAAAAGCAAGTGTCACTCCATTGAAGATCGCTTCGGTCTCTGGTGTGGTCGACTCCGCAATTTCTCTCTGAGTATGCTGTGCCGAGCTCGTGTTTTGGGCCATCAGGATCAGTTTCTGCTCTGCGGACTTGCATAGAATAACTGCGGCTGTGGCCAAGCTTCCAAGCGAAGAAGGGGTGGGCCTTTTCTGGAGGGCTTTTTGGAGCGTGTATATCTGTCTGTTGATACACAAAGCTTCATAAAATCAGATTAGTGCCCATGTTGAAAGGGTCAAGGGCTTCCTACTATTTTCATCACCGGGTCCATTACTGTCCATCAATGAATATGCTTGCTTGGGAGCGCCTGGTAGCCTCACGCGCTTGTTGATTTCATCTGGACTACCGGCGTTTGTGCCAGCGAACGGCGCCTTGCGTTTGTTGGCCTGGGTGGTTTCGAGGCCACCAGTGTCCTGTACTCGCAATTTCCAGACAAGATCATCAATCTTCTGTTGAAGCTCGTGGACCTGATCTTGCAATTTGCTCTGCTTTGCCTCTGACTGTTCATAGGCCTGTTGCCAGAAAGAGACGCTGTCGAAGAACTTGTCCATTGAACCACCATGACCCTGATCTTTGGAATACTTAATGAAATGTCGAACTTCCAAGATGTAGTCTTCAATGCAAGTGTTAGTTCTTGGATGATTTGAATCAACCGATGCGTAGTGTCTTACCTTTGAGGTCTCGCTCTGGGGGCTTGTGCTTGACAAGCGTCAAAGCCAGGGCTAATTGAAGCTTAGATGGAGCTGGGACACCCATTTTCGAAACTCATCGGATGCGCTTCATTGCCAGATGGCGAGTTTGTGTGGACTCGAGATGATAATGAGTATGGATGAAAGTCCATCCAGATTTCCCTGAGTTGGGATTATGGAGTGTTCAGTCCACGTGCCGCCGTGGTATATACAAAACGGTCAAATTTGGAAGAGCGAGATCAATGAGCAATACTAAGAGAATTTACTAATTCAAATATCGATACGCTTTGAAATTTGTACATATATAATACACAATCATTGGAATGAGTTTTGATCTATCCAGACCTGTGTCAGAATTGTTTTGATCTGTTCCCTTAACTTACCAGTTGGCGGACTGAGGCGGACCCACCGCCCAAAGCAGAGAGCTCTGACATGACAATTTTCCAACCTGACATCTCTCGCGAACCTTTAACACCATCAATTTTCCACAGAGATCCGCCTAACCAGGACTAAACCCCAGAGGGAACAACGACTTCAACTTTTGCGACAGCGAGTGCCTCTCTTACCAAACCTTGCCCAGCGACAGCCCGTCGCATAACTCAAAATGTCCAACGACGATCTCAAGGCGCACGCCGCCTCAAACCAAGACTTCTATGCCCTCCTAGATGTCCAAGCGTCCGCTACCGAAACCGAGATTAGACGCGCATACCGCCGCACAGCTCTGAAGTACCACCCCGATAAAATTGCAAACCCCACAGCAGCCGACATCGACAAGTTCCACATCCTTCAGATCGCCTACGATGTCCTTTCCGATCCAGATGTCAAACAGCTATACGACAATGCGAGGGAAGCGCGACTGCGCAAGCAGCGCGAGCGGGAGATGATGGGTGCAGCGAAGCGGAAGATGCGCGAGGATCTAGAAGCTCGTGAGAGGGCAGGCGCTACAGAAGGTGCTACGCAAGGTGTCAAAAGGTCATGGATGGGCGATGATGATGCGGAAGAGAAATTACAGCGGGAGATTGAGAGGATCGCTGAGGATGGAAGGCGCAGACGACGCGAGGCGGATGAAAAGCGCAAGAAGGAGGTGGATGATGCGCAGAAGAAGGTGCAGGAGGAGGAGGAGCAAGCGCGGAAAGCGGCGGACCGCAGCAGTCAGCGTGTGGATCGGACGAAAGATGCGGTTGTTCCTGAGCTTGAGCGTGCGGTGAAAGTGCGTTGGGTTAGGGAGGGCCGTGGGCTGGAGCTTGATATTGAACGGCTGGCTGTTCTATTTGAGCCTTTTGGGAAGGTTGAGAATACCTTCATGCTCAAGGATAAGCGCCAGCGAGTTGGAGAGAAGAAAGAAAAGAAGACGTTTGCGACGGGTGTCATTGTTTATGTTTCGATCGTGAGCGCCCACGCTGCTGTCATTGATAGCGAGAAGAAGCTTCGCCAGCATGCGGGCCAGGATGGCGAGTGGGGTCTCATCGAGTCCGTTTTCTGGGCATCAGGAAACCAACCCGACTTGGGAGCCCAGGCAGCTGAGCCCGCACCGGATACACCAACCACATCAAGTCAAACCTCAAACGGTGCCCCCAAACCCTCATTCAAGTTCCCCGGTCTGAATTCGGCCCCACCTCCATCAGGAACAAAGCCATCATTTGGCTCGTTTGCTTCTGCATCCGCCGCGGCAGCTGCGCCGAAGGCATCATCGTTCAAGCCGTCACCGGGCACGCCTAGTTTGCAGGAAGTGACGATGATGAATCTGAAGAATGCGCAACGAGAGAAGGAGCGGAAAGCGCTCGAAGAAGAGCTTGCCCGCGAAGACGAAGCCGCAGACGCCGCAGAAGCAGCAGCCAAGGCTACCTAGCTGCGAGGCCATCACATTTGCCTCTTCCTTGGCCATTTTGTATAGATATCAAAGATACCCCAAGCACGTTATGTGTACAATGTTATATGAGTTGAATAGAGATACATGAGCTATTTACATATCTGTTTTGAGTTTTGTATTGTACAGGTACTGGTCGAAGACACGAGTATCTCACGATTGTTGAGCTTCGCTCTCCTCTTCCTCTTCCTCTAATTGCTCGACAATTTCCCTTGCCCGCATAGCATCTTCGGCATCGGTGTTCCGTGGCGCGGGTTTCTCTTCTTTACCGCCGGAGATGAAGTCTCGGAGCCAAGGTGGCACAAAAGCACGTACACCAACTTCATTAGGTTGATCTACCTCCGGTGCCCATGAGAGCTTGAACTGATGTTCATGAGGACGAGCAGGAGTCTCTCCCATCAAGGCAACGTCAGTCATCACTTCAAGACGACAGAGTGCAAGTCCAATATTGCCAATTCCGTTCAGGAAAGTTCCCGCACTGCGGTTTCGCCGAGTAGCAGCACCGGCCTTGACAATATCTGCTTCGCCGGAAGGCATAGTGAGTTGCACCGAGGGATCATATGTCAGGGTTTCCAGGCCGTTTTGCGTTTCCGAAGCTAGATCATAGAGCTGCACAGGCAAGAGACGCTTTCTTGTAACGCCGCGGTGATGTGTGCGAATCGTCAACTCTTGCCCAACATAACAGCCCTTGCGGAAGTCGATACCGCGAGACATATCCATATTGCACTGGAGTGGCAAAGCGGAACCACTGAGGACCTCCGCCTGACCTTCCGCAACACCATGGAGGAATCGACGGACGGTATACGAGTCTAGCTCAACTTCCGAACCCGGGACCTGCGCCTCGTCAGGTAGATGTGTGCGCAAGCCGTCGGAGCCAGGCGTGATGATCCGTGATCCGAAGCCTGGAGCGCGTGTGTCGATGCATCCGGCGATTTCGGAAGTAACAGAGAAAGGAGAAGCCGAGTCGGATTCCAGGCTGTAGGCAGCCCACCGTTGTGGTTCTGCGTGGTTCTTCCACGAGGACCAGATAGTGCGCTCGCCATCCTCGAGAGCGCGGAGCTTGAGTTTCGCGCGCAACTTATGTTTCTTGAGATGCTTCATCAGTATTGGAACTTGGCTCTTGTCCACTTCGACTAGCCAGCCTGAGTCGGGACCCTGGGTTTCGGCGCCGGGGAGCGGGTAAACGAAGGCATCATTGAGGACTCGGCCTTGGGAGTTGAGGAAGGCAGTGTATGCACCTGTGCGGCGGATGCTTCGACTGGGATCATTGGCGACTAGCATGTTCTGGGTCATCAAGCCCTGGAGGAAGGTTGTGCTGTCGATGCCGCTGATGGATATCAATCCACGGTTTGTGAGTCGGCTATACCCAGCCGTCGGCGGGAAGGGAGCATTCTGGCTGTTTTGTGTACGTTGTGCTGTTGTTGAGAAAGCCCGACTGCGATCCAAGCAGCGGCTGCAGACCGAGGGGCGTGGGCGCATCATGGTTGAGTTGGTCAGAGCAGCCAATGCGGGTTCATGTGTTTCTTTACAAATCGGCCGATGACGTTGGGCGGTGGCAGAATAAACATCGGCTCAACTGCCGATATCTACAAGTAAAACCAACACGGGCTCAAAGCTACGTTTGAAATTGGGTGTGTAGATGTAACCTGATCCAATATTACAATGTGGATAATGATGTATCTCAGATAGGCCGTGATTAAGCCATTTACAAAAAAAAAAGTCGACTGGGACTATTTGTTTCCCTTTGCGACTCCTTCCAAGAATCCAAGCAAGAACGCCTTGTTGCTCGGGGAAGAAACTTGGGTAGTGTGATGAGCCTGGGCGCCTCCATCAGATGGCGTGCCATGCCGAGAGATTGTCCCTCCGCTATTAGGATGGTAGCGAGATGACATAGGGCTGACAAAACCTGGAGGTCCGTTTGGCTGTTGGTATGCCGCTCGCGAGTCAAGCGGGGCGGAGCCAGCTGGCTTTGGAGACGAAAGCCCATCCCCCTTGGCGAACAAGGACAAAAGTGACGCCTTCTGCTCGGCAGTTTGACTGGGGCGTCTATCAAAGTTTCCTTGCGGGGCCAAGCCCTGGCTGTGCTGAGGACCTGGCAGACTCGGCTTCCGCTCAGGGGTCTCTGAATGAGGAGCCGCGGCCATCAGTTCTTCGTAACCAGTTTTATCAGACCGACGTAAGATTTGAGGCTGGAAATTCTTGACGGGTTCAGGGGCCTGCGGGGCCTGGGCTGGTGGAATCGACGTTGTGCGCGAGAGGGGCCGGTGTGGAACCTCCCGTTTGGCAGACTGGGGTCGCGAGAGAATTGTCATCGGTGAAGAGGTTGGAGGTGTTGGGTTCTGTTCTCTTCTACTCGCGGGGTTTCTGCGACTCGATCCACCGTTCGATTTGTGGGTCGGCTTGGTGGTAGTCTCAGGCTGTGAGGCGCCTGCAGTCCCATAAACAGTAGCTGACACTTGACCAGGGGTGATATGGCTGTGAGGTTGGGCACTTGAATACTGTGCTGGTGAATTGTAGTGATTCTGCGGGCGCTGAAGAATCTGTTTGCTGGGAGGTGCTGGAGACGGCACAACCGGGTTTCCTGACAGCTCTACTAGCTGAGAACTGGCCAAGCTTTGGGGTCCCTTCAACAAGTTCAAAAGACCATCCTGGTGCTGAGATGTCTTGCGCACATGGGGAGAGTCTTGCACAGGAGCTGCCAAGGTTGCCGGGCCCGGACCTTTCGGGGTCTGGACTTTGAAAGCGTTCAGGAGTGCCAATGAGTGAGTTGTAAGTTTGGGCGGAGGTAACTTGCTCGCTGGTGGGACAGCTGGACCGTGACTTCGAGAGGCTGGGCCAGATTCAGAGAATTGAGGATCACCAGTGCGCTGGAAAGGTGCAGGCATATGGCCTTGGGGAACGGGGTATTGTGACACGGGAGGAGTTTGAGAAAAGTGTGGCATAGGAGGAGCAGCAAGAACATCTGGTTGCACGTTGGAGAATCCGGCTTGAGAAGGAATTGATGGCCCGTTTGAAGGGTACTGTAAGCCAATGTGGGCATGGCCAGGGAGGAAATGAGGAGTCTGCTGCTGTTGGGGGAAACCCGGGAAAAAGTTTGGCCCGATGGGATGGCCCGTATGCAGAAGATTTGGCTGTGCTACATGTGGGAGCGGCGTAGCATCATTATGAGAAACATGGGGAGCGACCTGCTGAGCTTTACCTTGGAGTAACAAAGCGAGGAGTGCATCTGATTTTGATGCATCAACTGCAGGATGCTGACCTGGCTCGGAGACAGGCTCTTGCATTTGCGATGGCATGCCACCGATTTTCAAAAGGCGCTTGAGGTGATCCGACGCATCTTGAGATGAGGCCACCTCGGGAAGATCACTCGGCCTCGCCACTTCTGCAAGAGACATCCCAGGAGTACCATTTGCATAGCCGTTCTCTTCCACAGAAGTGTATCCCTCAAGAATAGCCGCCTGTTTGGCGGCAGGTTGTGCCTTGAGATCCAGCTTCTTTTGCTGGGCGATCCACTTCTTCAAGGGGTGCAAGAAAGGAGCCACCATGTAGAACTTGTTCGCATTTGCAGCCGCGTACCCCTCATCTTGCTGCCTGTTCTTTCTCATCGTGGGCAGGTCTGCCAGTTTGTACCATTCGATCTTGCTGATCTCTTTGCGAGTGCGAGGCTCGAAGTAGGTATCACGAGGAACACCTCGGAACACAAAAAGCTGCATGTGTTGTTCTCTCATGGTAACTTCAATGTTCTTGACGTCGTCATCATTCTTGATCAGATTGGCGGCCCGAACATCAAACCCGGTCTCTTCATATACCTCACGAATGGCACAATCGAGATCCTTCTCGCCCTTGTTGATTTTTCCACGAGGAAAACTCCAGTTGGCTCCCTTCTTCCAGCCCTTTACTAGCACAACTTCATCCATGTCCTGGTTCAACATGATCGCGCCACGGACGGGAACTCGAGTCTTGTAGGCAAGGAATTCTGAGAAAGCCGCAATATGGTGCTGATGAGACCAATTCGACATCAGTGGGCAGTGTTGGAAAATGCGCATGGCGAAAGTCTTGAGATTGAGGGACGGCAAAGCAGGGTCTAATGGGCGTATGAAGTCCTCATAGAACCACTGTGCCTCTTCGACCTGAAAACATATTCGCTCAACCGACTCGAGCTCTTCGCGGGGAAGATTGATAATGAAACGGACACACAGGTCATCCAGCCCTGTTACAAACACCCCGCCGGCCTTGGTCAGTGGCCTGTCGTCATTCCGATCGATGGAACGTCAGGTACTCACAATCTTCTAATTGCATCTTTGTTTCTGTCATATTGTTGGAGATGCTCTGGCATTTCAAAACTTTAGTGAGTGAAAACCGGTTGCTCACTTAGTCCGACGGCGCAAACAGTCGAAACAAGCAAGCCAGCACTGTGGAGATAACAGCTTCCAGGAAGGGTGGACCAACCCAGGGCTGTGTGGATGTGGCGAAGTTGCTATGTCAAATTCTGATAGCAGAGTATGCAGGAGGATAAGAGGTTGAAGTGTGCCAATCAGCTCAGAGAGAAGAGTGAAATGAGGTGTTGGGGAGCAACTAAGACCAACGTGCCGGAGCTGCCCAAGTTGATGATCGGGTGACTAAGGTGTGGCGGTGCAGAGTGTAACGCCACATGTGGCTGCTCACTGACATTCCAGGATTCACGGGTATGACGTCTGTCGCGGAAAACAATTGATCGCCCTGGATCCCCTGTGACTGGATTTTTATATTAAATCCCCATTCTCAAGGAACTTTTCACTACTGTCCTTTCGCATCCCTTTGAGCTTGGATTAAGGGAAACGAGCGCCTACTGAAACCCTTGATCGACCAACCAGCGCTAAGCTTTTCAAAGGATCAAAGGCTTATCTTCTATTTTTGTTACCCTTGCTCGCGATCCTCGCAAGGAGCGTCTGCTTTCACAAGAAATATATTCACCGGCATTTTCTATCTTTACAGTCCTTTCCACAAGGACTTTTTTCTTCGATTTACAACGTTCAAGATGTCGAAAGCTCTGGTATCTTTGATTGGGAAGAGGGTTCTAGGTGAAACTGCCAAGAATCACTTTGGCACCGAGGTGAGAATCCATACTGATTGGACTGGCAAAGACAGGTGGCTAATCAGGCGTCATTAGGACCCTTACTTCGAAGAAGTTCCAGCTTCACGACTCGGTCGTACCTTCGGAAAGAAGACGCAGAAGCGTCGCAAGGCTATTCCCCCAGGATTATCAGACAATGATAGCAAAGTCTTGACCAAGGTCAAGCGCAGAGCCTACCAACTCGACTATGCTCTCTTCAATTTATGCGGAATTCAATTCGGCTGGGGAAGTGTGATTGGATTGGTTCCATTGTAAGATCTATCAGAGCACGGTCGCGAGAGTGAGACATATGCTAACACAACCCAGTATCGGTGACGCTGGAGATGCCGCACTTGCCATGATGGTCGTGAAATCTTGCGAGGGAATTGACGGGGGACTTCCTGCGGCCTTGCGCATGAAGATGATGATCAACGTGATTGTCGATTTCGTCATTGGACTTGTTCCATTCATTGGTGACCTTGCCGACGCTGTATACAAAGCCAACACCAGAAACGCGGTCATCCTCGAAACCCACTTGCGCGAAAAGGGCGCCAAGGCTGCCTCTAAGCGCAGCAGACGGCGATCGCAAACACGACGGGAGGACAACAGACGAGAAGAAGCAGTCGAAGTCGATCATAGTCTCCCCGACGCGTTCGACAGACAAGAAGGTGGAGTGGTCAGCGACAGCCCCCCGGCATACGATTATGCACACCCATCGAGCCGTGGGGCAGGGCATGACGCTGGCCCGGAGCCCCCGACCAGACCTCAACCCGCCAAACAGCCCAAGAACAACCGCTCATTTGGCAGATGGTTTGGCGGAGCGAGCCATCCCGAAGATGATTTGGAGCGAGGTGGACGGTAATGCTTCACGCATGATGATCTTGAGATGCAGCACATTTTCAGATACCCCATAGTTATTGGCGATGGATTTAGGGTGGGAGGATTGTTTTTGGCTCGTTTAGTAATTTGATCAAACGAATGTTGTTTCTTTTAGCAAAGCTCGTCAGGTCGAGATCGCATACATCCGTAACAAAATTGGGAGCTTTGGTTGTCCTGTGCCTGGTTGGAAACAGTGACTCCGGTATTTCCCTCGGTATTTCCCAGGAGACCAGCACACAGAGCACACGTAGCGGCAGAACCGGAGGTCGAGGAATCGAGTTTATTAGCTGTTCTTGCTACGTTCGCCATGACACCTGGGTACTTTGCGCCCTGGCTCTGGACATATCGTAGCATCAACTCATCGATGGAAAGGTTTTTGGTGAGAACATTTTCCGATGGCGCCTGCTCGGGAATTATTATATCAGAAAGCTCTGGGCAGATGCTCTCGTATTGATGCAGCTCCGCTTTGTATAGGTCACGCAACGGGTATTCAAATTTCAAGCCCCATGGAGACATGCCATCAGATACTTGCCAAGTGAGGGAGGCCCCCGTCCTTTAGCAACGACAGCAAGTGCTTTTGCGGCGAGACGGCTGTCCGAATCACCCCAGATAACAGACTGGCATCCGGACTTCTTTGCGAATGCAACAACAAGTCTTGTTAGTAAGATGGTGTCAATGTCGGCCTGAGAGGTGGCTGTAGAGATGGATGAACGGAAGGCAGTCAACCGTTCTTCATTGGAGAGTGACTTGTTATCCTTGAAATGAGGTCCTGCATATTCCTGCATGATTTCTTCGACCTCCACGTCGTGATCAAAGATGCCGTGGAAGGGAACGCAGGAGAAAGTATAGGCAGGGTAGGTGGCTTGCATCAATTTGAATTTTTGATCGAATGACTCGTCTGTCGCAGAAATTGTTGATGGATCAATGACGAGTACGTGAACGTCATAGCCTACAAGACGTCCTGCATCGAGGCGCCTCTGACGATCAGCGTGCAATACATGCATCAGAACCGACGAGGAGACGCCATAAGATACGGGAAGGAGAAGCTTATGGGGCGCATGGTCTCGTCCGTGGGGTCGGTAATGAATAAGGCGCCCAACGACCTTTTGGCCAACAAAGCTTTTGTAGCAAGGTCTGGTGATGTTAGAATCTCTCGGTTGGAGGGGTTATAGATTGTCGCATACTGGCAAAGGTTCTTCTGGCGCACAGTGATCTCGAATTCAGCATCCTTGCAGTTTGTGCATGGCTGCTTCAGCTCCTTAACCGGCATGATGATCAGCTGGCTGCCAATAAGTATGGGTTGTAGGCTTGAATAAAAAAAAAAGATCAACCCAAGTTGGAAACTAAAATTAGTGGCAGATTTGGCTTAGATAATATCCACGCGCGGCTTCCCCGGTTTGGGGCCACGCATTAAGCTCAACGGTCTCCTTAACCTCCCGTCTTGCTAATCCGTCGCAGCGAATCTATTGCCTCGCCGCTCATATCTCTGCTTTGATGCTGTGTGGTCTTATCATTCCCCTGACACCCGGAGTCTAGTCTAGCCCAAATCTACAATCATGAAGGGCTGGCTCCAGACCTTGGGCCTGACAGCCCTACTGGCGAGCCAGGCGCTTGCCAACGATGTCGAATTGGTAAGATACCCTTCAAGCTTCGGGACACTATAAATTGGCGTTTGCATAAGCTCACAGTACTCTTCGCAGAAATCCGATGATGCGCACCGACAACGATGCTCAGGGATGTACAGTCGCAAAGCTTGGGGAGGAAGTGTTGACCCTTTCATATTGGTGAAATTCTCCAAATCAGCTGGGGCACCAGAAAGCGACCCTATGGCTAGTTTAGTCATCTTTGAATGGTCTGATGAGGAATTGATTGGGAAATACCGCTCAGAGGACGCTGAGGTAAGTTTCATGTGAATTACTTCAACCTTGGGGCGCGGCTAATTCGTTATCCGAATCAAGCTCAAGGAAACAATCTGCGATGCCTCCAATGTTGATGCGAAAATCTGTACCGAGGACCAACTCGGCTCTTTCGTTCTTACGGACAATGCTACCGACGTTTCCACGAGCCCTATAATCTCCAAGGCGATACACTTGAATGACCCCGATGCCCTGAAATACCCTGTCAGGAAGACTGGCTTCTACTGCGTGAGCACCTATGCGTACTCCGGAGAGGACTATAAGGCGGTTGTCACCTTCCGAAACTCTTATGGCGAGCTCCCCGCTGCACAAATCGCGAAGCTTCCATTCTATGGGGGTTTGACCATTGTGTATGCTGTGATTGGAATGTAAGTCAAAGCCAACCCGATAAGATACATGATCACAGAAACGCTTACATCGAGTCTAGTTTCTGGGCCTTCCTATACGTGCAAAACCGTTATGATATCTGTACGTCAAATCATTTTCCCACTTCGAATCCGTACTAACGAGCCTGGTAGTGCCTGTTCAAAATTACATCACAGCGATTGTGGTGTTCTTGATTGTTGAGCAACTGATGACGTGGGGATTCTACGGTAAGTCAACTGCCATCGAGCTTTTAGTCACCTTCGTCTGACTTGTAACAGAATACCAAAACCGAAACGGCCTCAATGGCGGAGCTAAAGCTCTCATGGTCATTGTGGCAGTACTCAACGCAGGCAGAAATGCATTTTCGTTCTTCCTCCTGCTCATTGTCTGCATGGGCTACGGTGTCGTGAAACATTCCTTGGGCCGTACCATGATCTATGTTCGTGTCCTGGCCATCGCACACTTCATTTTTGCCGTGGTTTACTCGGTGGCCAGCTTGTCGATCACTCCAGAGAGTGCTGGCCCATTGGTGCTGCTGATTGTCCTCCCACTTGCCGGAACATTGACTGCGTTCTATGTGTGGACTTTGAACTCACTGAACGCTACCATGAAAGACCTCATTGACAGGAAGCAAAAGACCAAGGCCATGATGTACAAGAAGCTGTGGTGGTGTATCCTCGGCAGCATCATCGTGATCTTCGGTTTCTTCTTCATCAACTCATTCGCTTTCGCCGGACGCAGTGACGCCAGCTTTGTTCCCGACCACTGGAAGGCCCGATGGTTCGTGCTCGATGGCTGGCTCAACCTGGTTTACCTGTTTGATATCGCTTTCGTGGCTTACTTGTGGCGACCAACTGCTAACAACCGCCGGTTCGCTATGAGTGACGAGGTATGGATTTCTCCCTTCTCTAATGAATGGCATAAGATGAATGCTAATAATCATTATAGCTTGCTCAAGATGATGATGGATTCGAGATCCGATCATTCGGCAGTGGCCTGGATGAAGAAGATGCCTATGATGCTCCTCCCGATTACCCTGGCAGCTCAGCCGCTCAGGGCCGCCGTGATCTGTCCCCAGTGCCTCCCAAGCCCGTCTCCTCGGCACCCCGACAGCGTGAGTCCCTCGAGGAGGAGACAATATTCGCGGTGGGCGAAGAAGATGGTGATAGATGGTCCGAGGACGAGTCACCTCGCAACTCGAGTGAGAGGGAAAGACTCACCGGCAAAAACAAGGATTAGATTACATTTAGTTTATTGTTGATGTGTATTGATCTTACTTGGTGCAGATGCACTCGGACACCTATCAAGGTCAATCATCTATCTGATTGATCATGAACACGGTATTTTTTTGAGGAGCAACTTATCCCTTCGTTCAGGGTGCAAGCATGTCATGGCGTTTGTCCTTATCACTTCTGTCAACTATCTTGTCCCCTTGGCTGATCTTTATTATACGTTGGTTGGACACAGTGTAATTTGTCTAGCAATGAAACCCGATTCCTCATGACTTCATTCAATGTACAGCATTAGGTGGGCCTCTAGATCTATGTTTGTAGTATTGGTTTCAGCCCCCGCCTCTCACTTGCTAGTGAAGTGGACATCGGTAGAAGCGGCCAGAATACATCTAATGAGTCACAAGTTAATGAATTTTCATGACCTCATGTTTTAAACCTCGTTCATATAGAGATACAGATTCAATTTTACCAAAAGCGCATCTCTACAACCCTGGAAGACTGGGAATGCGAGTGATCAATCTGATAAAAACGTCCGCACTTGCCCCACACGACACTCCATTAGGTACCAAACAGCCGCAACCCTCAAACAATCTGCTCCACGTGCTCTCACATCTCGCCAGCCCATGAGCAAATATAAAAACAGTTCAAAGTCATTTTATCTTCGTGGAAACAGATCTCCATAATGGCAACAAACACCGACCCACATCGGGAACTGGATGACAGCCAAACCGACAATACAAGCACTGGCACCGCCAGACCACCAGAGGCCCAGGAACCGACCTCTCGCACAAGCGTCACACTCTCCAGACAATTGATTCAAGAATGCAATGAGCTTCTTGACGATGTCGATGCTTATTCAGCTCTTGTGGCATCCACGCTCCGCAACCCGCAGTTCGTGGAAGTGCGCCAGTTCCGCACAAACGTGAATGTCGAATTGAAGATTCTTCACAAGATGGCGAAGCAAATTGATGAAGCCATCGGGGCAGAGCAAGAATCTGCTGATCCAGATACCGAAATGCGCCTGCTACATACTCTGCGCTCGTCAAATTTGCCGTTTTATCAGGCTATTTGGAGGGTTACGAAGGGGTCCTGTTCTGGGCTGGTTGCTCTTGGGAGGAGGTTTTATTGGGAAGGGGAGACGAAGGCGAGAGTGCGCGAGAGATCCAAACTGAAAGCTGGCGCGCAGCCTGAGAAACCACCCAACAAGGATAAGCGCAAGAGTGCTATGGTTGACATTGTTGCCGATGACGGGCAGGAATGGGTGAAGGTTTCGACTATCTCGGAGAGTCGACTGCTATTTGAGATGGCAGAAAAGGGGTGGGAGTGTGATAGCGATGAGGAGTCTGAGTCTGAGGAGCGGACTGTGTTGCAGAACGAGGACGACGACGATGATGACGATGAGATGGAGCTCATTAAGCTGGCTCGAGACTTACGCAGAGCTTCTAATGCCACGCGGGTGAAATACGTGCACCCTCGGCTACGGGTTGTGATACCAAAGATTGAGGAGGGAAGTGTTCCTGCGATTGATTCTATCTTGACACAAATGCGGAGCTATGGTGTTCAGGTCGAGTGTCAGCAAAGTTTACCGACGAACACTGGCACTGAGCTGGCCTATCTACTGCCTCAACCATTCAAGAACTTCACACCTACCCTGAATGTTGACTGCACCATCCTGCTTGCCGTGGTGTCCGACCTTTCACACATCAAAGACATTGTCCCAACATTCCAATTCCACCCTGCTATCCTTCGACAAATCGAGGTTGAAAAAGAGAAGCCACTGTTGCCCTCAGAGATCTGGCCGGCGATGAGTGGCCGTGAACTTATTGCCACTTCAGAAGCTGCAGTACGCTTTAAGGAAATAGTCGAGACAATCGGCACAGACACCGAGAAGATCCGCACTCAGTTGCTGATGGGAGAAGGACCATATGAAGGGCTCGACGGGGAAGCCATTCGGCGAAAATTCCAGGAATTGTCCAACTACCAGATTCCTGAGGAGTGGAAAATTCCCATTAAAGTGGTCGATGCTCAATCAGCGATCGATGCAGCCAAAGAAAAAGACGAACTTCACCCCGTGGTATATGAAGTTGCGAAAACGTTGTCGGACATAAACAACAGCGTGTTCTTGTACGGTTGGGTCACGGGGTTAACGACAATTTCCAGCAATCGCACAATCGATAAGCAGATCGAGGCCACGGTTGAGAGCAGCAGGGAAGACGATGATGACCTCAAAGGCCCTGATGTTTGGATTTGTGACACAGCGCGAAGTCTGGTGGGGAAAGATAAAGATAGAAGAATATAGACACGCCAATAGAGTCTTCCTCGCCCGCGGGGTATCGGTTCTGAGAGATGTGCCTTTAAATTTTTGGAAAGATCGTAACTGTCATCTTCTGTTGTCGTGATATCCGGAGTTACTTCTCGGAAGATTTGGAAGGGTCGTCAGGGGCCCAGAAGACGATTTCCTTCTCAGCACTGGCGATCATGTTGTATCTTGGGTTCCACTCCACCATGGCTGTAGCTTTCTGGTAGGGCAGTCTGTATGCAGGCTGCAGTGCGGGGTCCGCCGCGTTTGCCTGGTTGATATCCCACATAAGCAAACCGGGTTGCTCGCCATTTCCACCAACAACGTATCGCCCGTCAGGCGAAAAGCACGCATCTCCCTGTCCAAGTGGTTTGCCAGTGGTAGATACCGGTGCCGCACGACCGGATGAGCCGCTCTTGCCCGCAAGGAAGGCCTTGACGGTACCCTCATAGGCATCTAGAACGTAGTGACCATGGTAATCTGTTCCGAGCAACAAAGACTTTCCGTCGTTGGAAAACTCCAATTTAGTCCATGCGCGTCCTCGAGTTGAGGGTGTGAATCTCTCTTCCCATGGAGCAAGGTCAAAGGTAGAAAATGGCGCTTTGTCGAAGTTGCGGAAATCGTAGAGGAGCACGACGGAGGTGGATTGAGAGGCAATTGCAATGACTGCACCGGAGTTGTCAAAGGCGGAGAGGTAGGGAGTCGCGATGTTGAGTTTTCCTTGTGGGTTTCTGGAGTTTAGGTCCCAGAGCGTCACGGTATCATCCTTGGAGCAGGATATGAAGGCGTCGCTGGCGGGGGAGAGAGCTAGGCAAGTGACCTGGTCACCAACTCCGGTAAAATATCGAACGTAGCTCTCGTTATGAAGATCTAACAGTCGCAGATTATCTGTCGATGGTTAGCTTACAGAAAGGGCCCAGAGCGAAGGTATGCCATCACGTACTATCAACCTTGGTGCTCGCGTGGAGTACTTGACGTGAATGGTGAGTAAATCGTGCGAGGTGGACACCATATTTCTTGGAGGCCACTGTTTTGTTAAATTTTCCTTCTTTCACGTCGTAGGTGTGAATGCTCTCGTCATTTCCCGCGCCGACGAGGTAATCGCCTTGGTCATCAAAATCCAAGGAGGTCACGTATTTCGACGGTTCCTTCTTGCAGGGATAGAAACCCTGGCACAAATAACTGTTAGCCTCAACATGGTAAATATTCATGTGGATTTTGACCTACCTTGCTAGGGCGATAGTAAGGAACGGTTTCTGAGACTTTTTGTGATCGGAGGGGAGCTTGAGCGGCCGTGGCCAGCTGCGGTGTTGATTGCCCCTCGGCCATGGTGATGAACAGCTAGGTTGAATTCAATGGTTTATTGTTGGGTATTGCACATAACAGTACTCTTGAAGACGCGATCGGACGGATAAGAGGGGATTGGTGTCAACAATTGTTATCGAAGCTCCGAGCAGAGCTCCGCATGATCGCTTTTTTGCGCGCTACACCGCTTTTGATCTATGTATACACGGGACTGGCCTATCGGAGCAGTATGGGGTTGCTCCAGGACTGATTTGTACCTCAGCTTGAAGCAAGGAGCGCATTTTTGCAGGACAAAGATCTAACCTCATATCTCCCCATTGCATATCGAGAGACATATTCCTAACGCATGTCAAGAATATCCAAAATGGGCTATAACCGCTGATGCCCGTCACCGGCGGCTCACCGCCCAGTAAAACTCCGGGGCTACCCACACCAGCACCGAGGCCGGAGGGCCAGGCACACATTGACCAATGACCGTTGAGCCGAGTTCAATTCGCCGCATGTAAGCTTTTATGCCCTGGCATCTCCCTCATCTTTCTTCCTTCTATATATTCCATAGGCTATACTCAGGTGTATTTTGGGCCAGCATTTACACCCTGCGCATTCGTGCTTGACGTCTCCTTCGTTGCACTGTCACCCGCCCCGACCCCCTCCGATAACCGCTAGCCGACACCCATCTGGGCAGTCGTCCCCTCGCCAAATTACCAATCAAACACCATGGCGACAACTGGAGGGTATGATATAGCCATGCGCCATTGCGCCTCGAGTCTGAGGCTTACCTAGTATACAGTGCGTTCATTGCAGGCGGTATCGCGGCATGCGGTGCGGTCACAGTCACTCACAGCTTCGAGACGGTGAAGATCCGGTAGGTCGTTTGCGTCGCTTTCTCACTGGCGCAATTAGACTAATATGACCCGGTCGATCCCTAGTCTGCAGTTGCAGGGTGAATTGCAAGCCAAGAGTGAGGCTGCTAAGAAGTACAAAGGTGTGCTGCATGGTGTAAAGGTCATCCTGCAAAATGAGGGACCTCGGGGTTTGTTCCGGGGTATTGGATCTGCCGTGAGTGAAAATCCGGGGTAATATGGATCCAAGCGCATGAGACTAACCTCCCTGGGCCTCTAGTATGTATACCAAATCCTGCTGAACGGCTGCCGTCTGGGCTTCTACGAGCCCATCCGCTCAAACCTCACATCCACCATCTACAACGACCCCAAGGTCCAATCCCTTGGTGCCAATATCTTTGCAGGTGCCGCTTCTGGTGTCATCGGAGCTGCTGCCGGATCGCCCTTTTTCCTTGTGAAGACTCGTCTCCAGTCATACTCGCCTTTCCTCCCGGTGGGCACTCAGCACAACTACAAGAACTCGATCGACGGATTGAGCAAGATCTACAAAGGCGAGGGTATCAAGGGTATCTACCGTGGTGTCGGAGCTGCCATGATCCGTACTAGTTTCGGCAGTTCCGTCCAGCTCCCCACATACTTCTTTGCCAAGCGCCGTCTGACCCGCCACTTGGGCATGGAGGAGGGTCCTGCTCTGCACCTGACCAGTAGTGCAGTGTCTGGCTTCGTTGTGTGCTGCTTCATGCACCCTCCCGGTAAGTGGATATACCTACCTGAAATTGGTGCCTGGCTGACTTGATTTCTAGACACGATCATGGCCCGTATGTACAACCAGACTGGTAACCTGTACGGCGGTGTCTTCGACTGTCTTCTCAAGACCGTTCGCACCGAGGGTCTTTTCGCCATCTACAAGGGCTTCTTCGCCCATCTGGCCCGCATTCTACCCCACACCGTAAGTACAGACCGAACTCTAACTTGCGATACGATCTGACCCCGCATCTTAGATCTTAACCCTCAGTCTGGCTGAGCAGACCAACAAGTTGATGCGGCGCGTCGAAGATCGGGTTCTGCCCGACTCTTTCCGTGAAGGAATCTAAGCAACTCAGACGATACCCACAGGGATCTCAAGTCGAGATCTAACACTGCTATCTGCACTGGGGTTTGCATAGAACATTCTGGGCATGCTGCTTTCGATTTAAGCATAGAGTTGGCGTTCCTCCCGGATCTCTAGAAGGGAGTTGGTTGTATATATCCATGGATTAGTTACACATAAAAGATATCTTGGCACGCTTAGAGCATCACGAAACACAAGAACGCGCTAGCACGTGGCGATGCAAGGTACGCCCTGAATACAGTAGAATATCTGGGGGTTGCCCTGGAGTGAAGACTTCAGGCTTGCAAGGGGTTTGCCACATTGCACTGTAAACCCATCCATAAAGTTACGAAGTCACATTTGAATAAAGTGGAACATCCTTGCCTAACATCGCAGGTATCCAGCGCAACAGCCTAAATTATTAAATAGCGGTAAGCCAAGTACTTGGCGCTTGAGCGATGCTCAGGTACGAAGCACTGATCACGGAACACGGAGTTGATCATGCACAGCCTTGAAATTAACAAATTCGTACTATTGAGTACTCCAGATTGCTGCCTTCTCAGACACGCGAACCCAGATGATCGGCGTGTCATGTACGGAGTACTTCCAAGGTTTACTTGCTTGTATCCACTGCGGTACAGAAATTTCTACCATATGGGGCAATCCGTACTTCGTCCATCCTTCATTCTTTGACAAGATCTGCCACATGTCAGAGTGTTGCTACTCAACCTTAACTTGTCCAAGGTACAAACCGTACTCCTGAGCTTTCGCAGGATGGGCAAGTATCTTCGACTTGGGTCCATTTCGAAAATGCAGGGAGACCCTGTTCCCACCAAGAACGCGAACGCGTGTGGGGAGCTGAGCTCGACCTGACCCCGACACGCCGGATATCGGAGTACCGATGATCACGGAAACAAAGCCAGTAGACGAATGAGATGTCAATCCGCTGGATCTAGGCCTGAAAACAAGGCCAATTAGAGCCGTAAATCCGGGTTGTTGTGCTAGTCGCGTCGCGCGTTAGCTCCTCTGGCTTATCTGATCTTGATGTGGGGACAAATTACGTCGAAAATTGGAGACGCGTTGCTTTGTTTGAGATGGATCTGGTTACTCTGAATACCCGTATACCATGCTATGTACTGTGTATGTTTCTGGAAGTGGTTATAGTCTATTAGACTCAATTCAAAGCTTTACTATAGAGTAAGTAAAGTACAAGTATAGAGCTGTCACTGCAAATGCTTGAGCAGATTAAGATGTATGATCAGAATGCACAAGAGTCCTGCACAAGAATGGGTCCTCAGGGGGGCTGGTATGGAGCACGGCCATCTTTTCGGATGTTGCTGGGTCTCAAGTGGCATGAGGAAAAGAGGCGAACGCGTTCTGGTACCGTTACCTAAGCACCGCGTGGTCACGTGGGACGTGACTTTGCAAGTCGCGCTAGAGAAATCGCCAATCCACCGGGAGTACTTAATGGACTTTCTTTTCCCTCATCGATTCTCGAATTTCCCATCCCACTTCATAAGCTTCCTTCCATTCTTGTCTTGAAGCATTTCTCTGTCACATTACATTCCTCAGATACTTGTCTCAATGGCTGCCCAAGTTACTCCCTCGAAGCAGGTACGTGATGTCACGCTTTTCGCCTCTCGCGTTGGACGCGTCGTGAATGACCTCGAAGCTAACAAATACCCTCCATCAGGCTGCTTCCTCCCTCGAGAACCTCAAGATGTCTGACTCCCCAGTCAAGAAGCTCGACTTCACCTCCGTTGGCAAGGAAAATGTCCCTACCTCCGTGAAGGTCGACACCGTCGAGAAGCCCGTCGAGAAGACTCTTACCAAGGCCGAAGCTATCAAGGCCATGGAGGCCACTGAGCCCCTCCTCCAGGAGAACCCCCATCGTTTTGTCATGTTCCCCATCAAGTACCACGAGGTGAGTCATGTCCACCACGCGTCGTCACGCGTAAAGTGGTTAAAGTGGAGAATTTTTCGCGTGAACATTAGTGCTAATTGATATCCAAAAAGATCTGGCAGATGTACAAGAAGGCCGAGGCCTCTTTCTGGACCGCAGAGGAGATCGATCTTTCCAAGGATCTCCACGACTGGCACAACCGCCTGAACGATGATGAGCGTTACTTCATCTCACACGTCCTTGCCTTCTTCGCCGCCTCCGACGGTATCGTTAACGAGAACCTGGTTGAGCGCTTCAGCGGAGAAGTTCAGATCCCCGAGGCTCGTTGCTTCTACGGCTTCCAGATCATGATGGAGAACATCCACTCCGAGACCTACTCTCTCCTCATTGATACCTACATCAAGGAGCCCAAGCAGCGCACATACCTCTTCGATGCCATTGACACCAGTAAGCATTGTCTCCCACCAACACCCACAATTGACCTTTTCACTAACCTTTCCTCAGTCCCCTGCATTGCCAAGAAGGCCGACTGGGCCATTCGCTGGATCAACGACAAGGAGTCCACCTTCGGTCAGCGCCTCATTGCTTTCGCCGCTGTTGAGGGTATCTTCTTCTCTGGCTCTTTCGCTTCCATCTTCTGGCTGAAGAAGCGTGGTCTGATGCCTGGTCTCACCTTCTCCAACGAGCTTATCTCCCGTGACGAGGGTCTCCACACTGACTTCGCCTGTCTGCTCTTCTCTCACCTCAACAACCGCCCTGAACCCCAGGTTGTCGAGGACATCATTGTTGAGGCCGTCGGCATTGAGCAAGAGTTCCTGACTGATGCTCTTCCTTGTGGTCTTCTCGGCATGAACGCCGCCCTCATGCGCCAGTACATCGAGTTTGTCGCTGACCGCTTGCTCGTGGCTCTTGGCAACAAGAAGTACTACAACTCCACCAACCCCTTCGACTTCATGGAGTCTATCTCCCTGGCCGGCAAGACCAACTTCTTCGAGAAGCGTGTCGGTGACTACCAGAAGGCCGGTGTCATGGCTTCCACCAAGAAGGAGACCAACGAGAAGGGCGAGGCTGTCGCCAGTGATGGTCTCAACTTCGATGAGGACTTCTAAGCGAAGACCTCATTCCCCTTCCTCCCCCTTCTTGTTTTATACCCTCTCCCCTTTCACATGATATCACGTTGTTTTCTTTTTCCTTTTATTGATTGACGTTACTTTCTAAGGCTCGCATGGGAATGGCGTTTTACCTGTACTCTTTTCTTGGTTTGTCTGGGGCTGTTCTGGTCTCCTGTGGATAGGCGGAGGATTTTGTGTATGTAGTTTTCTGAATCACTTCGATCTAATGTCTCGTCGAGCTTATATGTATCCATAACAAAATTTATTCATCCGATTATAGTTTCCTGTATTCTCACAGTCCACACTAACTAATGTCATCCATGGATGGACCCGTGGACTTCTAAGGTTTCCAAGGTTACTGTTCGGGACCTCGGAGCATCCCAAGATTACCCCAAGGCCTGCACTAGACGTAAGTTGCCCAGGTTCCCGCTATTGATGCTACCTAGTGGGCACCTACAAGCGAATGTCTCAAGGGTCCACGGGCTTTGATTTAGTGTTTTAACTACTTTCATCTTGCTCATCTATGGATGATCACGGCTTAGCCAAGACTTTTGGCTCCACTGAAGGGATTTTGGCGAATTATATTTATCTTTTTTTTTTCCAATTATATTTCAGTACACTTCTATCATCAGTACTTCATCAAGATTTCTGTGTTTATAGTTTAACTAAATCTTCCTTTACTCGACTAATCACAACTACTCCGTACTCGACGATTAGTTGGAGAGAGAGCTAAAAAGACAGCTAAAAAGACAGCTAAAAAGACAGCTAAAAAGACAGCTAAAAAAAAGGTCCTAAAGGTGGTGATACCTCTCTTCGATCGTCTTTTTGGCCGCGCGTGAGCGCGGCACTCAGGCTTGTTTCATATACTCGAGTGTTTCCAAGGTTATACAAGGACCAACCCATCTAAAGGCGTAAGACTAACTTCCCAATCTGCTTGCCCTGCCAAACATATTCGACAGCGGCTTCAGCCTCCTCAAAGGGAAAGACCTTATCAATAAGATCATTGAGCGGTGTCTGTGCTGCTTCGAGAGCAGCGCAGAAGTCCTCCATATCGAACCTAGAGCCAGCATTAATGCCCCTGTTTCACGTTAGCATTAGATCATAAACACCTGGGCAGCATGGCCTGACCTAAGATTGATTCTCCGGTCAATGATAGTCGGCACTAGTTCGCGCAGATGAGCTGGATCTTGTTTACCAAGATATCCGACCTGACTGACCACACCTCCGCGTCTCGTGCACTTGAGACTTTGGACCAAAGATCCGGTTCCGCCGTTCTCAACAACGATATCGACACCATTTCCGCCAGTGAGCTTCATAACCTCCTGATCCCAGTCTGGGATCTTCGAATAGTTGACAGTGAGAATTGGTGGGTCGGAGAACTTTTGTCTCATTTGCTCAAGCTTTGCGTCGCTTGAGGATGTCAAGATCACACGAAGACCCGCAGCTCTTGCGAGTTTAAGTGCAAAAACGCTCACACCACCGGTTCCTGCCTAGTCAGTCGATGTGTGGATATCAGATATTGAAGCACATACCTTGAATCAATACGGTCTGTCCAATACTCATACCCTTCAAGGCCGACCATGCGGTGACACCAGCGCAGGGTATGATCGAGGCATCAATCCAATCAAGATAAGTTGGGAGCTTGCACAATACACGCTCGTCAAAGATTACATGGTCCGCCATGACTCCATCCTCATCTGCTGCCAGCCACGACCGTTTCGTCTCACGTCCCGAAACATTTTCCGTATCCGTGATAGGCCCAACTCGATCACCTATTTCGAAGGCCTTTACCTTATCTCCGATAGCAATGATCTCGCCTGCAGCGTCATTGCACAAGATGCCGTGAGGGGTTATTGGCCACGGATTTCCTCCATTCGCGATATTGGCATCACGGTAGTTGAGAGCCACAGCATGGACCTTGATCAGAACTGATGTTGGGGCAAGGGGGAGCTGGAGTGCTTCCTGTACAAGCCTGAGTTTTGCGGTACCGGGAGTATAATCGTCAGTGCGCCGAAAGGCGCGACGCTGGGTGACGTTGGGGCTTGACATTGTTATTTTGGATGAACTTGGTTGGTGGTCAACATGCTGTTTAAAGTACCTCTATATAGAGGAGACTAAAATCCTGCTGTACGCACTGAACATTTGATTGCTGATCATCGGATGTACCGAGATGATGCGGGGATGAGCAGGGATCGGGTTTGCTCCCGAGATCTGTACCGAGAACTTGGTACAGCCAATGCCACAACGTGGACTAAACGGGAGGTCCCGAGCTCGGTACATGAATGCAACTCCAAGAGAACAGTCCAGGGCATTGATGATTGTTGGAAGTGAAAGTATTTGACGTGGACTTATGACCAAGTCATGATGGATCTTAAAAGCCTGGTCGTCTCAAGTCTTTCCTTTGGAAGCGCCATCTAGACACATCTTCTTTCGTTCTCATATGCACCCTCAAAACAATGTCGGAATTATCAATTGCCCGAATCGATGTCTTCCAAGCAACTCTTCCCTATTCGGGCGGTGTCTATTTGCTGTCCGGCGGACGAGAGTATAGCAGCTTTGACGCCACCTTTGTCCGTATCACTACAAACACCGGAATCGAGGGCTGGGGAGAAAGTACCCCATTCGGCTCCACCTATGTCGCCGCTCATGCCCTAGGAGTACGAGCTGGAATCTCCGAGATCGCACCAAGTCTCATTGGGCTCGACCCACGGAGAGTCGAGCGCATAAACGAGGCAATGGACGAGGCGCTTTGTGGACACGAACATGCAAAGACCGCTATCGACGTTACCTGCTGGGATATATTCGGCAAATCGGTTGGAATGCCAGTGTGTGATCTACTTGGCGGTCGAACCAACGCTAAACTTCCCATCATTTCTTCGATTCACGTTGGGGAGCCTGAGGAGATGGCTGCGCGAGTCGCAGATCATCGGCGGCGTGGCTATGTTGGACATTCAATCAAAGTCAGCGGCGAGCCTGTGGCTGATGCAGCACGTATCACCGCGTCACTTGCCGATAAGCAGCCTGGGGAATTTTTCCTAGTCGATGCCAATGGAGGACTCACGGTTGAAACTGCATTGCGTATGCTGCGGCTTCTACCTGATGGGCTAGATTTTGTTCTAGAAGCCCCGTCTGCTACGTGGAGAGAATGTGTCTCTTTGCGTCGCAGAACCAATGTTCCGATCTTTTTTGATGAGCTTGCAACGGCAGATGCGTCCATTGCTCAGCTTATCGCGGATGACGCCGTGGAGGGTATTGGAATGAAGATTTCGAAGAACGGAGGTCTTACGAAGTGTCGTCACCAGCGGGATATCTGCCTTTCGGCGGGATATTCTATCAGTGTTCAAGATACAGTGGGATCTGATCTCTCATTTGCTGCTATTGTTCACATGGCTCAGACCATCCCCGAGAAGTATCTCCGGTGTATTCTTGAACCCAGGGACATGGTGACGGTCAAAACAGCCGATGGTCCGTTTGAAGTTATTGAAGGTCGGCTCAGTGCACCAAGTCTGCCAGGATTGGGAATTACACCCCGTTTGGATGTTATGGGCGAGCCTGTAGCTAGCTATTTCTAGTCTATATCTCATTCTACTTGTTAGCACAAATCAAGAAGTGTCACCACAGGGCTATGAATGTGCTTTTGATTGGCTCCATTGCGGGCTTGATTTTGACATCATGTTTGGGCTTTTCCCCGGTGGTTTAGTTCTGTCATAGGAATGATACAAAGCTTTTAGGTCCCAGGTACACCTGTGGACTTAACAAAAAAGGGACAATGATTTGACTAGAAAGCGCAAGATTTATGACAGAAAAAGTAATCATTATCAAGGGCCAAGTATCTGAACGCAATAGTGGCCATGGAACGTGCTTATACTCGAAAAGCTAACAACAAGCCTCAGTGCCGCGCTCACGCGCGGCCAAAAAGACGACCATAGTTACTTGTAAATAGGTGTAGTTATGTATCAGCTTAATCTCATATTTTGATTGGTAAAGAAACAGAACTATCATCAACTTTGGGATCTTTTTTTAACTATCATTCTAACTATCATTCTAACTATCATTCTAACTATCATTCTAACTACTCCATACTCTGTATCTTTTAAACTGTCTTTTTGGCTGTCCATTCATAGTTCCAACTAATTGTCAACTTATCATACGGAGTAATTAGTCGAGAAATGGAAGTCTTGGCTAAGCCGTGAACAGAGAATTATACTTGGGGGATCAGAATGCCCACGCAAGATAGCACACATCAAGACTTCGTGTAGCTCACGCTGATCCAATACAAAATCCCAAGAATTCTTACATTTTTCCACGGGTCATGATAGTCGACTCGGGCAACTCCCGATCCACCAAACCTTTCTCGGGTACACCCGGCGCATGAGTTGTCGATATTGGGGTATAATCTTCGACGTGCATGGTCAATACTCCACTTCCCCACATTTTGAGAACTATCATCGTCCTAACTTGGAAATACAACCCACCATATCCTTAATTCCTTATCAACGGATGTCCCGACCTGTCAGTATATTTTGGTAAATCGCGCAGTATATCTCCCAGCACTACGGCGAGGCTTCCGTTTATCAATGGACAAATATATCCAAAAGGCTAAATCTTGCTTTTTATCGCCCAAGTGAAGTATGGAACCAATCATGAAAGGATCGACTGGCTCCCATTGACGTACCCTTGGCGACGGGCAATTCTCACCTCGACACTCCGTGACGCCCCTTATCTAGTAGTATATTGCTGTTTGAGATTGCTGATGCGGGGGTTTGTCTTCGTGGACCTAATGCAAAGCCATTGATTGGGCAACTGAGACTGCGGAATGTATAAAAGCCGATTGAGATTTCAAGTAAAGCCGTTCACAAGAAATTCAAATTCACGGACTTCCTTTTCAATATGGAGCTAAACGTGCAACATCAAGACCAAGACGACAAAAAGTCTAACCACTCGGAGCAGAATCCAACCCACGACTGTGTGTTTGGTGAACTCACCGAAGAGGGACCTAACTACCGCAATGTATGCATCAACTGGTAAAAGAGCCTCAGATGTCTTGCCGCAGCTGACAAAAGTATAGGTAGGATTTGTGGGAACAGTTGTTCTCATGATGAAGACTCAAATCGGTCTAGGGGTGCTCGCAGTTCCAACTGCCTTCGACACTTTGGGTATCGTCCCTGGTGTGATCTGTCTCAGCCTCGTTGCTTGCATCATTACTTGGTCCAACTGTGTAATTGGGACATTCAAGCTGAATCATCCTGAGATATATAGTATTGATGATGCTGGTGCGCTGATATTTGGAAGGATTGGCCGTGGAGTCCTATCGGTGGCCTTCTGCCTCTGTACGCTCCCTAAACGACAAGACCCGGACTTTTCATTAACACATCTCAGATTGGATCTTTGTTGTTGGCTCTGGAGCTCTTGGTATTTCGATTGGTTTGAACTCCATCACTAGTCACGGCACGTGTACAGCGGTGTTTGTCGCCGTCGCAAGTGTCGTAGGGTTTGCATGCAGTAGCGTGCGGACACTTGGAAGGATCACCTGGTTTGCGTGGATAGGGCTTCATGTATCTTGATTGCTGGTACCTCTCCGTCCAAAGACCTGTTTCCCACACTCTATGTGACTGACTCGGCCTTACTTAGTGATGATCATTGTCATTGCCGTTGGCATTCAAGACCGTCCCGCCTCCGCGCCGTTAACCGATACACCTTGGGTCTCCGATTATCAGATCATCGCTCATCCATCGTTCACGCAGGGCATTGCTGCCGTCTCCAAGATTGTGTTTGCGCTCTCGGGGACTCCTGGGTTCTTCGCAATCGTTTCTGAAATGCGTGACCCACGGAAATATACCCAGGCTGTGCTCATCTGTCAGGTCACAGTCACAGCCGTCTTCATGACTATTGGCTGTGTCGTATACTATTACTGTGGATCCTATGTGGCCTCTCCGGCGCTTGGCTCAGCTGGTGGTATTATCAAAAAGATCTCCTACGGTTTTGCAATGCCAGGACTGATCGTCACGACAACAATCTGTACACATGTAACAAAACACTCCTCTCTCAATTCTTTGCCACGATCACTTTGAACTGACACATGGCACAAACTTCATACAGATACCCGCGAAATACATATTCGTCAACTTGCTCCGAGGATCCCGCCATCTCAATAGGAGTACACCCACCCATTGGATGGTCTGGATCAGTTGTACTTTGGGTGTCACGGTGATAGCTTATATTATCGCTAGTACTATACCAGTGTTCAACTCGTTGGTGTCGCTGATTGGTGCTTTACTCGGGACCATGATGTGCTTTCAGCCTATGGGCTGCATGTGGCTGTTTGACAATTGGGAAAAGGGTAGAGATAGCTCGAGATTTTGGCTGCCAAAAGTCTGTTGGGCCGTTTGTGTGATTGCTTGTGGCTGCTTTCTCACAGTTGCTGGAATTTACAGCTCGGTCGTTGGAATCATGGTCGATTATGAAAAGTCTGGAGGCTCGGCTGCATTTTCATGCGCCGATAACTCGAACTCTACATGAGTCCTGACCTGAGACCCTTCGGTGGGAGGCATATCCCTCGAGGTCTTGGTAGCAAGAGGCAATCAGTCAAGCGGAGGAATACCCCATGTTCGCATCTAGATATCCCTGGAGCAATTTACGCCAATGTTGAGCAAGTTGCAGAATACCTTTTCGTGTGAAGAATAATACTACATCATGTAAATGTAGTGAAAGGACTCATAGCCTTTGTTGTGGCTGGCTGTATACGGAATTAAATTGCAAATGCCACCGATGATGGCATAAACCTTTTTGAATACTATTGTACAATCTAGGTAAATGGCTCCGTGAATGATAGAGCATCTCCAGATAGCCATTCAGGTCCCATATCTGACATTCCCTGGGGCACTGAATTGGTGAGCTGGTCAACAATAGAAAGGAACTCCTGAGATGAGATTCCAAAATTATCCGAGTACCCTGTATGTGCCGAAGTCCGTAAATCGTCAGGCAAAAGTGAACTTTCCACGTTTGGTCCAATTGCCATAGCAGGACTCGTCATATGGCTTTTCTCCAATGGAATCGGGTTGGCTGTAGGAGCTGGCTGTGGAATCGCCGACCAAGAAAGATTCAAATGTCGAAGGCCTTGCTGTTCAACCTGCCTAGCGAATTTCTGGAATAACGTTTCAATGCGACTGAGTTCACGTTTTCGGGCCCCGGCAACCCGATTTCCGCAAAGTATCAGCTCGTCTAGAATTGCGTGTGCTTCTTTACAGTCATACGGTTGGTTGGCAACACCGGAAGGGAACACTCTGTTGGCCATTGTCAGGTGTAGTGCAGCATCGTACGTCACTTCGAGGTCAAAAGGCAAAAAGGTCTCTTAACATCTGTCAGCTGGCCGTTTGCTGAAGCATTTCACGGAGTTTACTCACCGAGTAAGCTATTTCCATCATGTGTGATTTGGAGAATACTTTCTGCTGATTTGACGCCAGTCGCTATCAGGGATCTTGGAAGAGATAGGAATCTTTGCCAGTCTTCATCTGCACAACCTAGCTTCTCCAGTCGCTCTTTGAGAACGGATAGAAGTAATGGTCTTGTTGCCACAATGACACACTATATCTGAGTTAACGGGTGAACAAAGCCGACTTGGAAATTTTGATACGATACCTGGTGATATAACAAGATAATGTGGCGTGTACCCTCAGGCAGGCTGTTCCTTTGACCGTGGGAGTGAAAATTGTTCATCTCTTCAATTTCGCAAGCATACTTGGCCATTGTTTCTAGGATACTGCGTGTTATCTCTAGAAAGGTTCCAAGCTGGGTTTTTTCCCGATCCATAAATGGCTTTCGGGGTAAGACAACTGACAACCAAATTGAGTAGGGACAGACAACTTACAGCTAATGATTGATGAAAGCATGCGAGTGAGTCTTATCTGTAGATCAAATATTAGATCCTGACTTCCAGGCTCTAAAGTCTTCCCTGTGTTTGTCAAAGCAGTGATATCTCGATCTCGGGTGGTGATCGGGAGGCCCAAGGACGGAGAGATATGATGATCAATGATGTATAAGGACCACCAAAGGTTTCGACAGCGGGAAACCGTCGCAACCCCCAGAACTTCTTCGGGTAGCTGGGTGTGCATGCCTTCCAACTGAGCTATCCGTATAGCATGGGTGATCTTTTGAAGTTCTCCTGTGTAAGCAGCAATCCCAAAGCCAAAGCACGGGTTTTGATACTAACATGAACGTGAGCTGCCTCCCGGTGATCAATGGCGTACAAGTATAGTCCGACTAGTGCCAAGGCCTCGATGGCCAACAAGCTGTCTTTTCAAGTAGCTATGAAGCTCGGCATAGCAGCCATGGCACGTGCAAAGTATTTTGATCCTGGTGGATCGCTCTGATTGCGAGGCCTCGAAATGAACGCATGACCAAGCGCAAGCACTGCGAAGTATTGAACAAACCAAAAGCGAGGCTGAACAGCTTCATTATGATGGTCGTAGAATTTGTGCAATTGGGTAGTGAATATGTCGTGATCGAAGAGACGATATTTTTGACCAAGACGGAAACGTACAATCTGGAAAAGATAGAGAGCGTAGTCAAGAGAAGGTAAGTCGTTCGTGTCAACATGATCCGAGATCACGCGACTCCAAGTGAAAGGGTATATATCCCCATCCAGGTAGAATTGAGGGGATGTATCAGTGGAATCGTGGTCAAACTTGTCAGTCATCATCACAGTGAGTCGCCGTGTGAGTGACCATGGAGACATCGGGGCCAACCAAACTGGCAAATGTCAGACCAAAAAGCAAGTCAAGAGATGCGAAAAATGTAGACTGACTCCAGTTTCGTTGTTCCTGGTGTGTATCTTTGAAAATGGTTGTGGGTAAAGTAAAGGGACTTGTCCAGATGCTGCATGTTGATTCGTTTTCAGGCGAAGCAGTAGACTTCCCATGCCGAAACTCCAGTAGTTCCTCGGTTGATTCATGCTGATTCCAAGGATGTTCTGTATCATCTTTCTCATCATTAGAACGATTGCGACCGTTTGCAAGTTGCCAGTTATTAGCTTGCTTCTGCAAGTCACGCAGATATCTGGTCCTGCTTTAGTCTTCAACTGAACTCTGGAGGTGTGTGGGAAAACTCACCTTTCAGATACCAGAATCTTGTTACTGCTGCCCTCGGTAAAGTGGCAGGCAATTAATCGCTTTTTGCAATTGCCGCAAGGCTCATCGCCAGAGCATTTGATCTTGCTGTGGCGGCATGCGGTACAACTATCACATTCGAATCAGACCAACCCAGACGGCGATCATGGTTCACGTACGCAATGACAGTTCTTCTTTGCTTACGCTTTGCACGAGACACTTCGTGTCTCTGAACGGGCTGCATTGTCACCACATGTAGCTGTTTGCGAAGCATCCGTGTTGTTTCGACCCCGCATCGGCTCGCAAACCCGACTAGTTCGTCTGAATCATCGAGATTGCTGACTACTCGATTATGAAGCATTGAGTTGCGATAAATTATCACATTGTGATGACTTGGATTCCGAAATAGACGCGGAGGAACATGAAAGGAACTTGGGTAAAAAGATGAAGTAGACTTGCGTGTGCGGCCTGAAGTCTGCTCCACACAGACGCACCGACATCTCACTCTGCGGCACCATTACAGTCTATGCAAATGTGCATATATTCAATGTAAATCAAATTAGAGGAGAGAAACCACCTATATACGCTAACGCCACAAGTCTAGATACATCTGATCGGACTTCAACCAGACCATGAAATGAACACCCAAACCAAGAGAACTCCATTTCATTTCAAATAAATCAAATCTCCTGTGCATCCAATCCCCAAATCTCCCAATGCTGCAGAGTATCCCATCCAACTCGGCGCATGCGCCTTCGCCAGACTAGGCCGTCATCGGCTAGGGTGTGTTGGTAGCAATTGGGATAGGGTTTCGGCGTCTCCTGGTCGTCATTGGCTTCCGGGATGTGGGGCGAGGCTGTCGGCGTTTCGTCTTCCCGGTTCCGCTTACCTAACGCGGATGGCGGAGCCGATCGGACGCCCGGTGATGCAGTCGACCACGAGGAGATGTGCGGTGTCTGGGTACCGGGGGAAACGTGAGAATGGGCCGGGCCATTAGTGCGTATAGGGCTCTCGGTGGTTTCTCGAGGGCCATTTGGTGATTGGGATTCGGGACGTGGTGGGGGTGATTTGTAGAAATCTCGTAGCTCCCAAGCTTTCCAGCCCATGCCGAGAATTTTGACGTTTCCGTAGACTTGCTCGTTCCCGAGGTCGTAGCTCATCATTTCTGTCAGTTGTGCATCGTCGATTTCCACAACTTCTGCGAGAGATCTAGCGTTTAGGAAGGTGTCATCTATCATGTTCTTGGCGTCAAATGGTGTCTGTCCTCTGGTGGATAAAGATGCTTTGAGGGCGGCACCTGGTGTCCCGGTCTGTGGGACGGAAGCAGGGGGAATCAAAAGCCGAAGAGCTTTGAGTTTGCGAAGGAAGGGGATGAGAAGACCCAATGTCTCCATGCTGTTGAACTCTGTGGCGAGGGCGAGCTGTTCTAAATTCGGGCAGCTGTGGACCAAACGTGCGATCATTCCCGTGGACAGAGCCCATTTAGATGGAAGTAGAAGGTGCCGTAAAGTGGCACTGTGATTTGTGGTAATATGGGAGAGGTAGAGATCTCGTACGCTCAAAAGAGCATTCAAGTGGCTGGCTGGGGAGGCAGAGGCAATGGGGGAGTTGGTGGTGTTACCATTGGCTGCGCCTGCAGCCTGGTTTTCAGAAACGGGTGGCGTCAGGGCCGATGACTGCATGCCACCCGGCCGGGGAGAATTGAGGTAGTCGCTCGAATCGGACGTAACATTGACAAAGTACAGCCGCTCAAGCCCACGGAAGTTGCCAATGAACTCCGAGTTTCGTTTCGAAACAGCGTCTAAACGGACGGATTTGATACGAAGCTTGGCGTGCGGTGGGACAGTTGGCCAGCTGCTCTCAATAAATGTGTTGACCAGACTGGACCCCTCAACTCCACTGAGGAAAGTGACATCTTCCACAGTAGTAGGATCAAAGGCAAAGTTGAAGTCCTCGGTGTGGAACGCATAGAGATTCTGGAAGGACATTTTCTTGACCGCCAGCGGCTGTTTGCTTGCAATAAGCTTGCGGAAGTAATCGTGCAACGAAACACTCGGTTCCTGCGCGTCGCGCATGCGCGGCGACCAGTGCAATTTCAGCTCGCGCAGCTTCCGGCTCTTCCATAACAGAGTCGCAATGTCATCCGGGTAGCATAGCGGGTCGATATCCGTGACCTTAAGACACTTCAGATGTGGCATTCCCGGGATCACAAAGGTGGGCTGGGGGTGGCGGCTGGACGGAAAGCGGATCGTCAAATTTGTGAGCTTTGGAAGCTGCGTCAGGCCCATGAATACTGTGTCGAGCATTTTTGTATTCAACTCCCAGTTGAAACTTTCCAAATTTGTCATGCGGTCGATCGCAGCCCGCGCGGCTATGTTCAGCAACATCGAGGAGTCGGGCACCCGACCAACACGCGCATGTTCCTCCAACTCATGTTCCTTCCATTCTCCGCGTAATGTCATTGAGCGAACTAGTGGTGCATAGGATCGAGTGATTATTGCGTTCAGACCCATCGTGAAGGGACTTGCGCTCCCGATGCCTTCGGGCTGTTCGCCGCGGTAGCGGATTTTGTCGTAGGATGTCAGCGTCAGGTTGCTGTATAGCTGCGGGAGCGCCATGTAGTTTAACACGCGACATGTTCGGCATAGTCGGGCGAGGTCGCCGGTGTCGTTCACCTGTCGAGCTGTTAGGAGAGAGCGGGAAGCGGTGGGCTATACCCACATGTGACACAATCTCGACGAGGAGGTTCAAAGGAAGCACCATCAACTGGGCGCCTCGGGGCTGCTCAGTGATACTGGCGCCAAACATATTCTGATTGACTGTCGCCATGATGCGACGTCCATGCCTACATGAAAGGCAGAAGCAGAATATGGGGAAAAGTGGCCGAAGCTAAAATCGACCGGAGCCTCCAGTACCCGAGCGGTTTTTTGGCTCCACTCGCGTAAGCCAAGCAGAGGCCTCCGATAGTCATTCGATACTCTTCAAGAGTTTTGGATTTTTATATACGACCCTAAGGGCTCCCAGACTATGCGTATGTTGCTTTTTCAAAATTCCAAGGTTCTGCTGTGCATATATGCATACATACTATATTCAATTATATTTTAGAATTATATCACGGGTATCTTCCTGATGTGCAAATCCCTATTCCCAAAAAAAAAAAAAAAAAAACCATGCCCTAGCCCAACCTTTGAAGGTAATACAACATCATTTCAAGTTCTTGGTGAAGGGTGACCCTGTTGATCGGATCCCCGTTCCACTGGAGGCGTACGTTGAGGCCCAGTGTGTGATTCAGCCTGTTCAGCCGGCTCATCCACATCATTTCTCTCCTCGGAAATAGTGGTATCTGTCCAGCTTCGCTGATCAAAGTCCGTGACTGGCCCGTTGGATGTCACATGATTGACGTTCTCATCAACCAGCGCCGCAGTTTCCGGATCATAGTGTAGGACATAGTCTCCGCCACCCCGCTCGACATCGGCATCGGTCCACGGAGCAGACGCGGATGGTTGCGAGGGGATGACTCGAACAGGGAGCCCGGGACGACGGGAGGATGGCACCTGGCGTGGAGGTTCTACAGGGTGGTTCCCCCCTGTTCCATCCGGTTGGCTTTCTAGCAGTCGATTCTGCGGGGACCATGTGTGCTGACCGCGCCGGCGCGCCGGGATCACGGTGACTTGCAATTGACCGTCGGTTTGTTGCGAGCCAGAGCCCGGACGAACATTTCGAAGTGAGAAGAAGTGATCTCTCCGAGGGTAAGTGCCACTGGGCTCTGTCTCTCCATCTCCACCTGTTGCGACAGATGGTCTGTGTTCTGAGGGCTCTTCTCCAGCTTGTGCAAATGCCACCTCTTTGGGCAGGGAAGCACGCCGCCTTCTGAAAGGATGGAGAAGAGCGTGCCATCGGGGATCCGCCTGGACGATCTGCGGTGATTCTTCTCGGGGTTCGTGTGTCGACATCTGGTTTTCATTCACACTTGGCGTGTGTTCTTCGCCTTCGACCTCCTTGTCTTCCACTATTTCCTCTTCCTCCTCCATGTGAGGCATTGCCACCGGAGGAGTCGGGCTAGCGACTGGATGGTATCTGACATTGTATATTGTACTCGCCGCGCTGGTCGTATCCGCGCGACTGACTGGTGTGATAGCCGCCGGGGGTGGCGTTGGGCGATTATTTGAACCTCGTGGGCCTGCTGCGGCATTCTGGTTGTATGGCGGCGCCCCCGTGCCTTTGTTGCGGTTTCCGCGAGGTAGTCCGGCCCGCGCTCGTAGAGGACGATGGGCCAAGCCCATCATGCCACCCCAGCCAGACGAGGCACCGTTACCACCACCTCGGTCATTTCCTTGTGATGAATAACGTGGCCAGTCAACCTCTTCAGATGGGGTGACGTCAAGCATCTCATCGCCATCAAATACCTCTCTTCCCAAAATTCCATCCTTGGTTTCGTCTCGTTCCAAGGCCTCAATGCGTTCCACCCACTCCCACACAACCACGCTGGCTGCAGCCGATCCTACCCACCGAATATAAGTACCCCAACCGGCAATTTCCGGTTTGGCAATATCCATCACGAAGAACACCACTGGTATCAAAATCGCGCATAGAGACAGAAGAGCTACCAAGCAAATGTTCCGCATCTTCGGATGAAAGAAGGCGAATCGATGCTTGGAGATCGAATAAAAGATGACCCAAGCAGCATAGAGCAAATTGAGCGACAATTCAAACAAGTAGCTCAAAGCAGGAATTGCATCGTCGTATAATCTGGGTCGGTTCGACGACTTCCTCACCCAGAAATTTTCCAAGATACTGAACGTGGTATCCAGTACGATCAGCGCGAAACCTGCCCATTTGATCATAACTTTTTCCTTATGTCGCGGAAACAGCCTAATCAACGTTTGAACCTGCGCGAGCCACAAGAAAGTGCTCGAAATCACGCGTACTATACGAATCTCCAGCCCATCAATCACCTCGTCGGTGAGCGCCTCGGCGTCAGAATAGCCATAGTTGTACTGGCGCTCTGCGACCTTGAAAGAATCCACCGTCGCGATGGTCAATGAGATCGCCACGAGGATCGCCGCCACTTTCTGCAGCCATGGCCGCCCACCGACTCCGACAACGGACGAATTTGCGCTGTACGAGCCGCTGATCATGCCATGGCGTCCGAGGAAATTGGCACCGCCGCTTGGTCCTCCGACGTAGAATGTGCGCGGCGTAATGAGAAGGATGATGACGAGGAGGTAGCTGACGACGGTCGCACAGCCGATGGCATATAACTGTGGCGTAACGGAAGAGTAAAAAGGATCACGGGTATCAAGGACGGCGGAGACGTGGACTTCATCGGTCGGAGAGCCTGTGCAGACAGGCTCGAAGACGGCGTTTTCGCTGAGCGTTATAGGGAATGACTTGTTATACCACACGACTCCTGTATGAGAAACGCGCGGTTAGGGACAGTTCGAGACACGGCTTGGAAGTAAGGGAAAACACTCACCATCACTTGGCAATACGACGGGCGTGCAACCGGGCGCGTAGGATTTTGTCGTCGTCGTCGTCGGGTTTGCCCAGATCTGGCGGGGGGGCTAGTTGGGAGACATGGTCCATGATGGGTGGACGTCAAGTCGGCTTGCGAATGATTCATATACCGCGCAATTTCCACCGATGCGCTTGTCACACATTCAGACTCCCATTCTTGCCGTGAAAAACTTTCCGAGAATTCAGGGTGAGGCTGTGCAGTGGTAGGTACTTGCGATGAAAAGGGATTTGGGAAATCTGGAGGTGGATGATCCGCCCCAGCCTAGACTCGGCATTGGTTCCTCCACATTTCTCGTCCGCTAAATCTGAGACCTTCGACTTGGCTTACTCCATACTTCTTTTTAAAAGCTCTTATTTTGCCTTCTATATCATCTTCTACGTGATAGTGCTGGTATCTTTGAATCCCACGGTTTCACGTTCTTTTCGTCTATTGTCATACTATAGAAGAGCGGTCACGCCCCGGAAAATATTCACAAGCTCAATCGAAACCGTCTGTATCACATCTCTCTGTACAACATCACACATAGAAGTTCCTCGTTTCTCTCATATTATCCTATTCTATCTATGCCTGGGCAGCGAAGCCAAGGCGAGGGCCCTGGGAGTCGAAGACGACATACTGGCTCTTGAGGAAGATATCACCGAAGATGGAGAACCCAATGCCAGAGTTGCTCTGGATACCACCGTAGCAGGTGGAGCTGCCAGTGGTGATGGCAGCGTAGTTGATCAGCTTACCGGGAACAACCGCGTTGTAGCCATTGATGTTGACGGTGAAGTCAGGCAGGGTGGCGGAGCAAGGGAAGGTGTAGCCACCGACGGAGTTGCTGTTCTTGGAACCAGAGACCTGCTTGTAGTAGGCAGCAACAATGGAGTCATCGAGCAGAAGCAGAGTGGTTCCGGTGTCTAGTCAAAAGGTTAGTCAATGCCGTCTAGTAGCATAGCCTGAAGAATCAATCTACTCACCAGCAATACCAGTGATGGGGGAGCTCTTAGCGCTGGTTCCGATCTTGTAGCTGTCAGCCGTGAATGACCAGAAGCCCTGGGAGCTGTCGACATCAGCATAGACGAGGCTGCCGGTATACTTGGACTTGTCGATGAAGCCAAAGTCGTAGGTGCCGGGGGCGTTGTGCTTGAGGGTCACGGCGAACAAAGGCTCATCAAGCTGGGACTTGACAGTGTCGAAGAAAGTGGTCTGGGGGTTGGGGCTGACGGTGTTGATCGAGCTGAAGGCGAGACCGAGCAGACCATCATTGTTCTGATCCTGCACGAATTGGGTGCTAATCTGCTTAGCAGCCTCGACAGCCTGGTTGGTAGCCTTGACACCACCGACGGTGACAGTGTCCTTGTAGACATCACCGCTGGCACCACTGCCATCGCCATAAGAGATAGACCAGCTAGCACCGGAGATCTTGGTGCCAGTGCTGCCAGCCTTGTAGATGGCATGGCCACTCTGCTCCGAAGAGGGAAGCTCGTTGGAGAAAACCCAACTACATCATGTTAGAGACCTTGATATCAAATTCTCAGAAGGACCAACTTACAGATCGGCAGATCCAGTGTCGAAGTCCAAGTTCAAGGTAGTGCCACCAACGCTGACCGGAGTAAGGTACTCGATATCTCCATCCTCGGGGGTGGTGATTGCAGATCCGCTGACAGCGGCAGCGTGGACATCGGCGGGAACCGTACCACCGTATTTCGAGAGGGCACTCGCATAGACTCCAGGCAAGTTAACAGACTTGGTACGAGCAGCGGTTCGCGTCACCTGGTTGACAGTAAAGCCCTTCCGGGGGCTCTGCACTGGCACTGCGGCAGCCGAGGCAATGGCCGACAGAGCGAGGGCGGCGGTGACTTTGCTGAAGACAACCATTGTGAAGGTAGGCCTATGGAGAGAAGTGAGGCTAGGAGAGTAGATGAGAGGGAGGATGATATCTGAAAAGAACCGGGCATGGGACCTTCACTTTATGGATCTCCTCAACCTCCTATACTTCGAAACCCTAAGGGCCGTCTATCGCGACATCTAACAGGAGATACTGCTCTTACGGGAAGCTAGCCACGGCGATCTGACGAAATTCAGGATAATCGAGGGGAAACTTCGAGACCATCACGGACCCCATCGGTCCTCCAGTATAGCGCGACGGAGTCCGCCAAGCAGTCGAGGGGCTAAGAGGGCGTGGAGCGGCAGCTTGTGAAGCCACGCCGGGATTCGGTTGACCTGATAGGGCGAACACGGCCATGGCAGGCGAAGTGTAACCCAAAACGCCATGCCCAGGGAGCTTGGTCGTGACAAGCTATCTCAGATGCAGAAAGAGGAGGTGCAGCCAAGACCAGAGATGTCTTGGAACACTGCATCTGAGGACTCATTTGGCGGCTGCAAGGCGATCGCCATTGTCACTTCATCTACGTGCGAGGAAGCCGAGGCTTGCGATTGGGTTGCCCGCGCGGACTAGTGATATTGCTCTTTTTTGAGCTCATGCGAGTCAAGTTGCAGAAACCTCGTGAGGGCCCTGAAGATCATCGGCCGTTATCTCCACATGAGCCAATCACTCAGATGAACGGTCAACTAGACTTCACGCCACGCTAGCATGGTCACATCGCTCCATTCGGATATTGATGCTGGAGGTGTCATTGGATACTCGATTCGGGTCTAACCCCCTGTCAGGGCCGGGATCTCGGTGGCGTGGTTTCTCCGTGGAACCAACACAGGTACAATCTCCGACGGGATAACACGGGCATCCGACCCTGCATACACATCATACATATCAGGGCTGAGAGGTGCGATGTGACCACGAACAATCGCATCTGCAGCGAAGGTATCGAAGGATCTAGCGGGTCCATTGATCGTCAGGGATCGGCAGTAAACAATGGCCCTAATTGTGCTGGAAGATAGTTGAGTACTGCAGTCCAGTGCAATTCGAGCAGTTGCTTAACGAGAATACTCTACGTCTCAAGTTAAATTCTTTTTTGCAAAGCGAATTATACCTGACACTAAGCAATGATCTGGTTAACTGCTTTGTGCAAAAAGGAGTACAGAGTACCTGCCCAGGTGATCCTCTTAACCACAGTCACATTGCATGTAAACCCTATCTCACCAAGCGAAAGCCACCAACCGCCCCAAAGCTTCTCATACAGCTGCATGCACGGAGTACCATGTGAGAGTCAGCTGGTTCGCCTGTGAGCAATATGAAGTCTGCATGAAACCATAACCCCACAGTGTCGTCTCCGACGGAGACCGGTCGGAGAAAATTGATCTCGAGAAATGCACTCCGAATGTACAGTCAAGGTGCATTGTATGAGAGATAATTACAAGTACTCCGTTGTAGATTGCAGTGTCAAGCCACCATGCGTTTCATGCAGATTACGGCCCAGAAGGTATCTATAGGCCACCCGTGAACATGCAGAAGGATGCCAAGAGATCTCATACATATTAGAATTGGACAAAGTACAGGTCATGAGAGAGACTCAGATCCAATCAAACTCGTGAGATTGATGAAGAAAAATTACTCATAATAATCGTTACTTTCGTCACAGATACTGGGAGGATAGCCCCGCGTTCTCCTCAGTCCCATTTCCGTCGTAGCCCTCATTAAGCAGGACTTCAAGCATATCAAACTCGCCAAGCATAGGCCCGGTACCCCCGAGACCCTGATCAACCACCCCAGTGGAGGAATTGAAAAATTGGTCTAGAGGGAGAGCAAACCAATCGGGCAGCGCCCCCGTAGACGCATTATCCATGCTCTGAGAAGAAGCAACATGATTGGGTGATCGGTCCATCTCAGTCGGGAACGCCGAATTTGAGTCATAATAGTTGTGGTATACAGATGGCGGAGGAGGCATGAAAGAGACGTTGAGATTGGACGAGTTGATCGGCTGGGCGGGAATGCTTGCTAGTGGATCATGACCTGATCCCATGCCGTTGGTGTCCACATATCCAAGACCCGCCCCGCTTGACGTTGTATCATGGTTAGTGGGCCAGGGTGCAGGGCCATCGCGACGTGTCTCGCGTGATGGTGAATTGGGTCGTGAATTAGGGACCGAGGTGCGATCGTGGCCATCTTCCGCACCCCGGTCGTGAGGCGCAAATCGCAGAAATCGCGTACGGATGCTGCTGGTGAGGAGCTCAAGTAGTCGGGCAACGGTGTTACTGATGTGCACGTCATCCACGACATAATTGCGCAGTGCTTCGACTGTTCGATCCTGCAGGTCGAGTGAAACTCGGACGTCGTCTTCCCGGGCACCCAGTGTGAAAGTCTAAATTGGATATTAGCGCTTTTTCGTTGCCTTATGTTGACTGAGAAACATACTTTGAGAATAAAGATCATGCCAGACAAAATTCGGAAGAAGGTTCGAATGGGCGCATGCCTCAGACGTCCTTCGGGGACGAGACCGTCCAGAACTGTCTGCAGAATTTTGCGCGAGGAATCAATCACTTCTTGTATATAATGCTCATTGACACGGTAAAGTTCGTTCAACGTCTGGAACCAGGTGTTATTGGTGTTAGATGGCCCTTGCCCTGGTCGGGCAGCGTTATTCTGGGCAGATTCGTTGGACATTGTTGTCCATCGATCTACCACTGCTTGCAGAGCAAGAGAATTTATATAGAGACCTGGTCATGTTAGCTGAAAGACCCCTTTTTCTGAGACTATCTCAACTCACGCGTATACTCAAGCTCAATCAAAAGGACGCTCCGCATGGCCGGCGAGACTGTTTGTTGTTAGCTCTTGTGCCCGTGATCATTAAAGAACATTGACAAACTCACGATTGACACTGTCAAGCTGCTGTCTGAATTCTCGCAAATACGGCTGGAAGCGGTCTATTTGTTCGCGATATCTTCCACTTCGGATTAAATCCATGGTTTGATCACTTGATGCGAAGAGCAAATGATTGGCTTGATAGACGATCTTTGAGATACTCATCCAGCAGTCTTGCATGCGATCAAGATTGGCATCGGCGTCTTTTGCATCAGCCGCAGTTGGCGTGATGTCTTGTCCCCACTGAGGGAGTGGGAGCATAGATGGAATACCTAGACGTCCACTGCTGTGCGTGATGAAAACAAGTATTAAACGGCGCAGTCGTCGTTTACGCGTCTGCTCAGTGAGGGACTCGTTGGTCACTTTCGCATTTCCTTTGGGGTCAAAGACACCAAGCTCAAATGCCAAAGCTTGCGCCGTGCTCAACAGCATCCAGGACATCCGATCGGACCGCCAGGCTGGTTCCAACCACTTTTGGAACGCAAACCTCCCTTCAGATCCTCTTTGACCGGTATTTTCACCATCGTGATCCATGGGGTGATCTGCCCGGCTTTGTGGCTGGGGGTCTGTGTCTAGAAGGGAGTTTTCATCATCACCTGGCGGGAAATGCAGGTTTCGTGGGTGCCATTCAGTCAAGAGTAACATAGCTTCTACGGTGCCCAGGGATCTCAACTGTCCGTTCACACCAAGTTTGCCTGGCGTTGAAGCTCCCAAATCAAGCGATTTGGGCCGACCAATGCCCGATGTCCCGGGATCGAACTTCTCTTGGCCCCAGAACAAACGCTCTATCATACTGCGTAGATATGCCCAGAGGCGGTCGTGGATGTAGAAAGCCCGCGTATTGGCGCCATCGCCCTTGGGCTTGAGATGCCTTGAGGCAATAGTGAGGATTGTGACCGCTAACACTGGTTCGTCGGTGAGCAGTGCGCGGTGGGTAGAAAGGTGAGAGAAATCAGGGATGACGACTGGACTCATTGGCGCTAAGTTCTCGTAATAGTAAGCCACGTAGTCCATGCCTTCATCCGCTGTGAGCCATCCGGCACGGACGAACCGCAATCTGGACCAAGCCCGAATTGCATCGTTGTATGCCGTTTCTGAGGGTGGAATGTTGACAGGACTTTCTCTTTGAGGACCGGAGTCTACAATCTGGGGATCTACTGGAGCTGCTGCTCCAGCTGGGTAATAAGTAGACCCACCCATGGACATTCCTGATCGAGGTGTCCGTACAAATGACCCCCCGAGGCTTCGAGGCGAGCTGCCCTGCGGTAAGGGCGAAGGTCCCGAGTTAAAAGACGAGACGGAGCGACGTGCAGCGAACCTGTTCTCAAGGCTCTGGCGGTTAAGGTCCTCGGTCCTACCTGCCGCTTCAGAAAGTAGATGCAAGGCGTCGTGGGTATTGGTGATTGCAGGCGACAGCAATTCCACGGCAGTTCTGTTCATCATCGGAGGGCCCCCGTAGCTCTGCGGCGCGGTGCGCTCGCCGACAGGGTAGGTGGGCGCTCGTGATATCGGAGCACTCGGTGTGTACCGCTGGGGTGGTGCGGGGGAGCCTCGGGCCATCTCTGTTGGGGACGCACGGAGTCATGGTCGAATTGGGGTGCTTCGGAGGGCGCAAATGGAGCAGCCTCACTGGGACTTTCATTCTTGGCTACCTCGCCAATCATCATCCGCTTGTCGCGGTGCAGAATGGCTTCTGCCTCGGTTTCATCGTCATCTGCGGCATCAGATGTCTTGCGCTTACGGCGAGTAGCTGAAAATTCACATCGTTTGCTTTCGCGGCGGCAACGGACACAGGGTGGGGGACGTGGGTTATCGACACCTTTATTTTTATTTTGTGATCAGTCAAAGTAGATCAGATGGAACGGGGACATACTTCCTAGGTCGCACTTGACCTTGCGTTTGCGGCATGGGTCACAGGCCTGATAACCGCGCCTATGGTGGGCATCATTGGTCTCCGACTTGCCGTGAAGGCCGCTATTGGCGTCCTGGCCCATGTCTGTCCTGTCGTCGAAGAGTGGGTAATTGTCTGGGGAAGACCCCGACACAAAGCGACACAAAGCGAAGATAAGGCGGTGGGGTGATGGCTGACCAATACTCCGAGCACTCGGAGAGAACTACAAGTTAGGGTTAGACAAGGCTGATTGATATATAGTTTCAATTGAAATCTTTCTGTTGAATATGTTGACTTGTGTTTCCTTGAGAGTCTGTTTGAAGACCGTTGTTGTCCATGTGGTCTGCCAATTCTGCGGGGTAAATCTACAGTACCCCTTGAAGCAACAAGGGGCTACTATGTATGTCCACATTATGCATACAGTCTGCAATTCAATGAATTCCATTGGAATAACAGATCAAACCTTAGATCTTCTGTCTAATGTTCATAAATTACATATGTGCACCAATTCCGTGACAAGCCGAGAGGGTAATCAGACCTACAGATCGCTCGTATCCACCCAAATGACATGCTCACACCTTTATGTATGTACATTAGCGTGGTTGATCAGCCAATGGCTGGGAATGATGTCTTTGCCTTGCCCGAAGCAAGGCTGACATTCATCTTGGACACCGACTCCCAGGCTTTGCGTGGCTGTACCACCTCGCCGGATGCTGCACTGTCGGTGCTGCCACGTCTGGACAAACTCGGAGTCAGTCGCCCAGTGAGAGCCCGAACACCACCAGCTTTTCGGGCAGGAATCTCCGAAGTACCGGCAGTGAGAACGTAGAGAAGGTATTTGAGATTGGGGAGTGTGTGTCGAATGTCCAGTATACGTAGACCTTGCTTGCTGAGAAGATATTCGATGTCTTTGTTCAAAAGGAACACAGCATACTCAAACCGCCATTCCACACTCACCGGATAAAGAGGATATGTGCGAGATGGGAGCTGTACGGATATGGGGTCTCGGATAACAGAAGTCGAACCGTTCGCGTTGACTGGGTATGGGAGGGCCGCTGACAGGTAGAAAGACAGCAGATAAACCAAATGTGCTGTGTGTCCTAATGCTGCCGCCACTACCTGCCGGTCGATGTCTTCAAAGTAAGAATTCGGGAGGGCCAGCCCTGCGATGGTGAATGCGAGAGGTTTGTCAGGAATAGGCTCGACGGGGTAGACTGTGAGGAGGTCCTCAGCAATACGTCGAATCTGACCCTTCGTTTCCTCCGCATTTTGGTTGAGCAAACGCTCGCTTGCAACCAATCGCTCCTGAGCTTCAGGAAGATGACTACGTATCTTGGCTTGGCTGGTGCGACCCTGTTGCATCGCTTCTTTCCGAGCCTTGATACTGGCGATCAAATCTTCTTTATGCTTCAGTGTTGCGCGAACTCGCTTGCGTCCCGCGGCGACATAATTTTTGGCGAGAGCAAGCTTCTCTAATGACTCCGCTGCAGCACCGGTGGTGTTCAACGAACCCTCGTTCTGTTGCAGAATGGAGCTTATTTGCGCCTCCAGCTTTTCCCTGGTTGCCAATGCGTCCTGCACACATTCATCCAAATTGGCCAATTTCATCAAAGCGTCATAAGGAGAAGACGGCAAGACGGTGCCGTCTGCACTGGCCTTCTGTCCAGGGGCTTGCAATGGCGTCTCAATCGGTGGTAAATCAGTCAGGTTGCTGTAGACACCATCCGAAAAATGAAACAAGATCGAGTTCGCCGGAAGTGGCTGATGGAAGCTCTCGAGCGTCTTTCCCAAGAATTGCAATGACCGCAGATGAACCTGCAGCTCAACTAATATTATGTGTTCTGACATTTCTGCCGTTTTCGCCCAGATCTTTAGGGTCAGTTCATCCATTCGGGAGATGTGTGGACCACATAGATTCAGATCAAAAGACCGAAAGCTGGGATTGTTTGCACGTTCAATCACTTCGCTGATGTAGACCGGCTCTTCAAAGCCCTCGCAATGAAGTGAGAAAAACGAGTCCACCATTCGGCTATTGATTATGTCTTCAAGCTTGACCTGTCGAGTTCGAGGGTTTGGGTCGTTCCAAAACAAGGTGCTTCGGCGACGGGGCCGAATCGCGAGATCGTTGTCTGTATTGCCATTTTTATTTCCATGTGACTTTAGATCAGTGAATGACTTTGATGGGTGTAGAGGATGGCTTTCGTTTTGCGATCGAATCTTCGAAGGTGTCTTTGAGGTATAAGGGATGTCGTCGTCATCAATAGTCTTGCCACGAGTCCGAGTCGGGAGCTGCGTCACAACTAAGTTACGAATAGATATGCCCTGTAGGTGTCGAAGTCTGCGATTCTGATATGATTGTTATTGTTTAGATCAATAAGTCTTTGAGTAACAGAGACATACCCAAGCGTAGAGCCACGGCCGCTCTCTGCGGGCACTTTCAGGCTCCGTGTCCGAATCCATGGCCCTGGTGCAGGCGCAGGGGAGGCACGGGTTTAAGTAGTTAGTCGCGAACAGATCAGATCGCTCATATTAATAGAAACAGAATCAGCGACCAACAAATTGAGGTTGAAAGCAATTGAAGCGTGTCAGAGGATGAGCCGATAAGAGATGCGGAGAGCAAGCAGGGCCGCCAAGACCTGCGTGTTCCCCGTCAAAAAATCGACCTCCCGTCTTCACGCAATTCCGCAAATCAACACCTGCGCCATTCGATTCCCACTTGTGTTGCCAACTCCAGCCCTATATCAGCAGCACGCAGCCTCCGGATCGGCCGCAATGGCCTCCATCAAGCAGTCCTTCCAGAAAGTGCTGGACTCAACGGCACTCGCGACCACGAAATTCATTCGCCGACCTCCAATTGACCCGAAAGCCCCGATTCAAGGAAAGCCGAGACAACCGTCTTCAAATGCATACAGAGATCACCAGGATAAGGAAGGTCGGCGGTTACAGAAGGCCCTGAACTCGCTCTCTCACGGCCAGAACATCTTCGTGTACCAGCACCTTCGCACGAAGCAGGTCGTGTACTCATTGACTCGTTACTTGGAGGTCAGTAGCACCCCATCTTTCAAATAGCCATGGAAACGTCGACTCGGGGGCTCACCCGAGCTCCCGTTCCCCCCCCTCGCCGGGCTTTCGGCATTGCGCAATTTTCTAACCCTCATTCCAGAAAGCCAATGTTCTCAAGCAATGCGTCTACCACGGCAAGAAGACCGTCCCCGCCGAAGTCCGTAAGGACATGTGGGCTCCCTACTTCTCCGTGCACTTCGACGAAGCACAAGTCGGATTGAACGTCTACAACCTGCTACGCCAATTCGCACTCCTCCGCCAACTCTCCCCGCCCAAGGAAATGATTACCGTGACGAAAGAATTCCTCGACTCCAAGCGTCCAACAGACCCGCGCGACCAAAAGGAATGGGACGACCACAACATGGGCCGATTGGGTCATATTATGAAAAAGAAAGAGCGCGCCAAGGTTCTCATGGACCAAAAGGCCACCTCCATCGCTGATGTTGCCTTCGCTCTGGAGAAGCACACACTCGCTATCACCGAAGGTATCCCTGGATACACCAAGTCCGGATACAAGACTCTGAAGGCGCGTAAGCGCAGGCGCGCGGCCCTCAAGGCTGCTGAGAAGCTTGCTGAGGAGCGTGCTGGAAACATCTCCGCTTTGGAGGAGCAGCTCCAGGCTGAGATCCGTGCGGACCTTTCTAAGCCTGAGACACAGCAGGTCAAGATCCTGTGGCAGGACTTGTATGATGCGCAGTACGCGAAGGAGTGGCCCGAATTCATTACCCACGGTCAGCTGCGTTTCACCCGTAACCACCTTATTGGTCAGGAGGATGCTAAAGGAACCGATGTCATTACTGATGGTACTTTCGAGGAGGCTAAGTAAGCCTTGGGTACCATTGATCTCCTTTGGATCTCGTCTGCGTTTCCTGAGCGTCTGACGATAGTCATGCATGTGTTGATATCTTCTTCCATCTGGTTCCGACCCGGGTGATGGACGGGGCTTTTTGTATTTTCTTTGCCGTGTCTTCTGTCTAGCTTTATTCTAGCATTCATCGCCACATAAATTGTACTTTTAGATATATCAAATCTTATTCTACAGCCACATTCTAGTGGCTTCAGTACACCGGCTCAGAAACCATGTCAGTATGCTAATTGGTCTACAATCTTACTTGAATTGAATAAATTTGATATGTGGGGAAAAAGTCATTTCATAACAAAGCACGAAGCCTAATCTCATACAAGTCAAGTTTAGGACGAAAGCCTAATGATAAAAAAGAAGTCCTATGCTTACAAGACATCCAGACAACCACGTCCGGCATCAGATAAAAAGTTTAGAATTTCGAAGAAACAAAGAAGGACAGCGGACCGAGTCTGCCATTGGTGCAAATGTAGGGTCTCGCAGACAAAGTATCCAAGGGGCACGCGTTTGCTAGCCTCAGGAGAGCGGACGACCGGGAAGACGATCTATCTCATTTTCAAATTTCGTATCACTTCGTTGAGCCGGGTGCATTATTGGAGCTCTTGTTCGGGCTCAAGATATCCACGGAGGGAAGGTCGTTACTTTCATTGAGAGACATTTCAGGCCCGGCCTCTTGTTCACGGCTTTCGCTGGCCATTCTCTGCAGTGTGTCGTTGGTAGCTTTCTGGGCCGCTTCGGGGTTGTCTGCTAGGCCGGCTGAGACGATGGACTTCCGTGCTCCTTCGACAATACTATCGGCTTCGCTCATGCCTTGGGCTTGTGTATTATCGCCATCCACGCCTATAAGATCTGCATTGTTGGTAACAACATCTTTGACGCGATTGGAATCAAGTCGGATGACCATGATAGAGAGATTGTCTGTACTGAATCGTGCAAGTGCGTGATCAACCAGAATCCTTGAGGCTTGTTGAGCGTCGTGCTCGTTGCGGATCAGATCGACGGCTTCTTGATCGCTGCAGACGTCCCACAGCTGTTTTCAAGTTAGCGCGTGTTTTATCATAGAAAGGACCAAAACTTACGCCATCGCAGGCCAAGATGATGAACTCATCGGCATCTGGCTGGATTACCGTCTCTGTTGTGTAGGGGTGTCCAGTCACAAGATCCTTCAAGTAGGCATCGCCCAGGGCACGCGTAACGGCCAGAACTCCATTGACACGGTTGTTCAGGATAAGTCCTCCGGCATTGGAGATTCTTTTGCCCTCGTTTTCGTCGCTTCCCTTGTGGTCATATGAAAGGCGGAGGGCTTTCCCATTCCGACATAACACGATACGAGCATCGCCCACATTGGCTGTGTACAGAACTCGTGAACGAATGGCCTTGTCCTGTAGTTTGGGAAGTACAACACCCGGGGTATCTTGGGTCGGGGTATCATTGTTTTCTGCGGCATTTTTCGTCGCTGCTGCCGCCGCGGGCGCGATGGCAGAAGATCCGGTCGCTGATTGCGAACTGGGTACACGGTCTTCCCATCTGAGAACAGCAGTGACTGCTGTGCAACCAGAGTTCTTTACGGGAAGCTTCTCCAACTGTTGGTCCACGCTAGTGAATGTCTGATCCAGGAGTTCCGGAACAGGGGTGTTGGGGCTTCTGCGCATGGCTTCCTCGAGAATCAGATGTAATTTCTTCCCACACCACTCTGCGGCAAATGTTCCAGCGTGTCCATCAAAGATCGCAAAGTAGCCATTGTCCGTTTCTATCACATTGGAGGAATCCTGTGAGGCTTGCGACACACTCGTCTTGAGGGGTGCGCCATTTGTACCCGATGAGCCCGGTGCGGGGGTCCCCAAGAAATTGTACAGATAGGCATGCGTGTCCTCCATTGTACGGCGGCATTTTCGATTGCGGTCCTCGGTCACACCCACGCGGAATGACGACCGAGCGGTCGGTCCAGATTCACCAGCAGAGTTATTGAACGAACCCTGGGGGACGCTGAGGGCCGGGTCCATCTTTCCAAGCTTGTGGAGCGGGCTTTCCGAGATCGAGGGACTGGTGCTCAGAGAGTTGTCACGACCGTTTCCACTCAACGAGCTCTTCGCGTTGCTGAAAAAGTTGGCGGCTTTGGTGACAGTACTGCTTCTGCGCTTCTTCTCGCCGGCGGGGCCCTGGTCTTCGCTCGATCGCCGGAAAAATCCAGCGCCCGGGGGTGAGAACTGAGAAAACTTCTTCTCGCGCGGACTGCTGCCGAGAGTGCCGGTAGTGTCGGTCTGGAGGGTCAAGGAGCTGGGGTCAAGACCGGTCTCTGGGAGAGTGTCTACTTTGTCTTTGGGTGGGCTCGAGGAGCCACTGAACATTCTGTTCAGTAACCCACCCTGCGAAGAGAAACTGCGGCGCTTATTTCCTGCCAGCTTGATTGTATCCCTTCGAGAGGAATGAGGCGCACGGGGTGGTTTGGGGATGGAGCGGGGCGAAGATGGGCGCGAGACTGACGTAGGAGTCGGTTTAGGCGGAGGTGGATCAGTTGGGCTAGAATCTCTGGATAAATCAGCGATGAGTGTCTCGAGGACCACTGGGGGATCTGAAACAGGAGAGATGGAGTATGATGGATTAGGCAGTGAGCAACAGACGTGTGATCAATTGGGGGCGCATAGCACAATCACGAGGGGAAGTAGCTTTTTTTGCTTTTGAAGAGATCAATGACAGAGATCAAAAGACCAAACAAAGTGATTCAAAAGGGTTCAGAAGGTTCTGAGAACCCAAAGGAGTGAGACCGACGCTCCGTACAAGAGATAGCAGTGATACGATGTATAATGCAAAGCGCGTATGGAGTACAAAGTACATCCACCCCGCAATGGAATTCACCACTTACAGAAAACTGATAAATTGATGGGCGAAGAACAATTCGAATGGCGGATTGGTATTCAGGAGGAAAGTGTCAAGAGAGAGATGATGCGATCAGGGAGAACCACACGTTAACTCCACGGCTCACGCGGCAGCGAGCGGAGAGAGCCAAGGCCGGGGTGGAAACTATCGAATTTCCAAGGTTATCTTGATTTGAGATTACTCCGTATCTGAATCGTTATATGCAAGGCACTCAGATCTGACTTCGGGACCTTTCAACGTTCTTGGCTTTGGAGATGCTATATACCCCGGATTCACAGTCGATGACGCGGGTTTCTTGTTTCTGGACTATGATGCCACTACAACCCTACATATATATTGTTTCGAAGATTGATACAGATGGAATGCAGATTTAATTACATTCGATCATTTCTCTCTTACATCCCATATTTGGTTTGTAAGAACGAGCATGATAAATCCGGAAGATCACCAATTACTGAAGTCCCCATAACCGCCGGATCTGGCCTTTTTGCGGACGGGCTCGGGCTCGGGCTCATCAACGGATCCCGAGATCCCACTCTCGTCCCGAGCTGCTAATGCTGCCTTCAAATATTTTCCAATGCCACCCGCACTCTGCTGTGAATCTGCAGCCCCACGGACTCTCTTTCCAGTCCAAGTGACCTGATCATCCTCCGCACGGCGTGCATTCTCTTCTTCTTCCTCTGCAGATGGGCCACTAGCACCCGAGGCGCGCGATTCTTCCTTCCGTCGCTGAGCGAGGAAGTCCTCGAATGGGTCTACGAAGACGGTAATGTCTCTGATCCGGACCTCGGGCGTTGGTCGATTCGTGTTTGCTTCCACGGGGTGTGTCTCGAGCGAGTTCAAAGTGGCAGATGATGGGGTAGGGTCGTCGATGATACGACCAAAGATGGTGTGTTTGAGGTTAAGATGGGGCAGAGCCCGGTAAGCGATGAAACTAGAGCATGTGTTAGATCGAACAGCGCGGAGAGAGCAATGGATCACTTACAATTGACTGCTGTTCGTGTTTTTGCCCTTGTTGGCCATACTCAAGGTTCCGCGACCATCGTGTTTTAAAGGCCCATCGAACTCATCTGAGAAGTATTTGCCCCAGATACTCTCGCCGCCTCGACCAGTACCACTGGGGTCACCACCTTGAAGCATGAAACCCTTGATATTGCGGTGGAAAGGAACATCCTTGTAGTAGCCCTTTTTAGCCAATTGAATGAAGTTCCAAACGGTCTTGGGCGCGTATTCGGGATACAGCTCCAAATTCAAATGACCAGAGGTGGTCTCAATGCGCGCATAAGCCTTGGCCTTCACGCGACCACGCTTGAGCATGAAATCCTCCTCCGACAACAATGCAAGCTCGGCAGATGTGTGTGGTGTCAGCCCAGTGCTAGTGAAAGAAGCGGCCGCCTTTCCTGTTGTAAATTTGGCGGCATTGTAAGGCGTGGGCTTCGCAGGCTGCGTGGTCCCAACCTTGGTGGTAGCCGCAGGTCCAGACTTTGCAACAGCTTTAGAGCCTGTTGTAGCAGAGGCAGCCTGCTGGGCACGATCAGCGCGGGCCTTGGCCACGGCCTCTTTCGCTTTTAAGATTTTCGCTGAGCTACCAAGCGCATTGGTGTTGACGCTCCCGGAAGCCTGTTGATCCTCCAAAACTCCCGTCTCCCCTTCTTTGATATAGTTGAAGGAGCTGAGGTTGCGCGACTCGATGTTCTGTGGGTCCTGCAATGTGATGATGTCCTTCCGACTGAATTCCTCATCTGTAACCAGATCGCGCCACAATTTCCCCTTGATGTTCAATCGCTCTACCGTATCCCAGGAAAACACGTTGCCCGTATTTCGCAGCGCGACAATATGTGTGTTGTCCGTCAGGATCTTAAAGGTGACTGGGTCCACATAGTCGCCGTCCTCATTTTTTGCGAGAGTCAATTTGATGAGCTCGGAGCTCTTCAACGGCGACCCATCGACCGGGTTTGTCCCATGTTTCTTGATCCACGGAAGGATGTTCGTAATGTCAAAGAGCGTTCCATTTTGTGTGCAGACCGGATGCGAGAATGGTTGAAGGGAGAGGGAGCAGAAGTTGAACGGTAATCGCTTGAATGCGGCGTGTGGACCGCTCTTCTTGGCCTTCGAAACGCCAGCGCCCGCACTAGCCGAGAAGGCGTCCTCCGATGCCCACTCGGAGTGTGTGATCTAGAGAAATCATGTTCGTTAGCAAAGTTTCGATATGCGATCGCGCGCAAAGAAGGAGAACGCCAGTAATTTGCATACGTAGAGTTTATCCGTTCCTGAATGTGCTGTTAGCCAAGTCTGGGACACACACAGGCAATATGGGTCACATACCTTTTCCCATGGCTGGCTGAGAGGGTGGGTGATGCTGGCATAAGTTTGCGCTCGTCTCGGTGATTCAATGATGGCAAAACCTTACCGCTTTGGGATTAGCCTAATCAACGTGGGGATCTATAAATGCCATCCACTACTTGGTTCTCAATCTGGCGGACACTCTGGCGCGAAGAGAGAGAAAGATCAGAGATCATTAAAACAGCCGGGTGAGAGCTCTTGATGCGAGAGAGAAGAAGTAGGAGACACAATTTCCCAAAATACGCAGCGTCACACATCTACTTCAGATAGATCCTGCTTTTAGTTAGTCCTAGGTACAGAGCAGAATCGTAGCAAAATGAGAACTGGGAACAATATTGCTACCATACACTTTTCGCAGAGCCTAATCACCAGACAAGCTCGAGGGATAATCATACATGTACAAGAGCCATCCTTCCCGCTAGAAAAGCCCATGCAGGGAAAAAAAAAAGAAACATTAAAGAAAAGAACGCTCGCGAGACTCAAATCAGCCCGCAAAGTGAAAACGCCTGGACGATGTAGGTCATGAACTCATTTGAATGTAGAAGCCAGAGGCATGGTGCTTAAGCAAGCAATGGCTGGTACTTCAATGGAACCACCCATTTGTTTCCGAAATCGATTCCGTGGCGACGGCGAGTGCCATACTTGCGCCAGACGATCTGAGGAATTCCGATGTCTGCCACAGCCACGGCCACAGCCCAAGAAACTCTTTCGGCAGATAGAAGGGCATTCAGGATTCCGGTTTTTGGCGCTCCGAGACACACCACGGATGTGGCATTCACGCAAAGTCGAGCCCCGTCCGCAATGGTAACCTCACCTGCAGGGTTCAGATTAGTCAAATTGTGAGGGTCCAAGGATTTTAGAGGATTCTTACCAGTAGAAGCATGTAGACCCGAAGGAACGTCGACGGAAAGCACGCTGGCGTTGCCTCGGTTCATCCATGAGATCATCTCAAAGGCCACAATTTGATCATCGGTCCGGAGATCATCAAACGATAGATGCATACCGAACAAAGCGTCGATCAGCAGGTCTGGGCCTAGGTCGGAGGTGGCCAAGCGGGCGGAAAGCTCGTCCCATTTGAGCACGCGTCCACCAACCTTACGGAAGATGTCAAGTTGCTTACGGCAGTTTTCGAGCAGTTCAGCCTCATGCTCCAGTCCAAGTAGACAAACAGTCACTCGGTGTCCACGGTTGCGTAGGTGTCGAGCCGCAGCAATAGCCCGGGCTCCAGTGCGGTGATTGCCAGTGATGATGACCATGTTTGGCGCAGCAGCGTCGTTAGAAACAAGCGCCACAGCGGCCTCTGCAATGCCTCGCCCTGCGTTTTCAGTGATGATTTCCTCAGCTAGCCCAAACTCGGCGACGGAGATCTGCTCGATCTCCAGAGTCTGCAAAGGGCTCACGGTAGGGCAACTACGATTGGTAGTTGTAAGGCGGAGCGAACCTGCGCCAGATACATTCGGAGCAACCATAGGCGAAACCGATGACCGACCAGGGCGAGGGCTGGTCGTACGGGAGATGTTCACATGCAGCTGGCTACGCCCCAGTCCACTGAGCTGTTGCATCATTGGAGGGGCGTGTATGGCACTGTCTTTGCGGGAAGGCTGTGCTCGTGGCCGTTCACGTGCGGAGAGTGGCTCGCCGCCTACCTTCATTTCATTGCTGCCCTCGAAGTCTTCGCCAGTGGTATCACCGGTGTCACTGTTCTGTGGACTATCAAGCACGTTTTCGGTCCAGTGGAGGTTTTTACCGCCATTGGTTCCGGGCTTGATCTTCCGGTTGAAGCTGACCAGACGCTCTTCGTCCGCAGTAGTGTCATCATTGCGAATTTGTTCAAAGACAGTCCGCTTGTCAAATTTCGAGAGATTGCTTGCAAAATCGAATTCGCCTAGCTCTTGAATGTCAGTCGCATCCTCGGTAGCCCAGCCACTAGGATCCTCGGTATAGCGGCGTGACTTCTTTTTACGTAGCTTCGGCCCAGATCGCGACATGGGCTCCGGCGAATCTTGGAATGCAGGGCCCGCTGGCTCCACAAACGCAGTCTGACGCCAGCCCTTGCTCTTAGGGTTGGTACTTGCCGCAGCGCCGTGTTTGGCAGCATGGCCTCTTTCCACACTCTGGTTAGCTCGTCGGTTGCGCTGAGGTGTCAGCTTTTGAGGCGATGGCGCCTGTGGGCCTTGTCCCAAGTTCTTGTTGGTGCCCCCTTGCGTTCCAGTATCCTCGCCGTCTGCATTCAGTTCCAGACTGCTAAACGGCTCGCTCAGAGAGGACGAGATCGTTGCGGGGAAATGTTTAGCGGATCCAGCCGGTGGTCTATTCTCGGCTGACGGTTTGGACTTGATGGGCGTGTAGCTGAGGATAGCCGGGTCCATAAAATCTTGCTGGGTCGGAGTGGCTTGAGTTGGGCCCAATGGCGCATTCAATGGCGCATATGATTGAGGGCGAGAATGAGCCTGCGGCTGAGGCACATGCTGAGGCTGTGGAGGAGCTTGGGTGCTGGTTTCAAGAGATAGGTCGCCGATCACAGAGGCATCAATAGAGTATTGCGCAAGACGCTGGCCGTTCCAAAGCAGCGTGACTATGAAAATGTTAGTTTTGATCCCAAAAAACGCTGTGGCTGGTCAGCCTACCGTTATGAAGCAACAGCTGCTGCCCGAAGACATTGGCAACCTGGCCCACCAGTCTTGCGCCCGGTGGCTCCTTGAGTTCCACGAGGACATTGTAGCCAATGAATTCCGAAGCCATGTCGATTGTAAGCTTAAGTAGTCCAGCAAACAACCATTTGACTAGGAATTCCTTGGTTCGGAGAAAGCGCGTTGAACTTGGGAGGGGGGGTCTAGGCTCGGATGAGCACTCTGAATAGCTTAATCCGAGGTCACGTGCCAGAATGCTCAGCCCGCTGCTCGCCCGGTGGAGTCCTTATCGCAAGCTGCCTTATCGCCTATCGCGATAAGCCGTGGGGTGAACCTTGGAGGCCCTTTAGGGCTAGGTAGTAGGTAGCAAGACCTCGGGAGTATGAAGTAGCTTATACTCCCGTGAAGCAAGGGATGAAGTCTACCCCGTGATGTACATGTGTGCATTCAGTAAAAGAGCCCACCGGGCTTTCTAGCTATGATTGAATGCTCAATCAAATTCCATGTCCGTACTCCGTATGTTCTGATGGCAACCTTGGAACCTCTCAACTTACAACATTCGCTCGTACAAAGGTATCACATATGGAACATTCAACCACCTGGGCAGTGGTATCAATACTATTTGGTTGTGATCAATAAAAACTAACATTGATACCACATATTGCGTTGCACGATACCCACATCCGTCCAGACACAACACCCGCTATGTTATATAGATCAACAATAGTCCAAGTCATCAAAATCATCAGGGTCCAGATCAGTTGTCGGCTTGGGCCTATTGGCTTCAGTGATGCTGATCAGGTTTGAATAGAATTCGACCACTCGTGGATGCACCATGACCTTGCGAGGCTCAAACCCTGTGACCTGCAACCCCTCCTGCGACACTGCTCGACTGAGTGCGACGTAGGCTTGACCCTTCTCAAATACTTTGCCCAAGTTGACCTTCACACGCTGGAGAGTCTGGCCCTGTGCCTTGTGGATAGACAGGGCCCATGCCAGAATCAGTGGCACCTGTTGACGCTGTGCTTGCACCTCTCCATTAGGAAGCTCAATCTTCCACGTCTCGGGCTGGCAGAGTAGATGACGCTCTGATCCATCAGGTTGCATAAAAGAGACCAATGGCCATTTTCGAGCCATGGATGCTGATGGTTCTTGGAATCCCATAGGTTTCAACTTCTTACGAGCATGCATGGCTCGCTCATCGTCGCTGCCGATCCCATCGGGGTCAGCAGGGTCTTTGTCGTTTGCTCTGTACAAATCAAAGTAATCTTCACTCATAAAAGCCACCACTTTTCCAATGGAACCGTTGACAAGTGAGTCCTCCATGTTCTTGATAAGCATGACTTGTGCTCCTTTCTTCAATTTGATCATGGGAGGCGCCATGCAGTTAGACAATAGTCTGTCACGGTGAGTCTGGTCTTGAATTGACCCGGAGTCTACTGCATTGAAGACCATTGTGTCGCCCGAAAGTCTGCCCATCCTTGCAGAGTTGGCACCTTCCACTTCTGCGCGAGTTGGGAATCTATATAGGGTCAGTTCTGTGCCCGCTCATTCATAACAATGCAACGTACAATTCGGTTGCTTCAAGAGAATCGTGGAAATCAAGAGGCCGCGAGAGCTTTCTGAAAGCTTCAATAGTCCTGGGTGTGATTTTTCCGAGTCGCATTTCATTCAGCATATCAGCAAATTCTGGGTCCCTTTGACGGAACACGTTTGTCAAAAGGATGGTGTGTTGGATGCAAGTGGTCCACGAAGCAGCAGCAAATGCAAACTTGGCCTCACGGTTACCCCCTTCCGGCACAGGAGGTAATTGGAAGAAGTCACCCGTGACAACAAGTTGAATTCCTCCGAAAGGTCGACCGTTGTTGCGCATCCGTCGGGCGATTTCTTCCAGTTTATCAAACAGATCTCCATCGACCATAGACACTTCATCAACAACGAGAACCTTAGTACGCAACCAGCGATTCCGGGCTTTCTGATTTTTCTTGATCTGTAGACGATTAGTCTCATTTGCTGCTGGGGAGATCATTGGGACCAACCTTTTTGACCAGTTCGGGAACTGGCTCTTTGCCCAAACCTATTCCCGCAAAACTGTGCAAGGTCACACCTCCAATATTGCAGGCCGCAAGGCCAGTTGATGCCGTGACTGCAACACGATCAGGTTCCTTGCGATATTTGCCACGCAGCTTAGCAATGATTTCTCTCATGAGCACTGATTTACCAGTTCCAGCGGAACCAGTGAAGAACATGCTTTTCCCTCTATCAACCACTGCCTCCAGAACCGCTCTTTGCTCATCACTGAGGAAGACAGCAGCAATCTTCGCCTTAGGTTGAGGCTTGACATCAGGTTTCTGGGTCTTTTTGGACGCCTGCCGCAACTCCTTTTGCTCTGCCTTGATAGTGCTCTCTGACTTATTCCAAGGCTCCGTGTTTTTGGTACGTTTTGGTGTCACAAAGTTATTCTTCTTGTCTTCGAGGGGTTCCTTGGCTTCCTTGGTCCATGGAAGTGTCCTTGGTTTCCTCACGGGTGGTTGATAATGCGTCGGGGGTGATGAGGACCATGGCATTGGCACGCTACTTGGAGGGACCAATCCATCTTGGGAAACGGAGGGGAGATCTGGGTAATTGACGTCTCGCGGAGCTTCGGTGGCGCTTATTGCGGTGTCCAGGCTGGGATAAGTGACCGGCTTTGAGGTGATGATGTTTGCAGAACTCGGCGCAATTGGTGGCTGTGGTTCATCGAAGTCAATGTCATCGTCAAAGTCATTCTCAGTAAAGAAAACTGCGCTGTGGAGGGACCCCAGCGACGATTCAGATTCGATCTTTCGTTTGATGCCGGAGGACTGAGATTGTGGTCTCGGGGGAGCTGATGCATTCGAGCGCAGGAGATCGGACTGGACCAAAGGCTTTGGGCCCCCACCCGGGTGGTCTTTGACAGCCTTTTTGAACATGGTCCTGCTTTGGGAGGGTGCGGTTCGAGGTGAGGATGAATAGGCAGATGAGCTCAAAAATCTCCTAGAGCAGATGCAAGAGAATTGGAATGTGTGAAGCCCCGCCGCCCTAAGTCTAGCAACATGCATAAAATAGAATGCAGAAGAGCAATTGCGGACGTAGAGTCACGTAAGTACTGATAGGCACGGATATTGATTTTCCACGCGCGTTGGAGGACGCGTCTATCTGCACGTGACCGCTTAAGATAAGATGTCTTGTACAATATGTTTTCTTGGAAGGACCAGCTAGATGTGCCTGAGAGCTATCTGTTTTATAAGACTACCCAGGTGGTAAACGAATGAGGTGATAGAGTAAATCAAGCCATAGTATCGAGTGGCTAATCGAGCCTTGGAAGTACAAATCCATCGATACTACCCGGACAGAACGTCTAATCACGTGACCCTTATCGCCGTGAAAACGCGCGGGATGAGAGTCCAAAACCGAGACAGTATCAACAACCAATCGCAAGGATATTTTCTCAGGAACGCGAGATTGAGGCATTTTGCGCCTTGCGACCATGAAGAATGGCAGAGATGGCTGTTTCGGGTACGTTTAGACCACTTGAAAACCGAGTGCGCCAACATCGTGGCCTCAATGCTGATGAGATCGTGTTCTAGACAAGGACTACCCTTTGAAGGGCGTAGTCATTTGCTTTACGTCAGTTCAAATTGAAAGAAGGGCAAGTGAATCCTCTCCCACCGAAGCTTTTGATATGCAGCTGACTTGTATACCATCAATCAGACGCCATTGACCCAAATGGCAGAGCAAATGGGCGCACTGCATAGTGTTCATCTTACCTCGGATGTGACACATCTACTTGTTGGTGATACAAATAGCGACAAGTACAGGTACGTTGCAAGGGAACGCAATGATGTCCAGGTCATGAAGCCAGAATGGATTGAGGCCGTACGACAATCATGGACTCAAGGAGAGGACATGAACATACAGGCGGTGGAAAAAGAATACAAACTGCCAGCTCTATTTGGGCTGAAGATATGTATCACTGGATTTTCAGACCGTGAGCGCCTCCGTCCCCAATTGGATTTGGGACCTTGCTAACATATTCCACGCAGTTCCTTTCCGAGCATACATGCAGAAGACAACGGAAGAGAACGGAGCCGAGTATCGCAAAGATCTGACAAAATCTGTCTCGCATTTGATTGCGCGCGACTCGAGTGGCGAGAAATTCAAATTCGCAACGCAATGGAACATCAAAGTGGTATCGGTGAAATGGTTTACCGACAGCATCGAGCGCGGGATGATCTTGAATGAAGATAAATATCATCCAATGGTACCACAAGAAGAGCAGGGTGTTGGGGCATGGGATCGATCTCTCCCGTCACAGAGGGAGCCCTCTCGGAGAGACAGTGTGGGCACCAAAGACAGTCCGGGGAACCCACGCCCTCGAAAATTGCGCAGGATGGCAAGTACCAAATTGGTAGATCAGAATGAAAGTATTTGGGGTGATATCGTCGGAACAGGGTTTGCCAATGAGACCAAAGGAACCGATACCACCCCCAAAGGCCAACAACCTGAAGCCTCCAAACCTACGATACAGGCATACAAATCTTTTGCTAGCGAGACTACTTTCTCAGAAAGCACTCAATCTAATCAAATGCCAGCGCCAGCGCCAGTACCGGTGAAAGACACTGGCTTTTTACATGCGACTTTCTTCTTCATCGCTGGATTCTCTTCTAAGCAGGTATGTGTTATGCTTCCTAAAAACTTCACATGGGTGAGTGTTATGGCACTGACTGGTAGTAAAGGCCAAAGTTCTACGGGAGCATCTGACTTATAACGGAGCTCAATTGGTAGATTCGCTGAACGATTTTTCCCGGCCTGCTATCCCCAAAACTGGACATGGATTGTTCATCATGGTACCATATCAGACCCCTGGCTCGCAAGTACCTTCTACGGACGATATGGCTTTCGAATGCGAAGTTGTCACAGAAATGTGGCTGGAAAGGTGCATTGATGCCCGGGCGTTTGTCCCACCCGAGTCCCATGTAGCGAGCACTCCATTCTCGAAATTTCCTATACCAGGTAAGTACTGAACAGTCTTGAGGAAACGAAGGCTCTAACATATCAAGGGTTCCCGGAAATGCGTATCTGTTCCACTGGCTTTGGAGGCATCGATCTTCTGCACCTTCGCAAAGTTGTAGAATTGATGGGTGCTGTATATGGAGATTTCTTGACACCCAAAGCATCCGTTCTCGTCTGTAAAGATCCTCAAACAGCGAGTCTGGACAAATTGCGTCATACGGCAGAATGGGGGGTTCCAGCTGTCTCCGCTGACTGGCTTTGGATATCGATACAGGCTGGTCAAACGAAGCCATTCGATGCATACATCGTTCGACGGCCCACATCTCAAACCAACGGTGCCGAGAAAATTGGCACCTCCTCTGCAAAGCGAAAGCAATTGCACAAAACTGTTGACGAACGACGAGCAGACTCACCGCTGAGAAGCTCTGTCAATGCCACAGCAGCCAAACTAGACAGAAGAGACTCTGGAAACGGGCTTCCGAGCCGAACTGTACCAGTCATTGGCGATGGTTTCGTAGATGATGCACCAAAACCGTCTGTTCCCGAATCTCGATCGCCATCCCCGGCTAGAAACTCAGAACAACAAGCCGGAGAGGAACCTGGCACCAAAGAGGGCACTCCAAGCACCGAACCCCCACCCAAACCAGGTCCATCAGCGCTGGACACCGCACTCAGCGGACTGCTTCAACAGGCCCGAGCAGCCAAATCTAGACAACAATCCGAGGCCACCAAGGACGGTGGCGACCCACCCAGACGAAAGCGCAAGCCCCTTCTAGGCCGTGCTCCATCCCACACCTCAGCAAAGGTACTCGAGAACCCCATCTCTCGCGCCAGCTCAATCGATACACTCAATGACGACGGCCTGGGCAGCGCACTCGAAAGCGCCCAGCCAACACGAGAAAACTCTCAATCCCTCGGCAGGGGCGAACAGAGCTTATCATCTATGCTCAGTGGCGGGAAGTTTGATTTCCTCAATGACCGACTGCCAGCTCACGCTGAAGACGAAGATGAGGAAAACCAGCAGCCACAGATGACACAGCTGGATTATGAAGATCCCGATGCGGCTGCTATGAGAGCAGAATTCCTTCGCAATGCGGGGAAGCTATCAACCAAGACCAAGACCGATAGCGGCGTGCATGTTGGAGAGGTACGGGAGCTAGAGGATCTTGGGTGGGCTTCTGGTCGTAGAACGAGGAAGCAACCTGTTCGAGTCGAAGACGAATAATGTGGATTTCTTTTCAAAAGCTGGAATTGGATGCATCACAGTTTGCATATTTCGGCGCAGGCGTGGCATTGCATTGCGAATGGCGCCCATTTGTTTTTTTGTCGATTTGAGTGATATCTAGAGCCCCGGTTACGGCTTAATACTAAAGCATGAAGTTCTCTCACATGTGCAATTCAAAAGAAAAGCAAAGAAAAGAGCGTGGAACGGTAGTCATGTACTCAAACTTGATTCTGCCATTTGTTGTCCAAAGTGAGAACATTAAACTGGCAATCTCGAGGCTAGCAAAGCTTTTGAACAGATACAAGCAGTCTTAATTCAGGTGGGAATCTTGAGGGTGGGGGTAGGAGGGGACTAAACTACTGCTGGTACATGTCAAAACGTTATGGAATACAGGAAAGTGACGAAGTAGGTGAGTTTGACATGTAGACACCATAGGAGCAGAAGGGGGTGTGGAGAAGTCAGAAAAGGACAGAGATGCAGAATGTACAAAAGAGTAAAGGGAAGGAAGAGGCAGATGAAGAACAGTTTCGTGGGAATCATGAGTGGTTATACAAAGGTAGTCCGGTGATTACGCCTCCATTGCCGCAGCCATGCCGCCAGGCAGGGGAGCATCAAGGTCCAGATTCTCAACGGTGCGGCGGTTCTCGCTGCTATCGCGGAAGAGGTTTGAGAAGTACTTGGTGGCAACATCACTCTCTTGCTTGATTTTGGTGACCTCTTGCTTGCGTCTGCCCAGATCCTCGATGTCCTGGGATAGGCAAGTTTGAAGATTGCCAGCGGGCATGCGCAGCATGCGGCGGACCTCGGTCGAGATACGGTTGGCATTAGAGTGGACGTAATCCATTTCGGCAAGAGTGGCGGCAATCTTGCGCGACAAGCGGGGAGGAAGAGTTGACGGAATAGAGTTGAGCACATATGCGGTTGTCAGAACAGCTTTGTCATGTTAGCGCAAGTTAAATCGTGCATTGTCATTGGAAGAAACTTACCAGCAGCAAGGATACTGGGGAAGAAGAGTCTGCGCATGTTGTTCGGGCCAATGAGTTTGACGGCGCTCAAGGCACTGTCTACCCAGCTGAAACCACCCAATGCTCTACCACCCAGCACAGTGACCGCTGTCATTGCAACGCCTGTTCCGGCCAGCTTCTCCTGGCGCTCCCAGAGACCGGCAACATCAAAGAAGTCCCACAGCTCAACCTCGGTTTCAACTTGTCGGCCAAACGTGTGACGACGACCACGGCGGAACATAGCATCGGCCCGGAAGTTGAGCGGGGTGAACTTGTCTTCACCGATGTGCAGCAGGCCAATGTTTTGGATGAAACCGACCCCTTGAACTGTCTTTTCCCGAGCGTAATCCTCACAGTTGTTAACCGAGAGAGCAATTTGATCTAACATTGCCAGCTTCAAATCCTCGGCGTATTGGAACGCTGAGAAGAGACCAGGATATTCAACACCAAGGTCTGCATCGGATACACGGGTGATTGTATCAGTCAAGGTTGAGCGAGTGTGATTATAGACATCATCGCACGAGTCATCGATGGCCTTGTTGACGCCTTCCGCAAGTTCTCCCTTCTTTTTCTTTCCATTCTCGAAAGCAGGCTCAAGCTCGGCCAGCTCGCTTGTCACTCGCTTGAGCTCCGCTTGAGCAACATCGCGATTGACAGTGGCGAGGGAATTAAGGTCAGCCAAGAGGTTTAGTAGATAGGTTCTTGCAGGCGCAAGCTTGGAACGAGATCGCTTCTCAAGGACAAAACGCCGCAGGGCTCCTTCAAGATTCTCAAAGTCTTGGAGTTTCTCGCGTTCTTTGCCCTTACCCTTGTCATTGGGGTCTTTCTTGTCATCGTCATCATGCGGATCGGAGCCACCGCCATCACCACCACCGCCACCGGAGCCTGATTGGGAGATAGCAGGGGGTGCAACTGGAATGGCATTGCTTGAAACGAAATGAACGAGCTCAGTGGCCTCCTTGTAAGTGCGAGGGCTAAGTTTGCCAATTTGATCCAAGATCATGCGCTCACAACGCTGCTTGTCACGGATTTGGTCGAATCCATTGACAACCATGAAGATGTAAGCCTTCTCATGAGCAGCATTTAAAATGAACTCCTTTGCAGAGAGGGTGAAATGGTTAGCTGCTGATACGACGAAAACAACAACGTCAATCTCTTCCTGCCGAGCAAAAACGGCGGTAGTCTTCAATGAGTCCGAGTTCAGTCCCGGTGCGTCGATCAAGGCGATGTCAACGACGCCGTTGTTGAGTAGCGACTCGTCGATAGACCGTACATCCTTGACATAGACTTTGCACTGCATGTACTTTGTGTTCTCGATCACAATGTCTTCAAGCTGAGCGAGAGTATAGACATCAAATGTGCTTTCATCGTTGCGGTTGTATGGCGTATCCTTGTGCACAGCGTGGACTTCCTCGATTCCACAATTCTCGCGAGCGTCGAGAACTTCGCAGAATATGCTGGTACAAGGCTGCTGGTCTTCTGGGAGAACCTTTCGACGCAGCAAAGCATTGCAAAATGTCGATTTTCCTGCGTTCAGATCTCCAGTAATCAGAACCTTACTCGAAGTATCCTCGATTCTGTCACGCAGCGAGAGAAGATGCTTCATGCTTTGGCTGATCTTCCCATCGAGGAGCGAAGCAATTGATGACTTTTCCAACGAGTGGACTAGTTCCGCCTGCGATAAAGCGCCCAGCTTCAGATCAAGTTTGAGAATAGAAAACTCCTGCGCAATCTGTGGAGTCATCAATCTGGGCTCTGTCGGGGCTCGTCGTTCAGCGGAGGTGCTGGATTCTGCTAGATTGTCTCCGCCCATGGTGGTAGCTGCGCGTCGCAGGTCTGGACGGGGTGGGGTAGTCGGCCTCTCGCTGCCCCCAAATTCCGAGTTGGTGTGATTCAACTGTGGCCGACTCTCAAGAGAAGCGGGTGTGTTTTGTACCGAAGGATAGTGGGCGGGCCATTGACGATTCATATCCTGGAGTTCCTTCAAGGTATCGATAGTCCGGGAGATTGCGCGACCAAGTTTGGTGCGGTTCGAGTTGCTGAAAAGTTGTCAGCTTTCAATTTCCAAGACGACTTTGGTCGGAGACAAATTAGACATACTAAAGAAGCTGAGAAACATGGCTGGCAACCACTTGCTTTTCATGTTCAGCTGTATACTGTTAAACCTTGATTCGGATCCTTCATTGATAAGGATAGCAGAACGTCTCAAGTTACATACCAGCCGGATTCCATTCTCCAGGGCGCGTTGGTGTATGCACTGGTGTCGGTCGATCCTCCATCAGTCCTGCGCGCCAAGCCGCGTTCGAGTCTTCCTCCATGGCGCTTTCGTCGGCGATGCTCCCCCCGTAGCCGGAATCTTGGTTCAGCGATGTCATCAAAGCTGTAGCACTATCCGAGGTTGAGCCGTTGCCGACAGTCATGTAGGACGGCGGGGGAGGGAAAAAAGGATTCTGCTCTGGAACCTCTTCCTCGCCAGAGAATCTGGACGAGGTGGCTCGAGAGGAAGAACCCTCACCAGAATAATACTCCTGACTCATAGCGGACGTACAGCCACGGCGTGGGAAAAATCCATCAAACAGCAAAAAGTTGTGTTTTTGAACGTTTGATTGGAGATGAATTCCAAGGTTTGATGACGTCGGTCCAAAAACGGACTAGCGTGCATGTGACCCGGTACCAACGTAATGTAACTGTAATATGACAATACCGCGATTGATGTCACTGTTTCTAGGTACTCACCTAGACAGGCCTCTACTTTTGAATTTGAACATTACTCCTTCCTTCGATCAAACGACTCACTGTCGACTCTCACCATGAATGTATGATCTACTGCAAAACCCTCGTGATAGACTTTTTACTTACAGAACACCTCTCAGATTGTGGAATGGGCTTTTGGCAAGCGCATGACCCCCGCGGAGCGTCTGCGCAAACACCAGCGTGCCTTGGACCGAACACAGCGTGAACTAGACCGCGAGCGGGTCAAACTAGAGAACCAAGAGAAGAAGTTGGTCCAGGATATCAAGAAGAGCGCCAAAAATGGCCAAGTCGGAGCCTGTAAGATCCAGGCCAAGGACCTGGTTCGGACGCGGAGGTTGGTTTCACACCTGTCTACGGGTTGTTACAGTTTGGGCTAACCTTATGCGCAATGCAGATACATCCAGAAATTCTATCAGATGCGCACGCAGTTACAAGCTATATCTCTGCGCATTCAAGTATGTGCAACCCGCCCTTCATTACCCCTCTCAAAGTTGCCAATTCGCTAACCTTTGTTGCCCTTAAGACCGTGCGAAGCAATGAGCAGATGATGCAGTCTATGAAGGGAGCCACGATGCTTCTGGGTAGTATGAACCGACAAATGAACCTACCAGCGCTCCAGAGAATCGCGATGGAATTCGAACGAGAGAACGATGTTATGGACCAACGACAAGAGATGATGGACGATGCGATTGATGAAGCTACAGGAATGGAAGGCGAAGAAGAAGAAGGAGAAGACATTGTCAAGGAGGTGTTGGACGAGATTGGTGTCGATCTGAACCAAGCGGTTTGTTTACCCTCATCTCTTAACATGTATACTCCGGGGACTAACTTCTTTCAAAGTTTGGTGAAACACCTGCAGACATACAGAAAGCGCCAGCTAATGAAACACGGGTTGCGCAAGCCATCGGGGGTGGAGGCAATACAAGTGACGATGATCTCCAAGCCAGGCTGGACAGCCTTCGACGATAATCATCACCTTATTTGTGTAATAGGCAGGAATCTACTGATACAACTTTCACCTGTCTTGCTGTTCTTAGCATGCCCTTGAAGATACTCATACCGTTATCAATCTATCACCTCTCAGTGCGTCCAGGTTTTATCTTTTAGCTGCACCTTACACTTACTCTCTTGCGACAAGGTGGCAGAATCACACTAAATCATGCTTTATAGAAACTAACTAACAAATTCAAACCTTGTTCTAGGGCGAAGGTCAAGTTGGACTCGAATCGCTCTGTGCAAACTGGAACCATTGAAAAACACCTGTGCTGGAAGCAAAGAGCAAAAGAGCAAGAGCAAGCACATGCAGCCAACCTAGGTATTTTTGCCGCCATAAATGTCGGATCGACGGACCAGGCGGCCGCCGCCTTGCTGTGCTTTTGCATAGGTGGCAACTCGAGGTCGTTTTAGAGGTCGACCAGACTCAACTTCTGCGGCGGTCCACTCGGAAAACCAAAGGAACGAGGTCAACTCTTGTAGGATTGGCCGGTCCTCTAAATTCCTAGCCAGCGTAGCTTGTAACATATCCTGACAGTCCTGTGAGAGGTTTTCGCTTATTGTTACATCCTCGTTGACCATTCTCTTGCGTCTATTTTTGACCTCAGGGTAATGCTCGTTCGTATAATCACCGTCCCAATTCCCATGCCAGTTTTGGGAAAGATTTTGCAGTTCCCAGGGCCAGTATCCATGCAAGAAGCCGTAGGCGAGTGTTGAAAACTTCCACAAGGCGACGTCCCTTTTGTCATTGGGCAGGTAGAGCTCTCTTGGCATAACGTCTGAAGCACCAAGATCTCTGAGTCGGTCAAATTTCAGATACTCTGCGGCTAACTCGGGCCTCATTTCGTATTCTTGAAAGGGGATCACGCCGTCAACTGTGTACTGGAAGCCCTCGTCAGTGGGCGAGAAGGTCATGAGTCCTAGGTCAATCAATTGAACGTTTAGGTCTTGGTCCACAAGGTAGTTGTTCACCGAAAGGTCGCCATGGCATATCCTGATATCATTTAGTTGAACTAAACCTTCCAGAAATTGGCTTGCAATCTTGCAACCCTCCATTTCACTTACTACGACATTGTGGTCGTTGTTGGTGAGCCATTTACCTGTGAACGGCGGAAAGCTGGGCAACCGGTACCTGAGAACTCCCTCAACGTCGTGCAGAAACGAATCTTGCTCGGGAATCTTAGCTCTTCCCTCTGGAAAATCGTCGATGCAAGCTCGCATCACCAACGCCCATTGGAGGCCGTGGACGTAGATTGAGTCGATGGTGGGGAATCTGTCACTGTTATTGAGATAGATTAATGCAATTGCTTCCGCTGGAATAAAATGTTCCTCTCCGGTAGGCTCCACAAAACGGTTCATCTCGGGGAAGGCGCGGTTAATCAACAATTCGTTTACCACAGTCTTATGTGCTTGACCTTTGATTGCATATTGCTCAGGGTTTGTGGAGCGATCGGCTGCACCACTCCACTCTCGCGCAACGAACGCGATTCCATAAGCTATCTTCTGTTAGCAGCGATCAACATTCAAAAGAGGAGAAACTTACTTCCTTGACCTAGGATTCCGTAGATCCTAATTCTTTCCAAAAGACTCGGGCATAGAACGCGAATCTTGGCGGTCGTACGCTGGGTGTAAGGGATTCTCTTCATTTCCTGGTACAGGGCACTAAATGAAGCTTGAAATTTCTCGTCATGGCCCGCGGTATCAAGCCATGATCCCCCATGACATTCACACAAAGAGAAATTCCGGCGACCACGCTTATCGAAGACTGCCTTGAGCCGAGCCCTGAAGACTCGGCTGATTTGAGGGTGCTGCTGTGATAAAGGATGATTTGGGTCCAGCAGTTTTAGAGCATTATACCCAAATGAGTGCTGGAAGCCGACAAAGGCCATGCCCCTTGGATCACTTGGTTGACCAACCTGATTCTCGAGTGGCTCTATGGGGCGCCCCTCTCCCAGGAAATCAAACCCATATATGTCTGTCGGGATTGAGCTAAAGCCGTAGCTGCTCTCGGCACCCTGTTGTCCCCCGGGTTCGTTTGGTTCATTTGGTTCCTCGGGTTCCGGTTCCTGGGGCTCCTCGGGTTCACGCCGGAGCTCCTCTCTGTCTTCCTCACTGTGTGCCTGAAGTAGATAGCTGTCAGATCCTTCGGATTCACTTTCACTACTAACTCCGGACATAATCGTATCCTCCGGGGATTCAACTACTCGTCTCGTCTCCTCGCTCCCAGAGAAAAAGATATCGTTAGATCCAGCCATGTTGACCTGTGAAGTGTTGAAAAGAGGAATGGAAGAGGTGTATAATCAAAAGAACTGGTAAGGAAAAAACTAAAGAGGGGACTGGAGTGTTATTTATGCCAGGCCCACCGGTAAGCAGAGGACGACCAAAGCCATTGTGTAAAAACAATAGAATATCGAAATAGCTCATCAAAGGATAGCCAAGGCTAATCACACAAATCAAAGAGGATTTTCAGAAAATGATGGTTTCTATAATTGTCCTACTTCACCGTACACCCGGGTGATGAGGCTGAAAAGAGGCGGGGGTACGATTCGCTCGCATGAATGTGATCGCTGGAGCCTCAAAACACCCGGGCACAAGATGGGCGCAGGATACGAGGCGAACTCAAATATTTATAAGTTTAGCGATTTCTGGTTGTTGTTTGCAATCTATATCATTGAATTCTTTCTGACATGTCTGCCGAAGAGAAAGCATTTTCCAACGCCGAGTCCATTCCTGCATATGAAGGGTATACGTTCTTCAAGGCAGATCCTCATCCAGGTCAAGATGCAAATTGGCATCGCGTGGAACGCGCGCCTATGTTTCAAAGCCAAGCTGTATACTTTAAAAAAATACAGAAGCGCGCGACACAAAAGCCTGCAGCGCAGCAATATCAAAGCATTTCGTCCAATACCAGGCGCGCCCATATAGATCAGTTGATTGACGAACAAAGGCACATGAATCCCTTTGTGGAGTGGAGTTGCGTTTATGTCAAAGAGCGTACAAAGCCATCCAAGGCCCGAAACGCTCATCGAGGAGACTACGAAACGGTTTCCATGGATGTGATTATCATGCAAAGATCAATGAAAACCGCATATTCAAGGACCCCGATGGGGAACCTAGTTGATCTTGGAACAGTGCCTCGTTCGTTGCTATGGACTTGGGCCAAGCATCACTCTTTGAGACCGAGCCAGAATGCTACAGTGGAAGGCCATCAGTCTCCGGTGACTTTGCCAAATGCTCGCCCCAAAACCCCAAGTCAAGACCATGACATGCATGCAAATGGGAGACCGGGATGTTCTCAAGAGCCTACACAGTCGACAACAACAATGGCCATGCCGCCAAGTCCAGTCTTGAGTGCGGCGAATAGCAGCGATATGGGCTCTGGTCATGCCTCCGGCTGGTCTTCGGAAGGTAGCAGCAGTCTAGACGACGAAGCTATGCCAATCGACCCACCCGAAGAGAATTTTGAAACAGAATATCCGGTTGATTTGGTTACAAAGTATCAGACACCTCTCCCAAAGACAACTCTTCATCGTCATGAGGGTAAATCACTTCGCCGAGGTTCGAGTCAAAGGCCTCGATCTAGTTCCCGTGCGAATTGCCATAGTCGCAGTCTCGAGAGAAGGGTCGATAGAAGAATGTTGCCCCGCGAACAATTTGTGCTACCTGCCGCCAAGAGTCTTGGGTCCATGAAGTTGGAACGGGCTCGATCCAAAGGCCCAGTGTCTGGAAGGACATATCGAATGCAACTAATGAGCAATGATGAAGCTCGGAGTCGAGTGCTTGATCAGCGTGAAGCAAGCCTTGGACACCGAGAGAGACGGTTAAAGAGAAGTTATTATGAAGCTCATCGGCTTGAATTGCAGCCACCGAACGACAGCCCTCCAGCCTGCCACTGTACCTGTCGGTGCGCCTTGGCGAGAAAAGAAACAGATTGAACAAATCGTTTACGGTCCCTTTCCTTCTTATATTTCCCAGCAAGAGTTTCTTTCTGAACTGGTGTCATTGCGAGCATGGGTTTACCGTATGAGACAGGAACAATTAAACTGATATATAGATATCCTGGGATCACACAGATTGAGTTGCCTTGTAGTTCACACCCTAGTTTTGATAAAGAACCTGACATCATTGGATGAGTCTATTTCACCATAAAAGACTCAAGCAAGTGACTGTACAAAGTACGTGGAGCCCTCGGAGACGAAAAGTAAACGGTTGGAATTATGTCATAGGATGCCTCGTAAATCAGGCCAGTAGTGCCCCTCCATTTAACTCAACTACTTTAGCTTTCCCAGTCTTCCTCTTTAGCTATCTCATCTTCTGTCTCATCTTTCTCTATTCCCATATTTTCTCTAACATCCAACAATATGCCTCGCCAATTCTTCGTCGGTGGTAACTTCAAGATGTAAGTACTCTCAAGTCTTGCCATATCTACCCCTCCATCCTTGCCGATATGTACCTGCAAAGGCCATGCAATTGACTCCTTGCAGGAACGGTGTTGCCAAGAGCATCACCGACATCGTGAACAACCTCAATGCCGCCAAGCTCGATGAGACCACTGAGGTCGTCATCTCTCCCCCCGCCCTCTACCTCTCCCTGACCCGCGAGCTCGCCAACCCTAAGATCGGTGTTGCTGCCCAGAACGTCTACGACAAGCCCAACGGTGCCTTCACTGGAGAGATCAGTGTTGAGCAGCTCCAGGATGCTAAGATCAACTGGGCTGTCATCGGTCACAGCGAGCGTCGTGTCATCCTCAAGGAGACTGATGAGGTTTGTATCCCCGCAGTTCCCCTCCGAACCTGCAGATCCCACGCCCTCCCACAAAGCAAAAGCTAACCATCCACATAGTTCATTGCCCGCAAGACCAAGGCCGCCATTGAAGGTGGTGTCTCTGTCATCCTCTGCATCGGAGAGACTCTTGAGGTACGTCATTAATATTCGGTTCTCCCATTTTCGTCCCGATTCCGATAGTGGGGCAATCGGGTGAAGACCGGCTATCAGTATGCAGAACATATTCCGCTAACACCCGACTTAACAGGAGCGTGAGGCTAACAAGACCATCGAGGTCGTCACTCGCCAGCTCAACGCTGCCGCCAAGGAGCTGAGCAAGGAGCAGTGGGCCAAGGTCGTCATCGCCTACGAGCCCGTCTGGTATGAATCAAGCTCGTCGGTTACATATTGGTATGAATTTTGAAAACTAATATATACATATAGGGCTATTGGTACCGGAAAGGTCGCTACCACTGAGCAGGCTCAGGAGGTTCACGCTGCCATCCGTGAGTGGCTCGACAAGTCCATCTCTGCTGAGGCCCAGGAGGGCGTTCGCGTCATCTACGGTGGCTCTGTCAGCGAGAAGAACTGCCGCGAGCTCGCTACTCAGCCCGATGTTGACGGTTTCTTGGTTGGCGGTGCCAGCTTGAAGCCTGCCTGTAAGTTCTATGAACCTCCTCTATTGATCATATCGGTTCTAACATGATTGCAGTCGTCGACATTATCAACGCCCGCATCTAAAGGGTTGCCTTCAGAAACTAATACCCCATCTCTCCTTTGCCGGAGCAAAAGCTCTGATGCAGGCCCCAGATAGAATATTAAAAACTTGGAATATCATTGTCATGAATATATGTACAATTTTTGAAGTATACATCAACAACACATAATCGTTCACATCGCCCGCCCAGGCGCCCAGTGTTGAAATCTCCTGACGGTAATACAACACGTAGTGGATGGCATAAGGAAGAGCAACGTGTATCTAGCCGCAACCATCACACCACCTACGAGGAGTACAAGACCGACACACCAACCCCGCGCCAGCACGACGTAGGAGCCCCGCCTCCACTCTGGGCCGAGCCGCTCCCCGAAGCCGAAGAGAGAGAAGGCGACTGTGAGAACGAACCCGGTCCCAGCCCAACGCCCGCACTCACCAACAGCTCCTTGACACGGCCTTCCCATAGAAGTCTCACGTTCCAAGATTGGTCAACACGGAGCTTGATGACAGAATCGCTCGTCTCAGGCTCGCTATTAGTCGCAGAGCGCATAGATGGCTCGGAGCGAGCCGGGTCCTCTAGAAGCGGGGATGCCGGTGAGCCAGGCAGGGAAGCGCCGAAATCATACATGCGCATTTTGCGCCGGGCCCATTCGAGATCGTCATCGGAATTGGATTTGCTTTTGCTTTGGCGCCAGAGCTCACAGCCCGCCACCATTTCACTTTCCCAGCTATAGACGTTGAAGCCGAAGCGGGAACTGAATGCTAGGTTTGGCGTGGCCCGGAGCGAATAGCTTGTCGATAGGGAACCCGTAATGGGGGTGAGTGTTAGGGTGAGGGTGTATGGGAATGTAGATATTGGTGTTGGGATACTGGAGAGTGATGAGCGCGATCGTGGCGAGGGGGTTTCTGTTGCTGCTGGTAATGTGCTGAACCGCAGACCCGTAGACATGCCAATGAGTGATGATATTGGGGAGTAGTATGCCTCTGCACCCGCAGAAAGGAGGGATAAGCGTGGTGGTGCATCGCTGCGAGTGTAACGAGGATCTGGGCCGAAGTTCCATAGTCCACGCCAGCCGAAGAGAGCGTTGTCCGTGCTGAACAGATACTCGTTGCTGTACTTGCCCGTGTCATGAGAGAGTTGGGTGAGCATTGAGGCCTGTGGTGCGGACTTAGATTGCGGTGGTCCCTGGGTTGAACAGACAGCTAGTGATAGTTGCATGTTTGTCGAGATCCTGCGCAGGAAGAGCGCATAGAGAGTGGTAGGTGGTGGAAGATGAAGAGAGGCATGAAGAAGAGTAGCTTTACGCTTTGCCTGATCTTCTTGGCTGATGTCTCCATCTTTGACGGGTGGTTGTTCTGAACTCTTCCCATCCTTGAGTCCAGGAATACTCACGCCATCTAATAGCGAGTCCCAGCCCCAGGTTTGAATGGGGGCCGTGGGGGGCTGTACTTGTCGATATCCCGGGGAGATTTTGCGAAGCGGTATCAAGGCACTTCGGCTGGGAAGGTTGTTGAAAGGGACGGTGCTAAAGAGATATGATACAGATCCATCGAGCAGTCCAACAGTGCCGAGCGTGTAACTGGTCGCAAAATGAGGAGTGGAAAGTGATGAAAGATGAACGCGCAATCGCTCAGGCGTTTGAAAATCTAGGATCGCTGCACATTCATGTTAGATAAGACATGACCACTCTCCGGTCAGTGATTCTAGAATCACATACATTGAGCAGTGGTTGTGAGGGATGAGTATGAGTTGTCGCGATTCCAGTGGGTCGCCTCGGCGAAAGAGAGCTGGATATAGTCCATGAAATCTAGCATTCTGGGACCAATCTTGGCAGGCAAATGAAAAGCCTGCGCTGCAAGATCAAGAAATCCAAATGGTCCAGATTGCGCGCAGTTGAAGTCGAACTCCGGGGTCCCACTAAAGATATCCAAGCTTTATCCCCGATTCGGACTAGCGTTGGATAAGCGGTGAAAGGATAATCCGGTTATCAGTGAAAAAAATGCCAAATGCCTGTGGGGGATACCTTCGGTCTTCTGTTTGAATTTCTCGAATCACCAATTACATTCACATAATTCATCATGCCTCGTTCAAAGCGTGCGCGCGTCGTCCACGAGTCCAAGACCACCAAGAAAGACCACAAGGAGCAGACCCGCCGTCTGTTCTCCAACATCCGGGAATGCATTGAGGAATATGACCATCTTTTCGTCTTTGCAGTCGATAACATGCGTAACACCTACCTGAAGGATGTGCGCACTGAGTTCGCCGACAGCCGGTAAGCAGGAAAATTCCAGTCAGCTTATACGTCAGAAAATATATCGAAGAAAAGTGGATAAGAAGCGCCGGATTCGATATCGAAAATTGACATGCAAGCCTCTCAAAAATGATCATAACTGACCCAATTCCTGTGCAGTGTCTTCTTCGGAAAGACCAAGGTCATGGCCAAGGCCCTTGGCCAGACCTCCGAGAGCGAGGCCGCTCCCAACGTGCACAAGCTCACTCCTCTCCTCACCGGCGCCGTCGGTCTGTTGTTCACCTCCCGCACACCCGAATCTGTCGTCGAGTACTTTGAGACTTTCCGTCCCCAGGACTTCGCCCGTGCTGGAACCGAAGCGACCCGTTCTTTCAGCCTCCCCAATGGCCTTGTCACCGCTCGTGGTGGTGAGGTCCCCGCCGACCAGGACGAGCCTATCAGCCACACCATCGAGCCCGCTCTCCGCAAGCTCGGTGTTCCCACCCGTCTGGTTAAGGGTAAGGTCATGCTCGACTTGACCGAGGGACAGGACAGCTACCCCGTTTGCAAAAAGGGCGAGACTTTGGACTCCCGACAGACGACACTGATGAAGATGTTCGGTGTGCTTTCTTCCGAGTTCAAGGTTGAGCTTAAGGCCTACTGGACCCGCAGCACTGAGGAAATTAAGATTCTCGAGTCTGAGGGTGGAATGGAGGTCGACGCATAGATGAGGATCTTGATTTCTTTCCGTTTTTCTCTTTCTCTTTCGATTCGGCTTCCATGTGGCTGAAAAAAAAGAAACTCTGCTGGGCATCTTATGGAGTTTGGTGAGGGCGCTTTCTTTGCAAATATCTTGAAGACTTGTGTTTTATATCTCTTTCTCTTGTCTAGTTAGGGAGGGCTTGTCCTCCTTTCGGATCATGAGCTTACGATAAGATTTGGATGCCAAGTCGGAAAAAATTTATAAGTTTTACTCGTTCTATGTTATCACCTACCGTATGAACTTGTGGAAAGAAATATATCGGTGAGCCATGGGTCTTCGGATTTGAGTGCTCTACAGAGTAACCACTCGATGCGCCTTGTGAGCTTCAATCGAAGCACTCAAAGCCATACCTTTTCGAGCCACCTAATGTTTATTCAGAAGCACACTGAGAACAACCAGAGAGATGATTGACAGCATCCAACTGGCGGAGACTAACTTTTAAGTGCTTGGAATGATACAGCATGTATCCTCCAGGGCTTCCAAGGTTGCCTCAGCCATGTTTTCTTCCATGCCCAGGTGTTTCTCCATCATGTTTCCAAGGCTGGTCAATGGTCCAATTTCGAGACATCTTGAAGGTTTAGTACATTCAGTATCATTCACACTATAGTTTTATTCCATGATGTCAATAATTATAGTGCCTCTACAAGTTCCACAGGTATGAGTGACACATGAGTTCGTTATAAAGGAAGAAAGAGAATTGAACATGACTGTATGGACATAAATGCTGCATATGAAACAAAACGAATAACGCCCGCAAACACATGCATCTTGGGTATCGGAAAAAAAGGTAAGAGATGACCGGACATTGTGAACCGTGGACCTCCACATGCAAATGGCTAAAAAGACTGGCTGAAGATTCCAGTCATAGGAATAAGTGAGTCATGGCCGTTTGACTGCTCACTGGTTTGTTGCAGCCTTCAACTTGACATTTGGAAAATGGTTTGGTCTTCGAGGATGACTTTTTGGACTTTGAGATTGACCTGTTTTCGGCACACTCGCCACAATATGCCTGGTAAATGTTAGTTTCACCGGGGTCTAACATTGCAAAAACATTTCTGATACTCACATGTCCGCAGGCTTTTGCAACGTAGATTTCTACCTTGCGCCCTGACCCTGTTCCCAGCTCTTCTTCACAGTTTGGACATATTGGCACATGTTCATCTTCTAAACATCGTGCAAATCCTTTGGGTGCCGGAGGAGGTGCTTTATATGCACCACGCCGAGAACGCGGCGCTGATTGAGTGGTTGAGTTATATTCAAAAGCAGGAACATTATATGGCAGTATTGCCGGCATATTGTTCATAAGGGAAACGAAATCATCCCCGTACATCGACCCCGGGATACCAGACGGCATATCCCGACCTCGGTGACCGGCAGAAGATTCCCGGGCATTGCTTCGCAGAAGGAAATTATCGTTTACCCATGGGCTGGGCAGCCCTGCGAATGGACGATTTGGTCTTCTCAAAGGATGATACATCGCAAATCCATTGGGGTCGAAGTATCTGGGCTCCATTGTTGGCATAGGCCTGACGGTAGAACCAATGATTTCTACGTCTGGGCCGCCTGAGGTGCCTTCTGCACCGTTCCCCTCCGCCTCTAGATCGATGACATTTTGTTCAGAAGAATCGCGATTGATTATGTCCCGTATAGGAAGGCGTGAGCCAGACGCAGACAGCACCCTTTGCGGCGGAGATTGCGGCGGAGATTCCGGATCTTCCGTCAGATCTATGACATTTTCTGGCCCGGGCGAAAGCATCACCGGACGCCGGTGATCGTCTCCATATCGTGAAGTTGTTTGATCTCGTGGTTGTGGTAGGTGTACGGACGAACTTCCTGACGGGTGCGATGAGGGGTACCAGGTGGCATCGCTGTTGTCACCCGATCCGGCGGCCATTTCCCGGTGCGTTCGCTGGAGTCAAATTTGTGTCAGTAGGGCTCTTGGATATTTGGTCAGGTGCCCCGCCCGTTTCACGACGGATGGAGGCTTACCTTTGACCGGGCGGCCACGATTTGGACGCCGGTGTTGTCGCTCATTTTGAAGCTGGGTGTTGTGTCCCGGGACTTGAAAGAAGGGATTGAGGAACACCCACGAGGCGTGAGCGTACTAAGGGAAGCCATCTGTGTCTCAATGCCGAGTTGAAAGGCGGTCGGTTTGTGCCTTCTGCATGGAGGCGGTGGCGATAGCCGATTGGTAACTATCGCAAACACTCTGTATGAGTGACGGATATGGCTCCAGTTCAAGTAAGGATTGGCAACGAGAGTAGTAACGAGGGAAGTGACGACTATCTGACGGGGGTAGAAATGGTGCTTTTGACGGACTTGGAGATCGCACTGTGATGATGAGCGTACTTCTTAATATCCTTCAAGCGGATGTAGTAACGGGGTAGTCAGGTGTGATAGCCGGTCTGGTGAGCGCTGAAGAGTTCACTCGGATACCTGGGGAATGAATTTAAGGATTAGCTCTAGAAGAGAAACGCGGGCTTAAATAGAGAAGTGGAGAGCAGATCAGCAGATGTTGTCTGAGGTAAACCATGAAATGCTTGAAAGGGGTTTCTAGATTGAAATAGGCTTGAATTCGGTATGCATAGTAGATGGGTTTTGAACACCAATGACCTCAAAGTAGCAAATAGACAAGAACAGAGAAAGGGACGGAACCCAGGTCAATAATACAGTATTTTGCGATGGTGGTACCTGGCAGTCACCAACGCTGAGAAAGCAAAAGCGATAATAATCCAAAAGAGAGTCTCCTCTCTAAACACCGCGCAAATCACCGTGGTATGGCGACCAGATACCACGCACACTCTCGTTCAAACTTGTCACTGGCTTCTTCGTACGCTTCAGCTTCTCCCCGCTGGCTTCCTTGAGAAGGTTTGCTTTCTTTAGAATCTCGCTAGGCTCCAGGTTTCGTACGCATACAGGCTTCTCACGGCCGTTGATGTAGAGTCCCTTGATAAGAGGGTGCTTTTGGGGTCGAGGAGAGACACGGATCTCAATCTGAGGGTTTTCGCGAGCGAAGGCGGGGAGGAATTGCTCCAGGAACGTGCTATCACAAAGTAATTAGCACCATTCACCTCATATAAAAATGCGGATTGTTGCTGGCATCACTCACACCATGCCCTTCGAGCTGCCTGCCCAATTGCAGTAGTGGAAGTCAAGACGTTTGCATTGTAGGATAAAGGCTCCGGCGCCGTTCTGGAAATTCACCATATCAGCTTGGTGAATCATGTCTGAAAAAGAGCATATTACATACCCTGGCCGCCGTTGAGGTCCGAATTCCGCGCAAAGGCATTGTGTTAGTCGTTATCGTTATTCTTGGAGTTGTCACTTCGCGGTGGTTCTCCGGGCATTTTCTGGTTCACGTGACTTATGAGGGCGGTGAGCCGTTTGCGCCAATTGCATCTGCAGTACCCATTTCATTATACCCGTAGACGCTAAAGACCAGAAGTGCGACGCGAAGCTCTCACTCCTTAGGGCTCGTCAACTTTCCTTTCCACACTTCGGCCTCGCTCTATAACCCATTCCGCTCACGCCGAGTCCGATACTCAGCATGACGGACAAGCTACCCCCGCCACTTTTGGCGCTGTTCCAGCCGCGCCCACCCCTTCGATATCTGCCCCCGGGCGATCGCGCCCCAGAGGACTGCGGCAAGAGTACCATCTCAGGTGTCGCCCAGTTCCTTGCTGAGGCAAAGTCTTTTGCGGAAGAAGTGCCTTACAATGCCACTGAGAGCTGGATTCAGCGCAAATATCGGCAGAAGACGGAGAAGAAAGCAAAGCAAGAGAGTCAAGTCACAGAAGGGCTGCAAAATTGTATGATCTCTCCCGCTCAGATTCCACATCTGTTTCAGCTTGCTAACACTCATGGTTGCTTCACAGTCAACCCTGAAAAGGATCCTCAAGCTCGAGGTGACCCATTCAGGACTCTCTTCATCGCGCGCCTCAGCTATGATGTCAAAGAAGCCGACCTAGAACGGGAGTTCAGCCGATTTGGTCCCATTGAAAGAGTACGATCCTTGTGTGCTGACTTTGTGGGAATGCTCACATATTAACATTTATGCAGATTACACTCGTCAAAGACACCACGTCAGACAAGAAGAAGAAGGCCCACCAAGGCTATGCTTTCGTAGTATACGAGCGCGAGAAAGACATGAAAGGTATTACATCCATGCCAATTCCACCGGCGCTACTTCAACTATCCCTTTGAATTTTGCGGTAAGATATCATGCTAACACCAGTGTTCCCCACCTTCAGCTGCCTACAAAGAAACAGATGGCATCCGGATTAAGGACCGTCGCGTCCTAGTAGATGTCGAGCGTGGCCGTACTACTAAGGGATGGAAGCCTCGCCGTTTGGGTGGTGGTCTCGGTGGACGTGGCTACACCAAGGCCATGCCGTCTCGTCCCGGTGGCCCCGGATTCAACGCCCCTTCAGGTCCCGGTGGGTATGGAGGTGGATTCCGCGGTGGCTTTGGTGGCCGTGGTGGTGGTGGAGGTTTCCGTGGTGGCGGCGGTGGCTTCCGCGGCGGTGGTGATCGCTTCGGCGGTCCTCGTGGTGGAATCGGATACCAGGGCAATCGCAACGGTTTCGGTGGACAAGCCCCTCCTAATGCTCCTTCAGGCCCCGGTGGTGGACGTGGAGGTTTCCGTGGAGGCTTCGGCGGCGGCGGCGGCGGCGGCAGATTTGACCGTGGAATGACTGGCAGCAACTCAGAGCCTGTGCGGCCTCGAGGAGACGGATTTGCTGACCGCGACCGCCGTGACTATGATCGCGATGACCGATACAGAGATCGCGGTGGCGATCGTGGTGACCGTGGTGGTGATCGTGATCGCATGGGAGACCGCAATGGAGACCGATACCGTGACCGCGATCGCGAGCGTGATAGGTATGGCGGCGGCGGCGGTGGCCGTGACGATTATGCCCGCAAGCGACACCGCGAGGATGAACCTGGCCAGGATGACCCCCGATCTAGGAGAAGATACTAGACATTGGACAAGCTCCAAGGTCTCAAGTCTTTGTCCGACTGCTGGTGGGTATCACTGATCTCCCCATCCTTCATGACTCCTCCAAGATGGTAAAAGGTTGAATCAAAAAACAACCCTATGGCAAGTTGTATTCATTCTCACGATCACACACCATTCAAGTGATACACCCTACCTATACCACTACATCTACCCGGAATGCGGACCCGTCAGTACCGATCTTCTACATACCCTGTTAGGTCTGCTTCTACACCCGGGAAGCTGAAGCCACTCATGAACTGTGCTTGTATTCCCCGTTTTCATTTGTTTTCCGAGGAGTTCTTTTCTTTCTTGTCTTTTTTCCAACATCTTTCTACTTGTCTGTCTTTTTATTTTTCTGTTCCCAACTGTCCTGGGGTAAGTGTCTGTATTCTAGTCGATTCATGCAAAATAGGTTCCATCAGGTAAGATCAGCCATGGTGTGAATGATTTAAAACAGGTACCTTGCTGGATGAATCAAAATCTAGGTAATATCCGTTGAAATTGTTTTTGGATGCTGGTGTTGTGGAAATAGACATCTAAGCACATATCCCCATCATTCTTACTGAGCATACTACGTAACTAGTGCTTTTTGGGTAGTTCATTACAGCTCTGATACTATCATGGATCAATTCGATTCCATATTGCTGATGAGGTCGACACTTTTAAACGGTGTTTGCTGAAAGCTCTGATCACGTTAAGAGCAGCTGTGTGATAAATTGGAAGCAGACACCAGTAAGAACATCAAAAGACGGCCAGCTCTAAAATTACAAATCGTTTTCCCAAGCTCATGACTGTGCTGCCAGAACTGTGACAGCGCCCGCCTCGTTCAGAGCCACAATGCTCTGGGCAGCGGATCCCCAAGCCACAGAAGCAGCAGGCACCGCGCTGCGCAATGGCTCTGACCATGTCTTCGCGGCCTTGGAGAACTGCTGAACGGTCACTCCACCAGGTCCACCAGTAAGAAGGAATTGGCCAGTGTAGTCCCAGAAGATGGAGTTGATCTGGCTGCCTGTCTCCAGCACCTTGATTTTCTTGGAGCTGCGGAGATCCCAAATGGAGACAGTGGTAGACTTGTCGGCCACGGCGGCCAAGAAAGTACCATTCTCAGAGAAGAACAAAGATTTGACGGGGCCTGACATTGTGTAGTCCGCGGCAGCAGCGCCAGTCTTGACATCGAAGATCTTGACCTGTGCATCGGCACCACCGGCCGCGATCAAGTGACCATCTGGGTGGAAGTTGACGGACAATAGAGCTGTACGGAACTCGTTAGCATTTGATCCAAACTGTCCGATGGAAGATGTATTCTTACCTGCTCCAGTGAAAATCTGGGATGCAACGGTGTTGGTGGCAAGGTCGTAAATGACATAGCTCTTGTCAACACCAACAGAGGCGACAATATCACCAGTAGCGTGGACCGCCACAGCAGTGACCTCTCCGGCGTGGGCCTTGAAGCTTGCAACCTCAGCGCCATTCTCAAAGACCTTAACAGAGCCTGTAGCTGAGCCAACCACAGCCTTCTCGCCTGCCCACTTGGCATCGGTGACAGGTCCATCTGTCTGCAGCGTCTGGACCACGCTCTTCTGAGCAAGGGAGTAGACACCGACCACACCATCAACACCTCCAACAAGAGCCAGCTCACCATTCGAGTTGACAGAGAGGGCACGGGCACCGGGGTATAGAGCATCGGAGGTCTCAGTTGGCTTGAATGTAGAGATTGCCTCACTTGAGGCCCAGTTCTCGGGAACCGCGCGCTTGCGGCGGGTCTTAGAAAGTCTGCAACAACGTTAGTACATAATTTATATGCATTTCCGTCGAATACACATACGCTGCTTGTGTGCTTTCAATCCGCTCCAGCACTGCCTGGGGCAAGCCTGTAGAGTCCACCTGCATAGCATCGCCACCCGCGCGGGCGGCACCGACAGAGACATTGGAAAGTGCCTCACGAGCCTCATCTCTCTCCTGGGTCAGGCGCGCAATGACTCGCACTGCAGCATCGTGCTGGTAGAGGGCCGAGCTCAGCTCGCGCCTTGTCTGTGCCAAGTTCTGTTGCAAAGTGTATGTTTCCAAAGCAAGTGCATCCCATTCTTCCTGGAACACGCTGAGAAGCGACGGGATAGATGTGAGAGTAGGAGGTCGAGGGCGAACGACGCGCTGCGACTTGACGTTGATCAAGTCCTCAGTGCTGAGTTCTTCGCCGTTCACGGGATCCTTGCCATGTTCGGCAACGTATGCCTCGATGAGGCGCTTTTCGAAGACACTGCCTGTTCGACAATTAGATGACAGGTCGTGCGCAAAGGCGATTGGAGGGGACTTACCGCTCTTGGGGGAGACAACGGGCACTTGAGGTGCCTCTCCAGAGACTGTGATGAAAGAATTTGGTTAGAAACACAGATCGACCATAGGTGCCAAAGCGCAATTGACATGAGACCACTTACTAGCACAAAGCATGGTTAATTGGGGTGGAGTGATGGGGGTTGATGAGGACTTGACGCGGAGCGGCTCCTTTGCACTTTTCGATGTGTCCCGTTACGGTTTAGCGTCCCAGAGCTGTTCGCGGTGCAGCTATCGGACTTCTGCACTTTCTCTTGCCAACAACTGTCTAGCCATTTGAATGGACCTGACATGCATGACATGCAATTTATTCAATGATATACAGACTTAGCTGAAGGCAGCACGAAGCTTCGCTTAAAAGCGCTGCAACAATTGTATCAGACCCAATCGCCAACATGCCCAAAAACCCTAAGTTTGAATATGGTATATCGCTTTCCTGTGGCATTCCTTGTTACACTTATACTAATACAATGTCCAGATGCGAAGCAGCCTGCATTTCTCCAAAAGCTCCGTGGCGAATATGGGGACAACTCTGGTCGCCTGGAGCGGCCTGCCGTACGAGCAACCAGACTGAAGGTCAACAAGGACGATGATGATGACGAGCCTATCTACGTCGATGAAGAGAGCAATGAGGTGATATCCAAAGAGGAATACAAGACACTGGTTGGCGAGAGCGAGTCCAAGGAAGAGGACAAGGATGGTCCAACAAAGGGCAGTGGTGGGGATGAAGCCAAGCCCCAGGCAGAAGCCACCAAACAGAGCAATCTCACCGAAGTTGGAGGCCAGAAGAAGCGAAAACAAGCCAAAGTGGTGGGTGAAGACAAGACAGAGATCGAGGAGCAACCCAAGCCAACGGCAAAAAATCGAAGAAAGGCAAGAAGATCAAGCTCTCTTTTGACGAGGAATGAATTCACCGTTGCATTTCAGCCTGGAAATTCTCCATGAATATCTTGATGCCAGCTTCCCATTGGGCTCGAGTCAAAGCAATCATATAAGACTCACCATGAGTCAACACAACCACAAGAATATAGCGTCATAGGTCTAGAGACCATGAAAATCCAGCATCGCCTTAATTAAACAAAGCAAAAACAACGGGTGAAAATTAAAGCCAAAGGTCCGAGTCCAGATCGACTCGAAAGAAAAAGAAGCAAGATCAAATTTACATAGTTGAAGCACTGGAGATTGGCGGCCTAAGGGCGCATCCATTTATCAGCAACTTTTTTTTTTCTCAGACGGGATCCAATCACACTTCCCGGCTTCATTCCTTTGACACTACAACACTGCGCTTGTTCACACTGTTAAAGCAAGCATGCCTGTGGTGAATGTCGACCAGCTGGTCCGCCTGCAGCGGAAGCCAGAGGACATAAGAAATGTGTGCCCCTCCATCCCACTTTAATCTGTGATGTCAGTTTTGCCTTATACTAACCGCAATCAGATCTGCATTCTAGCCCACGTCGTAAGTCAAAAAGCCAGCATCGATGCTGCCATGTTCAAATTTGTGATATTTTTCGATTTTTTTTAGGACCACGGCAAGACGTCTTTGACTGATAGTCTCATTGCCACCAATGGTATTATCTCACCCAAACTGGCGGGCAAGATCCGCTACCTGGACTCTCGTCCAGATGAACAGCTTCGAGGTATTACGATGGAATCTTCGGCCATCTCATTATTCTTCTCTATGCTGCGCCGACCAAGCCCAGAAGCCGCGCCAGTCCCCAAGGAATATCTGATTAATCTGATCGATTCGCCCGGACATATCGATTTCAGCAGCGAAGTTTCAACAGCCTCCCGTCTTTGCGATGGAGCTGTCGTTCTTGTTGATGCAGTTGAGGGTGTCTGCAGTCAGACTGTAACTGTGCTGCGACAGACCTGGGTTGAACAATTGAAGCCGATCCTTGTTGTCAACAAGATGGATCGCTTAATCACTGAACTAAAAATGAGCCCTGCTGAGGCGTTCTCGCATTTGAGTCGTCTTCTTGAACAGGTCAATGCCGTCATTGGAAGTTTCTACCAGGGCGAGCGCATGGAGGATGATTTGCAGTGGCGCGAACGTATGGAAGATCGCATTAACACTACCTCTCGTGATTCGGACCGAAAGAAACAGTCGGCAGACGACGAATCAGCATCGGTGATCACAGAGGCCACAGAGGCCACAGAATTCGAGGAGCGTGATGACGAAGATCTCTACTTTGCTCCCGAGAAGAATAATGTCATTTTCTGCAGTGCTGTCGATGGCTGGGCTTTCACAATCCGACAGTTTGCTACGATCTATGAAAAGAAGCTTGGCATCAAACGCACAGTTCTGGAGAAAGTTCTCTGGGGTGATTATTACTTGGATCCTAAGACTAAGCGTGTTTTGGGAGTGAAGCATTTGAAGGGTCGAGCTTTAAAGCCTATGTTTGTTCAATTGGTCTTGGACAGCATCTGGGCAGCATATGCAGCCACCACAGGTGGAGATAAAGGCAAAGGGTAAGTAAATCTTGAATATCGCCTATAAATCGGTGAGCATTGACACTGATATGAATGCAGAGACCCAGTGTTGCTGGAAAAGATCACTAAATCCCTCAACATTAATATCCCGCCTTATATTCTTCGCTCTCGCGATCCGAAGAACATTATGACTACCTTATTCTCTCAATGGCTACCTCTATCCACTGCTCTGCTGGTGTCCGTCATTGAGTATCTTCCCAGTCCACCTGCCGCTCAAACTGCACGACTACCAGAGATGATCAAGACCTCTCCCGGGTCTGCTTTCATCTCCGAAGATATCAAGAAGGCCATGGTTGAGTTTAAGACCGGCCCTGAAGAGCCTGTTGTGGCGTACGTCAGCAAAATGGTTGCGATTCCAGAGAGTGAACTCATGGCGAGCAAAAAGCGCAGTGGAGGTGCCATGACCGCGGCCGAAGCTATGGAGCTCGCCCGCAAAAAGAGAGAGGAAATTGCAAAGATGCAGGCCGAGGCTAAGGAAGGACAGACCGATGACTTCGAGCGCATGACATCAGCCTTCGAGAACACCAACTTGATCACCGAGACAGATGATGAAGAAGTTCAGGCGGGTGAGAAGGAGGAAGATCCTGATCACCTCATTGGCTTTGCTCGACTTTACTCGGGCACCATCTCTGTCGGAGACGAGATCTATGTGCTTCCTCCCAAGTTCTCACCGGCCAACCCCCATGCCAACCCCGAGCCCAAGAAGGTCACAGTCACAGACTTGTACTTGCTCATGGGCAGAGCTCTCGAGCCTCTCCAGTCAGTCCCAGCTGGTGTAGTATTCGGTATTGGAGGTCTTGCAGGTTACGTACTCAAAACAGGCACGCTCTGTAGCCAAATCGAGGGCAGCATCAACTTGGCTGGTGTCTCTTTGAGCACGCCACCCATTGTCCGAGTGGCATTGGAGCCGATGAACCCAGCTGATCTTGGCAAGATGGTCACTGGTCTACGTCTACTCGAGCAGAGTGATCCATGTGCACAGTACGAACAGCTCCCCAGTGGCGAGCACGTTATTTTGACGGCTGGCGAACTTCATCTGGAGCGCTGTGTCACAGATCTTCGCGAGAGATTCGCCCGCTGCGAAATTCAAACTGGTGAGGCCATCGTGCCGTACCGTGAAACAATCGTCCATGGCCCTGAGATGGCTGCGCCCAAGAACCCAGACCTGGGTCGTGGAGCTGTCCTGTCTGTTTCCGCCTCTAAGCAGATGACCCTTCGTTTGCGTGTAGTGCCGATTCCTGAAGCCGTGACGGAATTCCTTACCAAGCAAGTCGGAACCATCAAGCAGCTCCAACTAGAGAAGCGGTCTGAATCCGAAGGAAAGACAGACGCCGAAAAGGAAGCCGAAGCCGTCGTCGACGGAACTGGTGAGGCGCCCGAGGGTCAAATCCTTTCCAAGCAAGAGTTCCGCGAAGGACTAGACAGGGTCTTCAACGACGAAGTCAAAGAAGACAAGGAACTTTGGAAGAACGTCGTCGACCGAATCACTGCGTTCGGCCCCCGCAGAGTCGGCCCCAACATCCTCGTCGACGCAACAGCTGTGAACACCTGTGATAAATTGTGAGTTCACACCCACCATAAAACCAAGTTCAGACTTACTAACAATTTCAGCTTGGCCGACGACATCAAGCAACAGATCGCCGGAGACAATCACCAAGCTCTACTCGTGCGCGACTTCTGCGATAAAATCGCCTATGCCTTCCAACTCGCCACAGGCCAAGGCCCTCTCTGCCAAGAGCCCATGCAAGGCGTAGCCGTCTTCCTCGAAGAGCTTTCCGTCCAATCCAACGCAGGCGATGAACTCGACATGGGTCGTCTGACCGGTGAATCCATCCGACTCGTCCGCGAAGGCATATCCGCCGGATTCCTAGACTGGAGCCCCCGTATCATGCTCGCCATGTACAGTTGTGAGATCCAAGCCACAAGTAGGTTACAACCTCAACATACCCCCAGTTAAACACCTCTAACACATCAACAGCCGAGGTTCTAGGTCGCGTTTACGGAGTGATTACCCGTCGCCGAGGCCGCATTCTCTCCGAAGTGATGAAGGAAGGAACTCCTTTCTTCACTATCTTGGCTCTTCTGCCTGTGGCTGAATCCTTTGGGTTTGCTGAAGAAATTCGCAAGCGGACTTCTGGTGTTGCGCAGCCGCAGCTTATCTTTGCAGGCTTTGAGGCGCTTGATGAGGATCCTTTCTGGGTTCCTGCTACTGAGGAGGAGTTGGAGGATCTGGGTGAGCTTGCTGATAAGGAGAATGTTGCGAAGAGGTATATGGATGCTGTCAGGACTCGGAAGGGCTTGGTTGTGCAGGGAAGGAAGTTGATTGATGCTGAGAAGCAGAAGACGCTGAAAAAATGAGGTTTATGTATGGATATATTAGGGCATGTTTTCATGAGGGTCGAATCCATGTTCCAAGTTTTGGGGTCTTATACCTCGAACTTTGGACCATGATGCTTTTGTACACAGAACACAGGACCTCGCTCAATTGCCAAGAGTTCGTGTTGAATCCAATATTTTTTTTATGAGCATGCATACTATGGGTAAATACACGCTCAGGTGCTACATAGCGCGATGACAAAGTTTACATGTTACAATGGGTAGGTTTATGACAAGCGTGTGAGAGCCAGAGTAAGAAACCGGCTGTTGTGATATGTATTGATAAAATATGATTCCGTGGGGTATCTTAAGTCCGAATCGTTGTCAACATCAATATCCAGGAGCAACTAACTGTGTACTCCGTACTCGACTGACTCCATAAACCGGCAAAACGGTCTACAGAACCAGCAATGTTCAAGTAAAATGCAGACTCTTTCAAGCATCAAGAAGAGTCAGACTTGAACGACATGCCTCGCATGGGTGCTGGCAAGGCTGCCTAGAGGGCCAGGAGTAGTAAGATCGTCCACACAGATCTCAAGAAGAGACCATGCCCTCAAGGAACCAGACTCGATATGCAAGTCAATCACGACTGGCAATTGGAATTGGAAGGTCAGACAGGCAAAGTAGCCAGTCAAGACAAAGGCAATGGGTCATAAGCCAGCATCGCAAAAGAAGTTCCGAAAAAGAAACATAGAATGCCCTCAGAAAGGCCTAGCGACCTTCCTAGGCTCCCCAGACCCAGTGACCGGATCTCTCATCTCCTTCCAACTAATTGGAAACATCATGTTACCCGCTTCACTACGAGCCATGACGACGCCCAGGTCATTACGCGCAGTGGTAATGTAGTAGAAGCTCTGATCACCGAGTGAGATAACGGATCCTCGCACGATATCACCAACACGGAACATCTCATCCATGACGACGCGATCCTTCTCAACGGCGCGGACATCTTCCTTGCGAATCAGCGCTTGGAAGCGCAGCTCGTCTGTGCCAGTGTGGTTCTCCGGGTTAGCGGCGGAGGTAAGGATGGAAGCGACATTGTCGTTGTCAGAGGCTGTGTGTGAAGCGGTCAGGTGCTCGGATTCGTCTAGGACGACGAGGATGGAGACGGTCGCTTGGCGTTTCTGTACGCGGGTGACTCGTGCGAGGACGTTGGATTCAACTGCAGGTAGGGTGTTGTAGCGGGGTTTGAGGTTTGCGCCTTCGGGGACAACGGCGCTGCGAGGTTGTAGGTCTTTGCTTGAAATTGCTCTTGAGACTCGGAGGGTGGGTTTTGGTTGGCTCTTTGATTGAGCTGCGTCTGTGATCACTGGTCCCGCAATGGAGGCGTAGATGGAGGTTTCTTGGACGTGTGTGCCTGGGCCAGCGGAGTAAGTGGAGAGGGAGCCTAGGCGTTGCCCAGGAATGGCGATTTGTGGTAGGGCTGCCATGGTGGAATGTGTATTGCAGCGGTTGGGGAGGTGGGTGTTCTTCAGCTGCAGAGGGACGGCGGTTTCGCTCCAAAAAAATCGGGGAGCTACAACACGGAGCCGGGAATTAGTTTGTCCGCTTTATCAGATATGACAGCATCTGAGAGCCCTATCAAAGAGGCCTCAGGACTCCGCACGAAGTATCTTTTTGCGCGTTACAAAGCACATGTGACCAATTTTGCTGCAGATGAGTTATTATAGGGCCCATATCTAACATGGATTCGAAATGTATGCGATGAGACAAAAAATAAGACAGCACCGGCCCAGAAATACCATGGACATGTAAGAACACAGACAAAAAACAATACAAGAAATAACCCATATCACTCCTAATATCCGTCGACGAACGCAAGTCGAATTGAGTAGATTGGATGCAATATAGCACCCAGCGGTGGAATGAAAGAGAACCAGCATAGACAGGTCGACATCATATAACACAGGAAGAACCGAAAACAATAGTCAATCAGACAAACGGGGTTTAAGCTTCCACCAGGGTTTGCTTAGGACCTGCCCCAAGCAGTTCAAGGCAGCGACGAGCGAGGGTAATGACTTCGCCCTCGCCGTCATCAACATCCTCCTCGTCCGATTCAATGTTCTTGTCAGAGATGACCTTCACCAGCTGGACAATATCCTCAGACCTGGAAATGTATCCGATGAGCTTTTTGTCTTCGGATTCAAGTAACTGGAGGAGAGTCCAGATTGCAATGTGCTGGAAGGTTGGATCGCCGCTCGCGAGGAAGCGATGGAGGTAGCCGTGAATGCCACCATTTGAGTCTGCCCAGTCTCGAACGAACATATTGTAATCGCCGACTACTTCTTGTTAGAAATGACATCACATATGGATACGAAGGGAAGAAGATCATACCTTTGGAGGACAGGTTTCCTAGAGCAGCCGCGCTGTTACCTTGCACCTCGATGCTGTCAGAATTCGTCAGGGGAATCAAGACATCGAAGACTCCCAGGCTAAGCAGATGCGGCTTCAGTTCCTCGCTGAGTGCCAGCACAGCAATTGCAGCAGTCATCTCAGACTGCACTGAAAGAGGGACCCGTAGGACCAAGTCCTTGCACTTCTGAACTGCTCCAGCTTGCAGAACGAGCTCCTTGTTACGATCGGAGCTTGCTGCGAGGTTGCGAAGAGTTGATATAGCGTGACACTGAATTTCTTCATTGTCGGTGGAGCCCAAAAGATCCACCAAGGGCTTCAGGAAGCCTGCTTCGATGATGGGCGATTCATTAAGAGGATGGATAGAGATGTTGCGAATACAAGCGACGGCGGAGAGGATAAGAGGAAGGTAGGAAGATTGCAAGAGACGTAGTAGTGGGGATAGACCCTTCGCTCGGACAATTTCAAGTTGGTATTTCTCGTCCGAGGCGAGGTTGCGGAGGGCGAGCGCTGCTTGACACTGTACTTTCGGAGTGGACGAATCCATCAGGTGAACCAAAGATTGTACCAGGCGCGACTCGGTCTGCGCGAGTCGCTTGCGATTGGTTGAATCGACGGCGATATTGCTGAGAGCTGTTGTGCAGTAGTATTGTACATCGACGTCGGGAGATGAGAGGAGATGCACGAGCACGGGGATAGCGCCAGCATTGACGAGTTGTTGGCGGTTATCATCTAGTTCTAATGTGAGGAAAAAGGCCCGGTTCCAAAATAGCGAGGATTGATCGCTTACCGGAATGGGTCATGTTAAGCAATGCGCCCGTTGCATTACGCTGAACGCGCATGTCCTTCGACTTGGCCAAGCGGATGAGGGGACCCAAGGCACCGGAGCGGGCGATCTTGGCCTTGTTCTCTTCGTGTGTCGCGAGATTCGTGATACATCCGACGGCGTTGCATTGTACCTCGACATTGGGTGACATCATTTGGCGAATGAGGGGAGCCAGCCCCCCGAGGGTCACGATCAAGACCTTGTTCTCGGCTGTTTCGAGTCAGCGACTGCAGATAGGGAAAGAGGATGGGAACAGACCATTGACAGCAAGGTTTCCGAGCGCCGCGCTGGCGGCCCGTTGTACTTCAATATCCGAGCTCTGTAAAAGGAAGAGGATGGGTTCAAGGGTGTCGCGGTCGACTTCGCGCACATCTGTGAACAAAGGAGGTCAGAGGCATTGTATCATAGTGATCTGAGAGGTGCTACGCACCTCGTTCTGTGATTTCCGCGAAGGTTAAACTGGCGCTTCGTTGCAAGTCCACATTTTCGGAGTAAACTAGGGTGCTCAATGCCCGGAGAGGCTCGCCGTGGAAGAAGTCGGTCTCCGCGCGCTATATGTCGGTGAGGATTTCGGTCAGCGGCATTCACATGAGAAGGTTGCACTCGGGTTGAACAAGTCCGACATTTGATTGAGAAGAAGGATCTGGAAGGTACTCGGTGGTGAGGGGAGAGAGAGAGCTATGTACGTACGTTCTCCAAGTAGCCCAGCAGGTCTGAAACGGCCTCTCGCTCATTATCAGCTAGAGTAGTTTCGTAGATCCCATCTCGCGAGCGAGCCCCGATAGGACCGAGGCATGCTGATATATGACACCAGCGGTCGACTGCCGACAGACAAGACAGACAGGTCGATGCGATTCCACTCATGTTGGCTAGCAGGCCCGCATCAGGCGCGGTCCTGCAACAAATGGAGAAAAGGCGAAAGAAGAGGGGAAAGGTGAATTAGATGCAACGCATAAGTCCAGAGAAAAGATGAGGCCTGCGCGTGACGAAAGGGACTTTTGAAGGAGGAACACCGGCTTTGGAGGCTGGAAGGAAGTCGGGGGAGGGGAGAGGTCTCGCCTCAGGCAGAAACCTCATTGGGTTTATCACCACTTTCCAAAATATGTGACATTCTCTCTCTCTCTCTCTCTCTCTCTCTCTCTCTCTCTCTCTCCCGATAACAGAAGAATAGAGGGGTCTTGCTATAGTTATTGAAATCATTGCCCCATTCTCTCCAACGCATACCTCGACTCCGGTACCCGTGGACATCATTGGCAAGCTCCTGACCAATCCGGGACCAGGGATCACCTCAGCTACAGCTTTTATATTGGAGAAGGGTTTCACTGTTCCATCGAAATCCTGCCCGTGCACTGTAATGTTATCCATATGATAGTTATCAAATTCTTGTTAGTTTTTGACTTGACTTTCTCGGCCCGTTTCCCTCAGTTTCCCTCAGGTCCGTGCCTGCGAGATGAGCAGGTCATCCGACACACATCTCCGCACGTGAAGGGATGTCATGTCACGAGTCCATATAAGGCATTTGACACTTTGGACACTTTGGACGCATTTGACGTATTTGTAACCTTTCTGCCCAGGTGACTCAGCTCGCATATATAAGCATAAATGAGACCCGTCCGTATTGCGTCAAGACCTCGAATTTAGTTTAGTCTCCTGCACATCATAGACCCTGCCGCAGCTTGATATACAGTCACTACGAGTATTTCCTGCGTTACACTGATGTAGCCCACTATTTGTATATCAAGAAATTGTAGTCAATATGTCTCACCTGAGTAATCCATAATGCGATCTCTGAACATAGGCTAGTCCTAAGGTTAAATTAAGATCGGAGCCTCTCCACCAGAGCTAACCCCGAAACCCTGGAAGAGATTTCGACGGGTCCGCTGAAGCCCTAGTTGAATCTTGGAAGTCGATGATCGGTCCAATTTAATTTGCGCACAGAGAGAGGGCCATGCCGAAATGAGATGGGCTAAACAAACGCCTAGATTGGTGTGTTCACCGAACTCCACCTCGGCACCTGCGAGCCGTGTTTGTGAGAGTATTCGCATCTCAGAAATCAAAACGATAGAGAAAGGTGTATTATGCTGTATATGCAAAGAATCGAGGAGAGAAGTATACAGGTACAGCATTGCGGGGAAATAGGCTCATTGAATAGAATCGCCAAGAAAAGGGCATTAATAGCCGATGGCAAATGGGGGGAGTATAACCTTGGAACCACCTTTTCGTCACTCCCAGACGACTCTTGACGGATGGGCATTCTGGGCCCTTTTCGTTTGTAACTTCTCCAATCCCTTCTGCTCTGGGCTCTTTGGCTTTCGACACTTCCCCTGGACTTGATAATTTCCCTCTTTATCTTCTTTGACAGCAGACAGCACGAGATCCCTCATCATATGATGTCGTCTGGTTACCTCACTTGATTATCAGCCCTGCAGATCCTTGTGACATTGCACACTTGATTTTCTTGCTTCTTCCAATCCGGGTCAACTTCTTTTTCATTTAACACACGGTCCTGGGAAAGGAGACGAAAAAACCCGACATGTCTACTTCAGTCACCGCCTCCAGCTCGCTCCCCGATAACCCTCGCCCCAGTCGCTTGCGCCGCTTCAGCCAACTGCGAACTTACACTCATAATCTTTCCTCCACTGGTTCCCAACGATCAAGAAATAGTATAAGTAGTCGAGTTCCTTGGCGCACCTCAATTTCGGGCTCAAACTCTCCGACAGTGGAGAACTCCACCACTCCATGTCCTGAAACCGAACCATCTCTCTCCCGCTACACTTCTGCGCCCGCTCCCAGCTACGGTATCGGCGACCTCAACAGCCACGCTTCGTCTACCGAATCCGCCACTTCAACCCCTTTGAACGAAGTCGACGAGACACCTCATGTGATGGCGCGGCTAAGGAGCGCATCGGCGGCCCAGCGTCCCCCCCTCTCGCACCCTCGAACAGACAACCAACTCGCAAGAATCGACACCCTCCCCTGAACCGAGCGTCGTTCCAGAAAGCGCGGCAGCGGCAGCGGCAGAGACCGCCCCCGCGGAGTCGACTACCCCGCCAAGATCGGAAACAAAGGCAACCATTCGATTCTTCCCATACACGGATACCTCCCAAAGCTCTCGGCCGTCCCTACCTTTCGTCCCTGTCACTCGAACCCTTCCGTCGGAGAGCTGTGTCATCAGAGTCGGTCGATACTCTGAACGAGATGGTGTGCCAAACCCCAACCCAACTGAACCCACGGACACCCCTGTCGGCTTCAAGTCAAAGGTCGTGAGTCGTAAACACTGTGAGTTCCTATACGTGAACGGCCAGTGGCACATCAAAGATGTCGGAAGTTCCTCGGGGACCTTCTTGAACCACATGCGCCTCAGTCAGCCGAACATGGTGTCCCGCCTGTATTCCATCAAGGACGGCGACATCGTGCAGTTGGGTATCGACTTCCGCGGGGGAGAGGAGATGATCTTCCGATGTGTTCGAATCCGAATCGAGTGTAATCGATCATGGCAGCAGAAGCCTAATGAGTTCAAGTAAGACCTGACCCCACTTACACCCCCTCCAGGATCGTGTGATGCTAACATTTTCATAGCAAAAACACCGAGAGTTTGATCAAAAACCTTGGAAAGGGCGAGACGGCCGATTATTCAGGTTGTCGTGAATGCTCTATTTGCCTTGGCTCTGTCTTGGTAGGTTTCTTGGCACCTCCCTTCAAACCCGCCGCCGCTAACTTTGGTAAAGCGACCATACCAGTGCTTGTTCATGGCAGCATGCGCCCACGTCTGGCATTACAAGTGCATTAGTCGCCTACTGCACTCACCCGACTATCCAATGTTCCAATGCCCCAACTGTCGCGCATTCACTGACCTCAGCGCCGACGTTGATGATACCAACGAAGCCGATGACACACCAGAAAACGATCAGTCCAAAGATGAAGCCTCGAATGCCTCTGCCGAACCTGAAACAGATGCACCCTCGAATGCCGATACAAACAGCACCGAAGAGCCCCAGGAGCAGCCGGAACAGCTCCCCGAAGAAGCAGCGCTGGCCAACGAGGTCGAAAACCTGCACCTGGAAGAGCTCGATCGCCAAATGGAAAGCGCTTTCCGCTCGACTTCCCCAGATGGTCTCGCTCGCAGTGCCACCGTCAACATCCCTGGCTGGCAACCCTCGCTTCCTCTAAGTGTGCCCGCAGGCCGTCCACCACATTTGCGATCCGACACCCCTACATCCGATGACAACCCATTGACACCTCGGAACGACTCCGGGCCCCTTGCATTCGACGGTCGAGCAGGCATGCTGTAATCTAGGCATTTGTCATCTTCCTGGCATATATCCATCTCTCTGAGATCCCCATTTGTGCATTTTCCGATATGTCTATTGCAATGTCTTAATTCTGTCCGGGTTTCGGAGCCCACTCTACATATACCGTTTGCATTTCTGGGTAGCGCTCACTTTTTCTTTCTTTCATTCAATTTGATCCTCCGTGGCGGCTGGTTCTCTTTTTCGTCCCCTTTTGATGAACGTTTCAACACCTCTTTTTATACCCACTTTTGCATCCTATTATCATGATATCTCGGGTCACGCAACGAAGCAGGAATTTGATTTGCTGAATTCTACGTGTATACATCATCGGCACTTTATGATCATTGCCATGGATGATACCTCTTATTGGATAAATTTTCGCTCCAGCACTCGACATTGAATGGGTAGTCCTGACAACTGCACATAGTAAGCTCCAATATCCACCTGGGCACTGATCATCAAGGATTGTTGCTTGATTCTATCGTGTAGGAGGCATGGAAAGTACCACTGGAACCGGCTCTGTAGATGTTCAACAAATGATACCTAAGAATTACAGGAAACAGCATGTTATTCCCACACCATTAAACGTGGACACAGCATTGCTTGAAAATTTGTTTCAAATTGCCCGTAGCAGAGTATACCCAAGGATGCTCGGGTATAGTGACTAGGTCTAAGATCTATCTATAATTATACACATCTATCAAAACAGGTTCTCTCACTTCGAGTGAACCACGAAGCTGCCTTGCTTCTTCAGATCTCTAGAGGAGGCACCAACATACACACGGTACGAGCCCGGTGCAACAGCCCAGTTCTGCGCCTTGACATCCCAGTAAGAGATATCCCGACGACGCAAGTTGAACTTCACCTCCTTCTGCTTACCCTTCTTGATCTCCACGTTCTCAAATCCACGCAGCTGGCGCAAAGGCTGCTGTGCAGCCTTGGGATAAGAGATATAAAGCTGAGGCACCTCCGCACCATCAACAGAACCAGCATTCTGGACCTTCACGCTAACACTAGCGACAATATCCCACAGATCCTCGTAGCCACCAACAGCCCGCTTTCCAGTCGGGAAAGTAGAGAGTGCCTTGGGCCCATTGATGCTGAGATCAGAGTACTTGAACTGGGTGTATGAAAGACCGTATCCGAATTCATAGCGAGGGGTCACGTTGTAAGCGTCGAAGTAGCGGTAGTCGATGAAGTTGCCTTCAGTGAAATTGCACTGCTGGGTATAGCAGAGACCAACGTTGTAGTCGGATTCGTTCTTGGCGATTGTGTGAATGAGACGGCCACTAGGGTTAACATCGCCGTAGAGAACGTCGACAATTGAGTTTCCAGATTCCTGTCCGAGAAGACTGCCGTACAGAACGGCAGTCACGTTCTCGTTCTCGATCCAGTTGTCGACGAGTCGGACTCCGGCGGAGTTGATCACGACGACTGTGTTGGCACAGTTCTCGGCCACTTCGTTAACAAGTGCGTCCTGGTCGGTGTTGTACAGCTCGGTGCGATCGGCACCTTCGCCGGCAAGAGCGTTGATGAATACAAGGCATACATTCATGTTTTCGGCATAGGCGCTGATGGAGGGTGTGACAGAGGTACTGTCGGATCCTTGCATGACCAGCGTGGACCCGCTGGAGGAAGAATAGGTATCGTTAGCAACCCAACGAAGCATGGTTCCGTCCTGGCTTGCTTTGATGGTCAAGGCAGTCTCTGGGGTGATCAGGTAGGGCAAAGATCCTTGACCAGATCCGGAATCTGTAGCAAGATGGCCGTCGTATGTGGGTCCAGAACCCTCGACGCTGAAAGCCATGTTGGGACCGGCGATGGCGGCGCGAGCGTGGGATCCGAAGATCGCCATCTTGTGGGGCTTGTTCAAGGGAAGTGTATTGTTCTTGTTCTTAAGGAGGACCATGGACTTGGAGCCGTATGATCGGATCAGCTTGGCGTGGTCGCCGCGGACGTCGACGTACGCATCCTCTGACTCGGTAGCGGGCTGGGTGCCGTTGTCGAGGTTGGCGTGGTACCATCCGATAAGGTTACGGGTGGCCATGTCGTTCAAGCGAGCTTCGGTGAAGTTCTTGCCCTTCAAGAACCCTGTCATGGCGGAAGTACTCCACAGACTCGAAGAGCCGTAGTCCAGACCGCTGATCGCTGAGGCCAGGGCGTTCTGCTGGGCCATCTGGTCGGGGAATACCAAGCCGGGGTAGCCGAGCTCTTCCTTAAGGATGTCCAGCAGCACAGCGGAGGACTCACACGCAAGGGTGTTGTTAACCTTGGTCATGGCACACATCATTCCACCGAGGCCTGAGTGCACGGCATCGTAGAAGCTCCAGAGGTAAGTCTCGTGAAGAGTCTTGGAGTCTGCGTTGGAAGAGTAAGGCGCGCTGGAAGAAGAACTTCCGCCCATAGCACGGGCTTTTAGCGAAGAGCCTGTCGAAGATGGGGGTGCGGCAGTGTTCGAAGATGAGTTGGAGCTACCTGGGGGGGCCTCCACTTCCACCTCCCATACCACCGCCGCCGCCACCACCACCACTTGAGGTTCGGTTGGTCTCTTGTTCATTCAAAATGAAGTGCTTTGATATGTGTTAGTGAGGCGGGCTTTAGAGTCAAATCATAGAAGCTAAGCAGCCTACCTTGGCACCGGCAATAATACCAACATCATTGTATGCCTCGACGCCCAATCCTGTAGCGATACCATTGAGGTAAGGATCCGGTCCAAAAGTCTCAACCAAGCGACCACCCCAAGGAGTACGTCCCATTGGCTGAGAAGTAGGTCCATTGATAACCTGAACGCCCTTGAGATAGGCCTCCACTGCAACAGCCCGAGCTTGCTTATACATGGCATCCTTGTCCCAAGTCATAGCCAGGGCCGAAGACTGACTGAATGCGGACACATAGTAGTAGTCTTGCAAGCCCATGGACCCATCCAAAAACTTCAACGCAGTGAAGGACTGGCCGTCAGTTGTTGTCGCATCACTTCCAGTGATGAGCTTCAACTTCTCGGTTGTGTTGAGCTTTGAGACGAATTTGGTAGCTTTTTCATAGGCGGCTTGCCAATCGCCGAGGGCAACTATTTGCGAATGATTAGTCCAAAGAAGGAATATAAGAGAGGAAGGCTAGTGTACCATTGCCGTTAGAAAGCAGACCGGCCTTGGAGTCTGAAGCGGCAACGGCCGCACCTGACAAGGCACAAAGCAAGGACAAAGAATGAATCTTCATCTTTGAAAGAAGAAGGATCGACTAGAAAAAGAGAAGAAAGAGTGAATGGTCCATCTCAACACCGGGTCCTGTCGGGTTTTCATAGTCCCCAAAGTCGACGCGTACAACTGGTATAGTATGGCAGGAACAGGGTGAAGAAACAAGGTTTCAGATCCACTCAAACGGCTTAGCCCTATGGGTTCTGAGGGTGCCATTACGTGGACCGATGATCATACCCAGGGTTTGGTACAAGCTCACCGGCAAAACTGCGGTGCAAATTCCTACATCCCGGAAAAGCCGAGAATTAAGGCCCAAATTAGGGTTATGTAATCCGGCTTCCCGATCGAAAAGGGAAGGTGTTCCTGTCCATAGTTTAATCGCATGGAAACTACTTTGAAACGGGAGGCTGGATTGCCATAAAGTGTTTACGGCTCTCGTTTCAGCATGCCTGTGGCTGTTTCGCAGCTTGATGTTCGCTTTTGTCCTTCGATATGGTTTGATATAAAGTGCCGAGAATCGACTCCACCGGGGTGACGATTCTGTGTTTCCGGCACTTCCGATGTCAATCTCCAATACACCCAATGAGTTGACCCCTCAGCAATCGCTTGTATCGTCACAACGGTCAATATACCAAGTGAAGTACTGACCCAAGGCAGCGAGTCAACACCGCAGATCCTGGGATACGTAGAATGGACAATGTATGTGCTTCTTTGTGCCCACTGAGAGCCTCAATTTCTCTGATCCAGGCAATAATGGAGCTACCTCAAAAGGCAGGCGTTGTCGAACATTCGCTAGATGCTTTCCGATATCAACTACTTGTACGGAGTACGGAGTACGAACTAGAGGTTTGTTTGTCATCACGTGGCCTGGTCCCGCTGTGGGTCTTGGAGCCAAATGTCACTGGACCCGCTTTTGATCTCTCATCCTGGTCCATATCTCAATTCTACCTTGGAGAGCGGTGGTACAGCTCCTCAGTTGAGCTGGTCCTGTGTAATATTTCTCAGGTCGATTCCAGCCACCACATGATCCGGTATCATGAGGTTGAACTTCAGCGAACCACCCACCCCGAGCCTGAGTCGCCAGAACACCACAATTCAAGGTCATCACCAACGACGCGGCACTCATCCTCATCGCCTATCGTCACGTGCTAAGCCTAGGAGGTAAGGTGATAGAGACCACGCTTGCCAATCAGATAGACTAACACTCTCAGATGGCCGTTGGTCTTCCGATTCATTAAAGGTGCAATCCATGGCGCAATATTATTCCCTGTGTTCTTGCACGCGGTTTTTACAACACTGATCGTGTATCTGGATACATATGTGTTTGACACTGTCGGCTTACCTAGCACTATTGTACGTATCGTACACAATCTTTCCAGGCTGATTTGCAGCTAAACGCGAGATAGATCCCCTCGTTGTCAATAGTCGTGGGACTGATGCTCGTCTTCCGCAACCAAACATCCTATAACCGTTTCTGGGATGGACGCAACGGAATGAACACGCTCAATACCTGCGTGCGGAATCTCGTCCGCACAATTGCGACAAATAGTTACAACGCTAAGCGCGGACCACCCACAGCTGCAGAGCGTGAGGATATCGAGCGCACTATTCGTATTCTAATGGCCATCCCTTACGCCGTGAAGAACCATCTACGCGCTGAGTGGGGCGCCGCTTGGGTATTCGGCGGCTCCATCGATGAGGATTTGAATCTGCATGGCAGTACACTTTACAACCCCGAGTACGCCAACTTGCTTCCGGCGGGCTTGGTGGGACATGAAGACGAGGGACTGGGTCTTCCTTTCCAGTTGACATTTTTCATTGACGGCTTCATCAAGCGTGGCGAGGGGCGAGGGTGGTTTCCTGCACCAGGGGCTAGTCAGATGCAGGCCCAGTTGAACACATTGACCGATGCGTATGGAAGAATGGAAACCATCAAATTGACACCCATTCCTGTCGCTCACTTGTGAGTCTCAGCTTTAATCTGGTGGTAGAAATCCGCTAACAGAATCGGGTACAGAATTCATCAAAAACAAGTCCTCGCCCTATTTGGCTGCGTTTTGCCCTTTGCCATGGTCGACGAGATGGGATGGTGGGCAATTCCTATAGTCAGCTTGGTCATCTTTACCCTCTATGGTATCGAGGGCATAGGGTCTCAACTGGAAGATCCATTTGGTTACGACCGAAATGATATCAAGATGGATGCCATTGCTGGCGATTCCAAGGTTGAGATTGACGTTGTCTTATCTGAATGGCGCACACACTCAAAGGCCATGGATGCGCTGAGACACCAGCCAGCCGGTGCGTACCATGGAGATTTATGCCTGACTCCTACGCGTGATGCAAGCAGTGATGACCAAAGGGATGATAAATACGCACCGCCGGATTTGTTTTTGAGACTTAGGCCGAACACAGGAAGATAGAGCGCCAGAAATGAAAAGAGCAGGCATGGATGATATGTGGACTAAAGCCCAGCTGGGCAATTGATTTCATCGTTGCCCACGGAAGCTGATTATCCTAATTTGTAGATCATGGCCGTCTCAAAAGGAATTGTAACTCCAGTCGGGTATCTCCAGGGTTAAGACGGCAAAATAAGGGGAAAATAGGCCAAATTTTATAACGGTGGCTCGAGGGCCAAGACACCATCCAGTATTGAATCCGGGGTCACGTCTGCAAGCACTTGCGCTACATCATGTAGGTTGCTTCCGTACTGTAAACTGCGGTCCTCGCCTGGGGCTGTGACGGTAACGCGATGGCGGAAAACTTTCCTTGCAGCCAATGCCACAATTGACGGCGTCAAAAAATCGATTCCATGCAGAGGGGCCAAAAGTCTGCAGGTTTCAACAGGTCAATTTGGCAACCATGTGCTGGGGGGTATTCTGCAAGCTTACTGCGCGAGTCGGGAGAATTCAATATTTGCTTTGGCAGACACTCCACCAGAGACTGCACGACTCAGGCGCAAAAACACAACAATGTCCTGGATATACCGTGCTATCTCGGCACTGGTACTCACTTTCAAGCTCGACTCTCGGAGTTGATCTATATCCTGATTTGTAAAGCAGGATTAGCCTGTCAGATCCATGTTCGAATAATCAGTCTGAGGCTCACCTTCTGGCTAAGCGTAGCATTCTTTTTTGCGCGAGATTTCGACTTGTGAATGACAGAAGAAGCAGATAATTGTCCATCTGAGAGCCAATCGTCTTCTTCAAGGTAATTATACCCAGCCTCGGGGCTGTGGAAATGAGATATGAAGAGATTGTCCACCTGGAGATATTAGCCACATGTTTAAATGGAAAGCAGCATTATAGCGTTCCAGGTTTTCACTCACTAGATGCTTTCTCAATGGCGGCTGAAGCTGGTCAGAGTCTCGGACCACAAGAGGAATGAAAAGAAACTCTTCTGGTGCAATCAATATCCCACTCTCAGTGACCAATTCTCTTGAGCGCATTAACTACATGGGCTGTCAAATTTGATTTGGCGAGTGAGCGGTATTGATAGTCATACCTGCAAGAAATGCATTTGAAGATCATCACTGATAAAATTGAAGTTTTTGGCGATCACTATGTTGACGACATTGTTGCTCGTCAATGGTGTAGGTGTCGCTGGTGGCTTGCTGTAGTCGCCAAAGCTTTTATAAGAAGAACGCTTGCTTGACTGTGGTCGTCAGCTTATTTAGATCATAGGGTTGGGATGACAAACCGCCTCTGTATTCAGCCAGGGACGCGTTGGGCGATGATTTGCGCGGGCATCAGGAGAGAGAACATCATTATAGATATCCTCGGCAGATGTTGATGTAGAGCAGTCAATTATGCTGTATGAATAATTGAAAGTTGAAGAAGCGACCTATATGTGTGAGAGAATAATTGATATATTCTGTAGATAGACATACCAAGGCAAGCTCTTTGGCAAGGTCGTTGATGCAGTGGCTGGCGGTCTCGATCAAGCAATGTTCGCGAGCAGCGAGACATATGAAAAGGGCCACTTCGAGATCGGATAGCTGCCTCGCAGTGTCTGCAAGATTTGACTCTTCCATTTAGAAGATGAGGATGAGATAAAAAGGTCAATGACCACTATTAGAAGAAGTTGAGGATGGGAAGGTGTGGATATCCGCCTGGGAACCAAGGCGATAAAATTACCTGAACAGGCCTAGCGTCACCGACCTCCCGATCAACACCTCCTCCAACTTCCCCAGGCCTCGTCTGTAATCCACAACATGGCACCAAATCCACTTGCCAATTGGGAGAAGATTGGCAACAGCTTTTATCGCAAGATTGCCATCTACGACGCCATATTTGAAGATGATGTGGAGTTAGAAAACTACATTGTCGCGGGCGCCCCCTACGGTGGAGCTATTGGTGAGAGATATCCAAGCAAGCAGTTGGGATTCGAGGACTAATCCATCTCAGCACTACACCGTGATGAAACTAAGCCGCTACGGTTGCGGGATGGACAGGGTTCCCGATCAACAGTTGACATCTATTCTTGCGCTGGACAACGCATCAATCGGATCAACGTGAGTCCACACCTTGTTGAAACATGAATGACCTTATGCTGATAGACCTAAAGTGGGAGCAGGCCACAATCAGGGGATTGGGATGGTCCGACAAGGAGGAGCTGTTGATTGTCTCCGAAGACGGCACCGTACGACGTTACCTCGGCTTAGATGGCGAGTTCACGTCTTTTTCCCTTGGCAATGTGAGTACTACACGTTTCTTTGAAGATACAGGACTGATTATCTCATAGGGAGCTGAAGAATATGGCGTGAGATCCTGCCAGTTCTGGTCATCAGGTCTCGTGGCATTGCTTTCCAATAACCAACTAATCGTTGTGTCTAAATATGACGAGCCACGCCCGCGACTCTTGGCGCCCTGTCCAGAAGGCGAGGTCTCCTCGTGGGCATTGATTCCGCCAGCTCATACACTGTCACGCTCCGTCGAAGTCCTATTGGCTGTTGATAAAACGGTCTTTCTGATTGATTCAACAGAAGCGGAAGACAAAATTCTACAAAATGGACCCTTCAAGCATATTAGCGTGTCGCCCGACGGACTATCTGTTGCACTTTTCACCGCAGAAGGGAAATTGTGGGTTGTGAGCAATGATTTCCAAAGCAAAACCAGTGAATACGATTCCAAATCACGGGTGCCTCCAAGCACAGTGGCTTGGTGTGGTAAGGAAGCTGTTATTCTTGCCTGGGAGGATGAGATACACCTCGTAGGATTGAATGGAGTTGCGTCAAAGTGAGTCAAAATCTTTGTGGTATCAGAGCAATTCCAGTCTAACCCCCTCAGATATTATTATGACGGCCGCGTGCATGTGGTACCTGAGTTTGATGGCGTTCGCCTCGTCACCAATGACACATGTGAATTCTTACACAAGGTCGCAGGTAAGTCAAACCTCAAAAAATAAAGGGGCTCGACTGACAGTGACCAGCTGTTACTGAAGAAATATTCCGTCTTGGATCATCTTCGCCCGCGTCCGTTCTCCTGGACTCGGTGGATCAGTTAGAGAAGAAATCGCCCAGGGCCGATGAGAACATTCAACGCATTCGATCCAGTCTTCCCTCGGCAGTTGATAGTTGCATAAAAGCAGCGGGTCATGAATACGACGGTTACTGGCAAAAGCGGCTATTGAAGGCTGCGTCGTTTGGCAAATCTGTCCTTGATCTTTACAACAGCGACGAGTTTGTTGAGATGACCGAAAAGCTGCGCGTTCTCAAAACTTTGAGAGATTACAGGATTGGTTTGCCCTTGACCTACGAGCAATACCTACGTCTCACACCAGATGGGCTAGTTGAACGTCTGATAAACCGACATGAGTATTTGCTCGCAATTCGGATCTCGGAATATCTCCAGATTCCCGCTGACAGAGTGTATGTTCATTGGGCAAGCCAGAAGGTCAAAGTGTCTACAGTTGACGACGAAGCCGTGTGCAAGCTCATTGTGCAAAGACTCGAGGGAAAGCCAGGCATTTCTTTTGAGGTCATTGCTCAGGCAGCCTATGACGAGGGCCGATCTCATCTGGCCACTCAATTGCTAAATCATGAACCCCGGGGTGGCAAGCAAGTTCCACTGCTGCTGAACATGGAAGAAGATGAACTGGCTCTTGATAAGGCCATCGAAAGCGGAGATGATGATCTCGTCAACTACGTGTTACTGCATCTCAAGAGCAAACTTCCTCTTGCAAGTTTCTTCCGACTGATCAACACTCGCCCCATGGCTTCTGCGCTTGTTGAGACAGCCGCACGAGGCGATGATACAGACCTTCTCAAGGATCTCTTCTACCAAGATGATCGGCCCATTGATGGTGCCAATGTGCTACTGACCGAGGCCTTGCGCGAATCTGATCGGGCACGCCAAGCCGAAAAGCTACAATTAGCATCTCGCCTCTTGTCAGACTCCAAGGAACCCACGGTGCTATTGAACCAGAAACTAGTTACCGAGGCCTCCCAGCTTCTGAAAACTCAGGAGGCACTAGACAAAGACTTGGCAGACAACAGCGAGTACCTAGGCCTCAGCTTGAATGAGACGGTCTACGGCCTCGTTCGAGCGGGATACAGCAAAAGAGCACAGAAGATCCAGAGTGAATTCAAAATGCCGGAGAAAACATTCTGGTGGTTGAGATTGAGAGCCCTGGTGGCTAAACGTGATTGGGGGGAGCTAGAAGAAATCGCTAGGGTCAAGAAATCCCCAATCGGATGGGAGGTAAGATTGAGGACCCTCAAACTACCTTTACACATGCTCACTAAGACAGCCTTTTTACAACGAGATTTTGGGTGCTGGAAACACAAAACTTGCTTCAGGATTCGTGCCAAAGTGCACCCACCTGCCTCCTGCCGAGAGAATTGAAATGTGGGTAAAGTGTGGAATGATTGTGAAGGCGGGAGAAGAGGCGCAAAAGACGAAGGACCTCAACACCCTGGAACTTCTCCGGACCAAGGCCTCTGGTCCCGCAGCCACCGAGATCGAGCGTATGATCAACCAGCTTAAGCCGAGGAAATGAGCTCAACCATTGTGCTTGACAAACCTCAGGACTGACTAGCTGGGGCTCCTCGTGCTTCCTTCAGGTAATTTCGTCGGCCTCTTCCGCGGCCGCAGGGTCGTCAGTAGGACCGTTTGTTGCAGGGGTTTCCGGTTCTTCATCATCCATTTCGAACACATTCCTTGCCGCTGGAGCCTTCGCAGGAGGGGCATCTTCGGCCATAGCATCGTCATCCTCGTCATCCTCTTCATCCACGTCGTTCTGCTGGAGAGTGGCGAAGGCTGATGCTTTGCGGTTGGTTTCATCCCAGTCAGCCTATTGAAATGTCAGCAAATGTATACCAAATAATACTGACGCTGATCAGTCATACCCTTCGGCCATCGACGACCCTCGCACGGGCGAAACTTTTGGCCTTTTTGATTTCCAGTTGATCTAACACCGCCTCGGCTCTGTCCATTCCCTTTTGCTGTCTTAAACGCTGTGCCCTTGAGACCTTGTCATTCTTCTTATTTTGCTTCTTCATCACACCAGCATTAGCACGGTCGGCCAGAACCGCAGGTCCTTGAGCAGTGGGGGATTCGGCTCGGGGCAGCGAAGTCACGGATTTGTCGAGGTCCATGCTTGGAGATGCTGCCCGCCGCGCTGCGCGGGAGCGCGGGGCAACCTGGGCTGGTAATGTTAGACTTAGACCGAAAAAATGAACGAAGGATTCCTAGCCATGTAACTTACATCTGCTTTTCGCCATTGTCGTTGTTTTGAAGAATTAGCATTTATCGTGGGGGAGGAGCCGCTATCGATAAAAAAAAAGTTTACGGGATGCGAGGACGACCACTTGTGCAGGCCGGCATCTATACTGCCCTTTCACACGCGTTCATCCTCTGCCTGCATCAGCCCATGCTACCGCTCATCAACTTTGTGTTTATGCGGTGGCAGCTCCTACGGTTTCTCCAACTATGAAGACACAATACTGGCACTCTGAGACCGTTTCAAGCAACCCCAGCAACCCCAGCTATCACAGTCACTATGAAGCCGCTCTTGGGATGCTAGAGAACAACACGGTGATCACGTCCATTCTCTCTGCGCTTTGTTTTGTCCTCATCTTACTCAACTACTTCGGTCTTCCCCCGATATCACTATTACAACTTTCCTGGGACCTCCTTGTGTACATTACACCATCTCGAATCGTCGTCGCATTTGATCCTCACATGTCCAACACCGAAGCTATCGCTCGTGACTCGTCTCTTCCCCTTCAACAAAAAAGCGACGCAATGGTGCGAATTCTCGGCGGCATCTCTGCCAGCAGCCCGGTCCCATTCTTTACTCAGCCTCGATCGCTTTCTGCCTTCGGGAACGCCTTGCTAGGATCAACAAATGACGCTGCGCCAGCGGGCTTGGGGAACTGGAATAATTCATGTTTTCAAAACAGTATCATTCAAGGCCTGGCTTCTCTGAAGTCACTCGTGGATTTCTTGGGACGAAACATCGATAATACCTCGCCAAAGATCTCTCTTGAGACGCACCAGGCCCTGTTAGATCTCATCGAAAACCTGAACAGCGCTTCGAACCATGGAAGAAAGTTGTGGATTGAGGGTCCTTTGAAGTCGATGAGCAGTTGGCAACAGCAAGATGCGCAGGAATACTTCCACAAGGTTGTTCATCAAATCGACATGGAGGCTGAGCTAGCTTCACGTGGGGAGATTACCAATGTCGGTTTGAAGCTGGCGGGTCCCGAGGAAAATATCGTGCAAGGTAGTCGTTTTGATGGACCTCGTGCCGAGAAAACCGACCCGGCATCATTGGCTCTTGATGTGTCGTACAACCCTCTTGAGGGCCTGCTCGCTCAGCGAGTCGGGTGCATGGATTGTGGCTACTCCGAAGGTCTTTCATTGATCCCTTTTAACTGCCTGACGGTTCCCCTGGGCGGTAGTCATCAGTACGACATCCGCGATTGTTTGAATCATTACATGACGCTTGAGCCCATCGAAGGCGTAGAGTGCGCTAAGTGTACTCTGTTGCAAAGACGAGAGCAGCTTATCAATTTGATTGGTGAAATGAATAATGACAGCCAGTCAGACGACCCTCACACACCAAATCCCTTCGATGCTGTGAAATTGACGGCCTCTGAGAGACTAGGGGATGTCACTACGGCATTGGAGAGCAATGACTACAGCGAAAACACATTGTCTCAGAAATGTCACATTTCTTCCAAAAACCGAGTATCAACCACAAAGTCCCGGCAGGCGGTAATCGCACGAGCTCCAAAGTGTCTTACGATTCACATTAACCGCAGTCTCTTCGACGAGATGACCGGTGATCTGGTCAAGAACCATACGGCAGTCGTGTTTCCTCAAATGATCGATCTGAACCCTTGGTGTCTTGGGACCCAAAACGCGGGCAAATCCGGTGACAAGCTTGAGCAATGGGAGACAAATCCTTGCAGGTCTATGCTTCCGCGGCCTGATGAAGTCGTCGAGATTCCCAGCAGGCTGTACCAACTCCGAGCTGTCATCACCCACTACGGTCGTCATGAAAACGGCCACTACGTCTGTTATCGGAAGTACCCAACATCAGAGTTCACAGCCCCTCCCCCGGACGAAATCCTTCAGGTTGAGGGTGACAAAGATAAACCCGAGCGCTGGTGGCGACTCAGTGACGATGACGTTCAAATGGTCAGCGAGAGCTTTGTGATGTCTCAAAAGGGCGCTTTCATGTTATTTTACGAGGCCATCGACGAGTCGGTCTCTTCTTCATCCGAATCTCCTGCTTCTTCCGCGTACACCGATTCATTTGAGACTGCCTACCTCGCAAGTGCAGATTCGACTGCCACAAGTTTCGTGTCCGACGACTTTTCCGCGCCGTCCACTGTGACTGACCTCGAGTCTTCAACTTCCCGTGCGACCAGCGTCTCGATGCCTTGGGATGAGGCTCAACCCAACCTTTCGCACACAAAGCAGGCCAATCACTGCGACGTCGATATCAACCCAAATGATGAAGTCGAATCGCCCCCTGCTGCGGTCGCATGATCATCTCTCCCTTGACTTTCACCCAATCTCCTTTGCTTCGTTCCCCGCATAGTCGTGTTTTTTTGGCCGACCCTTGCATGCATCATGATACCCAATACCGCGTTGTCTTATCCAGGGCGTTTATGTTCCGTCCTTTCTTCTTCTTTCCTGGCTCTATGGTGCTGGGTGTGACTATGTACGATGTTGTACTTCTAGGAAATCTGTACAGTTCTAATGAAAGTGAATACGAAATTCTATATGTACACCGAGGTCTTCTCTTCCCGGGCTACCGTGCATACCCTCTTCTGGGAGGGTCTTTGGACCGGCCTGGTACCTGAGGTATTGGAATTAACTCTGGCGGCTATAGGCGTGCGTATTCTAGTTAACTAGTCACAAGCCTCAGTGCCGCGCTCACGCGCGGCCAAAAGGACGACGATAGTTGCTTATACACAGGCGTAATTATGTATTCGCTTATTCTCAAATTTCGATTGGTAACGGAAGAGAGCTATCATCAACTTCGGGACCTTTCTTTTAACTGTCTTTCTAATTGTTATTCTAATTGTCTTTCTAACTGTCTTTTTGGCTGTCCATCCAAGGTTCCAACTAATTGTCAAATCATCATGATTGGTCGAGAAATGGAAGTCTTGGCTAAGCCGTGAACAGAGAATTAGGGATTGGGGATCAAGAGGAAGGTGATGCGGTAGCAATAAAGTAAACAATAGAGAATCACAGAGCTCTTCGGCCGATGATCCTAAGGGATTAAGGCAGTGACGGGGCGTTGACAACGTGGAGACTCAATACTATACTCCAAGATCTAGAAAGCCATATTCAACCGTTCTTCGTTGTATATCTAGTGTTACAGTCTATCGACTTGACGAGCCTTGCTTAATAGCTCAGTTATTATGCAGTCAACTGATATCTTGACGATATTTGAATCTACCAGTATTGAGTTCTGTTTCTCATTCTCGTAACTAGCCTTATTTGACAGGATTGGCGATTCCAAAAATTCATGTAGTATGTATAATCTCCGCATTTGGATTTGAGCACCTTGGAGAATACGCCCCATCGCGGTGATCCGAATCACATAATTAAGTACCTTGGGGTCAACCACTGTGGCATAAGACCACTTGGAAACGCATTGTCTGGGGATATGAAAGCATCAACTCTTGAATCATCCAATATTTTGTACCCTTTGATTTTGATAACTTGCATCTCAAGACGCTGGATCACTCCCTCTGCGAAAATCAATCAACTGAAGTTGCGTACTAAAGGGATCCGCGGCAGATCCCCGGGTCCTCACCTTTTATCTGATCACCAAGTATGAGCTCCATGCCCCAACATTCAAAACCAAGGCGATCCTCTAATCAAGCTGGTCAAGTTTGAATTGCTTTCTTTCGCGAATACAAACCCACCTAATACTTCAAAGATGTCTACCAACACATCTTCCCAACAACCTCACGCCATATTCCTCATCAATGAGCTCCTTGAGAACATCCTTCTTCACACAGATATGAGAACTCTCATTACCTCTGGCCAACGTGTATGCCGTGATTGGAAGGAGACGATCAAGTCATCACCAAGACTCCAAGAGCACCTTTTCCTCAAGCCATCCAAACCCCAACCATCAGAAGAGTGTCAACGGACCCGCAATCCACTTCTGGAAGACGTACTCTGGGCCCAATTTTTCCTTAAGCAGCAGCAAAACTCAGATTCAAAAGCCGAAGTGAGCAGGTTTCCTCTGCGCGAATCGGATCGCGTCAGACTCAAAGCCTACCTACGAAAAGACGCCAGCTGGAAGCAAATGCTCCTACAGCAGCCCCCAACATCATCAATCGGGGTTCTCGAGATAATCAGACGCTCGGATTCCCAGTTCACCAAGCTGGCTGTCAATCCAGACTCTGAGTTTCTGCGAATGGGCCACATATTAAACCTCCTACAAGGACGCAGCACTCTGGTCCCAACTCGCAATAAGTGGATCCTCTGGAGCGGACGATCGCGAGTCAAGATGCCTCTCAACTTCGAGCTCTGGGCACCGAAATGGGTCTATGAGCCTGGGACATTGCAGTCGGTTCAAGAATGGGTGCCTGATAACATCGACTGGGACAGTTTACGGCTGGAAGTCGCGTCAATGTACTTGAATGATTTTGACTGCGACTTGGTCATTGTGTCTGAGCGGAGACAGAAGCTATTCCAGGGTGAGGATCGAGTTCACAGGGAGAGCAAACTCGATCGTCGGCTTGAACAGGTGTTTGGGGAGTGTCGGGTTGAGATTGGACGGAAGCATATCAATCATTCTTGGATTCCGATCAAGGGAGTTGGTGTTGATCGCAGATGGGTCCTGAGACCATGCTCTGCCACACCTCTTGTTCCGGCGTTGAGTGCTTCTTCTGATGCTTCGGATTCGTCTTCGTTATCATCCTCGTTTCCTTAGCCTGTGGGAGACAAGGTTGGGTCAGTGCTCTATGACTGATGCGTTGAACCATCGTTTCTCAATTTTGTTGCACACTAAGATGCAATTCTGCAATGAGCGCTGTGCTGATGTGGCTCATCTGAGGTTATGTGTTATGTCTCGATAATTGATTCAGATTTCAGTCAAACCAAGCTCTTGCGCAGTCTACGAGTCCACTTGGACAATATGTAGAAGCTTGGAATGCTGTAATCGCATGCGACTGAGAACCTCCCCTCTTACCTATCCTTCTTTTGGTGTTGTAGAATGGGAAGTTTGCCCTGTTTATCAGTCTCCTCCCAGATGTAGATAGTGCAGAGGGAGAGAGCATCTCTTTCTCCCTCCTCCTCCTCCTCCTCTTCCTCCTCCTCCTCCTCCTCCTCCTCCTCCTCCTTCTCTTCTTCTCCTTGTCTTCAACAACTCCACAAATCGTACATATCTGCGATATTGTCGATAGAGTGCAACCAGATAACTACGGATTCTGACAGACAGGATCTTGGCACACCAACAGCATGGCATTTCAGGAAGGTACGAGATGGACAGTCACAGAAGTCCACAATGTGCTGCACAGGGTACACACTGACCGCTATATTAGAGTCAGAGTATCCACTCCCAGGCGTCTCGCCACTACCACGTGTGTGGGAGCGCCTCGCCATGGCCTACAACATAAGGATTCCCCACTACAGCGCCCTCAACTCCAGCGCGACTTTCCTGTCCCCCGATCTATACTTCGACTGGGAGGCATGTGGCGCCGATGCAGACAGAGCCGAGGATTTAATGGTACAGATGGCTCAGGAGCAGCAGATGCTGACCTTGCGGGGCTATGTGCTCGGGCTTGGCCATGAGTATCTACCTCTACAGCAAGACTCGGACGAATTTCAATCCTCTCTATGTTTTTCGCCTATCGAGGAGCTGGCATACTTGACATACCTGAAAGAGAGTGCTTTTTGGGACAAAGATGAGTGTGCTGAGCAACTGGTCGAGGTATCAGAGAAGCTGCTTCATGCCCGATTCGAGCAAACTCTACTACAACTTCGTCATATGCAGGGTGCCTTTAAAGAGGAACCTTACCGTTGAATTGGTGAGAGCCCCGAGAGAGATACAGGATGGTACTAGGTTAAACAAAAAGAACCGATATCATGGACACAGTCTAGGATGGGTGTCGGACGGGATGGGGGTATACTCGATAACGAGCTGCATATAAATATCGGCAAGCAATGTGCACATATACTTGGGCAATGATAATACTAGAAAGGTGATCTGCAATAGCATGAGCTCCATGTCCTGTATGAATTCGTGCATATCAGGTAGACATACTTCCTGCAACTAACAATGAAACAACGGTGAAGACGACAGCAACCCCTCCTGGTCCCGACCTCGGGATCAAACAATGTTAGTCACAACCACCAACGGAAATTAAGTCCAGTCCAAACCTCTGACAAACATCTATTCCGACCTAATCTTGGAATCACCAGCACAATGCATCAAATAGGAAGTAGACACAACTGACCGCCATTTTAAATATCCGAGCGTGCATCGGGGAAAGCCAGCGACCGACATATCCATGTCCCATTAGCGCTTCCAGGGCCCCGACAACCAATAATTTCAAGGTTCGGACAATGTTCATCAGCCATGCATAAGATTCGAACGGCACGTTTAGGATGTTCTTCAGCAATGTTCACCGTATCATCTAGACGCGCATCGTGCGGATGTCCCTACCCAGCTCGAATTGAAATTTTCATCAATTGAAACACCCCCCTCAGCCATCGGCAGTGTACAGACAACGGCTGGGACAAAGCGATTGCTAACTATGCCAAAGTGGGCAACTGGAAGAATTGCGCAGGCGTATCTACAATGTACTCCGTAACGGGTCTTTGCTGCACGGGTCTACACATACTGCATTGCGAACGTTCTCGAAAGTGGATAGTACTATTTTATTCCAAGGTTTGCAGTGGGATCGGACTTTGTTGAGTTCCTCGATTAGGATTCGGGGTTTCCTTTCGCACATGTTTGTTTTTATCTTTTCTGAAATCGCATCAAGCATGCAGAGACGCGACCGTGGCAACGCCTTGCAAGGTTGCTACCCAGTGGCGAAAAATCGGTCAACGCGGATACCCTCTACGGTTGCAAGGCGGGAAGATTTTCTGAGTCAAGCATATTTGATTGGAGTCAGCAGAAAAGCCAAAGGCTGCAGTTGACATCCAATAGCGAGGCGGAACTTGGCGGTCTCGGGAAGCGCTGTCTGATCTCACAGTCGGGAAATCAAGTAATGAGCAGATGACAGCTTACGACAGTGTCATCCGTGCGGCTACTGTCTATCAAGTACCCCATGAATCAGAGGCGCTCTCCGCCCGTATATGTGTTTTCACGCACATAATGTATGTATTGGGAGGCGCCTTGATGTGGAAGCCAGCCTCATACGACTCTACACCGTAAACCCGCCACTACCATCACACCCTTGTCGATCGCTGCGGGCGACAGCGCGGATAGGATCCCGGAAGGGTTGGGTCACACTGCAAAAGAACTGCAAAGGGTAGTCTGTACATGTCAACTCACATTCTTCATGACTCCGCAAAGCAAAAGGGTGGGTCGGAATCTGATACCCGGGACCCCATGGGGGTGTTCCATGGTTCAGCCTATGCTTATTCCCAGCTGGGATCTAGAGCATTCCTAAGATTATCTTGTGAAATCATTGAGATTTTCGATGTATCTGTCCAATGTGGCTGAAGTCGGTGAGTCAGAAGTCGGAAAGTACTCCAGCTCTCACATTCTCTCGGTACTTGCTTGTGAGTATTCCGTACGGAGTATCTGAGGTTAGTTGTAGACCTCGGTCGGCGTGGAAACATATTGGGCTGCTGCAATCAAACCTGCGGCACCGTGCAAAATAAACAAAGAGCATCCCGAGGTCCGGTACAGAATATTGAACATTGGACTCCTTCCTTCACGCAGTGTTATTGTATACATGCAAGAGCAGACCCGACCATCTGTCCTTGCGATTTTAGTTCTGAGATCGTACATATGAACTGCAGCTGCAGCTGCAGGGAAACCCTAGAATGGCTGGAAGAGCCACTGTGGATCCGAGCCCCTGCACCTCTCACCTACAGTACGAGTACGGGTTACAATGTACGGAGTACAGCAAGAGCTTCACAATCTATTACTGATCAAGCTCTATAGAGTCTCACTGCATGTGTGAGAATTTACTACAGACATATGCGAGTAAACCTGTGTGAGTCGCCAGCCGAGTTTCACAAAGCGCCATCAGCCATAGCCGAGGCAATCAACAAGCGACAATCAACAGCCAACAGTCAATAGTCTACTCCGTACTTCGTACTCCGTACCGACCGAGCTCTCGCTCTCGCTCTAGGAAATCAGATCCTTTGTGCCCAATGTCAGTACTTCTCTCCCGGAAGCCTAATAACAAAGCCGGAGATCATCCAGGAGGTTCCGCGGAACCCACTATGACAATATCCGTCCCCACAAACCCAGGGGACAGGTAACAGGGCACGCGTCGCAAATCCTTTGAAACACCGAGAGACTGGGAAAGGGGAGGGACCGGACGCGACGCGTTGGATCGCGGGCCGTTCCTCAGACAAAGCTCAGCTCTCTCGTCTCGTTAGCTCAGGCAGCTTTTGCAGCTTCCGTGTCAGCCGTATCAAATATGATTTCATTAGTCGTAAGTACGGAGTACGGTGGAGCTGTCACGGCGACCCAGTGTGATTTCGTGGGTCTCTCTGTCCATTCTCCTGGTTCCCCGACGGGACGGGACGTGCAAGCATCTATTGGTAACGTACATTTGTAGGTGGAGGTGGCGTGGGGGAAAGGCGATACGAAGCACGAAGCACGAAGTACGGAGTTGATATGTATCAAGCTGCCAAAGTACGTAGGTGTATGCGGGCAATCGATCCTAGGAGTCAAAATCGACATCCCTGCCTGATGGGAATTGAGATATGACGAGTTCAAAGGGGGCGATGATCTTGGGCCGAAAGGGGGTGAATCCGACTTTCCAGGGTAACGGAGTGATCCACTTAGTCTTCCGGGGAAGGGCATGTGTTTCCGCTAGGCTTGCATCACGCAAGTCATCTGGCGCATCATAAAAGTCAAGCCCTAGGGATCGAATCAGATTGCTTATGTAGGTCATGGGGAGATCGGGGACGAAAGAAATTCATAAATCAATTAGCAAATAAGCATGGGGGAGAGGGAACAAAAAACGAGAGGGAAATCTCTTTGTTTTGAGGTCTGGACCGACGATCTAGGCCTATTGATTTAAAGATCCCCGAGAATCCACCGGGGCCTCGGCGGAACTGTGGAGATGCTGATTCGTGCGAAAACACCGGCAAAATCCCCTGGACTCTCAATTTATAGAAAATCCACGATCTTTTGACTAGGATGGGATTGAGATCCAACGTCTGGAACAATGAAAGTACAGAGTAGCTAAGAGGTCCCCGGTACTCCGTAGAGGACTGGCAAATTGCCGAGGGGAATTGTATTTAGCCGAATGGAGTTATGGGGGGAGTTCCGGAGCGGCGGAAACCGTTGTCCATACAAAGGCCACTTTGGGACCTTTCGGGCTTCGACGGGCCTTCTCCACGGGCTCTAGACTTGACCCGAGGCAGTGTGAGTGGAGTTACGAACTGTCTCTTAATTTATGGAGAACACGACGAGTACAAAAAAGAAATGTTTCCCCTGTGGCAAGTTCCGACTTTTGGACCTTATCTCTCAACTTTGCAAACTTCGTACTAGCAAACTGTCAAAGAACGGTGTTGACGTGTTGACCAACGTTCAGATCCCTGAAGCATTGAGGCGTTGGGCAGATCAGCCTTCAAGCGGTGAATTCAAACAAACATCCTTGACCGGAAGAGAACCTTGGAATCAAGGTGTATTTACTACACCTGAATTTACTACGCAATATTCCCAGTACCTGACACTTACAATATTCACAAAATTGTACAAGGTTGGGAGGCGTGTGATGAGGCCCTGTCAAATTATTATTCGAATTTCGATTTTAATTTTGGTCGATCAGTTCGTTGATCGACGGGCTTTGACGGAAGCTGCTTCCGTCTGATTGTTCGGATTTTCTTTGCTTTTTTTTGGGAAATTAAATTATTATTTTCCTTTTTGATTTTTTTGATTTTTGATTTGTTTCATTTTCGACTGCAAGGGAGTCCGGGTGGTCTAGAAGTCTTCCCCGGCTTTGATATCAACCCTTTCACTCTTATTGATAAACACCCCCCATCCTCGATCTTGATCTTCACCTTCACCTTCACCTCACTTCACTCCACCTTCACACTGTTGTCTCACACAACCTTCAGGGCCCACTTGGTCCAGGCTGTCTACCTTCGCCTATCTCGACACACAAATCAACACATTTCACCATGATTCCCATTCAGTCACGCCTACAAGCCATGTCGCTTCCCAAAGCGGCGGCTCCTATCGCCAGCACAGATCCAGCTCAGGTCACCTTCTGCTGGAGTGGCAGCTCCGGATCTTTTGAATCCATCATGTCAAGCCCATTTGCTCCGCCACCAACACCAACTGACACCCTCCTCGACATCAACCCCCGCAAATCATCTTTCTCCAGCGAGCAGGGCGCAGCCTACGCCTTCCCATCCTGGCCCAACAGGCCTTCTCTCTCTACCAATGACTCCATGGACTCCTGCACCAGCGCCTACCTGTCCGACGATGACCTCCTCTGGATGCCCGAGAACGCCGGCACAGAGAAGGCAGTGGAAGAAACTCCCGTCGAGCCGGTCTGCTCCGTCACCATGGAGCAACAGCTCCAGCGCATGCGCGCCATCGCCGAGGAGGAAGACCGTGCCAACTTCATGGCCAGGGTCGACGCCCATGCTCGCGCCACCCTCGCTCTGCGCCAGGAAAAGCAGTCTATCGTCATCGACCGCGAGCGCGACTCAAAGCGCAAGAAGCGTCGGGTCGTACCAACACCCAAGCGCCGCGCACATTCAGCCTCCAAGGTTTCCACGCACTAAGCTCACCGGCTTGCCCGGTGCAGCGCAGGCGCTGCCTTAGGACTCACCCACTTCCTCTCTCTTCTTCTTGTCATTACCTCCTTATCTTTTAATTCTGTGGAGTCAGACCCCAGACTCTGACATGCCGTGATACCCGCCATTTTTTTTCTGGAATGGACCGATCTCGGACAGTGCAATGTTGATCGCCATGACGCGATCCCCGCAGCTTACCTAACGGCGCTGACGGCGGTTTTTCCTTGAAATGACTTCTTCACACCGCTGGTCTTTGACTCATTTCCTTATCGTTTCAGCGTTTCCTTCTGTCATTTGACCTGCATCAACGGTCCCGGTGTTTCCCATTAGCCTTTGCTTTTTTCCCTTTTTATGATGTTTCCGAAGCTCCAATACCCCATCTTGTATACCCCCATTTGTTGTCAATATTGAATCCGATTGCTTCTTTCTATTGCGCCACGCCCCCCATAATATGTACTATTTTCATATTGGGCATCCCAATCATAGCCGTTAGCTACTAGCACGTTATCAGGTAGCCTCACTTAACTGGCCTCACTTTTTTTCATTGAGATTCTCCTTCCCAACTCGTAGACCGAGATACAATAGTACCTCCGTACCCCGTGTACTCCGTACTCCGTAATACTTCCAAGGTTGTTCATAATAATCACAGTAATATCGCACCAACCTTGTCATCTCCGTACCCCCAATGCCACGTTCGTGGAGATGTAACCTACGAGCAAACCCCCGAAATAGAAATTCCAACAGCCGTCGATCAGCCCTGTCCGCCTCGTGTCCCGCCCCGCGTAACCGTCCAAAAGCCAAATCCCAGCAGTGAGGCTGCAAGAGCTTATTGTCTGTCCAACAGGCCCTGCAGGTATTGTCGCAGCAGTGAGGCTGATATGACACGGGGGGAAGGGGGCCTTGTGCCCAAGTCCTACGGATTTGTAATTCACAATGTGACTGTTGTGTCGGGGCGAAATGTTGCAACCTGATCATTATTCCTTTAGATTTGGATTTGGATTTCCGATACGGAGTAATTCTCAGAGTACCCTTTTTGCGCGGGATTTGTCGGCGGGTAATTTGCAGGAAACTTACGGTGGACGCTTAAATGGGTAGTGTTTGCCGCTTTACCCCTCTATCACATCTACTCCGTACAGTCACGGCAATTATCGCGATTTGCATCGGGGTTCGGGATGGGGTAAATGTGGGTATTCTTGCTTCTTTCGTTCTCGTGTCTTGCCTCTTTTGAAAATGCTGTTGCGTTCCCGAAACGAAAAGGAAATTTCCCCAAGGATCTCCAAGGTTATTCGGAAATTCACTTAACACTTCTAGCTCCACGGAGTAGCATATGCTAGAATGAGTTTACCACTCGGGTAATTGGTAGCGTGTCGTGGTTGGACAGTCCCAAAGCCGGACTCATGTGCTGACAGATTGTGGAATTCTGCCTTTGTCACAACCCACAAACTCTTTGAACCCCGTTTGTGGGAACCTGAAGAGTTTGTCCAGGGTGACTTTCCTAGACAAGAGAACCTTGGAACGAAGCCCATGTGCTATCATGCGCGACTCATGCGCGGTCAGACAATAACCAGTCGGTCATGTACGATAAGCACTTCAACTTGAAGTATTGGTACGGTGTGCAGGGGGAACATGGATGTACACCGAGGCAGATGTCTATCTGTGCATTTATTGAATCTGGATGAATTCCCATGTGGCAATCCATACTGAGTCCTGATACCCATCCTGTGGCGGACTGTGTGACACAGGTCTAGTACTTTTGGGGGGTACGGGGGTTTTCCGAGGTGGTCTCGAGGTTGCTGGTGCGAAACGGAGTCACCGAAATCTTGGAAAACTCCCTGGCCGATATCGTTTTCTCGAACGAAATGTCGAGATCTAGTGCAGTGCGCCCCTTTCGGCTCTAGAAGCCGGAAGAACGACGAGGGTGGCGCTCAGATACACCCACCCCTACCAGTGAGATTCCAGGTAGTCGGTTTGGAAATGGGTGGGCCCAGAGTGTTCGCTTTTATACTGGCGATGGTGTGGCAGTTGCGAGCGATAACTGCGTTCTTGATTCAAAGGCGAGTAGAAGGGATCATAGACATGAAGCAGTAGATCACATATCCAACAGTATGATCGTAAAGACAATATCCAACAGCAAAATTATACATGCATAGGCGAGGCCTGGAGTGTTATGACTCGGAATACCGTGCAATCTGACAGTATCAAGACAGCACATGCTCAGCAACGAAACCTGCAAAAACACGTCCCAGAATCTGCTCATAATTGGCCCCATTCTGCAAGCCTGCTAGCCCAAAGTGATTCTGTGATCGCCTTTGAGTTTCTTGACTTAGAACTTTTCGAAAAGGTCCGATAGGCATACGACGAGCCTAGAAACGCCGCAGCGTAGCCTCCAGCAACGTTGGCGAGGGACATAATGAAAGAAGAATGATCTCGGGAAAAGCCTGAAAGAACCATGGCTGGTCAGTTTCTGCTCGAAGACTGAAGCTCAGCGTATCATTTTAACTTTGCCTGTAAAATTTAGAGATAGAACGATGAACGCAGGAGTGACTGCACGGCTTGGGACTGTCCATCGTGTTTGATGAGACCGGATGTCGGCTTGCTAGGAAAGAAGATCTTCAAAAGTGAACCGAAATGATAGAAGACCCATCATTAATCTTCCTTCTGATACTTCACTTGCTCGTACTACATTCGTGTAACCACCTCGACAGCCACATGGCTGCTTTAACCTTTGTGGGGAGATTGTGGGGGTATCCTGAGGTTATCCGAGATGACTGAGGCCAAACACTAGCAAAACTTGCAGCTGTCTCCTTCGTGATCTTTTCGTTCTAGATCTCGCAGTCTGTGATCAATGTACAGACCAATTGATCGAGCCTATGCGTGATCTCCGAATGGGCGGCGAAAGAACTGAGTGGAGAGGTCATCAATGCATGGGCATCAGAATCTATATTGACAATGTATGATCTATCACTCTATTACAGGAAGGTCCCATGGGCTAAAGGACCTGATTCAGAACCTCACCACGACACCATTTTTCTACCGTGATCTTCACTGCACCGGAAAGATTTTGAAGTGTCGTTTCCGAGTACCAGGCAAGATGAGGAGTCAGGGTCAAGTTCAAACCCGCAGCCTCCGGACTTATTAAAGGCGAGTCTCCCCTTCCAGCGGGCTCCTTGGTATAGACATCTGTAGCCGCTCCAGCAATCGCGCCGCTTTTGAGAGCATCAAGAAGAGCCTGCTCATCGACAATGCCACCTCTGGCGACATTGATCAACAATCCGTGCGGTGACATGCTCTGGAACTCATCGGTGGAGATCATGTTGATAGTCTCCGCGCTCCGGGGTAGACACAAAATGACTACCGTCGACTTCTTCAACGCCTCTTCGAATCCAACCCGGCCAGGCCGAGGAGACACGCCCTTGCGCTCGGCGATAATAACGTTCATACCGAGACCCTTCGCCATTGACTCGATGCGTTTACCGAGGGATCCATATCCAACGATGCAAGTGGTCTCATCACCACACAGCAAAGGAGCCTTTCCATCCGGTGCGCGAACCCGACCCATCAATGATCCTTTAGTCTTCCACTCCGTGTTGAGCGATAGGTCTGATGGCACAGCGACTGTGGCATTATGGAGCTCGACGAACTTCCTCCGAGCTGCGAAATAGAGCCCAATGGCGTGTTCGCTGACACTGGCTACATTGCTGCCTGGGCAATTGCATACGGTGACTCCTCGAGCTGTCGCGGCAGCTAAGTCGACACAATCCGTGCCGGTCGCCATGATCACAATGAGGCGTAGTTTGGGGGTATTTGCGGGACTGAGAGTCTCCGCTGTCAGGCGCGTTGTCGTGGTGATGATGATCGTGGCATCTTTGACACGTTCTGGAAGATCTGATTGAGCTGTCAATCTGTGAACGGCTCGGGTATGCGGCCCTGGCAGGTCGAATTCCGGGATCTCGCAATGCACGCCTTCAATAGCGACAATGTGATGCGGGGTGGTGTCCATGATCGACTATTAGGATTGAATTGAATGACAGTGGTTTTGTTGGTTTCTTTTGTTTGTTGGAGAAGCCGCAGCTTCGATCGCCAATTCCACGTCTGCAGGGGTCGGTGTGATAGCTGATTTCCGTGAGTAGCCGAGAAGGATTTCGGACTACGTGCCGTGCTGATGTCTGATGTTGAAGCTGTTCACACGGCAAGAATTTTCAAGCCGACCGGTATACTTTATATGCGCCACTTATGAAAGAAAATCCTGCCTAGTGCGAGCATATTCTGCTTCGGAAATCAAATAGGGCTCGTGTGGATGCTTCATAGATATTTGTGTTCCGATGATAGCCGACGCCAAACCCGAGGTCAAAGCCGATGTCAAATCCGACGCCCTTCGAGTTGTCCAAGTGGGTATATATGGGATTTGTAATCCTGATGACTCTAACGTTAAATTACATTGAAGTATATAGAAACTCGGAATTGCATTGTGTTTGAAGATATTCATCTCTGGCCTAGTCTGCAATATCGCCATGTCTGATGTACAAGCACCCTATGGTAGGTTAGCCCTAACTTGCGTCAGAGAGACTCTGCTAATTCGTACCAAGCCACCCTCGATGTCTTCACATCGAGAAGGTATATCAATCTAGAAAAACTTTAATATCCAAAGCTAACTCAGGTCAACATAGATTCAAAGGCAACCCTGTCGCCATTGTGAAAGTCGGTGGTATCAACTTGTCCCAAGAGCAGAAGCAAAGAATCGCAAAGGAATTCAACTTCTCCGAAACCGTATTCTTGCACCCTGCAACTGGCAATGGAAACCCACGAGTAGATATCTTCACGCCTGTCAACGAGATGGAGTTTGCAGGCCATCCCATCATCGGCGCAGGCCACTACCTCTTCCGTGAACTTCTAGCCAGCTCCAACCACGCAAACTCTCTCACCGTTATCACCAAAGCGGGTCCAGTTCCGATAGAGTACGACACAGTCAACAAGACCGTGTCTGCCGAAGTCCCCCATAATATCCACATCCACCAACAGGCAGCATCCCTCAACCACATCACTCCTGTCCAAGCGTGTCTTGCCAACGCATCAGATCTCAAGGGTGTTCCCGAGAGCTCGCCTGTGGTCTCAGTGGTGAAAGGCGTGACGTACGCCCTGGTAGATCTTACCGAGAGACCTGACGTGTTTGCCGACATTGGCCCCGGCGGCAGTCCGGCGCTGGATTTGGATGAGGGATGGAGCCCTTCATTCACAGGTGTTATGTATCACCGCCATCTCAGATCGCATGAAGAGGGGGATGTGGTAGTATGGAATCTTCGCGTGCGTATGGTTGCGATCGACCTGGAGGATCCTGCGTGTGGTAGTGGAGGGAGCTCTTTGGGTGCTCACATCGCATTGTCGAATGCTGAGAGGGGCCGGCATCACCGCTTTTGCATTGACCAGGGTATTGAAATGGGGAGAGATAGTCTGGTCATCGTGGATGTGATCCTGGATGAAGAAAGGAGGAAGGTGTCGACCATTAAACTTGCCGGCCACGCTGCGTTTGTGGCCGAAGGGAAAATTTTTGTTGAATAAAAGACTTGAAACCATCAAGGTGATTTGATTTGATGTCACAAGTGAACAAATAGTTACCGAGGTGCTTCGGTGCAAACACCCCAGGAAACTCGGTAGGGTTGCTCAGGTGCTGTGTATAGGACCTCAGGATGCCTCACACAGGAAGGTGCACATCTTCAGAGCCACAATCCAACCAGCCCTGGAAGTCTTGATAGTAATGTTGAATACGTTTTGCAAGTGATGCCTTTGCTATAAACTAGAGGCTTGGCGGCTCATACTGCTGTACTCCAGGGCTTTCAATCCTGGGGGTGGACGTCTTTTCAACATGAGGATCATTTCCCCTGCAGCACATATACAACTGCAGCACCGAATCCGATGTGACATGATACCTGTGCAGATCAAAAAGTACTGGGCTCAAGTGATATGGTATATAGTATTAAAGCCAAAACATAACAAGCATGAAGTATATCATAATTTTTCCAAAAAAATAGTGGTGAACTCACCCCCAGGGGTCGCCCCCCGAAGGCTACAAATCCGTCCCCAGGCGGATTTTCGAAGAGCCGCTGCCGTGTGCTGGTATGGCCGCACGGTTTTTCCTACCCTCTCCCGAGAGGCAGGTGCTAAACTCATCCCAATTCCCCGAAGGAAACCGCGCGGAGCTCGCTTTAATGCTGGAATGGGACGATACACGTTCTACCACTCGGCCACTGACCCTCGCGTACTTATAACTGGGACTATTTGGCCATTTATACTCGCTTGAAGCCCCGAGTTCGACGCCGGGATGAGGTGTTTTGGGGTCCTATAGACAAATGAGGCTCATTTTTATGCTCAGATCGTCTACATGAACCCAGTGAAGTATGAGAAATAGTTGAAATGTGAAATTATTTACGGCTTCAGTTGTAAAGTCGAGCTTTGGTGTGGTGGTGTTCGACGTGAAGCCATTCGCGCGCTCCTGCCGTTTTGGGATACTTGCGCTCTCTGAGCTCGACCCCAACACTCTCCGAAATCAGGGCTTGTATGGATCACCTGAGCTCCACTGGGACTTGCTACCGGTTCTTTAGGGATGTTTTGCGTGTGAAGTTAATTGCATTTCTCAAAAACGTACAATATCATATGTTGTTTTCCTATAGGGCCACTCGTGAAACCAGGTTAGCACGCCATTCTAATGATGCTCCAGTGGTTTGTAAGAAAATTGTAATAAAGAAAGACCTCTCGAGTTCGTGTGCATTCGTATGCTCATCATGTGTGCCTGTGTTGAAGTCCAACGTGCCAGGCGGTTTGATGTTGCCACTAGAAGCAGGTTGGGCTTTTGCAACTCGATCCATACAACCATGATTCAGCCGAGCACGGACCTCATAGTTATATGTGCAAAACAGCTAGAAATAACCTTGGAAGTATCTTAATTTGCTCAGAGGCGTCTATGAAGCTCAGCTCACTGAAGTACATAATGAAAATTCATGTAGAAAAGTGTCGCTCTGATGATGACTTGAAATCCCGGGTCCAAAATATTCAACGTCAATTAATCTACATTCATAGTCCCTTGCTAAACAACTCCCTCAGCTCCTTGAGAAGTGGCTCCTTGCTTACAGCCTGGACCTTCATCTTCTCGGAAAGAGTATCTGCCACACCCATCGCACGACAGAGATCGACCAAAGACCCGTCCATCGGAGCTTCGTAGACAAATAGCCCTAATGCATACAGCAAGCCATGCAGCGCCTCCACGCTCTGATCCTCTCGCGAGACAGCCTCCAGTAAAGATGCGGTCAGCTCGACTTGGTCTTCCTCCGACAGGGCGTCGGCTTTCCCGTCGAAACGGGCGTTGTGGTTGAATGCAGCGAGGTTGTATGCAAACGAGGCCGCAACGACACGCAGGTTTGCATGTGAATCTAGAAGGGAGTTGGTTGCAAAGCTGAGACAAGTTGAACGTAGAGGCGAAGATGAGGAAGTAAGCTGTGCTGGGTATAGAGGGGTGCTGAAGAGATTGCAGGCGAGTTGAAGAGCAACGATGCGAAGGTTGTATGGAGATGATGAGGTGTCGTCTTGTGCCAGGGGCGCGAGAATGGTGAGCAAAGTTGCGTGTCCTGCTTCTTCGGCGAAATATCCACTTGCACGGGGATCCAACAGAAGAAGTCGGACTAAATCGACAACTGCAAAGTGACTGTCACTGGGAAGCTTTGAGTATACCGAGTTCAATGTCGTGGCAAAGGTGTGCAAATCAGGGACTCTGGTATCGGCTGCAGGTTCTGTGCCGCTAGAATGTCGAAGTTGAACGAATTCAATCACCTCTCCAACACCCCGACCTTCTTTGAACTCCACTGGTAACTTTTGCAAGAGTTTATCGAGCGGCGGTGCCTTTTTGTACGTCACAAAGTTCGTGATCTGGCGCTGGAGGCTTGGGAGACGAAGTTGGCGATGGGGGTGCGTCGGGTGTGCCATTTCGAGGAGCATACGGACATTACCAGTGATCTGGGACGGACTAGCTCCACTCCATTCATCGAGCTTTTGACCTTTCACGAATGTCATGAAGGTGGGTGTTGCACGCACACTGTACTTCATGCCCACATCGCGCGCCATGCTGATATCCACCTTGATAAGGGTGCCTCGATCACCGGCCTCGGCCGCGAGTTGATCGTAGATCGGATAAACAGCCTTGCATGGCGGGCATGTCGCCGATGTGAAAAAGATGACCGCGCAGGAGTTCGATGCACTCCTGAGTTCATTCTCGAGCTGGTTCAGATTGCTCACAACTCGAACGGTCCCGGCCGGTGAAGGGACCACCGGCTTCGCTGCCGGGGGCGCCGCAGGCGCGGCAGGTCGAGCACTTGGTCCTGGAATAGGACTTGGGCCGGTACCTTGGGTGACGCCTTTCAATGCAGACTCGATTTGTGGTTTCATCATCTGCCCGAATGGGGTTTGAAGGAACTCCCGAGGCAGGTTGATGATGCGCTCTGGAATGCTTTTGCCAACAAGGAACATGGATAGATCTTGCGTGAAATTGTTACAGTTGTGAAGAAACAGATCATATGACTAGAGCATGACATTAGTACTGATGGCAGCCTTTTTGGAATGAATGACACAGACCTCTGGTGTATAAATCGTCGACAAAGAACCGAGATATTCTTCGATGACATCGCTTGGAAGCTCAGTGGTGCCCAATTTCACGACTTCCATGGGCTGTCCGTGGTGAGTGCTCCCTGGGACGGAAGTCTGGATGCCTTGGCCAAAATAATATTCGACCCCGTTCAGCACAATGGAGGTATGATAGATGGCATCCATTTGTGTCCCTGTCAGAGCAAGAGAGTACTGTTGACATCAGGAAATGGTCCGATGTTGTTTATTCAAGCCAGGAAAACACATACCATTCGTGCCAGACCCTATGTTTGTGGTTAGTTGCCGGAAATTGCATCACCCGAATGAGTAGCATACCTTGGACAGGTCATACACGTAAAGCTGAACATCCATAATGAAGGCAGCTATGTCAATGAGAGATGAAACCAGAAGTGAAGTACAGTGACTAGAAAGGACCTGGAGATAAAGAGCCCTCACAGGCTGCAGTGCGATAACGTCAGCATCCGCCGCGATCACCTTCGACCATTTTCTACGCCAACCCTACACGAACGGTGTACTGCTGAAGTTGTTTTTCGTTGATTTTGTATACTAGTTTGATCATAAGTAGTACTTTTAAGTCCAATTATACCCATGCTTTCTCTTGAAAAAGAATCAAAAAAAGAGCATAAAAAAGAGGGCTTAGAATAAGCAATGTGAGAATTGATCCAAAGCAAAAGTCCTGGCTGAACCGTGTCCATATGGTCGAAGACTTGAAAGAGTTGACTATCTCCACAAGACTGATAATACATATAATACAAGATCTCCTCCAGTGAAGATGAGAGTTTGGCACTGAAGAGACGGAACCCTTGGCTTGGCGCCATGACATAGTTCTCCAATTACTCCGTAGACCTTCCCCACTTCAAAACCTCGGATTCTCCGCGACTGCGACAGCATTCCTCGACATCCCACACAATGGTAAGTCCAGCCAAGAAACACCCTTCTACGACCCAATTTGACCCACACACAGCCTCCCAAGCGGCGTGGAGCCGCCAGCTCCGCACCGGCGCCAAAACGTGGGCGCGCATCAAAGCTAGCAAAAGAGAACAACATTACCGCCGAAGAAGAAAACGAGATCAAGGAGGTCTTCCACATGTTCTCCCACCAAAATGAAGAATTTCCAGACGAGAAGGAAGGCGTTCTTCCCCGAGAAGATGTGCGCAAGGCACTGGTGTAAGCCTTCCCCGGTCCGATCCCCAATCTGCTTGACATTCAACACCGGCAACCACTATACCGAGCTCTGTTCCAAGTCGCAATCTAACACGAGAAATAGAGCCCTCGGTCTTCCACCCACAGACTCAAGCGAACTCGCCGAAATCATTTCCGCCCTCGATCCTACGACCTCTGGCTTCGTGCCGTATAGTCCCTTCGTCTCAATAGCAGCCGCTAAGCTACATTCGCGGGGTGAGGATGCTATCTCTGCCGAGGTGGATGATGCCTATCAACTCTTTACGCGTGGTACAAACGGACCCATCACGTTGTCGCATCTCCGTCGTATTGCGCGCGATTTGAAGGAAGATGGCGTGGGTGATGATCTGCTCAAGGACATGATCTTAGAGGGCAATGGCGGTGCTGGGTTGAGCGCTGGGGTCACGTTAGAGCAGTTTCATGATGTCATGACCAGGGCAGGTGTGTTTTGATTGCAGTTGGTGATCGGACTAGGCTGCTCTTCGGTCCTGGAGTTTAGGGCGCAATTGGCAAGAGCCCAGGTGTTTTGTGTTTTAGCACTAGGAGTTTAGGGACATCACATTGTCGGTGGGTCAAGTTTTTCTTCTGGACCAGTACGGAGCAAAAGGACTACAGCCTTGGAAGGAAAATGGTAAATTTAAGTTACCCATTTGTAGTTTGTCATGTCGTGGTTGTAGATACATGCTTTCCTCCACCGGCTTCTGCGCAGCAACTGAAAAATTAAGCTGATACTAGCAATGGAAAAAAGAAAAGGGAAAAAAAAGAAAACCTAGAGAAAGACAACCATCGAAAGAAGCAATGAAAAGGAAAAGGAAAGTGAGAATAGTTGAAGATATCACCTGCGCATCAACCATGAGGAACTTTCGTCAAGAACACCGGCTGCCAAGGCGTGCAGAAGTAGCGGTGGAGGAAAGCGGAAGCAATGGTTAAGGTATTTAGGAGATCTCGTCGTTCATGCCAATGTCCTGGTTGGCGTTGGCCTGGGGAGCAGTGCCGTTGGCAGGAGCAGCTTCACCAGGAGCATTGAAATAATCAACCATCTCAGCGTCAAGTTCCTCGACAGTCTTAGGCTTTCCGCGGCCGGGGTTGCGACCGCGACCGGCAGCGCGGCCACCACGGCGAGAGCCCTTCTCAGCAGTGGTGGTCTTGTTCTCCTTCTTAGCCTTAGGAGCAGCGGCAGACTTGGGACGTGCCTTCTGACTACACAGATGAATGAGTATGCGATTGTGAGCGTGGAGGAATGAGACAGTGACTTACGCAATGCGCTCGTTGAGAGGCTTGGCAACGGGAGCAGCTGGGGCATGGGAGGCGTCGAAAACGACCTCAATCTGTTTATTATTACATCAGTATTGCACGAGCGACAGGCATAAATTGCATGGAAATTACCTTCATGGGACGGCCATCGACGAGAAGTCCGTTGAGTTCCTTAGCAGCCTTGGCGGCAGTGTCCGGCTTGAGAAAAATGATCGAGGCGATGCCACGGCTAGTGCCGTTCTGGTTGTAGGTAAGCATAACGCGGCGAACAGGGCCTGCGGACTTGGTGAAGTATTCCTATAGCGGAAAACATTAGTATTGTGTTCCGGTCCAGCGATGATGGCTCTTCTCGGATGTCGTAGAATGCGGCGGCGCAAACGAAGACGAAAAAATGACAGGGTAAGACAAAAAAGACAATAAGAGAGAACCAGGCGAGCACCAGCGAGCACCAGCGAGTGTATCAACCCTTTTGTGGATTTTCTGTCCCTCAGTATGGGATACCGGAACCCTCTTCCATCGCACGAACCCCATCTGATCAAGAGAAAATTGACATTGATTGTCACATCCCATCTATGCAAAACCGACATTCTCAACATTCCACTTCTTCCACAATTCAACAAGAGATCGACGAAACATTGTTCGCTCGCGTCGCTACCATCGACGCAGGCCAAGCCGTAGTAGAATCCATCTGCCCATGGATGTCTACTCATCAGGAGAACTGTAAGACGCAAGTGTGTCCTCTGACGGCCTGATAATTGGGTCATCACCCCAAAGCACGGAGGCTCTTCACAAAAAGTGGTAAGGGAAATGACAATGTCAAATCTTCGCGAAGTAGTTCCAGTTGCCAACTGGATATTTCCTCACAATTTCACTGATGCACTCGCTGATGCTCGTCTGTATCTCAGGTAGAAGAGGAGAAATGAAAGCGCGCAACTGAAGAGAAGTCTGAATGATCATTGATCATTCATGGCAAAGTACTCAGAGAACAAAGCAGGCGGAGTTCCAAGTGAAGTCAACACGAGCAATGTCTCTTTCACCGTACTGCGACAGAAGTCCGACAACTTGTCTCGCACAATGCCAAGAATATGTGCGGGGAAGAAGAAACTTGTCTGTGCCGTGTTTCGAGGAGAATAGGAACAAAGAGTTCGCAGAGTGGATCGAAATCGTTTGCGCCGCAAGGCTTTCGAGAGAAGAGAAGGCGATGAACGCCAAGGTGAGGGCCTTCTTATCAACATACCTTGACATTGCCCTCGGTGACGTCGGCAGGCTGGAAAGGTTAGCTGTGAACATAATAAGATGTCGCGAGAGAGATGGGTAAGAGCATACCAGTCCACTGACGAGGATCTTGCTGGAAGCAATAGGAGTGACAGGCGCAGGGTGAGCGGCCTTGGGAGCAGCCTTGGTAGACTTCTTGACGCCTCCAACGGAAGCTTTCTTAGCGGCGCGACGAGGACCAGCGCGGCGACGAGCATTCTGGCGACGGTTGCCGACGAGATCGTCGAGAGACTTGTCGAGATTGGCAGACATGTTTGTGATGATGTGTGGTGGCTGGGAAAACTTGAGTGCGCGTCAAGGTGATAGTGTGATGGCACCGCTTTGAGATGAATCGGTTGACTTGGGGGATGTAGTCACGAAGATGAAGAAGAAGTGGTCTTACGGGGGACGGGTTGAGGTAAGGCAGGGACGGGGGTGAGCCATGATCAGAGTGGCGCTAAGCCATTTCCAGATTGACAAAAAGGGTAAGCGGTGGAAGAGGCAAAATCGACACTGCCAACGGGAACGGAGTATTTCTTGCTCCGTGCCCGCCTCGCTGCTTATCAGCAACACTGGAAACCTTTCAAGTCAAGTGCTTTTTCAGCACGGAGTATAGTGGGCGATTGAGGTCTCGGATATTCACGTTGAAGTTTTGAGGCTGAAGCTTTATCTGAGGGCTTCTCGAGATTATCCTGCCACGTGAAATCCAGCGCAAATATGACTTCGGGAGGTAGATCCGTCTTTCAGGACTATAGTACTAATCTTTGATTGTATTGCACCCGGCGCGCCAGCTCGGTCGATCACTTGGATACAAAGCAGTCACTACCAATCATGAAAATCACGGGATATGAATGAACAAAGGATTTATTACACAGGCCCAGCCTGAAAGTGAACTATGGAAAGACGGTACACCAACTCCAAACGCAAAACATTGGGATAATTCAAAGAATGGCCATCATTCTCTTTAGACGATATGAAAGCCACTAGCTCTTGAGGGCCTCCAACCGCCCGCGCATCTGCTCGAGCGTTGCTTCTTGGTCGTCGAACTCCTCCTCGGCTTGCGGAGATTCGGGCTCTGAAATCTTGTGCACCGGTTGGGCATTCACGGGTTGCGCCTGGGAGAGCTTGCCCTGCAAGACTTCCTGCAGTATCTTCTCAATTTCAGAGTCTGCTTCTTCTTCCTCGTCTTCAAAGACGGATGGGTCTGTGATTGCATCATCAACCATCTCTTCGATGATACCCGCCCTGACTAATTCTGAAGAAAGCTGGTGCATGGTGGACGAAAGCTGAGGCAACCGCACTAGAGTATTGACATCTTTCATAATCCCAGTTGACTTCTGAAGACTCCCTTGAATCTTGCGCGCCGAGAAAGCTTCATTGACTTGCATACCCACGCTTTGTAGTTGAGCGCGGCTGGTGTGAAGGCGAGCCGTCTGCTTTCGGATCCGTACAAGCTCCCGCGCGAAAACCTTGGTGTCAGTGGTTGCTTGTTTCGCCTGGGATGGGTTTCGCTGGGCACGCTTGGAGGCGTTGACGATGTGTTGGCGAGTCTGGCTGTCACTGACTTTGAGGCGAGCTAAATCGCGGTCTAGCTGGCGAGTATTGGAGCGTATTAAGGCGTTGCACTTCCTCATCTAGTTCATGAGAGCATTAGATCAGCAACACGGTCATTGACTCGGTGGTCGCCTAGTCTGCTTACCTGGGCTTGTGGGTCGGGCCCAAAGAAGACGGCCTTGAGGGTTTCCATGATCGCGGCCTGAACTCAGTGAGACTTCAGTTTTACAGAGGATCAGATCTTCCAGGCGCGAGCAATGTCTCGAGAGGAATGAACTCAGGACGACGTTTGATTTGATCAGCGATAAGGCTTAAGCCTGGGGCATCGTCGTTGAGATGTGTGAGGAGCCTGATTTGACTGGTCTCTGATCGCAAGTTGGTAGAAGAGTTCTGACAAGCTTGACTTTTCACCTAGACCAGAATCTCCTGGCCTTCGGCTTTAGTGTTCAATCAGTGTTTATGCAATTGGCAACATTCGCGGGGGCGATTTGACCGGGACCGGATAACTGAGTCAGCTCTGACGTAAACATGTCCCACATTTTTGGTGCCTGAGGCGGTAGTGAGGGAGGTCTTCCACGAGGTTCTAGCACCTTTATGTGCATGGCTGAGCTTCTCTAGGCACTTCCGCACCTCTTCCTCAACAACAATTCAATCCTCCAATCTTCCTTACCTCTCCTCCTAATCATCTGTCCAGACTCAGTTAAAATGTCTCAGACCTTGACCCCCGAAGGTGTGTTCGAAGTGCTCGTTACTTCTTCCCCGCTCTTGAACGCGGGACTGCACATTTTGCATGGGATTTACGATGACGTTATCCCATTTTGAGAACATCCTACAGCTGGGAAAACCTCAATGATATCTCGTTACAGTACAAGTTCAAGGCGCTAACAGCTCTCTCTTTTTTCTAGTCACATGGGCCCAGCGCTCCTCCGACGATGACCCTGAGCGCAACTACCTCTACGTCAACATCAAGACCCCCGACGTTCCCAAGTCCGAAGCTACTCTCAGCATCACCGAAAAGAATGTTACCTTCAAGGGTCCCTCCAAGAAGGGCGTAACATACAGCGTCTCCCTGGACCTCTTTGCCGAGATCGACCCTGAGAACAGCAAGACCAACCACACCGACCGCGAGGTCGAGCTCGTGCTCCGCAAGAAGGATCTCAAGCTGGAGTTCTGGCCCCGTCTTCTCGAGAGCAAGCAGAAGATGCACTTCCTCAAGACTGATTTCGACAAGGTATGTTGCAACACTTCCATATCTGCGACGAGCCGGCGACTAACGGGACACAGTGGGTCGATGAGGATGAGCAGGATGAGGCCGGTGATGATGACTACGCCAACAACTTCGGCGGCTTCGGCGGCGAGGGCGGTGGTGACCCCAACGCCGGTGCCGGTGGCCTCGGCAACATTGACTTCTCCAAGCTCGGTGGTATGCCCGGCATGGGTGGTGGTGCTGGCGGCATGCCTGACCTTAGCGCTCTGGCCGGTATGGCTGGCGGCATGCCCGGCGGCGCGCCCGGTGCTGAGGATGCCGAGGAGGATGTAGGTTTTCTGCAACCAAGACCTATTCTGATATGATCACTGACATCTCTAATTAGGATGATGACCTCCCCGAGCTCGAGGAGGCTGACGCCCAGAAGTCGGCTAAGATTCAGGAAGTTTCTTAAATGTCTGACGGTTAATTTCTGCGAATTCCATTACGACCAGGAACGAAAAATAGGGTGCTTCAAGACACCCACGGGGCGGTGTGCTTGAGCTAGAGTTGCTTGGGATTCCTACCGACCATTGACTGCGGCTTTATTCAAGTCACGCAATATAAGGTCGAGGAACCTTTATACTTAGTGATTCTTTCTCATCTAAAACATCCCAATGATTGATGAAGCCTGATGAGTGGCCAGTTCTGCAGTAGTTAGCACCCGTTTGTCCTGTAGCGTTGACTCAATCACTTGAGCCTTACCGAGTCGCTGTCAGCCATTCTCTACCAGAGACTGGAGTGATCAGGTTGGCGTATGGGGTTGTTGCTATGCAATTATATCGATAAGTCAACTAAATGTAGAAGAAAGTTTTCCCCATTGTGGGAACTTCCCCAACTGCAAGAATACAGGATGCTGCACCGCTTTATCCAAGTGAAACTTGTGTCCATTATTGCAAGATCTGAGAGATGCGTTCTATAAGTATGGTGAGTGGGACATCCTTGAAATCAAAGGACACACGTTTCCCTTAACCCCATCGGATGACCCTTCCTTCATTTCCACCCGGGCAACCATTATTTCTTTCCAGTAGCTTCCTTCACGGGGGAAATTGTTTTCTAGTTTGATTCTTCGTTGCCAGTTGTGTTCAATGCACCAGCTAAGCCCTGGTCGCTCAACAAGGCCGTGATATGTTGCAAAACAGTAGAAGTCGGGACTATGGAAATTATCCAATTCCTGTTCCAAGCCTCAGTGCCGCGCGTGACGCGGCCAAAAAGACGATGATAGTTGCTTATACACAGGCGTCATATGTATTCGCTTAATCTCATATTTCGATTGGTAACGGAAGAAAGCTATCATCAACTTCGGGACCTTTTTCTAACTGTCTTTCTAACTATCTTTTTGGCTGTCCATCCAAGGTTCCAATTAATTGTCAAATCATTATGATTGGTCGAGAAATGGAAGTCTTGGCTAAGCCGTGAACAGAGAATTAGGGATTGGGGATCTCTGAAGTTGACTTCGCGGGCATCTGACAACAATTGGTGGTTTTGAATCTCACTGCAGATACCGAAATCGATCAGATGCGCGTGAAATGGTCTTGTTTCAAAAATAGGAAATCTCGTGTCCGTGGCCACACGCCAACATCGCCATGGAGCATCCACCAGATCCCATCGTTCAATGAAAACATCAACCACATGAGCTCTAAGCAACCCCACCTGGTAGCAACACTCAGTATCATCAAAGAGATCTACTAATCTATTCATCGCCACATCAATTCGATGCGGTCTACTATTCTGGGCGACACTGTCGGCCAGTAATGGTAGGCCTGGAATACAACCCTGAAAGAGCGATGACATACTTGTAGGCTGAGCAGTGAAGCTGGGTTGGACCCAGAGCTCCACAATTGGGGTGAACTGTTGCCTGTCTTCTCCTATCTGATCTTGCAGCTTCATGGTAGCCCATTGTCTTTGCTAGCAGGGACCACGGGAACAGAATTTGATGTGTTTAATAGGTTCTCAGAGCACAGACATGACAAGGCAGACTCCCATCATGGATTCTCCACCTTAACTACCTGGATATCATTATCATCCCTGTGGTATGGGTATACTTGAGATCCTGTAAAGAAGCGTTGCGTTGACCGTACCTCGTCGAAACCTCCAGGGCTTGAAGTACAACAACCTCTGGCCCATATGGTACAGTCACAAATTGGATATGTTTTCTATCACGCACTTGAACCCTGAAATATGACATGAGAAGATATGCTAGTCATATCAAACAATAGTATGTGTCATAAATTGACCCGGAACATGGATGAATCTTCAAAGAATTACCCGATGGTGTCGATCATTGCCTCCAGGCGCGAAAGGATCCTGCATGCATAAGCCTCCTCGACTGCATGCGGGGAGACTAAAGATACTAACCTCAATATGGAAACCCTGATGCAGGTAGGCAGTGCTCGTTTCAAAGTCCGACCTTAATGTATCTCAGCCGACTGCCCGAGTAAGCTCTGACATTCTGATCAGAGGTTTCTGAGCCCTGGAATGTGGTTTTTGTGGCTTGCCTTCTTCTCCTTTAGATCTCGGAATCAAGGTAGTAGTTACGGAGTAGAGATATGAGCAATATGCGACAGTGAGGTGAGGGGTTTCTTCTCAATGTCAGAGATACCGTTTCCTCAGTTCCAACAGCTCGTGTGCATCCTAGGTCCCTCAAGCCACCTCCCCACATTCGCCAAGAGGCCAAGAGCCCTAGCCTGCATGGGCTGATTGTATTCTTACTGTCTCGGTGCCATTTCCCTCAGTTATGCAGGGGCTCTGTGGCCCCCGGTCTCCGCCCCGGCCCGAAATCTAACCTTCAGCCCCATGTTTGCTCTTCTGCTGTTCAAAATGGGTATAACTTGGTTTTATGTTTTTTATGATCACTATGCATGAACCATATGTTTGTTAACATGGCGCGATATCTGCGGCCAAACGTTGTTCGCTGAAGAGTTAAAAATGTTCAAATTCCCTCCAATGGTCCAAATCCACGTGAAAAAACCCTTCGAAGCTTAGCTTTCCAGTGAAACACGAGCATTTTGGGGGCATAGGCACCAAGTACGAAGTAGCAGTATCGCATCTGGGCAGTTGTCTGTGAATGGAACAGGACTCAGCGGGTGGATCCATTGGCTGTTCATCCATCAATCAATCAGCTTGTACTACGGGGTACTCGGTCTTTTTCGTTCACTTGATGCATGTCATACGAGCGTCATTCCAAAGGATGAAGAAAGGGAATACATGTATGAGCTGTCGTTCTTGGCTGCCCATCAGCTTTTAATTCGATGCCGTTGACAGCCCACGAATATGAACAACCCTTAAATCCATCGTGGCATAAGACCGAATATGACAAACAGTAGATATGTTTTCCATAACTTGTTAGTAGACTTACTTTCTAGGTACTCTGTATTACTGGTGTTTAGGTAACAGGCAGAGGAATGATGTTTGAGGGAGGAATGAGGCATCCAATTATGGCCCCCGCAGCCCCCTACATCTCAAGCATGTTTTGTAGAACGAGGCCCTGATACAAAGCGGGGCCTGCGGGAGAGATCCCGTCGGCTATCGCTAAGATTGGTCGGCGCAAGCAAATGTAAGTTGCTGATGTGGAGATTCAGACCCTGACTCGAGCGCTCCGTAGTGTACCTTGGGGGCCTTACAGTGATCTGCAATGTAACCCCGACCACTCTGCCAATCAGCAGTACTCGCGTGGAATCCAATTGACAGAAGTCCAAAGACCAGCGATATATCGCTCAGGCGAGGCTCTCCCGAGGAGGACTGGATTTGGCCTCGAAAAGGTATAAATACATCTCGAATCACCCAGAAGATCTTGCTTTTGGACATCAGCTCTTCTATAAAAGCCAACAGCTTCAATCAATCAAACAATCCTTCTCCAACAAACAACAACAACAACAAACCATCTCTCAAAATGAAGATCACCGCTCTCCTCTACACTCTGATGGCTGCTACTGCCGTGAGTGCCGCAGCAGTCGCTGAGCGCGACACTCTCGGTGGCCTCGAGGCCCGGGATACCTGTGGAAGCGGTTACAACGTTGACCAGCGACGCACAAACAGCGGCTGCAAGGCCGGAAACGGAGACAGACACTTCTGTGGCTGTGACCGCACCGGTGTGGTAAGCAAACTTGTACTAAATATCCTATTGACCTTGCTAATGCGTATCATTATGAAAGGTCGAATGCAAGGGTGGCAAGTGGACCGAGGTTCAAGACTGTGGAAGCAGCTCTTGCAAGGGTACCAGCAACGGCGGAGCTACCTGCTAGAGGCAGAAATAGAGAGTCTTGGAACTTGTCGAACGATTGAAAAAGCACGAGTAGCCAGCCCTCTACTACATCAATGCAGGTTGAGGATTCAACATCAGTCAATTGGCCTGCTTTGGAAGGAAAGACTTGGTGCAGCTATTCACTCGTCACTCGTTGATTGTTCTATAGCCGATTATACATGCACAAATTGAATTTTACCCTCGTGCACAGGGGTGACAATAATATTTCCATGTAAAAAAGACCCAAGTAAACATTTCTGCACGGCCCGTCTCTTTCGACAATTATCTGAAGACGAGGCTAAATTCCAGACATGGTTTAATCAAGATTCTTAGTACTTAAAAACCTAAGTACAGCATGGGCTTGATTTTGCTCGGGAAGCTTATACGCGTACTTAATTCACTTTGAGCCAGATAGTTTAACACTAGCAGCCTCTGTACCCCTTGGGCAGCCTATTTGTGGTTGTATTCTTGGAAATATCTAAAAGCATGCCATTATGATATCAAGCTGATCTACGGAGAAGCAGAAATCGCTTCAAAACAATAGACTCTGGCCGTTGAAGCGGAAAGGCCGACAGAGAAAAACAAAAAAGGGGGAGGGAGGGAAAGGGAGGGAGGGAGAGAGAGCTATATCTAACCAAAGGGGGTCATCTGACCCCCCAACAAGAGGCATGTAGCTTGCACTACTCCGTACTAGACCTCCGCAAACCCCATTAGCCCCAAAAACCAACCCAACCCAACCCAACCCAACTCACTAATGGGGGCCCATTTATGGCTCTCACAGAGGTCTACCTGTGAGCAAACAACTTTGGAGCGACCCGTGTGAGTCAACATTAATTCATGTTCTACCCCGCCATAGTCTCTCTTCGATCGCTTTTCACTCTATGAAACTTCTCAATCTAAACTTTGCCCCATCATCGACATCTCGGAGGAAAATGGTTGCAATTTGGGAGAATGCACCAAAGGCACAGTCCGCAGGGGCTAGTGTCACCGATCCTGATCTTGAAGGCCTCATTGCAGCTTTGGGGGATGGATCCATTACCAGTGAAGCACTCACCAAGGTATGTAGAAGCAAAAATGCTTTTTGTCTTCCACGCATGCTAACGTACACATGGGATAGGCCTATATAGCTCGAATCGCGCAAGTCAACGGAACAGTAAACGCCATCTCTCAGATTAATCCTGATGCTGTCGAAGATGCGATTCTTTTGGACAAGGAGCGCAGGTCCGGCGAAATTCGCGGGTGTGTTTCTCGCATCTCATTATGTGCAAGAATGCAATATCTGACCCGTGGAAATATTAGAAAACTGCACGGTATTCCCGTTCTTCTGAAAGACACTATAGGCACACTTGACAAGTTGCAAACTACAGGTACAGAAACAAGTTCACAATCCATCTTCTGTTTGTTAAATACTTACTGCGGTTAGCTGGATCGCTTGCTTTGGTTGGCGCACGTCCATCTGATGAAGCTGGAGTCGTCAAAAAGCTTCGAAAGTCTGGCGTCATTGTTCTCGGGAAGACGAACATCACACAGTGGGGAAACACACGATCTTCGCTCGCACCAAATGGATGGAGTTCAACTAGTGGACAATGTTATGGCCCATTCTACGGAAAGCAGGACCCTAATGGCTCCTCTTCCGGCTGTGCTGTTGCTGCTGCTATGGGCCTTGCACCAGTGACGATTAACGGAGAGGTATGTATCGCACATTCCGGTCTACCTTTTCGTCAATTTTCTAACTGACAGCATGCAAGACTTGGGGTAGTATTACATATCCTGCACAAGTAAATGCAGTTGTTGGGCTGAAGCCCACGGTCGGATTGGTGTCCCGAGCAGGTGCTGTTCCTGTTTCGGACCACAAAGACAGTATCGGGCCCATCACTAGGACGGTGAAAGATGCTGCAATTGTGTTAGGAGAGATAGCCGGCAAGTTATTGCTAATTTTTCGAGCCCCAGATCGCTAACTAAATGATAGGCAAGGATCAGTCAGACGGTGCTACTGAATCTATTCCGTTCCTGGAGATCCCAAATTATGTGGCAGTCTGCAAGTCAGATGCGCTGGAAAATAGCCGTATTGCAGTAAGTTGCCTCAAAGTGGATTTGCTGCATCTATCACTTATTTTCCTATACAACTGGGTTCCAAAGCCATACTTAAGTACTGACAGGCTCGATGCAGGTTTCATTATCTGTGCTCGAGGCATTCAACGACAGCCAACTTCTGGAGTCCTTTCACGCGGCAGTCCAACTAATGGCATCTCTTGGTTCGACAATAATTCAAAACGTGGACTTTGAGGAATGGAAACCTGGATCAGGCCAGCGGGAAAACACAACAGTAAATGTTTTCCTACGCCATGGTTAGTTCCAGGGAATCCAAATCCTAAGATGATATAACTTCTAACATTAGACCAGGTCTTGAAAGCTACTTCAGGCAACTTGCCGAGAACCCTCAAAACATCAATACATTGACAGATTTGATTGAATTTATGGAGCGAACCCCGGAAGAAGAAACAGAAAAGTACGGACTTGAGGACTTTACAGCGGCCAAGGATGAAGTTCAAGATATGTCATCTGTGGGATTTCTCGCGGCCGTTGAACGTATGAAGCATCTTGGTGCTGATATCACTCGCCTATTGGATCAAGCGGACTGCGATGCCCTCGTTTTTCCAACTTGCGCGGATGTTCCATATGACCTTGGCCAAAACCCAGTCATCAGCATTCCTCTTGGATTTTATTCTGACGAGCAAAGACCCACCAAATGGAGCAATGGGGCGATCGGGAGAGCGCCTAACATACCGTAAGATTTCCATGATCTATTGGAAGGTCATCTTACTGACTCTCTGCAAGTTACTCTCTTAGCTTTGTGGGAAGAAAATTTGGCGAGGAGAAGATCATTGCATTGGCGTATGCTTTCGAACAGGCAACAATGGTCCAGCGCAGGGCAAAGATGTCCGTCCAGACAACCGTGGACCTCCCCACGGTGGAGTCAGGCAAGAGCTGCATGACCCGTCACTAAATCAGAAACCTTGTTGTTTGTCTAATATGCATGCTTTGCACTGTTTGTTTGCTTGTTTGGTCCGCGTTCCACATTGCTTAGCCTTCCAAGGTTCCAAGGTTGCCAGGTTCCGCAGCAGCCCACAAAGCCCAAACTAACTTACCTCAACCCGCAAATAGGCTGGGGCTTTGGGTCCGGGCTTTAGGCCCACCAACAAGCTGTGGCTTGCCTGGGCTTCGAAGGCATGCTCCAAAGCCCACTGCTGGTTGGGCTGTGGGCCTGAGGTGCAGGCCAACGGCCCATTGCGGAGTTGCACTTGCTACTCTTACTTCATTACCCTCTGGAAGACCCTTCTTGAATGCTCTTATGATAAGCTGCTTTCGTGGCTTTGTTTGCTCAAACGTGAAAGTCTTTCTGCATTTCGAACCAGTAGAATATTTCACGCTGTGTTATTCGTTACCCCAAAAATGGGTGCGTTGGATGCTTCCGGTCCTCGTTTGGTAGATTAACTATCGATAATACAATCCAAGATAGTGAGCCGTTCTAGATTTTTGGCAAGGTGGGTATACTAGTTTCACCTTGAATTCCGATACCCAATATTATCACGCAAGGGAGGCTATTTTCCAGCCTTTGGGGGAACCTACCCCGGAATTTGGGGTCCGCCTTGGCATCTCTGGGCGCCTTCATTAGTTACCTACCCCCGGGACTGTTACCCTTCTCTCCCACCCACTGTTTCATTGTCACTATCATCGCAGCCTCAACTCACACGCAAGGAGCATGACGGGAAAGCCCAACTAGAGGATAGCAACCGATGCAATTTGGAAGGAAGAAAAGAAAGTGAAAAAAGCAACGTTGACCTCGGGGAAAGAGGACGCGAGAACCGATGTCTCACTCAGCCATGGACGACTGAAGTCAATGATCAATCAAGCATTTACACGAATTGCCGTTTCTTTGAATAAGTCTTCAATGATTCACTTTCCACAACTGAGTTCAAATATGACCTGGAAAGTAAGTAACTTCTACGAAAAAATGGCGTTTTTTTCTAGATTTAGCAGTGTGATTGCTGGAGTCGGTCTGCTCTGATCACCAATTTGAAGGGGGGGAGTGAAAAGTTGGACCCTGACTACAAGGCTGAGCTTCGGTCCGGCTATCTTTTGGCTTCTTACGGAGTAGACTGCACCTCTCAGTGGGAAGAACCCGATGGCCGAGAAATGTATCTCATTGGCTGTTTCACAACCACCTGGGCGTCACATCGACGCCCCAAAGCCGCCGACCGGCGATGCCTACTATGACGATCTCCACGCCCCAGAATCCCGCAGGATCAGCCCCACCCGCCTCATTAGGAAAATGAACTGAAGAAACCCTCAAGTTTGGAAAAAAGTGCAGGCTAAAATCATGTCACGCTCGATCTGTCTGGATGGGTTTTGTTTGCCCTCGACGCAAAAAGCAACGTGAATGCCGATCTTCAATTCCCGGCCCCCAAATCAGCACTCCTGGCAACTTCATCCCTCCCAAACTGGAAACTGGTATAGACACCGTTGGTTCTATTTGGATGGTGCAGACAGTCTAACTCTCCATGGAAATACCTTTTGGCGTTTTTTGGTCCTGCGGATGGCGCCGGCGTTCGCATGGCGAGGACGAGCTGAAGACCCCAGCATCGGTTGTAGGCCGAGAGGTGAAGTATACAAGACGTCCTTGAGATCGTCTTGATCAACTGTCAATCTTCTGCAGATCACTCTACTCATTAGTCCTCATCGAATCATTTTCTCCACCACCATGTCCAAGTCCATTCTTGCCCTCGCCGCATTTGCCTGCGGCGCCAACGCTGCCATCAAGGCCGTCTGGCAGGCTGGTTCGTGCTCTAGCCCGACTGGGCCTACCATCGACATCTCTCCTATTGGAGTCAACACCTGCACGCTCTACAACTTCTTCCCCAACAACGATCCTCGCGGCCACGTTGTGGTCACGGTTGAAGGCGGCACCAACGGCATTGCCTTCTTCCAGCTGCCTCAGGCTCAGGAAGACCAGCACATCCAGTGTGGCTCGTTGCAGGGCATCTTCCACCAATCTGGCTGCTATGACTCTATCACCCCAGCCCTCGACGTTGTGACTGCCGAGTGCGACCAGACCGGCTGCAACAATCTGTCTGGCATCCCCTCAGGCAAGATGGTTGCTACCATCGTCGACCCAAACGTCTCGAAACGCGAAGTCGAGGAGCCTAAGAAGGTGCAGAAGCGCGAGAGCATCTCGGAGCGCCGCGAGAACAACATCGCGCGCCGCGACGGCTGCAGCGGCTCTACTTCCGTCACCTGTGACGGCTGCGTGAACTGCTTTGCTCAGGGTGCTCGTGTCTCGCCATTCATTAGCTGCCCTGGTCAAGGCGAGTCGTGCGCTGCTCAGTTGACTCAGTCCATTACCATCACCGACGAATACAGCATCACGGCTGGTGTTGCTGACGTTTTTACTGCCTCGGTCGAGACTAGCCACTCCATCGCTGTTACCAATGGCGGCTCGCAAACTTTCACTGTGTCTCCTGGTCAGTCTGGCTTTGTTCAGTACGAGGCTCTGGCTCAGTGTGGTACGAAGACTGTTCACAATGGAGACGGCTCTGTTTGCGCTCAGGCCAAGGGCACTTTCATTCTTAACAACCAGGGTGCAGGTGGTCAATTCTCCTTCGTGCGCTCCAACTAAATGATCGGGATCTTCTGTAATTGATCATTTCGACGAGCAAATCCTTGGAATAGGTGACAGGGGTTAGTGTAGGAGGGGGTAGAATAGAGACCGTGACAGATGTGTGGAAATCAGACCGATTATATTGTATAGCTCAATATTTCCAACGATGATTTCAAAGTCATATGAAAGAAGAAAGACCTTAAAGCTTACCCATCTATAAAGCTAGACTGTACGGTGACTCAGCTGATTCGCTGCCATCTTTCTATATCTTGATGCGGTGGCAATTCTAGCCTGCTTACCCCACTTCAGCAAAGGGATAGGCATCAAAAGGATTATGAAAGCAATGACTGCGACCAGTATATGCAAGTCTCGCATGCCCATGCGATTCACCCAAGGGGTCAAGACGAACAGAACGATGACTGAGAGAATGTTGCGCATGAAGATCACACCGACCAAGGCGTCTCCGATGATCTGGGAAATGGTTAGCAAAAAACTGAGCGGAGCCCATGTAAGAGCGAGCACTTACATCTTGGTAACAATCCATCAGATATGAAAGAGCAATGCCGCTAATAGCGGCAAAGGCAAATCCAAAAATGCCGAATCCGACGGCTAGTAGAGCCCAATGAATACCCTTTTCTTGTTAAACCCGATTTGGTGGTTTGAAAGGAAGTCACTTACATAGGCCAGTCCCAAACCAAACATGAGTATACCCACAGGTGTCACTATAGCAAGAGGGAGAGCAAGCCAAAGACGCATTTCCGGCTCGTAGAAACCACCGTTCCGCTTGGATAGCCACAAGATTGACTTGTCACTCAAGTGTCCACCAAATGGGAATCCGAGCACAGCGCCCACAAATGGGGCGATGTTCATCAGGCCGACTCCAATCGCATCGAAGTTGTATGGCGGTAATATCATGTAAGATGCTTGCAGCGAGGTCATAATCGCAAACCAGCACAGAGTAGACCCGTATGTAATGGCTGCGTAAGAAACCGCCGGGAACGTGAAAAGCACGACGATGGGTTGATAGAAATGAGGCCATAACGCCTCATCCGTCGGGGTGACCCATGCCATTCGCTGAAAGTATGTTTTTGGCCTGATCTCCGAGTTCGTAGGAACCCTATCCGCCTTCTCAATCGCAGTCTTCTTATCGACACAGTCGCCATGTTTGGTAGACTGAGACGACTCGGCCATGTCCTCTGTGGCGGTAGCATCCCGACTATCCAAAACAGGGATGTACTTTGATTCCTCAAAGAGGACGATCACACAAACTAGTGTTACCCCGAAGAAAATGACACACCACCACCATGTCCATCGCCATCCTTGTGAGACAGTGATATACCCCGATGCTACAGGGCCCAGAAACGCTCCTGTAGATTGTACAATGACGTACCAGCCATTCATGGTGGCATGCTCATGCACAAAGAACATGTCTGCGATGGTAATCTGCACAACAATCTCACTAATGGCTCCTCCAATGCCGGAGATCAGTCCACTGCCGATGAGGTCTCCAACGCTATAGGTTTTGGCCTGCCAGATGCATGCTGCGAGTTGAAGAGCGACACTGAATATGTAAATCGGGCGTCGACCATACTTGTGCACCAACGGCATGAAAAAGATACAGCCAACCGCGAGGCCGCCGTAGTTCACTGCTGCTTCTGCGTTAAGTATGTCGACCGAGAAGCCGAGCTCTGTTTGCATGGGGCCCCATGCCGTGAAGCCGATGTCCAGTTGGACGAAAGTCCACAGAACAAAGAAGCTGACGAGTGTAAAGTTGAGAGCTTTGCGGGCCTTCGACCAATTGAGGGGATCATTGGGGTCAGAGGAAGGAGTCGGGAATAAAACAAGACTGTCTCTGGCTTGCACTGGTCCACTTAGCCAAGCAGTCGATAACGAGCGGGTGGCAACATACAATCTTCAAGTGCTACCGTTCCAGGGGCCCAAAAGGCGTCGAGATGATTGTTTTCGGGGTCCATGCTTTGACTAGAAAGAGAAGATTGAACGAGATGAGATAAGGAGAAGAAAAGTTAGGGAGAGAGAACTATCCGGGGTGATAGTCTCCAGCGCAACAGCTCCAACAAAACATTCCGGACTAGCATTGTAGATGATTGGGATGTTAAATAAAGCGAGGTGTTTTGGCCTTATCTAGACGAGAAGAGTGAATGCGGGGAAAGAAGCAAACGGCCGACAACAGCGAATCAACTCGCATCAAACAAGCCGGCTTGGCGTGGCTGATTGGACTCCTCTTTATCGGCAACAAGCTTCCGGCTGAGAGTTCCTGGGCTGTCTATGGCCATGATACGCGACTGGAAGCCCCATGCTCATAAGTCCACATCGGTGTTCCGTGGATTATGGTTTGCACATGGTGGCACTCAAATCGATCTAGAACAGAGACCTAGGAAGCAAAGATGATTGATTGGACGAGCTAAGTGACAGCTTTTAAACACAGAGCAACTTTTCCAAGCTCGAGATAACACCAGCACATCAAACCCCTACCGCTCAAGTCAAAAGCCATGCAATTCCGAATTTAGTCAAGTGACCAAACATAGGCGCGGAACATCTGCCGACTATAGTTGCTCCAGGGAAAAACGGTCAGATCATAGGCCGGCTGCAGAAGTCGCTTCCCTCTTTCGCTCGCTCGGAACCCACGCACACTTTTACAACAAGCACACTTGGCCGTGCAATGACCCCACCCTTTCCTTCGACGAGGGTCCGGAGGTGCCTCGCAGCATCCGCACGAGCGGCCACAGCAGCCACCGCGATCGATACAGTCCTGCCGAAGCCAAGTACTCCGAAGATACCAAGACGACTGACTTCGAATCCACAAATATCCACTCTTGATAGGCCCGGCCGGACAGCCAGCCACGATGGTCTCGTATGTGCGTTCGAGGCGATCGTATTCATGGTCCAGGGTGATCAACTCCTCGACCATGTCGGGTAAGATGGCCTTGACGACGGGGTCGTGGTTTGCATTCACGATCTGAATGCATTCTTTGACAAAGCTTTCGTGTTGAGTGACCTCACGTAGAAGGATTTCCGTTTCGATCACCGATTGTGCCCATCGGGAGAGAATGTCGGTGTTGGTTTCCCAGAGCAAGCGCCGTTTCCCGCGTACAATCTGCCATCGCATCCAGTTGGCGGACAGCCGTGTCGTTCCTCGGATACATACTAGCAACCCTCCAAATCCAGTCTTCTGCTTGGCTTCGCTCCACATTTTGAGCTTCGCTTTTTGGAGCAAGGTGATGAGGATGTCGGGGTTGGGGTTTTTTTACATCACTTTTCATCATCGTTTCATCGGATGAGCCTCCTCAAAAGTATACTTTGGCCTACCCATGGATTACCCTGACGAGGGCATACACAACAAGAAAAACTCGAGGCACCGCCCCTAGGCTGAAAAAAGTTGAAAACCATATCCAGGAAGGCGGGATAGCCACTTGAGGGGAAACTCCATTTCGATCACAACAGCGCCCTTGGCCAAATGCAAGCTTCTTCGCCTGTGGGTCTATGCGGGTGAAGGCAAGTGTCAAACCCCTGCCAAGCCAGTAAACAAGCCATCACGTGCAAGCGGCCTCACATTCACCCGTTCCCACTTGGAGAGCTCCACTTCAGACATGGGGTAGTTAGTCACTCCAAGCTTCCACAGCTACGGAGTGCGAGGACTGGGTTATTGGGACTAGACTCCATTGCCCTCGGCCTCAGCCCAGATTCTTTCAGAAGTCCTCGGCCCAGGAGACACACCTCACCATGTCTCAAGAAATCACCGGTGCAGAGAAGCGCCGCATGCTAGTGGTTGGATCAGGTGGTGTGGGAACCATGGTCTCCGTTGCACTTGAACGATCAAGTATGGCATCAGTCACTGCTGTGCTCAGGTCCAACTACCAGAAAGTCATTCAAGATGGCTTCGATATTCAGTCTATCGATCACGGAAAACTAACCAACTGGAGACCGAGTGCAGGTATGAAACACCATTTCTGAAGGGAAACGCGGCTCATCATAAATGGCTAGTTGTCAACTCGATTCCCATGGCCGATCCAAACAAACCATTTGACTACTTAATCATCACCATGAAGAACATACCGGAAGTGAATAATATTCCCAAGATCATAGCGCCAGCTGTCACGCCGGATCACACGACAATCGTCCTGTTCCAGAATGGCATGTATATTGAGCCACCCATCATCGAGGCATTCCCATCAAACGTCGTGTTATCAGCGCCCAGCTATATTGGCGCGCATGAGGATAATGGGCATGTGATCCACGACGATCACGACACTTTCCACATAGGCGTCTTCCACAACAAATCACTGGATAAAACATTCGAGCGAGCAAAACTCGAAGAGTTTGCAAACATCTACAATGGAAGCAAAGTTGTGGATGCAAACATTGTGGACGACATTGTGTTCTATCGCTGGCGGAAGCTGCTCTGGAATGGGATCTTCAATCCCATGTGCGCTATCACCCAGCTTGACAGTGCTGCTATCCGAACCTTCGGGGGTGAGCATAGCTTGATTAGACCCGGCATGGCGGAAATGGCCTCGATTGCTCAGGCCGATGGTTATGATCTTGGACCGAATATTGTGGATGAGGTTATAAATAACCCTCCTCTCGAGCTATCCTTCCGTCCCAGCATGCTTGTTGATGTCGATAAAGGAAATCCTATCGAAGTGGAGGTTATCCTGGGAAACGCGCTGCGTGTTGCGAGGGAGAAGGGCGTCCAAACACCACTTTTGGATACCACGTACCGGTTCCTGAAGCTCACTCAGGCGCGGTTGTTGGCTGCAAGGGGGTTAATCGTCGAGCCGAAAGAACTGCCCACGGCTGATTTGATCTAACCGACTCAAAGAAAGGCAAACTGTGTTATGGAGTAATGAGATCGTAGAAAGACCAATCAAGAAGATGTGCAACCTTGCACGACCTGGGGTACCCAAGCCAAAATTGGTGTGTGTGTGTGTGTGCGTGTGTGTGGTATAAGCACCACTCGGAATGTCGATCATGTTGGAGTCCCGCCTGCAATGTGGGGATTATGAATTCCAACCAGCCTTCCAAGGTTCAAGTTCCAGTCAGTCTCACATACGGAGTACATCTCTCTCAAACATTCGGAATGGAGAGAATCGATGTGCATTCGCACTGCGTGCCCCCGTCATATCGCGAGTATTGCTTGCAAAGTGACTTTGCGGGAAAGGGACATCCGGATGGAATGCCCGCGATTCCAGTCAGTCTCCCCATGAAAACTATCAACTTCGCTAACAAGATCTAGGAATGGAGTGCATCAGCCCACATCGATCTGATGAAGAAGCTCAACATAACAAAATCGGTGCTGAGCATGTCTTCGCCAGCAACCCACCTCACACCGGGAAACGATGAAGAAGGCCGATCAGTCACCCGTCGTGCAAACAATGACATGTCCAAAATCTGCGCCGATCACCCAGCCCAATTCCTTTTCTTCGCTTCCCTCCCACTACCGGATGTCGAGGGGTCCCTTGCCGAAATTGACTATGCACTAGACCATCTTGGCGCAGTCGGTTTCCAAATCCTGACCAATTCTCATGGCATTTATCCCGGTGATGCACGTTTCAGCCGCGTTTTTGACAAGCTGAGTGAGCGCAAGACTATCGCTTTCTTTCACCCAACGACTTGTCAGATCCAGATAGATGGTTCCTTGACGAAGGTCTCGCCGCTTCCTGGTGTCGCGGCGCCGATCATGGAGTTCATGTTTGATTCGACTCGGTCGCTCATGAGCTTGCTTACTTCCGGTACGGTGGAGCGGTGTCCCGGGATTACCTTCTTGGCTTGTCATTGTGGTGCGACTTTCCCTCCGATAATGGAGAGAATCGCTGAGTTCTCACCTATGCTGCTTGGTCCGGAGAAAGGAATTAGTGGGGAGAAGATCAAGGAGCTTTTGCAGTCTCGTTTCTATTTTGATCTCGCCGGTGTACCCTTTCCGGATCAAATTCATGGCCTTCTCCGATTAGTCGACTCCTCCAGGTTGCTGTATGGGAGTGATTACCCATACACGCCTGCCGCACTAGCTGAATCGCTAGTCCAGAGGTTGGATATTGGGTTAGAAGGCCAATTCGGATCGGAGATTGCACAAAATGTTATGCTGAATAATGCCAAAGTTATGCTTGATTAGCATAGTGCATAAATAATTGGATGATTTATCTTGGTGCCAAACACGTCTTAGTATTCCAAGGTTGACAAGGAGGATTTTCAAGTCTCATTGAGACGCATTGTGTCTTGAAATGGAAACGATGCGTCAAACTCGATTGGCTCATCGGGCTTGGAGATAGGTCTCTTCGGTATAGCGGACGATATAGTCAGCCAGGTTCCGGCGTTGCATAATTGGCTCTTGGGAAACCGCTGGGTTGCCAAATTCGTAGCCGCGCAGCAGGTTATTCGGGTTGCCGACCCGCTGCGCACAATTGTGCGGGTAAAGATCGCCTTTCTGTGGCTTATCAAAACTTTCAACGCTGACAGAATGGCAGTTCACTCAGCAGTGCATTGATGATTATGATCAGAACCCATCTGAGCATGCTGGTCGGCCAGACTTCCTTGCATGGCTGCGAAGTGAGGAAGCGAAAGGCAAGCCTATGCCAAACCGGGATATGATAAATCATCTGAGCAATAATTTGTGAGTCCTTCAAACTCGTCCACAAAATTCAGCTGTGGCTCAAAACCGCTTTCAATTCCAGGCTTGCAGGAAGTGATACAACTGCAATCTCGCTTCGGGCGATCATCTATTTCCTCATCAAGAATCCATCTGCATACTCCAAGTTGCAGCAAGAAGTTGATGCAGCAGATAAAGAAGGAAGGATCTCCAAATACATCACGTATGCAGAGTGTCTTGACCTGCATTATCTGTGAGTACACGCTTGGTCCTGATTTCATCTTGCAAGGACTCTGACAATGTTTAGCCAAGCCGTGATCAAAGAAGCGATGCGATGTCACCCAGCGGTCTCATTCCCTTTGGAAAGAGTAGTTCCTGAAGGGGGAGCAAGCCTGTGCAATGTGCACTTTGACCAAGGGACGATTGTTGGAATCAATCCAGCAGTGATGCACAGAGACAAGACAATATTTGGTATTGATGCCGACGTCTTTCGGCCTGAGAGATGGACACAATCCAGTGAAGATTGCATAAAAATTATGGATCGACATCTGATGACAGTAAGCTATCTTCACGGTGAAGATGAGGTCAAGGTCTGACAGCCAGTGTAGTTCGGGTACGGGTCCCGGACCTGTATAGGGAAGAACATCTCTATCATGGAGATGGGAAAATTGATTCCGCAGATCATTCGACACTTTGAACTAGAATGGGCATCTGAAGAGCCGGAATGGAATGTGCAGACATTCTTCTTTGCGAAACAACATGGCTTGAAGTGTCGTCTTCGGTCACGGAAAGCGGTTCCGAGTGTTGATTAGATCCACAACAGCGAGTGCCTGTTTGATCGCAGTCATCATGACCGTCCATAATTTGTGGAGAGTTTCTGCTTGTCGGGTCCGAATTGAGCCCGCTGGGCTATAGGTCAGTGCCTCAGTGGGCGAAATGTGATAGATGAAACCGGTCATGGCGAACGAAAAGCATCGAGTTCCCTGTATTTTCTTGTTAGTTGTTGGGAGCACTTTCATGACAGGGTCTACTCTGAGAGTTGACCATGGGTATTTTGTCTGTTGAGAAAACGGCGGATACCATGCAGTACGGTCTCTAGGTCTACCACTGGGTTTGGGATTGTTGAATGAGAGATTGAGCGGAAGTTCTCTAGTAGCACGGTGGTAGCAAGGCTACTTCGTTCTTATTTTCTTTTTGTCAACCTTGAACGATGTTTCCATAGCAAATTAAGAGCAAATTCCACACAGCAATTCGACAGCCGTAACCTTGGAACCATTCCGACAAACCTTCAGTATTCGTCCAGAAGCTCGGTCGATGTAAATTGTTGATGTAAAAATGGCCGGGTTCTCATAAAATCACGAATCTGAAACCGAATGTCTTGAAGGACTCTGCCTGGAGTTGTAAACCTGATATCATCCAGCTTGTGTTCCACCCACTCCTCAGCTTTGGCATGAACAAGTAGCCAGGAACCTTCTGACTGCTGAAGATTCCATTCCAGATATCCCATCACCAGAAGAGTAGCCACAATGGTGTTTTGATCGCCGCAGGGGAAACTATCAGGGACTTCTCCAAATGATCTGGCGTACAATTCAGCCACCTCCTTGATGACTTCCTTTCTGTCGCATTTCATGAGCTCAAACAGTCTGTTGGACATCAGCCAGCTACCTTCATAGGTTTGCTCTTTGACGAGTTCTTGAAGCTCTTCTGGATCGCTTGTTGCATGCATAGGCACTTCCAATGATGGCAAAGTAATTTGCCTAACATTTTGAGACCCTCCGGGCATAGCTGCATTTTGGAAAAGCTGGAATTGCATTTGAGAGTGGCTCTGACGTGCTAGCGGAGGCCCCCGTGACTCGGACCCGGCAGTCTGTGCACAAGCAGCGCGCGGCGATGCTATTGTGGCGCTGAGCATAGGAACGGGACCACGGTCTGCTACTGACTCGCATCGTGTGTCCATAAACCTGGCACATCCGAGCTGGGGGGGCTGGACCACCACCCCGACCACCACCTCGATATTTGAACGGAGCTCGATACAGCCCGCCAGTTTTATGCTGGTTCTGTTGCACCGTTTGAGTGTGTAGTTCTAAATCCATTTCTTCTGTCAGTTCACAGTCGAGCGAATGTTATGAGGGGTCACATGGCTCTGGGCTGAAGCAATTGGAATTATGGCTAGTGGTCCGGTGATCATACCTGAAGAGTCCGACGATTCAATTTCCACAGCATGCATTTTTGAGCGCTTTCGCTTCGATTTCGCGCTGCTGGATTCTTCAACTGCCACGAACGAGCAATATTTTCCGGTGATCTGGAACTTGATTCCTAGGGTCTGGCATTCACGTTCTGCCAGCCGTTGCTGTGTCTTCAAGTCTAAATTCTTGAATGAGGCGCCCTGTTCGTCTTTCGCATCACTGAGCCAGCCAGACTGTTCTTCAAGCTCGATGATGGCTTTGCGCGAGGCAAGCTGGTGGATTGTCTTGCTGAGACCAATGTCCTGGATTGGAATCCTCAATGAGAGAGGCCCTTGTTTCGATGTTGCGCTGAGAACGATCGATGTAGGGTTTTTCCCAGAGGTCTGGGGGTCCATAAGCAGATAGACGGTAGTTCTGATCATTGGGTAAAGAGGAGGGATGTTGTATGGAGCTTGGATTGCCTTTGGCTGAGTGAGGTTGGGGAGTATCTCGGTTTCTTTCGCCTCTTCCAGATGAGTCTCCATATCATGGTCATTGAACTCCTTGTCAAACAGAGAGATTGGCTGTGATGGGCTGACTGTGGACTCTTGCATGATGGAATCACCATCACCTGCATCTTCGGTTTCGGAGGCCAGGTCGGTGGCATCCACATGCTCGAAGACATCTTGCGACTCGCCATCGTACTTCACCTCTAGTTTGTAGTCGTGAATGTGGGGTGTCAACGCCCCCTTGAGCATACGGACCAACTTGCGATTTAGCTCTTCATGTTGCAAGACCGATTGGCAGAACCCTTTTCCAGCTCTCGCTATTCCTTCAGTCAAAGAGTGAGAAGCAGCTTCGCCAATAGCTAGGGAGAAAAAGCGAGCATCGTTGTTGGCAGCTTTTCCGCGAATGAAATCAAACAAAGACTGCTGGTTGTAGATCTCGCCATCAGTGAGGATCAACACCTCAAGGACTTTGTTGTCAAGTCGTTTCGCGACTGTGGCAACGACCGCCTGTTCCATTTCTGTGCCGCCAAAGCTGGCGTCAACGGTGTCCACAAAATCCATCGCCTGTTTTAAGCTGGAAGCATTGTAGATCTTGCTAGTGGGCCACAGGAAAGAATATGTGGATCCAAATGAGCAGATGTTGAAGGAGACTCCGACCGGAATAGACTTCAAGAGCACTCTCAGCGCAGATTGGAGGGTTGAAATATTTTCTGTCATACTGCCACTTCTGTCAATGACAAATACAACCTCGGGACTGAGAGTAGCTATGTTAAACTTAGGCACCAGGGTTGCCATGATTGCTCGTTGGTTTGGGATACTTGGGTGTGTTTCGAGCAGCGCACAAGGTGCATCAAGGCTGTCCGCCTTGATGAGAAGTACAAAGTCTCTCTCCAAAAAGTCTTCGTCGCTGTCTCCGCGAGTCTTCAGCGACGCCGATGCTTTGCAAGGATTGAAGGTAGCGTCGTCTTCTAGCAGGCTGGAATTCCGCCCTAGGGAGACCTTGATCTGATGGCTGGGCGATTCCACCTCGCGGATGGCCGAGCTTTCATCTATGACAACATCAACAGTGACCGACATCCCTTGGTTTCCTTCTTTGATGACAGGCAGGTTAAGCGAAGATATGTCAGTCGAGCTGGAAATGTCTTGTGCTCCATAACGAGGAGCGATGGCACATGGAAGTGTGTAGCGAACACCATCAGTCTGGGCGTCCTGCTTCAACTCTTCCACGAAGGTGATGTTAATTGCGGCCTGTTCGTGGGCAGGAATATTGCCAAGCCGAATCAAAAACACGTCGTTTTGTGAAGTGTGGTCCATGATAGCAGCACTTTTCTTCTTAGCCACTGCGGTTTCGAAGACCTCGTTAGCCTCAGACTTGGCCTTGACACTGCTATGAAGGATGCGAGTCCCAATCTTGCAGTCAAATTCAACGACGCTGACGCCATCGTAGAGAGGAAACTTGTAAGATGCTTCCTTGATGAGTTTGTCCGATGAGTTAAAGAAGATGTGTGACAAAGTTGTGCAAGCTGCAGATGATTGAACAATAGCATGGGCCTTGAGAGATAGCTGCGGGAGATAGATAGGTTGAAGATGACGGGCAGTTGTATAGAAACAGCCACCATACATGGGAGGCCTGTTCAAGGTATCCATGAGTTGTTGATAGATAGGTGAAATGTCACCTAGAAAATGATGGGTTTGAATTCAGTAGAAGATAGTAGTTGTGGAATGAAGCAAAAGCGAGCGAAGGAAAAGGGCAGCCTAATATAGATAGCACCGCCATCTATTTGGATGATGTACTTAGGTCATCGTGGAACTTGGAACTCTTATTCGCTACCACACCCTAGCAAATGTGTATTGTGACCACTGATGACTGTGCTTGCTTTCAAACCTTGGAAGAGTTCTGGCTCTTAGTTGCCTTTGATTCCAGGCCACTAACCTTGGAACCTCACTAGACAGGCACCAGACTTCCAAGGTTAGTCTTTTGAGTCATCTCTAAAGAAAGTGTCTAGATCAGACCATGACTGCTCCCAACGAGAAATTTCAGCTTCCAGGTAGTACGATCGTTTGACAGGTGTGTTGACACCGCTTGCACCTTTCATGCCGGTTCCTGCAGCCTTAGGGTATCGTATCTCTTCATTCTCTGTGCCATGAATGATATCCCAAAATCAGCAGTTTTGAGCTGCCAGTTCATTAAAAAATACTCTAATGTAATACAAAAGGTGTATGACTTTTGATTCACAGTCACCAGGGAAACATAGAACCGTAATGTACATTCCACACAAGGTCCTCATGAACTCATGTACCAGCGTGAAAATGCTTTACAGCTTGAGCTGCAGCAAGTTGCCAACCATCTCGACAGCCGTGATGCGGGTAGTGGCCCACAGGGTAGGGAAGTCGAGGGTGCTGGAGAAGGTATCGGCGTAGCCGAAAAATAGCATGGGAGGGATCCAGCCACGAGCGTACTCGAGCGCGAAGCAAGACTCATCCATCTTGTACTGCTTGACCTCACCGCGGACCAGGTGGTGCACGCTACCGGCGGGGTAAACCTCGGGCTTGAACTCGCCGGGGACGTAGGCCAGCTGGGTGCCTTGCAGGATGTTGAAGTAGTCGTCGGCGGTGTGGCGACCGGTGTGACCCTCGGTGCCGATGGCGGTACCTGGAAAGAGCGTTAGTAACGGGGTGTGATGTGGCGCGGGCTGCGCAAAAACTTACCAAAGACAATCAGGTACTCCGTGATACTGGCGTGGATCACGTACATGGCGCCCATGGCACCACCGGCGTTGTTGAAAACCCACTCCTCCTGGGTGCTCAGGTAGTTGGGGCCGACCTTCTGCTCCAACTCAGCAACGATGAAGTTGACGATGGAGCGGGTGTCTTCGCCATGAGCGCTGATGGCACGCTGGGAGAGATCGTGGAGGTGGTCCGGGTCGAAAATGTAGAATTGCTCCAGGCGCGCGTCGAGGAATCGGTAGACGGCGGAGAACAGGGCCAGGAAGATGGCCAGGAAGCTCAGAGTCTTGAAGGAGAAGCAACGGCAGCCGCAGCCGGAGCTGCTAGAGCTGCTGGACTTGGAGGATTTGGAAGGCATTGTGGTTTGTTGGAGGTTGGAAGTTGTGGCGCGGCGTTCACATAAATTTAATTTCACGGCCCCTGGCGAAAACCCCGGAGTCCCACCGGGTGGGGCCAAACATCTACGCCCTCGCTTGGTTTGAGATTACCTCAATCCATTGAGTTAATACCCCGTATATTGTCTCTAAGCTATCGTATCCTTACTCGGGTCGCTTGTTGCCTACAGTGACAGCACAATCCCAATTTGTTTCCTTCCTATTTGGTCTGTGAAACCATTCTACTTTGCACTGTTTGTTTTGCTGACTCATCTCTGCACGGACCAGTTGGCCCTAGGACAGGCCATGTCGGAAGCTGCCAATCCGTTTCATCCTCCTCGTCATTGGTCAATTGGGCCACGGAGTACGGAGTACATACAACACCTGGGCACAACGCAAGCGTGTCTCTGCCTACTCCGTACATCACTCCATGGCTTTCCTGGCTCAAGAGTACAGAAATCAATTTCCTGAGCTTTCGAATATTAATTTCCCCCTGACCGAAGGCATCATGCTATCAGTGGTCAGCTCGGTTATTGTTCTCAATTCATAGCTCGCCATCAAGGTCATCAGCCTTTTTTGTTTTTACTATTGGTTTTGACTTCTTCGAAGATGGCGCCTCTGACAGGCACTTCCTATCACAAGAGGAGTGTATCCGACGGAGTAGCAAGTTCCTGGACAGCCGTTGAGAAAGCTGAATGACCCGTGGACCTAAGTATCAAAGTGTGCATTCCTGATCTATATAAAAAGGCTACGCAATGCCATACATAGCTGCTCGGGATCATGAACGGTCTCAAGAGCATCAAACCCCTCGTTTCAACCAATCAACCAGTCTTCTGACTTCCAAAGTTCCAATCAAGACGGAATCCGCAATTACCATCTGTGGCATCTTTTCGAAGTTCCCTGCTCGCCGCAGCGGCTCCTGCATTCAAGTGAGTTCCATCTCTCAGCAAGCCTCTCACCACAGAGTGAAATTTTACTGCAGCGATGGCTCGTCGCCGAGAACTGTGATGCCAGTAAGTCACCATTCCCCTGGAAAACCTTGGAAAGCGTTAGTTTCTAGCGACTTGGTGCCAACTGGCGATGATTAAACTTAGGTTGCCAAGGACGGCCACCTGGGCACATCAGTCTGAGGTCCCGATGGTATCCCTTCCGGCGCTCTGACCACCAGCTTCACTTCTACAGTAGTGGCAACACCCTCAAGTGGGCCCAGGGATTCTTCTACGCGTGCCTTGAATAGATTCCCCGCTCTAGGCCACGAGTGACGCGCCCCCTGTCCAGGCTATCTACACGGAGCGCGAGGGTGTCACCATACATCAAGGTCATCCACCCTTAACAAGGCTACCCTCTTAATTGGCTTTGTGTCTGGGATCCTAATATGGCTCTTGGGACTTTCATAAATTGGATCAAGGAAGTCGCGATGGCCCCAGCCTCTCTACGGCACAGTTACTGTGGCAAGGTCAACCCAAATTGCTGCCTTGTAAATATCTTGACTTTGATTCCTGGGTGATCTGTGCGACTATCTCCAATTCTAGATAGAAATACATTCATCTTTGAATCTTCGAGAATCCAATATCCTCTGTGCTCTGTAGATTCAGTCCGAGGTGACCGTGATATGTAGATCCACGGATTAGGTTTGTGTCGTCAGTCAATCTTTCCCACTAGGTTTATAGACTTGGATACCGCAGCCCCCCGAGTACGCCCAGGTGATGCATCCGTGGATGTATAGGTACCTACATAGTAGGTACGGAAAACCCGTAGACAATTGTTCGATATGCAAATTCTCGGGTAAATCAGATCGACGATCACGGATGTCAATCATCACCCCTTTTAGGACGGTGGTCCCTCCGCGCTCCGCTACCCGGGCCAGCCATATTCCTTCAGCATCCTAACCGAGTGTTGCATTGAGCCTGTGTATACCCGTGGACTTGCACACGTACATATCCGTGAGACGTGAATGGGCTGCGGGGTGCATGTTCCTGAAGAACCTTGAAATCAGCCGTAGACGAATGTGGAGCTTGAGTGCTTCCACCAATCTGCACGACCACGGATATATAACGCCGCAAACCTCGGTCCACCTCAATCCACGGATTCTAACGAGTTTCTTCAGGAACGATCAGGATCCATGGATCTGCCCCTATTCTTAAGTGATCGGAGATACTTCGCAATTATTATAGAAAACACAATCTATAGAGCGGAGACGTTTAACGTTGGAACGATCTCCCATTTGACCGCGTTCTAGAAGCAGCAGGAGCCCGCCCCGCTCTGCGGCACCGTCGTCTCAGAATAAGCTGCTAACGGAGTTCTTCCCCAAACCGCATTCTTATTTACGCGAACATTTCATGGTTTTTGCATAAAAAGCAGTCGTGGAAAAACTTTATGCTAAATAACCCGTGGCGATCTTTACCTTCAGACCGGACCGACCCAGAGCAAGCTTTCTCCTTCCGGTGGAGTCCACGGGTCCCCATCAGAATGACATGTCCCAAGATGAAAATGAGACAGGACCACTCCGCGCTCTATACGGAACATGGAGCCTAGGTCTCGATCCACGTTCACCCCTAAATGGACGACCGCCGAAGAAGTAGCACGTATAAGACCAACTGACCACCCGGGTTTCGATGATCAACCACTCTCATTTCCACATCCTCACCATGAAGTCCTTCGCTCCCCTTTCTCTTCTTTCCCTGGCGCTGGCCGCCGCCGGCAATGCCGCTTCCTCCCCCACCAAGACCCTGGCCCGTCGCGCCGACTTCTGCGACCAGTGGGGCTCCGTCACCACCGGCAGCTACATCGTCTACAACAACCTCTGGGGCCAGAGCTACGACAGCGCCGGCAAGCAGTGCACCGGCATTGACTCGGTCAGCGGTACCGATATCGCCTGGCACACCTCGTGGTCGTGGGCTGGAACCTCGAACCAGGTCAAGAGCTTCGCCAACGTCGCTCTGGACTTCACTGCCAAGAAGCTGAGCGCTGTCAACAGCATCAAGTCCAACTTCAAGTGGAGGTTAGTACATTATGAAAAAGAACGTGGATGAATCCCCCCTTTGCTGACCTGAATCAGCTACTCCAACACCAACGTCGTCGCTGATGTCGCCTACGACCTGTTCCTCAGCTCCACCGCTGATGGCGACGAGGAGTACGAGATCATGGTCTGGCTTGCTGCCCTCGGCGGCGCCGGCCCCATCTCCTCCACCGGTTCTGCTATTGCCACCGTCACCATCAACGGTGTCAACTGGAAGCTGTACTCCGGCCCCAACGGCAGCATGACCGTCTACAGCTTCGTCGCCGAGTCGACCGTCACCGACTTCTCTGGTGATCTGTTGGAGTTCTTCACTTACCTCGAGAAGAACCAGGGTCTCAGCTCCAGCAAGTACCTGACTCACGTGCAGGCCGGTACTGAGCCTTTCACTGGTACCGCCGACCTGACTGTCTCCTCCTACTCCGCTGTTGTCGCATAAGTTTGAGTCAAGATGAGGGGTTTGGGGATGTCCAGTACATACTTTGTAGCAAGAATAGATCAGGAATCGATTCTGTTCAGAATGACTCAACCTACCGACCGACACTGAGACTTGTAAGGTCAATGTTTGAGAAAGTCCAAACAATGAGTGACGTGTCTTAGGCTTCCATATGCAGATGACACACGAGTAGCGCAATACTGTACAATGAGATTGTAGCATTTCAACCTCTAACCGCCGACCCAAACATCTGAAACGCGGAGGAGATAAAATCCGAAACCGCCCCATCTCAGGCGCCTAGAACGACGACCCAACACCGAGAACGAAGCAGGAAGTCGCAGATGCCTAAAGGCAGTAAAAAAATAGGCAGTATGAGAATGGAACAATCAGGCCTAGACAGTGGGTTCGAAACAATGACCAGCGAGACGCCGAACGCGAAACGCGACCTGCATTTTACAGCCGATCCCAACAATGCAGACTCGCAGCGGGCATGGCATGCATGGCGTCCGGGGAAAGAAACCAGAAACCCGCACGTTGGGACGTCCAGCGGGTCCAGAATCTAAGAATAATCGGAAGCGCACCGCCTGTCCGCTCTGCCTACGGCAAATAAGAAAGGATCCCTCTTGTTGGGAGCGCGAAATGTTACAGCAAGCGCTGCGTCGGAGTGAGAATGCAAGCGCCGGCGGGATGGCGGGAGGGCGGGAAGATGGGCGCTTAGATGCTGCACCTGCACTGCACTGCAGTTTCGTGTTTTGTATTTCTCCTTTTTTAAGGACAAAAATAATTAGAGTGGGACTGGGAAAATTTAGTGCCCAAAGGATCGCGATTAGCTTTGCGAATGCATGGAATTGTACTCCGTATGGGAGTCCGTGACGATAGGATCGTGTGAGTTCAAGGGCGAAATTGGATAGATCGGAAGGGGAAGAAAAAGGATAGAGAACAATGTGACCTATAGTGAATAGTGAAAAGCGTGTTCGAGTCAAGTGTAACACCCCTCGAACACGCTAAACTCGTGGCGCGGCGTGACAGGGGGGTCATTTGGCATGTCATTTGTGGAGAGGAAACAGGGATTCTCGCCCCATGCCAGTGCTAGTTTCTCGCTGTAGCATCTTACGGTCGGAAACTGACAGGTTTGCTTGGGCACGGATACTTCCGGCTGGCTGGTTCATGATTTTCTTTTTCTTTTGATGTTTGAGGTTTTATTTTTATTTTTAATTCTCCATTACTCCATTATCTCCAGTGGATATCAGTGGAATGGCGGCACAGCGCGAGTTTCAAAGTATAGATAGCATCAAACGTCATGATCCAGCATACAGAGTACAATGTAGAGTTTCTATAGGCCTAATGCTAGGTTGGAGGCTATGGGGAGGCGGGTGAATAATTGAAGATCGGGTCCACCGGCGATCCTCAGCTCCGTCGCGACTAGTGAACGCGTTAAAACTTCGTACCTAGAGGAGAATTGATTCAGGGTGCTATGGGAGAGTTAATCCAGGACGGAGCGTAGGGCAATAACCTTGTTCAAGGACAGTATTAGACGAATAGTACGAGATTCAAGCAGTAGCTATGGTAGGAGGCGAGTACAAGGTCAATCTAGGGATAGCGCACAGGTACAATATTACAGTCCCAATGCAATCCTTCCCATTGAAACTCCATAAGGGGATCCATAAAAAGTACCGTGGCAAATCACATTGATTTCTCGCGTCTCAGACTCCGCGCGCGAAGGTTCGAGCATCTCAGATCCAGCTATGCAGGTTTGCTCTACCTGTTCTGTAACCCCTGCCCTGCTCTCATCCTTCGTCCATTCTTACTGGGCCTTGCTGCACGCCCCCTATGGCACATACCAACTTATAACTAGAGTATTTCCGCCCGGGTTCTTCACGAGATTCATCCACATGCCCAACGTCGTCATTCTCTTTTCGGGACGCTTTTGATTTTCTATTTACTTATACATCCTAATATTTCCCACTGTCTCGCCGGTAAATCTCGATTGGCATTATATTTGCATAACAGTGGATTCTGTCTCAATAAAACTCCCCGGGTTTCACTTCAGTTCTACTCAGTTAGGGCTATCGATTTCGATAAGAGGTTGACACGACAACCCCAACTATCCTTGCCGCAACATTCTTTGAGAAGTTACTACTTCTTTGACATCCTGCCGGTCAGGAATCTGCTTTAATCTTGTCTTTGTGTGCTTGTTCTTATTGTCGTCTTTCTTTATTCTTTTGTTCACAACTGCCTTGTCTCTCTCTCATTATTGTTTTTGCCGTACAATCCGCATTGTTCATTCATTTGTTTATATCTCTACACGGAGCTCTTCTCGATCGTCCAATTTTCGTTACCATCAACATGAATTCTCTGTCGCTCAACCGAGCCGCTCTCGATGAGTTTGTCACTTCGCGGGTCACCCGCGAAATGGTCACCTACCTGGCCCAGCAGGCAGCCCAGGTCATTCGATGCGAAGCCCATGTGACCAACACTGTCAACCATGGCCAACCTACACCACCCTCTACTCCTCCCATGGAAAATACCGACCTACCTGCTCTGCCTTCAATTGAACAATTCATTACATCCCTCGTCACCAGATCCCAGGTACATGTATCTACCCTCATGAGCTGCCTTGTCTATCTCGGCCGTCTTCGATCCCGTCTGCCACCAGTCGCAAAGGGCATGCGCTGCACCGTCCACCGGATCTTCCTGGCTTCACTCATTCTCGCCGCGAAGAATCTCAATGACTCAAGCCCCAAGAACAAGCATTGGGCTCGTTACACCGTTGTCAAGGGCTTCGAGGGTTTCGGTTTCTCACTGCCCGAAGTTAACCTTATGGAGCGCCAGCTTCTCTTCCTCCTCGACTGGGATTTGCGCATCACCGAAGAAGACCTCTTCACCTACTTGGAGCCTTTCCTGGCCCCTCATCGCCAGCGCTTGATTGCCCAGGAGCGCGAGCGCAAGGCCGAAGAGGAGCACCGCCACAAACAGCAGCAACACCGCGAATGGTATGTCCGAATCCTTCTGGCCTTATATAGGCCCAAATCCTTCTCTACATGAACTAACAAACCTAGGCGCCGTCTTCACGCATCAGCGGACCTGCTGGCCAGCCGCCTCCGTCGCCAGAAGCTCGAAGCCCGCGGTGAACGTCGCGACACCACTCTTCGTCGCCTTCCAAGCCACGCCTCTTGCCCAACAATGAACAACATCAACACTACCACCAACATCCAAAACACCGCTGAGCACGATCGCTACAACCCATACACCCGCCGCTCTCCAACCAGAGCCAATCGCTCCATCTCCCCACCATCCGTTCGCGATGTTCCTCCTCTCTCGCACGCCGAGACATTCAACTCCCTTTGTTCGCGATCTTCCAGCATCGCCCCAAGCTCACGAGGCACACCTGCCTCCATCAGCACAGTCTCGTCTGGCGCAGACGATCTCACCTTCTCCGACCAATCTCGCAGTCCCTCGTCTCTCTCTTCCCTCAGCTACAGCTACGTCAATGTCGGTCCCACCGACAAGAAATTCGAACCCACCCGCCAACCTTCCAAGAAGATGAAGGTCGGCGGTGCGCACAGCGGCTTCGTCGCTCGCTTCCTTGCCTCCGCGACTGGATCGTACATGGGCGGCCGTCGCTCTCACTAATCGAGCTGGTCTTGATTTCTATACCTACCCTAATCACTGACATCGCTGATGTCGCCTCGGATCTTTCGTCATCTCTACCATCTCCTTGTCTCTCTATATGATCTTTTATTCTACTTTTCATTTTTCATACTTTGCTTTTCTGAAAAAGCTGTCGTTGATATGCATGTGCCAATACGTTGCCACGGCCTTGTGCCTTAGAGATTTGACTTCTCATTTTCCTTTACTTCCCCCTTTGTCTTCATCTGTTACTGCATGGAATGGCGTTCCTGTGTCAGTGACCCTCATACGTTTTCATGTTCCTCGGGCTATCTAGACTGCCTCATGTACCATGATCTATACACCGAACAATGATATCTTACAATAAATTCTTCCTGAGTAGCTTGATTCGTAACCTCACACTTCAATATTATGACCCTTTCAGTAAATTATCTAATCCATGTTTTTCTCCGACCGCAGACCCCCCTCATTTGGGGTTTCCTAGTGACCAGCAAATGCTCGCTTGCAGATATCGGTCGCACTTTTTCCAGTACGTGATGCTGTCCACGGGTCCTATGTGCTTAGTACCAACGAAACCCCAGAAACCAATGCACCTAGTAGGTAACTATGACTCCGAAGCCTGTTGCCTGCGCAAAATACCTCGATCTCGATCTCTACCGCAACGTTCACACAAATGCCAAATTATTGGAGCAGAACCTTGCGTTGGCTTACACATTCTGTGAGACAATTACCCCGCAGGTTGCACTGGAGGTCGTCCTGGTGATGATCTGGATTCACGATGCAGTACTAAATAATCCGTACTTTGTTCCAATACCCAAGCCGAAGAATGACGCAGCTAGGGGGTGGTCCGAGGGTTCCCTCGGGGACGCGGGTCTCGACCTCTGCAATTCCTCTGCAATTTCTCTGCAATTACTCCGTAATAAGAAAGCCGTACAGCAGGGCCTAGACAGGGAAATAGAGTTTAGATTCGGCAATGCTATTTCGTTACTCATGACAGATGCAAAAGGTCGAGATTGAATTAGATACCCGGTCCTTCCCAGTATTCGCGCTTGATTCTCATGATCGCGGATTGCTTGTGCGGGAAGCTGACCTCGCCTTCTTTGTAGAAGCCTGCTTCTTGGAGGTAATTAATGAGTCTGTAATCGGTTAGCTTGGTATCTTAGAGCAGTCTTCTTAGACTTACTTGAGGTTATCGACGCGCGGTTCCAGGATAACGGACTCGGTCCGCATATCCGACAGGAAACAATGGTGCACCAGAGCACTGAGCCAGACTGCGACGCGGTGTGCGCCGCGGAATTCCTGCTCGCCGACAAGTAGATGGATACCGCGATCATAGTTGTCCACGTGGTCCAGCAGTCTGCCCAGTCTATCTTCCTTAACCCAGTAGATCTCGAAGTATCCAAAGGGTTTGCCATCCCAGCACCCGATCACCGGGAACTTGTGTCGGGACGTTAGGTTGTCTATGAGGAACTTCTCCTGCGCGGATTTCGGTCCGCCTTCGGCCCACATTGCCTCTACACGAGGAACGTTCATCCATCGGTGCAATGTGTCCACGTCCGAGCAGATATTCTCTGTGAGATGCTGCTCGATACCCGTTACCGCCGAGCTAACGGGTGTGCCCGGCCGACTACCGTCAGGCTTCACCATCGGCACATATGGTACGCGGAACGACAGCCACTGCTGCAAGCTGGGGATGTAGCGCACGTAGAAGACCTCGCCCTGATGGGGCGGTTTCGGACGAATGGGGTGTCGGATCCCATCTGTAGACGTGTATTGCGTTGGCGCGGGTGGGAAGTATGTAGGCAGATGACTTCCCGATGTGAATGGACCCGCAGAGGTGAAGGGGGCGAGGTTTGCTGTGTGGAAGGTTGCCTCGGTGGGTGCTAGTGAGAGGGCCGCGACACTGGGCAGACCGTCGCGGGTTGGAGATGCGCTGCGGGACTGGTAGGTTGGCGAGGAGGGGGCACCGCGCGGAGTGAGAGTGAAGAGGAATAGGCGTGGATCGAGCTGCCAGAAGCTGCGACGGCTGACGAACATATTGGACCAGCTACTAGAGTCTCTTGTCTCGATGGGCTGGAGGCCGACAGAGGAGTCCTCGGTGGCGATGAGACCCATGCGCTCGAGTTTTTGTAGTAGATTGCGACCCTTGAAGATTCCCTCGCGTTTGATATTGATGCGCCATTCGCCCTTTGGTCGGCCCTTGTGCGGGTTCACGCTTGAGGCGGCGGTGTCCACATGCAGGTCTGGCTGGGGCTCGTGGAAGTACCACCACAGAGTCGCCCACAGCATCATGGCAATATGGCGCGTGGGTGAAGTCACCGGCCTGAAGTCGCTGGACGGCGGGTTGACTATATACGAGATGTAGAGGGAGTCGCGGTTCAAGGTGGGGGTGGTAAAGCGGGTATAACGCTCATCTTGATCGTGATCATGCTCTGTGCCTTCTACGTGAGTCTTTTCGGTGTTGATGATGATCGTCCAGCCTGGGGGAAAGGTGGAGTTTTGCTGCACGTTGAAATCGGCGGATTTGAAGGTGACCCCACCGAAAACGGGAGAGACGTTGAAGGTGAGGCCATTGGGGAGGTGGCAAGTGGTGTTCTTCATTATGAGCTGGAGCTGGAGGTAAAGCCTGAGCTGTGTCCTGGATCAACACGGGATCAGGGAGCTTTATACTCTTTCAAGTTGACTTTTCGCACTGTTGCTTTGGCCCCTCACTGCGCGGGGAATCGTGCACCAATGACCAACGCCCACAGCAAAAATCAACGAGAAGTCCACTAGTACCAACTGCTCGATTGGTAATTTCGAGTTGGAGATTTGATGGAGGAAAAAGAAAAAGAAAAGGCAGGTTTGACCGAGGTGACATGATGACGCAGAATATCAGCCCATGCGCATGGTACCTTTTTCTATGGGACGACCTGATTGGCCTAAGCTATAGACCGTTTTACATTGTACAAATCCTAACTCCCATCTTTAATTGAGAGGTCATTTATTCGATATCCAGTGTCAAAATATAATTTCCTCGTTCTTTTTGACACTCCAACCGCCATAGATTTAAGTTTTTAAAGACAGTTTGGCAGCTAATTTCCGCGTTGGAGATCTGTTGATCTTCCAATTTCCTGTTTGGATTGACAGTCGATTTCTCCGATTCGAGAACAAGTGGATCCCGGGCCAATGACAATAGAGTTAAAGGTAAGCAATGGGTATACTAATGTACTAGGTGAGAAAAAAAAAAAAAACTAAAGCTAGAAGTCCTCCACTGTGGTTCCAAGCTTCCGCTCCCGCGCCAAGCGCACCAAATCCCCGCCAGTAACAAGATCCATGAGGCCCAGCCCAACGGATTTGTAGATAACATTGCCACGCTGAGACCATTCGCGGAGACTCTTTTCCTCATCCACAGTCTCCTCATTTCGTTGAGCATCGCGCACCATCAGGAGCTCACCGAGCTCCACCACCTGTTTCGGCCTGATCCCCGCTTGGATGAGTTCACCGGCCTCCTTGAGTGCCGCGTCTAGACTGTCTACGACAATCACACCACTGCGTTGGACGTGCTTGTGCCAGTGGCGATGGGGAGGCTGGATAGTGACCTCGTCCCGAAGAATATCCGGGTGAATCTCCGCCATGTGTGCCTTGTATGATCCGATCGCACAAATCAGACGACCCTTTTGACGGCCTTCGCCAGAGGTGAGGTATTCCGCGGGGAACAATGGCTCCGGTGATGGGGTACAGCAGAAGATGGCGTCGGCCTTGCGCACGTGTTCTTTTAGCACACGGCTGTATTCGCCGAAATCGCTGCTGACGGCCGAGAACTTGACATCCCGGCGCCATTCGGTGTTTTCGGGAAGGTAGATGTCACGCAAAAGCTTGGCAGCCCGGTCGAATGATCGGTTCACAATGTATACTCGGCGAATATCCTCCCCGCGGAGCACCAGCGCCAGGCGGATGTGCCAGTACGCCTGGGTGCCGGCTCCGAATACGAGGAGCGTGCGCACCTTCTTGCGCTTGTTGAACATCATCAGTGACGCCAAGGCCGTGCGGAACGCCGTTAGCTCATGGGCGTTGATCAAGGCGAAAGGCAGACTTTCGCCATCGAGAAGGGTTACACTTCCGCGGGGCGATGTGTCACGAGTTCCTGCGCCCGGCCATGCGCCAAGAGTCTTAGAGATGTTCGAAGTGACGTTTTGTTGGTTCACACAGCCCGTGAGGAGGGTCGAGCTGTCTGTGCTTGAGCTGCCAGTGGTAGTTGAGGGAGTGACTGAGCTACTCTCATCTTTGTCATCCTTGTCTTCCGAGCCCACGGAAAGGTCACTCATGTCGGAGGATAAGGAAGCCACCGAGTTTCGGAAGGATCCTCGTCTCCGTGAGGTGATCTGCTCCTTCTCTTGCGCATCCACTGTGTCACGCTCGACGGCACAGCCGGCATCACCCCCGTCCTGCAGGGAGATCATCTTGATACCGATTGTCTGACCGGTGCTAGCGGGCATGAAGAGGGTAGTGCAGCCATTCTGACGAGTGATGGCCGTTCGCTGGGGTTGGAATGCCGCTGAACAGCCCTTATCTTGAGATCCACTGGAGTATTCCCGTAGAGCTTCGGCGAGGTTTCGCTGCAAGCCCACGATCTCGTCCCGGGAGAGCGCATGCAGCAAATCACGGAGCTGGCTTCGAGAGAGCACGGTAAGAGGCATACTGAAGGTTGAGTGTATCGCGGTTGATGGTAAGAGGACGGAGGGTATTGAGGAGGGGCAGAAGAATTGGGTAAATGAGTGGAGGAGGCAAGAAACTCGAGATTCTAAGATCTGCGACACAATTCTAGTTAGCCAAGACAGCCCCCAACCACGCCGCTGCCAAGAGACGAGTGAAACCACATACTCGGATATGATGATTGTGCGCATAAGTTATGACGCGCCAAGGGCCTTCTGGAGAGTCACAGCGGACTTTGCGGGCTTAAAATAACTCGGGCGCCGGAGAAGTAAATCTGGAAATTCGGAGATGACGGCCACTGTTGACTGTGAGGTGGGGGGAAGCGGGGCGATCAGCGGCGATAAGTCAAAAATTGAACCTGGTGCTGTTGGGCTTGGAAGTTGAGATAGCCCTGTAGGGAGTAGGTTTTTGTTAAGACACAAGCATATCAATGTGTATCATATATGCACCTAAACAGACATGATCATGTCTGTGGGGCTCTTGACGCAGGTCTGTTTGCGGCCGGTCGTTTTCAGTACTTCAGGTACCATTTTCGGCCTGAGGCACACATTGAACATTGGCCAGCAGAAAATGAAGATAGCAGAAATGCTACTTGTATTACACTTGTACAGTCCTTTCGATGGAGCACGGAGTACCTAGATTCATAATTAAGACCCCTCAAAGGCTGGTGGCTCGCGGGCGCTTGGATTTGACTTTGTATAGTTACAGCCACTTATGTTTGGCGTCTGGAGTACCTAGGTAGGCATATGGGATTAAAGAATGTAGAGATCAATTGTCGGCTGTCTGAACTACCCCATGCTACAGTACGTAAAAAGTCCTTCATCCTACAAACCCCTTCATGACGCCTGACATGTGGATCCACGGATTGCGGCCCCGGGGAACCGCCCAGAAATCACAAACAAACACAGATACTTTCCAAATCTACTCAATAGCTGTGGTTTGACTTTTTCCACGACCTTCAAAGCTCCAGTCAATCTGCGTGGCCATCCTCACCTTCACTCCAAGCTCATTAGCAAAGGCACGGACCAGTCCCGGGTTCAATTGAAACCATCGTCCCGCCTGGACTGCATCAATGCCGGATTGCACCACCTTCTCCGCCAGCGGCCCCGTCTTGATACCACCCACGGCAGTGATCAATATCTTGTCACCCACAGCTTTCTTGATTGTCTGCGCCAAATGCACCTGGTATGCAGGGCCTGGCTTAATGGCAATCGCGGATTTGGCGTGAACACCGCCCGAGCTGACGTCCACCAAGTCAACTCCCAGGTCAGCTAAACGTGAAACGAGCTCAATTGACTGATCGACTGTCCAACTCTCGGGGAACTCTTTCTTCAACACATCGTCAAATTCGAACCAATCGGTTGCACTGATGCGGATCAGAAGAGGCATTGTGTCGGGAATGTTGGCCCGGATGGCCTCGGAGACCTCCAAGAGTAGTCTGATCCTATTGTCGAAGCTACCTCCGTACTGATCTGTTCGTTTGTTGCTAACAGGGCTCAAAAACTGATGCAGCAGATACCCATGGGCGGAATGGATCTCAATAGCATCGAAATTCGCTTTGACGGCCCTTTTAGCAGCTTCTGCGAAGTCACTCTTCAAGACCGCAATGTCCTCCAATGTCAAAGCCCTAGGGACGCTATTGACACCTTCCTCCTGGGCTATGGCTGATGGTCCAACAATCTCGTCGGGCCACCCACCAGCCTCCTTGACAGCCATAGCATTGACACTCAGCCAGGGAGCAACGGCACTGGCTTTCCGACCCGCGTGGCTCAGCTGAATAGCGATTTTCTGATTCTGGCTATGCGCAAACTCGGTGATACGCTTCAACGGTTCAATCTGGCCATCTTCATAGAGACCAAGATCTTGAGGTGTGATGCGACCCTCTTTCTGCACGGCTGTAGATTCCATGATCGCTATTCCTGGGCCGCGCTGAAGGATTCCACCAATATGTGTCAGATGCCAATCGGTGGCATAGCCATTTTTAGCAGAGTACTGACACAGGGGGGCCAGGAAAAGACGATTCGGAAGCGTCACCCCTCTTATGGTGAGAGGGGTGAACAGTTTGATTGACCCCTCTAGCTGCGTACCCGCGGGAGGCTCTTGAGCCGGCGTGTAATAGGAGACACCCTTGGCCGCAATGTTATCAATGATCTTTTGTGTCATGATTCTTGTGTTTGAATATGAGCTTTCGAAGTGAATAGGGTGCTGAGTGATGTACCCCAAGAAAAGGCAGACTACGAATCTTAGTCCTTAAATAGACCTCCGGCGTGATATGCAACTGGTTAAGTGGGAACATCTTGCCGTCTTACTGTAGAACTAATGATTGAAGCTACGTCCCCAGGACAAGATGTGCCTACTGATTACAAATGATACTTTTAGTTAGTTATGGTGTGATAATTATTAATACGATGGCCCCGGGGGCGATCACGATATTGAATCCCTGCAAGTTTCATGTGTGTGTGAGAACATCTGACACAGAAAACCATGGGGAGAAAGTGCTGTGTCATTCAAGGTATACTCTGTATGATTCCATTACTTACTTGTCTGACCTTGTCGGACACTGTCGTTAAGCTCCATCGGTTGATCTAGTTAATAGTTGTGGTGATATCGTGAATCTTCAAAGACCTCAAAAGCCAAGACAAAATCAACGAAGAAGACGAATTTGTGTTCTTCCCCCGGTTTAGCTGACATAGCTTTGGTCCAGTCGAGCGAGGTTCACAGCCGGTAAGTATAAACCGCGATTCGACTGCACAGCCCTGGAGGATGAGGAAGGCTATAAATGATGGCCAAAGACGTTAACCATTCTTGGACTAGAGGGTACGCACGGAGTCATCTGGGGAGCCCGCGGTTCGCGATGACTTGGTTTGATACAACCTCAAATCCAGAGCTTACTCGTTCGACAGCGTTTAGCACCTCGCTGCAAGACAAATGCCATGTATCCCGACACTTCTGAGCAGTGAAGCAGTGCGGTGGGCGTGGACAGATCCAAGCAAAGGTGGGTCGGATCCAATGCCCGACGGCGCGGGGTTGGCCACCGAACTGTAGCTCGGAAGCTCTATCCGAATCTACAAGAATGCCCCTCGACTACCAAGCTTTCTCCAACTGCACTTTCCACACACAATAGCAATGGCTTCAACTCTCGGATTCATTGGATGCGGTAAGTTGCCGCTGGCCGCAATGCCAACCATAACTAACAACGTCAAGGCAACATGGGCGGAGCCGTCCTGAACGGCATTCTGGCCGCAGCTTTCACCAACCCCACGGAACCCAAGCCAATCTCGCAATTCATCGCATGCACCAAATCAGCAAGCTCGGCAGAGCGTATCAAGGCCACAATTGCGCCGGCGCACAAAGAGATCATCAAAGTTGTCTCCGGGCAAAATGTCCAAACCATGCGGGAAGCCGATGTCGTCATTCTGGGCTGCAAGCCTTTCATGGCAGATGAGGTTTTGAGAGAAGAGGGTGTGCGCGAGGCTCTTGCTGGAAAACTTGTTATTAGTATGCTGGCGGGTCAGTCGTGTGAGCATCTGACGCAAATTATTAAGGAGGGGTCTGGAGCACAGAGTTCGGAGAATACGCAAATGGTGCAGGGCCCGAAGGTCATGAAGGTCATTCCGAATATGGGGGCGGAATTCGGTGAATCTATGACGATTATTGAGACACCGGCGGCGGGCATCAGTGAAGAGATGGTGCAGACGGCGCAGTGGATCTTTGATCAGGTCGGGAAGGTCAAGTATCTTGCGCCTGAACAGACGGGTCTAGCGACTGTGCTTGTTGGTGCGACTTTGGCTACGTTGACTCTTCCGATTGAGGGTTTGCTGGATGGTTGTGTCGCCGAGGGTTTCAAGCGGGCTGATGCCATGGAGATGGTCTTACAAGGAATTCGGGGGCTGTCTGCTGTTTTGGAATCTGGGTCACATCCTGCTGCTGTGAGAGAAAGTATTTCCTCCCCGAGGGGATGTACAATCCAGACCCTGCTCAGTCTTGAGAAGGCAGGCACGAGGTCGGATTTTGCAGAGGCGATGATTCGGGGTAATAAGCATTTGAAGGAAAATATGTAACTAGATAAGATATTACATTCTTAATAGACTATGTGAAACGGAACATACAGCCAGTGTATATCCGGATGTGTCAATACATCGTGCACGTGAACTCCTGAGACCCATTGGAACCTTTCCATGTTGCCCGTCAACCCCACATATCATCATCGCCCTTAACCAGATCATCCTCATTCAAAGCGTGCAGACCATTTTCTCGCTCCTCGCGCTTACGCTGACGCTTCGTTATGGTGCGCCCGGGTGTAAACGGTGTCACGGGAGTGAATGGCATGTATGGCGTGTATGGCGTGGGCATGCCAGTGACTGGCCCAGTGCGGAGCTTAGAAGGCCGCTCGAGGAATGTAGTCTTGGTTGCCGGTGCGCTCTGCTGCGGATATGCTTCACGGAAAGGCAGGGAAGTCGACGGTGACGCAGCGGCCCCCGGGGTTAGATTCAGGGGCGTTGGCCTGAAACGGCCGGGACTACCCGTGCCTGGGGATTCAATCTGCAATCGAGATGGCACCGTTGGAGGCGGCCCGGGATTGTAGATCCGTGGAGACAGGGGAGGGTTCTCGGGTATATAAGCTTGTGGGGTTGTCGGTGCGGGGGAGGCCATCGGAGATGAGATGGGGAGTTTGCGAAGCGCCACAGGGGAGTTCACTTTGCTAGGCGCGGGACTTGACCGAGAGCCTGTGCTGAAGAGTTTCGAGAGGCGTGAGCTGTTGAAACCCTTCATCGGAGACTTCAGTGGAGCCAGAGAGTGGTCCGATCCGTGGGAGTCACGGTCAGTGAATGGGTTCGTGAGCTGACTGTCCGGAGACCGCGCTTGGTGTGCTGGGTCTCTCAGGGGCAAGTCGATACCAGAAGCCTTTTGAGCGTCGTGCTCCATGACAGCGGCATACAGCATCTCCATCTCATCCTGGGCTTTCTGTCGGTCGGTTGCGACAATTGATTCGTCGACAGTCACCATACTGCCGTTAATAGATGGCTGAGAAGGTTTGCTAGCTCTGTTCAGCGACCCCCAGGACTTGAACCCGCTGGATCTGGGGCTGGGGAGGTTGTGCGACATTGGGGATACTGGGCTGCAATCCAAGCTGACAGGTGGTCGAACAGGCTTTAGCATCTCCAGATGCAGACTATAGTTGGAGGATTGAACTGAGCGACGAAGGCGACGTCCGACAAATATAAGCAGAGCGAGGAGAACAGCGACGAAGATCACGTAGGCCCCCACGATACTTCCAATCTGAATCGCCAGTAGTGGTTTGTTCAATTCAGTCGGTGCAGGCCAGTTGCGTTGGACCGCCTCTTGGGCCCGGACTGGGTCAATATGTACGATTAAAAGAGCCGAAGTCGCACGCAGAAAGAAGGCCACTGAACTCATGTTCGGCACATGGGGGACGTGAGATGGAAAAGAGGGGAGATGTGAAATACTGAAATCAATATGCACAGTCACCGATCGACGGGTCGAAACCGATGAGTCTCAGGGTCATTGGAGTGATACATGTTCCAAAAGTGATGGGGGATTCGAAGATGTGATGGGCGTTGTGAAGACAAGTGGGATCTGCGCCTGTCGTTGGTCGTAAATACGCGCCCTCATGCACGATCGTCACTTGGCCACGGCCACTCACAGCCTTCTGTCACCTTACCACTCGAGGTTGTTATCGAGAGAATTTCTTTCCCTTGCTCATATAGCTTTACGGGAAAACAAAATATCTCTGATATGATTCGAGAAATGTAAAGGCTACTTTATGCCCCCAATAACTAACTAAGGCCAACCTTCATGCAGCCATGTCAATATTGATTGTTAGTCGCAGCTACGGAGTACATTGCTATACTTGAGCTAGATCCTCTGTAGCTTCCTTATGATGTCGCTACAAAATCAGACTGAAAGACTGTGAGATCTTTTGGAGTTCATTGAGTCGGTCATCATGACAGAATCAAAATGGCTCCGTCGCTGCTTCCGTGTTTGTCGACTTTTGCCTACGGATGTTGCACCAAGGTTCAAGACTTGAGACTCAACAACTCACAACTTCACCTCATCTTCGTTCTCATCTCTGACTACTGAATGGGGCATAAAGTATCTGTCGTACGCGGTGTCAAATCAGATCATTTCTACAACCAACAGAACGGTATCAACGAGATCTGGGTTGGCGACGTCGAAGTCATCTCACGCCTCCCCTTCGGTGATTCCGATCAAGAACAATCCAGCTGGCCTCCCGGGGGAGTTCCAAAAATACCGTGGCATCACTTCATCATTCCACTCCACAAAAGAGACGATCTCGGCAATATGGCTTCCCAAAATACGTCGGGCGAATACTCTACCTGCGCCTGTGATATCCCGCTTCCTACAACTGGATATGCCGGCATGTATTCTGGGATGCATCCTCAGTTGGCTTATCTTCTGGGGGTGTGTTTTCTCTGCGTATCACTGTCGTTTTTTCAGGACTGCTACGCCAAATCCGAACGTTTCCTCAGGGTCTACGAAACCCTCTCCGGTGCAAAGGAAATTCCAAACGATAAGGAACAATTGCTAGTGTCAGAGCCATCGGTTATTGGAGGCTGGCTTGGACTTGATGTGGATACAATGCTCTGCAAGCTGAGGCGCCTGTGTTCACGGTCTGCTCTCTCGCTCGCTCTTTCGATCTTTTTCTTCTTCATGGGACTTCCTGCTTTTGCAGCGGGCTCCGAAAACGCTGTAGCGGTTGCTTTCATCATTTCCAAAGGAGTTGGCGTTTCTGTTGGGTACATCGGTATTTACGTCGTCTTGCTTCTCTTCATGGTAGGCAGGTTGGTGTACCTGACCAGGAAGTTGAGGTAAAAGCCGCACAAGATTCACGGGTTCAGTCACAGACTATGGGGGGGGGTGGGTGCTCTTTCCGTGGATAAAGATGCCGGGACAGACACAGTCAGTGTGACCGTGCTTGAAGCTTGAAGCTGTGGGATTTCTGGAAAGAGGAGGGGAACTCGGGAGGGCTGCTTGCTGACCATCTTTTCGATAATGTTGGTTCGTGCGTCTGTATCATTAGCTTGGGAGCGGGACACAATATTCAGACTGAAAGAGGAGGATCGTCTTGATTCGACTGTAATAAATCATGGCTGATAGAAATATAATTGCTTTCAAAATTATGATCCATGCGCAAATGTGCGATCTCACCCTTATAACCAAAGAGAATCAGTCAGGAGCAGAGTAGTTGACAAGCCAACCGGAACCGGCCGGTTGGAGCTTTCATATCGTACAGTGAATCAAAAAGGCGATGAAACTATCATCAAGATTTAGAAAACAGGTCCCGCCAGAATTGTTTCATGCCGTATCCCTTCGATTGGTCTTCTTCGTGGACCCGTACCGACTGCGCTGTGCTCAAAGAACCAAACGAGGTAGACACGGGCGGGACAATTGTAGGTGGACGAGCGCGTTCCGTCGCTCGACGCTTGATTTCCTCCGCTAAATCAGGCGCCACTTCCGCGTAGCAGGCCTTGAGTTCTCGCTCGAGATTGATATAGGGTTTGTGAGCCGATGGCGGTGCCATCAGATTATACGACCGCGCGAGCGTATTGATTTGTTTCACTGCAAGTTCGTGGTAGGAACGTTCGATGGACAGGTAGCTTGGGTCGCGCAACGGTGGGAGGTGCGCTAGACTCTCGGAGTCCTCGCTCGTACCACTAGGCGACGATTCTGCAGCCTCTGAGACCGGTTGGTCGGTGTGTAAAGCAGCCTCCAGTTTGGCTTTTTCGGCCAAGCGAGACTCGGCTGCTGCATACGCTTTTGCGCGTTTCATTTGCACGTCTAGTGACCCGCCTTGGCTGGCAATTAGTCTCGCGGCATGTCTTCTCCAGTCGGCTCGGAGGCGTCCACGAAACCGACTGACTTCTTGAGCGAGTTGCTGCTGTTTCTCGATCCAGGGAGGCACAATTTCCTGCTTCTGGATGATTTTATTCATGAAGTATTCGGTCGTGTCAATGAATGCGCTGTTCGCATTGTGATCCGTCTTGGTGTTGACACCCTTCCCCCGACGGATTTTGTCGAACTGGCCTCGCGCAATAGCATCTTCGATCCGTTCATTGGCCAATGACGAAAGACCTGATATTGATACTGGCATGTTGTAGGCGCCGGGACTCAGATTCTCTCTCATTTCACGGCGCATATCCTCGCGCTCTTCCTCTGAGAACCCGGGAGCGCGGCTCATTGTATATGTAGAGGTTCGCTCTTTAGCTTCAGCAAGTCGGTGCCCACGGGATCTATTGGGTTTCGGGGTTGGTTGGAGGTTGACAGGCTGTGGGATTTTATAGGGCATTCGGATCGGTTTGCTCGCATCATCTAACATTCGCAGTGTAGTATCCTCGAAGCGTTCCGTTCCTGTCCACGCAGGAGCAGCCGCATTTTCTCGTGTGCCTTGGCCTGCTGCAGCCTGTCATGATGTTGGGATCAATGGCCGCTTGCTAGGCGGGTTCGAGGGGCACATACCGGCATGTCTACTAATGAATGCGCCGCTGCATTCTCACTTTTGAATGACGCTGCGGCTACTCGCTCTTCCAGCTGCTTCTTGAGCTCCTCTGAGAAGCCCGCATGCTCGATGTTGCGACGCGCTGATCGTCCGCCCTCTAGCATTGCATCTTCGGTCATCTGGGCGAGACGGCGTGACATAGCGCTATCATTTTTTTCTTCTCTTTTCGCATCCTTGCCCTCATCTTTCTCGTTCGGTTTTGCTGTTTGGTTCCGTGGGCATGCGGCAGAAAATCGCCTAGATGCGGGAGCTATCGGAGCTCTGATTGTGCATAATGAGGAGACGCTGCGGAACTGCGTTGGCAAGCCGTATCTCCCAGTCATATCCTGTGGCCTTTGGTATTCAGTTATAGCCCGTGATTGAAATTGAATGTACAAGTATTGTTGGAAAGTGGCAAGCACGATGGTAGTCAGGTAGATCGGGGCGCGATCCTGCTTACGTTATACACCTCCGCGGAGTCGAAACTTCGCATTTTGTTTAGTGAAGAACCATCGCCGGCGCCAATCTCCGATAATCAACCTGCCACGGTCGCTTAAGAGCACATTTCCGAAGCTCCTTCTCAACAATAACCGCTTCTGTTACCGCCGATTCCATCATTGCCCACCATGGCGCCTAAAGGTTCCATGTCCACTCGCCTCAACCCGTTGCGTCTCAACAGCATCAACCACCTCCGAATCCGCCGTCCAAACCAGAACGAGGCGAACTCCTGCGTGACTGTCATGTCCTCCATGCTCAGTATGTTTATCCATCTGCTACTTCAGCATCAAATCCGTCAACCTTCATCACCCTGGCTCCGCGCCCAAACACCCGGCTACTTCCCTGAGATTTGTCCACGACCAGATCGCTAACAATACATCGCAATAGACTGCTGGGCTTCCGCCGGATATGGAGTTGAGGGCTGTGCTGGCCTCGAGGCTCAATTGCGCAAGTGCATGGATGACCCGGTATGTCGAACCTCTACCAGCTGGTTTCACCTTCTAACAAGACTCTTTCACGCAGAAATCCATGGAGAAGAAGAAGAACACCGTCAACTACCACTTGATGAGAATGTACCCCAAGGTCGTCGGTCCTCGCAAGAAGGACGGTGTCCTCGGCTAAAACATTATTCGCGCGTTGTCCACCGCTTGATCACAGAAGCGAGTTATCCTGGAGTTTGGGGTTCATTTGATATAATATTTCGCGAAAACTCTGGCCCTTATCATGTTCCCTGGTCTGGGTCTGTCACTTTGCATCAGGCTATGGGAGTTGGCCTGTTACTCTTATGTACAGTATACAAATTTGGATATGGAACCACCTTTCAAAACAACCTTAAATTCATACTCGTCATGAGTCCTTTTGGATTGATTCGAACTTGAGAATCAGCTTATCGCCACGGGGCTTTACGGTATAAGCATCGGTTGCTTCGATGCCATCGTCATTGACGATGGTGGTGTGAAAGTTGGTGTAAATCGCAGCAACAGCCAGTTTCATCTCTGTGGAACAGTTTTAGCACTGCATAACATCAAGGATATCATCCGTCCACACGTACCTTGCAAAGCTAGGTTGCTCCCTACACACATTCGTCCTCCGCTTCCAAACGCCCAGAACCATCGACGTTTCTCCTCCAAGTCAGCGGAGGAGTTTTGATCTTCTAACCACCGCTTCGGCTGCCAGCTTTCTGGGTCTGGGAACACCTCAGGGTTGCGATGTAGGGAGTAACCTTGTGCGCTGACCCTGGTGTTAGGGGGGATGTTGTCATAACCAGCAAGAGTGCAAGGAGTAGATGGAGTCACGCGAGGCTCAATGCCTGGAATTGGAGCATGAAGTCTCAGTGTCTCGGTCACAATAGCTTCCAGCAAGGGGAGACTATCGATTGCCTTGGCCGAAGGCATCTCCGCAGACTTTGGGTACGCGACTGGGGGATCCAGAGTAAGCAGCTCCTCACGGAGTCTACTCTGTATGTCTGAGTTTCTGGAAAGTTGCCAGAACAGATAAGTGAGACCAACTGCACTTGTCTCAAAGCCAGCTGTCAACTGGTCGTATAATTCGCACGCGATATCGAGCCTCTGCTGTGCCATATCCGGCTTCTCTCCGTTCTTCAAGGAGCTTTTATCCAGAGCCTGCTTCAGCTGCTTGTAGACAACTGGCTCGAATCCCGGTTCGGTCGATGCGAGAGACTGCTCGCCTTTGTCACATAAATCCAGAGCCCACGCATCAAGCATCTTGTTCGCTTCATCGCAGTATTTAGGAACGACCCGAAGACCGATTTTTCTCAGCCATCCGTCCAGATAAGGCACCTCTTGAGAATAAAACTCGAACGGCTTACGACACATGTAGAGGTGAAGCCAGTGCTTGCGGAACGAATCGTTTTGTAGGAGGTTTGTGCCATTCTGCAATCCAAAGAGATATGATGACACGAAATCCATTGTCAAGCCTTGGTTCAGATCATGCACATCCAACGCTGTTTCAGAACTTGCAGCCTTCTCAAGGATAGGCAGCAATCGATCGAATATGACTGCATTGGAGACGAGCCTGAGATGGGGAGATGTCTGCAAAGTAGACTTCGAGTAAATGTTGGACAACATTCTTTTGCGGTTTGAATGAGTCTTGCTCCCTACCATGGTAAACATGCTGACTGTGCTGTGACGATGGTGAGTGGTTGGCTCTCACGATAATGAGGTTCATGCTCACCCAAACGATGCGAATACTCGTGGATACCAATCGTGTTTTTCAAATCCGCCAGTGTATACTGTCTTGATACCTCCATCCACGCAATTGATGGAGATCTCCGACGGCCCTAAGCGAACAATTGGGCCAAGTCTCTCATGTAGATCTTGAATAGTTCGGTTGTTTCGGCTCGTGAAACGCCTCCACAGCATCCAGGCCGGTGTAATTGGTGTACTCCAGTGGGCATTGGGAATCTTGGATAGCGGTGAGATGAATGCCGGGTATATGATTGCTTTGTAGCAGAACACCAATACGAGAAGTGCTGTCGCCAGTGAAGTGATTGTGATAGCCATTGTTTGCTAGCTGGTAACTCTTGAAAAGCTTCACTTTCCCTCAATTGTCTTTCTCTTCTTCTTCTTCTTCTTGCTGCTTGACCAACGAAGGCTTATCGGCCTTCTTTGACCACAAACCTAAAAGATCAGAGTAAAAGGCAAGATGGTATTGTGCAAGGCGATGTCAAAAGGTGTTGGAATCTGCCGAAGATATGAAGATTGCCGGCGGCGGCCACTAGTTCTTAGGCGGGCCAGTGCCCATCCGTGTATTACAGGTGGTGCCGAGCGCGGTCCCTTATTGCAGGATTAGCCTACAGTGCCCATTTCAAGGGGTTTCCACTCACTCTGATTCGTTCAAGGCGTCAAACCAAATGCAACCCCCGCTTGGAAAAAAAGTCCGCTTAGGAAAGTATTTGATAAGGTAAAGCTTTCGGCCATTCGGCCATTTCGCCGTCCAACCTTGGAACTTCCCCGCGAAATTGATAAAAAGATAAGGGCACCTGCAGCTTTTGTCAATGGTTCTCATTCCGACTTCGGGATTCTATTTGTATTCTTCGGGTTAAATTCAATAACTAGCAGGATGTTCTCAGATACTTTCCTTTGGCTATCGTCATTCAACACAGCCAGAAGCCCTCCATATCTTCATTTCTGGAGTTCATGCATGATTACGTCATTTACATCCAGATGGATGGATGTACGTTGTTCGGCTGAACTGGGCGAGACAGTGAGTCGTCATATGATCAACCTCATATCAATGTTATGGACCATTAGAAAAGAGGCATCACTGGCGGGGCTAGATTCGGAGACTCCCGAGGATAGCCTTGTAAGCTTCCGGGAGATGCCCAGAAAATAATCTTGGAGTGCGACACAATTGATAGATACATATACCGGAAGTTTCGGGAAAGAGCTACACAAAAGTCGACTCCAAGCAGTGTGAAGCCTTGGAGGTTATTCAACATGGAGGTATGGAACTTACATCATTGGCTAAATACTCATCTCCTCTGCTCTAACTTGCATACTAATATGTCTATAAGAACTGCCTCATACCCAGATGAAATGAACAGCACAGATTTTCAATCATTTCCAATAATCACATTTATAAATTCCTGTTTGAAACACCGAAAAAATGCTCATCTACGTTGGAAAAATCAACTACTCTCCCTATGCCGCCGACGAGCTCATGACTGTCGTCTTCCGAGACAACATTTTGAATGGCGACAGGGTGTCTGTCATTCTTCAATGGTCTAAAGATAGTAGTGGGCGAGAAAAATCAAATTTCGATAAACACGGCACCGTTGGGCAGGTTTCTCACACCGGTCCCATGGAGAAAGATATTGAGCTTTTCTCTAATGAGAAAGCTAGTACTTACTATTGGTAAGGATTACGATCATCTTAGAGGAATTGGACGTTGACTCAATTCTCTTTTGCAGGTTTAAGGGCAATGTTTCAGGGGATAAGATGACATTATCTATGTGGAATAAGGGAGGTGAACAGGTCGTAGAGAAGATTGAGCTACGGCTTGTTTTCTTCTAGTTTCTGGTACGAAAGGATTCTATCATAGTCGAGATTGTGTGAATCCACAAATGAGGGACTATTAACTTAGCCAAATGTTTTTCAGTGTTGCCGAAATGATCATTCAATTTGACGGCCAAATGTTTAATTGACTGCACAAGTGGATATGTTGAGTAGGATAATCACAAAAGCCTCGGGAGTTTACGTGGTACTATGACATTCTTCACTTGGATGACAATACCGCGCTGTAGATAATCATGATATGTAAGTTTTGGATTACTAGGAAGCGTAGGTATGTACTCCCTAAATGTGCGTCACGCGTGGTTAGTGAAAGTCTTGTTCTCCTTGATAGATTCTCTCTCTGAACAATCGTCTTCACTCTATGGTACATAACATACCTAAGTAATGTATTTTTGTTATGGAAAGAATTGCAGGGTTGATATGAACTTCCCGGTAGCAAAAAGTATACCTGGATGAATTGAATGTTCTAAGAGAGAGGCTCGGCGATAGCCCAGTGGGCCCCACCATGGGCCAATTTCCTTAGGCATCAACGCCAAGAGGTAGCTCCACCGGGGCGGCATCCATCGTGGCGTATGAGGCATGAATGCCACAGAGAGAATTCAACACAAAACACGATGATATTATAAAAGCCAGGAAATATACACCTGATCGATCACTCGCCCGAATTTTAAGATGCCTGGGCTTTGTGATCTTCCATCAGAGATCATCTACCACATTGCCATACACCTTCCAACTGCTCAGGCACTGGCAAGTCTCGCCCAGACTTGTCATCAGCTTCATCAGGTTGTCACCGCTGAAAATTCTCGCATTTTCCAAGCCTTTGTGCAAACCAGATTTCCTTCAATTCCAACAAATTCCTACTGGAAAGATGCAGCGCAAGCCTTGTCATCCCGTTCCCGGGCTTTAGACAAAAATGCCATTATCGGGCGTTTTGTGGTGCCCCCCGAATCAGCCACAAAGATCGGCTCTCACGAAGTGACTCGTCGAGATAACCCAACTTTGGGATACAGGCCTGCAATTGATTCCTATGAGATTTGGAATGGACAGAGCTGGGCCGATAGGAAAGAAGTTCTTGCTTGGGGCGCTGCCAACCAGCTGGTGATGAGGATCAAGCAGACTGGCACTCAGCCCCACGAGAAATGGATACAATTCAATGATATCGATCATATAAGTAGCTATGATGATATTTGTTCCGTGCATCTCTTGTCGTCAGAGGAGCAATACCAACAACATGACACAGAGCATCTGATCTTTGGTCGTGTTCGTGGCGATATCGCACAAATCGCCATCAGTCCCTCAAAAGAGACATATGAGTATCAAAGAAGGTTTTTGACTCACGGGCTCAGACTTGATAAAACAGAGATCAGCAATGACACTGATCGTACGCTGGCAGCTCATTTTGAAAACGGCTCTATCGCACTCTACGACACTGCGACTGAAAGTGCAGACATTGAGCCTTTTGCCCGGTACAGACCGGAAGGTGTCTCACGCAACAAATACTCAAAGCTGCTTTCGTCTTCGTTGGTAGCAGTCTGTACTGGGGAGGTGCACGATACTCTCTCAATCTCCAAATTGACACCAGACGGCGTGTCTCCCTACCGAACAATCGCCGCCGATGCTCTGGACACCGATTCAACGAGCCTCAAATCCAAAGTCAACATCAGCTGCATCGAGCCTCTCAACAAGCACGTCCTTTCAGGCTCTCCCGGTGAAGTCTTCCTAACAGCCTGGGATGATTACACTGTACGATTGCATGACCTCCGATCCCCAAAGCCTTCCGAGGTCGCCTACAAGGACGTCTCAGATCTCAACCCCATCTACAGCCTGCATGCCTTCGGACACAACCACTTTTTAGCTGGGGCAGGTGGTGAAGCTATCGTCAAAATCTTCGATTTACGCATGTGCAATACATACAATTACCTCGATGCTCAAACCCCGAAATCTCGTCCGCACAATCCAGAGCTCAAAGACCAGACAGCCAAAACAACAAATAGAATAGCTCCTCGAAATGGCTTCTCCTTGTTCCTATCAAATCAACCTCCCCCTCCATTCGGACAACCCCCAAATCGCAGACAATGGGAAGCATACCGTGGCCCAATCTACACTATGTCCACACCTTCCCCCTCCTCGCCAACCGTCTACGCAGGTATAGTAGACGGCGTCGTCCGTCTAGACCTTGCGTCAACGGACGATTTAACCGGTCCACGAAAAGAGTGGTTTGAGCAAAATCTTGACCTACGCGTCAACACGGGCCAGGAATTCTCGGCGGACTTCAATACTTCGACACTGAATCTTGCTGGGTATGAACGTCCCGATGAAGATGATCTATCTACCACATCTGTGCTCAGGCGTCAACGAGAGTTTTGGAAAACTGGTCCTGCGGACGCGGGGCTCGAGTCTGGAACGGGTTGGGACCGCAGGTGGGAGCATTTGGAGGAGCCTGGTGCTTGGAGACGGCAGGATGAGCTCGTGCATTGATCTGGGATGGCTTGAGCTAGGGCATATAGGACCATAGTGAATTTTTAGACTGGACAAGAAATTAGAAAAGTCATCTAATCAGTGTCTACCGATCTTTATGGGATCCGGTTTCTGAGCCCTGGAGGCTGTCAACGGTTTCAGTAGAACCTTGGAACAAAACTTGGGCGTTCCATGATGATCAGGCTAGATCCACGGGTAGTTCCGCCACGAACAACGTTCCAAGGTCGGAACCCTCTGAAGTCTACTCCGTACAAAATGTGAATCGATGCCCGACTATACATGGAAGGTATGTGTAAAGTATTGATGTACCCCAAACTTTTGATTGTTTTAGCTAATAAGCAATGTGAAGAAATGCTACCATATCCCAAGGGCAAAGCCTTGTGCCTTGTTGATAGCTCCGTGTGCGCCGTGCTGAGTGATCGGGGAAAAAGTATGGTGGAAGATATAAGCATGATATGAGACCGACTCCAATCTTCATCATCAATTGAGGCGAGCCTCAGTGGTTCAATAAGCAATGCAGCAAGTTAGTGGCAAGATGCCTGTCAGACATTGTTCAACTGAGTCCAATAGCAAGCCCCAGGTTGTGTATCTTGTTTAGACTGGTGACAAGTTCGTGAACCGTCGGAAACGTATCGGTATTATAAACAAGCGATGCTGTAAGTAATTGTCGCAGAAGCAAGGGTTGTTGCTTAGTCCTCGAACTTGAACGAGGTCTTGGCGGGACCGATATCAATGGGACCGCCGCGGTAAGAACCGCGCTTCTTCTTGTTCTTCTCCTTGGTGAAGCCCTTGCCGCGAGTCACGGACAGGTCCTTCCAGGCGCGGTCAGCGTAGGCGTAAGACATATAGTCGTTAGAGGGGTGGTCGTGGGGCAATTCGCTGAGCAAAGCCAGAGGGGTAGGACGAGCTCCGGTGTGCTTCTTCTTTGCGGCAGGGTTGCCAGGGGCAGGGCTGGCGCTGGAGGAAGTGGTCTCCTCAACCTTTACGACCTTGGTGACGGGCTTGATGTCTGGGGAGGCAGCGAGAGTGTTGCTGGTTGATGTAGACTCGGAGTCACTCGAGTCAGACTGGGGAAGAGGGGTCTTCTTGGCCGTCTTCAGGGTCTTCTTGGCAGTCTTCTCGGACTCGGACTCGGAGGATGAATCAGAGGAGTCGGATGAGGAGTCGGAGGAAGAGTCAGAAGAAGAGTCAGACGAGGAGTCGGAGGAAGATCCAGAGTCGGAGCTAGAAGACTCGGAAGACGACGAAGAGTCGGACGAGGACGAAGAGGAAGAATCCTCCTTGGTGGGCTTTTTGATGGTCTCCTTGGTGGTCTCCTTGGTGGTCTCCTTGGTGACCTTGGCCTTCTTAGCCTTGGGGCTGTCGTCTTCCGATTCAGAGGACGAGTCGGAAGATGAGCTGCTGGATTCGCTGCTGGACTCAGCCTTGCGCTTGACACCAGTGGTTTTCTTGACGGGTGCAGGGGCCGCAGGGGACTTGTCATCATCTTCGTCGTCGGCATCACTGTCGGAGCTGGAAGAAGACGAGGATGAGGATGAGCTAGCAGCATCGCCCATCTCGACATCGGAATCGCTGTCGCTGTCGCTGTCGCTGTCGCTGTCGCTGTCGCTGTCGGAGCTGCTGCTGGAGCTGGAGGAGCTGGAGGAGGAGCTAGCAGCCTTCTTCACGCTAGAGTCCTTCTCCGCGGCCGGGAAAAGGCCCTGCAGAGAGGGCGCGTTCTTTGCATCGCTCTTGGTAGGTTTGGCTTCCTTGGTGAACGCGGCGCTGGTCTCGGGGAAGTTTTCAGACAAAAAAGCGGCAACTGAGGCGATCAGCTGGGGAGGGAACGACTTGGTGTTCGTGACGGGCTCAGTCTAATGATTGTCAGTTCGGTGCTTTTGGAGATTGAGTCTACTGAGCGTCGCGACATGCCTTCTTGACCGAAGTCTTCTTAGATGAAACTTTGGCCATGGTGTTGTTAGACAATCTTTGTCAGGTCAGACCGAAATCAGAAATTGTCAAATGGAAGAACGGATGGGATCTAAGGCCAACAATCTGCCAGGAACAGAACAAAAAAAAAAAAAAAAAAAAAAGGCATATAGGAGGCGGTGAGGTCATTATGTCGCGGTGATTGGTTCGCCGTGCTTAAGGCCGAGACAATCGCTCACGTGGGCAAAAGTGAGAGCGGTGAGGACTATCTCAACGGTGATTGGATTATGCAGTGAGGTGCCTTTCGTTGGGCAGTGAACACGCAGGCATAGACGAAGTGAAGCTAAGCAAATATATTCCCAGCTGAGACCGATAGGGAAATGAAGAATAAATATACATTCTGAGAAGGTGTGAGAATTTAAATGTATTGGATACACTTCTACATACTTGCTACTGCGTGCTACGTAGAGTCAATCTAAGCCGGATCAATTCAATGCTCCCTCCGCCTTCCAAGCTCTCCGCCTTACCACCCGCAACCCCAAACACAGCTCCGCCATCGATATTGTGCATCGTCGCCGACTAAGCTCTCCTTCTGGTCTGGCTTGGTCTGTCAGTATTCACCAACTCAATCCCTGTATTGGGCCGTGGATCTCAATTCCTTCGGCGCGTCGTGCGTCGTGGCGTGGCCGATCCCGACCCTCCGACCCTCTCGATCATGTACCCTTGATCTTCAAACAACCCACAATTGAGCTCTGAGTTCTAAGTTACGCCATGATGAATGGTAGAGACCGTCCCCGCGGGCCTCCGCTGGGGCCTCCGCCAAATCGCGGCCCTGGTCCGCAATCCGACGCAACCACCAGCCCCAGCACCAATTCAAAAGGGGCCGCTTTTGAGGACGAGAAGGCGCGCATCATCAAAAGCTGCTTCACGAAAAAGGACGAAGAGGGGCAATGTAAGTATATAGGCAGCCAGATTCCATGACCCTCCGCCCCATGTTCAGTTACGGCGCATTTGGCCATACTTTGTGCAGTGACGCACTGCGCGCCATGGTTATATCGCATTTGAATGCGCTGCATGAACATCTTCAACTTGTCCGGAAACTTTTGTGAAAGCCGTACTCATCGATAAATCTTGCTCATTCTAGTACTCGAGTCCTACATTACCCACGTCCGGATCACTGAAGATGGAAATAATCCATCCAGCCCTTTCCCTCCGAATGGGCCCCAGGACGGCAAGAAACCTCGAATAATCATGATATCTGTGCGGAAGTCGGGCCGAGTCCGTGTGCACAAGGCTCGAGAGAATTCCGAGGGCACCTTCTCCATTGGCAAGACCTGGATGCTCGAAGATCTATCGGCAGTTCAATCATATGCCTCTTTCGTGCCGAGAACACAGGGCGAACAACAGCAGAAGGAATGGGCTGGCACTTGTGGTTTCACCGTTACGATTGGAAAACCATACTACTGGCTTGCGAGGACTGCTAAAGAGAAGGAATACTTCATCGGCAGCATGGTCAAGATCTATAGGAAATACACCAATGGGAATATGCCCACTCTGATCGGATTCGATGATGCAGAGCGACAAATGCTGGCAAGGCACGGGCAACCACAGGGCAGGCCCCCGGGGCCTTCAGGACCCCCAGGACACCCGAGCGGCCCTCCGCCCAGAGGACCGGGCCCAATGCCTCCGGGGGGGCAGACAGTGGAATGCCCCCATCACTCCAGCCGTCTTATCGAGGCCGTGAAATAAGTCGCGATGCCCCTCCGGAAATCAAGAGAAAGCCCTCTGATGATCCCAGTGCACGGGCTCGCAGCCGTGATCAGACGTCCCGGCCTTCTACTGGCTCGCGACCATCTACCGGGCATGGCAAACCGGCTCCCTCTCCTTTCGACCTTCACAAACCACCAACCCCCGCCTCGCTATCCTCTGGTCCACCGGAGCAACCTCCCCCGCGCGCACCTGAACGTATTGCTGCGAACACAAAAACACCTACCTCCCTACCAGATTCAAGGAGCAAAGATCAACCTCTTGCTATTTCTACAACCCTAGACACTAGCTCTGGCGGTGTTCCAGATGGCCTTCGGCCAGGATCTTCTCGCAGTCAAGACCGTGGCCCTAAACCCCCGGTTCTTATCCCCCAACCAGGTCCAAACAGAGGGCCAGACTACATGCGCAGCACCGATGGGCTCCGCCCAACCACAGCTGGCTCATCCAACAGTGATATTAGGGAAACAAGCCCACGTACAGCGCCTAGCTATGGCCCCAAATCGGTCCAGCGTGACGCTGTTGAAAAAGCATCTGGCTTCACTCCACCGCCTCTGCCCCAGGAAAGAAGCATGCCCGACAGCCTGTCCGCTGGAGGTCCAGCACATCCCCGAGAGCCAAGTTCTTCACCGGGTATCGAGGGATTGGAAGCAGAGCCTGCTGCCATGTTCGCTGCTAATATGCCAGCAGAAGACTTTGCGCAATCTCGCGATGCGACTCCCACTACAGAAACTCGTGAGACTCCTTCCGTGGACGTCTCCTCTCCACCTGAGCCCCCATCACAGGCTCCTCCGGCGCAAGTTGAGGAAGCGGGTGAGTTTGAGCCTCATCGTCCTGGACTTGGGCCTATGGTCAAGAAGAAGGCTGGGAAAGACATTGCAGGCGCATGGAAAAAGGCTGCCACTGCTGCTGGCGCATTCAAGCCTCGGGCCGGTGGAGCCGGTGAACGACTGCTGCAAGCCGCCAAAAAGCAACAGGCCGATGACCTTGGGCCCGATGGCATCACCGGCGTCGTGCCTGCGCCTTCTCTGACTCGATCAGCGACGGATCCCCCACAAAGTCCTGTCGCCACAAAGTCTGATCAAGATCTCCAACTACCGACTCCAACAGTCGCACCTTCGCCAGCACCCCCGCCTGCGGCCATACCTATCCCACCTTCAGGGCCGGAAACACCCACCGTCGAAATCACCGAGCCAGCCCTTGAGGACAAGAACGTGGCACCTATGGAAACTCCCGAAATCTCACAGGAGAATCTCACAGATGTTGTCGTCAAGGTTGAAGATCGCTCTAGGACACCTTCCCCAGCGGCTCAAGGACGGCGGCGGAGACACCGTGAAGATCATACAATGAAATACTGCCAAGCCCTCGGCATTGATCCTCGTGTCCTCGATGGGCGTGGGATTGATTTCGACGACATTCTTACTGATTTGGGATGGAATGGAAGATTGGCAGATGAACAGAAAATCGAAGATCTTGAAGCAGATGTTCGCCGTGAAATCGGCCGTGTCGAAGCAACCAGCTGGCTTGGAAACCTCGAACAGCAAGAAGGAAAGGTCGAACAACTCGCGAGCTTGATTGATCGAACAATTGAGGAGTGCGATGAGCTGGATGGTCTATTAACCCTATACTCTCATGAGTTGAACGTAAGATTCGACTGGGAATTCTTTCATTCAAACTTGCTAACCATCACAAACAGACTCTTCATGAAGATGTCGCCTACATTGAAGCTCAGGGCCAGGGTCTGCAAGTTCAAACGGCAAACCAGAAGCTACTCCAAAACGAACTGCAGAATCTGCTGAAGACGCTATCGATCTCTACTTCCGAACTTGGTCCCCTCAAGGAGGCATCTTTGAGCAACCCTGACGGACTCAGGGACACCGAGAGCGCCCTTTCGACGCTGTACAAGGCCATGCTCATGATTGACTCTGACATTGGACAGAACAAAAAACGCCAAGTCGATGCAAGTGTCGGTGTATACGCTGATACCGAAATTGGCCAGATGCGCGCGATCAAGCAAAAGAAGGAAGAATATCGCTCAACTGCAATCTTGTTCCTCAACCGACTGAAGCAATTCATGGCTCTCGCTTTCAAAATGGCGGAGCAGAAACGCGCGGATGCTGCAGCCAGCGGTGCGAAGGACCAGATGAAGTTAGATACTGCTGCGCGAGGACATTTCCGTCAAGAGGTTTGGCGGTACAATGCCATCATGCTTTTCGCCAAGGAAGTCAGTATGGCCGAGTGGCACAGCCTTGTCGGACTTTACGAACAGCAGTCCAAACCTTCATACCAGGCTGACTTCCGGGACAACAATGCCGCTTGGAAGAAAACCGCCCGCAAACCAACTGGAGATGAGCAGGAACTCCTCTTCACCCATCAAGAGAAGGAGAAAGAGGCCGAAGGTCTTACCATGGCCGCTCGGAAGCTCACCGTACGACGAGGCAAGACCGTCCGGGCTGCGGCCGGACTTCGGCTTGCTTCAGGCGGAGAGAAGAAGCAAGGACGAGTCGAGCCATCCGAGGCTTTCTCTGGCACGTTGCGGGAGACATTGAAGATGATGGCCCAGGAGCAAAACTTCGTCATTCAATATTTCCATCTCAATTCTCTGGCTAGTGCTGAGTTCACTGATCTCGTCGCCTCGGCCATCCCCGAAAACCGTAACTGCCCCGACTTCTCTGATAACCAGCCCCACGATCCCGATCGCAGCATGGCAAAGAGAGTTGAACAGATTATGGATGAGATCTATTCGTTCTGGCCCAATGACATGCAAAGCATGGTGGACTGGGCCATGGCCGCCGACCCTTTGCAAGGCATTGGAATCCTCCACGCCCTTGAGACTTCGATGGCCGACTTTGATGACACCAATCAAGAGTTCATCCTTCATTCCCTGCAAAAGATCCACTCCCGCCTCATGGGTTTGTTCAACCGCTTTGTGGACGAGCAGATCCGTGGCATCGAAGACACCAAGGTCAAAATCAACAAGCGAAAGGGCGTCATCTCCTTCATGCGAGTGTTCCCTAACTTCTCCAACGCCGTGGAAAGTATGCTCGCTTCCCCCTCGGGCTCTTTCTGTGACATCCGCATCAGTGTTAATGACGCGTACGACCGCATCAACCGTGCCATGTGGGAGTCCCTCAAGTTTATCGCCAAGGAAGCACCGGGTCAACCGCCGGCTGTCGCTGCCGGCGCCGGCGACCCGGAGGACAAGGAGATTCTCAACTACCACATCCTCCTCATCGAGAACATGAACCACTACATTGAAGAAGTGGACGTGCATAACATCCCTGCCCTGGAGCGCTGGGTCGACCGTGCTCACCAGGACTTCCAAGAACACATGAAGCTCTATCAGGACTCGGTGATCCACCGACCGCTGGGCAAATTGATCGATTTCGTCCAGAGCGTCGAGAACCTCCTTGCGGCGGGCGGCACTCCGCCCGATGTGGCGGCCCGGGCTAGCCATTCCCGGGTCGTGGCGAAAAAGGTCTTCTCCTCGTACGACAACAAGGAAGTCCGTCGTGGAATTGAAATGCTCAAGAAGCGCGTGGAGAAACATTTCGGTGACGCAGACGATCCAGGTCTTAGTCGCAGTCTGGTTCTCAAGGTTTTGCGGGAGTGTGAGAATCGTTACGAGCAGACGTACGATCGGACGAAACACATTATTGATACGGTCTACGAAGGACAGTTGGATCTGGACTGGCGCAAGGAAGATACCCTTAGCATGTTCCGGAAATGAGGTGGTGAGGGAGTAGAAGCAATTCTGTACGGAGTATACCCAAGTCAGGCGAGGGATCCTATTGGCGTACGGCGCAACTCCACTGGTTCGGTTTCAGGGGGTTTCGGGTCTGTGCTTGTCTTTAATTTGGATCTATCACTTTGCTCTTTTACTTCTCGTTTGCCTTGTCTCTGAAGTCTGACGAATTGGAATGAATGGTCACTTTGTTCTGTTACTCTAATTTTCTTTCTTTTCTTTCTTTTTTGTTTGACAATTGTAACCGTTTCTGTACAAACGCGCGTTGCAATCTTAAAAATAAGTACGCTAAACCGGGTATCAGCTGCGATGGTGATGCATATGAAGCAAGGTAGCTGTCTGAAACGTACAGTAGAGAGTACCCAAGTACGGAGTAAAGTACTGTCTACTCCGTACTCTGTGTTGTACTTCGTACTACTACGGGACGTGGTAGAGAGTTAGCCTGTCGGTGTGGGGGGTGATCTTCGATTTCGCTTTTTTAATCTTATTCTCGATTCTCGATTCTCAATTCCCCTTTTGAGATCATACTCTCTCTCTCTCTTACCCTTTTTTTTTATTCTATTCTCTTCTTCTCTGTGTTGCTTCTAACTATTCACGGTGAGTGTGTCTATCTTACTGCCCATAGGGCTCCACAGTCACTCAAGGGGGGCACGGATCTCACAGTTCGGACCCTTTGAGGTTTCGTGTGCTGCGACACTCGCCCTCTATTTTCCGATAGGCCATTGCTGGACGGCCATCACCAGGTCTTGTCCTTTTTGTCTTTTTTCACCTTCTCTAATACCTTGCTAGATCGTTACCGTCGCTTTTCTCCCGGGGCCACAATCCTCCCATTCCACTCCTTCCTTCCGGGCTGCATGTCGCCTTCGAACCGAACATTCCTCGAACCGATCAGCGCCCGGTAGCCTTTCTTTTTCAATATCATTCGAGCGGGGAACACCATGCCCTGGCGGCCGCTGCCTCGCATCGCATTCGCTGTCGCTATATACCCCTTCAATCCCTCCTCCCCCGCAGACCTACCATTGGAGCTCGGCGATGAGCTGTACATAATTGAACAAGGCGGCACCGACGGGGAATGGTGTCGCGGATATCTCGTCGCCCCGCCCTCGCTGTTGGCGGGTCTGTCCAGCAACAAAGGACAGACCCTCGAAGCTCGCGTGTTCTCGGGTATCTTCCCGCGGAACTGCGTCGAGATTCGGGAGGTGCTGGGTGACGGCGACGGATATAAAGCACTGCTGAACGGTGATCGGACGAGCCTCGATCGGCTCACCCTGTCGGGCGCCGACGAGGAGTTCCTTGCGCGAAACAGCTTCGCCCTGTCAGGTGATTTTCAGGGTGAAGTGTCGGACGCCGTCTTTGCGAAAAAGGGCAAGCCTTCACAGATTGTGATTCACAAGACCGATGACCAGGCTCTCTCAAGTCCGCGCTCTGTACAGACATGGCGCACCGGCTCAATTCCTCATACGCCGGTGTCGATTGCTCCCCGCGACCCTGATGCGCCGAAGCCTGCTGCTCCCGTGCCAATGCTCAAAATCGGTGACGAAACACCCACTTCCCTGACTGAACCGCTGGTCGATGAAATCGCATCGTGTTTGCGAGAATGGCACTCGACGAATTTGCATGAATTGCTTCTAGACCGGAAGTACGATGTGTTGGAGAACATGTCGACCATGGTGCAGGAGCTGGACTTCGCGAGACGACAATTATTACACAACGTTCTTACCGGGAAGGAGAAGGAGGCATTGCGGAACGAGACTGTTTGGAAGCTCGTCAAGGCAAACAAGATGCTCAGTGGAAATGTGATTGTTCGAGATCCAGAGCAGCGGGGTCGTCTACTCACAGGTGATGACTCTGGAATTCAATTGGCAAAGCTTCAGTCGGAGATGAGCATGCTTGAGTCTAGCCCTGTCACGGCATCTGATGCTACGGCCCTCCACCACTTGCTCCTGGAGATCAACGCCGTATCAGGGAATTCTCCGGGCCCCACCACTATCTCGATCCAGCTGTTTTCGCAAACTGATGCCGGTGTGCTTGGACCTCTGTCCGAGACATTCAGCCTGGACATTCCATCTCCCGACAAATTCATTAATATGAGTCAAAGCAGCAAGTTAAAAACACTGTTTACTGAACTTGCCGCAACGGACATCGGCGATGGAACTGCAAATGGGCGACAGCTTTATCTGGTCATCTGGGTTCGTGCTCCAGAGACACGCCCTGCACCTGATACTACGCCCGTGTCAAGACCATCCATCTCACGAGAGAGTCCGACTCCCGTCAAGCCTGTGACAAACGGAGGCATTCAACCCTCTTCCAAGGGAAGCTTGAAAACGCGACGGAGCATGATGTGGACCCCCAAACAACGTGGACCCAGCTTGGATCACCCAGCTAGACCGAATGGTCAAGGTATGCCACGAGCTTCGAGCAGCACATCAGAGTTCAAAGAGCCAGCTGCACCTCCACCCGCCCCAACAAAGGAGTTGTCCGCGATCCGCACCGTTGGTGTGGGGATTTTGGAGATATCACAGATCCTCCGACAGGAGCGAGACGGGGAGCAGGTGATAAACATCTGGTCACCCCGCCGGGAGGGAGAAGACGGTGAGGGTCTGACTGAAGGCTTTGATAAGTTGATTCGCACCCTTCTTCCGAGTCCGACAGGCCGCTATGTGCGCGCTGATCCTGCCGCGCGCCTTCACCTGACTCTCCGTCCCTTTGTCAGTAGTGACCCTGATGCCCTCATCCGTGAAAACCCCACTATCTTGCATGATGTTATCCAGACACAGCGCATTGGGTTCTCAAAGGCGCCTACTCGCCCGAGGTCAGACATATACGTGACACTCTCACAAGCCGTGTTCCCTGCGGATGCTCTACTGTCTCACCCACACGCCGGCCAACTTCCTCTGCAGGTCACCTCGGGTCTCAATAATCTCCAGCTGACTCTCGAGGTGCGCGACGCCCAAGGAGCGCGGATAGATCGTTGTGTTTTCCCTTCTTCGGCTAACACGTCGAACACGGCCTGGCGCACTACGATCGCCCAGCGAGGCTCCCCTTGGAACCAGACTATTCGCCTGAAGATTCCCACAGAACAGATTCCTGGTTCCCATGTGGTTATGAGTGTTGCGGATGCGCCAGATTTCCCCTTTGCGCTTGCCTGGATGCCTTTGTGGGAACATCAGGCATTCATCAAAGACGGAAGACATTCTCTCTTGTTGCATGCATATGATAAGCAGACCTCCAGTATTAATGATGGAAAGGGTGCTTACTTGAACCTTCCGTGGAGCTCACTTGGCAAGAACGAATCTGCCAAGGATGAAGCTTTGACTGGTCCTCTGGCTACTCTGCAGCTGGAAACTCATCTTTGCAGCACTGAGTACTCCCAAGACCAGGTTATTCTTAGTCTTATGAACTGGCGTGAACGACCTGTGGATGAGGTTCTCGATACTCTGAAACGTTTGCTCTTTGTTCCCGAGATCGAGATCGTCAAACAGCTGCGCGGCGTATTTGATGCATTGTTCGGAATCCTGGTTGAAAATGCCGGTAACGAAGAATATGAAAACTTGATCTTCAACAATCTGATTACTGTGCTGGGTATTGTGCATGACCGGCGCTTCAACCTCGGCCCATTGGTCGACAGCTACGCCGATAACCAGTTCAACTTCCCCTTTGTGACACCGTGCCTGATCAGAAGCTACCTACGCCTTTTGAATGGAGCGACAGATGGCCAGCAATCCCGCAGCCTACGTGCCGCTTTCAAGGTGGGACGCCATCTGCTGAAGTTTATCATCAAAGCCCGTGAACAGCAAAAGGCCAAGGAAGAAGGCATCGGCATCACCAATGTGCAATCTACCTTTAACAGGGACATGCACACCATCTTCAAGTCTCTGGAGACTTTGATGAAGAACAATTCACCAGCTCTGGTGGGCAGCAAGACACTGGTCGTTCAGCACATTCACACATGGCTGCCCGAACTATCCAAGCTCATGAGCCGAGACGAAATGATTATGATTGCACTGAGCTTCATGGATTCATGCAAAGACGTAACAGGCATGCTGATTCTTTATAAACTGGTTCTGATTCAAAATTATACCCAATTTGAGCTTTTCGCCTCAGGCGAAGAACGAAAAACACTCATCAACAGCTGTATCAGCTGGCTGGCTCCATACTGGGGCTCGACTCACACGGTCTCGGATCTATACCGTGACCAAGTGCGCTTGTGCAACTCCATTGTGGCTCAGCTGCTCAGCCAGCCTGATCCGCTACTCTATGGATTCATGCCCAGCATCGTCGCTTCGTACTGTGCTGTTTCTGCCGAGGGAGTCGACGAGACCGAATACCTGTCTTTGCTTTTCAGCAAGGCATTCCCATTCCAGATGAAGACTGCAAAGACCGCTCAGCGATTTGATGAGTCCTTGGTGGAGCTTTCTGCTCTTATGGCTGCTATTTCTAAGATTGTCTCTCCTAAGCTCCCCTCATTGAAGGAGCTTGAGCTTGCAACCTTCATCGGGCAAACTTTCGAGGCTCATAACTCCATTCTGGACTGTGAGGCTTACCCCGAGTCTTGGTTCAGTATGCATGTTTATAACCACCGCGCGACCATCAAGAGTCTCGAACACATTGCTGTTTTGTTGATTGATAAATTGCTCCCGGCACCAGACGATGCAGATACTTTCGACACCAAGCTTTGGGAGTCGTTCTTCACCACCTTACTCAAGGTGATCTCCAGCGATGTGCTTGCATTGGAGACTTTCCCCGAGCAGAAGCGCCGAGCGGTCTGGAAAATCGCGGGCGATGTCCGTGAGCAAGGCGCTGATTTGTTGCAGTCTACTTGGGAGGCTATTGGCTGGGAGACTACTGATGAGGAGAGAGAGCGATTCGATCTGAAGAGACTGGGTGGATACCAGGTCCAGTATGTTCCTGGTCTGGTTCCTCCTATCCTTGGCCTGTGTCTCAGTGTCCATGAGGGCTTGCGGCACGTTGCTGTTCGGATTCTGCAGACGATGATTCTGAGTGAATGGGATCTGAACCAGGATATTTCCATCATCGAGACGGAGATTATCTCCAGTCTAGACACTCTCTTCAAGTCAAAGCAGATGAACGAGAGCGTCAGCCAGAAGATATTTATTGCCGAGCTGCTTGATCTCTTCGAGGGCGAAACTATAGCCGATGATCTTTTGTGCAATGCTGTGAAGAGTCTCGTTGGCACCGTCGACGAACTCCTGGACTTGCTGGTCGCCTCGCAGAACGGAGTCTCGATTCAGAGTTTGAATGCCCTAAAATTGATGGAGTATATGAAAGACATGGGCCGGGAGGATATCTTCATTCGCTATGTCCACGAACTTGCCGAAGCCCAGGCTGCGGCAGGCAACTTCACCGAAGCTGGTCTTGCTCTCCAATTCCATGCCGACCTCTATGAATGGGATCTCAACAAGATCCAGCCAGAGCTGCTCACGCCCACGTTCCCTACTCAGAGCGCGTTTGAGCGCAGAGAGGCATTATACTTCCTTGTCATTCAACACTTTGAGAACGCCATGGCCTGGGCCCCGGCATTGGTCTGCTACAAGGAACTCGCGGCACACTATGAGCACACGACCATGGACTTTGCAAAGCTCTCCCGAGCCCAGAGCTCAATGGCCCGCATCTACGATTCCATTGCCAAGGGCGGCAAACAATTCCCGCGATACTTCCGCGTCATCTACAAGGGTCTCGGCTTCCCTGTCAGTCTGCGTGATAAGGAATTCATCTTTGAGGCCTCGCCCACCGAGCGCATGGCTGCATTCGTTGATCGCATGCAGCGCGAACATCCCATGGCGCAAGTTATATCCTCGAGTGACACCTCCGATTACGAAGGCCAGTACCTGCACATCAGTGCCGTCAGTGCTTACCGTGATGTGACACACCCTGTCTACCAGCGGTCCAAGGTGCCATATTCTGCCCGTGAGCATCTGTTGATGTCGGATCCCTCTCGGTTCTCTTCTACTTCGCGACGACACACAGGCAGCTCGGATGTTCGTGAGCAGTTCGTTGAGAAGTTTGTCTTCACGGTCTCGGAGGCGTTCCCCAACATCCTCCGTCGCAGCGAGATCGTCGCTGTTCAAGAGCTTGCTTTGTCACCTCTGCAGACAGCTATTGAGCGGACTTGGCGCAAGACTCAGGAGCTTCAACTTCTCGAGCGTCGTGCTGCTTCGGGCGAGGACTCCAGTTTGTCGAACTTGACGGAGGCGCTTGAGCAGCTACTTGAGCACAGATCTCCGTCTTCTAATTGTGTGGCTTTGTACCGTGTGTTCCTTTCCGATGCGGAAGAGGCACGGAACAAGCGACTGGAAGAAGTGGACGAAGAGGGTGAGGAACTTGAAGAAACAGAGGCCGAGCCCGTGGACCCAATGGAGACCGCGCTCTCTGTTGCACTCGTTGACCACGCCTTGGCCATTAAGCACGCTTTATCTCTCTACCAGCGTCCCGCCCACCAAGCCACCCAAGCCGAACTTCTACGCCGGTTCGAGGACGTTTTCGAACCAGAGTTGGGCTCCATCGCCCCCACCCCCGCCGAGTACTCATCACCAACACCAACGCAAACCGCCCGACAATCACCCATCGGCGACAACCGCCGACTCCCCATTCAACGCACCGTCAGCCCTGAACAAGAAGCGACTCGCCGCAACGCCCACACTCGCAAGCGTTCCGAGCGACAGTCCGTTAGCCACCGCATCAGCATCATCAACCCCTTCAAACGCCACGGCGGCTCCAATTCCATCTTCACCATCCAGCCCGACAAGACCCAAACCCCCGGCGAAGAAATCGACGACGAGACGGCCACCATCCACAGCCGTACCACCAGCCACTCCCGCGGCGGACGCAGCGAAAAGCGCCGCAGCTTCTTCGGCGACAAGAGCTACAAGCACGGCTCCTCGCCCTCCGTCGCCCAGGAATCCCAAACCTCTCTCAATCTGAAGATCCGCAATCCCTCCCGAGACCCGTCGCACGACAGCCGCAGTCGCGCAGGCTCGCAGCATCGTCACCCTAGCACGGGTGATCGCGTGCCTCCGAGTGCTAGCGGGGGCTGGTCGACGCTCCCGCCGACGCGTGATTACTCCCGACCCGCTACGCGCGACAGCAATCCGGTTACGATGACGACGACCAATGGTACGGCGCCATTGTCACCGGTCTCCCCGGTCAGTAATCATAGTAATTCCAACGGCGGTATGCGGGATTCAGTGTTCCGTCGTTTCAGTTTGCTCAAGGGCAAGGGGGTTGGGAGGAAGAATAGCCGGATGGATATCAAATCCCTGCCGGAGGAGTAATTCTTCTTTTTCTTTTCCTGTTCCTTTCCCTTTTCTTTTTTTCGTTCCTTCGCCCTTTATTCCCTTTATTCCCTATTTTCGTCGATCCTTGACCGTGTTTCTTTATCACATTTTTTTGTTTATGAATTAGATACCATGTGTTATAATTGTTTTAATTGCACGAATATTAAGACTGTTTAATGTATCTAGTATGCGAGGTTAGAACTAGCGTATTGGCATCGGTTATAAAGTGCTAGTGTATTTCTTTAGTACACTTGTACACTTAGTTAGTGTGTACAAGGAGTATAGTAGTTGATACTAAATGCTCGTATGGGCGAGTCAAAAGAGTGGCAGGCATGTCAAACGGGTCCGTGCATGGAAATGAAGTTGTGGCAGTGCAGGGTCTTGGCCTCCACATCAACCAACCAACAACGCCCATCTGGCCCAGCTAGTGGAGCCAAGTGTGATCATCAAACCCAAGCAGCTCCCAACTTCTGCTGTCCGAGGCTGAGCCAACCTTGAATCCGTGGAAACGACCATCGTTACGTAGTGGCTTGAAACACCCCCCGCTCTCTCCATTTTGACTTTTTTCTTTCCCTTTGAGCAATGTGTAAGTCCATATGACTTGAACTTCTCCCTGGGTCGTCATCCTAACCATCCCAAGCAAACCCCAACTTCCGCTCCCAATTTCGAAGCTTCAGCTTCGGGTCCCGCACTTCGACAATGCCTCGCAATGGCTCTGTAGACAACGAGCGCACTGGCCTGCTTCGTGGCTCATTCTCCGGTCTTGCGCCTCATGAGCATCTGGACCATGGTGCTCATCATCATCATGCGAAGGATAACCGGATTTGGGTCCAGTGGCCTGCACATGTCGTGCATTTGACCTGGAAGACCCTGGTTCGGGACTATGTTAACTTGCTTCTGGTGTGTGTGCCACTGGGTATCGTGGCAGGTGCCCTCGGTTGGGATTCCACGGCTGTGTTTACCTTGAACTTCTTTGCTATTATTCCGCTTGCTTCCTTGCTGAGCTTTGCTACGGAGGAGTTGGCGGCTACGATGGGTCAGGCCCTGGGAGGCTTGATGAATGCCACTTTTGGAAATGCTGTTGAATTGATTGTGAGTTTGCTCTTTGTGTCATTCGATGTCGAGTTCGAGTTCGAATTTGATGTCGATGTCGATGGCTACGGCTATGCAGTGGGTCATGATTTGCTAATTGGTTTGTTTACAGGTCAGCATTATTGCCTTGAAGGATAACCAGGTACGCGTGGTGCAAGCTAGTATGCTGGGCAGTATCCTGTCCAACATTCTGCTTGTGCTGGGCTGCTGCTTCTTCGTCGGAGGACTACGGTTCCGCGAACAGTCGTTCAACAGCACCGTCGCTTCAACCATGTCCTCGCTCATGGCTGTTGCGTCTGCCTCCCTGATCATCCCTGCGACCCTCTACGCCGCCATTTCCCAACACAGCACTGCCAAGCCCGGTGAGGAAAAAACCGACCCGGACCACGATGCCCAGCACAACATCCTCATTCTGTCTCACGGTACCTCCATCATCCTCCTCTTGATCTACGTCATGTACCTCTACTTCCAGCTCCGATCTCACTCCGACCTCTTCGAAGAGACGAATGGCAGCGATGCCGAGACAGGTGCTGCGGAGGAGGAAGAGGAAGAAGAGGAAGAGCGCATCCTCAGCCCCTGGGCTGCGACAGTTGCACTGATTGTCGTGACCGTCCTTGTCTCCATCTGCGCCGACTACCTGGTCGGCAGCATTGACAGCATCGTAGAGAAGACCGGCATGAGCAAGACCTTCATCGGTCTGGTGCTGATTCCCATCGTGGGTAACGCGGCAGAGCATGTGACTGCCGTGGTGGTCGCGTACAAGGACAAGATGGATCTGGCAATTGGTGTTGCTATTGGTAGCAGCTTGCAGATTGCCCTGTTCGTGACTCCCTTCTTGGTCATCTTGGGCTGGATCATCAATATCCCGATGACGCTGCACTTCCAGACCTTTGAGACGGTTGCATTCTTCATCTCTGGCTTGGTGGTTACCCTGCTCATCCAGGATGGAAAGTCCAACTACTTGGAGGGAGGCATGTGTCTCGGCTTGTACATTATTCTTGCCTTGGCCTTCTACGTCTATCCTGACAACGTGGTCAGCTAGATCGGGATTGGATTTGTATTTTGATTCGAAATAGGCTGCTCTCGATCCGAGCTTTTGTCCAGTGATCTCTACTGCTCTCCTTTGTATCTTTCTGGGCGTGTTTATATTCAAAAATTTCTTGTGTTTCTAACTTATTACCTGCCAAATCAACCATATGGACTTGACATTGTGAATAAGTCTACACCCCTCCTTAGCGCTCCAGGGCTGAGATGGATTGTTACACTTCTGACAAAGCCTACCTCTCTTTTCCTGTCAGATCTTATTTGCTCTCATTACATCGTCACACCTAAACTCGATCGATTCCCCACATGTATTCTCCACACGTGCCACACTACAGTGTAGGTCAGTCTGGCAGGTTTCCTTTGCCGGGTGGGGCCTTCCTATCTTAGCTGTTGCCGCTTGGGCAGAGGCTCACAGTCCGTGCGTAAAGCTTACTAAGCTGTCCCTTTCTGGGGTTCTTCACGGATTGCACTAACCATATATGGTTAGTGCGCATTGGCCTCGTGAACATCTCCTTGTTCTGCAGCGGCCAAGCCGTTTATTTCACTGAGCCTCAGATGGGCCCTGAGCCGTAAGCCGCTCCGCCTTATTGCTTTGCTAGACGAATTTTCCATCTTACAAGCCATGGAAAAACGGAAGAAGCGTGCCCCCCATTCCAATACACGCTCGGGGTGCATTACGTGCAAGTGAGTTCAAATGATTCTTGACCAAGAATCAAACCAAAATAGCTTCTATCTATAGTCTCCACAAAATTTAACAAACCCAGAGCCCGCCACAAGAAATGCGATGAGGCCTACCCAGAATGCCACCAGTGCACATCAACGAAAAGAAAATGCGCCGGGTACACGCAACTCCCCGATAAGCGTACTAGAGACTGGCGATTACTCAAGGAAGAATCAAGCCAATCTCAAACTGTGACAATTCGACAACAAGGTTTCTTTGTCGATCCAGTTCAAACTGTTTCATTTCGCCCGGCGTTTCGAGATCAGATCAACTCGTCTTTCTCCCATGCGCATTTTCCTCTCAATTCCAATAAAAGGAACAAAGGTTTCCACCCAGTGGATCACTTTGAATCTTTATTCATGAAGATTGCAGCATTGCCTACAAAGACTTTGATGCTTGAGCAGGCAATATCTGCAGTGTCGTGTGTCTATTTGGGGAAAATTGACAGCAATGACACGATGCTTCACCATGGTTTACAGCTATACAATAGCGCCATGAGTCACATGTCGCGTCTTCTAACCCGAGAATCTTGCAGTGCGGACCTTGCATACAGTTCCATGATCTTCCAAGAAATAGAGGTATGTGTCTACACGTTCGAATGCCGTATGTTCCTGACATTCGACAAGTCTATACATTCCCCCCAAAGTCTTAAAGCCTTTCGTCTTCATGTTTGGGGATCAAATTCTATCATGAAACGGTACCGACCCCAGTTGCTCGCAAATCCTCTCACAGCTGTTATCTATCAGCAGCACCAAAAAGGAAAACTTGTACATTCTTTACCCTTTTGGCTGGTTCCAGGTGTTTTTCATGGACTGACCATTTTTTTAGTTTCTTGTTACCAACATGGAGATGACAGAAGAGGACTACGCATATATCTCTCAGCCCGCGCCAAGTGACCCCCTGCATGAACTGATACAAATCCTCGCGCATATCTCTCTTCTATCTAAAGCGAGTCGCTCCATCTGTGTGTCTGAGGGCGAAGCCTGTCGGAATTTGCTTTTAGGTTGCATTGCACAAATGGAAAGGCACATGGCATGGTATTCCCGATGGGAGGATAGAATTGGCGGTGGTCCATCTCTATACGGCCCAGGTAAATATGCCTCTCCTTTGACAGTGGATTTTCAGCTATGTTTGAACAAAAGTCTAAAAGATGAAATTTTCCAGATGAATTGAAATCGAGGCTACCTCCGACTGACGATTTGTTTGGCCCGGCTTACCGATTTACCTCGCTTGACAATGCTAGGTTACATATCTTTTTCTGGATAGCATCAATGTTGCTCCGCCCTTTGGCCCATCGGGCCCAATATCTTGTCGTCTCACATCAAAGTCGGAAGCCCACCTCGGAGGCTGAACAGATACACAGAGAACAGCAAATCTCAATAGCCGAGGCCGACAAAGTCGCCCGAAGTCTTCCATATTGTAGCCAAGATGGCCGGAAGGCGAGGGGTATTAATTTTGGCGGGTTTTTTGCCGCCAAGCAGCTTGCGATGGTATACAGTGACACTAGGTGTTTGGACAAGTTTCTCTGGACAAAAGAGGTCTTTGTGCATATGGCTGATTGCGGGTATGATACTGGTGTTCATGGAATCGAAATGATGTCAAATATGTGGCCTCTCGGTGTCTCCTAGCAGCGGGTGGACTGAGGCTATACGGAAACTGAAATTGAAAAACAAATATCTTTTCATTCGACATACCAACAAAAATAGGTCTACATTTGAAGTTTGATCAGACCATCAACCAAGTGGAGCCCAAAAAGAGCCCTCGATGTGGGTCCTGCTTGTACCCGTCTCGTCTAGAAAAGGAAAGGGGACACCAAGAAGTGGTAGAAGGCGGCCTAGCAGGTGGAAACGAGTATCTCAACCTCGAAATAGTGTGGTTGACAGTTCTCAGTCGAAACAAAACCTACATTCATGGATGTGACTGTCATCCAATCATACAATGGTCCTTTGATCATGCAAGGATTTCCGAGGTGGGTGTATGCATCAACCTTGCAATTTCCAAGGTTCTTTCACTGGGGCAGTCTGTTCCAAAATGTGTCCTACGCTGTTTATGTTGCGCTCATGAATCGGTGACCTCCAGGGCTTCCAAGGTTCCAAGGTTGCAAAGCAAGACTGGATCCATTCCAAGGTTTGCAAATATATACAGTCGTGCTATCCGTTAAATTTACCTCTCATACCTACCAAGTATGAATCCACAATTTGCAGCATGATAATCCGGAATTGTTAACTGGCGTTAGTTGTTGTCTGCGCTCGATGTTACAGTGTGCAGGTGTGTAACAATGTCTTACGGAGTAGATGGAGCGAGTTTCCCATCACATACAGCAAACTCGAGCCACACGACATAATGGACGATGAGCACGACGGTCACAAGCGTAAAGCGGTTGATAGGCCAGATGACGAATCTTGCAATACCGAGAATGCACTACTTTGCAAACAGCAAACCCGTTGAACATAATGACTCGGAGGCAGAGAGTCAAGATTCATCGCATAGTTAGCTTGTACGGTCAGTTATGCGTAGGTTTGGATTCTGGTCGGAGTTTTGGATAAGGCTCCATACAAACAGTCTGCTTGAAAACAGCCATCCTGTACAAGACGAGGGAGTGTGAAAACAAGTGCGCAAGAATTGATCACTTGGTCGGATATGAGTGCTTGGGACACTTGGGTTGAAACCCCCAAGGGCTTCAGGCAATCAGGATATGAGACATTAAATGAAATTGTGCTATGAACTCAGTTGGGTATTTTCCCTCTCTTATTAATTATCTGCTTTTGATACACTTAGCATTGAGATAGTATTTGGCTTCATAATATGACACTTCAAACCACTTCATACTTCATGCAATAGAGGACTCGAGATAGCGAGTACCAAGCATTTGACCTAGAGCGCAAGGCCAGCCCAATCACAGAATCTGGGGCCATTGCCACCTTGATTTGTGCACAGATGATGCACGATGATTCATCTGCAGATGGACAATCCTGCTTAGCTTGAACCTTCGAAGCCCATGACCTCAAAGCTTGGCGCTGACTCAGCATCCCGGAATTTTGCTCAAACCTCTCTAATCGACAGTCCGACGCCGATAGTTACATTGCGGCCAATACACACACATCGCCACAATGACACCTCGTCTCAACCTCTTTACGGCCAGGGCCACATCCGCTCTGCGCCAATCCACCACTCCCGCCCTCCCCTCCCGCAGCATCGCCAGCCCTGCCCGTTTCCGCGCCGTCCAACCTATCCAGTGCCGATGGAATTCTTCCCGCGATGGCTCGAAGAAAGTCGAACCCCAGCCTGATGAGCAGGCCTTCCCAACTGTTGACCAATTGCCCGACGTGAGCGAGGAAGCGAACGAGATCTCTCGGATTATTGATAAGGAAAAGTGGTGCGATGGCGTTCCATCCACCCCGGAGATGGACCAGGGTACACCGGTTGAGGAGGTGAGAATTGAGCGCGAGGCTTGGTTTTGGAGAAATACCTCGAACGAATGTTAATGATGTCGGAACAGATTCTCAGCCGCGACAAGAAGGCCATGAAGCATATGCCCAAGGTCATGCAGGACGAGTTGAAGAAGTCAGGCACACGCTCCTTCTCGACTTCAGCTCGGAGCCGCATGCCCGAAGTTGACGGACTTGTGCCGGGCAGCGGAGGTCCCAGCCCGGAGGCTGCCGCCGCTCTTGCCAGCATGATCGAGCAGGTGCAGTCGCAAGCCGTGGAGAACCCCGGCTTGAAGTTCGATCAGCCTATCGTTCCCCAGGATCTCAAGACTTTGAACTACCGAAACCGCTACGATACCCTGCAGGACCAGTTCACTAAGCTCCTGATGGAGGACGGAAAGCTGACCAAGGCCCAGAAGGTAAGGATTCTATTGATCCTGATGCATTGGGCGTTCTAATCAATTTCAGAACATGAGCACAATCCTGGACCACCTCCGCACATCTTCGCCTCCCCAGATCAACCCCAAGCGCCGTCTGCTTGAGGCTCCCCCAGCCGGTCAAATGCCCCTCGACCCTGTCCGCTACCTCACTGTCGTTGTCGACTCCGTCGCCCCTCTCTTCCGAATTCGTCAGCAGAAGGGTATCGTTGGTGGTGGTGCTGCCGTGCAGATCCCTCACCCACTGAACCTGCGTCAACGCCGTCGTGCCGCGATCAAGTGGATCATCGATGGATCTGCCAAGCGCCGTGACCCTGTCTTTGCGAACCGTGTTGCTGCTGAGGTGGTGGCGGTTGCTGAGGGCCGTAGTAGTGTCTGGGATAAGCGAGACCAGCAGCACAAGATTGGTATCTCTGGTCGTGCCAACTTGGGTGTTACCGTTCGTCGCTAAGACATAATTGTTCATGGGGTTTGAGGGTTTGTTTTATGAGCACTTTTCTGCATATGTACATTAGTTAGTCCGATCTAATAGATTTGACTTAAATTGATATCCTTAAGTCTTGGGTGCTGTTTCACGTGTCTGGACCCCTATATACCATAGTGTGCCAAAAGTCCTTACCCACTGACCTTTTTACACCAAAAATGACCATTTTGGAGCACTGTATTTTTTGTAACCTCCCAGGTAATAAGCTATATTAAAGTACTCAATAGAATATAACTAATAGATAAACAGAATCCTTTTTTCTGAATGATCTAATATGCATGGTTGTTGATTGGTGGCTGGTTGAAAAATCGAGATTGGTCGAAATGTTGATTATATATATGGGCGCCCATAGTTAACTCACTATCCAGGTCATTTCCCTTGGGTTTAAAAAATCACAACTCTTTATTTAAAGGAATTCATAACATACTTTTTATTTAAAATATAATTATTCACCAATTATCTTCTATTTAAAAATAATTAAAAAATATGTTGTCATACAATTTTAAGAAGATAAGAGGGGTTGAAGTTGGCCAGTTTTGGTGGGGAAATGGCCAGTGGGTAAAGACTTATGGCACGACACTGTAGTTGATTACCCCATGTCTTATTGGGGGCCACCTAAGCCAACCCGAATGGGACATGCATGAAACCTCCGTTATACTACAAAGTCTCTACTTCAACATACATACTTCTACTTCGTACTCGAGGGCAATCATTCTTGTAACACTTTCCATTTCTACACCTCCCGGCGGGCTTACTAAGCTGTCGTATCGCGAAAAACGGTCCCTGAGGTCATCGAGAGGAAACCGAGGACGCTTGTTTCGATTTGCTCAAACGCCTCAGGGTGATCTCAGCTACCAGAATAACTTCCAATCGGCAGTGCGCAGGCGTGTTCAGTCGTTGCCAGCCTGACCATCCAGTGCAACCCACGATCGCAGCTGACCCGGACTTGACACCTCCCCGCACACCTTTTCCGGCCTTGCTTCTCCCTTTACTCGAATGATATAGGCCGATCCTTCTCCGGCCCCCCATTCTTCGACGGTGGCTCCCCCGCGTCCTGACTCTATCGAACTTGTCGAGTACCATACCTCCCACCGAACTTCAAGCGCACGTGGGCCCGGCTGCGTCGAACAATCTCGAGCTAGCGCCAAACCGTTCACACCGGCAGCCAACTCGCAGTCGCTAGCCGGTCTTCATATTAGTGAGGGAGCTGCGCAAGAGAAGCTATCACCAAACAGCCTTAGGGCTACTCGTCTAAGGTTCTGGGCTGAGGCTCTCCGTCGTCGCGCTCTCAACTCCGGGAATCCAGATTCGGAACCTGCCAAGATGAAGTTTTCGCACAGTGTGCAGTTCAATGCTGTACCTGACTGGAGCTCCAACTATATTGCGTACAGCAATCTGAAGAAATTGTGAGTCCAAAGTTTGGTACCGCAGATCCCAGGATCTGACGGTGTCACATCACACGGGATGCATGGACCGCGGAGAATTGTTTTCAGGCTAATTTTGCGTCACTAGGATTTATACCCTTGAAAAACAGGCCAATAGGACCGACGGCCAGTCCACCACCGATGTCGAGGCTGCACCGCTGCTGGGTGCTCAAACGAGCAACCCAGATGCCGTTTTCAAGCGTGCTCTCGACGCAGAAATGGATAAGATCTGTACCTTCTTCCAGAAGAAGGAGGCGGAGATTTTCGAACTCGCCGATGAGATCATCCAGGACGCTCATGTTTATGTTTCCCAGACAGACGGTGTCGACATGGACCCGGTGAGCGAAACAATCATTAAGGCCAGTACCCGTCGAAATGATGGACCTCCTGGCCCCCGTCGCCGGTCCAGTGGTGTCAGCAATGATTCCATGGCCGATGATGAAGAGGGATACAGCGACGATGACCGGTCGACCACTCTTCCTCAACGTCGGCGAATGATGCAATCGACAGATGGCGAGTCCGGCACAGACGATCAGCACGGCGACCTCGCGGATTCTTCATTCTTTGGACAGCCAGGGTCTGATATGCACGGCTCATATCTTAATGACGAAGACTTCCTTGCTCTGTATAACACCGGCATTTCGCTGAAGAAGCGCCTGATCGAGGGTTACGTCTCGCTCTGCGAGCTTCGGTCATTTATTGAGCTGAACAAGACTGGTTTCGCCAAGGCGCTGAAGAAATACGACAAGACTTTGGACCGCAACTTGCGTCGAGATTACCTGGCCTCTGTTGTCCACCCCGCGACGCCGTTCGTTGAGCGCACCATGGCTGCTGTCGATAGTCACATCGAGGAAGTCGAGGGTGTCTACGCGAGTATTGTCACCAAGGGCAATAGGCAACTCGCCAGACGCGAGCTACGATTGCATTTGCGTGAGCATGTCGTCTGGGAGCGCAACACAGTCTGGCGTGAGATGATTGAGATTGAGCGCCGTGCGCAGGCTGCAAATGTTGGTATCCGTCGGACGCTACTGGGTGGCGATGAGGATCCGGCTACTGCACGGCGCCAGGGTGATAAGAATGAGATCCGTACTCGTGAAGTCTCAACGCCGCTAGGTCGGTTCCAGTTCCCGTTGTGGTTCTGCAGCTTGAGCTTCGGTACGTTGGTTCTCAGTGTAGCCGTGTTCGGCGCTTTGCTCTCCATGCAGACTATGGAAACCCCCGAGCAACAGAACTGCTTGGCCATGCTAGTCCTTGTCAGTATTCTGTGGGCAACTGAGGTATGTCGTACCGATCATCCTGTACTCCTTTGTGGTTCCCTACTAACCTTCTCTCCTAGGCGATTCCGCTGTTTGTTACCTCCCTTCTGATTCCATTCTTGGTTGTCACACTTGGCATCATGAGATCAGATGAGAAGCCGCACGAGCGACTTGGACCAAAGGAGTCTGTGGGAATGGTGTTTTCGGCGATGTGGACCCCGGTGATTATGCTTCTCCTTGGTGGCTTCACTATTGCGGCAGCGCTATCCAAGTACGACATTGCCCGGCGCATGGCCATGTTCGTGCTCAGTAAAGCCGGCTCGAAGCCATCCACGGTTTTGCTGACGAACATGTTCGTGAGTATGTTCCTGAGCATGTGGATCAGTAACGTTGCATCTCCCGTGCTCTGCTACTCTATCATTCAACCTTTACTGCGCAACATGCCACCAGAGTCGGATTTCGCCAAAGCCCTCGTGCTCGGCATTGCTCTGGCCGCCAATGTCGGTGGTGCGGCATCCCCAATCGCCTCCCCTCAGAACATCATAGCTCTGCAGAACATGTTCCCCAACATCAGCTGGGGCACATGGTTCTTCATCTCACTGCCCGTCTGCATCATCTCCATCCTGCTCATCTGGGCTTTGCTTCTGGCAACTTTCCGCCCTGGTCGTAATGCTACCGTCATCCCCATCCGCCCTGTCAAGGATCGATGGACCGGCATGCAATATTTCATCAGCATTGTCACTCTCATGACAATCGCTCTTTGGTGCGCTAGCCACCAGCTCGAACACATCTTCGGCGATATGGGTGTCATCGCCATCATCCCGCTTGTCCTCTTCTTCGGAACGGGTATTCTCAACAAGGAAGACTTCAACAACTTTCTATGGACGATTATCATCCTCGCCGCCGGTGGACTATGTCTAGGCAAGGCAGTGACCTCCTCTGGACTACTGCACACCATTGCCGCCGACATTACCACCCGCGTCGAGCATCTCAGTCTGTACGGCGTGCTGTTGGTCTTCAGCGCCCTAATCCTCGTAATCGCCTCGTTCATCTCGCACACCGTTGCCGCTCTGATCATCTTGCCTCTCGTCCGCCAGATCGGCGTCAACATGGAAGACCCCCACCCCAACCTGTTGGTCATGGCCAGCGCCTTGATGTGCTCCGTCGCTATGGCTTTGCCCACCAGTGGCTTCCCCAATATGAGTATGTCCCACTCTACAATCTCAGTCACTTTTTCATGCTAACCAATATCTCTAGCTGCCATTATGACCGAAGTTCCTCAGACAGGCCAGCGGTACCTTCAGGTCCGCCATTTCCTTACTCGTGGTATTCCATCCAGTTTGATGGCCTTTGCTGTGATCGTCACGCTCGGCTATGGGCTGATGTGGGTCGCGGGTTTATAGATTCAGAGGACATGTGCTCGTTAGAGAATGTCCCATATCTCTCGTCTCAAAAAAGGCAAGGAAGGCTGGGCAATTCGCCCTTTTGTTTGATTTTCCTGTATTTGTTTTCTTTCACGAGCGTTCATGCTTGATGTCCCCGTATATGTTCAACTCGCAATGATTCTGCAAATACAATAGACCAGGGGTTTGTGAGTGATTAATGCATCGAGTGTTAAGATTGATTGTTGGAATTGACTGTAAAGAATCATAGAGCTTTCGGGGCATTTACAAGCTCCAACCATGACATGACCCTCGCACCTGTCCAACCTAGACTTCCAGGGTTTCCAATGTTTTGTCCGAACGAGACAGGGAACACAGGAACACAAGACTCTACAAGACACAATTGAATCAAAACTTTATTAAATTCATTTCTCCCAGTTACTTCCAAGGCGAAAGTACTATACACAGCGAAACGGATCTAGGGAAAAGAACCCGAAACATCGAAAATAATGCATCACCATAACCCATAACTCATTGGTCCCATGCAAGCGTAGAACCGATATAAATACTCCATAGATTAATTACTGTATAAGATGTTAGCAATGCCCAGCCTGAAGAAAGGGAAGTATACTCACAGCAAGCCAATCGTCAAATCACCATGAATCTTCGCCTTGAGCTGGACCTCGATATCCAGATTAAGGTCCAATCGCAAACGCAGCTGCTCGTCTCGACCTCCATCGTCGTCTTCCTTCTTGTCTTCGCCGCCGCCTAGGATTCCGCCAACGGCTTTACCAGCACTACCGGTTGCCCCGTTGAGTGCATTCCCGGCTGTGTTTTGCACGAGTTGGCCGGCTTGGTCCGCGCCTCCGACTCCAGGAAGTCCACCTAGGGGTCCGCCGTCTTGCTGCTGCTTGGGCTGGCGTTGGCGGCGAACGCGACGCTGTGGCTTTTCGTCTTCCATTTGGACTGATTCGGCGTCTGCTTCTTGACGACGGGGTTTGCGACGACGACGCTCAGGCTTAGGTTGGGGCTCGGGCTGGGGTTCAGGCTCAGGCTCTTGGGGTTCTTCTGTTTGTTCGGGCTCGGAGTCTGGCTCTTGTTGTTTGGCTTCGGGCTCGGGCTTTTGGTCTTGTTCTTGACTTTGTTCTTCGGGCTTAGACTCTTCGTTGTTTTCTTGGGCACTTTCGTCTTTTTGTTCCTCTTGTCCTTGCTCAGAGGGTGGAGGGGTCTGCTCTTGTTTGGCAGGAGACTTCTTGCCTAGCTTGGGAGGGGCACGCTTTGGCTTAGGGGAATCAGGGGTTGGGGTGGAAGGTTGTTCCTGATCGGCCATGGTGAAAAGAAAAGAAAAAGAGGTTGTTCAGAGGGGGTGTGAGGGGAATATGAACTGATTCGAGCAGATCGGATCAAAGCGTCACAAGGTGGGCGGAGGGAACTACTATGTAATTGTGCGTATTGGCATAGAGATGCGGATACCGAATGAATTGGTTACCTCTTGTCCAACCGTTTATATCATCAGAGGAGCCACCAGCCCTGGTTCAAACCGGTCGTGATGGGCGATTTCTAACCGCCTCCGACGTCAGATCCGTCAATGTGGCTACCCCAGGCCGTGTCCAAGTCGTCTGTCCAGGTACGCAATGACGGGGTTCAGTCCTAGGCGAAGGTTACAAGGCGAATGACGTCTGTTCTAGACCAGGATCAGGCTGGAACACAGCCGTATGGAGCAATGAGCAACTGAATTGACAGGGAATCAGCGCTAGTCGGAGATGCAAAACCCTGGGAAAAAATAGAATGTCTCCGCAACAGTTCCACGCGCCAATCATGTTGAAGTTTCGGTGAATTTGACGCATGGACGTGCTCCACTTAAATAGATTAAGTAGACGTAAGACCGTTGCAGCTTTTGGCGTCTCACGGCTCAAGGAATAGATGGTATGACGCCACACGACGTCAAGAATTGGCTTGTCTTCAGGTGTACACTGTACACGGTATCCATGAATGATACACTCGTATGCTGTAAATACACAGACTCAAAAGACATCGTGAATATGCCTGCCTGTGGTTTTTTTCAAGTGGGAAGTGGAAGGGGCAATTTAAACTGCCCGGTTCCAAGTTTTTGGACGACTGGTTCAAGCCACGAGTCGAGGTCTGTTTCCATGGGTTGGGTGGGCGAAATATGCGGGTGTATAGCCCGGGACTTGCTGGTGGACACGGCATTGTCGAGGTGTCAGGTTGTGTCAAATCTAGAATTCCGACGTTGTTCGCACCTGTAATGACGCGGGGAGGTGACCAGCCGCCAACGTCATGTCATATAATATCCTTTTTCTTGCTTTTCTATAGTTGATGTTGACGATTTCCTTTTTTATCTAATTTTATATTCGTATTTCTCTTTGCCTCTATACCCTATTTTACCTCATCTTCCTATATACCCCACAACCTCCTCGTCTATACTCTATACTCTATACTCCCCTAATCAAACATGGCGACCGCGGAAAAAACCAAAGAGCAGCCCAAGAAGCTCCCTGTTCAGGAGGATCTCTCCGACGGGGAAGACTACGACAGTGCCGACGATTATACCGACGAAGAATCCGAGGAAGAGATTCCTCAAGCCCAGAAGAAGAAACAGCTCCAAAGGCGGAAACAGCCCGTCCAACAAGACGACGAGGACGAATACACCGATGAAGATGACTACGATGACTATGACTACTCGGACGACGACGGTGATGATGCCATGCAACCTTACTCCAAACAAAACTCAACCTTCAAGCCCAATGGCGGGATGGAAACTCTCCACAAGGAAGAACCGTCAATGCTGGATCAAGAGGGTATGAAACTGAGGTTGGAGCTCAACTTGGAGATCGAGGTGGAACTGAAGGCACGCATCCACGGCGATCTTACCTTGGCTCTCATGTAAGTTGGCCTCGAGGCAAGAAACCCCCCTCTCTTTTCCTTTCCCGATCGTCCTGGACTGTCGCTCAACCGAACTAGGAGTTGATCGCGTTTTATCAACAACAGGGCTTGATACCCTTCTCCCATCACGAACACTCGACGTCGTCACGATCCGATGCTTTTTCCATAGAGCCCTGTCTTGATTGTTGTTTTTGGATTCACGGGTTTGGGCCGAGACATCGAAATGCTATGTATATTCTCTTGGAAAATCAAAGTAATAATTTCAACCATTGGAGCTGATAGAGTGTGCATTAGTGCAGTGGTCTGCAGTATGTGCAAGTAATAAAAGTAGGAAAAGAGAGAGAGAGAGAGAGAGACAAGCGTGAAGCCGAGGCTTGGCGTGGGTCCGTTTACTCCGTACTCAGGTGGACTTTTTGCTATCACCCCGATCGTGCTCCAGTTCTGTTCCCAATCGCATCCTCACCTCTCCCCAAGCGCTTTCGCCATCCGGCACGATCGCCATGTCTTCCAAAGACTTCATTATCAAGCATATGAATGCTGATCATCAAGACTCCCTGGTCTTATTCCTCCGAGCCTACTGCGGCATCTCCTCTTCGCAAGCCAAATCCGCTAATCTGGAGGACATCACCTTGACAAACCTCATCATCACCGCCCATGGAACCCGCTACAGTGCCCCCATCGAGCCTCCCATGAAAGACTACTCGGAAGCGCGCAGCCGCATGGTCGCTATGCACAAAGAAAGCTTGAAGCGCCTTGGTCGCAGCGACGTCACCCTCACCGAATACCGTGCCCCCCGCGGATTCCCAGTCGTGATCTTCGTTTTGTGTCTCTTCTTCTACGCCAGCAACTTCCAGCGCAGCAACCTGCTTCCGGGCTCGTTCGTCTACGAGTACTTCGGGTACAAGTTTGTGCCTGGCCTTGCACACTTTGTCTACAACATTCATCCGTGGTTCTTCCCTTTGGTGGTGGGGATTCATGTCTTCGAGACTGCGTTGTTGATTTGGACCCAATTGAGACCACTGGGTGTCCCGGTTTTCTCGAGTGTGTGGTGCATGTGGGTTGGTTCGTGCTTCATCGAGGGATTCGATACATTCCAGCGCATTAAGCAGATCGTGAAGGAAGAGCGGGAGAAGAAGGGCAAAAGCCAGTAGGGACCGAATCAAGCGTTAGAGTGAAAGGGCTGATGGGCCAAATTTAATGGATTCAATGAACATGTGACTCTAAACACTTGATTATCCGAAAGAAGGATGTGGAGATCATAAAAGACCCAATGTTGTGTGATGTTGTATAGCGGGATTGGGCATTCTGTACAAGTAGGTGTGAAGTATCCATCTCCTGTCACTGTTCGAGAGGCATATCAGATGAACAGGCACGTGACCTGAGTCATCAGTGCAGATCACCTGATTTATCCAGAGACTGGGCCCCGCTAAGCCCAATGCAGCCTAGTGTCGGTTAGGGCATCACACAAGCGAGCGACACAGTGCGCCCTGCGAAATTCAGCGACTCCACGACCTCAAACTCGCACGACAACCCTACGACAACTTATCCGCGTTTCTGGTGAAGGGTAGCATACACAGAGGTGAGTTATCGGCTGTCTCATTCCTGCAAGGTTATTCTCGAAAAACAATTCTGTTTCGCTCGCTGCGCCCTCGATCTCGATCTCTCGATTTTCAAATCGCCATTGAATCCTCAATCAACACCTCGCCGGCTTCAACACGATCCCGCCTTGGAAGACTCTTCAACTGTCCATAAACACTGTCGCCCATTTCTACAACTGTCAGGCATCGGTTTTGTGCGGCACTTCGAGACGAAACAGAAGGATTGGAGAGAAAAAAACGCAGGGCCCACAACCGACAATCTCTAACTTTCATCTTCCACCATAGACCCCTCCATCAACCGCAAATATGGGTATTTCTCGGGATTCTCGCCACAAGCGCAGCGCCACTGGTGCCAAGCGCGCTCACTACCGCAAGAAGAGGTACGATCCAGCCCGTCAGATCTGAAGTTTTTTTTTTTTTTACTCTGCTATGTGGAGGAGACCCGCAACAATTCGAAGCAATATTCTTACACACCTTACTACAGAGCGTTCGAGAAGGGTCGCCAGCCCGCCAACACCCGTATCGGTGGCAAGCGTATCCACCTTGTCCGCACCCGTGGTGGTAACCAGAAGTTCCGTGCCCTCCGTCTCGATTCCGGCAACTTCTCCTGGGGCTCCGAGGGTATCTCCCGCAAGACCCGTGTCATCGGAGTGTCCTTCCACCCCTCCAACAACGAGCTGGTCCGCACAAACACCCTGACCAAGTCCGCCGTTGTCCAGATCGATGCTGCTCCTTTCCGTCAGTGGTACGAGGCTCACTACGGCCAGCCCATCGGTCGCAGACGCCAGCAGAAGGCCGGTGAGGTCGTCGAGGAGAAGAAGTCCGCTTCCGTCGCCAAGAAGCAGGCCGCTCGCTTCGCTGAGCTCGGCAAGACTGAGGGTGCTATCGAGCGTCAGTTCGAGTCCGGTCGTCTTTTCGCCGTTGTCGCTTCCCGCCCCGGACAGTCTGGCCGTGTTGACGGTTACATTCTGGAGGGTGAGGAGCTTGCTTTCTACCAGAAGGCTATCCGCAAGTAAACGATAAAATAAAATATTCGGTTGTTGCAACGGGTGGATCGGAGTTTCAGCTATGTCATGATCAGGGCATCCTAGGGGTGCAAATTGTCTGTAGAGCTCTGAGCCATCAATCCAAGGGATTTGTTCCTAGTTCATCTGTTCTATCTCTTCCCCGCGTAGTGATGGCCATCCGTAGTACTCCGTAGTATGCATTGACTCCAAGGCTTGGAAGGCATCTATCCATAGATGTATCCATATCCATAAGAACCAACCTTGGAAGTTCTGATATCCACCATAGATTTCCCAGGTGTCCCGAGGTCCCGCTGACCTCGATCTAGAGTCAGTAGTCAAAAACTTTCGTGAATGGTGTGTACAGTGGCGGCGGCTGCAACATCTGGAGAACTTGCCGGCGTAGAGGGAACCCGCTGGCATCAAGTTCCCTTCCAAAGTTTACTCGGTCAGCTCCAAGGCTGGGCTCTGCACATTTGGTTACATGCGTGGGTTGATAGCGATCAATTAAAGCTTTCAGGTTGCTTCATGCCTTTCTACAGTCCTTTGCATCTATATCTGTACCTAATTAGGTCATGAATGTATGGATATATAACTATTGGTACTGCCTGCCTGGCCAGTTGAGTGGTTCACCTAACCTCACTTCTCAGCCAATGGAAGTTCCAAATCAACAACCCAAGGCGCATTCCTGGCCTCATACTTCACAGTATTAACACTAGCATTGACAAACAAAGTTTCATCTCCGAATCGCAAAGGACTGTGCGCGCCCTTACTAACATCATAGAAAGCCGAGCGATTCTCAAGCATATCCTCAATATCAGTGGGCACATCTTCCAGCTTTAGCCCATCAGCATTCCAGACTCCCCGCTGGGCGCCCCAACCTTCATGAATATGTCCGAAGAGATGAATGCGTGGTCTCGCACGCCCCGCAGCACGGAGCAGATGCTCACACCCCACATTCAAATCTGGCGGGACCTGATCCAGAATACCAAGCGGAGGCCCGTGAGTCAGTAAGATATCCACGGCGGGAAAATCAGGAATAGGATTCGCCGCGCCATTGGAACTGTAGCGATCTTCATCTCGCTCATAGGCAAATGCCCAACGATAGAACTCTGGCTGATAAGGCGATGCATAAACGGTGAAAGTGGCCCCTGTCGAGAGGGTGAATGAATGAACGCCTTCTTCCAAGTAAACAATTCCCGCATCGCGAGCAGCTTGGCAAGTCCAGAGATCCTTGATCGAGCGAGCGTAAGATCGGAGCTGCTCTGCGGATGGTTGGCGGATTTCGTGGATCTCATCATCAGATAGAAGGATAGACTCCTCACCCAGATACTCTGGTCTTGAGTGTCGGTTGTAGCCGAAGCTTGCAAAGTACTCTTCGTCTAGGGTTATGTCGTGGTTGCCGGCGATGACGAGTTTCAGCTCCGCGTCGGCATCTTTAAGCATGGCGATCATGGCTTCGTTCTCGACTCGGTAGCCGACCTTTGTCAAGTCACCGGCATGAAGTAAGACGTCGGCTTTCGGCAGTGGGGATCGATAAGCATTGCCGGTCATGTGTGGTGGGTTTGGTGTGCTTGTATGGGTGTCTGATATCATGCAGATGCGGGTTTTAATCATGTTCGAATGAGAGGAAGACCTTGGTGGAATGGTTGAGGACATGATTTCCAAGCCTGGAGTGAAAACCGGGGAAGAGCTACTTGATATGTGAGGTGACGTTGAAGTCGGACTTGGGTTCCCCGCTATAACGGACAAAACATAGGGCAAGTCCCAACGGGTGTGTCGGCCTGTTACCCACTTTTCTTGTGTCGACTATGGATCCAATATTCAAGTGTTTGAGTATGAGACAAGTAGATGTTAAGAGCTGTATTCGATCTGGTAATGGTGATCATAGCTAGATTGTACCTAATACTAGTCATTCCGTTGGTCTATGTACCGCGCAACAAAAGTAAGCTACTAAGAAATACCACCAAAGGCGTGGTTGAACAAAACAAGCACAAGATCCAACCCAAAATTCAATTCCGACTCCAATACCAAAAATCAAAGCATTAAACATGAAGGCACTCGATTGCCTAAGGGGAGCCTCCAAGGCCAGCAGCGAAGGCCAAGTACCAAGTGCGCGTAGCACCACCATCAATCCAGGTGTAGTTGAAGTTTGGCTGGGTGAAGAACTCCCAAGACGCCTTGGGATCGATGAGAGCAAGGTTGGCGTACAGCACACCCTTCCATCCACCATCGACCTTAGAGGCGGGCGTAGAGGCATTCGCGGCAAACATGTCCTGCCATTCTTGACGAACGAACTCCTTCCGGCGAGCGTAAGGAGTGTGGGGCATGAGAGGGAGCATGTGGATACTGTGTGATGTGTAAGCATGAAGATCAACGTTGGAGATCGAAGTGAAATGAACTTACCCTTGCACGAATTCCAAATTGGCACCGAAGTAGGTTGTGTGGTCAACCTTGTTCTCAAAGAGCTATTTTCTTGTTAGAAGATGATTTGGGAGATGAGGATCGTACTTACAATTCCAGTGACACGGTTAGCAATGAAGCTCGGGGGATGGTTGATGTTGTCGTTCTCCAAGAGGAAGTAGTTCTTCAATGACCGTCCCAGGATACCGAGCATGAGATTACCGCGAGCCTCCATGCTTGCATCATGAGTAGTCTGACCCCACATCTTGATCGCGTATGCGAACATGGTGTCTTCGGAGGAGGACTCTTGATCTTTGCCATCAAAAGATTCGAATAGACCCTTGGCCCAGGAGTGGCCATTGTACCAATCGAAGCCACGGGAGAAGGGGAAATAAGCGTCGTTCTCAACGGAGTTGCTAGCGTCGCGAACGAGAGTATTAACCCAGTCCTTGTTGGCAGCTAGCCAGGTTGGGTCGAGGGATCCAATAAGGGCAGCTGCTTGAATGAAGTAGCCGTAGTGGAAGTGGTGGTCGTTATACGCGGTATTTCCAAAGTCTTGGTTCAAATCACCGTTGTAGCCCGCAGTGGAAACAACGCCCTTCCAGACGGTATCGTATGCCAGGGGGTATTGCTGCTTGTTGTCTACGAAGTGGGCGAAAGCTTTTTTCAGTTCCTGGAACGCGTCATTGGCTAGCTCGACATTCTTGCCTAGCTTGTTCACAGTGTACACCAAAGTGGCGAACTTGCTAAGAGCCTTGCCGCTGTAGTACATGCTGTTCAAGTCCGTCTCTTTCGAGATGTTCTGATTCAACTCGTGTGGAGCAACCTGGAGGATGGCATGTTGGGCAGCGGGGGAAAGTTCATGCACACTTCCGTGCTCGGTTGACCAGGGGGCAAATCCAACGTCGACTGGGAGGTTGGACTCGACCATGGTCCAGCTCTCTCCGACGACGGCAGTTGCGTTACCCTTAGTGGTGGTACGGAGGTGAATATCGGTGACGCGGCCCTTGGAGGCACTATCGAAAGACTGAACGTGGTGAGGCAGGGCAAACATCAGCAAAGGGGTGCCCTTCACATCCTTTCCAGCCTTGGTCCAAGAAAGGGTGTAACTGCCAACGTCACCAGTGACCGAGCCTGCGATATGGCCTGCCACGGGGTAGACACCGCAGGAGTTATCATAGAACTTCTCGCCAGGAGTACCGGAAGGATTCTTGGCGATTTGGACTGTGCCGGAGAAGCCCTGAGGACCACGCAGGTTGGTCTTTGACACAAGTTTGAACTTCGGGTCCTTGCCATTGGAGGGAGCAGCATACATCAGCCAGATAGTGTCATCCTCAAGTTCAACCTTGTACTTGAAGATTCCTGATCGAGGCGAACCTGCATTGACAACCTTGCGGAAGAAAATGCCACTTTCGATCAAAGGTTGAAGATCACTGTAGACCGCTGTAGTAAAACCCATACCTTGAACAACAGGGAATGAGATCTGTTGGGCGGAGCCCTCAGAACGCTTGATAACCGCGTGGGCGGAGAAAGCCTTTGGTTGCTCAGTCTTCAGCACAGTAGACTCTCCCAGCTCAGAAGCAGAGAAGACGAGAGGCTGGAGGCCAATGGGGTTGATGTAATACGAAACAGGGTCTCCTGGAATCTTGTTGTTCTCGGGGCCCAATGCAAGCATCGAGGCGGGGACATGGGAGACTCCCATACCCCAGCTCTTCAGGGTGCCACCACCCTTTGACCATGCGAGCGTGTAAGGCTGCGTGAAGCTAGCATTGGTCTGAGTTCCTAAGAAGAATCCAGCGTAGAACTTGTTAGTCTCGATGGGGTCTGTAGAGTTTGCCTAGGTCACAAGATCAATATCGTCAACTGAGCTTTGGGTAAAAATCGAGACAATCTTACATGCTTATTCTGCACAGGATGATCATTTCGAGACTTGATGCTAGCCGCCGCAGGCCCAGTCGCCACAGGCTGGAAGATGTCTTGGCCGTTCATAGTACCTGCCTTGTCTGGACCCGGAGGATTGGTAGGATGCGGCTCTGGAGAAAGTTAGCATGCCACGCCCAATCAAATGTTCAGATTTCAACATACCTTCAAGGCTAGTATCGGGCTTAGGATCAGCCTTCGGCGAGTCTTTAACTGCTGTGCTTGTTGGAACTGGGACCGGGTTTTCAGGCTGCTTCCCTGAAGCAGTCGCGGTATGAACAGGAGGCGCTGGTACAGTACTGGTATCCTGGTCTGCGCCAATGAGGCCTTCCAGGCCGTGAACAAACTGACTCACGTCAAGCTCCGGGAAAGGAGGTTGAGCTGGACGACCGTCTGTTTGTAAACCGAGTCGATATACCTAATTCCGTTAATATCAACATTTGTGACTCAAATCCCTGCTGCCAAGGACTTACCGGGTGAGATTCTGGGATAAGCAGTCTGCTGTTTTCGTTCTTAGGTGGATATTGAGTTTCAAATGTGCTCGCTTTCTCTGTGGCTGTCTTTTGCAGTATGCTTTCGACTGCTGTTCCCACCTGTGGGAGAGAGTATGCCGATTCTGCGGCTAGAAGCCATGTTAGCAAGACCGTTGCCTTCAATTTGAAGATTGCCATGATGCGCTATCGATGATGATGGATGAAGACAGTGGGGTTTGATGGAGCTGCGAGCTCTTATATCCAATCCAGTTCGATGCGATATGACCGACGTCGAAGCGACTTCGGTTCAAACAGCAGGTTGAGACTGATGGACACAGCGCATGGGAACACTCCAGACCAAGGATCAATCGAATTGAAATCAATGGGACCGTGAATAGTCCCTCAATCCAATCCGATTTGATGTGACCGAGGTTGAGGCAACGTCGATTGAAAAGGCAAGCCAGATTCGATACAATGCACAGAAATTCTTCTGAACAAGGGAATCAGACTTACAAGTATGCACAGCAGATTCCAGGAGACACCATGAACCCCCTCGGAGCTCTAGCAGTCAGTGCCAAATTGGGACAACACACGGGCCGGCTTGTTGTGACTGGTCTTTACCAAGAATCCACTAGTTCATGATCTTCATTGAAATTAGCGCTATTCCATCTTAACTAGGGAATAGGGAAGAATGATCCGAGGCGTCGGGTACGTCGCAGCTCAGCAATGTAGGGTGTAAAAAAAAACATCGTCGAGGCGATGTCCCCACCAACAAGAATGCGGGTGTCAGCACAGCAACGATAACATGCACTCACAATGTGTTCGCTCTAGCAACAATTGGAAGCCTGTCAGAATATAATGCTCAAGGTAAATGGTCGAGTGAAGGGTGCTAAAAGTCAAGTTCAGGCAACAGTAGAGGTGCCAAGGGGTTGCCTTGTGGGGAAGAGAACCCCAGGGGATATATACGCCTGCAGTAGCCCTATGTTCAGACATCTGAGTTCTTCTCTGAGTCAACCCCGTGGACATGACCCCGAAATCATGAACCCGTGGATCTTTTGCCTTGCAATCATGGGACAGTTCCCGATCAGCCGTTGGTTGCCCGCATTCCAAGCCCGGTCGAGACTTAAATTATATGCATGTATGCCCAGGTGCATTGCTGTTCCCACCAACCAAAGACACTGTCCATGCAGCGTGACGACATCAAGGCCATGTGGATCGCTGGAATATCTACAAAATGACAGCTATAGCGTGGAAACAACGGCTGCTTTTTCCATACAACATCACAGGGCTAAAGAATTGGAATGCTTTTGATTCGGAGATCGTGCTTTGCAGAATGTGTCGCATTATGCGGCGTAATGACATGGTATATGAGAACAAATATAGACCGAGAGATACAGAATTAAACCATGGGCTTTTCCATGGGCTTGATGATACCCTGTTTGATCATGACACGAGGCTTGGTGCCACTCTGGAAAGTCTCCTTGGTAGACCACTCAGGGCCAAGAGGCAGGCGCAGAGATCGTTCGTACTGCTGCTTTGTCTCAAATTGATGGGGTAGCTGGGTAGCCATGTACTTCTTGTTCTGAAATTGAAATGTTAGCATATTGAAATTTTGTCGGTAGAAACAAAGATCTCTTACCTTCTGGACTCGCTTCTGGTTGATGATGACCCGATCGAGCTTTGCATCCTTGCGCTGTTGGGGCTTCACACCCGCGACAGTGGTCAGGTCTCGCTTCTGTCTCTTCTGCTGTTTCTTGCTGACGCCCTCGCCGGCCCAGCTTCCCCAGCCTTCAAGTGTGTTGTCAACAACCTTGTCGCCTTCGTCTTCGATGGTATCCATCTTCTCTTGGTCGAAGTCTTGAACGACTTCATCGCCGGCGAAAGCTCTCTTCACAAGATCATGGTTTTTGAGTAGGACAGGAACATTATCCTCATCGTCGCTATCATTCTCATCATCGAATTGCTTGCTGGCGAGTGCTTGCTTGGCCTTCTTTTGCCTTTTGGTATGCGACTTCGCCGAGGCAGCCTCTGGCTGGGTGGCATCGAGCGAGATGTCAATGCTCTCTTGAGCATCGGGTCCAGTTCGGCGGCGGTTGGTTCGTTCGGTCTGAACAAGCCACGGGTTCTCCTCCTCCGCAGGTACCTCCTCCGCGACTTCTTTCTCACGGTTGGAGGCTTTGCGCGAGGATTGTGAGATAGCCTTGTTACCGCGAGCTCCTGACTGTTGTTTGGCGGGCTGGTCAACGGTAATGTCCATGGCATCATCCGACCCAGCACCATTTGCATCTTCGTCATCAGAGTCCAGCTTTTCCTCGAACTCGTTCTTAGGCAACGCCTTTTGTTGAGCCTTGGCGTCGGTCTTCGCTGACTGACCGAACTTTCGTCGACCGACCTCGGAATCGGCCTCTGACTGAGAATCCTCTCCATGGAGCTCACGGTTGAGTTTGCGAAGTTCCGCATCGTTCTGATCCTTGCGAGCGGCATCAGCGTTTCGCATGAACTTCATTTCGAAAAGGTCGGCGTGGGGTCCCTTCACGGCGCCGGACTTGTCGTTGCTCTCGAGGGCAGTAAGCTTTTTCTGGAACTTCTGCCTTTCCACATCGGATCCCTCCTCATTCCAAGGATCCTCTTCTTCCGATTCAGAGCTAGAAGAGCCCAGGTAGTCGTCATCTCCAGTAGAAACACGCTTGCCCTCGATTCTCTTCCGTAGCTCCTCCTCTCTTTGGGCCAAATCGGCTGCACTGTTGCGGGCGTCTTCATCCCACGCAGTGCGGCCGGTCTGCTTCAAGCCCTTGGCCCATTTGCTATCGCGATGCTTGGAGCCCATGCGAGCTTCGGCTCTTTGTCGCTCACTCTTCTCCTGATCCATTTCATCGGGATCCACACCGGCGTCCATGAGCGCTTGTCGTTCCTGCTGCTCCATCTTCTCGCGCTCCTTGCGATGGACGCGGCGGTAAGACTTGCTTTTGATTTTCTTAATGCGCTTGGCACGAACTTCCTCCCGGAAGAGCAAGTCACGTCGCTTGCGCAGTTCTGCCCGACGAGCCTGAATCTCTTCGATGGGGACGTTGCGAGCCTGGAGCTCTTCAATCTCTTGAATCTGGTCCTCGCCAGTCTTGCCCTCTGCCTCAGCCAAACCACTCTCCACAAGGATGTTTTGAATGGCGCTCTCCAAGTCTGTCTGTGGCTTGGCCACCTCCAAGCGGTGGGTTTGCTCGGCATCGGGATCACGTAGAGGGAAGGATAGATGTTCGGCTCGGCGGTTAGCTTTGACGGTATCCAACCATCGGTTCAAAGTCTCTTTGCTCTTTTCGTAGGCGACAGTCCGATCGAGGCGATCTTGCTGACGCTTTGCCAGAGGGGCGTCGAGCTTGCCTGGAACACCAGTCTTGGATGCCTGAACAACGGAATCAATATGTTTGAGAGAGTTTTTGAGACGGGTATCGGTGATTGAGGGCAGAAGGTCGGCGACTGTCAGTTTGTTGGAGGATGTCAAGCCGTATTCGGAGGGCTTGGCTTGTTCTTGTGACTTCTGAGTGCGCTTTGATGGTTTTCCGGTGTCCATAGACTGAACGAAATCTTGTAACTTCGATAGCTGATGGGGATCTGCCTCCTCGTCATCTGAGGCTGATAGACCGTCCTCGCTAGCATCACTCTCGCTGTCTGCCTCTGAACCAGAATCCTCTTCACTGTCGTCTCTGGCGGCCCGCTTGGATTTCTTTTCTGCCTCCTTGGCTTCCTCCTCATCGGCAGCTGCATTCATATCCCAGGCAGTTGCGAGATCAACGGCGTCTTCTCCCAAATCGTCGTCCTCGTCCTCGTCGTAGTCTTCACCGTCAGATTCTTCCGATTCATCGTCGTCCTCGTCCAGGTTGATTTCGACGGGCTTTTTGGGCTTAGGGGTCTTCTTGGGCGGATTTTTGGACTTGGATGCCCGGAAGGTGAATCCTTCGAATCGTTCTTCGTCGCTTTCGCCGAGGGCTTCGTCACTGTCAAGTTCGCTGTCGTCATCACTGTTCACTTGTCCGAGAGTCCATTCGTGTCCCTCGCTATCGCTGCCGCCGTCGAGACTTCCGGTATCTTCAGTTCGGCGACGTTTGTGGTGCGGGGTCTCTTCTTCTTCGTCCTCGTCGTCACCGCCAGTGTTTCTCTTGCGGCTGGAACCATCATCGTAGGCACCTAGACGACTGCGTCGGACACCCAGTCTAGTCGGAATCTGCTTCTCTGCGATGGCAAGCGCGTTGAGCGACCGTCCGTTTTTTCGCTTCTGGGGTGGTTTCTGCGCCGAGCGGTCCTTTGGATTACGCTGCTGCGTTTGACTGCGAGGCATGATGGCGGAAAGTCAAGGAAATAAATTCTTGACCAAGAAAAGTAGCTCCAGATCAGCACCGTAAAAGTACTCAATGATCTGGTGACTGCTTTTCAGACGGATGTAGTTATGTTGAACTTTTTTCACGGCAGAAAAAAAAGTTCTCGGCGCGGAGATTAGCGCGACCCTATCATTCGCCGAGTTTTGTTCTCCCAACTCCCTCCGAACATCTCGACCTACGCCGTCCTGTCTGCCAGCAATAACCCCCAGGATTATCGCCATTATGTTCAAACCAACACAGTCAATGTTGGCGCGTGGTCGCTTGCGCCTAACTACCAAGCAAGTGAACGGAGGATACTACAAGGGAAATCGCACCGGCTCGATGGGTGTCTGGGACAAGAGAGGCACATACAAGCCTGATCCCTCTAAGCACCGTGTCTACATGTCACCGGAGAAGCTTGAGATCCCGGGGAAGTACTACTCAAGCAACGAAAAAAAGCAGCCTTTCTTGGTAAGCGCAACCTTCCGTTTGACATCCATTTTGTCCGAGAGTTGGATTTGCTAATGTAATATAGCTCGCCCCTTTCATCACCAAACACATGCGCCAAACCCCGTCGAATTACGTGCAGGATATTGAGAGGAATGGCAGAACGTCTACTGTGATCCGAGCATTCCAGGGTACAGACTATCTGCAGATGTGGGCCGACACTGCCGAAGGTGCAGAGGTTCGGTCAACAGAACCCATGCCCGAGAAGACTGAGACTGTGCCCACTCCCAAATTGAAGCGAGTTGAGCAAAAAGAGCTGCCTACCAAGCCAACGCCCGAGGCTTCCAAGCCAACAATCAAGACCAAGAAGTCGAAGACACCGAAATCCGTTAGACTTTTCTAGGTCCGCACAGTGAGTTGAAAGTTATTCGGGGCATGAAAGCTCCAAGAAACCGAATCATCCTAGCCAAGAGCGGCTATAAATTCCAAGTGAATGTGAGTTACACCCGGCCAGGTAGACTGATCATTGTCCTAATCCAAGATAGCAGTCACACCCAGCATACTCGACGCAGCCATTAGCTGCTGAGCATCCTACCACCCGCTGGCCGATCGAATATATCCCATGTATTATAGTTTTTACTCAGCCTACACCCAAGCCAGACCTCTGTCCGGCGCTGGACAACAAGAACATTGTATCACATAGCATTGAGAAAGTTTGGCGGAGCCATTAAAGATCCGCTTCCTACGAGCATCTACTTGGTATTTCGGAGCATCCCTGGGCCCGTTCCAAGGTTTCTCTCGGTGCATAATGAAAACAAAGGTGACCACGACCTCGGGAGCACCTAGCACCTACCGTTTTTCTGTGCTATATATCGACGACTATGTAGAGCCCAAGATTGGGCTATTGACATAGTGTAGAATTGTTGGAGTTGTGATGACCCTGCACCTATCTAGACATTGGCCAGTCAGCTCCCGAGGTCGGGTCTGACTTCAGGAGCAGCGACATAGAATATTCTAGGAGTTCAGGAGTGGCATTAGAGGTGGAAATACCCAAACAACATGTTCACCACGCCTTTGGCTTTGATATGTGCGTGGCCCGTGCGCACACCGATAAGCTCGGCCATGCACCGCCCGTATCGGAAACAGCGTATGTCATAGTTCTTCACATCACCATTCCTCTGATCTCGGAGATGCGGGATTTCATGGTTTTACAATCCCGTATTTGAAGATTGTCTGCCATTTACTTCACGCAGCTTCTGCTGCATCATGTTTCAATCTTTCACCGGCAACTCACGACGCCCTCGCCAGGTGAATCTCAGCGGTCGTGCTACCAATCCGTTTGCTGCATTCCCCGGAGGACCGCCTAGTCGCCCAGCACCCCATGCATCGAACCCCGAGAGTGCAGTGGCAAATGCCCAACGAGAGCGAGCACTGAGACAACTGGAAAGAGACCGACAGAACGCATCCCGCACCGTTCAACGAGTTTGGCGGGGCCATCGAAGCCGAACAACGACCTACAAGAGCTGGAAGTCAGAATGGGATACATATGAGTGGGAAAGGGTCAGCCCTACCCTGGGAGTTTCTGATGATACGGCCTCGATGACAGATGTTGAAAGACTGGAATGTTTACTACGCCTGTCCACACTACCATATTCCACAGCGGAGCAATGTCTGGGTCAGCTCAGGCCTCTAGTTCAGTTTGTGGGATCAGCCAAGAGACAAGAAGATATCCTGCGGCTGGTATACTTCTGCAACACATTCGAACAGACCTTTCATACTTTGCCTACAATTGCCACGGAGGGCGAATGGACAGGACTCCTGAAACGCCTTGCAACTGCTATTCTCAATGCACTTAGCTCATCAACCACTTCATCAACCCACCGCGCAGCAGTATTGCCTCTGCTTCGGACATTGGTCTTCCTGGTTGAGCTGATCCCGAAACGGATAGCAGCCAGCGCTAAACATTATTACACAGCAATGGCATATTTGACAACAAACATTACAACTATTGGTGACTATTTGTCTCCAGGCCACGTTACAAAAGCTGTAATAGCCCTCCTGCAACCGATCACCTCAGAAACGATGACAGCCTATGAAGCACTCGCCAGCTCATATTTGACGATCCCGAACTTAGCTGGTTATCTCGGTGAGCTCGACGAGCTGGCGCGTGAGATGAATTACAAGATGTTGGCGTCGGCAATTGAAACGTCTATACTTCTGGCGAAGGAGGGTGCCCTCGTCGGAAACACCGAGGCTCAAAATTGGCTTCTGTCATACCTGATCTTCTTCCACCGTTATGCTCTTCCAGGCCAGGCTAACCTCAAAAGCCCCGATCTTGGCTTCTTGACTGTGGTTTCTGGACTGCTAAATCTGACATCTACTCATCTTACAAGGTGCTTGGAAGCAGACGAGCCAAGCGATGAAGATTCCACCAATGGCCCTGTTCTCCATCCGTTCGTCAAAGACCAAATATCTAGCCTTGTCAACCAAAGCAGCATAACCGGGTTGCTCTCGCGCATCAAATCAACTCATATTTCCCAGCAAGATTTATCGAACAGCGATTCGGACGCTACGAGAGAGGCAAAAATTCTTGCGACATATGCTCTGAACTTGTTGAGGGTCTTTCCTCGGCGTGGTGATGACATTCGCATGTGGTTGTACATGGGATCGGCGTCGTCGGGAGATCAGATTTCCGGCCAACCAGGCATGAAGATCCCAGCGATCAAATACTTTTGGCAGGCGTCCAGGTCGAGTCAAATCTTCGAAATTATCAGCAACGATTCGAACAAGGTCCTTCCATTACTGCAACCTGCCCCATATAGCGATGGGCGTGTCGGTATTTCACCAGAGGAGCGAGACCAAGAGTGGACGATCATCCTTCTATTCTTCGAACTCTATACGTTCCTGCTAAAGGTCATGGACGACGAAGAGTTCTTCTCAAGTGCATCGCCATTTGCAGCCTCCGACAATTCTCATTCCTCATGGACTAAGGAGAGTGCGCTTCCCCTGAAGGATGTCAGAGACATGACCGTCTTCCTCAAAAATCTTGCCTTCACTCTCTACTGGAACCTGGCCGATTTGACAAGCAATGGAGAAACTGCGCCTTCTACAGGAGACCTTAGAAATTATTTCACCACCGCAGCGCAACCACCTGTGGACACTGCACGACAGGAAACAGAAGCCAAAGAGCGATCTAATGATCTTCCAGGTGTGACAGGAATCCCACTCGATTATTTCAAGGGCCTGGTCACGGGTTTATTGAGAATGCTACACGAGCGAGAGTAAGTCGAAACTGTTTGCTGTTGAATATGGTGTTTGAAGGCTTACCCGACTCTAGTTCGCGACGAAAGTTCCTTCCCCCGGATCATTGGCTCATGACAGATCGCTTCGACATGGAAGGATTTATTCCAGCTGTCGTCGCAGAAGAAGAAAAACGGCACGAGTTCCAAGAAGATGAGGATGATGCCGACACCGATCTTTTGGACGAAGAGACGCGGGAAGATTCCAATCTCGTCGGCAATAGCCATGCCCGGCAATTGGTCCGCCTCCAGGCTATGCGAGATCGTCAACAAAAGGCCGCTCGCGGCAAAGCTCTCGCACTTATTGCGCCAAGGCTAGAGATCCTTCGAAACATGCCTTTCTTCATTCCCTTTGCCACGAGAGTCCAGATTTTCCGTCAATTCATCTTCAGAGATCAGCAACGTCGCCGGAGAGGCTTCGTTGACCCCGAATCCTGGCGTCTCTCTGTGGCTCAAAATTCCTTGATCAGTGGTCCAGTCAGTGGCGCCGATATTTTGGCTCGCCATCACGCTGATATCAGACGAGAGAGTGTATTCGATGACGCGTTCTCTCAATTCTATGCTCTTGGTGATGGTCTCAAGGAGCCAATCCAGATCAGCTTCATTGATCAATTTGGAGCCATGGAAGCTGGCATTGACGGGGGTGGAGTGACGAAAGAATTCCTCACTAGTGTCACTTCGCAGGCCTTTAAGACTGATGATGGCGAGAGCATGTTTGCAGAAAATGATCATCATCTTTTGTATCCACACCCTGCAGCGGTTGAACAGCGCAAAGCGATACTCAACGAGGCTGGCCTACCGAGCTCAAGCGCTATCTGGCAGGACGAAGTACGGAACCTTCTTCGAAAGTATGAGTTCCTTGGCCGAGTCATTGGCAAGTGCCTTTACGAAGGGATACTGGTTGACGTCAACTTTGCGCCATTCTTCTTATTGAAGTGGGCTTTGACGGGTGGAAGTCGATCAGCAGTGAAAGAGTCTTCTTACCGCGCCAATCTGAATGACCTCAAGGATCTTGATGAGGGATTGTATCAAGGCCTGGTGAGTCATCCCGCGCATGGACCTCGGGACCCTTTCAAACCGAGATTTAAGATCGTTTAGCTGACCCACTTCTGTTAGCTGCAACTCAAGAACTATCCCGGCAACGTGGAAGACTTTGCTCTTGATTTCACCGTCAACAACACGATCCCGATGCCCAGTGGAAGACATCGTACGTCTACAGTAGAGCTGAAGCCAAACGGCTCCCAGACTGCTGTGACCAACAAGAACCGATTGGTCTACATCTCGTACATGGCGCGTTATCGTCTTCAGTTGCAACCTGCCATGCAGACCAATGCATTCCTGCAGGGCCTTGGTCAGATGATCCAACCCGCATGGCTCTCCATGTTCAACCAGTCTGAATTGCAAACATTGGTGAGTGGAGATAATGCTGACATTGATGTGGAAGATCTGCGACGGAATACACTCTACGGAGGGGTGTATGTGATCGGTGATGACAATTTGGAGCACCCTACGATCGCTTTGTTCTGGCAGGTCATGCACCAAATGAACAACGAGGAGCGACAAAAAGTGATCCGCTTTGTCACCTCGACGCCTCGGGCACCCCTGCTAGGGTTCAGTCATCTGCATCCCCGGTTCAGCATCCGAGACTCCAGCGAAGATCAAGAACGCTTGCCAAGTACCAGCACTTGCGTGAATCTGCTCAAGTTGCCACGATACTCGGATGCTGAAACTCTGAGGACCAAACTTCTGTATGCAGTCAGCTCGGGAGCTGGTTTCGATTTGAGTTGATGGGTGGGTGGTTTAGGGTCAGCCGAGCATTCCTTTGTTTTTGTTTGCTCGTACGCTGTACCTTCCTGTGTAAATGTTCGGACTAGACAGTTTCTTTTTGTGTTTCTTATCCTTCCAGCATGCATAGCATGGGCGTCGAATACCAATAATCTAAAACAAAGACAGAAGTGTGGGTTGAATACGGAGTACTAGACAGAGAGCTGAATAGATGAGGTTATAGTAAGCCCTTAAAGCGGCAAGAGCGACCGCCCAAAGAGGACTAGCGTACCAAACTCGTGCCTCTGAGTTTTCCAGAACGCCGAATCGCCTACGCAACTTTTTTTCTTCCTACAACCTCTCCTCCACATCCGTGTTCTCTCTTTCTTTAGGGAATCTTCTTCCTTTCTCCATTCGAGTTCTCGAATACAAAATCGCAAAAAAACACGAAAAACCCCCAGAAAATTTTTCCAGTTATCTTATCTCATTCCCGATTGTGCGGTGTGTTGTGTGGAAGATTTTCTTTCAACGACCGCCTCCATCGTCTACATTTCACCTGGTTAGTGTCACTTTGCTTTCGCCCCCCTTCTCAGTCGGCAGTCTCTATATATAAGAGACCGTTCATCTACTTGTTTCTTTTGCATGCCACTATCATCTTAGGCCACCCCGCTAATTCAATACAGTGTGCATTTGCTCAAGTGAAATTTCTCCAAACCCTCTGTTTCGTGGATAACTTGCTGTATGGCCCCTCTCTCTTTCATCTTTGATTCCCTTCGTCGTTTTTCTCAGTCTCCCTTTGGTCCCTTGTCAAACAGCCTGCATCGACTGTCGTGTAACCTTTATCTCACCTGTCTCCTTGTTTCCCCTCCCCCTCTCTCGCGATAGGCCCGACATGCACATGCTAAAACCCTTTTTCTCTCGAAGTGAAAACAGCCGCCATCATGTCTGCTGAAGCTCCCACCACCGCTCCCGCCGCTGAGCCTGTTGCCAACGCCAGCCCCGAGGTCAACGGCGCCCCCGCTGAGGCCGCCCCCGAGGCTGCTGGTGATGCTGCTAACAACCAGCCCCACTCGGCTTCCCTCTACGTCGGCGAGCTCGACCCTTCCGTGACTGAGGCTATGCTCTACGAGCTTTTCTCCTCCATCGGTCAGGTCGCTTCCATCCGTGTCTGCCGTGATGCCGTCACCCGCCGCTCCCTGGGTTACGCCTACGTCAACTACAACAACACCTCCGACGGCGAGCGCGCTCTTGAGGACCTGAACTACACCCTCATCAAGGGCAAGCCTTGCCGTATCATGTGGTCCCAGCGTGACCCCGCTCTGCGCAAGACTGGCCAGGGCAACGTTTTCATCAAGAACCTCGACAACGCCATTGACAACAAGGCTCTCCACGACACCTTCGCTGCCTTCGGTAACATTCTGTCCTGCAAGGTCGCCCAGGACGAGTTCGCCAACTCCAAGGGCTATGGTTTCGTTCACTACGAGACCGCCGAAGCTGCCAACAACGCCATCAAGCACGTTAACGGTATGCTGCTGAACGACAAGAAGGTCTTCGTCGGTCACCACATTTCCAAGAAGGACCGCCAGAGCAAGTTCGAGGAAATGAAGGCCAACTTCACCAACATCTACATCAAGAACATTGATCTTGAGATCACCGACGACGAGTTCCGCGTCATGTTCGAGAAGTTCGGTGACATCACCTCCGCTACCCTCAGCCACGACCAGGACGGCAAGTCCCGTGGCTTCGGTTTCGTCAACTACGCCAACCACGAGAGTGCCGAGGCCGCTGTTGCTGAGATGAACGAGAAGGATGTCAAGACCCAGAAGCTCTACGTTGGTCGTGCCCAGAAGAAGCACGAGCGCGAGGAGGAGCTCCGCAAGCAGTACGAGGCCGCCCGCATGGAGAAGGCCTCCAAGTACCAGGGTGTCAACCTCTACGTCAAGAACCTGACTGACGACATTGATGACGAGAAGCTCCGCGACCTCTTCACCCCCTACGGTACCATCACCTCCGCCAAGGTCATGCGCGACTCTGCTGAGCGCTCTCCTTCCCCCACCGGCGAGGAGAAGGAAGATGACAAGGAGAACAAGGACTCCGAGGAGACCAAGACCGAGGAGAAGACCGAGGAGAAGACCGAAGAGAAGACCGAAGAGACTAAGCCCGAGGAGAAGACCGAGCAAGATGAGTCCGAGGACAAGTCCGAGAAGAAGGCATTCGGCAAGAGCAAGGGCTTCGGCTTCGTCTGCTTCAGCAGCCCTGACGAGGCTTCCAAGGCCGTCACTGAGATGAACCAGCGCATGATCAACGCCAAGCCCCTTTACGTCGCTCTCGCCCAGCGCAAGGATGTCCGCCGCAGCCAGCTCGAGGCTAGCATCCAGGCTCGCAACACCATCCGCCAGCAGCAGGCTGCCGCCGCTGCCGGTATGCCCCAGCCTTACATGCAGCCCGCCGTCTTCTACGGCCCCGGCCAGCAGGGCTTCATGCCCCCTGGACAGCGTGGCGGTATGCCCTTCGCTCCTCAGCCCGGTATGCCCATTCCCGGTATGCCCGCCGGCCGTCCTGGCCAGTACCCTCCTTTCCCCCAGCAGGGTGGCCGCGGCATGGTCCCCGGACAGCAGCTCCCCCCCTAACTTCCAGGGTATGCCCATGGGCATGCAAGGCCCCGGTGGCATTCCTAACGGCATGGGTTACCCCATGGGCCAGCAGTTCGGTCGTGGCGCTGGTGGCCGCGGTGTTCCTGGTATGCCCATGAACATGCGTGGTGGACCCGGCTTCGGCCGTGGTGGTCCTCAGATGGGTCGTGGTCAGGGTCGCGGTCAGCCCGCTCCCGGTGGTCAGCCCGCTGGCGAGTCTGCCTCCTCCAACCCTGCCCTCCTTGCCGCTCCCCCCGCCCAGCAGAAGCAGATGCTCGGTGAGGCTCTTTACCCCAAGATCCAGGCTCAGCAGCCCGAGCTTGCTGGCAAGATCACTGGTATGCTTCTTGAGATGGACAACTCTGAGCTTCTTGGCCTGTAAGTTTATATTCGACTTTTTCCTCTCCCCCAACACTTACTAATTATTTTCGTTTAGGCTTGATGACGAGGAGGCTCTCCGCGGCAAGGTCGATGAGGCCCTTAACGTCTATGATGAGTACATGAAGAACAAGGGTACCGAGGGTGAGGCCACTGAGCCCAAGGCTCAGGAAGCCCCCAAAGAGACTACTGATGAGGAGAACAAGTCTTAATTGATGCGTTCAACTCTTTGTCTTTCTCGGAACTCTTTGGACGCACGTTTTTGATGACCTTTCCTTTCTCTTATCACTATTTGTTCCCACCCTCGACCTTTTCACCTCTATCTCTCCCTCTCTGATCCTGATATCCCTCGATTCGAAAAGTTTGTTCTTAGGCAATCACCTTCGTGGTGTTTAGTGAATGCGGTATGACATTCGGATTTTTTTCCCCACTTCTTCCTAGCTCTAGAGCTTCCTATCCCTCTTCTTATGTCTAGCCAGACTGGGCTACAGTCGACATGAAGATAGTACTGAGTTAGCGGGATCGCTAAATGTGCTTCTCTTGATGCTGTTGAATCAAAAATCGAATTGTTTCTTCAACGTCTGGAAGGGTGTTTCGCCGTTCTTTGTCTACTTTTGTTCTGCCGGGTTGTTTTATTTTGTTTTATTTTGTCAATTAGATTTATTCTTCACGGAAGGCTCTGGATACTGTACTCTTCAGATTGTGAGAGCAGCACCGGATAATAATCAAAGAGCTATGATGTTCAAAGTGAAAAGAGTGTAGTCGTAGGTCCTCCGAACTACCCCGAAATTAGCTTGGAGCAATGGCCGCTATTGTCAACCCGAGACAAAGCCGATGAGTCAGCTCCATCATCGGCCGGAGTGCCTGGCATCTGTGGAAAGCAATTTGCAAGTATCTTCTCACACTATGTATGCACAATGGCCTCGGAATTCGTGCCAGAGACCTCGGAAATTGGTTCCTTGACGGCGCACTCCAATGAGGACAGCCAGTTTGTCGGTAGCTCCAGCGGCGTCTACTTTATCAAAACCGTTAAACGTGCGTTCAACGAAGATGGTCCAGACTCATCAGAGTCCAACTTCCCCACCGCAGAGGAGACATTGGTAGGCGCCGAGGACTCACCTCGTGAAAAGCGTCAACGTACCGCGTCCGTCCGAGACACCGCTTCATTGGATGTCGATTCCCCAGTGGAATGGACCTACGACCCATCACTAATGGGGTCTATGGGCAACCTCCCACCCCCAGAGATAGCAAAGGATTTAATGATGATGTACTTCAAGGTCTGGCACCCACTATTTCCATTCCTGCACGGTCCCACATTCCTGCAGGCGATGGAGAAGGTCTATTCAAGCACGAATCAAAGTCAGCAGACGCAGGGTGCATGCATTGATCACCGCAGTACATGCTGGACGACCATTTTTCAATGCGTCTTCAACCTTGGCAGTCTGCTAGCACCCGACATAGCTCTGCCAATTGAATCTAAAATTCAATCACCGAGTGCCATCAATTTTCTGCTCGGGACACTTTCTTCACGCCACGATGTTGTTTCGCTACAGGCACTTCTGGCAATACAGGTCTATCTTGTTGCGACCATGTCCCTTCGTCAGGCTTCGACTGTTGGCGGCTGCATATTGCGATCTATGCTTCATGCAGGTCTCCATCGATGCCCTTATCGCTACAAACAACTGTCCACGCACGACCGGCAGCTGCGCAAACGGATCTTTTGGTGTGCATATGCGATAGATCGATATTTGAGTCAGGCTTTGGGTTTGCCACTTGGTATCCAGGACTCAGATGTTGATGTGTGCTTACCCGCTGCTCGTGAAATGCATTCCTCGCGCGGCCAGACCACTCAGGCTAGCAGAAAAACACCAAAATCAATCCCGTCAGATGGTGATAAAGCTAGTGGTCATGCTCGACCATCACAGTCATTGGACCCAGATGCAGTATCTGGCAATACAGAAGATCATGGCAAAGAAAGCATTATGGCCAGCTATGTGGACTCTGGCACTTTGACTGGACGCGCGTTGGAACTTTTCCATAAATCCATCCTGGTGCGATCTGTTCGTCGCAGTTCGGTTTTGTTTCTAGTGACAGACGTCCATAAATGGTGGAACAGTCTTCCACTAGAGCTCCAACGAAAACCACTAGCTGTCGAGCAGCGAGAGAGACCCCCGGCAGTTGATGATGGATTTGATTTTGGCCCTTTCTTCACGGTGCTCTATCAACATCTCATTTTGATCATTCACCGACCGTCACTATCACTGGACCCATCAACAGCAGAGTTCTGTTCTGGATTGCAAACATGCATCGGCGCATCTCGGTCTATTCTCTCTGCGCTTAGGCTACAAGTTGATAGCTCACAAGCTTTGTTTTGGCCGGGATTCCTCTCGGCGGCATGGATGTCCGGCTTGGTCTTAGCTTTGGCTTGCCAACTCAAGCAATATGTCTTAGCGAAGGGGTCGCAGTAAGTCTACAACATCAGCTCGGTGAATAGGAAGATTGGATGCTAAACAAAGCAGGGAAATTGAGCAAATATCAGAGTTCTTACGCCTGATGTCTGCACAATGGGAGACAGCCAAACACTGTCATATGTCACTGTCGGTACTAGCCGCGAAAATCAAACAAACACCAGGTGGTGCTGATTCACACTCTCAAGTATATGCGACGAGAGGAAGTCCAACACTCGGGGAGAGTTTACATGTGCGAGAAGAGCGGCGACGGAAACTCAGCGGCCAATCGCCTGTGCCAGAGAATCACCCTAACCTTTCGGAGGGTGCCAATTTTGAGAACCGTGGCCATCAATTAAATGAGTCAAACATTGATCATACATGGCGAGGGGAAGATAGCACCTGGGACCAGTCAGCCCACGTTCTGAATGGGAGCGAGTACGGCACTCTCGCTGAAACGCCATATTCCCTACATATGACTTTCCAGGACACCAATGCCTCCCAGTTTGAAGGTGTTTCAAATTTCGATTTGAACATGGTCGATCTGATACAAGGAGCCAACTTTGATAGCCTCTTTGACTTAACAGGACAACAGTATCCAAGCTTTTAATATAGGGGGATTAGTTCTACGTCTACTAGCCCGCAGCCATGAACATGCGTGAGCAACCTCAAACCACTCATGTCTACTTACAAACCTAAAGTTAAAGGAAGCAAGATGAAACAAATTTACAAGAACTCTTGATTATAATATCAGTCTCATAGTCTCTTTTGGAACTCCCACTGCGCCTTACTCCAAGCCCGAAATTAATCCTCACGACGGAACAACAGCTCTCGATTGACACGCACCCGACCTGTGCGAATCTCCTGTCGGTAAAAGTCTGCCTGCAGCTCTGCAGCCGCGAAGATCGAAGCTTTGCTGGAGTGGTAGTCACCGGGAGCCTTGATGGATATGCAGAGGGCGCGAGTGTGGTGCTCCGGTAGGACGGAAATGGTTGCGGCGCCAGTGCGGATTTGCATCACGATGGTGCGCATTAGGGTCTCATCGTCGAGTGCTTCGTCTTCGGCTCGGACAAGGACATTGACCCAGTTGGAGACCTGACGGGGGTCGTATTCTGGTTCTGGGATCAGCTCCCCGTCTTGATAGAACATGCTCTGCATACTGGATAATCTTAGTATGTGCTCGGTTTTTAGCATCCTGCTATATTCTGACCTGCTGAGAGTGGTCTGATGCGATGAGTATGCTCTGGTGGAGTTGATTGGAAGTGGACGAGAGAAGGTCGAGGTGGTTGGATTGGCAAGAGCATTATATGGAGAGAACGAGCTTGAAGGCTTGTCGAGTTGAAAGAGTCGCATTGTTTGGAGACAATGCAATCAGGTCTTGGTCTTTGAATTCCTTTGAATGCTTTTGTCAAGTTGGTCTTACAGCAATTGAGGTGAAAGAGATCAAAGCCATTTTCTTCTATTCAAGGAACAAGCATCAGACTTCAACTGGGCTCCTCTCAACTTGAGAACCTTGTCCACACTGAGAACATCATCACGTCTATTTCTTTTTTCTTCTCTTAAACGACATGCCCATATAGAGCTGTTCAGGAACACAGCTTCAGGACCCAAAACAAAACAAGTTCTCCTCTCGCACACACATCTACCTTCGGAAAAGCAAGTCTCGATTGATCCGTATCGTTCCCAACGCGACCTGCGATCTCAAATGCTCCACTGATAGCTCCGCCGCAGCCAAGATTGACTCTTGGTCATGGTGGTTTCCAGACACTCGAATCGAGAGGCACAGCGGGGACTTGTGATGCATGGCATGATTGGTAATGCTGACCACTCTAGTATGGATACAGGTGATTATTGTGTGCATTATCGCCAGATCATCGCCTCGAGAGTCGCCCTGGTCGAGGAAGACATTCACCCATTTGATCCCATCGGCGCTGGGCGTATTGGGTTCGACCTCGTGAATGGCAATCCCATTTCGATAAAACATCTTATTTATTAGTGCGCTTCTCTCGGAAGACTAGGGTAACTTACAGCCATTTCTCTGTGTATCAAAGAAGATGGAGCACTGCTGATGGATCTGGTAAGTGCGTTGATAGATCCACTCTTATACCTCAACAGGGCTACTTAACCAGAGGAGACTGTTTTCCACTTGAACAAGTAAGAAATGGTTTCATGTGGCTACAATGACAAGTCTGAACTTGCCAAAACACTCAGCTGTTACATCTTTTGTAAGGCCAATCTGTGCTTCCATTTAGAACTAAACTACTCCTCGTTTTAGAATCAGGCATCAGGAGCGGTTGAAAGGTACATCTCTAGAAGTCAAGACAAGTTGATTGAGAGAAAGTCCGGTCGAAGGATCGCTATTCTCGATTTAAGATCATGCAGTCTCAACTGAGCAATGCACATAATGTTATTCAGGGACTCACAGGGAGACGTGAAACCAAACCAGACATGAGACGACAAAGGGAATCTGAACAATGAATTGTTTCAGACATTCTTTCAGCGCAACTTTTCAATCTCAGCACAAACAGCATCAACTACCCCTTGGGTGTCAGAAGTTCCTCCCAGATCAGGAGTCAAAACACCAGCACTACAGACACTTTCCACACAACTCATCAACTTCGCCGCCGCCTCCTTCTCCCCAATCCAGATGAGCATCTCGGCTGCGGACCAGAAGGTAGCGACAGGGTTCGCGATGCCTTTACCCGTAATATCGAACGCACTCCCGTGTACAGGCTCAAACAGTGAAGGGTTCTTCCGCGTGGGATCGAGATTACTCGAAGGCGCAACACCGATCGAGCCCGCCAACGCAGCAGCCAAATCCGAAATGATGTCCATATGCAAATTGGTTCCAACAATCGTATCGATTGAATCAGGCTTTCCAACCATGCGGACGGTCATCGCGTCAACAAGCATCTTGTCCCAAGTGACATCCGGGAAGTCCTTTGCGACAGAGGCAGCGATCTCATCCCAAAGAACCAGTCCGTTACGCATAGAGTTGCTCTTCGTGACAACGGTCAACAACTTGCGGGGTCGTGACTGGGCGGTCTCAAATGCAAATCGCATGATGCGCTCGATGGCATGGCGGGTAAAGATGGCCACTTCGGTCGCCGTTTCCCAAGGTTGTCCAACGTGCGAGCGCCCACCTTGCCCTGCATACTCGCCCTCGGAGTTCTCTCGCACAAGCATCCAGTCTATTCCTTTAGTTGCGGTGTTGAGGGGACACTTGGTTCCTGGGAAAGTCTTCACGGGTCGCACATTTGCATACAGCTGCAGCGGCCCGCGGAGAGCAAGAAGAAGGCCCCAAAGAGAGATGTGATCGGGAACATCTATGATATGTGTGAGTTATCATCCTCGTGTTACACCCAAAGGCAGTGAGAGCGTACCTGGTGCGCCGACGGCGCCGAATAATCCAGCATCGTATCTTCGTAGAGTGTCCAAGCAGTCGTCGGAAACATATTTTCCGGTTTCTTTGTAGTATGCGGTTCCCCAGGGAATGTGATCAAAATTGATATCAAAGGTGCCAAGTGTCTTTGCGAGCTTCTCGACGACCTGGATCGTGGCACTGACTACCTCAGGTCCGATGCCGTCACCAGGGATGGAGGCAATGCGATACGACTTGATGGAAGGCATTATGAGATGTATGGATTTAGAGATTAATCTACCATAGGAAGCTTAGAGGGGTCTATAAATAAAGGCACCTGTGACAGAGATACATACGGCTGGCTGATGGTTTACCCTTGCTGAAGTATAGAAAGGACCGAATGGCCGCTCTCGCGGGCGCGCTGCCATAGTCGTCGGCAGAACTTTCAGGCGATGAGATTTGCCACTTTACTACTCCTCCACCTCACACTTCATTCCAACACACAAGAGCAGATATGGGCAAAGAAAAAAGACCAGCACGAATTACGATCGCATGCAATGCATGTCGATCAAGAAAGCAAAAGTGCAGCGGCCAAAAGCCCGTTTGCGAACAATGCCTCGGAAACAATCGCCCGTGTAAATGGCCTGAGCAGCTACGAAGAGGCCCAGAAAAAGGCTACGCGGAGGCGCTGGAGAATCGACTCCAACTGACAGAGAGCATACTATTAAATCTGCTTCCGCTCGTGTCTGACGAACAACTCTCTTGGGCAATCCCTCTCCGGGAGAGTGGTCAAGATCATGGCACTGCGTATGTGCCATTTCCGAGACTCGAAAAGAGGGGAATTGATACTTGGTCACAATTTCCTCTTGATACATCTCAAGGTATCCGGAGGTGGCACCGAGCCTGTGTGGATGGCAGTGTGGGCTCAGATGCACCGAGCCCCAAGAGACGACGCGTGCAGAACGAGAGTCCTCCGGGTTACAACGGCGATACTGTTCATATTTCCAGAGAGACCCCAGATTCTGGAAGTGCTACTGAGCCACCGTATCCGTTCATACCAGACACCCCCAGCGCCATTGAGGGTTATCCAACCCAGTCACCCAGTAACGCAAGTCAAGATCCCACTGCAGTGCAGAGAATGAGCACCTGGGATGGAGCTCCTTCAATGGAGTTTCAACGACAGTTCCTCTGGTGAAGATAGAACCCAATTCTCGTTCTCTTTTCCAACGTCTCTTGGGGCATCTCTGTCTGTGATATCTTTGAAGTCATTCCGATGCATTTACACAGCGCAATGTAGCGCGACTCGGCAGCAAGAATCTTTATTGATCCGCTGATTGCAGTGACTCTGCCCTGATACCTCTGAATGGTGATTCAGACTACTTTCCCGGAAATACCCCGGGCATCGCCCCGCGCACGGTCTTTTGGGGCCGTTCGACGTCGTTGCCGATCACCGACCTTCTCGCCCCCTAACGCGGCAGAGAGCTGAGCCCCGCGGTGGGGAACTTGTGTGATTTGGATAGTGCGGTGAAATAAAAGATGGATCAATTCTTGACAGCAAAACTGAATCCCAGAAGAAAAAGAAAACTGGCTCTGTGGGTGTGATCATTTGTACACCATGGCGATCAACAAGGTACCATCTCATCAACCGCCCAATTCAAATTCAACACTTCTAATTCTTATCCAGGTGATTATAGTAGGCACAGGACCATCTGGTCTGATTCTCGGCCTCTTGCTAGCAAGGAAGGGTATCCAAGTTGAACTGTTCGATGAAAGAAACGAATTGAACGACCAGCCACGTGCAGCGCACTATGGATCACCTGCCATATACGAGTTATCCCGCGCAGGAGTCTTGGATGATCTCAAAGCGGCGGGACTCTGCCCCAAAGCTTTCGTCTGGAGAAAACCCGACACTAGCTTGATCGGGGGTATCAATTTCGCAGCTTTACCCGAGGACTACCCATACAGAATGCAGGTCCTCCCATTGGACCAATTGGGCCAGATTCTATACGCTCATCTCCAACGCCAACCAACCGCAAGTGTTAATTGGGGTCATCGAGTTGTCAAGGTCAACCAAGAATTCAATAAGGCGTGGATTGATGTCGAAACATCGACTGGCGTGCATCGAGCGGAAGCAGACTATGTTGTTGGCTGTGATGGGGCGAGCAGCATAGTTCGCCGCCAGCTTTTTGGACCGGAGTATCCCGGTGAAACTTTGGATGCTCAAATCGTTGCTACAAATGTGCGGTGAACATTCTGCGAGAAAAATCCATTGTTCTAACTCAATCGCTGCAGGTCTACTACGACTTTGATCGCTTTGGTTTTACAGAAGCGAATTTCATCATTCATCCCACGAATTACTACCTTGCTGCCCGGATCACGAAAGATGGTATGTATCGTGTATCGTACGCCGACACTACTGGTCTTAGTAGAGACGAATACATCGCGCGTCAACCACAGCGATACGAGGAGATTTTGCCTGGAAACCCCAAGCCTGAAGACTACCGGATCACCAACGTCTCTCCCTATAAACTCCAGCAACGGTGTGCGCCTAGTTTCCGAGTTGGGAGGGTCCTCCTTGCAGCTGATGCAGCGCATGTTTGCAACCCCTTGTGAGTACATCCATAGCCATGAGCACCCCCGTACGAACCTCACAGGAAAGAGGAAGATGTGCTAATCTAAACTTGCTTGTAGCGGCGGACTTGGACTGACAGGTGGCATTGTGGACGTGGGGAATCTTTTCGATGCATTCATTGGCATCCATGAAGGACTGGCAGATGAAGAGATTCTGGACCGATACAGCGAAGAGCGCCGGCGCATATGGAAGGAGGTTATAGATCCCATGTCGAGAGAGAATTTCCGGAGAATGTGGGACCAAGATGCCGATACCGCGCGTGAGACCGATGAGTTCTTCCGGCTGTGTGCGCATTCCGAAAAGGATGATAATCTTGCTCAACAATTGGCTTTGGTGAGTTTAATTTCTACTGTCTAGCAAACCTTGGGGCTAATTTGTGGTTGGTTCAGGGTTTGGATATTCTGAAGTTTGATATGACACAGTTCTACACCGGAAGAGGCAGGCAGGAACAGGCTTCAAAATTGTGATTGGATTTGAGATACTGTCTGAATTGACATTAGTGATTCTCTTTTTCTGTTAGGCTCTCTATGTCGATCATGAATTCCAAGCAAAGGCGTCTTCATCAAAGGAGAATAGATCATTCTGAAGGCCCGGGAAGTTGGCAAAGTCCGCAGCTAGGTTCAAATCCGGCATCTGCAGGAAAGCAGAGGGTACCGAGTCAGATTGCACAGTCGATGGGTGAGTAGGATCAGTCTGTTGAAGCTGCAAAAGTGAGCAACAGCGTCAATCTCAAGATCAGAAATCCATCAACTTACTCCGAAAGATGACACCGCATCAGCGGTCAGAAGATACTGGCGACAAGCAGAAAGAGCCTTTTTTGCGCCCTGCATCATCCATCCTTGTTTAGTCTCTAGTGAGCCGCGGCCGCGAACTGACTGCAAAACGACTGAAAGGAGGAGAATGTCCTTAAAATTGTTCCCCGCCTCGCCTATGCGACGGGACAAGCTATCAAGAGTATTTTCGACCATTCGGATGAGACTTGCTTTTGTATGCGGCGCACTGGTAGTGGGATCTGGCCCTTCGGCGACTTGGTCTGCATTCTGGGTTGACAGCTTCATGTATTCGCAAACGCCAAGTGCTGCTGACATTATATCATTTTGACAGAACGTATGGAATATGTCCCAGTATCCACTACTGTTCTGGACATCGAGGTCAGCGAGATTGGGGTCGAAGTAGTCTTGATAGGATAGGACCGCTAGAGATGAGTCAAGGGATGAAGCGGACAAGTCAGGAGTTTTTGATTTGACAGATCGGTAGAGACATAAGAGCGGTCGGCGGATGTAGAGGTCTAGGAGAAATTGGTTGAACAGAACGGATGGGTCACTTTGGCTGCTTGAATTCCGATTCATCCTTAATGATGAATGAATATCCCGTAGATAATTTTCCAATGTTTGTCTTTGCTTCATGTATTCGTTGGAGTCGATCTTGAGACCCAAGTGGTGTGCGGTGTTTACGGCCATTATGCGATGAGAAAGACTCTTCGCCAATGTTATCAGGGCGAGACTGTCGGTACGTTCCTCTGAGGGTTTAGAATCAGGTAGCTCAGTTGTGGTGTGATCGAAATCGGAGTCGTTGAGGTTAGCAGGGTAGACATCGTGGAAATCAAGCTGGGGTGTCATTATTGGCATCCCGGTTGTGATTGAAGCTTGTAGATCCATTTCAGCGATGGTAAACCATAAGCGACGTCGAATTTCAGCTTGATAAATTGACATCTTGGTAGACCCAGAGAAATTGACATGCAACCCCATGACCATTGCAGAGCGGACAAGCGAACCGGCTTCTTTCCAGGATTCTTCGGCTGCGACCGAGCGAAGCTGGCGGGCGAGGAGAATGAGTGTCTCGATTTGGAGCGTGGCAAGTTCCGTTCGGTGTTTACGCGGAAGATTCCGGAGCCATGCTTGGAGTAAATTGACAGAGTTGAGCTTCAGGTATTCCCAGGAATCGTAATGGTCAGCTTCAATGACCTTGTCACCCAAGGTGACCGAAACAGCCAGTACTGATGTAAGCTGGGGCACGAACGAGGAACCCAGGTAGAGCTCATCGTCCGAGTGAGCCCAGAACTCGTCATACTGGCGGAGGAACGACGGGACATGTAGGATTCTGAGGGTTTGCTCAAAATTTGTGGTATAAATGGTGAGCAATCTGTCACATACTTCCTTTGGGGGCAGACATTTAAGTAGCTGCAGTAGCTCTGGAAAGCCTTCCAATTCAGAGATTGATTGCGGAGAGCTGAAGAGTGATTTCGTCTTGCTCTGCAAAAATTGCACCTCTTTGGCGAGCTTCACAATCGAGGAATCTTGACAACATTGATTGACAAATCCTTTTGCTTCGTCGAACTAAGATGACGTGAGACTTTATATCTGGAGATAGCACTTCAACATACTTGATTCAGGAGAGTAATCCTGCCGTTTTGGCCATGGTACCGGGACCGAGAGCCCTTGACTACCAACGTACCAGGATGTGACTGCAACCTTGGTGATGGCAGGTCATTAAGCCTGTAGGCCTGTGTGGTAAGCAAGGGTTAGGAAAATTTGTCGAAAAGGCTCTCACCAAGAGTTTTGAGTGGGTAAATCCCTGCTGTCTCGAATAGCAAGCAGTTCCTCAACTCGAGCTAGGCGTTGCTGTACATCTTCGATGATGCCGATCTCCCTTTCTTCTGGGCGCTTGGCAATTTCAGGAGCAAGCTGGATTCGCTTGGCCCTTGGGATTGACTCTGGATGTTGATTGTATGTACAATCCGACTGCCCTGCCTTGTTGCAGTTCTCGCAAGGATCGGCACGGTCGCATTTCAGCTTCTTCTCTCTGCAGCGGAGGCAGGACACCACCGGCCGTGCCCGCTTGTTGCCCTGGGAAAGCAAGCTCATGTCGAAAGCATCATTGGTGAGCAAGAGGTCGTGTTTGATTTCTGTTGCGCGAGAAAGAAGAAAGAGAGCGAGAGAAAAAGGAGTCATCTACACTTGCGGGTTCGGCCCCAGAGTCACGCCCCAAAACGCGTTTCGCTCGCACGTCCTTTGATCCTGCCTGATGAATGATCTACGAAGCACATTGTACTATGTAAGTATTTGTTTATTCCGTATCCAGAAATCTTATTCATTAATTCTACTTTTCCAAAGCCTTCTTAGTAAACTTTTGAGGTTTTGTTTTTTGTTTGTTTTTTGTAAGCCTTGTCATTGACTCATTGCAGCATCTTTCAAATTTGAAACATCACTATCATCAGACTCAATTCGAGGAAAAACTAATGTACATGCTTAAATCACAGACCGACGACTTCTTGAAACTTCTCAGTTGGTAATGACAGGTGCGGCGTTATCCCATTTCGTCTGCAACGCCGCATCAACCAGGAAGAGGGCAACACCGATACGGCTGCAACTGCCCATCAAACCAACTCCCTCCCCATCCCTTGGCCATTCCTTCACCTCAGTAACGTCGGTTTCAACCAGACGCGAAGGTCTCACCAATACAAAAGTCAAACCACTATCCCGTATCTCCTTCTCGGCGAGATTATGGTCGTCATATGAGTATGCCATGTTAGACTTGCTCATAAGCAGACGCATCGCACATGGCATCTTATCCCATGATGCGCCTACACCGTAAGCTTGAAGAACGACAATCTTCTGCACGCCGAATTCTTTCATGACCTGAGCCACGTTGGCGTTGCTGTCTGCCATCATACGTGGAGGGGATATCGGTGCTGCGAAGGGGCTATCCTTCTCTCGAAGTGCGCTGAGGGTGACAATCACCATGTCTGGGACATCAACTTTGAAGGCATCTCGGATATCAGATGTTTCAAGGGGTGTGCCTACTTCTAGTTAGTTGAAATAATGAATCTGATAGAAAGGATTTCGTACCTTTCACAACATCTAGACCTGTTCGTTGATCCAGGGAGGTAGGATTTCGGACCAACGCTGTAACTTGATGTCCTCTTTTAAGAATATCTTCGATGACGAGCTTTCCGGTGCGACCACTTCCTCCGATGATGAAGAACCGCATACTTTCGATTAAGACTTGATTGGAAGTTTCAAAGTTGTGACCTCGTGAATGTAGTATATTGGCAACCTTGGAATCTGTTTGAATTGAATGCTGTACGAGATTTCAAGGTTCTTTCTTATATATTTCAAAAATTTGTATCTCTAGCAAATCTCTCGTATAGAATACATTATGTCCGAAGGAGATATCCGGATCCGAGAATTTCGGATCCGACCGGAGAAGACTACCTAACCAGCTGGAATGTCTACGGAAAGATCCTAGCGCATTAATCGCGTTGGATATAATATGATCGATCCAAATCTTGGAAGTTTCATTGGAGATTTATCCCCTCAATGTCCTTGAGATATCTCGAAAATCAGGTAAAGTGGGAGATTTTGCTCACATGAGCCGGAAGGGCCCGAGGGGGTTTCCTTGACGAATCTATACACTCATTTCAGTTGCGACGATGTTTTACTGTATGCCATGTCCACGGAGCTTGGTAGTTCGCCATATCGAGCATCCATAAGAGACCTCGGGAGATAATTGCACATGACTCCTACAACCATTTCTCGGTTGTGTCCGGGCCTTGTATGCCATCTCCATTAGAAAACCAATGGATCTTCTTGGGCGGCCACCGGTACTTTTGGCATCTCCCCTATTCTATAAAGTTCTATTTAGTATCTCCTTCTGAGTTTATCCTCGTCGAAAACTTGGAAACTTTCCAAGATTCAACTCCCCAGACTTCGAAACGCGGGGTGCGCGTCGGTTTTTGTTTTCCGTAAGCTTCGACTAATCCAAAACAGGTTAGACTAGTTTCGGTGATATCAGCGATTGGCTGCACCGTGCAGCATGAATGCTCAATCGAACGACATCTTCATTGCCAACGGCGCCGAATTCTGCGCCACTTGATGGAATTCTTGCTAGAACGTACAGGCTTTCCCCGCTACTGATATCCAAGAATGAACCAGTGATATCACCAAAACCACGCCGAGTGCGCCAGCAGTTTGAAGAGCCAATAGCTAGCAACGTGCAAGTATGTATAGTTCGGATTAAACATTTCCCCTACCCCGCAGTAAGAACTGTTCTACCAGGGACTTGAATTTCGATATTTCAACATCATGCCAATCTAATTTGACAATGCGTGATATACCAAAACCAAGTACCTCTACCAAGAGACGGCATCATGCCTCGATGGCATGTGTGGCGTGTCGGGAGAGCAAAGTCAAGGTGAGTGTCTGGCTCGGTGAGAGAGAAATGGCGAAACTGACCACAGCAGTGCGATGGCGGTGATCCAAAATGCTCTAGCTGTACCAACAAGCACCGCGAATGCCGCTATCAGGCCGTGGATAAGAGAAAGTAATTACAAGCTCAACTATTTACCGTGCAAATAGGCCTACCAGTCCACGGACAGTGCTGATATCATGCAGACTACCACTGAGAGTTGCGATTGAGCTACTATCGAGCAGAGTAGACCAGCTCTGTCTTTTCATTCGCGCCAACGGATTGGTAGCCCCGCCCATGTCGCAAGAAAAAGACACAGCGTTGATGAAAGTTCTTGATGTCTTGGGACTGACTGAAGTTCACTCCAATTCCATGCCAACACAAGAGCAAAAGGCATCAAATTCACAGTTTGACATTGCGAATATACTCAACAACTCTCAGGATAATGTTCCGCCCGCGCCATCTGCTGATGCTGCCGTTGCAGGCGAACCAAATGGCGCATGGGCCCAGACCTCTCCGGACAGCATATCGCAAACATCTCAGACTAATCTCATACAAGTCCCCAGTCCTCATGCCGTCTCCACATTACCAATATTTCCGGAAGTCGAAGATCTGGACGTCTCGGTCGCAGGTTCTTATCCACCGACAAATGATCAGCCGGATAATCCTTTAGGCAATCTGGGCAATTGGGACTGGACCATGGACTTCGGGGCTTCTTTAACCCCACCTTCACCAGAGATAGAAAATCTTAGCGCGGAGGCTCTACAAATACCATCAAAGCCAGTGGAAATCATGCCCGAGCCCTACAAACCACCTCATGCTCAAGATACAGCTACTCTCGACAAGGATGCTAAGAGTCCGGAAGAAATTGAGGATCTTATTGACGAACTCTCTGATCGAGTCGGCACTCTTCGTTTTGGCCCTGAAGGCCAATCTTACTTTTATGGTCCGACGTCAACATTCAACCTGGCAGACGATGATACTCCGGTATCTGACTCACAACCAAATCGCATCTCTATCTACAATGGCGCAGACTTTGACACGGCAGTCCCAACAGCTCTGCAAGATCACCTACTCAACTTATATTTTACTTGGCAAGATCCATCTTTCCACGTTGTCGATCGAGAGATGTTTGAGAAAGGAAAGTCAGCAGACTTGAGAAAAGAGAAAACCCCCTACTATTCGGATGCTCTCCTCTATGCAATGTAATTGCTCCCCTTCTGTTTGTAAGAATTTCTTTGCATACTAAGTCTTATATCCAGGTGCTCTCTCGGCGCTGCATTCGAAACCCGCTATCACCCCTCATTCGTTACATTCCCCAAATCCTTGGGTGAGTTTTTGGGAGATCGAGCCAAGATTCTTCTTGAAATGGAGTTAGACTATCCCTCCGTCTCAACAGTCCAGGCTTTGATCATTCTGAGCAGTTATGAAATTGGGATTGGGTCTGACACTCGTGGATGGCTCTACAGCGGTATGTTATTCCCAAATCTAAACATCTCCTTGGCTAAAAATAAACCCAAAGGAATGGCATTGCGACTTGCTTTTGACCTCGCTTTACATATTGATCTTTCTTCTTATGTTGCTCGGGGCTCTGTGACAGCCGCTGACGCCAAATTACGCCGAACCGTATTTTGGGCTGCATATATGGTTGACCAGTTCGTTACTCACACTCGATCAACCCCCATCACACGCACTAACCTATATTGACCATGCTAGCCTTGTTGGTTTCTATCTTGGTCGGCCATTTTATACTAACATGGAAGATGTGACCGTCAAAAAGCCTGATGATAAGATACAGCACCAACAGTCTCACAACTGGACCCCATACGGATCTCCCATTCCCTTCGCCGATAGCTTGGAGACCGGAGATTGCATAGAACTCGTCAGTCGACAAGAAGTTCTACTATGTGAACTGATGGCTCCTTGCGGTTATTTCCTGTGAGTAGTTCTCTTATAAAACGGGCTTTGCCTCGGCTAACATCTTACCAAGCTATGGAACAGCAGGTATTCCAAGATCAAAACTTCAACCTCTGAATGAGAAGATTGTTGCAGAATTACTCGACTGGAAAGCCCGGCTGCCCTCATTGATTCAAATCGACCTCACCGATCACACCACCCCATACCTTCCTCATGTTTTGTTACTGCAGTAAGTCATCAGCCAGCTCTGTTTTCCTCCCTTGATCTCTCTCATATGAGAACTTGTCTCACCTCTTTCAAAGCATGCAATATTATCAGAATCTCATCTACAGCCACCGACCCTGGATGTCAAAAGGATATCTCCAACCTCAGCCACCAAAAGGGCCCGGCTATACACACGCACGAGAGATGTGCATCAGTTCCGCCATCTCTATCGCAAAAATTCTTGTACTATACGAGACCAGGTATACACTTCGCCGCATCAACGTGAAAGCAGTCTCCATCACTTCTTCCGCTGTCCTCCTCCTCCTCTTCGCCGCGGTGTCCCAATACCAAACTTCAGATAACGATAACATTACCGCCCATCTCAGCACATGCTTCAGGGCCTTGGATGAATTCTCTCTATCTTGGCAAAGTGCCAATCGCGCCAAAGATCTTTTGGTACGACTGCAGCACAGGTGGGAGATCCGCACGCGGATCAATAAGCCTGATCGGGGCCCCGATGGCACCGGGTACCCCCCAAAGAAGCGATTTCACAAGTTGAATGGATCACAAGCCAACCAAGGTGGTGAAGTTATTTCTGGGGCCCGTCTTGCTCCAAGGGATTTGCAGTTAGAATCTGGGTTGGGCTGGATGCTCAGATTAAGTGGACAATTGCCTTCCGATGGCGATGAGGATCTCTATTCTTTTGTTGCAAATACTGAGCTACCCGAAGCTGGTTACGAGGGGGTGTGAATTTAATGTATCTTGAGATTTGCTGATTGTTGTTGTATCGTAAAGAGTCAATGAAAGCAGACGCAAATCGAATTACTACACTGATAGCGCGAGGCATAAATATGGACTTCGAGGCAACTTCCTGCAGTTTCCACATATTTTGGTGTTTTGTCCTTCAAGCTGGCAGCTTTCATGATGCTTCACTTAATGAGAGCGTGTCTCTTGCAGGAAATTTCCAGTGACGTGGGCTGCATGACACCAACCCTCTAGTGTGTCAGACGGGTGCTTGGACGCAAGCTAACCCGATTCATCGTCGGGCAAGTTTCGTGTGAGATCCTCGGATAAGCCGCCAGTCATGGCACAGAGCAAATATTTGCGGAGACACGAGTCAGTATCTGAGTGGGGACAGGCCTGAAGTCGGGAAATGAAGAAGATCGGCCTGACCCCAGAAAAATAAATGCTGACTAATAGCATTTCCCCCACCCTTCCAATGGACCGACAGCGTCCGTCTTCCGTTGATTCGCGGCGTTATGGTTTTGAAGAAATGCTCTGTCTGTTCAAGAGTCTTCAAGAAGACTGAACATTATAAGAGGCATGAGCGGTCCCGTCAGTAACTTCAAACGTGGACCAATTTTACCCCGACCTAACATCTAACATAGACACCAAAGAACGTCCATATGAATGTGGCGTCTGCCACAAGCGTTTCTCGCGAAGGTGTGTTTCGGTGAAAGCATTCAGTAGCCAGAAGCATCTTTTTGGTTGGTTATATAGGGGCTAATCTGAGTACAGTGACGTGTTGAGCCGCCATGCCAAGGGCCATAAACAAAGCCACGCAACAGTTGGCCCTTCAGATGTGCAAGTTTCACGGCCATCTTTAATAGCTTCAGCTTCAACTACAGGTGCAGATAATGCATCTGTCAGCACGGGGGTGCCAATTCCGGCGTTTCCTCCAAACACACAAGAAACGCCCCTCGCAAGCGGACTGCCATCATCGCTGGATTATCTGGCCGACATCTCAGCCCACCATGGCCGGAGCGAGACGGAATTAAATCCAATGATAATCGACGAACAGCAGCCTTACTATGGGTGGAACGAAGTTACGCACGCAGATTCATCACAGCGAGCCGGCTTGGCGTTCGACCCTGTGCCCCCTGCGCCGAAAGACATGCTCCAATTATGGCTCGAGCCTCGCACTGATACTGTGTCTAATAGCTCGTTAGATTTGATGCATGAGAATCAACTTCCTCTCATAAACGATAATCTGATACTTACGCCAGATCTCCATCGGCGTTCGGTCGAAAGCAAGTCCGGCAGCGACAATATTCCCAATGAGCGGTTCTTCAAAGTCCAGCGGTGCTGGTTGGCACCACCTAGTGCCGGACGTCTCATTAATAGCTTGTGGCGGGATACTGCAATGTCTTCAGTCGATAACATCTTCTCTGTTCAATCCTTGCACTTCTCTGATGACACAAATGCAGGTCAGGGGTCGCGTTGTGGTTTTGATGAGGATTGCAGACGACGACTACAAGCAGCTTACGGACACGACTCTCATCCCCAGCACACGAACACCGGTATCTCTCCGGGGACACCTGTTTCAGCATCTCATTACTCCAGCTTCCCTCCAGCTGAGATCTTTGACATGTCACTTGATCATTACTTCCGGCTTTTCCATCCACTCTTGCCGTTCGTCCATGTTCCCACTTTCTCTGCGAATAAAACACGACCATCACTCCTATATGCCATGACGCTGGTTGGAATGACGTTACTTGGTACCAAGGGAACTACTGCCTTCGTGTCCAGGAATTTCTCGGTATGATTATTTTCTTTCTGGCATTATAATGCTCACTAACTGACGAATCCTCAGACTGTTTTGGATAAAGTGACAGTCGAGTTTGCGAGATGCTCATTAGGTCTCGAAAATGCTGCTAGCACCATGACCTTGTTCGCCACAGCCTTGCTGCTATTGGAGTTGGCAGGCTTGACAGGGGTAACACTTCTCTCTTGGTCCAATGGGGCGCTCATGCTAATTGAATTCCTTTTACAGAATAAGGCACATCTAGAGCAATGCCAACCCCTTTATATCAACGTGATGTCGGTATGTTTGAGTCTGGAAACTCCATTTAGTTGGTTGTGGCTATGTTTCTGACGGTGTTCTGTAGGTTGCTCAGCGTCATGGGCTGTTCTCAGCCACCGAAGGTCAGATACTGGATATGACTTTGTTCGAATCGGTCCCCGATATAGACATGAGGTGGAAAGCATGGAGCAAAGTTGAGTCCACTAAAAGGCAAGTCCTCTGTCCTGTGTGGTCATCAAGAATTTTTCTAACAATATCCCAGGATAATCATTGGACTCCTCCTCCTAGACTCCTGGTACTCCTCATTTCTCTCAACAAGTCCAATAGTACACCCAGACTCGATTCAAATCATTCTTCCTTGCAGCGAAGATCTTTTTCGCGCACACTCATCAACCCAGTGGACTCAGCTCATACGCGGCGGCAAACGCATTCTCTCATTGACGATCCGCGCACCCTCCGAAAAGGTCAACATCCCAGCCTTAGAAAGTCCTCTAGAAGACTTCTGTGTCCAATCCGTGTTATCGATCGTCCATCTTCGCCAGTCTGAAGCCTACCATCGCCTCCTTTCCAACCGAGCCAGCTATCCCTTTGCACCGTGTCACATATACGCCATGGACGGCCGCGCTAGATGCCTGCCCTCACTCCAATCCCAACTCATCACAGCTTATGGCGAAATTCTCGATCAACTCAACTCAAACACTCTCATAGCCTGGCATTACATGTGCATGATGCTGACTGCCGACATTCAAATATTCGATCTGGCGGCTGGTCGCGCAGGCCCGACTCCTGCTCGGAAGGCTCTAGCAGACATCCGCGAATGGTCGCAGACTTCTGCTGCCCGGCGTGCGTGTCTACACGCTGCACACATATACAAAGTCATGACGAACCGAAAGACTTCCGAGCATCCTTCCTTTCAGTCGGTGTTCTCGCTCTTCTCGGCTGGATTGGTTCTCGGCCTGTATACGTTTATGGTTCCCGATGTGACAAGCTCATTGCCAGGAATTGGTACCGTGGAGCTGATGGACGAAATCGACTGGAGATATGTTGGAACGGAAGGATTCACTAACTTCATGGAGCCGAGAGGGGGCCAGACTTATCCTTCGACTGATGATTCCAGCATCAACTTCATTCGAAATGGTGCTACAATCTTCCTACGGGGTCAGTCAGTTCAGGGCGGGTATCAATCCGCACGTCGTGTTCTTCTGGATTATGCTTCTCTTCTCAAAGACTCTGGGAAAGGAACGCTCAACCAATTTTCTCACATTCTGTACATCATGAGTGATGTGCTGATGGATGTCGAATAACAAATCACACAGTCTCACTGTTACTATGTCTACTCAAATTCACACTCTATATTCTCCCCCACCCATAGCAATTGGTCCAGAATCCGATCCTCCAAATCCACAGAAGTCTCTGGCGGTAGGGTCTCCGAGGTCGGCACACCACCACGGAAGATCCGCTTTCGATCCACAGAAATACGACCCTCGCGAATCTCCTTCGCATACCAATTACACTGCTCGATGGCGATTGCGACGACTTCATACTTGTCAAGGTCCCTCTCTGCATAAACGGGAATGGACTGGACCCATGGGTAGTCATGGTGCTTAGGCTTGGGATCAATTCTGCACTGGTTATGGCGCATGTGGTCGGATAAGAACTGCATGAGTATATCCCCCTCGAGATTAGGAGTGATGTCCGGATATGTTGCGTAATCGACTGTTACCCAGTGGGTATACTCGGGTGACTCGTCATCCTCAATGAAGTTGAACCCCGTTTCATTGTCGATGAACATCCCTTCCCGAAGCATCTTGCTAGAGCTGACAGGCTTTGGCCTAGGCTGAAATTGATTCTCTCAGAGATAGTTTATGGCAACCTTGGAACCACGGAGTGATTGACGCTTCAAAATGCTAGGTGCTCATACCACGCATCCCCTTGTACTCAGTTCCACTCTTTATCTGTACTCCAAAGTATCTGCACATCAATTAATAAGTTTCAACACAATGTCCTTTTATGAGTTCAAATAAAAGACATCTCTTGTCTTGCCCAGGTGGTGACCGATATTTATAGCATGACTGACACAAAGAAAGCAAAGTCTTTGTCTCTCTTGGGTGGTGTTTCGTTCATGGCATTATCTAGCCATGAATCACTCGATAATTTGTCGGTCTATTGGAGGAGGCATAGGACAAAATTACCGTCTTCATATATTTGACCTAGAGTTAGCGCGGCAGAATACTACCCGGGCACCAGTTCATACGTCGCTTGGTTCATAATTTTGCTGTTGTCCTATAACTGCAGGTTTCTGACTCCCAAATTGTATCTGAATTGTGATCGAGTCTATTGGATCCCTCCGCTGGTAACAACCCTTGGAAGCTATGTGTTTCTCCTAAATAAAGATCTGTAGTATCACTATCAGCATTTGTGTATGTCGGCTTTCAACACTTATTATAACCTTGGAAGTACCTAGGTATCAACTATGCATTACCGAAACGTGGCGATTCTACGCGTCTTCCATTGACCAGTCTCTTTTTTTAGGCGAGAAAAAAGCTATTTTATTATCTACATATGTCAAAGGATAACGATTGTCAAAGACTTGAAAGCCTGAGACGTGAGGTGGACTCTGCCATATAAGATCAAGTATACCACAAGATCTCATCATCGTCTCTGACCCAGCTACCTATCTCAAGCCAAACTCTCTATAACCATTCAAGAATTCAAACCATCAAACTTTTAGATCTGAACATACAAACCGCCACCATGCCTGGAGGTAAGTTCATTCGCCCAGATGGCACCCGCATCTCAGAAGATGTGACCCTGGAAAAGCCCTCGTGCGTACATTGGGTTAATGTGAATTTTCGACAATTTGGTGGGCGAATTGCAAACTATGGCGGCGAAGAACTGATGCGCCTTATGGCCCAAAAGATTCGTTCAGGGGTCGTTACTATAAGCACAGAACCCAAGCACCATACTCACTCTGGTTGTCTTTCTCTGCCTGTTGTAGCAAACCCGCGCCTTTCCCTGGCGCAGGTTTTGAACACTGCAGCTGAGATTGCGGACTGGCACGTCGATGAAATTGCGGCTGGTAGGGAAACCCTGGACGTTCAGAGCATCAAGGCCTTCTAGCGGCGATATCCTCTATCAATGGCCTTTAGGTTTTTGTCCTTGGTCGGAAGTGCTGGATTGAGAGGCAAGAAGCACGAGGCTATCAACTGATAGGGCAGGTTAGTTTTGAAAAAGGATATAACAGGGTAAAAAAAAGAAGAGCGGAAAAGGCAAATGAAAAGGAAAGGAGAGGATTGAGAGAACCTTGGAAGAGATCAAAGGATTGAACAGTTTTGCAGTCGTGGATACAGTCGTGGAAATCCAGGCAAATGTCCTGAGAGAGATGTTGTTTATACTGTGCTCGGATATTCTAGCTCCAAGACAAATGCAAATCTTTATATACTTCGTATCAGCATGCAGAATGCAGGTCTACCTACTTATACAGTATTCCATCAACCATCTCGCCAATAGCCAGACAGCTAGTTAGCCCGGGGCTTTCAATGCCCAGCAGGTTAACGAATCCAGGCAATCCCTCTTCCTCGCGAATGATGAAGTCCTGGAATCCCTTGCCCTCGTTGACAGAACCGCCCCGACCCAACTTGGGTCGAATGCCACAGTAATCCAAGGCAATAGCATCAACATCAACACCCGGCATGAACGATTTGATTTCTCTCAAAGCCTCCTGCAAATTCGCAGGGTTTGGCTTCAGATCATCCGGGCTATCCACCCATTGGACATCAGGTCCAAAACGGATGCGCCCGCCCATATCAAGCGTCAGATGCGTACCCAGACTAGGCGTGCCAGGAAGCGTGGCTGGGTAAACAAGAACCGAAGTCCGCGGCCTCGAAGCCGCATACGAGAAATATGTCCCCTTGGCATAATGGGGGAAGAAATGACGGTCATCTGGAAGGAGCATATTGCTTATCGCACAAGCCCCATGGCCAGCACTGTTGATCAATGTCTCTGCTGTGAACGTCGTCACAGAGCCATCTTCGTCCGAAGCAGCTGTGATTTTGTACCCTCCGCGCCCGCCATCAATAGCCTCGACCCCCGTGACCCGCGTCTTGAAAGCGACGTCACCACCTCGGTCTTCAAAGTCGCCTTGTAGATATGTCATGAGTGAGTGGCTATCGACAATGCCGGTTGTCAGACTCTCAACGATACCCGCGTCAGCCTTGACATCTGGTTCGCGCCGGAGGGCCTCGTCTCGGCCGACAAGTCGCGTCGGTGCGTCCAGGGTTTGCGCATGCGCGTGCACTTTCAGTGAGGCTTCCCATTGCGCTTGTGTTTGGGATACGATCCATTTCTTCGTGTTGCGGTGGGGGATATCGTTCTTGGAACAGAGCTCATAGAGGAGGTTGCGGCCGCGGATGCAGAGTGTGGTTTTCAGTGAGGTTGCTGGGTAATAAAGACCGGCATGGATCACCTGGTAACTGTTAGTTGGGTGTGTAGAGAGGGGTAGGGAAGGTCGTGCCTCGGAGTTGCGACTGCTTGTCTCTGTGCCTGGCGCATCATGGCGCTCGAGTAGAATGGTTGAGGTGCCCTCGTGAGCTGCCAATTGTCTTGCGGTCGCAAGGCCAACGACGCCAGCGCCAATTACCTAAAATTTGTCAACTGGGCTGCATGGGTGGGATTGGCGTCGTCTTACAGCATGCGTGAAGTCCGCATTGGCAGCACGGGTACTAGAAAAGCAGCACCGGCTAGGAAGCTTAATTATATGCTTAAATGCACGTGCAGACATTTCTGCAGGAAAGTTGACCTGCAACTGGAAGGGGGAAAAAGGTGCAAGTTGCACATACTGGATGACGCGATCCCGACCTCGGATTGCGCTTATCTCCACACGATAGCGGTGCAGCTAGTTATCGGGTTTGTTTTGTCTACACTTGTACTCCGTACGGGTGTCTTGACTGTGCGTGTAGTGTATTTGGTTTTTATATTTGATATTTATCTTTCCATCTCAAAACAACTTGGAAATCCAAAATTGTTGAGACAAGGAAATTGTGTGGGCATATCCCACGATTGTGATCAGTGGATCCCCAGTTGTATATCCTGATATGTCACCTCTTCATGTACATGCGCCTATAGAGTATGTGGGCACAAGTCAGCCAAAACGTAAGGATTTGATCAATGATCATAAAATACCCATATGCACCTAGTGTACAGTATGATACTCCCAAGATCAACTCCACTCCAAGGTTGTTCATAAAGCAAACCTTGGACCTCGGGAAGACCTAGGTACCATTTATACTCAACGTGGACCTTTCAAGGTTAATCATGCCATGCTTCGTGCATGCCAGGTGGAAAAAAAAGGTAGTCAAATAACCTAGGAAGCATTCAATTCCCACCTTGGAAGAGTCCACGGGTCCACCTGGGCACTCCAATCTTGGAAATATGGAAGTCCTAGGTACTTATCTCTTATGAAACGGTCTTCCTTCCAGATGTCGTATCTTTATTCCAGGTTTACCCACCATGGAAGCATTTTAACCAACTGAAATCCACCCTTCCCGAGGTCTGCAGCCTCCACCTGGACAGGACTGGGCATCTATGGATCCATAGATGAACATCGGGAGTAATGCTCCCAGTTGAAAACCTGGAATGAGGTAGCTATATTTGCAAATTATGCCTTGCTGAATTATAATTCTACCGAGATCTACCTATCCATACACCTGATTGTATGCAATGACTTTCTATCGCTTGGTGCTGTTCTTTAACATCTCATCCAAATGCTACAAATTGTTAGTCTCGCCCGAAACCTAGATTGAGGTCTTTCAAATGGAAGTACTCACCTGCTTCTGTTCGTTCGCTAATTTGCCCTGGGTATCCTGTTTTCGATTAGTGAATGATCAAAATGCCGAAGGCAGTCAACATACACTAATGATGGTAAGAATCAATGAATAATTGTTGAAAAGGAAACGCTCTCTCCGTTTAGCATCAGTGCCATTACGACTCAACTTGGCGAGGAGCAAGTCAAATTCAGCTGTTAACCGAGCCAAACTGTTAGATACCGGCTCATCATCACCGGCATCGCTGCTCAGGACCAGAATTCCATGGAGAAGTTGTCCGAATCGTTGGGTCAAGAAGTGCGGTGCGGATGACTGTTTCAAGTCATCTCCGCCTGCGATAGAAAGCGCCGAAACGGCACTTCGCCCAGTATTGGACCCGACGCGTTTGAGCGATTCGCCATGGTGGTCCATGATGACTTGGAAACGCGGCCATAACTGCATGTTCGTTCCATTCACATAGGAGTCTGCGACTGGGACTTTGCGGCGCTGGAGCTCAAATGCTGAATGCTGATTGAGACGAACACACATTAAAACACCTAGAGAGTCTGTCGTTTGCTCAATCAACTTCTTAGTCAAGCCCTGGCCTAAACTGAAGACCTGTTGGAAGATTTCCACGGCATTGCGAGAGATTTGATGGAATGTTTTCGCGGAGAAGAACTCCGTCAGGAAAGAGTATTCGGAGCAAACATTGTCCACCAATGCAAGGTTAAAGTTTCGGAAGGGGACTTCAATTCCATGGAAAGTATTATCCTCCTCAGCCAGGTAAGAGGATAGAGCTTGGAGGTTTCCGGTGCGCAGAATATCAATCCGTCTGCCCAAAGAAAAGGGGTCGTGTGCGACAGAGCCAGCTCGGCCGCCGGGAATGATGTTACCTGGGAGATATTAGTACAAATGAGAGAGCATATGGGTGTAAGATCTCGCACCTGTCCGGTGTGTGGAGGGATCACCTCCAAGCACCTCATTTCTGTCAGGGGGGTAGACCTTGACCTTATCCAGTGCTTGCAGATAACGCGTGAAATGCGAAGTGTAATACCAGCGCATTGTGTTGATATAAGCCTGAGAGATCTCTCCTGCTAGCTTTGGGTGGGCTTTCGAAAGATAGCTGTATAGGTCTTTGAACTTCACCAAGCGTTGTTGTTGAATGATCTGCGAATTAATGTTTGGTGATCGCATTGCACGAATTTGAGACACCAGGTAGTCTCTTATTCTCTCAATAGCCTGCGCAGATGTCAGTCTAGGCCCAGTTAATACGAAAGATATTGGGAATGCGTACTTTGTTCTTCACGTCTGTCAAGAGGGGCCGAACATCTTCCACCGCCTTGAACCCATTGTTAGATGCAGCTGCTTTTGCCTCGATATTTGACGTTCGAGTATCAATTTCATTCAAAGCGCGCACCCAGTTCTCATCGATGGGGCCCTCAACGATGGTCCGCACGGCTTTGGGGGAGATACTGATTTCCTCCACAGCGGGCCCTAACAGCCTCTCCACGTTGCGCCGATTCTCTAACATTGAATTCAATTGGGTTGATCGAGATTGCAAGGTCTCGATCTCTGCGGAAACGGCACCTAGTTCATTCTGGAAATCATTCAAGTACAGCTCAACTGACTTGGAGACCTCATCGCAGCCGGTGATGGACGTGTGTAGCTCTTGGAACTTGTCCCGCTCTTGTTCAAACTGGTGAACTGTCTGTGCATTGATATCGTTATGCCGGGTCTTTCTCCGCGGTGCCGGTTCCTCCTTTTCCAAGAAGTCCTCGAGACTTAGCCCATCAAAGCGAATAGTTTCCACCAATTGCGCTGGCTTTTCCACATCGGACGACAAGGTAGGCACGTTCTTGGCAATTTGAGCTTCTTTGCCAATGATTCCGTTGAGCACCTCCAGCGGATCGGGAACATTGGCCGGTCGCGGACGTTGAATGCTTGTTTGCTTCAGCGGTGAGCCATTGGTTGCGCGCGCTGTGCCTGGTAAGGATGTCGTGGATTCATTTGGAGTCGCCAGAAGAGATGTCGAGGAGGCCCTTGATGTCACGCCAGGTCGGCTATGAGGGCTCGGGGAGAGCTGGGAGGATGATCGTCGTGGTAGGGGGAGAGGTTGCGGCTATTTGCTCCGGCGGGAGTTGTCTGGCCTGAAATGCGGTCGCGCCACATCTTACAAGAAGATCAGCAGCATGGAAGTTCTCAAGAAAGTGAGAATCACGGTAACCCCAACTCCGTCCGAGTAGTTAGGAGGACACTCGGACGCTACCTGTATACACACTAAGCCCAAGAAGGTAATAGCCAATCAGGAAGCGACCCCGCCACCGCGCCCACGAAAATCTATTAATCGTTTGATTTTCTCTTCTCTTCTTCTACTTTTTCCCCTCCCCATCCTAAACCCTTTGTCTATCCTTTTTCCCCCTCTTTCCTCATAATCTCTATTCACCATGTCTGCTGAGGAGGTACGTGTGTTCTTTTCGCTCTCTCCAGAACCAATGGCTATTCTGCGCTGGTGTTTTTTTGCCCAGCCCCGCATGCGGCTCCCCTCTCCTCTCATCTCGAGGGCACGAGGCCACGAAAAACCCCCCGCTCATCCTTTTTGAACGCCTTGAAGACTAACACACTTTGACTATAGCACGATGTCACTTTCGACTCGGCTGATGCCGGAGCTTCGCTCACCTACCCCATGCAGTGCTCTGCTCTGCGCAAGAACGGCCACGTTGTGATCAAGAACCGTCCCTGCAAGATCATTGACATGTCCACCTCCAAGACCGGAAAGCACGGTCACGCCAAGGTTCACCTTGTCGCCACCGATATCTTCACCGGAAAGAAGCTTGAGGATCTCTCCCCCTCCACCCACAACATGGACGTCCCCAACGTTGTCCGCAAGGAGTACCAGCTCGTGAGTGTCACCCGAAAAAAATGAATCACAGAGCCGAAGAAACTGACGAACTGCAGCTCGACATCACCGAGGATGGCTTCATGTCCCTGATGACCGACAACGGTGACACCAAGGATGATGTCAAGGTTCCCGACAACGAGGTTGGTGAGAAGATCAACCAGATGTACACCGTTGAGGAGAAGGACTGCAGTAAGTCGCAAAACTCTCGATTTGCTTTCAAGGGCAATTACTAATGTATACTTTGTAGACATCGTTGTCCTGACCGCTATGGGTGAGGAGATGGCCATGGAGTGCAAGGAGGCTCCCAAATAAACTCCTAATACCTGGATATCTTACTTGTTATGCCAACCTTTATGTTCCACGAGGGCTCAAAGCCCCCCAAAAATTCCTTTTTCATGGTTCAACGGCGGATACGATCTCTTGAACGATCTTGCTTGTTGCTTCAAGATCTGTCTACCCTATAACCTTGGATGTGGGCTGGACCGAGAATTGCTTTGATTGGCATAATATGTGTTGTCCGAACAGTTCTGAGTCCCAGCATCTCATGATAGTGTGACGAATTACTAAATACTCAAATCCTCAAGGTTGCTGCTTGAACCTTTTTCTTTCGAAGCCTGTAGATTGGTAGTACATGATCCTTCGTGGAATTCCAAGGTTCCACTATATGTAGAAAATTCCAAGGTTGGAAATCGATACAAAAATGAAGTAAAAATAGAAAGACTATTAATCTTAGAACAAGACCCCAGTCGATCTAATCATCTGAGGAAGTTAAGACTATATGTTGCGCATTTGCGGGACAAGTGGAGTGACAAAATCGGCGGTCACTAGGAAAGAGGCAGAAAAAAAGCCCCAACTTCGTCTCTTCCCCAAAGCATGAACAGATCCCTTGATGGACTACGTTACCCGAGGGGTCTGCGGTCAAGAAGGATGCCGTGAAAGGCGCTATTATATCGACAATGGCCTTTGGTATTGTCGACGCGGCCATTTGCAAGAGGTATGACCCAGTTCCTATCTTTCACTGCACCCTATCACCGCATCAGCATAGGTCATCAGAAAGGCTGACGTGTTTTGATGCAGGGTGTGCAAGTCGCAGAGGACGGCGATGATTTCGGAAATTTGGGTAAAGTTCATCGTGTGAGGAAAGAAATTCAAGAGAGATCTACCAAAAGTATGTAAACCGGATCTCGAAAACGTCCATGTTTTACTAACTTTGCACCAATAGCCTTTCACGGACGTCCGGCATGGACACTTTTTTTGCAAATCTATCAGCTCATTCTCTGGAAGCAATCGCATTCTTTGGTTCATGACCATGGCTTCCCAGAAGAATTAGCGGTATGTGCCTGCGCCGTTGGCCGAGAACCCAGCGCTAATCTCATGTCAGATCGTTGTTCGTGATCTCTGGGCGCTGCGACTTCCGGACTTCAAACTCAAGATCACCGAGTCCAATGAAGACGACGGTGGCGACTCCGAGCGCGAGGTGTTTAGCTCCCAGGCCGCCCAAAGTGATGATTCTGAGGTCGGATTCAAGCCGCACTCAAGATATGTCGAATGGCCTCGTCTGATTGATGCCGCGGGACTTTGTTATCTCGCGGCGTTAATAATGCGGGTTCCTATATGCGTGAATGACTTTTACGAGTATGTATATCGTGATCTTTCCACGAGTCTGGGTACTAGTCTGGGGCTTGTTGACGTTTCCTCGCTTACACGTTCTCCAAGGATGATCATACGGCAGAAGCTACCCTACACCCGGGTACTAGCAACCGTACCTTCTGAAATGAGGGAAAGACTTCCACCCGAACTCACCGGGATTCTTGAGGTCAGCGTAAGTACGGCCTATGTACAAATCATGACATTAAACTTACCCGGCGATACTACAGAGACTGCCTAAGATTGAGCATCTTCATGACGCTGTGCAGGCTTTGACTTTGTTCTATCAACGTCGTTTTGATGTGGCGCTTCCTCCCCTCAACTGGCCGATACTACTGTTTCGGCATATCAAGAGATTGGCTTTGCCCAGTAAGAACGACACTCGTCCCTTCCAAGCATTTCCAAACTAACATGTCATTAGTCGAGGTTTATGATGCAGTGAAGGCCCTGCAGAGCTTGCTGGATATCACCTTCGAATACCCCAAGCCAAAAGCAACGGTTGAGCGGAAGAAATCACACCATTACCCAGATGTGGAATTGATTGTGCTCATTGTGATTGCTACAAAGCTCTTGTTCCCATTTGATGATTTGAAAAGATATCCGACCACCAGCAAGGAGCCCGCTGCACAAACAATGGACTGGTCTCAGTGGGCACTCGCCCAAGCATCTTTTGACTCAGATTCCCACTTCAAAGAGAACATCGGGAGGGATGCCGCGATTCGCGTCACAGACAGTGATGTACTGGCCATGTCCGCCGATCAACTGGATCATTACATGGACTGGTATGCAGAAAGCTGGTTGGACACTTCCAGGACCCCTGGCCGCCTCGCTGAATTATTTCCCATCCAACGGGGTGACAATCAACCAAGCTCTGCTACCGACCCTGGGCCCTCTACTGCCACGACTTTTGCCCCCGACACAATGCAAAAGAAACTTGAGACGTTGCTACACGAAGTCATGCAGGATATCAAGCCAAGACGGGTCATCCCTGAGGAAAGCGATGATCACAAGCGCCCCGGCGAAGTCTACCGCCGGTATCGATGGGAATCTCAGCTCAATGGCGCCGCACGGACATTTTACGAAATTGCTGCCACCCTCGCTGCAGTTCCATTGAAAACGTTAGTCCGTGCTGTGACACTCACCGAATACAAGATTGCAAGGAATGATGAGAAGCGACAACATCGGGAATTTTTTGCGAATCAAGGAGTGGAAGTTGATGACAGTGATGCCGACAAAGATTTTGAGATGGACGATAGCGGCGAGGAAGAATTTGAATATTGACTTGGGTTGAAAGAATTCCACGCAAACAAAACTCCAGGCACATCACAAGCAGCTGGAACTATAGATCATGGATCGACTTAGATGTTGCCTTAGTAATTTTGCCCCAGGTACTCCGTACTCGGTGCTCCGTATTGGATTGGTGTATGGACCTCAGTAGGACTCCGTGCAAGTAATTTGTCTCAAATTCTATATCTGAATATGGAGGACCGGCCTTGTTGCTCTGTTTGATATTTCATTGTAGACATCCGGACAAAACATGAAATGTACGGGAGAACTATATCATAACCAGAAAATGCACATCTTGAAGACGTCGTCATAGTCATTCTTAGATCCACAATTGGAGGATCCGTCCTTCTCATTGGCCTACTCGACGGAATCTGGGCAGACAACCCCATCAGGTGACCAAGCAAAAAACCACATGACTTAACCCTAACCCTACTTCTTTGTCCGGCCCCACCCGCACCTGCCTTAGCGAGCACTTGCTCAAATTGACAATCGCCTGCTCCGCCTGGAACACAGCGACCGACAGCCGACACCAACGAAAACCGCAACCAGTACGTGCTATACAAATCCCTAAACAGTCTCTACGCATCGCTATGGAATCATCAAGCTAACGTCGTCTTTTTCCGCGTCTTTTCAGTGCAGATGTAGGTCATCCTGAACCATTTCAATGTCACCACGAACCCGCACTCCCGATCATCGCCCGCACGACCCAGACGAAGGAAAATGAATATGGACTAATACGGTGCGATATAGTTTCGTCAAGACCCTCACGGGTAAGACCATTACCCTGGATGTCGAGTCCAGCGACACCATCGACAACGTCAAGACCAAGATCCAGGACAAGGAGGGTATCCCCCTGACCAGCAGCGCCTGATCTTCGCCGGCAAGCAGCTCGAGGATGGCCGCACCCTGAGCGACTACAACATCCAGAAGGTATGCGATCGACTTCAATCTTTTGTGATTTGGACATGAAGTGGAGACTACGGTATCTCGGATGTGTCGGGCTTTCGACTTGGACGATTCCAACGATATTCTATTCACGCCGGATACGCAAGAGGAGGGAACTTGGTGGTCTTTTTTAGTCCATGGGAAGCGAAATGTTGGAATTGTGGCTAACATGGGATCTTTCCTTCGTTATAGGAGTCCACCCTCCACCTGGTCCTCCGTCTCCGTGGTGGTATCATCGAGCCTTCCCTCAAGGCCCTCGCCTCCAAGTACAACTGCGAGAAGGCTATCTGCCGCAAGTGCTACGTACGCTCACCCCGTCTCCCGTCTTTGCCCGCGATGTGTCGCGCAATCGCCTGATGGCCAAGACGACCAATCATATTCCAACATTAGACTAACATATACGACACAGGCTCGTCTTCCTCCCCGTGCCACCAACTGCCGCAAGAAGAAGTGTGGTCACACCAACCAGCTCCGCCCCAAGAAGAAGCTCAAATAAGCGACTCGCTCCTCGGTGTTGTGCTCGGTGGGCTGTTGTGCAGACTCCAGAGCTGGTGTATGGCTGGACTGCTACATGGAGAGGATTACAAATGGCGTTAGATATGATGATAAAATCAATGCAGCCACAGTCATACTTTTTCTAGTTGGCTCCTCTCGACGAACAAGTTGCACTCCATGAATGAAATGTGTAAAATCCAAAAGTCGAATTGTCTGTCCCACATCTTTCATTCCTTCTGTGGTAAATAAAGAGTACAATACATTCAAGTGTTCCAAGAACACGCCTAGAAGATTGCGAGACTTGCTTCCGGAGCAAGGTCGCTAGAAATGACCGGTGTTCCATATTCAATGCGAACAGTATCCCCCCACTATGCCATGAACATCATTCCCCGCTTGCCTTCCGTCTTGTCGTCATCATTTGTTGGCTCTTTGTTCTTCTTCGAGACCGGGCTCCCGTGGCTAGTAGATTTGTTAGTTTCCCAGATCAATGTGCAGGTCAGTAGTCAGAACTCACGCAAAGAACAGGACTTTGATGGCAACAGCCAATGCCGCATGGAGAACAACGACCAAAACCAAGAGAATCTTGCTTGCTTTCGCATCCGTGGCATTCAAGACTGGGTACAAGTTCCGCAGAAGGAAGAACACAGTCCAAGCAAAGCCAACACCAACAAGCGCCCAGTTGAGCGCAGTCAATGGACTCCAGCTTACCAGCGCAACGGCAATCCAAATCAGATTTGAATATCCATACAGAGCCCAGCACTCAATCAAATCAGCTGTGGAGCTGCCGAACCAGCGCAGCGCTCCCCACAGCGCAATGGGCAAGATACCCGTGTATCCATAGATCAAGCCCGCTGCACCTGAGAGCAATGTGAAGTCATACTCAAAGTGTTTGTCATCGTTGTTGGATAGCCATTGCGAGATAGTGCCCGTCAAGAAGAGGATCACAACCACCGTGGTCGCGATCCAAATAGGACCATACAAATCCGCGTTTCCCTCCAGCACATCTAGGAAATTGGTGCGGGGGTACAGCGCAGCAACGCAGCGGCGGAAAACCTCGTTCGTATCGACATCGAAGAATTGTTCGTAGTAGTGTAGAGACCACCAATTGTGTTTGGTTGGCGTGCCGCCAGGGGACCGGTCGCGGTTGCGCGAGGGCCCGCCGCCTAGGAACGGAGACGAGTCGCCTTGGGCTTTGGCGTTTCTTTGATCGCTTTCAAAGTCTAGATTTTGTTAGAAAGTCGGGTTGTAGTGTTTGGGGGAGCTCACTTGAAGGGTGGAATTCAAGGTCTTCTTGCAGGTCGGTATGCCCGAGGTCGCCCTTTTCGCTGGTTAGACATGAGTTTCATTGCTGGAAAGAACGCTGTTACCTCTGCATCAACATCTACGACAACATCGTAGCCTCGGTTCGCCATGGTTTCTCTGTTGATATGCGGTCGGGGTAGAGTAGTTGTCAAGTGTACACATCAGCTCCCGCAGATTAAGCCACCGCCTGAGCCACAACTGCGGGTCCGAGTCATGCACTGATATTCCATGTTATCCCACGTTCTACCTCTACCCAATGTATACACCTATCGCTAGTCTTGGGCCAATAATTAAATTCAATTTTATCCTATTAGATTAAATTTTTCATAGTCATACATGTTCAACGACGTCTGTGAGAGCATTGGCCAGGATATTAGGTCCAGCTGTGGAGTGTTTTTTGGATCCGGCCGATGTAAGACCAAATTGATGAATCAAGACCCTTCTTGCGGACGTAGATTGACGCAGCTCCCACCAAGATGGCCAGTGCAATGGATCCCAAGGAGCGACGATTCTTCCACAAGAAGCCGAGAGCTTTCTGTTTGCGTTCCTCGTTGCGGATCTGTTGGGATTGTTTGTCGAAGAGATAGACCGCATCTTTAACAGTGGAATTGCTGTACCGATCACGGGAAGTCTTCAAGACACTGCACCAAGGGATTTGTTTCCAGGCCCCAAGCGGCAACGACTCCGGTGGGTGGTCCTCGAATAGCTGAGTTGCACGGAGGATGTGGCCGTCTAGATCAAGTGGACTGGGGAGTTTGGAGAGTGTGAAATGAAGCATCTCGGGTTCGTCCTCGGGGATCTCTAGCAGCTCCTTTTTCCTGGACAGAATCATTGCTGCAAAGAGGTAGATTGCAACCACTGGTTCCCGCGCCAAAAGGAAGTCGAACAACCTGGCGATGTTGCTGTATTCTTGAATGTCATGGGCGTATAGAGTGAGGGTGGCTGCAAGGGCGAAAAATGGTTGAATATTACCGAGGTGATGTCTCAACCCAGGGTCGGTTGTTTCAATGATTGCTGGTATCAAATGCAGGTGTTTCACTGCTGGAGAGAGTGATGGGAGCATATAGTCTCTTATGCGGAAGAGCGATATCTGTGCCACTGCCGGCAAGGCTTTCTTCTCACCCAAAACTAGGAGAAGCACCTGTACAATGTCATGATAGCCTTGGAAATAGCATAGCATGGGAAACTCTCGAAGCACTTTGGTTATCAGATTTGACAATTCCTTTTTTCTGGTTTGCAATTCTTCCACGGGCACTAAGTCATGTCAGCGAACATTGGCCTTGTCTGTATGACTGATCAAGTAGTTACCATCTTTAGGGTAGTAGACAAAAGATCGGTTGACATCAAGCTCAACCTGGTCTTCCTCCCCATGGTGCGGAAGTTCGGGGCTATAGGCCAGGTTGAGATCGCGGAATGTATCATCACATCGTAACAAGACAGGCCCTGCAATATCAGTCAGTTGGTATACTCACATCATTTGGGTGGACAGGAGAGACTTACACGCAATCTGGCGCAGCTCATCTTCCAGTAAGCCTCCTTCCGATGTCGCGTAACGGATTAATGCTTCCACGTCCCGCGACGCGCATGCTTGGCGGATAGCGATCGCCTTTTGGGCTCTTGTCTCCAAGATCTTTTGTTCTCTCGCAGATAGAGGTGAGTTCTCTGTGGTTCCGTCTGCTCTTTCAAGTACCCCATTGGGCTCGGTTCCGAGCTCAGTCGTGACGTCGGAATCGATATGTTGATCGACGGGGTGCCCCATGATATGGTTTTCAGGACTTTCTCCACAAACAGCGTAATGATTGATTCGGTGAGTAATAACAACTGGTCCAATCTTTTGAATTTTTGCAACAGTATGTCCTCACAGGTCGACTGAGTAAGGATCCCGTTTTATTGTTTGTAGGATAGGCCTCAACCTGCATTCAAAGCCACAGGTACCTCAGTGCGGTTCACTCAGCAAAGCACATTTAGTAGAAATATTGGTGCGCTGGATTGTCACTTTTTTCCTGTTGCCATGTGCGAGGATGCATTGATGAATCTTTTACATAGACCCAGACGTGGAGTCTGGAGGTCACAAGCGGCCCACTTGATCGCCTTAGGCAGCTATCGGAAACCGCGACATGTTTTCGCCGATAACAACATTCGCCCTGTGCAGTGCTGAAGATCGCACGGATTTGGCGTGGAATTATCTTCAAGGCGCCCTGGTCGACATCTTGTGTTGAGTGCTGTGCTTTTACAACATTTGTCGAATACCGAAGTTGCGAAACGGCAGTGATTGCTGATATCCGACACCCCAGAAACACGGATGTCTACTTGCTTGAGACAGTCATTCCCAGTTCAAAAGCATCGACCGGGCAGTGGAGAGTCTTGCTCATACTGCATAATCAACTAGACTCGCTGGTGGGGGAAGATTAGTGCTCTGTCGGCCGGCAAATCGCTGAAGGGATCCGGTGCCTAGGTAAGTCCTGGTCAGCATGGCTGAGCAGAAGGAACATTTATTGATGACAGCCACAGGTCTTACCTGACACTTGTTACCCATCTGATAGTTGGCGCTGTGTGAACAAGGCATTCCGCGCTCTAGCCTGACTTCAATCTGGGACCATCAATGTGGCCGGTTGATCTCTAATGAACCCCGCTCTGCGAAGTATGGAGAAGAGTGTATCTTTCCAAGACTCCCCAGATGGTATTTGATCCCATTCTCTGATCAAACCTTTGTAATAACTGGTATTCGAAGATACCAAGTTATCGATTCACGGTCTCTTTGACTTGTGGAGGTGATTCGCCTCAGGCCATCTGTCGCCCGAGGCCATCTACTCAGGGTCCTGATATCCTTTCTCGATCTTGATATCACTCTTGCCTTTACTCTTTCTTACCCTTTCTCTCACTTCTATTCTTATCCACTGAGAGCTCGTGTTCTTTCTTTTCCCTGTGTGTATTTCACACTGCCATCTCTTCATATTTCCATTCCATTGGGTCCTTGTCTTGACGGCCCTCTCTGTCCTCATTCCAGACACCGGCATCTCGTGTCTGCTTCTACTTCTTCCTTTTGATACCCTTACTCCTGATCGACTGGCATAATGTCCGACGTGGACCAAACTTACCAAAATTACCCTGCAGGTCTTTTGACCCAGCCACTGGTATCAAGCCCGATGACCAGCTGGATATTGCCGGCACGCATCCGTCACAAAAACCACAATGATGTGGTATTTGTTGGAGATCGTGGTATTCAGATCAGAGAGGCATTCCAAAGCGGCCATCTCGAGGACGTTGTGGAAAAAAATGATATTCAGGGCCTGCCTCTCGGTGCCAAGGTCATCAACGTCAGCACACAGCTGCCCTGGGAAACACAGCTGTCGTCAGATACCCCATCTCCCCCGCAGAGCTTTGAAGACCTTCCGCCGCATATCCTGTTCATCGCCACCGACGCAAATGAACTGCATTTCATGTATTGGTCATTGCTCAAGGGTCAATTTGTGTCATTTTGTCGACGATTGCCACGTGATGTGAATATATCCGAGAAGTATGGCACACATATTGCCGTCGACCCCAAGTAAGCGATTTCCTCGGGCTGTTATCATTGTCTGAAGGAGGCTTATAAAAAGTATAGGTCGCGTGCGGTTGCAGTCAGTGCATCGCGCAATTTTTTCGCCGTGTTTTGGTTAGACGATACTATCGAAATTAAAAGACAGATGGCGCATGGGGGGCTTGATCCCATCCGAAAGGTATCTGAATTTCTTGCTACAAGTTGTATGGGAGACCAAAGCTGACTGTTCCTGGTAGGAGAAATTCGTGCAAGTTGAAGGGGACATTCTTTTCATGGAATTCCTCTACCCAAAGGCACTCAATGACAAGCGCATGCTCCTACTCCTCATTGTTCACCGGGAAAATGCGACGATTGCGTTGGTGTATGAGTGGGACGAACGCAGCATGACGCGCAACTCCGATCCTACAATGACCAGGACTCTTTTTCCTCCCCAAGATTACCTGCCCACTATGATCGTTCCCCTGGCCAAGGAATCTTCATACCTGGTTATTACCACAAAATCAATGGCAATGTATACGCCTAACAGCTCATCCCGCCCAAGGAGATATCCACCCATAATCCCTGATATTGGAGCTCATGAGATTGGACTTTGGACTCGCTGGGCAAGGCCTTCCCGCAACTGGTTGTACAGCCGGAAGTACGATGCAATAATTCTTTGCCGAGAAGATGGTTGGATCTATTATCTCGAGTTTGGTAATGACGGTGAACTGGAAACCCAAACTTCTCTGGGCCAGCTTCATTGCCATGTCGATACGGCCTTTGATGTTCTAGACATGGGATTTGAGGGTGGTGACTTTATTCTGGCCGCCGGAAGCCAGGGTGATGGTGGCCTGTTCGTTCAGGAGGCGCGCGACCGCCCGAGATGCGTCCAACGCTTTGCCAACTGGGCACCTGTTACTGATGCAGTTGCGGTGCCCTCCGGTATCCGAGGCACTACCGGGCTTGACACAACTCATGATCGTCTGTTCGTCTGTTCGAGTTCTGCCTCTGGGAAAAGTTCTGCCTCTGGGAATGGGGCCATCACAGAGCTTCGCCACGGCATCGAGGCTCGAGTTGGGGTCTCGATCTCGCTCGGTGATATTTCCTCTGTGCATGACATGTGGGCACTGTCCTTTGAAGATTCGTTACAGACAATTCTTGTTGTGTCGGATCCCATTTCTTCAATGATTCTCCACACGTCTGATCTGGCCGATGACATTGAAGTCTTCCCCAATGAGGACGCCTGGGGCAACGAAGAAACCCTCGCAGTAGGATGCACGCCTCGAGGTGACATTGTCCAAATCACACAGCGCGGAATTTATGCTTTCATGCCCGAGGAATCCCATCTATCTCATTTCACTGCACATGCCCCCGATTCTGTTGTGACCGCGGCTACTGTTGATGGGTCGAATGTGGTGATGGCCATGGCTATCAGAACCAGCGAGGGGAATTTCCTTCAGGTTGTTCGACTAAACCCGGATCTCGCGACAGCTGATTGTTTCCACTTCGATATGCCCCAGCCACTTGAACAAGAGGCCATCTCGATCTTCTATCAACGCTGGGGCTCTATGGGGCTCATCTTTATGGGAACTAGCGATGGAACGTTGCTATCATTCGAGATTCATGACTCCCCCGGTGAATCCAAACGGCTTGCAGACACGCACATCGCAGTCGAAACAGACGAAGATGTCTCCAAGGCCATATCCAGCATCGCGACTATTCGCGCGATGTCTAATACTAATAATATTCACGGGCGCCTTTTCTGCGGTTTACGAAGTGGGATTCTTGTCTTTTTGGAGATGAGATTTCTTCCGAACGGTCTTGAAGGTAACTCGCAATGCATCCAAGTAGTCCGCCATTCAACTAACGGCGTTCCTTTAGGCCTCACACAGATATCATCAAAGCGCCTCGGGCAAACAGCAATACGCCTCCAAGCCCAAGAGGATATTGCGCTCTTCACATGTGGTACAGATTTATGGCGTGTAGCATTCTCACCAGATCTCGCAAGCCTTGACTATACTCTGTCCCGAGTCTTTATTACCGATCAGAATCAAGTAAGTATTTCCCATTCTCTTGGGGCTCCGATATAATCTAACCGCAATGCTAGCCTGCATACGCCCCAACAAATGTTTCAAGCTTTTCATTTGTGAACATCAGTGATCAGAACTCAAGAGCCACCGGTGTTTCCTTGTTTTGTTGGGCAGATGGCAACCTTCTGGGTTGCTCTCTTGATGTCGAGGACAAGCCAATTCCTCGCCGAATCGATGTTCCAGGGAATCCAAACAAGTTGACCTACTCGGAACATCTTCGAAGTCTTATTGTCTCTTACAGTGTCGCTCAGCCTGGCCAGGAATCCCCTCTGAACCTCATCAGAAAGCCGTATATTGAATTCGTCGACCCAGATATCCAAACCCCAGTGGCTCCGATTGATGAGCAAATGGTTGCCGAAGGCCTGGCCCCATGGAGGCCAAGTGGCAGCCCTGGGGAGAAGGTAACCTGCATCTTTGATTGGATGCCCCAGAAGGATGGCAATGCGTACCATCTTGTTGTGATTGGGACTTCTGTCCCGACCCCCCACAACCCCGCTGAACGAACCGGCCGCATCTTGCTTTTACAGGCATCTAGGGACCCCAGATCTCCCTCCCAGGTCACCTGTGTGGACAAGCACATGAAGCTGTGTGCGGCTCCAGTGACCGCAATGACAGCCTACGCCGATAGCTTGATTGCTGCCACGGGGAGATCATTTTTGGCACTTGCCTCTAAAAACTCGCAAATCGATTGGGTCCGCAACATAACCGCTCGCCTACCGTCCCCGGCCGTCTCAATGTCAGTGCATGGTAATTTCATTCATGTCACTACCGCGAGAGATTCCTTGTTGGTCTGCAAGGTTGAAGGAGGGGATATCTCGATTGTTGACTCCAATTGCTTTGCGCTCCCTGGTTTGTCACACTTGCTTGCCCCCGGTCTTGAAAATTGTCCGACTCAAGTCTTTGTGAGCTCTCGAGGAGGAACAGTCCAGGTATTTGAGCCTGATTCTGTTTCAACGGCTTCAGAGAATCGCCGGACGCTCCGGTTCCCTGTGTCAATATTGAGACTTGTCCAGGGTTGCAAGCCCCCGTCTTCCCTAACAAGTAGGAGGACCATATATGGTTTCGCTATAAATGGATCTGTCTACCGGGTCGTGACCCTGACTCCCGATGAATTGGCTGTTCTTGAACCCTTGATCTTCTTATGCATGAGCGACAAACGCTTGTGTCCTTCCTTGGCCCGCAGAAACCGCTTTCGCACCGCTTTCGCCGATTGTCAAAGCAATGGCCACATTGATGGTAGTATCATTGCCCGTCTTCTTACTTTAGACTGTGATACTCTGAAGGACATGATTCTCAATTGCAGCAGTGGAGGAGATCATGATGGGCAATCTTCGTTGACAGATAGGTTCGCACAAGCTGCCTTCAATTTGCTAGGACCTTCCGATGACTATCCTCGGGCTGTTTTCTCTTGGCTTTGGAATGTGCTGCGCGTGGAATTCTGAGCCCAAGTTGGTCCTTGAGATCTCAACTACCTAGCATGTACAAAGCCATAAGTGACTATATTTCTACAAAAAGAGATGCCAAAATCCGAACCTCAAATTCAAAATGTAAACACATGCTGAAAGATCCTCATATTGACTGTTTGAAAGTCTTCATGGGTCATGACTGTCACAAGACTATGAAGAGATGGAAGTACGGTGGCCAAAACAGAAGGAAAAGAAGGAAAACCCCCTTTGTTTCGCTCCTCTTTGTGGCTGTACTACATTTGGATGCTAGCCTTGATGCATGATGTCTTATTTAATGTAGTTTCTCATCTGTAAATTCGCTTGTGCTGCTACTCAACAGATGCTCTTCTAGTACTGGACAACAGCCCTACACCGTAGGCGGTATGATCCGGCAATTACTGACATCACAGGCCCGAGGCTATTCGCGGAGACTACAAACCTCCAAACCAACCCAGATCAATTGAAATGGCCACAACAGTAGCATCAGCCCAGCGCTCCGCTGTAATGCTTTCAGCAGTCAGACTCCCTGCTCGCCGGGTGCTATCACCAGCATTCCGAGTTATCACTACCAGAGGACTGGCTTCATCCCCAAGACCCCGAGTCCCCGCCCTTGCATACAATGTCCGATCGTTCTCACACCCGATCAAGAGTTCACAATTACAGACGCGCCAGAACAGTAATGACTCCACAAACCTCAAAAACTGGGGGTTTGAAGAGGTATGCACCGCAACTAAGGTCACTATCTACAAAGCTCTAACGATCTCTAGCTCAACGCCTCCCTCCCCTCCGCGCCTGACTCGCCAACCCACAAGCCTATACTGATTGACGTTCGCGAACCGGCTGAACTTAAGGGCACGGGTATCATTCCTTCGGCAATCAGTATCCCGCTAGCATCTCAGGCCGACGCCCTGTTCCTCACGCCCGATGAATTCGAGACCCGGTTCGGGTTCCCGAAGCCTGAGCCCGTCGAAGGCGAGCAGATGGTCTTTTATTGTAAGGCTGGTGTGCGTGCCAAAATCATGGCCCAGATGGCTGTCAAGGCGGGATATGATCCGGCTACTGTCGGTTACTACTGGGGTAGCTGGTTGGACTGGGAGAAGAACGGGGGCAAGGCTGAGAGGTGGGATGGAGACGATTAATTAATGGACAGTCTGCGGATCGGAACTTGTACATATTCAAGTAAATAATTTGAGGAAATGATGTCTCTTCACTAAGGTTCTAAGCTTCGTCTAGCCGAGCCGATTCGGCCAACTTTGGAAGATGATGTACAAAGAAAGACTAATCAAAAGACCACTGGAAAGACCCTTGGAAAGACCACTGAAAAGACTACATCGATCAATCAGGCAACCCATGGATCTCATTGTTACATAGACTGACCATTAGATCTCGAAACCTTGACTTTGTTTACCAATCACCAGAAATTTTGAGAGATTACCCACGTGAAATCATGTAACATCAATTCAATTCACTACAACAGTAACAAAAGATCTGGTATCGACCAGGCCTCGCTTTCCCTATATCATGTACAAGCGACATCTCTTGCCATTCATCCATCAAGTCATGGTCAGTCATAGTATGTTCAAATCGCAATCAAGAAAAAATAACTTTTCAGCTTTTTAGAATATGTCATCACTCAAAGATTTCGATTCGTTTCCTCCACTGGTCATGATGGAACCGCAGGCTATGACAGGGCCGACGGAGAACGCTTGCCATGAGCAGGCGATCAATAATTATTTTCGCTGAAAAGAGAGGCCAAGGCTGCGATGAGTCCTCGCACTGAGGATCCATGAAGGCCTGCGCCGGGGAGTAGCTTAAAGAGCGAAATCAAGGAATGTCGAAAACGGGCTTGAGTCGCTTGACAAGAGCCCATTCTTCCATGGAGACTTCGGATCGGTAGAACTCCTTCAGTGTGTCGATACTGGCACGCGAGATACGCGAGACAAGTTGATCCTTCTCTTCGAGGTGACGGCCGTACATGGGCTGGTTGGGACCTTCGACCTTGACGGCGACAGAGGGCTGACCGCGCTTGCAGACAGGTACTGCCTTGTGATCACGCTCAATGGATGTGCTGCAAAACAGTTAGTATATCCGAAGCAGAAAGTATTATGAAGCAAAACTTACACTCTGCCAATTTCGACAATCTCCTTCACACCAGCGGAATTGGTCCGGATGGCAGCGAGAGGAGTATGGAGACGCAAACTTCCTTCAAGAACATCAACACCAATGACAATGGGGTCAGTCTTGTTGAAGACAGCAACGGGCTTGATGACACAGGGGAAGATAGCGAGGAGCTTAGCCTCCTCCTTGCGCTGCTCTGTGAGTTGCGCCATGTGCTCAGTGAAGTTATCGAACAAGTGGTAAATAATGTCTGCAGTGAAGATCTTGACACCAATGTCGTTGGCGTAAGCCTGTGCATCCTTATCGACCTTGACATCGAAGCAAAGCATGACAGCATATTCCTTGTTCTTCTCAAGCATGGTTCCAGCCATCATGACATCACGCTTGTAGACGGGACCAATGGAGATGTTGGCGACAGGGATCTTGGAGACCTTCAGGAACTCCAACAGAGCCTCAAGGGAACCCAGAGTGGAAGCCTGGACAGTGACACCGCGCTGATCGGTAGAGACACGGCTCAACAGGTTCTCAAGATCAGACATGACCTCGTCCTCAAGATCCTCCTCATCATCGTCAGGGCCGACGACCATCATACGAGAACCGGCAATGGCGTGTTCCAAGTCGTTGGCAGCAATCTTCACACCAAGAGCGGCCTTGACCTCCTTGTTGTGAACGTACTGAGACTTCAGACGCAGCTCCTTGAGCGGCGCTGGGGTCAAAAGCGCACGAATATTGGTTGTGATTGGTCCGTTGAGGCCACACATTACAACACGATCACCCTCACGAAGAATACCGTTGGAAAGGACAACATCAATGGTGGTACCGAGACCCTCAATGACCTTGACTTCAAGAACTGTACACTCAACCTCGGACAGGTACATCAGAGAGTTGGTCATACGCTCCTGGGTCAAGCTAGTCAGGAGCTTAAGCATGTCGGGAACACCCTCACCAGTGTGAGCGGAGGTGGGAACGAGAGAGACATTGCGAGAAAGGGACTTGTTCTCGAAGAAGAGCTCGGAGTTGAAACCCTGCTCGGCGAAAGCAAGCTTGGTAGCGTCAAGACGAGTGCGGAACTCGTTCTGGACGCCCTTGTTTTGCATGTTCAAACTGTCCTCGAAGCCATTGTTGTCAATCTTCTTCCAGCCGTAGAGACGATCGATCTTGTTCAATGCGACAATGAAAGGAGTCTTGCGGTCACGAAGCAATCGCATAGACTCGAGAGTCTGGGGCTCAAGACCGTGCATGATATCAACAACAAGAATGGCGATGTTGCAAAGCGAGGAACCTCTGGAACGCAAGTTGGAGAAAGACTCGTGACCGGGGGTATCGATGATCAGCAGACCAGGAATCTTGAACTCGAACTTGCCGTCCTTGTTGACAACGTTGGTCTTGGTGCGCAGGGCATCGACGGGGAAGTAAGTAGCACCAATCTGCTGGGTAATACCACCGGCTTCACCCTCCTGGACATTGGTTTGACGAATCTTGTCAAGCAGCTTAGTCTTACCAGTATCGACGTGACCAAGAATACAGCAAATGGGAGAGCGAAGATCATCCTTGGAGCGAGCAGCCAAAGCCTCCTCGTGCTGCTTCTTTCTGCGCTCTGCGGCCTCGGCCTTTCTGGCCGCAATAGCGCGCTGGTTGGCAGACTGCTCCTCATCTTCGGAGTCAGAGTCGTCAGAGTCGTCAGAGTCAGATTCAGACTCAGACTCTTCCTTGGCATCTTCCTTCTTGGCTGCAGGTGTCTCCGCGGGCTTCTCCTCCACCTCCTCCTCGTCTGTCTCGGCATCCCAGCTGTCCTTGACATTATCTTCGTTGGCAGCTGTCTCCCAGTCGTCAAGAGCGCCATCGTCTTCGGGGGCGGCGGCGGCCTCGGCCTTGGCCTTCTCTTCGGCTTCTTTTTGGCGTCGGGCATCCTCAGCCTCTCGCTGAGCCTTAGCACGAGCAGCAGCAGCCTCGAGGTCGTCCTCCTCCTTCTTCTTGGCAGCCTTCTTCTTCTTTTGGTCATAGACGGGGCGCTTCTTGTCACCGGTATCATCCAGACCAGCGACCTTGCTGCCAGCAGCGAGCATCTGTTGCATGCGGAGTTCGTTGCGCTCCTTAGCCTCTTTTTGAGCCTTGGTAAGAAGCTTGCCTTCTTTGCGCAATTGCTCCTTCTTCTCGCGCTCCTTCTCCTTCTTACGCTCGCGAATCTCAGCCCGCTTCTTCTCTTCCTCGTCATCAAGAAGCTTTTGCTTAGCAGCAGCAGCCTTTTCCTCTGCGGCAAGGCGTTCTTCCTCCTCGCGCTGCTGACGGAGAAGTTCTTGTTGCTTCTGCAAGGCAGCCAAGTGGGGAGGGAGCTTCTTCTTCTTGCCAGTATCGGCGGCAGGAGCAGGGGCGGCGGCGGCGGGCTCGTCCTTCTTAGACTCAGCAGCAGCTGTCTTCTTGGCCTCGGCCTTTTCTTGGGCCGGGGTGAGCTTCTTCTTTGTAGCGGCCTGAAGATAGCAGGAAATAGGTTAGCAAATAGAACATCATATCGCGTATCCGCGTATCCGGAAATTGAATGAACTTGCCTGCTCCTTCTTGCGCTGCTTCTCCTTCTCCTTCTTCTCGCGCTCCTTCTCCTTCTTACTCTTCACACGGAACTCGCCAGCCTCTGGCTCTTCCGCTGCAGGCTTGACGATCTCCTTGATGGGCTTAGTCTGCTTTCCGGCGAAGACATCGTCATCATCGAAGTTGCCCTCTTCGGGCTCCTTGCTGGCCAAGTCATTGCCAGCGCTGGCATCCTCACCCTCGACAAAGTCGTTGGTTTGCTTGCCCTTCTTAGCCTTCTTGGCCTTGTTCTTTCTCAGGGCAGCCATCAGGCCACCAACGGGTGCCTCCTCATTGTCTTCCTGGGCCTCGTCGGCGGGAGGAGCTTCGACAGCAGGGGCAGACTCGCCAAGATCGGCCTCCCAGTCCTCCTCCTGTCTCTTGTTTCCCTTCTTCTTGGGAGCCATGTTGATATTTTCGTTATGTTTTGTGATCCGATTCGAGTGGGGACCGGAGAAACGCAGCGCACAAACGGAGTTAACCGGTTATTTGCGAAGCGGAATATGCGCACGTAAGCGGAATAATAAGAGAGAGGCAGAAAAATCAAAGACAATCCCCGAAATGAAAGGCAGAGAGATAGAGACTCTCTGTAAAGGTGGATTAAGGGAGGGGTGTGGGAGAGAAAAGAATTTCGGAAAGAATCATTGACGGTGGGGAATCAGATGTGACTTCACTTCATTGCCACGAGAAGATACACAAGATTATTTTGCCTTCTTGTATGTTTTGTTGCCAATGTTTACTTGTTTAATATCGAGTGAGCAGTATGAAGGACATTGGTATATTTTGCTTTGGTCATGTTCTCTTCCATGCCACCGTAAACTCGTTTCATTAGTCTTTCTTTGGCAGCTTCATACCTTGGCATTCTGACACCTATGAAGTACTACTTCAAGCACACTTCTATTGAGGCAACCAAAGTAGATATCGACTTGAGATCCGCTGGTGCCTAATTAGTGAATATTTACTCATACTTTTTGTATTGCATGCGTTAGAAAGACGTGAGGTTGGGGGGACAATATCTTACAATTCGAAGTTGAACCTACCTCTGCGGCCTATGCCAGAAGGAACTCGAGGCATATCAAATGCATAATTTCTTCTTGTGCCAGGCCCGAAATGCAATGCGTAAGGCCCCAAGCAGCTCTATGCGTCTTCGGTATCACCGGGGTATGCACCAGGCAAGCGACCTAGCCATAAACAAACCGTCGCCAGTTATCAGCTAGCAACTGAACACCATGCCTCAGCTCCCATCCACGTAATTTACAGATATCCCTTGCCACCTTTTCCATCAATTCATCCAGCTCATCACCAGCCTTGTGGAGGTCGCTCTCAATCAGGATCCTATTCTCGGGTAGAGCTTTCACAACGTCAGCGATCTTCCTTGCTGGCGCACCATTGAAATTGATCAAATTCGAGAACGAGAAGTAAACATCAGACGGATTGGACTTGTGCATCAGCTGGCGAATGGGGTCTACCGAGCCAGAGTAGGAGTGCATGCAAATGCGAGGCGGGAAGGGCTTCGGCGTCGAAGCTATGTCTTCCTCCTCCTCGAATACCCCCTCCGCATCTCGTTGCCTGTCTCTTTTGCGTCGTGAAAGAATGACGCGCTCATGACCTGCCCACACTTCTTTCAAGACATCCACGACGGCGCCGTGCGCTTGCACGCTGTGTACTGAGACAGCCCGGTTCATCTCCCCTGCTAATTGGAGTTGCGCTTTTAAGATTAAGCGTTGGTGCTCTGGTTTCACGCGATAGTGGGAAAGGCGGCGGCCCTCACGCGAGCCTGGCGTGACTTGATCATTGCGATTCTCGATTTCTTCATCAGTCCATGGGCCAGGAATTCTAAATGATCTGTCCAGGCCGATCTCGCCGACAAGAGCGGTGGGGAACTTTTCAAGTCGAGCTCGGGTTTCGGAGATGAGCTCGGAGAGGGGCTTAGGGTCGGGAAGTGTGTCGATGAAAGCTTGGTCATCGGCTGGTGAAGGTATCAGGACACTGTCGTAGTGGTCTCTCTTATTTTGGGGCTCTGCTGAAGCTGCGTTCGAGATTTGATGCGAGAACCATGGGTGCCAGCCGAAGCAGGGGACAATGCGCTCAGTTTTTGATTGGGCGGAGCAAGACTCGGTTGTCTGTTGTACAAGATCCTGGTCATCCCCGCGTGTGGCCATGATCGTCAGTGTTGCGGTTTTCATGTGCGGGATGTCGGACACCGAGGCCATTGTGTCGGTGGGGTGACAATGGGCATCGTGAACCCCAATCTCCCAAGGGAATGGCTCAGACATTTTGATGGGCCAGTGTTAGACAGAAGAAAATGCTTTGACCCGAACGGAATGGAGAAAAAAAAAGCAAAGAAAACAAGCAGAAGCAGAAGCTCCAGAAACCGGGGAAGTGATGTAATCGGGGTCATCACATGCTCCGCAATTTACAACGCGCTTTGCTCTTCACCCCATGAAGTTTTGACCTGCTCCCTTTGGGAGTTTGGGAGACTGCTCTCAATGTGGTCAACAATCAGCACGTTGATAGCGCTGCCTATCTTGGCCCTCATCTCCATTCCGCTCATTCTGTCGGCATGGGTTACAATCTCCTTCGCGCTCATTGCCATCATACTCAGACTCTCCGTGATTTATGTTGAGCTTGTCTATGGCATCCTGGTTCATTTCCTCTCGCTTCCCACCTCGCCAACATCGTCACTACTGACCTTCGTTGCTTCGGAACCTCCAACCCCCGTGAGTGGTAGGTCTAGACGGAACTCTAACCATGGAACACACCGCAAGCACGATTCTGCGTCTTCTTGGGCTCTTGGAACTACGGTTGACGATCATCGTAAGAGGAATTCATATGCCCGCAGCATGATCGAGGCCCATCTATCCCCATCAACGCCTCTCCACGCCTTCCCTATCAGTAACGATGAGCGACGGGACTTTGAGGGTGTGGGTGGCTGGCGCTCCTATCCGACCAAGTCACGCAGCTCTCATGAAAAAGCAACCTGGACTTCGTCTTCGTCCAGCATAAGTGATGTAGATCCAACTGTCGACGCCGACGAGCGCGCCTGGCTTTCTCTGAATCACCGACTTGAACTTCCATCACAGCTGATCACCCTAAGCACAAGTACATACGCCGGAAGTACTTTGAACAGCCCAACAGGCGACAATGACTCTCGCAATGGTCGTAGCTTCCACTCTCTGTTAGGAGCAGCAGATTCTATCAATGACTCTGGCTCTCGACACCACCATCGATCGCTCACGACGTCTTCCTTGACAACCTCTGATCGGCGCACCGGGACAGGCCTTTCTCTGGCTTCGTCCACGAGACCTGATAACGTTACCAATTCAAAAGGGTACATCTCCATGTCGTCATCCATACCACGACTTCCGCCTTCTTCCATGACACCTCAGCTTTTCGCGCCGTCTCATTCTCAGTCACGAGCTGCGCGCGGATCACAGACCGGTGCACCTTTCACCAGCTCCTATCTCTCCAGCTCCGGGGAACTGGGGCACAGCTTTGGGAGCAATAGTAGTGGGAACTTTGACAGGGGCGGTGGATACTTCTCTTTAAGAAGACCTGGATCTTCCGGTAGCCATGTGTCCGGGAGAGTCAGTCCCATTGCTAGTGGATACACGACACCTGGGGTTGGCATTTCGACTGAAGATCGTGATGCTTCCCTGTGCTCGGCGCGCTTGATGGCGCATTATCCAACCAGCCCTCGACATCGCAGGCAAAGCGTTTCTGGACCTGCGAGGGGTGTTGGTGGGGAGCGTTTGGGATAAAAAGTCTGGCTTTCGGGTATCTATACTGTACATTTTCATCAATGAGTACATAAATTGAAGCATAGCGTTCAAATGGCCAAGACCACATGTTCTCCTATCTATCTCTAGTCAATATGTACCGTACAGAATGTATGGAAATAAAAGCAAACGCCGGAGCGGACCCCAAAAAACAGGCTCAATTCAAAGGTTATACACGACATCAAGATCACGCTTCGGTCTGTTTTCGCTGAGCATTATTCACAGCAGGCGGTATCGTCAAGGGTTGATTAAGACTGGCGATTCCTCTCCCGTGTTTCGACCTCTTCCATTTCGGCGAGAATCACGCTATTGAATTCTTCCCAGCCATCAAGGTACAGATGATGGCCAGCCTTGTTGACAACAACCACTCTTGAGGATCCTTCGTCAGCGCGTCGTTCCTCTGGTGATGCATCTGCAAGAACCTTCTCCTTCTCTGCTTGCAGGCGAGCAGCTGCCGCATGACCACCCGAGACATCCATCCAGTCATGATCACCATACATGAAGACGACAGGAAGACCATTCTCGCGACGGGTAGGCTGGGGAGAGGAGGGAGCAGTAGAGTCGGGTGCATCAGATGTCGGCGGAGCGGTAGCGCCAGCCATTGGATGAGGGAGAGGGCTGTTATTATGGATCAACTGGCGTCCGAGGCCTTGGACACGATGAATGAGAGGGCTGCGAGCAAATGCGCCAGGGGCAAGAATATATGCGAGAGCGTACTCGCCGCTGCCGCGAAGGCTGAAAATAGAGTATGAGTAGTCGTGAAGCGCGGATGCTTCTTCGGCCGGGAGATGGGAGAAACGGCGAGAAGTCCAGCCAGAGACGATGCGGGGACCGAGGGGACCTGCCCAGCGAACCAGGCTGAAGGGAGAAATATTAGCTTCCCATAGGTAGGCGAACCATTTGGGAAGGACTCGTCGGGGTGGTTGATTAGCCTCTACGGGTGGTTGACGGCCAGTGATGAAGCTGCCGTCGCTGGTCTTGGGTGCGGTCTCCGGTACAGAGGTGATATCGCGCTGGTCTTGGGTGAGCTCGTTGGGCAACGTCGACGATGACGGCTCGGTGACCTCTGCAGTGACGGCATATGGGTCCTCTGGGATGCCGACCGGGGACGCCAAGATGAGCTTGTTGAGATGGCCGGGGTATTTGAGCGCATAAGCAACAGCCATGTACCCGCCAAGACTGTGTCCCAGCAGAGTGAAGCGATCGATCTTGCGCTTGATGCGCCATTCTTCAAGGGCGTCGACAAACCAAGCCTCGGCTTCTCTGATGGCATCTTCTCTGCCTTTGGCCTTGATTTTGAATGAGGGTCGGGTACTCCGACCCATGCCTAGCATATCCAGAGCATGCAATTGCCAGCCCTTGAGCCGGCTCAGTGGCTCGAAGTTTTTGTAGAAAAAGCCAAGGCCAGCGCCATACCCGTGGAGCATGACCAGATGTTGGTCTGCTTCCTCGCCGATCCTCTCCACAGAAAACTCATTGAGCGCGCGGTCCTTCCCGTTCAGTTCCACCATGCTCGAGGTCCACCGACGAGGGCCATAAGGGTCGTCTGAAGAGCTGGTGGCCACTTCGCCTAGCTGGGTGTGATCTGCGGTCTCCAGGCTGCTCGGGGTTCTGCCATTTGGGAAGTCCGTCGTGGTTCCGGTCTGCAGGTGGGTGGGGGCATGATGATGCAAGTAAGGTAGATAAGAGAGGACTTTATGTTCTGCTGCAGCTGCAGGCATACGAGCCCACTATGTGAGATGGTGTCAGTTACGATGCGACCAAAGTGTTGGGATCGTGGCTTGCCCATTGATTGAATCCTTCTCGGTATCCCAACGGGAAAAGCGCGCGCGCCGCCGCTGCACCAGCAGCAGCCCTCGTAGCGTAGGGTTTTCCTTGTGAACTGTCACTTGAGTTGCTATCTGCACGCTGCTGCCCGCGGACGTCCTCTTGGGACGAGTTGAAAGATTCTGACGCCATTGAGGAATAAAAGTGCCTTCGAGGGAGGGTGGCGAAGAGCCTAGAAGTAGTATTTGCCCAATGCTGAGGCTTGGGAAAGGGAAAGGCCAGGTTTGAGCTTGGCCTCGAGCGTAAGCGCGAAGTGCGGAGATGTTCTGCTAGCAGGAGGTGGACTGTGGCGGTCATGTATAAGTCTGAGGGAAACCGGAGACAAATCGGCCACGCCGCTTAACGCCGGTAGGCAGACATAAACGCCGAGATGGAAGACAGTAGACAGAAAGCGACGGAAATGGAAATAGTGGAAGTATTAAGTTATTGGTAGGAAATTCAGAAGTCTTCGAGGTCTTCCAGGAATCTTGCTCAGTACAGACCAAAGGGCAATCGGAGACGTCAAGTGGATTCCGACTCAACTGCCGCCTTCCTCTCCTTCACATGCGTTGACATTGGGCCGGAACGGCCACCATCAGCTCTTTAGACTCTTCCGACTCTCTTTTACCCTCTTCCACCATGGCCTCGCCTTTGGACCAGGTGATCAAAGGCGCTCCAACGTCCGAAGCTCGCGCCTCGCCAGGCAGGACGAACCGTCGAGCCTCAGATGCGCGCCCCTCAACGCCAGACCCGTTAGCAAATATTCCCTCCTCCCCGCCTCAGATCTATCTCAACCTGTTGATCCTCGAAACTTCCTTGAGGGCTCAGTACCTTGCACTCCGCGAACGCCGCCGCCAAAACACCTTCTTCCTCCTCCTTCTAGCCGCTTGGCTCGCCTACTTTGTATACGCGCTATTCCTCCGCCCGCGCGAGGATGGTCGCGGCGTCGGCGGTTCCGTATATTGGGTTGTTGAGATGGGAGAAAAAGTTGCTCTGCTCGGTGGAGTGGTGACAGCCCTCCTGGTCTGGGGAACGGGTCAATGGGAACGAGGCATTCGCTGGCCACGCCGTTGGCTCGCGGTCTCCAATCGTGGTCTGCGAACGATGAACACGAAAATAATCATCATCCGCGGACCCTTTTGGCAGGAGTTACTCTCCTACCTCTCATTCTTGTTCCCATTCTACATTCCGTTCTTCCCCTCTCCGAATGGCAACTATCAGTTCGTCGAGCAGGACAAGCGCTCTGGCAGTCGGCAGCACTACCAGTACTACAACGGCGACAGCGAGTCCGGACTTGTCGAAGAGGACCTAAGTGCCGGCGGCGACTACATCCGGCTTCTCCTCCTACCAAAGTCCTTCTCCCCGGAGTTCCGTGAGAACTGGGACAATTACCGCACCGATTTCTGGGAGAAGGAAAATGAGCGCCGAGCTCAACTCCGCATCAAGCTCCGCGAACGAGAGAAACAGCTCGCCCAAACAGAAGGTTGGCTCGGTCGAATTGGACTGGGTTGGCGCGCATCCCAACGTCGCCGTCTAGTTGCCGCGACTCTCCACCGTCCCATCGAGCCAGAGTTCAAACAGCGTCTTGCACACGGACACCACCCTTCCATTTCTAAAGAACGCGCCCCGTCACGCCGCCATACACGATCAGACTCCCATTCCCGGACGTCCTCCCGCAGTACCACGCCCGTGGATCTCGATGACCGGCCGCCTTCGCGCTCGTCAACTTCCAGTAGGCCTCGGCGCGGAAGTACGGCCTCCGGGCAGGAGACACCCCAGCAGCGGAAACGGAAAGGGTCGACTTTGAGGCGAGGATTGTCGCCTCTTACACAGGCGCAGATCCGGGAGGGGGTGCGCACGCCTTCATTCTCATCTGATGATTCCATTTTGCCTGTGGGGATCAATGAGCATGATGAGCAGAGTCTGCCTTCTGTTCCGCAAATGTAATACTGGGGCTGTTAATACCTATACCCTGTTTTGTTTAACTGTGACATCGAATCTGTCTAGAAACTGGAGCGTGTATGCATACCGACATTGATTCTATAGACATCTTATATTGTGCTTTCCAAGTGCATTTAGATTTGATTCCGCATCTAAAGTGGCTTGATCAGCGACACCTCAAACCGGCAACATCTATCGGTGTAGATCCTGGGTGGTGCCGAATAAGTCAAGCATCGAGTATTCATTCATATTTATCGTATTGAGTCCATTGATATCTCCCTCGCGCCAAACACCAAACACAAAAAACATGCAATGATATCAGATCCCAATGCCAAAATCACATAAGGTTCGACGATTCGGATACATGCGGTATAGAAACCGCCAGCAGATGACATTAAACACGGTACACATCGTCATCCTCCTCGAGGTACATCAAAATGTTCTCATCGTTCATGACACGCAGAGCTTGGACAGCTTCAGAGCGAGAGAATGTCTGTGATGCGCCATGCTTGGGTGATTCCCGAATAGCAGTGTTGACGACATCAATGAGGTCGTTCACCTTGCTTGTGTCGCTATCTGTGAACACGCGCTTACCCATGAGCAGACCCAAAGTCTGCTTGAAGACTGCCATACGCGCAGGGGTGATAGGAGCAGCATCTGTGGAAGACGTTCCCTGTGAGTCTGCTTGGGTTTCCATGAGCTGCGAGGCCGGGTGCGACGAAGCCATGGACATCTGAGAGTCTTCGGTCTGCGATTGAGTCTGGGTACGAGTTGTTTGGCTCGAGCGCACACGCTGGGCGCGCGGGCTAGCTGAGTAGAGACTATCTGGGTCCTCGTCTTCATCGGGAGCGGGAGCACTAGATGCCGGTGCAGTACCGCGGGAACGGCCGCTGCGTCTGCCTGGGGTTGCGGTTGAGGTAGCGCGGGCGGTGGTTTCATCGTCGTCAGAACCATCGTCACCCTCGACATCGCTGTCATCAGATGAATCTTCGAATGTGGTCACCTTGCGTCTCTTGCGGCGCTCATCCTCCACGACTTCCTTGAACATGGCGAAGCGCAGAATGGCCTCGGCATGCTTGGCATCTTTTTCCTCGACCCGGTTGGAAAGACGTGCCTTTGCATGTGAGGTAGACAGACGGATCAGAGTCTCGAGCGTACGGGGTGTGATAGGTGATGTGCGGCGCTTGTTGCCAGTGAGCTCGTCGTTTCGGAGGGCGGAGTAAGTAGCGATAACGTGGTCAGCGGCTCCCTTGGTGAGCACGGGCTGGATACGCTTCTTAGCGTATTGGATGTACTTTTTAATGAACGGTATGCTGATAATTTCGATGTTCTTGCCACGGCGACGACCAGCGTTGGCAGCATCGATCATACCACCGTGAAGCATGACGTTGAACTTCTCAAAGACCTCGCTGGGCCCATTGGAATCTTGGCGGTCGTCAACGCCCACGCCGAGTGTTTGGTTGAGCTGTTCCCGGACGGGAGCTCCTTCTTCGGTACCAGGCTGGCGGTAGCGGTGCATACGCAGAACGTGCTCAGAGATCCTTCGGTCGTGAGTGTCTTCGATGTCATCGGTCACAACAAAGAGCAAATCGAAACGGGAAAGGAGAGAGTCCGGAAGAGCAATGTTCTTGTGAGGATCTTTGTGAGGATCATATTGGCCGTAGATTGGATTGGCAGCTGCGAGCACACTGCATCGAGCATTCAAACTCGTGTGAATACCAGCCTTGGCAATTGTGACCGTCTGTTGTTCCATGACTTCGTGGATAGCCACACGGTCAACGTCACTCATCTTATCGAACTCATCGATACACACCACACCACGATCTCCAAGAACCATGGCACCGGCTTCCAGTCGTCGCTCGCCTGTTTCCTTGTCGGAAGTGACAGCAGCAGTCAAACCGACGCCTGAGGAACCTCTACCGGTGGTGGCAATGGCCAGAGGTGCGGTGTTCAACACGAACCGGAGAAGCTGGGACTTTGCAGTCGAGGGATCACCAACCATGAGGATGTTGATATCACCACGAAGATGTGTTCCGTTATCCAAATTCTTCTCCATTCCACCGAGAAGCATCAGAAGGATAGCTTTCTTGATATAGTCATGCCCGTGAATACTGGGAGCCAGGGACTTGGACAACAAGTCAAAGACGTTCTTCTTCTTCGAAATCTTATTGATGTTTCGAATGTCAGTGTCGGTAAGAGTCGCCTCGGCAATACCTCCGCCACTTTTCGAGGATAATTGAATAATGTTATTCGCCATGATAACGGTGCGGAAGGTCGATGAGCCATTTCCTCCGTTGCGGTTACCGAGGGTACGGTAAATTCCCACAAGTTGGATTCTATCTCCGGGCTTTGCAGTATCAACAAGGTCATCATCCAGGATGACATCGACACTTCGAGGCAATTGGCCTGCTGGGGCACGTTCGGGCATCTCTTGGATGGAGATCGACTGGTGGTCTAGGTAGGTGGAATAACCATACTCGGTGACAAGCTAGTAATTGGATTGTCAATTTCTTGTACATAGTTGGTGTGCAGTATTGAATACTTACGGCGTTCTTTTCCTCATCTTCTTGGGGGTAAACATTCAAGGCAGTTGCGCCATTCGCACTCATGGTTTGATCGCGATATTTTCTGGACACAAAACGCTCTTTCTTGGGTACCCAGTGGACACTCTGGACAATCTTGGGGCGAACCAATGAGCACTTTGTCACAATACCCTCCAGGGACACCATATGATTCAATTGTTGCGATCCCAGTGTGCGGGGGTTGCAGGAGAATTCTCCGAATGCTCCCACATAGGCGCAGTAATAGTTCTGTGGAGAGCGTCAGATGCTGAGAAGCGTCGATTAAATGAATATGAGTACTGACCGCATCGTCGGACGTTTCTTTGCTCGGACGTCCAGGGAGTGTTTTGACAACCGCCTTCAAGGCGGAATCGAAGGCTTGCGAATAATCGAAAGGCGAGGAGAGCAGTCTGGAGAAATAGATGTTAGTCTTCCAACCTCACAAGTATTTGAACTTTTTATAGTATCTACTCACCCATCAGCGAGCTCACGGTTGTGTGCTCTGATCTCATCAATGCTGACCTATTCAAAATCAGCAGCAAATCCTGGCCACCGCAAAGGGGAACATACAGTCAAACGTCGCTCATTACGATTGAGCATAACAACAATATCGGCTCGATAACTAACTCGTTAGACTGGCATCATATGCGGTCAAAGTGAACCAACCTCCGTGCGCGGGCATCGTCTGAAAAAGTAGGTTAGCTCCATCAACCATGCACATGAAGAAATGCTTACTCGGATCAAGAAATTCAGTGGCAGAGCGCACGCGATCTTGCGCGGCCTCATCACGTAGTGGCCCATCCATGATGTATGTGATTATGGGGGGAGGTTTAATGAAGGGGAGAGTCGAGGGGAACGATCTCTGACCTCCCGATTGGGTTTAATTGGCAAGAACGCGTGTGAGTCGCGTGGCCTGAGGCACAAATTGTCTCACGCGTCGTGATTACCTAATTCACTAAATTTTTTGGGGTATATATACCTGCTCGACCTCCCAGAACTTTTTCTTCTTCAAGCGACTCTACGTTAGTGATCCCTCCCCCCAAGCTTTGCCTTGTCTTCGGACTCGCGGCAACTTGGAGTCTTTTGACTTGAATGTTTTACTGACCATTTCCAACAGTTCAAAGAATCACTTTAGAGTAGACGTCTCCTTTCTAAGCTCTTTAAAAGAGCCACAGAATCTCCACCCTTGCTGATGACTGCATGTCCTCGATGCCCTAAAGTGAAACCTTTTTACTTCCGCCTCGACTGTCACGCGTGCTGTTCGCAGTGTCTGTGTTTCGGTCCAGGGAGTGGTGATGATCTTGACCTGGTCTCGATGTCTGACTTCGGTCGGTCGGTCCTGGTGGGTGTCGAGGAGGTCTGAAAGGTCCTCTTCTTTTTTTCATCAACTGACCCGGCAGTGCCGGGCACTTGGAGAAGGAAAATTTCCCGCGAAAGCTCATCCAACGTATCTGCAACATAAATACGCAGTAGCCTCCAATTTTTCTACATAAAAAATTATCAGGACCCACATAAGCTCTCAAATTTTCACCAACTCTCTGTTTCCCTGACAACATACATCGTCGAGCTTAGTGAGACGCGAAAGGTGTCGCTGCGCTATTCCATGGCTCCAGGTTGCCAGTAGGCGTATCTTCTGAGTACAGCATAGATTGACTAGTCACCAACGCTGCTAACCTCGGAATCTTACTGGCATCTTACTACACGTCAATTCTTATAACATCCCTTTCAATACATGCAGCTCCTCTCCAGCTCCGGAGGCCTTCCAAGGCTTTCAAGGCTATGGGCACTGCTTTTTTCTTCAATAACGGGTGCAATACCACCTGGGCAACCACAGTCTCCCAGCGGGTGTGTAATTCCAATGGATGCCCAGGTGTTTGTTTGCCTTGATGAGATCTTCGTCCAGTCAGTGCAGGTAGAACCTTGGAAGAACCCTGGAAAAGTTGTGTGCCGGACATCGAGCGCAAAATATATATCCAGCCTACGCTTCCAAGGTTAAACTTGGAATACTTGGAAATTAAGACACCAAAGCAACCCTGGAAACACCTAGGAACAGCCTTCGAACTTCAAGTCCTAAAAAGATATATATACCAAAAGAAGATAACATATTGTACAAAACTAAAATCACTATATAGAAACAATGTAAGAATCACAATCTGAATGAATACAGGCCCAGGTATCACACTTGCGAGTTAGCCACCATCGCAGCAGCCTCTGCGGCTCGGGCAGCCTTTGCGACTCTGTAAGCTGCTTTAGCTCGGGCAACTCTAGCCTGATCGATGCTAGATGCTTTCTCGCGTCTCGTGGTTGGGAACTCTCGTCTCTTCGTTCTCTTGCGTCCAATGCCTCGCCGTGACAGTCCTACCTTGGAGTAGGGACGGTAGCTGCGCTCCTCCCGGAGACCCGAAACCGGCTTGAATAGCAGGTATGTTGGCTTCTTGTATCTCCACTTGCGTTGGTACTTGTTGAACAACTGCTGCTCCAAAGCCAGCTTCTTTGGCTTATGCTTGTTGATGACGAATTCGACTGGCACACCGTACATTAGGCCCTTGTTGTTGCGTTTCGCACGTTCGATGATCCTCATTTGGTGCGCACTTTGCTTCTTCCAGAGAGCTGTGAGCTCATTATACTCAAAGAATTGTTGCTCGAGAGCCATGCGATCTTCGCGAGGAATGACGGTTGCCAGAGAGCCAAGCTTTTCACGCTCTTCATCAGAGAGTAATCGGGTGACGTTCTGTTCGTCAACGGGGTTGGGTTTGGTGTGAATTTCAAGATCGAGAGGTTCATTAGTTGCCTTCTCGTAGGTGCGTGTCCTTGGGCCACGCTCGATGCCAAGAGCACCGGACCGCGTAGTGAAGATCTTGACTGGGAGGGAAATTGGATCCGGGAATGTTGCTCTCTCACGAAGCAATGCACCCTGGTATTTGTCGGGCAGGTATGGCATCGCTGCGATCACCTCAAAAGTTTTTGTTGCACTCGAATGAACAAGCGCCATTCGCCCGGGGCCTTCCTCGATACTTGCCTCCCGTAGACGTTTCACGGCAGCCGCGAGCAGAACCATGGTTGGGTAGTCAGGGTGCATGTAGCCGGGATCAAGCCTTCGCCAGTGATTGATAGCATGTCGACCCATCATCCTGCGGGGCTTGTTCATGCCGAACTTTCCATCGAGATGGTGAATGGTCACAGGGCAATGAAGCGGTCTGATCCCGTATCCTTGTTTCATCCATGTCCACCCGGGGAAATGAGGTATGAACTTTTCCTCGAACAGTTGGAAAGCTGCCACGATATCCTTGGTGTTGTCCGAGGATGCAAGGGCAGCCACATAGCTCGACCAGTTCATGCCACTGAGCGCAAAGCCTGCCTGCTCAAACTTGATTACCTCCTCGTGTATCCTGTCAAACTCCCCTAGACAAGCCAGTGATCGGATGAAAAGCGTGAAGGGGTGGTCCAATATGAAACGACGAGAGGAGAGAATCCTGCCCTCTGTTTCTGGTTCTGAGTCAACCGGCGCAGGTGGGGATGGATTCGAGGCTGTTTCAGAAAAGACTCCGTCGAGGTTCATGCTACCGGCGAGAGGTTTCACTTTGTCCATCAAAACATGCCAGCAGTCCTCCACTTTTTCGAACTGAGATGTTTTTTGATAGAGGATCATGATGGCTTTGACAAACCCAAGCGGCAAGGATTCCAAATCATTCCCCGGGATTCCAGCAAGCTGCCTGTGGGCTATGTATTGGTCGAGCATGTCGAAGGCCTTTTCAGTCGCACCCTGTGCAGCGTAATTTGTGACCAGATGTTGATAATGCATAGTTGTTGAGAGGTCTATCGTGGAGCCCTTATCAGTCATAGGTGATGCATGCGTGGCGGCTGAAGGATTGGCAGCAAAATGTTCGACTGATTTTGCGAGTGTTTTCTCTGCATGTTCCAATACCATATCTTCAGCAGGTGTGTGCTTATCGTGTATATTCTCCAAGTCTCGCTTGATCTGCATCTGGAGGTTCAACAAACTCGCACTCAAGCCGGGCTGACCGAAGCGGGCTTCCATTTCACGAAAGATGACGTGCACCATATCGCGGTTCCGCCGCCTCAGATACCCAAGTAAAAGGATAGAGTAATGATGCTGCGTGGCCCGTAGGCCCGACCGGTCCATGGTTCGGAGAGATCTGCGTGCGAAATCGGGCTGATTACTCAAAGAGTAAGCAAGCATGATAGCTGCATGTGTGAAGGCATCCGGCGTTAATCTAAGCTTGCCGACCCGATCTAGAATGCGACGGAAGGAATTCTTAGATATTCTGCGCGCATAGTGCATGAGGAGAACATTCCACATTTGCAAAGGAGAGCCCTGGGCTAAATCTCGGCTGGCCTCCGTAAGCTCTTCGGCAAATGCCAGCTGCCCGTTAGCACAGTAGGCCCGAACAGCCGTAGCGAGCAATGGTGTTGTCATTTTGATTCCTCTCAATTGCGCCTCCTTGATCAATCGACGGACATTTGTGACATCTCCTCGCTTTGAAAAGAGTGTCATCAATGGGCCAAATGAGTAGGCATCGGGAGGTTCGCCGCTTTCTAGCAATTGGGTGAAAGTAGCAAGGGCACCGTTCACATCTCCAGCATTTGCATGAGCCAATATGAGCATGTTCCAGCAGGAAGTGTTGGGATAGAGATTAAATTCCGCCTCAATTCGTTTGAACTGTCGCAGTGTCTCAGGCACGTCCCCTAGCCTTGCATGAACCATTAGGACTGGGCTGATGATTTTCCGGCTCCTGGGAAGGCCATGCTGTTCAATCAAGACATTGAAAATGCGGTGCACATTTTTCGCATCATTAGCCATGGCAAAAGTGATGATAGCGCGCACGAGGACATAGATGCTGGGTGGCTGACTAGTCCAGTAAACGATTTCATCCAGAAAATAGTCAACAGCCTCCGGTATCCGTAGTTCCTCCAGGCGTTCTATCATTTGATTCCACATTAACCTTGGTGGCTTGACGTCCGGCATATCAGAACGAAACTGCCGATAAAAAAGGATTGCTCTGATGAACTCTTCGCGGTTGCCAAAGGCATGATGGTTAATCAATTTGAAGTATGCACGGTAGTGCAAAAGCCCCGTGGAGCCATAAGCCCTTAGCACCGCAAGTGTAGTCGAGGGTGGTGTGAGTTTGAGGAAGTCGGCAGACTCGGCAAAGCGCTGAAGGAGACGATTGGTGAAATGGTGGGTTGCCTCATCATCCATATGACTCTTGGCATACGGCGCAAGATCAAGGAGATGTCTGGCAAAAGAAAAACCTGGGAAGTTGACCCGGTTGATATGCTCTAGCACATCGTAACACAGCGATCCACGTTCCTCAATAGGTATTGCTTTTAACGTAGACCAGAGTGATGTTACCTGCGCCCATTCTCTATGTTCCACGTAGTATTTCACAACCAAAGAAATGATCTCCCGTGCGAATGGCGTCGGCAGAGCTTGGGCGCAGATGTAGTCTAGATGTTGAGGTCTGTCAACATGCGCAAGATGGAGATCTGAACGTAACATATTGTGAAAGTCGTATCGCGTGCGCTTTTCAGAGGGGATTTGCTGAAACAGGTTCCATGTCTTTCGTTTGTACTTGAAACTTTTCGATTTGCTCATGTATCCGCAAAGCGGTGCAATGAGGTTCGATGGGCGACCAGCTGCAACGAATTTGATCCAAGCTTTATCGAATTGGTGGCCATCCTTGAGCAGAAAATCATGAAGTTCGGCTTGAAGCTTTCGCTCTCGTTCAATGGTTTCGGGATCTTTGGTCTCTTTAGTCTCATGTTCTTCGGTTCCTAGGTCTTTGGCCCCCAGCATCTCAGCTCCTTGGTCAACATGCTCGTGACTTGGAGAGATCCCGGAGACAGCTTGCCGAAGGCTCGAGACGGAGACATACGACCTCGATAAGCCCACAAGTGATCTTTTCCTCCGGACTCCAGGCCTCCTTTGGGGCTGAGATAACCGCGATGCTACCAAGCGTTGGGGCTCTCGAGGATATAGAAATTCCAGGGGTCTTGTACCCTTATTGGCTGTTCCAACTTTGCCGCAACGGAAACTCGAGATTGAGGAAGATTGTCGACTTGGCACCTGTAAGAGCGCTAGAAGCCAGTGAGGCGCATCCACTCCAGCACCATTATCCTTCCGAGTACGATCACACAGCGAAGCGTTGCTTCGAACTGCGCCATGGGAGTTCCGAAGGACGCGCCGTCCTGCGTGTTCGAGGCAGCCCGTTGCCCGTTCCAGCATTGCCCCCAATCGTTGCAATTCCAAGCTGGACAATCCCGTATTACCTGTCAAGCTGCATCGTATGGTATCCACGGAGCCTGATTGAGAGATGTTATGTTAGAATGTATGTTCCAGGGACTACTCTGATGGCGAATCAAGTAGGTTGTTGGGTGGTGCCATTCGATCGTACCAGAAAAGCAAAACTGGTTCCTCAGTAGGAGCCTCAAGACAGCAGCTTTTGCTTGGAAGGGATCTGCGTGGAGATCAGGTACCCAAATACACACGTTTGGATAAAGAAATCGGTTTACTCAAGGTCCTGAAGCTAACAAAAAAACACTCGGGACTGGGGAGTTGTAAGTTGGAATTTGCCGGGATTTGGTCGGGCCATTGAATTGCCCGAGAAGACACCACCGCCTTGGAGCCCACCACCTCAACCGTGTCCCCCTCTGCCTCCCATCTAAAAGTTCCCCAAATAAAGACAAGAATCATGGAGGTAACTGATTTTATCTTCAAGGAGAGAGAGGAGGTTCTCCTCGTCGGGGATTACAATGCCTACCGTGCGCACACCACCAGAAAATTACAGAAACTCCGCAAGAAGCTTGGACAGGCCACTGTCAAAGGTCGCAAGTATACTGCCAAACCAGTCGTGACTGCTGAGAACGTTGGAAGCAATGTTTCGTATGGGACTTCCCCATCTTATTTTGACGGATCCGCAAGCTAACGACTCCACCGTAACAGATATGTACACCTTCTGCTTCTCGGATCCGAACGAGCTTGGGCTCAAGCGATGCACATGAAGTCCACTCATTCAGCAGACCCCTCCGCGAAGGCCATCTCTGGCGCCGCCCGGCGTCACATTATCTCGCGATTGACCAAGGCCACCGGATACGCAAAGCATCTCGTTTCGTTGCTTCACGAACAATCAACCGGGGCTAGCGACACCGACATCTTGGAAACTCGCGCCTATGCAGCAATGATCTCCGGCTCTCTCTGGCTCGAAAAACGGAGATGGGAACAGTCTCTCCATGATTATTCTATCGCAAGAGTGATCTACACAGCATTGGGCCAAAGTGTCAAGAAAGACGCTTATCGGGACTTGCTCTCGGGGACCGTCGACCCAAGCATTCGATACGCTGCTTATCAGATGAAGCTCCCCCGCTCCAAGCCCACCTCCTCACTGGCAATTGAGTTTTTCCCAACCGACTCAGCCATTCGATCTGAAGTTGAGAAGCTCGATCCTTCGTGTCTTGCGGAAGAGGCTGCTGGAACTCGTCGAACTGCGGAGGGAGAGGTGCAAGAGTTGCCCCAATCTGTGACGTGGAGATCGCGCACTGTTCCACTCGAAGATGCCTCAATCTCCCAGGCTCTGGCTGCTGCTTCAGCGGCAGAGGCTCGTCTAACCACTTGGTTAGCAGGCGCCGGAAAGTCTGCTGCATCCAAGGAAAAAGCTGCTGCATATGACAACGTTATCATTGCCAGTCAAGATGCCGTCGATGCTACGAAAACCGCCATTGATGATTTGGCCACCGAAGGTGTCGACCCCAGTGACAAGCGCATGCAGGCACTTCAGATCACCCGAACCGCAGTCAACTACACCCTGGTGGGCTGGCGAGTGGGCCGAAACCGTGTTCTGTGCGGAGAACAGGATGGATTGTCTTTCGAGGAACAGCAAGTTCCGACAGACAACAAGAACGCTGCCAAACACACCGCAGGCAACGGAAAGAAGCTCAACAAACTCCGGGAGCGCGTAGTCCTATACGATTCGACCCTTCAGAGCTTGGACTTTATTCTCGAGCTTCCAGGTGTGGCGGCCGACTCTGCATTTGTAGAGGATCTTGAAGCCAAGCGCCACTATTTCCGAGCCCTTAGGTATGGTTACTTTGCCCCACTCCCATGTGTCTCCTTGCTAACCAATCCGTTCCATCTAGATGCCTTTCTCTAGGAAGATCCCACAGTGTTCTTGCGAAGTCTAAGGAAGCTCTCGCGCTTTTCTCCCAGGCATTGACTCTCTCCGGCTCTGCCACACCTCAGTCGTCGGAAAGTGTCGACGGTCCCCCACAACTCGATGTTTCCCGTACACAGTCCAGCACTTTGGAGTCGCGACTCCGAGAACTTGTGGCACAATACCGTGGACTAGTCACCCTCGAGCAAGTCACTGCGGAAGAGGCATCGCAATCAAGCCAACGACCTGTGGTGGAACGCCTTCAGCAGTTCGCTGGATCTGGGCTGGATCTCAACAATCTGGTACCGTTCCCGCCCCAAATGCAGCCTATCCCAGTCAAGCCTTTGTTCCTCGACGTTGCTTGGAACTACATCGATTATCCCCGTGAAGGTCAACGCGAGGCTGCCCAGGCGCCTGCTGCGGCGGCTCCTGAAGAAGAGTCCAAGGGTCGTCGTGGATGGTTCGGATTTGGCGGTCGCTAAAACCCCCTTACATGATACGAATACTGAATACTGAATACCCTTGTAATCAACCTCATACCATGTATACTCCGTACTCCGTACTCGTATCCGACTGTAGTAGAAGCACACGTGCCCTAAGAGCCCCTTGCACTCGTCAGCCAATCAGCTACACGACGGTTACCGGAATCACGCGTTCCGAATCACGCCGCTGAGTAATCGCCAATTTCAATGGCGCTCATTCGCGTATCTCAATCTACGCGGTAGATTGGAGACTTGCGACATGCGCAATCTGAAGATGTTCAGCAGTCAGGAAGCTTGCGGGTTTACCCCGTATTCTTGTTTGCTGTAGGAACGACGTGTGCTGTACTCCCTAAATACTCGTTCTCGTACTTCCAAAATTGCTGAGGGGATTGGACGGCTCGGAGATTAGACTCCCCGAACTATGGGCCAAAGCAGAGATTGATTGCGGGCGCCGAAGGAATATCTCAGAAAACATGCGCAATGGAGAGTAGAAAAATACCCCATACAAACATCTGGAGTATAGAAAACCAACGAACCTAACAGGGGATAGTAATTACCACGCAACAAATCATGCAATAGGCCGCATCGTACGGAGTATCAATGCGAGGCATCCCGGTTCGGTGTAATTGGCGTTCCCGCCCCTGAGCCTTTCTCCCCTCTCCACTCTTTTTTTCCCTTTTGTTCTGGGTGTGCCCTTTTCAATCTTGAGCAATTACCCTTGACCTTGCTCTTGCTCTTGCCTGGACCAATATGGTTGAAATGGCGAACCTTACTGGGAGCTTTGTCTCACCATCCGCCGACGCGACGATCTCGCCCCAACTCTTCGCGCCAGCCGGTCTCGTCGCCACCATCCTGGATGGCTTCACGATCTGGAAGGGTCTCTTGACTCTGTTCCTTGCTGCCGTGCTCTACGATCAGTGTAAGTGCCATTGCGACCTCACTCACTTCAAAATCGCGTCTGGAAACTGACCAGGACCCCTTATCTGCAGTCAAGTACCACTACCTCAAGGGCGCGATCATTGGCCCTATGTACAAGATTCCCTTCATGGGTCCTTTCCTCCAATCCGTCAACCCTAAGTTCACCGAATACAAGGCCAAATGGGACAGCGGCGACCTCAGCTGTGTCTCAGTCTTCCACAAGTGAGTACTGAGCACATCCGGCCGGAGACTTCAGATGGAGTTGAAATGTCAACAAAGTTACTAATGGTGCCGTTGCAGGTTCGTTGTCATTGCATCAACTCGTGATATGTCCCGCAAGATCTTCAATTCGCCCGCCTACGTCAAGCCTTGCGTTGTGGATGCCGCCCACAAGCTTCTCGGAAAGACCAACTGGGTCTTCCTGGATGGCAAGGCCCACGTCGACTACCGCAAGGGTCTGAACGGACTGTTCACTCGCCAGGCTCTGGCTATGTACCTTCCCCGCTCCGAGGAGGTCTTCAACGCCTACAACAAGCGCTTCCTCGAGAAGTCCGCTGCCCTCAAGCACACCCCAACCCCGTGGATGTCCGAGTTCCGCGAGCTGATGTGTGCCCTTTCTTGCCGTACCTTTGTCGGTTACTACATGACCGATGAGGGAGTCCAGAAGATTGCCGATGACTACTATCTGATCACTGCCGCGCTCGAGCTTGTCAACTTCCCTATCATTCTCCCCTACACCAAGACCTGGTACGGCAAGAAGGCCGCCGACATGGTGCTCGCTGAGTTCACCAAGTGTGCTGCTAAGTCCAAAGCCCGCATGGCTGCTGGTGGTGAAATTTCTTGTATCATGGACGCCTGGGTCAAGGCCCAGCTGGATTCCGCCGCCTACCGCGAGAAGATCGCCAAGGGCATCCAGGTTGACTCTTCCGAGAAGCCCTCCCAGGTTCTCCGTGAATTCTCCGATTTCGAGATTGCTCAGACTATCTTCACTTTCCTCTTCGCTTCCCAGGATGCCACCAGTGCTGCTTCCACCTGGTTGTTCCAGCTGATGGCTGACCGCCCCGAGATCCTCGACAAGGTTCGTGAGGAGAACCTGAACATCCGCAACGGTGATCGTGATCTTCCTGCCACCATGGAGATGCTTGACAACATGCCCTACACCCGTGCCGTCGTCAAGGAGACCCTGCGCTACCGCCCACCCGTCATCATGGTTCCCTACCTGGTCAAGAAGGACTTCCCCATCAGCGAGACTGTTACCGTCTCCAAGGGCTCGATGATCATTCCCTCCGTGTGGCCTGCATGCCACGACGAGGAGGCTTACCCCAACGCTGACTCCTTCGACCCTGATCGCTGGATCAGCGGCACCGCCGAGCAACAGACTAAGAACTGGCTGGTCTTCGGCACAGGTCCCCACTACTGTCTGGGTCAGACCTACGCCCAGCTTTCTCTGATGTCCATGATCGGCAAGGCCAGTATGGTGATGGACTGGGAGCACACTCCTACTCCCGAGTCCGAGGATATTAAGGTGTTTGCCACCATTTTCCCCCAGGTATGTTCTCCCTTTCGTCTGATTATTTCTCCACACCCACTAATCAATACCAGGACGACTGTCTCCTCACTTTCCGCCCCCGCCCTTAAATTCTTTTGCACAAGTTCAAAAGCGAAGTGGAGCCCAACCCCGTTATCCGGACTAAGGGCTTGGTCATGACTTCACTTGCCTTCCTGTCCTGGAGATGGGGCGGCCTGCTGGCCTCTTCTTTCTTATTCCCTTCTTTTTTTCCCCTTCAATTTTTGATGCATGAGGCTCAAAAAGAAAAGTCTTTAGCATATTGTCCCTCTTTTAGAGAGATTTTGGATACCCTTGTGCACAGAAATCCCTCTGGCTCTTGTGATATTTTTTCCATAAAGGGTCACTGGGGTTTCTCGTTTCTTTTCTTCGAGTGACTATTTTTCGAGCCATGCACATTAGAATAATACTAATAATCTTTTCTTTTCATATCTCTGTTCTGTGGCTTTTGTTAGACGCGCATGCGGCTTGCTTCTCGGTTTTCTGCTTGCTCATCTGGCTCCCCATCCATAGATACGTGCCCTTTCCAACCAGGCAGTAGACGAAGCGTTTTCAGGCTTCCTGAATAGAAAACTACCCCATGAACACTTGCAGTCCATTTACTTCTACTAGCTGCTTGCTTTGTAAAATTTTGTTCCGTCAATTTCAGGTTCTTTTCCTATATCAATAACTATTTGACATTATATGACATGGTATAAATCTATCATTGTGCGTGGTCATTGTGACATGGTATCATAGGCGGTCTTTGAACATGATGCCTGTAGGTGTCTGTGGCCTGACATGGTATGTGATGGGTGTTATGCATGAAGTTGCATGCCCTGGCGTATCTCATCTCGTCGTCAAGGTGGGGAAAAATGTATGTGGCGAAGGTAATGTGGAAAGCACCAAGAACCTCGGGTTATCCAAAAGCAGTGGGGTATAACTATCCATGGCCCCATCCTCCATCATGAATGAGATCTGCCATCGGAGCATCCTGCCAGTAAATCTGACGCCACTCGTCTTCAAGTTCGGGCAGACCTTCAACTCCCACAGGAGGAGGTAGGTCTACATCTCCAAAGGAGAACAGTTGGCGCCAGTCTGGATAGTCTCTTGCTGGTTCTATAGAATCCACCTGCATACTGCTTGAATAGGGATCGTTTCTTTCCATGGGACCGACGTTGAGCCGGAGAGGAGCAATCCAATTGGTGAACTGCGAAGGATTGGGCTGTGGCGAGAGCGTGTTCTGGTGCAGGGAGGAATGAAGAGATGTGGTGGACTCGGGTGTGGGCACACCGAAAGAGAGAGGTCGAGGGGTGTGCATGGTGATTGAAGGAACGGGCGATGCAACGGGCATTTTGTGTGAATGAGCGTCGCCGAAGGGTTTGGGCCGCTCCGTAGTTGCCATCCTAAGATCCTCTTGTAGACGTTTGGAGTCCTCAAAGAGTCGCAAGATTGTACCAGCATGAACCCAGTACTGAGCCAACTCGCGCAGCGAATAAGAGGCTGAGTCGAACCTTCGTAAAGCATTGATGGCAAGGACAGGATTTGAGAACCGAAGTTCTACCCGAACTTGGATCATGGCGGTGAAGAGCGTATGGACTCCAGTGTACCAGAGGAACTTCAAGCGATCATTCATCCTGAGCTCTTCAAAGATGGAAGCAATGACACCGGCTGCTGCACTGCAAATTTCTGCATCGTGAGGACCATAGTCATCTGAATAAGCCGAAGCTCTGGGATGTGGTCGATGCAAGAGAATGAGGAAATTATTGTAGGTCAAGTGGAGCATGGCGGACCAAGGATCCATATCAGACGCTCTCAATCGAAGGTTATCGGGAAGTTTTAAGGACCAGGTTGCCAGAGATCCATCGGCTTCTTGAAGAACAGCCTTTCGACGCTCTTCTGTGGTCCGAAGACCAAATCGGTCGCGGATGAGGTACGATATCATTGTGCACAATTCGGTGAAGTGAATCACGTATTCTGCTTGCACATGGGGGCCACAATTCTCGAAATCCGCAGGCGTTAACGGGGACACATCAGAATCATCCAGGTTGATTGCCTGCGGTCGACCGTATGACAATGATACCATCACGTCGAACTGGACCAGAATGAACCATACTCTTCTCCACATTCGCCTATCACGAGTCACAAAGCTGCTAGACACGGGATTTCGGTGCATGCCAAGTCCTGTGGCAATCCGTGCCGCTGCACCAACCCAGAAATGAGCATCTGCAGCGACATCGTCATCCGCGCTATCAGAATGCCATGTTAGGAGAAGTGCAGCTTGAACAAGAATGTCGCGATTTCGCTCAATGCGATTATCAAACAGATACTTGGTACGGCGGAAGAAAATCTCCTTAAGGGCGTCGCGCTCTACTTTGCCACGGGAAACGTGGGCTCCAACCAGCAAGATCGCCTGAAGAAGCAATATGGGCGGTGGATCTGCGGGGTCGCGATTTCGATATTGCGTCATGAATAAATCCTCGTCAATGATGGGGTAGCCCGGATTGACATAGGTAAAATAAGCCTGCACTAGCTCATCTGCTAGAGGCGGCTCCGGAAGTGTGAGAGCGTCCATGAGAAGCTGGTCATGGCCCGTCTTGATTTGGCGCCGTGGAATTTCGTTGCTGGCAAAATGATAGACATCGTCATCCTGATCTCGTTGCTGCCGGATCAGGAACGACATATTTGAGAGCTCGTGTCCAACGTAGAACGCTCGCACGCCCCGTTGGATCTCCCGTCTTCCAGACTCCTCTTCATCGATCAATTTAACAAGATGTTGCTGCATCTCGCTATGGGCTTCCTGGGCATGCGCCAGATCAGGGCCTTGGCGGCCATAGCCCTCTGGTCCCGTGCCTTGTGCAAAGCCATGTTGTGGAAGGCCCCCGGACGTAGGTGCGCCATGGCCGTTGGGGAACGCAGTTGGAAAGCTTGGCGGTACGGGTGTTCCCGCGGCGATAGAAGGATTCGAGGTTTGGTCGGTCAATGGTAGAGGCCGAGATCGGATAGGAACGGGGTCGAGGATAGAGCGCACTGCAAGACGCTTCTTCTTTTCATGTATACGGCAGTCGGTCTTTCCAGAAGCGCGACAGTTTGTACAGGGTGTGCCGACGGAGCGAGCATCACAGCGCACCTTGCGTCGGTGACAGTGAACGCAAGCCGCAGAGCCTAAGAGTTTTTTGAGTCATCGGTCAGTGGTGGACTAGTGTGGGATTCACGTTGGTGTAAGTTGGGGGACCGGGATTGGAGGTGTGATTTCCAGGCAAGACCAAGCGAAGTATACGGATGCTTACCTTGCTTGCGCTTGCTCAGCCCATCGGCCGGGAGCGGCGAGGGGGCGTTATCGTTGACGGAGGACATGGCGAGAGTACTATTGACATCATTCTAGGTCCAAATTGGCCAGAATTCTGCATGCTTCAAGTCACTTTCACCGCTCAGTTCAGCGCATCATGACTTTCAAACCGATTGCCGAGGGAGAGCAATCACAAAGAACGAAAAAAGTCGGGAAGTTGAGGGAACTGCGGCATCGGGTCCGGTGGAGCCTCACGTGGATGCGGAGAAGATTATGTAAAAAAGCCCGGTGAGTTTATACTTCGAGGTTGATCTCTTTCAAACAATATTAATGTCTTTGATTCTCCTGTGATATATTCAATGACCGGTAGATATTTGCTTCTGTGTATTGAAAGGGAAGCAAGTCTTTGAAGACCATCGAAATCAACCGTCCATTAGCATCTTCCAAGGTTCCTGATGGCAAAGAGGCGAATGTGAGGAGTCAATACCTGGGTACTAGGTAGTCCCGAGGTCATCCCGTCCAAGTAAATGCATGAATATGGATGGCAAACATTTAGATCATCAAACTTCCATATGTACGTACACATGTTACCGCACATTGAGGGGAATAGATCATCCTGAGTCCACGGGTTGAGTTCTTCGTTGGCCACGCTGAAACACAACTTCATACTATGGAGGATTGCAGCAGAGTCCGTCACCACTCCTCTTTTGAACCTCATCTATTGAATCTGAATAGTGGTAGTTTGAGAATATTGATCTAAAGTTGCTTCGTTGCTTCGGTCTGCTCCGGTGTGATGGATGGCTCAGAACAACGACAAACTTGGAACCCGTGAGGGGTATGCTATGGATAAATATGAGTTGCCATATACCACTATGATATCTTTCGAGGCTAGGTCCCAGACAAGGTTGTAAGGTTGACCTCGTGTTGCAATCCTCAGAGATAGCCCTGGAGCTTGTGAGGAAGTACAGACATGACTGCGGATGAGTCTCTGTTGCTAATGGATCTCAGATTTGAATCTTCTTGGCTTGGTACTTCCAAGTTAGTAGATAAGCTACCCAGCTCTATTATGGGCTCGGTGAAAGAAATCCAAAGGAAAAAGGACATTGAAGCCACAGCCCTTGAGGGTCAGACCTCGAGAGGCCTTGGGCTCTGGCGCAACAATTTGTTATGGCTGATAAGCCTATGTTTATCAGTTTGACGGGGGGTTTTCAGTCTAGCTTCAATGCACAATATCGGCATATGATCATGGTTGCAGCTGATTTTGACGCAGTTTGATGCATACAATGGGCATAGTAGATGGCTGGACCTTCTACGTGGCAGTAGGTGGGACCTTGCAAATCATAACCAGAGCTAGTATCCTATGCTAGTCAAATAAGCTGAAAGTTGGCCCACAATACTTGCAGCGTCTCCGGGTGCCACTGTTTCAGGATAATGTGCGACAATGATTGACTCGGATGATTTCACCACACAGACGCCCTCCCCACCCTGTTATACTCACGATTTAACGAACCATCAGCTAGTGTCTCACGTGAGTGTCTTACCTTTTGAGCATAAATACTTTGGTCATCTGCTTTGGTGACCTGAAGCTTTTCTCCTGCAATAAAGAGTCCGCCAGAATACAGAGGGATCGAGTCCTCAAAGCCTCGCAGGATGTATTGAATCTCTTCCAGCTTCACCTTTTGAATCACAGCCAAGTCAGAGCGTTGGGAAAGCAGTAGTCTAGAACAGCGAATCAAATACTTACATCGAATCCAGCGCTTGCTGCAAATTCAGCATCGCCAGCTGCTGAGAAAATGGCGGCCTTGTCGATCTTTTTGGACCCGACCAGGGTCTGATCAACCCACCCTGGTAAACATTTTAGTGAATGTTAGTTTCCAAGAGTCAAGCATGACATACCTTGCCAGCTCATGATAGATATAAATAAATCAAAAGAATAGCTTGAAGATCGAGGTGGGAGTGGCTTGAGGGGTTGTTTTGGAAGGCCCGAAAAAGTTGAGCCAATGGACGGCAGCCATTGGCGCGGGAGCTACTCCGAACAGTAGGAGTCTCGCCTTCAATCTGACCCTTGCGTGGGCTCTCTATCCATGCTTGGCCCTTAGCAAACCCGAAAAGCCACGCATAACGCAATTTATCTCAATAACAATCCATTCAGAATGCACTGCTGATATGACTTTTCTTTCATTCTGTTTCTTGCGACTTTCGCCGTTTCTATGCCTTACACTGCCTTGGTGAGAAAGTACACCGAATCCAGAACCCTAATAAGTCCTTTGATTGGCTTCAACACGCAAATCTCAACTCCGCTTTATGAATTTACATGAATTGAGCCATTTTCAACACTCGACATTGACGGAGTGAGGAGTGCACCTAAAAAAATTCACCGCTGAGATGCTTGATGCGTAAAATGGCGGTATAACAGGAGGCGATCTGAGGCTCTGATCAAAAGGGGTAAGATCGCCAGACTCGATCGATAGTTTCAATGTTGTCTTAATGCGAGGCCAACACACCCTGTCAGCTCGTGTTCTGACTCTACAAGCGGGGTTGTGCTAATCTCGCCAAGTATTCGCTTCCCTCCATGCCTGACTACCTGGGCTCGATTTTCTCGCTCCATGTATGAAGGGCGCAAAGAATCTGGATTCCAATGAGGCTCCCTTCACTCCAGCAGGTACGAACCAATCATACCTCATCGCAAACGCAGCACCAAATACAATGTGGAGTGGCCCCGGTTTATTGAGCATTTGGCCAAGCTAGTATGTGCGTTGCATCCCAGCAGACTCAATTAGGCGGCGCAGCAGATTGGGTGTCTCAAAAGCCACTCAGCCTTGTCTGGTCAATAATTCTTGGATCGGCACATATGGAGACACAAGAACGGATCCCTGCATCGGAGACCATGCTTGGGCCATGTTGGGGCTGATTATGCCGTGTCATTCGTTCACTCCCTGCGTCCGGGGTTGATATACCCTACTCCGTACGTGGCCAACCTCTGTAGAATACCCCTATAAGTAGATGTGACCCCGAACTACAATCTTTTCCGAGTTTTCTGATTTTGAGTGCCTTCGAAGCGCGAGGTGTTCCCGGATCGCCATAATGAAGTTATTTGTGCTGTTGAGCTGCGGACTGGCTGCTGCGTCGGCTCTCCAGAAGCCTCCGATCAAGCAATTTGAGCTCGATCTCACATGGAGCAAGCGCGCAGTGGATGGAGTTGAGCGGGAGCAAATTCTAGTCAATGGGCAATTCCCTGGCCCTGCGCTCATTCTTGACGAAGGGGACGATGTTGAGGTGACCGTCAACAACTTCTTATCCTTCAATACTACTGTGCATTATCATGGCATTGTGTAGGTTCCCCCAGAAAAATAGAGTCTATTTTTATTAATAAATGAGTAGACAACAAGGGACACCCTGGTCTGATGGTGTGCCTGGAGTCTCGCAAAGGCTAATCGCCCCTGGCAAGCAATTTGTCCACAAATTTACCGCAATGCAATATGGAACATACTGGTAAGCATTTTGAAACATAGTAGAATGGGGCCTACTGACAATTCCAAGGTATCACTCACACTCCAGAGGCCAGAACATGGATGGTCTCTACGGTCCAATCTACATTAGGTCTGTTAGCCCACCCAAATCCAAATCCCCCAAGCGACTGAACATTGTCCTAGACCCCGAAACATCGACGCCAGCCTCGTAAATGCAATTTCAAACGACAGTGCAGCCCGCAACCAGATAAAAAAGGCGATCCAGGATCCAAAATTGCTCATGTTATCCGATTGGTTCCACAACACCTCCGAGGAGCTACGAGAAATCGCCTTATCTGCGAACCTTGATACAATGTGAGTGAAAATATCATCAATTTGAAAGACCACTTATTGAATTACTAGATGCGCGGATTCAATCTTGATCAATGGCAAAGGTAGAGTGCGCTGTGTCGATCCAGAATATCTGACCAGCTTGATACCTCCTCAAATCTCGCCTCTACTTCAGGGCAAGAATTTAACGGACAAGGGGTATGTGCGATCCTGTAAATTTGAAAGCGGGAAACTAATTCTGTAACCAAAAGATGTCTCTCAGCCCACAATACTTATGCTCAAACGGCCACTCCTCAACACTACAATGAAATCCCACCTGCTCTTTTTGACGAATGCAAAGCCACAAACTCACCAGATGAAGAGATCAAAGTCAATCCTCAAGATGGCTGGGTCAGTCTCAATTTAATTGGAGCCGTGTCCATCACATCACTATCATGTGAGTTCACTGAATGGGCTTGGTGCTCTTTGGATGCGTCTCCTGACTAGAATGTAGTTTCGATCAACAACCATCCCCTTTGGGTATATGAAGTTGATGGTCAACACATTGTCCCCATCAAAGTCAATGTGCGAGCTGATTCCACTCCTTACAACACACCATAGAACAATTGACTAACCAGCTCCTCTAGGTACTGACGCTAGAAAGTGGTACACGTTACTCTGTATTGGTCCAGCTGAACAACCAACCAGGAGATTACAGAATCACAGCGGCAAGCGCAGGTTTTAACCAAAAGATTGCAGGCTACGGCACTCTTTCCTACGTCAATGGAGACCCCTCTGTCGTGGGAACCTCATCGTTGAACTACGGCGGAGTGCCAAGCACAGATGCCGTTGTACTAGATGGATTGACCATCGAACCACTGATTCCAGATCAGCCCACCCAAGAACCAGAATCAACCTACCTTCTTACGATCGGTCGTTTTGAAAAGGCCTGGAAATGGTCCCTGAATGGAGATAATGCGTACGATTTGTCTCTTGAGAAGGATAGACCTTTACTGTGGGATCCGCAATCACAGGAAGACAGCAATCTCGTGATAGCCACGAAGAACGGAACTTGGGTGGACATTATCTTTGAGGCGGCTGGAAATGAGACGACGCTTCAGCCGGGACATCCCATTCACAAGCACTCGAACATGCTCTATGTCATCGTGAGTAGGCTACTTCTGTGGGTGGTGGATAAGGCTAATCAAGCTAGGGCTCTGGCCTTGGTAAATTCAATTGGACCACCGTTGCAGAAGCAAAAGAAGAGATTCCAGAAAGCTTCAATCTGGTAAACCCTCCTATGAGAGGTATGTGATTCCAACCAATAAGATAACCAGGGCGACAACAGACTGATGGTTTCAGATACTTTTACAACACTTCCAGCTTTCCAAGGACCTAGCTGGATGGCAATTCGCTACCATGGTGAGTCCCCCTGCCCTCTCTTTTTTGTTTCTTTGGTTCAATAGGACTAATTTATCGATAGTTGTGAATCCCGGGGTGAGACACGCCCTTCAAGTGAACCTATTTGATTCCTACTAACATGATTTTTTTTAAAAAAAAAACAGGCTTTCATGCTCCATTGTCATATTGATCCTCACCTGACAGGTGGGATGATGTAAGTTTTCTTCGGATACAGCATTCGAGAAGTCACTGACGCAGCCCTGCAGGCTCGCCATTCTTGATGGAATAGATGCTTGGCCTGAGATTCCTGCACAATACGGCCCAGATGGCCAGTGGGGCAAAGCAACTGAGCAAGAATGATGACTGGTACATAGTTATACTACATTACTACATAGGATTTAATCTGCGTCATGGAAGATCTCAATAGACGCTCTTTAAAGAATATACACCTAAGCACTGGTCCGTGTATTTCAAGGTTCACAAAGTGCTAGTTTGCGTTAAATCTAGCCTGTCCCTCCAGACCAGCCTTCATAATCATGCCGAAGATCTCAAGATCCCTCTTTGCATCCTCAGAAGTAGTCTTGGCTGGCTTGCCTTCAACAACAAACGCATGCAACTCCTTCATCTCCAAAGTGTAGGCATCCTCATAGGTCTTCCGCACCATAGACTCCCGGAATGATCCATCGTCCATCTTTTCGCGAATGTGCATGGTCGTAGGCAAGCCCTTGACATAAGGCGAATCAAAGCAGACCTTCACAGTTTTCTTGCCGCCAAAGACCTCAATCGAGGCATCGAAGCGAGGAACTTCATCAATTCCAGACTCATAAGACACAGCAAATGAGGGATATTGGAACAACGCACTGAAGAGATTAGTATAAGTACTTTGGGACTGGAAGGAAAAATCATGCACTACTTACCTCCAGAACTGAGGACCCTTCGCAGAACACAATGAAGCACCCAGAACACCTCTCGGCATCCCCAGCGCCTCCCTCATAGCACTCAGATCATGAGACCCCAGACTACCAAGATTCCTCCACTGATTCGTTGTATCAGCATTAACCTCGATGCCCAACTCCTTCGTCAACCCCTGCTCCAAGAACTCCTGAGTCTTGGAAGCGAGGGCTTCAGAATCCTCTTTCCTATAGTCTCCAAAGACCTTAGGGAAAGTACCGGATTGACCAACGAAATCAGAGTTCGGGCCCACGATATCACGCACGCGAGCATAATGCACTTGCTCAAGGGAGCCGATCTCCGCGACGGCATCGATAAACGCACTCGCGTACCGACGCATATAACCCACCATCACTTTGCCGGAGGATTGCTTCTCCAGCTCGATGATGCGGTCTGCATCGGCGAGCGAAAGAGCCATGGGTTTCTCAATGAAGACGGTCTTGTTGTGCTTCAGGCCCAGGAGGGCATGAGGGACATGGAAAGCATCGCTGTTGGCGATCATCACTATGTCAACTTCTGGTGAGGAGCAGAGGTCCTCTGCTTGGCGGGTTGTTTGGGGAGTGGCCCCAATCACTTTTTGGGCGCAGTGCGATAGTGCGTTGTCGGAGACATCGCATAGGTAGGTTACTTGGAATTTGTCGGATAGGAAGCCCAGGGTTGGGATGTGGGCTACCTGGGTGATTTCACCGCAGCTGTCGGGTCTGGGTCAGTATCGGATTGGCAACTTGGTGGGTGGTGCTCTTACCCAATGATTCCAACGCGGAGGATAGTCATGATGAGTGACGTAATGGGTGGGAAAAGTCGTTTGTATGATTCAGTTCGTATAATCGCTGAGTATGGCAACGACAACAAACCAACAGAATAATACAAACACCAATTGAAGTCTAATTGCTCAATTTACTTGATGGTGTCATGAGAGAGGAAGTTGAGTTGAAGTTGGGTCCGATGCCCCGCGAAGAGCCCCGCAGGGGACCCTCTCTGCGCTATATCCATTGGCTTCTGTATAGCCTCATTTTCTTAAATGCTTATATACATTTCACTAAGAGAACTGTCTATATCCCTGGATAATAGCTTCCCAGCCACCAGGATGGTTGTACTCAGTCGGGTTACTCTCACCATCCAAAATCATCACATCGGTCTTCCGAGTATTGACCGAGTACCAGACCAAGTTGTCCGGTTGGTTGGTAACACGCATCATATTGGTCTGGCAAGATCCAGAACACTGAGTACCGTAGTCTCCGTTCCACTGCCCATTGAAGAATGCCCAGGCAGCGCTGTTGTAGAGGAAAATATCTTTACCTCCATCAACATTCGTGGCCAGCGAAGTGCGACACTTGCCGTCACCACCACCGCACCAGGAGAAGTCAGGATCTCCGAATTCAGCTTCAGCAGTCCATGGTGCCGGTGCGAGATGCGTGGCACCATCTCCTTGCATGTAGGGACTTTCGCTCTGCAGCATGCCTGCGTAGACGTTCTGCGCTGACTTGAAGTTGTAGTTGTACAACCAGTTGTGCTCGGAGCCTGTGCCCGTCAGCCAGGTTCCCTTGGTTGCTTCAACCAAGATTCCGCGACCAGTGGAGATGATCGTTTTGGAAGAACCACCGTCAAGGTTGTGGTCGGCTGTCCAGCCCCAGAAGTTCTCAATATAGGCTGATGAAGACTTCGTCAGGTGCATCATCATGAATGCGGCCATACATTGCGATGTATCTTGGCTATCACAGTTATCCTTGACGCTGGTCTCGGCAGTGCCACCGACGGTGACAGCAGTATTCCACAGAGCGACATCGCCGGGGTTTGTGCCTGCAGCGTTTACTTCAAGAATGATAGCGCCTGGGAGGATCTCCGCCACGCTGAAGCGGATGTCTTGAATTTCGATAGTGCCAACGTCGTTTGGTTGACCGATCTGGACCACGGGCTTAGGGTTTTTTGCGTCTTTGAAGGCGTCACCTGCGCCGGAAATCACTGCCCAGGCTTCACCTGCGATCCGAGAGCCAACGGGGATCTTGAGGGTGTCCTTGACGATGTAGACACCGTATGGGAAGTAGGAGATCTTGCAGTTGGCTGCATTGTCAGCCAAGATGGCGTTAAGAGACTCAACATCGTCAGTGGATCCGTCACCCTTGACAGTGTGACCGCTGACATCCTTGACATTGACAACTTGGTCCGCTGCATATTCGGCATAGGTAGGCTGGGCACGAGTGAAATACTTGCCATTGGACAGCAAAGCATCTGGTCTGGTAGTTGTGAGACTCTGACCTGACACGTACTGACCCGGGGTCAAGTTACCCCAAATCCAAGTATCGACCTTGTCAGTAGCAGCGAGCTTCACATTGTTGTTACTATCCACAGCGATGGCATTGTTGGTGTCATGAGCCAGATTCTGGATAACAATCTGGCTGTTACGGTTTCCGCCATCATTCGAGGAATCGTGGAACTTCACCACAGTGCCAGAGTTGGTAGACTTGGAGTCCAGTAAGACCAAGCTTCCGAGACCATTACTGGTCATGTCGACTCCATATCCAACAGTGTCGAATGTGGCGCCCTGCAAAAGCGCAGTATGGCCACCGGATGCCTGGAACGCAGTTGTGCATTGTCTGAAGTAAATGTTCTTGAAGTTGACTTGCTGGTTCGAGTTCTTGATACCGACAGCGCCGCCCGTGATGTCGACATCGGTGACCGCGATCGTTGATCCACCACTGATGTTGATACCGGTATGTCCAGTGGAACTGGTAGGCATTTGGATTTTCACATTCGTCAAGCCAGATCCCTGAGCAACACCCCACTGCAGCGCAGTGATCTTGGTACTAGCACTGAGAGCGGTGGTATCGATCACCACGTTGCGCACGAGGGTCATAAAACTCGTCTCAGGCTGACCGTTCTTGCTATCGAATCCATTGATGAGAGTATCGCCGTTGAAACCAGCGGATGCTTTCAGGACTGGCGGGTTCAAAGGATCACCAGTGATCACTGTGCCGACACGCAGGTTCAAAGTGCTACCCAACTGGTAGGTGCCTCCGGGAAGGAAGACTTCAGCAGGGTACCTAGTCACACCCTTGCTCTCACGACTGCCATTCGATCCGTCATCATTGATGGCATTCTGAATGCTACTTGTTTGGTCACCAGAGCCATCTGCTACGGCAGAATAGTCTTTTACGTTGCGCCAGACAGGGTAATTGGCGTTTGAGACATGTGGGGCATATCCTCGTGGCCAGCCGGTGTGATCCTGGTCTAGCATCCAGTAGGAGCTGGGAGAGGAAGAGGTAGGTCCAGTGCAAGTGTCTCGAGTGTCGCTATACATGTTTAGAGAGAACTTTGATTTGTGTTCGCGGGACTCACTAGTTGGAGGGGACTGCGATCGCGGGGGCGAAGGCCAATGCACTTGCCAATGCAGCCCAGCGAAGAAGATCTCGCATCGTGAAAAGTGGACCAAGTCCTAGAGAAAAAAAAAAAGATTATATACTAAATGAGCGAAAGAAAAGAGTGAGTGCGACGAACCCTCTCGAGAACGGTGCTTGATCAGTTTAAATAGTACAATTTAAATGGAGTATAGCCATACTCGCACACTGTTACTTCGTTTAGACTGCTTTGAAATTGGGTGAGATTTTAGCTACTGGACGACTAGTGTGTAGATGGACATACAGGGCCTCATGTCCGAATAGAATCATTTTCCTCGCACCCCGTTTCCCAAAAAGGAATCTGCAATCTCCAATTGAGGCTAGCATCCATGCGGGTAAAAGTGGAGGCAGGGGTAAGATGGGGAACATCCCATCTATTAGGGCCAATTTAGAGACAGTTTCGGGGCTGAAAGTCGGTTTAGGGGCAAATTGAGAGCTGAAAAGGCTTAGGGCCCTGGGACCTTAGAGGTTAGAACCTAATCGGGGAACTGGTGTTTGACTGTTTGTGTGATGAGACGAGCTCACTTCGGCTGCAGATCAGGGACCCGCTCGTTGATCGAAGACTCCCTTGCGATTGGCCTCGATCATTCATATGAAGGACGTCTGTGCCCCTGAATTTACCCGGATGATTATCGGGACTCTTCATACTCGGGACTCCGGATTCCGCAGAGAGGAGGGTGGACACACTTCGGCAACATTGGGTTGCATTTGTCTCAGGTGGCTGAAACGAGGCTCTTAAGAACTAGTACTAGTTGCAGAAGTGGACAGACAAATCGTAGGGGACGGTGTTCCATTTACTCCAATGTACAGATTGTAGTCTCACGGTCTTGCAGAGACCTCGCACTGTCGTAGATACATGCCCTTGTCCCACCCGCAGTTCCTAAACTCCCGTAAAATAAAATCAATAAATATGAATGCAGGGCCACATTTGCCCAAAGCATAACAAAGTCATGCTCGAGGAGGTCCACCTCCAGATCCCAGTGCAAACAAACGTGGAAGCAGAAATGGATTCAAATCAAGCACCACCAGGGAAAATCAAATCAAATGCTTCACCAAACTGAAGAATCGCTCATCTCGAGAGGTCCCCTAGGAAGGGAACGCCCCATTAGCTAGGCGAGAAAAAGAATTTCGCCACGGAAAGACTAGACAGGCTTTGATTTTGAGAGAGTGAAAATCTCTCTGTTTCTCAAAACATTGTGTGTTTAGTATGACTCGGCACCTGCACCGTTGTGAGGCTGTCCAACCATGGAAGGATAGCCGTAGGCGGCGGGATCTTGTTCGGAGGGGTCCAGGTTGGGGTTAAGCATGGGATTTCCACCCTCGGCGTCAGAAAAGCCAGTAGGGCGAGCAGGTCCCGGACCGGGGGCTCCCACGGGTCCTCCGGCACCGTAACCAGCGCTCGGGGGGGCGCTGGTTTTCACCTCGGGCAGATTGGGTCTGTTGTATGGTCAGAAGGAAACTCGACATTTGAACGATGCGTGTGGCCCGGTCCTGGTATGAATATCCCTGATGGGCAGGGTATCCTTCCTGGGAAACGGGACGCGGAGAAAGAGAAGGTGGGGAGGATTGGGAGGAACGGGGGGGTTCCTACCTCGCGGTACTTGGATAGGTAAATCTTGAGTGCTTCAGCGTAGTTCTCAAAACCGAGCGACGTCATCGCAAATAGAATGTCTTCGCCGTTGACGGTTTTGCGCTTTTCCTGTTGACATTTCTCCGAGGCTGCATAAGACAGTCGGTCAATATACCCAGTACGTAGGATAAAGTATCCGACTGACCTTCACTGGTGATGAACGAGATAAACTCGCTCACGCATTCTTGCATGCACTCTTTCGCCTCTTTCGCGATCTTGGCATTTTCAGGAAGGGCCATTTTCATGATCCGAGCCACTAGATAGAATCATCGGTGTTAACATTTTGATCATCTTGACGAAGTGGAGGAAGTGTAGTGGTAGTTATGGCAGGTAGAAAACGGTTGGTGATGCGACCGACAAGGCTCAACGGGAAGAGAAATGCGGCTTTGGTATCGTAGCGTCGAATCGAAATGCAGTGAACAAAGTTCTGGTCCGATGCGAGCAAAAGTTCGGACCAAGATTGCGGGGAAACAAAGAATGGCCAGCCCAGCAGTAAAGGCAAGGTACGCGCAAATCAGAGCAGTGGGACAAATGCAAGAAGACGCGACTAACCATTTGCAATCGGAAGCCACCGATCCTGCTCCTTCACCTCAAACTCGCCATGATGCCCCTGCGCGTCGTGTTGGTCCTTGTCCATGTGCTCTTGTTCTTCACCCGATTGCACCTCGGGGTCAAGTTCTGGTTCCTTAGAAGGTGAGGTCGACGACATGATTTTGAGTGGTTTGAATGCGTGCAGCGGATTCTCGGTTTAGGCGTCAATGCTTGTGTTTCGCTCTGTTGTCAGACCACGTCAGATCGCAATGCGCGCGTTGGTCCCCGTTGCAGACAGCGCAGAGTTGTTGGCTGCGCCGGGGACGGACGGGGCTGGGCTGGGTACGAACCGCTTCACGAGAGCCTTAGGCAAGAGTGTCCGGGATCTGGCGATAATGCAGGTGTGTAGCTCTGTACGGAGTAAATGCGACACGCGCCACCAATTAGCCGGTATTCTCGGAGATGATTGGGGGATATTATCCAACAGCAGGATTCGTTGGAGTGCGATCACGCCGTACCCGCAGTGTGCCAATGACGCGCGCCTCGATACGATGTGGTCCGGGGCGGAATTCAAGCCGGTGAAGCTTGGGGGGGTGTGCGGGATGCGGGAACAAGTGAAGGTGGGTCAAATTGAGGGGGGTGAAGCCCAGAGAATCGCAAGGGGAGGAGCTATACCTTTGTTGAACCCAGGATAATGGATTTCCAGCGAGTGTAATCCGATTCGCTTGGGCTTAAAGCGCTAAAGTCAACATGGGTGTTTTGAGTGGAAGAGGGTCTCATGGGCCTGAGGTCAATTGGCGAACCAGAACTCCCTGGCAAATCGACGAACGCCTTCGGTTGGTCACTTACCACTGTAGATATATGGTCGTTTAATAAGGCACCACAGCCACTTTCAACTTGTCTTAAGTTATATTGTAGTCTTATTGATCAAACTGATAGCAGCGAGGAAGCCGATGGTAAGAGGAAAGGGACGTTCAGTCATGATCGCATCCGATTACAGCCGCCTCAGGCATTCGATACTCTGTGGTATGTATATTACTGTATTTATGCTGGACTTGCTAGTGTGTTCGCGTATTATTTGTATTATCAATACATAAATGCTTCCTCGGGCATTCCCTCAGAATAGTCATTCATGTGGGTATAGATCTGGCCTGGCTACATTTTATCCTATTTTAAATTATCGATGCATCTGAAACAGTTCCCAAAGTTAGGTTGCGCCGGGCCCAATATGCATTTTACAGTCAGGCATCAAGGCTTGCATCCAAGTATGTATACCTACCTCCAAGTACCTACGCTGTGCTACGAGTACATCTAACCTTGGAAGATCTTCGAAATTGCGATGAGAAAGTCTAATATCGGAAACCTTGGAGCAAACCTTGGAACGCGTCAGGCATTTATCAACCCATTTTGAGTTGACTTGGGCCAGTATGTGCTTGGGCCAATATGCATCCCCATGCCATCTCATGACATTCTTCGTGTTCGAACCTTGGAAGCGCATGCTACATATGTACGCACTTGGATAGATATCCGAGGCCTAGAAGATATGGATATGCTCCGTACTTCCTTAAGATGAAAACACAGATCTTGGAAGCTTGGCATCGAAGCACGAATCAACGCTGCATGACTGCATTATGTCTAGTCTTTTGTCATTTCCAGTAACGCCGATAGTCTGCGCTCGCACGCAGACAGCAACCGGGGACAATTTATATCGAGGGTTTAGGGATGGGAGGGTAAATTTCCTTTAGGGCTGCACAACCTGGATATTGTTCTTCTTCTGTAGGGGGGAATGAAACGTCAGTACGGCCCATATCAACTTCATAGAGAGTATGCCTTGGGTGCAGATCCCAAGAGCCATGGATTGCCCGTACCTTCCAGTTATCCAATTCATTCTGCTTTGACTTGTATTGCTTGAGCATGTCCTCGATCACTTGCTTCAGCCCGTCTGAGTTGGTCTTGAGGGTGGGAAGGACGTCCTTGACGGTACGCTCAACGAGCACGCCGTTCACCATGCGGAAGCATTTGCGGTCCGCATCGAGAGGATCCAATGTTTCAATCACAAGCCTGCATGAGAGTTAATTAGCAAGTGTCCATGAACAGATGCCCTTGACTGTGGTGGAGCAACCGAATCAACCCAGCGCAACATCGCACTGTGCTGTGGCAACGTGTGAAGCAGAACGACTCACTTGTGCTCCTCTGCTTCCTGCTCAATATCACCAATCTTTTGTGCTAATTGCCCGAGGGTGTTCTTGAAGTTCGTGTACTGAAGCTGAAGCTCTGTATTGGGGTGTCCATTAGCTTTGCATCTTTTTGAATAGTAGGTCGGGTGGAAAGATACCCTGCTGCTTCTTTGGGTCAATCTGCTTCTGGCTAGACATGATGGCTGCTGACGCGCTGTGGTGATGCGAAAGCTCAAGAAATTAAGATGACGATGCGGGGCGGTTACTTTTTCGGCGGAGAGCCGCCACAATCGAGCAGTTTGAACTGTCCCACTCCCAGACAGGGGTCGTTTCTCTACAGAACTAGGTCAGACTCATTTGAGTCTTCATACAAAAGTTACTTCTAGTCAATTCTGCCCATATTGCATCTCGTGTTCTCCCAAGTCTTCTACACTGGATCACGTGACCTATATCAGTTTTGCACTGTTTGACGACGATAGGAAGAGCTCCAACTCCGGAGATACCAGCGCGAGGAAGTCAACTTTCCTTGGACTAATTTGAGACTACACCTGCAATTCACCGGGACCTGTCTCTCACCTTCGAGTCACCGATCATGTCTCGCGACATGGGCCCTCCGGCCAAGCGACAGAAGGGCCCTGGGCACCTCCCAGCAGGCCTGCGAGACGCCAAACGAAAGGATATCGACAACTGGGAGACCAATCGTATGCTCACTTCTGGTGTAGCGCAACGACGCGACCATGAGGGCGACTTCAACGTGGACGATGAGGAGGCCAACCGTGTACATTTGCTTGTCCACGACCTTCGCCCGCCTTTCCTGGATGGCCGCACGATCTTTACAAAGCAGTTGGAACCGATCTCCGCTGTTCGGGACCCACAGAGCGATCTGGCCGTGTTCAGTCGCAAAGGAAGCAGGGTTGTTCGAGAACGCCGACAGCAACGCGAGCGACAGAAGCAAGCGCAGGAAGCAACAAATGTCGCGGGAACAGCCTTAGGAAATGTCATGGGTGTGAAGGAAGACGAGGGAGACAGTGCGGTTGCTATGCCTGTCGAGGATACATACAAAGGTGGAGGCAACAAATTTGCGAAGCATTTGAAAAGGACGCTGGCGGCGCCAGTTCTTTCAGCAAAAGCAAGACCATGCGCGAACAGAGGGAGTTCCTACCTGCCTTTGCTGTGCGCGAAGATCTGTTGAGAGTTATTCGAGACAATCAAGTCGTTGTCGTCGTTGGAGAGACCGGTTCCGGAAAAACTACGCAGTTAACACAGTTCCTGCATGAGGATGGTTACTCCAAGCACGGTATGATTGGGTGTACACAACCTCGTCGTGTTGCTGCTATGAGTGTCGCAAAGCGTGTCAGCGAAGAAATGGAGGTTGACCTCGGCAGCACCGTCGGATACGCTATTCGTTTCGAGGATTGTACCAGCGACGAAACAGTCATCAAATGTAAGTGGTCATATATGATCATTGGTGATTGCATGCTAATTCTCTGCCAGACATGACGGACGGTGTGCTATTACGAGAATCTCTAGTTCAAACTGACCTCGACAAATACTCGTGCATCATCATGGATGAGGCTCACGAACGAGCCCTCAACACCGATGTTCTCATGGGACTCTTGAAGAAGGTCCTCGCCCGGCGACGAGACCTTAAGCTTATTGTTACATCTGCCACTATGAACTCGGAACGTTTTTCCCGCTTCTACGGCGGTGCCCCCGAATTTATCATCCCCGGAAGAACATTCCCTGTCGATCTTCACTTCTCACGCACACCCTGTGAAGATTATGTCGACAGTGCGGTCAAGCAGGTGCTGGCTATTCATGTCTCTCAAGGCCCCGGTGACATTCTTGTCTTTATGACTGGTCAGGAAGACATTGAATCAACCTGCGAGCTGGTCGATGACCGCCTGAAACAGTTGAACGATCCACCAAAGCTCAGCATTTTACCCATCTACAGTCAAATGCCTGCTGAACAGCAAGCCAAAATTTTCGAAAAGGCTGATCCGGGCGTGCGGAAGGTCATTGTTGCCACGAACATTGCCGAAACCAGTCTGACAGTTGACGGTATCATGTACGTCGTGGACGCAGGCTACTCAAAACTGAAGGTCTACAACCCACGTATGGGTATGGACACCCTCCAAATCACGCCAATTTCACAGGCCAATGCAAACCAGCGATCTGGACGTGCCGGACGAACTGGTCCTGGTAAGGCATATCGTCTGTACACAGAGACGGCCTACAAGAACGAACTATACATCCAGACAATCCCCGAGATCCAGCGTACCAGTCTTGCCAACACGGTGCTATTGTTGAAGTCGCTTGGAGTGAAGGACCTTTTGGACTTTGACTTCATGGATCCACCGCCACAAGAAACAATCTCTACCTCCTTATTCGAGCTGTGGTCACTAGGTGCCCTAGACAATTTGGGTGATCTCACACCACTGGGTCGTCAAATGACTCCATTCCCAATGGACCCTACTCTCGCCAAGTTGATCATTATGGCTGCGGAAGAATATGAATGCAGCGAAGAAATGTTGACCATCGTGGCAATGCTCTCAGTTCCAAATGTCTGGTATCGCCCGAAGGAGCGAATGGAAGAATCTGACTCCGCGCGCGAAAAATTCTTCGTCCCAGAATCCGATCACTTGACTCTCCTTCACGTCTACACCCAATGGAAAACCAACGGCTTTTCCGACTCATGGTGCATCAAGCACTTCCTACACGCCAAGACTCTCCGTCGCGCAAAGGAAGTCCGCGATCAACTCCACGACATCATGAATGCACAGAAAATGCCTCTCATCAGCTGTGGTACAGACTGGGACAATATTCGCAAATGCATTTGCTCAGGCTTCTACCACCAAGCCGCGCGAGTGAAAGGTATCGGAGAGTTCATCAACCTGCGCACGAGCGTGACAATGGCTCTCCACCCCACAAGTGCCCTTTACGGTCTCGGTTATGTGCCTGAGTTCGTCGTCTATCACGAACTGATCCTCACTGCCAAAGAATACATGTCCACGGTGACTGCTGTCGACCCACATGTAAGCCTACCCTGCAACCCCTCCCATCTATTCTTTCTAACATGATCTAGTGGCTCGCTGAACTTGGAGGTGTCTTCTACTCCGTCAAAGAAAAGGGTTACTCAAAGCGGGACCGCCGCGTTACGGAACTCGAGTTTAACAAGCGCATGGAAATCGAAGCGCAGATGGCCGAGGACCGCGAGCGCGCAGCTGCTGAAAAGCTACGTGAAGAGGAGCGCAATGATCCCGCACGTCGGAAGACCGAAGTTGAAGTTGGTGGGAAAACTGCGGTTCGTCGGCCTGTCATCAGACCTAGGGGTAAGGTCGGTGGCTTGACTGCTTCTTCATCCTCGTCCTCGCGGCCAAGTCCCGGTGGGGGTGCTAGCACCCCTCGTGGCGGAAGTGTTGTCAAGAGGCCTTCCGTGAAGAGGAGACCTGGTACTCTTTAACTTAGGTGCCTCTTGTACCAAAGAAGCCCTTGGACTTCTGCTATGTAGATCTAGTTGAAAATATACCCGCCATGGCATTCTGTACAACTTCTAAGTTCATCATTACGGTGAAACAAAATACCAATAGTCTCAGCATTATGGAGCGTCGTTAAAGGCAATTCTGATGTTGGCTGAAGTAAATGCCAACACAACTTCCAACTTAAGTTCGAAGCCACGCATAGGTACTTGTTCAACAAGTAAATTGGTATAAATAGTTCAGTCGTGGACAACATTTGCCCGTTTCAATTGCGAAGTGTACAGAAGGTGAGAACCAGTAACAATATTGCCCATTTTGACCATCATACGTAGCCAACACTGACCAATTCCAGAGAACGGGTCATAATCTCGAGCTTCGAGGCCAGCTCAGTTGATAAAGTTGATGCAGAAGAAGTGTAGAATCAAGCTTCCGAAGATATAATCCGCAAAGGCCCTGTGTGGCAATTAGTACAAATGTTAAAGGAAAGGGCGTCACCACCGTCTGGAACCGAGTCTCGCAGCTATAACTCACCTCTCATGAGAAGTCCCTGTCCCCTCTTCACTGTCGTCTGCAAACCGCGCATTCTTTCCCTTCGAGCTAGGCTTTGATACAACACTGCTGTCACTAGTCTGCATACGCAGACTTGCTGTCAAAACAAATTGGCCAACCGCGGCACTGAAACCACTGAGGAACGCGTTGAAGGGCTGAAATGGGCAATGTTAGACAAATGTTCCAATTGAGGACGGCGGTTCATGTTTAGAAGCACGTCCGTATGTGTAATTGAGCGGCACGGATGTCGACTTACGTAGTTTCCGGCAAGAACACAGTACAGGAACTGCAAACCGCCGACCAGGATGAGGAACGCCATGAAGGCGTCTAGGAGGAGCACACGCTGCGGCGTGGTCGATGCGTACTGCTTCCAGACATGCTGGGCAATTTCAGTGGCTGAAGCATTGGCCTTGAGAGTAGCTGGGCCGGAGGAGAGTTTTGGTGTTGCGGGCGTGGGCGTGGTGACCGCGGAGGTGGTTGCGGAGGTAGTTGAGGCCGCGTGGCGCTTTGGAGCCATGTTGGTTTGCTTTTGGGGAGGGTGAAGATGCAATTGGCTTTTTGTCGTGAATGGGTATTTTGGAAATTACACCCTGATATTTGCGGTGAGAAGGTGGGTTGGATGGCAATGGCAATGTGGAGGTTGGCAGTTGATGCCAGCTTGGAGCTTGGCCGTTATCGACGGGTCACGTGGATGTACCCGATATGGAAGTATACAAATGGATAACAAATACCATTAGGCCCGTGGGCATCTATCTAGTTACCAAATGAATAGTATAATTGAGGTTTATATTTTGGGTATATTGTTTGTGTTTTGTTTACATGTTATCCTGCTGACAGGGAAGGCCACCGGTCACATAGCAGTGTAGAGGGAAGAGTATAGGTATAGAAACAGTGAGGGGGGAGGGATATCATATAATCAACGCCATCATCAAATCGTAAATCCAAGCATCAGACAATATATGCATGATCTGTTCTTGGTGAGTTCAGCTGGGGCTTCAGGCAAACCATTCAGTGACATTTGTCCCCTTATTTGGGTTCAGCTCATCATTCTCAACATCCATCTGGAAATCTCGCATCACTTGATCCCAGTCCTCCCAGCTAAGCTGAGGTGGTGCGGAGCCGTCGGGGAGATTTTCTTGATTGAAGCAAGGATTGTTCATGGGAGCGTAGGTCGTCGCTGCTGAATTTGGTGCAACATTTTGAACAGGGTTGTTCAGAAGGTCATTCGACGGATCAAACAGATTGGACCCAGAGAAGATACCCTGTAGAGCACCCAATGGCCCTTCGCTAAGGTCGATGTTGAACATTGCATCCGATGGAGGTAGAGCTCGGGCCGCTGGCAAAATCGGCATATGAATCCTCGGAAGCGATTGATTATCTCCCATTATTTGCGCAGGCTCAGGCATGGGCACAGGTCCATACTTGGCTACTAGCTCTTGATGTTGCCTGGAGCGCGTTGCAGCAGCCCTTTTCATCAAAGCAGCTAGGGGCCGCCAGAGCATTCCCTTTTTATGAGTCGCCTGAAGCGCCCATTCTGAATAAAGAGAGCTGACGGCGTTCCACGCTCGATCGGTCACTGGACACATTGGACGAACGCAAATTTCAGAAAGGACAAATGCGACACCGTGCCATTGCATGTTGGTGCGGAACAGCCAGCCCCATTTGGCGGTCTTCGGATCGGCCTCGAGTAAGCGACCGAATTCAAGAACCTCAATCGCAGTATGGAACAGGCTTTCGCGCGTTGCTTGTGTGATATTGCCACGATCTTTGCGGGTCATGGGGTGATGAACGATAAGCCATAGCTTAGCAAGGATGAGACGCGCCACGGTCGCCGCACACCATTGAATCGGAATGTTCATATCGCAATGTCTGATGTATCGCTGCTCGCAGCGATCGCTGATTATCTCGATCATGCGCTCACAGCGATCTGGGGACGGAAGAGCACTAGCAGGGCGCCACTGAGAGCCAGGACAGACATAATTGGCCCGCCGCAAAGCACTTGTGATCTCGCAACGAATCAAACAGAATGTAGCATCTGTGCAGCCCTCTCGCTCGGCGGGTGGCTCTTCCATATCAGGTGTGATATCTTCATCATTGATGTTCAAGGGTAGCCGAGTATCGTACATGCTCTCGTGTATAAGCGGATCAGTTCCATGATCTTCTGAAGAACGAACATCCAGCAGCGAGATATGCCACCATAACCGACGGCGCATTTCGGTTTCAAATGGCTTTAGGGCAAAATTGGTGCCATCCCGATGCAGACCTAGGCCCTGAGCAAGACGTAAGACAATTGAAGTTAAAGACCAAACAAACTTGCTATCATCTTCACGTCGGACACAGACTAAGAACAGGACCGCGGCCTGGAGAAGAACCAAGCTTTGTGTGTTGAGGAACCCGGCTTTTGCGAGTGCTTGTTCCGTTGCGAAGCGATACCGTTTGACAGCCACAGTGCGATCTAAACCGAACTGAAGCATGCATTCATCAGGCGTCATGCTGACAAGGGTGCAAAGATACATGGAAAACACCAGCGCCTCTTGGTTCTTATCCAGGCCGCTTGGGTTCTGCGCTGCCTCCGCAAACAAGCTTTTAGCAGTCGGTCTGTGTACGATCGTGATCAAAGGAGCGACATTGTCTTTGTATGTTTCCCAAAGTATTGATACTTTAGGCATGGGAGGGTGAAATTCTTGGAGATTTTGTGAGAGCGAGTAGAAACCGAATAGGAACCCATCATGTGAGATCGAATGCGCAGACTCCGGGGAAGGCGTGTCATCTTCTTCAGAGGAAGAATGATCGAGTATGTCCTGCAATTCTTCGATCTACAACCATCAGCAAAGACCACAACACGGAACCCAGCCATCTTACCTCGTCGCCAAGACTCGCCCAGAGCCGATTGCTCACGTATCGGCTCCGCCCCTCGTCAATGACCAGTCGTCCGAATTCATTTTCAAATTTGTTGGGCGGCGGTCTTTTGGGGTCCGAGTCTTCAAATGGACAACCACCGCCCTGCTGTGGTTGGACTTGTGGCTCTGTCTCCGACTTTGCAGTATCACTCTGGGTAACCGAAGGCCCGACCGACGGCGCGGTTGATGATGAGCCAGGAGCCGAGGGGTTTCCCTCCGCTTGTCCACCCTTCAGGTGATCGATGACGCCCTCCAGACGACGTAGCCGAGAAAGTAGCTCAGCATCCGGTGGGCGTTTCGATTTCCGTGGGGCACGACCGGGTGGAGGGAAGACGCAGTCGATGCCGGCCTTCGTACAATTTGAGCATGGGAATCGTTTGTTGCATCGGACCTTGCGGCGGCGGCAGGTGACACAGCTGCGGGAGCTGGAGGTGGGTTCCACAGTCGTGCGGGTATTCAAGATCGGAGAATTATCGCTGAGCGGGGAGAGGTTTAGCTCTGAGGTTGATGAAAACGTCATGTTGAAGGTCGCTTCCACATTCTTCGGTTTGTAATCCGTGCAAGGAACTCCAGGGGAATACAGGGCTGAAAAGGGTGTGAGGCTCACACTTTTCGTTCGTATTACTGGGCCGGGGGGTCTTCAAATTATGAGTCAGCGGTCCTATTTAGGTAAATGCTGTATCTCCGAGGACCGATTCTCCGTATCATCTTCAAGTTTGTTGTATCGCAAGTTGTATATAGCTATGTGCTCGATTTGAATGTACAGTTTCTTCCGCAAAAAAACCAGAATATGACAAACGCCTAACCAATGCAAGGGGAATCTTTGGATCGACACGCTGAAGATCAGATAAGTAAGTACACTTAAACCTCAAGGGCTCGAATCGGTTCGGATGTGCGAATGGGCAAGTCACTGCGCCAAACTCGTCGTAGCAGTCGGGTCATTCTGCGCCTAAACGGCATTAGTCAAAGTTGAAAGGCATCCCCTCAGCGAGCGACTCACACAGCAGGCTCCCAAATCTTGGTATGATCATTGAATGTATGGCTAAAGATGAGTTAGACATGCACCGCACGATATCAGGGTTCAGTCAAACATACCCATAAAAGCTCGTCCGAGTGAGTGACTTTGCACTGTATTCCTCCTCGAGTAGATATGTATAAGCGTATGGAATCTTGACCAAGACACCTTCGAACACACTGTCGCGCAGCGGGAAAATATCGCTCTCCTAGAGCACATTAGCGAGATATCTTTCAGAGTCCTAGGATCACATACATCGTAGTGATGCTTATCCTTGCACATCAACGCCTCTGGATTTCCCTGGCTCCTCTTCTCCTCGTCTTTCCTCACGGCCGTGATATCAATGAACAGACCGGACGACATGTCAATCCATCTCGCATCGATCTTGTTCAATGTATCCTGCGTGGATTTGACGACATAGTTGGGGTTGATTTCAAGCATGTATTTGCGGCCGCCTTCGACACCGGGGATATCGAAATGATGCTCCGTCATATTGTAGTAGTCGGCCAGGAAGTGGATGGTTGCTTCGGAGATCTGGACGTCAAGGTCATTGTCCCATGGAAATATCTGCGGGTTTTTAGTTCTGTAATTTGGGTAGTGATGTTCGGTACGCACCTTCTGGTTCCACCACCAGGCCAAGAGTGTGCCGTGCATGATCCATGTCTCGGCACCGATAGCGTTCATCGCTGTGAAGTATGTTTGAATCAAGGCTGAGAGGTACGGAACGACCTCTGTCTCCGGAAGAGTCTCGTTGGCGAATCTGTAGATTTTTAGACTTGACGCAACATGGGAATGGGGTGAAAATGCTTACCGGCCATCATAGTGATGATGGAACCTGCAGTGAGGTTAGTTACGATGCTCTCAACCCTTGTATGCAGCAGACATGGACGAATTTACATACTCAGATTCATCTGTGGGGATTGCCACGTCAGTTAAAGAAGCGCCAAAGGCTGTGGATATCAACTCACGAAAGTATTTCTCCGTCGGTATGTGGGTTTTGCTCTTATATTCTTTCGTTACATTCTTTCGCACACTCATAAAGTCCGGCTCTGTATCTCCATGAACGACAGAGACGAAGGTCGCTAAGAGGAAGCCATAAAGCCACAAGGCTATGGCAGAAGAACGCATTCTATCCCAGGTTGCTTAACCTTGCATTGCCAACGAGTGATATGGCGGTCTTCGATATGCCCGGCAAGCAAATTGGTTCCCCACTGAGCGATTGGAACAAGAGGTATTTACACGATAGACTGGAGGATCGAGGAGAAAGCGAATGTGCAAAAATTAGACTCAAAAAGCGTGCCAGGAACCAAATTGACCGGACAGTCGAGCCGGTGCCGAAGGCAAGAGAAGCTGATTGGACCGGGCCCAACACTATCGAAGAAAGCTGACGACTGGAAGAAATGAGCCGAGCGCCGGTATATCCGTCGATCGAATCAGAAGAGTTCGTTAATGCGCCACAGAGTTGGCCCCACATAGTCATGAGCTTGTCTGTTGAGTCGCGTGGCTCATCTTGGCAATCTTGCACTTTGTACTCTCTCAAATGCGGTCGTGTAGAACATTTTGTTTTGAGCAACTGTCTCTTTTTTTTTTTTTTTTCAAATTAATGTCATCATGGTTGTAGCTTGGAATCCCGATAAAGCACGGAGTCGGCCTGCACAGTACACGCCATGGCGCTTGAGTTGTGAGAGAGGTATACGCGTCCTGTGGCATCATCCCAGATAAGCCTCTTCACGCCATTCCGCTTAATAACGACCGAGAAAGTGGGCCTCGGGGACAACACAAAATTGATCAAGATCATGTTGTTATCTCCGAGCTTGTCTGCGACCATCAGTTAATCTTCGGATCTAGAGATGAGAGTGTCTGTTCGATCGGAAGGATCCTGAATGTTGACCGATACATGCCGTGATCATGATTATCTTCAGGACTATTAAACAGAAACCATAGTAATCTTGGAATTAATATCCGCAGGCATACGTATGCGCGAAAGCCATCGCGGTTTTTATACAAAAAGGGAATTTACGCTGACCTACTCCGTTCCGTAACCCTAAGAGCTCAAATTGTAACTCAGCCTCTCGGTCCAAGAATTGTTAACACCCACTTCGACCCTGGATAGTGCGTGTGGTGCAAATGCAGGGCTCTTAGCTGTGATATATAAGCATCCTTGGGGAAGCGCACGCTAGGGCGCCTTCATATTCATGTTTACTTGCAATGGACGGTGATAAGATTGGAAGGGTGGAAATAGTCCAAAGTATAGGATACCTAGTGGATAGCCCCCTCAATGCATCGGAACCCCATTTCAAAGAAATGGAAAGAGAAAGCTTGAAGTGACATAAGCCATTTACAATAGACATGTCTAAACAAAGAGTCTAATAAGATCAGGTCGAGGAAAGACGCCAAGATTTCCAAGGTTGGGGTTGGCGGACATCAAGGTTCTTGGGGACAACGCCGCAACCCGGGCCCGCAACGCCCATCTTCCCCATACTTAGCCTCACGAACTTTGCCGCCAAGCGCGTGGCTGTGGATTCAACACGGAAAAGCTCGTTGGCCTGATTCCCGCTTCACGACACCTGAAGATCCACATTCCGTGAGACTCAGGCTGCTGAGTGGGTCGGAGTTCTTTTCCTTTGTGCGACCGAAAGGATTGAACGATACTGAACGGATCCCGAGGCCCCTGAATGCTTAATGGGATACTTATTTCTATGTTTGAAGTTGATTGAAGAGGTATTAGGCATTAGGAGGTGAATTTGGCTCTAAGAGGCTTATAATTGAATAGCATGGCTTGCAGTATTCCGTACAGTTCCAACCTTGGAAGGTCACATTACTTGCACCTGGGCATCGCGAAGGGGAGTCGCGTGCATACATGGATGCAGTTCTACCTGGGCACATCTGTCTTTATAACGTTTCATTATCTGCTAGACCGGATTTCGTAGATGTCCACAGTGCAACCCCTTTTGCAATTTCTGCAAGCTTCCACGGCTGATCGTATTTATAACCTGTTGATCCAACCTGAAACGACCCTAACTATAGTTAGATGGAAATTGGCACATGTCATGTTCTCAGGGCCCACTAACACTATACAATGTACCGGCATACCGAAAATACGACGTTGTCTCTAGCCGAGTCTTTCACATGTCTTTTGAAGCTTCATGTGAGAGTATACGATCTTACGTTAAAGAATTAGTTATCCATGGATATAGGTCCAATTGGATATTTATAGGATCTCTGACGTTGATTTCGTGCCCTGGAACTACATTAGCGCGTCTAGACCGCACAGACTGGTTATAATTGAGAACAAAGGATTGGTGTTTAGAGGATCGAAGAGTGAGTCGCCGAACCGGGGCTCGGAGCTCGGGGACTGAATTTTCATAGAATCGCGGGAACCACCAACGATCGATACTTGGATAGACCATGAGGGAACCGCTCGCTTATATTCATTTCCCAAGGTTGAAGCTATGAAGTTCTTGGTATCACATTTTCCAAAAGGCAGCCCACAGCGAAATCGCAAAGTGACCCGAGTTGGGCAATCTCGGTCGTAGCCGCTCAAAGGGACAGGGCCAATGGGCTCGCCTGGGAGGAATCAAGTGGAGTAGCAGTGACACATTGATTCGCTAGGTTTGTCCTTTAGCTTTGTATGGTACTCGATGCTCGTCAAAAGGATCACTTTGGTACGACTGGTGCCTGTTCCTCCCTAATTGAGCCACCGAGGTAGACCCTGGCAAAGTTAGATTGATTGAAGCTGAATATCATTGGCGAACATGCGCATGTTATGTGCTAATATTTGTTTGATACTCGTTGTAGTACTTTGGGAATAGTATTCCACTCTAGAAGAGTGGACACCTTTCCCCATACTACACTGGACAATGACATGCCGGGGATCTTTAGTTTCTGCAAACCTTTCCCCTAACTACTTTTTACCTCTCACCTTGAAACCTTCCAACCCTGCCAAGCTCTCGAATGTAAATTCTGTCTATGATTTCCCGGCTTGTTTTCGCTACTTTGCGATTCGATATGAGTCGATATACCCAATAACCTTCGCTACACGGACGTACCTTTCCGTCCTATTGAACTCCCCCTACTTGATGGAAATTATCGCGTGACCATGTCAGAGACCTCGACGCCCCAAGAAGCAACCGGATCACAGCTCAATCGATCTTGTGAATCCTGTAGAAGTCTCAAGGTCCGCTGTCTCCCGAACCCTTCTACGCCTCATCAGTGCCAGCGATGCGCCAAGGGAAAACGATCTTGCATCTTCGTGGCCCCGCAGCGTCGGCGGCCACGCAAAAGAACAGACTCGCGAGTCGCTCAGCTAGAGAAGGAGATGCGCGTTATGCGTTCATTGTTAAAAAATCGAATCCCCGAGGAAGATGAAGAATCCGAAGAGAGCGACGACGACCACGAAGATTTGAAAAGCAGCGGGAGGGATCACTCCGCAAACTCGGACGATGCTCGCTACATGGATTATTCTCCTGAGCTGCTTACACATGGTGTATCGGTGCCGGATTTTGCGTTTCCCGCGGGCTTGGAGGAGGAGAGACAGCCCGTGGAAGATGTGATCGATCGTGGGATTCTGTCCATCGACGACGCAGAGCAGCTCGTCGCCTACTACATCCACGAACTCGCACCATTGTTCCCATTGGTTCTTCTCCCGCACACTACCACTGCAGTCAGTCTCCGGGCGACGAAGCCCGTCCTATTTCTCTCCGTTATAGCCGCGACGGCGATCTCCGTCGACGCAGGACTGGCAGCCGTTTTGAATCGCGAAATTGTTCGACTCTATTCCGAACGATTTTTCATCGAGGGCGAGAAGTCACTGGAATTAGTACAGGCCCTGCTCCTCATGATCGTCTTTTATTTCCCGCCCGCCTCGCCTCTCAAGCTGCAGTTCTATCAATATACCCACATTGCCTCCACGATGGCGCTGGAGATCGGACTCGCGAATAAACGCCGCGTGAAATCCGATCGCAGGACCGCCCACGATGAAACGCTCGCCGAGCAGGCACGTGCGGTTATAGGCTGTTACCACCTCGGCTCGACGGTTGCGATGAAGACTCGTCGTCCGAACCTCCTTCAGTTCAATGACTGGATGGTCGAGTGTGTTAGGCATCTGGAACGCTCGCCGCATCGGACGGATCAGCACCTGGCAATCTGGTTCGAGCTCCAGCGTATAACCGACGAAGCGATGTCATCCTTTGGTCTGGACGATACGAGCACGACATCACCTCTGACAGAATCTCGGGTGCAAGCTGTCCTGCGCTGGTTTGACAAACGTATGGAAGCATGGAAGACGAATACTCCTTCTGAGATGTTGACCGGTAAGCATCGTCCCTCTCCTCTCTCATCGCACTCCAGACTCCAACTGACAACACCCCAGTCCCCCTCATCCTCGAATACCGTTCCACGGCACTCGCCATGTACGAACTAGGCGTAGGAGAAGGCTACCGCGACCCCGATGCCGTGAAGAAACGTTATTTCACCCTCCCCACGCCCGAAGGACCAGAAGCACAATCTCCGCTCAGCGCAATTCGCATAGATATCAATATGAAATGGATGAACGCCGCCCATGAAATGCTCGATGCGGTGTTGGCTTGCAGCACGGACACGATGCGCAAACTGCCCAATCTGATGTACACCCGACTGGCAATGGGAGTGACATCGCTGCTGAAAATCCATTTCTCTGTGCGGACTGGAGCTCTCGGAGAAGTCGTCACGCCGGAGACCGTCAATGTACACTTCTACCTTGACGCGGTGGCCAACAAATTGGCCGAGGCGAGCGGCGCTGGGAAGTACAAGATTCCCAGTCGGTGGTATCAGGTCATTGGGGTCCGGGGGAGGGATTGGTATGAGCGTCTTGAGAGTAGGGGTGAGCAGACTCCCGTAGAGTCGATGGCTGCATCAGGTAGCCAAGGCCCGAGTCAGAGTCAGAGCCACAATCAGGTTCAGAGCCAAAATCATGGTCAGGGTCAAGGCCAGGACGCTATGAATGTTCAGTCCATGAACACATTCCCTGTGTCTGTGCCGATGGTCGACCCGCGTGATGGGTATGTAGCGATGAGTGGCACAGGCATGTGGCCACCAATGGATGGACAAGGTCATAGCCATAACCCGCATTTCTTCATGGGGTATCAGCAATCACCCCACGCGGCGTCATCGCAGCAATTGCCGCCTCAATTTGCATATGAGCCGCAGAGGATGCCTGCGCCGGCAGCGGGCATGGAGTTGGACGGTTGGCTTCCTGATGGGAGTATCTTTGGAATGCCGCCTTTGCCTGAGTTTTAGCCTTTGTTAATATCTGGTGTATTCCTAGAATTAGTTAATAAATGAGTGACACGAGTTAGTGATCGGTATCGGTTAAACAATCTTGCATGAGTGAAGTATAAAAGTAGATCGGATCAGATGTAAGAACTTGAGAATCGAGATAGACAGCCCATACGACTAGGGTAGTGAAATCACGTTTGATTTCACTCCTAGGCAGTCTTGAAATCTCTGAGAATTAATCAAGAAAAAGAACGGCACAGAGAAAAAGAAAGAAGGATCCCAACACTTTGGATAATATACGGATGATATCTCGCATTTACCCCATTTATCCAGAATGGCGAATCCCCGGAGCTTCGGGAGAATCGGAAGTTCCGACCCCAACCTTCACCAAAAGGCACACTGTCGACAATGACCATCGGGCTAATATCGTCTCCGATATCTGGTGGGTTTAGTGGATTTCTTCCCAATTTTGGTGCTTCCATCCCCCTTATCACCCGAACCCGAACCCGAAGTGCAGCTCGTCATCTATGACCTTTACCTGTTTACGTCCCTTGAGTTTCCCCAAGCTTTGGATATTACATACTCGTAAATGGAGCATGGATAGAGATTATATTCCGTTGCTGGATATACAAAAACGAAAACACTATGTTTCTCATTAGTACAGCTCTTTACCTGTTATTCGTTCATTCATTGCACGCTAAAGAGGGATATCAAAGAAAAATTGCTCGTGCATCCTCGTATCAGGTTATCATAGGATTGAAAACGCTTCCAACGCATCCATGAACCCCGCTATAGCCCCGACTCCCACTAACCCCTTTGTAGCGGTTCTGGTCAGATTTTTGTGTCTTTGTTTTGCGTCTTCGCGCTCACGCTCACGCTCACGCTCGCGTCGACGGGACGGGGATCTTTGCGCTGAGCGGGGCGGGGATGTTCTAGGATCTGCACTTCTAGGATCCGAGACTCGGGACTCGGGACTTGAAGTGGAGAGCGGGTATGAACGGGGGTTTGGTCGGTAGTTCTCGAAATGGACTTGGTTCTGTCGGGGACTTGGCATTTGCATGGGCATCGGGACTGGTGTGGTCTGGTTTGGATGGGTTATTGGGATTGATCGGGCGTTTGTTGGAGGTTGGTATTTGTGTTGGCTGTGTTGAATTGGAGGTGGAGGCGGACGAGGCTGAGATGGCGGCGGAAAGCTGCCACTTGGGTATGGGTATAGGTTCGGTTGCCTGTCGATAGAATGATCCGAGAAACTGTGTGAATATGGGCGACGCCGATTGGTGTTGTGCGGGTGCAGGCTGTCCCTTTCATCTCCGCTTGAGTCAATGGTCGTGCTGGGGCTTCGCTGCTTGGGCTCGTCGAGATCTGGTTCGCTTTCCACGTGCGCTTGGTATCGAGAGTACTCTTGTCTTAGTTTCGCTGCATGTTGGCGAGCCTCTTGTGAGTGAGGGTTCCTCCAATTATCTGTTTTCCCTTCGAGGTAGTAACCTCGTATGTCGTGGCCATCATGGCTGTCGAAGTCGAGTTCGTCGGAAAGCTCGTCTGTATCGGACACGTAGACTCGTGGTTGGCTCTTTGATGTCTGGCTATGGTTGTTTGGTTTTGAAGGGTCGATATGAGGCGCCCACATCGATAACAATCGATTCATTGCCTTCTCCGACAGTTGAACCATGTCCTTCGGCGATCGTTCCATGTCGCTCAAACCGACATCACTGTCCCCAAAAGTCACGACAGGGAGTCGTGTAGGAATTGAGCCTCTTGTGGCGGTAGTTAGGGGTTTGCCGGCGGAGGCTGTGTTGATGTAGTTCGAACTGATCTTCTGATTCGTCGGATCCTTAGCGGAATCTATAGCTTCCTGTTCCACAAGATCCCACAGGCGATCGAGACGCTTGACCGCCCAGTATCGAACAATGATCATGTTCTGAGTCTCCGCTTTCTCCTGCGCAACAGTGTCGTCGGCGGCGGATGCCAGAGAGTCGGTATCCATTGCATGCTCGGTGTTGGCCTTAACCTCGCCCCTAAGCTGTAGTATTTGCAGTATCACGATGAGGCTGAGCTTGAGGGACTCGACCTGTGCTAAGAGGTATGTGACGTGCTGTTTGGGGAAGCACCACTTGAGCCTCTCTTGCAAAGAGAGTCTCATGAGATCCTCATTTCGATCAGTTGCCTTCAGCTTATCTAGCATATGTTCAACTTCGACGAAGATCATCTGTCCTTGTCCAGAAATCTCGAACGCCTTCTGTGTTGCTTCGGGGGATCGATCAAGATCGGAACCCTCGATAGTCTGCCCAACATGTTTGAGAGTTAATGCGAAGAGCGAGATTCCCTTAGCAATACTGTGTATCTCCAATTTGGACTGGGCCAGTTGACAAGCCGCAGCATTCAGGAGCAATGAGAGCCGGAACCCCGCGCCGGCGATCTTGACTATGGAAGCTTGGCCTAGGAGAGGTGTTAACCGAGATCGGGAATTCTTGATGTGAGAGCCATACCTTGTGCCATGATCACAAAGTGATATGTGAGAGCGATATCAGATCATATAGGATCAGGTAGAGAACACGGAGAGAAATCAAAGACAAAAAGAGTGAACTCTCGCCACCGTGGAATTAAAGCATAACCTCCGAGCTAGTAAGAGCCTAAGAGCCGCACTGCATATCAAGTGACTCAGATCGCTAGAAGGGTCTGAGCCCCCCGCAATTTACGGCTGTTCATGACTGCTCATGACGCCATGATACCCTTATATCAGGGTTCTCGTTGGTTCGAGAGAGTGGGCGGAGTTGATCCTCAACTGCAAGTGTTCTAGCGCCGCATATCCCTGATGAGTGAAGACCCGGGTAAAAGTCTCTGACACTGCCCCGTCTCTACGTGAGGCGCCGCGTGCTCCGGGTTCTTTGTTTCGTTGGAAGTCGCTTATCGAGGTCTCTCGTGTTCGGATGTGAGACTGTTAAGTAGTTTGCTTCATGCTGTGTCGAGCCCCTATCTTTACCCGGGTCCAGGGCAAATCTATCGCTCGTATTTAGGAGTGAGAATGATATCGGACTATACGGAGTTCGGAGTAGAACGCAGTTTGTGTAAGGGCCGATCACTGTTGTCCGCGAGAAATTTTGGTGATAGCGCAGCCCAGTCAGTGGAGTAGCGCATTGACTTTGGGAGAAATGTCTTGGAATTGTGAGCGTATGACTATCTCGTAGATATTTCGAGTGTTTCGAGTGTTTCAAATGTTTCACCATCGAAGAATTCGACTGCTTTGGTTTGAAAGAGTCGAAAGGTCTGCGTTCGTGTTGACATAACATTGGCCATTTCCGCTTCCGGTCGTGAACACCAACATGTTCTGCCCTGCTACGATGCTTGATCATTCTAGCCCATACTGTTCTCCTTAATGTGTCCCATATTTGGTCTATACAATTTGACTCTCTTACAAGTCTACGAGGAGTAGCTGTCAAAAAGTGCTGTGGCGCCTTGTCCGCCCCTCCTTTTTCCGCCGCGTGGCCACTGATCGTCATCTGCGGAGATTGCCCCAGTCCAAACCGCCTGGGACTCCGCGAGACAAAGAACCCTTCAATTTAGAGCCCCAGAGCTTCAGAGCTCATCAGCAATCGTGAGGCCGGATGGGTGAGCTCTTGAAGGCAAGAAAGCGACGCAAGGGACAATTCGATACACCACCCGTCTTGGGGCCTCCAGGAGCCTCCAGTCCATGAAATCATGACCGCGGCCTCGGGTGTCAGCGTAGACACCTCCGAACATTCTATACCCTCCCTACCGAACGCCACCGATCCCTCTCAGCAACCCACCCGGGACGACTCCCCCACTGGTCACAGTGAAAAACAGACATGCAGTGCGGCGCCGAAACCCGGGCTCTCGGAGTCTGTCCCTGAAACCCACCAGCAGTCTTCTCAAGCATTGGGCGATGTTGACGACTTTGGACTTCCGATTCGAACACGCCGCATACCCGACCCAATTCCTACCGAGCCCGCCCCAGACGAAAATGCGGGCCATGACTCTCAGGTGACCGCGGGGTCGACAACATATAGCGATGCCGTGAAGAAGACAGCAGCACCGGATCCGAAGCAGGAAGAACCTGTGCAAGAGATATCCTCGAAGCCGGTACCTCAAAAACCAGAGGCTGGTGGCTCTGAGACTCAGGAAGCTTCCCCTGCGCCCGCAGAGAACCCGCAGACCACCAGATCTCCCGACCAACCCCGATCCTCAATCTCAAAGCAGAAGCCTGCGCAGGTGTCGGAATGGTCACATCAGCGACTTGCTCGGCCCGGTGCGCACCAGCCTGAGAGTGACGAGGAAGAGGAGGAGCCCGATGAATGGACTTCTATGCCCGCCCTCGGAGAATTTGACTATTACGACGATTATGGGAGGCTCATTGCCCGCGGTGCCAAAGAAGAAGGCGATGAGGCTGTATACCAAGGACTGGGAGGGGCCGGAAGGGGATATACTCGAGTTCAGCTTGACGAAGACGCCCAGTCTGCGACCAGTCTTGATGAAGATACGAGCTACCTTTTCCGGGAAGCAGGTGGCAACTCTGCCGGGCTTGTCGGAGAGGAACTGCGAGACTCCATCAGCCAGCTCCAAGCTACGAAAGATCTTCTCAATGAGACCCAGAAGATCGCCTATGTAGGTGTTGTCCGGCTGTCGATTCATGCTATGAACCGCGATCTGGCATCAATTGCCACCACAAAATCCACCCGCAAAACCATGCAGAAGGCTTCAGATGCTATGCGAAAGTGGGGCCAGGCGATCATGGCTCGCGTCTATACCCACATGGACATCGATGCTGCTGAGCAGATCATGATTGAGCAACTTGCAGGTCACGGAGTACAGCCTGAAGATCTCGTTCCACCTCTCATGCAGAATGCAAGAGTGAAGAACCCCATGGCGGAAAGCGAGCCCAAAACCTCTATATCTAGTCTGAAAGGAGATCGTCTATCTAGTAGGCTCTCTGGAGAGACCGATTCTTCTGAACCTCCACCGCCGTACGAAGCTCACGAAACAGAAGAGCCCCCAGAAGTTACGACTCCGTCTCAAATGCCTACCTCCGACCGAATAGACATCGATCTCCGTTGGACAGTCCTTTGTGACCTGTTCCTGGTACTTATCGCAGACTCAGCATATGACGCACGCTCACGAACCCTCTTGGAAAAGGTGGGTTCAGCGCTGGAAGTGACATGGTTGCAGATCTCGCGGTTCGAAAAGCGTGTTACAGACTCCCTAGAAATGCAAGAGCAAGCCGAGAAAGAGAATTGGGACGAGTCGGACCATATGGAAAAACGTCGCAAGATGGCTTTGAAGCGAAAATATATGATCATGGGACTTGCTACCGTGGGTGGTGGTTTGGTCATTGGCCTCTCTGCTGGATTACTCGCGCCAGTGATTGGAGCCGGTCTTGCAGCTGGCTTCACCACTGTGGGTATCTCTGGAACAAGTGCGTTCCTGGGAGGAGCTGGTGGCACTGCCTTGATTGCCTCCAGCGCGACTTTGGGTGGAAGTACTATTGGAATGAGAGCTTCACACCGACGTACGGGTGCTGTCTCGACTTTCGAGTATCGACCCCTGCACAACAATAAGAAGGTGAACTTGATTGTGACGGTCTCGGGATGGATGACTGGCAAAGTTGATGATGTTCGGCTGCCATTCAGTACTGTAGACCCCATCATGGGAGATATCTATTCCGTTCTTTGGGAGCCTGAGATGCTTCGAAGTATGGGTGACACTATCAACATTTTGGCAACAGAGGTGGGTTCTCGAATCGTGGATTTGTGATCGAGCTAACAAATTCCAGGCACTGACCCAAGGTCTGCAACAAGTCCTGGGTAGCACCGTGCTAATGGCCCTGATGGCGTCGCTGCAACTACCACTTGTTCTCACAAAACTTGCATACCTAATCGACAATCCCTGGATTGTTTCACTGGCACGCGCCAATTCGGCGGGCCTTGTCATGGCCGACTCTCTTCAAGAGCGCAATCTTGGCAACCGGCCTGTGACATTGCTAGGCTTCTCACTTGGCGCTCGCGTCATCTTCTCTTGCCTCAAAGAACTGGCTGACAAGGGTGCCCATGGATTGATCCAGAATGTATACTTGTTCGGGTCACCTGTGGTCGCGAACAAGGATGAGTACCTCAAAGCTCGCAGTGTTGTGTCGGGTCGCTTCGTGAACGGCTATGCTACCAACGACTGGATTTTGGGCTACCTATTCCGCGCCACCAGTGGTGGCATCATGAAGGTTGCCGGTCTTGCTGCAGTGGAGGGCATTCCTGGCATTGAAAATTTTGACATTACTTCACTTGTGAACGGCCACATGGACTACCGTACCGCCATGCCTCGTATTCTGAGAGAGGTTGGTTGGGAGGTTCTCGAGGATGAATTCGCCGAAATTGAGGATCCAGACCCCGATAACCACGCCGAGCGACAGCGTGAATTGATTCGTGAGATCGATGAAGCTCGCCGGGAGGCAGAAGCCAAGCCCGAGAAGAAGCGATTCGGTCTCTTCAAACGCGGCAAGATGGCAGAGAAGAAGAAATGGGAGACCTACGATGTTGATCGAAACAACACCTCGGACGAAACGGCCGATCTCAACAGCAGTCCCGGTACCGTTCTCTTCGACATCGAGGCCATTCGAGCGGAGCTGCACTCAGAGGCAATCGAAGTCAAAGAATTAGAGTCGACCATGCCTGTAATGAAGGTGGATCTAAACACTCCACCTAAAACTACTCAGCCCTCTCCCACCCTCAAGGAGCCAAAGTCCCCTGATTTGCCACCAGTCCCTCGGGCAGTCTCGACTCCATTGCCTGTCGAAAAACCCTCCCCTTACGAGCCTCCAAAGCATGATGAAGCCGAATTGACCTTCGACACATCATTCCATGATTCCCCCTAACACACACGACCCACCTTCAACCCGCCCTGAGTTGAGAACAGCCTCTACGATGCCCACTATAGGTGCCACTGCTGTTGGAGCTATGGCTATGGAACCTAATGCCTGGGCGGATGGGCATGATGACGAGATCTCGATGACCTTTGAATAGTGATGTGTGTTCTCTTTCTTCTATATACTTTTTGTTCTCCAATAATGAGACATGTGCATTAGCACAGGTATTTCGCTATGCTCTGGTTGTGTACTCCGCAGTTGATCCGCACAGTCGTGAATCTGACCACTTCCTACTCGATGGATTCATGCTTGTAGCGAATTGGCTGTGGATTCTTTGTTTGCTTTTACTCTTACAGCTTCCAAAGACCCAAACATAGACCCAACAATGAAAAAGACAGATAGACAGAAAGAAAGGGAAAAAAGCAAAAACAACTATTGCCTTCAATACGCATCAAACTCCGACATCCCATCGAGAATATGCGCAGTAATTAATATTCCGTAAGCTGAGGTTATACAAACCTCCAAAACTCGGAGAGCGCCCGTGTCACGCGTTTCTTCCTTTCCCCTCAGTCAATACCAGCTTGCATATCTCCACGCGGAATCCTGCATTGGGTTCTTTGTTCTTTGAAACAAAGATAATCCCAATCCGGCGCCTCGTTTCAAAACTTAGTTTAAATCCCAATCGGCCCTGCGCATCGCAAAAACACGTCCCGACCCGTTATCGACGCGCCGCAATCCCCGTCTTCGGCCTCACATATCTACCTATACTTTCAACTTAGTCAGGTGGTGATAATGGGTGCTCAGGCAAAGCGTGACTCCAGCTTTGCGTCCAATCGTTTGACGAAAAGGAATGCGCCAAAGGGTCATCTCCTCTCGACTTTCCAGAACAAACAACCCGATGTCAAGCCCGAACCCACAAGTCATGCGACAAAATCACAAAACGAAAACAATGTCGAATATCCCGAAGCTCCCTTGGGTTCTTCCTCGCCCCTAAGTTCCGTCCAGGATGTTGAACTCTCCGATGTGCCCAGCGAACCCCCAGCCATGGAAATCGCTCTCCCGAGTACGGAACTTGGGACAAGGCTGGGACCCGGCACAGATGACGAGCCTTTAAGCTCTGAGGAATATTTTAGTGAAAGCGATGCATCTCCGCCCCGCAAGGAGGTAAATTATATGACATTGGAGCAAAAGCTGGCGACAGACACGGATTCGCCGCGTGATTCGCGCGGCAAACTCGCGCGCACTATGAGTGATATGATGGGCGACAGCGATGGAGATGACTTCATCTCCTCCTGGGGCTCGTCGCAAACCAAACGCGCGAAAATCAACACATACAAGACGAAAAATACTTATTTTAACCGGCCGGCCTTTGCTAAACCAGCGGAGAGCCCGAAAGCCAATGCCAAGGAAGACTCAAAAACTAAGACGACACCGAAAACCAAGGGAGCCGCTAAATCCAAGGGTACTTTAAAGATCAGGGCACCGAAAGCCAAAAAAGCTCCACCTGTTGAGGAGCCGGAAACACCAGAGGATTCATTCATTGTTCCCAAAGACATCATGAGTCCGAGTTCCAGACCTCCAAACAGACTGAACACACCCGAGACATCATCGAAGGGGTATGACGCGCTATATAACAGCGGGGCAGACTCACCTCTCTCGTCAACATCCTCGACTTTCTTTAAGGGAATGGAACTCGAGAAGGAACCATCACCACCACGGGAGTCCCTATGTCCAATGTGCAAAAAGAAAGTCGATCCTGAGATCCTGGCAAACTTCCAATCACAACCGAAACAGCGAATTCGCGAACAGCAACGATTCTGCGAAACTCATAAGATACGCGACGCAGCGGAACAATGGGAACAGCGTGGATACCCTGTTATCTCATGGGAGAAATTCGAGATTCGTGTCCAAGAAATGTTCCCTGAAATCGAAAAGCTGCTGGTTCCAGATGCTCCTTCTTATTATCGGAATACCCTTGATGGATTCTTGGCAGAAGGGAAGTTCAAGAACTTCCGTTTGACAATTGAAGGAAAAGAGCTCGAGGTCATAACATGTGGTTACTATGGCACCAGGGGTGCGAGCCATATGTAAGTGCCTTCTACCTGATCGGTTTCATTCCGGAATTATTCCGCAATAAACCCGCAATAACTTCGCAATAAACCCGGTATCAATCCATACTAATTTTTTCTTATAGTTTGGATGCTCTCGTCGATCGATTCTCTAGATCACTGCGTCGCTTGTCGGCGACGGATCGACTCGTCAAGACAGCTGGCGTGGCGGGCTATGCGCAGTGTGTCCTTGTGCCTGAGTTAGCTATGCGGCTCGTGAAACAGGACATGAGCGTCGATGATGAGGGTGCTCGCCAGATAATGCGAGAAAGTATGCATATTGGACAGAGACTTCACCCGGAGGGCAATGATGTTGTACCTGTTGCAGCTGGATTTGAGGGTATCACTGCTCAAAGTGATGAAGATGAGGAAGATGAAAAAGAAGGGGAGGAGGAGGAAGACGAGCTGGATGAAGACGACGAGACGGGCGATGGCGAAGAGAACGAGCACGGCGAGCACACCGATGATGTGGAGTGATCATCGGAACCTTGTACTTCATATGGGTGTCAGTTTGTTAACTTATATTTGTGGCAGCCTTGTTATGTTTAGCATTGTATACATAGCCCAGATACCTCAATTCTGTGATATATTTTAGAATGGAACTCCCGTTACTTGACACTTGTTACGGAGTACCTATTCCAAGGTTGCAGTAGGGGAGCACCTGGGCATGCTTCCGAGGTTTCTCTACTATTCCAAGGTTGCTGAGCTTGAGCTTCCAAGGTTATTATGGCACTACCTAGGTAATGGTGGGAGTCATTTCCAAGGTTGTATGTGCCTTCTTCTATAGTGAGATTCAATGGTCCTCCTCCCGAGGTCTACGCCAGGTATTTCGTGTACATATCTGCTCAGACTAGCCGCTCTGCGGTGTCACCAGTAGAGTAACATCCTGTCGGAGACCTGCATACTGTCTGATCACAAATTACCAAAAAAGGAAGGTCAGTAAGGGCCCACCCGCCTTAGTCATGCCGATAAGGTGATCGCTCCAGCGATGATACCATGCGGAGTAGCTGGAATCTTGTCTCTTTCCCATCACCCAACCTTGGAAAATGAGGGAAAAAGACATGCCATATTCAGAGACGAGTCCTCTGCTGGAGGTCAATGTCGCCCCTCCGCGGCAAAGATATCCGCACCACGCCCTCCGTCGAGCTTGTACTATCTCCCTTGCAGCTCTGCTATCTGTGGCGACCGTACTATTTCTGATCCCCACTGCCATCCTCCCTCGAGAAAGTGGCTCAGTCTGGTCTTATCTCCCATGGTCTCATCCGATTCCACACGAAGCATGGCCCGAAAGCTACGGTCTACCATACGATCAGCTCCAACAGATCCTCCTCAATGTCCCCTCGGCAGATAAGGCCCGAGAGTGGAGCAAATACTATACTGCGGGACCGCACTTGGGAGGCAAGAACCTTTCCCAAGCACTTTGGACTAAGAACAAATGGACTGAGTTCGGTGTCGAGGACACCAAACTTGCGACCTACGATATTTATCTGAATTATCCTCTTGACCACCGTCTGGCTCTGCTGAAGACCTCGGACAATAAGACCGAGGTCACCTTCGAGGCTACATTGGAAGAAGACGTCCTGGAAGAGGATCCCACTTCTGGCCTGCAAGACCGTGTGCCAGTCTTCCATGGTTATTCTGCTTCTGGCAATGTCACTGCCCAGTACGTGTATGTCAACTTCGGTACATTCAAGGACTTTGAGGACCTCGTGAACGCCAACGTCACACTCGAGGGCAAGATTGCCATCGTTAAATATGGTCGTATCTTCCGTGGATTGAAGGTTAAGCGTGCACAAGAGCTTGGAATGGTAGGTGTTTTGATCTATAGTGACCCCCAGGAAGATGGTGAAATCACAGAGGAAAATGGTTATGAAGCCTATCCCAATGGGCCTGCGCGCAATCCCAGTGCTATCCAGAGAGGTAGCACCCAGTTTTTGAGTAAGGTTCTCCTTCAAATCACTCGATCGCAAAACTGACCATTATCAAGGCTTCCTTCCTGGTGATCCTACAACCCCGGGATACCCATCTAAGCCCGGATGTGAGCGACAAGAGCCTACCTCCATTCCCTCCATCCCTTCCCTTCCCATATCCTACAAGGAAGTCCTGCCATTCTTGAAGGCCTTGAACGGTCACGGCCCCAAGGCTTCTGACTTCAACAAGTGGTGGCAGGGTGGAGGTCTCGGCTATAAGGGTGTTGAGTACAACATCGGACCCTCTCCCGAAGATGTGGTGATCAACCTCCACAACCACCAGGAATATGTGACGACCCCACTATGGAACGTGATTGGTACCATCAAGGGCCACATTCCTGACGAGGTTGTCATCCTCGGCAACCATCGTGATGCCTGGATTGCCGGTGGCGCAGGTGACCCTAACAGTGGATCCGCTGCTCTGAACGAAGTCGTCCGAAGCTTCGGTGAAGCTCTCAAGGCAGGATGGAAGCCATTGCGAACTGTCGTCTTTGCTAGCTGGGACGGTGAAGAGTACGGCCTGCTAGGATCCACTGAATGGGTCGAAGAATACCTGCCTTGGCTCTCTCATGCTAACATTGCTTATCTGAACGTTGATGTTGCTGCTGCTGGCACTCACTTTGAGCCTCGCGCCAGCCCGCTGTTGAACAAGGTCATCCATGATGTCGCCGCGTTGGTGCAGTCCCCGAACCAAACCGTACGCGGTCAAACCATTGGCGATGTCTGGGACGGCAAGATCTCAACAATGGGCAGCGGAAGTGACTTCACTGCCTTCCAAGACTTTGCTGGTGTCGCCAGTCTAGACTTCGGGTTCGGTCGTGGTAAGAACGACCCCGTCTACCACTACCACTCGAACTATGACAGCTTTGCGTGGATGGAGAAGTACGGTGACAAGGACTTCCTCTATCACCAAGCTACCACCCAGCTTTGGGCCCTAGCAGCCGCACAGCTTATCGAGTCTCCTATCCTTGCCCTGAACGCTACAGACTACGCTTTCGGTCTAGGAACTTATCTGGAGCACATCAAGCCAGCAGCCGACAATCTGCCCAAGAACACCCACTTCAACTGGGCGCCTCTTGACAGGTCAATTCTTGAATTCCAGGAATCTGCACAGGCCTTTGATGCCTATGCCCTCGATCTTCAGTCCCAGCTTGGCGATGACGTGCCTTGGTACCACTGGTGGAAGAAGGTTCGACTGTGGTTCCAAATCCGCGCTGCTAATGCAAAGTACAAGGGCATTGAGCGTGCTTTCCTTTACCAGCCTGGTTTGGATGGCCGTGATTGGTTCAAGCATGTTGTCTTTGCCCCAGGTATTTGGACTGGTTACTCGGGTGCTACGTACCCTGGTATCGTTGAGAGTCTCGAGGCGGCGGATGTGAAAAATGCCAACGTAAGTTTGAAAGGCTCACCGAGAGTCCATGAACCTCTAGCTAACCCGTGTTTCTTTTAGAAATGGAGCTCCATCATTCAGGAGCGCATCGGTGCGGCGACCAAGCTGCTGTTGTAGACGGTCAAACAGAATGTCGTCGATAAATGATGTACATATCCAAATGCGCAGAATGTCGCAAACGTGAATTTCGGCAATTTAAACAAATTTGCATATTCATGCTGGAGTAGAGTTCCCCAAAGAGAGCCCTGTAGATCTAAGTGTCTAGTCCCGAGGCGCCTACCCCAGACCTTCAGGGCTGTGGGGCCGAATCGCATGTCATCTTACTAATCCATTGCATGACCGGAGCCCAGGACCTGGAGCTTCGTCTTGACTCTTCTCTCCCTCATCACTGATCTAATTTACAAAATGGTAAGCCCTTACCAATCCCCGAGACATCTCCCGCATGTAACTAACCAAATAGGCCCCCGTGACATCCGCCCTCGTCCTCTCCCTTCTGACCTCCCTCGGCGGCGCAATCGGCTACGCCCGCACAGGCTCAATCCCCTCCATCGCAGCCGGCCTTTCCGTAGGCTTCGTGTATCTCCTCTCGTTCCTACGTCTACGTGGCGGCCAATCCTATGGCGAGGAACTCGGCCTCTTGGCTTCTGCTGTGCTAGGTGGAAGCTCGATCCCGCGTGTTATCAAGACGGGTGGAAAGCCTGTTCCATTGGGCTTGTCTGTGCTTGCGTTGTATGGACTATGGATTTTCGGGATTGCCTACAAGGAGCGGAGATAGATTAAGCATTGTTCTGTGAGGTGTGAGTCCTGTGGATTGGATTCTAGCGGCACTCGATATCAATTGTTTATTTTTGGATTCTCTTGTCTACTACGGGGTAGGGAAGAAAGAACCAGAGTAAAGCCGGTAAAATTGTAAAATCACTGATGATAGGGTTGTGTATCACAAATGGCAGAGCGGCCAATGCTACTAGTAACATCCAATACGAAGTTGAGCGGGAGCATAGATCTGAATATGGGAATGAAATTGAATTGTAGATAAGGAAATGCCCACCAAGATTTGGACCAAAACGCCCATACCGAAATGGAATCCCTACCTCGAGAGAAACGCTAAAACTTACAAATGACGGTAAATCGTCATGCCACTGGGGCATTGAGTCGAACAGATCCAGGACCAGAGGGAATCGGGAATGAAAGCAAAAGGGCGCGGACACGTACTGACTGAGGCCATTCAATGTTGGCAAGGCAAATCTCAATCGGACCCTTTCCACGAGCTGTTCTCTCAAACTTTTCATTTGACTTTTTCTTTGCTGTTCGTTTTCGAAGCTTTTGATTTGACTCACAAGAACTGACGCTTCCTCATGGGGAGAAAGCGGCCCCGGGAGGGGAGAGGATTCATCAGAACTAGGATTTGGATCAGGGCCACTGACAACAAAGACCCAGCTAGGAGAGCTTATGTGAGGTTAAGTGTCGAACTTAGCTGGGGTCCATCCTTTCATAGAGGGAAAACGAAGCACTTATTTAGCTGGATCCACCACCGTGTCGGAGTCTTGGATGGCGCCCACAATGGTGGAACCGGGGACGTCACCGAGGACGGTTTCGGTGCTGTGATCGGGGGTCCAGACGTAGCGAGGCAGCTGTGCCATTTTCTCTTCGGGACTCAGGGTATCATGGTTGTAGATCATTCGAACGGCAGGCTTAGCCTTCTCTTTCTTTGCGGGTTTGTCGGAGGCTTCTGTCTGGGCTGTTGCTTGTGCGCCTGAAACCTGGTCGTCAATGGGGGTTTGAACGGGTGCTGGGGTGTTTTGACCGTTGGAGTAGACGGGAGTGGCGGGACTCGACATCTGCTGCCCCAGGTGCATCTGTTGCATTTGGTGCGCGTTGACGGAAGGCGCGGCGAAAGCAGGGCGCTGTGGTAGATTCGAAGCCGCTGGCAATCCCATGCCCTTGTGCTCGGGGGTGTGGGTTGCTGAGTAAATGAAGGAGGAGCTCCATACGAGACTGGGGGCTGCGCAGGCAGCCCGGCGGGATAAGCCTGGGGGTATCCGGTCGGGGTGTAGGGTGAAGCGCTGGGCAACTGTGCTCCACCGACAGGAGAGTAAGTCGAATAACCAGGACTGGCAGTCTGCGGGAAAGGGGGAGCGGCTGCAGCGGCACTGCCGCCATAGGGCTGAGGGTAAGAGTAAGCCTGAGGCGGGACAGCTGCGGGCTGGGGTTGGGCCTATAACAATGTCAGTGACGAGATCATGTTAGAGTAAAGAAGATAGCTTACATATCCGGGTGTCGGAGTGGATTGAGCGGTCTGGCCAGCACCCGTGGGGGGTCTGAGTAGCGCCGGTGGGGGTGACGTCGCCGCTGCTGGCTCCGCCAAGTGCCTGCGCTGCGCGCTTGGCTTTGTGCTCTGCCAATCGCTTCTTCAAGTCAGATGTGGCTTCGATCTTAGGCTTCTTTGCCGGTTGGCCGCTAGCAGCACTGCCAGCGGGAGGGTTGCCGGTATCAGCCTGGCGCTGCAGTTCTTCTTGCTGGAATTGAGTTGCGACGCGCTGCTGGTGAGACTTGAGGACTTCATCAGGAATACCTTCCATGCCAAAGATCTCAACTTCAAGGCCCATACGGTTGGGTAGCGCGTTGTCAACCTCGGTGAGCTGCTCTTTGTGAACTTGACTCAGATGCACAGAAAGACCTTAAGGCACGAGGTGTCAGCATGGCGCACAGTCAAGGGTGAATTGAAACGCGAACTTACCTCCAGCGGTATTGAGCCGGCGACCACATCTCTCACACTTGAAATGCTTGGCCTTTTGGTGGGAAATGAGAATCTTCAAGTCGTCAAAGTCACGTTCACAATAGTAGCACCATGGTCGCTCTAGGATCTCCTCGAGAGAGGGACCTCGTCTCTTCTTGCCCATTCTTGTGGATTTCGAAGATCAGAACGATGCAAAAGATGCAGGAAGAGAGGGGTTGTGGTGAGTAGAGTCGCTGAGAGGTGCCATTGCTGCCGGTCTGAGAGCTTGACATGATGTAGTGCACGTGATGTCACGTGTCAAGTATAAAACAGCCAGCAATGAGATGAGAAAGAGAACAAAGAACAAAGAACCAACTTTGCCAAGATGAGGTTGAGGTGAAGATATGTATCATTTTGCATGCATCCATAATCATATATAATTAACTCACCGAGTCGAAATAGGAGGCTGTTATCGCTATGGTAATTTAGAGTATCCACTTGGCGACGACAACGTGCTGTGCATCCTGCATCATTAACTGGTTCTGGGATCACACAATACCTAGCTATTGCCAAGGTTAACCTATTACTTACTTCAATATCATATGATCTTGATGACTCAAAGGATAAGCTGCATGTTCCTCGGCCTCAGACCTCGGGACAAGTCTGAGCCCTGAAGGCGGTTTGAAGGTTTAAATCCTGTTTGTTGCATACTTTAATTATGATGCATACTTTAATTATGACAATGCAAGATAAAATGAAAGACACAAATTTCTGCTTCAATCGTACATTAAATTTTGGACTAGAATACACATGCCAGTGCCAAGAGGCATCTGGCGACTCAAAGATGTAATGACCTTGCACCAGGAACGAACTTCAGACCGATGTGGAACGCTGAACTTCGAACCGATCTATTAACAGCGGGCTCAACCTATTGACAGGAAGGCTTTTGCACCAAGTGGTGGTGACAGACGAAGGAACGGTAGATTCTTGTTGTTCGACACAGCGTCGGGAGGGGGAAAAGGCGAGAATCAGTGGATGTGAGAAGGAATCCGAGTTCTCTCAGTAGTGAGACAAGATGAAAGTGGGAGAGGTTTTTAGGGAAGCCGAACGCTTGTGCGAGAGAAAAGGGAATGCTTCTTCCACTGTTTTATTTAATGGCGTGGGTCCCGTGGGTCGCGAGAGCCGGGGAGGTGGCCCATTCCGTATTGGACATATGGGAATGGTGCATATTGAGGAGGCATCGGTTGCCCCAATTGCGCCATGGGGGGACCAGGTGGCGGAGGACCATATGGGTTTACAGGTCCGGGGCCATAGTGAGCCACCCCCATGGGTGGGAATGTGGGAGGCATGTGTTGCTGTGCTTGCACGCTCGCCATTGAGGGCAAGCCGGATCCCTTAGGGGCGAGGTTGCCAGCAAGAGGGGCGAGTGAGGGTGAGCGGTTGTGATTTCCGGGGCCGCCAGGTCCCATAGGGTTTGGCATGGAATCTTCAGGGCCGTCGACAGTTCGGTCCTGTTCAATCTGAGCCTTGGAACGCTTGGGGTTGCGAATGCGTCCTTCTCGGTTGAACCGGTCCCAGTGATCGAGCATAGCTTTCGTTCTCTTGGGGTTCTTTGAATTGGCAATCTTCTGTCTTCTGGCCTCCTCGATCGCCTCGGCGGAGAGAGTCTCTTTCTTGGGTTGTGCTTGTGCTTGTCCAGTGGGGCTCTCTGTGCCAACTGGTTCTGTGACAGGGAAGGTAGTTTCTGCCGAAGGAGTTGCAGACGAGCCAAGAGTGCTGGCACCACGTCGGCCTCGGCCACGACCTGAGGTTTGTGTCGCAGGAACCGGGGTGACCTCAAATGTTGCACGAGAAGAGGCAAGTCGACCGTTACCTCGGCCTCGGCCGCGGCCGCGACCGCGACCAGCGCCACGGCGAGGGGCATTGTCTGAGTGATAAGATTCTGCAGCGGCCCGCTTGCCGCCGCGAGGTCGGTTTCGCCGCTTTGCCGGATGATCTTCTTCTTCGGTTTCATCTCCAGGCTCACTATTGTTCTGATCATCATCGGTGTCAGGATCCTTGGCAGGCAATTCGACCTCTGCAGCCTTGCGTTTCCGAGTGACTTTTGGGGCAAGTGGCTCCCGTCGAGGCTCATACATTTGAGGATGATACTCGAGCCCGTGTATCTTCATGGTATCCCAGTTGTCCATGTTTCGGTCACCATAGTCTTTCTGCTTCGCAATCATCTTCCTCGCCTGTGCGGGTGTAGGGACGAAGCCTCCTTGGACAAATGGATCTTGGGGTATGCGGATGGGGACCAGTGGTGTGTTGTTAGGGAAGTAGGTGTGCTTGTACCCATATAGCATTGCTTCTTTTTTCTCTTCAAAGTCAAGCTTATCTTCATTGACACGAGCCAGAGGCGGTCCACCTTTTTTCTTGTGGCCTTGCAAGTGATGTTTCTTGGCCTCGTACGATGCATCATCACGTTTGTGGCGGTTCGCTTTCAAGTAAAGAGCATCAAGGGCCAACCATTCATCTTGAAGTGTTTTCAAGGCGAACGCCGCAGTTTCTGAGATGGCATAAAGTTCCTCAGGTGAGTATTTTTCGGGGGCGCGGAGCATCTCCACCAAGCTGTCAAGCTCTTTATTTTGGAGTTCAAGGAATTGATCTTTCTCGACTCTGGGCTTTTTGTAGGGAAGAACGTGAGGGAGCGGTTCAGCCGCATCACGCTTTTTGGGCTTCGACGAGTCATGGAAAGCGCTGTCCCAATGGGATTCATGCTTGGCGGCATCCGTTTCATACTCAGGCGAGAACCTAGCGGTGTCGTGGACAGTCCAGAATCGATGGAGGCGCGTTTTGACGTCGCCTCTCTTCCATGTGGCTATGCGAGCGCGATATTCTTCTGGGTATGATGCACGCGGGTTGGAGAGCCACTCAAGCAGGTCAAGCTTATCTGCAGGCGCATTGCTGACACTCACTGTAGTTGTAGTTGGTTGAGTGTCATTTGCGTCATCTGTGGTGACAATCGTAATCTCTTCGCCTTCTTGAGGTTCGACCCCTTCAGGCCGAGCGGAATCAACATCGGCCTCGGCCTCAGCATCAGCGCCGGCATCAGCTGCGGCCTCTTCTTCTTCTTCCTCTTCTTCAACGACGTCATCATCCTGAAGGTCGGCGGTATCGTCATAGGTCTCATCGGCACCATCTTCGGCACCATCATAGCCGAAGCTAATTGCTTTGGGGTGTGCTTCGTTAATGTGATCATTGAGAACATCTTCTTCGGTAATACTTTGGTCATTTGGGAGCATCAAAAGCTTCCCGCACCAATCGCACTTCACTTGATGGATCGGCTCTGGTGACTGCGACATTTGAGTAGAAGTGGATTGAGGGCGAAAGGGCTCCGAAAACTGACGGCGCAGCGGAGAATCCTGACTGTCGCCAACATCGGAGGAAGGGTTGTCCCCATCCAGATCAGCCGGTGGAATTGGGGCCATTTTGGGGGTGAGAGAGAAAAAAATACACAGTAGGGGGTATGAGTGCTTGGAAGACTCGCAGGAAAGCAGGAGCAAAAATAAAAACAATGTCCAAATGAAGAGCTAAGGACGTTGGAGAAGGATCTGTATAGATTGTCAGCTCGGTTCGCTTGCGAGTGCCAAGACTCCCAGCAATAACAGCGCAATTCTGCGTTAAGCGCCAGAGCAAGGAAAACGAGCGCGAGTAAATGAGATGGAAGACACGAGTATTCTCATGGTCACAAAGTGAAATTGAGAAATATCGAGCGACCAGAGAAAAGCATGAAGCAGAAAACACGGTCGGGCAAAAATGTGTGGATCAAGATCTGCCCGGGAAGTACGCAGTACTGCCAGACTACAAAAAGAGGAAGACGGAACCAAAGACGCGCGCCACTTACCATGAGGTGTTCAAAAATCAAGAAGAATGTTGGAACAAAAGACACAGGTCACAACCAATGACTGCTTACTGTCAGGGAGGAGTTCCGCAAGGAAGGGTGCAGCGTGGACGTGAGTGGCTGCCAGGGATGTGTACTTACCTATGGGGGAGAGAGATGGCTGAGTTGAAGTAGACTTCCACTTTGAAGACACTCAGCGTGAAGAGGATTCCGATGGAAGGAATATCAGGAGCACAGACAATGAGAATAGCAATATGTCAGAGGCGCCGAAAACTGTTGGCGCGCAGATCTTGCGGTAGTATGAAGGGAAAGGGAAAAAAAAAGATCGACGCGACGCGTGAGCTAGAGGGATACAAGTGGTGATCCGGCTGACTAGATCACGATGAATACAGAAACACAAGGATACTGGGCGAGTAATGATGAAGTGGACTGCAGAGATTGAGGTTGAGAAAGAGATAGATTTGTAGTTTGTAGCCATTTACGGGGGTTTCCACTGCCCGTCGGGGCCCGGCCAATCAGAGCTCACCCATCTACTAGCGGAACTACATCGAGGAAAGGGGCGCTCATTCACGCTCTATGGCTTTTAATTTGTATTGGTTTGAACTGGGCGTTGTATAAGAATCACAATGGACTTCTCTCCATTCATTGGACCCCTCATCAATGGTTCAGAAATCGGTTCATTCGGGCCATTCTGTGCTCAAATCCACCCGTTCCAAAGAAAGATACGTCACATGATGAGTACTAATAAATTACATCGATGGAGAGTCCCTAGGAAACAGAGCTTAGGTCACCAGTGGCAGGAACTCAAAGCGAGGAAACTGTGAAATTGTTGTGGGGACCCAGTGGAACTAACGCTTATTTGCCTCCAAGTGGACACGACACGATCCCGATGACTCGACTAACTACTACATGTTGTACATTATAACAAGATGAAGCGACCCAAGAGCGTCAACCTTTTCACTTGCATGATTCTCACAAATGTACATAAGATCCACTCTACTCTCTCGTCCAAAGAAATTGACAAGGCCGGTCCCCAAATTTGACTACAAAGTCTCATCCCAGTGGATGCAAACCCGTAGTCAGACGGACATAAACCCCTTGTTTCATCTACGAGACAGCAACGTGACACCCAAGAATCTATTGTCATCTTTCTTCAAATCCAAGAAGCAATCGCCTTCTCCTACATCGAGTCATATGGAGCCGCAACAGACATGTTCAATACCCCAGACACCTCAGTGCGATGCCAATCAACATATTCACGACAGTAGTCCAAAGCGCTGTATCTAACCATATGCCAATCAAGAACATTGTTTAGTACTTGAAGATTGCCATCTTCAGTAGTCACATGAAGTGCTTTCTTGGCCTAGCTCACGCAGTTCCTTCTCTCTTTATCTACTCGACTAAGCATCTTAGGCTTGCCTCCCCGGGTATGAGCGGTGACATACAAGCAGTCTCTTTATTACGCAGCATGTTAATTTTTGGAAACAAATCTAGTTAATTAGAGCACCAGAGATACTAGAACTATTTCTCCCTCACAATAGATAGGCACTGAAACTTTTCTTTTTTTCAAGGGCTGCCTTTGTTGGCATGACTCGTGTTTGGCGCGGAGGACAAGCAAAATATGACTTGACAAGAGCAGATCCAGGCACAATGTAATGCGAAGAATAGAATCAAAAACAAAAGCGAATTCAATTATTTTGTTCACATGATGAGGCAGAATGAGCTATCTCCCCCAATTCATTTCGCGGGTGCAGCACTTAGAGGCTGAAGATAGGTACTATAACTACATAGTCTCCTCAAAGAATCGAGACCTCGGGATACACAGATATACGCAAACAATCAAAAGTGAGCCAAATCCAGTCCAAATTGAAATACACTTTTGTCCAATCAAATGCTCTGCTGGGCATCAATGGGGTCGACATGCATGACACGCGTGCCTAGATCGAGTTAAACACGACAGATCGTTTCATTGGTTGCGATTCAATTAATGAACTATGAGACCCCGTATAACAGCGACAAAGCAAGAACTATGCTAGTATACAGGCGGAAATTTTCCTTGGGCGTTGCCGCATGTCATTATCCACTGCATACTGCATCAGATAGCATTGGCGCGCTCTGCAAGTCAAAATTGACCTACACTGCAGATCCCGTGCCATATGTTGCCTCGATGACCATGTCAATCAAGAGCAGTCGCCGATTTGCAAAGCTCGTATACTATAATTGAGAGATAGTGATAGAGTGTCTGATTTGCATTTTAAATGGTGCGCATGTCATGGCTGATATCTATAAGGATAATTCTTGACAAGTCTTCCTGTGTTTAGCTGGAAGGGATTAGTAGCCTTGGAATAGAAGGTTTAGTTTCGATGTTAGCAATTTTACAATCCTCCATTCTATCTCACTGGTGTCTTCAAGCTGAATGGACTCCAGCTTTGAAAACAAATCGACCTGCCAACCTAACCATGAGTACTCTTGCTGCAACACAAGACCACATAAAGTGTACGCCTTGGAAAGTCAGATAGCTCGCCTTCGAAGGACATTACGATTTTTCCTACAAAATATTCCACGAAGCCTACACACTTCCAGCTTCGATGGTAAGTGCAAGGCTGGTACCCCATGGGGCAATGCTCCAGAGTATAAATTACATCTAACATGTTTCAGCAAAAGCAAAGATCAATGATTCTTCTCTCCAACGTCCAAAGCAACCAAGAACCTCGAAACGCAATTGTAAGCCGCGACTGTTGCCGTGATTTCAACAACCTCTCTCTCATCAAAACAGGCCTTCAAGTTCTCGAAAACGCTCTCCGGAACGGTTACCGTCTTTGTCATAGCATCCGTATAAGCCAAAACAGCCCTCTGTTCAGGTGTCAAGCTCGGAGACGAGAAATCCGCCTGCGCATCTCCAACAATCTTCAAAGCTTCTTCGCTCAAACCGCCCTCCTTCAGCAAAGGCGCATGCTGCTCCCATTCAAACAGCGCGCCATTGATAACTGCCACACGGCAGATTGCCAATTCGCGAATGACTGTCGAAAGGCTTGTTCGTGTGCGGATGGCGCCGATGAATGAGTTCCAGCCTTCGGTGACTGGGTATGAGTGCAGAAGAGCTAGGTCGAGAGGCAGAAGTGGGTTTGGTGCTCTGCGTTCCTGCACACTGGCTAGGATTCTGGCTTCGTCGGGTGTGTTGGTTTGGGGAGGGTCTGGGACGTATGGGAGGCGCATTTTGATTGTAGAGGTAGTCCGGTGGAACGCTGCCAATGGTGTTAGTTTGAAGTCTCAATGCGCTTCAATTGACATACCTGATAACTTGGACTATTGATCCTGTGCAGGTGTTTGAGCTAGGTAAATGTTATCTCAAGGGAATGAGTAACTATTTATCTCGGCAACCCCGCGCGGTCCCGCTGTATGGGGCCGATAGACACAATGCCGCGGGAGTCGGAATCATCCTTCCGTTGGAAATCCGCCAGTCCGAATCCTGTTGCTGTTCTGGCGATTGGCTGTTTGTGGCTGAGATCTGCCATGCGAGTGGTACTTGGCTGTCATCCTATGAGCATAGTACTCCGTACTCCGTGTGGAGATTCAAGACTCAAAGACAATATTTGTGTTTTTGTAATTGTTTCTGGTGCAAGATATAAATTAATAAACAACGAACTAGCAGGTGGATCACATCTCGATGTGTATCTTCAATGTCCAGAAGTCTTGTTTAAAGTTGCGCAGTGCCTGCCGACTATGAGCACCGTCTCAAGTCTTGGCGCGGTCCCCACAGCGGCTTCAGAGCTCCAAAGGTGTCGTCACCTCTCCTGAACACAACAACCATGCCGCCCAAGGCCCCCAAACCTACAAGCGATGAGCTGCTTGCTCAGTTCGATGACCTCGATCTCGACAAATCTAGCCAAGCACCAAAGCCAGCCGCAAATGCCAGTGGCGGACAAGAGGAAGACATTCTGGCCGAGTTGGACCACCTCGCCGCGCAGCGTCCAGCTAGCGGACCGGGGACTCCCCGTCTGTCTATCGACAAAGCACGAGCATCGGCACGGTCCCCCAGGCCGAGTGCGACCATTGAACGCCCGACTGAAGACAAGCCGGTCCGCCAGTCTGAAGAGACAAATCGACCCCCGCGCGCGGAAATCAAGGAGCAGCCCAAGCCTGAACCCGAGAATGCTCCGGCACAACCAGCTGAGGAGAGTGGTGGCTGGTGGGGCGGCTGGGGAGGAGGACTATACGCCACTGCCACTGCAGCTATGAAGCAGGCCGAGGCGGCGGTCAAAGAGATCCAAAACAACGAGGAGGCACAAAAATGGGCCCAGCAAGTCAAGGGCAATGTCAGCGCCCTTCGAGATTTGAGTATGGTCACTTCAACATAGTTTCATATCGTATCTAACAGCAAATAGGTGGCGAGCTTCGTGACAGGGCCATTCCAACCTTCACCAATCTCATCCACACCCTCGCACCCCCGATTTCCTCGCATGAACGTCTCCAAATCCACATCACTCATGATCTATCCGGATACCCAGGCATCGACCCCTTGGTCTACGCTGTATTCTCGCGCGTTATGTCTCAAGTCGAAGGCGGCGACCTCCTAGTGATCCAGCGCGGCCAAGAATCGTCCCCCAGGCGTCTCGACGTCACAGGCCTAATGACTAGCGCTGGGTGGAACGACGGGCCCTGGTGGCGAACCGTCACACCTGGACAACCGCGCAGCATCAACTCTGTGCGCGGCGCAGTGGAGGGCTCAAAGCTAGCCCGAGCCAGTGCTGAGTCTTACGCTACAGAATACTTCTCGAGCCGCGGTGGAGTGGAAGAAGCAGCCAAGCATGCATCGGAAAGTCTCAGCGAGTCGAACCCTGTTCGCAGTAGCGATATATTCCTTGCTATTCAGGCTATCAGCCAGACGGTGTCGAAGGATCTTTTCCAGGCTCCAGGCGAGGAGGCAGAGACTGAGCAGGAAGAAGAGATCTCTTTCGCTTTGTACCTGCATGACCCTATCCATGGTATCGCTTTCCACGCGATTTCTCAGAACATCCCGCAAACATGGATCGAGTGGCTGGATGCCTCGGTTCCCGCGCCTGTCGACGAGTCTGATGACGAGCATGCGCAGCGAGTCGTTGTCCCCGAGGCTATCGCCGAGATCATCGAGAGTGGAGGCGTCGATCCCCGCGAGTGGGTTTCGGAGTGGATCGAGGAGACTCTCTCGCTGGCCGCCGGTACTATTGCGCAGCGCTACGTTGCTCGCCGGATGGGCGTCGGAGAGGGCGGTGTTTCTAAGGGTAAGATGCGAGCTGAGCAGGCATCTACCGTGGACAGCGGTGCGGGAGAAGCTGCGCGTGCTATTTAGCTTTATGATACACAATTTCCAATGTTCTTGCAGCGCGAATAAATGAATGAATTCCTATGCAACGTATATTTACAAACGGATCCCTCCGTACTATGCAAAAACCATGGGTATCGTCCAAGTCAATCCAAATCCTCAAGAATCCAGCTCCAGTGGACCTTCCAGCCCCGGCACATGCCAAAAGTTGGCTCGGAGAGCAGTCACGCTATAACAATATGTTAGCAGCTGCGTATCAACCTCCCAATAGATTCATACCTGGTCGAGCCGTTCAGCACGGTATGCGCATCCGTCCCCACCTCACTCTCTTCCAGCGTCTTCTTCATATCAGACAAATCAGCAGACCACTTGAACTGCCTCGATTTCGGCTTTGAAACCCCATTGACTCCATTCGTCTCATGCGTCTCATCATGCACACCGTTCACACCATTCGTCTCACTGTGCCCATTAACCAACTTCTTCCCCACCTCCGCATACAAACAGCCCCGATTCCAATAATAAGGCAAGGTCCTCGTATAGAGCACAGGCCGATCTTCAACATCCACGCGCATCGGAACATTGATATTATAAAGCTCAACCCTCTCATCCCAAACCTCACACAAATGCGCAACAAGGCGCACAGCAAGTCTCGCCGCCGCCGCAATCACTTCATCACTCTGCGGATCCTTACTGCCGAACGAGATCGCAATTCCGCGTTTCCCACAGAAAACAGCCTCCAGTGCTCCGCCGACTGTCCCAGATGACAGATTGTAAATAGTCGAAGCATTGCGGCCGTGATTAGGTCCCGAGATCACGAGGTCAACTGGTGGGCGCTCGTTGAACAAGTTGTATAACCCTAATTGCGCGCAGCTGGCTGGTGTGCCGTTGGTGATGACAACCCAGTCGTCATCCGGGTTTGGGGACTGGAATTCCTCATCCCAGGTTCCGTCGGGGAGGAAGGCATCTGGGTGTACGGCGGTTGCTTGGAGGTTGGCTTCGATTAGATGCGCCTTGCCGATCCAGGAGCGGGAGGCTGCTGGGATTGCTACCGAGACTGTGTGGCCCTTGGATTTGAGTTCGTCGACTAGTGGGCGGACATATGGTGAGAGTTTGGTGCTGGGGGGCCCATCGTCGTTTACGACCTGTGGTTTTTGCGGGTTAGTTGGTGATCTATGGAGATCTATGGCGGGCAACAAAAAAGAAAGGAAGATAGCAGGGCGTCATGCGCAGGTTTCTGCGTCGATCCTTGCATGGTTTGTATGATTACCGCGCCTGATGCCGCAGAAAGCGCAGAAAGAATGCGCCGATCTCACTTACCAGGATGTGCATGGTTTGATTTTCGAGCGCTAAGAGCGATATAGAGTTGAGTAACTATATGATCTTCACCTGTAATGAAAGCAGTTTCGGGCGTGGAGCTTTTTTTTAAATTCTTTTGGAATTTGCAGATAAAAAGTCAGAATGAAATTGATGCACCCCACCATTGGGGTGCAGGCGACTTATACGGGGGGGCGAGGGAGGGGGTAAGGATTGAGCCATGGCGAGTCCACACCGGGGATGAAGCCGTTCAGGCTGCGGGGACGGTAATGATAGGGCCCGAATGCAGCGTGCGGTGAACCGATCCGGTGGTTCTTTCGGGTGTGCTGGCCATAGACATCTTTTCTATTATTCAAGCAGCATGTAGGCCGTTGGTTTTCGGGTTCTTTCTTTTCGTGCATACCTTTTCAGTATATTTTTATTTATTTGAGGTGTTCTAGAAGGGCTGAAGAATGCATATACTTCGTGCTATGGGTCTCGAATGCAGGGCCGTCTCCGTACAAGCTCGACCTTTCGTGTGGTACGGCGTAATATGTTGCACGCTAGGTATTCGAACCCCATATGCGGAGTACATATGCATATAAAATGTAGCAAAGTGTGGTAGAATATAGATTCAACTGCTCTACTCTGTACTCTGTACTCTGTAGCCCTAGTACAAAGCCGATATACTTCCGTGCCAAGCATGACATAATCTGATTGTCCACCGAGCGGCCTGTTTCAGTTGTTTTTTCTTTTTTTTTTTTTTCTTCGAAGGTTACTTGGTTTACTTGGTTTACTTGGCTGACCTGGCTGACTTGCTTTAGGGCCTGGGTGTGCCTGAGACTACCACAGATAGTCGACTTCCATGGAATTTCTGTGACGAGATCATCTCTCGTAAGGTCAGTCCACGCTCGGAGATCTTCACGCCGGGCCTTTCTTTTTTTTTCTTTTGCTTTTGCACTTTCTTTTTCTTTTTTTGTTGGCTCTATTTCTATTATCTCTTAGCAAAATACATAAATATTAAATTGGACTCAACCAAAAGTCTGGGCATGTTGATTCAGCCAGTAAAACAAGAAACACTCAGACCGTGACACGCTAGAGACGATCGCAGAAAATCTTGAGGTGGGGACCCGGGACCTTCGTCTTTTGGCCCCTCAACTCTTCTTCGAGTCAACCATCTACAACAATCCAACCTTCTTCACTAGACCATCTGTCCCACCTTTCTATCCCGGCAAAGTCTCAAAAAGTTCATCTTTTTGGGATCTTTGCTCAAACTCGTTGCCGCCAACTTCCGTCTCATCCTGTATGGACTGTGGAAGTACCGGGACCGCTGCGGGGATCGACCCCAAAATCTTAGACAATTGGCAAACTGAAGGCGCCTATTCCGTGGCGTCGTGGGAACAGCTGGGCTACGATCAACCGCCCGAGTGGGACACCAGCCAGGAATCAAGCCAGTGCGATGCTGACATCGCCGACTTGGGGACCTTCCAGGGTCCATTGAACGAATACCGTCGTTTGGAGAGGTCCGCGCCCCAGAATCGTGAACGTACGTGTCAAGGTGAACATCGCTGACAGTGGCCTGTACAGGAAGCATCATGTAGCTCCCGATAACCTGAACTATGTCGATGGTGTCGTCGAAGGTACTGGGAGCGGCACGATCAGCCCCAAGACCATCCCATCCTCCGCCGACGACAACTTCCACTCCGACGAGGCGTGGCCGCACTTCCAGCTGTACAACTCGGGGGGCATGCCCATGGATGCCTCGCTGCTTTACCCTTACGCGAAAGGATCGAACCACTCGACCGGCGCCGTGATCGTTGATGATGTTGGAGAGATGCCGCATGGCGGCTTCTCGGATGCCCCGGCAGAGGGCATCTTGTCGTTCCAGCAGATTCCTCAGTCTTTCCCGATGATCCCTGAGCAATGGGCCGAACTACAACATGGCTTACCCACAGAGAACATGCCTCCACCAGACGCGATACCGATCTCCAACAAGACACAGGACTCCTCCAAGAATAATTCGCTGCACCAGTTCCAGAACTCGATTCGATCCCTCGAATCGCGTTGGCTCAACAGTCTCGAGTCCCAACTTCCCATCCCGCAAATCACCTCGCAGACCGTTGGGAGGAACGCGCCGATGGGACAGGAGTTCCAGTTCAAGTCGGAGAACTCTTCGGTTTCGGGCGATATGTCCGGTATATACGAGTGCTCGTACTCTGCCACGAGCGACGACGCCCCGGCGTTCGCGGATCGCCAGTTATCTGACGATGACACCCAGTGGAAGATGTCTCCCCACGAGCCTAGCTCGCGCGAAGGGTCGCAGCCTGCGCCCAAGACTACCGCATTCATGGTGAGTGAGGTTCCTGAGACGATGGCGGCTGCTGGATCCAGATCGAGGGCTTCCTCGACGGCTGGTCGGGGCGGCCGCCCGGCAGCGCTCGCCATGCAGTCCACGGCCACGGTTAGGAAGCGCAAGACCAGAAACCCTGGTTCTTCGGTCGACCACGGTGTGAGACCACTGCAAATTGTCCAGGAAGATGGACAAGGTGGCTCCATCGCATCCGCAGACTTCGTCTCGCCTCCTCGGGGTGCCCGTCGAAAGGGCCCCCTGAGTATGGTTGGGCGAGCCAATGCAGGTCTGCGCCGAAAGAACAAGGATACTTGTGTTCAGTGTAGGCTTAACAAGCGCAAGGTAAATCGTCTCTTTGTTATGGTGTTTTTCTTGAGCTAACAGCATCAGTGTGACGGAAGCTCTCCGTGTGACGCTTGTCGCCCGACACTTCACGAGCAACCATGTGCCCGTGCATGCTTCTCCAGCATTGTTGAGTTTGGTACCTGCAACTATATCTGTAAGTACCCGCACATACTCTCTTATTGACCAAGGCTTACCGAATCTAGCTCAACGCGCTGTTAACCATCCCACGATGGACGGTACCAACCGAGTTCGTATGGAGATTCCATCCGAATTTGACCTCAGCCAACTGTTGTCATTGCTCTCCGAGCGCCAGGGGCGGTTCAACATCCGCGCCAGTCAGGCCTGGGGCTCTCTTTACGTTCTTGATTTGGGAGAGACCTACAAGTTCCTCAAGAACCTCAGTGACTACAACGGCAACTCTAAGTCAACATTCATAGAATTCATTGATCGTCGAATCGTCGACTCAAAGGACAAGTCTAAGAACTGGCTTTCCTGTCTTGCCGATTGTGACCCAATGAACCAAGCCTACGTGAGTTTCCATTGCCATAATCTCTCTGACGCCCACTAACACCATCCCAGACTCTCCTCTCACAGTGGAACAACATGCCCAGTCGAGCCAAGTACAGCTTTGTCAGCCTAGACGACACCCCGGACCGAACAATGGACATCAACAATCCTTCGGACCGTCGAGAAATCCTTCTCGCAGCCCAACTCTCCCGAATCTTCTGCCGCATGCTCGAAGTCGAAGGCTTCCGCAAACTCGAGCGCGACTTCTACAACATCAAGTGGAAGCAGATCTCCCACGACACCCACCTCCGCTTCCTGAACGAACTCGGTCACATCCTGCTTACGCTCCGCTGGCGCGTAAGCTGGTGGAAGCGTCTCGGCGACGGTGGCCAATCCCCCGACCCGTCACAGCAGCACTACATCGACCGTGTGGAGTTGCTCTGTCGCATTCTGTACGTCTACTATACCTGTGTACTGGCAAAACTCCCCTCTTGGAGTGCTGCGGACGTGCCAAAGGGTAAATGGAGTACATATGCGGACGCGGAGACCGTGTGGGATGATTTCCCATCCGATTCCAGCGACGGAGGTTTCCAAGGGTGGATGGACAGGGGACAAGAGCTCATTGAGGCAGGAGGTGTTCCTGGGCGAGTTTCGAAGTTCTAGGTTTTCGACAGTGTGTTCGGAGTTGGTTTTAGATACCCTTTATTTCTTTGTGTTTTTTTCGTCATTTTCACTTCTTGTTCCTATTTCCTTGCTGTTATGCATCATGACTTACATATCTACTATGATTGAGATGAGTGCGGGTTTTGTACATCTGTTTGATCATTTATAAATACAATCTGCTTCGTACAACTACAATATTAGAATCATTATTCATCTTCCCTACCAAGCTACTAGGTTCCAATTGTATATGGCTGTAGGTACCAAAAGAAAGGGTATCGATTTCATGCACTCATGCCAAACTCTACTGTATTTAAGCCTTCTTAGGTCCAGACTTCAGAGTTCCATCCTTTTTCGCCTGGTTCCTCTCCTTCTGCAATCGATCCTTCTTTCCACCAGCCAACAGCTCCAAATGACCCGCTTTCGTCGCAAGACTCTTTTCTGTCATATTCACGAGACCGGATGTGAGTTGCTGATTGAAAATTAGTACTTGATTCTTCTGTGGGACCGAGAGCGGACATACCTTCGTCAACTTCTTCTGCTTGATCAGTCCAGCTTTCTTAGGCGCCACGGAGCGAACACCTGGTCTTGTGGTCTTTGATGGCCTAGCGATACTTGTTAATTCTTGCGGTTTCGAGGTGGAAGATGTGCGTACTTTCGGCCGGGGCCACTGGGGGTGGCTTTTTTCAAGGATCCTTGCACCATTTTGTGTGGGGTAGGTGTGTGATTTGGGAGGCGAGATTAAGCGGTGGTTATGGCGGAGTAATTTCAGAGGCACTGCCAGCAGTACAGAGTGGACTTTTGCGTTTGTTCGTTTGGAAAGTTCGTTGGATGTTTTTTTGGGGCGTTGCTGGAGGGAAAATTCCTTATCGGACTTATCGCATCACGTGTGGTGGTTTTTCCGTTCCGAAGTATAACAAGCTACTTGACCTTGGAAGATGAAATGGGATGTGACAAATATGCAAAGTTTTATTGGACTTGATTCTTTCTTTTAAGATTGAGAAACAAAAAGCGTATTACATGGAGTTGACAGGCGTTGTCCAAAAAAATTCATTGGGTAGATAGGTGATATCACCCAGCGGTCTTGAAAAGTGGGGGATTCTCTAGCCTTAGTATGTGTATTTGAACCCAATCTGACCTTCGATGGGCTTCCCGCCAGCCTCAACGCGCCGATTTGCTCGGTGGAACTTCCAGGTCATTGCTCCTACAATCACAACAACTAGTGCATTGGCCAGCATAGCACACAGCAGTCCTGGGCGGTAATTTGGCGCATCCTGAGCACGGAACACCGTCGTCCCAATGATACCTCCTATACTTCCTCCTCCAATGAGAGTCGCCGATGTGAACGCCCGCTTCCATTGTCCGCGGATGTTGTTGCTAAAAATGTCAGTACCAATAGATATACAAATGAAACGGATCTTACCTTTGCCATGAGACTAATGCAGGACAGTTCGCATTTGCTGATGAAACATTAGCGCCATGACCAAAAGAGATCAAGTCAAACTCTCAACATACCGGCAATAGTAGCCAAGAAAACTCCAAAGTACCTTGGTGCCGCGTCATCGAGGTACCCCAAAAGTCCAAGGCCGAGTAGTCCCATCAAGGCATTCCCTGCGACGACCGGGCCCCGAAGTCGCCATTTATCCGAGTACACGGCCTGAACAAACATCACAATTCCAGCAGCCACGTACGGTGGTGCAACAAGACATTGCGCCTTTGCAACAGAGAAACCCATACTCTTTTCCAGAATTATGGGGAGGAAGTACGCGATCGAATAGCTGTTCGTTGTCGTGAGCATGTACAAAGCAGCGTACGCCCAGACTTTGCTGTCTTTGCAATTCGCAAGATATTTGCCCATGGAGAATGGTTCCACTGAGGCATCAGCCCGATCAGCCTGGATCTTCGCGATCACAAACGAGGCTTCGGACTCGTTGAGGAACTTCCAAGATTTTGGTGACTGCTCCGGGAAGTCAACTAAGAAGATGTAAGAGCCGATTCCCAAAACACAGGTGAGAAGCCCTTCAATCTGTGAGTGTGAATGTCAATGTCAGATGTGTCTTTGTGATTGGTGTTCTGGGCTGAGCAGCTTACAATGAAGATCCATCGCCAGCCTGCTCTCCCGGCGAGACCATCCATTTGCATCAGCCCATATGCGAGGATACCACCGAATCCAGACGCCATGCTTCCAATCAGGTAGAATGTTGCGTTGCGCTTTTGGAGCTCATAGCGCGGATACCATGTACTAAGCAGATAGACGCTGCCAGGATAAAGACCTGCTTCCAGGGCGCCAAGGATGATACGCAGACCAGCCATTGTCTCCCAGTTTGGAACGAAGCCAAATGCCTGTGGATGTTAGAAGACTTTTCGTCGATGGTTTGTTGACTTACGAGCATAACGGCTCCCCAGAGGAGAACGATGCCGGAGAGAAATAACCGAGGACCGATTTTGCGAATGATCACCGTGGCCGGAATTTGAAAGATCGTGTATGTGATAAAGAAAACAAGCGAGGTAATGCTGTATCCATTATTGGATGCATTCATGTCCAGATCGCCTTGCATTCTGCGGTGGGTTAGAAATGTGTATATGCGGATGTGATTGGACATACCCTGCGACAGATGCAGCTCCGAGATTCGTCCTATCCAAGAGACTGACGCAGTATAGGAAACCGAGGGTGATGACAAGTCTGATATCAATTCGCCGGATGAGTTTCTTTTGCTCGGACGGACTGAAGGAGTCTATTATCTCTTCGTGGTGGAAGGCGCCCTTCTCTGTGTCGGGTCCATCTTGGACTAGATCCTTCATTGTTGTTTACTCCCAAGTTTGTCTTTGAAAATCCCATATGATAGATAGCTTGGTTTAGCTTGATGACGCACGGTTTGATTGGAATGAGAGGGAGGTAGAAAAAGGCGGTTGTGGCCAAAGGGTGCAATCCCACCGGCTACCACCAGCTTTATAGACATTTTTGCGGGGTAATCGCTGTCAATCGGGACCCACGCTTTCTCCGCAAAATTTTGCAAAACAGTGCACGTCGGCTGGTGTGGTCCGGGGTAGATAGAAGTTTCCCGATTGCGGCATCTGATTGGCTTGCTATCTTCCGGTGGAAGTTGTTATGCATGATCACCTTCTCATGAAACTCCACCGGAGATAACACGATGAGATTGAGAACATGGAATTCTGTTGCATTTTCTGTATGTGCAGTGCGTGTGCGTGTGGTTATACCTGCACCTCGAACCCGGAACAGGAGGCCTGTTGGAGACAGAGAATAATTATTTGCACATTCAATTCAAACCACAATTTAGAGCATTGGGACAAAGTCGGGGGTTAATAATATTCTCGCAACGTTGAAACCAGTCAGTCTCTGTATTGGAAATCGAGTGCTCTCGGGGCAGTTATATTCCTCCGTGTCAGTCTTTCCAGCTAGGGCTCGACCCGGCGCAGTTCATGTAAATCTCACAGCTTCTAACTGAACGCAATGTTTGTTCATTGAATTGGATTCAACTGCGCTACCTGGGCACTAACGCAGAGAATTGGAACATACTTCATAAATTGCTCGTCTCATAAGACAAACCGGCTTGCAAACGGACTTTTTCGACTTATTCACTTGAAGATAGCACTCTTTTCCCAGCCTGTGCTCTTCAGATTCCGAAGAGATTTGGTGGGATGTGGTTTGCTTGGGTCGGCATATTCAATCTGATAGGGATTGGGGTCAGAAGCCTGGTTCAGATTCGACAAGGTATGGTTCACTTCGCGGTGCTTGGCTTCATCCGCGCGAATGTACATAATTAAATCGCGCATTGTGCGATTCTCTTCGGGCATTTTCCAGTACTCGACTGCAATTGAGGGAGCAGTGATGTTGTCCCATCCTGGGAGTTCTCCCGCTTCGATCTCTTCGATGGCTCGCGTGTAAGTTATCACAGCTTCTTCTTCGAGATAACCCACAAATCGGTGGCAGATCCGTGGGGACAATACATAAGAAATGAAGAAACCATTGAAGAATACACCTTGGGCACCTAGGACCATGAGGCGCATGAACCAGCCCGGTTCCATAAGCTTCAAGAATGTGAGCAGATGCATTCGTTCATTAAATGATTCTTCGAGTAATGTTTCAATCCTATATGATACCGCCTCAGTATTTGAACAACAATGTGATGATGCAGCACATACCATCCATTGTCTCGTTTCATTCGTCGGAGGCTCCGCAGGTGTCGCAACATTCCGCCAACCATGCCCGGTACACCCGCAACACTTTCAAGAAAAATAAAACGGGTCAACCAGTCTCTTTCGGTCATTTTGTAGCGACCTGAGAGTCTCTCATTGGGGTCAGGATGTCGATATCCAGTCAGCAAGTCCATGCCCCATCGGAAGAAGCGAACGGCTCCGAGTGCTGTCCAGTCAGACCAATTTCTAGCCTCTCGATGAGCAACACGGATGTCGCTCATTTCCTTATCAGTATATCTGACGTGGGCGTCAGTCAAAGCAGTGTGAGGGATGAGATATTCAACTAACATTGGGTGTACCCAGTGCGTGTTCACTTGCTTCACGCCTTTGGTGCGTGGGGGAGGGAAATATTCTTTGATCTGAGACCGAGGTGTTGCCGAAAGAAAGCGCTTTGAGGGATGTCCGAGCCCGGCGGTTGGCGAGAACTGGACGCATTGTGTTGTAGAGCTCATAAAATCCCATGCTAAAAGCGGGGACGATCTTGAATGAGTAGCTGTTCGCACTCGCGAGAAGATCATAGCTGCGTTGTGGACCTGGTAAGGGATGTTTTAAGAAAAGATATTTTGTAGTACTCTATCCTGGGTGCAGTGCCCAAGTAGTCTCCATTTTGTGCCGATATAAACTTTGTGTCGCATGGCAACTTTCTATGATGACCAGATATGGCGTCAGAGACAATTGAAGAGCAATATAGACCTCGGGGGCCTTGAAGTGCCGTCTGGCACAAAGTCAGATCATTCTCCAATTGGCTCATGGATTCTCACGGTGGGTCTGCGATCTATACTCCGTACCTCAGCTATTGATCGATTTTTATTCCGAACACTATCTGCTTTCCGTCATGTCTATGGTTGTAGACACATCCATGGATACAATGGGCTCTGTGAGGCGATATCAAAATAAACATAGCGGGTGGCTGAGCCCAAGCATGGGTCATGGCGTACACTAGGTTCCAATCGTTCTTGGTCCGCCCGATATGCATGCCCCCCCGCCCCGCCCCGGGGGCTGTCATGGCCCCCAGGCTTTACCTTTGCCCATCTACCTTGAAGATCTTCGACGAAGATATCTGAATCCGTTCAAATTCTGCATTGGTGGCCCCCGTGCTCTAATCCCTGGTATCTTTGACCTCATGTGGAATATCTGACTCCAATGGTCAATCAACCAACCACTTTTGGCCACATCTGCCTAGGAGGATTCAAAGTGACGCAGCTTCTGCAACTAACATACGCGTGTGTCTGCTTTTCCAATCATCAATTGGAAATGATCCACGGTTTTCCCATGCCGTACATTGTCCAGACCTCCAGAAGGCACTTCAGTCTGCCCAAGATCACCATATGTGGGAACACACCGGTGTCCTCGGCCCCCATACGAGCCGCATCGCAGATATACTTACTTGGATAGTAATGATTGACAGTAAGGCATTTTTGGTGGATTTTTCAAACAGCAAGGCTTCGGCGGTCTTGCAAAAGTCCTCCAGATGTTGACTATAAAGCAGGAGCTTTCTCTGCTGGATTTGTCTCTCAGCCATCTATCAATCTTTCACTAAATCAAACTTCAATCACCAATTCACCATGCAATTCGCTAGGTCTTTGCTGGCTCTTGTGGCCCTCGGTGCCAGCCTCGGTCTTGCTGCTCCAGCTCCAGCTCCCGATAAAGATGTTACCCAAGCCGCTCAGAGTTGTCCCTCCGAGTATGCAGTTTGCGGAGTATGTTGAGGCTCTCATGACTATTAACAGCTTTCATTGCTTCATTCTCTAACAGAGTAACTTGATACAGACATGCAACGGAACCTCCTGCAAAATTGCGGGTACAAACAAGTATGTTATCCCATCTTCTGCTACTTTCTATGAAGCATATTTACTAACAAATCTCAAAAGTGACTGCGTTCACGGCAGCGTAAGAATACCCCAATCTTCTTTATCGAACTTAACCCAAATGCTAGGACTTTTGAAAACTGACTGGCTTCATAGTGTGTTGGTGACGGCGGTGGTGATGGAGCCATATGCGGAAAGAAGACCATCAGCGATTATGCCAGTTGTCCCGTTTAGGGCTAAGGCAGTCAACTGTATCTGGTCCCTGGATGGTCTCGAAGTCGCTCTCTTGTCTTCATGATATGAGCGGGAGACCTCCACCCTGTTGGCGCGATAGCACTAGATTTTACTTTGAGTTGTGAAATCTTCCTGTCTCTACACACAATCAAATCAACTTTCTGTTTCCTTTTTTTCCCTTCAATGCTCGCCTCCCGACTGATTTGGATAGTAGCACAGCTGAGGTCTTGCTTCTATAAATGAAAAATCTAAATCTCGAACAGACCTAAGCTACCCAGACTTTGTGCAGCTAGTTATTTCCCTTGTCAAACCCCGAATAACTATGTCCTGTGTTAATTTGAAATCCCGGATAGATCGGATCTCATTGGAATTGCTGGTTGTTGAGGCAAAAATTGAAAAATCGACAAAAAGAAATGCCCTCGTCCAGGCTCGAACTGGAGACCTCCGGATATCGTTCCTGTTGTTCAGGAATGTCATATTTTGTCATATGAGACCGGCGTAATGACCAACTATACTACAAGGGCTGACTTGTTGAACGGCTAAGACTTTAATGTTTTAGAAGCCACGACTCAAGTCTACCTTCCAAGATTGCCGTCCGAAGCATCAACGGAGTACAGTATCCGTTGCAAATGGTTTGTTGGCTACAACAACATTGAAAATTAACTTTTGAATACGGATGCTGCTCGAAGTCGACCCTAGATGTGGTTAATGGATTTGTTCAATTTTTTTCAGAATAATATCATAGCTCTCAAGGTCCAATGTTGAAGAACAATATATATTGGCATCTGCAGGTGGTTGGTGTTAGTAAACGACCAGGGCTCGGCAGAAGTGTTCAAAGGACAATACTAAGCACCAAACCAGGTATATTCGACGTGATCACCGGAAGTCCGTACTATCTAGCTATGTTTATCCATTGATGACCCTGCAATAGCCCACGGTTTACTCACAACCTCGGAAGCCCAGGAGATTGTAGATCATGCCAGATCACGTGTATCCCCACACTCCGCCTGTCCCCAACCGCCAATCCTGCTTTCTCCATATCTCATCAGCCAAAAGTCCAACATGGCCTCTCTTCGCCAAACCCCATGGCGGACCTGCCAGTCCCTCAGCAGGAAGCAGCTGCGCACGAACCTGAACACCCGACACATCTCTACCACCCCACTCCGCTCCAATGCCTCCAAGAACCCGCTTCGCCGCGCATCGCCGGCAGCAGACATGCAGCAAGCATCTAATGCGCAGCGCAAGATGATCCTCTCTGCAGCTGGTATTGTCACATGTGCGGCCGGTCTGTACGGTACAATCAAGCTAGACATCTTCGGGCTCGAAGAACTCGAGAACAAGAAGAAAGCCGAGAAGCCCGCCAGCAATGCCCTTCAAATGGACGGACCACCAGGGTTCACCAACGGTGGCCCATCGGTAATTACAATTCAAGGCCAGGACGGTCTCGAGCAGGTCCCAACAGGAACAAGCACCATCCCGCACTTCCCCAGCACCATCCGCCTCCCCTCCTCATCCCAGTCACAAGGCAAGCAACCCGGCGATGAGCTGCCCCCATCCGACGGCGAGGAATACCAGCTCCTCGGCCTCGGAATCCGCACCGTCTCCTTCCTCTCTATCCAAGTCTACGTCGTCGGCCTATACATCGCCAAAAGCGACATCACCGAACTGCAGACCCGTCTGATCCGCACCGCCATCCACCCTCCCTCCAATTCCGACGCTCCAATTACCGGCGCAGGTGCTGAGTCCGCGACCTCGCTCGTCCCACCCGAGCGCAAGCAGCTTAAGGAGCTCCTCCTCGACGCGGAGCGCGGCGACGCCGTCTGGTCCGCAATCCTGAAAGACGATGGCATCCGCACAGCGTTCCGCATCGTCCCGACCCGCAACACAGACTTCATGCACCTGCGCGACGGGTGGGTGCGCGGTATCACAGCGAAAGCCAAGGCGAAGGCGGGCGAGTTTGCAGACGAGACATTCGGAACTGCAATGAATGATTTCAAGGCCGTTTTTGGATCTGCGAAGGGAAAGACCGTGCCAAAGGGCGAGACGCTGGTTCTTATGCGTGACCAGCGTGGTGCGCTGGATACACTGTTCCAGCCCGCTGCTGATAAGCCGGTTATCTGGATGGGGCGCGTTGCGGATGAGAGGGTCAGTCGGCTTGTTTGGTTAAATTACCTGGCTGGAAAGACGGTTTCCAGCGAGGGCGCCAGAAAAAGTGTTGTCGACGGGCTGATGTCCATTGTCGAGCGGCCGCTTGGTACGGTCGTGCAGAAGGTTATCTAGATTTGACTGTATATTACCTGTAGCTTTGTTTTTGGATTTGGCTCTACGTGAGCATGGCTATACTCCACTCAATGCAAGATGGCAGAGAGCGCTTGTGCTCTCGCGCCACGGAGAATTCTCAGTTCTAGTATTCGGATGAAGACGAATTCTCGACGTATTAGATGGTAGGTACAGCTGTGCAAGTCTACCCCGTTCCCAGGTGGATATCTACTCCGCGGAAAACACTTCATATTCTAACGAGCGCGCTTAGAGCGCACCAGCGGCCTTGAGAAGCTCCTTCAGGTCATCCTCAGACTTAGCCTGGAGGTCAGAGTTACCACCGATGTGCTTCTGGCTGATGAAGATGTTGGGCACGGTGCGCTGGCCGGAGATCTCAGCGAGAGCGTCCTGGATAGCAGATCCACCCTCTGTCGCAAGTTGGTTAGTACCGCAAAACCGAGATATTGTGGCGCGCAAACCAACCTTCCTGGTCAAGCTCGAAAACAGTGAACTTGGCATTCAGATCCTTCAGGAGCTTCTTGGATGAGTGGCAGTATGGGCAGTAGGACTTGGAGAAGACGACAACGGCGTTGTCCTGGATGAGGCCCTGGGCGCGGGTGGTAGCGGCGGACATGGCGGCGGGAGATGTGGCGGCAAAGGAGCCGAAGAGACGCTTGAAGAAAGAAATGGTGGGCGGTTGGAAAGAAGCGAAGAGCTCTTTTAAGTATGACGAGGCGGGGTAGGGTGATGGAATGAGAGCCGGAGTTATCAGGATTGCGGCATGCGCTGCGGCGATGATATCATGTGATATTTGTAAGCTCACAAGGCCGCCCGGGCGCCCGGGGGGAGCTCCGAGGCCCTGTCGGTGGTACGCCTAACCTAAATTGTGCCCGGACATCACTAAGCTGTGGCAATGGATGTGCTTCCAGATCGTTCAAATGACCAATTCAACTCTTCAAATTTCTTGACTCAGGAAACGCAGCCGAGCCAAAGGTTGCCTCCTTGGACAATTGGTCTTTGATACTGCTATTCACCTAGCCCTATCGCGACCACCGTTCATGTTGCAGGTCTGCAATCATCTACTGCATACAAATATGGGAAGCAAGAAACTGTTTATAGGGAAACTTCCATTACTTGATATCTCTCCATAGCAACTAACGACAAGATGAGCAATTCAGCACCGAGGGATCTTCAACGAGCAAATAAAAAGAAATAAAAGCGCTAGCAAGACTGGGAATAGGGCAAAGGCTCCAAAAGTTTTTTGAGATGTGAAGCCAATATTGGAAAAAGGATGGCAAAAAAAAAAAAAAAAAGGTAGATCAACACGAAAAGGAGACACCGAGTGTTCTCCTCCGCAAAGGAGATAGTTTTGGGCTCAGAGAGCAAGCATGGAAACAGAGAAGAGAAGGGAAGAGAATTCAAGGAATGGATGCATGGGGGAAGAAAGAGAAGCCATGCTCCGGTTTTGGCTCATAGAGAGACCGGATTAAAAAGCAGCTTGAAGATGAAGAGCAAGGGCCTAGATCGCGGGATATGAAGTCACAGAACAGAACCGACAGAACACCATCCCGCCGGAGACGCTGGAAAAAAAATGACAAAGAAAGGAAAGCAGATGTGTAGATCGAGGTTAGTAAGATGGTAGAGATTGGAGAGATATGAGATGAAAGCTGTCCATCACATCACGATGCAGCATCCGCAGCTCTTCTCTTTCTTTGGCTGTTCGCGCGCGGTGACGACAGGCGGGTTCCAGTTGGGGTTGGGGTTGGGTGTAAGTCCCATTGGGGGTGTGTCTTGCACCTTGGGCATGGTGCTATACCCAGTGCTCGTGTTTGGGCGCGGCGGCTCTGGGCTCTTGGACTGTTGCGGCAAATCATCTAGCCGCATGGAGTCGCCAGGTTGTTGGAATTGAGATTGAGGCTCGGGCTCGGGCTCGGGCCCCGGGTCTGTCTTTGAAGGAACGGGTGGTGCGTCGGATGGATGCACAGCAAGAGGCGCAAAGTTGCGGTCATATGTGTTCGGAGTGCGACCTTCTTTCTCCCACTGCTCTTGCTGCATCTTCTTGGCGAGTGTGGGGAGCATCTGCTGGTCTGGCGGGAGGCGAGGATCCGGCTTGTACATAGTCGCCAGCCATGGGGGATCACCCTCAGGCCGGTTGGCTGATGTCGTCGGGCGACTCTCGTTGCCGCGGGTCGTGGGTCGTGCATTTCCTGACACCGCACGAGATCGTGCGGCACTGGTCTTGCGGTTGGTGGGAGGGGCCGAGGTCTTTCGGTTGCTCGAGCCCGTGGACTTCTTCTTAGCCGGTGTGTTTTGGGTGGTGCTGAAGCCCCGGCTGCCGGGTCGGCTCGTGGGCGAGGGAGTGGAAGTCTCCTGGTCGATGTTGATAGGCTCGCTTGCTCTACGGCCGCGTGAAGATCGGTCGTCTTCATCCGTTGCTGCCCGGCTACGAGGACCACGGGAATCACGGCCCGAACCAGAGAGTGGAACTGGACTGGCTGTAGAGATGGGTATACGCGACGCGCTTTTTCCCAAACTGGGGTGGCTGTAAATGCTGGCAGCCGCATCGTCCGCAGCAATCTCCTCCGGTCGGCGGAGGTCCCAGTGTCTTCGCTCGTCGGTCTCATGCCCGTTCACATCTCTGCGAGATTCTTGCCTCAGCTCCGGCCAGGGCTCAGAGTATTCGGCCGGTGAGGTGGGACCGGTGCCATTCGCATTGCCATGAGAATCATGGCTTCTTTCTCGACCGCTCGACTTGCTTTCTCCTCTCATGCGTCGCTGGAAGAGAATGGCAGCCTGGTGCAGTTCCTCGCTCTCAATCTTCGCCAGCTTGTCTCGGTGGATCCATTGCTCCTGGCTCGTTTTCCCGTCCAAGAATACATTCAGACCTTCCCTTCCTTCCTCGGATTCTTTACGGCTAGCCTCGTGTCCATATGCATCTCGCATACTGCCTACTTCACTGCCGCGTCGGTTCAGGCTCGGTTCCCTGCGCCCTCGGTTGGAGGTCAAATAGGGGGATTCGTGGGCGTGGACAGCGCGGGAGACGGAGGAGCTGCGGGAGCCGTTCGAGTTACGCTTCCGGGAAGATTTTGCACGGACGGAGGCCGAGTCCTGCGAATTGCGTGGTCTCGCATGGCGATTTTCCTGCGGGGAGAGGGGTTAGCATACTTGTTCCCACGTTCTCAGCATTCACACGGCGAGGTACCTCGTGGCCCAGCGGCACAGCGAACTCCCATTGCGAGGCATCCACGGTTGGCGATGCTAAAGCATCGGAGGAATAGGCTGTTGCGACGCCCGCCATCCCAAAGTTGTCAGAAAAAAAAGGCCAGTCCAGCTGAAACCGATGGGAAAAGGAATGTTGACTTGAGTGGTGGTCGGATCAAGCCATTCGCAGCAGTAAGGGGGACCGAAAGTAGAAATTTGTCAACAATTCAAGGGGGGTAGTGTATCTCGGTTGCTGGTGAAGAGTACCACGGTTGAGAATCACGAGAGAGTCGGGGGTCCACTCGAACGTTGTCTGACTTGCAAAAAGGAGGGGAAAAGACGGACCGCGGAGGTCGAAAGGCTTAAGGAAATGGGAGAACTAAAGGAGAGCTAGTACCCTAACTGGGTATAGTACGTGGAAGAGGAATAGTAGGAATAGTGCGGGAGTTGAGGATTTGCCTAGACTTTCGAAATGTTTCACTGCCTTTGTCCCGGCCTGCATGAGTACCTTTTGAGTACATGGCAGGGCGGTCCGAGGAATACCAGACTACGAGGTACTCCTCAGGTACCTCCTGAATAATCGTGCATAAGATTCCCTTCCTCATTTCAATAATCGCGTAACGGTCAATAACCTAGAAAATCTAGTTCGCGACTTCACTGGGCCGTGCGCTGCCCCTGAGTGTTGATCACTTCGAGATCACGCTAAATTTGATCTAAATCCATCGTTGGGTGAAGTACGAGGTAGGGACGGGTTTGGTTGGAGTTCCAGATGCACTGAAGTACAAAGAAACCAGACGGTTGGCATTTAGTCTTCGATTTAGTCTTTGGGAATCAAAAGTCGATATATCACAACGCCGATCTGCTGAAGCGTGGACAGGTTCCAACAAAGCAAACGCTAATATCAGCCGGAGCAATAGATGGTCCATTTCACAAGCCATGTATTTCCAAATCCCTCAGTGTGTATGAAAAGACTCCTTGAGTGCACGAAAATGCCCACATATATTACAGATTAAGGGAATCCAGCTTGCTGAGAGCTGCCTGTGCTTCCTTGATCAGGGCACGGCGCGCAAAGCGGGTCTCATCCCCGTCTGATTCGATTCCATCTGTCTTCAGTATGACATCTCGGAGGATGGTTTCACTCAAACATTTATAATCGTAATCCCGCTTCTTCGGGTCGCTTGGTGGGTCCGCGACGTATTGATCACAACGCGGGATCATCTCTTGCTTAAGCCATCCCGCCAGCGCACTGATCTTCTCCAGCGGCGTGCGGAGCTGCTTCAGGTCGGGAACAGGGGCGGGATTGCTCGAGAGATCAACTGTAGGGACAGGCTCCGGGGCGGTTGTCTTCTTATTACGTTTGTTCTTCCGTCCCTTTTTGCTCTTGCCTGTGGGTGTGGGAGGGGAGGATGCCTCGGCACTGGTGGGACGAGACTGTGTAGGTGCTGGAGCCGCCGGTACCGCTGTTGTGACACTCGGTCCGCTGTCGTCGGAGAGCTCGCTGGCGCCGACTTCCGACACAACACACAACACCTCTGAGTGCTGCTTCAGCCCTTCGGCTTTGCATGTCCGCTGGTCATCTTTCAATAGCTTGCCCTTATACAGCAAACGGACACGATCAGAGAAGCCGGCGTCTGTTTTCTTGGCGGCTTCCTCGCGCACGTCGCCGACGGTCAAGATGCCATCGTCAATTGAGTATGCGCGGAAGTGCAATGGGTAGATGGTGCCGCGGTGGCGGAGTGCGATGATATCTGGTTCCGCATCGTCCGCTGGAGGATCAACAATGTCCCCCGGTGTGATGTAGCTGAAGTGCTCGTCGTTAACCTGGGGGTTGGAGGCGGGTGCGTAGCTCGGCGAGCGGCGCAAAAAGTTCAAGGGGTTGCGCCAGCTCATGACGGCGACGGTGAACAGGCAGATAATTACAGCAGCAAGGAGCGCGAGAGGTTGATCGTCGGCAGCGAGAGGGAGCTTCTGCGCGAGAGGTCCGAGGGGTGTGGAGGACAGGTAGGTGAGAATGGGGTCCAGACGGAGGCGGAGGGACTGCAGGTGCAGAGGGAGGTTGTCGGTGACTTGGTCAAGGTAGACTGCACACTTCTCGCCCAGGCTGGACTGAACGAGAGCAGGAGGCAGTAAAGTCATGGATCTCTGAGAGGAGGGCGCAGGTGGGAGTGAAGTCATGCCCCCCGGTGGTCCCAGGTAGGCAGATAAGGCGGAGAGTACTTTTTTTGCCATCGCATTCAGCAATTGTGTGCTCTCAACGCAAAGGCCGATCTGCCTTGAAGATCGCCTAGGCTAGATCTGTTTGTGAAAATGCCTTTCTGGAACGGTCGAGATGGGTCGATCTCCTGTGCTCCTCGGGGGCTGCCTGGAGTGGCGATTAGGGCCTGAGGATGGTCATGTCATACAGCATATGGAGTACACGACATGATATTTCTCTTTTATTCCAACGTTGTACTCATCCGGAGCCTCTAAGCAATCATCTCCTTAATGACTATTCCGTACGGGCTTTGTCTATAGCATCTGGATGTAAGGTTTGAGAATGCCCTCGCAGTACATGCCTATCTACGGAGTAGAGGTACGAGGAACTCAGGATTTGTTAGTTACCCGTTTGTAATTGATATCTCATAGAATATAAAGACACGAATCACTCACAATCATCCCTGCCAACAGCTTTAAAACAAATTACTTTCCTGTAAAATCGCGACCAAATCTACTCGTACGGAGTACACCTTGCCCGCAAGTGAATCCCCGCAAGTAGGCCGTTCCTGCAAAATGTGGGGCGACTCGGCCGGATCACCCTTCGCTTTCACATCTACGGAGTACGAAGTGCCGATGTTACAAGCCTTGATGATACGACAACGGTCCGCTCGTGCATGTCTTGCTTGTCGTCAACGCAAGAGAAAATGTGACGGCGAGCTTCCATGTAATACCTGCGTCGGATACGACTATGAGTGCAGCTATGATTCAGTTCAAGGGGCTCCGAAAAGAAAGCGTCAGTCCGAGGAAGAAATACCCTCAGTGCCCAAATTTGCCCGCATATCACCTGAGCCACAGAGCCGCAGGCAAAATGCCTCAGCCCCCTCGGGAATTCTTGACTCTACCAAGTCAAGATTTGTCGGGAGGTACTCCAGTGTTGCGTTTCCACTATGCGTTGGCTTGGAGCTGCAGGCAGCCAAGCCCCCGCGGCTGCATTCCTTTGCTTATCACACTGGAAAGAGGAAAGAGCCCGAGTCTATGGCGCGCTTGCAGCTGGCAGAACGCATGTCATGGAACACTATCAGGGGCCAATTGGATTACTACTTTCTCACGATCCACCCGGTGTTCGGATTTTTGGACGAAAGTCTTATCTACGAGCGATGTGAAAAACACTGGCATAGCGAGCCACAATCTCCTGATTTTGAGGCTATCATTGCTGGATTGGCGGCTTTGACTTGCTTGTTCAATAGTTTTACGGGACCAGACGAGGAGACGTGGCTCGCCTTGCATGCCAAGGAGATATTGGAAGATCCGTTCGTGAGTCGGTTCCCATCTGTCGACCAAGTCGCAGGCTGGATTTTACGAACCATATATCTCCGTTCGACGACCAGACCCCACGTGGCTTGGATTTGTAGTTGCACGATGATGCATCTGGTCGAGGCGACTGGGCTTCATCGGGCCCCACAGTCCCTGATACTGGCTACCGAGAAGGGCTTGGAAGTTTCGACACCCAAACTATCCGATAGTGTCCAAAAAACAGCCTGGGTGGCTCACTGCTTACATGTTGTCATAGCTTATGAGTATGGCAGGTCTGTGATAAATCTTGGGTTCCCATCTCAAGAGTCTCTGCCACGCTCAACGTGCGCGACAGACTTCACTCCTCGGTTGTGTCGTCTCATTCAAGCTATCCCTATTTCTCCAAAGGCTTCTGACTCAGTCGCCACAATAAACGAATTATCGGACGCCCTGAGATCCTTGGTAGAACAATTTGTCGCCCATGACTTTTTGATACTGGTCCGAGCAGATTTGGCTTTTTCCATCTACCGGAGGATTCGCCTACTCAAGTCAAACTTACGAGAGAGCCTACTTGAAGAGGTCATATCTCTTGGCATGTCTTCTTTACGTGCAGCACGCGATTTGGTGACCCTAGGCCAGCCCTGGTGGAACGTGATCAGTACTGTATTCCAATTCGTCTGCGTTCTTCTGGCTATCGACACTGATGCCAGTGTCACGCGCCTCCCCAAAGTTATGGAAACATTGGAGATGATTGTGTGCGCACTCAATACCCACCTCGCAAAGGAGGCCCTTGCCACGGCTCGAAATTTGGTACAAGCCTCTCTCGAAAAAAGGCGCAAAGGCATCAAAACATTAGAAAGTATAGTTGGTCCCGCAAGTGATATGCCTGCCGACAGCGAGAATCAACCAAAAGACAACCCGGAGCCTGCTTTCGCTTATCACTACCCTCTGGAACCTTCTGATCTGGATTTATTCTCGGATATGGATTTCTTCAATTGAGCATTGTTTATATCTGAGTGAGCCTCGGCTTGGAGTTTTGTCTATTCATTGTGAGCCCTTTGACTTTGACCAAGTCACGACTGTGAAACATATCGCGATGATAGAACCAAGCCCCGCCAAGCCTACTCCCATATAGGACGCCCCGCGATATCCCTTGAGTATGTTCGATCCATCAGGATCAACGTATCTCTCGACTGTACCCGCCAGACCGAGGCCCAGAGATATCGAATAGTTCACAACAGTGTTCACGAGGGAGCCTGCCACTCCTTGATGCTCGGTGGTACTCGACTCATCAGGAGGCCAGTCACCACTGCAGCAGTTGCCCCAGACAAAGAGGCACCAGCCCATTTGGCTGTCACCAAAAGCCCGCTGTTGTGCTCAATTTCTTCCAGGAAATTATAATAGTAGAAAACGAGAATTCCGAAACTTGACCACCCTGCCGCGATGCATCCCAGTACCCACGCAACTTCCCCCTTGAACACAGAGCTGGGCAACAGGGGGAAAGCTGCTTTGTGCTCGACAAACAAAAACAGGACGATGAAGAGTATTCCCACTATGAGGAGAACATAGGTGTACGGCACGTTCCACCCGACAATGCAGGCTTGATTCCATGCGAAGTTGATGAGAACAAGCCCACTCACTCCAGTGATAGCGCCGAGAGCATCCAGACGCTCAAAAGTTGATTCACCCTTGCTCTGGGAGTCGTGTTCGGCCGGATCGTCTTGGGGAATTACCAAAAATCCAAGCACGGCAAATATGAAGCATGCAATACCCATGACCCAGTACCCCCAGGGCCACCACACACGTTGAGCAAGCAGCGAGCAAAAAGTTGCACCCAATGTAAATCCACCAGGCGCCGTTGCGCCAAAGAGACAAAACACCATGTCTTTTTTTAAACCAGGTGGATAAGTTCGACCGAAGATGGCCACGGCATTAGGCAAGAGAAGTGCCGGGCCAATACCCTGCAACGCACGACAGCAATCCAAGAAAATCTCATTCGACCACACAGCAAAACCACCAAGAAGTGACCAAACCCCAAACCAGATGAATCCAGTAATGAACAATAATCTGTGTCCGTAGGTATCCCCCAGTCTGCCGGAGACGAGAATCAGCGTTCCCACAGAAAGACTGTATGCCGCAGATGCCCATGTTAGATCTCGTGGAGTTGTTCCAAAACTGGCACTGATGGCTTGAATCGGAGCGATGGAGAGGGAGAGGCCGGCTTGGGTCATGAGCTGGGCTGCGCAGACAACGGCTATAAATGCCGCTTCTTTGGCCGGGGATTGGGTTCGTGGTGCTTTCGTCTGAATTTCGGGGTCTTGCACTCCATTTCTGTCGGATTCCTTGTTCATTTCGATGATCTGACCATCATGTCTTAGAAACACATTCAGTTAGAATTAGGGGTTCTATGACATTGAAGATCACATACCTGTCTCTAGCCATTGAGACGTCGGTAACTATATGGCTCAGGGCTATTGCCAGCTTCACAATTGTATGTGCAGGCACGTGGAAAGCCAGATCAAACAATTTACATACTAATATTTAATTCGACATCGCTCGACTATATAACTAAAGTCGAAACGGGCGATCAAGACCATGCCTCTCCGCAGGGCCCGCGCGGGCCGCGGGCCGCAGGCCGATACCGCATCGCATACGGATGGACCCTAATTCGACTATGGGTTTATTATATAAAAGACCATCCTCTTGCCCAGGCCGTATATTTCTCAAGCTAAGCTCACAAAAGTGGACGAAAACAACATTCAAATCACCCAACGCAAAAAATGGCTACAATGAGAGCGCTCCAAATCACTCGCAGTGCACCACTATCAATCAACACAATCCCAATTCCGACGCTCAAACCAGGCCAAGCACTGGTTAAAGTCCACTACGCATGCATCCACCCTTCAGACCGTCTGAACTCTCAAGGGCTGTTCCCTTCAACTACACTTCCACGCGTTCCAGGGCGTGACTTCTCAGGTGTAGTGACCGAGACAAACCCGACCTCCAACTGGATCGGAAAAGAGGTTTACGGAACCAGCGGCTCAAGCCTAGGCTTTACAAATGATGGGCCACATGCGCAGTATATCTCTGTACCACAGGACGCATTGGTCGAGAAGCCTTCCGCGCTATCGATGCGCCAGGCCGCGACTGTCGGTGTTCCATTCACGACAGGGCTGATTTGCCTACGTAAGGCGGCGGTCTCTTCAACCGACACTGTGTTAATCATTGGGTCTACTGGTGCTGTTGGATCTATAGCTGTGCAGATTGCACGAGCTATGGGGTGTCAGCGGGTATTGACTGCTGCGCGACGGGAGGAAGCCAAGCCTGATATTGTTCTTTCTGGAGCGTGCCCCGCCGAAGAACTTGCTTCAAAGATCAAGGAGCTGACTGTTGGGCGTGGTGTGGATGTTGTTGTTGATACTGTTGGAGATATTGCTTTGATGGGCGCTGCAATCGAGAACTTGGCACAGAAGGGTCGTTATGCGTGGATTGCTGCGCCCAGGGGGAGGCTAGCAAGAAGTTGTCATTTGATATCTTCCAAGCTTACCGCAAGGAGATCACGCTGGTTGGGTGCAATTCTGTTAGCCCGGCGATTGAGGAGGCTGCGGGACTCCTGCGCTCCCTTGGGGATTGGATTGAAGAAAGGTTACTGTGTGCCCAGGATGAGAGTTTGTTCAGAACAGTCAAGCTGGAAGACAGTGTCGAACATGGATATGGAAAAGCGGGAGAGCAAGTAGTTATAGAAATGGCTTGAAATGAAAGTATCGAGTATGTGACATGTTAAAGCAGTCCATGACCTGGCTTACCTGTTGTGCCATTCATCCTTTCCTCCAGAAAATTCATTTAGACCACCATTTCCAAGATCTCCAATACCTGAGATTGATCGTTGAGTGGAATCGGATTTGACTTGCACCAACGATCATGCAGACTATTTGCTGCAAGTGAGTCCAGTTGATCCCGACCCACATGGACATCAGCTAGAGATCGAGGCATTCCCAATTCACGAATGATGATATCCAAAATATCACCCAGGTCTGCGGAGTCGACGTCCACTGATCGGGAGCGAAGAAGCTCCAATACGACAGGGTCTCCAATCAATGAGAGGCGTACACTCTCTTGCTGCGCGCAGTTGGCTTTATACTTCGCATTGAACTTGCACACGGCAGGAAGGAGGATGCAGCTAGTTTCGCCGTGACCAACGCCCAGGGGACCGAGCTAGTACCTGTTAGTTGACCATAATACCCATTGGCTAAATTGAAAGCACGCAGGCATATGTAGACCCAAGAACACATTGCACATACCTGATGTCCTATCCCATGACTGGCACCTAGTTCAATGGACCCGCTTGTACAAGCCGCCATAGCATCGATAGACCCGAGCTGGCATTGCAAATGGGCGTCACGGTCCTCGCGACTTTGCTTGCAATGTAACAGACCGGGTACCAATAAGCTCAGTGCATGCTTAGCCAGTTCATCCGAAGCGTTGGTCGTGCCTTTGATAGCACAAAGAGACTCGACGCAGTGGTCAATTGCGCGCACGCCAGTACTAAGCCAGATTGAGTTTGGGGTAGATTTAACAAGATCTGGATCGAAGATGACTAGCTGGGGCCCGCGAGACGGCGGCTGAAAACTGTATTTTCGTTTCAAATTGTCTTCTGTTCCGCCGGCAAAATTGGAAAATTCGCCAGCAGAGAGGGATGTTGGAACAGAAACAATGGGTACTGTGGGCGGGGTGATATTTTTTCGCTTCTTAGGACCCTCTGCCAGGGTTTCGAGTTCTTCTGGTGTGTTGACGTTGTTTGCGAGGGCCTAGATAGGGAGTGAGAATGTATGTCTTTTAGAGGCACAAATTGACCATCATGGAGACGGGTGTAGGCTTAAAGATCACTGTAGAAAAAGTAATATACGAACCAGTGCAATGATTTTTGCTCCATCAGTCAGGCTACCAGCTCCGACAGTCAAGATCGCATCGGCCTCAAGAGTCCGAGTATCTTTGGTAATCTGCAAAACTTCCGACCACAATGTATGACTTGTCATACCAATTCGATGGCCCACCAGGTTTGATCCCAAAGCATCTGACAGGCGATTCATAACATTTGTTGTCCGGCCCAACGTTCCCGAGCATATCACATAGATGCGGGAAGCTTGGAAAGACTCGCGGAGATGGCGGGCGGCAGCTTCTGGGAACGGGAGGCCGTAGGATATGAGAGGAAGATCGCGACCCGCAAAGGCCGGGCGTACAGTTTCTGGCATAATTGGGAGGTGTTTAAGGTGGAGGAATAGAAATGCGAGAGAGATCCGGGGTGAGGTGGGATTGATTATATCATGTGTGGGGCACGGGATTCCCCCTTGAGGCTTAAATTGTCCAAGTCTACCTTCTTTCACTTAGCACCCATCAAGTCCGTGTACTCCATTTACACTGGTGTACTTGCAAGTCCCAGATCCTGGAGTGGTGGCATTCTTCCCATATAGCACGACATTGTCAAAGTCGATATTATAACACGGATGGAGCTTGGAGCAAGATACCGACGCCACATGCGAAGTGGTCTCGATGCTACCCGTGAAGTTCACAAACGCAACGTTCGAAACACTCATCAAACTTGTCCCGGAGTAGGACCCGTTGTTTCCATTGTCCTGTGTGATAGACGGTCCAGCGTTCGCTCCCTGTATCTCAAAGTTTGAAAACAGCACATTTCGAATACTACCCCAGCCGCCGCCCCGAGGTAGCCCGGCGCTTTCATAGGAGGTCTGCGGCAGGAGAGCACTGATCCATGTTTTGATATAGGCGCTGTTGTGCATGTCCTCATTATATCGGATCACTTTCACTTTATCGATGCGTATGTTGGCAACGCCTGAATCTTCTTGGTATTGACCCAGACTGCCAATCGCGATGCCATTGCCACCGCGACATGTCACATTGTGAATGTCGATATTGTATGACCGCGGCTTGATGGCTATACAATCATCACCTCCTTGATAAACGAAATTGGTGAGCTGGATATTTTTTGCGTCCATCGTGTCTGTGGTCACATTAGATGATTTCTCGATCATGGGAAAGGGGACCTTCCCATACCAAACCCGTCTGTGTTTTGGACCCAATTCTCGCCGTACGGCGCATCAACCGCGGTGGCATTGCAGTAGATGTTATCGAAGCGCATATTGGTCCCATTCATGATGTTAACACTCCACAGCTGGGGATCTTTCACGTAGAAATTTTCCACGCTGACATCGGAGACATTCCAGAAGACGAATGGCATCGGTCTTCCTGGCTGCGTGTGGCCTTTCTCGGCTGAATACCATACATTCCCATTTCCGTCAATGCCGCCGGTACCATAACCATTGATTGAGATGTTCTGACCTGTGAGGACAAAGCCCGCAGCATGATTTTGGAAGGCGACTGGATATGAGTGGTTTCGCCAGTAATCCAAGTCGTCAGAAAACTGGACGTTGTTATTAAGACTGCTCATGCCTGGCGTGTCACTCCACTCACTGTCCATTTCCCGCGCCATTCAATAGATACATCATTCACCACGGGATTCAGACGGCTTCCAATCCAATACGATTCCTCTTCCGGGAAAACGATTGTACCGCCATGGCCGCATTCGCGGAACGCTTTGAGTATATTGGGTACATCGTCTTTTTGATGTCCTTGGGCTTTGACAATACAGACACTCGAACTGCGTTGCTCATTTGCATATACATGAGCCGACAGCATCAACCCTAAAAGAAGAAATAGAGTAGTTTTCCCGAAGAATCTCATCTTGACTTGAAATCAAGCATCTCACTTGTCAATTTAGTCCAAATGAGGACCACTTTATAGCCTTGGCGCACGGGTCTCACAGTTATCCAATGTCGCATCATCTCTCGGGGATATTTGGACCGAGCAATTTGGTGATTCGAAATTGCGGAGAGCATTGCCTGCGGGGAAATTACCAGGGCTCTTCAACCCTGCGCCAAAACGTAAGATGTGGACCCCATCGAGTGCTTGTTTGGACGATCCCTCCCCACATTCTGGAATTATTAGAGGTGTTGCCATGATTATTCCACCAATAGTGCATGTGGAACTCACGGCTATCCCAGTCACTCCAGTACGCGAGCATTCCCCCTTCAGCCACTCGTGATCTTCTATACCGAGCGACACCTGGAAAATACCTCATGCACCGCTCATATTTCTCGAGTATCCAGAATTGCGATGTGCTTTACCACCGACTTGAAGATTAATAAACCATGACACGAATCTACTGGCTTAGCCTTTTGCTTTGCTTTTGTTCTCTTCTTCCGCTGTCCTCGGCTGACAGCTGCTGGCGCGATACCTCCTGCTCGGGACCCGCGGACACTGCTTTCAGCGGACCGTGGGAGAAGAACATATTTGCACCAGGCTCTCGAACAGTACGTCCAGTGTCGACACTATCGGAACTGAGAAACAATGCAAACACCGAATCTTCTCATCCGTGGAAAGTAGCCCTAAGTGGCAATGGTTCTTTGATCGTGTTTGACTTTGGCATTGAGGTTGGTGGAATCGTCCATCTGAACTATACCTCTACCGGCAAGGCAGCACTGGGGCTGGCTTTCTCAGAAGCCAAAAACTGGATCGGGGAGTGGTCAGACTCTTCGAGCGCTCTGTACCACGATGGTGCTTTATACGCAAATATCTCTTCTTCCGGGACTGGCAGCTATACCATGCCAGACAAATATCTGCGCGGTGGATTCCGCTATCTGACCGTCTTTCTCATTACGGATGGTCCAGTCGTTGTCCAGATTGAGGATTTGAGCTTGGAGATTGGCTTCAAGCCAACTTGGTCCAACCTGCGAGCATACCAGGGATACTTCCACTGCAGTGATGAGCTTCTGAATCGCATATGGTACAGTGGTGCCTATACTCTGCAGACAAACGAGGTGCCAGTCAATACGGGCCGAGTCACGAAAGGCATTACTTCTGGGTGGGTCAATAATGGAACACTCGGACCGGGAGACACCATCATCGTGGATGGCGCCAAGCGAGATCGTGCGGTATGGCCTGGAGACATGGGAATTGCCGTCCCTTCGGCATTTGTTAGTCTGGGAGATTTGGAAAGCGTGAAGAATGCTCTGCAAATCATGTACACGACACAGGTGAGATTGCCCTTTGATGGAACTGTAATTGAAGCTAATATCTCTTCCAATGCAGGACAAATCTACAGGCGCATTTGATGAATCTGGACCTCCACTGAGTCAGAAGGACTCGGATACGTACCATATGTGGTCAATGATTGGGACCTACAACTATGTGCTCTATACAAACGACACCGAGTTCTTGTTGAAGAACTGGGATGGCTATATGCATGCAATGGACTACATTTATGGCAAGGTGACTCTGCCAACTGGTCTTCTCAACGTCACTGGTACACGAGACTGGGCCAGATGGCAGCAAGGCTACAACAACTCTGAGGCCCAAATGATGTATGTTCTCCATTTCTGGTCACGGGGGAATTGAACTGACACAGTCTAGTCTTTACCATACACTACAGACAGGATCAACTCTTGCTTCATGGGTTGGAGACTCGACCAATCTATCAAGCACATGGACAGCACAAGCAGCCGATCTCAAGAGAGCAATCAACACCTACTGCTGGGACGAATCGTATGGCGCGTTCAAAGATAACGCGACCGAAACTACCCTACACCCACAGGATGCCAACAGCATGGCAATAATGTTTGGCGTTGTCGATGAAGATCGTGCAGCCAGTATCTCCGAGAAGCTCCTTGAGAACTGGACACCAATCGGGGCGGTGGCTCCCGAGCTACCAGAGAACATTGCTTCGTTCATATCCTCCTTCGAAATCCAGAGTCATTTCCTAGCCCGTCAGCCATTACGCGCCCTGGATCTCATCCGCCGCAGCTGGGGCTGGTACATCAACAACCCCAATGGCACAGAGAGCACTGTGATAGAGGGCTATCTCCAGAACGGCACTTTTGGGTACCGGATGAACCGCGGCTATGGATATGACCCTTCATATGTTTCCCATGCCCATGGATGGTCAGCGGGTCCGACTTCCGCCTTGACTGAGTATATTGTTGGGTTGTCTGTGATTTCGCCTCTGGGGTTGGAGTGGAAGATTGCTCCACAGTTTGGGGACTTGAAATTTGCCCAAGCAGGGTTTGTGACCTCCCTCGGGAAGTTCCAAGCATCCTGGGAGCGTAAGTCCAGTGGGTATACTCTAGAATTCACGGTGCCGAAGGGTTCTGTGGGGAATGTTACGTTACCCTATATCACCAAGTCAAAGAAGCCTTCGATCACTATCGACGGTGATCAATTGACGAGAGGGGTGACTTATGTGGACGACGCTGCGACTGTTCGAGTGACAGGTGGCTCTCACAGAGTAGTTGTCAAATAAGGAGATGCTTCTAGCAGAAAGAAAGAAGACTCGGGCAGAACTCCGAAGATGCTAAAATGGCGTCAACGGATAAATTCAAAAATCATATTGATAAGCAACCCCACATCGAAGTACTTGTAGCTATAAACCCCGGGGAAACTTCAACTTCAACTTCAACTACAATTTCGCAATTACTTCACAATGTCTGCTGCAAAGAACATCCTCCTCTTCGGTGCCACTGGAACCATTGGCACCTTCATTCTCGATGCCCTTCTACCCGTGCGCTCTCAATTCGGCCGCATCGCCATCTTTACTTCCCCGCACACTGCCAAAACCAAGACTGCACAGCTAGACAAGCTAAAAAAGCAAGGAGTCGAGGTAATCATTGGCAATGTTGAAGACGAAGAAGCAGTCAAGAGCGCATATGCAGGTACGCACCTCTAATCTATACACACTCTTGGCGACGCAACGGATAGCTAAAATTTACAAGGCATTGACACTGTGATTTCTGCATTGGGCCGCAACACTCTGGCACAACAGATTCTATTGATTCGCTTAGCAGCTGCTAGCAAAGACGTGAAATGGTTCCTACCGTCGGAGTACGGTACAGATATCAAGTACGGGCCAGCATCGGCGAATGAAAAACCTCATCAGCAGAAGCTGAAGGTGCGCGCGTATCTCGAGAATGAAATCTCACGCGATGATCTTGACTTCTCGTATGTTGTCACTGGACCTTTCGCTGAAATGTACCTCAATCTGGTGCCCGGAATTGAGGAGGCAGGTGGGTGGGACGTCAAAGCACGAAAGGCAGTGTTGCTGGGTGACAAAGGGGCAGAAATTAGCTTGACGACCATGAAAGAGTGAGATTTGGCTAATACTTTTATGAATGGACAATTTGCTAACTATACCAGCGTTGGAACTCTGGTTCTGAACACCCTACTCCATGCCACGGGCGAGACACGCAATTCTGCATTGTGTGTCAACTCGTTCACTACTACTCCGGACAAGATCCAGGCAGAGTTTGAGCGCCAGCTGGGTGGTCAGGAGTGGGATGTATCACGGACGTCTTTGGCGAGGCTGCGGGAGTTGGAGACCGAGGCTTGGGAGACTGGGAAGCCGGCTGCTACGGGGGTGACATTGCGACGGATTTGGACCGAGGGAGGGACGCTGTATGCTAAGCGGTCCAACGGCGCCATTGGGGAACCAAAGGTGATGGGGTTGGAAGAAGTGGTTGCGAATGAGATCGCGAGAGTGTCTAAGCTGTAAAGGGCTCCATTCTTTGATAAATTGTTCGAGACCTTGGGCGGAAAAAGTCCCATGGAGAGAGGTTTTCTAGGGCGGAACAAATTGAGATGAACTGGTAAAGAAAGATATCGCCATAAGCCACCGAGGCAGTTATACTTCAGCGATCTTACCTTCTATATCCTTCAAACGTCTTTGAGGCTGTATTTCAAACTGTCTTTCCAAGACTATCCGTATATCATGATCAACTACGCGGAGCAATTCAACTGAGAGCAACGTCTAAAAAGCGTATGGTATTCATACGTAGGACATAAGGATTAACGAAACATGTCGGGGTTCAGGTAACTTCAGATTTCACATGACTTAGGGGAATGTTGGGAAGGTAATAAGAAACGGGGTTGGGCTTTGCTGGATATAAGGCAAGAAGTCCAAACAAATTTGCAAAGTTTATTGGAAGAACTTGCGTACACGCTCCTGGTTGTTCGGGTCGACAGAAGCCAAGATCTGGTCAGCGTTTGCACCGGTCGCGGCTACGAGCTGCTTGGCAGCTGCGGCCACCCGCACAGCAGTCTGGCCTTGCAGGGTAGCAGCCTCAAGTGCCTGCACGATGAAGCCGAAAACTCGGTCAGCCTTGGCGAAGATAGCAGGGTTTTGTCTGTTGATAGTCAAGTTAGCATGCTGGCATGGAAAGGGTCAAAAGGCAGTAGGGTTTCACGTACTGTTCAATCAACTGTGCAATGAATGAGTAGGCGTATGGAGCAGCCTCTTCGTCGTATGTAATTGGCAAGGTCTCGACCCAGGTGGCGACAACCTCCTGAGGGGCCTGGACCTTGGAAGCATTGTAGTGCAGGATCTTGGCAATACTGGCGGACGCGTTCTCGGTCGCAAAGACATTCTCCTCGGTGCGAGACTGTGCGTGCTGTGTAATTTGGAACAGACTGGGAAGGCTAGCTGCCACAAAGTCACTCCATGGGAGTCCACCCTTTTGTGCGGCCACACCGACACCATAGGCGGCAGCCTGGCGGTTAGCGGCATTCTCGTCCTGCAGACCAGATGCCAGAGGTTGCATGATGTGGTCCTTGTAGGTCCAAGATTCATCACCACAGAACTCAAGCACGTCATCCATAATGCAGAGAGCCCATTGCCTTTGCGTGGGGTCCTGGCTGGTGATGAAGGCATCGTAGAATGGAACCAGTTGCTGCCAGGTTGGCAGGAAGGTGTTTCCTTGGTTCTTGAAAATGGTGTGGAAGGCCTTGTTCATATCGCTCAGCAAGTTCTGGTCATCTTCAATGGCGTACTCAAAGTCCAGGTTCTCCTCGTCACCATCGTCAAGTTCAGCCTGCTCCTCCAAACGCTGCTTCACGCGCATCTGGTAGTCCTCGAGGGTTGACTTGGCAGACTCAATGAAGGCCTGCAAGTGCTGGGGGGTGAGCGAGTTTCTACCAACGACCTCAACTGACTCGTAGAAGCACTGGTACATCTCAGCCAAAGTGTCAACGGTGGGCTCAGCACTCAAAACTTCGATGATCTTCTCAGCAACCTTGGTCCACATCTCAAGGAAACCTGGTGATGTTTGGCCGTGGGCCTTCTTGTAAGAGTTCAGAAGCTGGGGAATCAGCTTAGCAGCAGAGACGCGGACGGGGTCGTGGAAGAAGAATGCAAGACCGGGGACAGCAATCTTCTCCATGGTCTCCATGACATAAGGCTCGAAGTTCTCCTCCAAGATCTGGGCGTAGATGGTGATGAGTTCAATGGCGGTGTTCTTGTCCTCAAGAGCACTTGTCTTGATACCGATGATCTTGCCCTTGAGAGGGACAAGCTCCCAGCCCTCGTCCTGCTCAACCTGTTCAATCTGGTCCTCGTCATCCAGCAATTGGATGTCGGCCTTGGCGGCAGCCACAGTCAGAAGAGGAGGCATTACACCAGGCAAGTACGGGACGAAATCGCGGCCCAAGACACGGCACATGCGGCCCCAACAGTGGAGGAGGTACTGTGACTGAGGATCATCGGCATCGACGATGTTTTGCTGGATGGTGCCAAGGATTTGAACAAGGTTCAGGGCATCTTGTCCCATCTTCTCCTTTCCGACGGCGAGAGCGATCAAGGTAGCACACTCCATAGCCTTGGCGCGCAGAAGGCGGTATTCCTTACCTTGCTCCTCCTTGAGGACATTGAGCAGGAGAGGCATCAGTGTAGTGTAGTACTGATCGAAAGCTGCCTCGGCGGAGTCGGCGATGGTGGCGATGGTAGACAGAGCCTGCTCCTGAAGATAACGCTTGGGGCTGCGGAGGAGCTCGAGGAGGTGGCTCAAGAGGTTTCCAAGGTATGGTTCCAGGGTACTGCGCTCGGCCTCCTCGCAGAAGTTGACCAAAGCAGCAGCGGCGTGAGACTGAACGCGGGGCTCCGAAGAAGCGAGGACAGGGATAATGTTGGTAAGCACAATCTCGTGGTACTTTTCCTGCATAGTGCCGGCGAAGTCGGTGCTCATCTGGCCGAGAGCGTTGCAGCCTGCGTAGCGAACTCGAGGGTGGGTATCTTGAAGAGCGGGAACAACAAGAGCCAGGACTTGATCCAGTTCGCCGACCATGAGGTCGCGACATCCCTCCGAGATGGCGGAAATGGCCATCAGAGCGGCGTGGCGATCACGCCAGTTAGTCGACGACATCATGCGGGGAATCCAGGAGAAAGCAGGCTGAAGGATAGCTTGTCCGCCAAGTTTGTTGGCGAGACGATCCATGCATTGCTCACCGGCAATGTGGTTGAGATCGCTCTCTTCGGGTTCAAGCTACTGCTAGTTAGCGATATGCTCATTCCTAGATCGGACAAGAGCCCAAACGCAACAAGAACACAAATTCTTACATCTTCGGACGCGTTCCACTCTTCAGCGTCGTCATCATCAGCACCAACATCGGTCATCAGGCTCAGGCACTGAGTGACCATTTCTTGAGCAAATTCGGGCTCCTTCTTGCACATGTTCGGAGCGTAGTCGGCAAAAGTAGCCATAAGCTCGAGGGCGTTTTGGCGCACTTGGTCGGTCAACTCCTTGTCGGCGATAACACTGATGCTGAATTTCACAAGGTTGTTGAACATGACCTTGAACATCTTCGGGCTGATTTCCGCCAATTCAATCAATGCAAGAAGCGCTGACGAGAGCTCCTCGCTCTCGGAGGCTTCCTTGAGGGGTGGGAGAATGTTGAGAAGATCGGGCATGAGGCCGAAGAACTTGGGCTGGGACTTTTTGGAGATCGATCGGAACAAAGATGCGAAAGCCTCCATGGCGGAGATACGGACCTGACCTTCTAGTTAGCAATGGGCTTGAAGTAGAACCAGAGATGGACACAGCCAGTTTGCAACATACGGAGATGTTATCGTCTTTGAATCCCTTTGTGAAGACTTCCAGAACAGCCTCTTCATGCTGTCTTTCGATGATACCCGGGGTCGTCGTGAAAACGCGGTATGCGGTCTCCCGCAAACCCGAGTCGGGGCTCTGGCTTGCTTGGAACAGTACGCCGAGGAGTTCGGGCCATTGTTCACCTATGAGTAGCACGCGTGGTCAGCACCGACAATTCACATTTCGAAGTCAAGCCCGCATACCGTTGTCGGTGTATTGTCTAGCAACCTCGGCCAATGCGTCACCAATCTTCCGGCGCACATCGTTGACGGTCTCGCTGCTCAAACAAGCCACAAGCTTCTCGCGGATGGCCACTCGTTGCTCGTTGGGCAAGCTGGAGAACACCTCCTTGGCGTCACCTGAAGCAGGGTCCTTGCGGGTCTTTGTGGCGATTCTTCGGAAAAGTACAGCGGCGAATGCTCGGGTCTAATCGAAAAAAAGGTTCATATTAGCATATGTTCTTGGGTGACAAGTGGCTGCGTCGTCGCCAGACCACTTCAACCAAAAACACCCCTGGGGTCGGGATTGACTTACTATTGTGTCTGTTGCACCTCCGAGCTGTTCTGCCAACCCCATCAAGAGGACATCTGGCCGGTTTTGAACCCAATCATTGTTAAGCTGATCTTCGGCCTGGGATCTGACGGCATTGTCGGGAGTACTCAGAGCACGGAGCAGCTGAGAAAGCGCGGTGTGCACCTCTGGGGGAAGGAGGGACATGGTGTGTTTCCCAGGTTCCAAACCAAGCAACCCAGTTCTTGCAACCCTGAATGTAGTTTGGTGGGGGGTGGAAAGAAGGGAGGAGTTTTGTTTTTGGTGGGGCGGGGAGAAGGGAAAAAAGAAGAATTTCTGATTAGGAGAGCGATACGATAGCCCTTCCAAGCAAAAGAGCAGAGAGTTAAAAATGCTTGGAGAATGTGCCGGTCTTTACACCACCAGAAACTCCCGAGGTCTCTAGTTTTTTTTTTAAAAAAAAAAAACCAAAATTGGACCCTTCACTTCTGACCTCTCTCAACACATTGCTGAATGGAATGCCCACATCGTTATCCCCTACATCACCGCTTCAAAGTAACGGGAAACTCACGTCTTGTTGTTTGGCAGTCTATTTTCAGTCTTTTTTTTAATATTTTTCTATGTATGGATTTCCATCATAGTATGATTTATAACATCAATTCGTTATATTTGAATCTGGTGAACCAAATTGGCTCCATCAACTGTCGTCAGTGACGTTTCCTGGTGCATTCCGGATGTAGTCTGGCCCAAGTATATTTCAGGAAACCAAGCCATTATCACTTTCATCTACATGCCCCAATTCCCAGAGCATGATATATGCACAAAGACCTCGGGACCTCATAATCCATGGACTTACGGAAATATGGATCAATAGGTATGCTAATGTTCTCGATATCGAAGATCAAAGGACTGTGAAGTTATGAGTCATCTAACATTTCTGACTAGTTAATACCTAAAGCTCTAGGTACAACCATCCAAGATTGGCTTAACCTTGGACAGAATATCCATAGCATAATTATTATAAGACCTGCAATGCTGCAAAGTAGTAAATCTTCGTGCTGGTGTAGGCTTTGATGTCCAATTTTGGGAAAAGCCTGAAGGCCTTGGAAGAGTTAGCATAGCGAGGATTAGCCGTTGCACGGGTCTTGTGACCACAGGAGGAGCATATACAACGGAGAAGCTTTGTTAATTGTAAAACGAGTTATCAGGACTCCCGAGGTCGATCCTGAAACAACCTTGGAATGATGTGCAAAATCGTCGTTTTACCACTTAACCTTGGAAACCATGGAGGGATCCCGTATCCATTGATGTCAAGGCGTCTAGGATGGCTCCCCCAGATCCAACTTATCTGAAAATAGAACAAGATCTCGGGGGTTTTCGGGCATTCAGGTTGTTGGAAACGATGGTGTTTGTACATGGGATAACCTTAGCTGTGGACACTCGGGATCACTGATGAGATTTTGACACAGTGTGGATGTTATTTTAGTAATTGGCTTTGTATTGATTTGTCCACGGAACCTCGGAAATGTATCATGAAGAAAAGTATTTGCATTGAAGGCTGAACTAGCGCCACAACTGCTCATCGAACAAACAGAGGTATATCTGGACGTGACAAGAGATATCGATATTAGAGAAACGGGTATGCAACACTCCGTATAACCAAAGAATTGACCACGCTTTCTTGGCCCTGAAAAAAAAAAGTTGCAACCAGACGAAGTATTTAAAGAGAAAGGAAAGGGTAGTGGACAGAAAAAGAGACGAGATTTTAACGGCCACTAGGACGGCTGAGGATGAACACACCCGCAATAACCGCAGCCAGGGTCACAATGGCACCGGGAAGGAGCAAGTCATTGGGGACACCAGCGATCAACTGCTCATCGGGTGATTGGGAGGGGACAGATTGTTGCTGGGGCCGTGTCTTTTCCGGGGAGGGTGATACTTCCGAGGGCTGCTCCTCGAAGACACTCTGCTCCTCAACAGGAGTCATGATCTTAACCGGCTGAGGCTCAAGAGTGGCAGGAATAGGGGGTTGGGAAGGATCGTGGACAAAGAGATCGACCTTGTCCCGATGAGTATGACGTGCCAGATCAATGGCATCAGTCATATCTTGATCAGTGGTGATAGAGACGGTGTCACCCTCGTTGTCCATGTAGCTGAGAGCATATCCAGTGTTGCTCAGTGTGCCATCCTGGACTGTAGCCTCTCCTCCCACGGCCTCGACTTCTTTTCCAAGCTTTGCGGTGACTTGCGACACAAGGTCGGTGACACCGTTGGCGGTGAGTACGTTCACACGGTGCACACGGCCACCCGGGGCCTTGAACTTGAATGGGAAAGGAGTGGGAGCCGCAGGCTCTGCGTGATGCTGGGATGCAACTTCGGAGTGTTCATCGCCGTGATGGGATGCCGAGTCGTTGGGGAGAAGACTGTTATCATAGCCCGAGCGAGTCATGTCGGGGCTCATGACAGAGCGGTGTGGGGTATGCGGCTGCTGGCTCTGACTACCTGAGACCATAGAATCGGATTCGTGGTCCATTGATAGCCAGAACTTGTTCCATGCGGGACCCTCGTCATCCTGCGTCGACATCGTGTTGATCTAGATGAAAGTGAGTGACCACGCTTGCAAGAAAGACCCTGGATCAACCATACCTGTTCAAGAGTGGCATAGGTGAGTTTCAACACATCGACCATACCGACGATCTCACCACCCTCGTTCATCACGGGAAGATTGAGATAGTGACCATCTGTTGGATATTTAGCACGTGAAAGCAACATGAGGACTGGACTACTGACCGTGCATCTTACGAAGAGCGGCTTGGATGCTCATATCCGAAGGAGCAAAGTCGGGGTGAGGAGTCATAACACGAACAACACTGCAGGTGGCAGGGTCGAGTCCAGGTGCGATGACACGAAGCACGATGTCTTTGCTGGTGAAGATACCTGTGATGGAGCCTTGGTCTTGGACGAGCAAGGCAGTGGTGTGGTTTTCCTTCATGAGAGCCGCAGCATCCTTCACGGTGGTACGGACAGAGACAGTGACAGGAGGCATGCCGTCCAAAACGCTCTCCAGAGTCGGACCAGACATCTTAGATCGCAAGGCCTCAACGTATTGAATCACCTGCTGGGGTTGACTGGAACCGAGCTCTGTCTGCACACCTTCCAGCGCATCGTACAGCTTGCGGGAAGAGCTGTACGCACGCTCTAACTTCTCCATAGCATCATAGAAGCACTTGGTAATATCCAATACACCGGAAATGTCCTGGTTCTCGTCCATCACCGGCAAGTGTCGGAATCCCTTCCGCACCATCAGGTCGAGCGCGTCGGTAGCGCTGGTGTCGGTTCTTGCGCACAGAGGGTTCTTGGTCATGATTTCGGCGACAGAAACCTCACGCGCCTTCAGTCCCATTCCGATAACACGGAAAGCCAGATCCTTGGCGGTGAAGATTCCAGCAATGCGCTCATTGTCGTCGGTGACCAGCACGCAGTCCTCTCTCTTGGCAGCCATAAGCTGGGCGGCTTCGGCGATGCTCAGGGCGGGCTTGATCTGGAGCGCCTGACTGGGCTTCAGGGCGAGAACGGTGCCGGGAGGGGCTTTACGAGAGTTTCGTGATTTGGCCGGAGCGTTCCTCTTTTTGTTGAGGTCGGCCTCCATCTTGCGGCGGATAGCCTGGTGTTGTGGTTAGCTGAAGCCCCAGATAAACAGACCGCAAGAAAGTTTGCGGTCATGACGTACCTCATCACGCTTCGACTGGTTCTGTCGCTGTCTGCTGCTGGCGGCGCTCATGGTGCCACTTCCAACGTCGCTAGAGGGTGTGTGGGTTGTAGCTGAAGATTCTGGTCGGGGCCGGGGGATATGGGAGGCACTAGGATCATTACCGAAGTCGGGCAGCCTCCCTCGACCGATCGTCTTATTGGGCGTTCCCCGAAAAGTCCCTGTAGCCGACATAGTGATGCCCAAAGGGGAAGGTCTCAATACAAATTAGAGAGAATGGAGGGAGCAAGACACAAACAAGACAAGGATCGCAAGTTTGTGAGACTGGTATGGGAGAAAAAGCAAGGGGAATGCTTTTAGGAGAGGGAAAAAAAGGGCAGTCAATAGTCGATCCCGACAGGGGTGTTAGTCGGGGATGAGGAGCCATAAACACTGGCCATTCTACGGTTCAGCACCGGGGACGCTAGTCATATTTGGGACTAGTGCACATGGTCATCTTTTCTTATGTCACACCGTCACCTGACTGAAAAGTCACCTGAGCAATTAATTGATGCCTTATGGCCTTGATCCTCTCGCTTAGAGGCTTAGGGCTACCCGCACAATTCCAATCCATCCCGAAAGAGAGTCTTTGTGTGAGCGAGCTTCGACAACCCACTCCCGACAAGTCAACCGTACGCTACCTACCCCCCCTTTCACCTAGTGATCATTACCTGACCACCAACAGAACAAACCGTCAAAATGGTCAAGAAGAGGGCGAACAAGTAAGACCAACCCCCCAACATCGGCGAAGCAGTATCCCATTCGACATCTCCGCAATGACGACCAAAAGTGCGCACACGGCATACATCTCGAATTCGAACAGAACGACGACAACACATTGCCGGACGAAGGAGAATGGGAGCCTGGATTCAACCGATTTGCGAACTCAGGGGAACGGTAACTAATTGATTTTCTAGCGGTCGCAACAAGAACGGCCGCGGCCACGTCAAGCCCGTGCGCTGCTCCAACTGCGCTCGCTGCGTTCCCAAGGACAAGGCCATCAAGCGTTTCACCATCCGCAACATGGTTGAGTCCGCTGCCATCCGTACGTGAACCCGCCAACCCGAAACTCGACATATTCCCCAGATTTATCTCTTGAGGGCACATTCGAGATTCTCTGCAACGAACAAATCAAACTAACCGCGCTTGCTTGCAGGTGATATCTCCGATGCCTCCGTCTTCGCCGAGTACTCCGTCCCCAAGATGTACCTCAAGCTCCAGTACTGTGTGTCTTGCGCCATTCACGGAAAGATCGTCCGGTACGTTACCGATTTACAACACAAGTCGCTCTGCCCAACCAATATACTAATTTCCTACAGTGTTCGCTCCCGTGACGGCCGCCGCAACCGTGCTCCCCCTCCTCGCATTCGCTACAACAAGGACGGCAAGAAGCTCCAGCCCCCTTCTGCCGCCAAGGCTTTGTAAGGAGTTGAATGTCGCACGACGAACAAAATAAAATGGAACTAGTTTGAAATGAATTCTTTTATTTTGTCTTCACTCTTCGCATTGGTGTTCTTGTCGACCGGATCGCAGGGGTGATGCTCGGTTCCGAAATACCGGCCCGCTCCTACATTGAGGATGAAAAAGACGGCACCACTTGTCCGATGAAGGCAATGGGCGTCCCTTTGGCATTGTGATGTTTATGAGCCCGTGGAAGACGGCTTGTTATGACTGGGAGGAAGGATGGTTCAAGTCCCTAGTGTAGGACTTAGAAAATATCAAAAATTCCTACAAAACATATTTGGATGACGTAGATTTTCCACACGATTTGTGGGGAATATCTACAGTGCCCAATCTTGTCATGGGTACAAATAGCCCTTCTCAAAATAGTTCCCATACATGTCGACCGTACCAGTCCGCCCCTTGGGCATTGGATTGCGTACTACCTTGACCTCTCCCTTCCAATGGCCCTCGATGAAAGTGGCCAAGGAGACATGGCGCGATGTCGTCAGAAGGCTAGAAACACCCGAGCTAGTTGTGCTGCGCCGTTTCCTTTCGAGTTGAACCACTTGCTCATATTCGGCCTTCTTTCTACGACGAAATGCCGCAAGCTCCGCAACAAGATCCAAAGTGTGGATCTGGGCCTGATTTGGCGTTGGACTAGTGGCAGAAGATACTGTGCTTGGTGAACGATGACGTCCAAGGTGGAGAGAATCTGGCGATAGGGTCGAATCATCGTCTGGCATGAGCGAGACCTTCTCATTCAGAACGGCCATCGGGAAGTACTTGCCAGGGTCGTTTTCAGGAACTCCGCACTCTTCTTCCCCAAAGAAACTGAAGTCACCAGTAGCTGCAGACCAAAGATTCTCCGAATCTCGATCACCTGTGCTTGAATGACCAGTCGCGTTGTACTGATTTCCCGGTTTCCACGACGTCAGCTTGGATGTGTCAACAGGTGTTATCTCAAGGACCACACGCCGCAATCCGAATATTGACCGCGACCTTTGCTGCTCCGCTTGCATTCGTGCCTGGCCTGGTGGGAGTGTGTAGTCCGATCCGGCTTGTAGGCTTGCTAGCAAAGCTTCATTGGAGCAAGCCGTGATGAACCTTATGAGGGCCGATATTATCGACGAATTAGGTGCCACATGCGAGGGCACATCTGACAATACCAAGGTCTCCATACTAGCGATATGTGACGGATGCAGATAAGGAAACCAGCTTTCTTTGCCACCTTGGAGTGGTATGGATTGGTTTCGTGGTCGCTTTGCGAGTAGTTGTTGTATGATTTCTGCACGAGGGTCGTCCATCGATACTGGGGAGTTGCATTGTAGTGTTGTCTCAAGAGATGAGCCTGTAGCGAATGTGTTGCAGTCTGATGCTGACGAGAAAGACATAAAAGTGTCAGTCCTAGAGACACCTGTCATACTCTCATCACCATCGGCGCTATTTGGCACAACTTCCGGAGCAAAGGCTGACCCACGCCTGACACCCGGCAGGGGCTCGTCTGGGGACACCAGCTGGGGTTTCTGATGTGCTATCCTTGTTGACACTGAGTCCATTGAGTCAGACCTTGATGTGTCTGCAAGTTCAAACACGGGCCGTGTATCCTCAGGTAGCTCATGGACCTCTCGGGAAGCATCCAACTCAAAACGTTCCTCCTCACGGGGACTTTGCTGCCCAGAAAGCTCTGGGAGAAACTCAGCGGTGTTTGTGACCTCTCTGGTCGGCGGGTCACCCGTTAGAAGTGCGTGGTGGGCTCGAAGGTACGTCAAGTTATTGCCTGCAACCCCTCCCAAGACTGGCACTAGCTTCTCGGCCCCAGGGTACTTCTTTCCTCCAAGATGAGGGGCCTGAAATGCCTTGTTTGGGGTATTGATGGTCCCAAAATCCAATGCATTTAATTGGGAAGAGACTAAGAGACTTGCCACAGCTTCAACTGAAATCTCATTGCCGGTGATATACAGATGGGAAATTCCGGTATTTGGTAGATCTTCAACCCATGGGTGATATAACACCGGTTGGGCGAGTAACTTCACAAATTGTTCATCCAGATCTGGTCGCTTGAAGAAATATGAGCTGGACTCATGGATTGCATAGTGCGAAAGTGGGGTTGGCGAACCCGTGGGCTGCAATTGGCTTTGTTCCGATTGCCTTCGTCCCGGAGGTAGAAACGAGGCTTGCAGCAATGAGCGAACCGCCATATCAGTAAGCATATTGTCTCTCACATCCAAACAACGAACACGGCGTCCGATGACATTCGCTAGAAACTCAGCGTCATTGTCCTTGAGCCCGATGCCGCGTAATTTCAAAACTCGAAGGAATGGCATGCTACCCAGTGCGGCCAACACATTTCGGTCTCGCGCGGGGGTCGTATATGAAAGATCCAGATAGGTCAGCGCTGGAAACAAGAGGAGTGTCTGTGCAAGACTGGAGGATGTTGTATTTGGCTCCCGTTCGGCCAACAAGAGGCGTATGTTGTATTGGTCTGATCTCTGGCAGTCTTTCAATGCTGTCATTGCATTGTGATCGAAAAAGGGCAATTTCGAAACCATCAGACACTGTAGGCATGGCAGATATTCGAGGATATCTCTGAGCCAGCCCGGGCGCGGACCACCATAGATCTCCGAGAGAGCGGGTGGGAGATGGAGTGTATGCGTTAATGCTCGCACTTCTTCCCGGGCATATTTGAGAGTTCTGCGAAATCGCGTGAGAGCAACTGAGTAGGTTGGTAATTTGATCCATCAACATCAACTGTGACGTAGTTGGGGGCGCTCACCATAAACTGCATCATTATCTGTGCCGAAATGAGATGCAGGGTCGCCCCACAGAAATGGCATAAACAAGCCATGCCATCGATGACAGACCAAAGACGCAGCGCATAGGTCGCTAGAAGGGATGTAGCGTGCAATGATTGACCAAGCATCTCTGTCCGTGGCGGACTCATAAGACGGAGGAATAAGGTCCATGACCCGCGCCGAACCACAATGTAGAAGTTCCCAGGAAAACTCTTTGCGCGGTCGCTTTTCTTCAAGTAAGGATACCAACCAAGTTATAAGTCAAGATCTGGCCCCATCAGTTGACCGACTCCGCCACGTAATAGATGTTGCCCTGGCCGTGGCCCCGGGGGCTTAGGCTTGGCATCTACGGAGTACATACTTCGAACATGGAACGAACGCCGTTGGTTTGGTGTTCAAGTCAGTGATGCATTTAATTCTGCCAAACAAACTGTACCTTTTCTAATCCAAATAATGTAATCCCACGTATCCCGGTGTTTCAAAAAGACCAGAGGCTCAAATCAAAGGGAAGTGCAGTTATTCGCGACTGACAACAAGAAGCTCGGACCAGTGACCACATGGCACACAATAGGCATCATTGCCAAAACAGTCGGTTAGTTGATGCCCAAATGTTCAGTACATGGTTCTAGTCATGTAATTGTACGGCAGGAGAAACCATATCAAGATAGCTGTTAATTCCTTATTTTGACTCGTTTCGTACATCTAGGCTGTGGTATCTCTCATTAACTAGTAGATGCCCGTTGCCCCGTTTCCACCCAAGGCCGGGAATCCGATTTGTTTCGACAAAGCATGTTGAAAAGCTGGATCGCGTGGGACTCCGTTTCTGATACATATACCCTGCTCAACCAATTCCATCTTGCGCAGCCTGGCTTGAAGAACGGCGCAAGTATCAGCCCACGCACAGATGTTACCAGCAAGACCCTCAAACAAAGTATAAGGCTCATCGGGCATGCGATAGTCCTTATCAGAAGCCACAGGGGAGGTGTTGTATGGCTTCGTCTCCCGCGCATGTAGCATGAATGCAAGCGCCCTTGACAAGAAAAAGTCACCAGTGAGCTTTTGGCTGATTGCCGAGTCTGATAGGGTCGCGATCTGAGTGCGCCGAAGATACGCTCCACGGGCATCGTTGATCTGATCTCCATGGTATTCAAAGGTGTCATGAAGAAGAAGCCATGCCCATGCGTTGCCAGAGACACCATGGCACAAGCTACCACCCTTGGATAGTAAGCCCTCTTCCCAAATGCGCTCGCTCCCTAAGTAGATTGCTTGATCCCAGGATGGGTCCCAATGGGCGCAAGTCAAATTTTCATGCTTCAAGGCCGCAGCAAGCAAAATGAGCAGTCCTGGCACCCCATGACATAGTTGAACTAGCTCGGACCGCTGTCCAAAACTGAAGGCAGGGGTTGTCATCGGGAGATGACCACTGGTGCTAACTGAGAGTTGGCAGAGTGAGGTGATAGTGCCACCAATTGCGGGAATGTATTCTGCAAGCTCTTCGGGCTCACACGAAAGTAAGATCGCGAGAATGCCGGCTGTTTATATTTTTGTCAACATTGTAAGCTCGATGGATCAACTGGCATACTCACAGGCTCCATGAACCCTAATCACCCAGGTTAGTGACCTTGACTCAAAGGATGGCAAGATTGACTCACGCTCCAAAGCAGTAATGATCCTCCATCCACGCATACATCAATGGTTGTGCTCCTTGATCCCCGTTCTTTTCAATGTATGCCACGGACCCTTGTTTACCGGCATCAACAATGACCCTAATGAGCTCGGGAATTTTTTGCAGTACAGGTGACAGGGCACTTTGGTCCTCTTGATCAAAGTTATGAGCTCTGATATTCAAGAGTGCCCAAAGGAGTCCCGCACGCCCGAAAAGTATCTCATCACCACCCATTTTGCGGCCATCATGTGTAACGAGAGGCTCGTTGTTTATTGCCAATTGCACGGCCTTGGAAAGACAAGTCATATCATTGTCAGTAAGACCGACATGGGAGTTGTCTTCCCAGCCGTTCTTGGCCAAATTAGCCAGAATGCGCATACTGATCGCGGTTATTGGACAAAGGGAACCAAGAGGCGACAATCGAGATGCTAATAGTTCGGCATCAGGAGGGCTCGACGGAATTCGCTGCAGGGCGAAGTGACGATAATCCGGAGAAGCCACTAGAGGGTCTTCAAGTACCGAAGATTGATAGTCTAGGCGTAGGAAAGCCAGGGCGATACCTTCAACAAGTCAGACACTGCTCGTTCTTGGAAATTACAATGACTGGGCTGGAGATACCGGGGAAAGCCCTAAATAGGCCATTCGGGCCCCATGTTTCTGGGAGGGGTGTATTTTCCTGAACCAATCTGGCACCGTTCCGCACCGCAGCACGAAGACTCTGAAGGCTTTCGGAAAGTGTCACTGGATTAATAGATGGCAATGCCAATGTGTTCTCAAAGTATTGAGGACGCTCTGACATGTCGCAGGTATGTAACTTTCAAGTGATATGAGGTGAAAATTTGCAGATATGGCGTGCTATCTTGAGGAAGACAGCTTCATGCAGGTAGACTTCTGAATGTCACACATTGGGCGGGGAGTTCTCGTTCCGTACGGCTGAGCTGGCTGAGCTGCACCAGGCATAATCCCCCCACCAGGAGTACTAGCGCCAGATCGAATTACAGATCGTTACATACGGAGTATAAAATGTCGGTGTAGTATTGACTCCACCTGGAATTGAGGCAGCGCCAAGTTATGAGTGTTAATGATTTGTCCAAAAGAATACATGCAGACTGCAGTGGATTTGGTACCTGATGATCGTCGGTTTGGCAATGTATTCACACCTCAAAAACCAGGCACCAAAGCATATAATGCCTGAGGCCAAAACATCACGTGCAGTGTAGTCCCGTTGCGTGGCCTTCGACCGGACTCGAGAATACACACGCGGTCCTCGAAGTGCGATTGAGGGCGTCCCTTCTAGAAGCAGTCCAGAATGTCAGTGAACAGACCCCCTGCTTGAGTCCTTTGAGTTCCTCGAACTACCGTGAACTTTGTAGTCCTTTCTTTGGATGTATTTCTTCCGCCCCCTGAGATTTGGTGGCGAAAAAGAGACGAGTATATGCATCCAACTAACATGGCAAACAGTCGTGTGATTAGCGTTCAAGGATCAAATCATGTCTGAAGTACATGGAGACTCAGAGCTCGTTCCGCCGGGCCCTGATATTGATTATCCGCTCGCCTTGACTCCAAGACAAGTCATATTGCGAGACCGGGTCACCGTCGCAACCTTGGTCCCCTTCGCCTCGGCGGAAGATGTACCCCGAGCTTTGATGAAGTATCTCTCTGATCAATTCAACAAAGAAATTGAAAAGGGAGACACATATGCCATGTCCGAACCCATTCCTTTGGCACAGTTTGGAAGGTATTGGTTCTCCAATTTCGGCGTTGTCATGCTCCTGGGAGACATCGAGAGCGCAGAGCAAACCCATAGTATGGATCGTGCGGGCGCAAACTGGACCAAAGCCTGTCTAGGTGGCTTTCACATTCGACCCAACTACCCCGGCCGAAGCAGTCATGTCTGCAACGGCACCTTCATTGTCACTGATGCCGCACGAAACAAAGGTGTAGGTAGACTGATGGGAGAAGCGTATCTGGAGTGGGCCCCCCGACTTGTGAGTGTTAAGCTGCATAAAAATCAAAGTGCGCTGCATTGACAGATCTCAGGGCTATACTTATGCGGTCTTTAACTTGGTCTATGAATCCAATGTTGCCTCATGTCGTCTATGGGACTCTCTCGGGTTCAAAAGAATTGGTCGAGTGCCCGGCGGTGGTCAAATCAAATCACAACCGGGAGAATTCGTCGACGCCATAATTTACGGCAGAGGCCTCAGTTTGGATGGCGAAGATTCTGTGTCCCAAGATCGTTTCGAGAAGATCCGTTATTATCTGAAGCATGCCAAATACCCACGCGGGGCTGATCGTGCCGAGAAGAGCCGGTTACGCAGTGCTGCAACTCATTATAAATTACTTGGCGGCGAGGATGGTGGCGGCGGGCCTGAAAGATTGATGCTCAAAGACAAGGAAGTGGTATCCGACCCACAGCAGCAATATGATATCGCCCAAGAAGTCCATCTCAAACAGCATGCTGGAATCAACAAAACCACCGCAGCTATCGCAATAAAGTATCACTGGGTACGTATCAAGGAGACAGTCAATCGCGTCATACGGGACTGCCCACAATGTAAGGAAACCCTCAAAGCACCCCCGATTCCAGGGATCAAAGAGGATGATCGTTCGCCCTCGGAATCAATGTCTGCTATGGAAATGGAAAGCAGTATGGAACCACCGCAGAAAGAAGAGCCCGTCCATGTCCCACAGGCGATGGACGAAGCACCGGACGAGTCACCCAATTTCAACCCCCTTCTGCACCAACCCGCTTCAACCGCTGTTCCTGGAACTATGCACCCTATGCCCGGGTTCCCACCCATGCCCCTCGACCCCCAGATGATGCAATTACAGCAGCAACTGCGACGCTACCAACAACAAAACCCCATGGGTCACTTTGCCTCGGGGACACCACACGTCGACATGTCAAACTTCGACGATGCAATGCGCTATCATACAGCAAACAATGCTTATCAATTGATGGTTGGAGAAACTCCTGACCTATTCCCCCCAGACATGCTTGGAATGGTGAATCCCCAAGCACACGATTTGCAACATGATTCGGAATTGTTGAACAAATTCGAATACGGAAGCCCATCAGATGGGAATTATGACTTTACGTGAACCAATTTCACATTTTTTTAAGGGGATGTCTACTTTTTCTTTCTCGGCTACTTTGTATTTACTATTAAATTTCGGGCTTCTCCCATGTTCTATTGGCGTCAGGGATAGGATAGTCTCGGATGCCGTTGCTACTCTCCCCCTGTCTTGTGGGCAGTGAGACTACTACATTTTTCTCATATTTTTCTATACATCCAAACGGTTTACAGTCAATATCAGCTAGAGTGTTGTGCAAGTAGAGTATAGACGTAGGGTTGAGGAGCCCTGATTGGTCACCGCCTTGCGCGACTGGGGGGTTTTGGGAACAGGAGCTTTGGGAAATTTTGGCAGATCAGCCCCTCCGACCTTCCAACTCAACATACCCCTTTTCCTATTTCTTTTGATTCTATTTTCTGTATTGAACGTTTCTTTCCTCGATCTTAATCATGGCCTTCAACGGCCAAACCCCCACGATTGTCGTGTTGAAGGAGGGTATGTGTTGTGTCCAGTGCGGGCAGTTCTGTTGGTGGGATTCCGCAAACCATGCTAATTACTGTTACCCCGACGTATAGGCACCGATGCTTCTCAGGGAAAGGGTCAGATCATCTCCAACATCAACGCTTGTGTCGCAGTGCAATCTACAGTCAAGAGCACGCTCGGTCCTTACGGTGGTGATCTCCTGCTCGTGGATGCCAATGGCAGACAGACCATTACGAACGATGGAGCCACAGTCATGAAGGTGGGTTAGGCCGTGTCTTCAATAAGGATTGCATTGCCGGAGAATGCTGACTTTGGTGTGCGATACGATAGCTTTTGGATATTGTGCACCCCGCCGCCCGCATTCTCACTGATATCGCCCGTTCCCAAGATGCCGAAGTCGGTGACGGAACCACCTCCGTGGTTGTTCTGGCTGGTGAGATTCTGAAGGAAGTGCGTGAACTCGTTGAGCAGGGTGTCAGCTCTCAGACTATTATGAAGGGTCTGCGGAGGGCAGGCGCCATGGCGGTCAACAAGGTGAAGGAGATTGCGGTCGACATGCTGGACCCTGCGGATACCCAGGAGAAGAAGGTCGAGACACTAAGGCGGTTAGCCGCAACAGCTATGAACAGCAAGCTTATCAAGCGGAATTCGGACTTTTTCACAAAGAGTGAGAACCTCCCAGTGACTGTGATTACAAATTGGTACCGGAGGCTGACAAGAGGAAATTAGTGGTCGTGGACGCCGTGCTTTCACTGGACCAGGATGACCTTAACGAGAAGTTGATCGGTGTTAAGAAGATTACTGGTGGTGGACTTCAGGACTCCCTTTTCGTCGACGGTGTCGCCTTCAAGAAGACATTCTCCTACGCCGGTTTCGAGCAACAGCCCAAACATTTCCTGGACCCCAAGATTGTGTGCTTGAACGTTGAGCTGGAGCTTAAGAGCGAGAAGGATAATGCTGAAGTCCGTGTCGAGCAGGTCTCTGAGTACCAGGCCATCGTCGATGCCGAGTGGCAGATCATTTACAACAAGCTCGAGGCTATCCACAACACAGGAGCCAAGGTTGTTCTCAGCAAGCTGCCCATTGGTGATCTTGCTACACAGTGCGTGCTCTATGATATTTTCCTGCAGGATGCACGTTCAATGCTGACAATTCAACTCATAGGTACTTCGCTGACCGCGATATCTTCTGCGCTGGTCGTGTTGCCTCGGACGACATGGACCGCGTTTGCCAGGCTACCGGAGCCGCGACCCAATCGACCTGCACTGACATCCAGGACCGCCACCTGGGTACCTGTGGCGCATTCGAGGAGCGCCAGATCGGTGGAGAGCGTTTCAACCTCTTCTCCGATTGCCCCCGCGCCAAGACCTGTACTCTGGTCCTGCGTGGTGGTGCCGAGCAGTTCATTGCTGAGGTTGAGCGCAGTTTGCACGATGCCATCATGATCGTCAAGCGTGCTCTGCGCAACACCACCATTGTTGCCGGTGGTGGTGCCACTGAGATGGAGCTGTCCAGCTACATGCACGGATTTGCTGACCGCAACGTTCCCCACAAGCAGCAGGCTGTTGTCAAGGCCTTTGCCAAGGCATTGGAGGTTATCCCCCGCCAGTTGTGCGATAACGCCGGTTTCGACGCCACTGATATCCTGAACCGCCTGCGCGTGGAGCACCGCAAGGGCAACACCTGGGCTGGTGTGGACTTCGACAACGAGGGTGTTCGTGACAACATGGTCGCCTTCGTCTGGGAGCCTAGTCTGGTGAAGGTCAACGCCATCCAGGCCGCAGTGGAGGCTGCATGCTTGATCTTGAGCGTGGATGAGACGATAAGTAAGTGACCAATTCCATTCTACTGCTACAACGTTACTAATGCCATCTCCAGAGAACGAGGAGTCAGCTCAGCCTGGCCAGCAGCGCGGTATGCCTCCTGGCGCCGCTCAGCGTGCCCTCCGGGGCCGTGGCCGTGGTATGCCCCGACGAGGATAAACGAGTTGAACCATGACTTGGATGCTCGATGATTATTCCCCCCAAAAAGAAGGATACCTAAATTAGGAAGGTTACTCCTAGTCTGGTGTCCATGAGATGAATATTGAAGTAAAGGGAGAATAGAAGACCAAGTTTGTAGATATAATCGGGCTTGTCTTCGTACATAGTTCTCATGAAATTATTACTTCCATCCAGATCATACGAAGTATTCTAACCCAACAAGTGCATACGGAGTACTGCGTACTTTGGTTCATTTGTGCTCGCTTGTGAGTTATCAGATGCACCGAACTATCCCGAGGGATCTCGGACTTACGCTATTTGTGCTATTTGGAATCTATTCTTTCTCGATCTCCCGATGCGACTAGCATCCACCGGTTCCCACTAAAGCAGTTCCATTGTAAATTTCCCAAGCAGATTGACGTATATTGTGACGCAGCCCAATGGGCGTGGGGTTTGGGCTCTCTCCCTCCAGTCGCTTTAGTCGCTCTAGTCTGACAGGGATCTGTCGGGGGTGCCGAACGCATGTCAGATATAAAGAAAGTCTCCACGCCCTTGATGTCTCCTATTCTCTCAATCTCTAACAAGCTCTAAATCGGAAAAGACACGCGTAAGTCGCAATTTTTATCTTTTCGATCTTGACGTGAGTCGGGGAATTTTGCAGTCACATTGCAAGGCTTGGCGGTTGCCGTAATCCCGATGTGTTTTGCTGTTTTGCTTTAGATCTCTTTTCCTTTCTCCACATTCGCTCTTCATCTTGAGAACTCATCTCCTTTGTTAGACTCCACCTAGGAGCTTTAGTGATGTCTTATTATCCGCCTTACTCGGGCGCGCCGGGTTATCCCCCGCAGCAGCCATCTTATCCCCCGCAACAGTACCCGTATGCTTATTGATCTGGTTCCGTGAGAACATGCTGACTCTAATCTTGTCGCAGACCGATGAATCACCAACAGCAGCCATCGTATGGCGGATACCCAGGCCAATCCTACCACCACCAGCCCCATCAGCAGCCGCCGCCGCAGTCCAACCCGTACGGATACAGCCAGTCGTCTCAGCCACACCAGTCCTACGGCGCCCCGCAGCAAGGTTACAATGTATGTAACGAACCGATAATAGGGGGTTATGGACAGAGATAATGTGTCAATCGTTGCGCAGGCTCCCCCTTCCGGCTACAATCAGCACTCCTCTGGACCTCCGATGCAGCAAGGAAGACCAGGTTCGTTCGCCTCCAAGGCCACAATTAGCCCCGAGGATGGTACAGGCTAACGCAAAGAGATAGCTTACGGTCAAGGTGGCGGTCCGGCTCCCCCCTCCCAGCAACCCCGTCGCCTTCGGTCATGGCGCACCACAGGGCTACAGCTTCCAATACTCACGCTGCACGGGCAAGAGAAAGGCGCTCATGATTGGTATCAACTACTTCGGCCAGAAGGGTCAGCTGCGCGGGTGTATCAACGACGTTAAGAATATGTCGACTTATCTGAATCAAAACTTCGGCTATGCTCGCGAGGATATGGTTCTTTTGACCGATGATCAGCAAAACCCCATGAGCCAGCCGACAAAGGTCAATATCCTCCGGGCCATGCACTGGCTCGTCAAGGATGCCCAGCCAAACGATTCTTTGTTCTTCCATTACTCCGGTATGCGCCCATGCCCTTAACCCCCACGACGAGCTAATGAGAAATGTAGGCCACGGTGGTCAGACACCTGATCTGGACGGTGATGAGGATGACGGATACGACGAAGTGATTTATCCCGTAGACTTCCGGGCTGCAGGACACATTGTGGACGATGAGATGCACCGAATCATGGTGCAGTCCCTGCGACCTGGAGTCCGCTTGACTGCAATCTTCGATTCCTGCCACTCTGGCTCAGCTCTCGATCTCCCCTACATCTACTCCACCTCTGGTGTGCTCAAGGAGCCCAACCTGGCCAAGGAAGCCGGCCAAGGCTTGCTCGGTGTGGTATCGGCATACGCGCGCGGCGATATGGGCAGCATGATGTCCACTGCCATGGGATTCATCAAAAAGGGCTACTAAGGGAGACGAAGTGTACGAGCGTAACTTGAAGACGAAGACCAGCCCTGCAGATGTCATCATGTGGTCCGGCAGCAAAGATGATCAGACCAGTCAAGACGCTCAGATTGCCGGCCAGGCCACGGGTGCCATGTCGTGGGCCTTCATTGCTGCTTTGCGGAAGAACCCCCAGCAGAGTTATGTTCAGCTGTTGAACAGCATCCGCGATGAGCTTTCCACCAAATATACCCAGAAGCCACAGCTGAGCTGCAGCCACCCTCTAGGTAAGCATTTGAACCTAGGACCATAACAAGTGTTGATCTAATTTACTACAGATACCGACATTCTTTACGTGATGTAATGGACTTGGCAATAAGGACCAAGAATGAGTCTTTCATTGAAGCATGTTTTGTGTGTTGTGCATTATTCTGTATCTACTTCCACCCTTGGTGTCCTGTGCATTTTTGGTTTGTGAGTTTGGTGCACTAAGTGATTTATTTTCAAACTGTGATCTATTGTGATCTTTGAAGCTACAGTCTGCACAGTGACGGGAACATTCCCTCTTTCTGACATCATCGTAGACGGTCCAATCGTTGTTGCTGTATAACGGTAAGATTAGTGGTGTATTTTCGGTCGTACTTTCTCGAGACTTGATGTCTTTATGGAGTTTGCTGCTGATGTATACTGACAAGACATATGTTCTAAACCAAAAGGGGAGCAACCCTCTTTGGCAAGGCTCATTGGCGGGAAGGCTGGCCGAATGAGATGGGCATGGCGCTATGCGGCTTTCATATCCTCTCAATGGCATCATTTTTGCCGCCGGAGAAGCAGCTGGTTCGAGATGTGTTCGCTTTTCCGCAACTCAAAAAGCTCGAGTCTTTCTTCAATGAGATTAAACGGCTTTACACATCTGCGAGCACCCTGCAACACGTCCGGAGGCCTGCTGGCTACTTGATCATTGCTTCTTCAACACTCGAGTATTTCGAACGGATAACAAATCCGCCCTCATCTCGCCACCACAAGAACAATGCAGTCCATCCTCCAGCACCGCAGGATTCGCAGAAAGCTGGAGCAACAGATTGTCACAAAACACGGAGTCCCCGAAGATGTCTGGACCCAGGAAGGTCGCTATTACTATCGCGATGGAGAGATTCACACGCACCCTCGTGAACCAGATGACAACGTACCTGCTATACGGAGAAGAGAACATGGCCATCGCACGATCATCTCTGGTCCAACCGTCAATCGTCATTCTGCAAGAACACACTTGGAACGAGATGGTGATGTTGAGCGAGCAGACATCGACCCGGAACTTCAGACCGATCCTCACACAATCAATACTCAAGAGACACTGGGAAACACCACCGACATGATGGTGACTGGCGTTGAAAGAGCTCAGCCGGGCTCTGGGGTAGCAACTGGCGTCCGTGACGGAGTTGCTCTAGGAGCCGACGGGAGCGAAATCGATAGTGTGTCCGATATGGAGTCGATTAAAAAGAACAAAATCATCATTGTGACTTTTGAAGGGGACCTTGACTTGATGGATCCGCACAATTGGTCCTTCATGCGCCGACTGGGAACCACTCTTCTTACTTCGTTCATTGCCAGCGTGATGTTTTGGTCTTCGACCATTGATGCTACTGCTCACAGCAGAACAGTTAAACTGTTTCATACAAGCTTTGAGGTCCAGACTTTGCCCACTAGTACGTGATTTGCCCTTTGGTGCCTTGCAAAGCTAATCAAATTGGCTCATCAGCTTTCTATCTGGTTGGACTCGGTGTGGGTGCCCTGGTAACAGCACCCTTCTCCGAACTTTTTGGGCGCACTCCTGTATACATTCCAACCACTGTGGGATTCATGCTGTTTAACATGGCTGCTGCACTGTCTCATAATGTGGTACAACGGATCATTTGCCGTGGAATCGCGGGCTTCTTTGGATCTGCACCGGCTGTCATCGCAGGGGCATCTCTTGTTGATGTCTGGTCACGCGTCGAGCGAGTTTATGCCTTTCCCATTTTTGCTATCATGGGATTCTCAGGTGCACTGGTCGGTCCGATTCCTGGATCTTTCGTCGTCAATAGCCGAGACTTTTCCTGGCGATGGGTGGACTGGATCACAATTATATACGCAGGTGTTATTCTGATTTTGATTATCTTTCTGTTGCCAGAGACATACAGTCCCATCCTGCTATACTGGAAAGCAAAAGAACTACGCCGTCTGACAGGCGACGAAAGATACCGATCTCCATTGGAGTTCAACAAAGTTCCGTTTGCGAAGCGTCTACGAATCTCACTCTACCGGCCGATCCTCCTTTTCATAACAGAGCCTATCATCTCGATTCATGCCGTCTACCTTTCAATCCTTTTCATCGTTCTTTACACTTTCATCGCGGGTTACGTCTCGATCTTTGAAAAAGCAAACGGGTTCAAACCAACCGAGGCCGCAATCGCCTTCTTGGGTATTGAAGTCGGTGTTCTCTTGTCAGCACTGACAGTACCGCTCGCCATGTGGCTTCTCCGCCGCGACATTCGCCGCAGTCGTGCACAGGGCCAGAGCCGCCCAGACCCAGAAATCAGTCTTTACATGGGTATGTTTGGCGCTCCGTTCATCCCTGTATCACTATTCTGGATGGGGTGGACGTCTCGTCTGTCCATCTCATATTGGAGTCCGCTGATTGCATCGGTCTTTTTTGGATTTGGAACGCTATGTGTGTTTGTGTCCGCATTTCAGTACGTTGCAGATGCGTTCGAGCTTAATGTTGCTAGTGCTCTCTCGACACTCCAGATGATGCGGCTTGTTACTGCTGGCGTTATGGCGATTGTCTCAGAGGTGATGTACAAGAAATTGGGTACTGGTTGGACTTTGACATTGTTAGGCTGTCTTTCGTTTTTGTTTCTACCAGTGCCTTACGTACTATATTGGAAAGGGGAAAAGGTGCGTTCCTGGAGTAAATATGCTCGGGGGAATTGATCATCAGATTTACTGTTACCTGTGGTCTTGTTGCGTTTTAGTCGGCTGGCGTGTTCCCATGGTCTTATGTGTGAAGATTGGTACAGTGAGATCGAAGATTTTCATAAGCATTGAAGGTTGCTGTCTTTTTTGCTGTCTTTTTTGCTGTCTTTGTTGCTGTCTTTTTTGCTGTCTTTTTTGCTGTCTTCTTCGATGTTTTTTAAAATATCATACCATACAAGATAGGTAGCCAATATCAGTAGAGATCTAGATGGAGGGTAACTAACATACTTACTGTCGATTTCATTGGATTCAATTCCTGAGGTTTTTGTCAGGCACTTTTGAAAAACAGGTCTGAGGTCGAAGTAGCTAGGCCAAATACTTTCGAAACATTACCGTATGCCTGGTCAATTTTTATTTTATTTGAAGAGAAACACACGAGCTGGATGATGAAATACATACTTCTGCATAATTAATAGATAGGCGGTCTGCCATACCTAGCTCATGTGTCTCCGATGGGTAGCCTTGACCATTTGATATTGGGTCACGTGTGCGTTTGTATATCAGAAAATCGCGCCTCCAGATCTCCCACGCGTCGGACTATCAGGGATTGGATTTTTGCACTGGGGAAGACCTACCTTCCCCCTAGACCTATCAATGTGATTCTCCTGTGTCGGAATGTCTATCATTCTTGAAGACCACCAGCCTCCTGGGCTCACTCGTCTCGGCCCTACTTGGTATCATGAGATCCCGTTCTTGCCACATGGATGGGAGACCACCAATGACCACGGATCTGGCTCACTCAAACATGCCGCATTGAAATCCCTCGTGCGGGATCAGTCAGCATTGAGGCCTGAGTTATTTGAGCATGTCCCTTGGTACTTGGCAAAATACATCTGGGACGCCCTTGGGAGATGGTAAGTCAGCACCGTATTTGGGTTCTTTTCCAGTCTGATAGAGTTCAGCAACAAGCAAACCATGCACATGTGGAAGATCATGACCACCATGTATCCCACACAGTTTCATGAGCTCAGTCGCCATTATTGCCTCAGCGCTGGATGCCCGAAAAAGCCCCTTGAGGACTACATGAACATTCTCAAAAGTGATGGCTTTCGCTGGCGAGCCATCTTAACCATCGCAACTGCCTTTTGCTCAGCTGCAGACCTGACGGCCATTTCTAAAATCAGAAATCTGGTGGCATTGGACGTTTACAGTCAACCTTACTCCTCGAGACCCACCCTTGACCCCATGGGTGTTAATCACGACGGTCTTCCCCTACAAGATGGATTTGTACGTGGGTGGATCGAATCTAATGAACTACAACACCTTCGAGTCCTCAGACTCTATAACCAACATGAGGTGACCACTTCAGCCCTAAGGTCGCTACGCAATTTACCGGAGCTCCAGCTCGTTTTAGCATACGAATGTGACAGGATCACTAGATACATCAAGAAGTCAGGTAAGCCTGCGAATGGGATCGAGGTTGACGTTGAAGGCTGGTCCGCTTGCAGACTCGATTGGCTCTGGCACAGTGAGAAGAAGACCAAGAGCCTCAACCATATCATGCCTCTGCTTCACGCCTACGAATCCAATATCCAGCCAGCGACAAACGGACAGACTAGGCCATCGTCGCTAAGTACCGATCTACCTATCTTGGAGTTCAAGCTCCCAACCATTGATCACAGCAAAAAGGAGATGCTGGCTATTCGCTCAAATTACAGCTCCATGTCGATTGTTATGTTCACGCGAGACCCTGTGAGACAGAGGATGGACGGAGAGAGGAAACAGAAGCGTGAAAGGGAGCGCAAAGCCTCGGATGCGCCTGAAGGGAGCAACCGGCCTTTCAAGCGGGCTGTCATGAAGGACAGAGGAGTCGATATCTCAAAGACGCTAAATGACTTTTTCTAAGACATTTTGAAACACTGTGCTCCAATTCGATGTCGCTCGACCCTTACAGCTCATTCTTATACATCAAAATTAAATATTCGAGCCGAGGATCACCGATATTTCCACCTAAAGAAAGTTCTCTGGTGCTCCTGTGACCATCACGCCCCATAAAGTGGGTTCCAACGTCATTTCCGGCTCCGGCACATGAATAGCCCTCTTCGCGAATTTCCAAATTCTCCACAGAGGAAAATCACTGCACCTCCCATGTACCTGCTTTGCGGCTGCGACGGGCCGAGTACGCCGGGCGTCTTGAGACAATTTCACCTGCCTAATCGGGACATAGATAGCGATGACTAACGAGCGAATGATGTCAGCGAAATTCAAAGAGACCAGCTCTGATTGGCTCGACTTTCAACCCCGCTTATTTGATCAACATCACCTGATGACCTCAGTAGATCGAGCAACAATCTGCATTCCACTTAAATCAAATAGGAAATCTGTTTGAATAAATTCGCCCGAATTGGTGCAGCTTAGTTATTTATGGCAGACCGCCTGCACTCCCGTGAAGGGTCTGACACATCTCTCAACGAAGCAAACATCGCCTCACCGCGATCCAGTACCGAATCCCGCTCTCCCTCCGCACGAAACACACTCCGCATTTCGCAAATGACTACCCCGACCCACCAGCACAGGCAAAGCCTGAGCGAGACACTTCGCGGTCCGCCAGGCTCACCGCGTTCTCGCCGACAGCCTTCTCTTCCCCAGTCCGCCATCCAGAGCCTCATCGATAACCCCCCGCCACCCAAGCCCACCGACCCTGCTTTCATTGGTCGTGACTGGAGAGATATATCAATTGGCGAGCTGGTCAACTCCGAGGAATTGAAATTTGTGGAGCTTGATACTGGGATCGAAGAGGCAACCAATGTAGGTATACCAAGGGATGTTTCCTCGGCATTGACTCTGACGGACTGACACGGACACACTAGATCCTGATTGATTCGGAGGCACCAGTACTACTTATTCGGGAGTCCGTGGATACTACCTCTGTGGTTGCTACATTCGATTATGCCGACTTGAACTCCTACCTCCTGCTCGCGGCGGGTCTCACGTCGCCCGACGAGGAACACCAAGCGTCCTATGAGGAACTGGCAAACAAAGCCCAAAATGGAATACCGATTCCGCTGCGAGATGTCAAGAAGTTTGGCATGGAAAAAGAGCCGCTCATAAACTTGCCAGCCTCAGCCAATCTCATGACTGCTGTTGAGACTTTCGGTGGAGGGGTTCACCGCGTGGTGGTGGTTGATGAGACCAATAATGACAAGGTGGTTGGAATATTCAGTCAGTTCCGGCTGGTCAAGTTCCTCTGGGAATATGGTCGAAGCTTTCCTCTCATTGAAGAGCTCCATCCACAGGCAATCAGTGATCTGCGACTTGGATCTACTGCTGTGATATCTATCAAGTGAGTGTCCGATCCGGGAAGCGAACGCAATCTGGGAATTGAGCCTAACCCAATTTCTTTTTTAACAGTGGTGACAAGCCTTTATCAGAAGCTTTACACTTGATGAACAACGAGGGTATATCATCGATCGTTGTCGTTGATGGCTACATGAATGTGCTTGGCAACATATCTACCGCCGATGTCAAGGTACGATAGACGGATCTTACCTAGGCGTCTGATGCATGTCTCTGACAATTTCACAGCTCCTTACTCGATCTTCCTCACTCCCTCTTTTACAAAACACCTGCACTCACTTCATCTCCGTCATTCTGTCTACTCGCGGCTTGATGGAGGGCAAAGACTCATTCCCTGTCTTCCACGTCAACCCGGGATCGACCTTGGCACATACAGTTGCAAAAATCGTGGCCACTCGATCACATCGGTATGCATTTCTAGAACATGAGGAAAGCTGACCAGGTATGCTAACTGGCATCTCCAGACTTTGGGTGACTGATCCAGTATCTCCAGCCTCGTCTGGACCACCAACCCCATCACACTCTTCAGTGCACATTCCTCTATCCAGCAGCGCCGGTCAGGCACCAGCGGCAGCACACACCGCGGGCTCACCGCCACCATCTCCTCTTCCAACGCCCACTGCACAGCCTACTCATCACATATCCCCCTACCTAGCAGCCCCTGTGACACCCTACAAAGCCCCATCGACAGGCTCCATCTCATCAGGCGTGCCTGTCCCGCCAAGCCTCTCACATTCCATTCCATCAGCGGCGCTTGACGGGGCACGGTTGTCAGGCCGTCTTGTGGGAGTCATCAGCCTGACTGACATTCTGAATCTACACGCCCGCGCAACTGGGCTCAATCCCAACGACCCCGCTGAGTCCCGTAGCCGCCGCCGACGCAGTAGCTCATCGAGCCAGAACGTTCGACGTAGCGGTGATATTGGCCGGGAGCTATTCAGTCGGGGCCTGTAAAAGCATTCATGTCTGATTTGCTTCTCTTCTAACAGATATTCCGAGACATCGTTGTGTATGCGCATCAGAACTGATCTCAAACATATTCCTTCGTTGTGTTCGCATTGAGCTGGCAGCAGCCCCTTGTCAATGCCTTCATGAATCTGTCCTTGAACCGCCTTTATGGTTTAGTCATACAGAATAGCCACCTGCACACCTGTAGGCACCTGGGCAGAGGATGGACCCACCATCCGATCTCTCATTATCACGTTATTTAGCATCGGATATGTTCTTCCACGAATTGAAACCCATCCCAAATGACATATTTTCCACACTGGCGTAGTCATCATTTGTCACGAATCTCAAAACTGAGACCTCCGAGACTTCAGATAGCCGAGCTGTGCCAGATCTCTAGATTGTACACTACGAGCAATGATCGACAACGCCCGGACAAAGCCGAAGGACTCCACAAAGATCAACTTCATACAGTCTCGGAGAAAAGCCGACTCCACCCTCAATCTTCAAACGGCTCTTCACCCTCGAAAAGCAGTCGCCTTCGAAAAGAGATGATCCAAACATCGGCTTTAGACCATCGGCTTTTGGCATTGGCATTGGCATTGGTCATTTTGACACATCCCCCAAAATCCAGACCACCATGCGCAAATGCATGTCCGTTCGCGAAGAGACGATATGGTTGGATATAAGCACTCTCTGGCCTTCGCCTCCCCCACTCCTCCCTCTTCGCAATCAGCCCATCTAATTTGTGATCCGGACTTTGACGTCCAGCGGTGCACGACGCACGCACATATCCACACCATCTTTCGCACGGGCCAGACCCCCGATCACGGTATCGTGGTGCTGGAATTTTGTGATCTGCTCGTATCCGCAATCTAGGCTTTGACATGACTCGAGTTTGCCAATGTCACTGAACTAACTTGGAAGTCTTGTGTGGGGGGGATTGTTGAGTATTACTAAGTGCAGTCCCATGACGAGATTTTCCTTCTTACTGGCTCGTCATATTTTCTATGGGGTTGGATGCCGGCATTACCTGAAGAGGTAAATTGTAGCGTTTGCAATTGAATTGAACTTGGTCAGCTGTACGGAGTAGCCGAGATGTTGGGGAGAGATACAGATCAGATCTTGTGCAGGTATTCTTGTGCTACAGATATTGTATATATCTGGATCTAGACCTTGAGATTCGACAGATTTAGGGGAATACATTGGTTGTTACGAGGTATATGGGTTGCATTTGCAGTATGGAGAATAATGCAGTCGAATGCACAATCCCGTGCAGTAGGCTGACCTGGAAATCGCAGCAAAATCTGGGTCGCAAGCCACCGGCTCCACCAGGGGGCGATCAGGAAAAGCACGGGACACTTCCGGCTCAAACGCGACCGGCTGATTGGATGTGACGGGCATTTTTCTCATGTCACTTTCTCAGGCCAGGTTCAAAAGGGACTTTTTTCGCTTCAAAACTTAACCTAACTTTTTGTAACAATGATACAAGGTTCGTCTGTATTTTTCTGTAGTGAATGGTAATGAACCTTGACTTGTCTATCCACGGTCTTTGCTTCTATTTTTTCCCTCGTCTTGGTGGTTGAGGTTAACGTTGCATTCGAACGCAACCCCCCTAGTCCGGAGATCTTCAATGATCGACGCTGCAGCCCCCACTGCGCGAATATCGGCGTCTCACTTGCAGCTAAATTTCAATTCTGACTCTGCACTCCATCGGGCCGAGCCAGCTATAGCTAGCATGGACTTGGCACCTCTCCAGCCCAATCATGCAGTCGTCTAGGTTCCATTTTCGATACCCAGGGTTTTCGATCTCTGGGTTTAAATCGCTTGCTTGCTTGTTAGGTGCTCCGTACTTGCTGCAAGGTTGCGTGGGGATCCTGCATACTACGCAATAAGCGCACAAATCGCACAAATCGCACTCAATAGGTTTTGACTACCGATTACCACCGATATTTGCACTTGTACGCATACCAGCCCTAGAGGGCAAGACCAAAAGAGATAACAATAAAGATACTAAAAGCACGTGAATGCCATTTAGTTCCAAAGAAATTGGTTATTCAACCCAAGATCAGACTATTCCTCTGTACGGAGTACGGGAAGGATAGCAGAAATACCCCACCTCTTGGCAGTGATTATCTGCAACTGGCCGTTGCACCAAACGTGCACAGATGACATTTTATCTCCTCCACTGGGTTGGACTGCTCTAGCCTCCAATCGAGTTCTGGGAAAGATCAGGCCACGCACAGACTCAGTTGAACGCAGGTACCGAGACGCCGCCCAACAAAAACCCAGGCACGACCAATCACCTCACACAAAAACAGCTGCCTATCACCTGCCACGCCTTTAAAGGGCTTGCAATGCCAGGCCTCGCCAGTGGACGACACAAGCCACAATCTACACACACCTCAGACTAAATAGGAAAGTGTCGGAAGAAAACTTGAATATAGGTCCAATCAAGCCCCCACAATGATGCACGGGGTCTGTCTTCGCAATCGGCCCACTGTGAGAGAAAACAGCGTCAGCCTAGTCCCAGTGGAACCGATCCTTCGGACTCGCAATCCAACCCTTGGATCCTGACGATGATAGACTCTAGACTTTCATGGGTCTGTGCGGACGCTAGCTGAGATCGAACCAATCAGTGACTAGAACACACTACCGAGCTGCAACCTTAACCCCGCAAATCCGGGAACTATCCAGCTGGCCCGATTCGTGTTTTTTTCCATGGGATATTTTTTCCAGGTTACTTTTCGGGGTTTGAGGGGGGACCTCGTAATCCCCGTGGTGTGTAATTTGATCTTCGGGGAGGGGAGAAAAAGTTGGCAGAAGGGTTGGAGAGGGACTTTTTCGTGTGACGCACGTACCGATCTGATATACCTGTGCGAAGTACAGGGGTAGTTGGGATATGTTACACAAATGTCACACAATTTATCCTGCGAAACCAGATCCCGGAGATTGGCTGTCATGCCTGCACGATCGCCGTTGATCCGGGTTGTCGGGAACGCCTCATCGGTCACAGGGGACGGGAAGAGTAATCCTTCCCCCCCCTCTCCATATTACTTTCCTGCCCCAAGACAAATGCGATAAGATCTACATAACGCCTTTTCGGATAGTAAGCAATTTAACCCTGATTTAATTGTAACTGAAACTTAATTAGAAGAAGCCCAACTGGGTCAAATCCCCGCTACCCCAAACGAGACCGAAAGCCTCTTGACCAGGACGAAAGCAAAAAAAAAAAGGCAAGTTTTGATGCGTGGGAGCAAAAGTACCTGTTTCCATGTAGCATACAGACATGGGTGATTAGGGCTCTGAGACCCTGGGATATGGATATGCAGTTTCTGGTTCAGCAGCGTGACAAATGTTGATCCACGGTTGGCGGATAGATTAAGTGCGATGGGCCGTATGAGTGGCCCGTTCACAAATGCCTCATATTTACGGTTAGGGCTAAGCTCGCTACACTATCAACTTCCGGCATGGCTTCATCGTATAATTGTTTCAAGGAGTCAGGGAGGGGGTTTTGCTCGATGTGGTAGTTGGAGGCTAGTCAGTAACTAGTGAATCCTAGTCAATGTTTAAATTGTCGAGTCCTCCTCTGCAGAAGAAGTGTTAAGATACTAGCGGAAGGAAAAGGAGTAATTCGTCAGGATTTTGTATTAAATGAGAGATAAATAGCATATATGTTACAGGAGCAAATATACAGGCTATCCTGGAATGGATGTACAAAAAAGATAGTCACGTAGAAGGCAAATGAACCCCAAGAAACTCCAAAGACAGCCACCAACTACCTGGGTATATCAGGTATCAAGTTCGTAATAGGGCGTGAAAGAAGAAGACAAAAATGGTAAGAAACCGTTTCAGAAGGTTCAGAAGGTTCAGCAGGAAACGCTGGTAAACTCATCCACGGCAAGGAAATCATCGAATCCGAATGGCTGATCGCGCTCATGGGGCATGTCCGAGCTTAAATTAAGCGCAAACTGGCTGAAATCGGTGTAATCAGGGTCCAGTTCCCCGGAGACAAAGTCTGACTCGAGCTTCTGAGCCGGATGCGTAGGCGACACGGGGGTGTGAGGCGTAGGGCAGAAATCAGGAGTGGAGTGAGAGTCTGCAGAGAATGCCTCGACCTTTGGAGAGATAGTGGGGGCGTGGAGATTGGTGCTCTGGGTGAGAAGGTGCAGGTTGCGGAAGGACGATTGGGGCTGGGACTGGCCGCGACTGTGACCGTGGGTTGGGGGAGTGGGGCCGGGGGGAGGAGGGACGGGCTGAGAAACCTGGTGCTGCAGAGGTAGCTCTGGGGCGGAGGCGAGTCGGTCTCTGAAGTGATGCATTTGGACGGGCTCCGGGGCCAGCTGCATCATCTGCTGCTGCCACATTTGCACGGCCTGTGCGTCTGTCGGGGTTTGGCCAGGGGTAGGGATCTGCTGCGCCATTGTCCAGTTGGGGACCTGGGTCCAGCCGGGGGGTTTGGATGTATGCAGGGATCTGGGCGGGGGGTTGCTGCGGATGCAGGGACCATGTTGGCGTAGGGGCTCTCGGAGCCGTTCATACAGGCCATGTAGGGCTGGCTGTGAGGGTCGTATGAGACCGTTGGAGAAAGAGCATATCCATCGTTGTTGCCTATCGGACTCGCCATCGACCCTGGACCTTGGGAGAAAGATGCAGAGCGAAGATTGGATAAATCCAGGCTCATCTTGCGGGAGGCGGCGGCTGAAGGAAGCGGGGTCATGTTGCTAGCTCGGCGGCTTGCAATGGAGGATCCGTTCGAGTAGCTGGCTCGTTTGGTGAAAGCCTCGAGAAGATGGCGATGGAATTGTTCCTCGATCTGCATGTTCTGGGCTTGCAGCATTTTGATTCGCTTTTCTTGATACCGTTCGTCGACTTCTTCATACATGGCCTCTTTCTCGACAATCTCCTTGGTGATGTGAAATGCTTTGCCTGTACGCTTCTTATGGAGCATAGAAGCCCTATTTGCAGATTCTAGCCGGGCATCCAAGCTGCGATCCTTGCGCCTTGAAGCGGCGATAAAGGCTCTGTGAGGACTGTTAGATAACGGGGCATCCGGGAGATACGAGTTTACGGTACCTCTCTTGGTTCTCCTCCCGCGAGCGGGGGATAGGTGCAATATCTTGATCCAAGTCCAAGGGCATATTTGGCGTATGGGAATGGAAAAGCGAGAGATGAGGGGGAAATTACATATTAAGTACTTTAAAATACTCCAATAGTAAAATACTTGAATACTATACTGTCAGACTGCAGACCAAGCTGGGGACAGTACCATGGTAACGAGCCGATCATAGTTTGGGCCCCAGGAAAACTTACGACCGTCGAGTTCCACGGTTCACTGGCCCAAGTCCTTCTGCGGCCAGTCCGCTCTAGAGCGCCACTAGCCGATATACGGGCCTTTACCATTCACATTACCTGGGGATACTATTTCCTATATGCAAGTAAGCTGCATAAAGCTATCGAGTATTGCCCAGGATCTAGACTACGATAAGGATTAATCGACATCCTCGTACTCCGTACTCTGTATAGTAGAAAGTGGGGTCACCGTTACCCTAAACTGAAGAGACCTTAGACTTGGACCTCCGCTCTTCACTTTGGCTCTTTTTTTTTTTTTTCTTTTTCGTTTTTCTTCTCCATTGACATGGGAACCCCGTCACAGTGTAATGTAGGGTAACTCCCGCACGTGATAACCGGATAGAGAAAGTGCCCTGACCCTCCCAGCAGACAGCGTTTGATTCCCTGAAATTTAAGGCTATTTAGGTTGCACAATCTCGATCGTCGATCAACGGGGATCAGCATCTCGCATTGCCTACAACGTCTATCCCATTCCCGAACTGGAGATACTGCGCGAGTGATGCCAAGGGCCGGACGAACGCCTGATCTTGAATTTTAAGCGTAAGGCGAAATCAATTTGACGCTCAGCAAATGGTACAGAAAAAGCCCCAGGTGGCCGTGAGATCTCACATAGCCGAGGCAGCGTAAATCCAAGCGCATGTAAATTCCCGATAGCCCGGGGATTTCCCAATTGGTCCAGCCTCAAATATTCTCGGACTCGTAACAGACACCTGGTTATTTGGAATCCATGGATAAAAGATGCCATGTCGAGACCTGACAGTTTGCTGTCGCCACGGGCCTAGAGCCGAATACTCGGCCGGCCGAGACTAGACCAGATTCAGTAGCTCCAGTCGCCACAGAGCAAAGTCTTTAGATATCAGACTTTTGTTTATACGCGAGACACAATCTAAATAGTTAGTCCCTATAGTTAGTCCCCATAGCTTTTGGAAGACATAGTACGGAGTATTCTATTGTAGGATCAAAGTACGTGGTGATCTCGTACTAAACTAGTGAACTAGTGGGCCGATCCCCCCACTCAAAAGCTCCCTCTATACTGTAGTTACTCCGTACACACATGCACCATATCACCCGCATCGGCATCGGCATTCAAGAAGTCGGTAGTTGACCCCAAATATGATTTGAATCTTTCATTGGGATAGTGCTCAAGTCACTTTTTTTCGGTCGGACCGGGGTATGAGGTCGGCTTCGGAACCAGCGAGATCTACGCCCTCGTATACCAAAAACGGAAGGTAGATCGACATATTTACGATGCGACTATTGCTATGCGACTATACACTGTGGGTTTTTCCGCGGACTAGCATCAACTTCCAGCACTTGGAGGGTACTCGGATGATCCTCGGGGTAAACATGAGGATACTGGCACTTGGGCAGGTCCAAGCATAATGTCTCTCTCGCTGTGGTTACTTACTTGGGTAGTAGTGGTTGACACTGGAAATTTTCCAGGACTCTCGCCGTTCGAGAGACGATCTTACATCCGAGGTCTGACTATCTAGTTCAAAGGTTCTTGGAAAGATGATCGGCACTTATACAGCAATTCCCAGATAACAAGGAGACATGGGATCTTTATAAACAGCATGAGTAGATAAAAGACGCTAAGTTCTCAGCCAGTGCAAAGCCGGGGGAAAATGAAGTCATCGCTGGATCTAAAATGTCCGAACAAAAAGGAGCAAAAAAAAAAAAGGAGCGCAAAGTCACATAATGCAGAGAACGAAGGATGGGTGTCATCGCGTCTAGGCAATGCCAAGAGCTGGCACCATGCCCTGTTCTTCGCGTGCTTCACCGCCGAGTTTGTAGGAGACCTTGAAACGGATCTTCACCGAGTTGCCCTTTCCTACGTCAATGCCATCCATGAGCATTTCTTGTTGAACGCCGTTCTGCTGCTGCGGTGCAACATCCCGGCCAGATTGGGGCCGAAGCTGCAGTGTGTAAGACTAAGAAAGATATTAGTAAAAGGAATCAATACGAATATGACGCGAGAGATCCACGATAGAAATACTTACTTTTTCCACAGCAACCTGGAAATGAAGCTCTCCGATGGGTTGAGTAGTGTTGTTGGAGAAGATAGCAACGACGTGGATCTGGCGCGGCTGGTTGGGCACGCGGCGCGCAGCAAAATCAACGCGCAATTGAGAGTTCAGAACTTGAATTTTGTTTGTCGATGGAAGGGCATTGCTGGCTGGAAGGGACGAGGCGAAATTCCACTCATCGTCCTCAGCTGGAGCGGCCCGCGGTTGCGGAGCCGGGGCCGGTCCCCCAACTAGATCAAGCAGGGAGGAAGACCCAGGAGATGGTCGGCTTTGGGGTGGTTGGAAGGGACTAGATGATGCCCTTGGGCTAGCAGAGACTAGTGACGCAAAGGGGTCGGCAGGCGGCGGTGTCGCTGTCGATTGGGCTTGGGGCGGTGCGCCCATAACGGGAGTAGGGGATTGAGAGGCGGGTCGCGAATTGCCCAAAGAAGCGAGGATATCATAATTAGGCTTGAAAGCAGCCGGTGCTTGTTGTTGAGGAGCAGGTGGTGTCGAGCTTGTTGACATGGATGGGAAGTTGGCTATTTGAGGTCAGTATCGTTCTTAGAATGAAAATCACGCTATGCCACTTACTGGAACCAAGAGAAATGCCACCACCTTGGGGAGGACCTTGCTCACCCAGTGAAAGCCCAAGCAGGTCATTCTCCAGAGAGCTGCCACCCTGAGCGGGCGTTGCCTCGTTACCATTGGAATCGGGCTGAGGCTCCGGGTCGAAATCGATCAAAGAGAGCTCGTTATTAGCATTTGTGGAAACACCGGTTGTCGTGCCGAGTGTTCCCTTGGGAATTCGAGATGCAGCATCCAAATCACCCTTCTTGACGAGCTTATACCGTTCAATTGTACGGTGTATGCTATCGTTAATCTCGAGCAACTTGTGAACAGCCTCGGGATCATCCGACTCTTCCTCGCACATCTTTTGGATTTTAGGATGAGCGCTTTGCAGTGCACCTGCAAGTTCCTATTAAACAAAGTGTTAGAAGCCGATGAAAATTTCTAGGATCAATGGGATCTTATGTCGCCATGTCACCTACCTCGAAGACATCGCCTTCGGGAACAGCTTCCCCGGGCTGCTGGTTCTGCAGCATCTCTTCCAGAATCTTTGCCTTTTGCTGCACCTTAACAACCTCCTCGGCAGCCTTTGCGCGATAGTCGGTCTTATGTCGGTTGTCAAATCCGGCCATGACCTTCATAAGTCTGTTAGCCTCCTGCAGATCGGCGGGAGTTCCCCTCCGAATCAGCTCTTGAAGCTTGGCAGATTGGGCCTCTTTCTCTTCCTCCTCCATCTCGTCGGCGGAACGAAGGTTCTAAACAATGTGAGCTTGGCACGGGTGCAGCATCGCGGGATCACATACATCGCTCGGGTTCAAGACCGCGGCGTCTTCCCTGCGGACTTCTGGGAACATATATCCTTTGTAGAGCAACAAACGGTGCATATCCCTAATGAATCCCAGGTCCTCCTTATACCGCGATGTTTGACAGATGGTTTGTCGCCACTCCTCAATCGACTCCAGGATGCGGTGTTGCACCCTAGAGGGCCGCATGGGCGGCCGCTCGGGGAACCTGCGCACCAGTTCATTCAGGAACTCCTTTGTACCAATCTGGAGATGAAAGGGGTATCCGCAGTTCTTGACAGCAATGTCGAGGAGCTAGGAATCGTATTGTCAGTCTCCCCCGCGTCTGTTATTCGAGCTCCCCACGTACCGCCAGCGCCAACAACGCAACATTTTGGTTCCGGGAGTTGATGAGGTGAACGATATCGAATGCAGATTCTCGGGGTCTTGAAGACAAGATTGTAAGTATGCGCAATGGACCGCGGATCTTCCTACTCACGCATTGCCTTTCTTCGAGTTGATCAGGTCCGTTACTTCGAGGTTCAGGGCCAGGTTGGGCTCGTAATTTTGGGGGTCGCAGGCATTTCCTACATTGATTAGTCCAAAGGTGATGTGTCACATTGTCATAACAAAACTCACGGATTGCCCGCTGCAACGGTGACAAGCCCGGCTCAGCGTAGGCCCCGAACCGGTCCCTAGCCGCCATTCGTGCTGAGGCTGCCTCCAGGATGGCGGTAGATGAGATAACAAGAGAGAAATGAGATCTTCGCCGGGGATATCAAAGGGACAATCTGCGTAACGCAATGATCTCAAAGTGCGAGATGTGTACAGTCGCGGGATGGGGGGCTGAGGGCGGAGAACCGGTTAGTTTGCACGTGTGGCGCTTGCGCTTGGCCTTGATCTTTTTTTTTTTTTTTTTAATCTTCACAATTCACCAACATATTGAATACGCCTTCTGACGGCATATCTACTTATATTCTACATCATGGTCCGCCACAAAAAAGACAACTTCTCACGAGGAGGAAAGAAGTCCAACAACCCCCGCCCCCGACCAGTGCCCCGCGGCGATGATGAAGAAGCAGGCGCGGGTGTGTCGCGACCTGCCTACAAGGCCGCTTGCTGGGACATGGGACACTGTGACCCCAAGCGCTGCTCAGGAAAGCGATTGATGAAACTGGGCCTCATGCGGGATCTACACGTTGGCCAGCGACACCCTGGTGTGATCGTCTCGTATGTCGCATCATGAGATTCTCTATGGCCATACATTCTGACTGTGGAATAGTCCAAATGCGAAGCGGATTGTTTCCCCGGCAGACAAGGAGATTATGGAGCAATACGGTGCCGCTGTAGTGGAATGCTCTTGGGTGCGAGTCAAAGAAGTGCCTTGGTCGCGGATCGGCGGAAAATGCGAAAGACTCCGTACGTGAGACACTTTGAAGAGTGGCTGGTATTCATCATAAACTAACTACATTGTTTCTTTAGTTCCATACCTTATTGCCGCTAACACAGTCAACTACGGAAAACCATGGCGTTTGAACTGCGTTGAAGCGCTCGCCGCTTGCTTTGCGATTTGTGGCCGCCTCGAATGGGCGGAAGATATTCTCAGACATTTCAGCTACGGGCCATCATTTTTGGAAATCAACAAGGAGCTCTTGGCGAGATATGCTGCATGCGCCACGGAAGAGGAAGTCAAGAAAGCCGAAGAGGACTGGCTCACTAAAATCGAGCAAGAATACGAAGACAATCGTGCCGAGGGAGGCGATGACATGTGGACGACAGGAAATACCAACCGAATGCCCGCTCGTGGGTCTGACGACGAAAGCGGAGACGAAGATGACGATGAGGAGGGTAGCGAGGAAGAAGAGGAAGAGGACAAAGATCCCTTTGCGATCTCTGATGATTCAGAGGATGAAGCTCAAATGGCTGAGATCCGACAGAAGATCTTGAACTCAAAGTCATTCCAGAACCCCGACGACGAAGAGAAGCAGCAGCCGCAGAAGATCTCTCGACCGGAGCAGGTGTACGTTGACTCGGACGCTGAGTCTGGCTCAGCGGGAAGTGAGGATGAAGCCTTCGACAACATTATCAATGCCACCACAGTCACTGATCGCACTGGGATCAAAGCAATCCAGCAGAGGCGCGCAAAAGAGACTGTCACTGCTTCATTCTCTCGGGCTGAGATTTCTGCCCCGAAGAAATGGTGATGGCCACGTCTTTGAACACCATCCATCTCTACAGGCCCATTCAGTCGTGATTGCCCTGCTCTCAAAGTTGGAGGACTGGATTTGGTACTTTCATACGTGCTACCCTGTCTATATACCATCTCCTGGTGCTGGTCTTGATGCTCGAGTCCCCACCAGTGCTGGAGTGGGACTCTGGCCTTTCTTTCGGCTGCCTGCTTGATCCAGTGCTTTCATCACCTCGTTTGGGTCGGATCAAGCGCTTCAGCCCTGGAGGGTCATACCTCTTATGCTCTGCGACTTGTCGCCCGATGTGTCATGACTTTACGACGTTGTCACGTTTCATTCTTGTTGGTAAAAAAGAGAAATTCCGCATATGGAGAGAAAGAACCAGTACAGCAATTCATCAGATCGGATTGATCAAAGCTTTGATTGTTATTGCGAACGCAGTATGTCAATTGGCTAGATACTCAAGCTTAATTGAGACACATTAAAGCTAAGTAAAGCACAAAGAATACCTCATCATCTCAAAGCTCCCCCAGCTAGTAAAAAGAACTGAAGCCACCCTGTTGCTGTCATTAAAAGCTAAATTGAAAAACACTCGAATCTGACTTCATTTCATCGTGATCATGTTTCAAACTCCTGGAAACGCACGGAACGCCGACTCAAAACCAGGTCAAATCTCCGATATCAATATTGGACGACAAGCTCGCAGCGAAAAAAAAACATATTGTCAAGCACCGTTATTGTTATGAGTCCCGGTGTGGAGATCGTCACGGCGTTGTAAAATCTTCATCGTGACCTAGTTGGTCGGTTCGGTTTTGACGACCGGCTCTCCAGACCTGGCGCCAGCACTTCCTTCCCTGCTCTGATCGGAGAGACTTTGACGATCCAGCAACTTGATCACTTCATAGTTTGACTCCTCAAGACTGAGCACCAGGTTACGGTTCTGAGTCTGGAGCTCACTGATGATCTTGTTTTGCTCGGTAATATGGTGGGCCTGGCCATTGATCTTCATGTTCTGGGTGTTGATCTTTTGGTTGAGGTCAGCGAGCTCCGCACTGAGATCGGGCTCCAGTTCGAGCCTAAATGTCATCTCGTTTTCGATTCCGTCGCAAGTCAGGCGTGCAATGTTATTGGCCAAGTCAGTCATCACCTTGCGGCTTTTGGATAGAAACCTGGCGTCGGCGTCCATGGGAAGATCGTTGATCACCTCTTCCTGATAATCCAGCTCCAGGAGCATCAGTGAAGAAGTGTTGTAGATGACTTCCTTGAGTTTGGCGACGCGCGATTCAGCGGAAGCTGCGATGCGGGTTTGATCTTCGATCGCTCCGACCTGGTTAAGCAGTTCCAACTCCACCTCGGATTTCTTGACCTTGAGCTGGCCGATAAGCATTATCTGGTCGGCGTTCTCAGAGTCGAGGTCACGGATCACTTCTCCCTGTTGCGCAATCACGGAAAGCAGTTGTTCAGCATGCTTCTCGAACCGACCACTGGAATCCGCGCAGTATTGGGCCAGACGCTTGATCAATTCTTCCTGCTGCACCAGATCGTCCCTAATTCTGGCGTTCTTGAATCGGATGTCTCTCAGGTAACTGCAAAAGTCGACCGGGGCGGAATTCTGGCCGACAGCACCTTCACGCGAAAAAAGGGTGGCTTCGATACCTCTGATTTCCTGGCTCAGAATGCTGGACATGCACTTATTCTTCTCGAGGAGGATTGAGATACGTCCGGCTTGCTGCTGAATGTCGTTGGAGATCTGCTTGGCCTGTCTTCTGACCTCCAACGGATCTATCTCGGCGATGGCATCCGGGACTGAGGGTGTATTCAACGACATGATGGCGATTGGTAACAGGTCTTCCGAACGGGGAGTCGTGGAAGGGAAGAGAGCTTATGCAGTAAATGGGGTCATCTGTCGTGTGTCGAAATACCAAGTCGATCGTCGGGGGCAGAACTTCTCTGAAGCGTCAGGGCCCCGTCTCCCAACTAGGAAATTTAATATGGACAGCAAATTGTGACAGATGATACGAGCAAGCTGGCTTCTATCGATTTCATCCTCAGTTTTACGTTACTTTTCTTTGTTTTAAACGTCACAAAGTGCACCAAGATAGAGAAGCCTACTAGGTAGAATTGTGATTTGAATCGTCTGATCCATCTTACTATACGCGGAGCTGAGTTATCATATGTGCCTCAACTCATCCCAAGCAGATGAAAGATGTAGGAGACCAGCAAAGATACTTTTTCAACCCTTGGTTCTGGTCCGACTATAGATTGAGACATAAGTGGAAAATCTTATTACATACCCGTGGGCCTAGGTATGGCTCGCATAAGCCCGATCTACTTCCAACCTTTATACGGCTTGTGCTTTGGTCTTTACATTTTGACCCTGTCTGAAACACGCAGTCCCAGGCATTATAGAGATTATCTTAGAAGACACATGTACATCGCTTTGTTTCAGAGCCAGTTACAGTGCAAAAAAAAAATGGCATTATAGAAGGTGGCCACGAACGTTGGCCCAAACACTACCGAGGAGAATGATACATCATCACGAAGAGCATAACGCAACTGTGGATCAGGAAAGGCAGCTTCAAGTCCTTTGGTCTGAGATTTCATTGCCTGCAAGAGCTGACGCCATGGTGCTGGTGACATCGAGGACAGTCGACCGCGTGGTGTTTAGGCCATGAGTGTGTCAATGAATGCGAGGAGGAGCAGATGAATGGATTCACGTTGGTATAGATGGGACGAATGAGCATATTGGCTGACCGGCGTCTTTTAGTCGAAGCAGCTCGAGGGTTGTGTCGAAATTTGGTGCATGGTGTGAATAGAATGGGTGATATCGTTGAGGGCATCTTGAGAACTGCAGGTGGTACACATTAGCTCCATGCCTTTGGTAGGTTTGAGGCCATGTGCCTACTTGTTCTTGTTTCACGTACACAAACAAGATTAGAACTCTAAGTTCTGGATTGTCGTGTTCAATTGTGATCTGTGAGAATGTTTGTTAATGGAAAAAGAACGCGAAATCGGAGATCTGGGGATGTAAGTGCCGTATGCAAGGGTGAGGTGAGGATCACTGGGGTTTAAACATTGGATCGGATATATGCAAGGTACCGAAGTAGGACAATTTAACTTCGAGGGCTGGGGAGCTTGAATAAAAGCAATTCATTTGCGATAGCTCGAGGGGTTCATCGTAGCCATTGAGTTGATGATAGCTTGGACGCTGGGCGCGCCCCAGAAAAAGTGCCAGCTTTGACAGGGAATCTCGATTGACTTTTGATGAGACTTATATCATAATAGTCTATTCTGACCAAGAGCAGTGCTATGGGCCCCTACCTCTTCAAGTTCATGAATTCACCAAATGCTCCAATGGCCCGACCAAAGGCTATACTTGATGACCCCGCCGCGGGGCATCCAAATCTACCAGGGTACCTTTGCCTACGAAGAGGCCTACGAAGAGACCTACTGTGCAAGTAGTCACTGTATGATTTTGAAGTGAAGAAAATAGAAGAATAATAGGAAGATACTCGTGGCAATAACCGGTGAAGTTCAAAGTTCACCGAAGCGGAGCGACTCTTTTTCGATCCCCGCCGTCCCGCCCGCTTCTTCAACCAGACATCACCTTGAATATCAAAATGCCTGACAAGGACTCTAGCACCCCTCGTGTCTTCCTCTACCGTCACGGTGTGTAAACCATTGTTCCATCTCTCTCATGTCTTCTTGATCTCATTCTTAACTATTCTGCAGGACAAACGGAGTGGTCCAAGAATGGACGTTACACCGGAATCACCGAGCTTGAGCTCACCCAGGACGGTGTGAACCAAGTCAATGCATCTGGCAAGATGATTGTTGGATCAGGAAGACTGATTGACCCGTCCAAGCTGGTGCACGTCTACATCAGCCCTCGTAAGCGAGCGGTGCAGACCTTCGACATTGCGTTCTCCGATGCAGATAAGCAGGCTCTCAAGGACGCAAAGAAGGTCTCCGAGACAGAGAGACTAGCTGAGTGGGGCTACGGTGAGTATGAAGGTCTGTTGACCAAGCAGATTCGTGCTTTGAGAAAGGAGCACGGTCTCGACACCGAGCGTGAATGGGATATTTGGAGAGATGGCTGTGAGGGTGGCGAGTAAGTTTTGTAATTTGATCATTTCATTAGCATCAGTGTACTAAAGGTGTGAATATAGATCCGCCCAGCAAGTCACGGATCGCATCGATGACCTCATCCGTGAAATTCGGGCTGCCCACAAGGACAACATGCACGGAGAGAACCCCTCTGACATCGTTCTTGTTGCTCATGGTCACTTGCTTCGTGCCTTTACCAAGCGTTGGTTGGGCTACCCTATGGAGTTCCCTCTTTCTCTCATGCTTGACCCTGGTGCCGTCGGTGTCCTCAGGTATGGATCTTCCTTTCTTCCAAATGACCAAATAACTGATATGATCTCTCTACAGCTACCAGCACCACAGCATTGATGAGCCTGCTATGCTGGTTGGATACGGATTCCCCATTCAGGAATGATTTATGTCACCTAGATTATGCAGATCACGGCACACAGTTAACTAGAAGGTTGAGAGAAAAAGAAAAATACATAGACTCGATAAACTGACATAACATATTCCAGTTAAGAGAATCAGAGCATCAATACCTAGGTGTCATAGTCACCACAGCGACCGGCGACGGGGGCTTTTCCTGTGACGTGCATGCACATGGAAGTATTCAGGGCAAGAATCCAAAAGAGCGGAGTTCCGTGACAATTGAACTCGGCACCTTCACGCGCTCTCCACATGACAACATACGTGAGCCGAGAGTGCAAAACCGGGTAGTCCGAACCAGTTCGCAGTCTGCAAATCAGCTGAAACTGACAGGGGAAAAGAGCCCGGTTCATTAAAGCAAAACAAGAAGCTCAATCCTATTGCCAAGCAGCCAAGCCTAACGCAGCAAGTGCTGGTCTCGCCTGACCCGATCGACTGACCTGTCAGTAGCGCGCTCTAAACGACAGTCACGAACTTCCTCGGCCTCGTAAATAGCCACGCGAATGGCCTCAACTGCGAAAAGGCAACATCAGGCGGGATGGAGCCTCCTTGGCCGGTGGGCACCGGACGGCACTAACGTTCACTAACTGATCGCCAACTAACCGCTATATGATCATCGCTTCCCCTGATGAATTTCCTCACTTCTCTACAAATCTGACATGCGCTATTTGATCGGAGAGATTCTCGGGCAAGACTAACTTTATTTCCAACCATCGTGGACTCATATTGTCTAGTGTTCAACTTCACCCTATGTGAAGCCAACCATGTCGCACGGAGCATCATCGGTCGCAGAGGCCAAAAGAGTGGCCCAAAGGATGTCAGAGCCCACTACTCCCACCTCACCAACAGAAAGACGCGGTTCCTCCTTCATGAATTTCTTCTCGTCCATCCTCGGCTCGAAGAACCCGTTGGCACAGCCGGCAGACCCACATCAAAACACTGTGTGGCTGCTCGACAACACAGCGTACCAGCCCGTAAATGATGAAACAGACGAGAGCCAATCCTGGCACGCTGAAGTAGTCGCCTGTATCTTCGAAAAGGGAGGCAGGAAAGACATCGGCAAGATTGTCGCCCTTATCGCAGACCACATCGGGCTAGACGGCGAGCGCGGCGGACACGAAGATGCCCGCAAGCGCATCGAACATCGCATCCAGCCTTTCCTGGACGCCGTCTCACCTTCTCGTACTGTCACTCTTCGAGTTCCCGTTTCAAGACCGGCACAGACGCACGGTCTAGGCCCATCCGACCGTAACGGTATTGTCAGCCAGACGTTCGAGATGGGCCACCTGGACGTTGAGGACGGGGCGGTGATAAGGCCTCGCCTTCATGACTTTGGCGATGACAGTGTGTCGATGACCACGACCTTTGCTGCGCCAGAAGGATGGCTGGTTATATCCGACATTGACGATACGATTAAGCGGACTTTGACGCTTGAGCCGACGGGGATCATCCAGACAACGTTTGCAGATGTGCCAGAGCCGATCGCTGGTATGCCTGATTTATATGATTATGTCGATGCCGAGCTTGTACCTGCGTGGTTTTATCTCTCCGCATCACCTTACAACCTCTATCCTTTCTTGCACAGTTTCTTGCATGAATATTACTGCCCTGGCACGTTGGTGCTGCGCGATTATTCGTGGATGGACATTACGGGCCTCATCAAGTCTTTCACGGAGAAGACCCAAGAATACAAGGTTGACCGGATGGAGAAGATCCATGGGTGGTTCCCGCGTCGGAGGGTGTTGTGCATTGGAGATTCGACACAGAAGGACCCGGAGGCCTACGCCGAAATGTATGCGAAATATCCAGAGTGGATTCACGCCATTGCGATTCGCAAGGTCTTAGACGTGGCTCATATGGAAGAGAAGAATGAGCCGGAGAGATTTGAGAAAGCATTTGAGAATGTACCAGGCCACATCTGGACTGTTTTTGAGGACCCAAGGGAGTTGTATGATTTTGTTGATGGACTCGGGATGGAAGATCAGGATTTGTAACTACCACACATTATTGGGGCTTGAGGCCACTGCATTAATCAGATCAATGTCATTTTATCACTAAATATATAGGCATCTATGCCACCTGGGCATCTTTAGGTGTCAGTTCCCTATGAAGGGCAACATTGGAACCTTGGAAGACTTTGCGGGACGTTTGGTTTCGATATTTTTAAATTCGCCTCGAATCCATCATTAGCCACCACTTTGCCTGGGCTCATGTGCAAAAGCCATATAAAGGAATGCTCCGTCTCTCTATTGCGAAGGAATTCATCGGAATGAGGCTCTGTGGCGACGCTGAGCTAAGATCTGCATACGTCAAGATTAGGAATTAGCCCCCGATCTATAGATGGCAATCTATAGATGGCGAACACAGTCGGTGTATATTAAAATGCGCCAGAAATCGAGATTTATTGTGTAAATACTACCAGATCAGAGTGTATATACCGACAAGATGCACCAAGAACCGAATTCCATCAGTATGCACCCAGGCATACCCCCAACACAGCCCATCATGGAGCCCGAGGCAGGAAAGAGGACATTTGAGCCTACCACGCCGAAGCAGTCAACAAAGCAGTCGACTTTATCCCCAGGGCAATCAACAAATCACTCTGCAAATCCTTCAACGAAGCCCCTCGGGAACCAGTCAGCAAAGCAATCCATCAACCTATCTACAAAGCACACAACAGCCAGCCTGAATGACTCCGCCTTCACGCCACTGTCAATGCGGGCATTGTATTACGCCCCAGAAGGCTCGAGCGATTATGTCTTTGATGTAATACCCGAGGGAGATATCTCCGACGCCATCTCCCCAGACACCAGCACCAGCGTCGTCCGCAAAAAGGGAACAGACCTGATCTTCGACATAAGCTTTCCAACCCCCCAGCCAACGCCTCGGCAGTACCTGCTAAAGGTACACGCGGCAGCTTTCTGCCACGACGAGATTCGTCTCGCCTCAGCCCTTAACCCACCCATCACTTCTCCGAAAATCCCACTGCATAGCATTTGCGGCACGGTGGTCAGCACTCCCCGCGAAGACGACGAGAGTGAAGAAGGTCCGCGCTTCAAGATCGGAGACAAGGTCTTCGGTCTTGTAAGCTATACTCGCGATGGCGGAGCTGCAGAGTACACCGTTGCGACTGAGACTGAAATGGCGCCCAAGCCGGATAACATCTCATTATCCGAGGCTGCGGCCATACCTCTGCCTGCCTTGACTGCTTGGCAGGCACTGTTCAGGTATGCGGGTCTTGACCCCGATGTACCAGGTGGGTTGAATGAGGACGACGAGGAGTTCGGACAAGGTGGAAATGGCACCGGGCGATGGCAATGGCAGCGCAAACGTCGCGATACCGTCCTCGGTAGCATGGACTATGGATACGGGCATCGCAAGAGCACTGCTGGAAGTGGTGCGAGCAGTAGCAAAAGCCCCGGGGAGATCGCTCGGGGATTGGAGCAACGTAGCGGCACGTCCAATGACAATGCCAGTGGGAGTACTGGGGATGGCAGTGGGCATTGGATCTGGCATTGGAATCGTCGTGATACAATTCTCAATGACAAAGCCAGTGGTACTGGATCTGCAGGTGGTACTAGGAATCTTGATGACTTACCTCGAGCTGCCAGCATTGTCGATTCAAACGTCAATCCAAAACCCAATGCTAAGCCGAAGGAAAAGGTGCGCAAAGAGAGTCTCGCGAGTCTTGTCAGCGGCACCCCGAAAGCCACAGGCAAAGCTCCCCGCGCCGCCAGCACCATCGATCCGAATCCGAAGAACTCTGTCCGTCGTGCCAGCCTTATTAATCTGGTCCGCGGTAATCCCAAAGATGAATCTGGCTCTGCCAGTCCATCCGGGTCCGGTTCCAGCACGACCAGCACCCGCCGCGGTAGCCTTCTTGCTCGCATAGATAAGAACGGTCGACTGGGAAGTCTCGTGAACAACCCGAACTCCAACCCCAATGAAGCCAGAGGAAAGCCTCCTAAGATCCGAGTTCTCATCACCAATGCCAGAGACAGCGAGATAGGCCGCATTTCCGTTCAGCTTCTTCGCGCTGAATCACTCTTCCCACCTCAAGCCCGGCCCTGGATCTGTGTCACCTGCATCCCTGCCGAAGTCGATATTATCGAGCAAGAATGGAACGTCGACGAGATCATCGTGATTCCACACCTGCCCTCAGCAGATGAGTGTAATATCTCGAAAGTGTTCCGTGCACGGCGCTGGCACCCGGTGGATATTGTACTGGATTGCGCTGGCGGCGAGGTCTTCCGACAAGCTCATGCGAACGGTGTTGTAAAAGACCACGGGGCCGTTCTGACAGTTGTTGACGCTAAAGTTGCAATGCAGTCGCCGCTTGTTCCTGAGAATGATGAGCTTGGAGAGAGGAAAAGGGGGATTCGAAGTCGATTTGTTCCTGTCAACCCTGATGGACCGGCGATCGAAAGGATCGGGGAACTGATTGAAGAGAACCTTGTTCGAGCGAAAGAGGCCAGGGTTGTGGATATCGCGAAGGGGGCTGATCTATTGGCGGCTGGTGCTGCTGGGACTGCTGGAGGGTTACGCGGTGATATGGTTGTTGTCAAGGTTCAATGATTGGATCCAGGCTGTCAATTCTTATTGTTTTCGGAGGCGGTTTGTCTGTCTTGTACCAAAAACGTAAAAGGCATAAGTGTATAAATTGGAGCAGAGAGAGAAAAAAAGAACCTCCGTCATGATTTTAGAGCCACACTGACTAGACGTGAAATTGTATGTCCCTAAGAGCCAAGAAACATGGTCAAAAAGAAAGAAGTAAAAAAACACAAGGGTGAAGAGTAGATCGAGCTTAGTGAATATCCCATACAAGAATGAATTTTGGCCTTCCATATAAAAGACGCTCTGTCAAGTCCCTGACTACACAAAAAAAGAAAAAGGTCGGTTCGAAGTGGAACAAAAGCCAGTGTATTAGAAACGCGGTAATCGGTTAAAGTAAGGAATCAAGTCTGGTGAAAACGCTCAAGCATGCAGCGACAATCTAGGTGCGTCAGTAAAAGGTAGGTCGACGTCAGTAGGCTAGGATACTCACCTCCATTTGAAGCTCTCTGTCCTTGTTCTTGGTAGTCTCGTCGTTGATAGCCTGAGCGAGGTTGGCTCCAATCGCCTGCGAACCGCCAGCCCTCCGGCCAAATGGCCACTGCGAGTACTCGGCTAGTAGCTCGTCAACCTGTGCGAACGCTCTCTCACGAGCTTCGTGGCTCATGGTGACCAGCGCATTCTCCAAGACGTTGGCAGCGTATGCAGCGCAAACCATTGTGATCGAGCGGAGGTATCGGTACTCGGAGTCTTCAGGGAGCCAAGGGCTAGGAGGAATGATGACAGTACGGTTGCTGCAGATGTTGCGCACCCGGCGGTGGAGCTCTTCTTTCGCGCCGCCGTCGGCTACGGGGTGTGTCGCCATGTCAAATAGCAGGAAGTTGCGCTTTTCGGTTCGGAGAATACCCTTATCCACAAGACCCTTGGCGAGTCGTTCCCGAACTTGTTTCAATTGATATCCGATCTTCATCAGGTTCCATGTTTCGCCTACCAGACGGTCAGTGGTCGCATCGCTACAGATTGAATGGGGTTAATTCTTACCACTCAGCAGGTCAATCCATGAGTTGACGCTCATCTTCTCACTCGACTTCATCATCTTCAGCGTCTCGTCCAGCAAGACCTCCCCAGTCAATGTATCGTCGATGACCTCGATGACGCGGTCGGCCAGGGGGAATCGTCGTCGCGACGAATCCTTCTGCATGCTTATACGCCCGCGGAGTGCAAGCTCAATGACAATACACCCTCGCAGGGCATAGGAGATGTTCTCGTTCCAGAAAGACAGATAACCCTGTAGTGCGGGCGGGGGAGTCAGCGATCGGAGCCCAGATCATTGAGACAATGGAGTTCGGGGAGAACTCACTTGCTTATCCTTCAATCCCAACAGTAAGATGTCCTCCATTAGGGTGAGTTTGGGCTGCTTGCCCCGTTCCTCGTTTTCGCTGATGTCGCGGGGGTCGAACGCGATCTTGTGACCATTCTCGGCACTTGTGAATGAAGTCTCTGGTCCACGGTTGTCCATGGCTGAGCCATTGCGCGAAATTGGTGATGACACTCGACTGTCATCCTGTTCATCGGCACCAGCGACTCGACCGGCGCCTCTGCGGCGAGTCAAGCCCCCGGCTGGTGTGGCCATGAGGATACCGGGTTGGGTGGAGGGGGGTTCGAAAAGGGTATCGGGGAGGTAGATAGCGAGCTAGATGTGAGCAGAACTCAACGCCGATCTATGTGGCGATTGGGGGGTTGTCGGTCGCCAGATGGTTGTGAGGTGCTAAGAGGGACCGTGACCGAAAGTGTCGAAGTGGGACTCGGTGTCAGGGGAAACCAGGGACCGAGTGGACTAGCCAAAACGATGTTTCGGGGTTTATAGTGCCTTAATCAAGGATTCAAGGCCCAGAAGCACAAAGGGTGGTAGTTGTTAGAAGGATGCTAGGCGAGGCGCTTTCGAATGCGGTTAACACCCGAACGGAGAGATTGTGATCTTCTATGATCTCTGTTTCTTGTCTTCTAAGCTACTTTATTGAGATAGCAATTTGAAATTGCTTGGCACTTGTATTCAATATTTGCTTCTAAGGTTAATCTTATTAGAGGTTTTCTTTTTTGTAAACTGCTGGCCAGGTGCATACGTACTCCCAACGCTATTACGACCACATGGAGCTAGATCGGGTGCGGTCGTCTCCGTAGCCCCCCGGGCCGTTTATGTCTTTCCCTCCAAAGCTCCAGAACGACCTGGGGATATTTAAACTTGGACATGATTCAAAACACATATCAAGACCTTGAGATTATTGAAAATACCATGGCGGCTGCAAAACTGCAAAAATTGCATTCAAATGATATACACGATATAGGAAAGAAAAACCACTGGCATGTATTTCATACAGAATAGCATCGCAAGGTTTGTGGTCGTCGATGACCTCACTGGTGCTAACATCCCGATTCTTTTTCTATCCAATTCTCCTGATCCCGGGGTTTCCAATTAGGTATTTAGTGAGCTGGATGGCAGTTAGTGAATGCAGAACATCAGAGAGACAGTGGGTTGACTAACCATCGGGCTGGGCGAGGATGTACTCGACGGCCTTCTCGACTATACACACAGTTCATGTCAGCACTGTTGAGGGAATTCAGTAACCCATCCACCAAGTGAAAACTTACCACTGTGGATCTGGTCGGCCTCCTTGTCGGGGATCTCAATGCTGAACTCCTGTTGTATCGATTAGCTGCCGTCACAGAATGGATTGTTTCTCCGAGGGAAAGCGGTCGCATACCTCCTCAATGGCCATCACGACCTCAACGGTGTCCAAGCTGTCAAGACCGAGGTCGTTGGAGAAGTGTGAAGCGCCGTTGATCTGAAAGTTGTGAAGATTTAGTGGATGACTCTTTTGTGTCGCCTCGCACATAGCTAATAGCTACGTAAGATCACGACATCGTGTCCGGCGTGTTAACTGACCTTGCTGGCATCGGAGACCTGCGGAGGAGAGGAAAGTCAGTAAAAACACAGATTTGAGATGTTTCGCCCATAGCCGACGAATGGCGAGTTTCCCCGGGGAAAACAATATGACGCACCTTGTCGAAGTTCTTGAGGAGGTTGACAATGCGACCCTCAGCCTCGTTCTTGGAGAGACCGGCAGGGGCAGAGTAGAGACGAGCACCCTGGAAGGGAGTGAACTGGGGAATGGCAGCAATGGGGGAGCTGCGGATGTGGAAGGGAGCCGGGGTCTTGACGACACGAGGGGCGGAGGCCCTGAGGGAGCGGACAATGGCGGAGCGGAACATTGTGGGAGTGTGGAATTAAGCGCGAAGGCTAAAGAGATGTAGCAAAGGAGATATAAAAAGAGGAAGGGTGGAGAGAGCGAAAAGGGTAATGGGGGAAGAGACGGGCAGAAGTGGAAGAGGTCGTCGCGCCCAGCAAAATCCTGCGGGCCAATCACATCCCGACAGAAAGGAATGACCTAAGCCCGAAACCTGCAAACCACCACAACCTCGCCTTTGCTCCCTTTCACTACCTCCAATTGACCTCCAACTCACCACTCCCCTCACTCTCTCAACAATGGCCGCCACCCGATCGGTCGCGAGGCTAGTCGCCTTCCGCCGGCCGACTCCCTTCGGCCTGCTGGGCTCAACCGCAAACTTCTCGTCCTCGACAATCCGCGCAGCAACCCCAGTGGGACCCCCTCAGGCCGGCTTCCGCCTGCCCCCGCCCAAGCGCTGGGATCAAGGCGAAGAGTCCGCCCTCGACAAGGCCAGCAAATACTTCCTCATGGCCGAGATCTTCCGTGGGATGTACGTGGTGCTGGAGCAGTTTTTCCGACCACCGTAAGTACCCCCACAACCTAGTCGGCGGTGCGGATCGTTCTCCGTGCATGCCAATGGCATCGAAAATCGTCCATCGACTCACCGCATGCGTCTTCTAGTTACACTATCTTCTACCCCTTCGAGAAGGGTCCCATCTCTCCCCGTTTCCGTGGTGAGCACGCTCTCCGCCGTTATCCCACCGGTGAGGAGCGCTGCATTGCCTGCAAGCTCTGCGAAGCCATCTGCCCCGCCCAGGCTATTACCATTGAGGCCGAGGAGCGTGAGGATGGAAGTCGCCGGACGACCCGTTATGATATTGATATGACCAAGTGCATCTACTGTGGCTACTGCCAGGAGAGCTGCCCCGTGGATGCCATTGTTGAGAGTGAGTACCATGCCACATTACAGTTTAAAATCCAAGTGCTAATATAGCTTCAGCTTCCAACGCCGAGTACGCCACTGAGACCCGTGAAGAGCTCCTGTACAACAAGGAGAAGCTCCTCTCCAACGGCGACAAGTGGGAGCCTGAGATTGCGGCTTCTGCTCGCGCCGATGCTCCTTACCGCTAAATTACGTCCTTTTGATCAGTATTCTCGGCTCAAGGCGCGCATCACATGTATAAATGTGGATGTGATACTGATCACAATACCCATCTAAGAGGCACTACCCGTGTCTCGCAAAACAAGAAAGATATCGAACCCCATTACACCAACTGTACATAACTTGCCCTCGACTGTGTTATCATCTTGTATTAGTCAATTCCCAGGGGAAATCCTCCGCGGGGTGACTGCTTTGTCTCTTTTCATCTCTTATGTTCTGGAATCTAGCACTTTCTTCTGAGGTTCAATTCTACACATACATAAAATGTGTGGACCGGTCCAGCTCAAAATAATCAAGGTTGTATTTCCATTCATTCCTTTGCTGTCGACACATCTGGGCAGGCATATCAAAACGCAGTGGACACTTGCTTGACCTAGATCTAAACCGTATGGATACAGGCATGTTGACATCGACCTTGCAAGCAACAGAATCATGGGCCCCATCGATGAAAAGCAAATCCGATTTCAATCCACAACATCTTTCCTGCAATTTCCACCACACATCCCCCGATTCCCTTTTGCAACCTTGGAAGGCACAGGTTAGACACCAGTCACTGGTTCAAGATGATAGAGCCACAATCTAAGACAATTCGTTATCACTGAACATATACTTTCATGAGTCTCCTGGTAAGATGACCAAACATACTGGTAGTTGGCTTGGACACCTCGATTCTGTTCACTTGGGGTCTGCAAGGTCCTCCTCTGTCAATTGATAGAGAACCTTACCCAATTCTCCATTCACTCGATATTTATCTCCAGCCACGGAATGCCTGTACAATGGTAGGGACCCTGCCCATGAGTCCATGACATACCCTATGCCCTCCCCTTCGGCATCCAGACGGCCCTCCCGAACAATGTTCCGAAAAGGATCCAGATAGAGTAGCCGCAGGCGGTTCGATTCAAAGGCTTCCAAGTCTGCGATGAACAGATATGTGTCCACAACTTCGTTTTGCAATAGAGCCCCAGCGGACTCAATTAACGTGTCTCTTTTCTCGTGCCACGCTGTAGGGTCGTCGTCTTTCGTAAAGGCGATATCGTTTTTGAACATTGAGCGTAGAGGGCCATCAACAAATTCTGGCGAACAACCTCGGGTTGCCAAACCGGCAATTTCACTTCTCCATGGAATTGGGTTACTGACCTCGGGCAGAATATCGTAGATTCTCCGCCAGTTCGACCCAAAGTCGAAATATTCTTGATTGTCAAGGACACCCCACCAGGACTGGTCCTTATACCCGTCCGAATCGGCCCATTCTTTCATCACTTTGTCATGCTTAGGACGCCAGAATTGATCGGTGCTGTAGTACGTGCGTAGTAGAACTGGCGCCTGGTGGTCTAGATACATGTTATGATACATGTTATATCCGTGCCATCGAAGAATGTCAGGACGATAGGGCCGGAGAATGATGTCGATTTCCTCCATTGTAGGCACACGAAGCGTACTTGTATCGCCCAAGTGTACCTCTGCCCATGCCCTCGGAATATGTTGCAAGTCGATGAATTGCTTGACTAGCCTTGCTCGCTGTTGATCCGGGGTTTCCTTTGAAATCCATTTCCATTCTGTCTGTTGAAGGATCACTAAATTGAAGTGCTTACCAGGGGATTGAGGGGTGACATACGATGAAGTACTGCTCAAGAGCCATGTGACCCCATGGGGGACCGGTCTTGTTATCCATTTCTTGCATGATGATAGAGGATTCAGAAGTGAGTGGGAGATGAAGGGACCTGGGAGCCACTGACAGGTCTTTTATAGTAGCCTGCCTAGGGAAATGCTCAAACAGTGAAGTTTGTCTTATCTCTTTATCCACATTGTTTGCTCGATCGTGAGTGCAGGAGGAAAGTTTCCATTCCATTTGTTGTCTCGGGAGCACTGAACACTTGAGCAGAACCCGAAAGAAGAGTGATGTATGATTGTGATTCATGTACATACGCAATTCCAAGAGGTCCTAGCTTGAAACCTGGATGTGGGCAGTGACTACAGGAACTTGGTAAACCATTCTTATGTCTGCGTGGGAAAGTAGTCGATTGAGTCTTCCAAGGTTCTTGATCGGACTGAGATACGTTCATTCTCTTGAATGTCTGCCCAGGTGGCGAGCCACAGTGCCTGGAAGATCAACCTTAGAGAAGCCCTGCCAGCGACGAACATACATATTGCTGATGAAATATGAATAAGAAGATTATTGATCCAGCTCGATAAGAAAATGATATTTGTATTCACAGGTAAATCAAATCGCTACCGATGCTGTCATGCATAGACATAAATTGACGGACCAAGCCGCCAAAGACACAAACGCAAACACCAGGCACCTTGATCTCCAGAAGGATATATCCCAGTTCGACATCTCAAAGGACTTTTTTTGGTTGTTCGGTCTTGCTTCCGGGATCTCACATCTGAGAAACGAAGACCAGTCTTGAAGGGTATGCAAAAAGAATAAGAAAGATATTGGAAGGGAAGGTTAGAATAAGAGCAGCATATAAAAATGAAGAACAAGTGAAAATAGTCAAAATCATCAGGTAATGATTTGCTTATTTCTTCTTGCCACCACCCTTGAAGCTACCCTCGAATCCAGGACGAGCCTTCTTCTTTCCACCGCTGGAAGACTTCTTCTTGCCACCCTTGGTGCCCTTATCATCTCTGCGCTTGCGAAGGTTTTCATCGCGCTTTGACTGGCGCTGTTCCTTGGAGCGGACGACAGTGTCGAGACGGTCCTTCCACTCGCGCTCGGACTTCTTCTTTGCGGTCTCCTTGCGCTTGAGGGCCTTCTTGAGGAGGGATGTATCGTCGCGGACACGCTCGCCGTGAGCACGCTTCTTGGCGTTAAGCCAGACATCCTTGTCTTCAATATCGGCACGCTTGGACGGATCCATCTCGGCAAGACGAGCCTGCTTGGCCTCGGCAGCCTTGAGCTGCGAAGCTGGGTCACGAGCTCCGTGTGTCTTGGGCTTGTCACGGACTTCGCCAGTGATGTCGGTCTGTTGTCCGTCGGTGAACATAACACGGCCGAATGAGAAGTTGTTGCTGTTAGAGCTGACAGACTCAGCGGGAGAGCGGGGAGAAGCAAGCAGGGACCCAGAGCCACCGGGGGAGAAGCGGCGGGCCATAGCCTCATCTGTCTTCAGCTGTTCCTCCTCTTTGGCCTTCTGGCGAAGCTCCTTCTTGTGGGTCTTTCTTTGCTCGGCCTTTTGGCGGCGGGCTTCGATCAACTCTTGGCGGTTACGGGCAGGCTTTCCGTTGAGTCCGTCTGCGTGGCGCTTAGCACGAAGCTCATCCAGGCGCTTCTGTAGGCGCTGCTTGAGCTCTTCGGGTGTGTGCTTAAGAGGTTTGGGCTCTGAGGATTTGGCTTCGGTGGAGGCGGTGGGGGGACGATAGAGGAGGTTGAGGAACTGCCGGATTGGGGATTTGAGGCATCGAATTCGGGGGAGTCTGTGGAAGAGGCAGTAGAGGGGTTTTCCTGTTCAGGGTTGAACTCGATGGAGAAACCTTCCTCAACAACACCGTCGTCTTCGTCGTCATCCTCATCCGCAGATTCTTCGGCATCCTTGGCTGTGGTGCCGTTAGGCTTGGGGGCAGATTTTTCTGTGCCTTCGGTGGGAGTAGTCGACGACTTCTTTTCCTGGGCCTTCTCCTTTCGTGAGGCATCCTTGGCCTTCTTCTTCTCCTTTTGGTTGGCCTTCTTCTGAACCTTCTTCTCTTCCTTTTGCTTTCTGCGCTCCTCGGCGGCGGCTGCCTTGGCAGGGTCTGCCTTATCAGACTTTTCAACAGGCTTCTGCTTTTTGGAGTTTGCTGTTCCGCGGTTCAGTCCTTCCTTGGGGGTTTCTGTGCCCATCTCTCCGTCGGATCCATCGGACTCGAGGGTCCCATCCTCGCGCTTACGCTTGCGGGCGTTCTCGTCCATCACGTCTTTGGCGGTCTTAGTGGCCTCAGGGTCCAGCTTCGCACGCTTTGCCTCACGAGCTTGTTCTTTGGTCTGTTTCTTGCGTTGCCATTGATCCTATAAGTGAGGATGATGGTCAGATAGAATTCTTCAGGATCGGCAATGGGTGGTATAATTGTATCCACTCGACAGAAGTAGAGTCATGCAATATGCAAGAAGGGCCTACATACACTGGTATCTTCTTCACCGTAGTAAAGTTTGGCGGGGATCAAGGACAGTAGACCGTCAAATGCCTGCGCATGACTACGCAGCCGTTCCTGGGGGGTGGTCAGCTCGCAAGCCTTGCGGGACATTCATCGGGCTCACAAACCTCGATGTCATCCATTATTGAATCCCGTAGACTGAAATTGCAATCTGGAGGGGGAAGCTTGAAGGTCAAGCGCAACGAAAAATTCGGGGTGAGGAAATCTTGGCGCTACTTTGGTCTCCGCTTCGGCTGTTCACCGCCTAATTTTTTTTCTTACTTGGCCAGTGCGCCTTATCGGTACTTGCTGGCTTATCGGAGTTGTTGTCCACGGGCTTCTTCAACGCCCAAGTCCATTTCTTCACCTAACATTGATATCCACCGGAACAATTGCCATCATGCTTCTATAATACACTCAAGACTGGTTCACAATACCGGGGCTTACATCCAACACAGGACACTCCTCACTCGCAATATCCACCACTCCCTTATAAGGCCATGGGTCTGTCCAGATGAGATCGTACCTGGCACAGTTAGCGCCCGGACTCACCAATTTGCCGCTGTCTTCTTGAGATCAGTGGAAACCAAAGCCCAAGGTTCTTGTGAGGAATCTCGGGGTGATTGGCCCAATGTAGGGCCGAGCCACTGAGCCGCAGAGTGCCTGGGAAAGCCACTTACCGCTTCTTCGGATACTCTATAGGCACACCATCGCCAAGCGCCTCAACAATATCTCCCATAGGTCCATGTCGCCATGAGATCAAAATATTGCCTGGTCCTTTGTACCTGTGAATCGCGTCCACCACACACCACACTTCCCCCGCTGGCAGTGAGTGTCGACTTCCAAGCCCAGATCGCTGGCCAGCGGCTGAACAGTGAAAAGCGAACGCCCTTGTGCTCCATCTACTCGATATCTTGTTAGATTGATCCGTTTGCCTGATATCCTGGCGACACCGCTCATATCAACGAAATAGACTCACTCTCCTTGGTGTGTGGTGCGAGGATATATCCTATGTCGTACCCTGAGTGCTGGCCGAAAACGTGTCGCAGACACTGAGCGCGCAACTCTCCCTCCGCCGAGAGACCATGATTCTTCTTATCTGCGGGCTTCTCGCCATGGCGAATGAGATAGACTGTGGGCTTGTGCTTCGCGGAGCCAACGCTCAAAAAAGAAAAACAAAGCTAACAAAACAGATTGGAGTAGCATTTTGGCGTAGACTCAAGCTATCTATACCACACGTATATACAGCAGAGCCAAGCAGCCAAAGGCGCAGTTGGTGAAGATGAAGAAGCTTGAAGAAAATAAGGTACTATTAAAGAAGAAAGGGGGAGGAAAACAGGAAAACTAGCACACCCTTCACCACCGCCTGGGTGTCGATCGGGTATCCATATTCCGATACTATCTACTATTGCTGTGATGAAATCATTGGTGCAGGGCACAGCGTAGCCCAAAGCCTATCAAGGGGTCAGCGGAGGAAAAAAAAGCAACGTAGAGTATGGCTGGCGCAGAAAAAAAGCAAGCAACTAGTGGATCAGCAGCTTTGATATTCCAATGACGATGTAGAACGGGCGGCGCCAGGGCTGAAAAGCGGCCTAAGTGCTGGAGCGGGTGGGCGAACTACAGGGTGAGCCGAATTATCGTGCTTGATTTTAGGTTGTCTCATTGGGCCCCATGCATGTCCGCGTTTGATGATTTTGATCGACCGTAGGGCTTGATCTTAAATATCTGTCCCCCGACCTTCGAGATTTTGCAGGTAGGGGGTTGGGGACTAGACTCTTTGATCGATATATTTGAAATCAAAGTCCCTTTACGGAGTATTGTGTGAAGAGACCGGCATCTCATGGATGAGGACCCTGGTGAATGTACCCTAACTCTCAACCAAACCATGTGCGCTGTGTAGCAAAGCTCATCACGAGTTGATCATGATCACCTGACAATTTCCAATATGCACGAGGTGAGGGAGTTGTCGAACTTGTGTGATGGAGTTGATATCATGACTTGAGGTACGGAGTACATCAAACCGTGCCTCTAAGCGCAGAAACTCGGTCGGCTTCGAATATATATTCGTTTTCGGTACCGGAATACCCGAGACCGGGACTAAGAAAGAACGAGTGCTGGTTTTGCAAGAATGAGAGATCATAGCCCCTGGGCTGCTTATTACAGTAGTTTGTCACTTGAACCAACTGGAAGTGCCCAGGTGGCATCACTATGATTTCAAAGCCGCATAACTTGAGGAGAAACAACAAAATGGTGGCGGGGTTGTTGATCATTGTACTTTTACGGAAATCTTGATGCAAGTCTTGGCTCCAGGCCCCAAGAATTCACTAGCACGTAACCTGAGTATCATGTTGAGATTAATTTATTTTTGGATTGATTTGCCTCGACACTAAAGTGGAAATATCCGCGTGATGTCAGTGCAAATGATGCTCATCTGGTGATGGCTGTGTGATGTACGGAGTACTCCATAGAAGTACGGAGTACATAGTAATCAGTGATGGGAGCAGAAAAGAACTGCATTACGAGGTCGGACGAGCCAATATGGGGCTGAGATTGCTAGGCAGCCAGATAAATTACCCCAAAACAGTTAAACAGCACGCCGAGAGGCACGATACGCCTAGCGAAGACCGAAAGGCTCGGCATTACCATGACATTCTAGAAAAGCCATGGAAGCCGAGAGATCCGTGTAAGGCGATCTACACGGTACTGGATATAATTAGGTGTAATTAGGTGTAATAGGAGGGAAGTACGCAAGTAATATGCTCAGCCCACCATAGCCACAAGAGAATACAGCAATATGGTGCGCAATGGAGCGGGATTATGTGGCGGTGCTGCATTAGCAGGGGGATGGATCGGGATCGGATTTCATAGGCCATACGGTAATTAAACCCACGAACGTCAGGCTGTAAGTACCAAACACAGGGCTGACGCTTTGAACGCTGCGCCCCCCTCTGTAAGCGTAAGTTTCCGCGTCTCATGTGGGGTTCGGTCAGCCCTGTGGTTGCTCCGGAAGGTCACGTCTTATAAAAAGGGTTACCCCTCCGATTTATTCTTCATCTCTTCACTCCACTTCATTCTACAACTTACTTCCATCTCCAAACTCAAACCATCACATCCATTCTCACATCCCACATCAATATGTCCGGATACGATCAATACAACCAGGGCGGCTACGGTGGCCAGCAAGGCTACGGTGGCCAACAGGGTTACGGTGGTCAGCAGGGCTATGGTCAACAGCCAGGCTACGGCCAGCAGCAGGGATACCCTCCTCAGCAGGGCTACCCTCAGCAGGGTGCCTCTGACTACTACGGCGGCCAGCAGCACCAGCAGCACCAGCAGGGTGGCTACGGCGGCCAGCAATACGGCCAACAGCAGGGTGGCTCATCCGACTACTACGGTGGTGGCCAGTCCCACGAGCAGTACGGTCAACATGACCAGAACCGCCAAGGGTATGTAGCTCCCTTCTACATTCACTCAATAAGCACATATACTAACAGGCAACAGTGGTTACGAACAGCAGCAGCAGCACGGTGGCCCCGAGGCCCAGGAGGGTGAGCGTGGTCTCGCTGGTGCGCTCGCCGGTGGTGCTGCCGGTGGTTTCGCCGGCCACAAGGCCAACCACGGCTTCCTCGGAACAATCGGTGGAGCCATCATTGGTAGCATTGCCGAAGATGCCGTCAAGAAGCACCGCAACTCCAGCTCTCCCCAGCCTCCCCAGGGCCAGTACGGCAGCCAATACGGTGGTCCTCCTCCCTCCCAAGGCAGCAGCGGCGGTTCCATGATGGACCAGCTCGGTGGTTTCTTCAAGAAGTAGAGGGTTTCTGATGGGCCCTTCGTTTTGATGACATGTCCTTCATGAATTTCCTTTTACTCTTTTATGCTTTCATTGTTTCACTGGGCTGGCATGCATCTTTTTCTCTTCGCCAGAACGCCATGCTTTTTTGATATCTTTCTTCGAATGGGGTTTTTCAGCGCCCTCGGGCTTTTGTACCATGACAAACTTGCATTGATACCGGAAATCTCCTTAGTGTGATTCGACCATAATCCCAGAACTGCAATGTGATTATTCCTATGAAAACATCCAAAGAAAGTAAATCTTTTAGGTAGACGATTTTGTAGTGTGTTGAGAGGCTGCAGTAGAGGTTGTTCGTGGCCAAAAACAAACCCGAGTGGTTTTGCTGGCCTCAGGCATACGCCAAGCCCGACAAAAGTTCAAGCGGACATGTCCCCAGTAACCTCCCCGTCAGACACTTCTGCATTTCAGCCTCACCAAAATGATTGTACGGAAGGTTTTCATGCGGCAGAGTGAGTTTCCCTTGGATATTCAGTGTGTATAGTGATTCCTCTGACAGCGCATTTCCCCAGGCCGCCAGGTCCTCGCCCTGAGTCGACGAGCCCCGATCTCAGGTCGCTTCCAATCGACACTGGCCGGAACACCAGACGAGACATTGCAGAGTCCCCCTACCGAGTCCATTACAGAGTCAATTCAGCCCGATAACCCTCTTGCGGAGATGATACAAGCCCAAGCCCAATCCCAAGCACAACCGTCGCAAGATCCCGCTAGCGGTACGTCGTGAATTTCCCAACTGCTCGATCCCATTAACTGACATTGTATCCTAGGAATCCCATTCCACAAGCTCGGCTCAAAGGTCAAAACCGAATACCACCCCGAAGACGTCCTCCGTAATCCCCCAAGCCATCTCAGGTGACCCTGGAACTGCTCCTAGCCTCCGGTACTCACATGGGTCACTCTACTTCTCGCTGGAACCCGCAGAACTCCCGCTACATCTTCGGTATCCGTGAAGGTGTGCACATTATTTCCCTGGACGCGACAGCCGCCTACCTCCGCCGAGCCGCGAAGGTTGTCGAAGAAGTCGCCGCGCGCGGCGGTCTCATCTTGTTCGCCGGTACCCGCAAGGGCCAGAAGCGGGCTGTTGTCAAGGCCGCCGAGTTAGCGAAGGGATATCACATTTTCGAGCGCTGGATTCCCGGCTCGTTGACCAATGGCCCGCAGATTCTCGGCCATTGCGAGACCAAGGTTGTCAACGCGCTTGATGAGGAGTTGGATGACTTCAAGAAGGATTTGGCGGATCGTCCGTCCCTCAAGCCTGACCTTGTGGTGTGTTTGAACCCTCTCGAGAACGTGGTGCTTCTGCACGAGTGTGGCCTGAACAACGTCCCCACTATCGGTATCATTGATACTGATGCGGATCCTACGCGTGTCACTTACCCCATTCCTTCGAACGACGATAGTCTCCGGGCTACTAGTTTGATTGCGGGAATTCTGGGCCGTGCTGGCGAGGCGGGTCAGCAGCGTCGCTTGAAGATGGCACAGGAGGGTAAGACCACCTACAAGCCAATTACGGCTGCTGAGCTGCGTCTTGATCCCTTCACCGGAATGAAGCCCGAGGAGATTCAGAAGAAATAGAGGGGGTCGAGTTTGCATTTTGGTAATTTTTTTTGGCATCCGGTCGATTGCATTGAAACGACGGGTCTCTGTACTGTATAGATCTTGGTGTTGACATGTATTAACAACTTTCAAAAATGGTTTTTAGCACAAGCTACTTGGTTTAATTAAAGTTGACGTATTATATGTGCCTCCATGGGTACCCATTGTAGGGGTGTTGAAGTCCAAGTCCAAGTACGGAGTAGTTCACTACATCTCAGTTTAGGAGAGAACCGGAGGGATTAACTTCGGTAATGCCTCCAATTATTACCCAGCAGAAGTCAAAGCAGCGTCTCATTTTCAAGTTCTAACAATTTCCGTCAATCCGTAATCGTTCGATATGGACCTAAAGACGACTTAAAAGCTTGTGGTTCGGATACCCACTCACTACCCGCCGAGAGCCAGTCAGATTATGCGAAACCACCACGTCGCCCTTCGGTCTGATATGATTTGCATTGAAGCTATGAGAAAAAGTGGCCCCCGTCAGTCAGTTACAATGCGACAGCTTCAACTCCAATGCCTCCTCTCCCAAGAATTGCGCACGTGGGTATTGCGATAGTCAATGACTTCCAAGGTTACAGCCTTAGCCCAACGCCGAAGCCGGGCATGGCTGTACTACGTATAAAGAACCAGACGACGGTCGGTTCTGAGTTTATCGACAATTCCTCCAGACAGCTGTCACACACACACTGCAGCTATGCCTTCTCTCTCAAGTTTCATTCATGCCCTGAGCATAGTAGGCGCACTCGGTTCGAGCGCGACCGAATCCTCAAAGCAATTCTCCCAAGAATTTCGCGACAACTACAGCATATTAAAACATTACGGCGGTAACGGCCCTTACTCCGAGCGTCGCTCGGACGGAATCTCACGCGACCCGCCCGCAAGTTGCGCCGTTGACCAAGTGATTATGATCAAGCGTCATGGCGAACGCTACCCTTCTCCGGCCTTGGGCGCAGGCATCGAAAGCTCCCTCTCCAAACTCGACCCCAAACGCACATATAAGGGCGATCTCTCCTTCTACAACGATTGGTCCTACTACGTTCCCAATAAATGCCTGTACAACGCGGAGACATCCTCGGGTCCATATGCTGGGTTGTTAGATGGCTATAGCCACGGAACTGAGTACCGGGATCGGTATGGGCACCTATGGGACGGGGATGCTATCGTGCCCATGTGGAGCAGTGGGTATGGACGGGTGATCGAGACGGCGCGCAAGTTCGGAGAGGGCTTCTTTGGATATAATTATTCGACCAATGCGGCGCTGAACATTATTTCGGAGAGCGAGACCATGGGCGCGAATTCGCTGACGCCGGTCTGCTATGCGGATAAGGATACTGCTACCTGCGATGGTTTGACGAATACTATGCCGCAGTTCAAGGTCGCTGCGGAGAGACTCAATACTCAGAACCCGGGACTGAAGCTTAACGAGACGGATATCTACTATCTCATGTGTGAGTACCGACTCTCTCTGGATTTCGAAACAGGCTGACAGACATAGCGATGGCATCATTTGAACTGAATGCTCGTTCTCATTCCGAATGGATCAATGTCTTCACCCAGGATGAGTGGGTCAGTTTCGGCTATGTCGAAGACTTGAACTATTATTATTGCGCAGGGTGAGTTCAAACCGCACCGGAATATACCAGCATCTTAACTAACAACCCTCAGACCTGGAGACAAGTCCATGTCCGCCGTTGGATCCGTCTACGCCAACGCAAGTCTCACCTTGCTGAACGAGGGTCCTCAAAAGTCTGGTCCTCTCTTCTTCAACTTGTAAGTCAAGACCACCACAAGCATGATCAATACTAACCGACCCATTCAGCGCCCACGACACGAATATCACACCTATTCTCGCAGCTCTCGGCCTCCTCACCCCCGAAGAAGATCTTCCCCTGGACAGAATCCCATTCGGAAACCCATACTCAACAGGCGACATCGTACCTCAAGGTGGTCATTTCACAATCGAGCGTCTGAGCTGTGATAAGACAGCGGTCTCAAAAGCAGGCAGCTATGTCCGTCTCGTGCTTAACGAGGCAGTCGTTCCTTTCAACAAATGCACATCAGGCCCGGGCTACTCATGTCCCCTGGAGGAATATTCTACGATCGTGAAGGGGATACTGCCTGACTATGTTGGTCAGTGCAAGGTCCCGCACAAGGACCCGAAAAGTCTGAGCTTTTGGTGGAACTTCAATTCTACCTCTGAATTGAACTACCGGAAGGGTCCCATTCCTTGCCAGGAGGCGGAGGCTGACCGCTGATCGTGTAATGATGACCATATAGATGATTTGTATAATAATAATTTTGGACTCTACTATTTTTACATCAAGTATTTCCACTAGATTGAGCTTGGATGTTGGCTATCAAAATGTTTCATTATTCTGAGCTCCTGGCACCTTTTCACAGGTACGAGAGATAATGTGACTGTCCCACAGATTATCGCTTCTTAACATTCCCATCCAGGAAGTGACGAAGGACCGTAGCCAATAAAACCACCGGGAGGGTTACACTGCAGTCTGTAAATGGAATTGAAGTAATAGAAGCGGTCTAATGCTCTGAGCCTCATAATTCTAAAACGATACAGGTTTCTTACCCTCAGCACATTGGCAATAGGCTCTGTCAATGCCACAGTGTGGGTCCTCACTACAAGAATATCAGCATGGTTCGTAATATGAAAGAAAGAGACAATACAATGGATAGCATCCGCTGAAACCATCAGTAGAATCGGTGTCTGGATGAGGAGCTGCTAGTGCTATGGCAGCGTTGAGAAAATGAAAAAGAGCAGCAGGCCTCATCTTCTTGGTAAGCCTCGTAATAGAAGTTGAAACTGATGGATGAACGCCTGGGCAGAGCGGAGAGCTACATTCATCTTATATCTACCTCCTGTGACAGCCTAAGCTGACAGCAAGGTCTGTATGACTTGTACCAATGAGGCTCAACGATAGACACTTCGGTCAGTATAAGCTGCAGAGATTCCAACGGCACTAATTTGATTGGAGCAATAAATGAAAATACCTGGAAAAGGCTTCTTCCATGATGGGCTACTTGTTGCTGTCATACTTTCGGCGAGACAACTCTCCCTAGACTGTCCCAGAATGGCCATACATGTTATCGTCTCCAGGGACAGCTGATTCGGCACACAAGAAAGCAAATCGCTCGGAGGATAATGACCAGTCTCTGTAGGATCGCATTTCTCTATGCTGTGCTCTGGAGAGTATCATTTAAGGGATGAATGGTGAGTCGATTTCAAGGTTGTGGACATTAAAAGTTCATGTAAATTCATCTATGTTCAATCTAATGGTATAACCCAAATGCAATCCATGTCCATAGGCCTGAGTACCATCCAAGTCTTCCCAAAATTAAGCCTTGAGAGTATACACAACACGGCCACGGGAGTCAGTACCCTTGAGAATAATCTCATCACCAGTGCTTGAAACCACACGGCGTTGGTCACCATTATGCAAAATAATATCCAAGTCCTTCCATGCAGGAGTGAAGGCAGTCTCATCACGCTCGAGCTTAACAGAGACCTTCTCCTCGGTAGAGCTGTAGCTGACAGTGTATGAAGCAGTGCCAGGCTGGACCGAGATACCGTCATCTTCGTACCAAGTGGTAGTGAAGATGGTACCGTGCGAGGTTCCCTTGGGTGGGAAAACCTCGACGCCACGGTAATCATCAATTTCCTGTACAGAGACAGAAGCAGCAGTCTCGTCACCAGGGACACGAGTGTGTACGCTCTTGCCGACAGGGATTGCTCCACCGACACGGGCAATGAGGGCAATGCTCTTCTGCCACTCGGATGAGATCTCAGCCCATTGGCCAGATGCAAGGTACTGGTAAGGGGCATTCATGTTGACGAAACCGTAGTCAAAGACGCCGGTCTTGCGAGGGAGGTAGACATTGGCGACATTGACTCCGGTCTTGTACACACCTCCAACGAGCACGGTTTCACCGAACCAGAATTGTTCCTCGCCTGCCTTGAGTTTCGTGGTCCACACTTCGGGATCGGACTCGTAGCCCCAGCCTGTCCAACGTTGGGGCGGCGATGCGAACTTGTGGCTTTCCAGACCGAGAGAGTAGATGTAAGGTAGCATTTCGTAGCGACGCTTGATGGTGTCACGGATCTGAGGGGTAATCTCAGGGTACATGAAGGGCTCGATGACATCGCCGACGGAAGAATCTTTAGGAGAAGTCTTGAAGCAGTTGATTGCAAAGCGGGGCGCATGGCAGCCCAGTTGGACCCATCGTAGGAGGAGTTCGGGAGAGGGTTGAGGGCCCTCAAATCCACCAATATCGTGACCCTCGCATTGGAGGAGCGAAATACCGGCGTTGAGCGAGAGGGCGTTGGCACCTTTCATGTTCTCCCAGCTGGTGACATTGTCACCACTCCAAGAGGAAGCAGCATAACGAAGGGTTCCGGCAGTGGCGCTTCGGGTCAAGACGAAGGGGCGCTGCTTGGGCTCCATATCTTGCAAAGCGTCATGGGAAGACTTGCCCATCAACTCGGTGTGGATGGCGCGGCCCCAGAGGCCAACCGAGTTCTTGACATTCTTCGCAGCGGCATCGGCCACTGTGGGCTCGTTGAGAGACATTGTCCAGTCATCATCAGGTAGCGTATATTCGTTGTTGTCGTTCCACATTCCATCGATGCCCACCTTCTTCAGGCTTTGGACTCCTTCGTACCACCACTTGAAAGCCTCTGCTGAAGTGAAATCAATGTGGGCTCCATCACCACCGGTGGCACCACCGGCACTCCACAGACGCATGTACCCAGGCTCCTTCTCAGAATCCTTGAAGAAACCACCGGCATCAACGAGCTTCTGGAAGTCGGGGTGAGAAGCCAACAAGAAGGGCTTGATGTTTGTGATAAGTCGGATACCATACTCGTGCATCTTGGCAATCCAGTCTTGAGGATCGGGGAAACGAGACCGGTTCCACGTAAAGACGTTGCGGACCTTGGGCTCGGTCTCAGCAATGGAGTAGCCAGAGCTCATTTGATGAGCCGAGCAAGGAATACCATGTTGCTTGAGTTTCTCAGCAAACTCCAAAAGTGCCAGATGAGCCTTCTGCGGCTCATCCAGCATGGTGTACTTGTAACCACCGGAGATGTAGCCGTAAGCCCAACGGGGCACCAGAAGCGGGAAGCCCACAAGCTCAGCGTAGGAGCGAACCACATCTTTAATGGTCTTTCCGACGATATAGTACTGTTCAAGACCGCCATAGTCCTGGCGGTATACCTTGAAGTGTCCCCAGAGGCCATCGATCTCAGCTCCAACGGACCACAATCCGCGGCCATGGGTGGTGGAGAAGATGGCCACACATCCTTCAGCAGAGGCTTTGATCAGGAGAGGGATATGCTTGTAGAGAGGATCGGTGTTGTACACATCGTATCCGAAGGAGTCGGTGGCAGAGAGCTGGAATTGACGGCCGCTCAAGTCCATGGGTGCCGCCTTCTCGCCAAGTCCGACATGGAGACATTCGCGGTCATGCACGGAGTAGTTGGCAACACCTTCACCGTCTGCGACGAAGGATCGCAGGGGTAGATCCTCATGTAAAGGCTTTTCGGAGCCAGTCCATGAAATCTTGACAACTGGGGTGTGCTCCCAGTCTACGGAAGCGGTGACACCGGCAACATCAAATGTCTTGGAGGAGGCACTCTCCTTGGTAGAGACATTGGCGCCCTGGAGGCTGGTCTCGGGCTTGGTGACACTTGGATAGGGTGGGATAGGGTGCTCCGCGGAAGCGAAGGTGGCGCGGAATAGGTTGGGCCGAACAGCCTCGAAGGTAAAATCGAAGGCGCTCTTGCTCTTTGTGCTGCTTCTAACGTGAACGGAAGCTTCTTGGTTCGCCTGAGGCACCTGTGAGTAGCCCTTAGGGCAACTTTCTTTTTGAGGCATGATGTGCAGATGAATGCGATTGTACCAGAGGAACTGGAGAGAATGCCAGGATATTCACAGACATGGTGGCTTATTTGAATGCTTGTCGAGCTCGTAGGAACGTACCCCGCCAGTGAGGTACAGCTGTATAGAGTCGGAGATCGGGAAGAAAGACCGAAAGGCGGAGACACGAAATTTAACTCGGCGCGGGGTGACAAACGAGACAAACTTTGGAATCTCCGAAATGCGGGCCGATGGTGTTTGACCCCACAAATCACCCCAGTCCGGGGCCCCAAGATGGTCTCGGCTGTCAGACTTGCGCTAATTTCGCTAGTCTTTCGGTTTTTCTCACCGAAGTCCGATACTAAGACTTCTGGGCACTTGCCACAACTCCTCTTCTTTCCTTCCCCCCTCCCACGGCAATTGTCGTTGTGAAGTGATTGGATAGCTGATCGGACGTTGGCCGTGGTGCCGCAGGGATCGTGTCCTTCCGTGTCTCTCCAGATCAACTGACCGTGCAGATATACGCAAACTTACTTTCATTGGCGACCATGCCATGGGCTAAAGGGACAAATCAAATGCCGTTTATGGTGTGACACTTCGGGTTTGTTGCTCTCGTCCGGGGAGTGTAATATACTTCCTTCCCCACGGGGTTTTAGATGTACTGTGTTCGAGCCCTACTTGTCTTCAGTGAGCCCCATAAGCCATCTCCACCAATTTTTGAATCAATTATTGGGTTTCTTCTTCTACTCTATCTGCCGCTGTGAGTGATTAAACATGTCGCACGAGGCATCATCACATTCAAAGGGCCAGCAGGAGGAGTTCGTGGAGACCATTGAGCCTGAGCAATCGCAGGCTGCCTCCCCGCACAAGAATGACACAAAAGGTCAGCCCAAAGGAGACCAGGCGTTGCAGCTCATCGAAGAGGCAGGGCACTCGAACATTCTGACCCCGGAGAACAACGCCCAAGTTCTTCGAAAGATCGATTTGCGTCTGCTTCCCATTCTCTTGGGAATCTACTTCCTGCAGCAACTGGACAAATCGACCATCTCGTATGCCTCAGTGTTTGGAATCGTTGAGAAAGCTCATCTCCATGGCCAGCAGTACTCCTGGCTAGGAGGCTCGATCTATCTAGCCCAGTTGGTGTTCCAACCTCTGGTTGCCTATCTTCTGGTGAAAGTACCCCTGGCCAAGTTCCTTGCTGTATCTTGCCTTCTATGGGGCATTGCTTTAACATGCATGACGGCAGCAACGAACTTTGGAGAGTTGCTTGCGTGTCGAATCTTCCTTGGTATCTTCGAGGCTGGAATCGGTTCGTCGTGTCCTTCTCCCCCTATACTGCCCCTGCTGACGACACGCTCTACCAGCCCCGGCCTTTATCGCAGTGACCCAAATGTGGTACCGTCGTCGTGAGCAGCCAGTCAGATTGAGTTCCTGGTATGCAATGAACGGAGTTGTGAATATGGTGGGTACACTCCAACCGTAGCCTCGACCTCGTTCCTGGAGTTGACATGAGATGATAGTTTGGAAGCCTGATTGCATTTGGACTCGGACACATCAAATCGTCCATTTTCGCACCCTACCAGGTCAGTTTTTCGAATGTGTTGGCCTGGTCATCTGCATCTAACGCCCCTTAGATCATCTTTCTCTTCTTCGGCCTGGTGACTGTTGGGTTCTCTGCCGTTATCCTGTAAGATTTGGCCTCATCTCTCTGATGAGCATATACTGACACCTCGTCAACAGTGTTTTCATGCCAGACTCGCCCGTAGCGGCTAAGTTCTTGGGAGAGGAAGACAAACTGTTGGCTATTGAGAGACAGCGGATGAACCAGCAGGGTGTTGAAAGCCAAGAGTGGAAGTGGGACCATGCAAAAGAAGCGTTCTTGGATCCCAAGTCGTGGTTCTGGTTTGCTTTGATGTTCTCTATCTCGTGAGATACACCGACAAACCAATCCATCCAAACTCAGGTTACTGACGACATTCCAGCGTTCCCAGCGGAGGCATAACCACATTCGGTCCCTTGATCATCAAGTCTTTCGGACTAAGCGAATACGATACTATGTTATTCAATATTCCATTTGGTGCGGTCCAGCTTGTCGCGACAATGGGCGGAGCCTGGCTAGCAACCGTATGGAAGATGAAGAGCCCAGTCATAGCACTTCTCTGCCTCCCACCCATCGCAGGCTGTGTGATGCTGCTGCAAATTGCGCATGACAACGCCCACAAGGGACCCTTGCTTGCAGGTTATTACATTGTGAGTGTTTGAACAAAATTACGAAAACAGTATGTGGTAAAGTTCTAACAAGTGGCATCCAGATCTCCGTATACCCAGCTATCAGTAAGATTTTGGCAAAAGCCCAGCACTGAACATCACTGACAATGTCCAGCCCCAATGATCTATTCATGGTCCGCAGGAAACACAGCCGGCGAGACAAAGAAGAAAGTCACAACCGCTATCCTATATGTTGGCCAGTGTGCCGGTAATGTACGTCGCGCCCGAGTCTTAGTATATGCCTTCGCCTTAACATTCCCCTTTCCAGGTTCTCGGGCCAAATCTCTACACCACGGCTGAAGCACCACTATATCGCCGAGGTCTGCTTTCGAAGTGAGTATACCCTGAAAGCTCTCTCGTGGTAAGATCTCTAACATTCGACCAGCCTCGCACTATTTTGTGTTTTAATAGGCCTCACTGGGTAAGTGACCGTCGCCTAATTTTACATGAGCGACACAAGTCTAATTTGTTAAAACAGGGCAAACGCTGCATATATGTTCTATCTGAACAAGAAGCACGAGAAGAGACGAGTAGCTGTCGGAAAGAGCGCCAAAATCGTAGACCAGTCGATGCAAGCCGTTCAAGCCGTCTCTGATGCCAAAGAAGACCAGCCCCAGCAAGCAGCAGATGACAATGCCTGGAAGGACTTGACTGATTGGCAGAATGAGGACTTTGTCTATGTTTTCTAAGAAATTACGAGTCGAGTGTGTTATAGGTAGTGGGAGGCTGTTTTGAATTTGCTCTATGAATTTGCCATTGTACAATTGGACGTAACTAGGAACATGACTTGATTTTGAAAATACTTTTGATTGCCTCAAAGAGTAATGGTGTGCTTCATGAGGAGCAGTGGCAGTCTTGGTACCTTGTATAGCCGGCTCGGCGCAAAAGCCGAACCCCGCGTTTCTCCAGACTTTCCCTTTCCCGCCCCTGAACAGTGTCGGTGAAGAGAAAGTACACCCGACTCGACATGGCTGATGAGCCTGGTTGCAGTCCGTACAGCACGGTGATAGAAGGCGAATCTTTACACCTTGTCCCAGCGCCAGTAGGGAAAAAGCGCATCCCGGTACGTCGCCATCACGCCAATCGAAGACCGCAAAAGACTGGACAAACCCTAACGATGTATGGCGTTCCCGATGCATAGAAAGCCTGCAGCGCCTGCCGACAATCAAAGGTCTGTGCCCAAAGCCCCCAGAGACTGGCTGTTTTAAGACATTTAGCTGATTGTGCCAAGGTGAAATGCGACGGAGAGAGACCGTGTACAAGGTGAGCTACAAGTTTATGGAACATAAAAAAGGCCAGATTCTTATTGATAAAATAGATGCCAGAAGTTGGAAAAGCAATGCGTCTTCTTTGAAATACCAAAGGACCCCGTCTCAGAGTATGCACCAATCTTGTTTAGCGGCCAACCAACAGCGCCTATATTGACCAACACCAACTAGGCGAATAGAGGGTGTTGAATATGAAGTTCAATATCTTCGAAAGCAGCTTGATGATATGCGCGAGCTTCTTCAACAAAGTCGTGCGCAGTCCACTCCCAAATCCTCTCAACTGGCACACTCCCCAAGTCACCTTCGTGGTCGGCAACCCCTGTGCCATGAGAGCGCTTGCGGCTCCTCGGTATCCCAGTACCCGCATACGCAGGATTGTCCGCAGGAATACGGAGATGTTTCCGCTACAGATCCGGGCTACACAGATGGTCATCGGTTCCAAAGATCTATGCCAGCGTCGATGCCAACTGTCTCACCAAATGAACTTGCAACTCAATCAGTCTATGCATCAAATCTTATTGTCACACGACCACCCAAAAGAAAGCGATCAGGCTTCGAGATTCGGGATGAGCCTATCGCCGACTTTATTGACAAAGGGCTCATCACATTTGAATGTGCTCTGTCATACTTTAACACGTAAGTTCCCTCCATACTTCATTGACAGTCTATGATTATGGCTTGCTAAACCGATCCTTAAGGTTTTTTGAGGGATGCGTATGTATCATCTGCTAAAGCAAAATTAATGGATTGAATACTCATGCTCCACAAAATGTACAGGATAGATACATGCCGATCTTCGACCCTCAATACGACACTTTCGGGTCCATCAGATCACGAAGTAGCATACTTCTGAACGCAATATGTACCATTGGCTGCATGGTCGAGACAAGTAACATCATTCACTCAATCCAAATGGCGCGTTTTGTTGCTGACCAGCACATTCTCAGGATCCGGGGGCCCAATGTCCGACCTTCTCCACGTGGAACTCAAAAAATGGATTAATGTTATCATTCAAAACAGGGAGCTTAACTGTTTGGAGTCAGTACAAGCAATGCTAATTGTTGCTTGTTATTCCAAAGAACGCTCTTTGATTCTATCCTTTGCTACTCGCATGGCTCTAGATCTGGGGCTGCACGAGGCCTTCGATGAGCTCACCCAAAGATTGGCTCTCCGAAATGAAGATATAGCATATGCTTTGCCTCATCAGATGTTAGAAGAGGAGAGAGCTCTTATGTGGAAATCTCGGACCTGGTTTGGTCTCTTGGTTCTCGAACACATGTAAGATGATCTTGACGGTTCAAAAGGATATCCGAAACTGATGCTGTACAATACAGATTTCGCGTTGATGGGGGTAAGCCACCTGGTATTCGACTTAAAGGGAATTCTCGGCGTTGCCGGGTCTTGCTTGGACATCCCTCTTCGACAATCCTAGATTTACGGCTGTTTTCTCAAGTGGAGGTTTGTCAAATGGCCCAAGATATAAATTGTGAGAAATGCTAACCTTGGCCTTCAGCTGAATATTCTCAGAGGTATGAGAATACTTGCAATATGCTGCTAGCACATAACTAAAATCGACTCCATAGCAAATGTCGGAGATACCCTCGGAGGATCGAACTCGCTTGATGGACCAAGCATCATGGATTACGTGCATGATATGAAGATAGAACTGGACTTATGGTTCGAGTAAGTTTCTGTTAGCACCATGTTCAAAGTTTGAATAAACTCACTAACTATCAACAGTGATTGGTTACGCATTATCGGTATGACTGAACTCCCAATGATCCGCTAAGATTTCTGATTTTTCGAAGAGAGTTGTGATGCTGCAGCAGAAGAAAAGCCATCTCTACTGGTGGCTCTTCGGGTGCAAAAGTGCTGGGCAGAAATGATGCTGAACTGCAAAGCACTGCGATCCATGGGCGTGGAGAACGTAGCGCAAGTGCTTTCCTACTCAATGCACCGGCACTCTTGCTAATATCAATCTCAAGTGCTATGTCTACCACAGAGCGAACCATACTTCTTACCGCAAAAGCCAGCGCCCGTCGACACCTCCGTCTAATCATCACCGATCCAGACTTCTACCTCGCCAAGCTAAAATATGCCATGGACTTCGTCTGGGCTAAGTGTGCCTTTTCGTTCCTTCTACTCCTGAAGTTATCTCGTCTTCTGCCTGAGCGCGACGAGGAGCATCAAGAGCTGCTGACAAATGGCAATCAACTCGTCGACGAGTTGAGCAAGGCCGGTGCTAGTGGAACACAGTCCGGCGCCGGGAATATCTATCTTCAGATTCTGAAGGTCAGCATTGAGAAGTACGGGCGTGCATTGATGGAGACACAGCAATCCAGCTCGGATGGGCCCACAGCCACGTCGCCGTTCTGGGAATTGTTCGACGCTCAGGCGGATCTTCAATGGTTTGTGCCTGAGCAATTTGTGTCCGAATGGGATTTCCCGGGGTTGAATCTGTTCTATTTCCCTACTGCTTGGCAGGATTTCTTCGGTGACTTTTCGTTGGCTATGTAGATTAACACCCTTGTGGGTGGGCGCATCAGTGACGGGAGATCAAGGAGGCAAATGTTCGTTCGGTTAATTGCTGCTCCCGGAGAGCAGTAGCTGTTAATTTGAGATATTCACTTTTCTAGTAGCCCTCTATCTAACAGTTGGGATCTAATGAGCCCTGGATATCAAAACAAGTGAAAAGGACCATGGAAATAAAGGCAGATGCGTCAACTTTCATCACAAGCAGGACCGAGCGTACTTAACCGAGGGCTTGCATAGCAAGCTCGACACTAGAGAAAAATTCGTTAGCTGCAATCCTTTCAGTTTGGAGACCGAAGCAACATACGTTAGGAAGGTTCCGGCAGAGACAGGCATAGCTCTCAGCAGAGTAGGTCCGATACCCTTCCAGAATCCACCAAGACCCTCAACGGCGTAGGTCTTCTTGAAGCAGTCACGCATGCTGCTGAACTTCTGGTTGGCACCGAATCCATCGGTCTGCATCTTACTCTTGACAACATCGAAGGGGTAGCTGGAAAGCCAGAGAGCCTCACCAGCGAGACCACCGTAGATGGCGACCTTGGTGCTGCCGAGGTCCTCGCGCTTGAGACCGTTGTACTTGGCGTCCTGGTTCATCATGAACTCGAAGGCCATGAACCAGGTTCCGTAGGCCTGGGCCTCACGGAGCAGGGTAACTGCCTGACCGCGGTAGAGACCACGGAAAGCACCGCCTTGAGAGGCGAGCTTGCTCACACAGTCAATAGGACCAGAGTACAGACGACCAGCGCCGTGTGGCTGGGCCTGCAGACGAATACGGACGTGCTCAATGGGACCAGAGAGCACAGAGTTGGTCAGACCGGCGAATGAACCAGCCATATAGTACTGGACATAGGAGAGGTCTTTGACGGCGTATTTCTTCTTGTTCAGCTCTTCCAAGCGACGACGCGCCTCATGGTAGGCACCGAATTGAACAGAAACCTATTGTTGATTAGGGCTTTGTTGATGAACCGGGCCGGTGAACTTACACAAGCACCGATTCCGATAAGTGGGGTCAGGGTTCCCTTGTAGAAGGCCGTGGGGCCTTCCTTCTTGAAGATCTGAGTCGCAGCATCCAGCGCACTCTTGTATTGAGTGGTAGTCTGCAGGCGGACCTTGACAATGTCTGAAATTATTAATTAGTGCATGATCATCGCGTGCTGAGCTGAGATCACATACCAAAAGGTTGACCTGGCGATTTGTTAGCAATTGGTCTGAATTCGGATTGAATGAATGAATGTGCTCCAAAGATATCGAGTATCGTAGAGGTAGTTTCATGAAATGTCGCTTCCTCGGAGTTCATTCAATTGAGCACACATACCGAGGAGAACCTGGGCCATTCCACCAGCTGCGCCCGCGGCCAAATCCTTGACGGTGCGAAGGGCACCGCCGCCTTGCTCAATCTGGTCAATTGTCTCGGTCTCCATTGTGAATTGATGAACAAGTAAGCTCCAGCGAGTATAAGGTCAGGGAGAGACTCCAGGCTTTAAGTCTAATCCGCCTATCGCGATCGCGCCATCTCACCGCTGATTGGGTGATAGCACCGAGGCACGTGATTTTACCGACGGGATTCTTACATAATTTTGAATTCCGGCCCGGGGAAGTCTTGGCGTTTATTCCATCGGATTTTATATACAACCGGAGGCGATTGAACAGGTCAAAAGACATACGTACTCTTCTGAGATTCTCTTTGGAGAATCTCAGAAGAGTATACTCATTGAGCTTTCAAGTTGGGGACAGCCCTGGAGCTACAGGCTACAAGATCGATACTCACACCAAATCTGAATTCCGCCAAAGCTCCACTGGTTCCCAAATTCACCCCGCAAAGCAAGGTGGGGGATCTCATGGCTCTCCCTTTTGCCCAAAACACTCTTATTACGGACAAAATTTGGTAGAAAAGAGATATTGAGATTACCCGTGGTTAAACAGGCAGTTGCATGGCAATTGGATACATTATGAACCCCATGCATGTCTGGAAAATGAGCTGACTCAAAAATCAAAACAGCCCGAAGATGAATAAATTCAGACAACGTCACACGCATGCTCTCTCTTCTTTGAACGCTAGGTTCTGTAAACATGGTGCATGGAACAAGGTCCCATGCCATGCACCATGTGCAGTTCTTGAGGTGACTAGAATCCAAAGCAAAACTACTGCCCCACTCAAGATCTTGAAAAGTGCATTCCAGTCAGCACTGTAAAGATACCTGGAATGGCGATATAGTAGCACTCACTGTTCCAAAAACTTTGAAGAACATGATGTCCATCTCAATTCCCAGCTCCATGGTGTTTGCAGCGTATACACCAAGCGGAAAAGTAAATCCCCACCATCCCATGTTGAATGGGAATGGAGTTTTGTGCAACACTGTTGCAAGCGCAAACACTAGCCATATCAAACCGAAGCTCCACATGAGAAGGGAGATAAAAATCCCCAGAACATACGCCATTCGACCCGCCAAAGGGTCTATAAGGTCACTGTTCTGGAGTAGGTTACGAGACACTTTCCCTATGTATAGAATGCTACTAGCATGTAAGCAATTTTCTCCCCAAGAGAAGTAGTCTCAACAAAGGGTTATGCTCACCCAAAGCCACCAAAGCCAAGGGGCCCCAGCGGCAGGAAGCAGCTGACTATCACTTCTCTTGGTGGAAGCTTGTGCACTGCGAGTCGCTGGTAGTAAATCACTAAGACAACGATCGCCAACGGAGTTCCCATGCCCCATAGGATGAAAGACACCAGGAGTGTGCCTAGCGCATGTTGTTGATTTGGAAGAATGCCGGCGACTTCTGCACCTGCACCTGCAGCGACAATTGTGGCTGCAATTGGCAGTAACTGGAGAGCAGTGATCCGATCTAGCGAGGTTATATGGTCCTGAGATATTCTAATCCAACAGTAAGTAAGTGGATAGAGCATGCATCAGTTGAAAGCCGAGTAACTGACAGTATAAACGATATCGACAGGGTGACAGAAGCTGCCGCGACAACGTCCACCATCCATAAGACCCACGCGACAGTTTTGGCCCATTCGCCCCACAGTGGAACACAGACGAGCACCCACATCTCAATGAGTGTTGCAAATCCCATCGGGATGGTGGCCAAGAAGAGCGAGTTCACTGGGTCTTTGATCATTACGCTCCAAATCTCCGGATATAATGTGTACCGAAGAATCGAAGTGGTCATGGCCAGAGCGAACAAGATCGTATTCAAAATGAAGAACGTAATGGATAAGTAGTAGAGAGCTGGAGTATGGAAGGGTATTGAGGTCAGCAGAACCGACACGATGCCTGTGCCCATCGTCACGGCAAACCATCTACTGGATGTTAGTTGATTCTTCATTGGAGACATGGCTCTCGTACGAAGGACTGAAATTCCGCACAACGCGTCTCCAGCCCACATCATGTTTGGTAATGCGTGTGCAAGATTGAGACGTTTCACTCATGGTCAAGTCGGTAGGACTGGTGTTGATAAGAAAAGAAGACCGGGAAGCCGAGGGAATTGATATCTCACTGCCAAGTGCGGGTGTCGCCGAACCGCGTGGGGGAAAAGGTTAATTCAGTCATGGGCCATTTTCCCAAATCCAAACACAACTCAGGTCGAATGTTTCATTCTCAATGCCCGGCGTCAATAATCAGGGCTCACATTTTATCAAAACTACGCTTCGGAGCATCAAGTTTTCACAGACAAAAACATTGAAATGTAGTCTGCTAAGGGCTTACCCATCAGGTGTGGAGTTGCCCTCTTGTTGCTGTTGCTGTTTCCCTCCCATATTTCAAGCCAGTAGCTAGGCCCATGAGACCTGAGTGTCCTGTAGGAAACTTCGAAAGGGCGGGTCGGTCATATTGTACCTCCGTGCCCATCACTGCAAGTTGACGAGCCCAATTTCACTCGGTGTAAGTCACCCCGAATCTCGGCCACTTCCCCGCGCTAGATCGCAGCAAAGGAAGATCACTTCCTTGTCAATAAGCCAGAACAACAAGGCCACCTCCAATGATGCTCCGATCTCTTTCAAGTCTGGGGTTGACAACTCCACTCCCCCGTGGGGTAGATAACACATTTCCGGACTTATTCCGATTCACGACTTTCCAGATTGCACGTATGATGCTTATAACACCAGACTCTCCCCCCATGACCGAAAAGATTTGATCTTTTTAACTTTCAGTCTCCAAAATCCTTTCTCATCATGGACAAGTCAGTAGACGAGCATGTCGAATACCAAGAGGAATCCGACCACAAGGGAAGTGCCTTGGAGCAAGATGCCCTCTACCAAGCATATGCCTCCAAAGGCCCTGAATGGCATCAGACTATGACCAAACGCCTGCTCCGCAAAGTCGACTGGCATCTGTTGCCTTTTCTGATTCTGATGTATCTTTTAAACTTTTTGGACAGAAAGTGAGTGCCCACCCCGCACTACAGCGATTCCATCGCCGTAGCTAACAGCTTTCTTTGCAGCAACCTTTCCCAAGCTCGTTTAGGTACGCTCGAAGAAGATCTGGGTATGGGTGGTACCGACTACAACCTCGCCACGAGTATTCTCTTTGTTGGATACCTGTTGATGCAGCTCCCATCCAACCTGATTCTTACTCGAGTCCGACCCTCGCTGTTTCTGGGCATCGCAATGGCCATTTGGTAAAAACTCGATTTGGCACCTGGATAATGACATACTTATCGTCGATGTAGGGGTGTCATTTCCGCCTGCCAGGCGGCTATTACCTCATTTTCAGGTCTAATCGTCACACGGTTTTTCCTTGGATTTGTTGAAGCGCCTTTCTTTCCAGGCGCTGTGATGTTAATGTAAGTTGATATGGAACACAATCTATCTTGCGACATCGTCTCACATTTATTTCTTGCAGGTCAAGTTGGTATACCCGACAGGAGGTAACTGAGCCATTTCTTTCCGATCCATGAGATTCATGTCTGACATGCTCGCACAGCTGAGCCATCGCATTGCCTGGTTCTATGCCGGAAGCTCACTTGCCAACGCTTTTGGCGGCCTCATCGGGGCTGGTGTTCTGGGTAATCTCAGCGGAGCACAGGGTATTGCAGGATGGCGATGGCTGTTCATTATCGAAGGATGTATCACTGTGGGCATTTCGCTCCTCGCCAGGTGGGTTTTGATAATGCGGTCGTCCCATCTTCATGGCTATTTACTAACTCTTTTTAGCATCTTTCTCCCAAATTACCCTGCTTCAACTTCCTGGTTAACCGAGGAGGAACAAGCTTATGCGCAGTGGCGTCTGATGCACGATGCCGGAGAAGCTGATGAGGTTGGCTCAACAAGTACCAAAGAGGCCTTGGCCTTGGTTTTTGCGGACAAACGAATCTACCTCTTCATCCTCCTCCAGCATGTTTCGCTCTTGTCCCAGAACTTCCAATATTTCTTCCCGACAATCGTGCAAACCCTGGGCTACGGCAATGTCGAGACTCTTTTGATCACCGCGCCCGTGTGGATTGCCACATTCTTCGTTTCGCTGATTGTCACATGGACCTCAGGAAAGACGAACGATCGCAGTATACACATTATCTGCTTGATGATGGTCAGCGTGATAGGGGGCGTTATTTGCACCGTTACCACCAACATCGGCGCCAAGTTCTTCGCTATGTTCCTGTGAGTTTTTGGTGATCCTGCTTTCCTCTATAAGACTAACATTAAACAGTATGCCCATGGGAGCGGTGTCTGCGTATCAAATTATCATTGCATGGGTCGCTAACTCCTTCCCTCGGCCGTTAGTAAAACGGTCCGCGGCAATCGCGATCGCAAACATGATCGGAAATACTGCCTCGATATATGGTAGTTATATGTGGCCCTCGTCTTCGGGGCCTCGGTATATCCCTGGAGGAAGTGCGACCGCTGCGATTGCATTCTTCGTCGCGGTTATTGCCTTTATCATTCGCCTGGTCCATGTTCGTATGAACAAAAGACTAGATGAGGACGAACACGCTGAAGTACCTCCTACAGGCGCTCCAGCTGATCTAGAGACCCGAGTGGTCGGATTCCGGTATATTTTGTGATTTGAATGGATTTGCTGGATGGATTTGGATATAAAAAGGGAAGCACATGGGTACTCGTTCCAACACCCCCATTACCTATGATCCATAAATATAAGCTCAGATAAGCTTGGTAATTGAATAATAATATTGTCAACCGATTGTGGTGTTTTAGCAAAAGAGCACCGCCTGGGAATATCCCCAGGGCCGTCACACGTTCGGAGTGGGGTTGTGTTGTAACCGCACTCGCCATCACAGTCCAATCAAAGGCAACTTTCCCTTTCATTTCTAATTCCTTCTCTCCCCTAAAGCCAATATTTCGCTCAACTTGTTTCCTTCTTGCATCCTTGAATGTGTGTGCTTCTTCAATAGAAGCCCCAATATCATCGAGAGCGCTTGGTTAGCGTGAACATCATCCACTTGTGCCCGCTAGAATGGTATGGCCTCGAACCAGTCATACTGTACTTCGTTTCATGCTAATAGTTGACTTAGTCGAATCCATCATTTACCTCAATTCCTATTCTGGACTTTGCTCAAGCGACTTCCTCCAAGCTTGAATTTCTGGAAGCACTTCGTGAGGCTCTTGTAAATGTGGGCTTTTTCTATCTCCGAAATGCTCCCGTCCTTGCTCAGACGCAAGAAGACTTTACAAAGAAGGCTTTGGATCTCTTCGATTTACCACTCCAAAAGAAGCTTGAGATTGAGATGGTGAACAGCCCACATTTCTTAGGTTATTCAAGACTCGGTGCAGAGATCACGGCCTTGAAGCCAGACCACCGGGAGCAATTCGATGTAGGGACGCGCTTTACACATCTGCGAGTCTCCACTAACTTTCTTCTCTTTCTTCTCAAGTTTGCAACTGAGCTCCCAGCACCTGGTTCGGATGAGCCTTTGTATAGGAATGTAGTCGGGCCTAATCAGGTAAATATGCATTCTAGTGCCTCGAGCCATTCGTTTCCGCAGACTTATCCACATCTAATCAGTGGCCCGACGAAAGAGCGCTTCCTGGTTTTCGAGACGCATTCGATAAATACCTGTTCGAAGTGAGCAATCTGGCAGAGCAATTTCCGGGTCTGATCGCGGAGGCTTTAGACCTCCCGTCAAATGCATTCGATGAGGTATTCGACAGCCCTCAGCAACATAAGCTCAAGCTGATCAAATATCCCGCTCCAACCGAAGCCAGCAATGGTGACTCGGGCTTTCAAGGAGTTGGACCACATAAGGACTCTGGATTCCTCACATTTTTGTTGCAGGGAACACCACATCATGGACTTGAGGTACAGAATAAGTCGGGCACATGGGTTTCCGCTCCACCCCTCCCCGGTACACTAGTGGTCAATATCGGTCGATCTCTGGAAGCGCTTACAGGAGGGATTTGCACCGCGACCACTCATCGCGTCAGTTTACGACCGGAGAACTTCGAGGACAGCACAGGTTCTCTGGGTCCGAGGTTCTCCTTCCCGGTTTTCCAAGGAGTGAGTCTGGATCTTTCTGCGGAGAAGATTTCATTGAAAATCCCGGAATCCATCCGTGCCTTGGTCAAAGACGCCAAGGTCAAATCGGACGCAGAGGCAACTTTCAATAAAATGTTCCATGGGTGCATTGGCGAAGGCACTTTCGTTGCTCGGGTTACCAGTCACCAAGACGTTGGGCAGCGGTGGTATCCTGAGGTCTTGGAGAAAGCACTGAAGGGTCAAAAAGAATTTGTCGCTTGATTTACAAAGATAGGCCTGGCTGCCGATCACATATCTTCAGTTCACGGTTTAGCCAAGACTTCCTTTACTTGACCAATCACCATTACTCGATAGTTCGTTCAAGTAAAAGTCAGCCAAGTTATAAATACTCTCAAAGTCAATGAAAATTGTAATAGAGCTTCCCTGAGAAGAAGATCTGGCAGTGATCCTCCAGGTAGTCCATGATCTTGGACCCTGACCCTGAACCTCTTTCTTGGCAGTGTTTTATTACACTTGAATATAACCGTTCAAACATGACCTCTGTAACCGACGCGCAAGGTCTTTAGGATTCTGGAATGTTTATCCAAGCGAATGAGCCAGACAGCCGCATAGCTGCTGGGCGCAGGACGCGTCTATCTTAAGTTTTCTCAATGCTTTACCACTAGTTTCGGCCATTATTATCAGTCTAGCAATGGCTGTCGAATTATTAGCCTTGAGCGGATAGCGTGAATGTAGCTTGCATTGGTAGTGTGGTTCCTCTGGGTGATGTTGAGAAATTCACCACTCGTGCAAAAGAAGTCACGAAAGGTCTTCCTGAGAACGAGAAAATAATTCTTACCGTGCGGGACGGGGAGCACGGATTCGATGCAGCTAGTTCCTACGATGAGCCGTGGCTGAAGGACGCGATAAAGTCTGCTGTGGATGCTTGGTTAGAGTGATGTGAGATTTATCGACAGACGCAACGCATTTTCGTTTTTTATGGCCGGGCAATTAGTAGACTAATTGCAAATGCAGAGCTGAGTAACTTGAGTAATTATCTTATTGGTTGTTTAGCATCAATTTATTACTAACTTATTAGAAAGTTCTAATGGAAATAAACTAAAGACATCAGCCTTTCTTATACAAGTGTTATATCGGGCAGCACTGAGCTTGTCTTAACCCTCAAATGTTTGGTAAGCCTAAAAAGGCAACTCAAGTCAGTTTTGATTAAACATGGAACATTTACCACTTTTATCTTGGACATCTCATCTCTCTGGCTAATTCTTAGAATTAATAACGGTAGTCCAATGTCACCGTAGCTTGCGGAGTAATGCGCACGGGATACGGAATACAGCAAACAAATCTTATCCCAGCCCCTTTGCCCCTCATGGATCCCCCAAGCAAACCTCATTTGTTTGCTGCTACAAACACTCCAAGACAGTTCTAAGATGCGCTGGAATCGATTGTTGCTGTGGCTTTTCGCGACAACTGCGGTCGCTCAATACACTGATGGAATCTCCAAGCTTGTTAATCGACGGCTACCAGAACAAATTGACAGTTTTCGGTTTGAGATAAATTCCAATCTCACTGGGGGCTACGATGCCTATGCTGTGGAAAGCTCCCCCGATGGTACAATTTTGGTAGAGGGAAATTCACTCAGCGCGTTATCTACTGGGTAATATCACCCAGCACACCTTTATGTTCAACGCGGCTGACTCCCGCCTCAGACTTCATCGCTATCTTACAGATGCCGTTCATGTTGATATTTACTGGTTTATTGGCAGCAGACTTGATGTCGCACCATCCAACTTACCTCGTCTAGACAAACCTATTCATGGATCCAGCACAGTCCCTTGGAGGTATCACTTCAACACAGGTGAAATTCACATTACCATGATCGCATTATTCCCACACCTGACAAATTCCAGTGACCTTCTCCTATACCACAGCTTTTTGGAGCTGGGAAGATTGGGAGCTGCAACTTGATTGGATGGCTCTGCGTGGCATTAACCTACCCCTTGCATGGGTTGGCCAAGAAAAGATCGTGGTGGAAGTTTTCCGTGAACTCGGGCTTATTGATTCAGAGATTGGCACTTTCCTAAGTGGTCCAGCCTTTCAGGCCTGGAATCGGTTCGGCAACATCCAAGGCTCCTGGCATGGTGATCTCCCGAACTCATGGATCGATGAACAATTCGACCTACAAAAGAAGATTATTCATCGCATGGTGGAACTTGGAATGACCCCGGTGCTCCCATCTTTCACTGGGTTTGTTCCCTCTAACATCACTCGCGTTCTACCGAATGCGAACGTAGTCAAGGGCTCGAGATGGGGCGGCTTTCCTATTCAATACACCAACGACACGTTCCTTGAACCTTTTGACGAGAACTTTGCTGCCTTACAAAGCAGCTTCATTAGCAAACAGCAGGCTGCTTATGGTAATATCAGTCATATTTACACCCTCGACCAGTACAACGAGAATGACCCCTACTCTGGCGACCTCGATTACCTGCAAAATGTCACTCGAAACACCTGGCGGAGCTTGAAAGATGCTGATCCCCAGGCTGTGTGGATGATGCAAGGCTGGCTGTTCTACGCAAATTCTGCTTTCTGGACCGATGAGCGAGTGGAAGCATATCTCTCTGGCGTGGATTCGAATGAGGACATGTTGATCTTGGATCTCTTCTCGGAGTCAATACCCCAGTGGAAGCGAACAAACTCGTATTACGGCAAGCCTTGGATCTGGTGCCAGCTGCACAACTTTGGAGGAACCATGGGATTGTACGGACAAATCCAAAATCTGACTCAAAATGCAACGCAGGCACTGATCGAGTCCCCATCCATGGTTGGGTACGGTCTAAGTATGGAGGGACAAGAAGGGAACGAGATTGTATACGATCTGCTCCTTGATCAAGCGTGGTCTTCATCCCCGTTGGACACGCAAGAATACTTCCATGATTGGGTCACGAGCCGGTATGCTGGCCAAGACAAGACGCCGGATGGTCTGTATATTGCATGGGACTTGATGCGAGAAACAGTATACAACAATACAAATATCACGACGCTGGCTGTGCCAAAGTCCATTGCAGATGTCGAGCCCAAATTGTGGAATATAGTTGATGTGGTCGGAACACATGGCACTACCGTCAACTATGATCCCTCTGTCCTCGTACGGGCGTGGCAGTCCTTGTACGAAGCAGCGAATGAAGAACCAAAGCTGTGGTCCAACCCTGCCTATCAGCACGATATAATTGATGTGACGCGCCAAGTAATGGACAACGCATTCATCACTCAATACTTGGATCTGGTGGAGTCTTACAATCAATCTCGATCCGACCAAGCCAGTTTCGCCAAGCAAGGCAAGGATCTGATTCAACTTCTGACTGATTTGGATGCTATTCTGCTCACCAATCGCAATTTCCGCCTATCGACATGGATTAATTCAGCACGGGTTTGGGCCCATGATAACATATCAGAGGCATATTTCGAATATAACGCGCGCAATCAGGTTACTCTCTGGGGACCGAACGGGGAAATCTCGGACTATGCATCTAAGCAGTGGGGTGGACTTGTGTCTTCGTACTATGTTCCACGCTGGGGGATGTTTGTGGAATACTTGAAGTCTACTCCGAACACATCTTACAACGCCACCGAGCTGCACACAAAGATACGAGCCTTCGAGAACCAGTGGCAGGATGAGACGTGGACTGTCCCTGATCCCACTGGAGATGAAGCAGACATAGAAAAGACTCTGGAGCGAGTGGTACGCGCCTGGCCATCTATATTCGGCCAATAGTGATGCTGTTGGTAACGGAAGAGAGGGGTTATCATCGACTTGGGGAGTACTTATAACTTGGCTATCTTTCGAGCTGTCTTTTTTCCTGTTCTTTCAACTGATCATCGAGTAAGTGTGATTCGTCGAGCAAAGAAAGTCTTGGCTAAGTCGTGAACAGAGAATTCAGGATTGGGGACTCATTCAAGATCAAGAAGAAATGAATTATTGATCACAAGCTGCATAAATTGTCGAGCTAGTATATGCATAAAGTACTTATGTGGTCATAATGGCCCGCAATCGCTGCTTATCGCGTGCGAAGTTGATTAGAAATGCACATCCGTCATCCCCCCGGGCCGTTATGTAGTGTCAACGTCCCCAACGGTTCCCCACGAATGTAGCTGCAATGTTACAACCTTGAAAACCAATTCACCATGGTACAATCATCGACGTCTCCATCGGAGGAAACCCCCTTGATCACTTCCAATGCCCTTCCCGATGAAGCACCACAGGCCGTGAGCTTCCTGAGAGGGTCCTTGATAGTGATCTTCATGGGCCTTCTCATATTCATTCAGGGTAAGTCGGATAAATTATCCAAACCATTGCAGTGAATTGATAGTGAATCAAAAGCTACCAATATGTCAATGATGACTACGGCACAATCCGACATTGCGGCTGATCTAGACGCGTTTGCGGACGCATCATGGTTCACCTCGGCATATATGGTACACATAATCAAGCCCATCCACGCAATGATGTCTTGAATCTAACATGTCTCCAAGATTTCCTTGTCTAGTATCACACCGCTGGCCGGAAGATTCTCCCAGATATTCACACCACGCCTCTACACGATCTTTTCCACGACCCTGCTGTCAATTGGACTCTTCGTGAGCGCCGCTGCGCCTAATCTTGGAACTTTTCTCGCTGGTCGAGTGATATCAGGGTGCGGGAGCGGTGGGTTGATGAGTACTTCGATCATTCTGGTCCTCGAGATGGCGAGTAAGAAGCGACGTGGGCTATGCATTGGAATGATCAATTGCGGATATACCACTGGTGTCGCGTCGGGTGCAGTGCTCGCTGGGTTGATCACCCCGACACTGGGCTGGCGTGTCATATTCTGGACACAGGCTCCCATGGTTCTTCTTCTGGGGCCACTTCTGTTCCTCACAATTCCTAAACCCAGGGATGGGAACAATGGTCCTTTCAATTTGAAAGAGCTACTTCATAGCCTTGCACGCGTGGATTACGCTGGAGCAATCACACTGGTGTGTGGATGTCCCCCCGCAACTTCAAGTCTGGAGTAAACTGACACTGGCAGACAACATCCTTGGTCCTCTTTCTTGTCAGTCTTGCATCTCCGCAGATCGATATATGGCCCATCATAGTATCTGTGGTATTCTTTGCTGGATTCTTGGCAATCGAGTCCCACTGGACCGCCGAGCCAATCATCCCAGTCAAGGTCCTCAAAGCTCGCAGCGTGCTGGCCACATGCCTTGCTGGCCTCGGTCTCATGATGGCCCGTTGGTCCGTCCTGTTCTTCACACCAGTATATGCCATGGCCGTTCGAGGGTGGTCCCCAGCATCAGCCGGGCTGATCCTCATTCCGACCAACGCTGGTTTCGGTCTCGGTGGATTGCTGGTGGGGTGGTTGCATATTCGTCAGGCCAGTAGTTACTATAGGTTAGTACTCCATGTCGTGAGAGAGTCCCAGGCTAACGAAGATGTAGTTCCTGTCTTGTCATTTTCGTCTGCTTCGCGCTCACTTCGTTAGGTCTTTCTTTTTTGTCAACGCCAGACTCATCCGTAGTGACATATGTCGGTGCCACATTCTTGAACGGACTTTGTGCTGGGGCGCTGATGAACTATACGCTCTCCCATCTGCTGCATCTCACCACGACACACGTGCATTATATTGTGACTGCCCTGGTGGCGATGTCGCGTGGCCTAGCAGGAAGCTTTGGATCAGCAGTAGGAGGTGGTTTCTTCGCACGCGTGCTCAAGAGTTCCCTCGAGGCAGGTTTCTCTTCTCACGGCCTGCCACAGAAGCCCGGTCTGGTCCGTAAGTTGCTTGGAAGCCCCGCCCTCGTGGCGCACTTGGATGGAGTCGAGCACATCGTAGCTATCGAGAGTTATGAGCATGCTGTGAAAATGCTGTTCTTGGCTGGTAGTATCGTGGCATTGTTTGCGACTTGTGTTCAGGCTGGGGTTGGGTGGACTCCGACGGCTGATAAGAGCGACAGAGATTGGGATGTTGAAGAATGAGTCTAGCTTCGAATGAATTGAGATTTTGGTAATGATTACACCAAGCAGCCGTACTTTTAGTATTATCAATGTGTACGGAGTAACAGATGAGACACCAGGAGGTGGTCGGTGTGAGCGTCAATGACAGAGCGCGGTCCAGACACCCGTCGGTCTTGGCGCAACTTCAGGAACCATTTCTCCCCAACTCTCCGCATCTCACTCCCCAAGCAACTACCGACCTCCGCAATGCCCCGTGCCGTTCGAGGTTTGTTTGTTTCGGTATCTGGACTTATATATCATATGCTCTGCTAACTCCACGGTCCGTGGCAGGTCTCCTGATCGAATGCGATCCTTCGATCAAATCCATGATCCTCAAGTATGACGAAGAGCGCCATGATTACATCGTGGAGGACTTGGATGACGAAAACCACCTCGTTATCAAGGAGAGCCAACTGGAAAACCTGAAAGTTCGCCTAGATCAGGTACATTCCCCTTGTTTCGCGCTCTCACAAGCACCCTCACTAACAAACCTCCCAGGACCTCGACGAGAAGATCATGCAGCTCGATGAATCCGAATCCGAATAATAGGGAGCTTCGACTCTCTTCGACCGAGGCACCTTATGCGCCCGCGGCGCAGCAAAAGGTCGACAGGATGCAAGACCCCATACCAAATCGAGTTCGTCAATGCCTATATCTCACCCACCACAATGCCGCGATAAGCATGACCGAAGTCTACATTCGATCATTTACGGGCCTCGAAATTCTATCGTTGTCTGGGTTTTGATATCCCACCGGTTCATGCAGTACCCTGGGTGCGGCCAAAACTTCGTCATCGTTGACATCTACCCGATAATGGTCAAGACCTTGATTGCTCCACGAAGTATTGACTGAGATTAGCTTTTGGAATTTCAGCTCGGGACACAGAATACACAGCACTGTGTTGTCTCCTTGGTTGGTTCCGGGTGAATCATGTTGCACGCCATCATGCGGTGTACCCTAGTTTCTAGGTAGCTTTTGCTATAATGATTGGAATAACACAGCATATGGAACTTGGATGTTTCCAGAACATACATTGTCAATCCACATCATCTTTTGAGTCAAGGGTCCTGAAAGACTCATGATGGTTCATTGCAACAATGCATGTCACGTGATCGATGTACTAGAAGCATCCAGCAGGTTGGCGAAGCGACGACAAGGTGCCAGAAGTGACACCCAACTTCTCGATGTGACTGTCTTCTTTGTGTAATGGTCGCACTTTCTAGACGCTTGTGGTCCGAAAGGATGTCTATATAACCCCCCTCCAGGCCAGGTCAACTCCCATCATCCATCAGAAAACCAAGCACTTCAAGCACTTCAAGCACTTCACAGGCTTTTTCAACAAGTTCTTCCAACTTTCCAACAAACAATCTTCATCATGTCTCTCTTCCGCACCAACTTCCCTGGCTCGGGTGACTTCTCTCCTCTCTTCCGTCTGCTTGACGACTACGACGTCCACCGCTCTGCTCGCAGCCAGCCTTCAACTCAAACCTTCTCACCTCGGTTTGATGTCCACGAGACTGACGATGCTTACCACCTTGACGGCGAACTACCCGGCATTGCTCAAAAAGATATTGAGATCGAATTCTCCGACCACCAAACTCTGGTTGTGAAGGGTCGCACCGAGTATGAGCGCCGTACCTCGGACAAGGACTCCAATGAAGACTCCGAGCAGACCGAATCAGCGTCTGAGTCCAAGCCCACGCGCCGCTTCTGGGCCTCTGAGCGCTCGGTCGGCGAATTCCAGCGCACCTTCTCCTTCCCTACTCGTGTTGATCAGGACAAGGTCAAGGCCGGCCTGAAAGACGGCATCTTGTCCATTGTGGTGCCCAAGACTACCGCCGCTGCCACCAAGAAGATCACTATTGAGTAGATGATCCGTTGATCTCATCTACTCGAGGTCCTCCTAATGCCCGCACACGACATGAAGTTTGATATTTGACTGCCTTTGCTGTTTTCTTTATTGTTCTACGCGATGGTATTTTTGAGACACCTGTCTTGATGTACTGTCCTGTCTCATATTTTCATATTCCTAATCAATTTCAGTACGCTTTATCACCCATATACTCCTGTAAATCCATATAGAAAAATAAGTACCCGGTCTGAGCTGTAAAGTCTGTACCTCGGCACGTGAAGCTTGCCCAATTCCTCATGCTGTACGGAGTAGCTTACCTATTTGTACCTCGCCTGGTCGAAGAGTAAAATTTGCCCTGTGGAATAGAATCAATACCAAATAATTAACTTATTAGTTGCATGTAAATTCCAGTCAGATGTCAAGCTGGAAGCTATCCGAGATTAAGAGGTGATGATCTAACGTGCCGAGGTCCGTTGATACTCACAGTGTTATACTCCTCTCTCCGCACCTAAACATTAAACCATCCACACCTCTCAATATGTCCGAATACGCATTTGAATATTTCACCGTGCAGTTTCCTACTGACCACAAACATGTGGCTCACGTGGAGATCAACCGCCCCGAAAGGCTGAATGCCTTCATCGAGGTGTAGGTGTCCCCCGGCTTGGCATCGAATCACCGCTAACATAGCTCAGCATGTGGTTAAATTTGGCTAAAATCTTCAATAAACTATCATCGGACCCCTCAGTCCGTGCGATTGTCCTCAGTGGTGCTGGAGATAAGGCATTTACGGCCGGACTAGACGTCAAGGCAGCTTCCGAGGGTCTCCTGTCATCGGAAACGAGCACGGATCCAGCCCGAAAGGCGGCCACTCTCCGCCGACACATCTCCGAGTTTCAGGATTGCATCACAGCAGTCGAGCGCTGCGAAAAGCCTATTGTGGTTGCCCTGCATGGATTTTCATTAGGACTTGCCATCGACCTGTCCACAGCAACGGATGTGCGATTGTGCGCACGCGACTCTCGCTTCGCAGTCAAGGAAGTCGACATTGGAATTGCTGCAGACATTGGCACCCTCAGCCGTCTTCCCAAAGTTGTCGGAAATTACGGCTGGGTTAAGGAGGTTGCCCTTACAGCTCGTGAATTTGGCGCAGAAGAGGCGCTCCGTGTTGGATTTGTGAACGCAGTATACGATACCCGCGAAGCGACTGTCGCAGCTGCTCTTAAACTCGCCACTTTGATTGCCAGTAAGAGTCCCGTGGCTGTACAGGGTACTAAGGAGATCTTGAACTATTCACGCGATCACACTGTGGAGGACGGCCTGCGCTACACGAGTGTTTGGAACAGCGCGGCTCTGCAAACGCAGGATGTATCGGCTGCTTTACTTTCAGGATTGCAGAAGCGTGTTCCAACATTCGAGAAGCTGTGAATTGGACCGAATTCGTAATTCTGTCGGCTCCCTATTGTATTGTGTATTTGTTCCAAACAATCTGATATAACACATGCAAGGCTGTTTCTTACATGAACTCGAAAGTTTTTCATCTTATCACAGTTTGTTGAGCAGAGCTGCTGCTCCACGGAGATTATTCTTCCAGCTCTCAATCGCTTGTGTAAGCATTTGGCTTGTTCTTTTTAGGGCTGTAGTGAATCCGCTTCATGCATACCTAGAAAATGACCGCAACAAGAGTTGCATCTTCCTTGACTTTGTTAGGATCCGTGAGTGCCTGGCTAAGTACGTTGAGGGCAAATTCATTTGCTTCCAAGGTTGACGTGCGACTTGGCTCAATGATGTTAAATGCCACAGGCGTCTTCCTATCTGATGTACTAGTCTACATGATGTGGAGATTCAAATATTCAGGTACTTTGCTTGAGCAAATCTGACAGGGCTGTCACGTCTCAAGCTTATTGATATCACCTGGGCGGTTTGAGGTTAAGCATATGCCCAGTCTTTTAATTGGCGGACTTCGTATGTCTTCAGATCCAAGCCCGAGTTAATTCCGAACCCAAGCGTGGTTTCGATCGTCAGGAACTTGCATTTCTCCGTTCCTTTCTCTCTGTTCTATTTTCCAGTTCCTGGGTTTTTGCACGTCATGCATCTGCCAGGTCCGTGACCAAGAGGGGAATCGCTTAAATGCAAGTTCCATGAATCACAAAGCGTGCATGATCGGGACTCCGCATTGGCAAGACGCCCTGTTTCGTCTTCGCCTTGGCACCTGCATATCCCGCAATAAACGCCATGAGACTCGGAGAACTTCACAATTCGGAGAATATCCGACTGGGCTCCTGCCCGTAGCTGTCACTTTTTCCCACGTATCCAAGCTGTCACTTGGCGTGGTATGGGAACTATAAAGCCCCAATGATGGTCTGCACTCTGTTTGTCTCCATACCACCTTGAATCCTCTCATCATGAAGACCGCCGTGCTACTTTCAGCTCTTATGCCCAGTGCGCTGGGCGCAACAATTTACCTGGCTGGTGATTCAACCATGGCAAAGAATGGCGGTGGATCAGGCACAGAAGGTATCTTCATCATCCACTCCTTTGAGATCGGGAGTACATCCTAACAACTTCCCAGGCTGGGGTGAATATGTCTCACCCTATACCTCATTGACGGTATCCAACAAGGCCATTGGCGGCCGTAGTGCGCGCTCATACACTCGCGAGGGCCGATTCGACGCCATTGCAGATGTCGTGCAGTCTGGAGACTGGGTCGTAATCGAATTCGGCCACAACGATGGTGGCTCTTTATCTACCACCGACAACGGGAGAACCGACTGTGCAGGCACTGGAAGCGAAACATGCAGCACTGTCTACGACGGTGTTGCCGAGACCGTTCTTACCTTCGGTGCCTATGTCAAGGCCGCCACGAAGAAGTTCCAGGCGAAGGGAGCTAACGTGATCATCTCATCTCAGACTCCAAACAATCTCTGGGAGACTGGTGCGTTCGTTTACTCTGAGCCTCGCTTCGTGGGATACGCCAAAACTGCAGCTTCCGAGGCGGGCGTCCCGTATATCGATCATTTCGCATACGTTGCGGACCGCTACGAGTCCCTGGGCCTCACCACTGTGAACAGCTACTTCCCGAATGATCACACTCATACTAGTGCCGATGGTGCGTCTGTCGTGTCTCAGGCATTCTTCAAGGCTGTTGTATGTGGAAACGTCGCGCTGAAGAGTTCCCTGACCACCAGCTCTTTCCCGGGCTCTTGTCTTTGATTGGCCATATAGCATGTACATAAATAGCAATGCACATATCTTCTTACTTAGCACATCATTGATTCTTGTGAGAAGTGAAATATCTTGCGTCTGGCCAAGTCACTCACGGTGAGCTGACAGCAGCCAAGACAGTCATCAAACGCGATGAGTTTCATGTAGACTAGCAACATGCATATTGATGGACATTACTAGCGTTATAGATCCCGCCATGCAGAGATAGCTAATACAAAGTCTGAAATTGCCTTTTTGCATAGCCAGAGGTGGGTAAGGCCGAGAAGGTAAAGCCGAAAAAGAAGTCCCCTTGGGGGAACCACCCACTTCCAGAAAGACCCTGATCTGGGTCGCCCCAGTGGTCAATAGCATTAGCAATTCACTTTCAGGGTTGGTGTCATGGCTCGCCATAATGGCAACACTGGCAGGAAAAGCTTTCATCTCAATGGAGTCCAAATGGCTGATAACTAGTTCAATCCTTGGTGTGTTCAAGGAAATTCAATTCAAAGCACAAGCCCTTCCTTTCGTTCTCGATGAGCAGTATGCCTCATATGTACATGGATCCCAAAATTGAATTATCACGCTCCCAATATAGACCGAACGATTCCTCTATTCGCGACTCGTTGAGCATACTGGTTCAGGCTTGGAAATCTTGGATCAAACGGTCCTTGGAGGTGTGACAGTATCTCCCGCAAAACGGGCCACAACGAACAATCGTCAATGGTGAACGCACTGCCTCCTAGATAATGCTGTCCGTGCAAAATTCGTTCCCAGTCCTCGAACCCAAACTCAAAGGAGCTGGCCGGGGCCGTAGCGAGATGTTCCCGCCAACGCTGAAAGAATCCATCGATCGCGGGCATGAAGTTACCTCCCCGTATTGGCTCCACGCCAGGTCGGGTGGACTCGATGGGTCTCCGAGCTAGATATGTGAGGAGAGCACAGTCGCCCGCGACTGTGGTTCCATTAGGTTCTTGGTACAATGGCCTTAACTGACCGGGCTGGCTCTGCTCGCAACCTATTACTTCGTAGCGAAGGCCGTTCTCCCCGAGGGCAATACACACTCGCATATCGGCCACGGGGTCTCCGCTGAGAATTAGTCGTGCAGGTGATGCGGTCACAAAATTAACCACGTCAAAGCCGCCGCCGTATACAGCGTCCCAGTCAAATTCAGTGGCACGATTTTCCTGGCCAAATGCACTGATAAGGCGTTCGGTTTCGGTGGTGTCACCGTGGATCACGGTTCGAGCTTGCTCTAACGTTTTGATAGTGGCTCCTTGACCCCAAATTGTGTTTTTTACAGGGTCGATGAAAGTGCCAATGTGTCGGAAGGTAAGAGAGATACGCTGACCTCCGTATGCTTGCTCTTCTGCGGACTTAGTCGTCTCTGGGCGTTTGTCGGCCCGGATTCCGTGTAGCCATCGCATGTTCGTTTTCGGGCCTAAAACGAAGAGCGAATTGTGAGGCAGGGGAACGCGCTGCGATGTGCGACCTGATTCTTTTCCTTCCTCGGTCTCAGACGCCGAGGTCTTTGTGCGGAGAACCATGACGCGCTCAGCACCTAGGCTGACATTGCAGATGAAAGATCCTCGTACAATGTCCAGTGTCTTGTCCGAGTGCTCGGAGATGCGATCTTGGCCGTCCCGGTAGAGTTGGATGAGCACATGGTTCAATGGGTGACCCAGGATTTTCTCAACTGCAACGCGCACCTCATCAACAGTGGAGGTGAATGGCTGGAATGGAGGGGACTCATCTGCAGGATGACGATAAATCGGTATAGCGCCGTCAGACCGTCTTTGACCCTGCACTGCAACTAAACGTGGAACTTGCCCGGAGAGGTGATACATTTTCTGCCAGTCTACCTCAGTTTTGATGCGCTCGAATGATTCATTCGGGAGGTGCACATCATGTACAATGTTTGAGTCACCCTCCCCAATGCCAGTATGAGTAGGTTGTGCAGACTGTTGTGTGGCTGGCCTACTGATCTCGGCAGGCGCCTGGGTTGTAGATGATTGCTCAGGTTCTTCTCGGCGCTTTGGGCGTCGCACACGTGCGCGCACCTGCTTCTTCTCTTCCGTTGGATCCCGCGACTGCGCGGCAGAGCTGCGATGAGCGCGAGACATAGAAGCCAATTTCGATAAACCAAAGTCATTGCGAGGTTCCCGTTCCTCCCTCGGGGTGGTATCTGCAGCATTCCATACTTCCAGTCCATCCATGACTGACTCGATACCTGCTGCTGCTGCAGACCTCTTTGTTTGCGGTGCGCCCTGGCGAGCAATTGCCTCGGTCTCATCCCAGTCTAGCTCTTGGATGAGCTCTGGAGCGGTGATACCAGTCGCACCAAGAACGTCCGCCATTCGTCGCATTGCTTCTTGGTGGCGCTGGAAATCGCGGAATCCCAAACAGTCCTCCACCAAAGTAACAGAAAAGCCACTGCGGACGGCATCCAGAGCGGTCGCGAATACAGAAATGTTGGAGAGAGAACCACACAGGTACAGGTGAGTTACGAAGCGTGTTCGAAAAGAAAGTACGAGATCAGGCGACCCCAAAGCAGAGTAAACTGTCTTATCCATCACGGTGTCTTTCTGATGATCAATGGCGGAGAGAATAGGCGCAGGAAACTGGTAGCCCGTTGTCTGGGGGAGCAGCATGCCGATGGATCTGCAGACAAAAAAGCTTCAGGGTCGACAGGCTCTGGGGAATCACGGCCCGATCCAACTTCAATGACATCGGAACGTGGAATCTTCTTCTTGCGGGGAGGCTCCCGGGACAAGACGATGCGCTCCCCAAAATCCCAATCTGCGACCGATTGCGGACTTTGGTATTGTGAACGCACCCAGACCACATCTCCGACGCGACGAAAAGCAGATGCTAATTGCGGTAGAGTTTCGAGGATATCGGAGGTGTTGGGGATATGCAACGCGCCCGATGATCGTACGAAATCATTTTGAAAGTCAAGCAACAACAACGCCTTGCGGGTTTGAATAGTGGGTATATTCCCGAATGAGAAGACACTCATCCTTCCGACATGGTGAAAAGAAGAGATAAGAGGTTCTGTTGACAGTGGGGGTGGGGGGCGGAGAGCGGCAGTACTTTTGTCTATACTAGTGCTCTGTACAGGGTACCTTGAGGCTGGCGGGTCGAATACTCAATTTGAGGTACACGGTACAAAGCACGTGGATCCATGGGGTTGGAACGGGGTAAGGTTAGCTTTGAAGGGCTTTGAGGATATTCAGAGGCAGCTGGAACTCAATTCCAATCATACTCTTGGGATTGGATACTTCCTTAATGGAAGCGGATACATATTCCTAGCTTTACGCAGTTGCTAACTACTGTTGGTCGAGATCTAACACAATTGGCATTAAGCTCTAAAATCACTGGATTGGTCCGACGCTCAAGCTCGATCGAGAAAAAGATGATCAAAGAACCATGTTTCAACTCACAAGTATGGAGTTGAACCATTCAAGGACCGATGTGACCAGTTACCCATCGTCATTCATATTCCAGACTCTCGAAGAAACCCTCGGAAATCCACTTTTCGGAGTTGGGAGCAACCTCCCCGAAACCGGAGTGCGGCCATCGCTCCCCGGCTGCCCGGACAATAACTTTCTCCGCTATGACTCGCCGATTGCGGATTCGCCATTTATAAAGCTTTCCCCAGAAGCCAATTCCTCTTTTTCTCACTTCATCTCACTCTCCACTCTCTCAATTCACAATGGCTTCCCGTGGTCTTCCCCGTGCCCTCCGCCTCGCCCGCGTGGCCGCCCCTCGCTCCGTGCTCGCTTCGGCCCTCCCTCGCCCTGCCGTTGCTGCCGCTGCTGCCCTTCCCCGTGTCTCCTCCGTCACCACCCCCGTCCGTGGTATCAAGACCATCGACTTCGCCGGTGTCAAGGAGGATGTCTACGAGCGTGCCGATTGGCCCCGTGAGAAGCTCCAGGAGTTCTTCAAGAACGACACCCTTGCTCTCATCGGTTACGGTTCCCAGGGTCACGGTCAGGGTCTGAACCTCCGTGACCAGGGCCTCAACGTCATTGTTGGTGTCCGCAAGGATGGTGCTTCCTGGAAGGAGGCCATCCAGGACGGCTGGGTCCCCGGCAAGAACCTGTTTGATGTCACCACCGCCATTGAGAAGGGTACCGTCATCATGAACCTCCTCTCCGATGCCGCTCAGTCTGAGACTTGGCCCACAATTAAGCCCCTCCTCACCAAGGGCAAGACCCTCTACTTCTCCCACGGTTTCTCCCCCGTCTTCAAGGACCTCACCAAGGTCGATGTCCCCAAGGACATTGATGTCATCCTCGTCGCCCCCAAGGGTTCCGGACGTACCGTCCGCTCTCTCTTCCGTGAGGGCCGTGGTATCAACTCTTCCATTGCCGTCTTCCAGGACGTCACCGGTCAGGCTAAGGAGCGCGCCATCGCTATGGGTGTCGCTGTCGGCTCTGGCTACCTCTACGAGACCACCTTTGAGAAGGAGGTCTACTCTGACCTCTACGGTGAGCGTGGTTGCCTGATGGGTGGTATCCACGGTATGTTCCTCGCCCAGTACGAGGTTCTCCGTGAGCGTGGCCACTCTCCCTCCGAGGCCTTCAACGAGACCGTTGAGGAGGCCACCCAGTCCCTCTACCCCCTCATCGGTGGTCAGGGTATGGACTGGATGTACGCTGCCTGCTCCACCACCGCCCGTCGTGGTGCCATTGACTGGTCCGGTCGCTTCAAGGACACCCTGAAGCCCGTCTTCAACGACCTCTACGACTCCGTCCACAACGGCACTGAGACCCAGCGCTCCCTCGACTACAACTCCCAGCCCGACTACCGCCAGAAGTACGAGAAGGAGATGGAGGAGATCCGCAACCTCGAGATCTGGCGCGCCGGAAAGGCCGTCCGCTCTCTGCGCCCCGAGAACCAGAAATAAATAATAACTTGATACCCGTGGGGGTTTCAAAAAATGATGATGTACTATGAACTTGTTCTTTTTGGGTTTGTCGGAAATATTATTTGAGGCTTTATATGCCATTCCCCAACTTTCTTCCATTCAACTTGTAGCTCGTAGCCCGTAGCTCCTCCGCATGCATTTGCAGCTGCGGCTAGCCGTGTCCCCGTGCGCCAGGCGGGGTAGCTCCGCAGTCATCGTAGGACTGAGTCATCGCGAGGTGATGAGGTCCCCAGGTCGTCTCCGGGCCGTCCTCCCAATCCTTCATATCGCATTACAATGACTTCTCCCGCTGCTGCTGCCCAATCACTCACGCCAGCCGCTGTGCAAGCGGCCTATGGCCTCATTCAACCTTATGTGCACCGCACACCACTACTGACATGCAAAACCCTTGATACTATCGCCTCAACGCCGCAAACCCCGGAGGCGCTCGTCGGAACGCCATTTGAAGGCCAGACCCCCGCAAACCCGCGCATCAGATTCTTCTTCAAGTGCGAGAACTACCAGCGTATCGGCGCCTTCAAGGCACGGGGTGCATTCCATGCTCTCCTGCGACTGTTGGAAGAACGCGGGGAAGAAGTGAAACAGCGTGGGGTCATTACCCATAGCTCCGGTATGTTCCTCGCCTGCCCAGTCTAAATCTGTCGATTTGGATACTGAACCTCATTCTTCTTCAGGAAACCATGCACAAGCCCTTGCTCTCGCTGCCGCGACTCTGGGCGTCCCCGCCTACATCGTGATGCCTCGTATCAGCACCCCATCCAAAATCGCGGGTACTCAGTCTCATGGTGCCCAGGTCGTCTTTAGTGGGTCGACCAGTGTAGAGCGCGAAGCAGTGGTAGCAGAAATACAAGCAAAGACAAACGCTATTCTGGTGCCGCCATATGATGATTTCAATATCATCTGCGGTCAGGGAACCACAGCTCTGGAGCTGGAGGCCCAGCATGCTGAAGCCAGATCCCAAGCGCTAGATGCTGTCATTACTCCAATTGGTGGAGGTGGACTCAATTCTGGTGTAGCGACGTGGTTTTCTGATAAGAAGACTCGTGTCTTTGGCGCAGAGCCTAGTTTCGAGGGCGCGGATGACTGTCGACGCGGGCTGCAGGCTAAGAAGCGTGTGGAGGCGGTTGGCACTCTGACCATTGCTGATGGGCTTCGTACTCCAGTAGGATTGATCAATTGGGAGGTGATTTCCAATGAGAAGCGAGTCGAAGGCGTGTTTGCTGTTACCGAGGAACAGATCAAGTCGGCCATGCGGTTGGTACTGGAGCGCATGAAGGTTGTTGTTGAGCCCAGTGCTGTTGTTGGCTTGGCTGTTTGTTTGTTTGATGAAGATTTCAGACGCCGCGTCGAACAAGAGGGCGGCGAAGATGGTTGGGACATTGGGGTTGTGTTCAGCGGTGGTAACACAACCGTCGAGGCCATCGCCAAGCTGTTTAAATAGACTTTTTCTTGTACAGTTTTCATCGTGAGATAGACATGGAATGTAAGATTCAATCGGTAGGACTGTTGAACTCGACTCCTGACTCACGCACAAAGAATGAGAAGCCTCCACCGTTGCTCGCCTCAATGGCTTCCATTATTCGACGAGGCCATCCATCGCACCCCCACTCGTTGACCCAGCCAGAAATTTTGCCTTGTTGAACCGCATCCTGTCGCGAGGGGGCTTCTTTGACTGCTGCTTGTGGTGCCATGCTAGGTGGAAAAGGACGAACAGTCGGCCGATGAAAAATCAAACGCAACGTTGGCAAAGTACCCCAGGGTGCAGGAAGCGCTGGCTTCAGCGTCGAGAACCGAGATTCAGACTCATACAAATCAGCCGCAGGTCGACCCCCAGAAACGACTGATGTGTAGACTATTGAACAATGAAATCGACTCTGCAATCTTTTCAATTGCGTAGCCAGCTCATCGTAGAGAACCGGCAGAGAGAACCTGCGCTTCTGCTCACGCTCACTGTCAATCTCTTCTCGAGAACGCCCGATCTCCTCGGTGCGGGCCACTTCATCGCGAAGCCGGTCTTGCCAAATGAAAGCAGTGGTACTGTCAATAGCGATCATTTGCAACGGGCGTGAAGCGGAGCGATGTCGCGATAAATCAAAAAGGTAGGAGTCCAGAGAGTGCAGAGTCGCCAGGAGAGCAGACGAGGACTGCGGACAGAAGACATGAACGTGCTGGAGGGAAGAGACAAGCAATGCTTCGATATCATGATCAGCCCGGCATCCAGCAGACTGCTCTCCAAAGTTGGATGGGAGGCTTGATAGGCGCTGCTCCATGATACCCCGAGCTACGACTCGAAGTCTTTCGGCGTCGAATCGGTCATCGGTATCTATGAAAATGACGGCGGCTTCTCGGCCGCCGATTGCAATGGTACCATATTCACGTGGAAGGATGGCATGGGCCGTGAGATAGTACAGCATCTGCGATTTTCCCGAAGAAGAGAGGCTGCTTGAGATCTCTAAAATCGGGGGTGGGCGATTTTGGGTCCCCTCAGGGTCTGAAAACAATGTGTTGGCAGGGTCGAGGTCCCCTGCTGCATCCATTATATTTGGCCCATGGGCGTCTTCAGGACGTGGACTCCCCTCCATGAGCATTTCTTCATATGCAGCAGCTTGATAGTCTCTCAATTGGTCCTGGTCAGAAGCTCTGCGGTCTTGATATTGAGACGCCTTGGGTGCAAAGATCTCAAGCAATGCATCTAGTTCAGGAACCCCGAAGGATTGCGCATTGTCTTCGTGGCCAGGATAGCAAGTGGCGAGTTCAGACAGAAGCTGGCGACGATTAGTTCATTGTCATCCATGAATTTGTAAGATGACTATGTGCAATGATACCTCGTTCAGTCCCTCTTGGTGTACGTTGGCCAGCGCGCTCTCCCCAAGGTTGGCAGCCATGACGAAGAATGTGCTTCATTAATCTAGCATCACATGGGATATCGGTCGAGACTTTGTTCTAGACTCGCGAGATAGATGTTTTGCGGTGAATGCGGACGCGGAAAGGATAGCGCGGCCGAGCTTCCACAGAACTTCGATTTGACACCTGCGACTCCCCACGTCACTTTGCCAATCTTCAAGCGTTCTTCGAATCAAACTTTACAATGGCGCCTCTCGTCCCCGTCTTCTCGACCGAGTCGCTCCCTGACCATGTCAATACCGTGCGCCGCAATTTTCAAGACAAACGTCGCAAAGGCACCGCAGTGGACCTACAAGAATGCCCACTACTTGAGATGACACAGTACTCCTGCAATCCACCCCAAGATGGTATTCCTGAACCAGGAGTGGTGGTTTGCAAACCCCTAGTGCGACTGTTTCGACGGTGAGTCCGCTCGACTGTCAGTTGAGGCATCCGCTGATTATCATACCTAGCTGCGCTGGGGGATTAATGGTTGAAACAACGACATGGGAACCTCTCAGGTTGGCAGAGGAAGCGAAACAAGCAAAGCGGAATATGGAGGCTACAAAACAATGAGAGAACTACTAGGGTATCTGCATAGGGCGGCGTTATTATGGCAATTGCCAGGTTGGAATAATTGAACATTTGATTAATGTAACTGCCATGGGTATCTCCTCAGGTCATCTCCTGAATGTAAAAAAAAGCACCATCCCAAGAAAACAGAACGCCGAGCCATATGCCATTTAAATTTACATGCCAGTTGCCTCCGCTGGTTCAGCGCTGGAAGCAGGCTTGGGGGTATTCTCCTCTGTCCGCCGGGTATTCGAAGTGGTGCGGCGCCAAAGATCTCGTTCGCAGTTGACAATAGGCCCCAACTCCATGTTCCAGGAGAGCTTGAGCTGGGCCTTAGTCTCAGCATCCACAGGACCCGAATCAATATCCATTGCAAGACCAAAAGGGCCAGACGATGAACTGTGAGCGTCTTTGCCGAGCTTCTTTGCCAAAGCCTTGGTCGTCTTTTCGAACATGCTTTCCATGCTATCCGTTCTCCGACCCCAAAGCTTCTTATCACGACCAGTCGAGCCCGTTTGATTGTCGCGAAACGCAGCACTCGCAAGCTTGCGCAATGCCTCTTCGCCATGCCGTCCATCTTCAGCTGCCCGCTCCCGAATTTTCCGTGGATCGCCATCTCGCTCGATGAAGACCGCAGTGGCGGAGTATGTGTGCTTGCTTGGAAAGCTGGGGAAGTGTTGCGGGATGTAGGCGCGAGTTGCACGGTCATCTTCGCTGCTCAAAGCTGTAAGGAAGGGTAGGGTTTTCGTTATTTCGTTGTCGGGCGGGGGAGTCGGGAGTAATTGAGGCGCAGGAGCTTCTGAGAGCGCAGGTTTGAGGTGAGGGAGGAGATCATCGGGTTTGAGATGAACACGTTTCATAGCATGCTCAAAATCGGTTGGTATGGGCTGGATACGTCGGGACGATAGCATTGACTGGCGAATGAATGTCGAGAGCCGTAGCATGTCTACGGATGGCACGCGGTTAATTGAAGCCTTTACAATGCGACGGCATATACATACATTCTTCGGTGGCACCGCATAGACTGGAGAGAGCAGCCGGATCAGCCACATCGAAGCCATTCTCCTTCAAGGTCCGGCCAACGGCGCGGCTCATGAGATGGTCGATATGGGTGTCATCTTGCACGGCGGGCTCGGTCGCGGGCGTTAATGCGACGGGTTCGTGAAGGTTGTGATGATGATGGTAGTGACGTTTCAGACGCTTTATTTCATGCGGGCCTTGCGATGAGGCAGGTCGTTTGATCTGGGTGCCTGATGCCATAGCCATGGTATTGATCCGAGGAAGATGCCGCGAGGAGCTCTGTTGGCTTCGGATTTGCCAGTCACGTGATCAAGGCGGTCAGCTGTTTCTATATGTACGGAGTATCGAGCTGAGAGTCGTTCCGTGATCAGTTCAGCGCTCTGGTACGTCGAGAGATGGGGAAGCACAGTTCGTATAGAATGTCATGGTTATCATGTTGGGTCTGCATATCAAGCTTTGGCTAGTCGATCGATGCCTGGATGTCCTTAAGTATTGATGCTCGATTGTCTCCTACATACTTGGCCATGTATCCAGCAGGTCATTCTACTGAACACTGTAAATAGATGGGTGTAGATCATCAGTGGTCCATTGACCGATTGTATTCAAAACAATTTTAAAATCATGTTCAATTGCGAGCCGTAGAGGGAGAATTGAATATTGAACATGCCATAGATTGACCAATCCGGCGGCTCGCTTAGTCCGCTCCGAAGCTTCAACTTCACCTCACAAGTCTTTCGCTCTCACCCCCTCTCCTCTCCGCACCACAACAAAGACGGGTTTCAGTCTGTCCACAATCTAACTCGTTGTACATCGAGCATTGATTGACGCAAAGTCTCCGTCACAATGCCCGCCGCTATCCCCCCCCATCACCGGCGTACGTGCCCCTTCCACCACCGGGTTGACTCGGACATTGATCAGCCCAATTCTACTTTTCGCAACGGTATACTGACATCGGTTTTTTGCTAGATGCTCCGCCGCACCCTTGTTCTGGACCTGAGCACCGCTTTCGGTGAGTTATGACCCGAGTCGAGTGGCATGATCGAACGCCGAGTTGGATACAGCGAAATCGGGAGCGACCGGATAAACGCGACACAACACAGACACAACTACGGCGTATCGAGAAAGAAACAATTTCTAACCAGGTTCCTGCAGGTTTCGGTACTACCTTCGGCTACCTCTGGTGGTACGGTATGTAGAATCATCCCAGTACTCCACGCGGTTAAACCGGGTTCTGACCATATTCCGTGCAGGCTTCCACCTCCCCCGCGTTCGCGAGCGTGACGTCTACTACACCCGTCTCGAGGCCGAGCGTGCCGCTGAGCGCTCTTAAATCGGTCGTTGGATCACCCCGACCGTCTCCTCGCCCGTTCGGCACCAATTCTTTTCTTTGTCAAAGCGTGTTCTAGAATTCGCCTATGAGGGCACATGTCTCGACGTGACCCATAGCGCGCGGTTGAATCGACGGGTCGTGTACGAATGGGATAGATTCGAGATCGATTGTACATATACGCCTGTGGACAACCAGTTGATTTGATTTTGGACCATTCTACTTCTTGCTATGCGCTCGTTCGGTGTCTTCGCCGAGTGCTTCTATGGCGATATGCCATGAGCGCACTCCATAAACCTTGTAAAATCACCACCGAAAGTGGCTCGCCTTTGCTATATGCCTTGCTATGTGCCTTGCTATGTGCATGCTATATGCATGCTATATGCGATTTGCAAAGCGAATTTGATCTATTTTATTCAAACGCTAATCACGCCAGATATGTACGAAGAAACAACAGCGCCCGATGGAATCACCGACCAAATCTCCGCCGTTTGTAAAGCCATAGATCATTCCGTATCGTGACTGCATGCTAATATAGGAGAAAGGGCGAAGCTCGCAAGGAATTCGAAAACTGAAATGTAATGTATTCACCGGAGCACCCGCTCAAATGAAACCCCTCGGACGGACCCGCCGGCCATAGAAGTGCGCACGTTCTTCTTGAAGTTATCACGGGTTGCGCGGAGGTCGTCCGCGGCATCCTTATTGAGGGGGTCGGAGGCGTTCGGTTCAAGGAAAAGGAACTGTCTAGATGTTAGTGATGTAATAGACCATGCGACAATTGTACCCACCTGCATGCCGACAATCACAGCGTTCAAATTCAAGACCGGCTTCCAGTCCTCCCGCAAAATGTTCAAGCAGACGTTTCCTTCGAGATCAATATTGGGGTGGTAGATCTTTTGCGTGCATTTCACCTTTGGCGGATCGTGTGGGAAGTTTTGGTTGACAGCGAAGGAGAAGTTGAACACGCCACCCTTGTACATGCCCTCATCCGGCTCGATGGTCAAGGTGAAATTGAGGATGTCGTCAGGGTTCGGGAAGGACATTTTCATCGTATTTCCAAGAGTGAGCTCTTGCAGATCTATAGGAATGTGTTAGAACGCTTCAAGCAGGATGACGTGGGCTGCGACGGCAACTGCGACGGCAACTGCATGGTTGGGAAGTGACTTACCTCGCTGCACTCGAAGCTGGGCCGCGGTGACCTTCTTCTTCTTCTTGCCTGCAGCACCTTCGGCATTTTCAGTCTCTTGCTGCTTTTGCTTCTGTCATGGTTGTTAGAGCATGGCTTTAGGTACGTTGGTGGAAGGGACCTTGCCATAGACCAGATTTTCAACATTTTGGCTGCGAGTCACCACCCCACCTGACAAGACAGACGATTTCGAGGAGATTGTAGATAGTAGCGGAGCTTTGTGTGTCAATCGGGGAGTATGGAGGGATAAGCAGAAAAAGAAATAGCAAAGATACAAGGTTGAGTCAAGTGGAGGGGGGAAGTTGTGCTTGCGGGGGTCTCAGATCAGCAATCGGCCTTTATCAGCCACAGGTCTAGGGGCCGCGCTAGCGCGCGGCTAAACTCCCATTTGTATTGCTTAAAAATCCTACTTCCCGAGGGACATAACTCATCATATCACCAAGTTTAGGTTTCTATTTTAAATTGCTGGTCTCCAGATAGACTTAACTCAGCTGAGTATGCTTATGAGGAAAAGGCCAAAGGAAGCTACTCAAAACAGTTTCGCAAGCCCTACTATACGAACGGAATACAAATTTAGTCTGTTCGCTATGGGTCACCGAATAATGTCCATGAATGAAAATTTGGTAATATGAGTAATTCAAAGCGCCCCATATGCTAACCCAGTGCATGGCTATCCGAACAAAAAAGGATCAATAAAAGAAGCCAGGCTGTGCTCGGACTTACACAGGCAGGCATTGAAAGAAAAGAAACTGGGCATCTTAGGTAGAGTACAAATCAAAAGTCAACATTGAGTCAAAGGGTCATGAAACAGGAACATTTTGTCCAGACTAGCGGCGTGCGAAGCAGCAGTTGATACCAGTGCGTCCCAAGAACCAGCAGCAGCCAATGAAACGGAATAAGGCGACCGCAGCATTGGACCACAGGAGAGCCTGGAAGAAATGAGTTGAACGAGTAGTGGCGGTGTTCTGGATTAGGTCAGTAAGTGATTGTGTAGGAGAGGGGGAAGGAGAAACTTACGCTGAAGCCGAACTTGTCAACGGACTCGCTGGTAATGCAGACTGCTAGAAGACCATTGCTGAAAATCCACAAGGTAACAAGACGTGTACGGAAACTCTTGTAGGAATCCTCCAGACTCTTCTCATCGTGCTCAACGGGGGCAACGAAGGGGGTGAGGGCGCGCTTCACGGTGGCCTCGAATTGGCTGTCAATATCGGCTTGGGGCTTGTCGATTTCTTCTATTACCGCGTCTTTACTACCCTCGTCTTTGGTAACTGTCGCTGATGGTAGAGCATCCGCCTTGTCGGAACCCTTGGTACCCCATGACACATCGTGCCAGTTGGAGAAGGCATAGACGTTGAGGATGTTGATGTAGGAAGACTGGACGACCATGTATGCAGGGAAAGAGGTGAACATGTGCCAGGGATCGGCATACATGAAGGAGGCAACGAAGTAGAGACCGAAGGTGGCAGCCAGGGCAATGATAATGATACCAGCACCGGAAGAGGAGAAGAAAGACTTGAGGAATTCACCAGCGCCCTTGTCGGTGACAAAGTCCATGGGGGCACCACCGCTGAACGCGCGAACGACCAAGTAGAGCGAATCGACCACAATGTAAAGCTGAATGATACCGAACACGATGAAGGAGGCGAGGTAGGAGAACTTGGAACCCTTGGGTCTGTTACCAAGGGCGAGGATGAATTGCAGCAGCACGAAAGCCAAGTATCCATACTTCACAATGGTGTTGATGATAGGGGTGGCAGTCTTTCCGAAGGGGAACGCAGTGTAGTCGTTGTTTTTGCTGGGCGTTCCCACCAAGTCGATGATAACGGAGGTGGTGAGCCAGTAGGATGCGAGTGAGAACCAGGTGAGGAATGTGTTGAAGACGTTGTACAACATCTGAATGTGGAGGAAGAACATGCGAACGATGTTGTGACCACTCTTGTACATGCGGCCGAAGTGCATGAGCGAGTAGATACCAGCAGCGAACGAACCGTTGAGCCAACGACGACGTTGGGAGATAAACTCGGCGGCACCTTCGGGGACATCAGTCTCACCCTTTGAGGCTTTGACGTATGACAAATGCCACTTGGAACCAGCCTTCGCGACCAGTTCGAAACAGAGGATACGATCCTCAGCCAAGAACATGTTCTTCTTGAAAATGTTCATACCCTCGATACCCTTCTTTCCGAGTTGCTTAGACAAGGTGTGGTCACCGTGGAAGTACTGCTCAAGCGGACGACCCATGATGGCACGGAAACGATAAGCTGAGAACGCACCAGGCAACACACTGACGTAACCGAACGAACTCTCCAGTGGCTTATCCAGAATGTTACTGATTTTGTACTCGAAGTTCTGTGCAGCCACAAGGGGGTTGATCAGGTTACGCCAACCCTTACCCAACATGGCGTGGATTTCACCACAAGCACCTCCAAGATCTTTATCGTTGTAGAAGGCCTCCCAGAGGTACAACAAAGACTTGGGACCTGGCTTTGTACCGGCATCCAAAAGGATACAAATCTCGGGGTTTAGAATTCGACCAAAGGCGTTGAACAACCAACGGTGAGAGTTGATCTTCTTGCTGTTCTTCTGCTTCAAGCAGAACATCATCTGCACGGGTGGCAGTGTGCTAGGGCCATCGTCAGTGGGACGGATAAGTTGCTGGCTAGGCGTGACCGAGAGCTGAGTGGTGTATTCGAACTGATACTCGTTAGTATGTCACTTGTGGACACAGATTCATCTCGTTCACTCACAATGTGAGCCAAAGTCTCCTTTCCGTCAACGTCACGCTTCATGACACCGTCTTGGTAAATACCAACTGTGGCCAGGACATCCAAGGTATCCTTATCACAAGGGTCAATACCGTCGAAAACGAGTGCCACCACAATTTTTTGCCATGCCGGTCCACCTTTGTTCCAGAACTCGGATTTTTTGAGGTTGACAATGTCGCGAATGTTCTGCATCACACCGTGCAAGGTACGTGCTGTAAGGTTCTTGTCTTCGTTGTAGTAGGTAATTGCAATCAGCAACTCAGTGTGACGGTTGTACATAGCGGGACGCAGGTTGTATCCATTGTGGAGAGTGAATTCGTTGGGATCACAGGTGGCTGCGGTGTCTGTAGATTAGAGTATCTCGTTAGTGCTGCTGGTCGAGTTGGAGATACTTGCGAGTCGGTTGTCCAGTGGAGACTTACATCGCATGTGTGTGAATTCCTCAGTTCCACCCTCCACATCGTTGCGATACTTAGCCTGGATGGCATTTTGAATCGCACTGGGAACAGGGTAGTCCACACTCAGGACTGAACCCTGCACCAGCTTAACCTTTCTTGTGGCATATCTGCGAAGACCGCCGCCGCCGCCACCACCACCTCCACCGGATGGACCTCCGGGTGCTTGTCGCTGGCGCCATGCCTCAGTCGAGGAAGTTTCACTGCGAGCGTAGGGCGAAGGGACGCGGCCAGGGACGCCGAACGCAGTCGCGGGGTTCTCATCATGACCCGAGTACACGGAACCAGCGCTGTAAGGATCGTTGTAAGAAGGCGCGGTATCAGCGGCGTAAGTCTCAGTCAAGCTGTAACCGGAAGCAGGACGCTGGGGCGAAACACCGCGCGAGTGAGGGTCGTCAAAGGGAGTCGCAAAGGGACCCTGGTGTTGGGACAACAATCCACGGGCCGCATCTTCATCCTCGCGGTACTGAAGGAAAATTAGTCCCCACTCCAGCTTGTCGGGTGTTCCCGACACCTACCTGAGAAGCAGGTACATCCTGCAGACGATGAGCATCGGAAGCGTCGTGCGAATCGTCGTAGTTCGGCGAATGCGAGCGCCCGCCTTGGTAGGCCATGTCGCCAAATGTATACTAGGGATCAAAGCTGAGTCGAGAGGGGCATCAAACAAGGCGCATGTAGAGTCGAGATCAATAGAGCCACCTGGGCTGTAAGGCAGGGTCCTTCGAACAATGATCCCGGAGAAAAAAGTGAATCAAGGGTGTGTGAATAAAGAAGAGAGAGAAGGGGGGGAATGGGGGGAGAAAAGGAGGATAGAGTGAAACTAGGAGAGAGGTCAAAAATAGACTGTCTCTAACCCCGTCCTGGTTTAGTTTCGCCTCTCAGCCTTTGTTATTTTATTTTGGGTCTCCGCCCTTTTCGATGGGGTTTTATTTTAGGGGCTTGAATTCTATTGAAATTGTGTTTATATGACTACTTATTAGGCAATTTGACTGCTATAAATATTCAAGTACGGAGTATCTCTTCTAGGGAACCTCAGGTAGTTCCAAAGTACTGCTGACAAGTACGACAGTATGGGGTTTCAGGGACCACGGACCCTGAAATCCTCAAATTCTTGCCCTCTACTTTTCTGCTCCCCTTTCTTTTTCTGACAACTCATTCTCGTTTTTATTTTTTTAAATTTTAGGTAGGCTGTTACCCACTTACTCCTTCTGGAGAATGATTGACACGCTAAGAGCCCCCAAACCCAATAAACCAGCTCCACTGGTGAAACATTCGGTGAATGAGGCGTTGAAATCTACACATCGTCAATGTCTGAAGACAAGTGTAGGCTAAATTTTGACACTATGATAAGCGATGGGGCTCTCACATTCCGGGGAATCAAAACAAGACATCACAACATCATTGAAAGGCTTAAAACTGTCTAGGGGATCTCCGGCATGCTCAAGTCCTACATTATGTCGGTGCCGTTATACTCCACTGGACTACGGAGTACTTGCACTCATTACGCTCATTACGGGTTATCTAGACTATCCACTAACATTGGGAGTGTGAGCAATAGGAGACTTGCTTACTTCATATGCAGGTCCCTACTCGTAGAAGTACTTGTACTCGCTCCTGTACGGAGTACTCCATGCCCTAACGCTCTACTTGTATACACTACAGTCACCTGATCTGATAATCTCAGACATTACCACGAATTGATTAGCGTACTGGTTGTCTTATTCTCATGCTTACGGAGTACAGTCGACTTTCAATTGTGTCCGGAGAACCTGATACTTGCACATGCAGCCACGGGTCACATTTGCCAATCTCACGGCAAACCTTGGAAGTGACCTTTTCAGCCCCTATGTACGGAGTAATCTCAGGATTCGATGGAAGCCAATCAAGGGCTCCCACATGGACGGCTATACCCGATCCGGGATGTGAGAGATTGATTGCCAGTGCAAACAGTGCAAACCAAACGAACCATGTCAAAGTGCAAACAATGCAAACTGTGTAAAGGGTCTGAAGAGTGTGCAAACACTGCAAATCGTCTAAACACACCAAACGAGGCCAAAATAAGTGTAATCTTGGAAAAACAATAGTCCGAGTCCAGACCATCTCAGTTGGGCACAGTGGGACTCCACCCATTGTTTCCCGTCCACTTCATCCCATCAGCCCTCACATCATGTAAGGCGAACATGGGATGAAACACTCAGGACATTAAAAAGGATCTCAGATCTCGTAGTTCCCCCCAAAATTTTGACTCTTTTTACCCTCTTAAGATCGAAACTGTGCGACTACTGCTAGTGTACCTAGTACTCCTGTACCTGACTACCCCGTATCATACCCGTGGAACCATTAGAAAGCCTGTGCCTGGACTTCCCGTGGCTTTGCGTGGCTTTGGCCCCCCCGTTCTCCTCTTTCTCTCAACTTCCTCTCTACAACACTCTCGACCTCTTTGCACATTGCTTTCTTTCATCTTTTGGATCGTGTTTAAATACGCGTTAGGTGATCTGTCTTTCCCAAAAGATGATCCCTTAAGACATATACTCTTCACACACATCCCCGACACTCGTTTTCCCAACGCTACGGCTTGGACTTTTTATGACCTACTGCTTACGCTCACGACTTGACGCCGATTGAGCAATCACTTTCTTTTTCCTTATATATTCCCGCACATTCCTTGCCGTTGACCGGCTTTGTTGATACCACTCGCCCACCATGCTTCTCGAACCTATCGATTCCGCCTTCTCCCCCGCCCGCTCCATCTTCAAGCGCTGCAAGCAGTGCGAAACCTCCTCCCCCGCCTGTCCCGCCTGTCCCGATGGCTCAACATGCACTATGAGCGCGCAGACATGCGACTCGTGCGCCACAACGAAATGTATCTCCACGGGCGGCTCCCAGCCATCCGACTCCGGGGGCAGTGACGCCGGTGCCATTGCTGGTGGCGTCATCGGTGGTGTGGCCGCCATTGGCCTCATTGTCTTTCTGATCTGGTGGTTTGTCATTCGGAAGAAGCGCCTGGAGCGCGATGAGGCAGAGAAGAATGGCTCGTTCGCCGCCGCTCGCAGTGAACGCCAATCTATCGCCTCGACCGTCCTGACCCGTGCTTCCAACGTCATTCAAATCGCCTACATTCCTGGTGTCACCAATCGCTCTCCACCTGAGACACCAGCCTCCCTCGTTCCTCCCGTCCCCCCTCTTCCCGGTGCCTCGCCCGACCAACACTTCTTCATGCCCGGTGACCTGCGTGACTCCTCCTGGACCACGACCACGGGTCACCAGAGCATCTCGCCCACCTTGCGCAGCAGTGTCGCGACCACGATCTACCGCAATGACGCCATCGTCAGTGCCGTGCCCGCCCAACAGATTCAACGCTCTCGCGCCGCCGTCGTCAGCATTCACAATGGAGGGGCTGGCCCCAACGCCCCCGGCGATGACTCCCCTGTCGCTGTTACGATCACTCCCGCAGATGCCCCTGCCGTTCCCGCCATCACTCCCGCACAGCTTGCCCGCGCAGAAGCGGTCAAGGGTAACAGCTCATGTGTGGCTCGTAGTGTCACTGCGAAGCCTGTAATGGTCCGCGGGCCCTCCCTCAAGAAGAAGGAAAACCAAGCACCACCCACCAATCGAATCGAAGAAGTCTCCGAGCACAGTAAAAGCGCCAACAACAGCCGAGCAGTGTCAAGCGCCAGCGACCGATTCGACCATAACATCTCTACCTTCGACGGTTCCTCCTCAGACGAGGAGGACGAAGCATACCCCTCTTCAACGGCCAATCTGGAGACGGGTTCTTCCCAGCGTCAAAAAAACCGATCATCCGGTCTAAGTGATGGACGAAGCTCTCCTCGGACACCACCCGCCCGAGTAGAGAGTCCGTTCTCGGATGCTAATGAGGTGAAATGAGTCTCTCCCGATTTTGTTTTTGTTTTCTTTTCTTTGTATGTATGCAGCTTTGAGCTTGTCACTACCTTTTTGATATCATTGGATGCCTTGTACAGCGAGTGTTGGCATACCAAACTTCAGTTGAATCTATACTCTCTTTCATTCCGAACTTGTTATTTGAACTCAATATCCATGGTTAGTTTAATATATGTATATTCTTGCGACCTTGTATTTAAAGAAGTATCGAGGATGTCCCGAAGTCAATTGAATTTCCATCTAGTCAGGTTCTAAGGTTACTCATGGTTCAAGAAGGTAACCGTGGGTCCCGACCCCGGGAGGTCCATATATATCCCGAGGTCGATCTTAACCAAAGTGTCAACACCCACCATCCACAGGACCCGTGGACCCAGTACCGAGGTCGCATCCAACAAGTTTGGAACTGTCTGGTCTGATTGAAAACCAATCTTGGAATCCTGGAAGCCTTGGAGTCACTCATGTATTCCAAAAGGTCGCATTCGACCATCTGGGTACCGTCTCCACCTAGCTAGAATACATATAGCCAAAAGATTAGGCCCAAAATCTCGGTCAGGGCCAGAAATCTCGAGCTTACAACCCCGGAACAATAGTCCTACAGCAAGTTTCCGACCTCGATATATGATAACCTGGACTTGATATAAGAGAATATCCCTTGGTAGGATAACAACCTTCAAAAACCAAATCCCAAGTCTATCTTATAGGTTTTGTATTTATAGAAATACCTACAAACTCTCCTCCAGACCCATCCCGCGCCCAATCTTGCGGATCAAAGCCCTTTTGAGCAATGCCTCTCGTGCAAGACTTCGCGTATGCTTCGACCAAGAATCAACACCAATGATACCCTTGACCAGCGCAGCCTGCAGCGCATACAGAGCCTGTTGAATGCCTTGCTCCTCTGCAACTAGGTCATAGAGCTGTTTGCCTACGATAGTGGGCGCGACAAGGACATCGTCAATAGGCGGTAAGTCCGGAGGGGCATCGGCGATGGTCGCATCGGCACGCTGGATAGATTGCTGAAGAACGGCCGTGTTAGACTGAAGTGTTGTATGCAGCGAGTTGAGGGCGGATATCTCTCCTTGGAGGGTTGCTAGAGCTGAGTGGAGGGATCGGGACTGTGAGACCAGGGACTGAGCTGCTGTGTCTGATTGCGCGGCATTGCGTTGCAGAGTTTCTGCGAGAGAGTGGGACACGGCTCGAAGGAGGGTGTCTTTCTCTGGGTTTGGTGGGATTGGAGGTGCAGGGCCGGAGATAGATGGTAACTCCACCTCGAACGGTGAGGTTAGAAGATCAGGTGTTTCTGCCTTGGGGGCTGCCGGGGGAGGGCCCGAGTGGTTGGCTGGGTAGGAATGATGCTGGGGATGTGGGGAACCATGCTGTTGCTGGTTCTGATAGTGAGCTGGGGGAGGTGCCGGCCGGGGTTGAGGTAATTGCGGCTGCGGAGGGACCGGGGCACTGTTTCTATAATATTGCCCTTGGGGTGGTATTGACTGCTGCTGCTGAATCGGAGGTTGGGACAGGGGGCTGCTTATTGGGCCTCCGATATGACTCGGAGGTGCGCGAAATTGGGGCGACTGAGCAGCATAGTGTGCTGATGCTGAATTACTCGACACAGGTGCCTGGCGAAGGCCTTGCCCTTTTGGAGGGAGAGGAGGCAGCGGTGATCGATCAGCCGACACTGGCTGCCGATTCTCAATCGCGCCAGGCTTTGGCGGAGGAGGTGGCGGTACTTGACTTGTAGCTTGTGGGGGTGATTGTATCTGTGGAGATCCGACGCCCGGTGGAAGAGGAGGCAATGGCGGCGGTGTTGGGGCATGCTCAGGCTGCGATTGTGGCTGGGGCACTTGCTGTCGATACCGAACAGGTGGCTCCTTGGCGAAGACATCCTGTAGAATGGATAGCAAGTCTGCAATTGTAGATCGCTAATAGTAGGTTAGTTGGCGATCGGTCAAGTGCTTGGATAAACACTCACGTCCCACGCCTCAGCCCAGTGGGCAAGATAATGATGATACACCTGTCCCTCTAATGTAACATGCTGTCCAACGCGGACGGTCATATCTTGAGTCGGGGTCACATAGGCGATTGGTGGCTCGCGCGGGTATGTGTTGGGGATCCAGAGCGCAATGGGGAACCGATAAGTTGTGCCTCGGAAGTTGACAGGCAATGTGCCCACCAGGTGGAGGAGGAGGGCGGAGAAGCCCGTCTCATAAGCTAGACAATGTGTTAGAGAGCAGGAGAGTCGGGTGTGAGACGACTCACTATATACATCGGTCCGAGGAGAGAGCGAGGGGTATTGCGACAGCGCGTTCGCAACATCGTGGTAGGTCCGATTGGGGTCGTGGTAAGTTTGTTGGGGGTCGTAGTGGTCCTAGGATAATTAGTCGAGATAAACATAATGTGTCTGTTAGGACGTACTTTAGTGAGAACACTGTAGAGCCAGTTCAGTGTCCTTTGAGGCACAGCCATGGTGGATGTTAGTTGAGTCGCGACGTTTCTTCCCCGCAACTCTTAGCTCACCTCCCGGCTTCCCTCCTACGGTCCTCTAGTTACCCTCTGCGGTTCTGCCCTACCAGTCTCTATTATATGTCCTTTTTTTTTTTTTTTTTCTCCCCCACTAACATAGTTTTTCGAATGAGGAATTGATCCTGTTCTGGAATTTCATATGAATTTTTCACATCTACAAGCCTAAGGCCGACTGCTCACCATGGGCCCAAGGTCTCAGACCGGACCCATCCTCGAAGCCAGGCGGTACGAACCAGCAGAGACACCAAGATCAACATGAAAACATGCACGGCGAAGTTCTGGGCCCGAATCCGAGAGTGACCGAGAGTGATGACATCCTTGATGTGATATCGCCTGCGTTGGACCCAAATCCTCCATGCCGAAGACAAAGAAACCCCAACCTTAGTACCTCGATGATCCCACCCGATCCAATGGTTTCAACGCATTCAAGTCAATGATCTTCTGCAGCTGAAGTGCTCACATTGCTGACCGCTTTGTCCCTTTTCATATTGTTCTCGAAATATCTTAGTATTGTTCCCCATCCTTTCGCCCCTCTTGATTCTTGATACTCACAATGTCAAACCCTCATAATGATGGCGATATGTTCTTATATTCATACATCCTTTATCACATTGTCTGTCTCGGGTCTTCTGAATCCAAACATTCACCCTGATTCTCTCTATTCTTCATCCTTATATCCCAAACTATATCTTCGACCCCTGTCATGTTTATCCCTGCCATCTTGATGTGATCTGAAAACCAACTTCTTTTTCATTCCCTTGGCGATCATCATGGAACCATTAGTGCCGTTCGATCCATACACTCAAAATGTCACCATGCGACATGCAGATGGCAGTGCCTTCAACGTGAGTGTGCCGATGCTGAACGTCTTCGTGCAATACAATGTACGGGTGTGCATCAACTACGGCGTTCAATTTGGGGCATCACTGGTTTTGCTGGTCATACTTCTGCTCCTGACCCACGCCGACAAACGACGCTCAGTTGTTTTCATCTTGAACGGTCTCGCGCTTTTATTCAATAGCGTCCGCCTACTCTTCCAAGTCATTCATTTCGAAACCGATTTTGAGAAAATCTACGAGTACTTCGCTCAGGACTACTCGGCTGTGCCAGCAAGTGCATATGCCATTTCCATTGTGGCCACGGTCTTCTTGACGCTGGTCATAATTTGCATCGAAGTCTCGCTGGTGCTTCAGCTGAACGTGGTGTGCTCTACACTGCGTCGTCGATACAGACGTCCCCTCCTCGGTCTCTCTGTGCTGGTTGCTCTGGTGCCAACCTTGTTCCGTTTCTGGTTCATGGTGCAGAACTGCAAATTGATCATCTCACTGAACTACATGTCGCAAATCTGGTGGATCGAAAGCATAACCAACATCAGCTTGACAGTCAGCATCTGCTTCTTCTGCACCGTCTTCGTCGTCAAGCTCGGCTTCGCGATCAACCAGCGTCGCCGACTCGGAGTCCGCGAATTCGGTCCCATGAAAGTCATCTTCGTCATGGGCTGCCAGACCACGATTGCCCCAGCCATCTTCTCCATTGCGCAATACTACATCACCGTCCCAGAATTGAACTCCAATGTCGTGACCCTGGTCGTCATCTCCCTCCCACTCTCGTCAATCTGGGCCGGTGCTGCCCTCGAGAGCTCCCGCAATCTCCACAGCCGAGACCAGCGCCGCCGCAACTTCTGGCGCTCCCTTGCTGGTGGTGCCGACAGCCCCACCGTTCCATCCAATGATAGCCCTACAAGTCTTTCGTCCATGGGTGCTGCTCAGACTCTTTGCTATTCGGATCGTACTTCGACAACCAAGGGCTCACCGACCTCGCGTGATAGTGACGCATTTTATGGGATTGCAGTGGAGCACGATATCTCAGTCAACCACGCGCAGAAGAAACATTCATTGGTTTGAGGCCATAGTGGCCTTCCCAAGAGCAACAGCATATCTTAGACTATGCTTTTCATTGCAATGTATGGAGGATACCTGAGACAGAAACAGACTAATTAATTTCCATGCCACTTCCCTGCGCTACCCTGCACGTCCTCTTTTTGCTCCTTTATTCAATTTTGTTTTTGGTTTAGATCATGCTGGTTTGCTACAGCTCTTCACATGAGATCCATTCGACGACGTGCAGCTTCTCTGTCATGAAATCCTCCAATTTCAAATCCACTCGAGTTGTCAGAGCTCAAGTTCCAAGGTTCTTTTTACAGACTGGTTCCAAACTTCCAAAATAAAAAATCAGGTGAATGGCCTTCCGGACCCCTGGTGCACACGTAATAATAGCAGAATATTCGGGGTCAGACATAAGTTATAAGTAAGATAAGGAGGACCAGTTCCAAGGTTGAGTAGACGGGAGCGGAATTAACCATTTAGAAACAAGAATTATGTACAAAACGCTCTATGTATGAAACCACGTTTGCGCCGAAGCCCAAGAAGCCAACGATTAATCATACCCAATGCTAATTCAACTGCACGTAGTTGGCTAGAAAGATGTTAGCAGTGCACAACAGGAAATCGGGGACCACACAAGAAACTCACCAGGGAACTGGCCCTCCCGACCAGCGACTCGCCCTGACCACCATTCATTAGTGTTCTCCGTGCGCTGGATAATCTCAATAACGTCTCCGGCCGAGAAGCCGAGGTCGCCATGTGCCTGAGCCTCGTAGTCATAAAGAGCAGTGACGGTTTCCACCGGCTTGTTACTGAGGTGAGAAGGCTTCGCCCTGGGAGGGGGTGGGGCGGGCTTGCTCTTGGCAGCAGCGGAGAAGCTACTTCCCGTCGGACTGGGGCTGACACCAGCAGAAGAGTAAGGAGGAGGAGGATTATCGTCTGTTGCCGTAGAGCTAGAACGACCGCGACCGAGAGAGCTCTTGCTGTCAGCGTCCTTTCCATGGGGAGTAAGCTTCGATCCGGAGCGGCCGAGACCCTTGGTCTTAAAGTGGACGATGGTCAGAGCCTCCGCCTGTTCTTGGATGTTGCCGCGCTTCTGCTCGAAGGCCTCTTCGACATCCAGCTGTAGATTGAAGTAGCTGATGTTCATGCCCTGCATGCGGTCGTGCAAGGTGTAGAAAACGTTGAGTTGCATATAGTAGAAGGACTGGAAGAGGGGTCGGATGAACTCGGCTTCGAGAGCGAATAGCTTAGGAAGCTCGTCTTTCAGCAGATCGTTGTAATAGTTGAATTCCTGCGTCGCCTGCTCGACATCGTTCTCAGCTTTGTAAAGGGCCTTTTCGTCTTTGAGCGCCTTGTCCTTCTTCTCCTGGAGCTTCTTCAATGTCGCATTGCGACGGTCGAAGTCAAGCTTCTTGTGGTCTCGCTTCACCGCGACCTTACGGATCACCTTAATGACCTCGAGCAACTGGTCCGCCGGACTGATGATGCGGCTGTCGATCATCTCTAGCTCGGGGGCCAGGGCCTCCTGCAGCTCGCGGACAATCACTTCATATTCCTCACAGGCCTGAATGCCCTCTGCGTTTCCTTCGAATTGGTAAGAGGTGGGATCGGAAGCGCGACCGGAGATAGGCTTGTATATTTCGGCGATCGCTTTGGAGAACTCGATCTGGTGGCTCAACATGCCTGGCACGCGTTAGTGGCGGTAAAATCCGGGGTAGAGGTTCGTTCATACCATTAATGGCGGCGAAGTATTTCTTAGATTCATCGTGGAGTTTCTTAGTTTCCTTCTCCAGCTCGTCGAAGCGGCGTTCAGCATCGGAATAGACAGCGTCCTTGGTGTGTTCACCGAGATTGAACTTGACCTTGAACTGTTGCGGTGCACGCGCAATGCTCTTCTGGAAGCCTTTGAAACTCATGTCGGATCTTCCGGAAATTGGGGAGACAGACAGGGAGAAGAGAGAGAGGAAGAAAGGAGCCTAGGAAGCGTACTTGCCAAGGCGGGGGGGTTTTCACAACCCAACTTCTTCAACTATGACATAAGACTTCGGCCAAATACGACGGTGTGGCTGTGACTCCTTTCTAGTTGGCTTTTTTTTACTCCGCTTAATTGCGCCCTACGCTTTTGATTCCGGCCTTGCTCAGTATTGTGGCGCAGCTTCTCAGGCACCAGTATTTCGGAGATCCTTGATCTGCTGGATCCTCTCACGGCAGCCTTACCCGAGGCGATCGAACGCCTAGGGCTCAATCTGACTTTGCATTTCGACGACACTACATGCATCAAATAATACGGAATTTCTTGCAAACACATTAGATTTGCTATAATCCAATAGCCAAAATGCCCTTTCGGCCCTGAAAACCATGGCCGATGAATCATGACGCGAACAAACAAGCACACATTGCATTTTGGAGCAGAATTTGGCAATTTCAAGGTTCCCACATCGAGTAGCTAACCTTGACACAGCATATCGATCAACAACGGACTGAATATGTCAGTCTTCCCAGAGCTGCAAATGATTCAAACATTTGAATCAATCCTGCATCTCCAGCAGACGCGATGCAACTCCATCCTTTTCTGTCTCAGCTGCACCGTAATCCTCGGACAGATTACCAGATACCCCTTCCAGTCTGAGCCAACTCTACAAGATCCAGGACCTAATCATCGAACAATTTCGTCAAGAACAAGCTTTGAAGGCTTTACAGTCTCGGTGCAGGCCTCATCAGCAGTCAAGTTTCCAGCAGAAGAAATACCGGCAGCCCTAGCCGGCTGAGCCCGACTAGCACCTGCATACTGCAGGTCAGACTTCGGCCCCAGACAGAACTTGCCGGAAGCACCGGCGGTACCACGCTTAGCGAGAGCACCACAGAGGTTCGCGGCTCTAGATCTAGTCTGCTGGAGACCGAGGCACTGGGCTCCATGGGACATGCCGAGATATTGCACTGAGCGGGCACCTCGAACATTGGGCTCGGTCCGGAGGGCCTTGCTACACTGGCGGACTTTAATTCCGGGGTGGCCAAGGTGGCTAGCCGCCCTTGCAACCCTTGGCCCAGAATGTTTTGATGTTGGCTGCTGAAGCCAAGCAGACGAGGGAAAACATGGCAAGAAGATTGAGTTTCATGTTGGCGAGCGGGTAGAGAGGTATATGGCATAGTTTATGTTGAAAAGCTGTGTTTGTTTCACACGCTGTGATGTTTTCTCTTTTCGGTACTCATAATTCGGCTGATTGGGTAAGTGAGCAATAGGTCCACGGGTATTTCAGGCAAGCGAGCCCGAGAAATCAAGTAGTTAACAGTACTTTCAAAGTTGACCAGTGAGTGAAATAGTCGACACAAGTAGAAGATCGCTTAGATACAATACACTGGATAACCTTGTCAGGCGCAGTTTCGATTTCTGCAAACTCGACAAAAGCCAAGCCCTCGTCACCATTTGAAGACTTATGTCAATTGACCGACTGATCCAAACGTAGCCTTCTAGTTAGTTTGTGCACTTGACATCCTGATGGATCTCGGTGAAACCACTAGAGCTGGTCCCTGTTACGGCCTCAGGAGAATCTCAGACGTAGCTTGCTATTGACACTTTGATTGACACTTTCAAGATAGATACCTATCATCTGTGAGCGAAAGTAAGAGACCAACCCATTCAAAGCGCACGATTGGGTGAGCGCTCTACCTGTCTTGCCCAGGTGTTCGCTTGGTGTCGAGAGTCGAGAGCAAGCTGCCCACGGGTGCCACCAACTCAACCAATCGCCGGTCTTTCTCAAGACTTGCGGGGATGCTGCAATCACATGACCCACTTTAATTGATTAATCATTCTCAGAATCATCCATGGATCCATGGATTTAGACCTACAAAAGTGGATTGATTTTGGCATGGTACATGTTCAGCATACTGCAATTGTGCCTTTAAACGAGGATTTCCACACGTTGGAAGCCTCAGGGCTCTTGCAACATGACTTTGGAAGCCCTCACTGATCCAGTTTAATCAAGAGCAGTAGCCAGAATGGCAAAAATCATATGCTGTGCTATGTAGTATGCCCCAAGCTCTACTAAGTACTCTCCAAGGTCTTTAAAGGCTGTAAATTGATCACACATTGCTGTCAAATGGACCATCGCATGGGCTATTTGTGATGTAACTCCAGGGCTATCTTTGCAGGCAGTCATCATGGGCAATGGATCAAGAGAGTGCTCATTGAGATTGAATGATCAACTACAATATCCTCATTGTCCGTAGCCTATTTCCTTTGATTCATTAAAAGCCATCAACTAGGCGTTTAATAAGCAGTCAGTAGCTCAAACATAACGAGAGGCTCCTTTCAGTCGGCCTAAAATGATCACCGTGTCATAGCATGTCGCTCACGATGGATCCAGATGAAGAGGGAAATCTACTAATTTCGAACTGATTGCAATATCCATAGGCATTTCTTCCAAAAATGAAATATTGTTAGCAATCAGGGAAAGAGTTCAAGCTCGAATTGGCCTCAGGCATCACGGAGCGGATAATCCAAATCGGGAAAAAGCCGAGATCTTTTAGTCATTTGAGGAGATGATAACAAAAAGTCGGGGTCACCTTTCCTTCTTCATCCCACTTCCATGGTATCAAAGCACATCTCATCACCATAATGACAAGTGCTGCTCCTACTGCTTGGAGACAGGCTTCTGCCTTCTCCAGGCGTCTTTCAACCATCGGTTCCCGCGTTCCCCGGGTCGCCACCGGTCTGCGCACCCGCTCTTATGTCACCGAGACCAAGGTCGGACAGGCCCAGGTCAACCTCGATGCTGCAATCAAGGAGGAGCAGAAGTCCTTCATGAAGCAGGCTGGTGTGGCACCCGCCGGCGTTACCATGCCGGGTTCGGCGACCTCCGGAGACGCCGCGCTGAGCCCTTCCGCCGGTATTCTGAAGCAGGCCACCGTTTTGGACCAGGGCACCCGGCCAATTTATCTCGACATGCAAGCCACCACACCTCTCGACCCCCGAGTCCTCGACAAGATGCTGCCTTATCTCACCGGTATCTACGGCAACCCGCACTCGCGCACACACGCCTACGGATGGGAGTCGGAGAAGGGTGTCGAGGATGCCCGTGAGCACATCGCTAAGCTGATCGGTGCCGATCCAAAGGAAATTATCTTCACCAGTGGTGCGACGGAAAGTAACAACATGAGTTTGAAGGGTGTTGCGCGATTCTTTGGTCGCTCCGGAAAGAAGAACCACATCATCACCACCCAGACCGAGCACAAGTGTGTTTTGGACAGCTGCCGCCACTTGCAAGATGAGGGCTTCGAGGTGACTTACCTGCCCGTCCAGAACAACGGTCTGATCCGCATGTCCGACCTTGAGGCGGCTATGCGCCCCGAGACTTGCATTGTCAGTGTCATGGCCGTGAACAACGAGATTGGTGTGATCCAGCCTTTGGAGGAAATTGGCCGTCTTTGCCGCTCCAAGAAGATTTTCTTCCACACCGACGCTGCTCAGGCCGTTGGCAAAATCCCGCTCGATGTCAACAAGCTGAACATTGATTTGATGTCCATTTCTAGCCACAAGATCTATGGCCCCAAGGGTATTGGCGCTTGCTTCGTCCGTCGTCGCCCACGTGTTCGTCTTGACCCTCTCATCACCGGTGGTGGTCAGGAGAGAGGTCTGCGCAGCGGAACCCTTGCCCCCCATTTGATCGTGGGTTTCGGTGAGGCTTGCCGTCTTGCTATTACAGACATGGATGTAAGTTCTTGATCTAATTTCCTATTCTCGTTCTTGCCGCGATGATTATACACTGCAAAATTTGCTTTGGAGTTGTCTGGGTGGTAGCTCCGTGTCCACTGGACATGGTACTCAGCTTCCATGATGTTGACCGCAGGGGTGATGAGCTGGCTCATGAACTTGTTTTTGAATTCCTAAGTGACCAATTACTGACTTGAGATAACAGTACGACACAAAGCACATTGAGCGTCTATCCAAGCGCCTCAGCGAGGGCCTCCTCGCCATGGAGCACACCACCTTGAACGGCGACCCCGATGCACACTACCCAGGCTGTGTGAACATTTCCTTCGCCTACATTGAGGGTGAGTCTCTCCTCATGGCCCTGAAGGACATCGCCTTGTCCTCTGGCAGCGCTTGTACTTCTGCCTCTCTGGAACCCAGCTACGTGCTGCGCGCCCTTGGTAGCAGCGACGAGAGCGCCCACAGCAGTATCCGATTCGGTATTGGTCGCTTCACCTCGGACGAGGAGATCGATTACGTTCTCAAGGCCGTGCAGGCCCGCGTTTCTTTCTTGCGTGAGCTGAGCCCGCTTTGGGAGCTGGTGCAGGAGGGTATTGATCTGAACACGATTGAGTGGAGCCAGCACTGATTTTTTAATAATTGAGAAAATTGGGACGGCGTTGACGTGTAACAACATTATGTACAGACTGAGAATAATCAACTCACAAATCACTACTTGTTTCCATCATACTTCTTCTCTTGATTCGTAAATGCTCCATGGCTCACACACTTCTAGGTCCCAGCCTCCGGCTCTCTCAAGATGGATGAATAAACCTACCTAATTACAGTTGTACTGCCACACTTGGAGTTCACAAGCTGTGTACGATAGTTCAACACTGTTTTACCTCGAGGCTGGCAGAATTATTTCATTGTGGAATTATTGGGTCACCCAAAATTGCTCTAGATCTCTCTATTTTGGCCATCGTTGCCGCTCAACCAGCTTTAGACATAACTTGAAACCAGGAAAACCGTGAGACACGTAGCATCATAAATCCACGTACACATGCAGAGGTCGCCAATCGCTCCCTCAGATTATCGTACTTATGAAACTGTTTCTCAACTCAAAATGTTTACATGCCGAGGGGTACTCGCCGGCGGCATTGTGACGAAGAATAAATCACTGGGGAGAAGTCGAAGTCTTCCGAGGAAGTCCAGCAATGTATGCTCTACTTCTTATCTACCTGATCTTGAGGGATACTACTGCACAGGTCATCCCTCCTGAGGAGCTCCAAGTTGTGACCTCTAGTGGCGTCATAAACGGAATCTACAACAACACCGAAAGTACAGTACGCGGCTTCATTGGAATCCCGTACGCCGAGCCCCCAGTCGGAAGTCTACGATGGGCACCACCCATTCCAAAATCCTCTGAAGACCTCATCGATGCATCTACATTCAGTGATCCCTGTGCCCAAGTCTACATCTACTCTAATCAGTCTATCTGGAGTGTGCTCCCTTACAAGATATGGAACTCGGCGAATATGTCCGAAGACTGTCTTTACCTGAATGTCTGGGCTCCTTCCAAACGTCGCGATGAAAAGAGAAGAAACAAAGCAGCAGTCATGATGTTCATCCACGGAGGAAGCTACTTTTCCGGATCTGGATCGGTCGGCTACTACGATGGTACTTATTTGGTACAAGACAACGAGGATATCATTGTTGTGACGTTCAAGTATTCTTTCATTCCTAAGTGTTTCAGGGCATCAAACTTACCAGAACATGCAGTTACCGACTGACCGTGTTCGGATTTCCTAACTCACCTGGCTTGGATCCCAAGAAACAAAACCTCGGATTAATGGACCAGGTGAGTATGCCAACCTGACAAACTGAACGAAGCTGACATCTTTAGCGGTTGGCGATCGAGTGGGTGCACAAGAACATTGCTCAATTCGGTGGTGATCCAAACCAGATCCTCCTCTTTGGTCAATCGGCCGGTGCTTCTTCGGCCGATCTCTACTCATATGCGGCAAGGGCTCTCTATTCCCGAAATCTTGACTGAATTAACATAAGTATCATAGCATCCTGAAAAGCCGCTCGTTAGAGCCCTTGCTCTTCACTCGGGGACTGCTCCGTTGCTAGTCACGCCTTCGAACAATGAGAATTGGAACAATCTGTCTACCGATCTTGGCTGCGGCATCGGAGCAAAGTCTCATAACTGCATGAGCCAAGTACCAGCAATGAAGATACTGGAAGCGCGTGCTCATGGCAACTACAGCTTCTATCCTGTTGTTGACAACGTTCTCGTGTTTCCCGACTACGCTGCTAGGGCTAGGAGGGGCAAACTAGCACGTCTCGTAAGCACGGCAGTCATATTTTGTTATCACATTGCTTACACCGGGTGGAATATCAGCCTACACTGGCTGGGATGACTGAGCGTGAATATTCAGCCTTCTTTCCTCTGAATTCGGAATCTGTCAACTTGACTCAGATCTACGAGGTTGGGCAAGTCAGATATAACTGCCCTCTTCGAGACTCGGTGAGGTCCGTGTCTTAACTATCGGGATTCTCCGTCTTTTGTCTGATGTTGGGGTAGGATACGAGTCGCCAACAATATCCCTACCTGGAGGTATCTTTACCACGGTAACTTTACTAGTCTCAGCCCAATCCCATGGCTAGGCGCATACCACGGGGGTAAGACACAACGGGATCCTACGAAATCATTCTCTCGATTGACAAACCAACAGCTGAGATACCCATGCTCTTTGGAACTTACAATTTGTCGAATGTATACCCTACCTCAGCTATAGAAGCCAAGGCCAGTAAATACATCCAGGGTGCGTTCATCCTAGCTAATGACTGTACGGGCGTTTAACACTAAGCACAGGAGCCTGGGTTTCTTTTGCCAAGGATCCTTATACTGGACTGACTCGATATGGATGGCCACGGTTTCGATTCAATGGTAGGGTTGGTTTAGTCTGATGAAGATAATGCTAATAGTGCATAGAGCCGACTTTAATCAATATTGCCTTGAACAACAGCATCCCAGCAATATTGACCTCTGCTACTTGGGATCGGTGCTGCGAGGAAGAGAGTGTCCGGTCTGAATTGTGAGGTACGGAGTATACATAGGAAGGGGGTACGGGGTACGGAGAACACAAGCACATGACGTCACCTAGCCAAGACCGTTGAGTTAAATAAAAAGCACACGGCACGTGATTTAAATTTGATGCCTGCTTCTTCAGGCGACATTTTCCCAATTCGTCTTTTTGATTGAATTTTCCATTTTCAGCGAGGAGTCCCCACCGTAAAACTCGTTGCAAGAATGAAAGGAAGTGGTGGAAGTTTGTTTAAAAAAAGCAAAAAGCACGAGACGAGATCAAAACCCGTTATAACTAGAACAAGTATATACTTCATGGATGGAGGTTGCCCCAGATTCCAGCCGGAGGTAGCATGCGGAGCAGAGTGAGTGAAGCGAATTTGAAGCCAAGTTAAGCGAGAATGTCCGAAAATGGCTCAACCCCTCCTTCTCAGCCCGTGTCACCGGTGTAAATCGGGCGTTGGGTCCATTTTCTGACACTCAATTTCTGCTCGCTTAATGAGGACCCACCGAGGGGGTCGTCGCGGATGCACTCAGTCGTCTTGGCACGAGTCTACAGTCGCATGGGGCCCGTATAAAACGAACCTTGGTCGACTGGTGCTAATCCGGTGCCATCGTACTTGTTTTCACCCTATTCCACCCTATTCCGCCCCCTATTGCACCTTATTCCTGGCCTGTCGCCCTCTGGCCCACTCCTCTAAAATGCCCCCGGTGCTCTCTAAATGTCACTCTCTTCGTCCTATATCGGAGCCATTTGCCCCCGTTCATCTGCTTATCATTGCTATCCCTTACCCTCCCAAGGTTCCTTTCGGCTTAGAAATGTCCCTCCAGGGATACCCGGTGAATTACGTGCTAACCGAAAACTCTGCTTTTTGTAGCAGACATGTCGCTATTCCAATTGAATTATATTTATCCGAATCTCTTCCGTCTTCATCCGCTTTAGGATTTCTTGGAAACCAGTCTCCGGACGTTCCTGGATGTTTCTGGTCATTTGTTTCTTGTATTCTTCCTGATCTTCTTTCATTGCGCTGTTCACCTCTATCCGTTCATCGACTTTGATTCCCATCCTGAGCTTTATACCAGTCTTTGGTTCAGACTCGGGACCGTGATCCGGTCGTGCTCATTGTTTCCTCATCCGAGGGGCACGCGAGTCAATGCAACGGCGAGCCTGCAACGGCGATTATATCTGAAATCAACTGTACATCCCTTAACTCATTATGTTACCGCCAGTGCCATCCCCGGCCGAGTATGGGATTACCCCAGAATATGGCTTCCTCTCCCCGGAGTTGCCACTAGAGATCCTCCCAGATCCCTACTACGCCAAATGGGAGAAGATTGTTCAGAATCTGCAGGCATTGATTCTAAGCAAGGGACTGCGACCAATGGTAGAGCGTCTACCCATACTTTCCACCTCACACTTGAAGTCCGATGCTGAGTGGCGTCGTGCATATGTCGTACTTGTATTCATATTGCATGGTTATGTTTGGAGTGGCAATTACCCAGAAGAGGTACCTCACCTTCACTACATCAGTCATACCGTAACAATGTACTAACTCCGCGAAGAGGATCCCACCTCAGCTTACAGTACCCTTGTTCGAGGTTTGTGAACGACTCGAAGTCCCACCCGTCGCAACATATGCCGGGGTTTGCCTTTGGAACTACAAGCCGATCTTCCCTGACGAGCCAGTCAATACTTTGGACAACCTAGCTTGCCTACAAACATTCACCGGGTCCCTGGATGAGCAATGGTTTTACCTTGTCTCCGTTGCCATCGAGGCACGGGGAGGGCCCTCTATTCCCCTTATGCTCCAGGCAATCACAGCAGCCCGCACAGGCGACAGCCAAACCGTCACAGACTGTCTGCAACGTCTAGCTGAAACAATCGACGAAACGAACACCTTATTGCAAAGAATGTACGACAACTGTGACCCATACGTGTTTTACAACCGGATCCGCCCTTATCTGGCCGGAAGCAAGAACATGTCCGACGCAGGCCTGCCAAATGGCCTATTATACGACGACGGTCACAACCCTGAATACCGTCAATACGGCGGTGGCAGCAATGCGCAAAGCTCGCTGATTCAGTTCTTCGACATCGTCCTCGGCGTCGAACACCGCCCAACAGGCACAACTCAAAACGATAAAGATAAAGCCGACGTCAAGTCCCGAAACAGTTTCATCCATGAGATGCGCACATACATGCCCGGCCCGCACCGACGCTTCCTCGAAGATGTGGACTCCATCTCGAATATCCGAGCGTTTGTCGAAGCACGCCGCTCCAACTCGGCCCTCTGCATGGCTTACGACGCATGTCTTGCGATGCTCCGTGTCCTGCGCGATAAACATATCACCATGGTATCACGGTACATTATTCTTCAATCGCGAGCGAAGCCCAATACCGGCCGCACGAACCTGGCGACTGCAACGTCTGAGAAGAAGAAAATGCGTGGCACAGGTGGTACGGCATTGATCCCCTTCCTCAAGCAGGCTCGTGATGAGACAAGTGAGCCGGCTATCGATGCTTGGGCAAGGAGGTTGCTCAGCAACCCAACGGATAAGACTTTCGCATCACTGAGCAAGGTTGGAGAGCAGCCAGATGGCCATCTTGAGGTAGTTGGGCTTTGTGGAACTTGGACAGCAGAGGAGAGCGAGGGAGGTATTTGCCATTGGTAGTTTTCTGGGTTGGTCTTTGAGCGATGCATTTTCTTCTTGGCGTTTGGGTTGCATGAACTATCCTCGGTATATGAAGTAGCATGAGCATTTTGAAGTGACACAGTCACGATTTCAGAATATTGTTTTCATCTCTATCAAAAGTAATTACTGTCTTTTAGGCCTGAGCAATGACCATGATGAACTTTCAATTCAAGAAGGTTGTGCAGTAGATGTACGTAGGACTCGGGTGTCTGTCCAAGATGACCTGACTACAAAAGTATTCCCGTTGGGGGCAGAAATTGATACTTCTTCTAGAAGAAAGCCATCCATGGATGGCTCTAAACTTCATTGTGGTTCACGACGTGGAATCCGCCACGAGTTGTTGTACTCGCACTACAGAAGCACCCACTCTGTATGCGCCCTAGCAATTGCTTGCATATTAAATGTGTCACAGCCTGCTAGTATGCCACAATAAAGTGCAAGAATGACACTAGAATCTTCCAAGATTTACGGATGACGCAGGTGTCAGCCTTATCTTCATCCATGGATTGCGGCATTGACATCATATGACGTCATTGGTATAGACTTGTTTACTGGTGATGGTCTACAAACATATAAGGACCCCTTTGCTTTGTTTACATCTTTCATTTTAACTCCACAACTCTCTCTCTCTCTCTCTATCAGAACTTTACCATCACCATCCACAAAAAACCACCACACATTATCTACAATCTACAACATGTCTGACGGAAACGCTTCAACCGGCCAGTCCTACTTGGATCAAGCCAGTGGCCTCGCTCAGCGTGCCATGGGCACCGTGACTGGTGACTCCTCTACTCAGGTAAGCTCCATTCTCTACCACATTATCAAGCTTTACTAACAAACTCAGGCCAAGGGCGATGTCAAGAAGGCCGAAGGCGAAGCCAAGAATGAAGCTTCCCACACAACCGCCAAGCTAGGCCCCTTCTCTGCCGATCCCAACACTGGTGCCGTGGCGCAGGACAACGAGAACCGCCCCACTGGCCAGTGGGACCAGACTGTCGGCTCTACCAAGGAAGCCGTAGGTAACCTCATCGGCAACGAGAGCCTCCGTCGCGGTGGTGCCGAGCAGAACGCCGCTGGAAAGGAGCAGGAAGCCAAGGGTCAGCTCAAGGACTGGGGTGAGGGTATCCAGAACCGCGCTCAGGGTGCTCTGGGCTCCGTTGGTGCTGCTGTCACGGGTGACCGCGAGAAGGAGGAGAAGTACCGCGACCAGCATGATGAGGGCAAGGTCCGTCAGCGCGGTGCTGAGGCTGATATTGTCAAGAAGCAGGGCGAATAAGTGCTCGGCTTCGTTGCTGTATTTTATCATGACTTTTACGATGGCTTTGCTATGATATCCAATTGATTTCGCCATTTGCTATTACTACGTTCATGCCGCAGTAAACCGGATCCGGTAACTAGTATACACCGTCGGTAGGTGAGAATAGTGAGACTATGGGCAATCTCACCGGGAAGGCAATACCCAGAGCCAGTGCAGCTGGACGTAGTTCTCGGACATGTGTTTTCTCTAGGCCCTCTGCTGTCTCAAAGCAGGTCTTGTGCTTGCTCGGTATGGGCTAGGAATTCCGTAACACAGGCTTGTAGATAACGAGGAGAGAAGAGCAACGAAAAGTCAAGTTTAACGGGCGAGCTTATTGGGAGTGTCATCGAGAGTAGTATCATTCCACCTCGAACCCCGGGTTCTCGATATTGCAACTGTGATCTGAGACAAAATGAGTTTTGTACAGAAGTTCGGCACATAAATCATTCTGTTTCCTTGGCTTTGCAAGATCAAGCAACAGCACGGACAGTATTTTGCTCATTATTTTGCCTCACGACTGCCAGAAATGCGCAAGCGAGGTCAGATCGAGAAAGAAGCCCGGGTATCGTGATCTGACCTATCTTGTCGTCTCATCAACCTCGGAACGTTAACAGATGAGCATTTGATCTGCACCGGACTCAACTCAATCTCCGTCCCTCCACTCAAGCCCACGGGGTACTAGCTCCAAGGAATGTGAAAATCCCCGACCCCGGGATAGCAGCAAGTTCCCCGCAGCTGATCTCCGTGTATCCGAGGTCGAGACTAAGACAAGATCTAGAACACTAGAACCTTGGAAGCGAGTTCAAGATCAAGGATTTCCAGCAGTGGCGCTTGCATGCGTGTACTATGCTGCATTGGCTTACTGGGAGGGGTTAAGCATTTGATATACTCCCGAGCTGCCAGGCGAAGGAGAACCTCTATACAACTTCCTTTGCATATACAGATCATGAAACTGACAGCCTTCCTACTGTTCCTCGCGACAGCCTGCACTGAGCATCAGCATCGCCGAGATACCACTGACAATGGAATCAATCTGGGCGCGATCTCAAGTGCATTGTACAGATACCTTCCCATGTGCCCTTATACGTCTAACACATCGCAGAGAACACATGACAGCGAACCAAACAGCGAGCGCCAATTTTGGCAACATCTCATCGCCCCCGAAAGCTCTCATCGGCGAAATTCTCTCGGTAGTCCCCGTCTCTGTCATCTGGGAATTGATCAATCCCGATCAGCGCAAATCCCTAGCAAGCCAATTTAATGCCGGTACCACACCGGCATGGTACAATGCCCTGCCGACCGACGTGAAAAGTTACATGTCTGTGGTTAAATCGCAGATCTCGGACGGCGCTCTAACAGCCACAACGGGGGCGTATGCGAAGGCGCAAACGCAAACGCAAACGCAGGTAAAAAGCACGTCGACCGGGTCCGAATCCCAATCGGGATCAGGGTCGGGGTCAGGGTCAGCGAGCTCGACTTCGTCTAGTGCAGCTGCACCGACGGAATTGACCGTATCGGTGATGGGCGCATTGGGTGTGCTTGGACTTGCGCTAGCTTTGTGATATGATTTCGAGCAGTGGATCTGATTCGATGCAACGGTCGTCAGATCATGGAGTGGGGAAGCGTATAAGGTGGCTACTTCGTATTGGATTGCGATTTGGTATTGAGGATAAGTGCAACTTTGGAAGTTGACAAATTGATGAGATATGAGATCTAGAAATTCAGCAGTTTCAACTTAAAATTCCCCTCGGCCCTCAGCTCGCTCTAGACTAGCCATGTATTCTTGTTTCTCAGTTTTCCCCCCAAATTGAGGCTTTCAGTTTCGGAACGTCGCAAGTGGAGAATAGGTTACATTAAGCATTTCAAGCACATGCTGTTCTGTTCGGCCCTGGCTGTAGATTAATTAATATGGGAGTATGCAGGTTCATGACGAGGTGGCAGAGCCAAGTGATATATGTGCCTCTCGCGTGCATCGACCTTGCAGGATAAGCCAGGCGCAGATCACTACTGAAGCGAACCCTCCTCCGACCACAACCTTGGAAAATAACCCAAGTGATTGACAGCTCCACGATTGGATCCCACCGAGCCCCTCGAAATGAACTAAACCCGACAGGCCCAAGACCCTCAGGCTTGTCTCAAAAAAGGGGCCGATCAGCCCCAACCCGCCGATCTTTCACCCAAAGGGCCCATCTGGGGTGAAACCTGGATGCGGGGGAAAACTCTCTCGTATCGAAATCGTGTTGGGATTGGATCGTTTTCTCGCCATCAATATCCTAATTCACTGTCATTTCACATGATTCCCATTGTTTCTTGTTCCTCGGCCACTTGGTGTCTGCCCGTCACCCGAGATCGTGTCAATCCGGCCTCTAACGGCCTCGGGAAATTTCCCAAAAGCTAGCTGCCACGCTAACAGACAGACTAACAACAGCCAGCGCCATGGTCTAGATCAAGAGAGAAAAAGTCAAGTTCGCTTATAAGGGTTGGATGTGTAGAGAAACTCACTTCTACATTCACACTCAGACAGCTCGAATTATCAACAATGCGTCTCTTCCACGTCCTCCCTTTGATCCTGGCTCCTTTGGCTCTGGCAGCCCCAGAGCCTAGACCCAACCCTGTCGCTGCGCCAGCACCGGCATCTACCGGTGGGCTGCTGGAGGAGTTACCTGACATCCTGAGCGGCGTCCAGGGTCTCTTGACTACCGACAACGTCAACAAGCTGGACACCATTCTTGATGGCGCTGCTAAGCTGCTTAAGTCCGATAACATTGATATCTTGCAAGATATCCTGAACAACGCCCATACATTGCTGACCAAGAGCTTTGTCGATAACACAACTACCCTCATTGGAGACGCTACGCCAGTACGTGACCAGTTCCACCGTGCTAACCAAAAAAAAAAACATACTAACAGGCTGTAGCTGGTTGAGGATGTCTCCAAGCTCCTTGGTGGTATTTTGGGGTCACTGTGAGAGCTAGAAGGAACGAATCATGACCTTTTATGTTTTTCTATGTTATGTTTTTTTCGAATTTGCATCTGAAGGGGTATATAAACGATCAATGAATGGAACCTTCAATAAGACATCCATGAATGAGCTTAGTAACGAAAGAGAACCCTTGAAAAGAGAAAATACACAATATTAAACAGAATAACTTTGGAAGCATATCTCATGACGAGCGGGTATATACAAAAACATCAAACCACATTCAACTTCTCCTTCAGACGATCCTGATAGAACTTGTAAGGATATGCCCTCCACTTATCAGGAAAAGCCGGGTACAGAGCAACTGAGAAACCCATATAAGTCCGATACAGCGCCCTCGTGCCCACCGTCGATTTAAGCCCATAAGCATCTCGCAATCGCGGCGGTAACATTTCAATCGTCGCCACTCGCAAGAACGGCTTCATGGACTGTACCCAGCGCGGCATCTCCGTGCTCTCTCGGAGGTCCTTTGCGAACTGTGCCGCATCCTCGGAGACCGTCAACTGCGACACCTGGTCATCCCAATACGACCAGAACTCCTGCCGGGACGCTGGCCATGTCCCGGCTGGCACGCCTAGGCAGTTCATGAGCAAGGTGAATTCACTATATGCACGCTGCGCACTAGCATAGTCGACGCGACCATAGATGCGCTGGTAGAAATCGGTCGATGTGGCATAGAGCGTCGCTGCCATCCATAGCTGCTTGGATGGGTGGGCTGCGAAACGGGTCGCGTGCCCATCGCCCAATAAGGGGCGATCGCCATTGTGCAATAGGTCTAGGAGAGTCTTGCGCTCGGCGCGGGTTCCAAACACCAGACAGGAGATGTAGCTGATGTGAGCTTGGAGGGTGTCGATGAGCTCCGTCGCAAGCTCTTTGTGACCCCCTGTTGCCCCATCACGGATGCCAGGTAGAGCAGCCTGGAGCAAGAGGGCAGCGCCGGCGCCGGCGAAAATGATGCCCTCCTGGAGCATTTTGGGGAAGATCTCTAGCTGCTCCAGGGCGTGAAGACGCCCGGAGTCGGAAGTTGATTGAGTGGCATCTGAAATAGAAGTAGGGAGAGCCTCGACATTCTTTTCGTCCACAGGGGACACGGGCGAAGAAGTGGAAGACATGGCGATGTGAGGGAACAAGCGACGGTATGAAGTCGCATTATAATATTGAGACCCAGAAGCCAAAACACCCAAAAGCTTCCCCCGCAAAATTGCAAAGCCAAGTTTGGACTACAATGATAGGACGATCTCCTCTCGGCCCATGTGAATAGTCTCGTTCCTCTTGTGGGTTAAGCCGCGGTTCGTGGCAGATCCCCATTTCCTGGGCGATGATCCCTCCCGTTTCTGCGTCATGCAACTCACAAAAGGGAATAGTGCTCCGACGCGAACCCGCTAGACTGAATCATTGGTCTTGTTCGCTTTTCTAATTCTTGTGAACCCACTGGATCCCCGACCCGCTACGGAGGCTTGGACTCTCCGAAGTCTGGGGCTTCATGAGGGTCCGGGTCACGCTAAGTACATATAGCATTCTTCCCCCTAAGGCTTCTTTCTCGTGAGTGTCTGCCAATCGCCATCATGGGTAAAACTGACGACCGGCCAGCATATCTCAGCTCCGATGATGCCAAATATTCCCTGGGTATTCATCGCGGCCCATTAGTCTCAAAAAATGACAATGGCGCCCAACTCGCCCAGGTCGAATCCGCTGGCGGTCTTTCATTAGAGACGAGGAAGTTGAAAGCCAGCGAGAAGTTCCAGCGCCATTGGAAGCGATTCTGGTGTCTGCATTTGTTTGTCACAATCATCTTCCTGGCGATTTTCCTACCAGTCTTGTAAGTCGCGTCCCAAATACGCAATTGCAAGGAACTGCAAATACTAATTCGCCATTAGCTTCCTGGTCGCCATTCCAGCCATCTCACAGATGGTCGTGAATAAGTCCGATTTAGTCCTGGTGAATGCGGCAGTTCTAAATCCGCGACCGGACATGATCTCATTGACACTGCAGTCAGCGCTGAACCTCAAGATTGCGCTGCCTGTGCGCATCGAGCCAATCACCTTGGATCTGTTTGTTCGCGATACGGGAGCAAGCAATGCCTGGGCTAATGCGACTATCGATGGAAAGGTCATTAAGGGAAATTCCACGCTTGGTGTGAGCAAAGTCGAAACGCCATTGACCAACCTGACCACGTGGGTCGAATACGTGCACAACGTTGTCAACAAGAAAGACACTGCTCTATCCGTCAGGGGTACCACGAATTCTTACCTGGGAGTCCTCAAGTCCAAGGTCACTATGGACAAGGACATCGTGTCACCAGGTAAGTTATACTCCATATGCTTCCAAACAAGAATATGAATTAACCCCATATTAGTCTTGGACCAATTTAAAGGGTTCTCTGTCACCGACACAGGACTGGTCAGTAAGCGAGAGGATGGCACAAACCTCGTTGGCAACGCCACGCTCCCCAATCACTCCCTCCTCACCTTAGATCTGGGCACGATTGTCCTGGACGTGAAAAGTGGCGGTCTCACCATCGGCAATGCAACTTTGAAGGATGTCACGATTTATCCCGGCAACAACACTTTCCCCCTAACCGGCGTGCTAGACCTGTCAACCATCATCCACAACTTGGGTAAGGTCCTCGCATCACAAGCCGCGAATCTCAAGACAGGCAATCTTGCCCTGGACACAATCACCAGGTCCATCACCTGGAACGGAACATTGGTTCCCTACTATACCGAAGTGATGTCCGGGCTCACGTTGACCGCCAACCTGGCCATCGCCGATCTCCTCAAGAACTCCATCCACAATCTCCTCAGCGGCAACAGCAGCATCACCGATGCGCTACACAGCGTTGGCGGGCTGAGTGGGCTAGTGGGTAATTTGACGGATAGCGAAGGTGCAAGTAACACAGCCAGTGCAGCGTTGGCAGAGAGTTCGAAAATCGATGCTCTCAAGTCGAAGTTGAAGACCAATGTCGCTGTGCGAGATATCTTCAAGGATCATCCTGTGCAAAAGAGGGACATGATCGTCGACTCTTTAGCAGGAATGTATGTGAAGTTGTGATTTAATGTCCTGGATATGCTCTATGATTTGATTCCCCCTTTGTCTTTGGCGTTTGAATTGTCTTGTCTCTTTTGTCTCTAGATGAAAAGATATAGATCTCCTGTTGACTCACCTCGTGGTTGGGTCGCAGATGATAATAATATGTGAATTTCGTGAATGATATGATAACAATGTTTCCTAAATGATTAGTAGGTTTCCGCGTGCAAAGCTCAGGCGGCTTCATATATCGCTTGATGTACTGATTTAGGGCCGCATAGAGGGAGCCTGTGCTGAGAACATGAGATAACTCACATTGTAAATCACGTTGTTAGTGTTTCCCGATTGGGAAGTCACCTGCCAGGTACCAACCAACTTTGGAACTGCCCCGAATCTTCTGTTTTTCCATTCGGCTTTCTCTCTTCTCTTCAATCATAAATCTAACTTTCAATGCTTGCTTGGGATTATCTCTCTCATCTGAACCACACCCATTTGACTTCGGATCCCGTCCTTGCGGGACATGAGCCATTGTGGCCCAAATCAACTAGCCCCGTGTGATTTGGCGAGCCGGTCAGAATTGGGAAGAAATCCCGAAGCAGGTGACAGATCCCGCATAGCTAGCAATTGAATACCCAAATCGCCATTATGTGGCGGCGTACCGTATTGGTATTCCGCTTGGATGATCGTATCGACGTGTGGCATTGGTAAGGGAAAGCATGCCGAGAAAAATAACGCAAAAGATCGCAGAACTCCATACGGAGTATGAGATATGGAGTAAGCCAATGCGAGACGAATGTCAAAATAGAACAGGATGTGTCAGTTAGGCCTCGATCTTGGAGCCGCTTTGAACGATCATGCGGTCTGGCGGGAACATGGGGACATGAGGGAAGTACATATCCGAGACAAATACGGAGTAGACTCATCATCTCTGCCCAGTGCACGGGTCCACGGGTAGACACCTGGGCGCTCGCACGGGCTTACATCAGAAATGCAAACTCGCCTGAGTAGTATGTATCAGGTCACTACTCATGCAAGGCGCACTCTAGACGCACTTGGGCATTGCTTCTGGAAAGTGACTTCAATCTTGAATTGTTTTAAATTGTTTTTTGAGGATCTTGGTATGCTAATTGTATTATTTACACTAACGTAGCATATAGCCATGTTTGATTTTCATGTAATAGGGTAATGATTCTTCCACCATGTTAGATGATGGATACACAGACGGAAGAGGGACATCGAGAAATTTGTCCCCGGCCCATGTATCGATGGCATCTTCGGGCGTGGGGAGAGGGTTAAGGGTTGGGAGTCGAATGTTGGGATCAAAGCTGATGAGGATGAGAGCTTGGTGATTTGAGGGAAGTCCAGGTGCGTCAATTGAGTAGATAATCGAGCGCTCATCAGCGGTGCTCTTGACAGAACCGATGCGCGTGCTGGGACAGAGTAATTGTTGAACAGCTGTGGCATTCTCTGGTGGCCACATGTGAACGCCGCGACATTCAAATCGCTCTTCGGAGCCCTCAATTGGACGGCCAACTGCGTCTGTTTGAGTAGGTTGAAAGAGTCTGTTGGGGTAGCCTTCGGTCCCATCTTTGTCGATGGGGGACTTGCGCTTTCGTGAAACAGTGCGGAGGCGAAGTCTATCTCGTGAACGTAGACCGTCGCTGGCAGGGTCGTTGACGAGGTCGACGAATGTGGATGAGCCGAGGTGGTAGCTGCGGTGCTTGGTACGCGCGGGTATGAATTCTTGTCGTTTTGTAGAGCCGGATTCATATTCGGCGTGGTAATGACGGCGCAGCCTTTTGCAGGGCGCTCGTCGTAGGGTTGATCGTCACCTAGATCACCGTCCATTGAGACCCAGGACGGTGTAGTCATCGCACCCCCGAAAGAGGCGCCAGAGCTTCTTCCGGCGCCGGCAGTCGCTGTGTGTAGTAAGTACGATGGTTCTCACTCTTGCCATCGCGCCATTCGCGACGACATTCAAGGATGACAGGTTGACCCGTCATTTCATCCTTTCGAATTGAAAGGTCAGTCCACATTTCATTGATAGGGCCTTCCTGATGCTCACGGCGCCAGAAGCGACCATTCCATTTGCGACCTGACTCCCGGGGCGCAAAGCAGAACCAATGATAGAAAGAGGAGTGGATCTCGCTGTCATCTGAAGCGACCTGCGTTGACACGGCATATAGATGCTCATCGTGCATCTCAAAGCACAAAGTCTGCCCAAGATCGCCGTCCACGATGCGGTCGAGTTGAATTCCAATGCGCACACCCGTTTCTAAGTCCACGCCCGTAATTGTCCATACGCCATCGGAGCCATCGGCCGCCGTGAATGTGCCATACCAGAGATATGAGCGAGTATGTCGTACGAAGATCGGGGCTGACGCGGGGATAGAGCGATGAAACACTGGCCGGGGCCGGGATGATCTTCTCATGTCGATGACAAATAAGGCATCCTCCGTGGCGCTCACGCCTGTAACTTGGAAGACGAGGGTGTCATCACTGTAGCTTAATAAAGTAACATTATCGGCTGGTACCGGCCCTGCCGTGTGAAGTGGGTGCGGTAAGACCTGGGTGAGGTCAAGGACGCGCTCGCTGGTCGCGACACCATGGACGTGCAGCACGCGGATGTGGTTCTGGCAGCGGTAGGCCAAATGACCCTGATTATAGATGAAACTGGCGGCGTAGCCTACACAGGCGACGGAGTAAGGGTTTGCCGTGGCAACAGCCTCGTGGACGGCAAAGCGGAGACCAACCGCCTTGCGATAACCCGACTGGGCGGTCATTGCCGCCTGACCTTCCTTGCTGTGGAGTAGGCCATTCTGCGGGATGTCAGCATTGAGGGGGCCAAACCGATGGCGGTGAGGAGGGGGCTTAGTACCTCGACTGTTTTGCGGGCGATTTGCTCGCTTTGTGTGATGGAGTGAAGGGCACGATTGACGCGACTGAGGTGGATGAGATCGCGGTCGTCCAGCGACGTAGCGATGTGATAGAAGACATCAAAAGGAAGAGTATCCAGCCTCTGGATCATGATGAACAGAATGTCAAGCCGTGTCCATGATTACGCTGAAGGGGCTTACTTTATGAGAAGGGAGGATGAGGCTCGAGCAGATTGCTCCAAAGGAGCCTCATCGCGCCAAGAACCCTGGAATGGAGGAAAGAGCAAGAGGCTAGCAGGCCGATCGTCTTAGATTACTTTTGCCACTCCTTCCAGCGAATCACATTCCCCTCCACAGAGCCTTGAGGCTCTTATTGAATTTGGTTAGTTTTAAGGGGGCTGAGTCGACTACGAGTCCGCCGAGACATCCCCCCAAATTAGTCTTCGCGTGACGGAGATGACGGAGATTCGATTTAGTCGCCATAGACTAACTCCTTAGGGTCTCCACAGCCTTGACTTAAAGAGCCGCATCAGGTCTCACTACTGCTACTGTACCGCGTATGAGATCTACGGAGTACAAGTGTAGAATTTCCCACCAGAACAATATGTGATTTTTCATGGTTATTCACAGTTATTCCTGGTGAGTTCTTCGGCTCTTCGGTTACTTCCTTCGATTTCTTCTTCGCTCTTTCCATTTTTCTTCTTTTCTTCTTCTTTCCCCAGTGACGCGTCCGATCACGTGCCCTGAATGTCGCTGCCTAGAAACGCTTGGCCTTTTTGACTGCCAAAGACAAACGGAGTAGATACAGTGTTTTTGTTTCGTTTGTTTCCTTTACTGCATACGTACTCCGGGGCTGCTTACGGAGTACGGAGTATGTCCACGGGTGGTTTCTGATTACTCCCCTGTACTAGATCTCCATGAAATAACTACGGAGTACTCCGTAGTTACTTGGTACTTGGATTCGAACTTGCCTAAATGTTCTCAAACTGTGATCGTCAGATCCCACAGTAACGTGGAATTATGTGCTATGACATAGATGCTTCTGCAGCCCTACCAGTGGGTCTCCCCTCTCCAGCTTTCTGTCCTGTACTTCTCTCTCGGGAATAGTGCCGAGAATTTTCGGGGCGTTGAGACTGTACGATCTGCGACCCCACTAGTCAGCCGAGTTCTTTTTAAACACTTCAGTCGTTTCGACTTTCTTTTCCTCCCAACATCTCTGGATCACAAATCATGTACTATCCTCATGGCCCTCCTGGTCCCCAGGGACCTCCAGGACCACCACCCCAATGGGGTTATCCCGGCCAGCAGTGGCGGCAACCCCCCGCCTCAGCCCTATCCCCCTCAGCCCTACGGCCATCACCCGCAGCCGTCATATCCAGGCCCCAATCATTCTCCCTACCCGCCCTCGCCCTATCCTCCTTACCCTCAATATCCTCCCCAGGCTCCCTCTCCCTATGGCCACAGTCCTTCCCCTCGGCCTTATTCACACCATCACAATCTGAGTGCCCCTCAGAATGGTAAGTCCCGGACGAACCATACCCTCAAAAATTAGATCGCTTACCGTCAATAGGAATTCCTCGGGCAAATTCTCCTAGTTTGCCCCCACCCCCACCACAGAACCTTCAGCATTTCGGAGGAGGGGCTCCGTCAAATTATCAGTTCCAGTACTCGGCCTGTACAGGTCGGCGCAAGGCTCTATTGATGGGAATTAACTATGCTGGCCAACCGAACGCCCTGAAAGGTTGCATCAACGATGTGACCAACATGTCTAATTTCCTGACACAGCGATTCGGCTACAAGCGCGAGGACATGGTCATTCTCACCGACGACCAATCCAACCCGATGAGCATCCCCACCAAGGCCAATATCCTGCGCGCGATGCAGTGGCTCGTCAAAGACGCCCAGCCCAACGACTCCTTGTTCGTCCACTTCTCCGGTCACGGCGGTCGCACCCCCGATTTGGACGGCGATGAGGATGATGGGTTCGACGACGTCATCTACCCGCTTGACTACCGCGTGGCTGGGCACATTGTAGACGACGATATGCATGCGATCATGGTGCGTCCCCTGCGACCGGGAGTGCGTCTGACGGCGATCTTCGACTCCTGCCACTCAGGCACCGCTCTGGATCTACCCTACGTCTACTCCACGCAGGGTGTTCTCAAGGAACCTAATCTGGCCAAGGAAGCTGCCCAGGATCTTTTCAGCGCTTTCACCTCCTACGGACAGGGTGATCTATCTGGCATGGCGTCGACGGCGATTGGATTTTTCAAAAAGGCGGCCAATGGTGGATCCGCCCGTGAGCGCACGATCATGACCAAGACCTCCCCGGCAGATGTGGTGATGTTTTCAGGGTCCAAGGACACACAGACATCGTAAGTGGCGTCGCCAAGAAATCTCTAGTGAATGTATAAAGACACAGAAATATCGACTAACTCCAACAGAGCGGATACGTTCCAGGACGGACAAGCGCGTGGGGCGTTGAGTTGGGCGTTCATCAAATCCCTGCAGCAATGGCCTCATCAGAGCTATCTGCAGCTCTTGAATACGATCCGAAATGAACTCGAGGGCAAATACTCCCAGAAGCCGCAGCTGAGCTGCAGCCATCCTCTTGGTAAGTCCCGGTGTGTATTTTAGCCGAGCTCAGCTGACCGCAATGCAGATACCAACCTGCGCTTTGTGATGTAAGGTGGAGGTGTACCCGTGTACTCCGTACGATTGAACGAAAGTTAACTCCGACTTGCCGAGTGCGGGGGGATGATCCAGCATGATACAAGTACTCCGTACTACTCCATACGGCCTCCCTAGGCAACACTAGTAATAAGGAGGGGCGTCAGAAAGAAAAGTACCAAAAAAGGTCCCCAAATACGATGCCCCCTCCTCCTCTCACATCCACCTGTGGGCACAGGTGTGGCTATGGTTCTTTGCGGTGGATCCGACGGGAGAAAAAGTCAATGATCAGGTGTCTCTCAATGCTAAACCCGCAGTGTAGGAGGGTTGACACTTAACACTCAACACCAATGAAACCAGTAGATCTCACAATGCATGCCATTCATATTCTCATTAGTCGGTCAAAATGTCTCTGTTACTGTGCCCAAATAGGAACAAAAAGATAAAAAAAGCATGGAAACATGGCGCCATGCCCCCTGAGTGGGAATCGAACCAATCAGCGATCGGATACTAAGACTTCCCGGTGGGAACCGTGGATGCCTATGTCTTCGCCCCTGGGTGAACTCGTCTTTTTAGGACTGCGCCATTGACTCGTACGAACGTGTCGTAGAAGTACACATCAGTGTGCGAGCTGATGCGGCACCGAAAATAGATGGGGCTGGGAGATCATGGCAATGCTCCCGTCATTGGATCGTCCTCGTAGTTCAACGTCAAATCTGAGACATGATCTGATAACTAGAGTATGTCTTCAAAGTGCACTCCGTACTCCGTAACACGATTAAGTCTCTGCAAGGTTTGAGATATAGTTGTATAGTTTAACCATGAGGGTCAAGTCAATAGTCGAACAATAAGGAGAAATTAAATTACAGTCATCTAAGTGTTACACGGGACGGCGTCTCGTAGCTTTGGGACTAAAATGTTCATGTCTCTGATCCACTTTTGGTCTTTTTCGGAATCTCATAGAGATGCGCTTTTTTCCTTTCTGCGAGCTTGGATTTTTTTTCTTCTCTCTTTTCTCTTTTCTCTTGCTCTTCATGCTCTTCTTCCCTTGCAACCTCCATAATCTTTAATCATGTTGACCTCCCCCAACAGCTCGACCTCCAGTGTCTCCTCTGAGCCTCGCTCACCCCATCAACAACCTACCCGCCGATCCCCCATGCCCATCAAATACCCCCGGTTTTACTCCTCCCCGGTGGACGAGGATACCAACTCAACCCCTCTACAAATGTACGGCCTCGAGCAACGAGAGCCTTCCATCTACGGCAAACCACCCAAGCTCCTCCGACGAGTCTCCCATGCCCTCGGCGATATTCGGGAAGACCTGTCTCTAGACACGGAGAAGCTCAAGCGCCGCTCAACTATCTTGTTTGATCCCATCTCTCCACGAGAGATTCCCGTCACATCCCATGGCCCGCCTCGTTCACGACCTATGTCCATCATCTCCTTCGACAATTGGTCCGGCCCGACACGGGGAATGAGCCAGCGCATCTCTCGCCGTCTGTCGGTGTTCTCATCCCGCGGCAAACCCACCAGTTCCAAGGGTGCGAGCATCTCCTCGCCTAATCTGATCGGTTCTTCGACCGAATACGGCAATCGCAGCCAGAATTCTTTCATTTAGAATTTTCTGAGAGTCTCAAGAGACACAACAAAAAAGAGCTATGGACATGAGATGATTCGGTCATACTACACTGGGGTGTTCGGGTATTATTATTTTTTTCTCTCTCTTTTCTTTTTGGGCGCTTATGTTTTACCCCGGGGTGGTAATTTACATTCCTTTCTAATCTGTATTTACGTCTGTGCATAGCTCGGTGTTTGGGAATTGGATCTTTTGTTATGTTTATTCAAGCCAAACGTTTCCACTATTAAGACTATTTCCTTCGCTATTGCATCGACATATCATTCTGATATATCGATATGCATCCCTTGAAGCGTTCAATAAACAGTACGCCAAGTGCGCCACCATGCGGCATTGCAACCCCGGCCGAACATTGCCGGTGGACCAACGTGCGTCAACGTCTAAAAATATGAGGACGCAAATTCGTAATGCAGCAGAACATGAAACAAAGAAAACAAACCATTTCGTCTCCCGGGCTTATATATCCGTTTGTACGGAACACTAGGTCTCTAGTCATTTAGCGCCGCTCAAGGTCCTTCAACAACCCACTTATTCGTTCCCACCTCGGTTCTGCCCCGGTCACCCGGTGGGCTGATTGGGGTGGGGATGTCTGAGATGCTATCATGCTGCTCCATTGCATCACTTTTATTCGGCAGCGATCGGGAACAATAATATTGTGTTGTCTTTACGGAGTATGTTTGTGCTTGTATCATACATTGGCAAAATTTACCATCGATGGCTCTACGTACCGCGCTTGTGCTCGGTCCACTCAATATGCTGCTCGCTTGGAAGTCCCTTACTTACCGTAGTTCTTTCCAGCGCATCCTCCTCGCGCTGAATGTATTTGAGCGGGCGCTTTCGACTGATCGCATCCGGGTCTTGAGTCACGATCAATGGCGGGTCGGAGCGATAGTAATCATCAAGATCCTCGAGAGTACGATTTGCTGTAATAGTAAGTAAATACTCACTGCGGGCACAATGGGGACTCTCGTCAACATACCAGTCTCCGGATACAAGAAGTAGAGAACCGGCAAGAAGACAGCGTTGGACACCGTCCACACAATCCAAAATTTCCAGCCAATACTTTGAATACCGATCGGAGTGATTTCCACAACGATGAAGTTCGTGATCCTGCGTTTGTCAGAAAAGCCGACCGATTGGCCCCCAACACCTGGGCACTTACCAGTCAGTCGCAGTCGCAGCCGCAGCACCCTTTGTGCGCATGGGGAGCGAGTTGATTTCTGTGGGATACAGCCAAGGAACACCCAACATCCCAATCCCAAAAGCTCCATAGTAAAGGAAGAAAAACGCAACCGAAGCGTTGGCATAAGCACGACCATCGCTGGTCTCTGAATATCGCAAAAGCACTGTGATGACGAGAAAACAGACGAACTGCGCGAAGGTTGACAAGATCATCAATCCTCTTCTTCCCATCCGCTCAACTAGCAGCACTGCCAGACCTGAGAATATCAAATATGAGACTGCGTTACAGGCTGACAATAGCCGTGCCATTTTCTCGGGTAAACCGACCGAGTTGGTTAGCACAGTTGGCATATAGTAGGACATGATGTTGATGCCGCCGAACTGCTGCATGAATTGAGATCCAATACCGAGTGATAATCGACGTAGAGTCTTAGTATCATTGCTCTTATCCCGCTTCAAGAGATCTCGCCAACGAACGGCATTCTCACGCTCGTATTGAATACTGAATGCGATCTCGTCCCGCTGGGTTATGACGATAGGATCGTTTATTGGTTTCGCTTCTAGGCAGCTGAGAACTTGTAAGGCTTCTTCTTCTCTGCCGTGGGCAAGGAGCCATCTGCATTTATCAGAGCTGTACCAGGGAGTGAATGGGAATGTATGGCTCACCGAGGTGATTCAGGTAGCCAAGGGGTCGTGGACCAAAGAATGAAAAGGAACATGAATTGAAAAGCGAGGGGGAATCGCCAGGCTACTGAACCGCCTGCGAAGGACAGACCGTAGTTTATCCAGTTCACGAGACAGAACCCGGCGATGTTCATCATCATATCTAGAATGACAAGCGGTCCTCGCCATTTGGCCTGCGAGGTTTCCGTCTGCCAGATTGGTGCTGTTGCTGTGTTGATGCCTACTTTGGTTAGGTTTGATGTTGCGTTTCATGATTTGTACTTGGTGGTATTTACCGTTTCCAACCCTATGTCGATGTCGTTAGCTAGAAAGGAAAACGAAGGGGTGGAAACAATCGAGGTGCCCTCTTACCCTAAAATGATCCGCCCAACAAACATCTGTGGAAGACTGAATGAGCTAGCCTGTAGTATAGCACCGACTGCCATGACAGTCGTTCCCAAAAGGATCGCTTTCTTCCGGCCCAGTCTTTCACCAATGGTAAAAGCGACAATCGCACCGAAGAAACATCCAATATCGTATATGGCAGTGACAGTCGACAAGTCCTTTGTTTTAGACGGACCAACTAGATCATGCAACTCAAGAAAATCCTGTGTTATCACCACGCCACCTAAACAGTCAGTTCAGATAAAGGATAACGAAGCCACCAACTTACTAAAAACTCCCTGGTCATACCCAAATAGTGACATATCAGTCGCACAGGCAACCTAAAGAGTTATTATGGTTTACACAAATAGACAAGTCAACCTTGGTACGCACCGTGATCCAGAAAGTAAGCCAACCCCCGTCAGCCCGAAATATGGTTCCTTCTGAGCCATATTGAGCGAAATACTGTGCTTAGATCTTGTGCGCCTGTACCTTCGGGGAACTGCATTATATACCCTTTCATAGCCGGCTTAAACAAAGGCATGATCTTTGTTCATTCTACCTAATCTCGGCTGCACACCGAAGTCCGGGGGGAAATGCGGGGGAGACACGCAGATCAATCATGGCAAACCCCCCAATGTTGGCAAAACTAATCTTGATACGTCTTGATTGTGGGCGGGAGGGGTCTCTAAGGAAGGATAGTGATTGGGCTTGCCAGGATTTGCGGTTGTTTGAATTGCGTCACGGCGTGGGGTGAACATCCAGGGTAAGGGTAGTAAATAGCCGGGTTTCATTAGATTTGGAGATGCGCAGGCTTCTGTGGAGGCTCACTATTGCGGAGCCCGTCATTTCAATGCTATTTTTTGAACTAGATTCTCTGGCATAGAGACCAAGCAGTGGTGAGACCCGTATATTCTCGCTTTTGAATCAAGACGGCACACGGTGGGCTCATGGCATTCAGAAGTAACCTTGAAACCCTCGATTCAGTCGATTGACTGGGATCTGCCCGGCTAAATACCTTCATTTGGGCGTAGAGCGAGGAAGGCTATAGGAGCGTGGCAGTAGGCCGTTCATCCATTCAGGCGATAACACGGACCCAGACCCCAGCTTTATATTTTGCTTGTTATCTGCTGACCCATGGCAGTCTATCTCCTTGCGTCAATCTTATGAGGAAAAGAGTAGTGATATTGGTGCTAATGAATACTATTTATTGCATGTCTCGTGAATCGATGGTATAAAGGCCCAAGCCAGGAAAATTTAGGAAACCGAAAAACACCGCATGGCGACAAAGCCATAAGCCCTAGTCAAGCATTCCAACACGATGCTTGTACCGGAGTGACACTCTTCCAGGTGTCTTTGAAAAAAGCAAAACGATATCCGTATACGCCGAGAAAGTTTTGTGAGGACAAGGAGCCAGTCCGCAATCCTCGGAGATGCACATGCGGTATGGCATCTCCCTCTGGGTTTAGATTCTAACCAGAGGTCACAGGGTCACGCTCTCTAGATCACGCATCACGATACCCATCTGAGCACGCTTCGCGGCCTCGGCGACAAGATTGAAGTCCTGCAAAAATGGCGCCGTGGCAGTCGGCCCGCCCAGTTCTATTTGAGGGTATGTATTGGTCTGGGCGGGCGCTGGATTGAGAGGTAGTGTATGAGTGTTGGCGGCAGGGACGCTTTGGTGTTGGCTAATGGCCTTGGACAAGGGTTGCGAGGGGGAGCAGGCGTTTTGTAAGGGCGAGGCAAGGACCTGCCTGGTGGCATTTGAAGCCACTTCTATCGTATTTTGGGCCTGGGCGACCATGGTGGACTCGAGCTTTGAAGGTTGCAGGGAGGAAGATTGGGTCGCTTGGGGATTGTAGGTGGGTTGCAGGGTTGAGTCCATGACGTCGGGCTGGTCGGTTCCAAAGTTCTAGCGATAAGGGAGAAAATGGGGTCGGGGAAGTCGGGGTCGGGGGAAGAAGGTGGTGCTATGGATCGAATGGTGTGATCGAGAATTTAGACGAAAGAACAGTGGCAAGTAAGGCGAGGAATTCGAAGCCGCTGATCAGATTGACCGAGGATGCAACGCAGAGCGGAGAAGATTTGCCGGATTCCACCACGAGCAAAACAGAGAAGGGATGAGAACAGATTGAGGATCAGAGAAAGAAGGCAGCCTAAAATCAATATCGCAAGAAGATCAAATCAGGGGTGCATATGCCTTTTGAAGGCGAACTGCAGATTCTCATCCCGACATTTATCCGCTAGTGTATTGTGACGGTATCTCCATGGCTCTCTCCACACGGTATTACCACTTTGGAGTGTATTTGTACCGTCACGTGTTGACATGTGACGCCACGTGATATCGAATTTTCTCGGATTTGCTCCGTACGCTTTTCAGTTATGGACCTAAACAATATATGCATAGGGCGTAAATACTTTGATATACTTGCAAGCTAGTATAAACATGTAAAACGACGAGTACATCACATTGTAATTACAATTGGCTTCGGTATTGGTCTGCGGGGTGACGATCAGCGAATTGTTGTATGATCGTCTGATTTGCGCATCCCCCTCCGAGGTTCATGAAGGTACAGAATAACAAGGAAATAGAGAAATCAATATAACAAAACTATACCGAAGCCGAAGCCGAGTGATCCGGTATTCCAGGTAAGAGTGAATCTCTGAGCCCCCAAATCAGGCATTGGCCCGAAAGTGTTCCCGAGGATGCCCCGCCGATAAGATCCGACTGATATTTTTTTCCTTCTTTTAGCCAAGAAAAAAAGCCCATTGCCGCCATGGCCGACGATTTTGAGTCAGGGGACTTGTTCCAAGATCCAGAAGGGTATTATCCCGAAGATGCGCCCCCTACATTTGCCGAGCATGGCATGTTGTCCGGTCAAACAGTCCGGGTTCGTCTAGTCGGCGACCATCCTCTCTATGTACGACATCAGACCAGCACTACCTAATTTCGACATACTGACCTAACCAGGGAAACCTGCTCTGGAATGCCGGTCGTACTAGCTCTCACTACATTGAAGAGCACACCGAGGATCTCATTCGAAACAAGGATGTTCTCGAGATCGGAGCAGCAGCTGGTGTACCCAGCATTGTGAGCGCCATTCAGGGGGCACGTACGGTCGTTCTGACCGACTACCCAGATCCAGATCTTGTTTCAAACATGCAATATAATGCCGATCTGTCTGCCAGCATGATCCCCACCAGAGAAGATGGTCTACGCCGCCTCCATGTGGATGGCTACAAATGGGGCAGCGACGTGACCAAGCTGCGGGCATATCTGCCACCCGCGGCTGATGGCTCCCCTGGCCTCTTCGATGTGCTCATCATGGCCGACGTGGTGTATAGCCACCGCGAGCATCCGAATTTGATCAAGACTATGCGGGAGACTATGAAGAAGAGCCCCGACTCTGTCGCACTGGTCATCTTCACTCCCTATCAGCCTTGGCTTTTGCCCAAGACTGAACAGTTCTTCCCCTTGGCTGAAGCTAGTGGGTTTACAGTCACCAAGATCTTCCAGAAGGTGGTTGATGCGGTTCTCTTCGAAAAGGATCCAGGTGTAAGTCTACATCTTGTATGTATCTCATGTCTTGAAAACTAATTACTTGCAGGATGAACAACTACGCAGAACCGTGTTTGGATATCAGATTCGGTGGTCACCAGAGGAATTGGCTTCATCCAAGGCTTAATTTGGGCCCTTGGAACGATGACATGATAATATGACAAAAGTTCAATAGATTTCAGAGAGAATATACTTCATTTTTCCACGGCAGTTTCATTGTGTAGAGCCGATAAGCTGGAGATTAGCAGATGCGGGGTCACATGCCCCGCAGCAAAAAAAAAAGTTCGCCGTAACAAATCGCAACAATCAACGATGCCGGTACGTCGCGAAAGCTGTCAATTCCCGTCGATCTCTTTTCTGATGAATTCCAGCTCGTTATTTTAACCGGATACCCGTGTTCGGGCCTCACCCACCGCGCCAACCAGCTCGCCTCCTTGCTGGAAAAACATCAAGATGAAGTGTTCGCAGCCGCAGAAGCAGGCACGCCGGTCTCATTGAAGTCTCGATACAAGATCCATGTTGTCGGATCGCACGACTCGTCCCACCCGCGCATCGTCTATGATCATGCCCGCACAGAGAAGGAGGCGCGCGGAGTTGCCTATGCTCGCACCAAGCGCGTACTCAAGCGAGACAGCATTGTCATCCTTGACGGAATGAACTATATCAAAGGATGGCGGTATCAGCTTTGGTGTGAGGCCAAAGCAGCACAAACAACTTCCTGTGTGGTATGTGACTTGGAAAATGCATTCGAGCACAGCTAACTAGTCCAGGTTCACGTGGGAACCCCCGTCGACAAATGTGTCGCCAACAACGACGCCCGCCTGCAACGCGACGCCAATAAAAATCAGAACACAAACGATACTGCTGAAAGCACAGATACCCTCGATACCGAAGAGGCATACCCATCCGAACTACTAAACAACCTTATCTTCCGCTACGAAGAGCCAAGCACCCATAGCCGCTGGGATAAGCCACTCTTCACGGTTCCTTACGACGACCCCGAGCCTCCAGTATCAGATATATTCGAAGCTCTTACGGGTGTGGTTCTCCCCACAGAAAAGCCTACCCTCCCAAGTCTCACCACTCTCGCCCCCGCTCTCTCCGACACAGCCAGCACAGCAACAGGCGGACCAAGAGGCAGCCGTCTATCAACCCGCCCGCGAATCGTACCTCACCAGGCCACCGTCCAAGCAAGCGCCACAGATCCAAATGCGATGTACGCAATGGAAAAGCGTACTTCAGCGGTCGTGACTGCAATTCGTAATTTCACGACGAGGTATCCCACCGCAGATATCGCTCTCGCTCAGAGCGATAACGCTAATGGTGTCACGATTTCTGTGCCGGACATGACAGTTGCAGTCTTCTTGCCGTCACATATAGTACTATCAGGAACGACAGAAGAGCTTGCTGGCGCGGGTGGTGTTCTTGCGCTGCCAAGGTTGCAGAGGCTAAGGAGACAGTGGATTGGCTTGAATCGGGCTTATATCGGTCGTGGTGCTGGAGCTTTGGCCGCCGAGCAGATTGGTGATGCTTTTGTTCGATTCCTCAATGCGGAATTTTCTGGCGCTGCGGGTGAGGCTGAGGATTAGATTTTCCCGGAATTTGGGGTATTGGTGTGCTATCGGGATGTGTTGATATATGGCTAACGAGATGAGCGTTCAATGATGTCTTGAATGAACTTAAAAATGAACACATGACAAGAAATACCTGGCAGTGTAGTCCCTTGTCAATCTCTCAATGTCCATGGATGTACTCAAGAAGTCCACCCTACAGCTCCAGGTCTCCACATGTGGGAGAAACAATCTCGACAGAAGCCGTCGCTTGTCCTGACATTGATCTTGGGAATACCAAAACCTTGGAAGATTGCGGACACACTATATGGATCTATCCCAAGGTCACTCGTGGAACGTGTTCCAAAGTTCCAGAGGGTCTTCCTGATTGAGGCTATAATGGATCATCTCTCTAGTATGCCTTAACAGCTTGCTCAAGATCTCCCTGATTAATCTAGATGTAATCTAGATGGGTAGCCATTGTCATTGCGAGGCCAAAGGACGAACTCAGGATCATTGCCATCATGATGAGCTGTTCAGTGCGTCATGGCAAGTCCTTCTCTCGTCGTTCGTGCACATTGATAAGACACATTCTGGGATCGCCAAAAAGTAGCCAAATGCAGATTGCCTAACAGTTTGGTAAATTCCACCAAGCAGGTCCAAGATCTGTCCTATTTCTTGCATGAAATCCACCAAGCACGGAGCACAGGATGCAAACATGTGTTCATGTACCTGCATGACGGAACCTCCATTGTCAGTCTTAGTCTGAGGACACAGATATCCCCAGTGGTTCCCGAGATCGCGCCGGAATCTTGGAACTATAGAGGGTACCGAATGTGGGCAAGAGGTTTGTTCCCCTTCTAGTTATCGACTAAGATCTTACGAATTCTACTTTCTTGTGCATGGTTTGTTCTGAAAGTAAAATTTGCTAAATTATTCAACAACATGATTGAAGCACTCGAAACACTTGAACGCAACACTCTATCAACAAAATCAAGTCCAATGGACTGTACATATCGTATCTTTCTACTGTCATTCTTCTGCCACCACTGTTCGTTGACACCGTATCCCGCTTTGCTGATGCTCCGCATAAGTTCGGGTCTTCCATGTGTCAAGTGGTGGTATGTTGATCTCACCGACCCAAGAATCCTGGTGTCGATAGATCCGAAACCCACGATGCGCGATCGTGGATCTCCGCGTGGTACAATACCACGTCCAGCCCTGGCCGAAATTCAAATCCTTGGGGGAAATCGGGTGGTCCTTAGGATCAACTCGGCCGAAGTACGGTGTGAAGAGCTTGCCCAGCAAGCAGCGCGGACGAGCCGCAAGAAATGGAAAACAAGGAAATCCTCCGATGTGTTCATACCAACCGTTTGGAAACGGTATCTAGAACCCTTCACGCGGGTGGCAATCCATTGGACACGTGGTTGACGGCCTGGCTGGCCTCAATCTGACGTATGTTCAAGCTCAGAGTGTAGAGTTCCTGGAAGCTAGAGTTCAACTTCTCGTGGGCGACGTTGTCCTGCGGGGAGATGCTACCGATCTGCTCCATCAAGCGGGAGCGGCACTTGAAGTACTCACTCTCTGCGCTCTGACGGCGTTGGCCAATGGAGGTTTGGACCGCCTTGATAGAGCTAGCCTGGGAGTGGACGGAGCGGGTTCGCTTCATGGTCGGGGCCGGGGTGGCACCGGTGACTCTTCTCTTACGGCCGGTTGGCTCCTTCTTCTTGATCTGGCCGGCACCGGGGGAGGTCTCAGGGGAACTGTGACGCTCCGAGGTGGCAAAGTCGTGGACACGACGCATGTGGTCGTATAGGTTCCATCTCCTTGGGAATCCATTTCCGGGAACGGCACGCTCACATCCTTCCCAGAGGCAAAGGTGGGGGTTATCTCCATGGCCATGTAATCCGTGGGCTTCACGCTCGTGGCGGAACAGACACGCGTTGGAAGAGAAGCGCAGCTGAGCATCGATGCAGGCGGGCACCTTGCAGCGGTAAGGCTTCAGGTGAGAGTCCAGGTACTTGCTGCTGATGGTTAGTTGGAGTCATATACCAAAATAAGTGGAAGAACTTGCTGGTAAGCGCATTTTTGCGTGGTGGGTGGGTGGTTGCATGGCTTCTCTCCAGTGGCAAATGGGCAGTAGTATTTTCCGTCGCTGTGAGTGGACATGGAGTAATATTGGTGCTCTCGCGGGTTGCGAGCCTCAACACCTTCCTTGGACTTTTGACGGGTTGGCTCTCTCACGGGAAGAGATGGGAAAAACTCTGGATCGGCCTTCTGAGATACCGCTGGCAATGCTGAGCGGCGGGACTGCTTGGAAGGTCTGATGGTCCTACGTTGTGGTCGTTAGAATTTTGGAGCTTGTATTGCTGATTAGCATCGACACTCACCTGTTCAGATCTCTTTCATTAAGAGATGTGCTGGGGAACAAAGGCTCTGTTGGGTTGATTCCGTGGGCTCCAATGGGCGATGTGGTAAATTCACCTCCGAGAATGGTCTCATCAGGGGCCATGAATGAGGGGAATCCCGGGTGGGAGCAAGAAGTAACAGACATATCATTACTAGCTTCCGTCAGTGGGGGAGAGACCGGGACAGTCTGGTAAAGACCGGATGAGAATTGCTCCATTGTGGTTCCTGGGTAGTGGGATCCGTGCATCATGGGGGTCCATGACTCGGCAATATAGTGGCCGTCATCGGTGTGAGAGCTGTGTCCGATAGAAAGAGCATCATCTGGAGTGCCGTTCCTGACACAGGCATCATTTTCAACAGAAGAGAAATCCAGGAATGAGCTATAGAGATCCCGGGACATTTCATGGTCATTCATGTCAGGGACTGCTGGGAAGTCCACTGGATACATCACATCATTTGGTCCAACGGTGGGAGTCATCAGCTGCTGAGACAGCGAGAAAGAAAGCATGTGCACCTCGGACGGGTCTTGCTTCTGTTCAAAAGATTCTTGGTGGTTCAATGTCCAGTTTTTCATGTCCTGGGGATTTCCATGGGCTGTCCGGATACTTGAGCACAATGAGGAGCTGTCGTGGCTTGACATTTCATCATCCTGGAGTGGCCTTGAGCCAAGATTTGACATTCCTGAAACCATTGTGTGCATGGGCTGGGAAATGACTCGCTCAGAGTCGCTGCTTGTCCTGGGAGACATTGTGTATGTGTATGTGAATAGAACACTGTGAACATCAAGAGTTAGTAACCCACTCGTCGACGTGTAAGATGACACAGATAAGAAAATAAAAAAGACAGCATGAAAGAAGAAGAGAACAAAAACAAGTGTAACATGATCCAGAATCAGATGTGATTGGAAGCCTGGTGAGAGTCAGTATGAAACCCCGGTTTGCGTTAGATATTTTATTTTACGCACCAGAGCCGTCGATAGGAAAGAATACTCCAGGCCGAGGTGTTGTTGGGTGATTGGGTCCAGGGTCAGTTGAGAATTCTATACTCAGGTCCAGGTCTGTTGTCAATCCAAGTGGTAAGTGTTGCCAGTAAGAACAAAGGTTCCTGGGTTCATCAAGGCCAGGGTTATCATTAAGAAGCATCATCCGTGGAAATCCAGACGATTGAGGGAGCACTTCTGGGGCCAGAAGGTATCAAGCAGGTAGTACGTATCAGGTATAGGTTTATACGGCCAGTATCCATCAGTCAAAGGCCTGGGTGATAATTTTGACAGCGGCTGCTGCAAAGTCCAGTCGAGAGTGCAAGCACATTAGCTTGTGAAATTCCTCGGTAAGTTTCCAGGTAAAAATAGTGGTTCCATTATTGTTGAATAAGCGGCCATAGTAGCATAAGGTCCATAGGCAGTCACGATCAAGTCCATGGGTGGTTCGGGATCAATTGGTTCATCCAAAGGCGTTGTTTCCAGGGCAAGGTAAGGTCCATCGGTCAATCAAAATCCACGCTCTGAACTCCGGTCTTAGAGTAGAGGTAAGGTCACATAGGAGAAATTTCCAGGGCAGTCCAGTGGCAGTGTGTCGAGATGAGAGTGCATACATTAAACACATCTCAAAGAGATTCACTCAGCAAGAGCTGAGGGCAGGCATCCTAGGCAAGGTGCATCCATTGTCGCCAGTATTGGCAGAGAGTCCAGGGCAAGTCTAAGGTCCTTGGGGGTATCCATGGCAAAATGAGGTCGAAATCCTTGGAAATCACAACTGACGGGTACAGGTCCAGGGAGTAAAGAAGAAAAAAGCAACGCATAGGAAAGACCAATTGTAAAAGAAAAGGTGACGGCAGCTACCTATTAAGTGTTTGTCGGTGAGGGTTGACAGACTAAAAGAAAGCCTGGGAAACAACAAAGCAAATCCTGTCCTGGAATGTGGCAGAGAGAGATCCTTGTGGCAGATTTTGCATCAAAAACCAGGGAGATATGTTAAGAAGAGATGTCCTTGGGTCCAGGGACTGAGTTCGTATGTATGTATAGAGTGTGAGACAAGTCGAGATATTGGTTGATGTGATAGGGGTATCCAAAGTTAAGGAGAAGAGAAGAAAGGAAAAACAAGGAGGGGGATCAGCGGCCTTTTAGTACGCAAGCGAGACAGAAAAAAAAAAGCTCGGACTGTGCGTGTGGAAACATGGCGTGTGCCAGTCTCGCATCGTGCATTAGACGAGTGCGCTGCTGGCAGCACTGAGAACCAGTACTCCGGACTGGCGGTGATGGCATCTGCAGATTAGGGGGGTGTTCGTTCGACTGAGTGGAGGAAACCACTGTAGCGGTGAGACAAGGCCGGCGGCTGGTGTTCTTGGCAAGTGGAATGATTGGTGATGAATCCTAGCTGACGCTGCATGATGACCGAATGAGATGATCGGCAGGTTCCGCGTCGCGTGTTGATGAGTTGTACTTCGGATTGAGGGGAGGAGAGAATCCCACGTCTGACGGCAAGGCACAGCGGTAACTGCGGCATGAGGTCAAGACTCGATAGAACCGATTCCATACTCCTGCATATCACATACAGCTACTGAGTACAATGCACTCGTACGAAGTACAGGATTTGAAAAAGAAAAGAATAATATCAAATGAGATTAATTCAGAAATGATCTATGAACGAAATTACTGGTCAACGGGACGGGGCGAGCCAGACCCACGTTGGGCAGCAAAGCGTCTCCTATTTTTCAGTCAGCCCAATTCTTCTCGAAGATTTGAAGAACAATGTGTGAATGATTCTTTGATATCAGAAAAAGAAAGATGGAATATGTTTTCGTTCAATAGTCCGTAGACCTCAGGTGAACTATGCTTTAAATATTTTTTGTTCATCATAAAGGCGGTTGCCCTCAGAGACAAGAAACAAAAGGGGGAGGAGATTGGAGGCTTACCGGAAAGGGGCGGAAATGAGTTGTCACAGACTCAGCTAAGAGCCCATGTTGTCAACTCAAATCTGATTGACGGAGAAAAGTGTGCGGAAGAAGAGCTGAGAACCCGCGAAAATGAAAAAATAGGCTACGGTCACGTGCCTCGACTATAATGTTTACACTGTTTGTCTTCCGTCTCCACATTCGTCTACGGACCTTACTCCCTTGGGTCTAGGCATATATCTACACCTGCCTATGCTTGCATTATGAATTGGACAGGCGGCCAGCTGCAGCGTCATCATACTCGCTCAGGCCTGCTGACCAAAGCCCAGAAGCAGAATTTCGCCAAATCCAGACTCAAGGGCACGGCCAGTCTCCCGTCTTCCCCGTTTCGCAACTTTCCTGAGGGTTTGGGCACAAGGAAGGATGACGCAGCAAACAGAACAGCAATTAACAATCAGTCAGTCAAGTGCTGTTGATTGCTCAAACTTGCTTTTCAATCCATCTGAGTGTTGTGCTAACCCGGGCTGGTCGAGTCTAGAGCTGGAGAGCCGGTTTCACATCTGCCTGCGCATCGGCCTGCACATCTGACTGGCCACGCATCCAATGCCAGCGAACTGAGCCACATCAAACGGCAACTCCTCGAAGAACCCGATTGGGCGGCGGTGGCAGTGACACGTCCCCTCGAACTTTCGTTTACTTCAAGTGAGGAAGTAGAACGCTTCGGCAAACGACGCAGGCTGAATGACAAGGATAGAAAGAGGGTTTCGGATAATGTGTCACCATTTCTTGAGCTGCCCAGTCACAGAATGAGGAATCCGCGGTCTGTTATCGACAGCATCGAGGGTATTCAGATTGAGATCAATGGTCAGCTGGTGGTGCAGTCTCATGACAGCTCGGTTGCAATCAACAGTTTGTCGTCACAGTCTATGTTGCTGGACCGCGAAGGGTCTCTGACTTCCGGCCAAAATGTGGAGAAAGACCATATGACTGCGACCTGGGTTAGTAATTTGTTTGCCCGGCCACCATGAATCCTGGACTATTGTCTCCTTGGGTACGAAGCATGCCACGCCAGGTGAGAGGGAGTTTCTTCCCATGCCCTTCAATATGGAGCACTCTATTATAGTTCAGCATACATAGACTGCTTGTACGGAGTGTTATGCTCTCCAGAGTATAATACCCATGTCTTTCAATGAATGATCTTCCCAGGTTTGCATCCCTTCAATCTAGGCCTTGGCACAGAATATATGTGCTCTGTATAGAAAGCTAAACCCGAACCTCGGATGTCGATTTCGACATTAGATCCATACTTTGCGAGAATTTCATTCTCGGTATTGGAATATTGGAATAATATCACCGTTTCAAACAGGCACCTGTACACCGAGAGAGCTTTGGAATCCTCAGCACATCATGTATTTGGCGACACGTGACCATCCCCAGATAAGGACCAGGGACGTCATCACCCGCCCGTCCCGAGGTCTCCAATCACTCCAATCTCCAACTGACGTACATCACCAGTATCACAGCCATGCGCTCGATCACCCTCCTGGCTACATTAGCCACAAGCGTCCTCTCGATCGCACTCCCTCAATCCTCGGATGGTGTTCAGCTCCCACTAGTGATCTGGCACGGTCTCGGCGATGACTTCCAGCGCGAAGGCCTGGCCCAGGTCGTCGAACTAGCCGAATCCACCAACCCAGGCACCTACGTTCACCTCATCCACCTGGCAGAGGACGGCAGCGGTGACCGCTCAGCCACATTCTTCGGCAACGTCACGCAGCAAATCGAAGTAGTCTGCGAACAGCTAGCCAGCGACCCTATCCTCAGCACTGCACCTGCCATCAACGCCCTGGGCTTCTCGCAAGGTGGTCAATTCCTGCGCGGATACATCGAGCGCTGTAATGCGCCGCCAATCCACAACCTCGTGACGTTCGGCAGTCAACACAATGGAATCTCTGAGTTCGAATCCTGCAAAGCGAATGATTGGATTTGTAATGGTGCCGAGACACTTCTGCGCTCGGGGCGATGGACGAATTTCGCGCAGTCTCGCGTCGTGCCAGCGCAGTATTTCCGTGATCCTCGGGAGCTGGATCTGTATCTTGCTCACAGCAACTTCCTGGCTGATATCAACAACGAGCGCGAAGAGAAGAACGAGACGTATAAGAAGCATTTATCGTCCTTGAATAGATTCGCCATGTTCATGTTTGATGAGGATACCGTTGCTGTTCCGAAGGAGAGTGCGTGGTTCTCGGAGGTCAATGCCACTACTGGTGAGGTGACTGCTTTGCAGGACAGAGAGATCTATCTGGCGGATTGGTTGGGCCTCAAGAAGCTTGATGAGGCTGGGCGCTTGCACTTTAGGACGACGCCTGGTCAGCATATGCATTTGTCCGAGGATGTGCTGCGTGGTGCTTTCGAGGACTACTTTTCTCCGTTGGGGAATGAGTGGCATGCGCCTGGTCTGATTGTGCAGCGCGACTCTTGAATGGTTTTCGAGACACTTTTATAGCTTCTTCTGATGATATCCCTACAGCGCATGACTTAGACACATGGGTCCAAACCTAACTTTATAATCTTATATTCAGTTTTGTGTCGATTAATCCCAGAAATATTGCTCTAAAATCGTCTATTTTGTATATCGACAACATAACTACCAAAGTAGATACATCATGCGATTGTCATCGCAGTGTTAAAAGAAAAACGAAATAATAATGTGCCAAAGGTAGGGAACAAATGTGGAAGCTTCAAACATATGCAAACGAAAAGGTGAAAAAAGAAATGTTTTATGCAGCCAAGCAGTGGGGATAAAAGGTCAAAAAGAAGACGAAAGAGAATTATAAACATATGAAGACCGAAGAAGCAAAGTCATGCCTGTTGAATGTACAAGAAACATAATCAGTAGGGTGGTCTTCCAATGCCCCCACTAGCCTGTCGTCTACTGGGATTTCTGCCCAATGGCATCTTGGTAGCAGATCGAGCAGTAGCAGGACGACTCTTGAGAGCGTCATCGGGTGAAAGGAAGCCATCCAGGAGCTTTTTCAATTGATCCTGGTGACTTCCGTCGAGGGCATCGGATTCATAGCCGTTGACGAGCTCGGGGATTCCAGCCCCAGCAAGGCTATAGTTTGAACGACTTTTGTTGCGGTTCAAGGGTTGTGTAGTGAGAGTGCCTGGTGTCTCCTTTTCTTTCTGTGAATTTTGGCGCGACGGACCTGGGGCTGTGGATGGACGGTCGGAAACCAGGGAACGCTGGGAGTCGTTGGGGAAGCCACCCGGGATCGAGAGGCTGGCTGGAATGGGTGGGACAGGAGGAATTGCTTCGTTTGAATTCACCCGGCTGAGGGTTGGTGCGTTCGGATCGTCGCTTAGGAAAGCCATTGCAGCGGCTGAAGCGCGAGGTGTCTCGGCACCGTCATCTTCCGGGGCTTGTTGCCCTTCTGGTTGGATTGAGGCCGCATCGCCGTCAATTTCGGAGACGGAGTAGTTGCCACTGTACATACTCTCACTTCCGGATGAGACGATACTGGCATTGGATGTGTCAACTTGACCGCGCAGTGGGCTCAACCGTCGGGGCTGGGAGTCGTTGTTGACCGATAAAACACGACGAAGATCGTTGATGCGAACTGGTGACCCCTTGCCAGAGCTTTGGGATGATGTGCCCGAGATTTCAGGGACGCTCTCGCGGTGATTTAACTGAGAATCGGCAGGGGAACCATTTGCGACTCCATTGGTCTGGTAGCGCGCGTTCATAGTTCCGGCTCTTGACCCACTGATGGAAATTGTCTTGGCAGTTTCCTTGTCGGCAGCTGCCAGGCATGCTTCACGGGACCACGGAGAGAGCATTTGTTCTTTCACCACAGAGGGGATCCCACCGTCATTTTGGGATAGTGTTGTTGATGAGTGTCCAAGAACAGGGAATGTGAAGCCTCGTGCTGGCGATGTCTGGGGGCTTTGTGGGGGAGAAGAAATAGACTGGCGGTAGGATTCATCAATCAAGTAGATAAGCCCATCAACATTGCGGAAAGGTGACAGGGGAGGTGGCGAGGTATCATCATTGGCTTTCTGTTCGCCATCAAAATCAATCTGTTCGAGGCGAGTGGCCGGTAGACGAATTTTGGAAAGCCAATACCCTTGGCTTTGGCGGTGTTGAATTTCGTTGGTGATTTCAAGGCCCACGGGAGAGGACTCGGCATTGAACTTCTCCGAGACCGCGAGGAGATATCCGTGAATCAAGCTCCCAATGTTCACACGACCTGCGAAGGAACTCAATTCTATCGACGTGAACAGATCTTCTTGCAGCTTGAGAACCATAGGGAGACCAAATTGAACGGCATTCACTCCCAGGTTCTCGACTAGACTTGTCAGAAGCAGATGCAACAGGAGAACCTCGGCATCATTTGTGGCAGCTTCAAGAGCGGAGTCGTAGACAGAGAGGTGAAGAAGACGAAGGAAATTGGAATGCGCTGCCAGAGCTACGGTCTCCCTTTGATTTCCCGGAGCCACGGTGTTTCGCCAATTGGATTTATCCCCCTGCTCGGAGTCTCGCTTCGATGTTTTGATATACTTGGGCACATCAATCTGTGCCTTCAAGTCGTTCTTGTTAGTCTCCAGGTTCAACCAGGATAGGAAGGCATCCGCGTAGGCGTGGCGAACATCGCGATCCGCGTCACGGACAAGCCCTTGTGTACCCTCCCACACGTGGATCCCAACTGGGTGTCTAGATTCCGCGCCAGACATGGTTGTAGGAGTCTTCGAGTTAGCCACAGTCAAAATAGCCTTGACGGACCGAAGAGCAGTCAGCTTGGCCGCAGGGTGCGAGAAAAGTTCCGTGTTTGTTTTTTCGCCGTTCGTCTCCGAGGAAGATCCCGAGTTTACGTGAGCCACTCCAGATTCGTGGACTGTGGCTAATGTTGAAGGGGCAGAGCTGTCATGATGAAGAGAAGGCTTGAACCGCTTGAGGATTGCACGCATCATATCTGCAACTTGCTCTCCATAATAGATGTGCGTGGCAAGATCCCCAATACATCGCTCCAGAAGCGTGAGGAGGTCCTGTCGTTGGGGCGAAATTTTCACCACATTACTTGGTAGATGGGTTTTCTTCTCCGAGTCGGCAGGCTCGGCATGGTCCGGGGGAGACAGTATATCAGAAGCGTAGTGCATGAGCCCAAAGAGGATGTCCATAACGCTGAGTCCGATCATGTTCACGGATGATTTGAGAAGCCAATCCACCACAGAGAGAATAGTGAAGGATGATTCCAGTGCATCCTCCTTGGGGCTTGTGTCATGCAGAATCTCCATGGCTGTGATCAAGATGATGAATCGCACTTGCACCGGACACCAGTTCGCGATCATTTCAACCAAAGAGGTTGCCCAGTTGCCGCTTTTTCCTTCGATCATCTGGCCATGCTTTTCGCTTTGCTGAAGTCCCTTGGTTGAGATGAATCGTAGAATGACTGTGACTGCGATCCGGATTTGACCACGGTTGCTACCTGAGACAATGATTTGTTCAAGGCAACGCAAAGCCATGAGTCGTGCGCCCATTTCCGCCTTTCGATCGGCATCATCCGCTGATCGGGCTGCTAGCTCGGGGTCACCCTCTGCTGTGTCCACTGTGCCAACTGTGTTAACGCTCATGCGGCGCGGTTTGGAGCCATCGCTCGGGTCCGATTCATGGAGCTTAGCCGATAAAGTCGTCAGAAGATCCTCGTCATTCGAGTACAGGTTTTCCAAGATGACAGGTAGACAGAGCTTCAGCGAAGTTCCTCCATCCGCAGCCAGGCTTTCTGAACTGACTACGCCTCGAATGGCGCGCAACCCTGCATTTCTCCATCGAATCGCAACCTGAGGGCTGAACTTGGTGGTGGAGTTGGCGACGAATGCTGGATCCGCAAAGCTGGCGTATGTGCGCACGACCTCTCGGTACTGATGCGCCAGGCCTTGATCTGCCGCGATGGCCGCAATGTCTTGGTGTCGGCAGAACACTTCGAACGGCACGATCGACTCCTCCACCATTGTTATATCATTCGATCGCAGGACGGTATCGACCACTGTCATAACAGATCGAGCGTAAATCGGTAGATCGCGAGGGACTTTTTCGATGAGCGCGGCGAGAATGTGAAGCGCCACTTGGACATTTCTGTGAGACGGATCGGTCAATCATGCCCCTCCAATCAACAATTCTAGGTCCTGGGGATCTACTCACCCTATCCTGCGTCTCCAGACATCCCGCGCGACCCTCTTCTCGAGGAAAGCACCGACCTTGGTCAGTTTGCTGCGGCGCGTGCTAGCATAGTAAAGCAGGTATGAGAGTTCACTTGGATTCGGCCTGACCTCCGCCACACCTTTCTGGTATTTGGGATAGCATTTCAGAGTCAAGACCTGATGCTTTGGCCGACAAGACTGGCGAACGGACTCCATTGGGGAGTGTTGCGCAGCTTTCCGGTGGCGGAGTCGTAGACGAGAGCACGACCGTCAAACGAAAAATGAACCCGGGACGACCTGGATTCTGCTTAAGTCCGTTTGGGTCGGTGGAGGTGAGGAGATGAGGTCTGGATGGTCATCGAAAGACGTTGTCAGAAACGGTGGACGAGAACGGGGGTATGAGGTAGTGTTCAGGGCCGATCTCCAGGGGGGGTGGGGCTCCTGTCGTATCCCCGAAACAAGTGTGACAGATGAAAGAAAAAGCAACGATATAAAAAAAAATCAGAGAGGATGCTATTCTGGAATTTGAGAGAGAAAATTGTTCTAGCAATCGATGACGGGGGAGCTCTGCAAGGGAAAAAAAATCAAGGTTGGGCCGCGGAATAGTCGGCCATACGCATACTACCTGGCCTTTTGGTCTCATCTTACTCTGTACTAAACATTTTCTTTTTTTATAATCCCTCAAAATTGTGATCGAGTCAATCTGCTATTTGGTATCTAAAATGTAGGTGCGATTGTGATGGCTCCTATCCGGGAATTGACCAAATACTCCGTAGATGAATCGCAGCTAAGATCGCAGTCCTATATGTGTCCATTTCAGGAAACCATGCATCTCAGCAGCGCTTGGATCTGTTCTCCCCGCAGTCCTCTACAGCTGCAGAGTAAAGGTGCGCGATGCTTGAAAATGGGGTGGTGGGATCGACAAGCCTCGGTCGCACATGGAGCATGTCCCAGTCTCCGCCTAAGCTCATGAACCGAGTTTGCACGAAAAGACAATTGTGTCATGTAGATCCCTGGTGAACTGTGTTTTGCCGTCTATCCCAGTCGGGCGTAAAATCCCAAGATGTTCAAAGTTCAGAGCAGCCCATCATGTCTTTCCATTTTGACCGTCCGGTTGGTTTTCTGCGACTGCTGTGTCGGCCTCGGCTGGAGCTTCAGGCATATTGACCCCTACCAGACCCTCGATGACCTGCGGCAAGATAATATCGCGACGGAAGGTCTCTTCCTGAAGCAATCGAAGCGCTCGGAGCGTGGGGCCGGGGTGAGTGAGGAACTGGGAATACTCGGGCGTCTTCCAGTAAGAGTAGAGGTAGGCTAGGTAGGCTGCGAATGCCTGGGCGTCTGGTGACGAAGACTCGCTGTCATCGTCACGCGAGATTCCCAAGAGATTTGGATAGGTAACGGCCAAGTGCGATAGATAGTATGGATTGGCGAGTGATGAAACAAATTCGAGCTCGAGCGTGAACCGTGGGTTTGTCAATGTTGGGGGAGGTTGCTCTGGCTCCATGGTGTTGAAGCGTGGGAAGGCAGATTGTCAAAGGGGAAGAAGAGCTCTTGGAGCTTTGCGGCTACGGCAGACGATAGCGTCCACCCGGTCGATCTCCAACTATAAACCACCAAGCGAGTTGGTATGTGAGCAGATTGTGAGCAATATCTCAATTCATAGTCTCAAACTACCTAGGTAATGAAGCTCAAATGAACCTCACTTTGAACTATAATCCTTCTAGCTCTATGCGTCCCTTCCAGTCATTCATTCGTTCCACGTGGACTATATCCGGATTGGCGGACTGGAGGAGACAAATGGCTCTGCCCGCCGACGAACGTCTGACCAGTAGAATTCATCGCTCCCTCCAATTTTTGCTGGAGCTGGGCCTTCTCTTGGTAATCTTCCTTCAAATAAACCAGCCCTGCCTTTTTCAATTCCTCAACGAACTGTGCAAGCCACTCGGCAGGCTTGCGATCTTTCTGAGATGATTTTGGCAAGTCATTTTGCAGTTGGTACCAACTGCCAGAATAGTTGGCACCGAGCGTGACGCCCAGAGGCAGCATCTTGGTATGATCACCACTTTTGGTCTTTGATTTCACATCACGAGGCAGTTGGCCTTCCATCGATTGAGTAAAAAAGTGGGAACCAAGTTCATTTTCAGGATCGTCGTAAACATAGAGAGCATAGAAATGTTCATTGGAAATTTCGCTTGGGTATTCCACAAAATACACCTCCCAACTTTGTTGGGCAGGCACTGTGATTTCAGGGGTTTTAATTGGAGTGCCGCAGGTCATTTTGTAGAGGTTGCTGTGAAGTTGCCGGAAATCCCAATGTTCACGGTGAAAATATTCCAAGGTTGATAGCAGTGGTATAGACTAGCTGGAGCTTTGATGGGATTTTGATGGGGCTGCTTCAGGATGTGATGTGTGGACGAGACTTCGACAGCGGACATGACATCTTAAGTATCTCTCTTGGTGTCTTCTTTGGTTTCTTTCTTGCGGTGCAAGCTAATCTGAAGTCGCCAAATGAAACACAACATAGTCCCAGCTATTATTCAGTCACGCTTAGTTTCATTCGTTCCAATCTGATGTGACATGAACAAATGAGAAGTATCCAGTAGAAGAAGAAGTCCAACCCAACTTGATCCCTTAAATCATAAATATCCATGGATTTCCAGTGTAACTCCAACTTTTATCATCGTTCCCAGCTCGCTCAAAATGTTATGTGAGCTGATATAGATAACTTCCTGCTATAGCCAACAGGCGCTTGGGTATCAAGCGTTCCGATGAATAAATAAGCACCGAGGGTGTTGAATTGCAAGGCTTGAGCTGGCATAAAGCATCCATACCATGCTTATGGATATATTATCGACCTTGCCAACAGTCTGATGCACCCATGTGGTCATTCCAGGGTAGTTTCCAAGACTGACATGTTGGCATGATCGATTTGAGGCGACCTCGAGAACAGTAGATCTATAATCCCATTTCAATAGTTACAATTGGTGATAGCGCACGGTGTTTTCAAAATTAGCGCCCACTCCCGGCTTTGTTGGGCGGTTTACCCACCCCACAAAAAGATCAGGTGTTTCCAAGGTTTACAATGACGAAGCGGGTAGAGCTTCAAGAAGAAGGGGTCAGCAGGAGTTCTTTTTAGAGAATATGAAAACTTGATACACCACTTACTGGTCCTGGGTTCACCGAAGTTTATGAATTCGTTAAGCCGAAACACATATAAAAAGCCAAATATAACCTCGTCACATCTTCTAACCAACAACTAACCTTCTCGCCTGGTGGCGGACGACCTCGATTCCTATACATGAAAAAGATAATAAGTGGCTTACAATCGTTGTCGAAGCAGGATGTTTTGTTCTGGCTCAATCCAGGGATGAATCAGATGAGCATGTTAAGGTCGCCCTCACAATCAAAGTCACACCAAGAGGAAACGTCACAATCCAACAAAGGATACTGGACAAATCAGCTTGCAGGACTTCCGTCAAAGCTTTCCAAACAATGCACATTACCCGAAACTGAAATGCCAATTCGAACCAGCACCAGATCTCGGGCTCGATGCATATCCCATTTACTGTTTTTTTTTTCGTGCAAAGAAGAGCAAAGAGTCGGATTTCTTTATGTCGACCGACACTATAACGGAGATTGCAGAAGCTGTCTGGCGCTTTCTTCCCCGATAGCCTGTTACGACATTACGACCACTTGATGCAAATATAACTTGCAACCAATACTTATAACCCTCTTAATTTCCACAGTGCTATGGTTTCTTGGTAGGTGTTTCTGACCCTAAAAATGCCCAGTTGTAGCAATATGCACAGAATGGTAAAGTGTATGATGCAGAAGAGTGAGGGAGAAGTAAGAGAGAAGTAAGAGAGAAGTAAGAGAGAAGTAAGAGAGAAGTAAGAGAGAAGTAAGAGAGAAGTAAGAGAGAGAAGTAAGACATAACTACCTATCAGAATGGGAGCCAAACAGTGTCTCTTGACACCCTCTCAACCATGATCTCTAGCATCCCCACATCCTTCACCAGAGACAAAACCTTCGGGATAGATTGAGACAGGGGTGTCTTCAAGGAATCCTGTCCATTGTTCTGGTTTTCGAGAATATCAGTTAGCTCATCAACAAGCATTTGTTGAAGTTTGTTAGTCCAAATCTTCATAGAGTCTAGCAGGGGCTGAACTTCCTTCTTAATTCGAAGATCTAGAAGGGCGCTGTCTGGTCCAGGGGCCCAAAAGTCCCTAATGCACTCGAGATGCGCTGTTGGAAGGCTGATCATTCCTTTCATCAAGGCCTTCCAAACACAGTCGTCAAGGTCTCCGTCGGCACCCATGATGATATGTATGTAGGTGTTTGCAGATGAGGGTTTTGTCTGAGTTATCTCTAGTACAGGATATATGGAGGATGTAGTTGGTTGAGCAGTATTGTGAGGGTGGTAAAAGCCTAACCAGTTGGGAAAATTGGGCCATTAAATATCATTCAAAGCAAGTTCTCCAGTGTTTTTTTTGGATGAAAGACTTTAACAATAGCAAAGTTGTCCTGAAAGAAGCTTTGCACAAATACATTGAGCCTGACCGAGACTGAGAATTGAGCGATGCAACAAAGATTTGAAAGAAACAGCCCGAGAAAGAGAAAAAAAAGACCATGGAACTAGACAACCCAGGTAGGATCTGTCTCGTCGCGAACCCATATGACGAAGGTCATACCTAGTAGGTCTACCTCACAACTTTCATACGTACTTCCCAATATGACCACTGCCCAGGTGCTTCCCATACGCTTCTTAAAACACCTGTCAGTTCTGCCCCACTACGGCCAAGTTTCCCATTGCTATCTACACACTAACAGACGTCGGCGCGACTGCTTCCTCTTTAGGGTCTGCTCTATGGATTACCTGGAATCATGGTCTTATGCTCATGGCGTGGTGGTCAGCTTTCAGCATGTGCACCGAGACTTGATCGTAGCAAGGGTATTTGACGGACTATGAAAAATTTTAAATCAATGTGATATACCATTAAGGAGGAAAAGGGACGTGAGGCAGAAGGAACAAAAGCAAGTCAAGTTGGGTGGCACTGAAGACAAGAGCTGCGTCATGTACCACTAAAAATGGGCCGTTTCCATAATCCCTCTTATAGCTCAGCTGGAAGAGCGTGGGACTGTAATTGATCAATTCACAGGTCTTCTGTGATCCCGAGGTCCGCGGTTCGATCCCGCGTGAGAGGATTTTTTTGCGACTTTCAATATTTTTTTTGCCTCATTAAAATCTTTTTGTTACTTACTATTATGATTGCTTAGGATTGCATCTGACAGGTAAAATGGGCAGAAATCATAAGAAGCAATAGACGCCTGAGGCACAGACCTCGAAGTCCTGACACATCCCACTTTTTCCCCGAGGTCTCTCATCACTGAGTATGACTCTGCTCTCCTCCCCTTCCTTCCTTAGCTTTAGTGTGTCTTATTATAGGGAAAAGACCGTATAGTTTTTGTTTTGTCAGGCGTGAAACAAGTCAAATTCACTTAAACCCAATGGTATTTAGTTAGCTGGACTTCTGGAGATTGGGTTGAGTTATTCTGATTTGCACTCCGTACATAGAAAGCAAGTTGGGAAAGACCATGCAGATTTGTGTCTTTGTAAATTACCAGGGTCTTTCCTCTCTTAATTGCAGATAAGCAACCTGCCATCATCGCTTCCTCTTATAGCTCAGCTGGAAGAGCGTGGGACTGTAATTGTTACTTCACAGACCTTCTGTGATCCCGAGGTCCGCGGTTCGATCCCGCGTGAGAGGATATCTTTTTGATTTCCGTTTTTCCCAACCAGCCTTATTTTCATGCGGAATAAGCAAGAGTTCCAACCTTGGAAGTCTCATTATGACTACTATGTTTTTGGTCGTGGGGGAGCACTAAAAGGTAGAAGCTTGAAGTCAAGGGTGCTCTTGGGCTGATGCTCTGATGCCTACAGGGCTAGTCGAGAGAGGTACGTAGGAGGGTCAGTATAAGCCACTGGCAGTTCAATGGAGATCAAGTACTTTGCACGCAGATTCTAAGCTGGGGAGAAGGAAGGCGAAGGAGCAATGGCGTAACGAATGGACTACAAGTACATGCCTCTCTACCTCCCAAAACCGTCATGATTTGCTTTCCCCCATGACCTGTCGTCGCTGCCCTACCAAGAACCCTGCCCCTGCCTTCTTGATGCAATAATAAAACAATGTCTACTCCGTACTTCCCAAATGGGTAAGACGGCATCGGCCCCGGGGCCTCTCACTTTAACCGCACGTGCTTCCCTTTTCTTGCTGTACCCTCCTGTAGCTCCATAACTCATCACTTCTTCGTATGCTTTACTCGCTCTGAGATTCTTATGGTAATTACTCCTGCTTTTTGATGTGAGCTTAGCTGGATATTATCATTGCTCCCTTTACGGAGTACGGAGTACTGAACAAGAAGTTTAACTTTGTCGTGGCCATACCTTTAGACTGCATTTGCTCATAATGACACATATCTGACTGTCTATCATATCAACCTCTTATAGCTCAGCTGGAAGAGCGTGGGACTGTAATTGATCAATTCACAGGTCTCCTGTGATCCCGAGGTCCGCGGTTCGATCCCGCGTGAGAGGATATTTTTGTTGTCTTGATGATGCAGTAGACGTTTTTTTGGCCCGCCAAGGGTCATTTGAGAGGAACCACCCATTTTTTTCAAGCACTCTGGGCTTTCCAGGTTGGATGATTGGCCCCAGGGCCCCGGGGCTTATATGTACATAATTGATGACTAAGGCCATGTGGCTGCCCAGGTGGCTTCCAAGGTTTAGTTACCACAGTTCCATCAACTTACAAGCACGAAACGAAGTATATGTACTGCTCCTACATATTTGATATGATTTATCCCTCTTATTGCGCCTACATAGCTCAGATTCCCAGGAGGCTGATCTGGGCAGCGGTCTCCAGACATACTACCTCAGGTTGCAAGAAGGTGGTGTGCGAATAAAGTGGGGCTTTCGATACAACAATCTCCATGCTTTCAATGCATATCATCATTCATTTGTTTTCCTGGGCTCTTGAGCTAGGCCTCAGAGCAGTGAGGGTATCAAGACAGAAGTGAGAACAAGCTACTCCGTACGGAGCACCTTTTTGAGACGGGCGGGAGAGAGCTCCCAAAACTCTGAACTCTCAGGCCTTGAACCTCCTTGGTCCCTCAAGCAGTACATTTGATGATATCCAAGCCCTAATCGGGAGCTGTAAGCCTAGGAAGACACAGGGAATGACGACTTAGTGCCTGTAGTTATCTCTTTTGAGAGACGGAGAAGCAAAAAAATCCTCTCACGCGGGATCGAACCGCGGACCTCGGGATCACAGGAGACCTGTGAATTGATCAATTACAGTCCCACGCTCTTCCAGCTGAGCTATAAGAGGTTGATATAGTCATGTGACACACAATGAGAATAATAACCATTTGCAAGTCATGAATTGCTGAGAATTTATCCCACCGAACACAACATCAAAGCAAGACATGGAATAGTTGCTACAAAATTGCCTTGCCGAGAACAGCCCTGCCTGTGATGTGTAAGGCTCATGTGGCGATCACTGTGTCGCTGTGTTACTGGAAGTACTAGGCAAGTAATCTTAGGAGGTAGCCCTTCTTATGAAGCGGTGGTAGTTTTCCAGCCAGGAATGGCACAAGTCATTCCGTTCTATCAAAGCTATTTTCCTGTCGGCGTTAGTCGGGAACTTGCGAGATTTATGATAATGTACAAGGCTGGCGATCTAGTAGAGTGTTGAAATTGCCATCCTTCCATTCTCGAGCTTCTCATATAGCTCTCCCCGAGGTGCAACAGGAATATCATTGTATGTTTTCTGTTCAAATATGCCCACAAGCATGTTCATTCTTTGTGGTATTGTTGGCCTGCCGGTTGAAGCCAGCCAGAACAGTTGCAACCGTCTTCTGTTGCAGCGGCTTGACACAGACTTCGGCTAGCTGGAGCCCTATGCACGGCGTTCCGAGCGAATATGAGGGCATGATGCCGTTTATTCAATAAAGGTTGGACGAAGATATGCTCGTGGTCTTCCAGTGGCGGACTAAGCTTTGCTTTGCGATGACAATCAGAAGGCTTCGCCAATTCACTTGATACTTAGGGCTCTCCAAAATCCATCCGCCAGAAACATCTGGGCCTGTTTTACAAGCTCACGATTTACCTGATACAAATGCCTCTGTGATTTTCAATAGAAGTGCGCATATCATCCCCCCCAGCCTACCACCTTTACATTTAGAATCATGCACACCCGTGGACCCAGGTCATTGGGTAGCAAGCTCTATAGTGGACTTGGTACCGGGATTTAGGGTCTGAAATATGTTCAAAGATCCCTCGAGACAAATTTTGGTTTCAATACCCGTGGACCTGTCAGATATCTGGAGTACCTAGCCGGATCGTACCTAGTCGAACATGCGCAACCAAAAGATCATACACATATCATCCAAAAAGAATATACATCATCAACCACCTCGCCACACGGCTCTCCCCCGGTTTCTTGTTGGGGCGCTTGTTGGGGCGAGGCCATTTCTTTCTAACCCACCCCTGGTTCCTTCGCACGCTCTTGATGCACCCATGCCTCTCCAACTTGGCCCATGCCTCTTCTCTCGCTGTGTAGGCACATTCATAGTTGTGCTCAGATGTTCTCTCCGAGGCATCTAAGCGTGGCATAGACATTTCATTCAACAGACGTTCCCAAATTTCGGGATACTGATTATGCGGCACGGTGTGAATGAAGCGAGCTTGGGTTGTAACAGTTCCATCTTCGCTTCGGCGATGCAGGTGTATATATGAAGAATTTCTGTTGGATTTGAAGATCCACATATCTCCCTCATATTCATTTGGAGCTCCTGTATTAAGCCGGGCAACGAAAATGGCGGGCCATTTCCGATACGTGGTTCGATGAAGTTCATAAGTTTGACGTTTGCGGGCTGGTTTTTTTATTGGCTCTTTTTGCTGTGTTCTTCGCCCATTCATTCTGTTCTGTTTGGTGCTTTTGCGTCGAGTGCGCCGCTGCTTCCAATGGAAACTTTCTCTGTTCTTCCTGAATTTGCTGCCGTCCTTGGTGGTGTTGTGTTTGTGTATACCGTGGGATTTCCTTCTCCTGTTTTCTGTGTGTTTTTGATTCCTTTTTTGTTCCTTGGCTGGCCCATGTGCTCGAGCTCTCCTGCTTGTTCTGCTTTCCCTGTCGCTGGTCATATTGGCCTCGGCCCTCTCCTCTTCCTTCTCGGTTTACCTCTCTTACCTCTCGCTCTCCTGCCGCCTACTTTTTCCCCTCCTTTCCTCCTTATTCCCCCGTCTTCTTTGTCGTCTTTCCTGGCTCTCTTTCTTCAATTCCTCATCTTCTTCTTGTCTCTGTCTTCTCACCCTTTCGTCCTCCTCTTGTCTCTGCTTCTCAAGTCTCTCATCTTCCTCTCGCCTCTGTCTCTCCAATGTCTCATTTCCCTCCCTTCTCTTCTGTCTCCTCTCTTCCCTTCTCTCTCGTCTCTCTTGTCTTTCCTTTTCTAGTCTCTTAGCCTCCCGCCTCTCCAAATTCTTTTGGTCCTTCTTCTCTTGTCGCTCTTTCTCTTCAATCTCCTTTTTGGCATCTTGGAGCTTTTCGAAGCCACGTTTGATGAGAACGCGAAGTGACATTTTATATGAAGTATAAACAAATATATTGCAAAAGATGAATAGGTAGATAAACTTCCAAGGCTACGAACATGGAATCAAGCCCTTTTATACATTTGACGGAGCCTTCCAAGGTTTCACCCCGGAATCACATACAGCCATTCATGGATCGTGACAGCGCATGGGAACAGCGAACTTGGAATGCATGACCTACTAAGACTCTTGAAATGAACAAACCCAGCAACACCAATCAATCTATCTATATTTTACCTCAAAACAACGACCAGCCACACAGTCCACCAAGGCCTCGAAAGCAGATAGCCTCCAGGACCACCCCTCACTCCAAAGTCGCTACCCAAGGTAACAGAAACCCCTTGAGGATGACCAGTCAGGCAGTGCTTTGGCCATGTCAACTTCCCCAAAGCTGACAAGTTTCGTTCGAGGCCAATAGATAGGCCTCGATGTGGACAACAAGGAGAGTTTCCACACATCGTCACTAAGTGGCTGGCAGAAGCTCTGACCCAAAGCAAAGACCCAAGACATAAGCTGACTTGCTTCTGAGGAGTCTCAAGTGGTCTGTATTCATGATCAAAGATGGCTCAACGACGATGGAGTCCAATCATTCAGACCAGCCTGTGTCAAACTGCCGTCCAGAGCTCTGCGTGCACAGTTGGGACCCAGTTATACCCCCAAGGCACTATGCATCAAACAAAATTTCTATCCCTTGAAATGTTGGTTTGCGAAGTCCTCGGTTTGGGTTGGCGCTATAGTGCGCAGTACTACAAGATCAACAAACCATGGCAGACAGAACAACTTGGGATAAGATATCAAGGTTTCTCGTTGGTGAAACAAGCAGAGTGTCACCCGCTTACTAGTATTTTCGGACACTGCCTTCCATGTGGAGCCAGGTCAGGCTTGATATCATAGTTCATGCAACCTATATGCATGGCGCGTAGGGCACGCGGTCAGTGCGTAATGCGCCGCACACACTATGCAGACTACATGAAACTATTAGATTGGAATATGTTGTATTACAGAGTACTAGAGAGATGAAGTCCATTTAGACCAACAGTTTGATTATCCTAATGAAAAGAAAATAGCGATTGGTAAAAGATACAAGTCAGAAAGCAAGGCTGAAAAGAAGTACAAGAAGGGAAAACCCCGAACTCCAGATCCATGCCATAGTCCTAGACTAGGGCGTTATCCATGGCGGTCTGAGAAAGCCGTCGGTCTATCTCATATAAGCGCCATATCATATTGAGCACCACTCGATGCTGGGTATTACGCGTCGAATCATCATTCGAGGGAGGTGTGTGTGGAAGGGAACAGTGATGTGAATTGGATATTAGCCATGGACGATTCAATCACTGGTGCGGCGTTCCGGCTTGGGTTTGCGCAAACTCTTCATGCGGTTTAGGAAACCACCACCGCCGGGGTTGAGCTTAGACTCTTCGTAGCGATCGTTTGTGGGCTTGCGCTCCAGACCTGTTGCTTGCTTCGGGCTGCTGGATGATCGGAGACGACCACCCTCCATGCGGGCCTCGATGCTAGAGCCCTTTTTATCCCATTCTTCGTCGTAGTCTTGGTCTTGGAAGTATGGGTTTCGCTCATTGTTGCGGGAGGATGCAGAGTGGCTAGAGCCCAGTGCTGGCGGGGGTGTGGAGTATTCGGGGGAGGTGACACGGCCAGGACCGGTGGTTCGCCCACGTAATCGCTGTGCCAGACTCTTCTTACGGGCAAGGCCCCCGTTTGGCGCAAGAGAACCCTCGTTCTCGCTCTGGCGACGGGCCATAGCGGATCGACTGGCGGGAGCACCGTCGAGGAAGGTGCTGGTTCCCAGTCCCATACTCTGGGGACCGTGGATGGGGTCCACTCGAGCAGTGGGATCGAAGCTGTTGCCCGAATCGGCGTTGCGGCGGGCGGCAGTGGCGAAGTCATTGTGTCCTTCCTCTTGGCGCCCGTGGAAGAGGTTCAGATCAATGTTGGAGTTGTTGGGGCCGGTTCCACCAAGGGCCATGTTGGTAGAGCCCTTGGGGAAGGCCTGCATGGGCGCAGTACGGACACCGCGGCGGTTACGGTGAGGGTTGCAAGCATCGAAAGGACCATCGTGGTGGAACACTATTCCAGTTAGCATGTCATATAATGAGGTACAAGAGAAGAACTCCTCGATACTTACTTCCAGTGCCGTAGATGCTCGTCACATCCAACTTATCAATGATATCCAGTCGGCGGTCCTTGCGGCCAGATCGCGACTTCCCATCCTTAGTATCTTTACTGCGACCCTCGCGCTCGCGGTTCCGTCGCTCCCTGCGGCGCTTCTCGCTGTCATCGACGTCCAACAACTTGGATCCGCGGTCCATCACCGAAGATTCTGAGTTGCGGCGCGGTCGCCGAGGCGGCGCCCGAGTGCTAGCGGACTTGGATGGGGGGTCAGCGAAGATGTCGAGCGGGTCCTTCCCCTTGGATGTGGCCGATCGCTCGGAGGGGCGCTCCCTTGGGGGACGAGTGCGGCTCGCAGCAGTTCGATCGTCCGATGGTCGGCGATTTGTCTGAGGGGCGGGTTTGAGAGAGAGGCTCTCCTGTAAGAAGGTTAGCACAATTACTCCCCTGATCTTTCCATTTCTCCGACATACAAAGAGTTCACGAGTGTGGCTTGAGATGTCGGTCTTCTCGGTTGGAGAGACCATAGCGCCGGAAGCCATTCCAGGGGCGGACTGGGGAGACAACGCTTCGCTGTCGTCTAGGAAAGGGTTTGTCGAGCGAGGTCGTTCCGGGCGAGTGTTTGAAGAGACCGATCCAGCGACTGAGGGGGAGAGGGCACGGTTACGGAAAGGGTTGTTTGAACCAAAACTGGCGGCGGTTGGAGAGGCTTGGGATTCTGTTTGCCAATCGGTCAGAGTCTACAGAGCATACAATCCACAGAGATTCAGGGGAACGGGTCATCTTAAGACTCAGGAGGTTGTGATAATCCTCCAGGACCAGGGGGCACAACGTTACGTACCTTGCGGGGCGAGCGAGACGCCAGGTGCATACCCAAGCGCTTGAGGGGCATTCATTGTCAAGGATGAATGGATTTTGAAACGCTGTGGGTAGAGAGAGATTGAGTGTTCAATGAGATGTCGCGTTAAGTGTCGCACGTATGCGGATTAGAGTGGCAGGAGGTGCTGCTGAAACACTGGATAGGGACAGCTGACAGCAACGCAGCGATCGCTCACACACACACACACACACACACACACAGCCAGTCTAAAGAATTTAGTTCAAAGGTATTATGAAGCACAATATCAAAAGTAAAAAAAAAAGGAAAGGAAGTGTGAGAGAGGAGGGGGGCAAGGGGAAGACGGGAGGCGAAGAGGGTACGTAAATTAGTGATCGACTGGAAATACTCGTGCCTGGGCGATCTCTCCTCCCTCATTCCTCATTATTTGTGCTCTAGATTTCAAGAGCCATAGATTTGAGTGTTTACTGAGTACTTTGATACCGGTTTCAAGTTCGTCCTAAATGTGATATCTTTTTTGGTTCGGCTTTTCAGTCTGTCCACCCCAGATTAAGGGGATAGCCACGTACTAAAATAGACCCATCCGAACTTGAGACGTTTGACTAGAATTGACTACAGACTACCGAGATATGCACTGCAGTACTCGGTATACAGAGTAGTTATAGGTAAATCCTAACCTCGGTGCTAAATGCACAGTCTTTTACATCTTCACCAAGGCAAATTTGAGGCGAAACTCGAAATTCCCAATAGTCCCGTGCTCGGAATGACGGCATTCTTCATCTTTGATGTCATTGCCTTTTTCCGGCAGCTCCATGAGAGTACTCTTACGCACATCCATACACCGGAGTAGCATAAAAAGCCAATTCCCCTGGTTCCTGAACGTAGGGCTACATTGAATGAGGTACCGGAAAAGGAAACACGAACCAATGGACATGGTACGGAATGCAACCTGATCAAGATTTCCAACTGCCGAATCTTCTCATTTTCTGACAAATCCAGCAAATAGTCCGTACAGGTTGCATAGAACCTATCAAGCTATGACGTTAGACGTTAGACGTTAGACATATGTATGACACCGGGGCATCTCCAGATCCATAGACCCAGCGCATGGAGATTCAGTCGAACATTCCTTGGTCTGGAATGCAGCCGATGAGGTCATTGCACGAGAGGCTGGGCATAGATAAGACTGAAGATCTAAATCTGGTGCAAAAGTACCGACTCAAACCTCGGGGGTCGTCTCAAGTTCTCAACCCTACGGAGTGTTGCTTGCCTACTTGGTACTCCGTTTAAGTGGACATACTCCGGCTGTCAGGTCAAAGCTCAGACGTCGTGCCAGGGTGGGGCATCTAATATCGCGCTATTGAAGTTTTTTCATCTTCGGTGAATTAAAGAGCTAAATCTTATGGTCGGAACCTCGTACTGCATCTACGGGATAACGCCAACATAGTCCGAGTACGAGGTTCGGAAGCAAGGAGTTCAACCAAGGGGCAAACACAACCTGCTTCCAAGATTTGTATCTTCTTGATACTTCCGAGATGGATGGCCCGAGTGTTTTCAACACTATTACCTAGGTACTCATACGGTACAGAGTATACAAACTAGTTGTGCAATTTCAAAGTAAATTCAAGAATCGTTGATTTTCATTCATTAACATATCATGGCCTTGGGAAGGTTTCCTAGCATAAACGCCACACACAAAATGCAAAGATGGTATAGAAGACAAAACAAAAAGGAAAACAACCATGCAAGCCTCTCAGTGCACAGTCGACTGAGCGCGCGGCATATGAGGATTTGAGACGGGAATACCGGCACGACGCTTCGACTGAGGCTTGGGTCTGGATAGGGTGTACTTGGCAAAGGCACGAGACAGCGCCTTCTTGCAGCTGACCTTTTGACTGCCAATGAAGGAATCCACAGTGACAGCAATGGCACGGTCAATGTCCTGTGCGGAACAGTACTCCGACAGGCGCATCTTGCAGAAAGACTCGGCGATACGCATGATGGCTTCGAGGTGACGAACCTGGAGGCTGGTTAGTAGATGCTATCAATAGAGTGTGGGAGGTAACTCACGGTAATGGGGTAGGCGCCAGTGGCAAGGGACTCGCGGCGCATGTCTGCGAAGAGACGGGCGACCTTGTCCTGGTCAATCTGGTAGAGCTTGGGGTGGCATCGCTCGCGGGCGTACATGATGTACTTCCGCAAGAGCTCCTGGGGAATTTCACCCTCCTTCTCTTCTTCGGCTCTCTGCTTCTCCGCTTCGCGTCTAGCCACTTCCTCTTGGGAAGGAGGAAGACGCTGGCCAGAGGGGTTGATGCGGTATCCTTCTTCGTCGACGCGGTGACCATCGGCATCGACCAAGTGGCCCTGCTCGTTCCGAAGAGGGCGGGCTGGGTTAGCACGGTGGTGTGATTCAATGACGAAGTTGGCCAGGCGTTCATCCTCGGCGGGATCAACAAGATCACGAACCACGCAGAGAATATCGAAACGAGACAAGATAGGGTCTGTCAAGTCGACATTCTCTGAGAAGGGGATGGAGCTGTTATAGCGACCACCCTTGGGATTGGCAGCGGACACAACGGCGCAACGGGCTTGAAGCGTCGTGACGATACCGGCCTTGGAGATGGAAATGGTCTGCTGCTCCATGGCTTCGTGGATGGATGTTCGATCCTGGTCGTTCATCTTGTCAAACTCGTCAATGAGACAGGTACCACGATCAGCCAGCACAAGAGCGCCACCCTCCAAGGTCCATTCGCTGGTGAGTGGATCACGGCGAACACTGGCCGTCAAACCCACAGCACTAGCACCCTGACCGGTAGCGAAGACAGCTCGGTGTGCGGTCTTCTCCACATACTTGAGCACCTGGGACTTGGCGGTACCCGGGTCACCAAGAAGGAGAACGTTGATGTCACCACGAATGTTCATCTTTCCTTGGGCCTGCTTGCTAACACCGCCGAAAAGTGAAAGAGCAACGGCAGTCTTAACGTCCTGGTGCCCGTAGATACTGGGGGCCATGGAGCGAACAATCTTGTCGACGATATCGGGGTCGCGAGAAAGTGCCCGAATCTCGCGCTCATCATCTTCGGTCAAGTTGAAACCAGCCATCTGATCATGAGCCTTGACAACATGATTGGCCTCGATGACGGTCGCGAACACGGGGAAGCCGTTCTTGTTGTTGAGCTGAGCATCGTAGCTGTTACGGTAGATACCGGTGATCTCGATCTCATCACCGGGTTTGGCAGTGTCGATCAGATCGGCTAGCAGAACTACCTCACGCTGACGCGGCAAACGGCCTGCGGGAACTGAGCCGGGAGACTCCTGCAGAGTCAACTTCTGGTAGTTGCGATAAACTGTCTTTTCGGAGTTGATGGTGAAGGGGCCACGGGACTGGCAGTTCTGACAGAAGGAGATCTTCACCTCTGCGCTGGCTTCTTGCTGGAAAGGACCAAGAGTGATACCACACTTCGTGCAGAGGAACATAACGTACTTCAGCTGAGGGAAGACACCAGTACGGCGGGTGACGACACCACCGACACGGACTAAACAGTTGAGGTGTGACTGGCGCAGCTGGCGCAGAGTGTAGATGATAGGCACATCGGTGATACGGACGTGGATCTCGTTGTGGATGTCGTGGTACTGAGGGTAGTGGAAGAGAGTAACATCGAGCGCAACCTGATCAAAGACCTTCAAAACTTCGGTCGGTTCGTTGGCAAGGAAGTATGACAGAGCAGCCTTGGTCTCGCTCAGATGGGCGTAAGACACCTCGAGGGATGCTGAGTTAACCTCACCCAGCAACTTGATACGGTTACCGTAAACAGACTGGCCACTTGGGTCGATAAACTCTGTGAGGAACGCCTTGAATTCACGGTAGATGGAGCGCAGCACTTGAGGAAGGGTGACCCAGTCTGTGATGTTGGCTGCCTTCACATCCGCCAACTCTTCAAGCGACAATTCTTCCACACCCTCATCGCCCATATCAATATCTTGAGGATCTTCGTCATATTGGTGTCTGCGTCGTCGAGGTTGGCGGGACAAGTCCATGTCAATATCTTCGTCATCTTGTAAAAATGCTGCAGGCATACGGCGCCGACGTGCCAGCTCGCGGTCTCTTTGGTTCAAGCGAGCATCCAGCTGGCGACGGGCGCCAGCATCAATCTCCTCGTGGTCTCCGTCGTCGTCAATGTATCCTTCATTTTCATAGCGATCTTGCGCCGCATCGCGGTAGTCACGCTCGAAGTTGTCACCGAACAGATCAATGCCGTCTTCGTCTTCGGCCAATTCATCAATGTCATCAATATCTTGTACCATCCCCCTGTCCTCTTCCTCATCTTCATCACCCATGTCAAAGGGGATTGGTGGAGGGGACGAGCCCAAGGCGGTAGCTGCACGACTGTCAGTCTCGACCCAATTCTCGGAGAAAAAGACATAAACATACGACTGGAAGGAGGCAATGGGGCTGGTGATGAGCCCATGTCATCATCTTCTCTATCTCTCTTGCGGTTGTTGGCCCTTGGGCCACGGTTGGCGGCCGACTCGCTGGCTCGAAGCGGGCTGCGATGCTGTTAGATTTTGCGTGCAGAAAATTCAAACCAAAAGATACATACTCCATGGTGGGCAACGATAATTTCGAATTTTATCAAAGGGTGAAAAATTCAAGACCGATAATGATAAGTGTATCTTGATTTTCCCCGAAGGTAACGTGGGCAGGTGGTTGTTGGGGAAATGAAGGGGAGAAGGGGGCAAAGTTCAGTTGTGCATTTCGAGTCGCGTCGCGTGTCGAGACGCGTTTCAATTAACTCCCAATCGGGAAAGGCGTCTAATGGTCTTGGCTTTCACTTTCATATCTACTTCGTACTTCTAACGTTCATGAATCAATGTCTAGCATGAAGTTTTTTCAATGGAACAGTGATTGCTTTTACTATACCTAATTTTAGCATGTAGCTCAGGGCCATCTTAACATCAGAGAGAAGAACGACAACAATGTCGAAAGCGAAAGCCCGAGGCTTGGTAAATCCATATGGGTTATATGTCAGATGAACCATATCACAATGAGGCTCAGGGACATGAATACTCTGTAGGAAGAAGTAGGGTTGTTGGCCCATAACCTTGAAAGTATGGCGTGGTTTCCTTTTTTCCGACCCAAGGTTCTGGTTCTGGTGACGATGGCCATAGTGACCCTAATTGACCTCAGGAACATGACTAACCTTGGAACCTTGGAATCTCCTTTGTTTCAATCGTGAGCTTTATGGTGGCGACCAGTTCATGTATTTGGTAAAAGGTGGGTATACAGGTGATCTCAAGTGCCCACCTGGGCGGGGTGTGATTTTCCTATAGGAATTTATATTCCGGAGCCATGACGAAACGACCACGAAGCCTATAAAAACGAAATCCAACATTGCCCAGGTGTCAGATTCCATTCTAAACCCAATAACATCTCCTCACAAGGAACGAGATTTGTTTCCTTTTCACTCCCGAATACCAGCCAAGCTTTTACTCCCAATATGTCGCATCTCACATACTACAACTACCCTGGAGTCGGAGAAACCAACCGGAGAGACTATCATTACAGTCAAGCTGTTCGAATTGGAGACAGAATTGAATGTTCTGGGCAAGGTAGGTTGGAGAACTTCACGGAAGACCATTGGAACAAAGGTGAAACATTGGAAGATGATGGCTGACCAATTGAAGGTGGATGGTTCCCTGAACAAGGTATAAACTCAATCCCCAGAGAAATCAATGCCCAGATCGACCAGGCTTTTGCAAATGTGGATCTCGCATTGAAGACCGCTGGCGGAAAGGGTTGGTCGCAAGTGTACAAAGTACGATCTTACCATGTTCCCATCAACGGGGAAGCCCTCGAAGCTATGAGCCGGAACTTCAAGAAGTGGATGCCCAACCATCAGCCTTTGTATACGTGTGTTGGTGTTCAACGGCTAGGCGAAGATGATATGCGCGTTGAGATTGAAGTGGAGGCGCATGATCCTGAAGGGAATGAGAAGAAGTAAAGATGAATGGATTGACTGAATGCTAGCTTGATCTACCGTTCACAATTCCAACAAAGGTTTCTGCATTCAACTAGATTCGTATGTAAATTCTGGTTCAAATCCCTACAGTATGAAAAGAGCATAGTTCTTGATATGAGTCAACTGATTGGCCTGATTTGGAACAGCTCAAGCTATGCACTACATGACATCATTTAAGTTGCAATTCTTTGTTCTAAGTAAATACGTGGTTTCCATTAAACGTACGTTTGAATTGTGATTGGATGTCTCTATGTGGGCGGAATGTATCTTCCGCAGTTCCTGTCATACAAGTAGATGGGGCCACTTGCCATAAATAGTGTTCGTTCTCCCTAGCTTCTTCTATTCAGATATCGAACCTACTTGGAAAAATTTGAAAGTATGGCAAGAGTGTTCATGTAAGTGATGATATTATCCCAAGACATAATATATCCATGCTGATATCCTCTTCTTGAGAACAGGTGCAACGGGCTACATTGGTGGGGATGTTCTGTCACAGCTCGAACCAAAGTACCCCGGGATAATATTCAGGGTGCTAACTCGTGACGAGCAGAAGGGGAAGCTTATAAAAGAGCAACAGCCAGCCGTTCAGATAGTGAGCGGAGATCTTAATGATGCAGCCTTACTACAAGAAGAAAGTGCTCAAGCTGATATCATCCTCCGTGAGCTGCTCCCGTACTAGACACCGCAGCCCGGAAGCTGGCTAACAGAGCAAAACAGATACAGCAGACGCAGCAGACCATCCCACTGCTGCTAGGGCAATAGCCGCTGGTGCTATTCAAGGACACACACCTGAACGACCAGCTTATTGGATACATACCAGCGGAGCCGGGATTTTCAGCTATCTGGATGAGGACGAGAAGAGATACGGACTGGTTGGAGACAAGGTCTTCGATGACTGGGATGGCATCCAGGAGATCATCAGCATTCCTGACCATGCCTTTCACCGGAACGTTGATAAGATTGTTTTCGAAGCCACTGCCAGCCATCCAGATGTTTTGCATGCAGCTATCGTGTCACCAACCACCGTTTATGGTAAGATATCGGATCGTTTTGTTCAATTTGAGCAAAGGAATAAAAGCTTATGTTTGTTGATACAGGCGTTGGCCGAGGGCCCTGTTCAAAACGCAGCAGACAAGTCTATGAGCTCGCAAGGACGACCTTGTCACGCAAGAAAGCTCCTTACATAGGAGATGGCGAATCGCGTGGATGTCATGTTCACATTCACGACGTGACAGACCTAATTTTGCGCTTATTCGACGCCGCATTGGCAAAAGAAAAGAGCCTCTGGGGCCCCGAGGCGTACTACCTTGCGGAGAATGGTGAACATAGCTGGAGCGACGTGGCGCGTTCAATCGCCAATATAGCAGTAGCGGAAGGCTACCTTACCGATATTGCTACTGAGCAGCTTGAATTTGAAGAAGCAAAGAGACAGGCGGGCTATGAAGCTGCTAGTTGGGGGCTGAATGTGCGTTCCCGCGCTATACGTGCGCGGAGGCTATTGCATTGGACACCAGCCGGACCAAGTCTAGATGATGAGTTGCCTGGAATAGTCAGAGCGGAGTGGGAGTCACTTCAAAAGTCTTGAGTGCAGGGTTGGGTTGGAAGGCGAGGAGAGTAGGGGATGGGCAAGTGCTCTATTGTGCCACAAGAGAAAGAGCATTATGGAAATTCCTTTCTTTCTTTCTTTTTACAGAGGCAAGCTCCTTTCGCGAATGGAAATATGTGTTTTCTACCGAATTCTCGGGCTTGTTGATATGATTACCGGTGTCAATTTGCATATCTGTGCAAAAAAGAAACATGAGCGGAAACTAGGATCTGGGTCAGTGTATGATAGTATCAAAGGTCTAGCTAGAGACGCGTTAGGTCCGTTGTTGAATGAGATTGGAGTACTGCAACAACTTTGATGACCAGACACAAGATGGATCAGTGATCCAAAGGGATTGAAAGATGGGTTAAAACCCATCAGCTTTTTGAAATCAAAAGATGCTTTAGAAAGCAAAGCCATCTCACAATCAGACGTTGTAGTAGTTTGAATCGCGGAGTGGATCTTCATTTCTGTGGGGAATTTATTCTGCCGGCAATTAAAGTTGTTGACCGGCGCGTCCTTCTTCCCTTGCCACCCCAAGACAACGAACCAGCCTTCATCAAGCGACACAAACAGAAAGAATGGATGCCTCTAAGCCCGACCAGATTGAGGGGCGCCGCGCAAGCTTTAGCTCACACAATTCCCAGACTGCCAAAGAGTACGGAGTGGCCCCAATGCCCACCTAGGAGCTAAGCTAATCGCGACAGGTTCATCGACTCCCAGCTCCAACTAGAGGCAGATGCGCGCGAGGCCTTGCCATATGTGAGTGATGCTGGTTCCCAGATGCGCGATGTGTACCGACCGAGCTAATCAGACCAGTCTTTCGATTCCTGCACATATGCACTCGGACCGTTGCGCCAAACCCTCTTCGCGTGCATCACCTGCAATCCACCACCCACGAATCCCAATGAGCAATATACTGCTGCCGCCGTCTGCTATTCGTGTTCAATCTCGTGCCACGGGGAGCATACCCTGGTAGAGCTGTTCTACAAGCGCAACTTTGTCTGCGATTGCGGAACAACTCGTATGCCCTCTTCATCCTGCTGCACACTGCGCGATGACCCAGCAACCGGAAAGAAGGGTGCTCACTCTCAAGAAGCTGCGCCGGGTAACACATACAGCCAGAACTTCCGGAACAAGTTCTGCGGCTGCGGCGAGCAGTATGATGCGTTTTCAGAGAAGGGAACCATGTTCCAGTGCCTTGGACTTGGAACAGTTGAGACGGGTGGATGTGGTGAAGACTGGTGGCATCCCGAATGCTTGATTGGCTTGTCAAGGGATTGGAACAAATCTGGCCCCAAAGACCAGGGACTTGGAGGTGATGCCGCTGAAGATGATGCAGATGAGGAAACCCCGCTTCCACCTGGGTTCCCCGCAGAGGATGACTTCCAACATCTGATCTGCTATAAGTGCGTTGATTCAAACCCTTGGATCAAGCAGTACGCGGGATCACCGGGATTCCTGCCCCCGGTAATGAAGAATGGTGGATTGCAGAAGGCAGTCAACGGGACCCACGTCAAGGACACCGATGAGCCTAAGCCAGAGGATTTAGTGAAAGATGAAAATAAGGCCGGGGAGATCAACACCGAGGAAAGCAAAGCCGATCAAAGTAAGGCCGAGGATCACAAAATAGCGGAGGAACCCTCAAAAAAGCGCAAAGCAGATGACGAGGAGCCTACCGAGACCGCACCCGCCCCAAAGCGATCAAAAGACGACAACACCGAGGAAACACAATCAAAGCCTACAACGCTGGAAACCCAACCTAAAGAAACAGCCAGCACAGTCACTCCTTCCGCCCCAAAGCACACAGCACTCCCCAAACCTACACCAACGGAATCATTATCTCTTTTCGCTACAGAGGACTTCCACAACCATCTATGCCGTTGCGCAGACTGCTTCCCTTACTTGGTTCCCCACCCCCAGCTCCGCGAAGCAGAAGAGACATACGAGCCCCCAGTCTCTGAGGATGGCGACGCTGATGGTGCCGCCAGTGCTGGAACAGGCAGCATATACGATCGCGGCGAAGCAGCGCTCAATGGCGTGGACCGTGTCCGTGCTATCGAGGGTGCAATGGCGTACAACCACCTCCGCGACAACCTGAAGGCTTTCTTGAAGCCGTTCGCTGAAAGTGGACAAGCAGTCAGTGCGGAGGATATCAAGGGTATCTTCGAAAAGCTTCGTGGCGACGACCAAGGGATTCAAGATGCCGCCAATCAAGCCTCCGACAATACCAATGACAAGGATGGAAGCAATCCACATGAACAAAGTGGTATGCGATAACTTCTCACCGGGCTTAGAGAACCGACACTGATGACTTCTAGGATACTGATCCCCTATTTTTCTCTGTTGTTTGTATGTTTGTATGATTTCTATGGACGGTAATTGAGTGGACATGTACAACAGCTTAAGGTTAGGAGATGGGAAGGAATTTGGGAAATAAATTGGAACTGGCGTGTTGGTAATGAGACCATTTTTATGAAACGAAAATTTGATATTACTCTCTTGGGCACAAACAATACTTGCGTGCTCTAGGTAGTGCCGCAAGCCTTCTACCTACATGTGCTCATATGATTCATACCTTGCAATGCCCGAGGTCAATAACATCAATCAATCGACAATCTAACTATGAACTGGAATAATCTGGGTATCGGCCTTCAGAACGCAAAAATTGATCCAACCATGCACAAAATAACCGTCAAGGAAATCAAAAACAAAAAGTCATCACTCCTTAAGTCGTTTCGAAGCCCTCATCAACGAGTCATCTGGCAAACCACTCCGTTTTGTGCCCGGAAGACTCCCGGATCGAATATCATTGTCCTCCTGCGTGACGCGACGATGTGGGTATGGATCATCGATACCCTCAAAGCAATTGCCACTTATGGGTCCTCCGTTCGTGAAGTACGGATGTTCAAGAGCCTGCTCAGCAGTGATTCGTCTCGTAGGATCATAGTCCAGCATCCGCGACAAGAGATTGAAACCGTCTGCCCCGGGCGTACCCGCTACTGATGTCGATGAATATCCACCATTCTTCAAGCAGCTTTGATACCAGCCTTCCAAATTTGAGCCGCGATGGAAATGCGTAGGCTGTCGGTGCATCACCACAGACTGAAGCGAAGAGTACTCCGGCATGGAGGTCAACCCGGGCCAATTTTCCTTAGTGGGCATGCCCAGGATCTCAACGATTTTCATCATTTGGTTTCGCTGGAAAGGCACTGTTTTCTTGCTATCCATCTTCGCTTCTTCGCCTTTGAAGATCGGTCGAAGGGATAGGAGTTCGGCGAAGATGCAGCCTACGGCCCACATGTCGACAGCGGGTGTGTAGTGGCGGCTTCCCATGAGTAGTTCTGGTGCTCGGTACCAGATTGTGACGACGACCTTGTCGCCTGAGAAGAGAGAGTTGAGGGGTTTGTAGAAAAGACGCGCTAGACCCAGGTCCCCAATGCGGATTGCGCCACTTGAAGTGACGAGGATATTGGCTGGCTTCAGATCACGATGAAGAACCCAGTTCGTGTGCAGATAGAGAAGACCGTTCAAAAGCTGGAAGAGGATAGAACGCACCATTGGGGCTGGGATGGCGTGGCGCTGGGGCTGAGTGTGGTGATGAATGATTTGGAGAAGGTCGTGTTCCGTGTATTCGAAGACCATGAAGATGCATTTATCCTCGAGGATGATTTCTTCTAGCTGTACAACATTGGCATGAGAAAGCTCTGTGCATAGTGCCATTTCTCGGATGGCGGATTGCGATAGACCCGTGTATTGGATTGTCTCGCCTTCCTTGTCGGGCTTGAATCTGGACAAGGTCAGAAAGGCATCGACCATCGGCATGGAAGAAGAGGTTACTTTTTGATGGCGAATTCGCCTTTTTTGCCGTTTTTGCCAACGGCCTTGTAGACTCGACCATAGGTACCACTGCTGATAAAACCAACGATGTGATATCGATCTCGGACCCGAACCTTGCTGGTGTACCCGCCAGGTCTTCTCGAGTCAATCGCCTCTGCCATATCTTAGTTAGCACATGCACTGCACAAGAGAGAAAAAAAAGCCCATGATCAATAGAACAAAACGACATCCATGCGACCGAATTGTGAATGAACAGCCTCGACAACAGCACAGGGAAAAAGTTACCACGAGAATAAGACCCCACCGAATTGAGGAGGGGAAAACCTTTGCCAAACATGATAAGGACAAAAAGGTGTGAAGCTCAGACGGACTTGCAGAGGATCATATAATTACCATCGACAGTAGCCTGGAGACCCCGTTTCAAGTTCCCAACTCTGGTTCGTGAAAGGGAACCGGAAGAGGGCGGATTGGTCAGACTCATTGGGCGATTATTCCCATTGATAAAGCACCGGTTGTTTGAGCAATACGACAGTGTCTTGAAATTCTAATAGATGATTAAATTGCCCGAATGTCCGAGTGTCCTTCTCAGCCCAGGATGAGGCCCCGGGGGTCGAGTCAACAGCGCTTAGTCAGATCACGGGGCCCCTTCGATAGCTCCGATGCGACGGGGCTGTCATTTCGAAGTTGGTGTATCTGAGAGTGATTTTTAAGGAAACCCTGGACGGCTACCTGAATTTGACTCAGACCAGTATTAGATGCGACCGTGAGTGAAGTATCCGGGTCGGTATGTCCTTTGTTGCCCTTCATACTTGAACGGTACCTCTTATCTTAACTCCGCGGCTCAACGTCATCTCTCCCCGTGAACACTTTCGACATGACTATGCCAAACCAAAAAGTAACGGCTTACCTGGTCTATCTGGTGTTCATTGTAACGCTAGGCCCATTGCAATTTGGCTACCATCTGGTAGGACAGTCACTCCATTCGGCACTTGGCAAGTACTAACACCAAGAATAGGCAGAGCTCAATGCTCCCCAAGCAGTCATTACGTGCAAGAGCAAAGGTGTTCACTCCTCAGAAATCAATTTTCATGGTCTCCCACAATGTCTTCCGATGAGCCCATCCCAGTTTGGCCTTGTCTCCTCGATCTACACACTTGGTGGTTTGCTGGGAGCTCTGACGGCAGGGCCCATCGCAACAAGATACGGACGTCTGCTGGCACTACGAGCGACAACGGTGTTTTTCATCCTAGGGCCCGTGGCAGAGACGCTATCTCCCAACATACCCCTTCTCATTCTAGGTAGGTTCCTTTCAGGGATCGGATCTGGGGCTGCAATAGTCGTGGGTCCAATCTATGTTTCTGAAGTCGCTCCTCCCAATGCTCGCGGCTTCTTCGGTGCTTTTACACAGGTCATGACCAATGTGGGAATCCTGTTGTCCCAAACATTGGGATATTTCTGGAGCGATGCGAATCTCTGGCGATTGATCCTCGCTGTGGCGGGAGTGATTGGGGCCCTCGAGTTGGGAGGGCTGTTCTTGGTGCCCGAGAGTCCTTCGTGGCTTGCAGAACGTAATAAGCTCGGCCAGGCGCGTCGGGTGCTTCAGCGGATTCGTGGTCCAAATTTCGACATCGATGTAGAAGTTGCGAGCTGGAATGTCTCGGCCGCGTCTGGCGAGGAAGAATCTTTGCTCGCCCCGTCGGATGACAGCACGCCCAGCAAGCCCGCAGTCACCTTTATGCAAGTTGTTTTGGACTCTTATTACCGCCCGGCTCTCATTGCTGTGGTTGGAGTGATGGTCGCTCAGCAGTTCACCGGGATGAACAGCATTGTCATGTACAGCGTGTCTTTGCTACAGAGCATTCTTCCTACGACCGCTGCCCTGCTTACCGTGGCTATCTCAGTCATCAATCTCGTGATCACGCTATTGTGTTCCCCGCTCCCCGATCGCATCGGTCGGAAGACATGTCTCATGCTGAGCGTTAGTGGTATGGGCTGCAGCTCCATTCTTCTCGCGATCAGTATTTACACAAGCGGCAAAATTCTCACCGCATGTGCCGCTTTGCTGTTCGTGGCCAGCTTCGCGGTCGGGCTAGGACCTGTTCCTTTCATCCTTGCTTCGGAGCTCGTTGGACCCGAGGCCGTGGGTGCTGTACAAAGCTGGGCCTTGGGAGCCAATTGGGCGGCGACGTTTGTGGTCGCACAATTTTTCCCCATTCTCAATGATGCCCTTGGGGGTCGCGGCAAGGTTTACTGGGTGTTTGCGGGCATGGCCGGGCTCTTTGGTGGCTTCATCTACCGATACGTGCCAGAAACCAAAGGCAAAGTCAATGCCGAAGAAGTCTGGGGCAGAACCAATCGACGACAGGATTAGATCAGATCATGAAACCGCTTTCCGTTTCACTCCCCATCCACTCTGTCCATAGCCAAGGTCGTTCTCACCGGGCATATTGCGGTACTGCGGTACTGCGGGGTACTGCATATGGTTCGCATCCAGTTTTTGTGCAAAGACTGTGACGCATTGGAATAATCAAGTTGTAATTATTTAGCAAACACAACCTTGGAATAATCCAGAGATAGGCATCCATTTTCCCAAGTACTTGGCCCCATACCCTTGGACCCATAACTGGCGGTCTGTCCCCGCTTCCACCCTTTGAACACCTGGGCATTTCCGTTGAGCTTCTAACGCCAATCCCTTCTGAAAACAATTCGCTTATGTGCTCTGCTCTTTTACTGTTCTGCCGTTTCGATCATCTGCTACTCTAGTCCTGAATACGTTAAATCCTCTTGCATGGGAGATCGACCGGGACTGGATCGATCGACTCTGGGGTTTAGAAGCAGCCACACTGCGAGCCTGGGGCTCTGACCTCCCCAACACTTATTTTTTCTCGTATTTTCTAGGTGCTCTACTTGCTTCTTTCTTTCTCCCTCCCACAAACCACATCCGACATGGTCCGGCTAGCATTACCCTCCCGATTGAGCTCGCACCTCTCCGCGCGGAGCGCGTCGTCAACTCCCGGCCAGAGCCGAAGCACGAGTCCTATGAGATCATCAGAGACTAAACCATTGTTACTAAAGGTCTCAGTGATACGGGTAAGTCATGGCATTGTCAGGTTGATTGTGTTTCGAGAGCTCCTGCTGACCAATGTCATTGTTTTTGTTTAGGGTCGCAACCTCGCCGCCAAAGACCGCGGTGGCACAAGTGATCCAGTGAGCGCACCAACCGCTAAGAACCCTCTCGCCAAGATTGCTTATACATGAGACAGTATTTGGTGATTACATTGGGAGATGCAAGGCAGTCGACACCAACAATATTCAAGACCCTGAACCCCGAATGGAACGTCTCGTTCGACATGCCCATTGTGGGCGTACCGCTGTTGGAAGGAATATGCTGGGATCACGATCGGTTTGGTAAGGATTACCTGGGTGAATTCGACATTGCATTGGAGGACCTGTTCGCCGACGGGCAACTCAAACAAGAGGTGAATGCGTACGCTCGGTTAAATGGACTTGTACTGACAGAATCAGCCTAAATGGTACACTCTCAACTCAAAACGCAAATCTTCCAAGAAGAAGGACAGCACTGTGTCAGGCGAAATTCTACTGCAGTTCTCTCTCGCCGATTCTGCGAACCCCGCCGCCACGCCGGCCGACATCCATCGCAAGTTCAAGAGACTGGTCTACTGCGCAGACGATGAAGACCAGATACCCCCTGCCGAGCTTGACGACATCGATAGAGATGATGAGACATCTGATGAGGCGGACGATGCTATTGGACAGGAACCGGTAGAAAAGCGTCGCCGGCGACTTCGGTTGGCTCGTCTGAGGCGCAAGTCTCTGGCAGCACGTGCATACCAGTTCTCTGGATCGGGGACCGGAGTGCAAGGTATTGTCTTCATGGAGATAATTCGAGTGACCGATCTTCCTCCCGAGAAGAATGGTATGAATTTTGCTTTCGTTGCCTGCGAATGTTGTTGTTGATGAATCTACAGTGACGAGAACATCATTCGATATGGATCCTTTTGTCGTGACATCCTTGGGAAGGAAGACTTTGAGAACACCTGTAATCCGCCACAACCTGAACCCGATATATAACGAGAAGATGGTCTTCCAAGTGATGCGACACGAACAATCATACACCATCAGCTTCACTGTGATGGACCGCGACAAATTCTCTGGCAACGACTTTGTTGCCTCGGCCGGCTTTGCGCTACAGAACCTAGTCCAATCCGGCCCAGATGCAGACCCCGAGACTGGTCTTTACCACTTCGTGGAAGATCCTGGGCAAGTTGACCCTACCACCAGTGCCAAATTTGGCGCGCGTTCTGGAGTCAGCCCTGCTAGATCTGCCATCAGTCCTTCGCATTCATCATCTAGTCTTTCCAGAATGGCTCGGCCAATTTTGAGAACCCGCAACTCTGCAACGTCTGTTTCCAGCCAGTCAATCCCGGAAGCACCGGCTCCGACTCTGCTCACACCCTCTTCTCTCCCATCTTCTCTCCCAGAGGAGCTGGACAGCTCTAGTACTTTACAAGTTCCCCCGACCTCCAACATGTATGACGGAGACTCCGCGCCACCACCCGATGAGCATGGCTTCAGAGCTTTCGAGATTCCTCTGATTCTAAAGAATCGAGAGCGGTGGGAAGATAAGCACTCACCGGTGCTGCTCGTCAAGGCCAAATATCTACCATATAGCGCTCTGAGACAGCAGTTCTGGAGACTAATGCTCAAGCAATACGATGCAGATGAAAGCGGTCGCATTGACAAGGTTGAGATGACAACGATGCTGGATACACTAGGTTCCACGTTAAAGGAATCGACAATTGACAGCTTCTTTGAACGCTTTAGCGCAGAAAATGAAGCCAACGATACGGAGGATCTTTCCTTCGACCAGGCAGTCATCTGTCTCGAGGATACACTCCAGACTTTACAGAAGAGAAACTCTATGGCCGGTTCTAGGGTTCCTCCCCTTCCTCCCTTGTCAACTTCTGGAAGCCAAGGAAGTGAGGCATCCAGCAGCGACGAGCAAACATCAGAAATCAACGCTGCTGCAGCGACAAATACTGACCCTCAAAGAACACAAATTCCAACTATCCCAAGTGAAGATCAAAGCTCGACAGACGAGTATCTCCAGCCTGATGATCTTGCAGATGAAAGAGGCGAGGAACACGTGGTGGAAATTCGCGAGTGCCCTCTTTGCCATCAGCCACGTCTCGCAAAGCGCTCTGATGCGGATATTATCACGCACATTGCCACTTGTGCAAGTCGTGATTGGCGACAGGTTGATAACCTGGTCATGGGTGGTTTCGTGACATCCAGCCAAGCCCAGCGGAAGTGGTACTCTAAAGTCATCACGAAGATCTCATACGGCGGTTACAAGCTCGGAGCCAACTCAGCCAACATTCTTGTTCAAGATCGCATCACGGGTCAGATCAACGAGGAGCGTATGAGTGTTTATGTGCGACTTGGAATTCGACTGCTATACAAGGGTATCAAGAGTCGAGACATGGAAAAGAAGCGGAGTATGTTAATATTATATCTGGTGCCTGACCCTACAGCACATTGCTAACCTTTTTCACTCTCACTAGTTCGCCGTGTGCTCCGTTCTCTCAGTGTCAAGCAGGGTCGTAAATATGATGATCCAGCCTCTGCATCTCAGATCCAGGACTTCATCAATTTCCACCAGCTGGACATGTCTGAAGTCTTGATGCCCTTGGAAAAGTTCCGCAACTTTAACGAGTTCTTCTATCGTGCTTTAAAGCCTGATGCCCGTCCATGCTCTGGTCCCAATGAGCCGAAGATCGTTGTGTCTCCTGCCGACTGTCGGTCCGTTGTCTTCGACCACATGAACGATGCAACTGGTATCTGGGTGAAGGGTCGTGAGTTCTCAATCGAAAGATTGTTGGGCGACGCCTACCCAGAGGATGCCGCTCGTTACCGAAATGGCGCTATGGGAGTATTCCGCCTCGCGCCTCAGGACTACCACCGCTTCCATATACCCGTGGACGGAATCATGGGCGAGCCTAAAACCATCGAGGGCGAGTATTACACGGTGAATCCCATGGCGATCCGATCTTCCTTGGATGTATACGGTGAGAATGTTCGCATTCTTGTCCCTATTGACTCCACTCAGCATGGTCGGGTCATGGTCGTTTGTGTTGGTGCCATGATGGTAGGCAGCACCGTTATCACCCGGAAAGCCGGGGAGAAGGTTTCACGAGCCGAAGAACTGGGCTACTTCAAATTCGGTGGTAGCACCCTTCTGGTCCTCTTCGAAGAGGGCATGGTCAACTTTGACAAGGACCTGGCTGATAACTCCAAGGGTCCTTTGGAAACTTTGGTAAGGCGGATACAAACCAACCGTGATTCGCAGATCGTGTACTAACACTTTATCCTTGTAGATTCGAGTCGGTATGTCTGTTGGACACAGTCCGGACATTCCCCAGCATGAGCCCGATATGCCCAAGAAGGCGGAGAACATCACTGCCGAGGACATGCAAGAAGCCAAGCGGCGCATCGAGGGTAGCCTGGCGCCTCCGAGCAATCCCTCCACCGTGCTCAAGACGATCGAATAATCTGTCACTGAAATATTTCCATTTGGGTTGGACAGGGCTCAACTCCCATCCGAAATTTCCACTGAACATATTGTTTTTCAACATCGGCGCCGGGAACCATTTGTACTCAAAACATCATAGCGTTTATCTAACAGCATTTGTGCATTGCGAGGAATAGGGAGCTGTAGAGGTGAGGGAAGTGAACTATAGAACTATACACAAAGCATTCTAGTCGCAAATCAATAGACATGTAGTGAGAAAATCGGTAGAGAAAGCTAGAAGCGAAGAGATGAAGAGTGAGATCGACGAAAAGAAAGCCGTTGAAGTATAGAAAGTCCCGAAACAGACTAGCGCGGTCCCCACGCGCCCGACCAAAACAACCGCGTGCGAGAATCCAACCCACTCACCGCACCCCCCTCAAGCCCGGCGCTCCCTTGCGTGTCTTTTTCGCGATTCTTTCAAGTCGCTTAAATTACTGTTCTACAGCTGCAGTTACGAATTGACGCGCGACCCGCGCCTAACATTCCGCCCGCGAGCCGACAGCCCCGACTGACACTTTCATTCCACACTCATATACATGACCTGAATCGATCAACACGCCATCTAGCCTGATAACTTTGTGTCACGCTGCTCCTGCTATACGGTACTTTCCAAGGGATCATTCCGAGTCGGGCATTTACGAGAACGCGACTCGCGCTTGTTCCACCAGGGAGCCTCTTCGAGCAGGGATAGTTAGCTGGGGAATTGGATCAAACGAGGCGAACAAGCAGCGCGGGATTCGGAGTGTTATTTTTGCCACTCCTGGGCTAAAGACCAACTGCAAGAACCCCGCGTGACGCCCCTCTTGACATGACAATCGCGGTCCTGGCGACCACCACGACCAAAACAAAGCGTCGCGAACCGCTGGGGACGATCACAATGGCCGCCCCGAAGACACAATCGCGCTCTGCGACGTCCGGCGGAACTGCAAAAAGCACCGCACGGCGCACGACGCGACTTAGCGCAAGTCAACAAGGCCTAGAGGAGATTACACATAAACGGAAGCCTGGTAAGTGACCGATTGCTGCGAGCGAAGCCGGAAAAATCTCTTGAGAAAACCGCTGATTTAGGTTCCTCATAGATTACGAGCAGGATGAGGACGGATTCCAATTCTCTCGAGTTCCGTCTAAGAAGTCTAGGCCATCAATTGAGGCAATTCCTGAAAATCCCGGATCCGACGTGGAAAATGCGCATAAGCCGACGCCGAAGAGAGGACGGCCGAAAAAGAAAACAGTCAACGATGCGGCTTCGAACTCAATCCCAGAGAATGGAACCCCCGTGGAACTGCCTACCAGGAGACCAACGAGGGGAAACGACAGACATACAGAACCGGAAGTAAAGGCGAAACCTGGCCGCCCACGAGCCCGCGGTAGCTCGGAGGGGTTGCCCGAAGCAAAGAAGTCGAGGAAAGGAAGGCCCCCAAAGACCAAAATAACTGAATCTAATGGATATAATTCGCCCGAGCAACCACCAGTGGGAACGAAGGTTGCTCTTCCCATGGCCGATACACCTGTGATACAGCGCAACAAGGAGTTGAGAGGTGGAAAAGGCGATAAAGGGAAGCGGCGAAGCAGTTTAAGCATGCGAGGGCGAAGAGCCAGTTCTTTGATTGACTCAGGGGCTTCGAATGGTGAGTTTTCGCACCTGAGATTGGTCACTGGACGTGAAGTGGCTGATACTGATTTCGTTTTAGCGTTGCCTCACCGAGAGGTTGGCACTGCAGATTTCTTCAAGCATATTGCCGATGACGGTCTTCCCGAGCCGCGGAGGATGCGCCAACTCTTGATCTGGTGTGCCACCCGTGCGATAGGGGATAAGCCAAAAGGAGGCTCAGACCCGGATGAACAAAGTGCACGCTTGGCGGGTAAGTAGAGAATGAAAGGTGATATGGTGAAACATGATCTGACATCTCCCAGCACGTCAAATCCAAGAAGAAATCCTCCGGGAATTCTCGAATAATCCAGATCTTTCGAATTGGTTCAGCCGCGAAGATCTCAACCCTCCAGCTGTGGTTGTGAAGAAACCGAACCCGCGAAACATACAGAACACGGACAAGATTAAGGAATTGGAAGAGCATATACAGAAGTAAGCGAGAGCTGAGGTGTTGTTTCAGGGTAAAGTACTGACCAAATCCAGACTACAAAAAGAGAGGCAGTCTCTTAATGCACTTCTGCGACAACCAGCAATTCCAAGCCTCAAACCAGATGCACAGCACGACCAACAAACGACGAAACCATCGCGTAAGCCACAACGCGATGAAGTCGACTCCTCCCTCCTCGACCCCTCCCAACAAACCATTCTCAACTCTCTCAACCCGCCCACTGAGCCCTCAGAAGGAGAGTCTTCTACATCTATCCGACCACCAATGACACCATCTGCCGTCTCAGGCCAATTATCAAGAATTACAGCCACTCTAGCACCAACACTGGATGCATTTGCAGCTGGAGTACATGACATCGAACTCTACCGCGCCTCCGCAGATACGGTTTCATCGCGAATACTCCGCATCTGCGCACAACGTCTCGAAGAGCGTGATGCTCAGAATACTCAACGCCGTCACGCAATCGAAGGCACGGAAGACTCGAGCCCGCCGCCAGTCAAGGAAGATCTGGGTCTTATCTTAGGCGCACTCAGTCGGGTGGAGAGAAGATAGAAAGCGTCCTTTTCCAGAATTGTATACCCACGATGATTTATCGTTTTCTTTCTTGTTTTTTTGAGCCCTGGACGTGATTTAATTAGCGATGAAAGGCCTTGTCCTTGTGGGCAGGGGATGCATTTACGGGGTCTGGCATTTGAATCGTTCAAGCTTGGTGTTTGGGGGTGAATTCAATCAATACCTGGTCGTGGACTTGGTGTTCGGTAGCGTAGTGCCTAATGCAAGATTTTTGATACATTCGGTCCTTTAAGTGAACTTTGAAAGAAGGAAGCAGCGGTGGCAGGGCACTCCCGCCCGACTTCTAGGCACATGGGTCGATTCAGCAGATCGCTAGGTAGAAGTAGGAAAATTGACAGAAAGGCTGAGATGAAGCCCTGGAGGATGCCCAGGTGGCCAAGAAGGCTCCAGGGCTAGCTCGAAAAAGTCCACTGGTTCCAAGGTTGGAAGAAAGGTTGCTCGATCTCTAATATCGGGGCTTCCAAGGTTTGTGTATGTAAAAGCAAGCCTTGGAAACAGAGACTGGTTACATGGACCATGGAAGCTTAAAAAGCTCGCGGGCAGAGAGCAACGAGGCAGCAATAGTAGAGGAAAGTCATGCTCTCCACTACATCCATGGACCAGGTGGCCTTGGAACACAACCTTGGAATCGAATCAAAAAAAAATCAATGTAAGAAACTCAATGGCAAGCCATATGACAGGGCGTAAATATCTGAATTTGGACGGTATATATAGCGAGCCAATACAAATGCAACGACAACGAGGACGAGAACAACACGACATGATTCACATTGCGCAGCGATTTTGTGTCCTTCAATGCCTCTGAATTTCCACTAATATGCACACCCGTGGACAGCATTGCAAAAAACGACTATGAAAAAGACAAACAAACAAGTAACTAGACACCAAGATCAGCTCCATCCATGGCAATTAACCACATAAGTACATGCAAGGGGCCACAATGATGTTGGTCATGACTCGTGAGAATCGTAGCTTCTTTATATCATGGATCTGACACGGCAAACAGAACGATGAACACAAAAGGGTTGTGATGACTACACCACCGAACAGACCTCGGGAACCTTGATAAGATACCAGCTTAAAAGCTGAAGAGTCCACTCCTCTTCTTGCCAAGAGGGTAGACCACCAAAGCAGCCAGAAAGAGGCCCACAGTGGTGCCAATCGCGACCTGAACCATGCCATATCCAATATCGAAGACAACGCCATAGCTTTGGTCCCTCGATTGATCCGCTGATCTGTTTTTGGCGGCATCGACAAACCCTTGCGTTCCATTGTTGACGACTGCGTATGGAGAACGTGTGATTTCTTCTGCAGAAGTTATACCCGAGATGAGGGAGCCACTTGCCGCGAGACCAGAAGGCACAAGAACAAATATTGCCGGGAGCATGGCCGCAGCAGCAAGTCCGTGTCGTAATCGGCTATAGCAGTTGCCCACGACACCAATGACAAAGGCACTTAGGGCATTGGAGACCTGGGTATTGGCGTAAAAGCGTTTGGCGCTCATGTAATTCACAACGTAGCCTGCCAGGGAGATGAACAACATGATTGGCATTTGTTTCCATTTGGCGCGATTGACGATGGCTAGACACACCGTGAACAAGATCACGAATGGAAATCGTTGAAGGTATTCGTTGCGGATAGGGCTGGCGGCACACGTGTACGCCGTTGTAGCCTGGGCGTCAAGGAGCCCATACACAGCGGTGCCGATGGTGATTCCAAATCCAAGGAATAGCGAGTATATGATGGCATAAACCATACGAACAGACCCGGCGATGATACTGCGTGACTGAAGCTCCAAACTAGCGCACAGAACCGTGTATCCAGGCAGAATCAGAGCGATTGAGGACTGGGCAAGTGCAGAGAAGCAGAAAAGAGGCTCTCCTTGAGATCTGATACTTCCAAACGCGCGGGCGAGAAAGGAGGTCAGAACTGCGGCGGAAATCTCAAAGACATTGGAGTACAAGCTCGATTTGGGCGACAGGATTAGCTGCAGTACTCCAAGGAGACACCCGAGCAAAAACGCGATAGGGATATCAATCGGTCGCGCGTTGAAGGCAAATGGTCCAACTGATGCGCTGGCACAGCCATGCGCAAAAATGAGGAAGAGAATGTGAAATTTGCTCGGCTTCCTCATTACCCCATCGAGTCGCGTCACCGCTTCCTCAACGCCAATAACGTCGTGAATCACCTCTTTGTAGATCTCATGAACATCGGCCAGCTTTCCGAGGTCGATGCCTTGACTGGAGCGAACAACCTTTACCTCTGTGGTGTGCGTAGATGCGTCATCGAAGGAAATTATCATGCAGCCAGGTATGTACAAAAATTGGCCGTCGATCTGTATGACCCGCGCAGTCATGCGCATGTACTCTTCCAGTCGATGCGTTGGAGCTCCGTACTTCATCAAGGCCCGACAGAGTCGGATCAAATACCGCTGGCGACACAGAAGTTCCGCAATATGAACGGTGATATAGATTTCGTCTTCGTACTGAGCTTTGCTGCGAGAGCCCCCGCCAATGCTTGGAATGGCGGCACCACTGCTGTGTGACCGAGTGAGCATGGCCAATGGAGAGCCAGAGTTGTGTTGAGACCCGGCCAAAGAAATACTGGACCGAGTAGAGGACTTGTCGTACCATCTCCTGTTCGGCTTCCAAATTGAGTCAGGAGAAAGCCCACGGCCACTCCACTCAGAGATGCTCCCATGTCGAGTGCGTCCATTTCGTCCTCGGTCTTGCGCACGACTTTGAAAGACATCATGAGGAGCGGTATGATTGGGCTTGTCATATAGCTTGAGGATGGACGAGAGAACGCCTCCGCGATAATGCGAAGGCCGCTCAGCGGATTCGTATGAGTCCCTATCCTCACATGGTGTGATGTGACCGGAGTCTAAGCCCGAGGAGGGAGGACGAAGGCGGCTCAGAAAGTTCAGGTCGCGAGGGGACATTTGATGGTCTAAAGATTGGGCTTGAGGGGAGTGCGGTGTTGATCGCCCGTCTAAGATGTCCGCTTCATATTCATCAAGTGAGTCTTCGAAAGGTTGTTGTGTTTTGGGAAAGCTGTTCACTGGAAATTTATCCCCATCTCCTGTCGGATTTGGCTCTTTGGCGTGCGTAATATCAATTGATGACGTTAAGGAACTTGACTTCGGAGATTTTTGGGTGCACTTGAGAAGGGATGCAAATCCGTGGGCCCTTTCATGTGCAAAGCAGATGGCTCGCCCCTTGTCATTTGTATGCTGGGCCCCACGCTCCCCTCCAGCGTCCGGAAAGCTGGGTCTGGTGTTGATCGTCAGGTTGGTGACATCCACTGATGCGCTAGTGGGCTCGCCATTCGGTAGGGGCGCCACTCGGGAGCTTGGGGACGTCTTTTCCTGGATACCTGGAATGTTGACTGTGGGAGGTGGTCTTCCCAGTAGCTCCCCCTTCCATCCAACCGGGATTCAACCACGGACCCGCCAGTGGACTCTCTCAGGTTGGATTCGTAGGCAAATTGAACATGATTCGTGCTTTTCAGAATGCTTGCATTCCGACGCTTGCCCTGTGCACCTTCGCAGCTCAGTCTCCGCTTCCGAGACATTGACTGTTTCTGAGAGATATCACAAGGTCGTGGCTTTAATGATAAGGGCTCTGATATGTTTGAAGACCCTTCCGTATTAGGTGCTTGAGGGCGGGAGGTCGGAAGGTCAAAATAGCCCCCCCGCCATTTCGGTGTAATCTTCACCCAACAGGACTTCTGCTACTTGATAATCTAGAGCCCACAGACCACTTTAGTGACCGAGCTCAACGGAACACTCGGAGAGTGTGGTTCATGTGGTAAACTGTAACCCAGCAACTGTCAGCTATGTGAACCAAGATGGAAGGCACTTCTGAAGAACCACAAGATCGACAGCTAAATAACTTGTAAGTCAATATCTCTTGACCAGAGATCAGTCAAGGTGAAAGAGTAACCAGAAAGAGAGATGCAAATACGACCAAGAATAGAGGAGGCAAACATACACCACACACCACAGCTCTTGGGCTGGTTGGAATGAAGCACAGCTCGGGGGATGTGCTGCTGAAATTTGAACTATGTCAGGAGTGTGTACAATGAAAACCACTGTAAATTATATCGGAAAATAAGTACATCTGCAACCTCGGGGGAAGGGACAGGAGGGAGAACACCCAGGCGAGGCAAGGCAGTCCGAAATAAACACTATAAAAAAGCTTGGATGTAGGAGCTCCTTTCACTACGAAGGCACCTGTAGCTAGGCACAGGGATAAAATAGGACTTCAACCCTCTGGGGAGCACACGGGTCATATCAAAAAAAGAACCAGGAGCCCAATAGAACTGGTTATGGGCGATTTCCTCATGGCGATGACCGTGTAGCCGCACAGTGGCTACATCTGTGCCAAGTGTTGGCAAACTTTTTTGCCACGGTCATCAATCAGATGCAAAGTGGTGGAGAAGGATAAGATGATGAATTGAGGTATGTCAGGACACTAGCGTTTGGAATGGTTCAAAGTAGTTAAGATACGTGGATACCGATATCGCGGGAGATTGGCAGTCGGCAGCATGAGATCCAGTTCTCTTCACCAGAAAGAGTACTGATTTACAACACACCCAACCTTCTCAATCGTATATTGTCCACGTCTCCTGCCGGATCTCGACCGTATGCCGAGCAGAAAGACACCCAACGGGGGGAAACGGAGGGACCGAGCTCATTGTGGGAGAGACCAGGGGTTCCACAAGCCCATGAGGTACCACAATGCCGCAGAGTCAAATATCATTCATGGCCACATCGAGATGAGGGAATTGGTATCAAATACGTGGCTTGGGAGAGATCTTCGCGATCGGAGGTTGTAGTAGATCAGTGGAGCAATCTTTTTTAGCGTAATGTGGTTTCAAATCTTGACTCGGAAGTGAATTGGCTAGTATAGTACGGAGTACTCCGTATAGTTCCCCCCTCTGTCCTTCCAAGACTTTCCAAGGTTCGTAGCTTGCACGCCTCCATTTGAATTGTGATATCAAATTAGCCTATCCCATCCCTTGTATGTCTAAGAATCATGGAAAATCATCCGACAGGCGAAACATGTCCGTCATGCATGCAAGATACCTGCAAGATACCTCCTTATCACCAGTTCCTGGTTGACTTCACTAGTCGAATTAAGATACCAATCGATTTTTTATCCACCTGCATACTGTGAGTCCACGCAAACCAACGCTTACGACGCGAGGCTCGAAGATACCTATCACACCTTCGGAAGCTATCCTATCACCGAAATTGCTGTCCTCTCCCTTCCGTCCGGAAATTCTCCTCCAGGGGCAGGCTGGTTAAAAAAACAAAAAAAATATGAATCAATATCTTGCAAGCTTTCAAAAATATCGAGACTCGGAGGGGTTGCCGGAGGTCTCTAGTCTGTCGCGGCTTCGTACATGCTAGTACCACATCATGATGATCATTGAAAAGGTCGCACCAATATCCGGGGAAGTTGCTTGCTCACTTGCACCGATTATACCAGTCACTGTATGGGCTCAAATCTTTTCTCAACCAGGGCAGGGTGTAACCGCAACACATGCACTCCTGAGTGGGCTTGAAGCATCCCCTTTCATTCAGTCAGTATCTCAACTATGATCAATCAGCTCGTCATCGTATCACCCATACCTGTAAAAATCTTGCATAGGAAATCTAGACTTTTAATCCCACCCCATCAAAAATCTAGATTGAATATCTCAAGCTTTTTAGCTTGCTGGTGTGGCTGCTGACTGCTTTTGAGTCCTGGCTTGAGTCAGCCGCCAGGGGCAGATAAGTTCATTTCTCTGATGTGGCGGCCAGACAGAGCCTCTCACCAGGCGACCTAAAAATGGCGCCTGAATAAGTTTGGGCCTACACAGGTTGGGCTCGACCTGATTATCCCGACGTTCCCGACGTCTCTCGACATGACCTTTCATACATTCCTATTTTGAAGCTAAACCCGAAATTTTACCTCATCTTGTACGCTATAGACTGTACCCATCCAGGAGACATGCATTATATCTGCCTCCATCTACCTTTGCATGCAACAATGCGACCGGGCAGCCATCCGTCCCACCCCCTCTGCCTTCATCATCAGTCACACAGCTCTCTCCCCCGACCAGCCGTACCGAATATAGTTGTGTGACCTGCACAGACGCAAGGGCCTATATCTTGGCTTGGACTGAAGAGTTGACATTCGTACTGTCCTGGATGCATATGTCTTGGATTTCCAGCTCTTCGATCCTCGGGTACATGCGCATGCATGTCAGGCGATCATAACCACAAGGCTGGCACGTATTCCCGATGTGAGTTATGGGACTTTGATCATTTTTAACGGGATTGCGAAAGAGGGTTGTCGTCAGAATTCCATCAGGGCATGTGTTTCCATGTGTCTCCATACATGAAACATCCGAATCTTTCATCACATACTTCTCCAATGAAGTCTATTTTATTATCAAACACTTTAAGGTATGCCCGTATGAGTACATATATGGGCACTGTATTGATCTGTTCTGAGGTTCCAACAGTGTTCAAATTTAAGGTTTAAGGTAATGGGGGTACCATGGTTTCAACCTTGGAAGGTTTGTCATATCAACATTATTTCCCTGGGCCAACTCTCACTGACTACTACAAGCCTGGAAGCTGTACTGATGCGTGGCCAAGGGAGAAAAAGTGGCTTTTATGATGTCTTAAACTAAGAAATGAAGAGATATCATTGGAAAGTCTCCACAACCTTGAAAATACATGAAATTTATACAAGACTCTTGAAGGCAATGAACTGACCAAAACCCACTTCCAAGATTTGTGTTAGAGATATCTTGGACATCCATGAATGGTATTCCTGTCGTATATCATTATCTGTATGGGCCCATAGTAGTATTCACGAGTAGGCACTGAGGCGAATGGAACACCCTGAAGACTTCCGGTTTTGAGGGGTTAACCAAATCTATAGCCCTGGAGGTATCTATGAGACTTGAACAGCCCTTGATGCTCGAGTGAGTAGCGGCTTATGTGCTTCAATTGTCAAAGGCTATGGTCAACACAACCAAATACAAGATCAAGATATAACAAACATAGAATCAAACATTTGCCGAGATGATATGGAATGACCAGACTGATTCGACCATGAGCAGCCAGGAATGATGACCTGTACATAACCAGATGTACAGCAGAAGCCGAAAGAGAAGACAGGATGCAATGTGACCTCAAATACTGAGGTTGGTCCTTCTGCTCTTCGGTCCTGTGGTAAGGCTAAAGGAAACCGGCTCAGAACACATCAAGTCAGATGGAATAAAGTGAGGGAATGAAAGAGAAAATAAAAGATAAAGTCATTTCAGACCAATCGAGGTCCTTCATCACGAAAACCATGAGAGCTTAGCATGTGCCAGCAATGGAGCAATAATAAGTAAAAGAGTGGCAAAGAGTCAAGGCTCATAACAATCATTTAGCCAAAAGAGAAACAGATAAGAATAGAGGCCAACCCAATTGAGTGAGAAGGAGACTGAAACGGAAAAGCAAAAGTTCATACGTCGCTGTCACATGATGTTCGGTATTACATGAAAGGGGTCTTGCGCTTTTCAGCACTGGACAGCACCAGCATAGGCGTCTTGCGCCGCTCTGGTGCTTGGGCCACTGGCCCCTGGCCAGCAACAACAGCCGCCACCGAGGGCGAAGAGGTGCCACTGGCACTTGGCGAGGGAACGTAGTCCCCGCGAACATCCACGAACTTGGACCCAAAGTAGCCATCCTCGCTAGTTGGGGTAGCACTATGGAAGGGACTGTCGGGGGAGTTGCGATCCCGGCCGGACTTCTCCTTTCTCTCAGACCCTATAGCGCCATTGGCCACCGCCCGAAGACTTCCGAGACTTGGCTTACTGGAAAGACTGCCTCCACTGCGCACAGTAGCATCATCGCCATCGGAAAAAGTGAACTCCTTTTCGCTTGCGGGAGTGTTGGTACCTCCGCTGCTATGATATCCAAAGCTGCGCGTATCACCACGGCGTTCGATCCCAGCACGTAATAAATTATGAACAGCTCGGCGTCGCTGACGGGTCGCGAAGTTCTTGCTGCCCTCGTGCTTCGATGTTGGCTTGGCCACAAGATCCTCGAGTGAAGGAGGTCCACGAGGCTGGCGCATTGGGTGCTCGCCAGCACGGCCTTGACCGGGTCCAAATGTTCCAGTGGCCGGAGTTGGGGGAAGAGCAGCGGACCGAGGGCCGGAACCGATGTTCGCCTTGGAAGTATCGATGTTCGTCTTGATTCCAGGGTTGAACGAAGGGTTCTTGCGGTGACTTCTGCGAAGAGCATTGACGGCTGATTCATGAGGAGGAGATGGGCTACCAGCAGGGGGAGCCGACTGTGGGAACTGCATGGGAGACTGCTCAGAATCTGCGGGGGGAGAAATTTCGGCGCGGAATTGTGGCACCTGGTGGCCGTAATGGGTCTGAACATCATGGGGAGACTGGTGGGAATAATCCTCCTGGGAGTTGTTGTCCATGATAAAGCTTTGCTGGCCGGTTAGAGGATTGAATACACAATACATTCCAGGCTGGCCAGGAACAGCCTGCACGATGGGTTGAACGCCCTGCTGAAGTTGTTGTTGATAGAAACCCAAATTGGCATTGGACATTTGGGGAAGATTCTGCTGCTGTTGCTGAAGTGACAATCCCAGATTGAGGTTCTGGAATTGTTGAGCTGCAGCGGTGACGCTGATGAGTTGCTGCTGCAAGCGCTGTTGCTGCGCAGCCAGAAACAAATTGGTTGACATCAACTCCGCATACATGCTCTCATCAGGAATTTCCCCACCAGTCATTTCGAGCATTGGTGGTGCTAGTACCTGCTCCGGCATGGTATAAGCCACGCGGTTGTTGTGCGAACTTTGGTGGGAGTGTTGACGTGGATTGTGATGCGGGTGTGAGTGCGAGTTCATTTTCTGAGTTGGCGCGTAAGCCTGCTGTGGGAATCCAGTTCCAGTCGCAGTTTGTGGAACTCGATCTGATCCTCGATTGGGAAAACCAGGGAAGCGTGAATCTTCCATGCCGCTTCGCTGTTGATGGTGAGAAGGAATCGTCGCAGACTTGGGAGCAGTTCGCAGTCCAGCCAAGAGGTGAGAGCGACTGGTGCGCGGTGTCGAGACTGAAGCCGATGTCTGAGACTCATCGATGGTGGCAACCTGGGGAGGCACACTCAGCCGCTTGATGTGAGAGCCTTTGCCGCGTGAAGCAAAGCCAGACCCGGGCACTCCCAGGGAGCCGCCATTATTGAAAGAAGAATTGTAAGTCATTTGAGTAAGACCGCCAGTGTCCATACTCGTGTTCGTTTGTGGAGGGTTGTAGTTATATGCAGCAGAATGCAAGTTGGGCCAGTCGCGTGCGTCTTTTGACGTCCGGGTGAGGATGTGAGAGTTTGGGGTCAACCACAAAACCGAGCTCACTTCCTGGCAATTAATGGATTATGATGTTTATGCAAGAACGGGCGGAGAAAAGAGTCTGCAAAGTCGAGATTCAAGAACCGGACGCGAAAACTTGGGTAGAGCCGGGGTTTCTGTGTGAAGGCTTCTGGTCAGTATAGCACGATAGCTGAGATCAACGACGCGTACCGATCACAGGTGAAGATATGCAAAAAGAGCGAACGAGTGGCTAGCAATGTAAAAAACCGAAGCCTGAAATGACCAAGCTGTACAATCACTGTTTTGGTCGGAACGTCGGAAGACACGGGTCTCCAAGTCGAGCACGAGAGAATTGGCGTCGGTAGTGAGGACAATTAAGAGAGTATTGTGGATAATAAAGTCGCGCGTAAAGCAAGACCAACGGAAGGTGAAATTCGGGGGAATGCTCTGCAAATCCCGGCCGAATAGAAAAGAGAGTCGTTTGACGCGAAGTCTAGGATCGAAGAGTTGAGGCTGAATAATCGAAAGTCACAGCAAAAGAGGTATGGCCAATCCAAGCTCAATAAACCAGAATAGAGAACCTGGTGAAGGTCATGCAGAATCGAAGGGAATTCGGGAATTCGGGTCTCGGCCCAAGGCGTTTTTTTCCCTCAGGGGCAAAAGTAATAGGGAAGACTATGTGCTAATGCCTTTTTTTTTTTCACCCGAACGAGAAGAGCTGCAGAGAAAGAAGGAATGCAGAGGGGGGAAAGAAAGAACGAAGCGAAGATTAGATGGGTTGAGAGAAGAGGAAGAGATGATTATTGAGGATGGTGATGTGGGGATCCAGCGCCTCAGGCAGGCAGGTCCCAAAAAGGTACTAGCGTGTCAAGGCACAATGGCTTTCAGCTTTCCGACTTCTTCCTGGTACTTTTCACTTTGATTGTTTGGACTCGATTGATGTTCTTCTTTTTGTGATCATTTCCCTCAACCCCTCTGTTGTCCCATTCTGGGTCTGCCTGATCTGCCTAATCGATTTAACGAGGGCGCCTGTTGAGAGGATCTGACTGGCTCGCCCTGTGAACCAATAAGCAGGACATTCAAGCGTGAAATGATCCCCCATCACATCCTCTCTCGAATCATTGGCTGTTGGTCACTAGCGGCGCGACGTGGCCGCCGTCTGCGCCTGACAACGCCCCTGGAGCCGCTCGCTGCTGATGCCAAGCTGCCCACACCAGCCAATGATTTTGCCCGGACTTGCCTGGATCCTAGATCATTACTCAAATAGAGGAAAGCTGAATTGTTCATTCTTGTTTTGTCTTATTCAGTATCCAAATAGTATTTTGTCTGTACCCATTCAGGATCGCACAGACCATGGAACCGTTCAGCCCGATCGCGGTCCGTGTCGAATTATGATGGCCGCTGAGGGTCTACACTGACACTAGCGTGATTATGATCTACGATGGGCCAAGAACATCCAAAGTGCTGACTCCATATGAACTGGAAGTCACTACATGACCGGTGTGACTACTGTATGAATTATTACACAATATTCTGTGCGTGTCAATCTCACATACCAAATCTCCGACCGGAACAAGCCATATATGCAAGACTCGATATTCTGTACTCCGTACAGGCCTAGGCTAACGTTCGACAAACCGTGTGAAGCCACCCAAGCCACAGGTAGCCGTTGCTTTCAATTGTACTGTGCACAGAGCAGGAAAACACGGGAGACAAGAGCGCCAAGAAGATATGAGAATACACGAAGAAAGGAAAGTAGGGGAAAAAAAAGAAAATGAAATGAATGCGGCAATAATAGACATGTGGGGTATCTGCTGGCGTACACAATGCCAGAGGAGAGAAAAAGTCAATGAGTCGTTAGAACTAATCAAACAGGTGCAACCCCAGAAGACTTAGACATCCACGGGCACACTAGGTCCAGGGAGGGTAGCCGCATCGTTCTGGGATGGTAGCTGGCGATGACCAAGTTCAGGCGTGGTGCCCTTTCCATTCATTCGGTCAAACTCCAGGGTTTCGGCCAGCTCAGCAGCCATAGGATCTAGGTCCTCTTCCTTGAGTCCGGTTGCCAAAGCCACTAGCTTACGATGCACATCGAACTTGGTGCTCACACCCGCGTCAGCGGTTTGTTGAGCCAGGTCTTTGACGGCTTTGTGGCGTATCTTTTGTGCAGAAGTAAGCTCCCGTGCAAGTTGGTACCGTGCAATCAACTGGTCTTGCTCGAGGGAAGCAGGTGTGGGCTTGGGTGTCTCGGTGACTGCGAGCTGTTGCGCCAAGCGACTGTATTGAACCTGCTCAAGCAGTGACTCGTAGCTGGCACGTAATTTCTCATACCTGCTGAGTTGGTCACCAGTTCGTTCATGCTCCGCATCCTTGGCCACCAAGATAGAAAGTTGATTCTTGATCTTTTGGCGATCTGACTCAAGTTGCTCGTGGAGTGCTTCCGGGTTGGCGACATCGGTGGAATCTTGTTGGTTGTCCTTAGAATTACCGTAAGTTACGGCAAGTTTCTTGTTTGCTTCAGCCATAATCGTGCCGATCTTCGTAAGAAGCTCCGTTGTTGCAGGCGCATCGGGAACCGGAGCAACGGAGTGTTGACTCGCAGCCCCAAGGCCACCGACATCAACATCCATGTTCTCGTTAGCCATAGTGACTGAAGATGGAGGTGGCGGGATTTCATGATCCGGGTGGTGGGAACGCTGTAAGATGCCAGCAGCGGTTTCGCCTTTGCTGTTCACAAGATCACCGGCTCGGTGGCAATGAACAAGCAGGATATTGACTAAACGGAATGCACCGTTTCGAGCCGCAACAAGAGCGGCAGTATCTCCATTCTGGTCTTGGCATGACAGCAAGATGGCTACTTCATCTTGGGAGCAGGTCTTGCATAATTTATCGAGGAGAATTTCGCAATAATACCGCGAGCTTTTCCACTTTCCCTTGCTTCGAGTATTTTCTGCGATATGATGGAAGATTGTGGCACCGAACCAATCTCGAAAAGAGACGGTATCTAAGAGCATGTCCAGTAGTGTCGGAAACGTTCTCTTTTCGTAATTGTTGGTGAACAGAACGGCGCGAACAAGCGGAGTCTCCTCATGCTCTGACAGAGCTTTGACATTGGCTCCTTTGCTGATGAGGCTGTGAACGATACCCAGATCACCCATTGCACAAGCCCAATGAAGCGCGGTGTTGCCGGACTCATCAATGGCTCGATCGACTTGGAATTGGGCAGGAGGAACAGGTGGTGATATCCGTGTTGCCTCTGGAGCATCTCCCACGGTCATGAAGTAGTCGAGAAGTTGGTCGCCATAAATTATGTGTTCCTGCTCAGCAATTGACATAGCAGTTGTCTCGTCCACTCCACGCTTTCGCTTCCGGCCACCGTGCGACATCTGGAGCATATCTTCGTCGGCGACCATTGACGATGAGTCGATCGTATTGTGTCCAATGGATTCGTTGTCGTCAAATCCTCCGTTCATATCATAATGATCTTGGGGAATTGTTGGAGGCCCCATACTGCGTGGAGGTTGGACAACCTTGAGACTCTCCGCGGCCGCCGCTGCTGCGACGGCGGCGGCGGCACGGTTGGCAGCGGCGGATTTTCTTGGGGCTCGGGGCTTGGACGCAGCCGAAGTATGCTTTGGCGCTGGCGGTGGACTGCGGCCTCCGGCGACGTAATCAAAGATTCCAATTAGTTTTGGGAGGATGTTATTGCGCTCGGCAAGTAACCGACCCTCCGGAAGGGGGATCCATGTTCCTATAGAACACCACAAATCAGCGACCTGTTTCGAACTTGGACATTTCAAAAATGGTTGCAAGAATTACCTTGGTATTTGCCATAACCACCTTGAACTTTCTCGTGTACGCCCCTTTGAACTTCGCGTTCGAGAATCCGAGTTCGCGCAGGTTTATCAAACCCCGCTGCTTTGAGAATGTGTGTTGCGTTCACCCAGTCGTCTTCTCGTCGTCTCATCACACTATCGCCGTCGATTTTGAGCTCGTAAACCGGATGCTGAGACGAATGTCAGTTACCATGAGGTCTGAAATGTGCGAGAAATATTTCCAAGCGGGGGAGCTCAGCATATTCAATCGTCGTAGACTCACGCTACTGTAGGTGGCAGAGTAGATATTCTCCATCCCGGCCATGATGTGCGTGTCCGTGACCGCCGCGATTGAGCAGGTTGCCGAGGGATTATGATAGGGCGCACGTTGTCACGCGAGAAGTCACCCCTTGAGGACCCAAAGACTTTACTGAAATAGTTCAGAATCAACGCATTTGATGCAGTAAGAATGCGAAGCACGAATGCAAAGACTTGGAATCGGTGGAGCTTGAGTAGCCTCAGGATACGCGCTGCAGACGCGTAAAGTGGAAAAAGTACACTAGTCCCATTTCGGTGGTTGTGATCACGTGTGCGGTTTCAGGTCATGTGACTGATATCGGTCATTGCAGGAACCTCACGATCGGTAATGGTCAACGTCGCGCCCGCCTCTTTTCCCCCGCTCCTTGTCTCTCCGCCCCTCAAAATTCACCAAAATGACTGTCATTGAGTCGGTCAAGAGCGCCGTGGGCCTCTCGGAGAACTCCGGTATGAAACCGAAGCCATTGATCAGCAATCAAAAGCCCAGCCAGGAGACTAACCAAATTCCAGCAACTCGCCAAGAGATGTCCGAAGCTCGCCTTCCTATGCAGTACAGAGACTCATGCGCACACTTGCTGATCCCGTTGAACCGATGCCGGCAAGCAGAGTACTACCTTCCTTGGAAGTGTGAGGTATGGAATCCCTCGTTTTGGAAGCTGCGGTAGAAACCGTTTTGATTGAATTGCCGTTGGGAACCTATTGAAAGAATCACTGGCTAACTCGATTGCCTCGCTTACGCACAGGACGAACGACACTCGTACGAGAAATGCCAGTACGTCGAATTCAAGAAGCGTGTGGCTAAGATGGACGAGCTGCGTGCTGCCAAGGATGGGGCTCGGAGCAACTAAATTGTCAAATTCTCGAAACTTGCGATCGGTGCTGCTGAAGGAGTGGCAGGAAATGTAAATAAGAGATACACCGAAACTGCTTATGGATTGCCTTTTGGCGTTGGGACTCTTTCAAGTGGAACCCGACCAGTTGATTCCCTCACGTCTAACACACCACTTGTTTGACGGGAATTGATAGATCAACACTAAATGCCACGCGCGTGTAGCGTACACTGCAGCGAAATCTTCATTGGCATTGCAATGGATCGCATACACTGTGTGTGTGGACCGTATAGTTCATTTTGAGCTTTGTTTTCCCGGACGAAGAACCTATTTCCAGTCTTTTTTTGCCTACTTATTGCAAACGGAGATACGCCACACTATGTTTCTTGCCGAAGTAGATATTGCGTAACAATTTGGACCCGTGGATGGCTTCTGAGCTAGATAGATCTACCCCCTAATGTACGACGGAGTGAGCTCATTGTCTTTCCAGCTTCGATGTACTCACTAGTCATGCAATGAACTGCCTTGTTTAGCCAGCCTATTTGATATGTGGATAAAAAATATCCCATGGGAGATAAATTCAAGATATGCAGTAATGATGGTAAACGATGGTAAAATGCTTACTAGGCAAGTGCAAGATTCTACTAGTCGTCAGCATAATTATTGTATAGCTATCACAGTAAGGTACAATGTATGCCTCACGTTTTGATATGTATTTCACTATTGGTCCAAAGTAGGTAGTTATGCTTTCAATCTCCTGGGAGGGACCATAGGAACCTTGGAAGTACCTTGGCAGTTTGATCTCTTCCGACCAGATACCCACACCATCTAATAGGTACCATAGATCTGCTTATATGGCTGTTTATTACCTGGGCAGTCTTTATGAATATTTCTTGCATTTAGATTGAAAATGGATGCCAAGTACGCTCTCGGAGTCATTCTAGCAGGAAGCAACCTTGGACTTCATCGCCATTCATGGAAGCGAACCTTGGAAGCAACATGCTCTAGAGGCTCAGAGATGTACATATGCCTAGCCTTTCCTAAGGTTGGCGTTCGTTCATTGGCACCGGAGACATTTCGAGTGGCGGGGGCTAGCCTGGCTGGATGTCTCCGAGACCACCATCTCACTATATAATCACCAAAGGTTTGATACCAACACGTTTTTTTCTTTCTTCTTTCTTCAACACTGAAAAGCCGGAAAACTTGATTCTCATTTCTCACTCAACTTTCTCACTCAAGGTTGATATTGTCGTCGTTTTCTCTCTCTGATCATCGATCAAACAACAAGAATTCACTGTCAAGACTTCTTGTAGCTTTTACCATGTCAGAGTTCACCGAAGCAAATCGCAAATACTTTGAGTAAGTTGCGCAAGAATGGAAGATATCCCCTGATGTACTGACAGTCCTACCTAACAGTAAGCTGGCCGCTTCTTACAAGGGCCGCTTTGCCGATGCCTCAAGGATGCTGGCATCACAGACCTTACAGCATCGTAGCTGGATCAGCGATCGGTGGACCGATACAAAATCTGGGAGTGGCAAGGAGATTAAAATGCTTGAATATGCGTGTGGTCCTGGGGTTGTATCTATGGTATGTGCTACTCCGTACCTTGAAAATCAGCCCAAACTGACCAAAGAAAAACCGTATAGAGTTTGGCCCCTTTCGTCACACAAATTGTTGGAATCGACGTATCCGATAATATGGTTGCAGAGTTCAACCGCAACGCTAGCTCTCTGGGGCTTGCAGACAAGGTAGTTGGCTACAAAGCAGATCTACTATCGGAGGATGCCCCGGTTCAAGATGTTGAATCTGCCTGCACCAATCTGGATGTGGTGACAGTAAGCATGGCGCTTCACCATTTTGAGCACCCTGATTTTGCTCTCAAGAGACTTGCAGGGCGCTTGAATCAGGGTGGTGTGTTTTATATCATCGATCTCGTGGCGCATTCCGATTCTCATGGTCACGGACACGAGGAACACGAGCATAACTTTGCCGAAGCAGCCCACACCATCAAAACGCACGGCTTCTCCCAAGTGGACATGCAAAGGCTATTTGAAGATGCCGGACTCACTGGCTTTGAGTACAAGGTGCTACCCGAACCTCTTACGTTCAACACCGATGAACGATCCTTTTCAAAGACGGTGTTTATTGCACGAGCCCAGCGTGTGTAGACAAATGTCTTAGATGCCTGCTGTGATATAGCACCGGATCCAATGCAATTTCTCTCAACTCAAAGGGTGTTGAATAGAACACAGGCAAACATTGACATACAAGTACGGAGTATAGTGTAGGGTGATGATACATTCCACCGCACTCTTGGAACACGATCTCTATTGGCCCATGCCCGCCAGTGGATCTCTATAAACTAGGTACATATCACGTCTTGAGTCGTTAGGTATGGGCTTTTTTATTTGTGTACCTTGTTGGTACTTTGGGTCCTATGCGCCCGGGCCTATCATAAGACATCCATAACGGTACTCCGTATGGTCCCCCGAAGACGCAAGTGCAGGACCTCATGTTGCCATCCTCTTTCTTGACTTCTCTATACTTCAAGATTCAGTAGAATCATTAGACAACACCTTTCATAACCAATTTCAAAAGTCTTCTAAATCTATATATCCTACATCGTAAATCCCAATGCAATGATTGGTAATCCCTTGTCCCACTCTGATTAATAATTCAATATCGCGGTCCGGTGCCGCTCTTATCGCCGGTCCCGCCGCAAAAAGGCCGGGGACCAAAAAACCCCTCCTCATGTGAGCTCAGAACTACAAAGAATCGATCAGAAGCGGACTCGGACTATGCGCAGGGCTCCATCCTCTTGATCAGAATTGGGGACTTCAGTATTTGACATCTTGCATCCTCAGTGGGGGCTCATCCAGACTTTTGACCCCATATCAGAGCTTCGCAAAGACTCCTTGGTTGCAACCTTTCGATCTCACCACAATGGGACTCCTGTATGTCATCCTCGCAAACATCGCTTGCGCAAGTCTAACTTCGATATATAGAGCCCTTGGGACGGCGTTGGAATGGCCAGACGCCAAGAAGAAGGCGAGCCAGGTGCGCGAGTGGGGTATCGAGGTATACAATCGGATCTGATCTTTGTCTCAAGGCCTCTGGTGTATCAGAAGTGCTGACTCGCGACGCCTTCAGCAATTACTTGCCAATTGGCGCAGAGCTCGTGGCAAAGAACGCGATGCGTTGCTTTGGGGCGACGAGGTATGCGCCCTTCGCTCCCACAACATCTCTCACTTCCCGCTCACATGTTGCTATACTATAGGTGGAATACCTCGTGGTTGCTCTAGACGATGCGGCAAAGAAATCTCGCCTATCTCTAGCTCAGGCCGACATCTTAAAATCACTAGCGCGAGACGAAGCATTGTGGAAATCCGGATCTGGAGAGGGGAATAAGCATGCAGGCCAGTGAGTTGAAGTGGACTGGAAGAATTACTAGCATGTCTGACCGCTAGCAGCGACGGAGAGGAACCACCTCACTTCCACCCCGAATTCGGCAGATTCATGCTTGAGGCGACTCCAGGAGAGCCGTGGGGAATCGGGTTCAAAGATCTATTGAAGGTGGAGTCTAATATGAAGTGGAGGTGAGTACCCTTGGACAACGCGCGAGTACTCTACCAAAGCATATTAACAGTCACCCAGACGTGAAGTGGCGAAAGCCCACATGGCTCCCAATGAAGTTCCCATTACCTTGACGACCTTCCCTCGCTTGGGAACCAAAGACGACTACATACAGCCATATTACCCTCCATCTGGACCCGCTCTTCGTTCTCAGTTCGTTCCTGATGAGATTGCCAACCCCCACATCCGATTCCCCACATTGGCAGCCAACATTCGATCAAGGAGAGGACGGAAAGTTGAATTGAATGTTCCTGTCTTCCACGACACAAACACTCCAAAGCCCTTCAAGGATCCTACTGTGAACTATGACCTCCACAACTGGCCTGAAGATGATGATGTCCGTAACGGCGCAGCCAAGGACGACCATGTTTACATGGACGCCATGGCGTTTGGAATGGGCAGTTGTTGTCTCCAAATCACATTCCAAGCAAAGAACATGACGGAGGGCAGGAAGCTTTACGATCAGTTGAGTCCTCTGGGTCCCATACTTCTGGCCCTCACCGCCGCTACACCCATATACAAGGGTTTCTTGGTGGACACGGATGTGCGATGGAACCAAATTGGAAATGCAGTGGATGATAGAACCCGGGAAGAGCTGGGCGAAGCTGTGAGTTCTCTCGCAGATCTTAGTGCCTGATCCATCGAGCTAACTTATCGCAGCCACTCGAGAATGACCGGTGGAGAATCCCTAAGTCTCGGTACGCCTCCAACTCGACCTACCTCTCTCAAGATCCTCGTCTCCGAAAAGAGTACTTTGATCCCGACCTAGTCGTCGACGAGGACATCAAGAAGCGCCTCATGGACGGGGGTATGGACGAATTACTAGCCACTCATTTTGCACACTTGTTCATCCGTGACCCATTGGTGATCTTCTCTGAAGACCTTGAGGAGCTAGATCTCAACAAGAGTGACCACTTCGAGAATTTACAATCTACTAATTGGCAGCACATGCGTTTCAAGCCGCCTCCCCCTGACAAGGACGACATTGGCTGGAGGGTCGAATTCCGCTCTATGGAAATCCAAATTACCGATTTCGAGAATGCGGCTTTCAGCATTTTCATCGTGCTGGTCACCCGTGCTATTCTAAGTTTCGATCTCAACTTCTACATTCCAATCCAACGCACCACAGAGAATATGGAAACGGCACACGCGCGCGACGCAGTGAACGATCGGAAATTCTGGTTCCGCAAGGACCCCTTCGCAAGCAGAGTTCCCCGGAGTTCGCAGCAATCGACCAACGGCAGCACCTTCTCGTCAGGCACATCATCCGCCGTCAACACTCCACCACCATCTCCCCCTCTAGGACCTGTCGAAACAGAGTTCGATCTCATGACTATCGACGACATCGTCAATGGATGTGCCGACGGATCGTTCCCGGGTCTGATTCCGCTTGTGGAGTCATATCTCAACAGTGTCAACGTAGACGTTGAGACAAGGTGTTTCTTGGCCAGCTATCTTGACCTGATCCGAAAGCGAGCCAACGGAACTTTATGGACCGGAGCTCGCTGGATGCGTGAGTTTGTGGCTAAGCACCCTAGCTACAAGCAGGACAGCGTTGTGTCTGAGGAAATCACGTACGACCTGGTCAAGGCTGTTGAGGAGATGACAATCAAGGAGGGCAAAAATGGATCGGTCGGGTGGGAGCTTCTTCGGGGCAGGAAGGTCTAGATCGTTCACATCTTAGAGATCCAGTGTGATCATATACAGCAAGATCATTCAATAATTTGCACATATTCACAACAGTCAGTGGCATTGTCACAGCATCTCATTTTTTCAGTCATTTGGCATTCGCGATCTTAACCTTTCACTTTGAAGGCTAGCTGCAGTTACTCCAAGAGCATCTCCTCCACAGTCGGCAGTCGGCATGAGTCGGCCAGCCCAGTCACCTTCCATTTCCCATCAATTTTGTGCAAAACGAAAAGCTCAACACCGACGTGGTCGACGATTCCATTGATTTTCGCCCGAAATGGCGCCCATACAGCAGCCAAGTTTCCAGCTTCGTGAACCTTCACTTCGGGGTCCCATATCCGCTCGTCGATGACATCTTTGATCGAAGCAACATGCTCAACAAATGAACCGAGGGTGCAGAACCGGAGGCCTGTTGGAGGCGGGGGCGAAAGGGACATCCCTCCGGCTCGCACGCAGTGTTTATCAAAATCGACACGAGACTTGGTGCTCAGTGCGGCGAGGAAACCTTGCGTGGCTGCAATTATCGCGGTTGTTTCTTCAGATTCAAGGGCTCCAGGTCCCTGGTAGCCATGGAGTGATGACCAGCACATTGCCGTTGCATTGAACTCGAGCTTCGAGTCTCCATTCAGGTGCTAGTTCTCGGCGCCTTCTCTTCGCTCTTATACATGTGCAGGTACCTACAGGGTCGCTACTTTTTTTTTTTTTTTTTAACTCCGTGACGGTCTCAAAGTACTGAACTGTTGGCGCGTTGCACTCCCAACCCTAATTTCATGAATCTTGCGGACTTGCAGTCGTACACAGGATGGTACAACATATCGGCCTGTCTAGATCTGGTCTTCAGATCCGATGTTCCCACTTTAAGCTTTGGTTAAGACAAGACTTGTGTAACTTGACGACCCGTGCATCTGGACATGCTTGTGGGCTCTCTCCCAGTGTGACACGGTATTTACTATTGACCTTCATACAAATCTTGACGATACCACGTCAAAGCCGAGGTTCTGAGGTCAACATGAGATGATGTCCTAGTCATATAACCAAAACATTCTCGGCAGTAAAAACCGGCTAATCTTCGGATGATTTTGTGCGGCTTGAGACCAAAGGAGATAATTGTCCGTTTAAGTTTGTTAGAAAGACTGACGAAACTAGATATCCCCGCGCTGACTGTCCCAAAAGAGGGTAGATCAACAAGGGTCAATCCACTTCCCCACACTACCATGTCACCATCCGAGACAATCCGGGCAGAATCCCGGCGAAATACCCCCGCGGGGATATCTCCACAGCTCCAATGCCGAAATCGCCATCGGAATCCTCAGAGATGTGCTCCGGTCGTGCGAATCAGGCACTATAAATACAGTTAAGAAGTGACCCGGGGCCACAATTGGGGATCGGTCATCGAGGAACTTGTCTCGCTCGCCATCATGCTTGGAATCGCGTCCAGCTTTCTGTTCTTGACAGCAGTACACGCTGTACCTACTGCTAAGTCTCCTACTGTCACAGTACGCAACGGAACTTATGCGGGGTCCCATGTTTCAACTTACGACCAAGACCTGTTCCTCGGCATTCCCTACGCTCAACAACCGGTAGGGAATCTACGGTTCACCGTACCGCAGTCTCTCAATACCAGCTGGGATGGTGTACGTGATGCAAAGGAGTACTCTGACATTTGCGTTGGATATGGAGTGAGTTCATCTTCAGTCTCGAAACTCCCATTCTAATGTGGGCCTAGACCGACTCAATCTGGTATCCCCAATCAGAAGCTTGTCTTACTCTGAACGTTATTCGAAGTTCGTCTGCCAAAAGCGATTCTAAGCTTCCGGTTGGCGTATGGATTCATGGAGGAGGTTTCTACCAAGGCTCTGGGGCCGATGAGCGTTACAACATGTCTGAGATTGTTGAAAACTCATACAAAATTGGTTGGTGTTGATTCCCAGATGTTCTCTCGATCCATTCTAATTGGTGGTTAGACAAACCATTCATCGCTGTTACACTGAACTACAGAGTTGCAGCTTGGGGATTCCTCAGCTCAAGTCAAGTCAGTGGCAGTGGCAACACCAATCTCGGACTAAGAGATCAAAGATTGGCCCTTCAATGGGTACAGGAGAACATTGCTGCCTTTGGCGGGGATCCCGAAAAGGTCACCATCTGGGGAGAGTCGGCCGGGGCCATGTCTGTGGGTGTTCATCTCACAGCATATGGTGGAAGGGATGACAAGCTGTTCCGAGCGGGTATCATGGAGTCTGGAGGATCCATTACCGCTCGGCCTGGGAATGACACTTCTTTCCAAGGTTACTACGATGACTTGGCCTCCAAAGTGGGCTGCTCCGACGTGATCGACTCCTTGCAGTGCCTTCGTGAAGTGCCCTTTGAGAAGCTTAACACTGCGCTTAACAGCACAGATGGCTCTTCTTACTACAGCTTTTGGCCAGTCGTCGATGGGGACCTGATCCGGAACTGGGCTAGTATCCAGCTTGACAGGCATGATTTTATCAAGGTTCCGATTATCGCCGGTACCAACACAGATGAAGGGACAGCATTCGGACCAAGAGGGATTAACACAACAGATCAATGGTACGAATATTTGACAGGTGTGTAACAATGGCCCGTTTGCGTCTGACTCAAAGTTTAACTTTTTCAATTCAGACGGGGGATTGAATTTCCAAACACCTCCTTCCATAGCCAAGCGGATCCTAGAACTCTACCCCGACGACCCATCACAAGGTATTCCAGAGAGCCTGGGAGATGAGCGCGTACCCTCAAATGGGCATCAATGGCGCCGCACCTCGGCTTTTTCAGGTGACTGGTCGATGCACGCCAATCGCCGCCGGCAGTGCGAAGCATGGGCCGAATCATCAACGCCGGCATACTGCTACCGATTCAACGTACACTCCGCAGACACACCCCTTCTTTCGGGTGCAACTCATTTTGAGGAGGTAGCGTTCGTGTTCCACAACATTGCCGGGCAAGGGTACCACTATGGTAAACCGTTTGCCGGTGTACCGCAGTCATACATTGACCTCAGTGTCATGATGGCGAGCATGTGGGCATCTTTCATTCATGACCTTGATCCAAACCCGGGTGTTGTGAACAAATATGTACCCTGGAATTCTTATTCCAATGGCAAGCCCGAGGATTTGCTATTCGATGCTAATATCACCAGCCAGATGGAGGCTGATACCTGGCGCAAAGATGGGATTGACTATATCAACTCGGTTGCGGGGGCATTTTGGCGGTAGAAGGTCCCTGAACGATGCCATTTGCGAGGTGTCTCTGCTTGTGTACCTTGGCATACCCTTATGTGAAGTCAGTGCCATCATCGTCGGAACAATCTTTTTCAATGTCAAATTGTAGCCTAGTCTCAAAGCGGTCGGAGTCTGCCAATAGACCACAGACTAAATGGGGCCTCAGGAACGGGGGTAGAGAGACAATGAAGAGGAACTTTCTAACATGCCCCAGTGACCTTAGATGCAGGAAAGAGCACTAGCAAAGAATAACCCCAGTGCATCAAACATGCTCAACAAAGAGTAATCCTTGTGCATATGCTAGTCAAACCCATCGAGTGACCGTATTAGGCAGGAACAGCACTGTCTGGGGCTTGCTAGGTCCTCTTTAGAGAGTGATTGGAAGTGTAGGTGAGAAACTACGTAAATCGTTTGGTAAAGCGGGTTGCTCCAAATGCATGATTGCTATGTACACCCTAGTTGTGCTGTATCAAAGTGGCTTCCACGAGACCGAACTAAATCTTTTGAGTTCAATGGTACAGATTGACTTTCAAATCCCTGCAATCGAGATTTCGAGTCCAATGATACGGTAACTTTGGAACGCTTCAAGTACGGAGGGTCAACTTGGGTTAGACATGTCAAAGTCTAAGCTTCTATAGCGGTGGTAAAGGTAACTGTTTGGGCACTGTATATGGGCCCATGAGTGGAGGCTCTCTCGGAGTTCAATGAAGTTGATACATGTTAGATTAACGTCGGGCCCGTTGGATCCGATATCACAGCCGAGTTATCTCCAGGAACTTCAAGCTGGAAGCTCTCGGAACCTCGGTTCCCCGAGATCAATCTGGGCGCTGAATCATCATGACGCGCATTGGTCGGAGCCGACCAGATCTAAATCGGGCTCAATCTATCTTTCGGTCTTGACTCCGTAGCCAGTTGAGACATGCGAGATATACGAGCTGTTTGAACCGCTGGCCCGAATTTTGGTTTGGAATGACGTACAATTTTTATAGAGATCAAACAAACTACCCGAGTACAGCGCAATTGTCATTGGTAGTCTGGTTTCCACAGCACACATGGCAATTATACCGAATGGAATGCCGAGCGGTGTTGGAACGATTTCTAAAATGGGAGGGGAATCAGAATCAAGTGGGTCAAAGATCGAGATTTTTTCGCAAGACGAGTGGATCGGCCTCAACACTTGTATTCTGGAACCATGGTACATCTTTCCGAGATACAAAGTACAATAAAATCTATCAGTCTACAAGTGTACTTCCCCCTTTTCATATTCATCAGCCTCATGGCCCATAACCCGAACCGCAGTGAGACATACCGATATGGATCCTCTCAGTGGGGGCACGGCTACAATATCCGCCCATACAATGCACTGACTGCTTGCCCTCGGGGTCTCGGTTTCCACTTTTCTGGCGCTTATCGCGCGGGCCAGCAAAGACAACGAGATGCTGGGACGAACTACCGATGCATCGGGCCCCACATTCAAAGAAACTATGAGCTCTGAACTCCGTCTTTCGTGCTTGGCTTACGTTCCTTCAAATTCACGAAATGGGTTAATACGGCACAGTCTGTGTACTCCGTAAGTACAAAACACAGATGCTGTAAATTGAAGGGGGGAAAAGCATGAACAGAAGTTGTGACGTGTCCGACGTCCACGACCCGGCTGAGAACATACTGACAAATCGATGTTTACTCCATATGCGACTGCTCATGTGCTTCAGCAGTCTACGGAGTGCGGTGAAGACACTACATAGAGTACACCGCCACAACCCGAGCAATGGCGCATGGCTGAGAGCCAATCTCAGATTGCAGATCGCAGGTGGGGGATGCGTGCATCGAGTAAGGATCTCCTGCAGTGCATCTCAGATCGGGATAGGGTCGAAATCCAGAATGCTGCGGGAGCTTACATGCAGGTGTGGTAAATTTCCAAATCTGACCTCTGTTCAAATCCCGAGCAAGTACTACAGTATAATTTACAGAATACGGAGCACGGAGTGTTCCGTTTTTGTATATCTCTAACTCGTACTCCGTACTCCGTACTCCGTTCTTAGGGGCTAACTGTACTCCGTACCATGCATCGTCCTGCATGCCATTCGGAAGATCTCGGCTCGATCTGGGGCTTCGGGCAGGCGCAGCTCGCTAGATCTCGGCAACATGCGATGAACGCGAATTATTGAAATCTTGTCAATTATTTTATGTGAATGTACATCTACAGAGTAGTAGATTTTGTGTGGGTTGGACTATATTCAATTTCAAATTTTTGTTCGATGCTATACAGGTGCAAGCTACGGAGTAACTCCGTACCGACACAAAGGATACTTTGAGCACTAAATTACTCCGTACTCCGTACTACCCACTCTAATATGCGCGGGAGAAAAGAAAAGAAAATACAACGTGGGAGCCTGAGACGAAAATGGAATAGCAAAATCAATAGCGTCCCAACAAGACGGTAATTTGAGACCCCACACAATTGGCCCACTCAGCTCAGATAGACTTTGCACCAGAAAAAGCATCGAAGATCGAATTTCGATTCGAGAGGACTCAAAGTGGAAAGACCCTCAGCCGCCGCTAAATTCTCGTCGGGCCGACCGAATTGTTGGAAACCTTGGAGGGAATCAGAGTAAGGTATAAGCGATTCATCTACCCCACGCACCCAATGATCGTGCGTGCGGGTAGACGATCTGTGGTTCGATCGTCTTTCCCAGCCAATAGTTTGGTTTACTCCGTCCAGTGAAGAAAATCATCACGGCCGGTTCGTAAACTAGTCACGTTATACAACCTTCGAAAATACCGAGTGCAGTGGACTTGGGATGTTTCGGATAGATCCGCTGTAGTTGGCCATGCAATGCTAGAGATATTAAAAAGGAATGCAATATGTACTGCAAGTACGTTTCTGTTTCACTAACCTCCGCTAGGTTCGCGCATATACTACCCAAGCAATAGTATATGCTACCTTATACTACAAACGGTTACATACCAAACTCAAAAATTTCCAGAACCAAAACTCTACGCTCCACTTCGGCCAGTGTCATTTACACCGATTCGGTTAGCGACCTTCCTGCCGAGAGAGAAGAGAGAGAGAGAGAGAGAGAGAAATATTGTTCTCCGCCAATGGAAACAAGTGTGATCTTGCGTGGACCAGTGATATTCCAGTGTACGGGGGTACTCCGTACATAGTCCATACGTGTATGGAGTACTGGCAGAAGCACGTTAGCCACAACGGACGAACCGCAGTTTGATCGCGCTATTGAATGCAATCTACTGTATGGAGTATCTCAAACCCTGTCTCGAAGATAGAGTTTGGGTCGCGCATCAGTTCAAGGTTTGTGTGCCGCACGGTACAAATGGGCGATCGCGACAATGACATAGCGTCTATTGCTTGATAGATGCGAGTGGAAGATCGCGGCACGTCCGCACAAACTCTTCGCTTTGTGGAGTTGCCCCGTACGCACGGAGTACGGGGGAACTGAGAGGTGATATAGATACATACCTTGGAAGTATTGAACCATTATTACACACGCAAGTGCTCCGTACTTACATCGAAAGTGACACATTTCAAGTATTTGCCCAGGTGCTTTTCTCTTTTTGCCGAAATATCGACTCGGCAACCTTGGAAGGTCCAAGCCACTTGCGAGTTTCTTGCCACAAAATCATGGCTTGATCATATGTATGTACATAGCATACCATCCATGGACGCTTAACAAAGAGTCCAAGTTTGCCACCAAGACGGAGTAACTAGATATTCATCTGCCTAGCTGATCTCCGCGGGCGGAGGCCGCCTGCATACGGAACAGAATATACCCTTCCTTACTGCACATGCCGCATTTTCCGGGGGGGCACTCGGATCTCGGAACGAACCATGGTGACCATTGGAAAAGAACTCCTTCGTTGAACTATCATTCTCATTGGAAATCTGCGGTAACATTGGAATTAGCAGCGGTGAACCTTGGGAGAAGGCCCAGTGACGTAATTCGCTGTGTTGTCTACTCCGTAAACGAGTAAATACATCCCAGCGTCAGAAGAGCGAGAGCGAAAAGATCAGAGCCCACAGGTGCTATGATAAGCACATCCTATTTGCATGCAATTATTGACGCATTGCTCGTAAGCGCATGATCATCTAAAGGAGACCAGTTAAAAGGTAAAAGACGGGACAAAGATCTCCACAGGGATGAGGGAACGTGGGATCAGATCTTGATCGATTGAATTCCACTATCCCTGCTAGCCCAGCCCCTCTGAGGAATGTCCAAGTACGGAGTACATGGGTCATCAATTTCGAATGTCACAGTCCAATAACGTCGCCCAAGTACGGAGTAGACAAATAGAGGATGACTGAAGCAAAAGAAAAGCAAATATCCCAATCGTGTCGGTGTCAGGGCACTATACAAACTCTCCAGTCCATCAGATTGGCGTCGGACCAAACACCACTTGCAGTCCGATAGATCGATCCCTCCGAACAGGGGTTCCCTGTGAGTGGACCTCAAACTGCCAATGCTTCAATGACAAATCTTGATACGCGGACTTTATCCGCCCATCGCCGTGGAATGTGGCGGTCTGTAACGGTCACTGGGCGTTTGGGCCATTCTGAATACGGTCATATTTCGGTCATATCATATTCTACTAACTCCGTGTTCCATACGGAGTACCGAGTACTCCGCTAACTATGTACAATGTAAGCTCAACCAAGTTTTCTAGCGAACTCGATCTTACGTTCCCCGATCCCAGATCCGATCTGATGAACACAAATACTGGCAGCGAATGATCGTGCTACATTCTCACTAGTTAGGTTAGACCCGCTGATCTCGACGATCTCGATGATCTCTCCTCTTTCTTCGCGTTTAGCGGTTAAGAGGAGGGGATTTTCTTTGCCGATCTAATATTGAGGGGTACTGAATCAGTCGCCTAAGTAGAAGTATACGGAGTACGGAGTAATGACCTCGTACCTAGGTTTGAGTGTTCAACAAAAAGTTAACATGTACGAATACCAAATCGGGCCGCCCGCCTTAGGGCGAAAAAAGATCATGCCACTCTTATCGCCGAAGTTGGCGAATTGAAAATTCAGACTCTTGGCATATCAAATGCGATTGCTAACGTTCAAATATACATGACTTGACATGTGCTCTGTACAGAACGGAGAACATGGTTGAATATTGTGGAACTCCCGCTGGTCCAGATGAAATGCTCGGGTCCGATACCAAGATGCTCACGGCCGACACTACGCCTTGTAGCCACACACTTTGATAACACTTTCATACCTAGGTAACTGAGGAAAATTCGTCGCATTTCGACATTGCTGCCAAGATGGAGTACATTTACAATTAATCATATCAGGATGCTCAGGTTCCACCCGGGGAATGTCTCCCCAGCAATCATATATTCACACAAAGAAAAGAACAGTGAAATGTCATAAAGCCTTGAATATCGACTAGAACATAATGTAAGAGACGCTGAATAAGACACGATCGTACACACATCATATCAGGGACATACTCGAACAGAGACGCATGACCGGCCTCGAAATGGCTCGAACAAAACCAAAATGCAGGGTATAAACCAATAACAACAGTCTTGACAGATGAGCGAAGCAAGCACTTGTGTGAGCTTAACAAAGAAACCAGATTTCAAAAGCCAATGGCTAAATCAGAAGGGGGGAATCTATGCCGTTTTCTCCCAGACCTCGGGGGAGGGTATTATGTAAGGGCCGAGTAGGGAAGAAAAAGGAAACAGAAAAAAACCAAAAAAGAGATGATCGAAAAGAAAAAAAAAAAAAGATGAAAGGGGGATTCAATCCCAGCCGAACTCCGAATCTATGTCCCACCATTTTCAACGCCGAAAAGAAGCTTAATGACTGGTTGGAGAGGCGGAGTCGAGGGCCGACTTTGGCTTCAGATTGGAACCCAAACCTGCGGCCTTGTTCGCGCCCATTTTCCGAGTCAGCTTGGCGTAGTGTAGACCGCAGGCGTTACACAGCGTTCGGGCACCATCTGGACCCCGACGCCATTCTGGCGTTTCGGCTCGGTTACAACTGTGGCAACGACCAGGAGGGGCGGCCTTCTGGGAATGGTTAGCCACACAAATCTTGTGGGGTGGATACGTCAGGGGGATAAACGGTGAAGGAAACGTCCAGAACTTACTCCACGCCTTTTCTTTGGATCAGCACCTGCGAAACCGCCCGTGCCCTTGTAATCTTCGGGGTACATTGCCATGTGGTCATCCTCGGTTTTGAACGCCTTCCGCTGGGCCATTTGCTCGGCGAGCGCCTGTTCCTGGTTCACGACGGCTGTGCGTATCCGAACCAAGGCATCTTGGTTCCGCCGTTGCATATGGAGCATGTCCTCCACTTCATTTAGCGAAGGGAGGGACCCTATTATGGTTCCAGACCGTTGGGTTTGGTGCGCACGAGCAGCGTAGTGTCGCGAAAAATCTAGAGTCCGTGTGCTCATTTCGGCAATCTGAAAATAGATGAGATTAGCTCTTTAATCTCGGGGACCATAGATTTTCAGCCGCCAAAGTGGCGGTTCCGTCGTTCTCGAACAGATCTGCGTAGGGGGGGAGAAAAATCATACCTCGTTCAAAGACTGCTCCACATCATAGACGTCTAGATGCCGCTTGACGGTGTCGCTGTGAGGAGGAATTGGGCGGCCCACATACCCGCTCTTGGGTTCCTCCACGCGCGCGCCCATGTAAGGGCGGTTGTCATAGGGTGCTGGTTGGTATGAATGGCCATGACCGGGGATCGACTGGAAGGAGTAGTTTGGTGGGAAGTGATTGTAGCCATTAGGGGGAAGCGACGCTACCGGCGGAAGTTGGCGCGCTGTATTCGTAGGTGGAGTGTTGCGACCCGACGGAGGTGATTCCTGTTTTGGCGCTCTGTGTTGGAGACTTGCCAGTGCTAAGGGAGTGGAGGGAGGCGCGGGAGTCTTGGGTGTTGACGGAGGTGAGGCTGGAGTGCGAGTCTTGCAATGGGTGCGGATGGTAGCCAGGTTCCCGCATCACCGGATTGAAGGGGTTTGGCGGACCGGACGGCCCTTCGGTGCTTGGTCGACCGGCGATGTGTGATGGCGCAGGGTGTGATTGTGGGGGAGGAGCTGAGGTGGGCGCAGGGTAGGGAAGAGAGTCGTTGCCGAGGGCTTCGTGGATGGAGGGGAGAGATTGTCTCGGTGTGTGCTTGTCCTTTTCATCTTCAATGTCGCGACGCGCTTCGGACGGCGAGATGTAACCTGGCTGTGGGTTGGGCGCGTAGGCGTAGGATAACGGCTGACCGGCGTACATGACGTTGGGGCTCATGAGAGGGGTGGGGGATCCGGTCGCGCTCGAGGAGCACTTGGAAACGAAAGGCGAGTCCTTCAAGAAACCTATAGCAGGCAAAGGGTCTCTGGTTGGGGGGGTTAGTGTGAAGTTTGTGGAAGTAGATACAATACCAACCTGTGCCTAGGTGCGGCTTCCAAAGACCCCATCACGTTTCTGGAAAGGATCTGGGGAGAATAATCATCCAAGAAGGATCGAGCAAGATCAATATATAAGAGAGATCCGGCCGAGTCAATTTCGAGTTGAAAGGCGAGAAGTCGTACGACCAAAAAATCAAATCGACTCCCAAGGGTCCCAGGTCCAGGGTGGCGTAAGAGAGGAAGTTCACAAGTGGCGTTGAAATTGAGTAATGCAAATCATGTCCTTCGAGCCAAAATCGAAACCCCTCCTAGAAAAAAAAAAGAACCAGAGTGATAGTATATCAAATCCCCAAAAAGCGATATAATAAAAAAGGTGTGAGATCGATCGGGGGAGACTGGGGGGGCCGAGCGGTATATACGCAAGGGATATAAGCGTGGAGGAATGTCAATCCAAAAATGAAGGGAAAGAGAAGAAGAGACCTTATTAGGGGATCGAGGCTACTTTAGATTGGAAACGGGATAGCAGAAGACAGAGGTTTATTGGATTTATTTAGAAATATTAATAAGGTATTTAGTTATTTAGTATTTAGTATTTAAGTATTTACTATTTTTCTATTTACCTCTTTTCAATTAAAAAAGATCGCGATCGTAGCCAAAATTACCAGGAAATTGCTAGATCGTCATGACCTGGTTTTACGCAAATTTACACGAACTGCGGATCATCGTACCTATCACTAGTGACCGTCTCGGTGGAGTTCTGCCTTTCTTTTCTTTTTTCCTTTTCCTTTTCCTTTTTTTTTTTTTTGTTTTCTTTGCCTTTTTTGATTTCTTTTTGATTTTGTTTTTTTCCCCCTCTCCTTTGGTCTTTCATCGACATTGTAAGTTGTACGGTGCAACTCTCGACCTGAGCATCTTATGAAGTAACCGTCTACCATACTGTACGGGGTATCACTCTCAAATTGACGAAACAGCATTACCTCTCTATGTCCTCTACTCACCCCTACACTCTAAATGTGTTCACCCATCTACTCCGTAAGATCTAAATATAAATATAAATTAAACAATAAAAAAGCACTCTAAACTAGTTCCATCATACATCGATGCTCGATCTAGAGAAACGGCCGCTTCTCAACGTGCTAACGGACGGTCTACTACCCGAGACGCCGGGTCAACAAGCCCAAGACTATACAATTACTCCGTAGTCTGTACTCCGTCACAATATTGCCTTATAGCTCCCGGTGATATACCTCGAAAGTCTTCTGGAATTAATCTATTCCGATATTACTCGTTCAATCCGGGACAATGCAATGGGACCATTCCCAACCTACATAAATTAATTCGGCCTTGACTCAATCGAGGTTACTCCCCATATGTAGGAAGCCCTATGCATCTGTGTCACATGAGAGAGATCTCCGATTCAGGGTGGATCAAACGTCGACCAAAGACGTTCAGACCGCGAGGGCTGATTAATAACTTAATACGGAGTAGCCACGGACATGATGTCAGGATACGATCCGAGATCTCAGAGCGCTAAGGATCGAGTCCAAGGACGTGCAACCCCTGGGGCGACACAAAAGCACGAGGGGGTTGGACGAGAGATCTTCGAAGGTTACACGGTCAGATCTGAAAGTGCCTGACGTGGCCCGTTCCATGGTTCGGTCTTGAAGTTTGGATGCCTGGAATCGGTGATTTTGTCACTATTTTCAAGTCTCAAGCTAAAATGTGTTTATATGTGTCCATGGATATTCACCTGGGCAGGTCCACGGGTGTGTGTTATTTTTTTTTTAGCTAGGAAGGATCCGGACCTCCGCTCTGTTAGACGATCTGTTCCAACAGGCTACGTCACGACGCCGTTTCAAGCCAAGATCGGGCGTAAGTCAAGAAAATAAAAACATGCCAAAAGCGAGACACCGAAACGTAAAAAAAAAAGACCGTTAAACCCTACCCCCAAAAAGCAAAATAACGAAACTCCCGAATCCTTCGAGATCCAGAAAAAACAAATAAAATCATCAGTTTCGGAGCACGCTACCCCCTTAGTACCTGCCGAGGATCGGGTCGCAAGGGTGTTGTCACACACGTTGCTTAAGCTTTGGATCGAGATCGGACGCGGGACGTTTATTGGCAAGATCGCATGTGTGCTCTCCATCTCTGCCTTGTATTCTGCAGACCCTCTGAATTACGGAGCACAGGAAATCCACGTTAACCATTGTGTTTATTGGGGTGACGCAAAAGAGGGATACGGCGTATAACGTCGTACTCGCAGAAAACCAAAATCACCTTGCCCAAACAGGCATCCTGCACAAGTTGCCGGATTAAAGAGTCAGATTATTCCGTGTTTCCTCGTGCTCTTGGCTTTTGTACCTCTTCGCACTAGCCTCTCGAGCAAATCCCTTGTATCTCATTTCATCTTAATGCTCAGAGTGATCGACCCCAGCCGTACCAGATTGGAGAGCTGTTGAATCCATTTTCTGGATCTTTGAGTTCGCTGGTCTCGGACCCACGCTTTTTGGATCTCATTTTTGTTTTTGTTTTTGTTTTTGTTTTTGTTTTTTGTTTTTTTACGCTCCAGTTTTCTTTCTTACCTCGAGGTGCTATATGGTACAGATGTTTGTCAATTCCAGTTTCGACGAGATTCCACGCCTCTTGAGCCTTATCTCGTGGGGGATGTTGACCTTTTGACGGAGCGCACAGACACCAGGACCCATAAATGATGTACTCCGTATATGGTTCAACGGTCGGCTTAAACTGTCGGTGATCACGAAACGGCCGACCCTACTCCGTACAATCGCCTCAAGATTTATCTCTCCCTGTACTCTGTACTGATCATTGCTTGCCGGTATGGCCGACTGCTGGAATTTCCCTGACCGTTTGTGACAGCACTGCAGTTGATATGCAAAGGGGCATCCAGGCACCAAGTCCGCTTACAGGTTTCATACACTTTGAACCACAATGCATGCATGCACGGAGCTCAAATCCAAGTCCATCCGGAGAAAAACCCCGGGCTATTTCGCACAATGGATTTGTCGATGGGTCTGAAAATCCTACGCTGGTATCGATCTACATGAAAGTCGCTGCATCACGCAGCCGAGCATGCACCAGACGGATCGTAGCATTTCAGCCACTCTACGATGCGTTCCGTGCGCACTTGAGATTTAGTGCATGCATGGGAGGTCACCTACCTGCCGGGCATGAATGCAGTAAGGATCTTTGCGATTGATTTTTCTTCCCCACTTGTGAAGGACAGTACATAACTAGGTCATTGTGAGCCCCGAAGCCATTCCATCATATTTTCCCGATCGAGGCATCGAGGCTGAAAAACAGTCATCCAGGTTTTGACAGCGCCAATAATGCCTGGGGCACCAGGGGAACAAAATTGGCTTTCCCCGCGACATTTCGATCTGAACTATCAGAATCGTAACTGGTCACACTGGCCCGGTCGCAGTCCACTGTGATCGATCAGAGGAGATCGGGGTATGATTGGCCAGCTGACCCAGTTGTATTGAATACGGAAAGGGCCCAAAAAAATGGTCTGTTATGGAGTCTATTCTGGTTGCCTTGTTGCGGCAACTAGGAGTGCATCGATTACTCCGTACGGAGTACTCCGTACAGCCGGCTTGAGAACGGGGGATTACGGACCATGTCTGAGAGCATGCATAGTACAGTATGAATGAGGGCCAGTAATCAAACATTTAGCGATTTGACAAGAGACCGGTGGGGAGTAAGGCAAACCCTGAAAAATGGCTAAGGTGGCTTTCGGCAATGAAGACATTCACGTGCCCCTTGGCATGGGAACAGCTGAGTGGTGAGGTCTTTTGACCCTCAGCGACCAATGGCACAATTTTGCTAGGGGATTTATATTTGCTCTCAAGCTCCCCGAGTCAAGCAGCTGATGGAGACGACGATCTCTCCATCTATTTCCCATGAACCGTTAGCAACTTCTCGTACTACTCGTACACATACTCAATTACTCGATATTCCGTACAAAATAATTACGATCCTCAGCTAAAGGCGAAGGTGAATATCATTACCTAACGAGAGGAAAAGAAAAGAAAATCGGTGCAGAATAACTGGAGACAACTGGAGACATGATCTCAACATGAGCAATTTGATCGACAAACCGTTAAAAACCGTTTTGTCCCCTGATGACATGATTCTGACCAAGCCAGGAAAGCAGTTTTTATTTACACGAGTAATTTCCTTTTTTTAGAGACTAAGAGCTGCTCGGTGGAGAACATACGATCGCTAGACAGACGATCAGAGCATTCTAACCACAAAGGAAAATGAGCGACAACGCTTTTCTCAAGCGGGCAAGAGAGGAAAATCTGATCCCAATTTCAATACGCATCGGCCGTTGGCTATCCTTTTTCAATATGCTGTTGACATGCAGATGAAGCTAAAAGAAATTCCTGTACGGAGTAAGGTCGATGAGTTCCGCATATAGAATAAAGGGACATATACAAAAACCCACGCGTACCACAAGTCGACTCTGCCGCAAATTTTTTTTTAAAAAAACACATCACTGCGATGCGGTGCAAAAAGCATTCGGCCGACTATCTCACAAAACAATAGCACCGGGGCAAAAAAAGCCCCAAGCCCCACCGATATAATAACTCAACACAGCACGGTTCACACCTCTATAAAGTAAAATCTCCGGCAATCTATTCAGCCAAACCATAATAAACAAGCAGACAATCGTGCCCCGAAACTTCGAAATGTGGCGCGGCTCAGGGGGTGTTAAAATTCATCCGACACTGTGGAGACTCCCGGAAATCTCTCCGATCTTCTGAAAGGAGTAATCTGACAGCTTGAAGAGAAAGAAGCGAGTGGATAATCCTTTCCTCCAAAATAAAGGACCTGCAGGATCGTATCAGTGACAGGCCGGTTCTTGTGACTAGGCAAGGATTTGAATGTACGGCGCCAAATTAGGAATGGGAGGTACCAATATTCAGATTCGAATCATGCAAGAATCTGTTTGACCAACGCCCCGAACTCCTCATCGGGTCCAAGTATGTGTCAGATCTACGATAGATTTTCTGTTGATACCGGGACAGATGGAACTATTGTCAACG